GTAGCAAGCGACAACCGCTACTACTTTGCCCAAAACTTTTTTCACTCCAAGAAACCAAACTTCCCCGTTCCGGTAGAGATGATGTTCAACTACCTTGGTCAGCTACAGCAACTGGAAAGCAAATCATCGCTTTTCTCCCAATATGGGGACCTTCTTGACGTCCAACTCTCAGAAGGATTCAGTGACATAGGCCTGAACACACCCCGATTTGCGCTTCTAGAGGTATCAGCCATTGTCCTGAGTTCCAAGCTCCACATGTCATTCAGATACAACACGAATATGCGACACCAGCAGAAGATTCGAGACTGGGCATACCAATGCAAGCAGGTGTTTGAGGAAGATATCCTCGATCTCAAGGACTTCGTGCCCGAGCCTACACTCAGTGACTACCCATTGCTACCAATCACTTATGACAGCCTGAACAGAATGATGAAGAATACGCTTCCCAAAGTGGGTATCCGGAGCTGGGATGTGGTCGAAGACATCTACCCATGCACGCCTGTCCAAGAGGGTATTCTACTGAACCAGCTTCGGAATCCACGTGGTTACATGTTCAGTGGGATTTACGAGGCGCATAACCTCGGAAGTGCCGGAAAAATAGACTCGAAGCGCCTCCGAAAAGCTTGGGCGATGGTCGTTGCCAGACACCCTGTACTACGAACGTTGTTCATTGATGCTAGTTACCGAGGCGGCTCATTTGATCAAGTGGTGGTCAAAGATCTGGCTGATGATGTCTTTGAAATCAATTCGAGCGACTCGACCGCTTGTGACCTGCTCGAAAAGGTTGACCACTTGAGCATGAGCAATAAGCGACCTCTCAAGGTACCACAACAGCTGACTATTTGCACATCGTCCTCCGGAAGGGTTTGGATCAAAGTGGAAGGCAGCAATACCATTATCGACGGGGGATCAATTGATATACTTCTCCGAGATTTGGCTCTTGCGTACAACAACCAACTTCCTGCAGGGCCAGGGCCACTATTCAGCGATTACATCAAGCACATCAAAAGTCGGACTGAAGAAGAGACTTTGAAGAACTGGACCAGATATTTGTCTGGAGTGCGCCCTTGCCATCTATCATCTCCCTCTGAGACACGCAAAGATCGCCAGCAGCGCTCGTTCATGATTGATTTCGACAGGTTCCACGAATTACACAGTTTCTGCGAGAAAAACTCAATCACTATGTCGAATATCACCCTATCGGCGTGGGCCATTGTCCTGAGGAGCTTTACCGATTCCGACGACATCTGCTTTGGTTACCCGTCTGCTGGGCGGGATTCCTCAGTGCCTGGCATACAAGATGCGGTGGGAGTTTTCATCAACATGCTTTGCTGCAGAGTCAAATTTGCCACTGGCCAGTCCCTTCTCGATATTTCGAACTGCGTACAAGACGATTACATTCGAAACCTGCCACACCAGAACTGTTCGCTAGCTCAAATTCAGCATGAGATCGGGCACCAGGGCCAGATGCTGTTCGATTCGGTTCTTTCGATACAAAACCACACTTTCCAAAGAGGTTCCACCGAAAAAGGGATAACGTTTGAGTATCAAAAGGGGCACGATCCGAGCGAGGTAAGTCATGGTCCATCATGGTCCATAGTTCCAAAGGAATGATTAGAGTCTAACAGTCGTACAGTATCCTGTAACTTTGAGTGTCGACATCGCCAAGAGTCATGAGAGGATCCTGCTCAGATACTGGACAGACACCGTATCTGACGATCGAGCAAGACTTTTGGCTAACGCTGTTTGCAAAGTCTTTACATCCTTTATCGACAGGCCGTCCGAGAAGGTTTCAGACCTGGTCATCAGGGGCGAGCTGTCGAAACCATCTAAACCATCCCAAGCAAGACCGTCAAGCGAACCTCAAAATGGTGATGGCTTAACTGGTAACACTGTCAACAGGGAGCTATTGCAGAGTTTGATCGACAATCGGGTGAATGAGATCATTGGCAGTATGATCGAGGGAGGGAAGTTGGCTACACCATCTGCGCAAAACCAAAAGACAACACAGGCACAAGGTGGGAGCCTGGTCAATACTAGGTCTATTTCCAGAAAACAACCCTTATCGACACCGACTCCAACCCCCACAAAGGACAGTGAGAGTCCAAGCAACAGCGACATTAACGATGAGAAATTAGCCGAACAGCAAGTCAGGGAGATAGCCCTTTCGCGGGCGGCCTCCTCTGAGAAGATATCGATCTTACGGCCAACAAACCTTGACAATGATATTTTGGAGGCTGGAATTTGCCCCAAGATTGGTGTCTTCAGAAGTGGCATTGCCGGTATCTTTCCTGTCACAGATTTCCAAGCTTTCGCCATAACCGGAAGCCTCTTCGAGTCAAGATGGATGCTGAACTACGTATATATGGATGGAAAGGGACCACTGGACCTCAAGAGGCTGAGGGAAAGCTTTATGAGGGTAGTCGACTCCTTCGACATACTCCGCACTATCTTCGTCTGTTTCTATGGCCAATTCTTCCAGGTGGTGCTCAAGAAACTTCGGCCGGACATCTTTGTCAGGGAGACAGAGAAGAGCTTGGACGAGTATACCGAACTACTACGACAGCAAGACCGTGAAGAGAAATCACGACAAGGCCAGCGATATTTGCAGTTCTATGTGGTGAAGAAGAAGAAGTCGGATGAACATCGCATTTTGATGCGCTTGTCGCACGCTCAATATGACGGAATGTGCATGGGACGGATCTTATCTGCCATCAAGACAGCTTACGAAGGCAGTCCCCTGCCTCCCGCTTCCACTTTTTCGAGTTATATGCGCCTTCTCCCTGGGTCAATTACGTCAGAGCACTACGAATACTGGGCTACACTTCTCAAGGGTTCTCGTATGACGGAAGTCATTAGGAGGGAGAAGCCCAATACTTTCAACTACATGGGAGCTTTGACTGAACAGAAGAAAACGATCGAAATCAAAGCCAGCACCCTTGGCAATGTCACAGTCGCGACAGCCATGCAGGCGGCGTGGGCGATGACACTAGCAAGACTATCCGCTTCATCTGACGTGGTCTTCGGCCTCACAATAAACGGCAGGAATGCTACAGTCCCCGGTGTTGATACGACCGTTGGCCCATGTCTCAACCTGATTCCTGTCCGAGTCAATTTCCTACAGCGCTGGACTGGGCTTGATCTCTTCCGCTACCTCCAGGACCAGCAATTTGCCAATATGCCTTACGAGTCGTTGGGATTCAGGGAGATTATCCGGCGCTGCACCGACTGGCCGGATTCTACCTTTTTCAGTACTACAGTCTTCCACCAAAACGTCTCACTGGGCGAGCACATGCAGCTCGATGACAACATCTACGACCTGAGTGGCGCTGGCGTTGACGACAACCTCTCGGATTTCCGCCTGGCCTCCACATCAAACCAGGACAAAATCGATATCTCGCTGGCTTACTCCCACAGTGGCCCTATCACCCCCACATTCGCCATGAAAGTTCTTGATATGGTCTGCGAGAATGCACAGAATCTCATCAACAACCCCAACGCCACCCTTCCATCACCCAATACCCTCCGCTCCCTACCCAGCCAGGTTGTCTCCGACAAGCTTCAAATCTCCGACGAGCAGTTCCTCACCGCGGAACTCAACAACCGCAGCATCTCTGAGATCCTCGTCCACAGTGAAATTCTCACCCGTATCTGGAAGCAGGTACTCCCTCGCAAAGACCGGTCCACAAGCCCCCAGTTCTACTTCCACTCCTCCTTCTTTGAACTGGGTGGTGACATCGTCAACATGGGTCAGGTACTTTGGCTGCTCGAGCAAGAGGGTCTCCACGTGCGCTTCGAAGAGCTTCTTCAACATCCAACCTTCCTAGGCCAGATGGGCGTTCTAGCGTTAAATTACCCGAAGGAACTAAGTGCGATGATCGAAGACCAGCGCCCTGTTCAGCAAGTCACTACTGCAGATGTGACGGGTATCGTTAAAGGGGTGCCTGCTTCAGGACCTCTTGGCAAAGCTATGACGCTGGCTAGGAGATTTACCAAATGGAGTACTGTTTCGAATAAGGGGTGAGCTGGATTGTGTTATGAATACTATGGATGGGACTGTTTTCTTTGGTTGATGCTTATGCATATTCATTCGTTAACGATATATACGCTCTTTTGTCTATTGCCTGTTATATACTGCTTCTGCATGCTGTTTTCATTTCTCTTTTGTTTCTTAGACTGTGCCGCACTGGTTGTCTTTTTGTACTTAGTTACCAACTGCATATCAAACAAGTTTATGCTCTATAACATACAGCTATACGTACTGGGGATCCATATCCCCTAAGCCGACCGGTGTCGATAAAGTGCATAAAACCCCTACCAATCATTAGTGTGTTTTTAGATACGCAGGGCACGGCCTAACAAAAGCCCTGCAAGCCCTGCGGAGACGCAGGCCATGTACCATACTACAATATATAGGGGAGTCCGGGAGTCGTCCAGCCATCCTTAGCTGGGTGGTAGTGGCTGCGATCGACTGGCTACTCAGCTGATCAACAGAGTCATTTCCCCACATTTGACCATCTTGTATGTTTCAAAATCTGCGACCTTTTCATAGGACTGACTATCGATTCCATCCTTTTTGACCGTTTCTCATCGCATATTCCTACTGGATTGAAATAAACAATTTCGGATGAAAGCAAACTGATTAATGTACACAATACTTGATATTGAATAGAACCACCTAATCATGTCAGATGTAATCACTTCTTCCTCCCTATCAACGCCATGTATGGTGGAAGCAATATTAGAGTGGGTGGGTGACAATAAGCCTTGGCGATCGCCCGCCTCCCGCTCCACCCTCTCCACCTGCCCCGCCGGCGCCCCACAACTATGCCTGCACTATACATGCTACATACTACATAGTATTGTGAAGTTATTGCGCATCGCGATTCATGCACATCAGGTCTATTATTATACTACTTTGATAATATTTTGTGTCACTTACAGCTAAGGGGCTTCTCTATCGTGATACGCGGATGCAATCCGAAGATACTTATCTCCAGGGAAGATAAATCACTTGATCACAGCCCCCAACGCGAATCTCAACTGATGTTCTCACGTGTCCAAAGGGAAGGGCCACATACTCCGAATCTCATCTGGAGCTCTGTCTTTGCCCATCTTGGCAACATAGTAGTCAAACAACATCTTATTCCTCCCCTTGACTTCCTCCAGATCACGCTCCGGAGGAACCCAGCCGTCGTCATCTGTATCCAGCATATCTTTGACAAATCCGCGTATCTTGTGAAGTTCTCTGTATGACTTGAGCTCCTTTTTGTGGTGTGCGATCTGTTCTTTAGTGAAATGAATCGGTAAACTTCCTTCAAACCCCAAATCATCTTGACTGCGAACGATCTCAAGAAGCGTCTCCCGAAGAGGAACTATCCCCTCATCCCAAGTCGTACCACAGCGACGGAATAATTCCTTGAGTGGATCGGGGACTTGCATTCCTTGCCACGCCTTTCTGTTGTTCAAATATGTTGCGATCTCGTAGGCTTTCGACCAGGTGGCCTTTGCTTTATTGTATCGAGCAAGTTCCTTTTCGTAGTCGTCCATATCTTCATAATTAGGCGGAAGCTGAGGCATTACTGTACCCTCTTCGTACTCTCCTGGTGGGGTCAGAACGACGGGCCATCGGGCTTGCAAGAATAAGGGACTGATGGAACTGTGTTGCCAGTCGATGAAACCGGTTACGTTTGATGGATCGTCTTCGGCGACGAAGATGTTACCCATGTGGAGATCGGTGTGCCATAGTGTGGGTTGGGATGGCCCGAGGAGATAGGGGTTGTTTGCCACAGCTGGTATGATTTCTTTTGCCATGTTAAGGACTAAGGTGTGCTCCTCTGCGGTGCCTCTTATAGAGGCTGGTAGTTCTGGGTTGAGATTTTGTACAGATTGAAGGGAGCGATTGATGAGAGACTCGCCCAGATTGCTAAGCGTCATCCCTATAGCAACAGGTCAGTGGTAACATATCCTAGGAAAGAGATAAATACCTACAAGGGCCGTGATGAATTCCAGGAGAGCCGTGCTGTGTAGACCAGGTAGTGCATGAAGGACCAACGCAAAATACGCCTCCAGGGTCGATAGACAGGTCCAACGATATCGATTCGTGATCCTTCAAAGAGCCTTTGGTATAAAGGCTGCCATAGGCCGGAAAGCATATTCCAGAAAGCTCACTTTTCCACTTTGTGAGCTGTTTGATAAAAGATAATCGACGACTCTCGCCCATTTCCTCCCATTTATTGAAGAGCTGAACCCCCGGGACTCGCTCCATCACAATGTACTCGGCGCCTACTGGGTTGGCTGAATTGACGCACCATGCAAGCACCCTGGGGACAGGAATTGTAGTGTGTTTCCTTACTTTATAAGGATATCAGTTGGCTTGGGTGTTACCGGGATATTAAAGGGTGCCTCACCAAAGTCTAGAACAGCAACCTCAGACGCTGTGCAGTACATAGGCCTTCCTGCATTAGGACACGGAATCTTGACAATGTATTCGGATCCGTCCGCTGTTTTCATGAGAAGAACCTTGCTAAAGCCGCCTTCCATCTTTTCTATCGTTGAGACTGGCTGTGTGCCAGTTCCCGAGATTTCGGCGATTACATCGCATAAGCGATCGGCGTCAAATCGAACGAAGCGTTTTGATCGCTGGTCATCCTCGTCGGCGAGGAATCGACCATTCGTGTATTTGAAAAGGTCTTCTTTGCAGATCGGACTGCCTATCATGTAATTAGTACTGTCCTGTCAAGAATGCTTGTACACAGGGGTATACCTCGAGATTTAATTGCAAGGTACCTCACTGGTACCCTGAAAACCAGGTTCCTACCCCATGGCCTTCCAAGCTCCAGACCATTCCTGAAAGCCCGCATAGCTAGTTTAAGAAGACTGGTCCTATGGACGGTACAAGACGCAGTCAGTAATTGAGGAGCGATACATCTTTGTTAACTTCAAGCAAAGCTCCTTCACCGCCCCAGAGCCCTTCTCTCATCTCTTCTCCCCCCTCCCATCCTCGAGCGTTGCATAAATTTAATGTAACGCATCATGCGAAAGCCATTATCCCCATTAATGGAGAAAATGAGGCCAACAAAACGCTTTCAAGCTCAATTTGTAAATGCTAACTATACCAACCAATAAGCCCCCCGATCCAGCTCCAACGGGACCTTCTCCGGCCACAACGTCCGAACAGCCCCCTTAAGCGCCTCCACCTGCCCCCCATCCCCAACAACCCCACACCTCAAAAACAGCTCCACCATCTCGGTAACCCAAAACCGACACCCCACGCCCCTCTCATCAAACTCATATCTATGGTGCCCATTCTCAACCAGCAAATCTAACACATCCCGCACATGCAAGGGTCGTCTGTCCGGCGCGACATCAAGAACAAAGGTTTCTTCGACGTCAGCGGAGACGAGGCGATCGAGGCTGGAGATGACGATGTTGGCTTTGGAGCCGCCTGGAAGGACGGTGCTTGGGATGGAGTAGCTGGGGAGGCAGTCGAGTTGGATGGATGTTGTTGGGGAGGTCGCTAGGTAGAAGCACCAGTGGTTTGTGCCGGCTTCTTGGTGGTCCGGGGCGGCGAGGATTTGGTGAATTGGGAGGGAGAGGATGTGTTTTTCTTGGGATTTGGGGATGAAGTGGATTGGTTGGTGTGGGGGTGGCATGGCTGTGGGGTTTTGAACGAAGCTGTTGGATGGGATGGAGTTCTGTTGATGTGCTGGAGTGGTTGAGTAGAAGGTAACTAGGTACTAGGTATAATAAATAGTCATTGGGCTGGTTGGGTAAGTAATTGCCTGGCGGCTACAGGTACACCGTAGTACATCCCACACTGCCAGTCAGTCTGCTCTATACATTAAGGTTACATACAAGGTACATGACTTCATGATGGCATTAAAGTAGTAGTTAAATACATCTCCATAACAACCTATGCAAAGACTTTGTGTACATGGTCCATTAATGCAAAACAGTGGTATCTCATGTGTCGTGACTGAGCCTTCATGAAGGATAGGAAAAAAAGACAAAGAAAAGGATTCAGGGTATAATGAGCGAAACACATATAATAAAGCCAGCCCACAAGACAATCGCTGACGCACCTGTACCGGAGAAGATTATTATCGGTGGCCTTGTTATTTTATTACTTTTTTTCACTTGTCTCTCCAATGCGAATGGCAAGAACCTAACTCCCATAAACAGAAGCCCGAGACCATTTCCCTTTAGCACGAATACGTTTCCCGAATACATAAAACAAAAACGGGATCGGAATCAGCGCCACGGCACAAAAGCCCAAGATACTAGACGCCCAGTTTACGCCGAGACGACGATACATGATGCTCGTGAACAGCGGGAAGCAGCCAGCGAACAGACTGCGCAGGAAGGTATTAGCCGCGACGGCGCTGGCCGCAACAGCCTGGAAGGTATCGATGAGGTAGTTGAGGGCCGCCTGGAAGATCGTGAAGAAGCCGAGGCCCATGAGGACGGCGCCGATGTTAGGCGCGATCCAGTGGATGTCAGGGCGGCCGGTCCAGCCGAAGACGAAAAGGCCTGCAGCGAAGACGACGGAGCCGAGCATCATGGGCGGGAGACGGGCTTCGGGGACGGGGAAGTTGTTGTTTTGCTTGAAGCGGGAGATGTAGAATTTTTGGTTGTAGAGGTTGACGCAGGCGCCCATGAGGATGCCGACGAGGTAGGCGAGGAAGGGGAGTGCGCCGACGACTTGGTTCCAGCCGCGGACTTCTTGGAATTCGATTGGGAAGGAGGCGAGACTGAGGTAGAGGATGCCGTAGACGAAGGAGGCGTAGAGGGCGACGAGGAAGCAGATGGGGGTTGCGAGGAGGGCGAAGGGTCGGATTAGGTACTTGTTGCCGAGCTCTTTTAGGGTCACGTCCCATTCTTCGTGGCGTGCGTGGAGGGCCCAGTTGCCGCTCTCGAAGCGGAGTCTCTGCGCTTTGTAGACTAGGAGGACGGGGGGATAGCTCTCGTCGAGGAAGATGACGTCCATTGCGAGGAAGAACATCATCATGATGCCGGTGATCTGGGTGGTTAGTTAGTATGACTGCCATGCGATGCACGAAACGGTCAACGTACATATTGGGTCCATCTCCAGCCGAGATAGCTCTGACAGATCGCGCCACCCACAATGGGACCCAGCACTGGCCCGCCGACAACGGCCATTGCATACCCCACAATGGCAGCTCCTCGCTGTTCTGCGGTCCAGATATCGCCCAACACGCCACCCGTGTTTGTTACCGGCGCGGAGCCAAAGAAGCCAGTAAAGAACCGGGTGATCATGAGCGTTTGAGTATCCTTGGCCGTTGCGGAGCCAAAGGAAAATATCGCGGCGACGAAGTAAGGTATCAACACAGCGGGTTTACGTCCGTAAACCTCAGAGAGTGGGGCCCATACAAGAGGTCCCAGTCCTAGGGCGACTATTAGACAACAGAAACAAAGCATTGATCAGGATGGCACATACCGAAGCCAAAGAGTAACAACGCGGTACCTAATGTAGATGGTACCTCACCAATCCGGAACTCCGACATGACCTGCTGGGTACCTGTTGAGTAACTAGAGACGTCAATAAAGGGCACAAGAAGGGATAAAAGCACCAAGAAAATGCGGTCCATACATTGAACTTGCCCACGTAGCACCTGAATATATAGATTAGCCATTGTACGCGCGAGCCAAGTGAACAATACATACCCATCGTAGTCAGACCATACAGCAGCGTAGTGATACACTTTTTCTTGAAGACCCAATTAAGCGGTTTATAGGGATCATCAGGCCCATCAAAATCCACAATTACATCTTCCGTAGTTTTGGTACTCGTTAGAGGGTGCGTGAACCGCGCAGTCTGGCCGGGCTCCCGACTCCGGATTCCCGAGAGTATTGAAGTAGCGCGGCGCTCGAGCGCCGAAAAACCCGAGGTCGCCGTGCTGTGCTTCTCTAACGGCTGGATTGGGAGGCCATCGTCGTGGGTGTGCTGCTGCTCTATGGAGGAGATATCATCGGTGGAGGACCGGGAGGAGTATTGGCGGTTTTCAGCCATGACCTCATTGGTATATCGGATCGTTGCGCTAAAGGGAAAAAAAAAGGCTCTCTAAGTCGCTTTTTTGTTCCACATGAATGCTTCCCAATTGGGGTTTAACAGCGAGCAAGAAGCAATGCGACAAGAATGAAATATAAAAATTAAATAAAAGCTGAATTTGATCCACAAAGAAAACCGGGGAAGAGTGATACCCGGAAAGCAAGCCGAGAAGCCTCGAACGCAAACTCAAGGTGAAGGTACCTCCCTGACGAATCAGCGAGACAATTGAAACAAAAAATAAATATAAATCAAGATGGTTCGACCTCCTAAACAGAACCAAGCATTCGCTATGAACAGGAACTAGAGCTTATAAGAGGTGTGACCACAGAGCTAGGAATGCTTGAAGAGCCGTCTTAGCCGGGCAACATCCGCGCTGCCCAGTCGGACGTCCGAACGAGCTCTCCTCTCGCCTTCGATCTATTTTTCGATCCGTCCATGCACTTGTGCGATGTCATGCCGATATTTCATCTCATCGGCATTCCAAAGATAGTAGTAGTCAAGACAATTGGCGCAGCGAACAAGCGCAACCTACGTATTCTGTTTCACGTTTCAATCCCGAGAGCTGCTCCATCTTGAAGGTGTCGGTGACGTTCCGAGCGATGAATCCGTCGGAAATTTTTCCGGGTACACGTTGGGTGGGTGCTTCCGGTAAAGATCGCCACCGTTGGTGGATAAGGTGTGGGACGAATGGGTGGACCGTGGTACGCTGGGGGAGCTCGGCAATAAGTATTGGGGTTTGGGTTTTGGATGTTGTGCAGTTGGTTATTGACTCCTTGCATTGTTGGGCTGGCAGTAGCTTGGCTTCCATGGTAGTGACTGGGATGGGAAAAGATGTTGATTGGATTTGAGGTGATCGTCGTTGAAGACTCAGTTTATAGTTGGATATGCATGTACATCGAGGCGAGGTCACATGGGCTTCTGCTAAACGTGACCCCGCGGACAGCTCATGGCACCTGTCTTTACCCTTTACTGTCCTAGATTATTCTATACCGATAGAACGCCCAAAGTGACTAGAATCAGATAAACTCCATTTAGTCTACGCTATATACAAAACCAGATGTGTCGTGTAGTGCATTCGCCAGCCATCCTCTATCCGTGAATCCCATCCCGTCCCACAAACCCCGAACCAACGCTAGGTTCTCCCAGATTTCCGATTTCCCATCGACCGTAAAGGCAGATTTACAAGATCATAATACATCGAATCATGCCGAAGAGTGCATACTCTCCCACTTGTTCACGGCCTCCATGGCGGCCGTGACCTTGAGCCCGATGCGAGCATCGAGCTCGTAGCTCTCCCAGCGCGCCGCCTTCTCCAGATACTCCTTACACTCGCGCACTTTTTGTTCTTCCAGCTGCGCTGCGGCGGCGGGATCAGCGGGCTTTGGAGACGGCTCCGGGGCGGTATCGTGAGCGTCGGGAGCACCGTGGTTGGGTGTGTACGCCGGGCGTTCCATCCAGCAGTTGGCGGCCATCTCGAAGTTAGCGACAGGCAAGATCCAGTTATCTTTGAGGTGACCGTTGAACGTCGCCTTGTCGTGGTGCAGAACATCCGTTTTGAGAATCTCCCTAGCCTGCTCGTGTTTGCGCATCGACCGGAAAACGGCCGCTCGCAGCAACTGCAGGATGGCTTTCTCCTCGACGCCTTCCTTGGACCAGGTCTTGTTAGCGGGATTTTCGGACCAGGCGAGTTTCTCGAGGGACTCCTCGAGTTGCTCCGTTGTCATCCGGCTGTGGCCGTTCCAGAAGAAGATCATCTCCTCCACGGGGTCGACCCCGACGGCCTCGACGAGAGGTACCTTCCACTCCTTGGCGCGGGCCTCCCACTTGGCTACCTTTCGTGCAACAAAAACGTCGAATGGTAGCTGTCGGGCCATGAACTTTTTCTTTCCGGCTAGAGTGGGTGCTATCCGGAAGTATTCGGTGGCCTTCTCCGCATGTTTGGATGCTGCAGTAGGGTCCGTTTCCAGAGCACCTCGGTATAAGGTAAGATGCGACGCCCCAGCGATGTAATAGTACAATGAACGAGACCAAGAATTGAGGTCGACACACTGGGTTCACAGTCAGCATCAGCAAATCAAGAGGATAGGCTGATGGGAGAGAAAGGGCAAAGCTACCTCAATAAACGACTCCGCACACAGTTCATACTTGTGGAGATACATCGCATTCAAACTCCGCTCAAACACCCTCAAAGCCTCAACCTGCTTCAATGGACTGCGGTCTTCGCCGCACAAAAGCTCCAATGCCGTATCGAGATCCTTGTTGGCACCTTTCATTCTCGATTCTTCGAGGACCCAAAGCTGACTGTTAGGAAATCGTTTCCGCATCACCCCCAAGAGAGCTTCGAGTCTCTCCTGGGGATAGCCCTGCACGTCGCCATCTTCCCCGGCGTCAGGCATGATGTCACAGTAACGAACGAACCCGTTGTAATACCCGAGGATGGCAAAGGCAGAGATGGCACCGATCAAGTTATGGAACTTGCTCGCCTGCCACAACATCCGCAGCCCTCGCTCCTTGTCTCCGTGGAATCCGATGATACTGAGAAGTTTGCTGAACGCGGGGGGCACCATGGAAATGAGCAACAGCAGAATGCCGAAGCAAAAATTGGCGCCGGAGTGCACGAAGACATCGATGCGGTTGTGGAAGATATCCGAGTCGGGGTCGTGGCTCAACATGTCCGATTGAGCGCGGCTGGACGAGTCCGTTGACACATCAGAGTCCGAGACGTTCATTTCCGATAACTGCTGCGAGATTCTGGCCGTTTCCGAGGCGGCGGCTTTCGGATCTGGCTTGGTTGGTTCAGTGCTGGGTACCGAACGCTTCGGATCAGCAGACCGCTTCTCCTGGATGAACTTCTGCTCCATCTTCAAGATGGCGTCTAAGGCGATATAGGCCTTTCGCAACTTATAGAAACCCTTGATACTCTCCGTGAGACTCTCGTTGAGGACCCCAACCACGGCGCTCATGAGCTGAGCCATAGCCTGAACGAGAGCGAACTCTGTTCCCGGCGCATACATCTGCGAGTGGTAGGAGTTCGGCGCGTTGGAATTGTGTTGGGCCTTATTCTGGTCGCTGTAGGCAGTGTTTTCCGCCATGTTCAATCTTTCCGACGCTGCGGGGAGTCAGCTGGCGTCAGCCACACTTTGCATCGCAAGCGACGAAGGTCCAGTTGACAACGAACCTTGGCGCATGATCTCCTGTTCGAATCCCAAGGTCGCCCGAATAAATGCGACGACACCGCGACCGAGCTATGCGACACGAGAGAACATGGTCAGCGGCTGACGGCGCGGGGGCGAACTGGCCGACAACTCCGGTCAGACTTACATGGTGGAACGATGAAATGCCTTCAGCGAGGCCACTCTCGGCACCATCTACATCGTCATTGAGGATGAGTGTGGCAGCTGTTTAAGGCGCCCCAATCAGTACATGGTCACATCATCCACGAAGCGGCGGGGCTGATAAAACGATCGGAGTCGGAAATGCATACCCTTCAAAGCATCATCCACTTTCAACGCCAAAAACACCGATCAGCATATTGTACATCGCAAGGTGGTAGCTATGTAGTTCCGAGACACTCACGATCACGCAGTTCGGCGAGCGAATCGAGCGACTGGGTTGAGTCATTGGCGTTCGGCTTTTTGCCGTAGAGCCACGAACCCACCCGGAACATGCTGAAGTATATGCGGTTGCCACCGGATCGACAGTGGTGTGGGAGAACAAATCGATGGAAATTCAAGAAAATGTCCAGACTCGCCAACGAGGCAATTGTAAGGCGAAATTCAAGGCTGATCGAGCCGAACAGAGAGTCGGCGGGGCCCGAACCCCAAAACAAGAAACGAACGACGGAAGGGGAGCAATATCGATGCTCTCATCGAGACACAGACCGAGAATGTGGCAGAATTTCCGAGAGCATAAACCAACCCCATGGGCAGCGTGAGGAAGAGAGAAAAGTAACAAAGAGAGAGAGAAAAAGAAAAGTCGAGGAGGAAGTAGATGCATAATAAATGAAAATTCACCCAAGGCACAAGCCTATGGTCCACCGCGAACCAACGGGCGAAACGGAGGTTTCGGCATGACAAGATGGAGATAAGTCAGACAAGTTCCAGACCAAGAGACTAGTATTGAGCTGGTTAGCTCCGAGTTAGCTTTGTAACCGTCCATAGACAATGATCTTATTCTATTCGGTGTAATTCCATGAACAGGTTTAACTAACTGGGGATTTGCCTTCCAAGTTCATAATAATGTGATTTATGCGAGCTTATGCCGGTCTATGCCGAATCCTTCAGGGCCTGAGGCTGACCTTACCAATCTTACTACTCCTACAATTCGATGCCTATTAACTCAGCCTCTTTCTTCAGTGATGCCTAGAAGCTAGTACCCAAAACAATCCACATAATTCCAAAAGAAATGAAAGAGGACTGATCGTCCAGGGATCAATCCAAAAGAATAGTCCATTGAAACAGAGCAGGGCGGGTACCACATCATTGAGCACTCCGTAATTAGTAGCGAACGTCAGTGCGGGCGGTCAACCTTACTCCGCGCTGGCAGAGCTACAATACCTCTCCGCCAGACAACAACTTCATTACAATCCTCCCTACTCACCATTCCCCCACCACCCCACTCGACTTCTATATCCACTCTTACTCGGACCTACCTTCTCGCTTTCTATATTTCCCGCCACGACTGCGACACACACACCACACCTCCACCATGTCGAACACAAGTCAGCCCCAAACCAAGGCCGAACCGACACAGCAGCCCCAGCAAGAACAGAAGCCCCCGGTGCTGGAAGAAGACGACGAGTTCGAAGATTTCCCCGTCGAAGGTGAGCCTTTCATCACCAGGAGGGGTTTTAGATTTAAACACACCGACGCGGTGAACGAATGACTGGACGGATTGCGCTGACCAACGGTCTTATTTACTGCAGACTGGCCCCAGGAGGAATCCGAGCAGGCAGGCGCCAACGGGACAGAAAACCACCTGTGGGAGGAGAGCTGGGACGATGACGATGCGGCTGAGGATTTCTCAAAGCAGTTGAAGTGCGTTTTTCCCTTCCCTTTCCTTTCCTTTCATTTCCTTGGTTGCGGGGCGACCTTCGTCTCTTTGTTATCACTACCATTGCCATTTCAAACCCACCCATATGTCAGGATTGACTAACACATATTCTACCAACAGAGAGGAACTGAAAAAGGTCGAAGCATCCCATTAGTCGGCAATCAGACTGGCGTGTGTTTCGGGTCCACGAGATGAAATGATGATTGGTTATTATTACGGGAATACAATCGAAGAATCAGTTTAATTCCATCCATCCATCCATCCATCCATCAAGCAAGCAAGCAAACGAGCAAGAAACTTCCTACCTATACCACGATGAGACGCAAGGATATTGATCCGGTTCGAGATGATGTTGTCTAAAGCTCAGTCGGAGGACACAACACAAAGGAAAAGAAAAGAAAGCAGGCCGAAAGTACCACGATAGAAAACAATGGCAACGTGATTGTAGAGGGGTAGAGGGGTTGGATGTTGTGTCGAAAAAAGGAAAGGGCATTTTCTTTACATGCATCTAAAAAGCGATGCAATCTCACAGATGAGGATGTTTGGGGTCGGTCGGTGATCCCATGCTGCTTCACGCAGAGATTACTTTTTATTTTATATTATCCTACGAGCGAGTATCTTATTTTGATAGACTGAGTTGTCCAGTCTCTTCAAGGAATCAAGTCAATTGCCCTCATTAGTGTGAACCATACTCATTAGACGATAGTGTTCAGGCGAGAAACCCAAGCGTACTGCTCTCACAGCTTAGGACCCGTGTCTATCATTGTTCTATCATTAGAATGCGGTTTTGAACTTCTTTTTTGCTTGCTTATATTTCATGCTCATTGTACATTACATCATAGATTAAGAAAAGAAAAGAAAAGAAAAGACATCATTTTCCGCCCGAAGACACACCCCAATTTTCTCCACACATTTACTTACTGGACAGAGCGGAAACACCGGGGAGGTCCTTGCCCTCCAGGAGCTCAAGCGAGGCACCACCACCGGTGGAGACGTGGCTGAGCTTGTCCTCGGCGCCGTACTTGGCCGCGACGGTGGCGGTGTCACCACCGCCGATGATGACGATGGCGCCGTCCTGGGCGGCCTTGACGACAGCGTCGAGGGTGTTCTTGGTGCCGCTGGCGAAGGGCTCCAGCTCGAAGACACCGCAGGGGCCGTTCCACAGGATGGTCTTGGACTCGGCGATGGTCTGCTTGTAGAGCTCGACGCTCTTCTCGCCGACGTCGAGGCCCATGTAGCCGTCGGGGATGCCCTCGGCGTCGGTGGCCTTGCCGGTGTTGGCATCGGCGGCGAACTTGTCGGCGGTGATGTAGTCGACGGGGAGGACCAGCTTGACGTTGTGCTTCTTGGCCTTCTCGACGACGTCGCCGACGATCTTGGCGCCGGCCTCGTCGAAGAGGCTGTTGCCGATCTTGACGCCCTCCAGGGCCTTCTTGAAGGTGAAGGCCATGGCGCCCGTGATGATCAGGCTGTTGACCTTGGGCAGCAGGTTGTCGATCAGCTGGATCTTGTCGGAGACCTTGGCGCCGCCGAGGATGGCCAGGAAGGGGCGCGCGGGGTTCTCCAGGGCCTTGGCGAAGTAGTCGAGCTCCTTCTTCACCAGGAAGCCGGAAGCCTTCTGCGGCACCTCGACGCCGACCATGGAGCTGTGGGCGCGGTGGGCAGTGCCGAACGCGTCGTCTGGAAGACGTTAGTGTGCTGGTTTTCTTCCAAGAACGATAATAGAAAGGGGGGAGACATACTGATATAGACATCACCCAGAGCAGTAAGTCCCTTGCGGAACTCAGCAACCTGCTCCTTGTCGACCTTGACCTTCTTGCCCTCGGCATCCTTGTAGCTTCCCTCCTCCTCGGGGTGGAAGCGCAGGTTCTCCAGGAGGACGAGCTGGCCACCAGAGGCCTTGTTGACGATCTCCTCGACCTGCTTGCCAACGCAGTCCTCGGAGAAGATGACGTTGCGGCCGAGCAGCTTCTCCAGCTCGGCAGCCACGGGCTTCAGGCTGTACTTGTCGTTCTTCTTGCCATCCGGACGGCCCAGGTGGGACATGAGGACGACGGCCTTGGCGCCATTCTCGACGGCGTACTTGATGGTGGGGAGGGCACCGACGATACGCTGGTTGTTGGTGATCTCCTTCTTGTCGTTGAGGGGGACGTTGAAGTCGACCTGTTCAATGGATTGATATCAGTACTCTCCTCCATAGCTCCGTTCACCCTTGGAAGGAGCACATACCCGGATGAGGACACGCTTGTCCTTGAGGTCGACGTCAGTGATAGCGAGCTTGTTGGAGAGAGACATTATGACGGTTCTGATTGAAAGCGGGGTTGATTAGCAAGAGCTGGGTTGTTAGACGACACAGTAAACTGAAGCTCAATTACCTTGGAGAATTGACTTGGATGTTTACAAGAAGAAGAATTGAAAAAGGAGAGGAACACCACACTTAATACGGTCACGGTGAGCGGCGGGGTAGCTGAGGGAGCACTTGTTTTGCCCGCATGGTGGGGCGTCCGGTGAGATTCGCTGACGCATCGGGCTGTTGCGGGACTGATGTCAATGTCCGCGATCGATGACGGAAGGCCCCGGGGCCTGCCTGAGAATTCTCGATAGCCTCGGATCGAATGCAGGCGATCGGCGATTTATTTTCTTTGTATTGACCCCGGACATAGGGGGTTATTCACTTCCTTGAGTCCCTGCCGCTCCGAATCTCCTGTGGACCGTTGCTCGTAGAGACCCACGTTGGTTTTCGTGGACGAAAGAGAGCTCCGTCCGTTTCAGTAGACTCTGTATAGTTCACCAGCTCGTGTATTTGCAATTAAACAGCTTCCGACACCTGCACCTAGAATACGGATTTTTATCATAACACAGCATTCAACGCCCCCTGTCCCTCCGAAAGATTATCAAAGAGCGTATAAATCTTATACACAAGCGAGAGTAACACCAACAACAACCCGAACCCATATGACGCCGATACAAAGCACCAAAGCACACCAGAAGAAATGGGAGAAAGACGCTAACCTGAACTACCACCGGAAAGACAACCAAAAACGAATGTGATAGGGACACAAGCGCTGAGGGGTGGTTTATTCCTCCTCGGCGGAGTTGGTCAAAGACAGATATGCAGTCCACGCGATACCGATGGTCGACACGAACGGCTGTACCGGAAGTCGGTTAGCTGCAAAGCCCTTGTACTCTTCCACGAGACAATCACTTACAATCTGGAACTGGATGGGAACGACCCGGAAATTCAGAATCTGCACGGCAGGCCAGAGAACGAAATTGGCTTTGAGGGTAGGCAGGTAGACATCCTGAAACTTGCGAGTCAAGGCCCTGCGCCCACCACCCTCAGCCACCGTCATGAAGGTGAAGAAGCACCCCAGACCTAGAAAGCATGTTAAACACCAATCATATATCCAGGAGATAAGACACCAAAGCTCGTACCGAAGGGAGCGAAGATCAACTGGTCGCAAGCCACCCGCTTCAATGCCGAAAGACTCGGGTTGACCTTGGTGAGGGGGAACGCCCGGGACAAGAAGCCAAACCACTGGAATTGGAGAGGCGCCATGAAGAAACCATACGACATGAACCGGGTCAGCCGCTCAAAATCGAACGGGGGGTGCGTCGTATGGCCCAACTCCCCAAACGCCGGCGGGTTGTGTTTCTTGTCAAGGTCGCGGAACTCGATCGAAACGAGATCATCATCGTCGGCATGTCTGCGTCCGGGACGAGCTCTGTAGGCTGTGATCAGTTGCGCAACGGTATCTGCGACCCCGCCCAAGATCTGAAAAGGGTATCATCCAGTCAGTCAATTTAGTTCACAAATGATATCTTTGCTTTCGCGTGCGAACATACCGCATTGGTGACCATGGTGGTCAACACTGTACAGAAGAGAGGTTAGCCGATGCGTCCGCATAGTATTGGGAGTCAGGCATCCTCACCCGGCTTTTCGGCATAGTAGGAGTTGAACTTGGCGGCCAGCCGTGTGGTCGCTACCATCTCGATGAAGAAGATAATGCAATGAAGTAAAGGCTGTCAATCAAAATCACAAAGGGGGAACAAATTAGTACCAATCTCAAAGCAAAAGAAAAAAGCAAAAAACCCCATTCATATCACAAAGAGAGAGGACTCCGAAGCGCCCGGGGGGAAGGAGAAGGGTCACATACGAAACGACCGTAGATGTACCGCCTGTTCAGACCGTCCAAAATTCTTCGACGCGTTGTGAAGAACATGCTGAATGCCCCTTGGAATAAAAAAAAAAACAATATATATCCGGATTTATTGCAGCGAGATAGGGCCGAGAGGCAAAAGAACCTGGAAATATGTGCCCTTGGCGGTCTGGAATGACGCAAAAGAGGATCGCTGGGGGGAAAGTAACAGGTAGGCAAATCGGCACCAGACCCACGCCCCCTACTAAGGGATCTTGTAAGGATATTTGGAACAGTGTGGAACGTCAGATCTGTCCAGATTTCCTTCCCACAAGGTTTGGGGAAATGCAACAGACCGGCTCGAACGACCGGGAATGACAGGAGTACTTGTTGCAGAGGCGAAGGGGAAATAAAGAGGAATAGGGAGAAAGAAGGAGAAGAGGATGATTATGGATTAGAATCCAGGTTGTCCGTCCAGATGAAAGACTGAAAAGGTAACCAATAAGTCATAGAAACAAGGATGGCCTACTGCGTACAGTATGAACCAAGTCGGACTAGTCTACCAAACAGCAAGGAGGGCGTCATCGCGGCTGTGCCGATCCTGATGGGGGAGAAGGGGGAGAATCCACTGTCACCGCCCACCTTACTGGCCAGTGACACTCCATGACCATCTCTCCGCACTTGAATTGTCAACGACTCTAGGTTACAGATTTGATGATTGTAACGATTATGATGGGTAGTACATTTTCACGTGAAATACAGTAAGCTGTTTCAAATAATATAGAATTTAGTTTGGATTTATTTACACGAGCAAAGGTGCGCATATATGTTGGTGTGCACGGAGTACGGAGTATATATAAATCTATATATAGAGTAATATTATAGGTATGGATTATTCTAGCCCCACCGCGACTCTGACATCTATGCATTTACATCGTAGACGGAACGTACATTGAATCGTTCCCTGCTTATGATACATCCGGCGTGGGCGTGGGGACCCCCTTCCGATCATAGACAAGAATGTCTGGGAGGTCTTTGATATCGGTCGGCTCGTTCGTATTGGCGTCGATTAGGCGCACAGCCTCCAGGTGGAGAGCGCCCACCGCCAGCGGAAGCAGTTTTAATTCGGTCGCAAAGCAGGTGCCCGGTAAGAGGGGGCTGAAAAATTGGACAAGTTAGATCGTAGCGGAGGGGTGGAAGGATGCGGCGAAAACTTACCCGACACGCAGATCGGTGCTCAAAGAGACAAGGTCGGCTTCCTGGCCGGTCACCGTCTTCTGCATCGCATGGACGATATTGTCATCGGTGACCGCTTCGGCGACCTGGTGCTCTTTCCGGCCCGAAAGCGACGCGGACGACGGTCGCGCACTATGTCCCCTCGAGTCCGCCCGCTTCTTTCGCGGAATGGCGAAAATGGCGAATTTACGAGGCGCGGGGGAACGATTGACGATGAATACGTCCCAGGAGAATGCCTTGCCCACTTCAACACTGGTAGGCCCGGAGAACGAGATGCTCACGCCTTGGTCGACTGTAGAATAGGCTCGCTCCCGAATAGACCCCCTGCTGGGCGGAGGGGCTCCTCCGAGGGGGGTGGTCTGGATGGGAGGCACCATCGAGAGACTCGAGGGACGGTGGATCCGCTGCAACGCTTGACTCGGGCCACCAAAGTTGGGATTGAGAGCCATGGAAAAGTCCACATTGGTCCTCCACTGCATGAGGATCCGCGGGCAGCTGTCCTCGGAGAGCTTGATAACGGCCTCCAGAGAGATGTCCAGAAAGCACGCCATGGCCGTTGCCGTCGGGTTTGGATCCGGGCCGTATTCCGGTGTCAATTTGTACATCAGAGTGATATTGTCGCGCGGGCGGCACTGTATCGGCGGAACGAGTCCGGGCGCATTCGACATGAGCTCGACTGTCCCATCCGACATGTGCAGATCGGCCTTGTCGAAGACAACGTCGCAGTTCAAATATGGCGTTACCTCCAGGTCCAGGCTTGCGATGGTCGCGGGCTGCCCCGAAAAGGAGTTTAACCGAACATAGCGTATCCTCGCACTCGCCGCAGGGACTACCCGTATGGGATGGCCGGACTCTTGTTGGACATTGTAGATGGGGTTCTCGCTGTATTGGGCCGGCACGACTCGCAACAGTCTCGACGCAGGCAAGAAAGGATCCTTTCGCTTGAGCGACTTATCTCCCGACAGGGGTTGCAAGATGTTTGTAGACGCTGGAATCATGGGTGGGAGGTAGTCATCGTCAACCAAATCTTCTGGTCGACTCTCGGAGGGGTTCAGGCTGGCAGAGGCGATAAACAAAAGGGAGGGCTGTTGAATGCGTATCCGCGGGCGCCCTATGAAAGAACAGTATCAGTAAACAGTCAGAGTAAGCGGAAAAGACGCTGGGAGAAGTACTGATAAACGTCTCAATATTCCAGATCGCGTAGACATGATTTCCACTCCCAGCCTCTCCCTCAAACTCGTTCACGACAACCAGTGGCTCTTCCTGCGGATTAACAAACCCCGAGAAAATCAAATCCCTCGTCGGTGTTGGATTCTCCGCGACCGTCTCAGCTGGGTCGATTGCGAAGCCATCGAGCTTGATCTCCAGGTTCTGGAGGTGGTGTTTCAAGCTGTTTTGCGAACAGTTGGAGAGTCGCAGGACGATGCTGACGGTACAGAATTCATCTAGATTAAACTATCCATGAGTAAGAGTAGGTCCGACCCGGACAAAAGATCCTCACATACCAAAGAACAAAAGCGACCGTTGGGGTATGGATGCGAGTACGGAGGTCAGGTCATCTGCGCCTCCTTCTAATGCCGACGTCAACGCCGCCTCTAGATCTATATTCGAAGCATGCGGGACAACAGTATCCAAGACAGCATGCCTTAGAAATTCTCCTGGAACTTCGAGGCCTGGCATCACGATGAGACCAGTCGCATGTCCCTACCGGTATGATAGGTCGTCAACGGGCGATTTTTCAAAACCAAAGAAACAAAAGAACTTGAATCAAAAAGGGGGGGTTAGGATTGGGTTGTGATTTAAGGGTTGATCCACCAGCTTGCGGAGGTGATCGCGGTTTGTCGGGGGGTGCCTGGTGCAAACAGAGCAAACACCCTTGGCGCGAGGACTCGTCCAGCTGCGGCAGCTTCTTTTTCTTTCGGGCGGAGAGTGTCTTTCATCCACTCCAGCATCCATCGCTGATTCCCACGGAACTTGCAGTTATGAATCCGATGAGTGGGCCAGCAGGGGCGCCTGCTATCTGGCAGGAAGCCCGCAATAGTGATGGGCGGGTTTACTATTACAATGTCCAAACCAAGGCGACGCAGTGGACGAAACCCGTTGAATTGATGACACCTGTTGAGGTTGGTCTTTCTCCAACCTGGTGTGGATTGTGCTAACTTATCTTCACAGAGGGCGTTGTCGAATCAGCCATGGAAAGAGTACACGGCCGAAGGTGGGCGGAAATACTGGTATCACACGGAATCGAAGCAAAGCACCTGGGAAATGCCCGAAGTTTACAAGACTGCTTTGGCGCAGATTCCAGCTCCCCAAGCGCCAGCTGCTGCGTAAGTATTATGCATCCCAATGGACAGGGGCTCAACTAACCGAGGTGTCATCTAGGGCCCCAACGTTTGTCGCCGGTGGTGTAAGCTCGTTTTCGTCCTTCCCTCCGCAACGTGAACGTGAACGCGAAGACTACGACCGAGGTTCCGGCGATCGGCGTGGCTATGGCTCGATGGACACGAACGGGATGTCGACTGCTCCGATGCTGGGCACGGCGCAATCGGAGCCGGAGTATGGGTCATTCGAGGAGGCGGAAAGCGCATTCATGAAGATGCTCAAACGCCACAACGTGCAGCCCGAGTGGACCTGGGAGCAGACCATGCGCGAAACGATCAAAGACCCCCAGTATCGCGCGTTGAAGGACCCCAGAGATCGCAAGATAGCCTTTGAGAAGTATGCGGTCGAGGTTCGCATGCAGGAAAAGGACCGGGCGAAAGAACGCTTCGCTAAGCTCAGGGCAGATTTCAATACCATGCTGAGACGGCATCCTGAGATCAAGCATTACAGCCGCTGGAAGACCATCCGCCCGATCATCGAAGGCGAGACGACGTTCCGGGCTACCAACGACGATCATGAGAGGCGGCAGCTGTTCGAAGAATACATCCTGGAACTCAAGAAGGAGCACGCGGAGCAGGAATCCGCCAAGCGCAAGGCGGCAGTGGAAGAGCTGACCACTATCCTGGGCTCGCTCAACCTCGAGCCTTACACGCGCTGGTCTGAGGCGCATGCAATCATCCAGTCCAATGACAGGGTGCAGGGGGATGATCTGTTCAAGGCTCTCACCAAGTGTGATATCTTGACTGCGTTTGAGAACCACATCAAGTCCCTGGAACGGACGTTCAACGAGGCCCGCCAGCAGCAGAAGACGGCCAAGGCAAGAAAGGAGCGTCATGCTCGTGAGCAATTCATCGAACTGTTGAAAGAGCTCCGGTCCCAGGGCAAGATCAAGGCTGGATGCAAGTGGATGAACATCTACCCTATCATCCATGAAGACTCCCGATATATCGGTATCCTCGGCAACTCTGGATCATCTCCCATGGACCTCTTCTGGGACATGGTCGAGGAGGAGGAACGGTCACTGCGTGGGCCTCGGAATGACGTCTTGGATGTTCTCGATGTGAGTAAACGGATTGATTCTACTGTTCTTGGACTTTACTGATCATATTTCCCAGGACAAACGCTACGAGGTCACTCCCAAGACCACCTTTGAGGAGTTCCACGAGATCGTTGCTGCAGACCGCCGCACAGCGAACATTGACCCCGAGATCCTCCATCTTCTGTTCCAGCGCATTCAAGAGAAGGCGGCTCGGAGAAGCGAGGAGGAAAAGCATGCCGCCGACCGGCACCAGCGACGCGCGATTGACGCCCTGCGTTCCCGGATCAAGAGGCTGGACCCGCCTGTCCGGTCTTCAGACACCTGGGAGACGGTGCGGCCCCGGGTCGAAAAATACGAGGAATACAAAGCCCTCGAAACCGACGAACTCCGGCAGACGGCCTTTGACAAGGTCCTCCGCCGTCTCCGGGAGAAGGACGAAGATGCCGATCGCGAGCGCGAGCGCGAGCCGCGTGACCGAGACCGCGGCAGCCGTCGGGACTACGATCGGGGCGACCGCGACCATCGCTCGCATCGCGGCGAACGACGGGGGCCACCGAGCCGCGTCAGCCGTACTCCGGAACCGGACGCGTACGAGGCAGACCGCCGCAAGGCCCAGGCGGATCGCGAACGATCCTACCGCAAAGTCAGCAATGCTCTGTCCCCAGTGCAAGAGAGGCGGGAGGATCGTGATCGCGATCGGGAACGCCACCGGGAGCGGGACCGTGAGCGCGAGCGCGACCGCGACTGGGATCGGGAGCGGAGCACCCGCTCTCTCAGCCACTACGACCGCGACCGCCGGGACCGGGAAGACGAGCGGGAGCGACTGTATCGCGCGCGCGCTGACCCGCGCGGCAGTCGGGACGAGCTCGACTACGGAGGCGACTCGCGCAGCACCGTCAGCAACGACCGGCGACGCCGGCGTGATAGTGACGCGGAGAGCGTGGCCAGCCGCTCCGCGAAACGCTATCGTCGTGACAGCCGCGAGCGCGAGCGCAGTCCGCGTCGGGAGCGGGAACGACGAGAGCGCACGCCGGCTGTTGACCAGGCACGGAAGGAAGAAAAGGCGGTGCATTCTGGTAGTGAGGAGGGGGAGATCGAGGAAGAATAGGTTGTAGTAGAGGGGGTTGTATTTCCTAGTTATCTACCTAGTAAAATGAAGGCATTTGATGTACACCGTCCTTGTATACTAAGCTATAGTGTATTGGCCTGGTTTGTCCAGTCGTTCTCTGTGGTTGAAATTCGAGGCACCGCTGCCAACTCCCGATTCTGATCATATATATCAAACTACCCCAAGAAACATATCCCACCCGCAATTCGAAGCCATACCGATTCCAACCAACCCTTTACTAGTCCATTCCCAGCGCATACCGACTTGACTGAATAGGATCGGTCCACAACCCTATCGACTGGTCCATCACTACCTTGGTCACACAGGATCAAGCCTTATGACATCGACCTTACTTTACGACCTTGACCGCATCATACTAGGGTTCGGAGAGAATAAAAGGGTCGTACGACAGGAATGTTGCAAAGGGTACTAGGCCCTTGCGTTTTCTTTGTGATTTCGATATAGTAAGGGCGTCAAGTGGCTGGTTTGAATACTGGCAGGGAAGGTAAGGTAGTATCAAAGGGGGGGGGGGGGGGGGAGCCCTGGTTATTGGTGTGGATGTGCCCTTACACACTGGATAGCCCTAACAGGATGTACATACTTACATATTTCTGCGTTCTAGTCCTGATCGTACTGCCACATCCACTCTCGTGTCCAGACTAACACCCACAGGATGGATCACAAAATCCCAGCCTGCTACGTCAAACGTCTGATGTTGAGGGCGTGGCCCTGCCATGATTATATGTATTTAGAAGTGTGAAAGGAGGGATAGTTCAAAAATATATATATTCTACGTTTGATCATATATTTATCTACTTTTTGTTGGATAAACTTTCTATAGATATATTTTGGCTATGGAGGTCATCTGGTGAGTGATATATCATGTAGTCTGGACATGAGGACTAAATAAGAAAAGGTCTGTTATATCAGGTAACTATTCCGATAACATCCTGGGATAGTTCGAGAAATGGACGAGCCAGGTTGTGGAATGCTGGAATGTGGAGACACCAAGATCTATACTGTCGATCAACCGCTTCTATCAACAGTGAATCCACCTCTATCAACAACAAATACACCTCTATCCATACACCACAGCAGTCAATTCACTGGAAAGGCATTGCCTAAGATTCCACATCGCACTAATGAGAATAGCATGATGGCGACATATCTTCCAACCCCTCAGTCCGTCTTCCCCTCACCCATCCAACAACACCCATCATGCCCCGTTACCGCACCGTCGCCGTGATTGGGACCGGTCCCTCGGGCATCTCAGCCCTCCGTGCCCTGCACGACGAGCAGGCCTTCGACACCATCCGCGCCTTTGACCGACGCGATGGACCCGGGGGAATGTGGAATTACGATCCCATCCCGCAGCCCTTCCCAGGGCCGGATCCTCCATCCTCGACTCCGCGTCCATCTCCGCCGGCCACTCTACCCGGGTATACCCCTCCGGCGCCTGAAGACGTCACCGTCCGTACGGCGCTCTACCCCTACCTGGACAGCAACGTCGGGGCGGACATCATGTCCTTCACTCACACGCCGCTCCCCAACGTCAACTCAGAGACATCAATCCAGCGATACGGCCCGGACAACCCCACTCGCCCGTGCACGGCGATCACCGCGTATCTCAAATCCCTAGCCCAGGAGTTCGTCGACACCCCGTCCCTCATCTCCTTCAACACGACCGTCGAAAGCGTCGACAAGAACCCCGACACAGGGAAATGGACGCTGACGCTGCGCCGCCCGGACCCAGCCAGCCAGCGCGACTACTGGTGGCAGGAGTCGTTCGACGCCGTCGTCGTCGCATCAGGCCACTACCACATTCCGTCCGTGCCAGCCATCCCCGGCCTCGACAGCGTCGCGCCCTCTACCCTCGAACATGTCAAGTCCTTCCGTAGCCCCGACCCCTACCGCGACCAGAAAGTGATCGTCGTCGGAGGGAACTACTCCGCCGCAGACCTCGTCATCGACCTCCACGACATCGTCCAGCACCCACTATACGTCTCCCGCCGCGGTAACACTGACATCTTCCCAGGCGTCTGGCACCTCCCAGGCGTAATCATCACTCCGCCCATCGCACGGGTCGAGCCCTCCTCCCCATCATCAAACTCGATAAACGTAACTTTCACAGACAACACAACCCTAGAAAACATCACCAAAATCATCTTCGCAACAGGCTACACCCTCTCCTACCCCTTCCTGCACCCAAACCCCGTAACCTCCCACAACCACCTCACAGGCTTCTACCAACACATCTTCCAAATAGGCGACCCCTCCCTAGCAATCATAGGCCAAGTACGGGGGTCCCTCCCGCTGCGCGTCTACGAGTACCAAGCAGTAGCAGTAGCGCGCTACTTCGCCAACCGGAACGCGGTATCTCTCCCGTCCGAGGAGGAGCAGCGCGCGTGGGAGAAGGAGAGATTGCGGAGGACGGGTGCGTCTGTGCTGTTCCATGAGCTTGGGGATGGCGTGGGGGCTTATTATGAGTTTTGTCGTGCGTTGGCGGGGCGGCCTGCGGTGGGGACTAAAGGGTATGAGTTACCTCGTTTTGGGGATGATTGGGTGAGGGTTGGGTTGGGGGTGTTGAGGGCGAAGAATGAGTTTTGGGGGGTGGTTGCGAGGGGTGGGTGAGTTTTTGTATATAGGTATGTTGGGTGTATGATTGAATGCTAGATGGCGTGCAGTTTGTTGATCTGCGGTGTTGCGATCTATGCGTGGAAGGAAGGAGATGTTGGCTTTTCGTTCTGGATGTTGCATAGTAGATGCGTGTAACTTGTTAGAGTGGGGATGGATGTCCTTACATCGGACCTAGCTGGGGATGGTATGTGAGCGTGTCGACAGGGGATAGAGTTCATGACATTGACTTCTTGCTTTGTGTGACGGGAACGAATACTCCATTGGTGTATGCTGAGAACAACGCACGGAGTACGATGTTCAAGAGGGACCACGAAATTCGAGGCAAGCTGTCCAAAGTTACGAATACCTTGTGCTATCCAGTCCTGCCAATGGGGCAGACAGTCCCTCGTCGGGTCTATAGATCGGTAAGATCACTGTGCCCAACGGGCCCGCTTAAAATAATCAGTCAACATTGGAGTAGATTGCAGTGATCTAGACAGGAAACTCAAACTAGACAGAACATGAGATAGAGATAGCAGCAAAATTTTCGAAAAAAAATAAACCACCATGCTGATTTGTCCCACTCCGTCATCGCTGACCGACATGATCGTCCACGGCCCCTCTATATCAGAAAGATTATCAGAACTTTTCCCAATTCAACCTTGGTATGATGACGCCGAAACCGTAGCCCATATATAAACCCATGCAACGAGATCCGGATCCGAGATCCGGATATCACGAAGACATCTGAAGAACAAAATACAAAATAACTCGACGGCGAGATGCGGGCTGTGCGTGCGAAGGGCGGTGGGGACGGTGACGACGTGGGGTTGAAGTAAAAGCTATGACTGGCATAAGGGGGCCTCGGCCGATTGTCCGGGCCAGAGTCGTTGTCATCCCCGTCGTCATCATCCTCCGACGCACCCTCCTCATCACCTACTAGGCCCCCGTCGTGGTGACGGCAGTGCCTTCCCGAAGACTTGGTAACGCCGAACAACGCCACGGAACGAGGGTTCCTCCGTCTCTCGCGACGCGGGATATGTCGCCAGTCGGAGTCGCGCTCACCACGCCAGTGATGATCGCGGTCATGCTTGTGAGGGACGCCCAATTCAACTCTCCTCCTCCAGGAAGTACTGCGGGGGCGAGAATTAGCACAGTCGGTGATTAGGGGGATTCTCGGTGTACTTACGTAGTTCCCGTTGAGCTTCTGTTCCTGGTCCATTTGACTCTGGTACTTGTTGATACGCGGGCGGTAGCTGTTGGGGTCACGGCGGAAAGTGACGTCCAGGTTCTTCAGGAACCGGTTGCAGCCAGTGACCAGAGACTCGGGAGTGTTCGCGCGGGCATCGAAGGAGGGCTTGCCATCGAACACGATGACGCGATCCGCCAGGTAGGTAGCCATGATGAAATCGTGTTCGACGATGAAAGCAGTCTTCTTGGCGTGCATGATGAATCGCTTGATGACACGCGCGGCCACGATACGCTGCTCGGAGTCGAGATAAGCGCTAGGCTCGTCGATCAGGTAGATGTCGGCCGGGATACCCAGAGCCAAGACGATGGCCACACGCTGCAATTCACCACCGGACAGGTTCTGGACCTCCTGGTCGATGAAATCGTCGATCTTTAGCGGCTTGTACACATCCGTCTGGAACTGCGGCGAGAGGAAAGCGGCCTTGATGCGCTTGAAGAACAGCTGACGGACCGTGCCCTGGAACTTGGGGGTGATCTTCTGGGGCTTCATGCTGATGTGCATGCGAGGCACGCTAACATCGCCGTCGGGCTTTTCAGCACCCGCAAGCATCCTACAGAAGGTCGTCTTGCCGGTTCCGTTCTCACCCATCATGACGACGATCTCCGAGTCCGTGAATTTACCCGATTCAACCTTCAAGTGGAAGCCGCCAAGGGTCTTCTCCATGGTGGGGTAGTAGAAAGCGCGGCCCCTATCGACAACATAGTCATCGCCAGTCTCCGCGAGACGGAAAGTCAGGGACTCGTCGCGGAACCGAAGGTTCTCCGTCGGGATGTGGCCATCCAGGAAGATGTTGATACCCTCACGGACAGAGGACGGCAAGGTCACGACACCGTAAACGGCAGGCTTGCCATAGAGCACGCAAACGAAATCGGACAAGTAGTCCAACACGGACAAATCGTGCTCGACGACGATGACATAGTCGTCGGGGCGCAGGAGTTCACGGATCGTGCGGGCAGCAGCCAAACGTTGCTTCACATCGAGGTAAGAGGACGGCTCGTCAAACATGTAGCTGTAGTCTATGAGTATCCGCTGAAATGCCCCGTGAGGACGAAGAAAAGGGTGGTTGCTTACACATCGGCCTGCTGGACACAGACCAGTCCAATGGCGAATCTCTGCAACTCTCCACCCGAGAGGTTCTCAATGTCACGGCCCTCGACCTGGCGAAGCTCTGCGCATATATTAGCACGACAGTAAGAAAGGAGGGTCCGGTTGACCTACCAAGAACGTCCAGGATGTGATCCAAGTTGTCCATCTGCGCACGAGCTTTGATAAGCGCTCCCACTTGCCGAACTGGGCCCTTCACTGCCCTCGGGATCTGGTCGACATATTGGGGCTTCACGACCGCCTTCAAGTTATCCTCCAGGATCTTGGTGAAATAGTCTAACCCAATTAGCGATCACGACACGCTTAATTTTGCAATTCCGCGGGGAAATACATACTCTGCAGCTCGGAGCCACGGAAGTACTTGAGGATTTCCTCCCAGTCCGGCGGGTTGTCATAGCGTCCCAAGTTGGGCTTGAGCTTGCCGCTCAGGACCTTCAACGCCGTACTCTTTCCGATACCGTTTGTTCCGACGAGACCAAGGACCTGTCCGGGGCGGGGCATAGGAAGACGGTGAAGCTTGAAGCTGTTGGCGGAGTAACGGTGGGTGACCTCGCTTTCCAGGTTGGTGGGCAAGTTGATGATATGGATCGCACCAAACGGACATTTCTTAGGACAGATACCGCAACCGATACAGAGGCGCTCGGAGATGAAGGCGATTTTCGATTCGGGGGAGACTTCGATACACAGCTTACCCGTGCGGACGACGGGGCACGACTTCTTACACTCCTGACGACATTTCTGCAGGGATGATATTAACAGACGTTTCCACGCGAAACCGAAGAGACAGAATTCCATACCTTGGGTTTGCACTATGGGACCAAAGAAAATCCTTGTGAGCAAATGAAGTGAAGGTCGATCGCGAACCGCGACCTGTAAGCGGGGTACACAAAACTCACCTTGTCACTGTTGACAATGGCAATACTGTGAAAATATTAGTCAAGGACCGATCCTGGGGGTCAATTTAAGGGACTCCATCAGACATACCGAGTGAGCTTATCAGACATGGTGCCGGTGTATTAAGATGAATCCACGCGCGGAAGAACAAGTAGACTTCAATGTTATACAAGAACGACGGAAGCACTCTTTGATGAGACCTCAACCGGATCAAATAGACGACACCACGGCAGTTGTAAAACTGGCGAAAAAGAAAATGAGTTCAGCCCCGAGTCTGCGCAGAGAGGTTGCCACCGGGTGAGGAGCAAGAAGCGATGGAGACGATAGGCTTTGAGGGGAGCGTCGCGAAGAAGAGTGAGGGGCGCTCGAGGGAAAACTATGTCGGGCATTGTGGGCAACGCCGATCGCCTCAGGCACCCAGCCGGCCTCGAATTATTTCTGGCCCCGCTGATTGGTCCACCACGTCACCACCAGATCTGTCCGGAAAAACCATTCTGCCGCACTTAATGGCACGTGACTCTGAAATAGACTAACCTGATCGGGCCTCGCTTGTCGGATACGCTAGCCCCAAGCAGGCCTAGCGTAGAACAGTGCAGCCTGAAGTCTCAGGCTGACAGCCAGTCCCTTCACGGGGCGGTTCGCTCTCCCTCCAAGCCGACGTGCAACTCATCCGACTCTTTCTCCCTCCATCATCCCCATCGCTCCTCTTTGCCCTCCTCCTCCACCTCCATCTTGTACTTTTTCTCTTCCCCCCCCCCCACCCCCACACTTTCTTTTTTTATTTCTTTTCCACCATTAAATTGCTCGGTTCCCCTATTTCGGGGTCACCAAGCTATGGACTGTGAGTTTTTTCTTGGCTTTTACTGCTCTTCTCCAAACGTGTCCCGGGTGTTCGCCGCTGGGGTACTTCTCCACGGTATCGACCCACCGAAGAACCCCGATGAATCCTTGGTATAGATCGGTTCAAGGGGCTTTTTGGTCTCTTTTGATCCGGATCGATGCGTCTGATTCATCTGGGCTTGGTTTAGGGGCCAGATGGTCCTCTGACGTTGCCATCTCTTGACCATCATCCTCCGTCGCGTTTCATCACATCTGCCATCAAAAATCATGCCCATACATCATACCTCATCTTCTACCTTGTTCACTCATCCGATTAGCTTCTAAATCCTGAAAACTGCGTCGCGTATCATCATTTGATCATGCCATGTGCTTTTCATTGCCCCCCAAGCTTGTTTCGAGCTTCAATGCTGACGTCTTTCATCATCAATAGCAGCTAGCATGGTGATCCCATCTACCTCCGAACCCTCGGCGGCCATGCCGGTCACAAATGGTTATCCTGCCTCCCATACACCCGATGATCACAGCGACGAGCTAGAGCAAGCGGCTAGCGACAGTGCGAGCAACGCGTCAGACTCCGATGACAATCACGCCGCATCTGATTCCCCCTCGGATGCAGATGGCGCCGACGAATCCTTTGATGCGGGTTCGCCGGATGCAGAGGGTGAAGAGGATGACTCTGCGATGGAGGATGATGCGAATGCGAACAGCCCGTCCAATGCTGAAAATTCTTCCTCGTCGGAATCACACCGGGGGACGAAGCGCAAGTCGTCGCCCGTCAACGAGTCAGACTACATCAGACAAAACCCAGACTTATATGGGCTTCGTCGGAGTGGTCGAGCTCGCCTGACACGTCAACCCGCCGCCAGCCTCTCCGATTCCGACTCCGATGCCGTGGCACCCCGCGCTAAACGTCGACGCCCTGCGCCCTCGCAACAGCCCTCCAAGCGCACCTCCCGCTCGGCCACCCAGTCGTCGTTCTCCGAAGAGTCGGACAGTGACGAATATGGCGGTAGTCGTGCTCGCACCAGCAAAGCTAAACGACGTCGACAGCTGCAATCAGCCACGAGTGCTCCGTCTCACGCCGAGGTTCGTTTCTCGACGAGAAACGCGAGTAGGGTCTCGAATTACAACGAGGATGATGAGGACGATTCCATGTTTGAAGATGACCCGGATGACCTCCCCCAAAGTTACTGGGTCAACCCCGTGGAGGATGATCGTCCGGCCGTGGATATCGTCCTCAATCACCGCCTCAAGGAGGGCGAGGACTTGAGTAATCTGAACCTTGACCGTCACGACTTCGAGTATTGTATCAAATGGCAAGGCAAGTCCCACTATCACGCGACGTGGGAGACCACCGAGACCCTCGCCAACTGCCGGAGCACCCGTCGTCTTGACAACTACGTCCGGAAGGTCTTGTATGAAGACCTCCGCCTGAAGCAGAACCCAGATGTCCCCCCCGAGGATCGAGAAAAGTGGAATCTCGATCGCGAGAGAGACGTAGAAGCGATTGAAGATTACAAACAAGTCGAACGCGTCATCGGTGTGCGTGAAGGCGACGAGGGCTCCGAATACCTCGTGAAATGGAAACGACTCTTTTATGACTCTTGTACCTGGGAGGACGAACAGCTTGTCAGTAAAATCGCCCAACGAGAGATAGACCGCTATTTAGACCGTTCCTCACGCCCACCCATCTCGGACCGGATGGAGATCAACCCGTCCACACGCAAACCATTTGAGACCATCAAGGGCACCCCGGACTTTTTGCAAAACGGCGAGTTGAAGGAATTTCAGGTCAAGGGTGTTAACTTCATGGCCTTCAATTGGGTCAAGAACCGCAACGTTGTCTTGGCCGACGAGATGGGACTGGGGAAAACCGTGCAGACCGTTGCCTTTATCAACTGGCTACGCCACATCAGGAATCAGCAAGGGCCGTTCGTCGTGGTCGTCCCGCTTTCCACCATGCCGTCGTGGGCGGAAACCTTCGACCATTGGACCCCTGACTTGAACTATGTCGTCTACAACGGTAACGAGGCCGCTCGCAACGTCTTGAAGGAGCACGAGCTCATGGTCGATGGCAACCCCAAACGACCCAAGTTCAACGTCTTACTCACGACCTACGAGTACATCCTGCTCGACTCACCCTTCCTAAGTCAGTTCAAGTGGCAGTTCATGGCCATTGACGAAGCTCATCGACTGAAGAACCGGGATTCTCAGCTGTACATAAAGCTTCTCGAGTTCCGGGCCCCCGCACGTCTCCTCATCACTGGCACCCCCATCCAGAACAACCTGGCTGAACTCTCTGCCCTGTTGGACTTCTTGAACCCTGGCATGGTCGATGTCGACGTCGACATGGACTTGAATTCCGACCAGGCATCTGAAAAATTGGCCCAACTCACCCAAGCCATTCAGCCATTCATGCTGCGCCGAACCAAGTCGAAGGTGGAATCTGATCTCCCGCCCAAGGTCGAGAAAATCATCCGCGTAGAACTCTCCGACGTTCAATTGGAGTACTACAAAAATATTCTGACCAAGAATTATGCCGCTTTGAATGATGGCGCCAGAGGACAGAAGCAGTCCTTGCTAAATATCATGATGGAGCTGAAGAAGGCCAGCAACCACCCGTTCATGTTCCCCAATGCCGAGGCCCGGATATTGGAAGGCAGTACTCGCCGAGAGGATGTCCTTCGGGCCATGATCACCAGCAGTGGCAAGATGATGCTCCTCGACCAGCTTCTCACCAAGCTCAAAACCGATGGTCACCGTGTTTTGATCTTCAGTCAGATGGTCAAGATGCTGGATATCCTGGGAGATTACATGGAGTTCCGTGGCTATTCCTATCAGCGCCTTGATGGCACCATTCCCGCGGCATCTCGCCGCCTGGCCATTGAACATTACAACGCTCCCAATAGCAGTGACTTTGCCTTTATCCTGTCCACGCGAGCCGGTGGTCTGGGGATCAATCTGATGACCGCAGACACCGTTGTTCTTTTCGACTCCGATTGGAACCCACAGGCCGATCTCCAAGCCATGGCCAGAGCCCACCGTATAGGTCAGACGAGGCCAGTCAGCGTGTACCGATTAGTCTCCAAGGATACGGTAGAGGAAGAAGTGATCGAGCGAGCGCGGAATAAACTTCTACTCGAGTTCATCACGATCCAGCGTGGTGTCACCGACAAAGAAGCCTCCGAGATCCAGAACAAGATGACTCGCGGTGGTAAAACCATGGGCGAACCGAACTCCACAGATGATATCTCTCGCATCCTCAAGCGTCGTGGTCAGAGAATGTTCGAACAGACCGGAAACCAAGAAAAGCTGGAGCAGCTCGATATCGACTCTGTACTGGCAAATGCCGAACTGCACCAGACGGAACAGGCAGAGGAAATTCAGGCCGACGGTGGCGAAGAGTTCCTTAAGGCGTTTGAATATGTCGATATCAAAGTGGATGACCTCTCGTGGGATGACATCATCCCTAAAGAACAACTGGAGGTGATCAAGGCCCAGGAAAAGAAGAAAGAGGATGAACGTTACTTGGCCGAAGTTATCGAGCAAAACCGGCCGCGCAAGCGTAATACTCCTTCAGACGAGAGGGATTCACGCGAAGAACGGAAAGCCAAGAGACGAGCAAGAGCCCAAGTCAGCATTGATAATGGGGATGAATCAGACTCGAACGTCCAGGCGGATCCGAAACGGCCGCTTATAGAGAAGGAATATCGCCATCTACTTCGGGCTTTCTTGCGTTACGGGGATATAGTAGACCGGGAGGAGGACGTCGTTCGCGAGGCTCGTCTACTGGACCGTGACAGGGAAACTGTCAAAACGGCTCTTCATGAAATAACCGACAAAGCAGAGAGCCTAGTGCGAGAGGATGTTCAGAAGTTAGAAGCGCTTGAGCAATCCGGAAAAGTGCCCACAAAGAAGGAAAAGAAAGCCGTGCTGTTCGATCTCCGTGGTGTCAAGCGCCTTAATGCTTACACCATCGTTGAACGCCCGGCTGAGATGCGTATTCTGAGGGAAGCGATGGCCGCAGTTGATGATATTAAGAACTTCCGCGTCCCCGAAGCGACCAAGGCTGCCGATTATTCTTGCCCATGGGGCGCGCGAGAGGATGGGATGCTCTGTGTCGGTATCGCACGACATGGTTATGGTGCTTGGACCCAGATACGCGATGATCCGGACCTTGGCCTCGGAGACAAGTTCTTCCTCGAGGAGCATCGGGTGGAGAGAAAGAACGAGCGTCTGAACAAAGACGATAAGACCACCAAGTCACCGGGGGCTGTGCATCTCGTTCGCCGAGCCGACTATCTGCTTTCAGTTCTGAAGGACAAGGTAACGAACGGGTCGAGCGTCACCGCCAAGAGGGCAGTCGAAAACCATCATCGCAACAACCGCAAGGGATCCCGTCAGAACGCCAGCGCCAGCGTTTCCGCCTCTCCTGCCCCTTCGCTTTCTCGCAAAGGTCATCGCGATATCGACCGGCCGAGGCACCGTTCTCACACCCACGGTTCACGGGATAGCGTCGAACGGCATCACACTCCCGGTCACGACCGTCCAAGGTCCACACATGATAGTGACCGGCCCCGCTACCGGACGTCTGATGTTTCGACTGAGGAGAACCGTCGTCGGAAGAACAGTGAGAATGGCCATTCTGCGGGTAAGGAGGACATGTCTCGGCTGTTCTTCAAGCCCATCCGTGACGATCTCAAGCGGGTCTCGGGTGTTACCAAGGAAAATATCCCGAATAAAGCTGAACGCGCTTCTGAACTTCGGCGTCTGCTTCGACTAATCGGCGACTTCATTGATCGCACCCTCCAGGGAGAAGGGTCTCTGACCTCCCTGGAAACACGTTTATGGTTCGTCTCTTTGACATGGATTTGACTCGGGACCCCCGACTAACTTTCTGAATAGGCACTACGTTGCAGAGCACTACTGGCCCAACAAGGAAGCCGCAGGAACCAAACTTCACGAAATGTACAAAAAGCTCATGGCAGCCACAAATGCCGCTTCCAACAGGAAGTAAGCGCAGTGCGCAGGAGCCAGCTGGAGAAAAAAGCGCCGACGATTCTCTTTCGTGGGGGAGGTGCTTCAACATCCTTTTTTCATTCCATTTCTTTTCCTATTTTTTTTTTTTTTCTCTTCTGTCAATTTTATTCGAGGTAAATATGCATCATTGGGTAAGCATGGCGACGGCGTCTGGTATGATCTACGAAGGAGTCTTCCAAAACACGAGTGTGGATTTGACATGATGTTTTGCATGACAGTGTTTTAGCTTTCATGTTTTTTTGCCCCGCGGCGATTTGTCCCCCTACTTACTTATTGGAGCGATGGGCATTTTTGGTTCTTCACATACATCTCTGTTCACACATCCACACATCCACACATCCACACATACACATATACACACATACACGCTCACTCACACACTCACACACACCCACACACATGTGCGCGCACATATCATGGTACCTCCTCTCACGAGTGATCGGGCCCAGGTATGTGCAGCTGTGCTGTGTGTGCTGTGCTGTGCTGTGCTGTGCTGTGTCGTGTTGTGCCGTGCTGTGTCATGTCGTGTTGTGTTGTGTTATGTTTTCCTTTACTTCACCATGCTTGTCTTCTTAGTTCCTTAATCCATGTACCCCGGGACCCCCTTAACTGGCGACGGGCCCGGCGGTTGTATTTCTCTCTATTACCTATCTATCTACCCCTTCATGTATGTTACTATTACCACTACAACTACTACTGATGATGATGGACGTGTGGCCCCCGGGTTTGGTTCGCCATTCTCCAGGGTAGGGTAAACGTCCGTCCCTACACTGCTAGACCAGGGTCTCAACTTCATTCATGGAATGGAATAATGGATGGTTATGATTTCATTTTTTGGTCTCTTGTATTCGGTTGAATTGGAAGTTAGGATGTAGGATGTAGTATGTAGTGTATCACTGTATCTGAGCTCAAGAAAAAGAAAGGTGCCCAAGGCAAAATCTAATGGAGGGCAAAGGTGAAATGATTTGTATGAGTCCTTCCATAATACAACGCAATTTTTACCCTATCCTATCCTATCCTATCCTATCCCATATAATATAATAGTAAAAATAAATATGAAAAGCTAGACCTGGAATACAAAACGAAAAAGTGAAAATGAAGAATGAAAAGAAGAGCCTAACTCCGAAAGCAAAGGGCTAAAAAGGAAGAAGAAAAGGCAAACGAATCTCGCGAATGGATCCATCCTAGATCGTGGAGATTAAAAGGTTGATAAGGTTGGTTATGTAAAGTAAAGAGACAAGAGGAGAAGAGGGAAGGGAAGGAAGGGAAGGGAATTGAGGCTGGTCTGAGAGGTTGTGGAATATAAGATAGGAGGGGAAAAGAAAGAAAAGAAAGCCAACGAAGCAAACGACATCATGGTATAATCAATAATTTTTTTTCAGGCAGCGACTGGTTCCGATTCCAGGTTTGGTTTCACATCTGTGTGACCCTGGTCTTCTTCGTCGTCTTCATCGGAGTCGTCTTCATCGGAGTCGGAGGAGGAGTCATGCCGTTGTTGTTGTTGCTGCTGTTGTTGCTCTTGGTCTCGCTGTTGTTGCTCCTGTTGCAGTTGTTGCTGCTGATGCTCCGCTGAAGACTTCTCTATCCCATTCGCGGCTGTACTACCCCCCACCGCCGGGGTAACAGGTACGCCCTCGTTAGCGACGAGGGCGCTGAAGAGCCTCAGCTGGGCATCGATCACATCATCGAAGATAGCTTCCTTCTCGAGCCACGCTTGCTTCCGCTTTGGTCGAATCTTCTCCCACTCGCTGCGCAGTTCCACGCCCTCCTTCTCAGCCCAGTGAATCTGCCGACGGAGGAGTCGGTATAGGTCACGCGGTGGCAGCTGCAGCTCGTGGTCATCGAAGCCCGACTCGCGGCTGAACTCGGGCAGCTCGAATTCGTCGAGATCGTCCCCGGCCGCCGTGTGGGGGTGGTGGTCTTCGGGGGCGCTCTCGCTGAACCGCTCGGGTTCGTCCCGCGGCGGATGCGACAACTTCAGCTTGATGCGCTGCACTTTGCTGGCGGGGGTGCTGGTGGGCGTGCCGACGGCGGAGAGCGGCGCGCTGTGGTATTTGGAGACGGGGTCGGAGGGCCGGAGGGCTTCGGTTTCGTGGACTGTGCGCATGTGTTTGGCTAGGGCGTCGGAGCGGGTGAAGCTGCGATCACATTCTTGGGTGTGTGAGTAGAGTAAACTAAATTTGACCAAGGACAAAGGGATTGGAATGGATGGGACGAATGATAGGATGAATTCTCACCTGGAAGGGCACAGTAAAAAGGCTTCTCGCGGGTGTGACTCCTCATGTGCGCGCGTAGGGCGTATCCGCTCGCATGCGACTGGCCCTTTCGAGAGCAATCGGACCACTCGCAGGAGTAGCGTTTCTGCCGGCTGCCGACGTGATCGTTGTGGATGTGCTCGACGAGAGCGTCCATGTTGCCCAGGTCGCCGACGTCGCAACCTTCCCATCGGCACACGGTCACCTGGTCGTTTCCCAGTCCACTGTAGTCGTCATCCTGGCTACCGCCGATGAGGGCCAGCGTGCTGGGGGAGTTGGGGAGTTCGCCCGAGGTGTCCGAGGAGATGGAGGTGGAGGGCGACGCGGGCGGCTGTTCTTCCTGGAAGGAGGTCGACACTGGGGTGTTGCGATCCCAGGATGCGACGCCGGTGCGACGGCGCTTGGATGGAGGCATGTTGGCTGTTGATGGCGAGAAGCCTTGCTTTAGATCCTCGCGGTCCGACAGGTCATCGGAGGCGATCGATGAGAGGGGAGAACCGGGGGAGTCCGCCATTTGGACGGTGGAAGAAAATATGGGGAATGTAGAATGAAAGGGTCGTCAATTGGGAGTGACAGGAAGGGATAGGATGGTCGAGACAAGGGATGGGAGAGATGATAATCCAGATGGAAATGAAGTTGGTCCGATCTGCGGTATCCTTGGGGAGCTTCGAGTATACGGGGTGGGTAGCGGGCACGTGATGAGGCTATTGATCAAAATCTCATCCGCATTTTTTTTCCTTTTTCTTTCCTATTTCTCTTCCTTCCATTCCTCACAATTGGAAAATATCTTACTCGATGTCTTATTATTCAACCAACTAACTACAGGGTAAGTCGATTATGCTATGATGCTCTTTCCTACATGATGATTTTCTTTTTAAGAATTCTGCAATGCTGACAGTCTCCTTTATTGTGAGACTGCATGTGGACCTCTCTACACTTGATCTGATCACTTTCATTCATTGTCACAAATCTGCTTTGTTATACTTGATCCAGTATACTGACAGTTACAGTCTTATAGGTACACTACGCATCATTTTTTACTTTACCCACTTTCTGCCCAGCGGCCAGAATGTTAGATAGACTGGTTCCAATATAATGCTCAATTATTATTTCGGATTTATCTATTACTTCTTTTTCTTTTTCTTTTCTGTCTCTGCAGTATCACTCATCCCTGATATATCTTGAACCAAGGGATGGCATATGCAATGAGTGTTTATGCTCGTAGATGAGACGACAGTCATAATTCCACGTAGTATACAATATAATAGTCATATGTGCGGATGGGCGATGTGACTTGACTAGTGGCCTAGCCATTGAATATCTCCTCGGTTCATGGAGTTTATTCCTCTGTTAGGATAGCCGGGCTTGTGACTAGAAGATTTCAGTGCGTTGCAAATAAACATATGTCGAGAGCGGAATTATTATTGGTGTTTATCATGGTCTCTACAGACCGTAATATACAATCGAATCAAACAAAAAAACAGCATAGTAGAAGAAGAGATTCCCATGCCCTCATAACTTTCAAGAGCCGAACAAGTCAATCTTCCAGCCAGCCTCTAGGGATACCGAGATCCCACCACCTCATGTCGCTGCAGAATCTCCTCAAGCTCAGCCATATCGGCATCAGACAGGCGAGGCGCCTGTAAGTTCTGCCTGACCTTATCACTGGTGGTACCACCAGGGATGGGAATGATAGTCGGCATGCCAGGCCTACCATTAAGGCTAAGCACCCAAGCGAGGGCGATCTGAATCGCGGCGAAGCCCTTACGCTCAGCGAGACTCTGAACCTCGTTCACGAGCTTGATGTTCTGCTCCATGGCTTCGTCCTGGAAGCGGGGCAGCCAGCGCCGGAAATCGCCCTCGGGGAGGGTGGAGGCGTTGGTGAACGCGCCGGAGAACACGCCGCGGCCGAGGGGGGAGTATGCCACGATGGGGATGTCGAGCTCGGCGCAGACTTTGATGACGTCGTTGTCGAAGGTGTGGGTGTCCCATAGGGACAGCTCGACCTCAACGGCTGCGATGGGGTGGACCTTGACTCTGTTGGAGTTAGATTTCTTATTTCCTAAAGGTAGTGGGGTAGAGAACGCGGAAAAGGTTGCAGAATATGTAGAACATACGCGCGCCGAATAGTCGCCCCATCAACCTCACTCAAGCCAATCCCTCCAATCTTCCCCTCCTTGACAAGCTGCGCCAGAATGGTGACCGTCTGCTCGACCGTCGTGTTGGGGTCCTGGCGCGCGCACTCGAAGATATCAATGGATTTCTTCCCGTCCAGCAAACGGAGACTCTCGTCGACGCTGCGGCGGATGTTGGCCTCGGAGCCATCGGGGACGAGCGCGTTGGGTTTTAGTCCTCCCTTGATGCTCAGGACCACCTGACTGGCCTTTTCAGGGTACTGGGTGAAGTACTTGTTGAGCAGGTGCAGGGAGTTGTAGTCGGAGGTGCCGTAGAGCTCGCCGCCGTTCCAGAAGTTGGAGCCCAGCTCGAGAGCGGTGTTAAGGGTTTCGAAGCATTGCTCTGTTGAGGGAGGTTGCGGGACCCATGTCATTCCTTGAGAGGATGGTTAGCACACAAGACTGGATTTAGTGTCGTTGAGGTTATGTGGAAGGGCATACTCATGAGGCCATAGCCAGTGTGGCCGACTTCTTTTCCAACGATTGAAGGCATTGTGTGGCAGATTCGAAGTGTCTGTGTGACGCTTTACTGTTGGTATAGTCCAGTGATGGGAATAGAATGTAATTGAGTGGGGTTGTTGATTGTTGGAGAGAAATTTGGATAGCGGGAGTTAGCGATCTATTTAACTTGACCCTCCAACGCTATAATTGCTACAATTCCGGGTTTAACAAATAATCTCCATCAACCCCGGATTCTGACAACGGCTGACCGATCGTAATGGAATTGTTGCCTGGTGGACCTATTCTGGTCTGGCCATGAGGAGGGATTTGATATCCAGTTTGAGGGATTGAGAGGAAAACATGGAAATAGTTAGCGAGGACCGAGACGGACTTAACACTAAACTATCCCCGGATCTACGTCATTGATAAGCAGAATCACAATAGCAATATCAATATCAATAACAGTAAGGTAACAAACAACAACAACAATACAATGGCATCGTTAACCAATAATTCATAATCACCACAGCTTTCCATCGAACTCCCCAGAATCAAGCCACCCCCTCTCCCCATTCCCATCTCTAATCCTGACATGAATCCCACCACCCGCCTACAGAGTCACCTCATCACTGCTATGCATCGCCTGTCCTAACTTACTCGACAGCATATCGACCATAGCACCTACAAACTGTCCCGGCTTCTCAGTCGGGTCCGGTATGTCACTGTGCTCCCCCTTGTGCATGGTATTCGGCAGCGCGGATTTATTATCCTGGTGCGAGGTTATGATCGGCTGGGTGATGTTGCTGCCGTCGATCACGTCCGGGTCGTTGTTCTTTTGCTTCCAGTTTTCCAGCCTGTTAAGACGGGCGAGGCCGTCAAGGCCGGCTTTTGTGAAGATACTTCCGAGGAGATCTCCTGTGCCGGGGATCATGCGCTGTTAAATGGCTTGGTGATTAGCAGAGTTCTTTTCCTTTTCTTTCCCTTCTTTATCCGGAAGATAGATTATCTTCTTCCCTTGGTTCATAGGGTATAACCATACCGGATCGGGTGATCGTGCATCCAGCGACCGCAAGCCTTCCCTCGCTACCGAAGCAATAGGACGAGTCTCGCTCAGCAGCGACAACGCCAGGAAAGCAACGAGACAGACGCAGAGACGAGACACAGCCTTGGTGATCCTCGCCATGGTGACAGGAGTAGTCCACAGTAGGGCTGATGATCTGGGGAACAACGGTCTATGAAAGCTGTCGTAAGCTAGTGTAGACGTAGGGCAGAGGTAGATCGCTTTGGAAAAAGGGATTGAAGAAGAGCAGCGGGACCCCGTCGAGCCAGGCTGTCGAATGCTACATATATGTGGTAGAAGGGGGCGTCATTCTCCCTGGTTGATACCCGCCATTCCTGCGCGTACTTGGTCTCCGTGTGGAATGGAATTGGCGGGCGAGATAATCGCTTGGCATGAATTCCATATTTTCTCGTCTCGGGTCTTGTTTAGGGGTTTCTAGGGTTGGTTTTAAGCTCTCGGTTGTGGGTGGTATTCTCTGCTAGGATATGCAGGTACCCAAGCCACCAATCCGAGCGCAATGAACACCCGGCGGTCTCTGTCTTCAGCTACTTATAACAATGCTCTTTAAGTATAAGAAAGACAACAGTGGAGCATTTGCAGCTCAATTCCTCACCCAGATCTCTGGCGATAGTTGGTGCTCCAAGGGAAGAAAGGGATGGACGGCCAGAGCAAGGAGAGAATTCACATTCCAGTTTCCAGGACCAAGCACTACCACACTCCGTTACTTATATGAATCATTGAACAACTCATGAGAATGCATCGACTTCTCCGAGGACACCAGATGGGTCTCGCGTTGTATCGTTTACCAGAAATCACTCGTCGTGCATATGGACAGTCAGACTTGTCTATCTCGCTAGCTATCCTAACTTCCTAGATACTCGACATGACTGCCTTTCAATTGGTTTTTTTCTTTTCGCGTCTCTCATACTATCTTCTTGAATGGTCCCCTTCTTTCATTCCAAGATTGCTACATACATACCTTCAGTATTTCTTTCTTTCTTGAAGAACTTGAGCATCCCAGCCACAAATGTAGCATCTTATCTCAACAAATAACATAGCAAGTAGACCCAAAATATAGCGAAACCAAAAAAGAAGCTTGATATTCTCAGGTCAACACAACTAATACAAACAAGGGATGCGAAAGCTATCCCGCGTTGCTATCTATACATGCATACAGTATAGCATAGGTAGCAGCGAGTTTCGAATGAACCACCAAGACATTAATAGAATCAAGTCTATCTTTAAATCATCCGAGTGTCTTATCAAGATATCAAACCTGGGCATCCGGATCCTGGATTGTACCGAGTAAGCTACATGATTTCCCAATGGAGAATACAGTGGTGTGTAGTTTGAAGGTACGGTACTTTGGGCAAAGCATAGCCATTGATAAGGGCATTCTTTTACGTGGCGTCCAGAGCACGGGTATCACAATTATATTCCCTCGACAAAAGCACAAACAATGATGCAATAGCCCAACAGCCCAAGCATACAGGGAGGTCTAGACGCGAGGCAATGGAAAAAGGGCGGTCACTTTTGAAGTATACAAGAGGAAAAGTCAGACTGGTAAGCACAGACTAACGGATAGGATTGGAAGAAAAAGAAAAACTGGAAGCACGAGATCAAAATAACAAGGATGGTTTCTATATGGAAGTAGGTATACTTGATGTTAATGCTGACAGCAGTGACAGTGTTGATTGATATCGGGTGGTCATGCCGACATCGGCACTAACACCCCGCGTCCACCCACTCCATGACCCGAGGCAATCCACAGATCCCCCGACCCGAATGAAGTCACTACACAAACAACTCCTCCCAGAAACATATCACAAGACACCAATCCTTCCTCATATCACACTTACTACCACTCAATTCACCATGTCCTCCAACCCCACAACCGCCGAGCTCTACGAGCAAGGTCTCCAAACCCGCCGCGCCGTCGTCGGCGAAGCCCACGTCGAGCGCTCCCTCTCCAGCGCAAACGCCTTCACACGACCGATGCAAGACCTGGTCACCGAATTCGCCTGGGGCAATGTCTGGAACCGCCCGGGCCTCGATCGCAAACAGCGCAGTCTGATCAACATCGGCATGCTGACGGCGCTGAACCGCTCGCTCGAGCTGGGTGTGCATGTGCGCGGGGCCGTCAACAACGGGCTCAGCGAGCTGGAGATCCGCGAGGCTATTATCCACGCTACGGTTTACTGCGGGGCGCCTGCGGGGATGGAGGCTATGCGGACGGCGGACCGGGTGCTGGCTGATATGGAGGAGAAGGGGGAGATGGTGAGGGAGTTGAAATGATCCCTCTCTCTCTCTCTCTCCAGTTTGGCCATATTTTGGGTATCTGTATAATTTCTTTTTCTGTCATTTAGCCAATCTCGGTGCGAGCGGGTTGATGGTGCCTTGGTTTATTGTGTCTTTTGCTGCGGGAGTGAGACTGCTGACTCCAATTTGATGGAGACGGGCATGGGTGGACAATCGCCGAAATGAATTGTACATAATTGACTCTCGAGTCTCTGTTCGACGAGCCGGAGCTGGACGGGGGGGGGGATTCTGTACAACCGTGCGGTAATGTTGATGCCTGATCAGAGCTGTTTATCGGATTGCAATTGACGTGCCCAACTTCCGGTATAGATAGAGACATCTTGTTATGCACATTCTTCGGAATGGGATTGCTTTTGAGCTGATCTTGTTAGGCGCATCGCGCATTGGACTGCTGTCGCGGCCCAGTAGGACATAGCATTGTCAAAAGACATGCCATTGTCAAGGGGAAAAAAAAGAAAAGGAAGACAAATATGGAAACAAAAAAGAAAAAGAGGAGAAAGAGAGAAAGAGACCCAAGAAAAAGAAAGAAAAGGAAAGCTACTCGCTCTAATTAAAACAGCCCGTCCGCATTGCGACCAGACCGGCCCGGGCAGTCAGACGAAGACGTAGAACCTCCCGGTCTTTCGGTGCCCGTCAAACACATTGGCCAGCGTGACGAATTCCACGCATCCATACTATATCACGGATCTTACCTGACTCGAGTGAAGTCTCCCACTTGATGTTAGGAAAGTTTAGGATCTCGCGCTAATACGATTCTCATCCTGATCCGCGAGAGTTATCAATCTACTGGATAGAGATGCAGTGATGAAGCAGGAACTGGCACTATCGATCTGCAGACGAGGGGATTTCCATTTCAACCACGAGACGCCAACCGGGTGGACAATATCCACATTCCACAATTAGTTCTGCACAAGAAGCTTCAAAAAGTCTCCGAGAATTCCAGACCGTCCTAGAGAAGCAGATAAGGATACAATAAAACAAATGTATAACTAATTAATGAATGGACGGGCAAGGATGATGGGTCATGTATGATACCGTGGTAAAACAGGTTAGATTACCGGAGATAACGCACCTCAAGATGCCGAGTACCTGGTTTGGTTTGGTTACCTGACGGGTAAGACGGATGGCGGACGGGTCTTTTTCCTCGGGTTGGCTCTACCAAAGCCCTAACTACCGGACAAGGTTTCGGACCCTGAAGATCGCGACGGTGGTTTCATTGGACTCACGGGTTGACCGAATGTGGCCGGCATCTTATTCAGCCGGATCTCTCTTTTGTGCTGTGGAGTAGAGTGTTCTCATTACCAGACTCCGGTCAAGAGAGGTACCCCAATTCTTTCGAGGGCTCATGGGGAGACTGTCTGGCAGGATAGCAAATAGTCATCAGCCGTCGAGGCTGAACCCATACTAATGCTAGTAGGCTCCATGCCCGCCTGGAGTCTGGACCCTTCCCACCCTGCCCGTGCGGAGGTTTCAGGGCCATGGCGCAGGGTTCCCAAGCACTCCAAGACCGAAAATTGGTTCTACCGCCGGTGACTGGAGAACGAACTCTCCGGTGGCTTTTCTGTTCTTTTCTTTCGTTTTCTGTTTTCTTTTTCTTTTTCTTTTCCCTTCCCTTCCCCTTCGGATTACAAGATTACAAACCTCGCCACCAAGTCCGTGGTGCTTACTCCTGTATCAAACTAGTATAGCTATAAACCAGCCAGCCTGGAAGGAGATATCGGAGAAATCTCAGGGTGGGGGGAACAATGGCATTGATAGGTACCCCTTTGCTGGTATGATACCTAGGCAGTTACACAATCGGTAAATGTCTCACTAGCGTAGCCTCACCAGCGCTGGAAGAGCCCAGTTGTTGGTGCTGGGTTGCTGCTCCTCTGGTTGGTAATGAGATGATCATCTGCAGTTCCAGGTCTAAGCCACGGTCTGATAATCACAGGATAGTATGAGTTGCCGAGGGAGGCAATATGAATAACAGTGCTTATCAGTAATCAATGAATAATTCTTCCCTTGAATCAAGTTCTGTCCAGCAATGGGTGTCTTGTGGATATTTTCTAGTTCCCTGCCTATGTGGACGGGAACGGCCAACTCCGATATATCGAGACCCATGGGACAAGAGCCACCCTAGATCTGGATCATACGGCGACGATGATGGTTCTTAGAAATGTGGAGTTCAGGGTTCCGCTTACCAAGCGGTAATTAATAATAATCGAAATAAAATAAAAAAAACAGACATCAATTCCATACGAGTACGAGGGCTGAAACTCGGAAGGATGTCTGGGATCGCCCCCGTACTGGTTTGGTGCAACTTCTGGGCGGACGTTATGCACAATATTTGTTCATTATGGGTGTTGGGCGGGTGGGTTATGCCAACCCGCCATTTATTACTAGTGGGTGCAGGTCTTCGGGATGACCCCGAGGTTAGTACTAGGTTGTTGGTACCTGGGTAATTAATTAACAGAGTACGGATACTCTACTCCGTATGTACGGATACTATGTGGACTATGTAGTGTGGGTATTGCTCCCACTTGGTGACTTGACCCTGATGGTTGGACGGACTTGATTTGACTGACTTGACGGACTTCCAAGACATGCATGCACCCGGCTACATACGGCTTGTTCTCAAATCCGCCCTGTCCAGGGTTAAGCGGGATTGACATGCCCGACGAGACCGTATGCTGGGTCTACATACATAGTACAGGTCGATCGCTGATCACTTCTTGGCATCACATCAGGATTCTTGCGGGATGTTTGTTACCCGTGCTTTCCAGCTTGTCCGTCTCCTCTACCCTGCATCGGACGGTGTACAGTGTGCTCCGTCGGGGTGGTCGTCGACAACCCCCGTGTGCATCTTTCTTTGCCACCCCGTCGTGCAACCCATGTAGGACCCGGGGACTGATTGTCTGGAACCAAAGTCGGAATAGCCGGTCGTAGCCTAGTCAATGGTTGACAGTTCAAGTCTCACTGTAGGACCTATCTACGTGAACACCGTAACCCAGCACAAACTAGGTAGACGGAAGAAGCCGCAGCTGCGCCTCCAAGCGGGATGACGTTGCCGATAGCCTCCAAGCGCCCATATGAAAAAAGTCATTAGCCCCTTCTGGGCAGAACAAGGCTGTGTCAAGTGTGGCCCGGAAGTCAGGACAATGCTGACCAGAAAAGTAGGGGTCAGATATAGCCGGGCTCCGCTCGTGACACCTGCTCGGACATATCGTCGACGGATTACCCCCGAGGAAGCCCTAAAAGGCGAAGAGATGTGGAGACGGCCCAGCCATTAGATAATGGTGAGTCACGATACCCGGTCCGAGGCCTGCCTATTGTAATTCCATTACTCGGGCAGCGCTGGTCAAATATTATGGACACGAGAGAGAGAGTCGGGTATGCAAGGGATGGTAGGGCCACGTTTTAATGGCTTGACAGGCTGTCTTGTCTCCAGTGAGCTACGTATGGCTATTTGCCTGGCTGGTGATCCGGGTGGGACTTTGGACGAGTGGATATAAGCTTTTGCATGTGCTCCATTGGGGGAGAAATTCTGTTGTTCGATCTCCGGTGCAGGGAGGTGGGCTCTATCGATCTGTTGGTCTTTGAATAGAACGTCTGCTGTTCGGTGTGCGAGAAGAGTATGTATAGATGTGTTGACGGTGGTATACCCACGTCATATGGTCTATACGGATAGAAGTAATGGTAGTGTAATACCGTTACGCAGTAAAGTTTACGCCGGTGCAGGAACCATAACCTTGCCTTTTGAAGTGGCCTTGATGTAACTGGTGCAGTTCCTACAGGGATATTAATAATGCTGATTAAAAGAAAAATCAGGAAAGTCAAACCAAATAAGATTGACACTAATCATAGTAATCAATCAAGAATAAATCTCATCCAAGTGAATAATGTTGCCTACCGGAGCTCCACTCCGACTAAACTACTAGTTAGGGTCCTTTGGGCCCTGGTACTTTGTTACTTGTGCCTGTAATTGTATCCATGGATAAAAACGGGGACTTTACTTTACGGGACGGAACTGGCCAGAGCTTCCTGGCAGTATGAGAAATAGAGAGAGAAACAGAGAAACAGACCCTGGACTCGGACGGTTTCATGATGCTTCTTCGCTTGCTCTTCTGGTCATCATCTGATTGATTTGCCTTTGCTTAATCTATTCCTCCTATCTTAGCTGTCACGTCGCTTGTCTTCTTACCTCCGACTGACTGTCTTCATTTCGCTTCATCGTCTCCTCTTTTCTTCTTTCATCTTCTTTCTCTGTCCTTCATTTCCTCTGTTGATATTCATCTTCTGATTACTTTCTCTTTTTTCTATCTTTTTGCATATCTCTTTCCTCCTTGATCTGTAATGATCTGGTCTATACTACTACGATCGACAATCTACTACTACTTCTGCTGCGACTACTTCCGTTCTTCACTCTAACTTCCTCCCATATATCCATCCCTATTGCACTTCAATTGACTCAACTTTTCTCTGGAACATCGTCACTAGAGTATTCCCCTTGTCCTCATTCTGAAATCTACCCTCCGTTTGAGTTACCCGGGGAGATAAATTGAAAGTCGTCGGATTCCTTTTTCTTGTCTCAACCCTGCAATACGCTCAGGCCAATTTCCAATCGTCTTTCGAAGGACACTCTCGATCCCTGTCCCCAAGATCCCTGCCAACAAAGAGGAGGGAAACCCCTTGTCGAGGACCACGATTCTTTATTTGGCTGGCGTTGGGCCGCCGACGGATTTCATTCGCCTCAGAACGTGGGAGAGCGCAGCGGCATCTCCATCCGAGTCGGCAGGAGATTCAAACAATCCGCCGATTCCTGTCAGATCTGGACCCAGGTATCTATCTACACAGATCCGACGGGCGTTACACGAAAAAGGAAAAATAAAAGAAAATAAAAAATAAATAAAAAAAAAGAAGAGGCAAACATCTTCGAAGACACCCGGTGCGTCCTGCGTCCTTTTATTCTTTCGCCACTTCTCTCTCCGGTCTCAGACTGCAATCCCTCGCCGTGCATGTTTTTGGATTTGTCTCTCACCGGTGCGGGAGTACCTACGATCGGGTGTGTCACAGAGGGAAGGGGAATCGGACATCAACGAGGTCTTGTGGCTTGACTAACTTTCCTTTCAGCAGCTGTCTTTTCCCTCGTTGTCTCTGGGAGTGTTGGAAATGTGCTCCAAGGCGAGCCTGGTCTCCATCTTAAACAATGATGATAACCCATCATTTGCGGTTCGCTCGGCGCCTAAGATATACAGACACCATTCCAGCCCATCATATCCCTATGTGCCGGAGCAACAACTACATGCACCAGCGTCCGATGCATCCCACGGGAACACATACATCAATTCATCCGGGGCAAAACCAAGGGTGATGCGTCACCCCTTCGACCCGGTGTCCGAAGCCGCTCAACCCGCATCCCCAGGCTCGTCAGATTGCTCCTATGATTACACATCCAGCGCGGGCTCGTATTTCCATCCGACGCGCCCAGAGCCCTACACCTACCCACCCTCCGCGGCGAGGGAGCGAGAAAAACGCCTCAGCGGGAGCTCTGTCGTGGACCCGCCGTCCCCCCAGACCTCAATCAGCGGATCGAAAGAACCCATGGCACCCAAGGGCATCACTCGAAAGAACAAGTATCCCTGCCCTTTTGCCGCAAGCCACGGCTGCACGGCGACCTTTACCACCTCGGGACATGCGGCCCGACATGGCAAGAAGCACACGGGCGAGAAGAGCGTGCACTGTCCGATCTGCGATAAGGCATTTACACGCAAGGACAACATGAAACAGCACAGACGCACACATCGAACACATTCGGAGAGCATGCCAATGGGGATCGAGGGGGATAACGGGGGGAGTGGCGCTGCCTGGACGTCGCAGCAGAGCAACCCTGTTTACGGTCATCGGCGATCGATCAGTCAATCCCGGACGGACCGGCCTTCGTATGACAGCGTGGCCATGCATCCAATCCCTCCGGGTAGCAGGCATCATGAAAAGCCACGCGGGACCATATCCCCACAGGCTTGATCGACGGAGTACGGAGTGAGAAGATATGGACAGACACACCAGCATTTTTTGTTTTCTTTTCCCTTCACTTACATGTTGTTATCTTCCACGGTTTTTGTTTCGGTTAGTCATATGCGAGGGGGCAACGGCGTTCAACAAAAGGTATACCGCCCTCTCGGGGATCCAGGGTGACTGCTGTGCGGCGCCCTTTGTGTGTCATTGTGGTTTCAAACTTGGATGTTGTGATGTCTAGAATTGGATAGAACGGGATGACCCGTCGGCGGACCGCTTTGGTTTGTTTCATCCATGTACCAACGAGTTTCTTTCTTCATTTATTTGCATCTGGGGTCTCCTCCTTCCAAATCCTCCTTCCAAATATTGTGTCTGGAAAAGTTCTTTGTTATCTTTTTCCCCCTTGGTTGGCGCCACAAGCGGTTAATTAAGGTAGTCTTTGTGAGCCCGCGGACGAATGAGGACGATATGTATGTAACTATATGTACCTGTTTTCCAATGATATCTCCGATATCCTGTTAGATCTGCCGCTTAGTGAAGTACATAGGGCCGACTTCGTGAGTACGATAGTTATATCAACTTGGATTCACTCAGCTACCCGTTATTTTATATACGTTATATGACAAGTATGTCTATTAAATAACTCCAGAATACCCTGGTATAGGGTTGGGACGGTTCTATGTGGCTTGGGTGTATTTTCAAACCTTGGAATAGGTGCACAGTGTTAGCACAATTGATTCTTATCTAGTAACTATCTCGACATACTATGATACTTTCACCACCATCTCCTCCTCCTCCCTAAAATCCAACACCATCTAACCATTCCGGAGATATCCCAAATGTCCCATCTCTGTATAGTAACTGATACGGCCAAAAAAAAAGAAAAAGGTCAGCATATTACCCAGCACTCGATTGATATACTCCTATACATACCAACCACCCATGGGATTGATTTCCCTACCGCAGGGAACCTCTCAGCCCAGTAAGTCCAATCCTCATCTTCGACCGTTAGCTTTTTGTTTCTTTTTTTCTTTGTCTGTCATTGTAGACCACGAATAGAAAGCAACATACTCCTCATCACTTTGACACCAGAGTGTCTTCCACCCAGACCAGCAGGTCTCGCCGTACGTACTCTTACACTCGTCAAGACCGCCGTGCGTGCCCACCGACTGGTGCTGAGTGGATGCAACGAGTTTATACTGCGGGTCATGGCCTCTAGTCGTGCCAATCGGAGTAGAATCTTTACCGCAATTAGGCGAGGTTCCCTCCCATGGCATTTTGATCGATTATACCAGCAGTTGTCCTTGTATGCACTGGCGGCAAGGGCAAAGGAGACTAGGATCGCTCCTTGGAACTTCATGGTGCGGATGCGGGGGGTGGGTGGGTGGGGGGAATAGATCTGGAGGGTTTGTTGTGAGGTTGGCTTTGTGGGTGCGTTACACAAACCAGTTGGAGGGTAGACTGTCCAGGTTTTATATCCGGGTTGTAGAAGAGGTTTCCGAATTTTTTGATGTTGGGCTGCTTGGTAACATCGTGAAGAGATACGCAAGGGGGAGATCGTATGTAGGGATATCGAGCAAGAAGGAAATCAGATGGTAAGGCTTTCGGGGCCGACGGTATAGTTGGAATGCTGCAGAGTCCGCCATACCATTCTTAGTAGTTGATGTAGGTATATGTCGATCGTGCAGATAATCAGAAAGAAGACCGTAGATTCTCTGATTGATGGAGAGGTGGACACGTCCTGGGTAACCAGGGATGGCGTGGAATGATGCTCGTCAACTTGACCTTATTTGTAGATGCCTAATTAGCCTTTTATATTGCTCCGTTTTTCATATTTGGCTTGGAATATCTTTTCCTCTAAATACCTTCCTTTGTATGTATAATATTCTCATGATAAGCTAGATTCAAAGTAAGTAATATAAACGATATGTAACAGCTGAAGTGACCTTACTGGGTATGGTTGTCCACGTATGTACGCACTGGACAGATAGTCTTACACTCTGTCACCGTGTACATTTAGTATGTGAGATACGGTAACTATGCTAGCCTGGTTATGGAGAACATGCTATGTTCAACAGATCCTCTATTGAGAATTTCATCAGCTCCAGTAACCCTAGTCCTGGCATTTAGCACTTAAGCCACGAACACGAACAGAATAGAATACAACTAAACCCCATCAATGACACCAGAGTTTCTCAAAACAAGACCAGCAGCCGCAGCCGTAATCTGCGATGCAGTCCTCACTAGTAGCCCTATAGAGGTCATTGATATCATGGTGCTCAGTGGTTATGTAAAGAGTATCTCGCGGGTATTCGCTCCGAGTCGTGCGAAGCGCAGTAGAGTCTGTACCGCAGAAAGGTGCGGTCCCCTCCTAACGTCAATGTAGTCCTCTGTCGTAGCACTCTGCGACAGCGCCGGGGATGATGGCAAGAGCAGCTGAGATAGGTACTTGAAATTTCATGATTGGGAGGAACTGGTCTGATATTTGTTTTCAGGTTGTCTGTAAGATTGAAGGTGTGAGAATTGTGCGTGTGCTACATATCAGTTGGAGGCTAGAAAGACCGGGTTTCATATCCCGTTTATGATAGAATCCCGAGGTCTTCGAGATTGAAATAGTTGAGTCGATAGCATAGCAACTAGCAAGTGGGGAGCAAAGGGGTGGCCAGTGGCCACATCCCGGTATCCAGGGCTGGCATGGCGGGATGTTCATCAGCTTGACTATCTTGGAGATTGTACTGCTCCGCTCTCTCAGCTTTGGCTTTGAGGCTTTCTTTTCTTTCGAATAGCTCAGTTTTGGATGTATGATACGCTCATACTAAGCCAATAATGACTATTCCCTGGAAGAATTACGTCTCTCGTTCTGGGTGGATATGTACTTCCAATCCGCTCTTCACTTCGTTTTACCTAGTTGGAGCTGGAAGGTGGATAGGACGAGGGTGAAAACAGCTGAATAGAAATCAAGAATCAATAAGGAGTTATATCCATAAGTCCTGTTAGTTGCATTCTAACTGCCCCCGAATGTCCCTTGTTGTATATATCTACATTTTTTTGGGAATGGATATACAGAAGTGGCAATCTATATTATACCCATGGTTTTGGATTCACTATATGAAGTGGTACATCCCTCGGCACAGAACGAAGAGAGCATATCAAATTGTGACTCCCGGTGGCAATTTCTTCACCATCGTGGGGAGCATCGGAGATTGGCCCCACTAGATGCGATCGATCTCCGATCCTATCGAGTCTGTGCATCTGGTCGATCAAAGCGTCGGATATTGAATCCCGTTGACAAGTTGACAGCCCCTTTGATGTTGATTCGAATTCAAGTCTTAGCCAAGCTGAACAAAGCAAGAACAGGACGAACCATGGAACTGGCCGGGAGGGACCGAGAATACCAGAGATCCATTGTAGTATAGTAGAGGATAAGACTGGATCAGGCACCCACTGTACCGAACACCCTCCCAGTTTGGTCGACATAGTCGAGATGTCCCATATGGACTCCTTTTTGATATTCCTCTGTCGACCTTCTTCCTCTCAACCCGAATCCCAGTGATCTCTGTGTTTCTGCTGCAGGATGATGTCAGTGTCCTCCTGGTTTTGCTTAGGTAAGGGATCAGAACCCATCTGTCTGGCCATCCAGTGAGGCGACATCACGACGATTCAACCAATTCCAGTGGAGAGATCGGCCGTGGGGCTGCAATCAATCAGAGCAGCTGAATCTCTCAACGAGGAAGCTGATAGCTGCAGTGTGGCACTGGTGAGCTGCAGTCCAGCCATACGTCACCTGCGCGTGCCCCGCCTTTGCGTTGTCTCGCCTCGTTTCGCCTACTTCTGCGCCACTTCTTTTTCTTTTTCTTCTCTCTCTCATCAGTATCTCGATCTTTTTATAACTATCTCTTTCCCTTTCCTATCTCGACACTCAGATCTATCTTCACTCGACCAGACACCCCATTATCTCATGCTCTTTCCACTCGCTTAGCTCCGACTCAACCACACCAACCTCGTCATGGCGTACTATGGCGAACCCCCCTACTACCAGCCTCCCCGGGATCGCCACGCCCGTCCTGACTATCCGGAAGACCCTTATCATTACAGCAGCAAACCGCACAGCGGAAGTCACCATGGTCTAGACGTGGTCCCTCGAGCTGACAGCCTCGAGTCCTACGACACAAGATCCCGTGACTACCCCTCAGGTGACTATGGATACGAGTATGGCTACGGCCATCCTCCTCATTCTCGACGATCCAGGGTCGCCACCGCCCCGGAGAGCGCCCGTCGCGCCCATTCCCTAGAGGGCCGCGGTTACTATGAGGGCTCGGATTATTCGCATCGTCCGCGCCACAAACACCGAACAAAACACCACGGTAGTCGACGTGCGTAACACTAGTCCAGTTAATGTTTAGCCAACTTTCATGTTGACCCTCTCCAGATCACAAGCATTCCACTCGGTCCCCGTCCAGCAGTCGCTCCCCGCCCCCGCGACGCCTCAAGTCCGTCTCCGGACGCGATAGCTCTCGCAGTCGCCGTTCCCACAAGTCCTACTCATACTCGCCGTCCCCGACGCGGCGCGGAGGCGGTCATCACAAGAGGGACAAAAGCGAGCAGCGCGTTACGCAAGCCGTCCGCGCCGCCGTGACAGCCGGCGCCATCGAGGCCTTCCGACTGCGCAAGGACCCCGGCGAGTGGACAGGTGACAAAGGACGCCGCATTTTAACGGCAGCCATCACAGCGGGTGGCACCGATGGACTAGTCGACCGGAATCCGTCGAAGCATTCCAAGCGCCACATCGTCGAGTCCACCCTCGCCGGTCTCGCCGCAAACCACTTCGTCAACGGATCCCGATCCAAATCCCGGTCGCGGTCCAAGTCCCGCGGCCGTGGAGGTAACCATGACAAAGCGAAGAAAGTCGCAGCGACAGGCGCCTTAGTTGCCGCGGGCAAGGAGGCGTATGACCGCTTCCGGTCGAAGTCCCGTCCCCGGGGCCGATCCGTCTCGCGCGACAGCTACGATTTCCGGGGGTCGCCGGACCGTCGTCCTCGCCAGCGGAGCCGGAGCGTGACTGATTACATTAACAAGGGCATAGCGGCGCTTGGTCTTTCGGACAACAGCCACGGACATGGAGGTCACAAGAGCGGGCGTCATAAGTCATCTCGCTACAGCGATTACTCGGACGAGGACCCCTATTACTACAGTGACTATGACACTCGAAGCCGTGGCAGTACCCGGCGATCCCGGCATTCTAAAGACGTAGGTGACTGTTCCATCCTCTTCTAAAACATGAATCTGACCCAAAACAGTACCGATGAGCAAAGCAACAAAGACGCCCGACCAGGGGACCGCGCTGCCCAAAATCCCCACGGTAGCGTGGAAAAGTACAGCGAATATGCCCAGGTGGTGAAAGAAAAGCATCCATATGTCTTTCTCTGGTTTGCGGTTCACTGTATGGCTCACCGGATGATATCGAGGAGGATTCATCCTATCCTGTTTTCCTCTTCCACGGTATATCACAACGGGGAAGAAATCGGGGGAACCCCCTGTCACGGGCTACCAATGACTGGATGATTTTCTGCTCTCATATTTTTCTTTTCTCTTTCGTATATCTATGTCTTGACGATTAATGAATGAACGAATGAATGAATAACTGGATGACAATCTTGATGATCCCCTTCTGTTAGTAGTTAGTAGTCAGTAGTTAGTAGTCAGTAGTTAGTAGTCAGTAGTCAGTAGCTGTTTATATACCTACAACCTTACCTATCATCCATAGAATCCAATCCAAACAAGAATCATACACCCGATCTCTGATATTCATCATACCAACCTCCCCAAAAGAAAAGAAAAAAAAAAATCAAATCAAATCAAAAACCTAGTAAAAACCCCATCCCCTCACGAAGCTTGTTCTACTATGCTGCTGTTTACGCTTCCAAAGCAAGAACTCATAATCCTCAGTATGATTTGGTTGTTTATATCTGTATATTGCATCACGCTCGGTACTCTATATATTATATCACGTTCAGTACGTGGATATATATATATGCGTCACTGAGATAACACGTATTACACACTACGCGAGGGAGGAAGAGAGAGGACGAGTGAATGGTAAGAGAAATCCATATTGGATTATAGAGAGCATGTATGTATGCAAGCATGCATGCATGCGACTCTTTGAATAGATAGATAGGTGGGTAGATGATACGTAGGTCAATAGGATCCAAGTAGAAAGTAAGCAAGTGAAGTATGTAAGACTGCCTACCTACCTACCTGCCTACTACTGCCACCACCACCACCACCCCACTCTTCACATTCACGCTCCCCCCAGCAAAAAGAAAAGAAAAGAAAAAGCACCAAAGAATCTATGTACAAGACCAACCCATCAAAACGCGCAAACACCATACGCGCCCAAACCCCCCAGATAGATGACACAAAACAAAACAAAATGAGACAAGACAGACAAATAGGGGAATAATGTACGGTGTGTATGAGTATGATATGCATGCATGCATGTATGTGTGTATGCGCGGAGAAATGCAGCGGAGAGGATATATGTCGCTGGCTGAAGGAATGGAATAACCGGACCGAATCAAATACAAAAAAAAAGCACAATGAGGGAATAGAAGAGAACGCTTCAACGTTCTACTGGTAGAGGTGAGGTGGAAAGGTACATGGGGAAACAGGAAAATGCAGCTAGCTGTACATCCGTCGTGGAGGAAGAAAACTTTTTTGCCGTTCGTTCGGATTGTTGATGGTGGGTATTGGTAGTACCCGAGTTGTAAGGAGGGAGGGATGTACAATCGGTATCGATTGTCGCCTTTTGTGGCTAGTGTACGTCTCTATCGCGGGGAAAGAGAGACATGGTTATCGCTCGGCATGCAGGTTCAGCCAGCTCATATCGGTGTTCTGTTTTCGCGTCGGGAGCGGCTCAAGGGTATCGGGGATGACGACGCTGGAACCCCGCGTGTTGGTACTCGCGCGCACGCTGTCGTGACGCCGATAGTCGCTCACAGACGGTGCCGTAGAGGGAAGGTTGCTGCTGCTCGGGTTGTACACACTGGCGGTGTAGGTGCTGCTCGCCGGGCGGGCGAGCCAGCTGCGCTGCTGCGGCCAGTGGGAGTCGCGGTCCTGGTCGTAGTCGTCGGAGGCAAGGCTGATGGAGTCTGCGCTCGAGATGCGAGCCGACTGGCTCTCGGGGATGGCGATGTGGTTCCCGGACGGGTGTTCGGTGGTGGGACTGCCAGTGGGCACGCGGCCCAACGGCTTGGGTCCTTCGAGGAACCCGAAATTCAACGGGGTGAGCGAGGCCGTGGGCCATGTGCTCTGTCGGTTGTCTGCGCTGGCGGGGTTCATACTCTTGGGCGCCTGCGTTGGCTGCGTGTCCACCAGACTGGCGGTGTCGTTGTCCTGAAAGTACCGGGCCCAGCCCTCGTCAGTCCTCCGATCGCCCGGTTGCCCCCCGCGGGCGGGGCCGCGCGAGTTCTCCTGGGCGGGCGGGGCCGTGGCCATGGCTGCCAACGGGCTCGACTTCATGGGTGGTTGGCGGTTCTGCTGCATTGAGGGGCGACCCCCGGCGGGGCGCGGCGATTTTTCGTCCCCGACGTTGCCGGAGAAGATGGCGAGGGAGTCGACCGACGAGGCGCCTACGGGAGCGGGGCTGTGCGCCATGGGGTAGGCCGACCGGGTCAGGGGCTCCACCCCCTGGTCTTGGAAGCTGAGGCGGTCCTTGTCGCCGGCACCCCCGTGGCCCTGGGCCGCTCGCTTCCGGCTATCCTTCTTGCGCTTCAGCAAGAAGAGGATGATCAGGAGGATGGCTGCGACGCCCAGGATGCTGCCCAGCGTGGCGCCGACGATCGTCCCGACATCGCTGCCGCCGTCCTCCGACGCGGAGTCGCCGCTGGCCGCGCTGCTCTCCGACGGGTCATTCGTGGCGGTCGCCGACGGCGAATCGGAGGACATCGTGTGGAGAATCTGCTGCTCGGACTGGTCGCCGTAAAAGAGCCGCGTGGCATTGAGCCAGCCGTTGGCGGTTTGGTTGAAGATGGACAGGGACTCGGAGCCGTCGCCGCTGGAGAAGACCACCAGCCCGTGGTCGCCCTGAGCCATGGAGTACTGCTCCCGCGAGGTAGAGGAGGCAAGTTCGTCGTTGTAGGCGGGGAACTTCAGGGATTCGTCCCGCCGGTCCTTCTTGGCGGGTTCTCCGACCTTTTTGGCGGGCCGTGCCGGTCGACCGCCCGGAAGGGCCAGGGCCAGACTGGTGACGGTGTTGGGGGCGACGCTCAAGTCAAAGACCTCGAGGACCTTGCTCCCATCCGCTCCACGCATGAGGAGACACTCGACGTGGTCGGGAAGTTCATCGGCGAGGGTGACGGGGGATTTGTGCCAGCCGCCCTTGGGTTCGAAGAGATGGACGCCTTTCGGGGTGGTGTCCCCACCGATCAGGGCGGCTTGGCGGTCGCTCCAGGGGACGAGCACGGGGGAGACAGACGGAGGGGCGCCCTGGGAGGTGTAGGCCAAGACGCCGTAAGGAGCGGTGGTTTGGATGACGAAGGTATCGGAGGATCCGACGGATGAATCGTCCTGGTGGCCGCCGTAGACGAGGATCGAGTCGGATGCTTTGAGGGAGACGACGCGGTGATGGGTGCGGTTGGCCATGTTCGTGCGGGCGGATTGAATGGAATGCCATTTCTTATCCTGGAAGGAGTAACGTTGCAGACCGGATGGGTCGTCCTCGGGGGTGGAGCCACCGACTACGTAGAGGGCCTGGTGGTCGGGGTCACCGTCGACGGGGGCCTTGATACAGGCGGCATTGGAGACGGGCTCTCCCATGTGCAGCTTGGTCCAGGTGCCATTGCGTTCGAGGGGGATGGAGGCGAAGCCTTTGGCGGAGTAGGTGTAGAGCGTGTTGTCGTGAACGATGGAACAATGGTCCTCTAATTCCACCGGGGGTTTGGGGACAAGCATATCGAAAGGGGGGAAGGGGGGGAGAAGACAAGGAGGTGCTTCAAGGATACCAGCCGAAGACAGATAGGGGAAAACCAGCCGCCAGGGGCAAGAAAGCGGGCGGAAGGGCGGCGAGGAAAGCAAGATGACTGCCAGAGCACTATCTCATGGTCGGGGGACGAGGTTGAGGGCAACAGGGCGCAAGAAGGATTGGATGACAGGGTGGTCAATGGCGCGGGGCGTTGAGTGCACGAGGAATGTTCAACTCGAACAAGGTGGTAGAGAAAATAGAGATAAAAAAAAACGATTGAATCAGGTCGAATGATACAAAAGAATGGCAGTCTAGACTAGTGTTAGAGCTTGACTCGGAGCAAGGCACTGAGCAATCCAGATCAACAAAGGAATGTGGTGAACGACAGGCAGCACGATGTCAAATCGGCGAGAACGTGACAGAGGGAGAGAAGATGAGCCTCGTGTGGATTCGAGAAGAATCGAAGGAGAGCAGAAGAGAAGAAGAAAGAAAGGGAAAAGAAGTAAAGTCAGGGTGAATCAGGAGAGGCAGGAGAAGCCGTGAGAAATGAGGGTATAGTGGCAGATGAAACGACGGAGGACAGCTTGGACCATGCAGGGTGGATTTCGCTCGGGTAAACTCACAGAAACTTCTTCTTCTTTCGACTTGTTGGGTTAGACTCGGAGAATTGAAGAAGATGACGAAGGAATGGGAGTGGGAATGGGTATGTAGGGGGAAAAGAAAGACAAGAGGGAAGGACTTGACAGCGCACGGAGTGTCCAGCACGTTTGAGGATGAAGTGGAGAGAGAGAGAGAGAGAGAGAGAGAAGAGAAGAAGAGAAGAGGAGAATGAGAACGAAAGACGAGAATGGAGAAAGTCAGAGAGAGAGAGAGAGAGAGAGAGAAACCTCAGGCTAGTGGGTTAGTCTCCCCTGGTCTGACACTAGGAAGAATGAGCCGGAGAAAAAAAAGAGGGGGTCTGTTTTGCATGGGGAGATTCCCTGGATGATGTCGATGTTGAGGTTGATCTGGATTGTTGATTGTGGTTTCGTGTCCTTACGTGAAAGGGAGGTTTGTTCGCTGCAAGGGATTCTTCTTGAGGTTGATGTTGATGTTATTCTCTTCCTATACTACTCTCCATCCATCAAGGTGTTTTGTCCTGTTCAGATTCGGTACTGTGAAGGTGTAATTACAATACAGTTTCAGGGGTAAGTGAGAAAAAGCCATCAGGTTTTCCACCTCCGCCCCACCCCTCCATCCTCAAGAACCACCGATGTCAAAATGATAAACGAGAGAAAAGGAAGAAAGGGGAAAAGAAAGGCAAAGGACGAACGTGGGAATGTCGATCCAGAGGAAAATCCCCAAATTCTGGGATGGATGGGTGGGGCTTCCAGGAACAGCTCCATGGTTTTTGACCGTTGAGGGAATGATGTTTGTTGTTCTGTGATGTGATGGGATGGAGACGCAGGTGATCATTACTGTATGTTACCATTCTGTATTCTAACGTCATATCTTGACTTCATTCTCATAGGTTTGGGTCTCATACTTATTGAGTTGATCCATAATATTTAGATTCATTCGGTCGCGAGTATCAGGTACCAAGGCCAAAGTGTCATGATATCTCTCGTAGCGAGTGGTTATATGGTCCTGGTTCATGAACGTATAATATAGAATAATATAGTCTCAGTCTGACTCTATCACAAACACCCCACAACCAATGGGAAGACGCGTCGAGGCGAGTATACGCCATCGAGCATGGATATGTCTGGAATAGAGGGCGAAAATATACATCGATCTATTCCTTCATCCGAGACTCCATAATACAGGTCAATATATAATATATTCGGTACCTCTCTCCGTTCACCGATCATATAGTCAAATAGTACTCATGTAATAGACTAATATAACTATAACCATGACCATAATAACATAATCTACTGCTGCTGCTTCCACTTGTGCGCCGTCTGCAACAGCTTCGACAGATTCGCCGCCGACTTGTCGTCCGCCGGGAACACATAGTCCATGTACTCCTCGTACCGGTCGTCGTCCAACTTGCGACGCTTCTTGACCCGACGCGGCATCTGCTTCTCGATCTGTTCGATCTCCTCCGGTGATCCGTGCGCGTGCTCGAACGACCGCCATGCGTTGAGCAGTTCGACGCGCTATGAACCGTTAGCAAAAGCCACATAATACAACCGCAGGGGAGTAATGGACTAACCTCTTCCTTGAGCTCCTTCTCCTTGAATACCCGGTGCGCCCGCTCGAACACGCTCCGCGCACGACGCTTGGCGTCCTCGCTCACCGGCCGCTCTTCCTCCTCCTCTTCTTCCTCCTCCTCCTCGTCCGGCACGTTGATCTCGAACCGCGCGTAGTTGATCCACACCTTGACGTGGTCCGTCTTCTGTAGCAGACGCTCGTAGAGCGATCGCACCTGGTCGTACTCCCCTTCGTACTCCTCAAAGTCAATGTAAGCCTTCCACACCAGCTCGGGCATATCCAGACTCGGCTGCTCGATCGCCAGCTCGAAGATACCCCTCGCACGGTCGGTATCATCCAGGCCCCGCTCCAGCTCCGCGTACTGGATCCACGACTGGCTGTTGGACGCGTTCCACTCGATCTGCTTCTCGTACAGCGTCCGGCACCGCAGGAACTCAAACAGCTGTCGCTCCAGCTCGATGTAGCCCCGGAACAGCTTGTCCTTGGGACACATCCCGATCGCCTGGCCCAGCGTCTTCCGCGCCGCCGCCAGCTCCATCTGCCGAATCTCGAACTGCGCCTTTAGCAGCCAGATCTTGGCGAACGTGAACTTCTTGTGAGGGATGAGCTTCAGGCACTCGTTGTAAATCTGGCGCGCGCGGTCGCTGTCCTTGGCTTCCAGTTCTTCCCAGATGGCGTAGAACACCCAGAGGTAGATGTACCGTCGCCAGTGGCGTTTCTCCTGCGACGGCGGAACCTGCGCGATCGCGCGCTCGTACACCTCCCGCACCTTCTCGGGGTCGCCCGACGTCTCTTCTAACCGGGCAAAGTCGAACCAGATGTCGTAGTTCCGCGGGCTCTCCTTGAGCTGCTCCTCGTACTGCACGCGGCGCTTGTTGAGAATGACGTCCTCCACGCCTTCCCGGTCGCCGAACTGCTTCTCGAACGTCGTGTACGCCTTGTGCAGTGTGATGGCCTTGGACCGCGGGAGTCGGTCCAGGGCGTATTTGTAGATCGCGCGCGCACGCTCATACTCCTTCAGCTTGGCCTCGAACTTGGCGTACGAGATAAAGAGCTTCTCATCCATAAAATCCTCTCCCAGCGTCTCGATCGCCGCGCCGTACACCTCTCGGACCAAATCGCTCGTCCCATTCTCCTCCTCAAACCGAGCCCACTTGATCCAGTTCCTCGGCTCCGGGTGAACAATCGTAAACCGCTGGAAGATGCCCCGCGCGCGTTCGAACTCGCTGTACCGCTTCTCAAGCTTGATGTACGCGCTCCAGGCGCCCTCATCCGGCTCCCACGACATCCACCGCTCAAACACCTGGCGTGTCCCGGGAATATTGCCCAGCGTCTCCTCCATATAAACATACTTATACCAGAGCTTATCAACTCTCGGCAAAATAGTCACCGCACGGTCGAGCAAATTCCTCGCATGGTTGATATTACGATTCCGCATCTCCGACTCGATATACCGAATCCACAGAATCACCGACGTCGGGTTGACGTCCAGCGCGCGCTCGAAGATGGAGCGGGCGCGGCGGAATTCCTTCTGCTCCAGTTCCCACGCCGCATAGCGCATCCAGTTGTTCAGGTTGATCCGGTTGCGCCGCACATAATCCTCGAAGTCCTTTCTCTTCCGCCCCTGGTATTCGTGCAGTTCTTCCAGGTCCGCGAATCGCTGTGTCGGCGCTTCCAGCGCGGGCTCTTGCCGGTCCACGGCCTCCCGGAGCAGCTGCTCCGCGGAGATCTGGATCGGCGCCGCGGCCTTGTTCTTGACCCTCGGGGGGCCGCGTGACGCCTCCATGGTGTGGGAGTGATCGAGTGGTCGGTATACTGGGGTTGTGGTTATCGGCGCCGCGGCCTGGCGTGAGGAATCTGTGATGGATTAAACGTGTGACAATCGTACTCTCATTGAACACAAATTCACAATGGCAAATTGTATTATGATCTTTAAACAGATGCCCGGAATGAGATTCCCAAGCCAGAGTTGGTCTGGGTTGTGGAGGTCGAACTGACGTCTGGTGTTCGCATTGCCAAAAGTTCGGACAGGCTGCGCAGTTGGCAGATCGCGCCACCCGAGCCAGCTCTCACCGCCCTAGCCTAACCAGGTTAGTGACTGGTGACTAAGCAGATTCCTGACGACTGATCCATCTCCAAAATTCTCCAATTTGGTCTCTCCCACTTCACATCGCAAAAGTCATACACTGGACGCATCTCGCTGTGGTCCAAAATGTCTACCGCGGAAGAACTGCTGAGAGATTTCGAAGATGACGAGGAGGATTTGCAGGAGGGAGAGGGACAGGGTCTGGAAGACCATGTGGACGAAGAGGAGCAATACCACCAGCAGCAGCAGCAGCAGGCTGCGCCGGCAGAGAGGAACGAGTTCGACGTCGCCGTATCGACCGGAGACGAATTGACCCGGCTACACAAGGTCCTACGCGATCACTACTCGATCAGATTTCCCGAGCTCGAAACTCTAGTCACGAACCCCATCGACTACGCTAAGACGGTTGCGATTCTCAAGAATGGCCCGCTGAACGATATCAAGGCCCTGTCGTCCTCATCCGACAACATGGTGGGCGTGCCTCTCAAGTCAGTACTGGACGGCCCGTCCTTGATGGTGGTCACCGTGGAGGGAACTACAACGCGAGGGCGCGAGATGACCGAGTCCGAGCTGAAGCTGGTGCTCGACACGTGCGAACGGATTTTGAAGCTCGACCGGGAGCGGACGGCCCTTACGGAAAGCATCCAGTCGCGCATGAGTCAGATTGCGCCCAACCTGGCGGCCTTGATCGGCCCCGAAACGGCCGCTCAGTTCCTCAATCAGACGGGTGGGCTGCGCGAGCTGGCCAAGATCCCTGCGTGCAACCTGGCTGCGCAAGGCTCAAAGAGGACGGAAGGCCTTGGGTTTGCGAACATCGGCATCCGATCTAAGGGTTTCCTTTACAACTCGCCCATGATACAAGACATTCCGGACGACCTGAAGCGACAGGCTATCCGCATCGTTTCAGCCAAGATGGTACTCGCCACCCGGGCGGACGTGTCGAAATACAGCCCAGAAGGCACATTGGGAGAGGACTTGAAGCAACAGTGCTTTCAGCGCCTCGAGAAACTGACAGAACCCCCTCCAAACGCCAACGCCAAGGCCCTCCCCACACCGGACGACAAGCCGTCGCGAAAGAGAGGCGGACGCAGAGCCCGAACGGCCAAGGAAGCCGTCGCCATGACTGAGCTCCGCAAAGCCCAGAACCGCGTCGCATTCGGCAAGGAAGAAGCAGAGGTCGGATACGGCGCCGGCGAAGGAACAGTTGGCCTGGGCATGCTGGGCCAGCAAGACGACGGACGAATCCGAGCGACCCAGATCGACCAGCGGACGCGCGCCAAGCTCAGCAAATCCAACAAAGGATGGGGCACCGCCACCCCTGCCAGCGGTACCGCTTCGTCGCTGCGCGGATTCAGCTCCGGGGCGGCGGGCACCGCTAGCGTTCTGCAAGCTAGGGGCCTTCGCACCTCTGGGATTGGCACTTCGCTGGGCGGCTCCGGCACGGCGAGTACGATCGCGTTCACTCCTGTGCAGGGCCTTGAGCTCGTCGACCCCAACGTGCAGGCTGAACTAAGCCGGAAGCGCAAGGCTGAGGAGGATAGGTGGTTCAAGTCGGGTACGTTCACGCAGGTCGGCGGCCAGAATGGCGGCAACCGGGGAGAAAGCGGAGGTTTCAAGGTACCGGCGCTGCCTCCGAAGAAGAAGGTTGACACTGGTGAGGGCAAGATGGGACCGCCTGCACCGCCGTCCAAGTGATCTTCCATCTGTTATGTTGAGCATCTGAGGCGTTTGGTTTCCTTCTTTCCTTTCTTTTTATTTCCTCTCTTTCGCAGAATAGCATGATACCATCGATCAATTTATATACTACTATAATCAGTATACTCAATAGCTTGAAAGCCTCGAGTGATAACCGAACAGTAATCTAGTTGAACCACTCTGGGAATAAGCAATTTCCAAGCATATCCCAATCCATGGTTCAAGTCCAACAACCGAACCCAGTAAAGTAAACCAACCCTTGATGGCGTGCTAACACTCCAAACACGGCCAGTCAATCTAAGATCAATTCAAGCACGAAAGAAAACCCAGTTCTGGCTAATTTGCACGTCACTTTCTCCTCCACATCTGGACCATCTTATAGCAGTGACTTGATCTCCATCGCCGACACGGCGATGGGGGCGTCGGCAATCCTTCGGGGGGAGGATTACGCTGAAAGCCGGCCCGGTGTCGCCACTGAAGACCCGGTCATTTGGACGCGTAATTGCGTGCTTGTCGGGGGAATTTGCACACTGCCCAGGGTATCTCCTACAGGGTTCTTTGGGCAGCATATATAGATAGTACCTATAGACTTGTTCTCTCTTCTTTCCTCCTTTCTAATAGTTTACGCCGTCTTAAAAAGAAAAGAAAAGAAAAGAAAAGACGAGCTCAATCCCGTACAACACCGTTTAGGGCTGAGATAGAGATGGCTCCGCAAATAGGCAAGCCCGTCTTCACGGCAGAAGAAGCGCAACCACACTCCGTCGCGCATCAAGATACAATTACAAGACAACCAACCCTACATCACCACGCGCAAGTCACATCGGATGCCGACGCCCTCAAGTTCAACGCAGCGGCGTCCACCCAGCTGCATTTCACCCACGACCCTACTCAACCCACCGCACCAGACAGCGACAACGACGAACAGCAACTCATCATCTCTCCCTACAACGACAAGCACCACCTCCTCGACCTGCACACGCTAGACACGCCAAACCAACTCCTCGCACTGGCACTCACTTTGCTAAAGCCCATACGGCCCGACTACGCCACGGCGCCATACACGGAGTCCTTCAACTGGGACGCGGTGTTCGACTTCCTGCGCGACTTGGCCCGCGCGACAGGCCATCACTGGAAAGAGCAAGATTTCTACGTCGTCGAGTTCCGGTCTTGTCTGCGAGAGGATGCGGACCCCGTTGCGCTGCATGAGCTGGACGCGTGGTCGTTGCAGGAGGCAGTTGAGAGTGGGGGGTTGTTGAAGTATTGGTTTGGGACGAAGAATGGGAAGAAGGAGAATCTTGCGACTTGTATGTCTTTCCCCTCCCTTCTTTTTTCCCCCTCGCGTTCTCTTGAGAGTTGGTATTTTGGTGGGTGGTGTTGGATTGAATCACTGACTGACGATGTCTTGTAGGTGTCTGGCGAAGTCGGGAAGATGCACGGCTTGGAGGAGCTGGTCCATGGCATAAGCGGGCTCGAGGAGCTGCGCGGGATCTGTATGAGCGGATTAACTTCACGACGATGCGGCTTATTGTGGGGGATGAGGTTGGGTCATGGGCGATCACCGAGTGGGTGGATGAATAGACTATGGTGGTAGGTGTTTGGAGTTCTTATTGGCCTGCTTTTAGTGTTTCGCAATGTTTTGATCTGCGTCTGCTTTGGATAGAGATAGATCACGATGGTTAGATTAGAGTGAGCAACAATGATACCCTGGTTGCATCTGGGTTTGATCTATAACGTCTTGAGTCATTTTTGATATTACGTAGCCAAGGAGAAAGAGGATATAAGGGGTATTTCATGCTGAAGGGGAAAGTCTAGGAGGATAAAGCCCACTGAGTAGGAGGAGACAAAAGCCATTCATGTGATAGCGATGTATACTCCACAACAAAATCAGAAATAGTGCTGATGCGAATGGCGCTGAAATATAAATATATTCAATCCCTCAAAAGCACACCAGCAAGCCCACTACTCATAATAACAGAGGCAAGTCACCCTAAGAGTACTGTATCACCATCCTACATCAAACAAGACAATGACAGATCCTGCGTAGTCAATCAGCACATCTACCCCACAATCACCAGAAAGCAATACATACTGCTCACGATCACAATAACCCCCTTTCCACCCCTCCCCTTGCCCAGTACACTGCAAAAACAAACCATTAGCTAAAGCCACAAGCCCAAAACCACAGGACGAGTAGAGCATACAGTATTACTACATGTCAAGTTGGCGATACTACCAGGCCCTTCAAGCTGGCAGGAGTTCTGGATGCGCGAGATCACGTCCGTGAGGGGGCTGGCTAGCACGGAAGGAGTAATTGTAGCGTGGAGGGTAGCTATGGCGACGAGGATGGTTGAGGGGTACATGGTGTGTTGCACAGGTGTTGATTGACTGCGCAAGGGATCGACAGAGAAGGAGGGAGAGAGAGGTAAGACAGATGATGGGATCTATCTTGGAGAAATATGGTCTATGAGGATGATTGAAGGGAGGTCTCTGTTCTATATAGAAGGGAGCACATGTAACGGTCCTTCATACCAAGGGATGGAAATATACTACCGAGGAAATAGAGAAGGTCTATCATGTAGGTGACGTCTGAGGGCATAGTGCCTTGCTGGTTGGGAGGTGATCGCTGTGCTTGGGGTGGTGTGTGAAGGAGGGTTTAGATCCCTTACTTGGGTATCTGCAAGGATAATATGTGAAACTGGATTACGAGCGGAGATAAATGTAAACAGATTTAACTTGATATATTGATAGTTAATTATTGATATGGCATGTGTAACCTAAGAGTTGCTTCCATGGAGATAGTGGAGAGGCGTCGTAGCTTAATGTATATGTATGTGAAAGGAAAAGACACAGAAGAGAAGTATACCAGGGTGGGATAACAGAATTATATATACCCTCTCTTCTGCAGTACTCAATGCATTTAGTAGGCCAATTACAAAGGTTGGCTCTGAATGTCAGCCAGACATCCCAGATTGCAACAATCCTCCTTGCTATCGCTTGAGCCGAAGCAATGACCGGGTATTCAAGCTCAGGCACTGGTTGAAAGAGCAGTGAATTACAACACCCCAAGCGACTGCAAAAACTGATTGTTGTGGCATTAAGAAGGCCACATGTCACAAAATCAGGATATATCAACCGCTACGCCAAAAACGCTGACGAGTGTTTTGGCATAGGACTTAACCTGACTATATCCCCAGCAGGATATGTCCTAAGGCATGAATCCTGTAATACTCCACGATGTCCTATCTAACCAGCCATGTCGTAAAAAGATTCAAAACTGTATCATGATTGGTTGAGTCAATTGAAGGAATTCTAGAGCTGTGGATAGACCTTCTACCGCTAATCCCAATTAGCTTGGCTAGATATAGCCACAAGTTCACTAATAGCGTCGCAGGCGAGGCTGACATCTGATACCCCGCCCACCAGATAGTCGAGTGCGGCTGAATGTCAATCAGTCGGTGCTTATATCAACTATCTGTTTTCTGGACGAGATCGTCCTGTTCTGTGGTATAACCAGGATCTAGCTTTGGCGTGTCTTTCAAAATGACACTCCTAAAACCCCACAGCCCTAAAGAGCATCCCGACAACCCCGCAGGGCGCCCAACCCAAGCAGCAAACGCCCCCAAAACATGCACCCAATGCGACTGCCTGACAGATTACTCTCCACTAGGGAAAGGATATGACCAAACCAAAGAGGTCCTCGACGGGTACCGTAGCTTCTGCTTCCATGAGCCATGCGAGAGATGCTCCCGGGTCCCGGATCACACACCCCGACTGTGCGAAGGATGCGCGCACATGAGACTAGGGCATATCATGCGATGTGGGATGTACGAAGAGCCATCTGCAAGGTGGAAAAGCGAGGATGCAAATCGGGAAGCTGTAAATAAGATGGGCGTCTGCTGTCTGCGACTCTCTCTGGGTACCGTCAAGGGGTTGCAAGAGAGAGCGGAACGGTGCAGTATCTGCAGCATGTTTTCCAGCGCTGCAGAGCAGATCGGCGATTTTGACGATGATGCAATTGCGGAAGTGGTGATCTACTCATTTAGAGAGTATTTTAAGATGAAGGAAGATATAGCACTTACTGTCTGCTTCAAGGATGAGTGTATGTATGGCGTTTCCCCGAGGAGAGCATAACCCGTGACTGATGCTCGTGCAGGTACTCAAGACTCAGAAGGAAACAAATGGTATGGCCGCGGCCAGTTTGCTCGTTTCCATGCCGGGATGGTTGGCACTGCCACTGGGGATCAGTTGGTTCAGCTACGAAGCCCTCCGCCAGCAGTGCAGTGGGACAAAGTCTCTGGCTGGTTAGAACAGTGCCGCCTGAAAAAGAGATACATGTGTCGACAGGAAATCCTCGATCCACAACCGCTCGGATTCCGACTGATCGATACTCTCAAAAAATGTGTCTTGCGAGCTCCTCCTCGCTGCCAATATGCCGCCTTGAGCTATGTCTGGGGAGGCGGCTCTGGGCCCGACCTCGAAGCAACAGCGGATAACATCGCGACTCTTGAACAGGAAGGCTCTTTGCTCCAGTCTCTCCCACAAACCATTGAAGATGCGATCTTCGCCTGCGCAAAGCTGGGAGTCCGTTATCTGTGGGTCGACCGCCTCTGCATCTTGCAGGATGAAGGCTCTAAGGCCGAGAAGATGGCCCAGATCCACGCCATGGGTGATATTTACCGCTGTGCCCTCGTGACTCTGGTTGCCATGGCAGGCGAGGGAGTCGACTATGGGCTGTCCGGGGTTTCGAAACGAGAGCGTCCAGCGCCGTGGATAACCCAGATCGGCGAGGCGCACATTCTAAGGTCGCCCCCGACAAGCCACATATTCATACAGCGCGCAAAATGGTACACGCGAGGTTGGACCTACCAAGAGTCCAAGCTGTCCTCTCATGAGTTGATGTTCACTGACATCGGAGTATTTTATGACTGTTCGAAGGAAAACGCTGAAGTTGAAGACGAGCTGATGCAGGACTCTGCGAAGATGGGAGACGAATCGAACTACCAGCAACAGGTCAAGGCGTTCACCAAGAGGTCGCTCACCTTCGAATCGGACATCCTGTACGCCATGTTGGGTGTATTAAACTCGCTGTATGGGTCCGACCATCTGTCCGGCATCCCGGTAAGGGAATTCGACCATGCTATCCTATGGATGACCGCCAACGGGTCCCTCCAGCGTCGGCTCCCGCCCAACGGAGAGGTCTTCCCTTCATGGGCCTGGTGCTCCGCTCGAGGTCCCATCACGATCCCCGATCAAGGGAACCTCAGTATTACCATTGCCGCAGAATCGTTCGCACTCTGGACCATGGCCGGGTCTCTTGCCACCTGGGCCGTTGCTTCAGACGGCACTGCCACAGATGGGCTACGCATCTTGAACCCCAGTTTCAAAGACCCGGCCAACGACACATACGACCAGAACTATCGACATTTTGCCGAACTGGCCATAATCACAGCCTGGAGGGAGGGTTGTTATCCGAGCCGACCACCCCCTGAGCTCAGTGCCAGCGCGAGCTGGGACGAATCTCTCAAATTAGTGACTTCGAAATGGACATCCCTCCCCACCCTGGCACTGGATGCTCTTGGGGTCGGGACTCACCCACCGCATGATCCGGCTCGGACCACAATCTGCGACGGACTAGACATTGAAGTCGCATCTCAACCCGGCCGAGTCATCGCTTACTCTCAAGCCCTATCGCTCCACGTGGTCCCACCAACAGGTTCAAACGGCTACTTCTGTCTCCGGACCGAGACTGGCAACGTCGCTTTCGTCGCTCCCCGTACCGCAGACGAGCAACAGCTCCGCGATGGTCCTCAGACACTGGACGTGTTTGCGCTGTCCCTCGTGTATGCGTGCGCCGAGGATCTAGAGCACAGTGACTTCCGAACGAGTGGGTTTATGGACGACCCCACCGTGCTCCGCTGGCCTGATGGGAAGGGATCTCCTCTGCGTGGAGACTCCCCGATCGGTATCGAGTCGGACTTTACGTTCATCGTGAATCTTATGGTTGTCGCGACGCGAGACGGGATCAGTACGCGAGTTGGATTGGCGCGGACTTTTCTACGGACGTGGGTGCAGGCTGGGCCTCAATTTCAGCGGTTTATCATTGAATAAATAGGACCTTACTTCATGATACAGTGTAGCCATTATATTGCCTTTCTGCGAAAGCCTACTTAGATTCTGGGAGCCAGTAAATGACATTGATTACGTCGTCTCTTCATTTCTAGAAATAGGTATGAAGCCTCACAATGAACTTGGTCTGTCTAATCACGGAAGAGAACAGGCAGTAAGGTATTATCCAAAGAAATAACATCAAAAATTGGCCAAAGAAAAGAACGATTTCTCCATAGCAATGCGTGGTAACAAAAACCAAAAGGTCAGACTGACTGGCTTTGCATATGCAATGTCTCATATTGTTTTAGTGGGCGAGCCACAAATGCGAACAACAGTCGACGGAATGTCATGCCCCCAGTCTCACCAAACTCATCAAAGTACAAGCCCCGCACTGGCCCACGCCTGTTTGATAGTCGGTGGAGGTAATCAAAGATGAACATGGCGACATGGGCGCAGTGGTTCGAGTACTTCCCTGCTTGTTTAGACAGTCAGACAGCATTACGCTGGAAGGATGTAAAATATGGGACCCTGTTTATTGCCGATATCACCCGATTGACATAATCGTCCGCAGTGGCTTCGGTTGGGGTAAAATCTTCTTTGTGTATGATATGGGTGTTCTTGCCCTCTATGATGGCAAGAGTCGTCAAGAGCCGCTGGTCCTCGGAATATAGTAGCTACTGTATGTCGAAGCGGCTTTTGGATCCACGTTTGCTTTCAGACGCACATCCAACTAGGACGTGGTTCTCACTGATCCGAGTCCTAGGAATGTGATGATCGACGGCTGTGTCTCCGACGAGAAAAGGGGTGTCATTGTTCTGGATTTCGCTGGTGTCGTTTTTGGCCGCAGGTTAGATAGCCCATGCTCGCTGGAAGCAACCTCCTCCTCGGTCAATATATTTCACCTCTTCTCCGGTGGAAGAGAGATATAACATGGCAATTCGGTGAGTGGATTGATTGGGAGTGGAGCGGTTGGATGGAGGCAGAATATGGCCACACTGCTGCATCGATCACCGATGAGATGCGTGAGAACTACTGCCAATGATGGATCTACGGGGCGAAAGACAATAACAGCAACAGCCAGGCCGACGCGAAGTGAGCTTAATCTACCCAAACTCAAGACGGAGCGAAGAAGCCGGGGATATCAAGTGCTTTCTCTAGCCAGTATCCAAGGGTCTCTATCAACAAAGGAAGGTTCTGTTGATCCTTGCGGGTGGGATCTCTCGGGGTTTGCTTGGTTTCTTCGGTTACCAGCATAACACGCCAGCGCGAAGATAGGGGGTCATATCAGGTCTAGTCAGTATAGCCCGTTACTAGGTAAGGTAGTACCTAGTAGTATACCAGTAGGTGTTGTGGTGGGCTTATGTCTGATGGTGGATGCTGGATAAGCGGGGCTGACTAAGAGCAGACTTATGCAGCTGATTCTGTCAGCACAATCACCAATGTTGGCACCGAATCTGACCTGATATGGATGTGGGATAAATGACCGAAAATAGTATATATTGTTTAAATATCTCCAACTAGAATACCGCCGAATAAATCGATCCAGACTCGTATCGGTGAAGCGCATTAAACCGAAAAAACTTCACGTCAGCCGGACGGTAGATAATCCGAACAGCAGCCCCGCCTAACAGTATCGTTGCTCTGTTACCCCTCGCTCGCCCCCCCCTCCCGCCCCACCCACCGCTCTGTTTTCTTCTCTCTTTTCTTCTCTCCCTCTTCTCCTCCTCACTTCTTTCTCCTCTCCTCCTTTTCCTCTCTTCCCATCCACCCACTCTCTCCCCTATCTTTATCACCTTTTTCGGTATGTTGCCTTCTCCAGTTCGACATTCAATTCATTTCGAACCCATTGCTGACCTTGATTCCTGACAGTCTCTCATCACTCATACCATCACCATGGCTGCCCCCGCTCAACAGTTCAAGGTCGCCGACATCGTACGTCTCCCGAAATGAACTCAATCCCCCGCGACGGTGTCGTGATGATTGATTGTTCCGTCTACTAACTGCTTATAGTCGTTGGCTGCCTTCGGCCGCCGCGAGATCGAGCTCGCTGAGATCGAGATGCCCGGTCTCATGGCCATCCGTGAGAGATACGCTCCCGCCCAGCCCCTGAGCGGTGCCCGTATCGCTGGTTGCTTGCACATGAGTAGGTTGATCCGCCTCTTTTGCACGAAGTCATGGCCTAACTTCCTATAGCCATCCAGACCGCCGTCCTCATCGAGACCCTGACCGCTCTCGGTGCCGAGGTCACCTGGACCAGCTGCAACATCTTCTCCACCCAGGACCACGCCGCTGCCGCCATTGCCGCCTCCGGTGTCCCTGTGTAAGTCAATTTCTGGTCAGATCTCGATTATCACTCGCTAATCCTCCCTAGCTTTGCCTGGAAGGGTGAGACCGACGAGGAGTACGACTGGTGTCTGGAGCAGCAGCTCAAGGCCTTCAAGGACGGCCAGAAGCTCAACCTCATCCTCGACGACGGTGGTGATCTGACCTCGCTCGTCCACTCCAAGTACCCCGAGCAGCTCAAGGGCTGCTTCGGTGTCTCCGAGGAGACCACCACCGGTGTGCACCACCTCTACCGCATGCTCAAGGACGGCAAGCTGCTCGTCCCCGCCATCAACGTCAACGACTCCGTCACCAAGTCCAAGTTCGACAACCTGTACGGCTGCAAGGAGTCCCTGGTCGACGGTATCAAGCGTGCCACCGACGTGATGATCGCCGGTAAGGTTGCCGTCGTTGCCGGCTACGGTGACGTTGGCAAGGGCTGCGCCTCCGCCCTGCACAGCATGGGTGCCCGCGTCCTGGTCACCGAGGTTGACCCCATCAACGCCCTCCAGGCTGCCGTCCAGGGCTTCGAGGTCACCACCATGGAGGAGGCCGCTTCCCAGGGTCAGATCTTCGTCACCACCACTGGCTGCCGTGACATCCTGGTTGGCCGTCACTTCGAGGCCATGCGCAACGACGCCATCGTCTGCAGTACGTTCCACTCCTCCCTCTCTTGTCTTATCATCTCATACTAATTGCAATAGACATCGGTCACTTCGACATCGAGATCGACGTTGCCTGGCTCAAGGCCAACGCCAAGTCGGTCCAGAACATCAAGCCCCAGGTCGACCGCTTCACCATGGCCAGCGGCCGTCACATCATCCTGCTGGCTGAGGGTCGTCTGGTCAACCTGGGCTGTGCCACCGGTCACTCTTCCTTCGTCATGTCGTGCTCCTTCTCCAACCAGGTCCTGGCCCAGATCGCCCTGTTCAAGGCCGAGGATGCCGCGTTCGGCCAGAAGTACATCGAGTTCGGCACCACCGGCAAGAAGGAGGTCGGCGTCTACGTCCTGCCCAAGGTTCTGGACGAGCAGGTCGCCCTGCTGCACCTGGAGCACGTCAACGCCAAGCTGAGCAAGCTCACCCCCGTGCAGGCCGAGTACCTGGGTCTGGACGTTAGCGGTCCCTACAAGGCCGAGCACTACCGCTACTAAGCGGGGTGTTTAATTGATTATTTCCTTTCCTTTGTCGATGTTTGCTATACCCGGATCTAGACCTTTGTTCAACATGATCACGATGTTACGACGATATCATGAGCTCTATCAACTGCGGGCTCAAAAGTTTTGACCTTCAACGGCATAAAAAAGTGGCATACAGGGGTTTGATGGGTAGTTTGGGTTGTACTGGCGGTTTTGGAGTCTTTTGCATTCAACAGTGCTGCTAAGATGTCTTAATGTAGAGGTATTGAAAATATAATCATACCGTGTCGATCAAGTCTTCCACTTCCTATGTACATGTAAATGACCCCAGGTCACTTTAAGACAGCCCCATCAACTCAGCCAACATCTCCGCCGCCCGCACCGCAAACCCCGGGTCATTAATCTGGCGCTCATCCCTCACCACCCGGATCCCACTCCCCTCCAACTCCCTCTCCACCGTCTCAAACAGCACCCCATCCACCGCAGGATCATAAAACGGCTGCCCCGGCACATCAAGCATACTCACCCCACCAACAGGCAACAAAACATTCACCACCTCAGCCCTCACCACCTCCCCCTTCAACCTCCTCCCAATAAACTCCCCCACCCGCGCACTCTCCTCCCCAGTCGTCCTCATAAGCGTCACAGCAGCATTATGCTCCAGCAACACCCTCTTCTTCTCCCGCACAAACTCGAGGGGTACAGTCCCCACCGCCCCAAAATTCACCATGTCGCACGCCCCCACACTCACCACCTGCGGGATGCCCGCCCGCGCCGCCTCCAGCAACCGCTCCGGCCCAGCACTCAACACCCCGCCCACCACCTCATCCACCACCTCCGTCGTCGTCAGGTCCAACACCCCGTCTAGCAGCCCCTCGCGCACAAGCCGCTCCATCGCGCGCCCTCCTGCGCCCGTCGCGTGGAACACGTACACTTCGAAGCCGTATTTGGCTTCTAGGTGCGCCCGCGCGGCGTCCACGCAGGGCGTCGTCACGCCGAACATGGAGACGCCGATGCGTTTGGGCTTGTCTTTTTCTCGTCTTTCCCTTTCCCCTTCGCCTCCCTTCTCAGCAGTAACTGTACCAGTAGTAGCACCAGTAGCCCCAGAACCCACCCCTTCCACCCCACCCACCGAAGGAGCTAAAGAATCAAAATAAGCAACCGCCATCCCCGCCCCCGCAGCAGCCGCATTCCTCAAAACGCGCTTCAAAATCGTATTCGCGCCCGCAATATCAACAACACTATACATAAGCGTGATATCCGACTCGCCCACATAAGGCCGCACGTCCCCGCTCGCCATGGTCGACACCATCAGCTTGGGAAATCCTATGGGACAGGCGCGCTGCATGACGGCTGTTGCGAGGCTGGTGCCGCAGGAGCCGCCTATGGAGAGGACGGCGTGGATGGTGTTTGTGGTGAGGAGGTGCGTGGTCTGGGTGATGGCGTGGGTGGTCATTTTTTGGAGGTAGGTTGCGCGGGGGAGGGTGGATATTCTCTCTTCTTCATTATTTTTGGTGTCTTCATTATTGCTGTTTATATTGGGAGTGTTGCTGGTAGAATCCGGGTGGGGAATGTCAATGAGAGGATGGTCCGTCGGGGTGCGGCCGACGTCCATGAGAAGGGTGGTGATGGGTGGGTTTTGGTGTTTTTGGAGTTGGGCGTGGAGGAAGGCGAGTTCGGACCATTTGGAGTCGCAGGTGCCGAGGAGGAGGACTGTTGGATTCATTTTCTTTCTTTCTTTTTTTTCCCCTCCAATATATATATTGTCCTATTTTCTCGTCCTGTGTTGTGATGCTTGAGGGTAAGGGTGGAAGTGGGAGAGTGGATGTGTGGTGAAGTTGTTTGGGGCTTCCCCTCATTGCATCACTGTGGGGACTGCCACTACTTACTAGCATGTATATTGTTTTTTTGGTTATGAAATGGAGCCTGCATGTGCCACATTCAATGATGTACTTACACTAGATCATATTGTGAGTTTTATGTTCAATGGTAGAGACTTGTTCAAAGAATTGAATGTTAATATTCCTTGACTATTCCTACGTTTTAAGTAGACTATCCATCTACATGATGATGTCTACGGTTAAGTCAAACCTAAACCCAGCCAACCCGTGGGTTAGGCAGTCTAATCATGGAGTGAATAGTTCAAACTAAGCCTCTGCATTCGCATAAAAGTCCGGGGTAACCTAACTTGGTAGAGAAAGCCTGGATCAAGACAAGAGGGAAAGACCGAAAATCCTATACCAGCCAGAGATTCATCACTTACCGTGCACTATTCAAAGCCCCCTTGTCAGCCTTATTTTTACAACTCGCTTGTAGCCAGGGAACCAATACTTACACCGTCTTTATCCTGTTCCGATTCTAATTTAGTTTTATCAACCATTCCACCCGCTCAGAGACTGATCACTTACCATGCAAACACAAAGACAACCCCATTCCTCAGCCCAAGACTTGCCCTCAGGACAACACTGATACCGGCCCCGAGCCTATTAATGCTTATGTGAGCTCTATATTCGATAGCATTGGCGGGGTTCGATTACGCACGTCTTTTACACAATTCAGCTTTGGGTCCTCAACTTGGCTGGTCTCTTGGACGCGGCTTGATGCCACCAGGGCGGCAAAAGAGACAGCACAGAGAACAGCCAGCAGCTTCATGGCTGAGATGTTCTGCTTTTACTCGAAGATAGTTGGGTAATTAATGCGATGGTCCGATAGAAAATCTAATTGAAGTGCCAGCGGGTGCGAATAACGGCGGATAACAGTCGCTGTTTAGAATAACGAAGGGAATCCCCGTTGAAGTAATGAATTACGCCAGGATACTACTCTATGCGAGGAAGTCGGAATTCCAGTTGTATCATAACATATGCAAGGAAATACTGTACACTAGGAGCCATAATCTTCTCCAATCCCACTGCATGAAGATACTATATGTCCCCGGGCATACAACAGTATGCACCGTCCTATCTCAGCAACGAGATATTGATGGTATGCACCCTTGCATAGACATATCCAGATTGGAGTTGAGTACAGCACGGGGCGACGGCTCCTATCATCTCCCTCGCTTCTCTCTACCAGGCAAATACACCCCTGCTTGTGGCCCCGCAACTAGCTAGCCCTGTGTCAGAGCACTTGAATGCTAGATCTTGTACTCATCTACAATCCAGAGCTTTGGGATTCATGAGTTGATATCTTGCATTGCACCCATCAAATCTATATACAAAGGTAGACCATAGTATCATAGAAATCAAGCAGAACTGACTCTCACATTGGCTATATAGAGCATTACTGCTGAGGAAATAAATAATGATTTACCCAGTATCAATAATAGGGACACATTATATTACATATTTCATCATATTTAGTGGTTAAAAATTGGTTCAAATAATTATATGCGAATGATGCAAGTATGATCGAAGTATGCGGTAGCTCGCCATCGGGTATAATGAGTATGTCAACAATGAATATAGAAAAAGGAATCTGAAAAGCCCATAAGAAGAAACAATCATAGCATGAAGCCCCCCATGATAGCCACCGTAGACAGAACAATCATCCCGGAGCCCAGCGCAGGCACCGAAGCAGCATTCTCCTCATCCTTATCATCATCATCTAATCAATAGCACCACAAATCAGCAATCCTTCTTCACCAACACTAAGTCGGAACCAGAAAACTCACCACTAGGATCACGCCTCTTGCACTGCTCATCAATCACCCCGTTCCAGCGGTCCGCGAACTGAATCGCCACCTCCGTCCCGTTGGTGCTGCCGCCGTCACACTCCTTCTGGATGCACGGGGACACGGCGCGAATGGCCTCATTCATGGTGTTCTTCTTTTTGCCGGCGACTGGGATGGAGCAGATGCAGTCCATGCTGGCGTCGTCGCCGCAGTGTTTCTCGATGGTGGTCTTCTTGTACATTTTGTCGAGGCACTGGTTTGTGCACTCGGGCAGGCCTTCTTTCATTTGCGACCACGAGGTGTATTTGGTTTCGGCCAGGGCGGTGGCAGCCAGGGTGAAGAGGGTGGAGATGGTGAGCAAACGCATTTTGATGAGCTGATAGATGAAGTAATATGGAATTTATAGTAGTATTTATAGTAGGTCTGGTAGTAAAACTTGTAATGGGAGTTGTTGTATAGTGTACCGGGGTGTGGAGGACTGGTTGGAGAGTTGGGGAATTGATGATCAACGCACCCTTTTATAGCCTTCGAGGTCTTACTTTGAAAGTGGCTTGTATCAAGTATACCGCCTACCTTCAGGGCCGAAGTCAGCCCTAGAAGTACTTTAGAGACACTAAACCACCTAGTGCAAGGCTCTGTACCCCCCCATCAACCAATCTCAAATCATGATAGTCCAAGGAACCCCTCTTTCAGTTTAGCCCGAGTCTCTCATAGCAACTAAATCATCTACACTGCCCATCCCCCAACCAGCCTTCCACATCTTCCCCTCATCGCCCCCCAAATACCTATTCATAGTAAGCATACAAACGGCTCCCGCGAGACCCGAGCCAGGATATCTGGCACGCTTCGACGTCTGATTTGCCGGTTCGTCAGTTTGAGCACTGACACACTAGAGTCTTCCTCGGTGACTCTCGATTGGTCTCTTCCTTCCTGGGTCCGTCCTACTCACGTTGCATTGCAAACAATACTAGAAGTTTAAGGCACATTGGGCTTGAAAAGTAGGTTATTTTGCTCCCCACGCAGGTCACCGATGAGTCAGTAGCTAGCTGGCGGTCTATCTCTATCTATCGACTCCTACAATTGACAATTCCAATGGCAGAGCCTCGTCATGTGCCACACCAAGAGTGAACCAAGCACGGAGTACGACAAGTGGAGATAGACTACTGATAGTTAGACGGATGGTTGCCAACACCGCCATGCACAGCATACAGCCACCACGCCGATTCTAAGGGCTTAGATTCAACATGCCCGGCCAACGATCTGCTGTGTAAAGAATCTCAGCAGAGGGTTGACGCTGCACATAAGCACACTCATACCATGCCAACGTAGAGGCTGGCCTAGACTGATTAGGTAGTGGCATGTCTGTTTTCGTTTCATATGTCTAGCAACGCGCAGATTCGCCGGAGCGTAGATGGTTTTCCACCTTCAGATGGATGGTGTGGGTGTGGGTGTGGGTGTGTGTTCCTTGCGCAATCATTCTTGACGTAAAACTTTGTGGACAGGAGTTCCGGCGCCGGTTCTGTTTCAGGCTCCCATTTCGATGGTGGGCTGCCTTGTCCTTGGATGTGCAGCGAAGGTCTGAAGTCTACCGTATCGATTAATATATATTATACATCTGGCTGCGCCGCTAATGCAGTCCTGCGTCGTCGGTCGGTATCGGCTAGATGGTTGATTAAAGCGTCGCCCTAATAATAAGCATAATGCAACAGTCATTGGAGCTTTTTTAAATGGTTGGCACAATTTAAAAAATAATTTAAGATTAATAAAGTCCTCTCAATAAGGGGAGAAGGGGAGATATAAAAATAAAAAGATAAGAATAGTGCATCATCCGTGAATCGAACACGGGCCTCATCGATGGCAACGATGAATTCTACCACTAGACCAATGATGCTTCTATATTTATTTCTTGGCTTCTGCGGATACATATCACATTTAGCGTTCCAAGACAACTGAATGCATTTGGTTCAATGTCTACTAAGATCAAGACCAATTGCAGCATGGTGTGAAACGAATGCCAAACAATTCGTTACAGTTTTAAAAAACTCTTCACTGCCATCTGCATTCTGAACCAGCCCAAAGTTCAAAGAATCAAAACCTCTAAGCCACGCTAGCAGACCAGTTCTTAACAGTAAGGGTCGCCTCTCCACCAGTGAAGGGCTCAGTGCCGAATTGCACGGCTGCAACAGTTAGTTCATCTCATGACACTATACGGTTCAGGAAAATCTGCGCGGCGCATAGAACTTACTGAGCAGGTATTGCTGGTCCGCAGGGTAGGATTGTTTCTCAGTCAAATAGGTGAAGAATTCCTTAATGTCCGTGTCGAAGGACGTGACTGGCTCCGCGGCAACAAAGCTGTACACGTTCATGTCACCGTTGGGGCCGTTGTAGATGTCCCAGGTTTGGCCGCCGACCTCGGCGCTGTCGATTACTGAGCCGATGGGGCCGACCTCGCCGTATTGGCCGAGCCTGGTCACAAAATTGTTAGAAATACATACCGGTATATGTAGGGCATATACATAGCAACTCGGAAAGAGCCCTCGCCTAAAGAATATAGGTGGGAAAAGGAAAAGAAAACTCACCAAATCATCAGCTCGTAGTCACCACTGTACGTGACATGGTTGATATCCGCAGCAGTGAAGAGATCGTAGGCGACGTCGGCGCGGATATCAGTGTTGTCGTAGCTCCACTCTGCAGTCGAGGGAATACTCGTGATATCGCTGACCAGCTTCGGTTCGAGCACCAGGCCCGAGTTTGGATAGGTCTTGACGGAGTTCTCTCCGCCGGACCAGGTCCAGGTGGTGTGCCAGGCGACGCCGGCGTCCGAGCCGCCGTCGAGGGTGGTGCACTGGGAGCCGGTTCCCGAGTCCATTCCCCACATGTTGTTGTTGATGATGTAGGGGCCCTGGGTGATGGTGCCGTACTGCTCGCAGATCTCCTGCGCGGCAATGGGGCCGGCCATGGCAGCGGCCACGGAGAGGATCTGGGTGGTCTTCATGGTCAGGGAATTTTTCAGTGTTTTTTCGCACGCCTGGAGTGGATGGATGAGCTGATGGATTGGAGATTGTTCGTGCGGTTGGATAGCTCTTTATAGACTTTAGCGGTGGGCCAGGAGGTACTCTGCATGAAACTGGCTAAATGACGTGAAACAAGCGTTTTCAACGTTATTTGACTTGTAGACCCCATCTTGCGCACAACTTCCGAAATTGAACGGCATATTCGGTGGGGGGATAAGCCGAGATCGTGTAGATCTATAGTAAAACAGTCACGGAGTATTGCGGAAAAATTAACCTTCCAAGGCGCCGCGAATAGCCTGAAGTATGATGATTGCTTGGTCCGGCAGAACTACCCGTCTACCCGTCATATTCATGTGGGTGATCTACAGAAGGCTTACTTTTCTAGTATATTAAGAATGTGGGAGGACCGATGGGAAGGGCCAGGATATTGATGGGTTTTGATGAATGTTATAACGATCAAAAAGATCGTGAACTCTGGTTAGACTCGAGATATCATCTGCGAAAGAAAACCCCGCTAATTAGCTGACACGTTTGCTGTTTACAATGATCCATTATTATACAACAAAGAATAATAATATATAATGATAATAATAGCCATGATTATGATAAATCAGAAGAAAGGAATTCTAAGTAAGAGTGAAGCTGTTTGGTCTCTGATATGCATGGCTGATCCAGGAACGCAAACACACTAAGTCGGTAGCAGTAATATCACACAATGGGGGTATCAAATGAGCTATATTAAAGTGTGATGTTATTTCATATCAAGACATCGATGTAGACCGTACAAGGTGGATAGACCGTTAGGCGCATTTTGCCTAGTATAGACTCCTGTTTTTCGCTGCGAATCACTGTATGTGTCCAACATTGTTGGTGCCGCCTTGAAATGGCCGCACAAAATCTTGACAACCCATCTGGCGCTGTTAACACTGGAAGGCAATCATATATTTACTAGTTGGATACGCGGGACTCTACTGTCGCTTTCGATTTTTGCTCGTAACATGTTACGCATCCCATTGTAAACAAACATATCAAGGGTTATGTCTTACGGTGACGTCGTCTGGACCTAAAGCAAAGAGCATGAAGATGTCTAGCTGGGAATTTCAGACCCAAGGTCCATGCTTTCAGGCTCTGATAACGATGGCCTCTGATAACGATGGCAGTGTGATCAAGTGAACTGTCCACAATCCTAGCAATGCAAATCAGATTTTAGATTCAATGAGTAGGGTAAGAATAACCAAATTTCCAAGGAGTGACTTTCTGAAAGGAAAATATAGAAAGATAGGTAACCACTTCGCGGGTGCCTCTTCATCTAGCTGCTAGGGAAATAAGCTGCAGTGTGTCTGTCATGGGAGTGTCAGAAATTTCTGGTCCTGAGATTATATAAGATCTTAGCCACTGCACCAAATACTGAACGGCATGTTGGTAGGCTGGATATGACTGATATCCCTAACATACAATACACAGCCGGCCTTCTATAAGATATCTAATTACTCCTGGACAATATAATTTCAAATTATCTTTATAACACAATACCCTTATCCCATAAGCGTTCCATATGTTGATGTTGTTATGAATTACCCAATAATCATATACCCCGCTGGTGTGCGACGGCCGATGGTCGCTTTTGGTTCTTCGGGGATGATTTGTTGCGAAACTTACAGCGACACCGAGGTTCTAAAAAGTCCCCTTCGACATGACCTGAGATGTAGTAAAGAGACTGCTTTATCCATGTAAGAGGAAGAGTCCTTCTCTTTGATGAGCATTGAGCGGGAGAAGTGCATTTATCGATCTGTTCCCAAGCACAAGGACATTCTCGACTGTCTCGACATAACAGAGGCCGGCATTCGCTTCCCTTACATGCACAATGGGCACCTTCGCGATTATATCCGGAAGAACTTTGCGGATGTGGCCAATCTGATCAAAGATACTTAGAGGGAGTTTGCTATTAATGCAGTGTGATTTATCCATGCATATTCTGTGATACACGGAGATATCAGTGCCCGCAACTTTCTCGTTGCGGATGATCTATCAATCAAGCTTTGCGACTTTGCAGGCTCTGGCATCAGTGACATAGCCTCAGTTGTTATGAAAGAGGACCGATATGGGAAATCCCCTGACTCGCCTCAATTGTTCTAGACTGACTTATTCGCCCTTGGCTGCCTTATGTTCGAGATTGTGGTCGGATCGCGCCCTTACGAGGAGGTTGCCGACGACAATTGGGAAACAATTGCAGATAACTATGATCGTGGGATTTTTCCGCATGTGGGGGACTTAAAATACGGCGATATCATCTATAAATATTGGACGTCCCAATATTCGGAGGCTCGTCAGATTTTCTTGGATATTGAGAATGTGTGTTCGTCCACCATACTACGAGCCGGCCGGCGCGTGACCTATCTGCAGTGGAATAGTTATTAAAGGTGAATTTTGCACACCATGTTACGTCTTTGGCGTGAGTGCTCTTTGTATTGAGTTGCTTGACTAGAAATATATTGCATCGACAATGCGGAGACGTTGACTATAGGGAGAGACATGGTGTTGAGCAGAGACCCTTATAAAAGTTTCTATACTATGGGGATTTCTGTAAAAATTATTAGATTAAATAACCAAGGCACTTGGCTTTGTCTATATCTTTCTTTCACTTTTTTTGTTTCCTTGTGCTTTTTTATTTTTATTTTTATTTTTATTTTTATTTTTTTCAATTTTATTTTAATTTTTATTCTATTTTTATTTTTGGTTCCTTTTGAGTCGCAGATATCAAGAACGACGGTAATCATACTTGACATCAAACTGATGACTCACGCCGATACCTCCAGGGCCAGTGAGATGCTGCTCATCAGACTCAAAGTCCACCGTGCGCGTTGTCATGAACAGATCAGCATCGGGGTCCCGCTTATTCCGGAACGGCCGGGAGCCGGACGTATTACTGCCGCTGGAAACTTGGGTGTTCACGGGGTCATGGTCGAGGCGATTCATCGGGTAGATGGCGGCGCCGGGTTCGTGGATGCGCTGGAAGTCCTGCCCGTGCGAGACGGAGTACGTGGCCTGGGCCGTAGAAAACAGCCCCGGGAAAGCGCGTGCCATGATGGGTTTCATAAGCGGCATGTTGGCGCAGATGATGGCTAGCTCGGGCTCGAGCACGGTCCACATGACGCCCATCTGGACGGAGTGGGTGATGTTGTTGAAGTCGATGGCCATGAGTGATGATAGGCGGACGATACTGATGACAGAGACACTTGGGATTTTTAGCCACGTCGCCAATAGTTAGTGGGGTTGGAGGGGAGAGGAGTAATTACAGCAATCCCATGCAAAAGACAAAAATCAGTGCAATCTTCTTGGCCGTGTTTAACTGTAGCTTCCAAATATGAGGCACCGGAAGTGCCATGACCATTAGGTCCGTCACCAGATTGAGCACGCCGGCGGAAACATACGTCCCGTTGCGGTCTCCGCAGGTGCCCCCGGGGATCGTTATATCCCAATTGAAGGCCAGCGGACGACAGAGCAACACGGTCTCTAGGACAACACTGATGGCCCAGAGCCAGACGATGGTCATCACGATCCCAACGCTGATCTGGAAGCTTCGTTTGGTGCCGAAAATGCGCATGAAGAATAGCATCATCGACGTCTTGACTAGGCTCATGACAATCCCGTATAAGGCTTCGAGGGGTAGGATGGTCTGGAAGAGATGAATATTGCAGACAGATGCCTCGTTATGGAGAGACCGACCTTAAGTGTTATAACTACCGACTGGGGGTCAACTTCATTGATATGTCGACCTGCGCCGCCCTTGAGAGAGACTACCATACATCGTCAGCTGGAAAATGTCTGGTAGAGGGTACGGACAGATCTTGGGTCTGGAGCTCACGGATATATTGAATAGCGATATCGATGTATACAATTAACTGACAGTGTCAGTACCAGACCGACACGCCATTAAGAGCCACTGCGTCCCCAACTTACCAAGGCAACCAGAATTAGAATCTCGGGGGCCCCGATCCGGACCTGCCGCAACTTCAGAGCATATAGACGTAGACCAGTGGTGAACGTCGCGAGCAAACCAAAGACCGTCACAACAATGACCGGATTCCGTGCCAGCGGAGCATCCAAAGCGTATGTCGGCGTCATGACTGCGAGCAAAAGGCCGTGACAATGTCCGGGGGACCGTGTCAAGTTGGACTCCCGGACAGCTGGTTGTTTTTAACCACCGAAATGGGGCCAAAACACAGTCCTCCCGCATCCACAGCGCAGGATTTCGTGCAGGACTTTGGGAAGGATCATGGTTTAGATGAGGACGCCCCACCCTGAAGACGAAGCCCTCGGGTTGAGACCGAAAGTAATGGCGCATGGAAGTGGATATTCCAGTAGCATGGCCCGATCAAATCAGCCCCCACGGCCGGGCGAGGACTAGCACAACGGTTCGCTCTGGCATTTGGCACTTCGTGTCCTGCCTGGTGAGAGCTGGAGACGAAACATCAAGTTTAATGGAGGCAACTTCCCGCGGTTACGGCGTGGGATCCACCCGGATATCCGGTTCACTCCTGTCGGCCTGATAGCTTGACAGCCGGGGGTGGGTCCCACGGCTGGATGGGGTATAACGTGCAAAACGGCGTGAGTCCGGCCCTCATTCCAGCATGGATAAATCATCCCAGAGGTGGACTAATCAGTAGTCCTGCCTGACGCTGTAGAAAGAAGAAAATTGTGATGATCAAGAAGCCTTCCTTTATGTATGACTGGCTATTTCCATCGTCTGTGGAACATGTTTTTCGTCTGGTGACTGCCTCGAGACCCCACCACGGATATATTCACCCACAAGCCGCTTTTTATTCAATTGTCTACGCCCTGGAACGACAAAAAGGAAGATGCGAATTAATTATAGGGGAAGTGGGGTGGGGGGGTCGACTAACGGAATTCTTCCCCCCCACCTACCCCTCGGGCCTTTGGCTTTAGCTTATAGAGAGCTTCTCGCTCTAAACCTCGAGTTGTCAAACAAACCACAACCATGGCTGCAACGGACTTATCATCTGTGACGGACCTCTCCACCTCCTATGACTATGTTATCGTCGGCGGAGGAACGGCAGGGCTAGTTGTTGCCAGCCGTCTGACCGAGGATCCAACTGTGCGGGTTCTCGTGCTGGAGGCCGGCAGCAACCGCGTCGAGGACCCCAGGATTGCCGCCCCCGGCCTCGCTGTTAGCACGTATGGCAACCCGGACTTCGACTGGTGTATCACCAGTCCCCCACAAGTATGTCTCTCCTAGCCTGCATTCCTAGACTCACGCTAACCAAACCCCCGGTAGGAAGCCCTGAATGGCCGCTGCATTGCGGAACCTCGTGGTCGCACCCTAGGCGGCTCCTCGGCCATCAACATGGGTATGATCATCTACCCCAGCCGTAGCGACATCGACGCATGGGAGAAGCTCGGCAGCGCGGGATGGAACTGGGCATCGCTGTCGCAGTATCTGCGGAAATCCCAGACTTTCACCCCGCCGTCCGATGCCATCCGGGACGAGTTGTCCCTGGGGTACATCGACCCGGCTGTCCAAGGCGAGAGTGGGCCGCTCCAGGTCTCGTTTGGCGACGGCCCTTTCCCGGCGTTCAACGCCGCCTGGCCCAAGGTGTTTGAGTCTCTCAACCACCCACTGACAGGGGACCCCATGTCTGGCGAAGCGACGGGCGCTTTCTGTCACCCGGGGAGCATCCACGGGACGCAGCGAACACGTAGCCATACCGGTGTGACCTACTATAATCCCGAGGTGGCCAAGCGTCCGAACCTTCGCGTCGTGACAGAAGCAATGGTCGAGAAGGTTCTCTTGGAGAAGGGAGGTGACGGGGAATTCCAGGCCACTGGTATCCGATTCGTCGGGCGCGACGGAGAGCAGCGCACAGTGTCGGCGAACACCGAGGTGATCCTGGCCGCCGGTGCCATCAAAACGCCGCATTTGCTCGAGCTGTCTGGAATCGGAGATGCCGACCGTCTCCAGGCGCACAACATCGAGCCTCTCGTAAACAACCCTAACGTGGGAGAAAACCTCCAGGAGCACGGCTTCGTGCCGTTCAGCTGGGAGGTGGCCGATGGTCAGGTGACCGCCGAAGCCCTACGCAACCCCGAGGTCGCCAAACTCGCCATGGACGCCTGGACGACGTCGGGCGCAGGCCCCTTGGGACTGTGTACCTTAGCGTCAGCGTTCATGTCCCTTCCCGAGGAAACAAAGGCCGACGTGCAGCCTCTCATCCAGAAACACCTGGCGAGTGTGCATCCGCGCCACGAGGCGCAGTACCAGATCCTCCAAAGCATGCTCGAAGATCAGAACGAAGCGTCGGCGCAGTACACCATCGCGCCATTCCAGGTCACGCCGGAGAAGGGACCAAGCCTCCAGGGCGTTTTCGGCATGTCAGAGCCCGAGAACTACATGAGTATGGTAGCCGTTTTGAACCGCCCCTTCTCGCGCGGCTTCGTCCACCTGAACTCCCCCGACCCAGCGGCCCTGCCGACGTTCGATCCCAAGATGCTGTCGCACCCACTAGATCTCGAGCTACAGGCGAGACACGTCCAGTGGCTCGAGACGCTTGCAGCGACGGAGCCCATGGCGTCGCTGCTGAAGCCCAACGGGAGACGGCTCCACCATCACGAGCGGCCATCCGGTGTGGACGCGGCGCGCGAGCTGACGCGCGATCGAATCCTCGCGCATTACCACGTGGTTGGTACGGCGGCCATGATGCCGAAGGAAATTGGAGGTGTCGTGGACTCTCGACTGAAGGTGTATGGGTGCTCGAAATTGCGCGTCGTCGACGCCAGTATCATTCCGCTTATCCCGCGCGGAAACATCCAGACTACTGTTTACGCTGTTGCGGAGAAGGCGGCGGATTTGATCCGGGAGGATAACAGAGTCTAGTTATAGCTATTCTGAGTTTGTATGTATATTTATTGAGGCGTTGCCTTATTCAGACAGTCACATAGGATGAAACATGATCAAGGCTTCTGGCAAGGTTTGGTAGTGATTGCACATATGCTGTGACTGCTAAATGGGATTTATTCCCTGAGTTTATGATTAAAAGTGATAGAAAAAGAGCAATGACACAGCTTCCTCTGTGAATAATATATTTCGTCCGAAATCTTCAAATAGAATGACAACGAGCCCATCCTAATGAAGACCACAACCTGCCGAGGGAGGTGCAGGTCGACGTATCACTGATAGACCATCAGAGCCGTCGGATACGGGTAGTCAGCTGCAAAAGAAGCCCTAATTCTTCAACCGCCAGTATTTTCTTTTTGTTTAGGGATAGAAGGCAGACAAAAGCGTGCTGTGCTGATAGCTGTTCTGTTCTTTTTTACTTTTCCTATTTCCCCTTTCTGATATTGTTCGGCCTCCAAATACCATCCTTCCTTGCACCTTACATACACCTCCTCCATGCTTCGGACACGGTGATACAAGACAACTCCAACGATATATGCTACAGCGTCCGATATATTCTCCATGCGGGAGACAAGGCAGGCAAAGCAAGCCACGTGCGAGCTCCTTGTACTATGCATTTGCTGTGGCCACTTTACATTGCAGGGACAGCACATACTGCTAGTGATTCTCTGCGCGATTAAATTGTGTCGGCGATGAATCAGATCGGGCACGCCACTGGGATTCAAAAAGCAAAGTCTATGGCTTTGGATATACAGCGGCGATGCTTATTCCCATATTTGGCTTCCTATTTATCTCTCATGATCTAGACCGGGCGGAGCTATAAAGGTATCAGGCTGTTCAGGTGAGCTGCAAACGGAGGCGAGTGATCTCCAGGGTCATTACTATCGCACTATACTCTAAAACCGGGGAGGTTTTCAATTAACCGATTCATATGGCTAATAGTGTATAATCATTGGGGCATGAACGCGACCAACTTGGTGAGTGTGACAGTGCTAGGCAGGAACCAAAAGCCAACCGACCTCATGAGATCCGAAAGACCAGCTCACTAGGCAATGAACACAAATTGCCATAACTATATAAAACCCATGAATAGAATGTATTCTAAATATGAACCACTTTGTATGCATACATTGAGGGCGCCGCCATCCAAGGCCTGAAGTCTACTTTTAGATATCATACATTCTATACATGGCATGTTTTCTAGCATGGAACATAATATATTAGTATGTTCTTTCAATAAAGTCGTTATTTTAATATTTGAAGTAAATGACCCTAGGAGAAATATAGCCCTTATATACTGTTCTTCGGTGTAATGATGTCGAAAGGATGATGTCACCATAGGGTTTTGATTAGAACAATCAGTATATCTACCGAGGATATAATCAGATTCAACATCCTATCGATATTTCCCGAATCTAGAGCACCCAAATCGTTGTCTTTAAGCCAATATGCCTGCCAATGCCGACCTCGAGAGCATCGTCAATGAACCTGGCCGCGGTTTCTTGGGTCATCTTGCGTTCCTTCCAGTTGGCCGGGAGGAACATGCGTCTTCTATTCAACACTATCCGTACCGGGGGAGGAAGCAGTTCCTCATCGATTTTGAGACGGAACGGCACCACCATCGAACTGATGCCGGTGGGGATTACAGTGAGTGGTTTCTTCTCACTGGAGTTGATAGTCATATCTTCGAGAACGAATTCCTTGAACCTGTCGACCAAAGCACCCCCTGGACATCCTGGAGTTCGTACGACGCTCATATGCAGTTGTTACTCGTTAGAGTGACCAAATCACCTGCTCACGAAATCGCCTCCATGACCTTCAATGCTGTGTTTATGGAAGCCGTGGAGCCCACCGGGCTAAAGCGCTCCCTCATACAAATCGGTAGCACTACTCACTTTGCTTCCCTGGGTGCTAAAGAGCCCGATCAAGCCTGGCGGCCCCATCGACTCCCCCCTAGCCGCTCGCGAGACTGGCCCAGCGCTGTGATAGAGGTCGCCTATTCTGAAACCGAAGCAAAGCTGGGATCTGACGTACGTTTCTGGATGCGAGCGTCTGGGGGTGATGTCAAAGTTGTACTCACCTTGCGCATCGATCGCCAGCAGCCCAAAATCAGGATTGAAAAGTGGGTGAGCAGCAATAACACCAACACTCGCTATCACCTCGACCAGAACATTACTATCTCAAAATCAAAAAACCACCACATCATACTATCAAATGCACCGCTTACCATTGGCTTTGAGGAGCTGTTTCTGCGACCAGCTAGCATACCAAGGGAGAGGGATATTGGGGTGGATGCGGAGAAGCTGCAGTACTTGGCAACGGAGATATGGGATGAACAGGGATTCTGAAGTGAGTTTGCTAGCTGGAATGGCGCAACGGATGTATCATATTGGCGTCTTGATGCGGGAGACGGCCGAATTTTGGAACAGGTGGAATTCCAGCCTCGAGCCCTGTTTGAGAAACGTGGATTTGAGACCAAGATTCCCATTCCAGAGGACATGACGGCCCCTTACTCCCGGTTGGCTACTCTAGACGCTCAAAACGAAGTTCTAGGGTACACAGGTATCCTCGGGGAGCGATTATCTTTCCCACGAGAACAGCCGGTCTCTCTTGCGATGGGGTATTGGATTTATACCGCATGTGTTTTTTTAGCGATTGGGTTCTTGTTCAAGCAGATGCTTGGTCGATGGTTATCGCGTATGCGCTTCAATATAAATCCACAATGCTGAAAATGTATATAAATATACATCAAAGCACAGTTGATCAGTCCTGTAAATAAAATGTAGAGACTTCTAACCAAGTAGATCTCACCAGGAACCGTGGGCTTGCCCTTCCCCACACCGATCCGCTCCGAACCCGTCCGCCCCGCATCCCCACCTGCTAGGGTCCTCCGCAGACAAAAATAAATACAGATCTTGACTATTTCTCCAATAATTCCACCACCTCCCAGTGTTCTCGCTCCCGAGCTACCATGACAGGCGTTCGTCCCTCAGCCTCCAGATCCGCATTGGCCCCATGCTTCAGCAAGTAAGTAACAGCATCAACCTGGCCTGCAGCGGCTGCCTCGTGCAACGCCGTAAAGTCTTTATTCTTCATGATAAACCGAAGGTGATTAGTCTTCCGGTCATTATCATTGATATTGATATCCACTCCATATTTGAACAGTAGCAGGTCGAGCATTTTCAACTTGCCATGTGCAGCCGCCATCCCTAACGCGCCAGAACCATCAATCTGGGCGCCATGTTGAATCAACAGCTCCACCATCTCGGCATTGTCATTCGAGACCGCCAGTGCGACAGCCGGAAACTGGTACACCATGCCCGGCTTGTTCACATCAGCCCCGTGCTGTAAGAGGTACTCGGCAAGACTGAGATCGTTTTTCCGGACAGCGATGGTAATATAGTATCCCTGCCGACCGAGATTGTAATTCACGTCAAGCCCTGCAGGCATGAGAATCTCCACTAGGTCAAGAGACAGGCGCATTCCAACCGACTCATGGACCCAGCTGTTGAGCTCTACCTCTTTCGAAAGACAGGCTCGGACAAGGTCAAAGTCATGGCTGAGGATAGCTCGGCACAAGATGTGTTCCAGCGTGACGGGCAGTTCTGGATTGGGAGTGCTGCCTTCCAAGGCTGACTTCCATTGAGCGCGTTGCTCTGCGGGCGCCGGTGACCATATAATTCTTGGGTCTTCTGTCATTGTCCAGATTTTATGATGTGCTTGATGATCAACTGTATAGGAGTAGGAAGATGGGTTTGGCGATGAAGTGGAGGATAATAGAACAATGTGTCTTGACTATGGACTTCCTTTATGCTAAGCCGGTTTGCTGAACCCCATTACGTAGCGAACAGGGGATTTGCATTAGTTAGTTACAGCCCATTGGGTATGACTAAACGCGGGGCGAGGGCTAACAAAACACAGCCCAGCAGGTAACTAATACTAAAGTACGTATGACGCTCTTCCATACCTGCTCAGCCCTAAATGTAATAATACTATATTAGACGCATATTGCGGATCTTACATTCCCGACCCGCTGCGTTCGCTGAACTGCGGGGTTTAAGACCCACTTTGCCAACTGCTTTATCTCTGCTCAGCTTTATCATCCGATAAGCTGTAAGCCCTAACTATACTAATTGATACTATACCTTAAATATTGGGGCCATACCCGGTTAGTTAATGGTTCTGACTTCTCATACGCGCCCAGCTTTTAGTCTGATAAACTATAAGCCCTAATGAGCTGTGGCCCCCGCTCAAGCTCTAAATCTGGACCTTCCCACGTTGGTGGTGGTCAGACGCAGCCCTGTCGGTATCGAAATCCTCTCCACACGACAGTAAGAGCGGGCCCGTAGCTGGAACATACGCCTGTGCGTTGCTTGTCTTTATACGCGTCTCTGCTTTCTCATACACGGCTTATCAGGAATATAGATTGGTGTGATGTCATTCTGACAGCAGAGTTCATCCTTAAGATAATACGGTGGTAGGGCTCATGCTGTAGGTTGATTCATTTTATGTCAGCTCTGGTGATACCTTGACTGTAGCTACCGTCTCTTCAACTGAACTATTTCGTATTCGACGCGTTTTTGATGGAATATGCTTGTTTACATAGTCAGACTACACTTTAGCCGCCGACGAGCATCTGCCTCGCACTTATTCAATTGTCTCTACAGAATTGGAGGATATAAGAAAAGATATATGAGGGATATTCAGGGAACTGAGAGTGTACTCCGTACTCTGTTAAAATACAACGCAAACGACCATCCATCACCCCAACTAAGCCCTGCATCCTGACACCACTTCACCACCCAGCAATCAGAACGGAGGTTTATCGTCCCAGTCAAGGCACTCGCCACCATCCCAAGGAGGCAAACCCTGCCTCTTCACAGGGTCACCCTTCCTCCAAATAGTCTCCTTCGACTTGGGGTCCGAATCCTTAACCTTGACGATCTCATCCACGCCAGAATTCTCCTTCAGCGCCGGAAACTCGACCCGCGCCCATGTGGTGCAAGCATCTTCGTGGCCCATAATGACGTGAACCACTCCAGAGGTGTGCTTTGCAAAGACCCGGCTGGCTGTATCGATGTAGGCCCTGAACTCCGAATCCTCCTCGTCTCCTTCGAAGGAAAGGTCCGGGAAAACATGATCCAGCATTTTGTACCCTTGGTCCGTGAAATGATTCAGGGAGTCGATATAGCCCAGCTTCGAGAAGAACAGCGACTTGCTCTTGGGTGGGCCGACGATTTTGGAGTTGATTTCTTCCTCGGATGGGTATTTGCCCCGGGCGACGATGTCCCTGGTCGCGGGAGGTGTGATGCTAATGGCGTCGGTGCCATCTAGGGCTAGCGGGAAGGCAGACGCTAGGAATTGGGAATTGAACAAGAGGCCGAGACATAGTAGAAGAGACAGGTAATGAAGCAACTTATTCGGAAGAGATTGCATCTTGATTCCGGCTAAGTGGGATGGCAAGGGAATGCTCAAGCAACGGTAGTGACAATGGAAAGGTCTTGGAGCAGGGAAGAGATGGTAGAGGACTCAGTTGAGAAAGCGTTTGAATTGATAGACTTGAGACAATTAGACAGACCACTTTATATGTATTCTGCCCAGCCTAGGACCTTGTATGAGGCATTTCTATCCAAGCTGGCTCCCATCTGATTCCAAATCCTCTACTGCAATCACAGCCCCTAACGTCTGGCGGACCAACAAGTACAATCCCAGGGCAATGTGCAACTGAAGCAACATCAGAACACACAAGAACTGGCTATTTACTAGCAGTTGGTCGAATCGACCAAGTGATCAGCATTTCTAAATTTAGGGCCCACTATGGTGTACATAGCAGAGAAAGCTACTCTGTGCTCAGCACAAGCACACACGGACTCCATTCTGGCGGGTGCCGTTTCATCGGCGATTCAACAACAGGAGTCAGCTAAGTTTCAAGCCATCACTGCCATCTCGGGATTAGGCCCGTCAGCCGGTTCGGCTAAGGGACAAAGATCGTCGAAGGATTGGAGCCCACAGCCCCCACCGGACTGCAAATCTTATAGACGACAAAGTTGTGAACTCACTCTTTCCATAGATGAACCGGGATCTGCGAATGGCCCCATTTCGCAGCCTTATCAGGGCTTATTATGACGTCATCTGATGTTGGTTATTGAGTCGATTCTAGCATATAGTGTGATTTCACTTGGCTATCTCTCCGTGCAACATTGACTGTCTGAGGCTAGTGGTCAGGAGAGGTTGTCAGCTTGGATTGTGATATGACTTCGGAGTTTAGTTGGATAAAGTAGTGGGCATGAGGGGAAGCCAGAGTGTGCTCCAAGCTTTCTCTATCCCGCGTCTGACCTTACATTATTCCATTCAATTAAGCCCGGCACTCATTGCGGATACACTACTCCACAGGTGAATTACTGATGTGGTTCTTACCCAGCCAGGTGTAGGAAGCACAGGTATTCTCATGTTTGGGTTGATCTACAACGTGTTTACCGGCTTGACAGATGTGTGTTGAACATGCTTCTTCTCTCTCTATTTCGATTTCTTAAAAATAGAAGAGATAGAGAGAAGAAAGCCAGACAAGGCTGACACAGGTACACAGGGGTCAGTTAATGTCTCATAACAATGTTGAAGATCGCATAATCAAATAATGAATTGATAAAAGTCAATCTTTAACCAGTACTCCGTACAATTGACTACCGGGATAGTTATGCCTGCTAACTGGATTTCTATCAGAAATCTAGCCAAGGACCTGATCGTCAGAAGCACAGCCCAGTAGGGTATACCGAGCACGCCCGCTTGTCTGCACACTGACACTACAGCGGTGATATTTTAGCATATACCACTGCCGATCGACGCGCTAAAGCCATGAATACAGCTCAAAACATCTGGAGAATAGAGCACAGGCATTCAGCCGCTTGGAACTGCGCTTACTTGAGAATTCAGAAGCTATTTCCCCGCTGTTTAGCGGTTGCAGCGGGGAAGATCTTCATCAAATGACTTTCCTGTTAGTATAGATCTTTGGTATAACTTTATATACTATCTTATAGATTGCATCATAAATTAGAATTTCTATCTTAATTAGAGTACTTTCTACCTGTAATAACCCTTATTATAGTATGATTGTAAAGAGAACTTAGTTCTTTATCTTCTGAATCTTATTATCTGCTTAGAGGAGGAGCTTCTTCTCCGGAGTCTCTAGCAAGCTCTGCATGACCACGTGATAGTGGTGGGTTCAGTCTCACTTGCTCAGCTGGTAGATCAGGATCGAGGCGATCCGAGTCGTGGTGTGGAGGTTGTTCTACGGATCCTCTGCTGCATAGTCACGACTCATGGCCTCATGTAATCTGTACAGCTTTACAAAACACCGAACTACTCCGTAGAGCCTTTACCATACAAAGAGGATCACTTCTGAATCGGGAAAGCGAGGTCAGTATGCCTCATCGCAGGGATGGTTGCAAGTCAGACGGTGTGTTCCAAATAGGCAGACTGCCCTCAGTGGGCAAATACACTAAACACAGACATGATTCTGGCCCCCAATATGAAGCCTGAAGTGTGAATGATGGGTAAGCGAGCTGTTAGGTGACGTCTTCACAAGGTGTCGTTATTTTGTCTAATTGGGTGACATGCTAACGACGGGGATTGTGTCCGGCTCGGTAGCTCCATGATGTTTTCCTCCCAGTCCCACACGGTGTCGGACCATGCTTTGAGGGGTCGAACCCACTGTTCTTTTTTTATATTATTATCATTATTTTATTTATTTTGTTATTTATTTTATTTATTTATTTTCTTCTTATTTTATCATTGGCAAAGCTGTTTTACTGGGGGTGTAGGCGATGTCAGCCTATAGATCATGGAGATGAAGCTCTAATGGTTGCAGATGGATAGATACAGAGACCAGAGGGAAGTGCTACTCATGCCTTGTCGCTGAGAAACAAGATATAAAAGGCCCCAACCCTCACCTCCATCTCTCATCTATCCAACCCTCCAATACTCCAAATCAAAGCACATTGCAAACAAAGATCCTCATTCTTCTCTAATACAAGAAACCCAATTCCGCCCACCAACATCAACATGCAGCTCAGCACCATCATCTTCGCGGCCACTGCCTTCCTGTCTGGTTCTGCGCTGGCAATGCCCGGCCAGCTTTTCCAGCGCTCGTCCGTCTCCTTCTTCAACGGCGAGAAGTCCATCGTTGCTGAAGTGGAAGAGGACCTCCTCACTGCCAGGGATCTGCTGCAGACCAGAACTGAGGGTGACATTGATTGCAAGGGCTCTGCATTCTGCGAGCGGCTGGGGTCCAGCTGTGACGACGCCTACCGTAAGGTTGTTCCTGGCAACACTTACAGTGCCTATCTCGAGTAAGTTTCTGTCTATTGTCATTTGCCCGCGGGGGCTGGCATTGTGCCAAGCATGTCTAACTCCTTGTGTAGTGACTCCGACACTGGTACGTGCAGCGGTACTTGTGGCCTCTTTGTTAGCGGTGACCGTTGCTCTGCTACGGGCCAGGAGCTACAGGAGGCCTACGATGAGATCCGAAGCAAGGGCTCCTGCACCCACTGTGGACGGAAAGAGATGAAGGATGGGTGCTTCATCAAGATTGACCGTGTGACCGGATGTTAAGTTATAGGATCGAGAAGCTGGCTGTTTATCTCGATGAGGGGACTTTGTTTGTTGAAGAGTTTGGGACTCGTTTGTTTGTGTATACATGTGGTTCTCGTGAATAAGCAACTTTGCTTATAGAGAATCCGTCTGTTGGCTGATATTTTTGTGCACCTGTTTTATGCTGTCTATCTTTTTACCTAAGTTATATCATCAACCATTGTACCGAAGAAAGCATGAACTCATGTCCCTGATTATAAAAGTGATTGGCGACTCGCCTGTAGGCTGGCCGAATAACCAGAAGCAATGGAGTATACTCCAGAGTTAAGTCTGTGTGGGTCATTGGCTTCTGTCAGTGTTCAACATGGACTATCACATTGTAGAGATTGACAAGTTAATTGCTAGCCGAGGGCCCACTGCCTTACAGCGCCACTGCAGCTTGTGGGTAAAGATCAGCACACACCCCAGTCAGTCTAATTCACCCCCCCTTTAGTCCCATCTAGTTAGCTCCCGATTTAAAAACCACTGGTGACTCCTGGATTGGAGTGTGTGCTTATGATTTTTCTCTTATCTTTCTTGCACCTTTTTCTTTGCTTCTCTCGTTGCCGTTTCTTTGAATATAACACTTCAACCTTTATAGACTATAGCCATGATCCCCTCGAGCAGCCGCATATGTTCACAACAACGTATACTACTGACGGCTTTAATAGCCATCTGCGGCATATTTATATATCTAATGTGGCATGGAATGAACTCAGACCGAGACAACGTGCATCCTATAATCACGCAGCTCATTCCAGCAGGCCATTGCACATGCCAGACATCGACATCCTTCGAGTGCGCAGACTGCCTCACATGCCTCGACTCGCAAAATTCGTCCTCAAACACTGCCTCCCCAAACTGGACGTACGAGTATGACCGCGACAACAGCAACCTCAGCCTGAACAAAGACCAATGCAGTCATTCATTCCCAGGCCTCTTCCAAGACGTGTACAGGGGCGGCGAATACTGGAAGCAACGAGGCGGCGTGACCTACGCCGACCTCGAAGCAACGCCTCTGGAAAAAGGCATGGCTCGCGCCATCATACACAACGGGGAATTATACGTCGTCGCCGTCCGCGCCGGAGGTGAAGACCACCGGCGCAAAATCGTCGCCACTCTCTCCGCCATGTACCGTGCTCTGGCTGCCTCACCGGATCGCTCCACAACCCCCAACATTGAGTTCATTTTCTCCGTGGAGGACCGTGTGGACGATGTGAATGCCAATGGCCATCCCGTGTGGGTGTTTTCGAGGAAGGCCTCTGAGGAGTCGGTGTGGCTGATGCCGGATTTTGGCTTTTGGTCTTGGGGTCACTTGAGCAATGACATTGGGCCCTATACCCAGGCTGTTGATAAGATTCGGGCTACCGAGGCCGAGGGGTCGTTTGTGGACAAGGAGAAGAAGCTTGTCTGGCGGGGCAAACTGAGCTTCGCGCCTAAGTTGCGTCGTGCGTTGCTGGATATTGCTCGGAATCAGGTATGGGGCGATGTGAAGGAGGTGGATTGGAGTCGGAAGGCAAATTTTCTTCCGATGGAGGAACATTGCCGGTATATGTTTATCGCACATGTTGAGGGTATGTTTCTTTTCTCTCCTTCTTCTCCTTCTTCTCCCTCTTCTCCCTCTGATGATAAGAAATATACTGATATCCAATAACAGGACGCGCATATTCCGCATCCCTCAAATACCGCCAGGCCTGCCGTTCAGTCATCGTTGCCCACAAGCTTCAATATATTGAACATCACCACTACCTTCTCGTACCATCAGGGCCGCACCAAAACTACGTGGAAGTCGAAAGAGACTTCTCCGACTTGCCAAAGGCGATGGACCATCTCTTGCAGAACCCCGATAAAGCACGAGAAATCGCCGACAACAATGTAAAGACGTTCCGTGAGCGGTATCTAACCCAGGCTGCTGAGGCATGTTACTGGAGGGCGCTGTGGGATGGCTGGGCAGAGGCCACGGCGAATATGGAACAGCCTTCGGTCCCTGTCTACCAAAGGGGCTTACGCTACGAGTCTTTCCTGCTGCTGGACAGTAGGGATATGCTTCAGTTTTCGTTTGCTCCTGATCAGTAAGACTGCATTATGATTGCACGATAGATATGTCATTTTGGATTGTCATTTCTGTAAATTTTCTTGTTTTGGGTTTGTTGATGCTGGATTTTTGATTACTTGGAATATAAATGCTTGCTGTAAGGCCACTCCGATCTACCCGATACAGCCTCATCACCAGAACATGTAGACGACATTGGGGCTGTGCAACGCCCACATATACATATAACTCAAACCACCTCCCCGTCCCATTCAACCCACCATTCAACCCCAAGCATGCCACCCAGCACATTCCCACAATTCCCCCTCCTTCCCCCCGAGCTCCGCCGCCAAATCTGGTTCCTCGCCCTAGGCAAGCCCCGACCCGCACTGTACCCCTTCCGAACAGACTGCTGGTGTCCGCGCCAACTCCGCGAAGGAGACGCCAACTAAATCCCTTGAATTAAAGCTTCCTATTGATACCTAGACATTATTCTAGCAGCTCTTCTCAAATATCCTCCTGTAGTATATCGCGAGACGCACTAATGCCAGCTATGTGTGTTGGGTGCTTGGGATGATTATTGTAGCAACAATTTTTATTGTGTCATTGTTTGATAAAGCTTAGAAATAGAAATTAACAAATTGAAAGTGCATAGGCACTAAACCCAACAATTAGAAAAGTATACAAGTGCTACATGAGAAGAACCGTTTTTTTATACCGGCGCAAAAAACAAGGGTTAAGTAATGTTAATGTTAATGGACACATTTTACAGAAGATAGATGCCTGTCGTGACAGAAAATTATAAGATAAGTACTTGATTCTAGGCACTGCTTGTCTTGATTCGACCTTCAAGTTGGACCTTGAGTTGGGATCATAATAAAACAGAAGCATATTCAGCAAGAGCTAAATACTCAAGTAATGCCAGGGGCTTCACCAACCTAGCTGTCCTCTACTAGCAATGGTGCTTCCCACTCCTTCAATCTTCTCTCATCCCAAAGAGCGTAACTCCATTCCCAGTCCGTCTCAGACTCCCGATTGAAATCCATGGAATCCTCAAGTATGTCTTCCTCATTATGGGGCAGCAGCCATGCTTTCTTCCAACCCACAGTAGGCTGTTCAAGAGGGGACAGGGTAGACCAGAGCTGTTCAAAATTCTGGGACTCATACCGATCCGCTGGATCGATAAAGGGGAACTTATGATCCCACGACAGCCCGATTCTGAGTCCGATGAATGGGCCCGGCCAGAAGCCCCGGGTATTGATGCAAACGAGATTACGTCGAGAAAGCCGATCCATATGTAGAACGCGATATAGAAATTCAGGCCCTAGCCCCGCCAATCCCTCGAAATGTTGGTGGAAGTGAACAAGGTCACGTTCACTCTCAATTTCACAACCTGAAGGTGGCCGTTGTTCTATAGGAAGAATATCCCAAAAGAACTCGCATGGTGTACTCTTGCTGAGCTGTTGTAAGTCGTCTGTAACTTCTTTGGAAATAGCCTTGGTCTTTGTAATAAGATAACTGAACACGCTGCCCATTTCTTCGTGTTCCCAAGGGGGTATGGTGCCATAGAATAACTGATATGCCATCTCGTGAATGTACCAAGCACCGTGTGCTCTTTTGAGATCTCGTAATTCGTGTGTTTCCCCTAACTGCCAGACTTTCCTGCGCCCGCATGAATCACAACTTTCGTGCCCGAAACAGTGGACTGGGTCCCCGAAGATATTTTTCAGAATTTGGAATCGACACATCGCCCTTAGGAAACGGCGCTTTTCGGAATGCAACAACTGTAAAGGCAGGCACTCGTTTTCCCATTGGATAGGCTGGATCCATGGGGGCCTTGGTGCATTGATTGAAAAGTCCTCAAGGAAAAAACACAGCATTTTGTGAAAATGGAGTAGTTTTATAATTTCCCCTAGGCCGTTAGGCTCGTCCAATTGATTCGACGAGGATTGACTGAGCCCACGAATCTCATTTCTGCGGCGCCAATTATCCAGCAAAAGAATTGCGTTTTTCATCTGGAGGCTAAAATGCACGCCTTGTGACCGCACAGCAGTGAGCGCTTCTGCCAGGTCAAGAAATCCACTATATTGCCGTTTTACAAGACATCCAAGTAGTTCGCTTCTCACTGCAAGATATGCCTGGTGGTATCCGGGTGATGCAAGCACGAGGGATTTGAGGGTATCGCCGTCCTGCACTCGGAATAAGATGAGAATCTTAAGCTCGGTGGGAAGACCCTCAAGGGTTGATTCAGCCTGGACGAAATTTTAGCTTAATTTTATTCGAACTGGTGCTTCGGACTCACCATGTTTCATGAAGCTACAACCAACTGCTGTGTTGGAGGGGGAAATGAGGGGTTGACAAAAGAAAGATGTTCCTTCCAAGGCTTCAAGCGCCTGGTCACCCTTACATAAGGGTTTCAACAGTCTATCTAGTCTTTAAACCTGTCTATGTGAGCCGTGTGATGAAAAGCCGCGCGGGTGCAAGCAGGATAATATCATCCAATCAATGCGGCGGTAAACGGCGCTGTGGCGATTTTCCTCCCCTAACACCAACCTGGGCCTTTGGCGATCGGTGGGGACGCACCCTCGTCCGACACCCTCGGCCTGCGGCGTGTTTTCGCGTAGGTCATTCGAGAATCTGATTGACCCGATTATCCACTGCTTTTATTTATTAGATTACTCAAAGGTACGAATTCTGATACTTATTTTTAGAGTTGGGTTGGGTGTGGTTTGGTGCAGTTTTGAACCGGAAAACCGCGTCTATGCAGAACATCACAAAAAATGTTGATTGATAATCAACTAATCTAACTATGATTAGACGTGGTTTTGTTTTTATTCCAAACTATGAATCCAAAGCAGTCACATACCAGATTTAATATTGTACTCTGGTCTACCTAAAGTGGGCAATAAGCGGGGTAGGTTGGTGTGATAACAAATCCTACATGGATTACTTGGTATATATAGAATGATGGAATATTTCCAAGGAACAAACTTGATTGGTTTACTAGTGTCACGGTCACAAAGAATCCTGAAACCCACCGTTTACCAGACACTCAACTAAACAGACAGGATGTAAATGTAAGATATCAGCCTGAGACATGAATTGCAAGACAGCGATTGCTGAGTTAAGGGCTTTGATTGGTTCATGCATCTTTATAATAGGTAATCCCGTGAACTAAAGCTTCCTATTGATACCTATCAAGGGCCTTTTTAATACGGGTTTTAATATTTTTCAGTATATGTAGATGTAGTAGGCATGGTGGATGGATGGAAATTTCTCAAGAACATTTAGAGAGGAAGTTTTCTATTTTAGTGTGGTGCACTCACGGGACTCCCTCAAAAGCAACTTTACCAGAGGAATCACAGATTCAGAGGGTTTAAGGGGTTTACAGGCGTTTTGTGTACTATCAGAGAGCTAGAGTGCATTTTAATTCGAATATATCACTTAAGTTTCATTATATATTTTATCAGTGGCGCTTACAGGACTCCGTACCTGCGTACCTGAAACCCATCTTCACGCTATATCATCTTTTGCCGCTGGCTTTGCGTTCTGGTGCTTTTTTTTTTTTTTTTTTTACTTTGATACCAAGCTCTTAGTCCCATAACATTTGGGATATTCTAACAACAGCCCGGCGCTAATCAAGTTTCATCATGGTTTTTTTGCGTGGGGAAGCAAAGTGTCAACATCTAGACCATCTCCGTCGAGGCGATTCGACGGTCACAGGGTATCTATCTAGAGATCGCCGTTATATTTTTCTTGACGCAAACCGGGCGTCTCGCTCATAACTTTATGCTGTAGCTGTTTCTATTTTGAAGCTATTAGAAGACTTTAGTCGGTGACACCTCATGAAAGGTCTATATATTATCCTTTATGTCCCTACGTGTCCATGTAGCTCATAATTGTGTAAACTCCTGCTCCTTTGGCTCCAAAATCCCCATTCGTCTATATACTATTTCTAAAGGTCTCTTCTGTTGCCGCGAAAAATGTCATCACACCGAGTTTATTCGTCCTCTGCGCCCAAGTATGAAACCCGGAGGCCTGGGCGTACCTATGCTTCACCTACACCAGAGTCATATCATGGCCGGCAGTTTGTGAATGCCGGGACCCAGGAACAGTATTGGAATTCCCGGGGCTCGACAGAAGTTTGGGATCCGTCTAAACCATTGAGCTCTGTGGCTGCTCGACCAGACACTTATGGCCTAGCCCATTCCTATCACGAGACGACAGTGGAACACAAATACAGCGATCCTTACAAGAAACGTCCAAATCCTTACACAGCCCGCACAAAAGCTGACTATGACGCCTACAAACGCCCCTCAGAGGGACATAGTGGCATAGCAGAGGAAGTACGTCGTTACAAAGATACCCCAGTAGGGAGAAAGACCTCCCCCCACGAACATCATCGTGACAACCTTATAAGAGGGAAAAACCTCGCAAAGGAGGGCCGTGACATGGCAAACATGTAAGAGAAAATATTCCCATAAATCATCAACAACCGAAATTGACTTGACTAAACAGAGCCGCGCAATCTCGCTCGGGCTTTGACCACAAGTACCCGCAGGCTTATGAGAGTCGTGATGCAATTAGAAGACACGTTACTCAAGCAAATAGCCAGAAAAGATCTGCTGCAAATTTCAGAGACGATGGTGCTTATCTAGATCAGAAACTAGACACCTGGGGAAGACAAATGGATCGTCGAGGCAGACGTTAAACATGATGGACCTATCAAAAAGCCCTGGCGGGATGATATATGGCACATAGGTGGCCAAGGTGCTTGACTGAGTGAGTGTTACGGTCAATCATATCGGTCGTGAGATGGTTCGCCCGGAGGTCGTATCTTCATTACCATCGAATCGTAACGTTTTCGAGGAACTCTGACTATATAGTACTATTCTATTGGCCTGATGTATATAGAAAGAATTGCAAACTTGTATCTAGAGTGATCTTGCCACTGGCAAGGATTTGTCTCCATATCATTAAGACTATTGGTTCTTTGGCTACTCTTTTATACTGACTGCTTACCTAGTCAACATGTCATCCACCCTGACAACCTTCTTTTTTGGCTACCTAAGACGATTATATGATTTAATCTTGTGGGAGGTAAGGCCTGAAGAGTGAATAAAGAAAAGATAAAAAAGTATATAAGAATATAGATTAATTGATTGTTCCCCCTTGAATTAGCTATGAATCTTTCCACTATATTTATTGATAGGATTACAGTCCTAAACCTCCACCTTTCGATACTTAAATAGTAGATTAATAATTCTACTTTGAAATGGGTAGCATATAGATCCATAATACTTTGGAGTCAATACAGATAAGTAGCCTATCTTGATGATAGTTAATGATATTTTTACAAATTGAGTTAAGATATATAATTTTTGCAAGTAAATAAAGAGCTTTTCTATATAGTAGTTGCCACACATGAGCCATGTATAATTTTCATATCTTAGATGATTTGCTACTTTGCTCCTGTTTCTGATTAGCAGAGACACGATGATGGGATCACTGCGTGAGCCCGTCTTGCCTTTGTGGTTGTAACCCGAGTACCAGACTTGCAGCTTTATCAAGTGTATTGGTAGAACTGTTACTGCTGATGTAATTTGCAAAATACCTACTGAGATAGTGAGAAATTGGTTTACGCGGTAGTTTATGATTACTGTGGTTGATGCTCTGTGGTTGATGCTAAGACTTGTGTGGCGCTTCTGATGACGCTTTTCGCAGATACAATGTCGGGATTCTATTTCTGATTCTAGGGGCTAGTGACTGTGTCTCTACTCTTGGATTCATAGAATAGTGGTTACGCCGGGGCAGGTGGGCGAATACGCTTGTACGGCGGCTTGCCGTGGGTGGAGATGCTATGCGTTGGTTATGTTGGCTTGGCAAGAATAAGAACTAGTTTAGTATGTTTCTAGTTTCGGGTGATAATTCTATGATTTTCCATGGCAATATTGATCCTCTAGGTGGAGGGGTTGGATGCTGTGGTGAGTTGTAAATGAGAACGACAGACAAGTCAGTGCGTGATTAGGCAACGATGTCTGTAGCTTGGAAGGCAGTATTTTTCGAAGCAAACGGCTAATATTAGATATGAATGATTTGTTGTGCGTCTTGCTTTTGTTTTCTTTCTTTTTTTTTTTCAAGAGAACAAGGGAATAGAATGAAGTGATGAGCGAAAGAAGGATGATAAGAAAGTGAAGTTAGGAACACTGGTAAAAAAAGAGAGGAAGATATGGATGTGAGAACCCTGACATTCCTTACCTGCACCTCATGGATAGAACTATAAATATATACTCCTTTATAACGTTAGCTTAAGTACAACTAAGTAGATGGGAAGCCATGTTCTCCACACCTTATGGTCGTATGTACAGATATCTCAATGAATCACTATATAATACCCATCACTAGATTTAGAGTAAGATCAAGAGGCCCTTGCCTAGAGAGTTCACATTTAAGTACAGAGTGAATAAAATTGAATTCAGATATTACAATGATGCCTTGTAGTCCTAAATTGTGACAGTATTAAAAGTGGAGATCTCGTATATCTTGGGTTTCTGTTACTGTCATATACTTTGTGGCGAAGAATACCGCTCGGCTACAAAAGATATCTAGACACTTCTGAGCTCTGTGGATCTTCTTACATAGCCAATCTTATATTGCGGCATACTTTAATCAGTGTACGCAGACACATGCTGTATATTATGCGATTGAGAATTGTGATAAGAGAGCTATATGACAGACGAGTCTCTGTTCTATAAGTGTATAAGTGTTTATTCACTACAGGTCAAGCTGTCTTATCATACTACACCCTTCAGTAAATAATAAAATAACAATCCTTAACAATGCCACCCTGATCTACATACTACCAGACACCCTAACCACCACAACACAGGCAACAATGGGGCAGTGCAACACCGACATATATATAACCCAAACCACCAACCCTACACATCCAAACGACAATCAATCCCCAAAATGCCTCCCACTACATTCCCACAATTCCCCCTCCTCCCCCCTGAGCTCCGCCGCCACATCCGGTTCCTCGCCCTAGGCAAGCTCCGACCCGCACTATACCCCTTCCGAACAGGCTGCTGGTGTCCGCGCCAACTCCGCGAAGGAGACGCCAACTACGACGCAAACACGTCCTACAACATTGATATAGATCTGCGCCACGAGCTCCTCGACCACGTCCCACTACCACCACGTGCCCCTCGCGCCGTCAACCGCGAGGGGCGGGGAATCACACGTGACTGGCTCCGCGCGGAGCTCCAAATACTGCAAACCAAGCAGAGCCAACTACCGCCGTGGACATTCAGCTCTACGGGCAATGTGATGTACGTTGCGTCGAACCAGGAGTACGACTTTTTAGTAGGTCCCTTGGATCGTCTGGATGAGGCGGACGTTGAGGGGCAGATTGTGTGCTTTCAGTATCGGCTTGGGGCGCTGGCTGTGTCGGAGGTGATGGTGCGTGAGGCGCCTGAGGACTTGGTTGATATTTTGGACTGGATGAATTTGGTGGAGGTGCTGTATGTTGTTGTTGGGGAGCAGCCGGATTTGACTACTGTTGGGGTGAGGGTGAGGTGGAGGTGGAGGTGGGAGGTGGATGGTGAGGGGAGGAGGGGATATGTTTGGAATAGTGATGATGGTGGGGGTGGGTTTCGATGGGGAGATGGGGAGAGGATTGGGGGGGAGGAGTTGTCGGGGAAGATTGAGGAGTTTGGGGGGGAAATTGCGAAGTGGTGTAGGAGTAATAGGGTTAAGCGATTTCAGATTAAGCCGGTTTATGCTGTGCGGTGTGAGTGATATTGGACTTGTAGATTTGTAGGGGGTGTATATAAATGATATCTGCTGTTAGACGGTATTATTTGCTAGCAATTGAGCTTTATCTTGATATGCTTATGCAATTATAACATATGACAATTAAAAAATGATACGCTTCTAATGCACGTCGAGTACTCGAAAAAAATATATAGACATTATGATTAGCATGCTAAGAAGAAATCTGGGCACGGCGACCTCAGATCCACCATATTAACTCAGAGAATGATATCATGCACGCTGCTTGTTGAACGAACCGAATTGGCAACTGTGCCATCCCAGGGACTGACCACGGTGCAACCTCATATAGACAAGCTGAGACACTCACGGGTATGTCTGGCCCTCTTCGCACACCTGCTTAAACACCTCCTCTGTGTGCTGCACCACTTTGTCGGCCGCATTCTCGCCTCTCGTCTTCTCTATCCTCTTGTTTGGCGGGAACGGTTCACCGTCCCAACTCACCCAGTAACACCCATTCCCCTTGGTCCCATCGCTACCAACAGCAACATCTTCTTCCACATCCCCTCCCTCAGCCTTCGGAGGATATCTCCCACTCGTTGCTGCAAACAAATGTCTCTCTCCACTCTCCTCAAGAGGCACCATGAATGGTCTCAACAGCGGCGTCAACACGGCCGACAGCACGCGTCCAGCTGGTAGTTCCCGTAACACGCCCGTGGCCACACCAGAGGGGTACGCGTGGACGAAGGAGGTATGCGGGTATCGCTGGGCCATGCTCTCCAGGAAGAAATCACCCATCAGACTGGCGTGCCAGCCGCATTTCTGGAGGCTAAAGCTGTGCTTCAAACTGAGGTCCGAGAAGTCGAGTGTGCCGGGCCCGCCTGCGCGGACGGAGACCATCGGGTCGAGGACAGACACGACGCGGGATAGTCTGGCGTTGTTGTTGCTGACAGAGTCCTGAGCGGCCGCGTTCAAGAGGGGAAGCAGGTTGCTGATAAACCGCATGCGCGCATAATAGTGTAGGACGAATTTGCGATCCAGGCCTTCGGATGTCTCGTCTCGGCCTTTTAGCGTCATGTATCCCGGTGTCATGAACAGCAAATTGACTTTTTTCTCCCTTGCTGCAATCTGGGCGCAGACGCTGTCGACATTTTTGAGGAGGGATATGTCAGTTTGGAGAAATGTTGGCTGGGCGGAGGAGTTGGCAGTTTTCATGGAGGCAATGGCTGTATCAGCAGCGGACTGATTGCGGCCAATAATGTAGATCTTGGGTGAGGGGGTGTGCCGGGTCAGAGCGAGGGCGGTTGAGAGGGCGATGCCCGACGTCCCGCCGACTGGTAGAATTAGTGAGCTATAGGGGCTGGAAGAGAGAAGATTCCGTAGCTATTCGCTTTAGGGTAGCGGGTTGGAATTTTGGAGAGATTAAACGTACCAAACACCGCGACGAGATTCGAGGTTAGGGATTTAAGAGTCGCATTGTGCGCCTGGACGGCCTGGAGGTTCACCATTGCTGCGTCGTCCTCCGTTGACTGGATAGATGGAATTTAGGATTTCTTGCTGGGAATTTCAATCAGGTAAAGCGCTTCTAGTATGAACTTCAGTGTTTTGGTGTAGTGGTTGACAGATTAGAGCCCGGCTGCAAGATCATGAGTTTGATCCTTCCCCGAATTCCCATGAAAAAACCACTGTAGTCAAGAGAGTTACTCAGAGTCAGCGCCTAAAAGGATTCAGAGTCGAAGTTAATGCCAAAGCCCAACAAAGACCAGTCCAGAAAGGGCTAAAGCCAGTACCAGAGCCAAGAATAGCCAGAGTCTAGGTCTTCAAGTCCGCTTTAGGGTTTGAGGGGTGTGTGTTGGGAACATCAATCAGATCAAACCCTCCCAGAATGCTGAGAGTACAGTGGTTGAGATTTCTTTTGCGAAGAATAATTGGTGGAGAAATAGACTGGGGGATCAATAGACAGCATCTGTCAGGGTGAACTTGCTGGTCACTCGCAGCTGTCGGGGAGGGAAAATAAGGTCCAACAAGAAGTCGGGTGGGTCGCTGTACTACTTATACGGATCGCCATGGATCGCCCCACACCAAGATCGTATGGGTCAGCTACAAACGCCTCACCTCAATGTCAGAAAATCGAATCGTCTTCCTAACACTTTCTAATTCCATTCGTGAAAGTATCCCCTCATTATTCGCCGTAATTTCACTCACAGATGTGATCATCTGCCTGCTTTTTACGTGCCAGAAAGCGTAGTCTCTTATCAGTATGGTAAGAATGACTATCTTCAAATCGTAATAACCCAACCATTTTCGGGGATATAGATGTAAAAGCAAAATGGTATTATTGTTTATATTTTATATTGTACATGTACTTTCAAAAATTCCGAATAAATAAAGTTAAAACCTTTGGGCTCACTGGTTTCTTGCGGATCCGCGCGGATTCAGATCACCCGGCCCGAACCCCGTTCGGATTCCCGACCACCCGTCCCGGAGCCTTATCCCGAGCGGATTGGGGCGGTCCCGGGGCCGGAGTACGGGGGAATCCGGCTACTCTATCTTTAATCGTCACTAAAATCATTTCTTTGTCCTATGAAATTTATTTATCCAATTGTTTTTTTCTTTTTTGTTTTCATCTCAATTAGCCAATAGACTATGCACAGATAGCTCCTTTCATTTACTTCGCTTTGGCTTAAACCTGCAGATACGCCTATTATCTTAGTATGACACCTGGATCTTCCGCACGTTCTCCCTGAAGCTCCTTACTCAATTAGGGTGTCTTCTAGAAAGTTTCATTTTACTTCACGAAGCGGTAGAGAGAGCCCGTTTAGTGATCGTTTGCGTTCTCTTGGGAGTAGATAGACGCGTTTTTGATACGCTGCGAATCACTACCTTGGCAACGATGATAGACCACACCATTGAAGTTACTGACACTGACACCCTATCTAAGCTAATCGTAAATGACAGCCAATCATTTACTCACAGCCCATCATGTAGTGAGGTGTTCAACTGTCAATATATGTGCCTGAAGTGGGTCGGTCGTGTTGTTTGGAATCCAGGCCAGGCCATAAACAGTTCGTATTCATCGCGGCGAAACGGGGCTTCAAGTAGCCGACCCATCCCATTTTGGTTAAGGGCGACTCATGACAATAAGTAGCCCCTATGATCTTCATGACTGACAGGGATCAGCAGATCTTCCGTCCTAAGTATTTTACCGACCCTCTAACCCAAAACAGCCGAAACCCGCCTGTGCATGACCCGTCCTAAATACAGCAAAGTAGGCAAACAAAGACACTCTCACTCTCACAGCCAATAATTGAAAGCAATATATCGGTGGCGGATTACGGATGCGAAGTGTTAGAAGGTACGGCGGACAAGACGTTCACGGTATGAGGTCCCTGAGGCGCCGGGATCAGTCAATGCCTGACAACGAGGATACTTGGGTGACACCAACCAACAGAGGGCTGTAAAAAAAAAAAAAAAAAAGTTTTGGTTAGCCAGAATTGAAAGTATAGGAATACAGGGGCCGCGCTCGAAGCAATGCGCTGCTTTATATAGCAGTGAAATCCCCGTGCCATCCTCTGCTGACGGTAGTCCTCAGTGATACCACGACCCGACAGCCCGCGTTGTACCGTTCCAGCTTCAGTTCTACTTTTTCTACTACGTTTTATACTTCCTGGCTGACGCGGACCGGTGATATTGGATCAGGACACCCACGAAAATGAGCGCGGCGGGCATGTTCGGGCCTAATGGCGACCGAGAGCTCGAAAGTGCAGAGGACAGCATCTCCAGCTTCGATGTGAGGGAAGCAGAAATCCTCAAGCTAGCCAGACGGTTCACGGAGCAGAGCCATGGATCGAGCGCGGCACATAATCCCTTCGCTGCGGAGCCTGGTTCTACCCTAGACCCAAACGGTGACCACTTCAATGCCCGTGCATGGTGCAAGGCCATGCTCCGGATGAGCACCGAAGATGGCCAAGCACACCCACCCAGGACACTAGGGTTGGCCTTCAACAACCTGAATCAACAACCTGAATGTGCACGGGTTTGGTTCGGATACTGATTTCCAGAAGAGCGTGGGCAACGTCTGGCTAGAAGCTGTCGGTCTGGCGAGGAGGCTCATGGGTCAACGTCAGCGCAAGATCGATATTCTGCAGAACTTGGATGGATTGGTGGAGGCTGGGGAAATGCTTGTCGTCCTTGGACCACCTGGCTCAGGATGCACGACCTTCTTGAAGACCATCGCTGGAGAGACGTACGGCTTTTACGTCGACAAGGATTCAGACCTCAATTACCAAGGTACGCCCGCCGTCATCCACGCGCTGGGTTCCTGCTAATCATCAATAGGTGTGAGCGCAAAGCAAATGGCCAACGCGTTCAGGGGAGAAGCTATATATACCGCTGAGGTCGACGTTCATTTCCCCAAGCTCACGGTTGGGGATACCCTCTTCTTCGCTGCCGGGGCCCGAGCACCGCGACACCTTCCCGGGGGAGCAACAGTGACTCAATACGCCACACATATGCGCGACGTTATCATGGCCATGTTCGGTATCTCTCACACCAAGAACACGATCGTGGGAAACGATTTCATCCGCGGTGTATCTGGTGGAGAACGCAAGCGCGTCAGTATTGCCGAAGCCTGTCTGAGCATGGCTCCACTGCAATGTTGGGATAACTCTACGCGTGGTCTCGACAGTGCCAATGCCATCGAATTCTGCAAGACTCTTCGCATGCAGACGGACATCAATGGCGTCACTGCCTGTGTTTCGCTTTATCAGGCCCCTCAGGCTGCCTATGATCAATTCGACAAGGTCCTAGTCCTGTACGAGGGTCGCCAGATCTTCTTTGGTCGTACTGCTGCGGCTAAGAAGTATTTTGTTGACATGGGGTTTGTCTGCCCTGATCGCCAAACAGATGCCGATTTCCTCACCTCCATGACCAGCCCACTCGAACGTGTCGTACAGCCAGGCTGTGAAAGTCACGTTCCCCGAACGCCCGATGAATTCGCCGCGAGGTGGAAAGCCTCGACAGAGCGAGTGCGGCTTTTGCAAGATATAGAGAACTACAACGCCAAGTTCGCTCTCGGTGGAGAACACCTGGACAAGTTCAAGGAGTCCCGCAGAGCTCAGCAAGCTAGGATCCAGCGTGTATCATCGCCCTACACACTCTCATACGTCCAGCAAATTGAATTGTGTTTGTGGCGTGGATACAAGCGATTAAAGGGCGACCCCAGTGTCACAGTCTCTTTGTTGATTGGAAATTCAATCATGGCTCTCGTCATCGCTAGTATTTTTTACAACCTCCAACCGGACACCAACAGCTTCTTTCAACGCAGTGCCCTCTTATTCTTCTCTGTTCTCATGAATGCTTTTGGTTCTGGTCTTGAAATGCTCACGCTTTATGCTCAGCGAGGGATTATAGAGAAACACTCTCGATATGCTCTCTACCACCCATCTGCTGAAGCATTCTCATCAATGCTGATGGACTTGCCCTACAAGGTCCTCAATGCGATCATGTACAACCTAGTTCTCTACTTCATGACAAACTTAAGACGAGAACCTGGTGCTCTCTTCTTCTTTACGTTTACTTCCTTCATCCTGACTCTCACCATGTCCATGTTATTCCGGTCCATTGCATCACTGACAAGAACGCTTGTGCAAGCTCTGCCATTTTCTGCGGTTATGATCCTGTCTCTGAGCATGTACACTGGTTTCGCCATCCCAAAACAGTACATGTTAGGATGGGCCCGCTGGATATCCCGGATCAACCCCATCAACTACGGCTTCGAGTCTCTGATGATTAATGAGTTCCATAATCGAGAGTTCAAGTGCGTCAGCTACGTCCCGTCGGGTCCTGGCTACGCGGGTCTCGGCCCGAGCAACCATGTCTGCTCCACAGTCGGGTCTGTATCGGGACAGCCCCATGTGAATGGCGACAGCTACATGGAGTCGGCTTATGGTTATAACCACTCGCACAAGTGGAGGAATGCTGGGATTATATTTGCCTTCATGTTTATCTTCATGGTGATCTACCTGGCCGCTACCGAGGTAATCACCGAGAAAAAATCGAAGGGCGAGATTCTGGTCTTCCGTCGCGGACATAAAGCCCTAAAGAAGGACAAGTCAGGAAAGGATATTGAAGGCGGTAGTGGCCGCAGCATTGCTGTGGAGAACAAGTCCCCATCAAATAGCCTTGCCATGATCGAACGCCAGACTGCGATTTTCCAGTGGAAAGATGTCTGCTATGATATCAGGATTGGAAAAGACGATCGCAGGATTCTTGATCGCGTTGATGGGTGGGTAAAACCAGGTACCTTGACCGCGCTTATGGGGGTCTCTGGTGCCGGGAAAACTACGTTGTTAGACGCCCTCGCCACTCGCACCACCATGGGTGTTATTTCGGGGAAAGTTCTTGTTGATGGCAAGCCGCGGGATGAGTCCTTTCAACGCAAGACCGGCTACGCTCAACAACAGGATTTGCACCTGAGCACCTCCACAGTGCGCGAAGCCCTAACTTTCTCTGCCCTTCTACGCCAGCCTGCTCATGTTCCTCGGCAAGAGAAGATTGACTATGTCACCGAAGTCATCAAACTTCTAGAGATGACGGAGTATGCCGATGCCATCATTGGGGTACCCGGTGAAGGCCTCAATGTTGAGCAACGCAAACGTCTTACCATCGGTGTGGAGCTTGCCGCAAAACCAGCTCTGCTGCTCTTCTTGGATGAGCCTACCTCTGGGCTTGATTCTCAGACATCGTGGGCTATCCTTGATCTTCTCGACAAACTGAAGAAGAATGGACAGGCTATTCTGTGCACAATTCATCAACCTTCTGCCATGTTGTTCCAACGCTTCGATCGTCTCCTCTTTCTTCAGGCTGGTGGTCGCACAGTCTACTTTGGTGAAATTGGTGAAAACTCGCACATCCTGATTGACTACTTTGTCCGCAATGGTGGTCCTCCGTGTCCTCCGGACGCTAATCCTGCCGAATGGATGCTTGATGTAATTGGCGCCGCTCCCGGATCCCATACCAACATTGACTGGTTCGACACATGGCGCAAATCCCCCGAGTATGCTCGCGTTCAAGACCATCTCGCCGAATTGAAACGCGAACGCTCTCAACAGACCGACCTTTCCCGCATCAACTCGGGCAAGAACAACGAGGATAACGCCAGCTACCGCGAGTTCGCCGCTCCCTTCTCCGAACAGCTCTGCGAAGTCCAGCTTCGTGTGTTCCAGCAGATCTGGCGCTCTCCCACATACATTTATTCGAAAGCCTTACTGTGTGTTAGCTCGGCTCTCTTTGTTGGCTTCTCTCTGTTCCGTACGCCAAATACAATGCAGGGGCTTCAGAACCAAATGTTTTCTATCTTTATGTTGTTGACTCTGTTTGGTCAGCTCATTCAGCAAATCATGCCGCATTTCGTTACCCAGCGCAATCTGTACGAGGCTCGCGAACGTCCATCCAAAGCTTACTCTTGGAAAGCTTTCATCATATCCAATATCGTTGCCGAACTTCCTTGGAACTCGCTCATGTCTGTCCTAATATTCCTGTGCTGGTATTACCCAGTAGGTCTGTACCGCAATGCTGAGCCTACAGACGCTGTCGCCCTCCGCGGCGTGCAAATGTGGCTCTTGATCTGGACCTTCCTCCTCTTCTCGTCGATCTTTGCACACTTCATGATTGCAGCAATTGACGGTGCCGAAAATGCTGGCAACATGGGCAACTTGCTCTTCATGCTCTGTCTACTCTTCTGCGGTGTCCTGGCCACACCCGACCAGTTTCCGGGCTTCTGGATCTTCATGTACCGGGTTTCACCATTCACGTATCTTGTCAGCGGTATGCTCGCTGTTGGTATCTCGAACACGAAAGTCTCCTGCGCGGCAAATGAATACCTGCACTTTGACCCGCTCAATGGTACCTGCGGCGAGTACATGGAAACGTACCAATCCGCTATGGGTGGTTATATTCGTGATGAACTCGCGACCTCGGACTGCAGCTACTGCCCCATTAGCGACACAAATGTGTATCTTGCTTCAGTCTCATCTCATTACTCGGACGTGTGGCGGAACTTTGGCATCATGTGGGTCTTCATCGTCTTCAATATATTTGCGGCTTGTGTGCTGTACTGGTGGGTGCGCGTCCTGAAGGCTAAGGGCCCCAAGAACAACGCCTGAGATCACATCTGATATTATTGCACCCTTGGTTTCGTTATTCATGTTGTGATTGGTGGGCGCAGGACTTTTATCCACAAGTCTGTTTCTACAAGATATATTTAGAGTATCTCCTAGTTTCTCACGTTCTTTTACATGCCGTGGCCTGAGCATAATTCGCTAGCTCGATACGGTTCACCTTATCAACTAATACTTCCGAATGACAATCTCTTCTCAGCTACTCAATTGACCGACCTCTCATTATCCTAGTATGACTTTGTGTAGTATATATTTGTATCAAAAGTAGCTAGCTGCTAAGCTCACAAGAGATCGTCAGCGTATAAATTCAGCCTGGTTAGCTGCAGGAGCAAGGGGAACGTGAGTGATGTCCCGGTTGCTGCTTCTCAGGAGCACACCGACAGTGAGCCTACGGCTGGAGTCGATCCGACGGGGACGTTGCTAGAGGAGAGTGTAGGGATGAGAAGTGCGGGCTTGCTCGTAAATGCAGGAAGGCTTTGACACACCATGTTTTGTAGGCAACTAATATGTACAGACTGAGCTACGGCACAGTGCACCGCCGTCCACGAGTCTCCCCCAAACAGCCCCTCCACTTCAAGCACTGGGTAATCCCAGCAGGCGTTCCAGTCGGAATGTCAGCGTACTTTGCGCATAGTGACCCTCGCATTTTCCCTTCCTCGCAAGAGTTCATCCCAGAGCGATGGTTAGGAAACGTGACTATAGAGATGAATCGCAACTTTGTCCCATTTTCACGGGGATCGCGACACTGCCTAGGAATGAAGTAAGAGCCGCCCCTCGACTTTTTTTCTTCCTCCAGCAATTTTGAGAAAGTGACTGACTGACCTGAAATAGGCTTGCGTACTGCGAGGTGAATTATATCATAGCTGCACTCTTCCGCCCTGGTGGTGCCGATTTCGACCTCTACGAGACGGATGAGACGGATGTCATCCCAGTCCACGATTTGATAGTGCCTTTGCCAAAGCTGGAGTCGAAGGGGGTTCGGGTTATATTTCACTGAGACTTGTAGAACTTTGGCGGCTCTTGGGGGTAAGGCGACGTTCTTGCTCTAGAGATGTTGTTGAAAGATTGGATATGGAATATGTTCTATATTAAGACCCTACCACTCACTAATTGGTGTCTCTGATCGAATGCTCAATGTAAGGCATGCTAACAATGTTTGAGTAGGTGTAATTAAAAGCTACTAGTTTATATAATTGAAGTCAGTAGAAAAAGTAAAGCACGCAACGTGTAGGGCACACTCACAAGTTCTTATATTTAGTCCATTCGCCATCATACAGGGAAATATGCCATGTGAATCTATATTATATTCGCATATATTATGGAACCCGTATATTTATGAACAAGTTGATTTATTACTAGGCAGTGAATAAGATACTGGAGTGGTATTATAGTTCAGATCTAGAGTAGTACAGAATTCACTTGTTATATCTATATACAATGAAGTACTTATATTCAATCAAAATAACTAATTTACTCTCCAGTAGATAGATATTCATATACCTTCTATTAGACATATATCCGTCAAGTAGTAGAAAAGAGTTCGATTATTTAATTGGTTGTTTGTTCCATGATGACGATCTCTAGTGCACAAGCACGCCATATATCAGTGTGTTTGACGTGATCAGTACTTGTACCTTGTATACTCAGGATATAATTAACGTTTCTTTGCATGCAACGCATTCATGTACGTACTTATATCAGTAGACAATATTTCAGAAAGATAGAATATAGGTGTCTTGTCACTCTGGAACAAACACGATTATCAGTTAGAGGAATGGTCAGAATCGGGTGTTGGATGGCATCATCCCCAGCAACATGCAAGTGGCTCTTCGGACTTCTCTCCATCGGCCCATGCGGGGTAAACCTATCGAGTCGAAGGATTCTTGTAAATCTCTGTATTTAAGAAAGGCAGCAGACCTTCCACTCACTGAAAACCATCTTGTCCGACGAGCAGACTACAGTATCAGCATCATACTCTCAATATGACCACCGAGACAATCACCCAAACCGAGCCTCATTTAGAGGAATATGTCCACCTCCCTGAAAGCCAGCAACCGCGTAAGCATCTTAGACCCGTCTACCAAATGATTGCTAATAATTACATGCAGTGGACTACGTGGACCTCACCACAATCGACCTCTCCCTCTACGACACCCCAGGCGGCAAACAAAAGCTAGCCACCCAACTCAAACAAGCCGCGCACGAAGTCGGCTTCTTCTACGTAACCAACTTCGGCCTCACCCAAGCCCAACTCAACCGCCAATACGCCATCGGGCGCGATCTCTACGCGCTCCCCATCGAAGAGCGGCTCGCGCACCGCGCCCCCCTCGAAGAAGGCAACTACAACGGCTACCGCCCGCTCGGCGCCGTCGAGATCGCGCCCGGCATGCGCGACAACGTCGAGATGTACAACCTCTTCAAGTTCATCCCGCAGACGCAGCGCTCCCAGCCCGACATCCTCAAGCGCCACTGGGAGGAGATCGAGTCCGTCCACCGCCATATCCACGAGCACATGGCGCACAGACTGCTTCGGCTACTGGCTATTGCGCTGGAGCTGGCTGACGAAGACGCCCTCGTCCGTGGACACCGCTACGATGCGAATTGTGACAGTGCGCTACGGTATATGATGTCGCGCGCGCGGTCGCCGGAGGAGAATGCCCGCTGTGCGGGCTTGTATACGCGCGGGCATACGGACTTCGGCACCCTGACGTTTGTGTTTCAGCAGCCCGTTGCGGCGCTGCAGGTGAAGAGGAACCCCGAGGCAGAGTGGCAGTGGTTGCGAATTCCGGAGGGCCATGTGGCGGTTAATATTGCTGATATGGTTGAGTTGATGTCGAATGGGTATTTCAAGAGTGGTGTGCATAGGGTTGTTGCGCCGCCGGAGGATCAGGCGGGGTCGGATAGGCTGGGCTTACTGTATTTTGTGCGTCCGAGTGAGGAGCTGAGCTTGAGGGGGCTGGGTGCGCTTGATAGTCCGCTTTTGAAGCGGTTGGGGTATTGTCGCGATGCGGGTCAAGAGGCTGTTGTGACGGATGATGAGGGTAGGGCGGATATTCCGGCGACGGAGTGGGTTCGTGCTAGGGTGAGGAAGAATTGGGTCCGGTCGGATACGAAGGATGTGTTGAGTATGGGGAATTTTCGGACTCAGCTTGTGTATGATTGAGTTACTACTAGGTACCGTATATGGGTGATTTTTGATGTTGATTGATTTATAACACACCGGTGTATACCATGGCAGTAGAGGAGTGGATAAACGACGTCAGAAGGTGGGGTTCGATAGAGCGGCACCTTTCCCCTCCTGTCTGCTCTCTGGGTTAAAAAATTTGATCTCTATACAACGCCCGTTCATCACAGTAGACAGTATTAATCAATCGTGAAAATGCCACGCCCATCAACCAGACAGGAAGTCCTTGCCCGCCTGCGCAAGACCATCGACTCCGGCGAGATCATCGTCGGAGCGGGGGCCGGTACGTCTATCCAAATCCCAGTTACCCGCGTTATATGGGCCCCAGCTGACAAAAACTAATAGGAATCGGACTGTCCGCAAAATTCATGGAAAAAGGCGGCGCCGACATCTTGATCGTGTACAATTCAGGGCGCTTTCGCATGGCCGGCCGAGGCTCGTTGGCGGGCATGATGCCGTATTCTGATGCCAACCAGGTGGTAGTTGATATGGTACTTACACCTTAACAATAAACATACAATACAAAACAAATGAACAGATAAGACTCGGAAAAATACTAACAAAGTACAGGCCAACGAAATCCTCCCCATCGTGCAAAACACGCCCGTCCTGGCCGGCGTGTGCGGCACCGACCCCTTCCGCAGCATGCCTCAGTTTCTCGACGAGCTGCGCCGCATAGGGTACATCGGGGTGCAGAACTTCCCGACAGTGGGACTCATCGACGGCGTGTTTCGTCAGAACCTCGAGGAGACGGGGATGGGGTACGACCAGGAGGTGGAGATGATTCGGCTTGCGCACGAGAAGGATCTCGTGACTACGCCGTATGCGTTCAATGTCGACGAGGGGGAGAGGATGGCGCGCGCGGGCGCGGATGTTATTGTTGTGCACTTGGGGCTGACGACGAGTGGGACGATTGGGGCGCAGACGGCGAAGACGCTGGATGATTCGGTGCGGATTGTTCAGGAGGTGAGGGATGCGGTTGTTGCGGTTAATCCGGAGGTTATTGTGTTGTGTCATGGGGGTCCGTTGGCGGGCCCGGAAGATGCGCAGTATGTTTTGGAGAGGACGAAGGGTGTGCATGGTTTCTATGGGGCGAGTAGCATGGAGCGGTTGCCGGTTGAGACGGCTATTCTGGAGAATGCGAGGGCTTTTAAGGGTTTGAAAGTGGGGAGGCAGTCATAGTCAAATGTATAGTCTAATAGTATGAACTTGATTTGTGGAGATAGATGTGGCCGTTATAAAAGGAATTCCCGAGCAACCATCATGTCTAAGGGGTCATACGTAGCCCCCCATTCGCACACACCACACTCCCCGTACACCATGCCCCGTCCGGCGTGCACAGCATCCCCACCACGCCTGCGATCTCCGCCGTAAACGCGGGTCGACGGCCGCCCATCTTCTCCATGATCAACCGCTTCTGCTCGTCGGTCAACTGGTCCAGCTGCGCATCCTTCCCCAGCATCATCTTGCTCAGCGGCGTATTATCCTGGAATCCTTGCATCTGCTTCCAGAAGTCCTCGCCCGTCGCAAAGTACATATCTCCAATAACAGGGCCCGGGTTGACAGCGTTCACAGTGGCGCGGTCGGACAGTTCGCGGGCCCAGGTGCGCGTCATCGCCTCCAGGGCCGCCTTGGTGCCGCCGTAGACGGACTGTCCGGTGAAGCCCAAGCTCGACGACACAGACGAGATGTTGACAATGCGACCCGTACAATCATCGGGTAGGAAAGGCATGCATGCCTGTGTCAGGAGGAGCGGAGCGAGCACGTTGATTGTGTAGTGCCAGTTGAAGTACTCGGCGTCCATGGGGCCCTTGGTCTCATCGTTGAGGAATCGGTCTGCGGAGACGCCAGCGTTGTTGACCAAAATATCGACCTGGAATTTCCCAGACGAGGAAGTGAATTGCTCCTTTGCGGACGAGAGGATCTTCGCGGCAGCCTCCTCAGGTTTACCGAGATCGGCCTGCACAGAGACGCAGCGGATGGAGTGTTCAGACGACAGAGTACTGCAGAGCGATTCGGTCGGAGCACGGGAAGATTCAGAAGTGAAGTTGAGAAGGAGATTGCAGCCTTTGGAGGCGAGGTTTTTAGCGATAGCTTCACCAATTCCTAGGGGTTGTTAGCCACGATGGTGGGGTATGCGATAAGGTGAGGGGTGTTTTACCCCGCGATCCGCCGGTAACGATGCCAAATCGGCCTTCCAATACTCGAGACATGATGGAAAGAAAAAAAAAATAGATCTGACGAGAGGGTGCAAATGGGAGAAGAAAATAAAAAGGAAAGTAAATAATAGGTAATGGGGTTCTTATACAAATGTTGACACTGGGTTATCGCGAGTGTTTGGGACGGTGGATCCCTGGGGAAACCTCCTCCACCTCAGCGGGAAATTGCCTATTTTGGACTCCCGGGGATTTAACCGGGTATGCGCATAATTAGTCAGCTATCTATTTTCCAGCATAACTTTCATCTTTTATTTATTTTTTCCAATTCCTGCCTGATACTAGGGCGTTGTTGCCTGAAGCCGCGGCCAACCCGATTCAGAGAACAATCTCCACCTCGGTATCAGTCAGGAACATTAGAAGCAAATCGACCAGATAGCTTAATTTTTCCTCAGTATTCTACCCCACCGATGGCTGTTGTTTCTTAATGCTCCCTGCAATATCCGCCCTGCACGTCCAACAGGGTTCATCCAACCGAATTGGGACGAAATCTCAGCCACAGGCCTCAGGATAGTGAGGCCAAAATGAATGATGATTCCCTCGGCAGCGACCCGGTAGGTCAACTGGACCCAAACACCTACGCAGCTCCCTGAACCTGTCTGACCGGGCTTAGTCCACCAAGTTGGATTTTATCAACTACCTCTGCCGCGTGCTCTCGTCGGATGTCGACGTATGCTTTGCTCCCTCTATAAGACACGAGCCTCCCCCCATTGTCACATTAAATGAGATCCGGAATGCGAAGGACATATGTCCCTCGAGCATGGGCGGCTCCAAGATCCTAGAGATTAATGTATCCACTATATTAAAGGTTGGACCGATGGTGCGCATGGGGGAGGCCGAAACTCTCTATCTGCTCAAGGAAAGGACCTCCGTCCCCGTACCCCGCGTCCTCAATGCCTATGTGATCGGTGATATCGGGTTTATCCTGATGGAGAAGATTCCTGGGAAATCTCTGGAAGACTGCTGGGAAGACTTGGCGGAAGACTCGCAACGGTCCATTGTCCGGCAATTAGCCAGTTTTATAGAGGAGTGGCGCCGGATCGAGGGGCCCGTCTTCGGGTCGGTCGATGGTGGGCCGTGCGAGGACATCCTGTTTAAGCATTCGTGGGATGCACAACCCCGTCAGTACGGGCCCTTTCCGACTCGGAAGGAATTCAATCAAGGGGTGGTACAGGCCCTCCGCTACTCGAGACCGCAAGCGAAATTAACAGCGAAGGATGAGCCCCTGGCGGAGAAGATTCTGGCCTCGGGCGACCAAGACGAGAGGAAGGTGCTGACGCATGGCGATCTGCACCAGAGCAATATCATCGTGGACGACGACGTCGTCACGGGGGTCATCGACTGGGGTGCCGCGGGTTACAGCATCTGGGCAAGGGAGTATTTTGGCATACGATGGCAGGCGTTGGATTTAGAATGGAGGGAGCTTACATCGACCCTCGTCGGAGTCGATGAGTACGAATTCTGGGCCGAAGTGAATCAATCGATGCTGGATTACACGGGTATCTGAGGCTCAATATACAGGGAGGAGTTTGTTTGCTTGTTTCATTTTTTCAGACCCATCCACTTGTCCCCCACCGCGCCTCGAACCGACCTTGCTGGCTTTCCGACCATCCCCTTCCAGAACTGACAGGTGCCGGGTGGGACGAGCTCGTTCACCTCCAGGGACAGCAAGGTGTCAAACACCCAATCTTGGCATTTCTTCTTTCCATCCCTTGGTGCCCGCTCCGAACTGATCACTCTAATCGCCTCTTGTCGTTGCAGATCGGTGAGCTCGCCCAGTTTGACCTTCCCGACCGCCTGCATGGTGACCAGCGGGGTGCTCATCCGCGGCTCGAACTCGTACCAAAGCCTGTCGAGGTCGAGTAACTTGACGTGGAGCAGATCGCCGACAAGCTGGGATGGTCGGTTGATCACGAACCCCCAGTGGGACCGGTGTCTCGGGTCTTCCCCTAGCCCAAATATTTCGATAGAGAGCTCATAAGCCATGACTATCTGCTTTGATATCTAATTAGTTTGAATAATGAGAAGCTTGACCGCCGTGACACAGCAGCGTGATACGAAGAGTGAGACACGAGATGTAGTACCTAAAGTCGTTGGGTGGCTTATGGTGTCAACAGACACCTGGCCCTTATGGAGACAACACTTCACCGTATATGCCAGTGCGAGGCAATAAGCTTGAATCATGGATTCTTTCAACAAGACATCTTCTTTGTTCCTGCCTTGAAGAAAACCGAGCATAATCTTCCGCAGTCACGTGGTGTGCGACCTCTATTGGTTGCCAAGTAAATCAACCAAACTTTCCTTCTGGTCCAGACCTTCTCCATCCCAGACGCTTCACCCTGCCAACTCACGCATCCACCGGAGCTCACCTACACTTATAAGCACCAGCTGCAAGCGTCCTACTATGGGGTGGATAGTGGCCAATGGATCGAGGTGTATTCACCGCTAATGGCTGCAGGTCCAAGCGCGACGCTGGTCGTGTCTATCAGACCATCCGCTGATCATCCGATTCCATGCAAGCTCAGCTTGATATGTAAGATATTGAACTTTGTCTTTCCTTTCACTGATATCCCATCATATATTACATATTATAGGCTAGGTTCACGAACAGCCCTAGTACAGACCAATTGAGCCCATCTCGCAGGCCTCTCCTCGATGCGCAAACCCAGATCAACCACTCCGCAATTTCTCTGCAGGTGGCAAAATTCCTTCTCTCTCTAGCGTCTCGAACGTCCTCTCAAAGGCCTCCCACGTATCCTCATACCCCGACCACCCCAGCGCCCTAGCCTTGCTCATGGTCCCCACACACCCCCATTCGCGTCCCAGCACAAACGTCAAGAAGTCCCACGTCGCACCGTCCCACGCCTTCTGGTCCAGGTTATACTTGTCACGCAGCTGTGTCCATGCCTCCTGGACGTCCTGGCGTTGGGCCCACTTCTGCGGGTCAACCAGCAGTCGCAGCACCGGTGGCTGCGTGCTCAATGCGTCGTCTTCGGGGATTCCCAGTTCGCGCGCGTGCACGCAGATCGGATGACTGTTTGGCAGATGCGTCTCCGTCGCGCACGAGGTATCTGCCTGCTGGCCATTAGGGCCGAACATATTCTCCGGAACGGTGCAGCCAAACCGCGCAGCGAGACGGGGCCACAGATTCTGGAACGACTCGATGTCGCCATTGGTGACGTTAAAGATATTGTTCCCAGCCCCCGGCGCCGTAGCAGCCCACAAGCAAAACCGTGCGTGCGTCTCAGCCGACGTCCAGCAGTTGTAAGCGAAGTAATTGGTGCGATTGCCCGGGTAGATCAGCCTGGACCCGGGCAGGGCCTTGCTAGCAGCGCAGTACAGACCCAGCGCGGTCGCCTCATTCATGAAGTTGTTCTTTGCGTAGCCGATCACGTCATTCGGCAGCGTGCAGATCCACTCCCAGTTTCCGCGCCGGGATGCCTTCTCGAGGATGCCTTGCTGCGCGTAGTAGAAGTTAGGCGGCCAGTCGCGGCCGCCTGCTCCGTTCTCCAGCCGCGGGTCGGACTCCAGCAGCGGCTGCTTGGTCAGACCCAGATGAACACCGTAGTGCTTGAAACCGCAAGTCAGGATCAGCCGTTTGAGCTGCTTGATAGCGCCGGTAGTTTCGAGAGCCTCAATAAAGTTAGATAGCAGAGTGCTGTTGACACGCGCGGATTCGCCTTCGTCGGGACGCGCGAGGTACGCGCTGAAAAAGACGTAGTCCGCTGAGATGCCCTGCAGGGCTTGGGCCATTTCCGCGGCCGATGCTTGGAGGTCGAGCTGGGCGTGCTGGATGCGCGGATCTTTGAGGCCTGGTTGGCGCCGGGAGAGGGTGTGGATCTTTGTGTACGAGGGGTCTTGCAGTAGATGCTGCACGATGGCGTTGCCGGTGATGCCGGTGGCGCCGGTTACTATGGCAGTTGGCATTTTGGTTTTTTTGGAAGATAATTGGGTATGTGCATAGAGTTGTTAGTATGTGGTTTTGTACATTAATGTCCAACAGGGACAGGGCACCTATATATGCTTTATGGTGGTTGAGTTTAATCATACAAACGTCATAATACCCATTAGGTTTTCAAATCATTATATCTCAGCGCGGGTTCCACAAAATAGATTATTCTTTATAGTTCAGAGGAGTTTCTAGAAAAGATATAACAGGAGTAATATTAAACCAGGATTTGGTTTATGCTTACTTGGTTGTGTTCAAACTTAACAGCTTCTTACATTCACCTTCTGCTCCTGGGCTTGTGAAGTAAGATATTACTCAGTCTCACATATTTTCAAAATTTCAAGTTCATATATGCACTGGGAGAAACTCGGGGTTTCTTTATGCCTAGTATCTTATGTATATTCAACATAGTAGAAGTATCTCCCGCGAAGAGATAGTTTGTGCCATGGCAGTCTGTAAAACTAGGGGATAGTTCTGTTCCGATACCATCGTTGAACAGTTGAGAAACAACCTGTCACGGCTACTCACCAATTGATCAGATTTAGACAATTGTTACACCTGTTTCCTGCCTAAGCATGCAGCCTCATTGCTTGATCATCACATTGTTAGCTTGTAATTGGTGGCCAACGCGAGGCAAGGAATGACCCTCGCCTGATCCCATTCTTGACAAAGCCACCGTTAATTAACTATACTCATCAATCTTTCTCTCATCTATCTGGCTCGGATAGTTTACCCAAGATGGCCAACTCTCTAGAAACACAGGAAAAGCGCGCAATCTACCGCTCTACGCTTCGCAGCATCAAAGAACGAATCACCAAATTGGAAGACCCTCAGATCAGCGCACAAGAAGCGAGCGACGCGGGAATCCAACAGGCCTCACTGTCTCTCGAAGACAAGTCGGACTATCCATATTTCTTTTCTCCGTTCAAGGGGACACTCACCCCCGCAAAAAGGCCAGACTATCCAACCTGCAAGAATACTCTCGAAGACCATATGAACGTCAAGGCTCTGTCAGTATACATGCAAAACTACACGGCGCAAGAGCTAAAAAAAGACCACCTCACTCCCCCAGGTATCTGTAATAGAGCGTATGACTAGCTTAAACTTACTGGCAAAATCCCAGCTTACAATTTTCCAGATGGGGTGACTTCAATTTCGAGGCCCTCTTCGAGGATCTCTATTTCTGGAGCGTGTCCATGACGTGTCCGACACCAGCGGAAACCAGCCTACCCCATATGAAAATGTTTACTGGACGACGACGTCACTGGAGACGATCGGTTGACCCGAGAAGAGCTCATCAGTATTATCAATATTATGGTTGGCCGCCTGAATACCAAGTCTCTTCGTTCTCATGTGATAGCTCCAGTACGCAATATTACCCTCTTGCTTCCGTGAATTCCACGGTTTACATTCCTTGCTAACGCTTTCCCGCAAATTAGGTTATGGTGTACTCTATCATGGGCCTGGAGCACCTTCGCGTTTTAGAGGCATATTACAATGGGGAACGCCTCATCGTGCGGAAGTCAAGGCTGTATGATATGAGGGAATATAATCCAGGACAACTGGATTTACTTACCAGGTGGTGGTTGGGATATGCAGTTGGAGAAACTACGGAAGCTACCAATGATTTTTACTGCTGATTATGTCTACAGAAAGCTGGGTGACGTTTCTAATGACTGAATGGTTGCTTTAGTTGTCGCGGTGCTGAGTGTGTACTTTCCAATGTCAATTTACATGTCTATACGGCCAACGGTGGTGTTGCTTTGCGCTCAAGGAGCTTAGTGGTTGTGGTTAATGTCTTGAAAATATAGTCTTGTATATGGTACACCCCTCAATCTATGTTGGAGGATTTATATGTGACTGAAGTTTGTCACTCTGATGTGTTCACACTAGTTATATATCCTACTATGTAACCCCAGATTAGTGAGAATCCAGGTGCCCATGCTTGGTTTACCTAGTAGTATGCATGATAGAAAACATTTACACAGAAGAGAGATTCAAGAAATTGATGAAAACTGGTATATACAAATAAATTCACAATATAGACAGAGTACAGAGTAAATATAATTATAGTAGTGATAACCGTTGGTTGAATATGCGGGGATCCACCGGATCGGACCTTCAACTGTCGCCAGTTAGCAGTAGGCCCCCATCATTCTTGACACCAACCTTCCTCTCCATTCAACATCGACCTACGATTGACGATTTATTTCAATTTCTACGCCCCTCAACGTGAAACTAGTCGACAGTCTCTACTAACCACCACATCGAATTCATCTTGAAACCCAACATCGAACACCGAGAAAGACAACGAAAACAACAGTGATATCATACCCTCACCCAACTCAACACCTCCCTTCCTCCAACACCCACCAACAACCAAACAACCAAACGAACACAACCAAAAGAAGATAAACTACAAAAATGGGCAGCATCTGCTCCAAATCCAGCAACCAGTCCACCGAAGCCTTCTCCCGCCCCGGTCGGCCCCTCGGCGCCAGCGCAACAGGTCCCAAATCATCCGCGCCGCGCGCCCCGCTCCCCAAGTCCGCCTCCAATTTCGCCTCACCTGGTCGTACCTTAGGCGGGGAGTCTAGCTCGAAACCAGCAGCTCCTCGGGTAGGAACACAAACGCAGACACAACCACGGGCACAGACACAGACGCAGACGCAGCAGGGAGCGGGGGTGGGGGTGGGTGATGCGACGGCTGCGGCGCCTGTGGCGGATCCGCGGGCGAACGCTGCTATTGCAGCGCAGGTTGGTTTTCCTTGCTTTTCCCCCTCCTTCATATCATCCTTCTTCTCAATCTTTACAATTGTGGTTGGAATTATGAATGGGTGAATGGTCGAATGCTAACTATCCCAGAAACGAGCCGAGTCCGCCTCCGCAGCGAGTGCAAAAGGCAAACTAGGGACGAAGCTAGCGGCGCAGAAGGCGCAGACACAATCGCAGACGTTGAATGAGGTTAGTCGGGAGGAGAGGGCTGCTAGGGATGCGGATGATGCGGCTGCTGCGAGGGCTTGGACTTGATTGTCCTTTACTGTACTGTACAAGGTGTTGTCATGATTGTTATGTTTTTTTAGGGAGGGTGAGGGGAGAGGGTGTGTATGAGTGAGGGCTGGTTTATTGTTGTTGTTGTTGTTGTTTAAAGCGATTAATACCTTTTGTTTGTTTTATACATTTATATGTTTGGAGGGAAGGCGAGCTGCTACTATACCCTACTTTGTTCAATCATCTCCCACGTGGGTATTGCATTTCGCACGAATCCCAATGTCCATGATATAAACCTGCCGTATCTAAATAAACCTGCCGTATCTAAACAACGTTGTATCGTCCACCCACCGGCGCCCGCGACTCGCTATCCGCCGCCGCGATCGTCCCCTCCTTCAGCAAGCGCATCAACTCGCGCATCGCATCCGTCACCGACAGCTCCGTCTCGCCTTCGACCAGAATGTACAGCTTGGGGTTCTCGTTCGGTCCCGGTTCCTTGCCTGTCGCGTAGAAACTACCCTTGGTCGTGATCGACGTCCCCGTCGCTTCCAGGATCTTGGCAACGTTGGTTCGGTTGGTGACGGCCCAGCGTGCTTTCTCTGTAGTAGCAAAATGGTTAGTCTCGGATTCAAAAAAAAACCCATCCAGTAGGAAGGAAGAAACTTACGGGGAAAGTCGTTGATTTCCATTGTAGCGTGGAACGCCCCCGCGTCTGGTCCGCGGTTGTCGATCGGTACCCCGGATCTCATCACACCTGCGCGGCTCAGGCGCGCATGGATATCCGCCACGGCCGATCCCACCTTGTCCAGTGGGTTCTTCGATCCATTGGCAGGATCCTTTTCGGTCCGGTGCACGGTGATCTTGCCATCAAGGTCAATGCCCTTGGGAATACCCGTTGGCGCTGGCGTCGAGGCTGCTTGGATGCCGGACACGACCTTGTTGAACTTCTCTTCGGCCTTCTCATCCTTCTTGTCTTCTTTCTCCTCTTCATCCTCGCCCTCTTCACCGGTCTTGTAGGTCTTACGCTCCCGCATCCGAGCACTTTCGCGCTCCTGGTCCAGTCGCTCCAGGCCTTTACCACCGAACCCTGACGCGCTGGCTTTCTCCTTCCCGTCTTTCACCTTCTGCAGGAACGCGTCGACCAGCTTCTGGATTGGCTCCGGCACTTGCTGGCCACTCTGCTTCAATGCCTTGGCGATATCTACCGCGTACCGCTCCTGCGTGTCCGTCACAAAGGTGACGGCCGTTCCGGTGTTTCCTGCCCGCCCGGTTCGACCCGCTCGGTGGACATAGTCTTCGAGATGGTTCGGTGCGTCGTAGTTCACCACCAACTTCAGTTGCTTGACATCCAGACCGCGTGCAGCGACCGATGTGGCGATCAAGACGGGGAAGATACCCGCCTTGTAATCTTCGATGGTGGAATCACGGTCGATCTGATCTTTGCCACCGTGGATGGACATGCAGGGATAGCCCTTCCGCATCAATTCCTTCAAAAGCGTATCGGCAGCTTCTTGACGGTCCACAAAGATCAGGGTCCGTGCGTCTTCATTCTCGTCCGTTGAGTACAGATTGCCCAGCAACTCCAAGAGTCGCACAAACTTTTGGTCATCGTTTCGCACCTCCACAATCTGCGTGATTTCGGGTGCAACGACACTCCGACCACCGACCACAATCTCCACGGGCTTGGTCAGCGTCTTACGCGCCAACGCTTCCATGTTGCGCGGGAAAGTGGCCGAGAAAAGCACCGTTTGCCGGTCGGGACGGACGTTTGCCAAGATCTTCATAACCTGGGGTTCGAACCCCATGTCAAACATCCGGTCAGCTTCATCCAGGACCATATAGGTGACACGCCGCAGATTGGTGACTCGGCCCGTGTTGGCTGCTAAGAGATCGATCATCCGACCCGGAGTACAGACGACAATCTCCGCCCCACGCTTGAGGTCGGCAATCTGATCCTTGATTGGGGCACCGCCATACGCGCAGACAGCTCGCAAACCCAGCGCCTTCAAAAAGGGTTTACAGTCCTTGTGGATCTGGGTGGCTAACTCTCGGGTCGGCGTCATAATTAGACCGATGGGGCCTTCCATATTGTCCAGCGGTCTCTGATCTTTGATATGCCGGAACATGGGGATCAAAAATGCAACCGTCTTACCAGACCCAGTCTTGGCAACACCGATCACATCCCGTCCAGACATGATTGCGGGAATCGCCTGTGACTGAATCGCCGTGGGATTCTCATAGCCTAGTCGGTCGACCACATCCTGAGTCTGCACCCCCAACCCACACTGGGACCATTTTTGCACCGGTTTCGGTACATCCAAGCCTCGGACTTTGATCCCTTCCAGTTCCAAGCGCAAGTTGGCGACTTCCTCTTCAGACATTTCAGCAACATCGCTGGGTTCGGTGTAGAACTTCTTTCGGATGGGCTCATAGTCCATCTTCTTGTGGTCGACTGTGGGGATATCCTTCTTCTTTTTCGCCTTGTTGGCAATGGCGAGGAAATCGTCGGCATCGCCATCGCCGACGGCAGTTAGACCCACATCGTGCTCGTCACCAAAGAGGGCTTCTGGCTGTTGTTCCTTGGCCTTGGAAAACTTGGCACCAGTAGCTTTCTTTGGGGGAGCGGAATCCGCCAATTCGGACATGAAAGCATCCAAAGGATCAACATCGTCTTCCTCTTGTACATCAACATCCATCTGATCCGCTTGCTGGTTCGTCTCACCATTCGCTTCGACACCGTTGGTATGGGGTGTCTCGCTGTTCGACTGTGACGCGCGAGATTCGTTCTGCAGCCGCTCTTCCCGCCTCTCGGCGGCAGCCCGCGCCGCAGCGGCATTCTCCTCCTCAGTTCCGCCGTCTTGCATGTCGACATCGTCGTCCTCGTCTGCAACCACTTCGGCAGGTTTATCGGCATCGGTGGATTCCTCTAACGGAGGGGTTGGTAATTTCTCCAATTTTCTCCGCGAGGACTCCTCTTCACCGAAACCCAAGGTTTTGGTTGTAGATGACTTTTCGTTGTCACCAGTTTGTTTGGCGCCTAAGCCTAAACCAAATCCACCAACGTTGGCTTTCCCTTTCAAGATAGCTTCAAGGTTGTCAGCACAGAGAGCAGTGTAAGTAAGGATATATGGGGAAAACGTACATGCGGGTTTGCTGGTGGTGATGGGCTTGTTTGCTTGTACTTTAACATTGGTGGGGGTAGAATTTGCGGACGCTTTGGCGGTGGGCGGTACAGTAACATCGGTACCCAGCACGGAGGAAGTGGCTGGCGCCGGAGAAGGCGCAGCATTTTTCGCAATCGCCTTAGGATCAAACTTTCCAGCATAGCCAGTGGATGGAGAATCGCCGGCGGGCGACGCAGTGGGCTGGGGAGAACCAGTAGCCGGAGCTACACCGGATTTCCGATCAATTTCCTCCAGAATGTTCTTCGGTCCCGACGCAGCTGCTTCCCGTTGTTTGCGCTCCTTCTCGGCGGCTTGTTTTTGCTTCCAGGCTTCTAGTTTAGCTAATCGTTCGGCTCTCTTCTCCTCATCTGTAGGACCAGCGGGGGCCGCGGGTGTGGATGGTTTCGACGGCTGTTTAGATGCGTTAGATAGTTCCAAGAACCAGGATGAGAATGTTCAACGCACCTCGCGAGATTTCGAATCTCGAGCACGATCCCGGCTGTCGTCCCGCCTAGACTTGTGCTTCAAGTCAGCAGAATCGTCTCTCCGTCTGCGAGCCCTATCGCGGGAGTCATCTCGCCTGCTCCGATAATCCCTATCGCGGCTTCGTCGACGGAATCCCCGATCGTCATCTCTGTCTTTCGACCGACGTCGGTCACGCGAGCGATCGCGTCGACCCGGGCGGTAACTGCTATCATCGTCGCGTCTGTCTAACGAACGGTCACGTTTCCGGTACGCTTCACGGTCTCGATTATGGTCACGGTGGCGTCTCTGTATAGCAAAAAGAATGGTTAGCTGCGCACAATCGATAGGGGTGATGTCGACCGGGGCCGACGACATACCTCAGGACTGCGGGATCTCCGATAGCTCCTGCCATCATCCCGTCTACTCCTCTCGTAGCGATCATCATCTCTGCGACTGCGTCGGGAAGAAGAATATGTGCTGCCTACAGGTGATGGTGAGCGAGTATCCCCGTGGCGAGCCATTGTTGTAGGCCAACGATGAGTGAGTATTACTGGGACCCAAGACAGCTCGAGCACGCAGGGAGGATAGCCGGACAGATATTACCCTTCCAGAAACCAGGTATATTAGGGATGGTATGCGATTATAATCGTACAGATCCGGTAAGAGATTGGACGGTCTGATGCGATGAACCTGGGGTTGGTAGTGGACTTCGACGTTGGCTTTGGGCGACCCGACTGGGGAAAATGGGCTCCGGAGGCAAAAGGTTTATCGCGGGTGATATCACGCACGTGACAGGCTCTATCATCCTCGGTCACGTGGATGACACCCGCCTGATTCGGCCGGCACCCAACAGACCCCAGACTGGGTGACGGCCTGAGGCTCCCAGCCGTACCTGTGACGCGACATCTTCCCGCTTTCATCTGGAGCTTCCCTGCGGCTCCGGTTCCTGCAGCTAATCACACCCGTCTGTTGTTCTCCGACTGCAGCGCCTCCCCATTGATCAATTAATTTGATTAATTCTTCTTTTGGGATTATATTTCTCCCCCATTATTCTGCTTAACACCATGCCCTTGACCCTGGCCCGACGCGGCGTGGGTGCCTTGCGACACCTGAGCTTGAGCGACACTTTCTCCCGCCCTGTCTGCAAAACAATCGCCCAAAGCCACGCCAGGCGCATCAGCTTGGCCGCGAATAATGGCGCTCTACATCCGAGCGGTCGCCATGTGTCCGCTGCCGCCGTCCTGCCGAAAACACTAGCCAACGGCTACGCTACGAAGAGCACGTCCGACGGAGCTGCCAAATCCACCGAGGGCAAGAGAACGACCAAGGTCAAGACGACCACGACCAAGACTATCAAGGCCAAGAAGACCAAGAAGCCGGCGCCCAAGAAAGTCCTGACCGAGGAGCAGAAGGAGGCGGCCGATGAGAAGAAGAAGATCCTGAAGTTGAAGCAGCTGATCAAGGAGCTGAAGGCGACGGCCCTGACGCCGCCCAAGCAACTTCCCTCGCAGCCTCATCTGCTGGCCATTGGCGAAAAGAGGAAGGCACTCGAAAGAGGACCGGATGAAAGCATGCCGGACGTGTTCCGCAGGGCTGTGGCACTGTCCCGTTCGATCTCTGCCGAAGAGCAGCAGGTATGTCTCGCAGGCCCCTTTTTATGCTGCGCCGTTACTTATGTCGTTGTGTAGAAATTTGCCGCGCAAGCAGAGGCCAACAGAAAGACCAATGCGACTACGCGCGAGGAGTGGATCAAATCCCACACTCCTCTCCAGATCAAAGACGCCAACCACGCGCGCCGGAGACTGGCGAACCTCACAAACAAGAAGGCGGCCCTCCTTCACGACGACAGACTAGTCAAGAGGCCTAGCAGCGCGTACGCTCAGTTCCTTCAGGAGCGCATCCGGAATGGCGACTTCAAATACATGAGCGTGGTTGAGATCGGCCAGCGAACTGGCGAGGAGTGGAATGGAATGACTGAGCCTGAGAAAGCGGTATGCTGCACCCTCCGTCGCCTGCACTATTATCGACTTAGACGCTAACTAGTCCATCTTCCAGAAATACCGTGAACTCGAAGTGGCCGACAAGAACCGTTATCATCAAGAATACCTGGAAGTATACGGCGAAGAGCCCGGCTTTATCACCAGGGCCAATAAGGCCGAGGCCGAGGCCTGAGTGTGGGAAATGTGTTAGATGAGCAGGGCTCGGTTGGTGTTCTTTCGGGTTATGAAGCCTGGTGTTGTCGTGAATTGATTTATGCAGCGGGGATGACTGCTCAATCATTACGGCCCAGGCTAGTTCTTTCATTTGACTTTCCCTTTTCCTCTTTGGTAATCTCTTTTTGACGTCCTGTATTGTGTTTCTACGACTCACTGCTGTATCTTTTATCCGAGTATTGCTGTTACGTGTGTTTAAACGATGCGCAGCTTGTTATATGAAGCAGTATGTGGATCTCGCCGGTCGTAAACATATGGAAGTGGTACCGCATTGATTACGACCTAGTATCCCTGACTTGTCGTAGTGATATGTAAGACGAGTGAACCTGTCATCGAGAGATGATACCACATATAAAAACGAAGCTCCTGCATACTATATTATCCCCTGGTTCAAAAACACAGGGCCACGGTTCTCACTTCCGCCGTCTACTCCGTCGCGATGGGACGGACCTTTTGTAACAAACTTAATACATAGTTAAGCAGCTTTTGATTCCAATATTTAGGTCACATCACACACATCAGACGTGATCGCAAATCTAAGCGTGGGTAAATAGAGATCCCTACGGTCGTATACCGTGACGCTGAACCAGGCTTTCCAGATCCACGGATTAAACGTTCGGGTAGATCTGATATCTCTATGTAGATTTCCTGGTAGCAGTCTGGGGAAATACCCGGGTCGGTTCCCTGGTTGTTGAGTAAACATGTTCTACTCGCTGAGGCAGGACCATGACAGGTTTCATTTTCAAAATCATTATCATGAGTGGCACCATGACAACAAGCTGAAGAGCATCGCTGGCAAAATGGACCCAGCGCGAAGGATTATCCTGGAACAGGCTAGGACAGGTGGATCTCGATGCTGGCAGCGATACCAGATAATACCGTAAAATACATATACATAACTAACTAACAGTAATATTGAATAAAGATGGAGGCTGGGGTCATCACGTTTACATTGTTAGTTCCACCTATTCAAAGCCTACAAAATCTACTACAGAAGCTACGGAGTACTATCGCATGCTGTCAAATCTGCAAGGGCACTTCAAACCGGGCTGGCTGGCTGTCTGGATGGCTGGATAAACAGCCCGATCTGCAATTGCAGGAGTCACCGTGATGGATGGTCTTCCCCGGCTACGTGGCGTGGCGAGCAAGTTATCATTCAATTATGTATGTAGCTCGCCGAGACTCGCGCCGGGTGCCTGGCATTATTTGATGCATAGCATGGCACTTGATGCGTCTGTCGTTACACCACTGATGATGATGTTTTATCTTTGGGAGTTAGGATGGGTGGCCTCCTTGGCGTGTTCTCCTACGGTCCTATCCTGGGATTTGAGGAGTGTATCAAGGAGGATGGATGTGTTTTAAGGAGGTGCCCTGTCTTCCTCCTTCTTCTCCCCTCCTCCCTTGTGGCTCCCATGATAAGAGAGGGGTGAGGGGAGAAGGAGAGATAAGAGACAGCCCCTGTTGAAAATGATGTCTACCCAGGTTCTTTTGCAATGATTATTACCGTGGTTTGAGTAGATCCTATGGTAGATATCACCCTATGAAATCTCCCACACCACCAGAGTAAGTATCCTGATCCCAAAGTAACCATGAGCGCTACCTATCTATACTCATGGCAGCAGCGTGGTATCGATCGTGGCACACATGTCACGGTGATCAGTCTGGTATCTGCCAATCGTATGCATTCTATGATTTCAACGCCGACGGGACGGATAGCATTTCCAACCCTACTGGCTACCGGACGTCAGACGACATGGACCCTGCGACTGATGGCTTTTGATCAGGGATACAATGTCCAACGTCGGCGTATATGGAGGCCGTTGCGACGAGCTTATAATAGTCTGTTTGGCGTGGGAGTAGTTTTCCGAGTGAGAGTGGTGGCAATGCTGGAATTATAGCATGTCTTCGCAGTACACGGATACTGTATAATATTACTAGATAAAAGGTCAAATAATAGGTTCTAGTTATAGCTAGTTTAGATAACTGACTATACCTACGGAGTACTCTATCTACTACTTAATTGAGAATAACACATGGGATACCCTAGCCCAGCCCCCTCATTCCGGCATCAATATCTCCTTGAGGATTCCTCGGGCACGAACGAGGTTCGAGCGTAATACATGATCTAATTGTACTCTGTACAAGCTCGGCTTAAGATGATCTGCACTTGGCACGTTCATGCTGTCTTCAAGAGTAATAGTATAAGGTATGGACGGTATTGAGCGTTACCCGAAGAAATCCAAATCCCGGAGGTTGGGGATGATCATACCAGTATAGAGTCTAAGTATTGTGAAAGATCTCCTGACAAGATGAAATCACGACCATTACTAACTGCTTTGCCATTACATGCCATTCTGGTTTCATCAGGCGGTTATGCAGAGTCGTTTGGGTTGTTTTGAGGGTCGAGGCTTCACCGCAGAAAGTGAGTCATCGGTGGATGTTGTTTAGTACTCCACTTCTATAGGATATTCATATGTAAATACATAAACAAATGAATAATAAACAAAGAGTATCGATGGTTGTATATAGATATAAATACTGTTAATTAGTGAGATATACACTGCTGTTCAATGACCGTTCTGTCATGATGCTTAATTCAGGGAGGTAAAAGCGGCTATCAGGATAAACACCCTTTTCAGGGCCACTGTATTGTTCAGACCAACCACCATACTGATCGACTTCGAGATATCCTTGGAGGGATAAACAACGAGGGGTAACAAGACAGCAGAGAATGTCATTCAAGAATGATCAGGGAAATCCGATACGTACGGAGGATGTACTGAATACCGCACTAGCCTGCATTGCATCCATTCGATCTGATCCAATCCCATCCATTCTCATCCACCGATCTTCATCAGATCCGCCTCCCCTTCATCCTCTCACCGCCCCTCAATGGTCATGAGCTTCTCTCTATTCCCTTTTCCCTCCTTCGACCCTTGCTTCAATCCTCCGAAGGTTCGCTCCTCGCTATTCTAGTCTCCTGCATTCACGATAGTTATTCTCCTCCCGCCGTTGTCTCACCCTGTTTGCTTTTTTCTCCCCTTTGCAAGTTCCGAGTTTCGTCACTCCGGGTGGTGTCAAGTAGCATCCAGGCGTCTTGCTCCACATCTGAGCATTGTCCACCCTCGAATCGCTGCTTCGATTCTATTTTTATTATTACTTTTCATTTTTATCTTATTTTTATCCTTCTAGTGAAAACTTTTCTTTCCCTTAATTCTCCATCACAATCATCTCTCACTTGGTTGATCCCACTGATATCGTCAAATCCCCCCATCGCCTCCAAACAGAGGCCGAGACCGCCAGATCAATGCGCCTGCGCTATTGACCCGCCGGCCCACGTACGAATCTCACGGTTCCTTTCCCAGCATGGAGGCGACGCCGCGCCCCGTTCACCAGGATGGATTCTGCGCATTCGCCAACGAGGTTGCGTCCCCCGGACCGACGCCGTTTGCCGACCACGGGGCTGTAGGAGAATGTATAAAGAAGAATATGGGCAACGGAGTAGTAGTATGCTTCACGTTTTCTGACCTCATTATGCGGGACACATAACCCGCGCTAATCAATGCACTGTAATAACCGGACAGACTTCTACTTCCGCGCGCCTTTCGTACAAGGCTCTCCTGCACGTTCTCGCTGCTGAACTCGAACTCGAAATCGAACGCGAACGCGGACTCCGTACTTGCGACTCCCCGCCTAGCTATGGGACCCCTCCGCCGTCCTATGCGGATGCCGTTAGTGATCTCCCGCCGGACTATTATTCTACGATTGCGCCGCTGGCTCAGAGGAAGGACCTGCGGCAGGATACCGCCCCGCAATGTACGACGAGGGACGCCAAGGGCGCGTCTTCGTCGTCACCAATAGATTTCAACAGCCCTGTCGGCATTCGAGAGCATAAGAAGAAAAAAAAGCAAGCGGCATCACAACGAAAAGCTACGCCGCCACCTGAGAATAATGGGGATAATAATGACGGAGGCGCGGACGATGGTCAAAATGGCGGCGATGCCCCCAACGACGCTGGCGGCGGTGGCGACGCCAACGGTGATGGCGATGGTGGAGACGGCGGCGGGGAAGACGACGACATGGACTCGTGGAATACACCCACCACCAGTAAAAATAGCAAGAAGAAACAGAAAGAGGAGGAGGAGATGAAGAGGAAAGAAGAGGAAGAACGGCTGGCCAAGGAGGAGGAGGAAAGACTGGCGCAGGAAGAGGAGAGTCGAATAGCGAAAGAGGAAGAAGACAAACGCGCGGCTGATGAAGCTGCTGCGCAGAACACACTTAGCTGGGCCGATGATGCCGACGGCGGCGACGATTCATGGGGTGGGTTTGCGAAGGCCGGAAAGAAGAAAAAGAAGGGCAAGGTATGTACCGCGAACTGACACTATCTGTTCGTTTGGAAGCCTAACCCAGTGTAGACTGTCGATCTCCTCGAGCCGGACCCCCCGGTCAACTCGTTCCAAGACGTGAGTCTTAACGATGCCGCGCCCCAGTTAGACGTGGGTTTGGATCCGTCAAAGGCCGCGGGAACCGGTTTCGGTTTTGGTGGATGGGGCAAAGACTGGGATACCGGCAACAAATGGGGTCTGGATTCTCTTGGGGGCGCGAAAGAAGAGAAACCGAAGGACACCAACCCTTGGTCATTCGGCGGCAAGAATGACCTGTCATCCGCCTCGGTTGGATTTGGCTTTGGCGGAGGATTTGTAGATCCTGCCCCGGCCGGTGGTGACAATGCGGCCGGTGATCAAAATGTCGACGATGCCTGGGGCGGTTTTGCACCTGTCAGTAAGAAAGACAAGAAGAAGAAGAACGGCGTCGTGGAGGAACCCGCTCCAGAGCCCGAGCCTGCACCCGAACCCGAACCCGAACCTGAACCGGAGCCGAAAGCCCCCGTTGTGCCAGACGATCCTCTTTATGAAAATTGGCATGAAGTGTCAGCTAAAGAGCGAAAGCGACGAAAACCTGTACTGCGGAGCAAGGGCCTTCCCATACCCGGTGAAGGAGGTTTTGAGCTCCCCCAGCCTGGAGCCGAGCCTGAGCCTGAGCCTACCCCCGAGCCTGAACCTGAACCTGAGCCAGAGCCCGAACCAGAGCCAGAACCAGAACCAGAGCCGGAGCCAAAGCCGAAAGCCCCTTCCGTGCCAGATGATCCACTTTATGATGATTGGCATAACTTGACATCTAAGATCCGAAAGCAACGTGAGAAATTATTAAAGAAAAAGGGCCTTCCCATACCTGGTCAAGGTTTTGAGCTCCCACTGCCTGGAGCCGAGCCTGAGCCAGAGCCTGAGCCGGAACCCGAGCCTGAGCCTGAGCCTGCACCCGAACCCGAACCCAAACCTGAACCTGAACCTGAACCGGAGCCGGACCCCCTTGCTGTGCTAGATGATCCTCTTTATAATGATTGGCATAGTTTGTCGCCTAAAGATCAGAGGCGACGAGAAAGATCGTTGAAGAAGAGGGGCCTTCCCATACCTGGTCAGGGTATTGAGATCCCACTACCTGGAGCCAAGCCTGAGCCCGAACCTGAACCCGAGCCTGAGCCTGAACCAGCGCCGGCTCCAGAACCCATCTCCGACCCTATCGTCGAGCAGCCAGGCGATGACAACTCCTGGGATTTTTGGGGCTCTTCGAAGGATAGGAAAAAGTCAAAGAAGAACAGAATCGCTGAAGATCCCCCGCCCCCTGCGCCTACTCCCCCAGCACTGGGTCTGGACCATGAATCTGAGAGAACTACTCTAGCTATTGAAGATGTGCCAGCGGACCCTGATTTCGACGAAGTCGATGCCAAGCCAAAGAAAAAGACGGAGGAGTCCCCTAAGGCAGCGAAAGGGTTTTGGGCATCTTTCGGCGCAGCCACAATGGGCAAACCCAAGACCACCAAGAAAAAATCCGAGGAAAAAGCTCCCCCAGAGCCTGAGCCGCAGCCAGCCGAAGATCTACTTCTTGATGTAGAGGAAGAGCCAATAAAGGATGAGGCGCCGCCGCCCGCGCCTGACGCGCCTCTCGGGGATATAGAGCCGCCGCCAGCCGCGCCGCCAGCTAAGACACCTGCCACATCAAAGCCCAAGTCAGCTGCCAAACTTTCTGTCGCTGAACGCATCAAAGCTCTTGAACAGGCCAAAAAGGATCGTCTAAAAGAGAAGGCTGCCGCGAAAGAAAAGGCCAAGGAAGCCCTAGCAGTCCCTGAGGACCCGGTCGAAGAGCAACAACCCCCGCCTGGCCCCCCAGAGCCCAAGAAAGTCTCTCGAGACTCCGTGCCTGGTAGCTTCCCCGACGCGTTTGATGACGACTTTGAGGAGGTGCAGCCAGAGCCGGAACCTGAACCCGAACCTGAGCCTGAACCCAAACCGCGCGAACCTGAACCCGAGCCCGAGCCGACTCCAGTCTTATCAAAGAAACTCAAGAAGAAAGAAAAGAAGAAGGCAAAGACTATCGCGCCAGAGCCTGTACCTGAAGTACCAGAACCCCCGGCAGAACCAGAACCCGAGCCTGAACCCGAGCCAGAACCTCAGCCTGAACCCGAGCCGGTTGTCTTATCAAAGACTGATAAGAAGAAAAAGAAGAAAGGCAAGGTAGTCGAGCCCGAACCGATGCCTGAACCAGAGCCCGAGCCAGCTGCACCTGAGGCCGAACCAGAGCCAGCTGCGCCAGAACCGGCGCCAGAACCGGAGCCGGAAGTCGCTGAACCTGCTCCAGAGCCGGAGAAGCCTGCGAAGAAGAGCAAGAAGTCCTCCAAGCGCGCCACCGATCGTCCGCCCGCCGACCCCCCAGCTGAAACTGCTGATCTGGAGTCAGGCAATGCTGAGCGATCGGCTAAAAGGGAGCGGGTCCGTGCGGAGCGCGCGGCGGCAGCAGCAGCAGCTTCGTGGGGTCTCTGGGGTGCAACACCTCCGAAGAGATCTAGCAGGGAGGTCAAACACAAGGGAGAACTGGTTTCTCCGGTGTCAAGGTCCAAATCGATGAAGCAGCCTCGGACGAGGGAGGTTGAGGTTGAGGGGGGGTCGTCTTCTTCCGAAAGAGAGAAAGAGAAGCGACGGGAGGCGAAGCACAACCGAGGTATGGCATTCTCGAATTTCATCCTTGGCGCTCCTTCCCCTGCGAGAACGAAGTCGACACGTCGGACTGGCTCTAGACCGGTGTCTAGACGGCCGTCTTTTGAGATGAACGAGGCTGGGCTCCCCTCACCCCCCCCGGATGAAAGATTCCGGGTGTCTGATAAGGCGGCCAGGATGATGGGTGTGGATCACTCTGGGTCAAAGAGAGAGAGATCGCATCGGTCGCGGAAGAAGTCCAGTAAGTTGCTTTTCCTCCAAGTCGCTGGTTCGACCCTAACAACTCTTAGGTGCTCCCGACCCATATGCCCTGGATGATGAGGACATCGTTATGGTAAATCGTGACGATGTCGACACAAAGGGAGACTCCAGAGAGTCCAGACACTCGGGGAGACGGTCAAAGAGAAAGGTAATGACCACTCAACGAGCGCACGATCTCATTGTACTGACGTATCCCTAGCCGAGATCTCGAGGTGAAGACCTCCAAGACGACGGCGTGATGGTCGATGCCGACCAGAGCCCCAACGGAGTAGATGTACACTCGGGACCAGACGACATCGCGTTCGTCGATGCGCCCCGAGAGCGACGTCTCAAACGTTCCAGCACCGTCCCCAAGAAACCCGAGCCAAGCGGCTTCATGGGGCTAATCGGGTCCCTACGTCGAAATACCCGACAGGAGCCTCCCGAGCGTCGCAAATCCCGATCTCGCCGCGACGACGACGCACGATACGTGACAGACCCGGAGCGAGACGACCCCCGACGTCCAAGACGGGACGATAAAAGAAGACGCTCCACCCGTCCAGACCTCGACGGCGAAGGCTACGCCACGGACGCCCCACCGACAACAACAACGCGCGACATGGAGTCCAACGACGCCGAAGCCCGGCGCGCAGCGCGCAGAGCCGCTCGACGTTCCTCCCGCCAAGGAGACCTCGATCCACCGCTCGACAACGAGCAGCGCGAACTCGAAGAACGACGCGCTCGACGGAGAGATCGACACCGCGCCCACGAACGCGCCATGCAAGAACGACAAGCCCAAGAAGAGGCAGACCGCGAACACAGACGCCAAGAAGAACAGCGCGCTCGCAGGGCCGCTCGCGAAGAGCGTCACGCCAGAGAAGAGCACGAAGCCCGGGAAGCCGAAGCCCGCGCCGAAGCCCGCGCCGCAGAGCGCCACGAACGGCGCCGGCAGCGCGAAACCGAAATGTACGAAGGCGGGGGCATGGACCCGCGCGCCAAACGGCGCCAGTCACGGCAGCCGGACGACCGGGGACCCTACGGCGACGAACATGCCGCCGAACGACCTCGTCGCTCGCACAAATCAGCCGATGACGGCGAGAGGTCCAGACGCCGGAGGTCTAAGATCCCAAGCATGCTTCAACAGCCACCGCCGATGATGTCAGGCGGCCGTAAGGAGAAGATCTCCTCGTGGGTGAACTCCCAAGCGACGGAGCCGCCTGAACCCCCACCAGTCGTGCCGACAGTGCTCGACGTGCTCCCTGGTCCTGGCGACCAAGCCAACGCGCACTCGATGTCCTCCGACGAAGAAGCCCGCCGGGACCTGCGCCGCAAAGCGCGCAGACGATCCCGATACCCCGGGATGACAGAGGAGGAGATCGAAGAACTCCGCGCTAGGAAGCGCGAGTCGAGACGAGACGAACCTAAGAGTAGCTCCGGAAGCGGAGACTACGAGCGTGGTCGTGGCATGCGGCCTTATGACCGCTATGCTGCGTCGCAGCAGCAGCAGCCTCCACCTGGTGGGCTTGGCGGGAAGATGCCGGGGTGGTTCAAGAAACTTACGAGTCTATGATATGATATGATATGTTGGGATTTGGGGCAATTTATATGATGAGATGAGATGACAATGATGATGATATGTTTATGATAGCATTTTTTGTTTTGTTCTTTTTGGGGGCATTTGACTTTGTGAGTGTCTTGCTGATGCTATATATGGTTTGTCGAGGTGCGATTTGGGTTTTTGATGATTGTATGATTAGCTTGATTTTATTGAATAAATCAGATTGGTTTGACATGATAATTTGACTTTTATGTCCTCTACGTGACTAAACTACGAGTTCACTGGATCGTACCCATACGATAGCAGCAACAGAGTTGTCTCGAGCGGTACCCAGTATAGATAGTATCCCAATTACACAATGTGTATTGATCTAGCAACAAGGTAAATTAGTACAATAGGTACATAGTAAGTACCTAGATATAAGCAAATAGTACTTAATAAGATCTACAAAGCAGCCCCCTCACCTTCCTCCCTCCTCGTCCGTCTATCCTCAAGATAAAGCCTCCCCCCCTCATAAAACCCCAGATAAATACTCATCCCCAGCGCCGTCCAAACCGAGCGTACCGCTCCACCGCGGAACAGACCTTTCAATCCTTCTTGCGTCCAGATCTGTCGGCCCATGGCTATCGTGCCTCGCCGGGCTGCTTTTTTTAATTTCTCTTTTTTCCTCGTTTGGATCTCGGCCTGTTTGCCGGTACTTTCCTCGCTCTTTCCGTCAGATGGGGAAGAAGTAGCGCTCAACATCATCCTCGTCTTGACTACATCGATAGGCGTAGTGACGATAGATGAAATCGTCCCTGATACACTCGCCGCTAAACCCGTTAACAGCGCCGTTTCAACAATGGGGTTGAACCGTCTTCCTTCTTTCCCCCCTCCTCCTCCCTCTCGACTCCCCTGCTCTCCATGACGCACCCTCCTCCTCCCAACCACCACCTCCTCCCTCCAAGAAACCAACCACCCCTTCACAAACTCCAGTATCGGAAAATTCAGCCCCGTAGCCGGCAGATTGCGTCCCACGAGCGCGGTGTACCCGCTCCAGAGCTTCCAGGGCTGGTTTCTGAATTTGGCGAGGACTTGCGCGGTGGCGCTTTTGGTTTTGGCTGACTTGGATGAAGAGGAGGAGGGGGAGGGGGAAATGTTGATGACTTGTGCGTTTTGCTTGATCACTTCTGCGGGGGTGAGGATTGCGCAGGAGACCATTTCTGCGGTTGAGGAGGCTAGGCCGTGGATTAGCGGGGTGGGGAGGGTGAATGGGCGTTTGGAATTTGAGGTTGATGTTGATGGGGAGGATGGGGTATCGCCGAGGAGGCGTTTTACGGATTCGTAGGTTGTGAAGAATGCTCCTGCTGTGATCACTCGAGTGTCAGTCTTATTTATCCTCACTGGGCCGATATGTAGGTTAATACTGTGAGGGAAACATACAAGAAGGAATAGTCGCTAACACAACACTCCACACACCCTGGTACAAACCCCTAAAGAGGACATTCTTGCGGATAGCCCCCGTGCTTGCATCCTTGTAGATTCTGTTGTAGTCCGGGGACTGGATGCGTGTTTTGAGAGTGTCGAAGGGGTAGACGATGAAGTCGACTGTTACTGCTGCGATGGCGCCTGCCTTGTTTGTGTCAGTTGCTATCCCTACTAGGTTCTAGGTAGTACTGAGATGGTTGGTTGGGGTTTGAGAGTTGTATGGAGGAGTAGGTATAGATGGATCGGGTTAGAGGAGAAGACTCACGACCCAGACGTCGAGGTTGGTGCCCATCTCATCTAATTATTCATTCAAGATTGTCTATTACCGAACATCATTTGTTTATTGAAGTCTAGGGAAAAAGAGATACAGCACGGCTGCAGTTGCAGCTCATGCTGGCTGTTGCATCAATGATGCATTCTTATCTAATCTCACTTATCAGATATGAGGTCATCCAATATATCATCACGTGAGGTGCCGTACCCTATTGCGAGATTAGGGTTCAGGAACGGCAGGGTTGTCGAGATACGAGAAAATACCCTCTACGATAAGGCAAGACTCAACTAGCAGTCATAACCCGTACTCTATTCGGCATGAATAAGCAAAGGAGACATTAACAGTGAAGATACATAATTTTTCCTTCTTACGCCGTAAAGGTCATGCATGCAATTCCCAGAATCCCCACATAGATAAAGCACCCTCGTCCAACCACAACTCTATTTGGCGAGCTCCCCGGGCATCAGGTTGCCCTTGATCGCAAACATCTTGCTCGTCGTGGCCGACACGAAGCTGTCGACCTGGCGCGAGTACTGCTCCACCTGGCGGCTGTTGAGCATGGTCTCCAGGCGGCTGGGCTCCTGGGGCAGCTTGAACAGCCGCTGCCACTCGTCCTCGGGGAGAGGCGGCTGCTTGAGGGTCGCGCGGCTGGCGTTCTCGGCCTTGCGCTTGGTTTGCCAAGCAGTGATCTTGGCCTGCTCACGGGCCAACGACCGCTGGTAGTACTGGTAGTTGTTGGTCTCCGTGTGGTGCGTCTCCATGCTCTCGAGGAGAAGATCGCAGTTCTTCTCCAGGTAGGGGTCGATGCTGAGAGACAGGTTGTCGTAGTTGGGGTCCAGGAGGGTGTCCTTGACGAAGGGGCCGGACTCCAGGGCGGCCAGGGACGGGGGCAGCTCGGTGGGCGCAGACACCTTGGGGCACTGCAGCTGGTGGAGGAAAGAGGTGATCAAGTGCGAGTTGTGGATCTCAATCGGCAGTTCGACGAAGATGTCCTGGTATCTCAGGTTGGACTTTTGCAGCCTGCGGGGGATGTTAGACAAAATAGGGGGCGCTGGATATCAGGGCGGGCTGGCATACTCCTCAGTGGTGAACTTGTGCTCCTTGAAGGCCGTCATGAACTTGGGAGACAGACGGAATGCCCGCAGGCTCAGGCTGCCCTGCGCACTGCGGCTCACGTCGTGAACCAGGAAAGCGGTCTTCTCGTTCATCTCCTTCTGGTAGAAGAACTGGTTCTCGATCACGTTCATGTTGACGAAGTTGCCCATGTTGGCGCTCGTGTACCAGCCGACGTTGTTCGCGTCGACGTTGACCTCCCGAAGCATGCGGATCATCTCAGCCTGGTAGGCGACGTTGGACTTCGCGCGAGGGGCGGCGGCGGCCGGGTTGGGGGGGATGTTGTCAAAGTGCGAATCCTGGGGCATCTCGACGACGGGGAAGGGAAACGAGTTGGTGATCTCCAGGATACCGTTGTCATCCATACCAACGATCGAACCGGTCGCGGTAGTGGGGAAGGTCTGGGAGCCATGCTTGATGATTTTCATCACCACCTAATCGCGAAACCATGAGTATCTGGCTAGATTTTGATGGCGGGGGGGAGTGTTTTTTCGGGGCTTACCAAGGCCTCGACCTTGACGGCCGTGAGGGGAACTTCTTTCCTGTAGGGAACTGTTAGTTAAAAAACATCCTGCAGACCGATCTGAGATCATTTTAGACACTTACTCCGCCATGTTGAGTGTATGCGGTCCTGGGAATGTGAGAGACGGCGTGGTGGTTGACAGTCGGCCACGGTTTGTGTGGATGGAGATTTGATCAATTTCCACCGCCTCATCCCCAACCGGGTTAGCGTGCCAAGACCGCCAGATCGGCTTTGTCCTGGAGTCTCCAAGTCTCCATGGACTAACTATTCTTGATAGATAACGACTTAAATCATGTTGAAAATGTGTTCATGCTGCGACTAACATGAGGGCTGAACAGGGGAGCTCTGAAATCAATCGGACCCCCAACTGGGACACAATTACCATGCCGTTCTATGGCGCCTCCGCACTTCTCCCACAGCATAATCGGCTAACTACAAACTCATACTAGCACATCATCCCCTCCACCTTCTACAAACAACCTCCCATACCTCATCAACCAACCAAAGAAAAAGAATAAAAAGAACCAAAGACAAAGAATCAAAGCCACGCTACCAATTAACCCCAGCAATGGTCACAGAAACCCTTTCCTACGGAGACCACATTCTCCAAACCATAACCGTCCACCAACGTCCCCAAGCCCACAAAGACGCCCACTGGGTGGTGTACGTCCATCGTCCAGCCCAACAGCGTAAGTAAGCACCGCTAACAGCACGAACCAGCCTCATCCACGGCGGCGCCTGGCGCGATCCAACTCAATCCGCAACAAGCTATCTCGCCCCCGCCCTCGGAGCCCTGACGGCTTCCTCCAGCTACACATCCGAAACCCTCCCCTACATCGCCGGCCTCGCCTCCATCGAGTACCGCCTCAGCCCGCACCCGAGCCACCCTCAAGACCCCTCCACGATCCCTTCCCGGGAATACCGCTCCGCGAAACACCCGGACCCCGTCCGCGACGTCCAGACCGCTCTGGCCCTCCTGCAGCGGAAGTACGGGTTCGGGGGCCGCTATATCCTAGCTGGCCATAGCTGCGGCGCGACGCTGGCGTTTCAGGTTGTGATGGGGTCTTTTCGGAACGATGCCGAAGTAGAATATGTGTGCCCTGAGGCGATACTGGGCATGGCGGGGATCTATAATCTCCGGTTGCTGAGAGATACCCATGTGGATGTCACGGCTTATCAGAAGTTTATTGAGGGGGCGTTTGGGTCAGATGAGGCTGTTTGGGATGCGGCGTCGCCGGTGGTCGTGGAGGGTGCTGAGGGTGTTCGAGGGGGCTGGCGATCGGGCCGTTTGGCTGTGTTGGCGCATTCGGAGGGTGATTCCTTGGTGGATGTGGCACAGAGAGATGCCATGTCTGAGTCTCTGGCGTCGTGGGCGGATGATGGTGGTAGGACTAGGTGGGTGCACAGACTCCCTATCAATGGGGAACATGACGAAGCATGGGAGAAGGGAGACGAACTGGCGAGTTCCATTGCTTTCACCGTGGCGAAGCTTCACACCGTAGACTCCTAAGCGAGCGACGGTAATACGTCCTTGAACGGGCCTGTCTGCGCATACGAATAACGAGACGGCGGAATATTATAGCGCATATTCAGTACGTACGATATGAACTGCACATTCTCATACCAAAGCTCCTGCTGAATACTGTCTGGCATCACAAAGACTACAGAAATCAAAAGTATAAAAAACTAGTACACATTAGAAGGAACGGGAAAAAGACCGGCCATTCCAGAACTTCCAACGCCACCAGCATCCATCATCGTTGCTTCAGAGTACATAAAATATCAAGTCAAAATGCCCGTCATGCGCCCGGTGGGTGGGATAAACATTAATCAAAAAGGGGAGAAGAAGACATAAAAAGTTAACTGAGATCAGTAGACATCAGGTCAAGCGCGGCGATCGCACTTATGCATGTGCAAGAAAATAGTGGCGTGAAACCTAAACTCGGGCCAGGTCAAAGTTGAACAGAATATTTTCCTTAATTACCTAAATCCATCCGGCCGGACGCTGCGTCTCCAACGACTTTTTCTTTCCTAGCACTCGAAGTCTGGACTTCCTCCTCGTCTTCCTCGTCGTCCTCCCCCTCGCTGTCCTCTGCGAACCGGGTCTCCATGCCTGCGTCACGAAGGCGCGCTCTTGTCTCCTCACGGTACTGGTCCTGCCAGCGAGCGAGCGCGGCCGGTGCATGGACCCGGAATCCAAAGATCCGAGGTTCGTAACGACGGATGCTCTTTTCGGGAAGCAGGGCGGGGTAGACCTGGAACATCATGCTGTGGAAAGACGACCCGAAATAGGCACCGTCGATGGAGCCATGGCGAGACGACTTGGGGTTGTAGATATCTTCGCATTTGGCACAGTAAAGCCGGACGGTACTCGTATTGGGGATGTCATGTTGGCCCATGGGCAGAAGGGGGTGGCCCTCACATATGACTCGGGGACACTTCCCAAAATCGCACTTTTTGTACTTATCGAGCTGGAGAAGACGTCAGTCTGTGTCTCGTCTAATTTCTCCTCCCGTTTCCGATCACATACCATCTTTGCCAGACCACGAGTGGTCACAATGTATCTCGCATGCACAAGCCCGTACAGGTGGCGCGCTGCTTTCTCGATCTGCTCGCGGAGCTCGTCGTCGGCATCCAGGTCGAAGACATCGGTCACAAGATCCAAGGCATATTGGTAGTAGGGAACCTCCGTGTTTAAGCCCGTGAGGTTGAAGCGATCGGTGAGGTACTCTTCGTCGATTTCGCAAAAGTACTCGTTCCCGCGGGATGAGATAAACTATTCGAGAGTTAGACAGATCGCAAAGTTTCAACCAGAACAGATCGGATGAAGAGCGAGAGATGAACAAAGACAGCCGGGTCTGGTCAAGCCGTGGGGATCACTCCACTATAGCCAGATCAGACGATCGGGTAGGAAATGACATAGACTGCGAGACGACCGCTGAAGTCCTGTACAAGATGTCCAAATAATCCTCAGACTCATCGCACCCGATGCGGTTGGTGTAGACACCCAGCCGCAATGGCATTGCGATGAATGATGGGACGAAATGGTGATGCCCAAGCGCAATTTCTCCCCGCATCCCCTATAACACATCATACGTACCCAATCTCGCCAATAACTGGTATAATCACTATCCGTCTCACTATTGAAATCTTCCATCATCTTTTCGATTATTTGGCCCAGCGGGGGCGGGGAACGGATCGTAAGGTAAGATTATTTCGGTGCTTTGCCTGTAGCAGTTGCTGAGAGGAGGGTGAGATCGGCCCAGCGCAGGAGAGCCCCCAGAACTGTACAGCTGGAATAATCTTCCTCAGAGCGTCCAGCAGCCACGGTTAAATAGAATGGATGTAGTGATTGAATGTTCGGGGGAGACAGAGAGATGCCCGATTGGATTGGTCTGGTCAGAATGTGTGTTTCTCCATTCCGTCCACTCTTGTTATCAGTGGATCGTCTACTTATGGTTTAGCGCGGGGTTGGCGGTGGCTTTCTTCGCGTCTTTGGACACCGCCTTTACAACAACAACAACAACAACACTTGGGATATCTTCATTTCATTCATCTTCAGGTTCTTCCCAACTCGTAACTCACTCCAGTGGCTACTGCATACATGGATAATTAGGCAATGATGGCACAGATGTCACCAGTCAAATTCAATTTATACCAGTTTCTCACACCACAGCGCATCTCAAACACCGTCCCCAATATACTAACTATATACAAATAGCCCGTTCGGGCAGAATAGAAGGAGGACACGATCGTCATCACGATCGAGGATTTACAGGGGCGGGTTGGCGTTCTTCACCAGCTGCTCGAAGTAGGCCTGCGGTTGATATATTAGCATAGCGATCAAACGAGAAGACAATTCTCATGGAACATACCTGGAACCACTTGCCGGCCTCAGGAGCAGGGGTGAGGGCATCTTCAAGCCCACAGTGGGCATCATAGCGCTCGGCAGACTCGTCAGAGGTACCATCGCTCTCTCCACCGGGCTTTCCCCAGACGAAGGCGTCAACAAGGTCGTCGCCAGTCTCGGTGGTGGGGCGCTCGCCAAAGCCAGTGTCCTTGACGTTGCACCAGTCACCCCACTCAATCTGGCCGGTGGGCTGGTTTCCGTTGCGGCCTGGAAATTGGTTAGGCATAATCATGTTAGATTCAACTAAACGGGACACATACCAGTGTCAACGATGAAGTGGGCGTCGAATCCATTGGCCTTGAGCTCGGGAGCGAAGTTGTTGACGTAGCTCTTCTCGTCACAAATCTCGTTCTCGGAGGTGTACGACGGGCAGCTATCAGTGGAGAAGGCGTTGAAGTTGGCCACGTTGGTCGCCAGTCCGCGAACGGAAGCGGGAGACTTTGCGTCCTTGTAGACCTTGCCAAAGAGCTCAGCGGCGGGGCCGATGTTGGCCGGCCAGCCCAGCCATCCGGCGTGACCTGTGATTTAGGTCAACGATGTTTTCCTGGGATTGAGAGAGTCAATCCACTTACCAGCGTCGAGATACATAGACACGTTGGGAAGGTTAAGCTCGGTAATGGCATAGTTAGTGCACTCCAGATACGCCTCCTCGGCATTGGCGCACTTGGGGACATCCATGTTGGTGATCAGGTTGCCCAAGCTGTCCGGCTCTGCGCGACGTTAGAAACTTCCACCTAGTGGCATTCGGACCACAACTCACCGATGATCAAGATCGACTTCACATCAGAGTATTCCTCGAGAAGCTCCCGGATGGAGTCGATATACGCCTTATACTTCTCCACACCACCATCATCGATGGCATACTCGCCGTTGGAGGCCAGAGCAGCGCAGTCACGGTCCGGCAGATCGTAGACAACGAACTGGCCCGCAACCGGGGGCTTTGCACCCTTATCATTCTGGGCCTTGATGTCCGCCAGGAACTCGCCCATGATGGGGACCTTATCGGCCGTATCCCTATATCGAACAATCAGTTTCTATCTTTACCGTACCGCGGATTCTCCAAAACCACATACAGCCAGTAGAACGAGGGGACGTTCGCCGCAGCGCTCGCCTGCTCCGCCAACGGACCAGTCATGGACGGAATAGCGGACTCCTCCACCTCAGACTTGTAGTAAGGGTTCACGAAGAGGTCGACACCCTCGTAAGGGTTGCCAGTCACAGCAGGCGGGCTAGCCGTCGCGGTGGGCGACCCAGTGGGCGACGGGGTAGGCGCAGCCTGAGGAAGAGCCTGCACAGCAGGCAGAACGAACGGCAGAAGGGCCCACAGGGCCGTGTTGCTAACAGTCCTCATGATGGGTAAACGAAAGGAATGCAGTGTGCAGAGATGTACTTTGAAAGGAACGTTGGTTTGTTTGAATCCTCAACTCGAGTTAACGGCGGTCCTACATCTGTATTTATACCCTCGCCCGCCGAACTCTGCAAGATCCACCGCATGGTAGGTTAGTATCTAGTACCTACAGCTAATCTCTCCGTTCCAGGTCCAGAAACGCCAAGCCAAGCGGATAGTCAAACAAGTTTTCCTGGCTAAAAACGCATGATGCCATCCATCTCATCTCCCTGGCTAAAATGAATCACCCCAGAGCATGGGCTGGCTACTGCTAGCGCACGGGTCTCATGCGGTTCGACGGTCCCGGGTTTCTCCAGTACAGTACGGCCCGACATAGACAAGCAATTAAATTGGGGTCAAGACGGAGACCTTCCGTCCTGGAAGAGTGCAGAAATGGGATGATCGTCATTATACCGCTGAGACTCGGCGCCGGCCGGGTGAAGAAGTACCGCCTGTGAATTTAGGCCCAGGGGTCGATCCTTGACGATTTGCTTTGATATTCAACCGTGCCTGGGGTCGATCATGTGAATCACTTGCTGTCAAATTATACACATTACAAAGCGATATTGCTGTCCATAGAAAGCAGAGCCTCTCAAGATCAAAAGCATACCCAATGTATCAGTCCATATCTTCAACATTAACAAGCCCTACAAGCCACCCATCAAACCCCAAACGCCCAAATCCACCACCACCACCCATCAATACCCACAAAATTCTTCCGGCAATAACAATCCTCCAACCCACTAATCCTGCCATCCCCCATGGGGTCAACCCAATCCTGCATAAAATTGGCACATTGCGGGGGTGTGAAGAAAAAGTTCCACTATTTAGGGCTAGCCTTGGGAAAAAAGGACCCGTTTCACATATAGCGGCCTATGTTAAAGTTTTTCCGCCTACGGGATCGAGGGCCGCTCGGCTTGTTCCTTTTTGTCTGTCCCGTTTACTGCATACTATTCGTCCTTATAGTAGCTCTATCGCGGTGGTTTGTGAAAGTCCCGGGTTAATATGGGTGTTTGGCGCCAAGGGGAAGAGGGCGGGGTTGGTGAAGCCTAGAGTTGATGGCCGGTATAGCGGGCCGGGTTCCCATATGTGGGACAGTTATGTCGATATCAATGGTGATTTGCGTGCTTGTCATGTTTGGTGTAGTGCAGTGTGGGATTTATGAGGAGAATGTGTTTCAAGGTATACTCAGTACGTCTATATTGCAGAACATATTTATGTAGTTGAAACAATATATTTGGTTATCAAGACAATATGAAACAAAACTAGGTATTTGACAAAGGAAATAAATGAATGTTCAAGTTGGTTAGATATGCATCTCAATAACATTGCGCAGCACGATCACATTCTGCCAGAAAACGATGTATTCCTTCGGTTGATCCACATCCGGAAGTGCTTGGTATACCAGCACTCGACGTCTCAGGGAAAAGCTCCCGATCGCCAAGCTCGCTGATGTTGATGCTGGAATACCCCGACGGGGAGGAGGCCCATGGATTGTCGTTGAACATTGTAACATCCTCGAAGCTGAGCTTGTGCGCTGGTGATGCCTCAGAGTGGCTGTCCGACATCATGGCTTCCCAGTCAACTTCGTCAGGCTTCTGAGTGCAAGCAGGCTCTTCTCGGTAAAAGTACTCCTCGGTGCCTGGCGACGCAGGAATGCTGGGCGCAAAGGGGAACAGAAGGGCAAGATCGGCGCCGGTGCGAAGGTTGAAATCCTCGTCCTGCACAATCTTGCCCCGCTGGACACCAACCTCGTCACACAGCCGCTCCACGGTGGCTGCATCACAACCTGGAAATCGTACCCGTATTGTTGATCTGTCGTGAAGTTCAATGGGCAAGTCTCCTAGACTTGACAGCCGCTTAAGGTCATTAAGGATAGCCGCCAGGTCCTTGAGAGCACGTCCAAAATCGGCAGAGAGCACATCCAGGACACCGTCCGACTTGAGCGTCGCGGGCTCCACGGCCCCAGACACACCAAACTTCTTCTCCAGGCCTAATGCGGTAATAGTAGGAGACATCTGGAAGTCGACGAAAGAGCCAGGCGCTGTGCGGGGGATCGACGTCATCTTACGCTCGGCCTCATCTTGCAACGCACTAACAGCCTTGTACTTCTTGTTTCCGGTGATGTGGTCGACACCATCGAACCGAGCCTTCTGCCCAGAAAGGAAGAAGGCCCGAACACCGACCGACACATTGTTTATAACCTGCGCAGGTGCCGCTGGGCCATGAGAGAAGTACCGGGCGCCCCCAACGCGACCAGCGCCAATCGTGTACCCCCCTGCGGTACGGCCCAAGGTGCCACCGGTCAAGTTGGGACGCAAGGTCGAGGCAAACGGAGCCCGGGAGGTCAATCGACTGACATTGGATGCAACCCGGGACGGCTGGGAGGCAGCACGTTCACCTTGTAGTCCAGTCCGGATGTATGAGATGAAGGCGCTTCCAGCACGAGTAGAAAAGTGACGGCTACGAGCCTGGCGAATAGCAGCGGCCCTGTTAATCGGCTGTCGAGTGTTAATGCGAGCATAAGCTGGTTGGTAACGAATTGAGCCTTGTTGCAGATGTTCTGGAATCCTCGACCTGATGGCCTTGGAAGCCTTCTCATAGGCAAACCTATAGATAGTGGATCCGTCAGATAAGAGGATCAGCGGGAGTATATGGGAAGTGACTTACCTGGCTGCTCTCCAGAATTTGGGGAGCAGCAGGTGCCCACTAGATGGAGGCATCCTGCTAAAATGTCAAGGTAAATGGATCTTGATGAAGAGATGATAGGACGATGACTCTTAGGATGGATTGGATGGGGAATGAGGAGAGGGGAGATGACGGAGTGGCGGCAAATTGTGGCGGTGCATCACCTGACTCCACGTGCCACTCGGAGGCGTATATGCTTAGTCATCCCATGGATCCCTGTGGAAACTACGGACGGAATTAATGAACACTAGCGTTGACTATTGACTTGTTTCTACGAACAAAAGTAAATGTCGCAAACATTAACAATCTTATTTTTGAAAAATCTATCATCTATTCATCTGGGGATATCATCATGAAACATAAATTTACTCGTCGTCGCCGAAGAAGACCTTGATGGGCAACCAGTCGTCACCGCAGACCTTGAAACGGTCCTTGAGGTTATCGAGCTGGTTGATCTCCTCGTCGGTCAACTCATAGCCGTCAAGGTCGAAGTTCGCATCAATGCGAGACTTGCTGACGGACTTGGGGATGACGCTCCAGCCCTTCTGCAGACCCCAGAGAAGCAGGACCTGCTGGGGAGTCCGGCCCTTCTTCTCGGCGATCTGCAGGAGAGTGGGGTCCTTGTAGAGGGGCGAGTTGGTGGAGCCCAGGCAAGAGTAGCCGGTGGCGTGGATACCCTTGGACTTCAGGTAGGCAATCAGCTTGGGAGAGGGGTTGTTGGGGTGCAGCTCGACCTGGTCGACGGCAGGGACGATCTTGGTGCTAGGGTCGTTCAACAGCTTCTCCATGTTCTTGATGCCGAAGTTGGAGACACCGATGTTGCGGACCTTGCCGGTCGCAGGCAGCTTCTGCATCTCTTGCCTGATTCTTGGTCAGTTTCTGCTAGGTTGAGGCCACGAAAAGTCAGACGGATTACATACCAGGTCTTGATGAAGTCCCAGTCGGGAAGGTGCTTCTTCAGATCATTGGGATCGGTCGAGCTGGGCCAGTGGACCAGGTAAAGGTCAACATAGTCGAGACCCAGGCTCTTGAGGGAGGAGTCAATGCCCTCCGCAACACGGTGGTGCCAGGGGTTGTCGAGCTTGGTGGTGACCCAGATCTCTTCGCGGGGAACGCCAGAGTCCCGGATACCCTCGCCAACCTCGTGCTCGTTGCCGTAGGCAAGGGCGCTAAATCGATTTGTCAATATAACTGCGTAAAACGGTTGAAGCAGGAAGGACAGGATGTGACCTACGTGTCAATGTGGCGGTAACCCCTCAGCAAGGCGTTCTTGACAGCCTCACGGACCTCGTTGGGCTGGGACTGCCAAGTTCCCAGACCAATGGCGGGGATCTTAGCACCGGTGTTGAGGGTGAAGGTTTTCCTGCAGGCAAAGAGCGGCAACGTTAGCAATTTGTTCTCAACATGCGCGCTCATTTAGATGCAGACTCGGTGCAGACGGAACATCCAGAATAAACCAATAAAAGGGTAATATCCAGAGGTAAAATGGGAGAATGGAAACATTGAATCACTTACTTGGTGTGCTGAGCGGTCGACATTTTGAGTGTTTGAGAGGGCAATGGGTTCAATCAATTCAAAAGTTAGGGATAGGTTCAATTGAAAAGAAAAGATACAGAAGGGATGCGCCGGAGGCTTTATACGTTCCCATGGTCGCGCACCCCAAGCACACCACTGGGGGGAAGGCGGGGAGGATGATGTCGACTGAGGGGCAACTAACCCCAACTCATCGTCGCAATGGAGCCCCTCCTTAACTAGCAATTACCCGGCGGGCGGTTTCATTTTACCCAGGGTAGTACTCCGTACTCCGTGTGCTCCGTGCTAAGTCGCTGACTGATCTCCGAGATCTGTCGAAGACTCGAAGCAACTGGACTCTACAATGGACATAAGATGCTCATTTCTTGGATATCAATGATTCCTTGGTGGTGACTACGTTTCCCAGATCACAACAGATTTGACCTCAGCCTCCGTAACTACACCTAAGCCATCTTCGTCTAGACCTGGTGTCTAAACTTCCCACATACATCATCGGAGTTTATGGCCAGGTATTTTGCCTAAAATACCCGCCTCCCCCACCGGGAATGTGGCGGAAACTGTTATAGGTCAGTCGTCACCGATTTGGCCACAGTATCGCCTGGATTTTACCGCTCTTTACCGCTCTGTTCTGCCGCCATCTTCCGCCCCACTGGCTCCGCAAACCCCGAACACGGTTCGAACGACTTTGGAGAGCCTGGATATTATCCAATTTTTTCCATCTGCCACGAGCACGACAGCGGTTTTACTAAGCGGACGGCTGCTATTGAGCTAGCTACTTACGCAATCCGGACAACTGAAAATGGCATCAGGGTTTGTGTCCGCGGGGACAGACCAAGAACCAGTAGAACGCGACGAGGAGTGGCTTCGCGTACAACATGAGCTGGAGGAGGAGCGGCAACGAAAGGCCGAGCTGAGCAGGCAAGATGGCGGGAAAAGCTTGTTTGAAGTTCTCGAACAGAACAAGAGTGAGTTACGGCATATTCCAGTTAGGCTTAGGTGGAATCGCGTGCTTCCGGATACCCTGGGTTGACATGTTAGGGTGATGTTGTTCCGGCAAACAGTGGCCAAGCAGGAAGCTTTCGAAGAGAAGATCAAATTGAAGAATCAATTCCGCTCGCTGGATGAAGATGAGGTCGACTTCCTTGACTCGATCATGGAGTCGACACGCGCCCAGGAAGCCGCCGTCAAAAAGGAGACCATCGAGCAGCTCGAGGTGTTTCGCCGGCAACGCGAGGAGGCAGAGAAGGCTCTTATGGAGGACAATACCGCGGACGTCGTACCGCCAGCTGAGGGGGAAGAATGGAAGATACCGGCGCGCAAAAGGCGGCGCGATAAGAATAAGAACCTTCTTATTCCGGGCAAGAAACGAAAGTCCATGGGCGACGGTGCCGAGGAAGGGGCCCCTGCTAAAGAATTGAAGTCGGACAATCATGCAGATGAGACCAAGAGAAGCAATGAAGGTAGCAGGGAGTCATCCGGATCCGCCCCGCCCCCGAAGCCTACTGTTCAAGGCGCCACAAGTTCGACACGTCCAGCAAACGAGGCACCAAAGAAGGAAGAGAAGGCAGACTCGGGACAATCTCAAGCGGAACAAACCTCGCCACCTCCGTCTACTTCTCTTGGCTTAGCTGGCTATAGTTCCGATTCGGAGTAATGCGCGGTTTTCTCGTCGAATGTCAGAGCACAACACGGCCCCTCCTAGCCCATGCCATCTCACACTATATCAGAACCTTCAACGATGTTCCGTCAACAGAAGCATACGAGCTGACCAGTGCTGTTGACAGCGGTGCTATAGTACACCAGTCTAGTACATCCTAGTGTGTGTTTTTCACGACCATTGCTAGTACTAACCCCCACATGGCAATAACAGCTCCTCTCAGCTGCCGCAGTGCACTTTCCGACATGGGATGCTTTGTCCACTTTCAGTTATCACTGGACGGCATACATTATATTATACAATTAGGGCACACGAATTTCAAAAACAATATATTTTTTACTAGTAATCGATATTTTTCCTCCAAACATCTCCTTCATCCCACTTCTCTTACCTACTCAACCGCCGGGCTTCCTCTTCCGCCATAATCACCTGCTGTTTTTCTTCCTGTTCCATAACCTTACGTTCCAGATCACGAGGGACGTAGTCCTCCTTCTTCGACCCCACAACAATCCACGGGGAGTTCGAGAACAGATAATTCATCTCTTCAAGAGGCAACTTCTTAGTCTCAGGCAACAGCAACCAGAAGAACACCGCATTCGTGAAGTTGCAGATGATGAAAACGAAGTAGTAACGGTACCCCACGCTCTCCATCGCAATAGGAGTAACTTGGCCAATCATGGTGTTAAAGGCATAAGAAGTCATCGTGGCAAGTGAAACCCCCTTAGCACGCGTTCGAGTATCGAAGACTTCGGCCGGAATGATCCAGCTAAGCGGACCGCACGTGCAGGAAAATGAGAAGTTATACAGCCAGGTCATGATGATGAAGCCCCAGTGGGCTCCCGTATTCTCAACTTCTGGTGGGAACCGAGCCAGCAGTGTGCATGCAACGATGAAAGTGACCATGTTTCCGAGGTTGCCCCAGATTAGCGTCCAGCGACGGCCGAGCCTGTCGATGAATAGGATGCAGAGAAATTGTGCCACCAGCGCGATGATGGAGTTGATCGCTTGGTATTGTAGTGTCTTGTCACCCTTGATTCCAATCTGCCCATAGATCGTCACGGAGTAGTATCTGCAGGTTACTCGCAATCAGCTTTTCATTTCTTCTGCTTTGGCCTTATCAAAGCATGTGTCCTTACTGGATCGCGGATACACCGGTCATCTGCACGGATGCCTGTAACGCACAGCACAAGAAAAGACGGCGGAAGGAGGACCGTGAGGTGAACAACTCGACATAGGACTTGGCTTCGTTCTCGTGCTCGAATGTGATGGTTTCCTGGATTTGATTATATTCCGCCCGAACCCAGGCATCGTTTTCATCACCATGGGCATGGAGTCTAGCGAGGGTCTTTAGTCCCTCTTCGTGGTGGCCATGGTCAATCAACCAACGCGGAGACTGCCACGAGTTAGCCCTAGAATTGGACAAAACTTGCCAATTTCGCCTACCTCCGGGAAGAACATAATCAAGAGACCCAAGAACACCGCCGGCGCAATCTGCAAACCCAGCGGCACTTGCCACTGAGCATTGTTGGTTGAGGGAAACCCGATGTATGTACCATATGAGATCCATGCAGCGCACAAGGATCCCACACCCAGCATAAATTGCTGCAGAGCGGTTACACGACCTCTTATATCGGGGTGGCAGATTTCAGCCTGGTACAGGGGGATGATCATGGTCAGGAAGCCAACACTGCAGCAGTCAGAGCCTGTCTTTTCCTCTTGAGTATCCTGGGAATTACCCGAGGCCTGCTAGGAATCTTCCGCTGTATAAATACGCCACCGTCTGCGCTCCCGTTTGGAGCCCGCCGCCGAGGCAGAAGATGATACACCCAATGGTGATGGTCCATCGCCGACCCAGCTTGTCGCCTGTAGGGCCTGCAAATGCGGCACCGAAAAAGGCGCCTGTCGTGAACATTGACACAACCAGTCCACTATGTTATCGTTAGACTTGATCCCGGCCACTGGCTGTTATTGTTCAACCCGAGCATTGGAAAGGACCATACGTCTGGGTTGTATCTGCTTCAAACTTCGCCGCAAAGGATCCACTTGCGATCACTTCGGCAATCACACCCAGATCGTCTGTGGAAAACCTTAGTTATGACATTGTGGACTGCTTGGTTGTGTTTCATACATCCATAAAGGAACGATCCGAGGGAGGCGAAAACGCCGACCAGAAACTTGTAAAAGTCAGTACAGACTCATACTATTTCGCGAAAACCCTTGGGTATGTACCTGGTACCATGCTGGAGACAGACGCATCCCGATCACAAACGATTGGCGATTTCGAGTGCTTTTGACGTATCCAGTGTGAAGACGTCTGATGAAACGATGAAGTCAAGCTGAGTCCAGGGTATGAGTCGCTTTTAATACCAGATTTGGAATTCGGCTGGCACAACCGAGCCATGCCCTTGGGGACGAGATGCTCACACTCCACATAGCATAAATCCGACGGGGCCATTTCTGAGCAGGGAGTCCAAGCCATACAATAGTCCCAGCCATTCGCTCGAATCCTCCAATGTCAGCACGGTCCGTTCCTGTAAACATGACACGATCTACCGCAGCGCAGCAACGAATCAAGATATCCAGACTGTACCCATGTTCAGCCACTTCTGTTGGCGCCGACTAGTGTATGCTTACAAGTATAATGGGGGGCAGTAAGACAGGCATCTCAACCCGGTAATTGATGGAAGATCTTTTTGACACGGACATGGCTCCCTGTACTAAGGAACTGGCGCCAAAGTGTGTTATATCGTCCCCTGTCTTAGCACCCGTTGAAACGCCTCGTGATAGATGTTACTTGGCCGCGTCAGGCACGACCCCGCAGGGGAATTACCTATATGAATTGGCGGGGCCAGCGGACGTTATAATTACTGTCTGTGTAGTCGTCTGCAACTATTATTTCAAGGGACTCATTCGTCTGCTCATTGAACTTTCTTTGTGGTCCTATACCAGTTATTGATCTTTCTTTTCTCTTGCGAATCACACCCGGTGTCTTAACACGCCACTTATCAGACCCAATGACAACCTTCACGAAGCTCAGTAGCGCGGAGGCGCCTGGAATTTCCGTCCACTCAAACCGGCGCATTTCCAAAATCAATCCCAACATATATGCTGGGTTTACGGAGTATGTTCATTGCTTTAATTTTGTCTCTCAGGACTGAACAATGAGCTAACACGCGGTGGCAGACACATGGGTCGCTGCATCTATGGGGGTATCTACGATCCTGGGAACCCATTGTCAGACGAGAATGGCTTCAGGAAGGATGTGCTCGAAGCTTTGAAAGAGCTTAATATTCCCGTTGTCCGCTACCCTGGTGGTAATTTCATGGCAACTTACCATTGGATCGATGGAGTCGGTCCGAAGGATCAGCGTCCTTCACGGTATATTTCTCTCTCTTGTTTTGGTTCCAATCTGTTTTGCGCCATCGTCCTATGGCAAATATGTGATCGCAATGATATATACATTTGCTGACGGTCTTCGATTATACAAGCCCTGAGTTGGCGTGGCTAGGGACAGAAACAAATCAGTTCGGAACTGACGAGTTCATGAAGTGGTGTGAGGCCCTTGGAACTGAGCCCTATTTCTGTCTGAACTTTGGGACAGGTGAGAACTTCAAGCAGTCTACAGACTGATGAACACTGTTATTGATTATTATATCCAGGGACTCTCGACGAAGGTAGTCATACTTAATATCTCCAACAATTCTACTTGACTAACCGACATCGTGTAGCCCTTGCCTGGGTCGAATATTGCAATGGCACCAGAGACACCTACTATGCCAACCTCCGGCGCAAGAATGGGCGTGAAGAGCCATATAATGTTTGTCTTCCACGTTCGACATTATTTCATATTCTGACACTGCGGTTAGATTAAGTACTGGGCCTTGGGAAATGAGACATGGGGTCCGTGGCAGGTTGAGCAGATGACCAAGGAAGACTACGCACACAAGGCCTTCCAGTGGGCGAAAGGTGAATATCCTTCGCCCCTTTACCAAAAATTTATCTGACCATATATCCAGCCCTCAAACTTCTGGACCCTAGCCTGGTCCTGGTCCTTTGCGGACAAGACGGCACCGCGTCGTGGGATTACTATACCCTCAAGCACTGTCTCCTGCCCGCATTTTCTCCACTCTCGACCAGCACTGTCCCCCTCATCGACATGCACAGCATCCACCTATACACCTCCTCATCATCCCACCTCCCCAACGTCACCGCCCCGCTCGCAGCCGAGCGCGCCATCGAAATCACCTCCTCTCTAATTGACCTAGCACGAATCGAGAACGGAGTCCCGCCCGAGCAGCTCCGCCCCACCATCTGCTTCGACGAATGGAACGTGTGGGATCCCATCCGCGCCGAAGGCAGCAAAGGCGCCGAAGAATGCTACACGCTGTCCGACGCGCTCGCCGTCGCAGTGTACCTCAACGTCTTCGTCCGCAAAAGCAAGGACGTCGGCATGGCGTGCATCGCCCAGACCGTCAACGTCATTTCACCCCTCATGACGACCAAAGACGGCATCACGAAACAGACCACCTGGTGGCCGCTGTACCTGTTCTCGAAGTACATGCGTGGCTGGACGATCAGCGCGCATCTGTCTTGCGGGACTTATGAGGGCGAAACCTCGCCTAAGTGGGTGCGTGGTGTCAAGGATACGCCGTGGCTGGATGTTAGTGCAACGCTGGGCGAGGATGGCTACGTTAATGTTGCTGTTGTCAATATCCATGAGGAACAGAACATCGAGACGCAGGTTGATGGGACTAGTGGGGATGTCCGTGTGTTCACTGTCACGGCGGACGTTATTACTGCTACCAATATGAAGGGGAAACAGGAGGTTGGGGTCTTGGAGAGCACTTGGGATGGAAGGGGTCCGTACGTTTTCCCTAAGCACTCGCTGACTCTCTTGCGGTGGAAGCAAGAGTAGATTACAGTCTTGGCTTCGTCATCCATGCCATGGTTTTGGCGGAATACTACTGTCGTTGGAGGGCTTTGAACGATTTTTGGTAGTTTAGACAAAAGATCCATTTTCATGCAGAACTCTATCATCGTTCTTAAAATGTCATAGCAAGCAATCAAAGCAGAATATTCATACAGATGCGACTAAGAGGAAACCAACAGCCTGCCTGAGCATCATAGACACCCTCCCTAACCATAATTGACATCCCGCACGGTACCGTTCTCATCAACGTGAATGTTTAATCTGCGCATGCCCCAACAGTCAGAAGCCACACTATCACTACCAGGCGGACATCAAACATACCGGTCCGATCTATAATCCATTGTCATCGCATCGCCGGGCTTGCAGATCCGGTGCGACTGCGGGAGGTCTTGTTTTGCGAATGACTATCATGAAGAATATATTATTAGCATGAACGCCCTCAAAGCATTTATATCAGTAATGACTGGAAGACTCACATCTACACCACCAACCGCCTCAGTCGTGATCTTCTTCCCAGCAAGCTTGTTCAACCAGTCGCCCTGGTCCCCGCCGGGCATGGTGTTGTTGATTCCTGGGACGACGAGAGGCATGATATCGGTGTTTGGATGAGATAGTTTGTCAGAAGGGTGATGTCTATATTCAAGGAGAATTCTGAGGTGGAAGTAAGAAAAATCAAGGTTGGGGTTGCCTGATGTTGCATCAGCTATAAAACTACGTACCTTATCTAGTTGTGACGAAATGGGTGGCGATGACGTCGCCAGGCCCCAAGGCCAACGATCGCTGTTTTGGGACTAGCCTGGTTTATGGCCCCACTTCGGATCTATATCTCTATACACCGTGTTGATCCTCTGATAATGTTGGATATTCTCGATCAATACCCGATATGCTTAGCTGTGATGCTCGTCAGCAAGAATAGGTGCTACTTTACTAGCAATTTATGCGACATCTAAGTTGGTAAGGCGTTTCCTTACCACAGACATGAAAATGAGGAAGTCACGATGGCGCCATGCGACGCACTCTTCTCCTGATGTTTTCCCGCCACGGCTTCACGGACTCGAATAACTTCGCCACTAAGTGTTACCATCCAGGCTATTCACTCCTGCTTGCAGGGAATACTCTCATTTAGTCAAATTATATGGTTACGAAGATAGCATAACCCGTATCACTCCTTATCATAATGCGACTTTTCATCCTTCTTACCATCGTTTCGCTCATACATCTCGCACTCTCCTTGCCCTTGCCTGTCAGATCAACGGATGAGAATGCGCTTCTAAAGTTCTTGGAATCTACGAATCGTCGCTTTCTATCGCTTATCACACCAAATATATGGATGAAACGACACGTCAAAGTGGGAGATCGTTCAGACTTGGTCGGAGACCACATACCGCAACAAACTAGAGGAATAGACAGCATCGAAAGAGACCTTGATATTGCCGACAATGTTTATCCGTCAACAACTTCTAAAGCGGAGTCAGTAGAGAGCTCTACAAAGCAAAATGATTCGATAGTTAAGAGTCTTAAACGGGCCAACTCCTCTTCAACACCACCGAACGGCAGTGATCGCATCCCAAGCCTTGCCGCCGCTATCATAGTCACTACATTCGCTGGTTTGGGCTTTACCTTTGTTCTAGTCCTGGGCATCATAAAATGCAGACGATACTGGACACGCCGTCAGCGCAAAAAGAAGGGCGATTTGGCCTTTAGATACTCCGTCACGTGCTCTAGCGAAGCCAATTCCAGCTGGAAGATGACTGCCAGTCGTGAATCGTTGATGTTTGATGCGAATCCCTCTTCATCTGTGAGATATCTTGTCGAGCAGGACGGGGACGCGGTGACTCGAGTATTCCAGACAAGCAGTGCAAATGCCTCGTCCACCAGAGCCGGAGGCCCACTAAAGAGGTTATCAACCCCAGGATGGCTGCCAGAAAGGGAGCATCGGGTATCTACTCACAAGCCAATAGTCGTGTCATCGTTACTAAAGCATGTCTCCTCGCTCAAAGCCGTTCCCGTGGCGGAGGGCACGAAGGACAGCTCGCATGTCATAGAAATCTCGTCGTCCAGTTTTTGGGGCTCGCCGCTGCTGGAAACTTCATCACTCGCGACTGATACTTTGTCATCGATAACGACAACAACGGCAGCAACTTCAACATTGACAAACCAGTCCAAATATACTTCTTCTGTTCCCGCGGCATCCCCGTCTATCTCCCCACTCACCCTGCAGCCAACAAAATCCCCGCTGACACCGGTTTCCAGTTATGGGGCCAATCTAGGCGCTGCGACCTCGAACGCCAGGTCGCAAGGTGACGGTAATAAAAGACCGACGAGTCTCCTTGCAATAGCCTTTGATTCGAGCATTCTCTTTGGCTTGCCGCCTATTGAGCAGACGACTTCGCTTCTAGCCGATTTCGAAGATGGATATAACACTTGAGCAGCACTGCACATTACGGTCTAAACGTTCTGAGTGTACGTTCAGATAGGTGAATTTTGGGGTTTGCGGTTTAATAAGCCGAGGGTATGCTGAATGACCCCGGCAGCTCTATCCTTCCTTTTGTGCTAGGCCTTCTTTTATAAGGTTTCATAGTTGATCAGTTTGTTGGGAGAAAGCAGTAGATGGGAGGCCCCCATCTCAGAAAAAGCAATCAGCTAGAGCATCTACAAAAGTAGATCGCTCTAATGATAGACTTCGCAGGATCAGAAAGCACGCTGAATCCTCTGGCTGAGTCCAATCATTTCTTGTCCATTATTAGTCGCATACCATACATTGTGTACATTAATCGAGTCGCTCGACATGAGTCCGATTCTGACCGTATCAAGAAACTTCCATACTGGCTGGTGTTTGCTCTTAAACTATCTGTCTACCATTTGTCAGTTCAGGTGGTCTACTTGTATACACATACATACATATTATTCGACACACGCTACTTCCCTGAACTGCGAGCTCACTGTTGCTCCATATAAGGGGTAAGTTTGGGAAGCTCAAGTATTGGGTAACATAACCACGAAGGATTGCCGTAATCTGAGACTGCTGACCACTGAGGCTGTTGCGATTGATTATCACGGAGCCTAGGATGCTTCGGGGATAGATAGATCTCACCAGGGTTGCAGTCGTTGCCTAAGAGGGAAGCCCATTTATTCTCCGTTTCCCCTCATCATCCTCCTTCTGGTTTCCCAATCGCCGATCATCCGACAACTCTTTGGTTGCTTACAATTGTCCAGTTAACGTTACTACTCTTTACCATGGTGATCAGAAGCGAAGAATCCCCGTTCACTGCGGAGTTCGACCTCCTCGTCCAGCAGCAATTGGACAAATGGAAGGTTCCTGGGTTAAGCGTCGCGGTGGTCCATGGCTCCAGCACGTATTCCAAGGTTCGCCGTCTTTAGAATTCTAGCCCCAAATGGTTCTTGACACTGATCATGATCCAGGCATACGGGATTGCTGAATTCCCCAACAAACCAATGACCACGAGCTCCCTCTTCTCGACATGCAGCACCACCAAGGCGTTCACTGCGGCCGCCATGTCAATGGTCATGGACGAGAGTAAGAACACGTCAACCCCCATCCGGTGGGACACTCCCATCCACTCTCTAATTCCCGACGATTTTGCGCTGGCCGATGACGCTGCGACCTTGAACACGACCATCGAAGACGCCCTATCCCATCGGTCGGGATTAGCGGGAGATGACACCCTCATGAGTCGCGAGCCATGCAACGCGTCGATCCGCGAGACAGTGCGCAAACTGAGGCATCTCCCATTCACCTTGGCGCCCAGAACCACCTTCTCCTACAACAACAACATGTACATTGTGGTGTCGCACGTTCTGGAACAACTAACGGGCCAAGACCTGGGCACTGTCCTCCGGCAGCGGATCTGGGACCCACTCGATATGAAAGACGTCTACTTTGACATCCAGGAGCTCTGTCGCTCGCCGACCGGTAAACGCCTCCTAGCCAGAGGCTATACATGGGACGAAGACACAAAGTCCTACATCCCAGAGCCGTACATGAATTACAGACCCACGACAGGCGCAGGTGCGATCGTAAGCAACGTCCTAGAATACACAAAGTGGCTCCGCGCCATGATCTACAAGACCGGACCCATGTCTCCACAAGGACATGCTGCCATGGTAGAGCCCCGCACGATCATCACCGACACCAGTGACATTGTTGGCCCGCCAGCACCGTATCATGCCTATGGGCTCGGGTGGTTCGCGCACAGCTGGCGCGGTGAACCACTCTATTGGCATAGCGGCAGCTGGGTCGGGTTTGGAATCATGGTCGGATTTTTGCCGGGTAAACAGTTCGGGTTTGTGATGATGGGCAATACGATGCATGCGCGGAAGGCTGAGCTCGAGCTTTACTCGTATCTTCTCGATAAGATTGTGGGGTATCCTTGGAATCCAGCTCAATCTGCCATATCGCAGCGGGCGTCGGACGTAAAGACACAATCAGAGCCCATGGAAAAAGCCATGCAGCGACTCTTTCCCTCCTTGCCGAGCCCCGTCATTCCCCATGCTCTACCCTTGGAGCGCTACGCAGGCCACTACAACCACCCCGGCTCATCACTAATCACCTTCGAACTAAGGAACGGCCATTTACTAGCCGACTTCCGTGACCGAGTGGGAATGGCCCTCTTCGAGCTGCATCACGCCAGCGGAGAATTCTTCCTAGGACACTGGTTCAGCGGCCCAGGGCTCGGCGCGGCACAGAACGCGTACATACAGGTACAATTCCGAGTAGACTATACAGGCGCAGTACAGGCTGTGGGGTTGGATCTGCAGGAGAATACGAGGGCCGGAAAGCTTTGGTATCAGCGGGAGGTTTAGTCTTTTAGCTTGTGGCTTGGCCAATTCCATCAATAGTACGCTCAAAGTGGTGTTGAGGTTGAAAGTATAGTAGTAGCTTGAGATATGTAACTCGGATGATGCAAGGAAGAGCAACAACATTAGACTGGTTAGTCCTTCTGAGATACGTAATAAAAGATGATCCATGGAACCTCTGAGCCTGACGCTGTACCCTAAACTTTACGAGACCGTTGTAGTGGAACTATATATATCGTGTAAACTTGTGCCTTGCCATTCGCATTCTCCTACCATCTTGCTGTCACTTTCTCTGCATACGGGCCTCACCTGATTTATTCTGTATCTATTACTTTTATTTTAAGATCTACCTTCTTGTTGGAAGTAATTTTCATAACGTCATCATAATTATTGGTCATTAATACAGACACGAAGCAAACAACACAGAAAAGAAACATAAAGAAAACAAATAAAGGGAAAGGGAATGAGAAATGAAAAACAAGACGGCGCCATAAGACTAATTCTACAGAAAAGAAAAATAAAATAAAAGAAGAAACAAAAAGAAAATTATCTATATATTGTACCCCACCTCACCCTTGACTATGCATCCCTCGCACTTCTCAAACACCGCTCAAGTCGCTTCCCCCTCTCCCTCTCCCGCACCAACGTATCCTTGACGAACGAGCGCAGCGCATCGCGCCCGATCTGCTCCCTCCAGGACGTCCAACCCGCCAGCTCGCCGACGACAACGTCCTTGTTCCATGTGATCTCGCGGGAGATGTGGGCGACTTGGGCCTCGGATTCTTGGACCTTGTTCTCGAGGTCGCGGACGGATTTCTGGCGCGATTCTTCGAGGCCGGGGAGGTTGATGTTGAATTTGCGAGGAAGGGAGGAGGATATGAGGGAGGAGCGAGAGCGCGATAGTGCGCGGGTTGATGCTGCGAGTGAGGAGATGAGCTTGACGGGGCGGGTGAGCGAGTTTAGGATGGCGGTTGTGGTGTTGTCGATGGCGGAGAGGCCCCCTAGGAACTGTAGGAGTGGGGAGGAGTCGGAGGCGGAGGTGGAGAGGTATGAGGCGTAGCGGGCGAAGGCGTCGATGTGGGCCGTTGGAAGTGCGCAGGTGGGCTCTTGGAGGGTTGAGATGGCGGATGAGGCTAGCGAGGCGGCGTCGGCCATGTCGGAGGCGGCGTTGTGAAGCGCGTGGCCGCGCCGGATGACGCTGCGGGTGTTGACGTGCACGCCTCGTACTGCTTCCTGCGCGTGCGATACGAATTGCTCGGTCTCGCGCATGCCGTCTTGCGTTATTTCCTCGTAGTCGTCGGCGATTGACTCGGTGAGAGCCTGCGCTTTGTGCTGGGAACGGTCGGCCATCATTTCGGGCTGGAGCTCGGGCATGAGGATGAACTCCCAGAGCATTTCGTGAGTGGAGAAGGTGGGGTGCGTGAGGAGGGTCTTGAGGAAACGGTCCAGTCTCTCTTGCATGTCGTGGAGCACGGAGCGGGATGGCTTGGAGTGGATTTGGAAGGGGTTGCGGAAACCAGAGAGCGACGGCATGTAGGAGGCTGGGTGTTCGACGGAGAGCCATTTGGCGAGATTTTCGAAGTCAGCGAGGCTGCGGCGGCAGGTGGTGACCGTGTATGTCGTTGTGGAGCTTGGCCCAGGCGCGTTGTCTGGCTTTCGGTGCGGCGCACCGGATTTAAGGACGAAGCGGACAGTTGCGTCCTCGACAAAGAACGACCGGACTACGGTGGTTATACGGCCGGATGGGTCGTTTGCTACCGATGGGGGTTGCAAGACGAGGATCAGATCGTCGATGCGGTTTCGAACTTCGTCGTCCTTTGCGAGCTCCACGGCGGTCAACCCGCGGCTTTCTTTGAGATGAACGTCCACTCGGGGATCCAGGAACAGGATCCGCACTTGGTCAGTGCGGCCGTATTTGCTCGCCATCATCAACGGTGTGAATCTCTTGTCGTTTGTGGCGTTTGGATCGCAATCGCTCTCTCGAAGGATTCGAATGGTGATTCCCGGATCACTAACGATATGCAACAGTGTATTGCCCCTTGAGTCGACATGCTCATCAAGTCGCAAAGGCTTGCCATCCCTTTGGGATTTTTGGGCAGCTGTCAACGCATTATTTACCATAGCATTGTAATCTGGATGGTCATAAGATCGACATAAGGCAAAGAGCGGCGTTTGTCCATGCTTGTCATGTTGTGTCCAGGGAAGAAGTCCATTCAATCTATGCATCACCGATGGTGAGCTGAATAGATAGTGGGCAACAGTGCGCCCATGCACATCTGCCATACCTAAGTACGAGGAAATGGCATCCTTGTCAGCCGACGCGAAAAGGAAATCAAGCAAGATGTCGACTATATCCGTATGAGCGAGCTGAACGGCAGCGTTGAGCAACGTCGTTCCGTCAGTATTCGTGTCCTCCAGAATGTCGTTCAGCGGATAATACTCCTCGAGGCTGAGCAAATACCTCAAGGCATCCGCCTGGCGATTTTCCACCGCCATCATGGGGATAGAATCACCAGCGGGGTCTTGCGTCTTGGTCAGTGTCTCGATCGAGCTGTCTCCTTCGATAGCACTGCTGATTGAGTCCAGGGTGGTGGTTCGCGAAATCATCGAAACACCAGACGATTCTGAGAAGCTGCGAACATTCATTGACACTTTCTTGACACGACGCGGTACATCGGTGTGGGAGGAATCCTCTTCCCATGTCTGGAAAGGGAAGACATGTGAAAGTGGTGGAGCTTCAGGCGGATCGCTCAGGTCAACGTGGCCATCAGATCTCCTGTTTCGCAGGGGCAAAACCGCGCGGAAATGACGTTCGGCGTCGTGAGCATCGGAATTGAAAAAGACGGACGTTTCGTCGTGTTCGCTAGGCGTCTCGTCTATAGCCGAATCATCACCGTAGGGTTCAAGGATGGCCCTCATGTCATTGACTCGACCAGTTTTGGTAGCACTCCACAGGCGCCTATTTCGGATGCTGGACCTTCGGAGACCAGCCGAATCGGTCACTAGATAGGTGAGGACGCCTTCAAATGTACTCAAAGCGTAGCCCATCTCGCCACTATCAACATCATCGATATAGATGAAATGCTGCATGTAGAGGAGTCGAGCTTGAAGATGCTTGACCTGGGACCGGATGACCACCACGAGCAACAAGGAAACCAACACGTCGGCATTGACCGTCACGACGGGCTGCTTTTCAGATGATCGTGGGTTTAGTCTGTCATAACTTCCCGAATACGACAGAATCTTTACGGTCTCGAGCAAGATGCTCAGCATTTCGTGGGGACTTTTGCCGTCCAGGATCTTCCGGAATTCTTCCACTGCCCTGCCGAGTCGTCGCAGCAGCTCTCTTTTGCCCTCACGCCCGCCTTCGACGGAGATTCCCACTTGAGAGACGTCTATACTCTCCATTTGACGTATTCGAGATTCCAGTTCTGTGTCCTCGGGCCGGCGAAATTTGCATAGCCGGGGGAAGAGGAGTGATTCATGGACCTGCTCGGCGACATACCGCTCGATGAGTCGTTCCACCAACGGCCCCGTGAGATCTGTTGTGGCGCCCAGGTAAGACAATTGCTGCTTGTCCACGAGCCGGAATAGGTCGATCGCGGCTGTCACGGCGGTCTCGAGGCTCCGGCGCATCAAGTCTTCGTCGTCTTCGAAATACTCTTCGGAATTGAACGGAAGCCCGTCCTTGCGAGATGATACAGAGCTCCGAGACGAAGCGACCTCATCGAAAGGGAAGTCGTCACGGTCTCGCCCCCGCTCATAGTCATCAAACGTTCGCGGCGAGCGAGACGGTGGCGGCGGCAACGGCTTTCCCAGTTCTTTTCCAAATTCTCGAAACAACCTCTCCAACCCCGGCTGCATCTGTCTAGCGATCATCGGGAAATGCTCGAGCAGTTCACCAAAGGACTTGATCTCCTTCTTTTGTGGCGCACCCGCCGACTCTCCAGGCTTGACCCCGCCCGTAATCTTCTTGTGTGGTAATGCCCCAGGCACCACGGCGGAGATGATCTTCCCAGGGTCGAACGAGCCGATCAACGGCCGCGAGATATAGTAGATCAGCCATGGCTGCGAGTCGTGGCTTGGGGTATAATATAGGGCATCTGACACCAGCTGGACCTGAGTGAGAGATTTGAAGCCTAGATCTGCAGGTCAGCAGCTGCGCGCAGGGAACGGAAGACCGTCAAGGGGTTGAATCCACCTTTGTTACTGTACACCGAATTCTCCTTTATTATCACTGTGCGCCCGTTTACCGTAGTTACCTGCTTCGCCTTTCCTCTACTGTCGCGAACGTTCGAATCATCCTTCCCTCCGGCAGCTCCGTTCGGGACGGGGGCCCGCAAGGTATGGCTTCCTAGAAATTCTTCGGAGACGACGAGGTCGGAATAAAAGAGGGATGATTCGCGGTCGCGCGACCCGACCAAGGATTCAGTCACAGGCACTAGAAGGACCTAAAGATGGCGACATGTGAGCGGGGATGCATCCCAGATGGGGTGGGGAGATGGGATAGGTATAGTTTCAAGGCAACCATACATGATTCTCGATCGGCAGGCACTGCCCAGGGACAGTGCTTCGGAAGAAGGCTCGCAGGAAGGGGTTTAGAGGGTGCATCCAAACGATCTTGGACGACGGCCCGGCGAAAGAGCTCCGGTACTCATCAAGCCGTCGGTGTGGAGCTCCAGGAGGACTTGCGCTGCTCGATCGTCACAGGGGAGCAGCTCCGGCGCATGTGTCTACAGGCAACGGTATCGCGATGTGGCAACAACCCGATGTGGGTGATCCGGGGAAAAGCCACCTTGTCCAGTGAAAGACGATAGAGAGTGATCGCTATAACGCGGCGTTCAATTTAACAAAAGCTTGGAATGAGGGGGAAGGTGAAGCAAGTCAGTCGCCAACATTCACGGAGTTCAAGTTGGAGATCTGGGTGCTGCTGGCACTAGACCGCATCGGGTAATCTAGTCTGCCTAAGGTTCCGTGCCTGCAAATCAAACAGTCTCGGCCACCGATTTCAAGAGAAGATTACAAGGGAGAACAGGTACGGTAGCTACATTGAATTCAGACCTTTCCTGGTCTCTGGAATAAGCCAACTAGTGTACAAGTGTTGGGTCACTCAAATAAACATGAAACCCAGGGGATCCCTTTCCATCCCCGAACGAAACCCGTCGAAATGGATGCATTCTTCCTCCGCAATCAAAGACATAAATATTTCCCAAACAAAAGAGAATGATTTAACCCAGCCGGCGAACCTTCCGGCTCCTGGTACCACCGAACTTGACTCTGGTAGCGTCCGTTACCCGGCTAACAAGTCCTCGAACGTTTTTGCCCTCATTTCCCAGCAGGACCTTCGTGAACGCTTCCCGGCCGAGAGCAAACCCACGGAAGATGATATCCAATCGCTGTATTTGGAGCAGCAGACCTCTCTCCTGGATCTGAGCAAACACATGTGCGGACAGCTGATACGCGGGATCGAAGCCCGCACGACCGCCTTTGCGGAAACCGAGGTTGCCACAACTCATCGTGAACAGGGGGCTGCCGTTTGGCCGGGTCAAGGTAATGACCGTGTTGTGCTTGTGCGCGTAGACGTGGAGGTGGTGCGGAGGGGATCGGTCGGCGTAGGGTTGTTTGAGAATTTCGGCTTCGAGGCTCTCGGCCATTCTGGAGTAATCCCGGCTCACGTTCTGGGACGGACGGCCGGCCTCTCCCTGCATCATCCGGGTAATCGCCGACAGGGGCGAGTCGTCCTTGGACTGCTCATTTTGCGGGTTCAGAAACTGCTTCTCGAGCTCGCGGTTCTTGTCTCGAGAGGAGGCTGCTGCTGTTCTCAGGGTCGTCGTCGAAAAAGGGCGCATAGAACACGTGGAGGGGACTCGGAGGGAGAACTGCCGGGCAGACAAAGGCGCAGCCTTCGTCAGGACGTTGACAATCGAGGTGTTCATCTTTGCGGTTGCCTCTTAAGGGTGTAGACGCTGGGGAGGTAAAGAGCGCGGCGGACGCACCGACCAACGCAGTCAACGATCAAGCAGGAGAAAGAAGAAATCAATAGAGGCAACCAAAAATAATCCGTAGAGCCAACACTCTGTTAAATGATATTGTAGGTCACCAGAAGGAACAGAGACAGGGTGTTATGCGGCGCAAACCGAACTGGGCCGGGAACGAAAAGGGCGGAAGAAACCCCGGCCGAATTTTCGATTCTTGGCGTTTCCATCTGCCTCAATCGTCCAACTCAACTTTTTTCCTTCTCCAACCCGCCTTTCCGACATCGCTCACTTGCCTCCTCTTCCCTTCTCCACGCGCTATACCCTCAACCACGATTCGATTCTTGGGGCGTGGCTCACTTTTAGACTTTTATTGATTTCTTAATCACCTTTATCCCACCCCCTCTCTCCTTCACGACCTCCAGAGCATGATTTCGGCTACCAGGATGTCGGCCACCGCTCGGGCGGCTACCTTGCGCCCTCAAATGCCGACGCTCAAGAGCTCGTACGCTCAGCGGTCATTGATCCAGGCTTCCTCCTATTCGACATCACCGTCCAGGACCGCCCTCCCGTTGAACTCTCTGCCTGCGAACCGTCCCGTCGCCCAGATCCTCTCTCCGTACGCCACCCTCCCGTTGTCGAGATCTTTCCATGCCGCCACTTCCCTCTGGCAACAGCAGCAACAACAACAACAGAAAGAACAGCAGAAGGAGAAACAATCCGAAGACGCGAAGGATGAAAAGGATGGAGAGTCCAAGGAAGAGGGACAGTCCGGTGACGGAAAGAAGGATGCGCCTCCGCCCCCGCCCCATGGTGACAAGTCCCCCTGGCAAGTTTTCCGCGAGACTCTTCAGTCGGAGTTCAAGGCTTCCAAGGAGTGGGAAGAATCCACCAAGGCTCTGGCATCGTCAGCGCATGAATTCAGAGAGAGCGAGAACATCAAGAAGGCTCGTGCCGCCTACGAAGCCGCCTCGGGAGCCGCTACTAGCCGGACCTCGACTGTGTTCAAGACTACCGGGAAGGCCATTGGCACGGGTGCCGCGTGGACCTGGAACACCGGCGTTGTGAAAGGCCTGCGAAAGGGTGTGAACGCGACCGGAGAGGGGCTCGAAAAGGCCACCCGGCCTGTGCGGGAGACTGAGGCCTACAAGAACGTGAAGGACGCCATTGATGATGGCAGCAGCTCCCGGTATGGTGGTTGGATTGAAAAGGAGGAGCGACGCAGGCAGCGACAGCTTCGTGAGCAGATGGAGGCCAAGGGTGGCCACAAGTCTGGGCCGATTGTTGAGGACCCGAAGTAAGCATACTGGGATTTTAAATTGTGGTTTCGACCTGATGCTAACGGATTTATAGTGCTGGAACCAACGTCACACTGCACAAGGATGCCGCGTGGAAAGAGTCGTGGCGCGATTTCAAGGATTCCAACCCTATGATGCAGAAGCTCTTCACGTTCAAGGAGACCTACAATGAGTCTGAGAACCCTCTGATTAGCACTGCCCGCAGCATCACCGACCGTGTTGCTGGGTTCTTCGCCGAAAACGAGACCGCCATGGTGGTCAAGAAGTTCCGGGAGATGGATCCCAACTTCCAGATGGAAGCCTTCCTGAGGGATATGCGCGAGTACATCCTTCCGGAGGTGCTTGACGCCTACGTGAAGGGTGACGCCGAGACCCTCAAGCTTTGGCTCTCGGACGCCCAGTTCCACGTCTACGCTGCCCTGGCGCAGCAGTACACCACCGCCAGTCTCAAGTCCGATGGTCGGATTCTCGATATCCGTGGCGTTGACGTCACGCACGCGCGGATGCTGGACCCCGGTGAGATCCCGGTGTTCGTGGTCACCTGCCGCACGCAAGAAGTCCACGTGTATCGCAACACGAAGACCAACGAGCTCGCCGCCGGTATGGAGGACAAGGTCCAGCTGGTGACCTACGCCATTGGCCTGACGCGGATCCCCGACGAAGTCAACAACCCCGAGACCCGCGGGTGGAGATTGATCGAGCTGCAAAAGGCTGCCCGTGACTACATCTAAGCCTCGTTTGCTCTTCCATACACCCTCTCTCCCATCTTCGACAATTTATAAACTCTCATGTCTTGATTATCGGCGATCCCTGATGAATTCCTCACTCCTCCTATCTTTTCTCCATTGTTTTGATATCATCCGACTGTACAATATTGTTCCCAAATAGAGACCAGGCGGAAATGGCGCTCATGTTTGAGACAGTAACCATGACTAATTACGCTGGAAGTCTTCCCTTCTTTACTTCATTTCGTGCCCAGTGACTGTATTATCCTTTTTTTTTTTCTTATTCACTTGTTCTGATTCCCCAAAGCTTTGGGGCGACACGGGCCTTTATGGGAACTGTGGAGACTGCAGGTCTCTTTCCATATGGATCCTGTCTGTTGGGAGTCTTGTCTTTTGGTGTATACGGCGTCTTACTCGGTCAGCTCACCGCTCCACTCTTCGCATTGCATCTGGGCCGATGCTCAGCTTGTTGGCTATTTTGGCTAGTTCTTGTATCTATGAAATAAATTATGAGTTGTGTTTCATATTGTCGTTGGTAGATAGCAGTACGCCTAGCACGTGGCTATTCTTCACTCTCGCGGGAGGCCACACGAAAACAGAACACTACTGTATCACTTCATTGCGTTAAGATCTATTCACTTCACAACTAAGAAAATAGCCGGCAGGATATTACTAGGGCCAATCTGATTCAAAGGTTTCAAACGTATCGAACATAAATGCAAAGTCCTTATCCCTGGTTACCGCGGTCGGCTCCGCCGCCACCACCCATCATATTACGCGCCCTATTGCAAATCTCCGTTAGCATTTCAACGACCCATCTGGCATATATAAAGAAAAACTCACATATCAGCAAGGCTGGGGTCGTTCATCAATTGAGACATGTCCGGCATGCCGCCGCCACCGCGGAAGTTGTCGGCCATCTGTCTCAGCTGAGGGTTGTTCATGAGGTTGCCCAGCATGTCGGGGTTGCTCATGAGGTTCTGGGCCATGCTCGCGAACATGGGGTTGCTCATGATCGAGCTCAGATCGGGCATACCGCCGCCACCGCCGCCGCCGCCGCCGCCGCCTCCAAGCATGCTGGCCAGCGAAGACAGGTCGGGCATACCGCCGCCGCCGCCGCCGCCGCCGCGAGAGGCACCAGGAGCCTCGTCGACAGCATCAGCAGGAGGCTCGCTGCCACTGCTGACCTCTGCGATCTTTCTCTTCGTAGTCTCAAGGCCCCTCTTCATGGCATCACTGCCACCGTTACCCTCGGCTTCGATACCCTTCTCGTAGGCCTCCTTGGCGCCGTTGAAATCGGCAATATCAAACCGGGCGAGTCCCAGCCGGCTCCACGCCTTGGAGTACTTGGGATCGACCGCAACGGCGAGCTCGGCATCGTCAATAGCCTGCTGGTGTTGTCCGGACGCGGAGTAGGCAGCAGCGCGGTTGGAGAGATAAATAGGGTTGGCGGGGGCGGCCTCCAGCGCCTTGGAGTAGCGCTCGATAGCGGCGGGGTAGTCCTTGCGGGCCATCGCGCTGTTTCCCTCGGACTTCAGCTTATCGGATTCGGGCGTCGGGGCGCCAGCCTGGGGCTTGGAGCTCTCTTGGGCCGGGCTGGGCTGAGACTGAGCACCACTGCTGGTGGATGCCTCGCCGGAGGGCTTTCTCCTGAGCTTCTCATAAACACTGTAGATGCCCGTCAACGACTGGCCACCCACGGCATCCTTGACCGCGGCCTCGTCGGACGGGTCGACCTTGAAGGTATCGGCGATGCACGACTGGGCGATCTCGATCGACTCCGCATCGTCAGCAGTCAGGGTGCCGTCTTTCAGGCTGGAGCCCAGAAAGTCGATGATCGCAAGCGCCAGGCGCTTGTTGGATTCTGTCGGGGCCTAATTGAGATACTGGTTAGAGATGATCAAACCAACCATCATACCGTATACAGAGCAAGGATCCCTTACCATTCTCAAATCGGATATCAGGGGTGATGTGGATGAGACAGGAGGACAGATGATGTCGCGGGGAATTTGGGGCTGCGGGGACTTTCCAATCGGTTCCATATCCAGAAATCGTCGTAACTTTCATGTACCGTAAGTTACGCTACTTACAGCTAGTCCCAATCGGGTGTTTGCTCGGTTTGTTCGGCTTCTGGAGCTCCCGCGGCACGTGATCAGCCCCCCCGTCTCTTCTCCATCTCCGCACTCTCGTCGGTCCCTCTTCCATCCCCTCAAATCATTGACATTACGATAAGGACACTCGGTTGGACATGGCTGGCAAGCTTGGGATTCATCTTGCCCCGAGTTCCACGGTTTGAGTGTCTTTGTTCTCCCGAAGATGACTCTCTGTGAGCTTGTTCCTCTCGGTATCTCTCGCACCCGTGTCGAGCCATGTACTGGCCCAATGGCGTCCCCCGGGTCTATGCGATCAACGGCCCCGGAATTCCACACTCATGGTCCGATGATGATGAGGCGGTAGGACTGGAGAGCTCTGTGGAGCAGAGACTGACGTTGACCGAAAATGAGCCGAAACCCCCGTCTGGAACGGATTCGGCGTGGGAGGAGGAGGCTATCAGCGGTCTCTGTGTGTCGCGGAGCGGTCATATATTTGCGACCTTGAGTCGATCGTCAATCGCCGTTTGGCAAACACGGGTATGTTCCGGGATATCTTCTATATTGGTCTGGGTCGAGTGCGTGAACTAAGCTTATATTTCAGCCTACCGCCGTTGTCGCTGCCGTTACACGGTCCGCGTCGTCCCTCGAGACCTATGGCCCCAATGTGGCCCTGCTCATGCATCCGGACTCTACGATTCTCGTCGTTCAAACCCAAAACGGATACCTCCTTACCTATACCATCGCCTCCGACCCCAATAGCCGAGTCTACGAGCAGAAATTCGACCAATCCACACAAACCCGCCGTCAGCAGATTGCCCGCCTGTCTGACAAGGAAGATGCCAATGGAATCCGCGATGTTAGTATCCGGTTTAGAATGGCCATCAAGATCGAGTCGGGAATCGTCAAAGCCCTCGCTCTGGACCATGAACTGGTCGTCGCCACGGTCAAGCCAGCAGCCATCCAGTGCATTCGATGGAGCCCGGATGCGACGGGGTCTCAGACCACGTCGGAACTCCTGAGTCGGATATTGGGCGTCTCCAAACGGACCTCTATCACCGACATGGTGTATGACCGTGCCATCAACCTCTTAGTCTGGGTCACCAATGAAGGACAGGCATACGCAGTCCAACGCGTCTCCGAGACACCGGACGAACCCGACGCCCCCAAAAAGCTCTTCCACGGCCACTGTTTCCACGACCCAAAGCACGAAGGTGAGAGGGCAGTGAAGGTCGCTGTTAATGCGCGATTTTCCCTCCTCACGGTGAACTGCGCCAATGGCGAAATCCTCGTCTACACCGCCAAAGACTATTTTGGAAACGTCCCGCTGTCCCACAAGCTTCAGCTTCCAGCCTCGCCAATGACGACGGGCGATCTCTCCTTCCTGTCTTATTCGCCAGATGGGTATTGTCTTTTCGCCGGCTACAACCGCGGATGGACGACGTGGAGTGTGTTTGGCAAGCTGGTAGGCAACAGTTTCACCTCAGACCGATCTCTGGCCAAGTCGAAAGCGGAAGATTGGGTGGCTGGAGTCTCGCACGGCTGCTGGATCGGCGGTGGCTCAGATATCATCCTCGCAGCGCGTAATGATCGTCGCCTGTGGGTTTTGGAAACCGCGCGGAGCTCTTTGACAGGGTGCTATTCATCTGCAAACCTCGCGCGGGGCTTGTTACAGACGGGGACGGAAGTCATCCTGTACCGTGGCCATGATTTACCAGACCTCATGTCAATATCCGGCAAGGACTCTTTGTGGCATCATGCCCAATATCCCCCTGGTTACTTGCATTCCCAGTGGCCGATCCGCTCCAGCGTGGTCTCCCAGGATGGGCGATATGTAGCCATTGCCGGTAGACGGGGTCTAGCGCATTACAGCGTGAATAGCGGGCGGTGGAAGATTTTTGAAGATCCAAAAATCGAAAACTCATTTGCTGTGCGGGGTGGCATGTGCTGGTACGGCCATATTCTGATCGCCGCCGTTGAGAGCGACGGTTCTTACGAGGTAGGTGTCACTTTGTAAAAGCTTGGACGAGGCTAACGAGACAGCTACGACTATATTCTCGAGAACAACCCCTGAACAACCATTCCATCTTGCACATAGAATACCTACCCTCGCCTGTAGTCTTCATCGGGCCGTCGGGCGAAGACTCCATCCTTGTTTATACCTACGACAACATCCTTTATCATTATATTATAAATGCGACGCAGCCTCGGATTACATTGGTCCCGGTAGGCCAGATTGCCTTCAACGGGATTGTACGAGCGCCCACTCGAGTGCGGGCAATCAGCTGGGTTTTGCCTGATGATCAGATGCGTATGTTCCTTATTTTTCTCTGTTGCATCGACATGGTACTGATCAGTGCAGGCAATGGCGATCCATCTCAAGATGTCAAAGTTGCATCCGTGCTTCTTTTAGTTGACGGGAACCTGGTTCTACTCCAGCCGTCACTGTCCGATAGCGGTGAATTGAAATATGACATGCGGGTGGTTGCTCACGACGTCGAGTACTATATCTTGATGCGAGACCAGGTGTCCTTCAATTTTACTCAGCCTATGGACGAGTCGCTTCCGCCCAGCCCGGCCGCCGAATTGGCTTTGAACATGTACCACAGTAACCTTTCGCTGAGGGATTCTCTCTGGACGTTTTGTGGAAAAGATCTGCTCGCGTGGGGCGACGTGCAGGATGTCCTGCGGCGGGAAGACGTGCCCAAAGCGATCGAAATGCCTCTGGACTTTTATCCGCTGTCGGTCTTGCTCAGCAAGGGCATTGTACTAGGTGTGGAATCAGAGATGATGCAGCGACGGGATGTCACGTTCTCCGTGTTGAAGTTTGCCATCCGAGTATGTCCTCTCCTTCCACATGAAATCCATAGGCTAACCAGACAGACCCATCTATTCCTCCCCTACTTCCTCCAATACAGCCTCGTCAACGGCGACATGCCCTCGGCACTATCCCTCAGCCAGCACTTCTCGCACCTCTCCTACTTCCCGCACGCCCTAGAAGTCCTCCTCCACCACGTCCTCGACGACGAAGTCGACAACGAAAGCAAAGACAGCAAAACCAACGACCCATCCTTAAAACACGACCCGCTCCTCCCCTCCGTAATCTCCTTCCTGCAAGCCTCCCTCCCCACAAAAGTCTACCTCGACATCGTCGTGCAGTGCACACGCAAAACAGAGCTCCGCTCCTGGCGCACCCTCTTCACCTACCTCCCCCCGCCCAAAGACCTCTTCGAGCAAGCCCTCAAACTCAACTCCCTCAAAACAGCCGTCGGCTACCTCCTCGTCCTCCAAGCCTTCGACGACGACGACAACGGCCACGAAGCCCCCATCGAAGACTACGTCGTGCGGCTCATCGCGCTCGCCTCGCACAAAAGCGACTGGGACCTGTGCGCCGAGCTCGCGCGGTTCCTGATCGCCTTGGATGGGTCCGGCGATATGCTGCGCCGGGCGGTTTCCCGAGCGGGTCTGCGCAACGGAAACGGCCAGGTGAACGGGTCTAGTACCAGCGTTAGGGGCCTGGGGTTGGCGATCACGCCGCCTTGGTCGACGTCGCCGGCTTCGTCGCTGTCGCTGTCTATGGGGAGGGGAGAAAGCGGGGATGTATCTCCGCGGGGGGATCTGTCGCCTAGTGCGGAAGAAGCGTTGGATAGGGTGGATGATTTGCCTTGAGTTGCAGAATTGATGTACATACTTGATTTTGATTACATACCTCACGTCTATATATGCCGTTATAGTTCAATTGATTTATCATATCCCCCTAGACAGACAAACGATATCAGGTATCATCAACCCATAACTAACTAAATAAAACATTCAAATAAACAACCATACCACAGTAAAACCAAAACCCATCATCAACCCATCAAAAGACGCAAGAAGTTGAAAAAAGGAAGAAAACAAAAAAAAAAAAAAAAAAAAAAACCTAATCAAGAACCATCCCCCACAACCCATCCCCCAAATAATGCCCCTCCTCCAACGCAACCCCCTTCCCCTTACTCTTGATCTCCTCCGTGCCGACCTTCAACGGCCCCACAAGACAAGCCAACTCCTTCCCCTCCGCAACAACAGCGACCACAGTCCCGGCCTCCAACTGATGTTCCTCATCAGGCAGCCGTCCACCGGGGGAGGTGAGGCCCGGCGCCATGAGCGTCGCGCCGGACAGCACGAAGCGGATAGCGCCGCGGTCGATCTGGATGGTGGGGAGGGCGGAGGGATAGGCGTGGACGAGGCGCAGGTGCGGGATGGGCGGGCCGTCTTGGGGTTGGTAGAAGAGGGGGGTTGTCGAGATTGAGTAGAGGGTGCATTTGTCTGGTCTTTTCTTATGTATTAGTATCTTGATTTTGATTTCTTCATATGCATATGTATGTGGGTGTATATGATGAAGGATGAGGAAAGGGAAAAAGGGAGGCATACAGCTTCACAGCATCCAGCTGGGCCTTCTTCGGCAAGACCTCATCAATATAAGGCTCGAAGCCGGGGTACGTGTCGAGGAATTTCTGACGCAGGCCGCGCTGCACGGAGGATTTGACTTTTGAGCGCGCGGAGGGGGCGAGACTGTTTTACCAACTGTTAGCTTATCATTCTTGTCTTTTCTTCATTATGATGGTCATTTCTTCTTCTCCTTGTCTGTTGACAGCTCCATTTTCAGTCCGTAAGGAAAGAAGAATTGACGCCGATGAGGGGGAGTGCAGGCGGGGTTGTATTTTTCATCTTGTGTTCTTTTCCCTTTTTTTTCTTTCTGTTTTTTTCCCCTCCTATTTTCTCCTCTTATACTCAAAAGATGACGACTAAACACATTGGAGAAACTCACTCTTTTTTAAACATGATGGCGGTGTTGGTGTTATAATGTGTGTTGCAGACTGTTGCAGTACTGAGAGCTCCGCTGGCGCGGGGAAGTTGTCATGTCACGTGACTTTTACACGGTAGCAAAAATGGGATACTACATCATATCATGTCGGGTCTGATGGGAGTAGTGGGTATCTGACGGGTGGGTGTATTATGGTGTATTGTGGTGTCTGATGGGTGTCTGATGGGTTCTAATAGGTCTGATAACCATACTACAATCATGTCCTTTCAGATACTAATACTTTTATTCATCTATTTATCTGTTTATCCACGTGCAGCACCCGCCTTGATCAACAAGACATCGCCGTCCTCGACGACGTACTCCTTGCCCTTGGTCATGACCTTGCCGGCCGCCTTGACAGCGGACTCGTCGCCGAGCTCGCGCAGAGTCTCATAGTTGTAGACGACAGCCTGGATGAAGGTCTTCTCAAAGTCGGTGTGAATGACACCGGCCGCGGCGGGCGCCTTGATGCCCTTGCGGATGGTCCACTGGCGGACCTCGTCCTCACCGGTGGTGAAGAAGCTGGCCAGGTTGAGCACCTTGCGCATGGTGGTGATGACCTTGGGCAGACCGGACTTGGTCTCCAGCTTCTTGCACTCCTCCTCGGCGGCCTTCTCATCGCCGATCAGGGTCAGACGCTCCTCGAAGCAGGCCGAGATGGGCAGCAGAGGATCGCCGGGGGAGTTGGTCTTGACCCACTCAAAGACCTTGGGCAGGTACTTGTTCTTCTGGCGGATGTAATCCCTCTCGCTCAGGTTGACCAGGTACACGACCGGCTTGGCGGTGAGCAGCAGAAGGGGGTTGATAACCTCGACCTGTATTCATCATTAGCTAGTTGTCACACACACGATGGATGAATATGAATGGCAGAATGTGAATGGTATCAGATTGAATGTTCTCTCATGGCACCTCTACGTGAGTTTATAAAAAATGAGGTACTCGACGAGCTGGGATTATAGAGCGAACGCTCTTGTTCATCATAATGGGAAACCCCAAGGGGTAGGATAGAAAGGGATAGAAAGGGATAAAAAAGAATGATAAACGTACCTCCTTAGGAGCCCAGTCGCCATGTCGGACATCCTTGCCAGACTGCAGGTGAGCCAGGATCTTCTCCACGGTAGCCTCCTCCTCACGGAGCTTCTTCATCTCCAGGGACTGACCACCACGGCGGGTCTGCTTCTTCAGGTTGTCGAGAGCCTTCTCAGTGAACTCGATATCCTTGACGCGCAGCTCCTCGCTGATGATGTTCAGATCACGCTGGGGGTCGACATCACCCTCGACGTGGATGATCTCGGCGTCGTCGAAGCAACGGACGACCTGGAAGATGGCATCGACGGCACGGATGTGCGACAAGAAGGAGTTACCGAGACCGGCACCGGTGGAGGCACCACGGGTCAGACCGGCGATATCATAGACCGTCAAGTTGGCGGGGACGCGCGACTTGGGCTTGTAGTGCTCACAGAGCCAGTCGAAGCGGTCATCGGGGACGATGACACGAGCCTCTTCGGGGTCGATGGTGGCATAGGGGAAGTTGGCCGGGTTACCCAGGGAGGACTTGGTAATGGCCTGGAAGAGGGTCGATTTACCGACGTTGGCCAGACCAACCTACAGAGTGTTAAACCAAGATCATGATGGTCGTTCACATAATGAATGTGAAAGAAAGAAGAGAAAAAAGAAGTCAGGAAGGGGGAAGGGGACGGTTTAAATAGGAGAGAGTGCGGAAGAGAAGAAAGAAAGAAAATTAAGCGGGTGGGCAGAAAAAAAACAAACCCGCCAAGAAAGAAAAAAAGCAAGACAAGGCGGTGTGCTCACATACGATACCACTCTTCAGGTTGTTACCCGGACGGCCCAGCATGACCTTCTCCTGCACCTGCGCCTTCTTGGGAGGCATTTTCTTGGACTTGGATTTTCGTTTACTGGAATAGAAACGAGAAGAAAGAAACGAAGTGGGGGGACGGGGAGGGAAGAAGGACGAAGAAGTGAGGGAGGAAGTAAAGAGGAGGGATGAAGAGGGAGAAGAGGAAGAGGGGAACAGACCGGCTGCGGACGGGCAGAGGAAGGAGTGAAGAGGGGCAGAAAGCAACAGAAGCCCCGCGGGAGTTTTGGTGCGCGACAGTTTGGCGGTTGGCAGAATGCCGTTCTTAGTATGGTAGTAGTATGGTAGTATGGGAGAGGAGAGGAGAGGGAGGATGACTACGGGCGAAGTTGGGAACCAGACTCGCCTAGCCTCACCGCCCACGTGCCTTACCAACCCTGACCCGAATAGCTTCACTTATACATAGAATATAGAGGATAGATAAGGTATAGATATAGTTTGAGAACAGTGTAAAATAGAAAAAGAATCAATAGTCAATCAGTAATCCCCCCTTCCCAAACCCCAATACGCCAGAACAAGTACAATCACACCCCCTACCCTTCCCATCTCATGTCTCCATCGCATCCTCATTATCCACCATTCCCAGCAGTTTCGCATACGGCACCGTCACCCGTTGCAGATCGCGGTGTTTCCCTATCCTCAGTCAGTGTCAAGTAACTCATCGATCGAAAGGATAGGAATGAACAAAAATCAAAAAGCGAGGAAAGAGAAAACTCACCCAACGCTAAGATCACCTCCTTCAACAACACCTCCCGTGGCCAGCCACAAAGAGTCTCCAAGCTCTCGCGCCAGTTCCGATCATCTGCCCGCGAGCCCATCCGACGAGCCACCGCATCATCATCACCCTCACCTTCCTCCCCCTCCTGCTGCACCTCCTCTTCCTGCTCTGCCTCCTCCTCCTCAAACAACCCCCCAATCAACCCCTTCAGCAACTCCTCCACCTTCCCCTTCAGCCCCTCCGCGCCAATCCGCTTAGCGTACATCGACAGATACAGACGGAACTCCTCCTTTGCGCCCAGCGACAACGCCGCCGCCACCCGGTTTTCCAAATGCGCGATGGACACGCTCGACTCGAACCCTTCGTATCCCTCCCGCGACAGCAGCACCTTGATCAGCCGCTGTAGGAAGTAAGCCCGGCCGCGCAGCAGCGTCTCGTTGGTCGTGTTGCGTTCCAGGAATGGGACGATCCCCGCTGACACGGCTGCTGCTGTCGTTGCTGGCTCGCGTTGCTGTGGGCCTCTCCGCGCCTGCAGGTTGCCCACGGGGGCTTCCGTCGTGTTCCAGTACTGGCTGCCTACTGCCCACCATGCCTCTGATACCCGCTGCCAGGTGAATAGTGTCGGCGAGTAGACGTAGCCTTCGCCGTTGGACAGCGCCACGACCACGCGACCCTCTGAGTTGACCCGCGCGTTTGTCACCGACGGCGCGGAAGACGGGTGCGCTCCCAGGCTGTGCACCGCTGCGTCCAGCACCGGCTGCAGCGAGATGGGCGGGTGCGGTGATGACAGGTTCTTCACGTTCCACACGTAGCACATGCCCACGGCTGAGATGCACAGGATCCACGGCCCGTGGCACTCCAGGATCACAGGCTGCGCCTCCAGCACCAGCGCGCTGACCAGACGACGCCCCGCCGGCGTCCAGATGTAGACTGACCCGTCTTCGCACCCTACCGCCCACATGCTCTGGTTGCCTGTCGCTAGCAGAGCCGTCCGCGGCAGATAATCCTGCCACAACGGCTGCTCGCCCCGGAACAGGGTGAGCCGCACCGGCTCTCGGTCCACGGCGCGCCCCGTCAGGCTAGCCAGGGACGGGTTGCGGACTTCGAACACCACCTCCGCGCGCGACTTGCTCGCCTCTCCCGACGCGCTGGGCGGCTCCGTCGGCTGGCCCGAGGAGTCAATGGCGCGCAGGATCTGGCTGCGAACCTTGGGGACGGCCAGCCGCAGCTGGCTGATCGACATGCACGGGTTCGTCACCGCGGGCCGGATGAACTCCGGGGTTGGTTGCTGTCCCGTCGCCGCAGGTTGCGGCTGAGCCGGGAGCAACCCGTCGGGCGTGTTGGCCAAAATGGGGGTGGCTCCATTCTGGCTGGCGACGGCCACGCGTTTCTCAACGTGTCCATCCTCGTCTCCCTCGATCTGTGCCAGTTTGCGCTTGTTCCCGAATAGCAATGCCGCCAGTCCGCCCTTCGGCAGCCCGTCGAACGGCTTGGACAGGTCAACGATCGACTGCGGCGTATCGGCCTTCACCTGGCTGCTGACCGACGCCATCAGTCGCGCCTGCGGCAGAGACGACTCGGCAGCGCCGGCTCCGGATACCAGCAGCGGGGCGATGCGTTTCTTGCCCTCCTTGGTGTAAGTTGGGCGTTGTTTGAGACGTTCCAGCTTGGCCTGGTATGGGTCGGGTTTCTCTGGTTCTGGAGCTTGCGGGGTTGCTGATGTTCCGTTCGCTTGGCTCTTCTGGGTATCCGGAGCGGGAGACGGGACGCGCGCTGGTGTCGTTCCGTTCGCCGGCGCAGCTTTCCCATTGACCACGCTATCGGAAGCCGCATGGTCGTCACCCATCAGGGCACCCATGCGACCTTCGACAGCCTTGCTCTCTCCAGCCTTACTCTTCTCCTCGAGTAGTAGCCCGTCCGTAGTCTCTGTGATCCCAGCCCCCCGTCTGTTGGTGCCGAACTTCGTAAGGGATTTTTCATTCTCCTCCATGGCCATCGCGAATCCCAGGTCCCCATCTTCAAAACGTACAGCTAGGATCGTCCCGTCCAAGGCCGTCGCATACAGACACTTCCCATCCGGGGTCCACGCGAGATCCGAGATGGACTTGGCCGCCAGTTCTTGCGCGACAACAATGGGCCGCGGATTGCTGGTGATCCATATGCTCAGCGACTTATCGCCCCCGGCGCACGCAATGACAGTCACACTAGGCGCCGGGTGGTCGGACTGTTTGTTGCTCGGCTGCATGGAATAGAGCCGAGGAGAGAACGCGCAAACTTCGACCGGGGCTTCGTGCCCGATTAGATTGATATCTCCGTCCCACGATCCACGGTTGATGATGGCGACGGAGCTGACAGGCCCATTCACGGCATTAGCCGCCGCGATATGCATCCCATCCGGGGACCAGGAGCACCGTCGAAAGTAGGCCGTCAAGGGCGAGTTCTGGAAGGGGGCGGTGATGGTGTGTTCTAGGACGAAATTGTTCATCTGGTCGTGGGCGGTCGAGTTCGGAGCCGGGGAGGTAAAACGGAAGATCCGGACAGTTCGGTCGTCACTGGCCGTGGCGAAATATTTGTTTGCAGGGTCGAACGTGATCCCCTTGACGTGGCTTTGATGGACAGACAGCGTCTTGAGCTTCTCGAACGTATGTCCCGACCACACGACCACCTTCGAATCCAACCCAACAGACACCAGTATCGACGAATCATACGACCAGCCCAAGTCCTGCACATCGTTATCGTGACCGATCAATCTCCGAATCGTGCGCCAGTTTTCCACGGGAGGAGCCTCATTCGTCCCTAAAAACAAACAAAACAGACGACATCAGTAACCATCCCTTCAAATCGCAAAACCAGTACACAAAACCAGAACATACCAAAAGTCGAAGAATGCGACGGCGGATTCGCATCCAGCGAATAGATACAAACAATCTTATCGTCCGCCCCAGACGCAAGGTACTTGCCGTTCGGCGAAAAGCGAACCGTATGGATCGTCCCTGAATGGTTACTCATAGACGCCAGCTGCTTCGGTTTGCCCGCCGAATCGTCCGTGTCGCAAATCGCTTCCGTAGACCAAATCCGCACGTATCCGTCTGTATAGATGATGACAAGACCGTTAACACCCATCCGGTTGGCTAGGTTTGTATGCGTGGGTACTGACCTCCCGCTGCGGTGACTAGACGGCTTCCGTCGGGGGATACATCGCAGCTGTAGACTTCGAAGTCTTTCCTCTCGCCTGTATTCGAAGCAGTGAGAGTTAGTCAGTCACGTCGTTGTTTTAATATTCCAGTTGTATCCAAGGAGGAGCCTGTGCTAGACAGGCACGTCGTGACTCCGAAAAAGAAGAAAGGACGCCTACCTCCATGGGTCAGCCAAACCGGCTTGATAATATGCATCGTGAGTCCTCTTCCGATCCTCTCTTTATTTCAACAACTTGCGCTTCTTCCGCAGGTAGGTTCTTTTGGAGGATCAATCAATCAATCACAAGTAGGTAGACGTGGACTCAAGACAGGAGCCGAATCGGATCATCGCAGAGCAGCCACGTCCTCGGCTTCAGTCATGCAACAAAAGAAAAGAGGTAAAAACGAGGGATATGTCTCTGGAGTAATAGTGTGTGAGTAGAGGAAGTGGATTCCAGACAAGAGAGAGAACGGCCGCAATAAGTGAAGACGCGCGAACCAAAGAAAGGGCCGGGGTGCAGTTAAGTTCCCAAGCGCGCGCCCGCCTTTCCAGAAAAGTCGCGATCTCCAGATGGTCGGGAGGCCGGTGGTCCGAGCTTTGCGTTGGGCGGGCTGATTGGCTGGGCTGGTTTAATTGGAATCATCATTTTGATACTTCTGGAATTACCTATATATGCCTACAATTAGGTAGGCATTCAGTTGCTACGAATTACACAGAATACAGATATCGCGCAATCAAGGAATTGAGCCTATGCAACATGTCCAACCACAGCTCGCTCCTCTGATTTTCGCGACTCAATCTACCCCATATTTGGCGCCAGGAACGGATGACAATAAATAACAAAGGAGAGTCTCCAGAAACAATCAAGATCGATACTGATACAATGTGGCATGGCACAAGGACGGCTCTCAAGGAGCCATCGAAGAGCGGAGGAAGAGAAGAAGGATTCGAGGAGTATCATAAGGAAATAACGGAAATTCAAATGCAAGATCAAACCGCCTCACCGCTACTGTCTGGGGTGACTGGTCTGCTCAAAGCCCTCCAACACAGTGTCCGCAACCCCACGAGGGCTCCCCGATGTCCCGTCGATCTCCGATTCAAGCGCAGGCTCGGGTCGGCGTCCCGAGTCCTTCTCGGATTTGTTGGCCTGGGCCCCCTGCTGCGACTTCTCCTTCACTCCAAGAGTCTTGGCCGCGATACTGCGCGCCTGGGTGTCGCTGACTTTGCCGTAGACGGCCATCGCGTTGGCGATCATTCCGCCCAGATCACCGACGTTGCCCGGGACCACGACGGCAGTGCCCTCCTTAGCCAGGTTGGAGAACGCATCGACGTACTTCTCCGCCACGCTGAGACTAACAGCACTGTGGGCATTCTCCTTACCTTCTTCAATAGACCGCGCAACGGCATCGATCCCTCGCGCCGTAGCCTGCGCCCTCAACATGATCGCCTCGGACTCACCAGCAGCGCGGTTGATCTGCTCCGCCCGCATAGCCTCCGAAGCGAGGATAACAGACTGCTTCCGGCCTTCGGCGATGTTGATCGCACTCTGGCGCTGGCCTTCGGAGTCGAGGATCTCCGCCCGCTTGGACCGCTCGGCGGTCACCTGGCGATGCATGGCCGCGACAACGCCATCGGGAGCGTGGATGTCCCTGATCTCGTACCGCAAACAAACCACGCCCCAATCCTGCGCCGCCTCGTTGATAGCCTGCGTGATGTTCGTATTTAAGGTGGCACGCTCCTTGAGAACGTGGTCGAGCGTGAGCTGGCCAATTTCGGAACGCATCGTCGTCTGGGCAAGCTGGGAGATGGCATATTCCGCGTCTTCCACACCGTAACTATTATCCGTTAGCCCAATGCCAATCCCAACCCCAACCCAGTCCAAGAAAAAAGTTAAAAAACCTCACCTCGCCTTGAACGCATCAAAAACCCTCGTATAAAGCACCCCATCCAACTCCAACGTAACATTATCCGCCGTAATGGCATTCTGACTCGGAATCTCAATCGCCGACTCCTTCAAGCTCTTCACATAAGCAATGCGATCCAAAAACGGGATCAAGATCGCCAAGCCCGGTTGCAAAATCCGATGGAACTTGCCCATGCGCTCCACGATCCACGCCGTCTGCTGCGGCACGAACCGCACGACCGTGTTGACGGGCAGCGCGGAGCGGTTCGCGAAGTACGTCGCTGGGGGCCCACCGCCGCCACCGCCGCCCGCGCCTAGCTGGCCGCCTGTGCCGAAGTTAAGGAGGGAGTTCTCGGGCGCGGCGGTGCGGCGGGTCGTGGAGAGGTCTCGGCGGCGGATGCGGTTGATGGTTGGGAGGGCGGATTTGGAGAGATGGGTTGGGTGGTGGGCGAGTAGGCGGGCTGTTGCTGCGGCTGTGGAGGGCCGGAGCTGCCTCACTGTTTGCCTAGAGGCCACTTCCATGGTGAAGGGGCAGTGGAGGGAGGAGTAGGTTGGGAGGTGGTTCGATCGAGAGAGAAGTGTATAGGTGGAAGCTGGAAAACGTGCTCGGACGTAACTGAGGGAGCTGGGCGGATTACTTAGTCTAGTCTAGCACTTTCGATCGGACCGGACTGGGGTTCGTGCCTCAGGCAGGATATTGCTGAGTCAGCTACAGTTTCGTCCTGCTTATAGTTGTATACAGATGGGATGCTATTGCAACACAGATGCAGGAGCTCAAGATTCAATTGTCAGTAAATCTACATTGCCCCGACTGTGGATTATCTAGAAATCATGAATATTGCAACACAACATCTACAGATCATCGAGAGAGACCAGCACCATTGCACGTCATCAAAACATTCATGATGTACCTAGCACATTACTTTCACAGAATATACGTAACCGGTCCATCTTATGCAAAAAAGAAAGAAGAAAGAAGAAAGAGAAGAAGGGAGAAGAAGAAAGACACCACTCCTGGCAGGCTATGAAAGAGACACAATCCTTCCCTGGACAGGATCTTCAACTCCATGCACGGAAACACCTTGCACCGCCTGGCAAACTAATTAAAAAAAGATGGGAACGAGCATGCTGCATTCAATTTTTTGTCTTGAGAGAGACCCCGATAGCGCCCGGCTTTGAAAAATCAAGAAATTTTTTTTTTTGGTTTTGTGTTTTTGGACTGGCTTTCTTGTTTTTTGTTCCATTGGTGCTAGAAATCCAGATTTCAGAGTGCAGGAGTGGAAAATAATCATTGCAGTATTAGCAAATCAAAGGCAAATGAGAAAATTTGAGACAAATGATAAACCGGATAAACACTCTATGGTCGTGGGAATAAAACTCAGCCCGGCGCACCACAAAGGAAGCATCAAGGTCAGGAGATACTGCCCAGTAAAACATGCCCGGACTCCAGAATTTTAAGAACCTCCCATGACTGAACAAAATATGAGATAAAAAGAAAAAGAGAAAAAGAAAAAGAGAAGAAAATAAGGGGGAGAAAGAAAAAAATTGAAAACAAGCCGAGATACTGGACGTGCGAATGTCAATCCACTCTGATGGCTGCTTTGCAGTCGACAGCTCGACAAAACGTAGTTGAATGCAAAAGCTGACAGATAATAATGCAAGTCATGATCGATGTAAAAGGCAGAGGAAAGAACGAGGAAAAAACCCCGCGAAATAGAAAGAAAGATATATGACCGATAGAAGAAGAAAAAAAAAACAAAATCAACTTTTCCAGCTCGTCTGTCCAGCTAAGACCCAGAATGCAGTCCACCTTTTTTTTTCTTTTGCGACTTTGGAGAGAAGACGCACCACAGAGGGGAATCAGAGTGGCTTATAAGTCTGCGGTGGAACTTCGTTCACGCCCATATCAGCATGCTTCCAGGGAAAACATGGCAAGGCCAGCTGATTGACAAAAAAGGCGACTGTCAAACCGAAGGAATGGCTCGGGCTGAGGCTGACGTTTCCGTATCGAGATCATCAAACGCTAGACTCTTAAATTCATTGTACATTTGTGCATTGAAATTTTGGACCAAAATGCGACCAAAATTGGTGCAAAACATCAATATCACGGTCACCATCTGCGGGCGCCGTGGTAAAAAAAATTCGTGGAGGATTCGTTTTCGGAAAATAAGATATAGTAAAACCACGGCGAGGATAAGACCGAGATCATTGGAGAAATCTCCCTTCTCAATCCCAGGCATGGGCAGGCGAGCTCCTATACACGAAAGCTATATCACCGTTAGTATTTTCTGTAGGAGAGGATGAAGCCTGGACGGTCTCAAAACCACTGTCCGCTAGCGGGATCGAACTTACTGGAAGGATCTGCACTCAATGGCCCGGGATAAAAAATGAAGACTGGCGATGGGGAAGGAAATTTAAGCCGCATGCTATTCAAATTGTCAGTACAGAATTATTGACTGTGGAACCGTTCGAATGATATTCTTACGTTTGCAACCTCGGTCTGGGCATTCAAGGCGTTGGACGGCGAGAACTCCGGGGCAGTAGAGGACAAGGACGTCTTGGGGACATGCGACTCAGCCGTGCCATTGGACTGGTGCTGGTGGGACACGCCGTTGGTGGTTCCATTGACATGCTCGTCGGACTTGGCAGAACTGGGCGCGAACGAGGGACCGTCGTGCTGCGCAGAAGGATCCCGTTGGTCCACGGGGAAGACCCACTGCTCCCACTTGTCTCTCGGCCGCAGTCGATCAACGCCATCTTCCCCGCAGACGTGGTCAACGTTCCGCAACTGGCGGGAGACATGGCGGAGAAGCTCAAAGTCTTCGGTCAAGGACTTGATGCGCTTGAAGCTGGCGATGAAAGACAACGCCACGAAGCCCTGGGTGTCCATGTGCTTCCGGAGGAACAGGTCCTTGCACAAGTTATCAACGGAGAAATAATACTCCAGCTGCATCGTAATCATGCTCATAAGAGAGAAGGGCTCCATGTACTGCTGGTACGGAACGGCGGTCATCGGACCAGCGTGCATGGGGTGATAGCCGTACATGGTGTTGATATCGGCGGGGAAGGGGTAGACACCGTACATAGCGGCCGAGTTCGGCAGCGACGGCGATCTCAAGGGCATCCGATGGTTCTGCGACCCGTTGGGCATGCCATGTTGCTGCGAGCGCTGACGGTCATTGAAGCCAAAGGATTTCGGGTGCATGAAGGTGTGGTGCGACATGTGGTTGTTGGGGAAGTGAGAGTTCTGGGAGCCACTGTAGCCTCCCCGACCGCGGTGCGAGCCACGGTTCCGTTCAAAGCGACCCTCGCGAGGGAAGTCCTTCTCCTTGCGATCGCCGTGGAAGCCGCCAAAGTCCGCCGACTTGGGGCCGTTTTCAAAACGACGCTCGTTGGTCGAGCCCGGGCGGGGTCCGTTCTGAGAGTCCACGGACAGGTGGGGGTTGCGAGAGTTGGCGTCAGCGCCCTTGTTGGAGGCCTCCTGATTCCGAGCGAAGGGCTTAGCGTCCCGGTGGCGCGGGAACCCTTCGCCCCCGTGCCTAGCAGCCGGCGCGGCGTTGGCATTGTCACCTCCCTTGGGACCTCTTCTGTCCGTAGTCGGTTTACGCGCGTCCGGATGTCCGGCTTCAGTGCTGTTAGACCGTTTCGAGGGGGCGGGAAGGGAGTTGGCACGGGCCGAATTCTGCTCGTTCCGTCCTCTCTCTACAGATGGAGTTTGCTTTGCGGAGCCTTGGGCGGCTTGTCCGGCGGCAGCCTTATCAGCGGCGGCGCCGGTAGCGCCGTGAGACCCGCTGCGAGTGCTATCCCTCCCACCACGAGCCGCTCTGCCGCCTCTGCGTGCAGCAGTGGGCAGAGGAGTGTTGAAGACGGCGCTAGGCACGTACGGCACGGGCATCCACTTCTCCTTGCCGTGAGAACGAGCGGCGGGGCTCTTTTCCGGCTTGTCGGTCGTCGTCTTCTCCTGCGCCTTCCTCTTCTCTTCACCCTGAGCTACGTGGGGCGTAGGCCACAGGGTCGAATCGCCGACGGGGGGCAGGTTCGAGCCATCTTCCCGACCCTTGGCCCCTTTCCGGTCTCGGGGGCCCTCGGCATCGTTGGCTTTCTTTTTCGAGGCGCCCTTGGGCTGTTCTTGCGGGGCATCTCCCGAAGTCGAAGAAGCCGACGAGGCAGTCTTAGAGGCCCCAGACTTAGCAGTGGATCCACTGGGTTTTAACGAGACAGCCTTCGATTTGGCGTCCTGTGCCTCCTTGCGCTGATGCCAGATATTCACGGCAGGAAGGGGAGCCACCTTCAGCTCCTTTGGGGGTTCCTTCTTCTCCTTCTCGGCGTTCTTCTTCTCCTTGGTATCATTGGCTTCATCACTCTGCTTCTCAGCTCCGGATGCTTGCGACTGCTTATCCCAGGTGGATTCCGAAGTACCATTTGCAGCATTCGAGGCCTCATCTTTGGGTACTGTGGAGGTCGAAGAGGTGCCGGGGGAAGTGGTCCCAGAGGGGTTGGCCTTCGAATTCGTGGCAACCGTCCATTCCGATTCATCACCGGCATCGGCTGTCGGCTTCTCGGTCTCGTTAGAGAGCTCTTCCTGCGGGGCATCCTCTGTCCCTTCTGGCCGGGCATCATCCGTGTTCTGCTCGTTCGGCTGGGCCTCAGCATTCGTCGAATCTGAAGACTTCACTGACGGTTGCGGGGCAACGCCTTTGGCGGCTTGCGCGTAGGAAAAGCTAGCGGCCATTTTTGTGGTAGAGAAAAGAATAACACAATCTAGTATATCCGTCCCAGAGATGAAAAGAAGATAAAAAGATGTTCTGCCAGAGAACGGGTTACCTCCGTTAGCAGCACCAAAAAGCTTGAATGCGCCGGCTGAGCGTAAATCGGTGTCAAAGACTGACGAAAGGTCACAGTGTTGTCCTTGTTCACCCTCGGTTCAACCCTGTCAGACTGAACTTTTTGTCGTGTATAGTCACACTCTTGACTACAACTTATGAAGGAAGCGTCAAGTCGACTTTAAAAACCAGGTAGCTGTTGCGATCACGGGCTGTACCAAAGCAAATGGCGTCCGTATGTACGTCGATCCTTCTCGAGATGTCCTATCAAACAAACCGCATCGATTGGACGAGGGGAGAGTTCGCGTTTCGTTCGTTTGGGAATCGACCGAGACGGTGGGCTTCGAGGGAGGGGATAGGAAGGTATCCGGTCGAAGACTTCGTGAGGATATCGAAGGTCTCGTTGATGCAGAGCTCAGGGCGAGAAGCACAAAAAGAAATCCTTCTCGAGTTGGTACACGGAGTGTTGGATAGGGAAAAAAGAGTCCAAAGCAGGGCTTACACAAATTTTGTGGTTCAACCTTGGATCCGCCGGAAAACTCGACAGCACTCCGGGTATGCTCACTGAAGCAGTCGAAGGTCGCTACAGGAGGTTTAGCGAGGACGAAGTACGCCTGACGGTGAGACGTTGCCCCTGCGATGCGTAGGTACGAAGCGCGATTCGAAGACCAGGAATTCACCACCCGAATTTTACTTAGGAGGGCGAATGGGCGTAGGAATCGAAACGGTCGAGTTCAAAAGAGAAAAGAATAAAAAAGAAATGGAACAAGTGACAGGATAGTCTGAAGCGAAAAACCCGTGCGGAGAAACAAAGATGAAGGGGAGAAAAAAAAAGGCAACGAAACAAGCGTTGAAGATGGGCTTGCCAGTGAAAGTCCCGCAAAAAGACAGGAAGTGGGAAGGAGAAAATCGGGGCACGGGGAAAAGGCGCACTGAAGGTCAAAGACTACTTCTCAGCAACGGCACCGCGAGTCCGACAGTGGAACCCACGGAGGAAACGAGAAGAAGAAAAAAAAAAAGTCCTAGACTAGATGAGGAGGGGGAGGAGGGGTGAGAGACAGAAAAGGGAAGAGAAGGAAGAGAGAGAGAGAGAGAGAGAGGAAGAGAGAGAAGGGAAGAGAGTAATTAGTGCAGTGTGTGAGAGAGAAGTGAGAAAATCAGAAAATATTATTTTATTAATTGGTTCGATTTAATTACTATTATTATTATTATTATTATTATTATTTTGGTGGACGAAGAAATGCCGAGAAGAACGCAGTAGGAAAGTCAGGCCTGACTGTGGAATCCACCAAAGAAAAAAAAAAAAAAAAATTGGTAGGTTCCTAGAGACAGCAGTCTCTTTTTTTACTTATTACCTAAGTCCAATTTTACTTACTGTAAACTTGGGTTCTTCAGGGTATTCCATAAATTCATCAGGGTACCACTACGTAATTAACTTTTCCCATGTTCATATTGGACCAGGAACACCACCATCAGTGACTGGCTGGAATTGAGTGATTAAGGGACGAAAAGAAAAGAAGAAAAAAATAGGAAAATCAAATCAAAAACAGTCCCGGACGTCCGTGGTTTTTCAATCACACACAGCAATAATAGTACTAAAGCAAGGTCCGAAGAATTGAGCGGAGCTCCGGAGGTTCTGGTTTCTGGTTTCTGGTTAGTGGCCTTCAGGGCTTCTGTGGAGTATGAACCATTCTTCCTCGGACACTATGATGGACTTGGAACAGATCTTTATCATGTTGATGTTTATCAGCCTGTACTTACTGTCTATACAGTAAGTATATACTTAGGCATCGTAATGGAACAGCCACCGTGGACAGATGCAAGGCTATCGTCAACCGAGTCCGAATCTGTAATATTCGGCTGTACCTTTCTATATATAACACCCGCAGACAGCCATACTACTACTCCACGGGCCGCAGCAGCTGTTCCTGTTTCCTGTGTCAGGTCGACAATGCCAGGATAAGGATACTAATATCTTTCCCTCTCTTTGGATAAAGGTAAAGAGATGGGCCACCTCACCTCTCACGGTTTCAAGCCATGTGATCATCTAGCGCCCCATTTACACCTCCCCTCCTCTATGAACAGCCTAGTACAATGGCGGTTCGGCAACCATCCTGGTCCTCCGATACTCAATTAATCCGTCTGTATATCCGCTCCCCGGCCTACTCGAGCATGACGTATAATGGAGATATACCCGAACACGGCTATGCAATTGGTTACTACAATCGGGTGCTCTATACCATTGCATGATAATAGATTTGGCAAGAATGACAACTTGTCAAGGCAGTGGAAGTACACCTACCTAAAGCTAATCAAAGAAGTCAAATTCACACATGGTTAGTCTCCATAATAACACCTGATATCATACAGCAGCCTAAAAAGGTTCGTAGTCTCGGACTAAGGTGGACCTGCTAAGCATGTAACTATACGTATTCGGCATGACCGGAATAACCAATTATACTACTAGGCTTATGCCGGTGCTGACTGATGAGCTGGAGCCGGGTTGGCCTGTACTGGACGATCTATCTGTGACAACAATATCCTGGTTGTTAGTACCGGTTTAATTTCTCCAGTCTGATACATATCATTCGTAGTAACTGACGGTAATAATTATTCGACTCGATTTGGAGTCTCAAACGTCGGTTTCAAACTTTGCTTCAAACATACACCTGCCCTTTCAAGGGATCGATGCTAGTGCTATCATTTTATGGAATAGGATATCTCTACAGTATGTCTAGAATCTAATATATCTCCAAGCTACACTTGCACCTAGTCCTGTACACTGTCGCTGTCGAGTCCCTGGATTAAAATTACAACCTATTACACACCCAGATAATTGACAGGGTCCACCTGCCAGGGCGCACCATACAATGCCATACTGTTTCATTGGTACGGCCTGTAATCAATCTCAGTGGAATGGTAAACGATTGGCCATCCTCAAAGAAATTCACAATCTTCACAGACATCCAATGGGACAAAACAGAATCGTCCTGTGTATTGGGTTTTTTTTCGTTCTGCAGACATGGTTCGCTCACCTTGATCAAGTTTAGTCAGGTAAAGGTAACCAGTGGTATGTAGATTTATTCAGATGTTCCCGTGTTTGGCGTTCTATCGGATTTAATCGTTATAATCGTTTGATGGTTAGCGTAATTCTCTTATCACGGTGTGTATCCTAATCCTTAGATTCTTCAGTACGGTAGACATGCTTTCAAGTCACGAGGTTTCAACTTCAAGGTCTATTGATCTTCAGCTTAATGTATTTTGAAAGTTAATCCAGACTTAATCCATATTCCTCAATCACTATAAATCCAACTACCCTCGTCATTCATTTCAAACAACATACAGACGTATACACACAGCATGGCCCAGTCATCTGGACGATCAGCGCAAGCACTGAGTAGAACTATCAAGCGACTAACTACGTCCGGACTACAATATGGCATGATGCTCACCTCTAGTATACGATCCACTCAATTTTAAACCTGACACCATCTTGTCAACAGCACGGCCTGAATCCATGGGAAGCACAGTAGAGACAATGCCAAACGATCGCTTAGCAAGCCACGCGGTTACAAGCCATTAGGGCTGAAGCTCGGGGGGAGAGGGGAGTTCAGTCGGGATTCTTCGGACCCTCTTATTAGGTATGGCCGAGAAGACCGGCCACGGCACGTGGCTGGTCTTATTTTTCTTTGTTTCTTATATTTTCTTTGTTTGTATGTAGTTGTCGGTTCGAATCGTTACTTACATCCTATTGTTCTTGGTTCTGATTATTGTTCTCGTTACTAGTGTTTCCGCCCCTCGCTGGATTAGTGTGGACTGTAGTACATGGGGTTGGATTTACCTATCTGTATACTGGAGTTGTGAACTGGAAATGACGGGACTACATGATACTCAGCATACTCCGTACTTGACTTTTGATCCGTTGAACCGCCGATCAAGAATATCCATCCGGACAATGATACCATTAGCGTAACGCTAACAGTCGCGCAGGTTGGGAAGAAAAAAAAAATCACCTGCATCTGCAAAACATATCAAACAGCCCAAACATAACAAATGATGTACCTCGGCCGACATCCAGTACAAACAGTAGTAGTACTAATGGTATAATGATAAACTTAATATTATAATAATGATAATATAATATAATAACCCCGAATACCAAATCCAGAAAGAAAGCAAGCCCACCAATCCACCCCAGCCAGTCACCGCCAGGCTGAAAAATGACTAATTCCATTGTTCCATCGATGTTGCATAACGTGCGGGGTACAATAGCCGGGAACAGCAATTGTCACCGACCCCGGGCCAGGCCAGACCCAGACCAAGACCCCTAGAAGTGACTCACTGGCATTTCTGCTCGCTGGTATTGGAGGGGTGTCATTGGCGTTGATTATGTTTTTAATAAGGTGCAGCAATTTTACTCGAATTGATCATTCCCGAACCCTAACCTGGAAATCCGCTAGTCTTGATGTGGTATGGTTGTCGATCCTCGGCTCCTCTTGACGGTGTCATACACTATCTGCGCTCAGTGTCTGGGCAATAGAGTTCCTTGCTTGTTATTGATTATTGACATCGAAGAGCTTATCTAGGCTGGATTACAATATGGTATTCAGGCTGTTAGTCGCGAAGCTCTGTCTTTCCGCGATAGAGGATGCTTCACACATGCCATTGCAGATGAGCTGGATGCAGCAGGCTCATTGTCATTATATTAGCACAAAGATTTGATAATTCAGATACAACTACAAATCCTACATCGAATCAGTTGGAACGGTAAAATAGCACCGCTGATGATAGAAACCTCACGACATCAGTCCAATCTCAACCGGGATGAGATAGCATTACTTGGTTATACTGACAAATCTGGATGTGATCAATGGCCAGATTCCGATGGACAGGTTAGTTCCTGTAACTTGAGTAATGTATGTATTGTGGACTTTATAGGTGAGCCTCTTCTTGATTTCTAGCCTCAAGTCCGATCAGAGCTTCCTTTGCAGTAGCCTTAGCAAACATTTTCTACCAAGAAAGTATGCATCAACTGAGTCCGCGATACTAGACCCTCAAAGGTCATAGATAAGTCAGTCAAGAGATCCTATGTGGACCTTTTACATCGAATCCGTCGAGCAAACACGCCGTATAGTTGGGGAGAAGTTGATGTGATGCCAGTCCCCTTCTTTCTGCAGCAGAAAGGTCGACAGCACGATAAATTCTTCGCCTGGGGATACCACAGGCAGGTAGTATCATGGTTCCATCTGAACTTTAGTCTTTCGCTCCTAAACTACAGGTAGTACATACAGCGCCGTGAACATTCCAGCTCAGACACTCTCCCAGAGAGACGAGTGGTGGTTATCATGTTAGTAGTACTGAAGTGCTTCCGCGTCAACGGTGGAAGAGTAAAGACGATCTATATGACTCGCCTAGATGTGTGTACATAGACATTGGAACAATACAACATCGCGGATCCTCAAAACAACAAGACGCCTTGAGGATCCAGATGCTTGGCAATACTTTAAAAAGCTGCCGTCTGTGCACATTGTGTGGAAATTACTCTAGAATCTAGCGGAGCCCGACGGTCTTGGAATAGCCGTGATCAACAGCCACTCAACTATACCTTACCAGGGGAGATACGTGACGTCCAGTGCTTTGAGTGATTGATTCTGTAGGTAGTACTACTGGTAGGCACCATGTCTTGCGCTCGAGCTTCTTCAACATGAGTTCAACTAACGTGCTTACTATATTAATAAGTATAAATTATGACTAGACTGTTAGGCAATACAGTCCACCTCAGCAAGAATTGCGGGGTAAGAACTAAACCTCGGAATTTAATCCGTGGAGGGTATTGCTGTCAGCGGGGTCAATGGTTAATGATCAGACGCGGGTAGGTGGTAGTGATATATCCATGACGTTTATATCTTACTCCAATACATATATAACTCTCAACAATTCAACCATCACCAAGAAAACCAAAGAAATCAAACCAAACAACAGAACAAAATGCCAATGTAAGTAAAGGTACATAATCAATATGATACCCCCTAACGTACACAGGAACCTACAAGGCAGCTGCCAATGCGGCGGCATCGAATTCACCCTCCAGTCCTCAACACCCGTCCCCTACCAGCTCTGCGCCTGCAGCATCTGTCGCAAAGTCGGCGGATACAGCGGGAGTGTTAACCTGGGTGGAATCGCCTCTAGCCTTGATATTAAGAAGGGGAAGGATTTGATTAAGTATGTACCCTACCCTACATTAATGATTACCGGAGAGGCTGTCCCCACCTCTAGTCGCGTCGTGTGTATACGAGAAAGAGAGAGAGAGAGAGAGAGAGAGAGACGCTAATTCAATCTTGTAGAAAATACTCGGCAATCAAAAACCGCGGCCAAGCAGACGAGCAAGTCTGCTCCAGCGAGCGCAACTTCTGCTCGAATTGCAGCACGATGCTATGGCTGTGGGACCACCACTGGCCCGAACTGATCCATCCGTTTGCGTCGGCGATTGATACCGAGTTGCCGGCTCCCGATGAGATGACTTGCATTATGGCGGGGTCGAAGCCGGCGTGGGTTCGTTGGCCGGAGGGGAAGAAGGTTGTTCGTGAAGTTTATGGGGAGGAGAGTTTGGAGGGGTGGCATAAGAAACATAATTTGTTTTATCCTTAGGGGTGGTTGGATATGGAGTGGTTTACGGTGATGGGGCTACGAAATTAGGCTACACATGGGAAGTAAATATTTTTGAAATAAATGCATTATTAACTAAAGTGTCGACTTGTCCTAGAAACTTAAGCAACGTTAGCCGCTGAAACGGTAGATTCGTGACAACATAAAGGTAAGAAGAGAAGCATCAGTTCTCCAAGGTGAAATTTGGTTTTTCTTCAATGGTGTTCGGTAAAAACAGCAATAAATTTTGATCATCATGTAAGACAAATGAAATCAGCACAAGGGTACTCACACTAAAAGACAGTTGACAGTCGGTTACGAGATCCAAATCCTAGATGGCTTATCGAGTCAGCAACATGTCGCCAGCATATAAAATGTGCATAAAAGTGACAAGTCAACGATTTCAGGCTGGAGACAAGTTAGCAATTGTCAAATATAAAGACATTCAAGACAACATACCTCATTAAATCAGAATTTTTGTATAAAGTTCATTTCCGTACGCAGAACGCACAGATCAAACAGTGTGAATAAAACACGTTCATCATATGTTGACTGGATGCAGGGCATAATGACAGATAGGGAAAGAATTATAAAATTACCTAGGAGGCACGTTAGTATGGCCTGTTACTCCTAGAAATTCTGACAATAGACAGATGAAGTAGGACTCAGGTGACGAGTTCTCAACAATCGATACACCAGACTAACACCCGCAGAGTTTGTACGCTCCGCTTTTTATGGATGCAGTCCGATGCACAGTCTGTCCGCCCGTTCGTCATGCTATCTTCATCGAAGTGCCCATAGGCAAGGATTGACAAGAAGGATCTTATTTACCTATTGATTATATGTTAGCGGGAGTCATAACAAAAATCAATATGTTTAACAGAGGATAAAATCCAACGAGGTCAGACAAGGCTGAAACTTAATAGAAACACAGATTCCACATGATAACTTAAGATTGAGGAATGCCTTATAGCGTGTCATAATGTCATCATCGAAGGAGTAGCTCGACATGATGAAGAACAGAAAAAAAAGCAAAAACGAAGAAAATATCTCCAGCATACCTTTTAATAATACAGAGTCGAGTGTGCGATGGAGTGTAAACTGCCAAAGGACACATGATATACCAACAACCAAAACGCGCCAGGCGTTGGTGTTGGGATCCTGTTCTTGAACCTTGCGGTTGCAAGCGTGAGAAGATGAAGAAAAAAATTGTTGTGGGCTGCGACTAAAATTTATAGTCCGGAGCTAGACCACGGCACGCGAGAGAGGCTAAAGGTGTTGTTTGATAACGAGACAAACATGTGGGCCGGCTAGTGATGCGACTCTCCCGAAGCGAGAACTGTATTGCAAGGTCAAGATCGATCGATAATTAGTTCTTGGTTGTATAAGAATACATTAGGCAAGGGTGAATGGAGACGTTCATTCTGTCTCGCTAAAATATGTTTTTGTGTGGACATTACCATTGAGCTGAATGTAGGAAAATCGACCCATACATCGACGGTTGGGTCCGATCTTGCAAGAAAGTTGTATTTATATACGGTTTGGTAGTTGGAAGGGAAGACTTGATGTAGTCGAGAGTATGTTTACGGTTCAACAAAAATAATACAGGACTTGAATGATCCACCAGTAGGAAGGACGGTGTGCAAATACGACAGTCAGACCGGAGGTTGGATAGCAGTGGCACTGAAGTCCAGGAGACATACAGTCTATTGTATCATACATGTCTATTTCTAATTCGCTGGGTATATTGTACAGTCGGTATTCTGGCTTCTGCTTAAGCCATGATGTAGATATCTTCCGATGGACATCCGTCCATCGAGGGTCATAGACTTGTTTGTCTCCGTATGAACGAGGAACAAACCCGGTAGGATGGAGGTGGGTAAGATTGGCCGTGTCGGGTGGGTAGGCCGTATGAAGTGGGGTAGTAGTTGGCTCGGATTGCTCCGTAATCCAAAGAGGAGTGAGGCATTGGAGATTAGATTTCATGTCCCATCTCCCAAAACCGCGTATTGGCATATGTCAGACATAGCTCTTCCGCGGAGGTAGTCCCCGCGTGCGGATCCGGGTGCGCCAGATGTGATGATAGCGCACGGACGACAGTCCCAACGACAATAGTGTGGTCGTAGACATCGACGCTCTTGGGATGAAGCTGGCACTCAAAGACGAAAGGGAAGTCGTCCGTTTGGTTCACTTCTCCATCCGCGGCGAGAGGGGTCTTCCTGCGCAGCAACGGAAGCGGCTTGCTCGCCGGGTCGGTTGCATGGGCCGCGAACTCATAGTCGCCCTCACCGCTGAGGATCTTGAGGTTATGGTTTCCCTTGGAAAAATCCCGAGCTAGGGCGGCGGTGACCGGGCCCGGTGCGAGGAGGTGGACGAGGAAGCGGGTGGATGCCTGGAGAGCACTGAGAGTCTCTGAGGGGCGGCGGACGTTGAATGAGATGACTGGCTCCGGACTGAGGGTCACGGTGTTGAAGGAGGAGACAGTCATTCCACGGAAGGCTTTATCGGTGCTGTCGTGCGGGTCGGTGGCGGTGATGATGGCGACGGGGTAGGGAACTCGGCGCATGAGGAGACGCACTTGGTCTGGGAGGGGGAGGCTGTTTCCCGAGGTACTGTTGTGGCTGACTGGGCTATCCTGTGTGCTGACCGGCGCTGGGGGCTCATTTGCGGCTGCTGATGAGCCGGACGAGATGTTTCTTATAGAGGACCATGGTTGGGCGGCACGGATGCAGTGATGGGCGATGGTGGGAGGGCCATTTCGCGGTTCTAACAATGCACCGTCAGATCAAGAATAAGATAGAATGAACAATATGCTGGTATTACCTGGACAACGACCTGCGATTCGAGAAACAGAACCCACAGCCCGCAAGAAAGAGCGATTCATTCCGCCGGTGATAGTAGCCGTCGGCTCAAGGAACAAGAACAAGGAAGACACTGGGCGCAAGACGATCAGATCTCCCCACAGTCATTATGAGGACAAAGCTCGAGTGTTTCAGTCAACGACCATGCCTAAGCAATAAGACGGGAAAAACCAAGAAGCAGTAAAAGTGACGTTGACATCCGTCAGGAACAAGGGAAAAAAGGCGAGGAAAACGTCGGATATGTACACGCTTACGTAAGGCATCCCATCCGCCAAATATTTCTCTCCCCCAGGAACCAACCCATGATGTCCAATCCAGCCAAACCAGTCGACTGAAACCACCACGATCTCGAACCGAACCACACTCTCCCTCTATTCCAACCACCGGGAACGATTCTACCCAAGTCGATTTATACCAACTCTCCCGAAAACATCCGGGCAATGTCCCTCCACACCTCCCTCCGCCGCAGCGCGGCCTCAGCAACCAGCCGCCTCCCAACAACGCCCTCCTCCACGACCTTCATCTGCACACAATGCCGACACGCGACGCTACTGCGCCGTCCCAAGCGGCCCTACACCTTCACGCAGCTGATCACCCTCTCCGACGGCAGCGCCTACATGCAGCGCACGACGTCCCCGGCCCCCGTCTACCGCTCCACCCGCGACACCCGCAACACGCTGCTGTGGAATCCCTCGTCCAGCAAACTGATGAGCGTCGAGGACGACGAGGCCGGGCGGCTGGCCGCGTTCCGTGCCAAGTACGGCCGGATCTGGGATGCGAATACCCCGCCTGCTGCTGCTGAGGAGGGCGCGGACAAGAAGTCTGGGGCGGAGGCTGAGGCTGCTGCTGCTGCTGCTAAGGCGCAGGCGGAGGCCGAGGCTCAGGAGGAGGAGGATAATTTGTTGGATTTGATTAGCTCGTTTGGGCAGGAGGAGGTGCAGGCGGGGGATAAGAAGAAGAAGGATTAGATTTTGGGGTGATGGATGTTGTTGGTTATTGTTCTATTATAAATTGCGTTTTTGTGTTGGCTTTGGGGGATTTTTCTTGTACAGTATCTACTATGTTATATCATCGGGTGCAATGTACCATGTGCAAATGATGTGCTTTTCTTTCTTATATGCTACGGTGGTTTGGAGTGGGCATTGCTGGTATTGCGTCGGCATGGTGTTATGGTTTCTGGTTTGTAGGAAGCCTAACACTACTCGCGTTGCATATAGTCACAGACTTTGTCATATGGTGGAGTCAATGAAGAGGTAGCGCGCCACAATTACATTCATTGACCGGTGAATCGCTGTAGGAAAGGATATCGGCGCGTCCGTTTTTTATACAGTTGGCCAGATTTCAAACAGAAAACGATCATGCCTCTCCCTCCGTCACAGACGCCGAAGCGGATGCGTTACCCTCATCTGCTCCCGCATGAGACGGAGCATTTCCGCCAGAAGTCGCGTAAAAAGGGGCATCGTCCTCGCCTGCGTCCAGCTGGTAGAGGAACGTCTCCCACAACTCGATCAACTAGAAGTTTGTATTAGCGAAAGGCCCCATTGCATAAACAGGCAGAGTACTCACCTCCTTTTGAGCTTCGACGGCACTCTCGAGGAATGTCTCGACACCCGACTTAAAATCCTCCACCTTTTCCTTTTCAAACCGCTGCAGCTCGTTGCGCATCAACCGCCCCATGTCTTCAAACAGCAATCTTGCCTGGTGCACCTTGCGCTCCGCATCCGCTACGTCGGCATTGACCTGGTGCAGGCGGTCCTGCTGGGTTTTTCCTTGTCGTAGGAGCTTATCTTGGGTATGCTTGCGTTTCTGCATCTCCGCCTCGGCTGCGTGCCAGCTGTGGTATGCCTTTTGTCGCTGGGAGAAAGCCGTTTTGATGCTGCCGATCAGGCGGAGGTACTCGTCAATGGTGATACCCAAGGTCAGGACATCCTGCTGAGCCTGGCGTTCGTACAGCTCTCTGATGCGGACCTGCAAGTCGGAAAGACCATACAGAGGACTCGACAGAGCCGGAGACAACTCGACCGCAGCCAAGGCCTGAAGAGAGCCAGAAAAGTCGCCAGCAGCTTCCGCCAGGCCCTTCCGTTGCGCCACAACACCGTCGATCGATTTCATCAAGGCTTTGAGTTGATTCTCCAGCGCATCGAGGTAGACTTTTCGGTCATGGAACCACTACACCATGATCGTCAGCGTTGTCTCCAAAGACACTCGAAGAGGATCGACTTACATCGTCATGCTCGACAAATTTACCACCTCCACCGACATTAATCCCAAAGGAGCTGAACATCCCCTTGTTCTGACCGAGGTCCGGCTCTCGGTTCTCCTTGTTCTTGACATCGAGGTTGAAAGTCTCGCTTTCCAGGAAGATTTTGAGGTCCCCGTCTTGCTGGAGGATGGGATGCGCCGCGATCTTGTTCAGCATGCGCTCCAGCGCCGCTCTTCGCGACTCGACAAAGTTGGTATCGAAGCGGCCCACGGCCTGCTTCTCGGGCGGAGGAGGCACAACCACACCGGGGTTGCTGTTATGCATCGAGTTATACAGCCAAAGAAAGTCGCGGTACCGACGGCTGACGAAGAATTCAGGTTGTCGGTATGCTTTCGAAGTCGTCTGCAGCAGGCCTCAGTCATCGACTCGGCACATTTCAACCGTGCCTCGAGGACAACATACCTTGGTCCGGACTTGGTATACAATATGACTGCTAGTCAAATCCCCCACCTTGTGTGGATCACCCACGGAAATATCAAAGGTCGGGTTCGCCGCCTTCTCCAAGCTGATACTGGGTTCCGACTGTCTCTTGGAGGGTTCGCCCTCGGTGGGAGCCTGCACCGGAGGAGGGCCGTGGAACCCCCCACCGTCTTCCTCCAGGGTTACCGAGTCCGCCATGCCGGCCGTTCCGGAAGCCTGAGACGTGGACGAAGTAGGGCGCACATTACGCCCGGCGAACGCCTCCTTCTGGGGCGGGGTAGGAGCCTGTTCCGTGGCCGTGGGGCTGGTCTCGCTGGCTTTGTCTCCTAGCGGACCGAGGGGATCAACGGTGTCATCGACGGCTTCCAGTTTGGTCGCGTGTGCGCTGATCTTGCGGGTGCCTCGCGGGCCTCGTCGTGCCGGCGATCGAGGGGCGTGCACGTTCGCTTGTTGTGACGATTGTTCGGGGGCTGTGCGGAGGACACAGTTAGCCTGCGACAGGGGATTGTTTGGCGGAGAAGGAGAAAACCACGCAGGGAGAGTACGTACTGGCATCGTCGGCGCCCGATTTCGATGACCCGACGGCTTGGGGAGAGTGGGAGGGCTCATCTGTCAACACGGGGTCAGCGACAGTATGATGCGACATGATTGTGACTGCCTACTTACCGCCCCACGGGGAATCCGCAGAGTCCAGATCCATGAGAGAGGAGTGTGGAAAGCAAAGGGATGATAATAAGGAGGAGAGGGGTAAGAGAGGAGAAATAAAGGTCGCAGGAGAGTGGGAGATGGGAGGATGTGAGGGGGGAGAAGGAGGAGCCTAGGGAGGAGTAGTTGGAGAGGGAGAGCTTGGACTGGATCGGATTGAACTCGACTAGACCGATGACGACCCGCATCAACGGGTCTCCAGCACAATCTCACTGCCAAGCTTACCAGTGTATACTATATGGACAGTAGTAGAAGTGATATGCTTATTTTATTCTACTTTATTTATTTTGCAGCAGGATATGTCGCTTTACTGACACACCTGCGCCCAGTGCCATAATAACGCAGTGTCATTACCGTTGAAGACGACAGGTAAATTGGACTTCCACAATATTGTACTCAAAGCTGATCTAGCTTATGATTCTCTCGTCTATACATTCATCATCATCGTCATTATAATGCAATCCACTACTGAGGCTTCACCCAAGGAAGGCCCAGCTTGTGCATCTCCACCGCTAATTGGAAGAGATAATCCAAGCTCTCGCACTGAGTCTTCGCCTTGACAACGTCGTCGCCCCAAACATAACTATGAAATAAATTAATATCACCGTAGGCAAGACATCTGGCAGCAAACTTACATTCCGTGTCTCCGCACCAGAACCGCATAGGTATCCGGGTTCTCCTCCATGGCCTTCTCCAGACCCGCGGTCAGGTCCTCCTCGTGCGCCGTGTTCTCAATGATCGGAATTCGCAGCGTATCGAAGAAGCCCAGCATTCCCTGGCCCTTACCCTTGGGGATACCCTTGATCTGCTCAATGTTGCTGATCTCAAAGGAACCCTCGGCGCCCAGCTCGCGCTCGACCAGGAGCGTCACCAGAACAGCCCACTGCGAGTGGGTGTGGATGCAACAGCCGGCGCCGCGCTCAAAGGCAGCCAGGAACAGAGGGGTACAGGCGGAGGGCTTGAGCTCGAGGGGCTTGCGGATGTACTTGCGGTCGGAGGGCGGGTACTTGGGGGTGGGGAATTCGAGAACGAAGATGTTATCGGGCTCCATCATTTCCTTCTGCACGCCCGAGGGGGCGATGAAGATGTGGTCGCCACGACGGATGGAAGTCTAGCATATCAATTGGCTTTAGTATTGGTTGTTCAATGCGATAGGGAAGAGCCTGAGGGAGAGAGAGATCTTACGCCGCCACCAGTGCCAGTGACCCAGCCCCAATTATAGAATCGGCGGCAGAGATCCGGGATCAAATTAGCTGGGTGTTTAGGATCGCTGGATTGAACCAGATGGTCATTGTTGGCGTCCGTCATGGTGTGGGGTGGTAAATTGGAGGGGTAGTTCGAGGTTTGATGGAAGGATGGAAAGGGGTTTCAACAAGGGACAGATAATTTCTGTTGTCCTTATCCTTCCTTGATATGAATCCAGCCAAGAGAAGTTATGATCCCGTCTGTAAATGACAAGAGTGCGCGACCAAGGGTGGTTGTACAGGACGCAAGTAATGGTCGAGGGAGGAAAAAAAGACGCGACCAGCGGGGAAAGATAGACGTGCTTGTGCATCCATTGGTGGAGCAGTAGCGCAGTTGACTTGACAAGCAATTAATGAAGGATTATATTCATGGAAGAACTGAAAGTGAAGGTGAGAACAAGAGTGAATGAATTCATCTACTATAAAAAACTATAATAAATTACAATGAATCAACAATGATAACGAATAGAATGACTACTAAGAGTGATGTACCTTCCCATAGTAAATCTAGTGCAAAGTGACTTATGAAAAGCAAAGAACATTGGAGAACCGCTAAACCGGATTGAGCGATGAAAGAGGCCACCTTGGAGTTTACCCGCAGCTTCACATATGAGGACTGCATCTCCTCTTCTTATATAACCTCTCTTTCTCTCTCTCCACCTCTTTCCCCCCTTCTTCCTCCTGGTGTGGTTAGTTTATGCTTCGGCTTCATCTACAATTTGATTTATTTTCTTCTCTAATACTCTTCCTCCATCTCTTGGAGGCTCAATTGCTGCTTTAGTTTATTGTTTGTTTCTTTAATTCACCATGCGTGTCAACGCCGCGCTGACCTCTGCCTTGGTGTCCTCGGCGACTCTCATGGGCTACGCTCATGCTGAGGATGCTGAACCCAAGGCCGATGCTTCGTCGGTGGCTGAGAAGCCTACCTTCACCGTATGTCTCCTGTTAAATTCCCCGCAAACTGTCTGGACGGGTTGCGCCTCGGTTTCTCCACAATTGCTGACTTTGTCCCTCAGCCGACCACGTTGAAGGCGCCGTTCCTAGAGCAGTTCACCGATGACTGGACCTCCAGGTGGACTCCGTCGCACGCCAAGAAGGAGGATTCGACCTCGGAGGAAGACTGGGCCTACGTGGGCGAGTGGTCCGTCGAGGAGCCTACCGTCCTGAAGGGCATTGAGGGCGACAAGGGTCTCGTCGTCAAGAACGCGGCCGCTCATCACGCCATCTCGGCCAAGTTCCCCAAGAAGATCGACAACAAGGGCAAGACCCTCGTCGTTCAGTACGAGGTCAAGCCGCAGAGTAAGTCACGTCTGGTAGTAATCGTCGTGATAACCGGAATAGATGGCTGACTGGATTCCTTTCATAGACTCTCTGGTCTGCGGTGGTGCCTACATGAAGCTCCTCCAGGACAACAAGAAGCTTCACGCCGAGGAGTTCTCCAACGCCTCCCCCTACGTGATCATGTTTGGCCCCGACAAGTGCGGTGCCACCAACAAGGTAAATCCGGCTTCTCCTGAATCACAACCGAACGCTCACTGACTGACCCATCCATCAGGTTCATTTCATTTTCCGCCACAAGAACCCCAAGACTGGCGAGTACGAGGAGAAGCACCTGAAGGCCCCCCCTGCTGCTCGCACCAGCAAACTCACCTCGCTGTACACTCTGATCGTCCGTCCCGATCAGACCTTCCAGATCCTGGTCGATGGCGAGTCCGTCAAGGATGGCAACTTGCTGGAGGACTTTAACCCTCCCGTCAACCCTGAGAAGGAGATTGACGATCCCAAGGACAAGAAGCCTGCCGACTGGGTTGACGAGGCCAAGATCGCCGACCCCGAGGCCAAGAAGCCCGCCGACTGGGATGAGGAGGCCCCCTACGAGATCGTGGACGAGGAAGCCACCATCCCCGACGACTGGTTGGAGGATGAGCCCAACACCATCGCTGACCCCGAGGCCGAGAAGCCCGAGGACTGGGATGACGAGGAGGATGGAGACTGGATCCCTCCCACCGTGCCCAACCCCAAGTGCAGCGAAGCCTCTGGCTGCGGCCCCTGGTCGCCTCCTATGAAGAAGAACCCGGCCTACAAGGGCAAGTGGAGCGCGCCTCTGATCGACAACCCGGCCTACAAGGGTGTGTGGGCGCCGCGCAAGATCGCCAACCCCGCTTACTTTGAGGACAAGACCCCTGCCAACTTTGAGCCCATGGGTGGTGTACGTTCTCTTCCCCCCCTCCCTCTTTTTCTTCTCTTTTTGTGGGCGAAATGCTAACCGACGCAGATTGGCTTCGAGATCTGGACCATGCAGAACGACATCCTCTTTGACAACATCTACATCGGTCACTCCGAGGAGGATGCCAAGCAGCTCCGCGCGGAGACCTTTGATGTCAAGCACCCCGTGGAGAAGGCCGAGGAGGAGGCGCTCAACCCCAAGAAGGAGGAGGGCGCGACCACCAGCGTCAGCTTCAAGGAGGACCCCGTGACCTACGTCCGCGAGAAGGTCGACCAATTCGTCATCCTGGCCAAGGAGGACCCCCTGACCGCCGTGAAGACGGTGCCCGAGGTGGCCGGTGGTCTGGGTGCGCTGCTCGTGACGATGATCCTGATCATCGTCGGTGCGATCAGCGCCAGCAGCCCGGCCGCTGCGCCCGCCAAGAAGGGCAAGGCGGCTGCCAGCGCCCCCAAGGAGAAGAAGGGCGAGGCGACCAGCTCCGCGGCCGACACGGGCAAGGGCAGCGCCACCAAGCGCAACACGCGGTCGTCTGCCGAGTAAACCGGCCCGATCGACCGGTCCTGTCGGGAAGGAATGGAAAGCCCAGACGTGTCCTCATCACAAAGCACCGAAGGAACCGCCGCCTACCAACACCACGACAGGAAGAAAACAAAAAATAGTTAAAAAAAGGGAACCATGTTTAATCCATACCACAGTTTGAGCGTTCAATCAAGTCGTTCTATCGAATTTGTTACCATCCGGGGAATCGAGTGGAAATGATTGGGAGGAGGAAAGAATGTCGCCTGTAAAGTAGTTTGATTACGTGAGAATTTAGAGTCCATGCCTTAGGTATGATTAGGATCTATTATCAATCCATCGTACTGTGCTTAGTATCTGTAGGTTATTGGTACCTAAGTACCTGTAGGTGGTAGTAGTAGTAGTAGTAGTAGTAGTAGTAGTGGTGGTGGTAGGTACTTCGGAGTTTGAATGATCGGCGATATCGGAGGAGTCAACCACCCTCCAGACTGATATCCAGATATAAGTGTCCAGACAAAATATAATATAGATAATACTTAACTATATCTATAAAGAAATAAGACCATTAAATCCTCGGATCTATCTAGATACGAGAGGTACCAGATCCAGACTTTAACCATTGGTTCAACTCCCCCGGAATTGACCCTGATTGGGTGGGATCGCCGACCCGCGAATAACCTCGGCGATTCATGGAGATATGGGGAAGCTGAGTCATCCCATCCAAACATAAGTTTACCCCAGGAAATCACCAGGTACTCCGATTCATTATTATCTCGACTTCATCCTCGCCACTTCTCTTTTCCTTTCTCCTTCTTCCCCTTTCTCTTCTTACACTGTCTCCTTGTTCAATTTCTCCCACCTTATCTACTACCACACTATCCACCATGGCCGCCAGTCGGTCGTTGGCTCGCTCTCTCCCCGCTCTCCGCGCTGCTTCTCCCCGCACCGTGGTGGCCACTTCGTCTCTCAGAGTTGCTGCTGCGTCGGCATCTCGCTCTCTGTCTTCGACAGGCTACTCGTCATTGCGAGCATCTCAGCGCACCTCGTCGTCACCCTCGTTTGTGGTGTCGCGGAGTCTCCATGCCACCGCCCGACAGCTGACCCCCGCAACCACCTCCGCGGCTACCACCGCTACCGAATACCCGACCACGCACGAGCGGATCGCAAACCCTATCGACACCGCCAATTTCCTCGACAATGAGTTCCGCCCCTCGCAGGCCTCCACCTGGATTGACCTGTACGACCCCGCCACCAATAACCTCGTTACCCGCGTGCCCCAGAGTACCGATGAGGAGCTCAAGGCCGCCGTCGACTCGGCCGAGAAGGCCTTCCCGGCTTGGAGGGCTACCAGCGTCATGGCCCGACAGCAGATCATGTTCAAGTTCGTCAGCCTGATCCGTGCCCATTGGGACCGCCTGGCTGCCTCCATCACCCTCGAGCAGGGCAAGACCTTCGCCGATGCCAAGGGAGACGTCCTCCGTGGTCTGCAGGTCGCCGAGACCGCCTGTGGTATCACCACCCAGCTCACTGGGGAAGTCCTGGAAGTCGCCAAGGATATGGAGACCCGCAGTTACCGTGAACCTTTGGGTGTTGTGGCCGCCATCTGCCCCTTCAGTAAGGGACCCTCCCCCCCTCTTTTTTTGTTTGTGTGTTTTTTCGGTGTTGCATTCTCCACTATGTCGGAGAGATGTCCGATGATTACCGCCCGACGCTAACCGAACTCCGGGATATAGACTTCCCCGCCATGATTCCCCTATGGTGCATCCCCGTCGCCACAGTTACGGGTAACTGTCTCGTCATGAAGCCGTCGGAGCGGGACCCCGGCGCTGCCATGATTCTGGCCGAACTGGCCAAGGAGGCCGGGTTCCCGCCGGGCGTCATCAACATCGTCCACGGATCGGCCAAGACGGTCGACTTCATCCTGGATGACCCGGCCATCAAGGCCATCAGCTTCGTGGGCAGCAACCGCGCCGGCGAGTACATCTTCACGCGCGGGTCGGCCAACGGCAAGCGCGTGCAGGCCAACTTGGGCGCCAAGAACCACGCCGCCGTGCTGCCCGACTGCAACAAGAACCAGACGCTGAACGCCATCGTCGGAGCGGCCTTTGGCGCCGCGGGCCAGCGCTGCATGGCGCTCAGCACCGTGGTCTCCGTCGGCGAGACCAAGGACTGGCTGCCGGAGATGGCCGAGCGGGCCAAGGCGCTCAACGTCAACGGCGGCTTCGAGGAGGGTGCCGACCTGGGTCCGGTCATCAGCCCTGAGAGCAAGAAGCGGATCGAGGACTTGATCGCCTCGGCCGAGGAGGAGGGCGCCACCATCCTGCTCGACGGTCGTGGCTACACGCCGGAGAACTACCCCAACGGGAACTTTGTACGTTCCCCTTCCTCCTTCCCCCCTATCCATACTACCATCCCCATCATTACAACCTTATAATATCCACTCACTAACATAACCCCCAGATCGGCCCCACCATCATCACAAACGTCACCCCCTCCATGCGCTGCTACCGCGAAGAGGTCTTCGGCCCGGTCCTCGTCTGCGTCAACGTCGACACGCTCGAAGACGCCGTCGACCTCATCAACGCCAACGAGTACGGCAACGGCGCCGCGATCTTCACCAGCTCCGGCCCTACCGCATCCCGCTTCCAAAAGGACATCGAAGCCGGCCAGGTCGGCATCAACGTGCCCATCCCCGTCCCGCTCCCCATGTTCTCCTTCACCGGCAACAAGAAGAGCATCGCCGGCGGCGGCGCGAACACCTTCTACGGCAAGCCGGGCTTGCAGTTCTACACGCAGCAGAAGACGGTTACGAGTTTGTGGCGCGGGGAGGATGCCGTGAGCACTAAGGCTCATGTGAATATGCCGACGCCGTCGTAAGCATTTAGCTGGTGGTTGGTTTGCTTATATGCTACTTACTACTAACGAGTGATGGCTGGTTTAGTTTCAGATCTAGTTAGGAAAGTAAACTGGTTGTGAATAAATTGGCTTTCTTCTTTTTTTTTTTTTTGCCCGCTTTGGATTATGAGGATGATTAATTAAATGCTACTTATTACGTTTTAGTTGTCTCGGTATGAGGCTGTGCACACCGGGATGATCGCCATGTGATCCTATCTATCCTACCCCGGCTGAAAAACGAGGGGAACACCTCCGTTCACCCGGGATCCTTGTCCTTGATGTATGTTTTAATCCTACAATGATAACGAGTCTATGAGGGGCGTCTTTTTACTATGGACGTCGTTCTACGATGTATGTCGATCTACAGTACAATGTAGGTCAATCCTCGATAAATCTGATGGAACAATAAAAATATCATAGTTTCGTTTATTCATTTACAAGCCCACTCGTCTAGAGCTTCTTGCTGAAGCTATAGACAAGGCGCGCCATCTCGCACTTGCCGTCCTTGGCGACGACCACGCGACGGCTGTGGAGACGCTGGCCGTTGACGTTCTCGAAGCCCCAGACCTATTATCGTCATTAGCATCTGCACCAGAACCCGAAGGAATAAAACGAAGAAGGGAGGGAATGAAAGACATACCTGCTCCGCCGTCCACTTCTTCTCCTCATTCACCACGAAGCTCTGCAACCAAAGGCCCTCACCCTCGCCGAACTCCTCCGCCGCCTCAGTCTCAACCAGGAACCCCTCCGTCTCAGCGCCATCGGCAAGGATCTCACCGCGCAGGAAGCGCGAGACCTTCTCGGCGAGCACGGCGTCATCAACCTTGGTGTTGACGACGACAGCAGGGCGCACCTTGCCGTCGACGGACGAGCCGCGCAGGTAGCGCGACTGGCCGTCGAGCTTGCCGAAGACGTGGTCCTCGTGCAGGCGCTTCTCCCAGTCCGTGATGCGGGTCTCGGAGGTGCCGGGGATGCCGCCCGTTAGGGACTGGGCGATGTCGATCTGGTGGACGGTGGGCTTGGCGGGGTCGGGGACGACGTGCTTGACGGCAAGGGTGATGGTGGCCATGTTGAGGGCTTTGCGGGTCATCCAGCCCATGCCTTGCTTGGGGGGTGTTAGTTTTTTTTTTTTCATTATAATGTTTTGGGGGTTGAGGGGTGGGGGGTTGAGGGGTTGTTTATGGGGTTCTGAGGGGTAGACGTACCAGGGCGAGGATGGGCTCGGTAGGGTTGGAGATGGTTTTATCCTGATATTGTTAGTTTTGTATATTGATTATATTTGAATCAGTATGGACATACCATCACCCACTCTCCGGCGAGGTTCTTGATCGTGACGTCGGTGGGGGCAGCCATGGTGTAGTGTGTAGTGGGGTAAGGATAGGATAGGATATAGAGGGGTAAACAGGTAGACAGGTAGATTGGTATGGAGTAGACGGGTATACAGAGAATGTGTAAGGAAGAAAGTTGAAAGAAGAAAAAAAAGAAAGAGAAAGAAGAGGATTAAATAGAAAGAACGAAAGCGCGTGAATGTGACGGAGTCCAACGAGGAAATGTCGAACCAATAATGTCATCGTTTCTCCAGTTTCTTCTGCCCCGCGTCTTGGGTCACCCGAGGCTGTTGGCCTCACATGCATGTGGTGCCTGCTTCAGGGCCTTTCGGGGGGATTTCCAGGTACGTCAGTGGATGATTCGATCGGAGGATGTCACTTATTTCCTACATCTCCCATGAACCCCGTCTTTCTCCTGTTCCATGCATGGGTTATCATTCCGGGGTTTGCTTGGCGGAGGTCTATTCGCTACATGTATTATATTATATTAATCATTTTGTTTGAGTTGTTGATATAGGAGTGATTGTCTATATATGTATATATAAATCCCTTTCTAGATATAGAAATATAGGTAGGTAGCCAGAGAGGAGAGAGAGAATGAGGGGTATGAAAATGAATGTGTATTTATCCATATAAATCACAAGTATGATGACACCTCAGGCAGTACCCCTGGCACGTGGGCGCTAACCCATTCCATCCTAGCGCCACACATGACCACGACGTGTTGACCCCGTGATTCCCACCGCTTCATACTTCCTCTACTATCGCGACAGCTTCCTCACCATGGCGTTCAACAAGAAATATGCCGGTCTTCCTGACCTGGTATGTCCTTACATTGAACTCTGAACGATTCTCACTAACAGGAAAAGGACCTCGCCCCTGACATCTACGAAACTCCCGATCTCACCGACGATGCCTCCACCATCCAAGTAATCCACCACCCATCTAACCTCCCCTTTCACCACTCTAACATCACAGACACAAACTATTCGCACCACCTCCGACGATGGTGTCCCTTCAACCAACCCCGACATTGATCGTCAGCCCGTCAATGCGGACGCCGCCCGTGCTCACTTCCTCGGGGCCACCGTAGACGCCCGCGATGCCAACTTCTCCGACAGTATTGCGGCAAAGCGCCGCGCCTACCGCAGCAAGTCGCGTCGCCGCCAGCGCCGTACGGGCCCCAACGGGGTCGAGGAGGTTGGCGACCTGAGCGACAGTGAGGACGAAGGCGTCGAGCGGAAACTGGCGCGTCTCCGCCGCGAGGTTGAGGAGCTTAAGAATGAGATGGCCGCTCAACCGGACAAGGAACAGACCGGTCAATCCGAGACGCAGGAACAGGAAAAGCCCACAGACGATGGCATCCTGGAACTCAGCCGTGCCGTCGATGGCCTGTACGCGTCCGCACGGGGCGCCCCGCAAGCAGGCGGTGGCGCCGCCGCCGCCTTGGCCCAGAAATTATCTGGAGACAGTGCTCCCGAGTCATCTGCGCAGACCGCAGATGGCGCAGCCAACCACAAAGAAACTGCGGTGTCACAGGCAGCAGTGCCCGGTCCCGAGCCCGCGTCGGCGAGCGTGCTCGCCCACGCCGCCGCCTTCGACAGCCGCTTGGCCCTCATCGAAGCCGCCATGGGAATCAGCAGCGCCTCCAACCCCTTCCTCCCCACCGACTCAGAGCAGCAGCCGGCCCTGCAGCCTGTGCTCCCCACAATCGAGCACCTGACATCGCGCCTCGCCACCTTAACCACCACCCTAGTCGGCCCGAGCCCCGTCTCCGCCCTACCAACTACAACCCACGGCACGGCCTCCACAATCGCAACGACCCCACACCTCGAATCCCTCTCCACCCGCGTCCGCAAGCTCGCCGCCGACGCAGAAACCCTCGCAACGGCCCGCAAACGCGCCCTCGACACCGCCAAAGCCGCCCAAAACGCGCGCATCCCCCTCGACCCACCCTCATCCAACACCATCCTTGACCCCGACACCGACCCCACCTCCCCCAACCAACCCCCGCCTCCTCCTCCTCCTCCACAGCCGAAGTCCTCGACCCAGCCGCCGCCCAGCGCGACGAACAAGCCACCAAGATCCAAGCCCTCTACGCCACCCTCCCCACCATCCAATCCCTGCACCCGATCCTCCCCAGCGTCCTGGAACGCCTGCGCTCCCTGCGCGCCCTGCACGCGGGCGCGGCCCACGCCGCGGAGTCCCTCGACGCCCTCGAGCGCAGACAGGCGGAGATGGTGGGCGAGATTGCGCAGTGGCGCGAGGGTCTGCACGTTGTGGAGGAGAAGATGGGACGCGGTGAGGAGGCGCTGAAGGGGAATGTGGAGGTTGTGGAGCCTTGGGTGAGGGAGTTGGAGAGGAGGATGCAGGTGTTGGGAGTTGAGGGGGAGTGAGTAGTAGCTTGCATGATGCGTAATACCCCTTTTTAATTCTTTCATTTATCTATTTATCATTCGTTCGTTTTTGGGAACTACTTGGGCAGTTCAATTCATTGTGATGGTGCCAGCTAAGCACACTGTACATGACCTTGCCTTGTGGTGCAGCCATGATATTACCATCGAGAAGTTAGACATAGCAGATCCGGGTTAAAATAAACCCAGTATCCAACACCACACATACAAGGTTACAACCCAGATCTTATCAATGCAAGCTTATAATACAGACTCCCAAATTTATAATACATACAACCCAGCTTTATATTGCTACAACCCAGATTTCACAATGTATACAACCGAGATTGATAATGCTACAACCTAAATTTCAATGACTACTGCACCCCCCGTTTCAAAATCATAATCTTCGGCTGCATCCGCACCTCCATCCACCAACCACGCGTCACCCGCCGTCTAATCCAATCCCGAACACCTTCATAAACATCAACAGCGCGGGATCCCATCAACTCACGCAGAACGCGCTCTTCGACCGTACCAGCTGCTTCCTCACCAGGTTTGACGATGGCTACACCCGCGAACCCGTCCACCGTCTCTAGCGGTTCCCAGGGGCCCGAGGCAACCAGCCCAGGGTTAGTGTGCTGCTCGCCCGGCTCGACGAGGATGTAGTCGAAGGGAGACCAGAAGGCTGGATCTGCTTTGCGGGCTGGGTCCTCCGTCTTATCGTAGGACCAGGTGGAGCGGGCGTGGCGGAGGGCTGGGAGGCCTGCGCCGGCGGGGGCGGCCATGACGAGGCGTGTTTCCGTGGGGGGTTTCTGCAGGAAGCGGGTGATGCCTGTTTGGCAGGCGAGGTTGCCGAGGTGGACTGAGATGGCGGGTTGGGTGTTGTGGGCGTTTGCGTGGAGGGTGCGGAGGGCGGTGGCGCCGGGGTAGTTTGCTGCAGAGGCGGGGAGGAGGATGAGGTTGGAGAGGAGGAAGGAGGCGAGGGTTGAGGCGATGAGGGCCAGCGAGAGGAGTCTGTTGAGGGTGGTTTTGGCCCGGCGGGTCCAGATGTAGGAGGCGCCGAGGGCGGATGTCGCTGTGAGGGGGGGGATGGCGTAGAGGATGAAGCGCCATTCTTTGTGGGGTTGGGTGCTGTAGAGGGCGATGAAGGCGAGGGGTGGGAGGAGGATGTAGGTGGCTGCGCTGCGGGTGGCGGGCTTTTTGAATGCGTAGGGGAGGCCGATGAGGTAGGTGAGTGGGTTGAGGAGGAGGCGCGGGAGGGCGTTGGTGAAGTAGAAGTGCCAGGGTTGAGTGCCCCAGGCGGCGGCGTGGCCTGAGACTACGTTGAACTGGAAGGCGGATAGCTCAGGCCAGAGCGGGAAGCGTTGCCAGAAGAAGGAGTCCACGCCGACGGTGCAGGCCAGACCGACGAGAACGCCAAGGAATCCCGCGGGGATGATGTCGCGGACGATGTCAATGCGACCGGCGCAGAAGAGCGCGATGGTTGTGGTCGCTAGGAGGAGGGCCAGCTCCGAGCGGAAGATGATGCCCGCGACAGTGAGGAGGAAGAGGGCTAGACGGCACCGTCGCCAGTAGACGCGGGGCGCCACGGGCTCGGGGAGGATACATCGCAGGGCTACCGTCGCGATGCCAAAGGCGAACATGTTGGAGAGGGTGCGCGAGGCGTAATAGATCACATGGAACTGGCTGGCCTGGAAGAGTAGATACCAGACGGCGGTGGTCTGTCCGAAGGCGCGACGCACGCCAGAGGCGAATGACATTAGGGCGAACGAGTTAGCAATCCCCAGGATTGCGCGTGCTATACACGTTAGATCTGGGGTATTCGAGGTCGTAACAGGAGCAGGGCATACCCAGCCATTGTCGATCGATACCGGCTTTCAGGTCGATCCACGGCCGCGACAACCCCGACAGGGCGACAGCGCCAACAAAGGTCCGCGGCACGGCACCTGGAAAGGAGAAGTGATCATATTCGGAGCGGAGGGTGTCGGCGACATTGCGAGTGGGAATGCCCGAGTGCAATAGGTCATGGACAGCCTGGATGTGGAAGGATTCCTCTACCTTGGTGTAGGGGGCGACGGAGAGGTGGAACAAGACGAGGACGGGAATGGAGAGAAGCAAGAGATACCAGACTAGATAGTTAGCATGTGGGTCTATAATTGGAAAATCAATACTTACCGATATCCCTGCCCATGATGAAGAGTTGATGAAGCAGGAGCGAAGTAAAGGAAGAAGAGCAAAGTAAATACCGATGGAAGGATAAGTTATCGACACCTGATTGATAGAGACCGCCTTAGGTTCCCCACACGCCAATCTGTCCACCATCATCATCGTCAGCTCCGGCTTCATCTCCTTCTTTCTCCCTCCACTCCGCCTCCTCCTCCTCCTCCTCCTCTCCCACCACTGTCAATCCCACAAGATGTTTTTCTTCGGGCTTGGGAAGCTCGTCTATGCGTGAGTCTACCCGTTGTATCTAATTTCTGACCAGCTCACTCACTAACCGACCACTCACCCGTTAGAGCTATCCTCCTCACCAACGCTATTGCAGTCCTCTCCGAAGACCGCTTCCTCGCCAGGAGTATGCCCCCCATTCTATCCCAAGCACGACAATCCGGACTTAGGAAAATAAACTAACGCTCCCATTTCTCTACAGTCGGATGGGGTCGCACCCAGGCTGACCCAGCCTTCGGCGCGACATACGACAACTCCAGCGTGAAAGCAAAGACAGTCAATTTGATCGCCAGCATCCGGACCCTAATGCGAAGTATGCTTCTTGCTTCCTTTCTCTCTTTTTCATATCCATATTCATATATGTGCATACATATATATCACTCTATCTCCAGACACGATAACTAACGAACAAACCCACAGTACCCCTAATCGTGATCAATACCGTCATCATCGTCTATCAGCTAATCCTCGGGTGACCGCATCTCATACCTGCCTCGACTGATCCTGCCCGCGGATTGCTGCGGCTGTTCTTATCTTTCCAAGTCCCCGTCTCGCAAAATCGCCGGTTGCATCCTGTGGAGCCTATCTTCATCCTCCTCCCTTCCTTCCTCTCCACACTTCGATCGACCGTACCGACTGGGGGGAAGAATAGCGCAATGTCAGAAGAAATCTACGAGACGATGGGTCGAGGGAACAGGCTACAAACAGACGGACGGGCGGACGGGCGGATGGGCAGACAGGCAAGCTAGCTAGCAAGCAAGCAAGCGCAGCAGGAGGAAGACGACGACAATGATGAAGAAGCTGCGGTCGGAAGCTGGCTGAGACCGCGTCAGTGACTTGGGTCTCTCTTCCACCGCGGGAATATTGTTGCGACGGCAACTTGCATACTGTGATTGATGCGGTGTTCTCATGTATTTACTACTACCTTACTATTTATTACTACTTACTACTTTCTGCTATATTGACACTGTGCGCACTACCTGGGATAGATATCTTTTAATAAAATCACTACATAAACCGCCTATCTACCAATTGTAGAAGCCTAAGTTGATGGATTTCCAGTGGTTCCAGTGTAATAAACAGACCTTTATGCGCGGGATGGATCCTATGTATATGTGATACTAGTGGCTATAAATGGTAAAATCCACTGTCCATAGAACATTTGACGTAGAGACGAACCTCGAGTGCTAATATACGCTATTCCGCATGAGACAAAGTTCTGTATTTTGATCTACATATGTTTCACAGGATTGACTTCTCTGGACGAAATGATCTAGTACTTGAGTGAATCATGGTATCCTATGCTCAATACCTATTATGCAGGTCATCTGTGCCCCAAAGCTTGGTAACTCTCAATCATCCTAGGCTTTGTCATTTCTGGCGATATACTACATCTTCAAGAATCTAGACAGCGGGTGGCTCAGATAAAGTTCGCGAATATCTGTTTCTATAGAATGACCTTGATCTTTCCAGTGTCAATCTCTGATATTGTACAGATCTACAGGTCAATGTGTCAGTGCGTTTAGGTATAACCATAACCTGGAGGTTAGAAAGTTCATTCTGCTATCTCCAAGTCCCGAGTCTTTCTAACGTATCCTTCAACGCTTGAGTACTAGTTAGTACTTACACTGATATCTGTTATGACGGAGAAATTCAATTGATATGACAGCGTATATTATGACATGTGAATTAGTTTGATACAGTACATCATTATCAACACAGAAAAGACTTTTCAACATATTATTACCCGGAGAGACAAGTATGCTTCCGGGTCATGTAGAAGAATCTTTCCATCACCTTGACAAATGAATCGACAATGACTGTTAACCACCAAATTGGAAATAGATCATCTTCATTCGCGGTCTGGCCATCTGTTTATTCCTGCCAGACGGCGTGAGCCAGTCTTCAGCTTGTCCGGCCTATATCACTTCGGAGGCAAAGGCTTGGTAACGCGCAAAGCAATATATGGTTGATGGTTATTAGGCAGAGCATGGCTGCCAACTTTCCTCCCCCAGAGATAATACTCCATATGGCGGCTATAGGTAGCGAAGCCACCCTTGACCCCCAGCCCATTGATATCGGCTTCACCAGAACCGCGTCCCTTCATCAGATTCTCCAGATAAGTAGTCGCCTGCGCAACAACATCATCCGAGACATCGCCCAGACTCTGGGAGAACTTCGCCAGCTGAGCCTGGACCTGCTGGGTAACCCAGCCTGCGACACTTCCTGTGGGAATGGAGATGAGAAAGGTAAGGACGTCGCCTTCGTTGATGAGATCGCCCCAGACGACTTCCCACCCGCCGGCTGCGATATCCGCTCGCACTTGGTTGCGGTTGGTTACTTCTTTGCCGGAGGTTCTGCCCATGGTTGGATGAAGGTTGATGGATGGGATGTTTTAGTGAGATGATGGTGTGATGATTCCTTGTTTGATCTCCATCTCTCTTCTGCTCGAGTTCAGAACAAGCTGTCTTCTTTTATAGCTGTACAGGAGTACTAATGACGTTAGAAACTCCTTTCCTCAAGCTGCCCACCATGAGTCTAGAAGACAACTGACGTTTGTACTTCCATCACAATCGGAAATCAGACCCAGCCCAGCCCCAGGCTGAATCTGGGTATATGGAGTCATGCGGAAGTCTACTGATATGACCCAATTTCGAATACTTCTTTCCAGCTCTTTGTTTCCCGAGTTAGTTCATGGTGCAATACAATTCCGGCATAGCCACCTACCTACTTGGCTAATAGCTTAAGCCCTCGTCGGGAGCCATACGTAATGACGGAGTGTGTACAATCAGTTTATGGGTGGAAATCTCATTCGATCAAGACCTACAGGCCAGGCCAGGCCAGGCTCCGGGGGGGCGGGTCTGGGAATCCCAATACCTAGAAGGTGGCGGGTCTAGATCAAGGGGACCGGGAGGGGAGGTGCATGTCGGGTGAGTGTCCGTTCCATGGGTCGAGATTGTTTGATCCTTTGTGACGGAAACCTTAACAGACAACTTACATAGCTGCAACAATGCAAGGGTTTTCCCATGGCTGATGCATTCAATGTGTCCAATAAGACGCCTAGGAACACGAAGCCACAGGATACTGATGACCTAGGGGGATCAAGGCCTCTCTGCGCTCCAACGGCCGCCAGATATACAGGAAGTCTTCCCTGAACGCTGGTTCTAGGCCCTGGGTATCTACCATACCATGGACATACAAAGCGCTGTATTTTTACCGGTATAGCAACAAACGGTTAATTAGACTAGTCTGTTCATTACTCTTGAAGAGGTTGGTAACCTTCAAACAGGATTGCATACACTTCCTTCGTCCTAATACCGCCCGGACAATCACAATCACATAGATATATATACCAATCGACCCATCATGCAACACAGCGAAGCCCGTCTGTCTGTCTGTCTGTCTGCAGTGTAGTGTAGATATATAAGTAATCACACACATCTAGTCCAATATAAAATTCTAGTATAATCTTTTAAAGGAAAAAAGCCTACCTCCCAGAACGATCACAATCAAACCTCTTCTTCAAATCAAACCGATATCTAAACTCGGTACAAATCAATCACAACATAGAAAAGAAGGTAGAAACAAAACAAAATAGAATAAAAGACATGTCACCCAACCAACGCCGCTGTTTGCCTAGCTTGTGACCCAGGCACGGGTATCACAATATGGATCAGGTATAGAAAACAAGATGAAAGAAAACATGGAGAAAAGAAAGGTAAAAGGGAAGGAAAAAGGAAAGGGAAAATAACAACGAATGAAAAAGTAAACAACAAACTGGACCAACCAGGCCCATGGCTCAGAGAAACAAGCAAATCGATGCATAGATGGAAGGAAGATAGAAGGAAATGCCAGACGGCAAAGAGGGGGAATTGCATCGGTCAGCAAAATAACGACCAGGTCAGGGATAGAAATCTGAACAAGAAAAGAAAAAGAAGAAGAAATTGATGATACATCAAAAGTATGTACGACAATGCGTGGTCATATGTGCAAAGGCAAGTCGTGTCCCACGGCCAGTTGCTCATGAAAGAGCGCTGAAGGACTTCTTGCGAAGACTGAAGCTCCTCCATTTGCCATGGCTGCGGGGTGCGTGTTTGAGGTCCTTGTTGTTCTTAAGGCCATCCCGGTCCTCTTCGTGGCTGGTGTTTTTCTTGGACTGGAGCTTCGAGCGATGGGGCTCACTGGGCGACGCCGGTGATTTCTGGGGAGGCGGAGACGGCTCGGGGATCCCGTTGCTAGGCGATGATGGATTCTCGCTGATGACGGCCCCAGCTGTCGAGCTTCGCTGATTCTCCTTGTGGTTGCCTAGTCGGTGGCTGACGCCACGCCTGAGGCGACTGAGGCCGCCGGATTTGCCGTGGTCGGGATTTCGCCGGTCCTCTTCCGCTTTGGAGTGTCGGCTTTCTTCCATGGCGGCTTTCATTTGCGCTTCCTCGCGTCGGTGGTCTTCCCGCGCTTTTGCTTCCTGTTCCCGGGATCTCGCCTCGTGCTCCTTGCGGCGTTGCTTCTCTCGCTCCTTTTCGGCTATCCGCCGTTCCTTTTCTTCTTTGGCCCGCTCCTTTTTCGTCTGGAGATCGCTCTTCTTGGTTCCTAAAGTAAACGCATGGCTCTCCGGGATGGGGGGAACGGGTGGCGCGGGGGTGGAGGACGAGAACCGTGTCTGGGATTTAGTGGGCGACTTCTCCTTCTCCAGCTCGACGTGTTCGGGGTGGGTGGACAATGGAGGGGCGGAGGGTGCCCGACTCAAGCCTGTGGGTCGGATGGGTTCGTCCTGCGAGTGGATTGCCGATTCACTGTGGACATGAGCCAGGCCCGGTGACTGGGGAAACCCGTTCTGTTTTGTCGAGTCGGCGGCGGCTGCACCGGCGGCCGACTGCATATTCTCCATTTCTTGCTCCTTGAGAACGGCCTCCAAGGTAGTCTCCTGATAGAACAGCACGTAGGCACAGGCCAGGCCCGGCTTATCGCCAAAGAAATTGCGGACAAAGTTTTTGTCCACCGGCTCGACCATCTCATCGTCAAACAGCAGCCACCCTCGATCCTGCGTTTTGATGATGGCGACGTAGTGGCCGTGGTACGGCCCACCGCCGATGTGCACCACCACCGCGTACAGCTCGTAGAGTCGGTCCGGGTCCTCGGCGTCGTCCGTCGTGTTGAAGAGGCGCAGGTGGTAGGGGTAGACTACCCGGTGGAACAGCTTCTGCAACCGCTGCTGATCCTCGGTGTATTTGAAGCGTTTTAGGTGCAAGGCCAGAATTCGGGGTAGACGCTTGATCTTCATCCGCTTCTCGGCCTCCTGAAGACCTCCACAATTGTCGCAGTGGAATTTGTTCCGTTCACAGAGCATCTCTTCCGCGGAAAACTTCCGCAGACACGACGTGACGGACGAATGCTGCTCCAGGTCCACCGACAGATCCAGGAAGATCTCGTCCCGCTGAGAAACCTTCTCGCAGGTCAGACACTGGGTCTCCGAGGTCAAGGTCCCCTCGAACAATTCATGTACCCATCGAGTGGTGTTGGGGGTTTTCGACCCGGAGCTCCCCGATTGTTCGATCGAGTCCACACTCTCTGTCGGCGGAAGGAGACTCCTGTCGGGCAAGGGTTGCTTGGAGGCTTCCGTCTCCACATTGGCCACGACTTCGTTCAGTAGTAGATTCAGGAACTCGTGCGCATCCTGATGCATGGCAGTCCGGAACATCTCGTTCTCCCGTCGCAGTATATCCAAGAAGCGTTGGGGCTTGATGATCCCGATGCGAGACTGACTCCCGACCACCGACTCAAAGATATCCTTCAGTGATGTAAACAGTGACTCCGACATCCCGTAGCTGGTAGCGTTGTTTTTGGTTTCTAAGATGGGCATGGTCTGCAAGGCCATCTTTTTTTTGTACTCAGGCGAGTCCTTGTCCTCGGGCTTGGAGGGCTGGGCGGGAGGCGCGCCGGGGCGCTGGGCGTTGGCGGCCTTCTGCTTCTCCGCTTGCGCCTCGGCTTCCATGTTAGCGATCGCATCCTGGAAACGAAGATTCCCGGCCAATGCGGCTTGGAGGCTCTCGATGGGGGTTCGGGTCGGGTAGTTAATCACGGCCTCCCGGAAGGGCACCGAATAGTAGAGACATTGTAATATTGAGTTGCAGTAGCTATCGCGGCACATCGTCAGTTCCACGTCGGTCGCAGCATCTATGCGACACCATGCAAAGAGCTTACCAAGTATTCCCATACTGCGAAGAAGAGCAGAAAATCAGTATCGCGCCTCATATTCTGGCGACAGGGCTCCCACTTACATTTTCCATCCCAAAAAACTTATCGCTGCCATCTTCCCGGATCGCACTAGAGTCCTGCAGCATCTTCTCCAGCGGGGTCATCGGCGGCGGTTGAACTTCCTTTTTGGGCGGAGATGCGCCGGTGGCAGCAGGCGTGGAAGAAGCCTGGCAGCAGTTAGCGACTGTCAGCGACATCGATCATCTCCAGCGGTCGCCGTCGCTCGGATCGCCCGCATGCGACGGCGGCGACACTCTGCGAGACGGTGGACAAAGCGACCGGCTCAAACATACCGGATCCTTCCGGGACTTGAGCTTCAGAAAAGACCCCATCGTTGTCACGGAATATCTTGTAGGAGACCAACTTCATCTGGTAACTTCGGGGGGGGAAAGACGCGGACGTCCGGACGGGGCGAGGTGTGTGTGAGTTGTTCAGGCAACACGCCAGCGGCCAACTCCACCGTCGCAGACTTGCAGAATCGACTCGTAGACTTGCAGGTTGGCAGGTTTCGGTAGGCGAACGAACGGAGAGCGAATTGACGGAGAGCGAATTGACGAGGAAAGGCGGCGGGCGAGAGTTGAGGGAGGGGGGAGAAGGAGGGCGAGGTGTTTGGAGGACAAGCAAGGAACAGGAATTAAGAGGCCGCCACCATAACCAGAAAGTTTTAGAACCGCGGATCCGAGAAGGAGAACCAAGAGAGGCGTTTAGGCAAATTGGATGAGCGAAGAATGGAACGGAACGTGAACGGCCGGCGGAGTCGAGATGTGGAGGCGGCCACCGGTACCTGGAATGGTCGAGAACCAGAATGGGTTGAGAAGGAGAGAAAGGAGTTCGATGGGAGGGTGGGGATTGGGGATAGCAAAGGAGTGAGAGAGGCAAGCAGTGAGACAAGAGAGGAAGAGGGAGAAGGAGATAAAGAGGAGAGAGTAGAAGTTAAAGATAAAGTGAAGCGTTGAAGGTTAAAGGGAACAATACTGAATCGATGACTGAGGGGATCAACTCATGAGAGAGTCAGACAGGACTCCGTACTCTTAATACTGGTCTGGCAAAGTACTGAACAGTAACTGCGCCGCAAACCCGACTGGTTCAGGTACATTCGGTATGGATGGTGTATGTATTGAATGGTATCCACCGGGCGGGGACCCCAATTAAGAGGGGGAATTATAGGGGAGACTAGAGAGAATGGGCTGGGAATACAATACCATTCAGTCTAGACCATACCTGACCGTACCGTACGGTATTGGGGTGGTCCGAGCGAGTTGTCTTTATAGTATGGTTGAATGAGGGGAAGTACAGTATCTAAGCCTCTCTTTCAGGATATGATGGAGGATATCGTCATTCTTTATACCATTGCAGATAAACCTGAATGGAAACAATTTTCTGTACGACGAGGGGAAGAGCTTACAATCCATGCTGATATGGAGGGGTTCAACAAAGTAAGCATCGAGAGTAGAGACAAAGAAGATCTCAGGCTGACGTCTCTACTGAGAACAGTGGAGAGAGTCCTGCGCTAGTTCTGGAAGAACTCAACTCTCTGTCCCCACCACCATCGTGGGCTGCGCCATTTCTTTGGTTCGATACCCTGACCTCATGGACGGTTGCCTGCGGAATCTTCCACGACCGGTCTCTTGAAGGACAAATGCAACCAGGACTCGATGACCTACATGAGAGAAATTCCACATTACACGGACCTGTCTGACCATGGTCGGTATACTATAGGTCGGTTGATTTAGGATAGCGTCAGATACACACAAGTCAGATACAAGAACAAACGAACAACTACGGAGTAGGAAAGACGCAGCTACTTTGGACACGGTTACCATCCGATTCCAAGCCCAATCTAATCAGATTAATAACGAGGTTCACTATGGTCAGAAGCGCCAGGGTTGCATCCATCTGGATCAATGGGTCGTTGGGGCGTCTCTCCCATTCGTTGCCATCACGCTGGCGATGGCTTAGCTCTGTACGAAAGAGTCAAATGGGAGGGGGGAGGGTGCATTGAACCCGACTCAGCACATCCAACCGCAGCACGATGCGCATTCCCACTCTCCCCGCCGATCCAGTCTGCATGAGAACGCGATGGGGTTCTTTTTCGGGCAAATTTCTCGAGCGGGTGCATGATCTGGTCACCCTTCTCTCACCGTTGGGGCCCCACGATCGCGGCATCTGTCTTTGACTAATACCGATCGAGCACTTCCTTGGAGTCTTCCCTGCGTGATTTTACCACGCCAGTATCGTCCGTCGTCTTGGCGGCGGCTCCGTCTCGGGGAATAAACAGACATTCGACGCTGGAGCGGCATGCAAGGCGTTTTCTGCTTGATACGATGGTGATGATGACCATTGTATCTTCCAGGAGCTGAGCTGACTCATGGGAAGGTTTTATCGACCAGGATACACAGTAGATTCTGGATATACTCCGATCCATTCCCAGCCGTATATTTAAACCCCACCCGTATTTCTCCAGAGAACTCAATACTCGAGGTATCCATACCGGTTCGGGCGATGCGATTTATTACAGCGAACCACGTGGAAACCCCGGGATGTTCAGACGGGCGTGTGCGCAACTGCGGCCAATCGTGTATTTTACATGACGGAACCCAGATCCACTAAATTCCGACCATCGACCATGACTGACAGACTCAAACCACCCTAGCTTGATCACAGAGATGATTGACACACAGACGTGGGTACGACCCGAGCGAATCACATTGATTTTATTAATTCAGCATGGCCACTGAGGTCAAAATAATACAGTCCAAAGCAGTGTGGCGTGGTTGGACAGCCCCTCGTTTTCGGCCGACGCTATGACAAGACCATACCGGTTCATACGAAGGATGTGGCAGGAAGCCTACGAGACAAGGCATGATACGACCCAACAACCCTTTCCAAACACTCTGATCGGGTAATCAGCATCGATATAGGTAGGGTGATTGGGCTGAAAACATGCGAGGCTGATACTGTATGTTTTACATTCCACATGCGACCCCTTCCTCAACGTGCACAGCAATTCTAAAGATATCCAGGTGACACTGCAGACAAACAGTCCTGCAGGGTGAGACTCTGAGATAAGCCGGGTGGCGGCCAAACAAGCTCATCTGATCCCCTTCCACAGGAGGACTGTCGAGAAGGAGAGAACGTGGGACAGAACACAAGAGACAGCGATGGAGAAGATGAAACTCCACCATTTCCGTCCAGAACATGTGACTTGCCCTCCCATCCAGCCCTAATTCCGATTCGGGACACGGAACCGGTCAAACATGCCAAAAGGAGGAAAGCGCCGGAAAGGGAGAGAGACCAGACGTGGCACGGGATTTGCCGGTTCAGGTGTCGAGATTGGTGTTTTCGTTGCGAAAAAGTGTCTTTTTTTCTATATTTTTCTTCTTGTATACCTGACGTGACTCATCCAAGGTCAAGGTGCCCTCCCCTTGAATGAAACCCTCACTTCCATCTGGTCTCCTGCGCTCTTCACGAGTCTCTCCCGCCTGGCGCATCTCCCGCCTCTCAGTCGGCATCCAAAGAAATCTTCGGACGCCTCTCGAGAACCCCACTATCCCCCACTACGACCATAGACTCCGCCGCCACTATCTTTCTTCGTCCGCGTCTCGTCCGTTTTCCTCTTCCTCCGCCTCTCACAACAATCCGCCGCTAGACACAATGGGCAAGGATAACAAGGTGTCGTTCAACCTCAAGACCCCCAAGGGCACCAAGGACTGGGCCGGGTCGGACGCCCTCCTCCGCGACCGCATCTTCACGACCATCGCCAACGTCTTCAAGCGCCACGGCGGCACCGCGCTCGACACGCCCGTCTTCGAACTCCGCGAGATCCTCGCCGGCAAGTATGGCGAGGACTCCAAGCTGATCTACGACCTGCAGGATCAGGGCGGCGAGATCTGCTCGCTGCGCTACGACCTGACGGTGCCGTTCGCCCGCTGGCTCGCCATGAACACCGACGTCCGCAGCATCAAGCGCTACCACATCGCCAAGGTCTACCGCCGGGACCAGCCCGCCGTCAGCAAGGGCCGCATGCGCGAGTTCTACCAGTGCGACTTCGACATCGCTGGCCAGTTCGACCCCATGGTGCCCGACGCGGAGATCCTGCGCATCGTGACCGAGGTCTTCGAGGAGCTCGGCTGGCAGGGCCGCTACGGCATCAAGATCAACCACCGGAAGGTGCTCGACGGGCTGTTCGAGGTCTGCGGTGTGCCGCAGGATAAGATCCGGCCGATCTCGAGCGCCGTCGACAAGCTGGATAAGATGCCGTGGGCGGAGGTGCGCAAGGAGATGGTCGAGGAGAAGGGCCTCGACGGGGAGGTGGCCGACCGCATTGAGAAGTACGTCAACCTGAAGGGCGGCCGGGATCTGTTGAACTCGCTGCTGCAGGACGAGGCGTTGGTGGCCAATGCCTCGGCCAAGGCGGGTCTCGACGACATGGGCTTGCTCATGGATTATCTGGATGCGTTTGGCGTGCTGGACCGGATGTCTTTTGACTTGAGTCTGGCGCGTGGACTTGACTACTGTACGTCTTTGAACCCCTGTGTTCATATTGATTGGCATACACATGTCTAGGCATACATACTAACGACTAACGACCAGACACCGGCGTCATCTACGAGATCGTCACCGAAGGCTCCGCCCCGCCAGCGCAGTCAGCGGAAGAGACCCCGAAGCCCAAGTCTAGCAAGAAGAGCAAGAAGGGCAGCAACGGCGACGACGACGACCGATCGAACGACCCGACGGTGGGCGTAGGCAGCGTGGCGGCCGGCGGCCGCTACGACAACCTGGTAGGCATGTTCCAGCCCAAGGCACAGATCCCATGCGTGGGCGTGTCGTTCGGCGTGGACCGCATCTTCTCCATCACCAAGGCTCGTCTCGAGCGGGAGCAGAGCGCGGACGTGCTCCGCAGCAGCGAGGTGGACGCGTTCGTCATGGCGTTTGGCGGGAAGGGATTCACGGGGATGTTGAAGGAGCGGATGAGCGTGTGTCAGGGTTTGTGGAATGCCGGACTTAAGGTACACCCTTCCCTCTTTTCCTTCTTATACTTTCTCTTTTCAAATCAAGCTAATACTGGTACAGGCCGAATTCTCTTACAAAGTCAAGCCCAAACTCCCGCAGCAATTCAAAGCCGCCGAGCAAGGCGGCGTGCCCTTCGCGGTCATCTTGGGCGAGGACGAGATGGCCGCCGGCAAGGTGCGCATCAAGGAGATGGGTCTGGAAGACGGACACCCGGAGAAGGAGGGCGTGCTGGTTGATCTGACGGCACTGCCGACGGAGCTGAAGACGCGACTGGATGCGAAGAAGAGCGTGGCGGGGGTGACGCAGCAGTTGGAGGAAGTTACTGTTTAGATAGACAAAAATACCCTAGATCACTATACAGTTAACTATACAGTTAAACTGACTACATATTATATAGTAAGCTGTAAGACTGTTATCGACCTGGTGTATACGTATGATCTGTGGCAATCAACAACTAGGAGGTATAGTAGACTATGACGTCCAGCCCTAATACTGTCTGTACCGTCAAGTCCAAACCAGGATGGAAAATCCTAGATAAACACAGCCACGATGCATGACGCACTCACTCCGCCACCACCCCTGTCAACATTTGTGGACTATTCACTCTTCTCTGCCTATATGTGTGTATCTACTTGTTTCTCCTGTAGAGTGGCGTGTGCATACATAAGTCTTACTTGACTAGAGTAACCGTTAGTAAACAACATAACATAGCCAGGTTAATAGGATATATCTCTGATTTATATATAATATAAAGTCTATATAAACAACCAGGCCCTTCCCTGCTGATCCCACAGCCTTATACCTAGTCCGTCCGTCATCTTCATCCTTTGATCTTCCTCCTTATACTATACTATAGATTATTCACGATCTGATTCGTCTCTATTTATATACTTCTACTCAGCCTTTCTTCACCTTTATCATCTTACTCTTACTCTTACTCTCACATCTTTACACTAGACCCCTCCTACTCTCATACTCTCTCTCTTCAATCTAAACCGATTCAACCTAACAAAATCCTCCATACTATACTACCTGGATATACGACCACCATCCAAATGTCCCCCTCACCATGCAAACCCCAACACAAACCAACCACAGCCACCACCATCACATCTCACCCCAAACATAACACAACCACAAACAAAGACACCGACACAAGTACAACCCTCAGCGCCAACTTCGCCCACCCCGCCAAATCCCCATCCCCACCTCCCCCCAGCCAGCCTCAACAACAACCTCCCCCCACAACAATCGACTACGACCACGAAACCTACCTCCAGCTAGTAGCCGACGGGCACAAGACTCCTAATCAGGTTTATCGGGAGGTGTGTCTCCCCATTCTCTTTCTCCTTGCTGTACTGCTTTACTTTGTTGAATGTATTGTATTGTCGTGTTGTGGTTATATATATATATCTAATATATTAAATACAATATGAAAAAGAAACGACATGCTAATAATAATAACAGGAACGAGCCCGCCACCGCACCTCCCGCTCCCTAGACCCAGCGATCATTTCCGATCCGCGCGGCGAGCCGAGTTCGATTGATTTTGAGTGGGCGGAGGAGAGTCAGCGTCGGAGTCAGGGTCAGACTCGGTGTTAGTTAGGGTCAGACTCAGCAGTCGAGGGATGGTTCGTCTGTCGAGCTAGTACTCCGTACTTGGTCGTAGGTTGCCTGGTTGTTTGTGGTGCTTTTGTTTGGCTGGTCTGGGGTGTCTTGGTTAGACAGAGTATTTCCTCACAGGGAGGATAGAGGACTTCTACGGGAGAGAAGGATAGAACATCCTACAAAGAGAAGATAATATAGAAGAATACGATATCATAATAAGTCGTATAATGCATACCATTCTGGAGAATACTCATATCCCATGCTCTACATCATCCACATCCATCTCCGCCACAAATCTCTCCCACGTGTTCAGCACCCCCTGGTAAAACTCAATCTGCTTCTCCGCCAGCTGTCCCAGCGTGTCGCGGAACTCCACCGCCTTGATGCGCTCAAAGTCCGCCACCTCGCGGACCACCTCCTCGTCGAACATCTCCGACGTCGTGCGCGCTGACTCCACCTCGCGCGTTAGCTCGTCGATGCGGAGCTCAAGCTTACGCACCCGCTCGCGCCGCGACTGCTCGTGGTCTACCCCGCGCATGTCTTCCATTTTGGACCGGATGAACGACGCTGGGGAGGACGTCAGTGGGTTGGAGGCGTAGTACGACGAGGGGTTTGTGGCGAGCGAGTCGCGCTCTGCGACCGCTTTGTTGCGGTAGTCGACTAGCGCTTCGAAGTCGAGCTGCTTCTGCTCGCGCGTCTTGAGGAGTGATTTGACCGACAGGATGTAAGCCGCCATGTCACGCAGCGACCCCAGGTAGTTCTGGTCTGTGTGCTCCTTGAGATTCTTCAGCCCCCGCGCTGTCTCCTCCACCGACGCCGCGAACACCTGCAGTGGCACCTCGACGTCCGGCTCCAGCTTCACCAGACTGCGGAACTGCGTCGCCAGCTCGTTGTAGTCCGTCTCCAGATCCGCCTCGCGCCGCGCCAGCCGCGCCACGATCTTCTCCACGTGGTTGAGATCCTCGTCGAGTTTATCCGCCTTCTCCCGCACCTCGATGAACCGCTGGTCGGGCTTGTGCACCTTGGTGAACGCATTGACAAAGGTGTCGGTGAAGTTGTCGAAGATGCCGGGCACGCCGCCGGTACCGTCCGCCGCGGTCGACGAGGTGCGGGACGACCGCAGCCGCATGTGCGCATTCCAGTCGGGCGACTCGAGGAACACCGCCAGCAGCGGAGCCCGCCGAAGCACAGGATGCAGCGTCAGCCGCTTGAGAAAACGAGACAGCGACCACGCGCGGCGGGTGGTAAATTCGGTCCCGAACCGGTCCCCCCGCACATATTCCATCTTGTGCTTCTCCGGCAGCGGCGGGACCGCACAGGCGGGATATTCGCGGTACAGGGTCTTGTAGAGGAAATAAAAGTCCGTAAATCGACGTCGCACGGCAAAATCGGATTTTTGAAACGACTTGAAGTCGGTCTATTGCGGTCAGTCAGCCCTGGACAATTTCTCGATGGCCAGCTGCTTGCTAGGCAGCCGTATACCCGCGAGGCCCCGACTGGAGGGGAAAGAATAAAGACAGGTGAGAATGAAACCTACATGTGTCGTAACCAAATAAGAGATATAAGCATCTTTAGTCCCATCATTCTCCTTCAGCGGCGAATCCACCAGGCACTCAAGCGACCCGTCCCCTATTCCCGCCAGATCCACAGCGTCGGCCAGCGGACCAGCCTGAGGGCTTTCCTCGGCGGAGCTCATCCTCCGCTTGCCATTGGCATCATGATGATACTCTGGGGCCTCTTCGGCATCGGTTCCGGAGGTGGTTGGGCGGGAGAGATCGCTGTCGGGATCGTGTCTCCAGGAGACGCTGTCGAAGTCGTCGTGCTGATCCATCAATTCGAGGGGGGGCGGGGCTGTGTTGCCAGGAACCACGATGTCAATGTAGGGAACGTGGGAGGGAAAGGTCGGGTTGTGAGAAATAATCGAAGCGAATCAAGAGTGGGACTTAAATAGAGACTAAAAAGGGATTAACGATGGTAGAGGATTGGTGAGTGCAAGGCAGACAATGCGGAGGCTGAAGTAGTTGGAAAGTGGAGTTCCTGTTCTGTTCCCGATGGAGAAGCAACAGCGTCATTGCGCCAAGACCACCTGACCTCATTCTCCGTTTTCTTCGTAGAGTTACTGCTTCCGTAACAACTGTAAGACTCTTATACAACCAGACTGGCTTCTAAATCATCTCATATGCCAGGTGCAGCACTGTTCATACGTCTATCTATATATACACGTCTTACTCCGTTCCCACCACATGCGACATGAAGAGAAAGATATACTCGCAATCCCATCATGAGAAAAAAAAAGAAAAAGAAAAAATAAAGAGAAGAGAAGAAAAGAACCAAGAAAAATATCGCGACAGACAAAATCCCCGTCTATGTATTACCGACCGTGCTCTCCATGCCCGTGGCTACCCTCCTGGTCGTCACTGGCGGCCCGATCCCGGTAGGGCTCGTCGTCGTCCTCGTCGCTAAACAGCGGCTCCTCATCACTCTCCCCAGCAAATGCATTGTAAAGTTCGCCGCCACGACGCTGGGTGGTACCGGGCTTGCCAGCCATCTGCATCTCATCCTCGTCCTCGATCATCTCAAAGTCGTAGTCATCGCGCGGGTCGTTCCGCTGGCGGTTCCGCCGTTGCACGTTGAAGTAAATGCCCAGGCCGATGCAGAAGACGATGATCGAGCCGATCGCGGCATAGATCCACGCCTGTGTCCGCTTGGATGCTCCAAACGTCGGGAAGAACGAGGGCAGCAGGTTATCCGAGTCGGCGACGGTGGTGGCGGTCGTTGGCGCGGCACTGGTATTGTCCTCTGCCGGGGTGGGTTCGTCGTCCACTGGCGGAGACGGAGGCGGGGCGGCGGGCTCGCCGGTCGACCCAGGCTTTGCGTTCACGGGCCGATCAACGGCATCCACGGGGGGCTCAGGAGCACCGGTCTTGGTAGGTCCGGGTTCCACGCTGGTCGTCGCTACGATCGCATCTTCAATAGTGTGATCGTCGTCGTGTTCGTCCGGAAGCGGGTGAAGCGGTTGGTTCGCCCCGTCAATGGCTTCTCCCCAGAGATTGAGACGCCAATCGATGAATTCTCCGACGTCATCGTTGACGGTGGTGTCTTTGACGATCACGGTCCACGTTCCGACGCCAGATTCACCCCTAGGCCGTGTTAGCGTAATCGAGAATAAAATATCAGGACAAAAATAAGAATATAACCTACCAATGAGCGACACTCATAAAAGTCCAGTCCACGTAACCGACCATTTCGCTGTCAGACCGCCTGGCGGTGCTTAGTTGGCTGAGCACGCCCTCGGGGCTGCGCAACTCGGCGCTGAGGTCGCCACGACGCGTGTGATTGACGTTCATGGTCACCGTGACGTGCTCCAGGCGCTCCACGTTGGCCTTTTTGATCATCTCGGCGGTGACTTCGTAGGAGCTGGCCAGACCTTTGTCGCCCTGGGGGATCTCATGCTTGACCCGGAGCCAGGGCGACTTGAACCAGGCCTGCGGCTTGACCAGTTGCCAGGTCTTGGCCTTTTGAACCAGAGCGTAGGCGTCGACCTTGCCGAATCCCCAGTCGTGGCTGAATTTGCGACCGCTCTTGGTCATCTGCCAGCTTTCGTCGTCCTCATGCACCGGGACCGCCGTCTCGACCAGCAGATACTGCGCATCGCGCCAGCTGAGCTCGGGCCGAGCGCTCAGGGCGAGAGCCACGGACCCTGCGGCCAGCGGACCCGCGGCCGACGTGCCACCGTGGAGCGAATAGCACTTGTCCGTGCCAACATCGGTCGTGTGGATGGCGTCACTCGAGCCGCTGCTGTACGTCACCACCAACTGGGCGGAACACGACTCGGAATAGGTGCCGTGCTTCCCCTCCCGATCGATGGCGCCGACGGTGATGCTGTAGATACTGTTGGTATAGCCGTCGAAATTGCAATTGTCGCCGTAGCCCGCGCCGTTGCCGGCGGCGAAGACAAAGATCGACCCTTTCCCAGCCCGGCCCTTCTGGACGCCGTTCACCATAGCCTTTTTGATGAGGACCCCGGGGGCCTCCATGGTCATCCCATCGTCCGGCGGGCCCCAGGAACACGAGTAGATGTCGTTCTGTTGGTAGCCGTGGTTGATGGCCTTGGCCTCGTCGGTGTCGTCGATCGCTTTCGACAGGATGCGGATCCCGGCCACCTTGCTGTCATAGGCGACGCCGACGCCGCAGATGTCGTTCTTGGCCGCAGCAATCTCGCCGGCACATCGGGTCCCGTGTCGATCCTCGGGAAGAACAGGCCTCGGTTCCGGGTGGTGGTCGTTGTAATCGTAGGAACCCTCGGCAAAGTAGTTCGGCTTCAAGTCATTGCTGTACATATCCAACCCATCGTCCACCACGGCGGTGATGACGCCCTGTCCGGTGTTGCCCTCGAGCCAAACGCCCGTGACGTTGAGATCATTCCCCACCTGGACGGTATTATAGAGATGCCACTGGCCCTCAAAGATCGGATCCGCGATCCCCAGCGCCGTCACGATGTCTTTCTGGAACTGAACGGCTTTGGGGTCCTCCTTGGAGATCTTGGGGGCGGGCGCCCGGGGGAGATCCCTCGGTGGCGGCAGTCGCTTCTGCAGTCGCTTCTTGGGCGCGAGTTTCTGCGACCAGAGAATTCCATCGAATTCGGCATCTCTCTTATCCAGCAAGGTGATATCATCTGCCCCGGCGCGACGTTTTAACTTCCGACGGTCTCGTAGGCGATCCAATAGCGTATCTAGGTCCGCACCGTTTTCTCGGGGGACGGAGAAGGTATGATGGTCGGCCAGCTCTCCCACCTGACCCTCATGGCGCGCACCTAATCGCTCAGCGATTTCGGACGGGGGGGTGGATGGCTCGAGGTGCAAGGCGAAGTAGTCATGTGTCTCGTAAGAGCGGACCGGATGGAGGGAAGCCGTTGCAGCACTAAAGAGGCCAAAAGCTAACGCTGCACCACCGAAGAAACGCATGGTGCCAGTGTAGCAGGTGGCAAATGACACCTTTGGACAAGGCGACTTTTAAGACAGAGAGATCGAAAGGATGGTGGCCATGGACTGGAAGGGAGGTGGGGGGAGATTGCTAGGGACGATCGGGTAAGATCAGGGGGGCGCAAGTAAATGCGACAGAGGCGGGCGCTATCGGGGAGGAAGACAGGAGGAAGATTAATAACTCTCGGATGAAGATGGAGGAGGATAGGAGAGGATTGGAGAGAAGAATAGAATGAGAGGGAGTGAGAGGGAGAGGAAGGGAGAAAGAAAGCAAGACAAAGTACGTAAGAAGAGTAAAGAAGTAGAGTAGAAGTGAAGTAAGTGAAGTGAAGTACGGAGCAGGCAAAGTAAGTAAGGAGCAAGTCAGACTATGAAGCGGTGACTGATGGGGTTGGTTGCCTTAAAACCACCGCATTAACACAGTGATCTGGCCTTAGGCTTGGAGGGACGGATCTCCAACGCTACAGCCGAATTAGGTAACAATAATGATCCACTCTTTCTTTATATTAAATAATGGTTACTTACTTCCCGAGAGCATCTCTTTCTTTCATCCTCTGCTCTGGGCGATTTCCCTTTGTGACACCGTCGATGCGAAGGCCCATCTGGTTGGGGTGGTGGAGATTGGAATTGGGAAGAGTCAGCCTCGAGTTACTCCCCCTAAACTGACACGTTTCTTTGTTCGTCCGAGTCCAGCCCTTGCATGGTGGTAAGAAATAAGCAAGGCTGTGAGATCAACTCGAGTCTATTCTGGTTCCCTCGTACTCTCGTCTTTTGAGAGTGGTGTCAAACAACCCCCCTCCGGCTGGAACGAGGATGAGAACCTCCTCCGCCACGCTGTGTTGGATAGATTTGGTCTTTCTATTAATAGCCCCGAGGGGTAATTGAGAAAGCGATCAATTCCTTTGCTGGGTGATCACGCCTTGATCGATTGCGCTGGTTCGACTTCCCCGTGGACAGTGGATCGCCCACGGTAACAACCATGCGATGGGATAGATGAGCGATCTATCCGAAGAGTATGACAGGAAGACTCATGTTCCATGTATCATGCAGAGTCAGTCAGTTGGTACCTGAACTAGACCCAATGGACAACGGTCCGATTCACGGGTGCCGCGTGGACACTGTAGAGGATGCAGTCAAAGTAATTGTTTCAAAAGTACGGAGTAACTACAGAGTACTCCATAGTGTATCTTATTATTTACCTTCGATCTAATTCTTAAAAGGAAAGGAAGGAATCCAAAAGCGGTGGTGCCTGGTGGGAATAGACTGATGCAGCCCCGCAGGAAGTTTAGAGGATAGAGAGAAGAAGAGGGCTGGGCCAACCCGACATCCACTCCAGCCACCGACTTAATCTCAACGACGCATCTGGTTATAATCTTGTCGACCTCACCGTCATCAGTTTTCTTCTTCCTTTCCTCATCTCTTCGTATCAGTTCGCCCTTGAATTATTGATTTTGTTTCTTCCCCACTTCGCCTTCCATTGTTCGATCTAGACTGATTAGATCGCATTCCATTGTGTATCCACCGATCTAATCTACTAGCTCTTATCGAATACATCTATACCCGACTGTACTTCTACCTACATACAGACAGACATTCGATCGCATCCACTAAGGTCGCATCGTTCCTGTCTGCTGAGGCGCAATTCTCTGCTCCTGCGGCGACTATGCATGTCTAGTCATTGTTACTCGTTCTAAACTTGACATCGCTATCGAAAAATCAGGTGAGTTTGCTGATGCGCCTTCTTTCGCGAACCATGGCGCCGAGCGCATGGTTCCATCAGCTCTGATTACTGTGCTGGAATATGTACCTATGTGGAGAAGTATCACTCAATCAAGTCTAACCAGACATCGCAATAGACACGGGATCGCAGCGCATTATACCGCTCTATACCCCACCGACGGGAACTAAATAGTGGAAACGATGACGGCAGACACCAGCCGCACGCCGATGGACGAGGACTCCATCTATTCCGAACCATTGCGATCCAACGGCATACCACGAGCGTCGCACAGGCGTCAACCGTCGCATGCGATGAAACCCACCAGGCCCGACTATGAAGATGAGGAGGAACCACCCTCCAGAAACCCAGAAGTCCAGCGGACCCGTCCAAAGTCATACCAAAATAGATCCGCTTCGGGAAACAATCAATCCGCGCGATCCTTTGCCGAGAGGGCGAAAGACATCCCGCCCCAAGGGAAGAAGAGTTGGATGGAAAAGCCACTCCCGCCAGAGCCGTCTTCTCCGATGGATGAGAACGATGACCCGCGAGGCGATGGGGTCGCCGCCGTGGAGGACGAAACCACTCGTAATAATCAACGGTCGACGATGAGTCGGTCAAACACCATTCGCTCCACGTCAGATCAGCAATCTAACTGGGCTTCGGACCGTTCGCCCCTCCAAAAATTGGAGGTCACTCTGACCGGTATCAGCAAGGAGGAAAAGAGAGCTAGGGTCTTGGAAGCGGAGATGAAGCTGAAGGAACGGATGGCTCGCCAACGCGAGGGCGGCAGTGACACGTTGTCGCCCGTGCTACCTGCACAGGGTGCTGTACCCCGTAAAGATTCAACATCAGCATCGTCCCATCAACCGTCTACGCAGGACTCACGGCATTCCAGTCATCAACGGGGCGCTTCCGTAACGGTACCGAACACAGGTCGACCGGATCGAAGCAGAGTACCGTCCGTTCAATACACTTCAACACGTTCCGCTGAGCAGTCCCAGCATTCAGGTGAACAGCAGCAGCCAACTGTTATGAAAAGAGGCGATGTACCCAGACGGACGGTCTCCGTAAGCCACCAACCAGAGGGGCATGGTGTGAGACCTTCACCAAACCAACCGATTCCCCGGGACAACCAGTACCCCCGAACGAGACCTGTTTCGCAGCTTCCGCCGTCCTCCGGCTCTGGAACGGTGGCTTCAGACCGAACACAGCCGCCGCGCATGGATCCTGCGACCCAGCAAAGGGCGGTTGATTCCACTCGATCCGTCAAGAGAATAGACATCCCCACACCTGCCATGCCCGCCCAGGCAAAAGGAAAGAATGCTCAGTCGAAAGAACCAACACAAACGCCTGGCGTTCTCCCGGCCAACGAGAATTTAACTCGGGACATGTCCGCAAATATACCAGCTGCTCCAAGTGCTGAAGCAGATGTTACTTCCCAACCAAAGCCGAAGAAACAGACCGTTTCGTTCAATGTCCCTCCACCAACACCCCCTCCTCTTTCCGAATGGAAGAACGCCCCGGTGGCCAGGCTGGGAGCCGTTGAATTCGATTTCCAGTCCTTTGACGCTGAAAAGAGTAAGGCCTGGTGGGAGGGCGGAACCAGCAACCGCAGACGGAGTAGGGCTTTGCCGACGGATTATCAGAACCCTCCCGCTCAGAAGCTACCAGGTAAGCGATCGCCTCAGGGAAAGAAAAGTGCTTTCCTCTATAATTATCGATGCTGACAATCAATATCGTTAACAGGCAACAAGCGCTTCCACCCATCATTATTCCTGAAGTGCGGGCCCTTACTCCGTTACGCTGGATTAAAGCGAGTGCGGATCGATGGACCCAATGGGCCCTTCAACAAGGAGACATGGAGGGGGAGTGTGTTGATCGTGACCAAAGACTCGCGCTCCACGTATTCGCCCGCGCCGACCTTGAGGGTATTTTCCCAACCCGTGGACCTTCTCCCTCCCCCTCCCGTGGAACTCCAGGGTGGAAGCGGCCACCTTGCCCCGGAATATGTCGACCCGACTGCGGGTCTCATGAAGCTGGGCCGTGATGGACGACCTCTATACGTCAAGCCGGTGGAGCATACAGAGGAAGCGGTGGATCTGTCGTTTATTGAAAACGACGACGGCATCTACGAAATGTCCGCTAGCATCATCGATTACGACAGCAATGGCGCCAAACAGCCAATCCCGGCCAATCGAGTCCACCCGGTAGATGGGGAGAGCGCAGGGGCGTATAAAGAGCTTTCAGGTGTTCGCCTGTACGCAGACCCCGGGAGAGACGTCACCTTCTGGAAGTTCAACATTGAGATCGAGCTAGGCCAGACGCAACAACGGGTGGCTTATCGCTTAAACCAAGGACCGGCAATCGGGTTCTGGGTGCCCGCCAGAGGCCACTCGATGAACATCATGTACCATTCCTCCAATGGCCTCAGGCCCCACGTTGACAGCGATCGATTCTGCGGTCCCGATCCCCTGTGGCGAGACGTGCTCAACGAGCACCAGACGCGCCCATTCCACGTGATGATCGGTGGAGGGGACCAGATCTTCAACGACCGGGTGACGATGGAATCGCCGCACTTCCAGGAATGGGCTAAGATTAAGGATTCCCATGACAAATACGACTCGCCTTTCAACCTAGATCTCCGCGCGGAACTGGAGACTTCATTCCTGGAGCACTATTCGGCGTGGTTCTCCCAGGGCCTGTTTTCCCTGGTGAACTCGCAGATTCCCATGGTCAATATCTGGAATGACCATGAAATCCTTGAAGGCTTTGGGTCCTACTCGGACGATTTCATGAGCACCCCCGTGATCTCCGGGCTGGGTAATGTTGCCTACAAATACTATTTGCTGTTCCAGCATCATAGTGTCCCCGAGGAGACCGAAGCGGACGAGCCGAGCTGGCTGCTTGGACCTCATCCGGGCCCGTACATCAACCAACGCAGCCGCAATTTGTTCATGTCTCTGGGTGACGGCGTGACGTTCCTCGGCCTAGACTGCAGAACGGAACGGATGGTAAGAGATGTGCCTGCTTATGTCGAAGAACTTTTGGCTGACTGTGAACAGACCGACGAGATTTTGAGCGAGCAAACGTGCGACCTGATCTGGGACCGATGCCATCGCGAGATTGTGCGAGGGGAAACCAAGCACTTGATCGTGTCGCTTGCTATTCCGCTTGCCTACCCCCGAGTGGTAAGTCGTTGCAAAACCAAGCAAACCCGCCGCTTAACCCTGTCTAATCTCTCCCCAGGCTATGGTCAAGAACATCCTCAACAGCCGGAAATCGCTCGGTAAGGCGGGGGTGTTTGGCGGACTCGTGAGCAAGACCGGCGGCAAGGTAGAGATCTTCGACGACCACTGGACAGCGAAGCACCACAAAGCAGAGCGGACATACTTGATCGAAGACCTTCAAGACCTTGCCGCGGAGAAATCCGTCCGGGTAACCATTTTGAGGTAAGAGATGCGCGAGCAAGCGTTGCAGTAAGACACCGCTAACAACTCATGCAGTGGAGACGTACATCTGGCAGCAATTGGGCAATTCTACTCGAATCCCAAGCTAAACGTCCCCAAAGACCGCGATTATCGATACATGCCGAATATCATCTCGTCGGCGATTGCGGACATACCCGAAACCGAGATGGTCTCCGACACGCTCAACAAGCGCAACCGCGTGCATCACCTGGACACCAACACGGACGAAGACATGATTCCGATCTTCACCCACGATGTCAACAATAAGCAGCGGAATAACAAGCGGCTGCTGCCGCGGCGTAACTGGTGCTCCATCCGGGAATACCAACCTGGTAAGCAAATATTTTTATTCTTCTTTTCATTCTTCGTTCTAACCACCAAACAGGCACCACCCCGCCCGGCACACCAGACGAGCCCGAATCGCCACTGCCCACCGAGGAGCCCCAGCCAACAAAGTTACAGCGGACCCTGTCCCTAACCAGCGGGGATCGACCAAAGGCAAGCGAAGGCGGACTCCTACGACGGCTCTCCCTGCGAGGCCGCCAGGCCCCCAAAGAATTCACTCTCGGCAACGAACCCAACCGCCGAACAATGAGCATGGACGGGCCCTTCCCACCGCCGGAGTCAGGCGAGAGCTACTTCCCACACGGCGCCGAGCCACGACCAGGACCTTTCCACCGCCGCCCAACAAGTCTCAGTCTCAAGTCTACCAAAAAGACAGGCGACGACGGAGTAGGCAGCTTCGTCAACCTCGAAGGCGGGCTAGCCATCACGCTAAACTTAGAGCTCAACCCGCGGGATCCGTCGGGCATCACAACGCCCTACAGACTGCTAGTGCCGATGCTACGGTACGATGCAGGCGAATATGACCCGCCCGCGGCGCCTGTCGCTAAGGGGTGGAAGAAGTGGTTGCGAGTCCGCCGGAACAAGGCTGATCGACACTACGTGGAGGATACGGAGGCTGAAGAGGGCTTCACTGACGATGACGATGAGGGAGGAGATCGAGACCCTCCTTCTGATGGAGACGATGTGATGTCGGGCGCTGTGCCCCCGGAGACGCTGGTGCCTTTGAGCCATCAGGGACTGGAGTATGATGGGCGCGAAAGCGTTCCCAGGCGCAAGAGCAAGAAGTGGTTTGGGCGGAAGGGGTGATTGATGCGTTGTTATTATGATTTATGACCAGCTGTTGATGATGACGACGACGACGATGATGACATTTATGATCTTACGGGAATGGATAGATTAGATACCCTTGAACCGACTGGACTAATCATGGTGATTTGAATAATTGATGTTGATAGGCTTATAGTCCAGAATGATGGGCTTTAATTTCCCCGGAGAATTCTCGTTCTCCATCTCTTGTAACTATCTAATCTGCTTAGACATCGGCATTACATGAATAGTGGGCTGATGGAAGCCCGATAAGCCCAAATCCTTCCACGTAATGAGTGTGCTTTTCGACTGCAGTCTAATATCATTTCTTGACATGGCGACTCCAATCTTGGTTAGATGAACACATGGGACAGTAGGAGACAGCATTCGTGGTACACGTTACGCTCCACTCTCTGCGACAGCTGGGACAGCGGTATATTGTCTTGTCGGAATGGTAAATTTGTTTTTGCACAAGGTCAGCCGCGAAGTCGAGCGTTTCCCTCAAGACCTGTTTGAAGTCGTCATCCTCCAGTAAGTCGTCGATATGTTCCAAGCATGTATCAACAAGGAGGTCTCGAAGGCCTCTGTCTGACGCGACTGTAGTCGAATAGGCCCTGGCGATGGCAACGGGAAAGTCATCCATTTCCCAGCAGTTCTTGAGAGCAACTGCAAATTTCTCCTTCGCTTGCTCTTTGAGCTTTGGGATGTCGTACTTGTCCCCGGTCTGATAGACGTTGACATTGAACAGCATTGGAGAGGTTCGGCCCCGGTCGCTACCACTGCTGTCGTAATTGAACCCATACATGAAGTGGATCATTGCTTCCACTGCTCTCGGATCGTCTTCCTCGAGTCGTATAACATTGTCTGTTACTTCCTGGAAGGTCACAGTAAGCTGCAGGTCCCCTTTCTTATATAATCCGAGATTCGACCTACTTTCCAATTGTGCTTGAAAAGATTAGAGAAATACCCCGACTGTCCACAGACGATCAGTTTGTGTACTTCAAATCTCTGGTCGCTGGTGACTATTGTCAAGTCCGAGAACGTCGATGTGTGAAAGTATCTGCACCAGATGAGGACTATGCGAATGCAGCTTTGGACAAATCTGACTTACCTCTGAATGCTAGCGGTCAGGTCACCTTCTTTTCCCTCGGCTTCCAAGGTCTCAGCCTTGAACTTGATGCCCACAGGCTCGTCGTTGCCCATCGTAGCGCGGTGAATGGATTCACTAGACTATGAGACGCCTTTGATCCAGAACCTGGGCGATTGATTTGTATCTAGTAACGGAAGGCGGGGTACTATGTAGGCGACTACGGAAGTGGTGAGTCTGCCTTGTCTGGAGAATTGGTTAATTATAACCATGCAACCCTCTCATATTTTGTATCCAATCGTATCTGGCCATATGGGGACGCATATGTACTGCTGCGGCACTTGGAACTTAGAAGGTAACGAGGCCCAACAGCCTATCAATGTTTACGGACATTGGCGCGCAAGGACGGAGGGATGCCTCCGACATCCTGTATGACTGGGCTACGAACCAAACAGCGCCACGCTTACCAGTCAAGGATCAACAAATGGAGCAAAAGTCCTTTGAGAAGCAGGGGGGTTAACAGGGAAAAGCCTGACGTGGCAGTGGAAGAAGCCTGGTATCGCACCGCGGGCGCAAAACTTCACCCACGCAAGCCATTCCAAGACACGGCCTGCTATTAAGCGCTGGACAGTGATCGACAGATGATAGCCATGGGGTCCATTTATTACAAGCGAAAGAGAGGCGGGGTACATATTTCTTGCAGCAGGGGTCGAGATCCAAGGAATGTTGGGATTGATGTACTTTTGCAGAGGCAGTAGCTGGCTCAATCACCCTGGCTATCATAGCGCAATATCTGGTTGATATTTGCCGGTAGCTACGAGATCTTCAACGCGTCCTATTGCACCGGAGGTCAGATACTACTGCGCTGCAGGTGTCGCCCATCTTCCTGGTTTATACTATTTTTACGAGACGAACATAAAAGAGACGTGGAGAGGCAGAGTGCGCAACTCCACAATTGATCGCATCCGGCTCTCACATGAACCTGGATACGATAGGCAGGCAAGTAGCAAAGTCTTGGGGCCATGGGATGAGTATACTATGACCAACGAACGGCACGTCGTGTATCCTGCAAGAAAAGACGATGATTTCTTCGGGGACGTGCTACTATGTGATAAAATCAACTTGTCGTATCAGGAGGGGATATCTAATTGGGGTTGGCTTTGCTAGAAGTTCTCGACATCGGTTGGTCGACAATGCATTTTCTCATGATTGTTATATAGCAGCAGCTTTTCTCTGGAGTAACTTGTTTCGGGGAAAGATGTTTGGTGCAAGAGCTTAAGTACAAGATATAAATGCCTCTACAAGGCAGTAACAAAAACACATGAATTTACTCAATGTATGGACAGGCCTCCCTGAGCTTGCAGCACTTTTCTCACGAAAGGAGCCTTTGCTAAGGCATTTGCCTGGATATCCCAGATCTCCTTGCCCAACTCAACCAACCTAGGGCCAAACTCCTTCAGCAGAACCTCAGCATCGACTGCGTCCTCGAGAAGCGTCTTGTGGTACATATCATTCGTTCCTAATGTTGCCATCTTCCATACCTTTTTCCATCTGCTGATTGCCATGGCTGCCTCCTCGCAATCGGCTCTGATGTTGGTTGCGAGCATGTAGAAGGAAGACCGTTTGGCGTGGCTCTTCGCAGGCTTGTAAAGCCGCACCGAAGCAAATTTCTCAAATGTATGTAGCAGTTGCACGGTATTCGGAGCCTCGACTTTATGGAGGAGGACAATCATAGTCCCCCCCGGCTTGATATGCTCAAGCCCAAGTGCCAGTTGTGTAAGAGTCAATCTACTTGCTTCCCTATGCTCCCTATAGGCCGCCCGCTCATGATTTCTAAGAACCTGACCGTCGCATAGAGCAAGGTCAAATCTCTGCTTTGACTTGAATTGGCTGGGTAGGAAGTTTCCAGCATCCGGGTGATCGTGTGGGATATCTGTTAGCCCCATATCGGCCGCTAACATTGTGATGTCATGAAACTTCAGTGTCACATTGGAATACCTTGGTAGAAGCACACTATGTCCACCATTGAATTTCGGTAAGCTGAATCCTAAAGCTCGGGCTCTCGGGTTGATGTGCAATGCTGTCGCAAGAAAGCCTCCCGGAGCCATGCACATGTCAAGGATCGAGTGTTTTCGCGGATCTGGGCGTTCGATTTGGAAGACGCCAGTAAGCTGGTGCATATCGTAACCGATGTTTTCCATCATTCTGTAAAAAATCTTGCTTGTCTTGTCGTCGGCGTGATCAGCAGCTCGGCGCTGCTGTGCAAAGAACTGATCGCCTCTTGGATTATTCCACCCCTGGTTATGCTAATCAGTTCAGAATCTCCGAGAGAAATTGGATAGGTACTAACGATTTGCCGGAGTTCAGATAATCGCCGAAATTCTGGAGCTTCGTGAAATAGATACTCTGATATGACTTTGGTAGGTCTCTGGGCCCTGCAATCACGAAGGCTCGTTTCATCTCCATCTAATGCTCCGTGAAGCATTAGTTCAGAAGTGTTGTCGACACCCATGGTGGAACCATGTGTTGGAGTTTCTTGGAGTTCCGTAGTTGAAGACATCTGTGTAGTGACCAAATCAAGAAGACGAGCTTATCCGTGAAAGAAAAGACGGCCGGATTTGTACAGTCTACTCTGGTGAAACAACCGGGCATGATCAGGAATGCATGGGTTATTTATCTAGCCATCCATAGCAATACGCGTTGACATGGCAGTGCAGCCATGGATATGGGAGCGGCTACCTAGTTCCAATCAACAACTAGGGTCACCCACCATGGCGATCACGGATGGTGTGATGCCTGTTGAGGTCTGTTGGAGGACCATTAGGCAGGAAGACAATCCAACAGAGCCGACGAACCAATTATTGAAATGCGACGTCTTTCAGTGAGGGTCACCCCTTACCGTCACCCCCTACCGGTACACATACAACGGAGGTGGCGACTCCTTATCTCTGAAGTGGCTTTCCACGTGTTACCCCGTTTCTGAGCCATAGATAAACCGATTTCTGAAAGTTAGAGATTTGCGAGTTCGCCAGCCTGATGGCACAGGAGTGAAAATCCACGGGATCTGCATATGGGATGGGTTCATGCAGGGCATACACGACCCCTCCTTTCTTGCATCCAATTATCTCAGGCCACACGGGAACGCGTTCATATAAACGCCGCAGTTCAATAGCCCCGGAAAAGAAATGAGTCTTTCCTAAACAGTCTATCCGTTAAAATGAACATGCATGGCGGGGTGCGTGGGAGAAGACTATCTGACTGATCCGTCTTGGCTGGGTTGATATGGATACTGGTGATAGGGCATGAGTCTCTTGGTGCGTATTCTGGCCGGGACGGTCAACTAAGCCTTGCATGTGTACTAAGGTGTGCTGATGGCTGGTTCGTAGCTCAGTCATACAGGATGTCGGAGTCCTCCCGCGGTGCTCGCGCGCCAATGTCCGTAAATGCTGATAGGCTGTTGGACTTCGTTGCCATCTAGGCTCTAAGCACCGCAGTGGCACAGGTGCACCTGCAATGCCAGCAAACAACGCCTCTGGAGTGGTCATTGAGAAGGTACTTGGCTCAGTATAATTTAGTAGTTCAGTTTCATGTTGGGGCACGACTTGAATCTCATCAGAATGTAAGGGCGCTCTTCTTCGTGGCACGCACTTCCCTATGGTTTCATTGTTATAAAGCGTTACTTTCCTCTGGCTTCATTCATCCTTTGGCACCAGCAGTCCTCTTGAGGGTTTCAGGATAGGAAAAATGGGTAAGAACCAATGGTCCGAGAAAAAGCTCAGGACCGCCATGCAGGCCGCAATCTATGATCGTCTCGTGCAAAACAAGCCAGTCGACAAGGAAATGATACAAGCGAGGTACCTGAGGAAAGCCCCAAAGCACGCTGAAATGATCACAAGATTCATGATAAGGTGAGGGCCCCATTACCTATCACTGATTTCCCGATCGCTGAAGGGATATAAGCTATTCAGACCAATTCGAATCAAAGACTAGGGAGAATGAGCTTGGAGGTCCAACCTTGGCTCATGACTCAAACTCCTCTTCACCAATCTCGAACTCGTCAAACCAGTCAACTTTCCAAACACAAGAGGAATACATTCCCCCGACGACTAGGGTAACTAGGTCCCAGGCGGGATTGCCTTCAATAGGAGAATCAGTCTCCACTGCGCATTTCAATTCCATTGCGGTTCACCGTGCTAGTGGTGACTTGGACGGAGATGTCACAGGTCCGGACGTAGCAGCATCAGCCAGTGACGCTGACCAAATCAACAGTGTCCGCTTGCAAGGTACAATCTCTGTCCTCGTCTCCGAGTGAATGCTCCCTGATTATGATAGACTTCAAGGACCATCTTGTCGGAGATCTTTGTGGGCCTTCAGAAGCGGCTCAGCCTGGCCCATCCCTCGAGGTACAGTGTCAGTTTTTGTCCATTGATGATGATGATGAAGAGGAAGAGACCAGGGATACTTTACCCACCGAGAATGCTGTTTTGGTCTCTCCCTTACTCGAGAGCCGTGGATACCGGCTACCATCTCAGTATGCGCTGCTCGGGAAGACTGCCATTGCAGGGGACGCATTACCGGATCATAGGATTATGTTGAATACAAACATACCGTTCTCAGCCTTTGTCTGTGGCGTGCAGGGTAGTGGCAAGTCACACACCACTGCTTGCATGATCGGTATGGCTCCTCCCCAGATGAGAAGCCTCAGTCTAATATTCTACTTTAGAGAACTGCTCGATGACAATGCCGTCGTTGGGGATCCTTCAAAAGTCCGTCTCGACGCTTGTCCTGCAGTTTGATGAGTACAGCTCGACCATGAGCTCGCAGCCCAGCGAGGCAGCTTTCCTCGCGAGGGTCATGCCTCAATATGCACAGGAGCAGCCAGTCCCATTGCGTGTGCTAGTTTCTCCAACAAACTTCCACAAACTCCAAAAGATGTACTCGCAGATACCCAGCGTCGAGGTTCGACCGTTCAAGATTCAGCCCAAGCACCTCAATATCAGTATGATGCTTTCGCTTATGTCTGTCTCTCAGGGTGGTGAAATGCCCTTATACATGCAACAAGTAACCCGAGTCCTCCGAGACATGGCCATGGAGAGCGGGGGTTACTTTGATTATGGTGATTTTCGGGCCCGCCTACATGCCCTGAAACTCAGTCGTGCTCAGACGCCTTTTCTGCACCAAAGGCTCGATCTACTTGACTCGTACCTTGATCTTAACGGACAGACCTCAGGCGACTATTTTGTTGACGGCGGTGTCACCATCCTGGACTTGTCCTGCCCATTCGTCGACCAGAGCACGGCGTGCGTTCTCTTCCGTATCACCATTGAACTGTTTCTCCACGCTCATGCTTCGCGGGGGAAGATGATCGTCGCTGACGAGGCACATAAAGTATATTTCTATCTGAGTACAGTGTAACTTGATTCATTGTCCGCTAACATCGGGGTTGCAGTACATGACTGATACGCCAGCCGCGAAGGTGCTTACCGAGACCTTCCTGACCATAATCCGACAGCGACGGCATCTGGGAGTCCGTACCATCATCTCCACCCAGGAGCCAACAATCTCGCCTCGGTTGATCGACCTCTGCTCAGTGACGATCATTCACCGATTCACAAGCCCGGAATGGTACAAGACGATCGAACGGCATGTCCCGATGGATCGTCAAGATAACGGGCAGCACAGCGAGCCTACTCCTGATGGGTTCCATCGGATCGCTGGCCTACGGACTGGAGAAGCAATCGTGTTCGCTCCCTCCGCGCAACTCGTAGGGGAGAACGGCGCAGTCATAGATGCCAAGCATCATGCCTTCAAGATGAAGATGAGGAAGAGAGTTACGTGGGACGGTGGAAAGACAATCGTTTGCATTCGTTAAAAGTAGCAGAGACAGGAATAGCGAGCCATGAGTGAGGGAAGGGAACTTGATCACTCTAGAACTAAAAGTGATAACCAGAAATGATGCTTATGAGATTGATCGATAATCAAGACGGTCTGGGCCCTTATGTAATCTACACGTGACATCCGATTTCTAAGAACGATGATAGAATTTCTCTCTGGGAATACCTTCAGACGCCCCCGTCGCTTGTGATTTGCCCGGAGAATTCTCGTCCTCAATCTCTAGTCTTGTATCTATCTGCTTTGGCATCAACATTATCCAGAATCCGGTTCGGCTTGACGTGACTACCCAATCTTAGCTAATCCGCCGCCATCCAGCCCTTTTTTTGCTCCACCCGCCGATTCCACCCCTCTTCGCTCCCCTCTTAATTACGCCCCCCAGCTGCTCCCCCTTCTCTTTCTTCTTTCCCCCCGGTTTCATCTGCAAACACCGTCAAGCTGTTTTCCTCCGCCTTTCGTCGCTTTCCCTTCTCCTCCCTTCGTTCCTCCTTTGGATTGACCGCCGCTGCCGCGTCGTCCCTGCACAAGAACTCCTCCCCGCCTACCTCGGCTCTCACGAACAACCTCACGACGCCGTTGCGCGTCAATTCTGCCAGAATGGTTCACAGCAAAGTCGTTAGTAAGTGCTGTCTTGAGTATCCTGTGAAAGTGGCGCAAGTTCGCGAAATGGAGCGAGAGAAACTAACCCGGTAACCCCTCCAGTCGTCGGTTCCGGCCCCGCCGCCCACACCGCCGCCATCTACCTGTCGCGCGCGGAACTGAAGCCCGTCATGTACGAAGGCATGCTGGCGAACGGCACCGCCGCCGGTGGCCAGCTGACCACCACCACCGACATTGAGAACTTCCCCGGTTTCCCCAACGGCATCGGTGGCGCGGAGTTGATGGACGAGATGCGCAAGCAGTCCGCCCGGTTCGGCACCGAGATCATCACCGAGACCATCTCCAAGGTCGACCTGTCGCAGCGGCCCTTCAAGCTGTGGACGGAGTGGAACGACGGTCCCGACAACGAGCCCGCCCACACCGCCGATGCCGTCATCATCGCCACGGGCGCCAACGCCCGTCGCCTCGACCTCCCCGGCGAGCAGAAGTACTGGCAGAACGGCATCAGCGCCTGCGCTGTCTGCGACGGCGCCGTGCCCATCTTCCGCAACAAGCCCCTGTACGTGATCGGTGGCGGCGACTCCGCCGCCGAGGAGGCCATGTTCCTCGCCAAGTACGGCAGCAGCGTCACTGTCCTGGTCCGTCGCGACGCCCTCCGCGCCAGCAAGACCATGGCTAAGCGCCTCCTCGAGCACCCCAAGGTGAACGTCCGGTGGAACACCGTGTGCGTCGAGGTGCTCGGCGAGGACAAGCCCCGCGGCCTGATGACCCACCTGCGTGTCAAGGACACCGTCACCGGCAAGGAGGAGACCGTCGACGCCAACGGCCTCTTCTACGCCGTCGGTCACGACCCCGCCACCGCTCTGTTCAAGGGCCAGGTTGACCTCGATGACGAGGGCTACATCCTCACCAAGCCCGGTACCAGCATGACCAGCCTCGAGGGTGTGTTTGCCGCCGGTGACGTTCAGGATAAGCGTTACCGCCAGGCCATCACTAGTGCCGGTACGTTTCCTCCCCCCTCTTTATATCATAAAGAAAATAATACTAATAATATTAATAATAGGAACCGGCTGCGTCGCCGCCCTGGAAGCCGAAAAGTTCATCTCCGAGACCGAGGCCGAGGGTCCCGCCTCCTCCACCGAGAAGCCCGACACCGCCGTGGAGTACAAGACCAACCCGTTGCTGTGAATTCCATTATACTCCCCTCTTTCCGTCCCCTCACTCCTCCAGACATGACATGACATGACATGACTTCCTCTGTTTTTATTCCTGAATAGATATCTAGATTATGACATCTCTATGAGCCACTAGACAAAAAAACAGTTTTTGATCTTCATTTCATTTCATACCACATCATGTCCGGACTTTCCTTCCCGCCCCCTATTTTTCATCTTTTTTGTTGATTTTGAATTTGATCTACTATAAATGGTTGTATAGACTCAGCGATGTTATTTTCCCCCCCTTTCCTTCTGATTTTTGTGTTTTGTGCTTTGTCATTGGTGTTGCTTGTCTCGGATTACGAACACAGAGAAGAAGAGATAAGAAGAAAGGAGGTATTTCCGCGTTTGATAGAATAGACACATACATGCATAGAACTGAACAAGCAGTCTTTGAGGATTGATTGATTGATTTATTCTTTTTTCTGACTCTTACCTATCTATCTATTGGGCTAAATACCATAGACTATAGTTGAGTGTTGATCAGCATGTAAAGGAGCTTGAAAGATGTTTTGTTTTATTCTATGAGAATGTTTGGTTTGATTTACTCCTAGTGAGATACTAGACATGATATTGAGAGGTATAGGTACTATTAGCTAGTAGCTAGGGGGGGGGGGGGGGGGAGAGAGAGAGAGAGAGAGAGAAGGCTGAACTAAATATGTAAAAATGTAGAACAAGCAAGCATGTCTAATTCATTGTTCTAACGACTGTTCGTTAATGAAGCTCGGTGGGAGGTTTGGAGTAGAAGTAGGGTTAGGCTGGGTTGCGTTCGTTGATGGTATGCCATTCGTATGACCACCCCCATTAACAGCAGCAGTAATAGAGGTAGTAGTATTGGTGAACTTTGCGACGGAAGAGGGCATGCTCGAGACAGGATGGCTGGTACTCTCGTGTCCGGCGACATGGGCAGACAAGGAGGCGGATGAGGGTGTGGCGAGTGCTATTGCTGCAGGAGGAAGGGGAGGGGCAACACCATCCAGGACACTCGCACTCGTCCCAGAAGGTTTATTATCAGCCGACAACCCCCCAGGCATCCACCTCTCAAACGGATGCTCCCTACACCACCTCTCCTTCAACTTCCGCTCCTTCTTCTCCCACTCAGCAAGCGATCGTCTCCAACGATCACAGATCTCCGCATTCATTTGCCGATTGACATCGGTCTGCTTGATATACGGCCGTTTCTCCTCCCCAGGTGCCTGGCGCCACATGAGGCCCAGGGCGGCGCGGATTTCATCCCGGGCAGCGCGTGCGTTGGGATCACCCGTCTCGGCGCGGCGCGCCTCATCACACTGCGCCCGACACTTGCCCCAGTAGTCCTTTTGGTATAGCAGGAACGGGTTTAAGCCCGTGCGGGCGGGTCGTGGCATGGGAGGTCCGATTTCCGCGTGGACGGCGGCTAACATGGCTTTATCGTAGGCTTGACGGCGGGCATCTGCGGGAGATAGTGGTGCTGTTGTTGGGTCTCCTGGATCGGAGGACGAGGGTGGTTCTTTTCGCTTTTGGCCGGTTGCTGCGGGTGTTGAGGTGTTTGATTCGAAGGACTTGCCTTTCTCCGGGACGAGGGGATGAGGGATCTCAATAGGCCCCAGGACCGAGTCTATCACCTCGGACGCGGCTCGCAGACCCGAGAGGTAGGCCCCGTGCACGGTGGCTGGGTGCGTACCACAGGTGGCCTCTCCTGCAAAGTGCAGGTTGCCGAGCCGGGTCGCCATCAGGTCGTAGTCTCCTGGGAGCGCGTGCGCCGCTACGTATGAGTAGCTGCCACGCGTGAACCGGTCTGTGCCCCAGCGCGTAACGATAGTCTCGAGCGGATCGGGAACAGCCGTGTCCTTGAAGACATTGCGGAGCTGGCTGGTCACTTCGGCAACGAGCTCTGCGTCTGGCGTGCACTCCGCCTGGAGGGCCGCATCTCCGGCCATAAGAGCGATCAGGACCGGAAGTCCGGTGGTTTTCATGCAGTTCCAGAAGAGATAGAAACGGCCACGGTTAGCAGAGTAGTCCTCTTGGACCATACTATCCCGCGTCTTCGGTTCGCGAAGAAGACCAAACATGTCGCGTTCTGTGTCCCAGAAGGGCTGATCAAATACCAGAATCACCTTGTTCAAAACCCCAAAGCCAAGGCGATTGATGGCTGCACGCTTCCAGTCGGGCAGCGGGGGTGAGAACTGAATCGACTGGCTTTTCAAAACGCCCAACGAACCGGTAAAAACTACCTTGTCGGCCTCAAACACCTCTCCGTCTTCACAATGGACTACCGCTCTCTGAGTCGCCCTGTCTGCAGGGTCATAGGAGATCTTGGTTACGATTCTGTTGGTCCGTACATCGAGCTTGTTCGGCAGTGACCATAAGCCGTAAGGGAGCTGCTGATATCCACCGACGACCTGTGAGTGTTCGCCTTCAAACTCATTTCCCATATCCTGATCCCAACCAGAGAGACTGAGCTTGCTGATATTCACCGCATTCGCGTATTCAAGATTGGCAAAGTGCCAGTTGAGCAGACGCATGTCTTTGGGGGCAAGGGGAAGCATGCGCCTGTACTGTTTCACGCCCTCGTCCATCACGGCTCCCAAGGTTGGGTGCTTTGATTCTCGAACAACAGGATCCAGATTGAGCGAGTCACTGGGGGTTATCCCGCTATTCAAGTTCCATCCCATCGCTTGGCAGGTCAGCGCGGCCGGCTGTTCGTCGGTGAGACCTAGATCGGCCACTGGGGCGCCGGGTGCTTTTATGTCGGCGGTTTTATGGCCCACTCCTCGACGCACCCGTTTCGCAGGAAGCAATGACTCGATGGTCCCAGCTGCCCTAGCTTCTTCGTATTGCCTTACGGTCAGACCGTCACTGGCCACCACGTCGCGACCGGAATCAATGAAATCCCGATCACCCTCCGCGGTCGACACGACGACAGACTTGTGTCGGTAGAACCCGGAGCGGTCCAGAACATCATTGTAAAGCCTTTCATCCATCGCATCCCGGACTTCGTCTACTGGCGATCCGTCTATATCGTAGATAGTCGAGATGTCTCGCAACAAGTGGTACGGAAGAGCCAACTGGCCCCGAATGATCGCGTCTAACGGATTCCCATGGTCGAACCCTACTATAATATGCGCCCCCATCTCAGCCTTGGGGACCATACCAGGTGGCATTCCAGACGGTTGGAGGCTTCGTAAAGGGTGCGAGTAGATACGACCTCCGATCCTGCGTCGTCCTTCCACGAGAACCACCCGTGGTGACACGCAAGAGTCCCGATACTGGTTGAACAGGCCCTCTAGCTGTCGTGCACATCCCAGACCCGCCATCCCGGCACCAACTACCACGATGAGCGGGCCTTCCTTGTGCCGGCCTTTCTTGGGCGTCGCTAGGGACGCGGGGATCTCAACACAGCCAAAGTTGATATATCCATTTCGCACGAGCCATTCAAATGCGAAGGCGGCCAGGTTCATCCAGCGATAGTCTTTGGCACACCCCATGGCTTCCTCCTTGGTCACGCTTACCATCGGATTACGGGTCCAGAGTCGAAGAATCCCGTTTCGGATATTGAGGTAAACGGTGACATGGAGATGACACAGATAATCTTGCAACGCTTCCTGTTCTTTCTTATGGAGGGCATAAGGGTCTAGTCGAGAGGCATACGCTGCCGCGACACACTGCTGCGCATAGACCCCAGTGGGAAGCCTAGATGGGATGGATGACTTTGGACGGTACCTCGGAGAGCCGGGTACAAAGTCAGTGGTGTGGGAACTTGCCCGCAAGTCGGGCGAAGAGAAATGATTAGCAAGGATGGACGGTGGCATCGACGGTTTCGACTCTGTAAAAGAGGTCATCGACGCCGTCGTGGCCGATTCCTCGGGAGTACCATCATGGGATGCATGACTAGTATTATGCGACATAGCATCGACCCCATTCACGCTACTCCTTGTATCGCGAGAGCCAACAGAACCCGAGGTCAAACCCCCGTCCGAAGCATGGCGGAAATGGATTGAACTCGACGGCAAGATACTGGGCGGACCTTTCAGATGGATCTTGGGGTCTCTCTCGGACGGATAGGATTGCTGAGTGACTTGAGGCAGGAGACCCTGATGGTATGGAAGTAAAGGACGGAGCCCGCTTCCATTGACGTGGTTGCTTGTTTGGGCCCTTCCATTGCCGTCGGCTCTTCCCAATTCATGCAGATGCCCGTTGAGACCCTGGGTCCCGATTGTGGTGGTGGTGGCCTCCATACCTACTAGGAAGGAGGGGGAAGTCCCAGCTGGGAAGGGGCGATGCAGATGCAGGTCCTCGCAGGGCGGGTGTGATATAATAGGAATCCACCCCAACCGGCACAAAATTGTATGAGATAGTAACTACTCTCCTATCACAGAGAGTCCATCCATAGCACGAGAATACAATATGGTCAAATCCGACTCTTTTGTTCCATAGTGGGTGGGCCCACTTCTAATGGCTGCGCTGCGGTGGCGTCAGGAAAAGGCTCGGGCAAAAGGCAGCATCATATCATGACAGATACTGAAAAACACGTCAGATATTGACCATACAAATTATTTCAAGACGACGAGTAACCAGGAAAGCAGACAATGACGCTAGGATATAGAAGGATGGGGGCGCAGTTCCACTCACTAAAAGCATGTATGTTCGCATAGATGCAGCAGGCCGAGATCTCTCGAATCCACCCCTCAAAAGCAAGCAGATAACAGCGTGGAAGTAGTATAGCCCAAACCGACACAAAGAGTACCGATCATATCATGATATTGTTTACCTCTATACTGATCGTGACGATGGAGGTCGCTGAGAAAGGAAGAGAGCGAATTGGGTGAGTCTGCAAAACTGCACGGGCGGCCTCGGGCCACTTTCCAGGCGTACATTTCAGTCCGAACATTCTCCGCCTCCCTTTCCTTCCTCCCAACACACAAACACACACTCTCTCGGTCGCTTTATGTTTACATCTTGGGTGTTAAATTACCAGAGAACATGAACATATCAACGCAATGACAGTTTCACAGATCAACTATGTTACGAATACTCTGTGACATATATGCCCATTTTTGTGATGACGGATTCGCAGGCTCGATAGTTCGACTATGACAATAACTACGTACCCCCCGATATCGAAATTGCATGGGATGGATCATCAGTTGGAGGAGATATCGAGGATAATTATATCCCTATTCTACCTGTTTGAGAATTAGAGCCCCCGTGGCCTGCAGGTCCCAGGTTACACACCTAGCATTTGGCCTGTTGCCTACACAGGGCACCAGAAGAAGAGAAGAAGTCGCTCGAGGATGGGACTTTACAATCTATTCGGATCCTGGGGGAGCTACAGAAATGGGAGATAATATGCACGTCATATCGTAGATCTATCCAATCAACAAGAGGGAAATAGGGACCCAAGACAAGCTCTATTATATACATAGAAAAGCACGGTAGACATAGCGAGGCTACACGTCCGGGCTTCTCCGCACATGGTTATGTAGATTGTACATCTCGCCAGCCGCACCGTCTCCATCCTGGAAAAATTCAGAATCATGGTCCGTGAACTCGTCGTGGTATAGGCCCCGGCTCTTTCTCTGCTCGAGCGAGTGGTCACTGCCACTTTCGTCATCGATCACCAGGTCGATATTATCATCGTCGAAGTCGTTGAAGTCGATGCGTCCTTCCTCGTCGCGCGCGTGAGTGGGGGCGGCCGCGGGGGCAGTCGGGTCCTCCGAGAACCTACGATCGGTCTGGGAGGAACTGCGGAGGCCCGCCCGTTCTTGCTCTTCCAGCTCCTTGGCTCGTGCCAAGGTTCTACACCGCGATGTTAGCGTGGTCCTAGACCTGGAGGGATAGCGGAGGACGTATCACGTCCCCCACCGGAATTCTTACCTCCTGTATATATACCATCCCGTGAAGACGCCAATGCAGACCGTTGCGAAGATACTGCACACATTCACGGCTTTCGATGCGATGCTCATTTCTTGATTCTTTTCGTACAGCAGGCGAATGCGGCTGCCGATGAACGCGGGAACCAACAGTTTCGGGGAAATGATGGCCGTTGCCAGTCCGTAGGTCAAGGGTTGCACCGAAGGGAAGGTGGACACGGCACCATTGCAGATCGAGTACGGCAGCGGACAGAGGCGAATCATACACAGCAACTTGAGCCCGTCGTACTTCAACGTCAGCGACAGGGCCGCGAATCGCTTGTCCCGTTCCATCAGACGATGCACGAAGCTCGACAGGACCGTCCGGGAGACGATGAGGGAGCAGGTAGAACCGAGCACCGAGGCGGTCGCATATAGGATCCAGCTATTAATCATGTGAGCGACGCGACAACCGGTGACCCAGCGGGACAGGGGACCTACCCTTTCCAGATACCAAAGATATAGCCGGCTATGGTCCCAAAGGTGGACCAGCCCACCAACGGCGGGAAGGAAACGAAAAAGACACACCACCAGAGGGCAATGAAGGCCCAAGGCGACGTCTCCCACTGCTCCGCCACTGGCCCCAGCCAGATAAAAACCTTTCCGGTGAAAGCCAAGAAGCCGGCCGCTAAGACGTTGAGGAGTAAGGCGGCGAAGACGGCACCCACGCGTTGCCACAAGGTCATCCTCCTCCAGGTGCGCAACACATGCCGGGATGTCTTGTTATAACGCTCCACGATCTGGTCCCATAAGGTCGGCGGTTCGTTCAACGAGAGACCGGCCGTACGTCGTCGGCCGGGTGCTAGATGACTCCATGGCATCTGATTATCCTCGTCGTCTTCCGCGGCGGAGAGGGGAGAAGTGGGAGAGGTCGAGACGGACAGGGCCTGGGCGGTAGAGGTATAATCCGCCGGCATACTGACGAGACGGGGAGAGAGGCTTTTTGTTGAATGATTTTTTTTATCCTGCGAGAAGTGGTGCCAGCGTGGTTTTAGTGGAAGGATCGGCGGCAGTGGAGATTGGGCGTGACGGGTCTGGGGGAGAGGTCAAGATGGGAGGCGTTCTTTCTCTGCGCAACAGCACACCGGGTTGAGATTAGTCCAGTCTTGTCAAAGCACTCTCATCCATTCGAGGGGGGGTGACGGAGTGCCCTCAAGAATCATCTAGTTGCGCATGAGAGGGAGTTGGTTGAATGAGAGACGGAGTTCGTCCGGCCAAGGCTTCCCGAGATTGAAAAGGAGAATGCGGAGGGATCGGAGCAATAGAGACTTCCGATGGTAAAATGATGCAGTTCTGCAGGGGACTAAGTCCGGTTTAAACTATTATCCTGGATGTCAAGTCAAGTAAGGAGTACTGTCGGTGAGAACTGAAGAAGTCTCTCAAGAGTACTTGCAAGGTGTTCTTGACGTGATTAGGCGGATGGAGTAAGCCGATAACAGTTCAATAATAGACAGAAGGATTGACGATGATGGATTGAGTAAGGCGTCGGGATTACCGGTTTGTATCTAGATTACATGACATTTAATACCGCCCTATTCTCCTCCTGAAGATTGTCTACCATGTACTGTACTTATAGGGGCATTGATTACACCATACCGTATGGGTAAGTATCATTGCCTCATGGTGTGCCTCATGGTGTGCCTCATGGTCTGCCTGAACAAACACCAAGCACAAGATCAGACATACATATATCATTAGTTGGATAGTAGAGTATTTGATCAAGCATATCACCAGTATGCCATTGTGATCGTAGACAGGGACAGGATATTCAAGACCAATGGTCAGACGGCAGATCGACCAGATCAGTCTAGAATTATAATAACCTTGTTGACCATGGATGCACTTGACATTCCCCCACATCTCGTAGTGGATGGATGTGGAAATAGATCAATAATAACAAAGAAAATAATATAGAAGAAGAAGAAGAAGAATAATAATAACAATAACAATCAGAAGAATAGTAAGAATAATAGACAGATGAAGAAGAAATCCAGAGTGAAACCTAAGGTACCACATCTATAGTACTAAGTTGGCACCTGATTCCCCAGGCTAACGACCATCCTCCCCTTTGATCTTCTTTCTGTCTTTCTTTCTTCTTCCCCTTCTTTCACCTCCATCTCTTGACCTCGCGTCTTTCTCTTCTTCTACTACCCCTTCTCTTCCTTTCCTTCTTTTGTTCATTTGGCTTATAGTTTGCGAATTCTTTTTTTCCTTTTTGGTCTCTTCTCCCCGCTTGACTGTCCCCCCTTATCGATCATTCCTGGGGATGCGATGTGATCGTCACTGGTCCTTTGTTGCTCCCCTATCGCATTATCATCTGCCCATCCATCGATCCTCTTTTTAATCTCTCAATTATCCTCGGCTTTTCTTAATCCCCTCCACAAAGAATTCAACAAAGACAAAGCAATGGAATCGCTGTGAATCGCGTGGTTGGTTTGCGGTGTTATTTCCGATCTTATCGCTAGCTAGCTGTCCCGGCTAATCTAGTCTCCCCGGTTTTACCCCTCACCTCCCAATCCCATCATCCACTCTGCTCCCCCGTTGTCACCTCCCATCGCGTACACCTTTTAGTCCACCATGATAGAGGATACTCTACTCGAGGAATGCCTGCGCATCCTCCAGGATGGTTCCCTCGATGAGGAGGAACAGGCGGAGAAAATTGAAGACTTTCTACGGGAAAAGACCACGTTGTCGGGCGCGTCGCTAGAAAATGCCGTGTTGGACGTCCTTTGGCGACATCGAAGTCGCACAGTGCCAGACTCCTCTCCTCCGCCGCCCCGTCCGACCATCATTCGTCGCTCCTCGCCCGCCCCCTGGCAGATGGCCCGATCATCCACGCCCCTGTCCCCTCACTCGAATCTGGGCACCAGCCCCGGCAGTGCCTCGTTCCTCCAAAGCTCGCGAGGGGGCTTCTCGCGGCCCCCGCTCTCCTCCACCGTCTCCCCCTTCACCTCACCGCGCCCGTCCCCGCGACTCGCCCTGGCCCAACCCATCCCACACTCGCCCAATTTGAATGCCTACGAGTTCTCCGATCAGAGCCAGGTGTCCGAGTTCTATGGAGACTTTGGTAGCGATAGCAACGTGGACTGGCTGGTCGCCGATGATGCCAACAGCACAACCTCCTCGCTGGGAGCGCTCAGCGCGACGGCCCCCGAGTTCGTGCCCGATATGAGCCCGCATGATATCCTCCGCACCGTACTTGGCGATAAACGGTCCAATGACGAGATTGAGACGGCTCTGGAAGCCAACAGTTACGACCTGGGCGCGACCATTGCGGCCCTCTCCCAGCCGACCGACGCAGATACCCTGTCTCAGCAGATGGAGGATACCCGCGTGGTGGTCGGAAAATCAATGATGATGGAACCGCCGAGGATCGTGCCATCACCGAGCCAGAATCGTAGCCCGGTAGTCTGCAAATACTGGTTATCGACGGGCCAATGTCTCCGGGCAGATTGCCGTTTTAGTCACGATCTGACGAATCATCTCTGCAAGTAAGTGTCTCCGGGTGTCCTCTGGGGGAACATGGCTGACCACAGGGACGGAGTAGATATTGGGTCATGGGCAACTGCCTCGCCGGGGACGGGTGTCCCTTTTCGCATGACCCCTCCGCCCTCGTCGCGAACCTGAGCATGACCGACGGGAGCCACCCGGGCTCGTCCAGCAGCTCCCCCTTCCAGGCCGAAAACGCTTCCGAGGCGTTCCCACCATTGCAGCCCGCCGGTGATCTGTGGGCGGCCCAGTTTGGCGGCAAGTACCCGGCTCACTTGACCGCGTACCCCGGGATGAAAGGGGTTCCTCAGATGGCGCAGTACGCCACTGGGAAGCGGAACGGAAGTATGACGCATCTGTCGCGCCCTCACTCTCGGCCGGGGAGCCGGCACCAACATCGGGAGCTCAACCCGTCGGCCCCGTCGGTGGACGACCCCGATGCATTTCCGACCCTTGCTGCGGTGAGCGCCAAGAACACCGGGAAGAAGAACGGGAAACGGGGAGCCCATCGGGACCACCATTCTAAGGAGAACATTCCGGCCTCGTTGGCCGACGTTGTGCGCATGTCCCCGTCGCCTGCATCCAGCAAGGGGAAAGCCTCCAAAGGCAGCAAGGAGGGGTCGAAAGGGCGTGAGAACAGCGCAGCTGCGCTGGCGATTCCGCCGCCGCAGAACATCCCGTGGCTGGAGACCGGGGTGCGGACCAACCAACAGTATATCAAGTATCGAACCGAAGCGATTCGGCATGGCACGGTGAGGAACAAGTTTCTGCAGAGGTAAGCCACCCCCTCGCTCCCCTCATGACTGCCAAATTGACAAATTCCCACAGCGCGGCGCAAGCGTGGAATCGGAATGATGCACGGGCCGCAAAAGCCCTGTCGCTCCGAGGACAAGCAGAGAACGAAGCCATGCGTCGGTGTCACCGGGAGGCGGCCCGGCAGCTGTACGAAGAGCGCAACAAACACCTCCTCACGGCCGGTCTGGAGGACTCCACCGAGGAACTCTACGTGGACCTGCACGGGCTGCATCCCGAAGAGGCCATCGAATATCTGGAGAAGATCCTGCTGAAGCACGCACGCGAAGGCCGGCGCGTCGTGTACGCCATCACCGGAACAGGCCACCATTCCAAGAACGGCAAAGACAAAATCGGAAAAGCAGTCAAGGCGTGGCTAAACGAGTGGAAATACGTATTCCGCGAGTTCAGCGTGCCGGGGGAACGAGGGGGGTACGTGGGCGGCATTTTAGGCATCAACGCAACGAGTTACGACAAGAGCCTGGCCCAGAGCATGGCAGAGGACGGAGAGCGGACGACGGATGGAGACGGGAATCCTCCTGTCCTAATGATGGGCAAGATCCAACTGTTGAAGCGGGAGGATCTCGAGCCGACACACGAATGATTCAACGGAGTTTTTTTCCCTTCTCTTTACTCTCCCTCTTTCTCTTCTCCTCTCCGTGTCTCCCGCCTGTACGGTATACACTGTCAGGCTCCACGCACAGAACCAGAGCCATAGATAGATTCTTTGCTTGCTGATCTGCTGCAGCGCATTTGGTCTTTCTAGCGTGTTATCTGCTTTGTTGTTTCAGCCTGATGAATGTACCTGTTGATACTGCCGTATGGATCTGCCGTATACCTCGTATCAATGATAACACTAGGTCATACACATGACTATATACTTCCTACCAACTTTACCTCTGAAACATTTCCCCATCAAACTTCGCAGTAAGCAGATGAACCTAACCCAACACGTCGCTCACAAACCCCCAAACCAAAACATCAATAAATAGATAAGAAAAAAGATATCTACTCCGGCTCCTGACCCGCCCACTCCCTCCTCAAGCCCGCAACATCAAACCCACACGCCTCCGCCTTAGACACAATCGCCCTCGCCTTCCCAGCAACAGGCACATCAATCATCTTCCCATCCAGCGTCCACGCGCCCCGTCCCGCCTCAGCAGCCTTCTCATCCGCAACAACAACCCTCATCGCCCACGTCACCTCCGCCAAATCCGGCCCAAACACCGCCTGCGCGGTCTCCACCTGCGTCGGATGAATGCACTGTTTCCCGTTAAAGCCGAGCCTCTTTCCGTCTCGACACTCCTCTTGCAAAACGGCTGGCGCCTGACCCGGCTTATCCGATTTATACGTCGTGCAGACGAGATCGATCGTCGAGGGGAGGTCCGCTGCGCGCGCGGCTGTTACGATCGCGGACCGCGCGAAGAGGAATTCGGTCAGGGATGGCGTGCGCGTTAGGCTTAGGTCGAGGGCGAAGTCTTCGGCTGCGAAGATGAGGCCTTGCAGGAGGGGTGAGGAGGCGCAGATTTGGGTCAGGTTGGTGAGTGATTTGGCGGATTCGACGAGCGCGAGGATGGAGATTGGGGGGCGGGATGCTCCTCCTTGAAGATGTTGTTGTTGGGAGAGAGTGTGTGTGATGACGTCCGTGACGAAGGTGAGGTCTGAGGGGGAGTTGACTTTTGGAACGACGAGCGTGGTGAGGTTGGGTGATTGGAGCTTTGCTTGTTATTTCCATCTTCTTCTTTTCTAGTTTATTTTTTATATTGGATATAAGGGAGAGAAAAGGGAAAATACCACTTCAGTCAAATCCCCCAACGCCAACCCACTATCGACAGAATTGATGCGCACGGCGCGTTCGCGGATTCCCGCCGGCGCGGGCTGATCGAGGGCTCTCCGCACCAGGGAGCGGGCTTCGGGCTTCATGTGCGGAGTGACGCTGTCTTCGAGATCGTAGGCGACGCAGTCTGCGGTGAGGGTGCGCGATTTGTCGATGAAGCGCTGGGAGGAGCCGGGGACTATCGGTTTGATTAGATGTCATTGTGTGTACATGTCGTGTGTATGGCATCCATCGTGGTGGGAGTATGATTTGGAGTGGGAAATGCGGGGAAATGACGGGTGGGTTGGAGATACGTACTGTAGAGGAGGGCGCGACGGAGGGTGTTTCTGGTGGCCATTGTGGAGGTGGGTAGGATGATTGAGGAGTACTAGAAGTTTCTCTGGCCTTTTTTGGGATTGAAAGTAAGGATGATGGGATGTTGTGGGAGGAAGAGGGGAGAGATGCGAATGATAAAGGTAACGGGGAGATGTGCATATAGGCTTCTCCGGGTACTTGGTTGGCAGCTGGTCTGGGCGTTATATCTACTTCTAGTCTCTAGTCTCTAGTCGGTTCGTCTCCATTCCTTCTAGCTAATTAAGTATCTAGATACTATACACACATAGTTGATACATTTCATCCCAGTCATGACATGACAGCATTTTCAAATAACTGTATTTCTTTACTGATAAGTCGTTCATCACTCGGCACTATTCATAATGCAGACATAATACCAAACAGGTTAGCGTCAAACCCTGACGGCTCGTTCTGCTGTCTCTCACCGCCCGGATATGGCATGGAGACACGCAGCATCATCACGTTCATCCACCATCCCCGTTGTGGTCGCATACGTCCTAGCTTTCACATCTGTCTCCTGTTGAGAAAAGAGAACCGGGCTTGACTGCTCTGGTGCCATCGTCTGTCATCTACCTTTGCCGTGATCCAATCCGTCCGAAAATACCGCGAGCATGGAACAACAACCTCTTCAAGCGCAGCAGGGAGACCTGAATTGGCGTCTGAGCGCCCATCCGATCACCCTCCTTTGTTTCTTGGGCTTTCGCATCGGCGCCCTTCTGATGTATCTCTTTGGGGTACTCTTCATCAAAAACTTGTGGGTCCCTCTTTAGAAGAAATCCTGGCTCCTTTCAGATAGGAAAGACCACAGGGTAGCTTCCGTACTAACAATCGTCGCAGCATCCTCGTGTTCATCATCACCCTGCTGCTTCTCTCCGCCGACTTCTACTACCTCAAGAACATCGCCGGCCGTCGTCTCGTGGGTCTTCGCTGGTGGAACGAAGTCAACATGTCCAGCGGTGACTCGCACTGGGTCTTTGAGTCCTCCGATCCGAACGCGCGCACCATCGCAGCCACCGACAAGCGTTTCTTCTGGCTGAGCCTATACGTAGCCCCGGCACTGTGGGTCGGTCTGGCCATTCTGGCCATCATCAAGCTGCAGAATGTGATTTGGCTGAGCCTTGTTGGTGAGTGTCTCGATGCCTCCGGGAATTCGTTTCTTGATGGTTCTACAATACTGATACACATATAGCCATCGCACTTGCCCTGACCATCACCAACACGCTCGCCTTCTCGCGGTGCGACAAATTCAGCCAGGCGTCCACCTTTGCGAACAGGGCGTTGGGAGGATCGATCGTGAACAACCTTGCGGGGGGTCTGCTGGGCAGGCTCTTCAAGTAGGTGTGCTTTGGGCGTGGGATTATCAGAGATTGTCTCATGACAGGGTTGCCTTTCCCTCTTTTCCCTCTTGTTCTAGCTCAATCGGCCTGCAAAAAGATTTTGTGGGGTGCGGATTGGGTGTCTTGCATGACTTTAGAGTATCAGCCAGTCTTTATGGGATATGATGTATTGTACATGTGAATTTGATTATTTGACTGCCAACTTATACAGGAAAGTCTAGATGCCGCATTCTTTGATATCTTTGTGTCTGAAGCAATCAAACAAGCAATGCTCAGCTTTTTGTTTACAGATAACTACAAGACCTGCACTAACATCTTGAATCCCATTCTTTCTATGCCAACTTCTATGAGCAACTAAGTCTAGATACTATGTTTGATATTTTTGTAGCTGGACACATCAAAGAAACAATGTGCAGCTTTTCACATACAAGTATCTTCCAACCCTCAATATCCTCTTCTATATCATACCATTGCATTGCCGGTGCCTTCCCTCACCCGAGAATACTACCTAATAACTCGGTAGCCAGCACTGTGCTCTCTAAAGTCCATACTCAGTATATCCAAAGATCACATCCCGAGTCCTATCACCACCACAAAGTAGACCCGCTTCCTGCCCGTCTAGGCGCAACGCAACGACGTGACGCGACACGACATAGAAACGACACCATGAAAAGCCCCAAATCTCGATACAGCAGTCACCACGACGAATCCCACGACAACGAGCGTGTGACTCTTTGACTCGCTGACTCGCCGTGAAGAGTTTTCCCCCAGCCGTTTCCCACGATCTTTTCCTTTCATTCCTGCCTACCTTCCTTCCCATCATCCGTTTCCATCCTAGTACTGTCCCAGTCATCAAAAAGCCATCTCCCCTTTCCCTTATTCATCAAACCAAGTCTTCCCGCGTTGAGATAGATCAAAGATGCCTCGCTCGGATTGCTGGACGGACGAGGAAATCGCCAGAGTGAGAAGGCTTCGTGCTGAGAACCCGCGTATGACCTGGAATAATATTCAGCAGGTATGTATCGACCAATTTTGTTCCCCTGTTGTGGTCTTCGTCCTCTCTGCTGGGTCCCCAACGACTCGAGAGGTACGTACTGGTGCTGACTAGAAATAGGCTTTTTTTCATCGTCGCACCCATCATGCTCTCGCGAGGATTTATTCGGTGTGTTGATGTTTTTGGAGTGTCTTTGTTGGACTTGGGCCCTGCTGATAGAAATCTAGGATTCGAATCGGGGTCTTCGGGGCTCTCTTGCGACTAAGGTATTTCTCCCTTTCTTTTTTTGGTGTGGGATGTGCGTTGGCTGATGTGTGTTATTGGTTGTTTCTTTGCAGAGTGGTGCTGCTGCTGGTCAGACTGCGGCGGATAAGTCTTCTGCGCCTGCTGCTGCTACTACTGCAGGTACTGCTGGAGCCAGAGACGCCGGTGCCGGTGCCGGTAGTGCCACTTCTGGTGCTGGCGCTGGTGGGGCTACCGCTGGAGCTGATGATGCCACCGTTGGTGCTGCTGATGCCGCAGCTAGCAGTGGAGCTGCTGCTACTGAGCCAGAAGCTGACTCCCAGCATGGCCTTGCTAATGAGGGTAAGTGTACCGTCGACCCTGCAGCCGAAGATGAAGTATCGTCTGAGAACGAATGTTCATCCAAAAAAAGAGCAGAAAGCTAACAATGGTACAGAAAAAGAGTCCGGCTCGTCTCGCCAGAGCGTCACTGACGCCGGCTCTACCCCTGGTCAGGAAGGAAAGAGACGTGCTTCTTCCTCCCCTGATGGCCACACTGCCAAGAGGGTCAAGTCTGCGAAGGATGATAGTCCTGAACGTGCTGCCACTGGCGAAGCTGTGGAGGGTTCCGGTCTCGTGGGAAGCCCTGGCACCGAGAGTCAGGAGCCTGCTTCTTCTGTTGAACAAGGCCCAAGATCTAGGGGTACCTCAGAGCCAATCCCGTCCGTTGAGGATGACCTCGCCACCCAGACAGCACGTGTCGCTGAGGATGCTTCTTCCGTTGAAGTGATTGACTTGGCTGAGTCCGATGTCGACAGGGACACTGCCTCTGAATCCAGTGACTCGAGTGTTTGGTGGGGCCAGACTGATGACGAGTCCTCAGAAAGTGACAGCGTGAGTGAAATTAGAAACCCTCGATCACTGCCAGACAGTAGTGTATATATTGATTGATTGTCTAGGAGCTTTCCCCTCCTTCCTCCACTTCCACCACTCTCACCACTCCCACCATCTCCGCAATGCACAACAGCCACACCTTCTCCTTTGAAGCCGCTACCATCAGCTTCGCCATCGGAGGAAGCATAATCAACACCCAAGCCATGACCAACACCATGCCCAACCCTGACATGAGGCGCAAGATCATAAGGGAGCTGGCAGCTTATCCCCGGGCCGGTGTCACCAATGGCGGCAGCCAGGCCACCCAGGCCCCTTCTTCGTCCCACGCCCAGAAGCCAAAGAACAAGAAGAAGAAGACATCTCAATCGCAGGCCGCTGCTGATCCCGAGATCGCGCTCCCCGCCATGTGGGCCATGATTGATGCGCAGATCGAACAGTCGAGGATGCTCGCTGCGGAAATCAGAAAGATGCGCAAGCTCACTACCGCCATCTTGGACCAGGCATCCCAGGAAACTCAGGTGAAGAAGGAACATTGATGGGCTCAGGTAAGGCGTCTGAAACTCGTGCGAGTTCGTGTCGCTGATACTAGTCTACTTTAGTCTAGTCGGGCTTCGATACTGTCGCTTGAAGGTTGGTGGGCTTTGCTACTGGATCTCAGAAGGGATGGACTTTGCTTGTGTTTTTGTTTTATCGTGGATGGGATGGTTTTCAAGTGGTCTATAGGAGAATGAGAGATGGGAGATTGAAAGAATGAGAGGACTACAGTTGAACTCGGAAAGGATTGTGTTTCCTGTGTTTCTTGTTTCATTGTTTCATTGTTTTCTAGGATGTCTTCAAGACGAATTGATGTAGCATAGGAGATCTCATCAATCAAAGTTAACTCAGTTTTATACACAGGAAATCTAAGTATAGGCACGTCAACTGCGTAGGGATTGACATGGTATAAGAGCAAGTCCATACAAGATAACAGAATCATAAAGTCGTAAGAAACACGCACTACCAAGTCAACACAATAGCTTTGTCTTGATTTTTTCAAAGGTCTCAGACAGAGTTAAGGCCAGTGTTGCGCGAAACAAATGGGTTGTCAAGGTGAAAATTCTCCTGACTGGCAGTGAATTGCGGTTTGTTGTTTGTTTCTGCAGCCCACTCTCTCTCTCTCTACCATTTCTCACTCTCTACTCTCACTTTCTCTCTCTCTTCCTCTTCTTTTCTCCCCCTGTTCTTCATCATCCTCTCTTTTCCTCTCTCTTCTACCCATACCTTGAACAGTACTGAGTTCAGTGGTTGGAACTTCTCTTCTTTCCTTCTTTCCTTTCCTAAGTGAGTCTTTCATCAAAGATATTATCTTCTTTTCCCTCCAAAGCTTCATATAACGAGGCGAGCTGACGTTCCTGTCTCTGGTAGCTCTCGTGTTTTTCTAGTATTGATATCTTCAAATCAGGCCTCTCTAAAATCGATCAATATGTCTGGCTGGTCCCCCGATGATGCGTGGGGCGACGGTGGCGCCAGTAGGTGACCTTACCCAAGTCTGATGACAAGTTAACTAATCCGAAGACAGCGGGTTTTCCCGACGAGAATGTCAACCCTAGCGGTGCCAACGATAGCGCTCGTGATGGAAAAGGCTTTGGCGATAACGGTTTCAACAATAACTTTGGTGGTGGTGATACTGCCGCCCCTGTTGCCAATGATGACAACAGATGCCGCAAGTAGGTAAACTGTCGTCTTTCTTATAGATTGCAAGCTAATAGACTTTCAGCTGTGGTAGTGATGGCCATTTTGCACGCAACTGCACCGAGCCTCGCAAGGGCATGGGTGCTTGCTTCAACTGCGGTGAAGAAGGGTAGGTTGACTCGAGTTATCCCTGACTTCCTTTACTTAACGATACACAGCCATAGCAAAGCTGAATGCACCGAGCCGCGCAAGGGCATGGGCGCTTGCTTCAACTGCGGTGAAGAAGGGTAGGTCAACTCAGGTTATCTCTGACTTCCTATACTAACGATAAACAGCCACAGCAAAGCCGAATGCACCAACCCGCGCGTCTTCAAGGGCCCCTGCCGTATTTGCAGCCAGGAAGGCCACCCCGCTGCCGAATGTCCCGAGAGACCTCCCGATGTGTGCAAGAATTGCAAGATGGAGGGTATGGAGTCAGATTATACGTTGACGTTGCATGAGCTAACTCTTTGTCAATAGGCCACAAAACCATGGATTGCAAAGACAACCGCAAGTTCGACTTGAACAATATCCCCGACAAGTGCCCCGAGGAAGCTTGGGCTGCCCTGACCAAGGCTAGCGATGCCAGGGATCTCGAAGAATTCCGCGAGGTATATTGCATTTTCTGTTCCCAGTTCCTGATCACTAACACGATATAGGGTATCAAGGTCTACTCGAAGGCTGCCCCGCAGGCTACCTTTGTGGATATCGAGAAGAAAATGCGCGAGGACAACTTCAAAATCTACCTCATCGCAATGGTTCGTTTTCTTTTGCTTCTTGCCTAGTCGAGGCTCCACTGATTCACAGTGTAGGAGAAACCAGTGGGCGATAGCATCAGTCTTATCAACCTCCAGGGAAAGCTGAACTGCCAGTACGTGGTTGGATTCTACTACAGTGAGAAACCCCAACGTGCGAACCTCCGCATGCGCTGGCCAGCTACTCCTGAGGAGAACCTCGAACGTCTCGCAGATGCTGGTTTCCCTTACGATCGCCAGATCCCCAAGTGCGGAAATTGTGGTGGTAAGTCAACTCCGTCCCATCAAAGATCAAACTGACCATCCATGAAGAGATGGGCCATACTGCGCGCGGCTGCAAGCAGGAACGTGCAGAGTATGAGCGTGTCGAGGTGAAGTGTGTCAATTGTAGCGAGCCTGGACACCGTGCTCGCGACTGCACTGAAAAACGCCGCGATAGATTTGCTTGCCGCAACTGCGGGTATGCGCTTCTTCTTTTCCTTCTAGTATTATATACTAAATGGGCGCAGAGAGTCCGACCACAAAGCCTCGGAGTGCCCTAATCCCCGCTCTGCCGAGGGCGTCGAATGCAACAAGTGCAATGAAAGTCAGTTTGCCCATGATCCCGAGCTAGAGGTTATATACTGATATCAGCAGTGGGCCACTTTGCTAAGGACTGTCCTCAGGCCAGTGCCCCCAGAACCTGCCGTAACTGCGGGTAAGTCAAAGCCACCAAGCCGATTGTTCCTGGACAAGTCTAAAAGAAAATAGATCTGAGGATCATATCGCCAGAGACTGTGACAAACCACGCGATGTTTCTACCGTTACCTGCCGCAACTGTGACGCGGGTGAGATCCAATATGGTGAAAGCCAACCACTTTACAAACTAATTCGTCATATAGTCGGTCATTTCAGCCGCGATTGTCCCCAGAAAAAGGACTGGTCTAAGGTCAAGTGCAACAACTGTGGTGAAAGTGCGTCGAATTCTGTCTTCCTTGTTTCTGTTCTAAGCTAATGGTATATCAGTGGGCCACACCGTGAAACGCTGCCCCAGTGCTCAGGCGGAAGGCGAGGGCTGCAGCCAGCAGGAAAATGACTTTGGCAAACAGAATGACTATGCGATGGACACTTCTGCAGACGGTGGCTGGGACTCTGGCACTGGAAACGCCGAGTGGAACAATGGTGCTAGTAACATTGAGAGCCAGGCCCCTGCTACTGGAGGTGAATGGGTTGCGGAAGGTGCTGGATGGTAGGGCGTCGACCGGACGATGTCTAGTCGCTTGTTTCCCGACCCACTTCACATTGTCGTTTGCTCGTCATGTCTGCCATATGGCTTCTGAATCTGGTCTGTTACTTTATCGAGGTAGTGGTACGCGGCTGTTTGATCTGTCCGGCCCAAGTTGTGGTCTCAGATGGGTTCTGACAGGGGTGACCCGTGCCTCGTAGTACTGGGTTTGCCTTGACGGATGATCTGGAACGGCTGTGTACTTGACCATGTTTACTATTACTGCACGATAGGAGAGGTTGATTTTGATGGGGAACAGAAGAGCTAGCCGTATGTAAACAAAGTAATGGAGGTAAATCTCAAAAAGCCAGATACCCAGTGTTAGATACTTCTAGCGACTTGACGACTAAATAGGACAACAGCTACCACTGAATGCAAAACATAAGATCTAGAAAATAACCTCATGTCTAGTATATAGCGTCACCTCTCATAGGAAAGGAAAGCCAAGACCAACCCCCCTTGCCGCCTTCCATACAGACATATACGAGATTTTCTTACCATCGCTTCTTTCAAACCTTCTCACAAATGAGCCACCGAGTTCGACATGGACACGTAACTTACGAAAAAAGGTGCAATCATAATCAGTCATCAAGATCCACCGCCCAGCAGGGCAGAAATGAGATGAAAATATGATCAGAAAACTTGATCACAGATGCAACGTGTAATCAACAGCTTCAGATTAGGCAATTACTTCTTCATTTCCACAGTACTCACGCCAAATCCTACATAAAACATTGCACTGATGGAAATATCATCACCTATAATAGTCATTTCCCCGAGACACATAACAACATATGGCACATTACCTCGCATCACTAAGATTAGGATGGTAACATATGTCTCAATTATAGTGATATGTGCCATCCAGCAAGGGGCTCAATCCCTTTACATGGCTGACTAAACTATTGAGACGTGCAGTAGTGGAGACCATGTTTGGTTTTGCGCCCTCCTTGCTGGGCTGCAGTCTAATGCAGGTGAGGCTGCATGGAACAAGCCATGGTGTTCTAGATGGAGGGGGAATAAATGACATTGCAGGGGGTATGTAAGGTATATTGTTGAGTCTGCATTAGGCTATGTTGTCACTAGCAATATAGATAGGTAATTAGGCGATTACTGAGATAGGTGACTTGGTTGACAGGTTCGGAGATAGTTTGACAGAGGGAACGTACAGGTTTCGAGTGCCCTGTCACTAATTATCTATCACTAACTGAATAGCTTCCTGTTTTGTACAATATACTCCCTACATCTTGTTGGAGAGTGATACTTGTATTTAAGCAATATATTAGCTGACTAGCGTGTTTTACCAACATAGATTGTTGTCTTGACTTTGATGTTTCTCGCAATCTTGCAACTATTCACAACTTTCCTCATACTCATGATTGTCATTATTATTTTGCCTGCTTTTATCAGTCAGCCCATAGTTGAGGAAAGAGCGAACATGCCTGAAAGTGTTATACCATGATTTACAATAATCTGAAATATAGATACCTTTTGCACCTTCCCTGTGGTTGACTTTGTTCCTTCCTGTTTCCAACTTGCAGCATAACCTACAATACAGCATCTTTTTCATCAGAGACGAAATGTTTCTTCCAAAACCTCAGTGTCTACAAACAAACACACAACTTCATCATTATATACTTCAAAACAATATTTGTATCTTTTATTCAGTTAAATCATTACCAAATTAATAGAAATTCTCAAGGAATTTATACTTCTTGTCCTCATCAGCCGCCGACGAGCGGTTCCCCCCCGCACTGCCCTCTCAGGCCAGCCGCCTCGAAGGCGCGTCCCTGCTCTCTCGGGCCAGTCTAACAAGAGGCCGTTAATATGTTTTCAGGTAGGCATCTGATACTACAGCCCAGCATGATATTGCTATCAGTTGATCGAACTAGTTCTAATCAGAACATAGCGTCTAGATTGCCCGCCGCTCATTGGCGGTTTCCAGAAATCAGCTGTGGAAATCGGAGAAACACGATGCTGTCTTCTACTCAATCCTCGCTACTTTTTTGTCTATTCATATGGGATTTGTCTCCTATATGCTTGCGTCGAGATACCTGGTATGTCGGTGGAGTCAGCGGAGTGGGCTCGTATTAGTCGAGATTTTAAGAGGGACTAAGTATGTTGTGGGCGTCGGAGAATGCGGTTATTTCGGGGACGGGAGGTATGGCCTGCCTTCTTAGAGCTTTTCCAGCGTGCTCTCCCAAGGATTTCCCAATCATTCGTACTTAAGTGTTGGTAAATGCCCGCGTAATCTCACTCTTCCAGAGTACCTAGTCTTTTCCCACTCGATTCGCGTCTTGCCTTGATCAAACTACGTGCTTTTCATAATGCCTCTGAAGAAAAGACCGAAGAAGACTGCTGACGTGAACATTTATATCGATGCTAGATCTACCGCTGTGCTCGCAACCTAGACCGACATAGCCTCAGAGTCTGACATCTATATATATATATATATATATATATATGAATATAAGTACAGCGTTGAGCATTCAGGTCATGAATTACCGGGGAACGGGAGATATGATGAATATGAGTACGGCGTTGAGCATCCTGGTCATGGATTACTGTTGTATGTATCCTACAAGAAAAGAGAGAGATACCACTGATCAATTCAGTCACATATAGTTTCTAGCCAAATTGAATGAGAAATTTGCAAATTATTATACTCAGCATTTGATACTAAATCATGGTTTATCAAGTATCACTCCCCTACCAGGAGTATCCGTTCATACTGGGCCCCTGGCTCCCCTCTAATACACCCTCGTAAGTGTTATTGTCCGTGTCGTCCCTGCAAAGCACAGCCTGGCTATATAATGATGGCGGATTCTCAGGTGAGACAAAACGCTGAAGGCCTTCGATCATTGCACACACTATAAGATCGTACCACGAGTCCCGTATGGAGAAAGCGCCACGGCCAAGTTGCATGCCCTGCGAGACAATAAAGGAACAGTCAAGTTCCCATATCACACGAGCCACTGCGGTGTTCTCGTCGTGCAAGCCAATCATCTCCGCGGGTGAGGTAATAACTTCGAATTCGACGAACCCGGCATACGAACTCCCAAGGGCGAGGCGCGTTACGTTGGACGCTATCTTAGCCATCTCATCGTCGCGTGCAGTAACCACTTTCTGGATGGTCCACCTAGACGTGACGTATCATGATCAGTATGGCCAAGAGAGGAGGCAATTTTTTTTTGGGGGGGGGAGGTGGTAGGAGAACATCTTACCTTCGACGACGATCGCGCTCGACGAGCCGGTTGTGGAGCCAGCCGGAAGATTTCTGATGAACGCGTTCTTTGCTTGTCAGGTATTCTTCGGAGCATATTCTCATGTATCTCGAACAGTCGATCAAGATATCGAAGTCAAGGACTGAGTTTATGCCGTCTATCGTATGTGTCCCGACGATTCGAAGGGTCGTCTCCGGCGGAGTGACCAGCTGCCTTGCTAAAGGGCCTTCGAAAAGTCGTTCCATAGAATCCATCTTTCTTTCCTGGTGGGTATGGATGTATTTGTGATCTCTCTCCTGGTGGTTGTGGATATATTCGTTGATGGACAGAAAGGGGAAGTTGGGATCAATCTGGGATCAACGGAGCGAGGTGAAGTGAGTGGTTTGACTTCATCATGTCGTAAGTATGATGAGCCGTGATGGTTTTTCTAACTTAAAATGTATCGAACTTTGATAAGTACAGCTTGTATCTCGGAGATAGCAATGAAAATAAGTTTATGGATAATGGATGACTTCTAAGCTTTTACACAACCCGTTTTTGTGCAATATCCCAGCACCGCACATAACACCGTGGAAAATGACTTGTATCAGAAGATGGTCGTCTTTAGTTATTAAGGTCAGAATACATGTCTATAGCATCAAGTATATATGCCAGGGAGAAAAGATAGTCAGAATCCTTTGTTGGTATAGGGCATGGTTAGGTCACCTGGTTGCCAAGTAAGCCAGGGCAGTCATCCCCATATACCCAGGCCCCCAGTCTCCCCAGACACAGCTGACAGAATCCCACTAACGACTAGTCATTATAGTGCCAACCTACCACCTCCCACAAAAATGCAATAGTCTGAATACAGTGACAATCCTCGAGGTCCGAGAGCGCACCAGGCTGACTGTACCACGCCCAGTCTCCCCATCGAACAGGATGCAAAAATTTCCCCAATCATCACCTCAAAATCGAAGAAACGAGCCAAAAATCCAGGGGTCATACACTCCCTAAAGTGGGAAACCACCGGAAGAACCATCCGTGCAACAAGCAATTTGGGCCGGGCTGAATCTCCTAGTCTACTACGTCGGTGGCTGGGCCGCATTCAGTTTTTCACTTTTCAGCCTTAGCCTTTCTCTCTTTCTCCCACGAAGAACCCTTACTGGTGGTTATTTCCGGCGAGGATCGAGGCGATCATCCTCATCAAAAGACGCCCCGGTGGGGAATATAATCAGCAGGTGTGGCGGCGGCTCTACCGTCGTTGAGGGCGATCTCGGACCATCCGTTTCGGTTCAATCCATCGGGGCGCAGTTGGTCTAGCGATGTCTTGGTGCGAATCGATCGTGGAGAGAGAGAGAGAGGGAGAACCTCTGGGGTATGGGAGGCCCTTGTCTGGGGTTCAATATTGTTGATGTCCATCTTCATCGGATGGTATTTTCATTAATTTGCTGCCGTTTCGCATCGTATTTCTGGAATGGGCCTAATAACAGGAACAGACTACAAACTGGAACGGCGACTAGGCGTGTCTACGGATTATGAAGGGGTTATAGTCTGTCAGAAGTCTCAGTCGACAGCTCTGAACCCAGGATTTCCTGATTACGGAAACCCCCAAACAGGCAATCCGTCACAACCACGGACAGGATCGAGGTATCGACTGCAGTGGAGAGGCAGTGCACGTTTCACAGTCGACGGGATCAGGGTGGGTCGTGACCCTGAACAGGACAGAAAAAGAAAGGCAACGGACAAAAGGTAAAATCATAAAATGGAAGGGATGAAATAATTAGAGATAATATTGAAATAACAGGCGCCCGGGGTTTGAACTAGGACCGGATTCGGCTAGTGTGGCCGAAAGAGGCATTTCATGGACAAAGTGGAAATGCCAACTTGCCCACTTGCCTACTTGCGCCCCGGAAAACAAGAAGTGGCCGAGAGACGGCCTGTTCGGGTCGGTCAATGAGTGATCATCGGAATTCTGCCATAGTGGTCATTTTCACGGGATAATAGAAATAATCGATGACGCTGAGCAATAACGACCGAGGTTGGCTTTGGCCTTTGCTATGCTTCTCTGAGGAACGGTAGGCAAAGGCTTGAAATTGCTTGAGTACGAAGAGACCAGGGTCTCATAGGACTGAACCTGGCCGGACAGGGTTGTTGAACACGGGTGGCGGTCTTGGTCCGTCTCGGCCTTTTCTGGGCACTCGACAAATTAAGTTTCTCCTCACCTGATGAAATGTGACTCTGAGAGATGGATTATTCGGATCATTCCCTGTTAGGATTTCCCCCCAATTTTCCTCCAATGACGCTCACGTCACCTTGAGCCGACCGTCGCGTTTGAATACCCCGGAACTTGGAAGAAAGTCGCCAGACGACCTGACTAGGTACGACCTTAGTATCGTTCTTAGTCCGTGGATCGCTTCTCTGGTTGGTCGAGGCGGTGGGGAAACCCTTCTTCTCCGCCATCACGTTGATTAGACCCGACCAGGTTAGCGAGTGCCATTGCGGGATGGATCCAATGACATCGAGGGTACGATGATGCCGTCCCAGGCCGACCATAGGACCGGACGAGGGGACAAAAAAGGCGGGACAGGGACAGGTCATGGGTCCAGTCGTCGTCAGGTGGTGTGGAGGGTAATCAACGATGGTGGTGGACCATCATTCTGCCTACAGGCGCCTGGGAAAGTGGCTGCATTCCCAGCAAGGCCAGATAAAATAATATTAACTCAGATATAAAACTTCATCCGTTCACATTACTTGTCGAATTGAGGACGGACGTGGAACCCGCAGGAATGCTACTGCCGCAACGCACAGTCCAATGTGCCCATGGTGAGATCGGAAACACGCAAGGGATGATGACCACGTCGGCATGTCTCCCACGAGTTGGGCGGATAGGGCCGAATCGCATGTTTGGTGCACCCACTTTTCTCTCCCCCCTCTTCCTGCCCCAGTGTCCACCCCGGGTGCAACCCCCCTTTCCCTTTTTTTACCCTTTTCCCCATCCCACAAAAAACCAGTTGAAATCCGGAGTCCCCAAAGTCCACTTCCTCCCGCCCACTCGTCCCCGGATTGATGTTTCATCGGGTGGATATTGGAGCCGTGAGGCCCGTGACCGTCAAATGGACCCGATTCCAATACGACGTGCCCCGTTTGGCCCGACTAGGATTCCTGTATGAGCCATATTTCGGGATGTCCGGACAGCCGAGGATAAAATCAATCAATCAAACCCAACCCCCGTGCATGGAGGCCGTTGGTCTCGGGCTTCTCGAACATCCTTCGATCAATCCTTCTCCTTCCTGGCGTGATCGCCCTCTCATTTCTGGTCTGTAAGAAACCGGCTGGCGGCATGCATCCCACTAAGGGAGTAAGCATTAAGAGAAGAACGGGAAAGTGAGCCGTCAGAATAGAACATTCGACACGGATGAGGATCCAGCTAGAGTAGACACCCTCCATGTTCTCTGCGATTGCGAAGTATGGAGATCGTCCTGGATCCGGGTTACCCAGAAATGGCTAGCCCTAGTGCCTGAGGACGTCCAATCACGGGATGGGAAGTAAAACCTGCCAATGACCAAACTTTCCCCGACGATCTTTCTCTCTCTTCTCTCTCACTCTCTCTCTCTGTTGCTTTCATCATCGTCATCAACTACCTATCCGAGTCAATGGACTGGGTCATTCTCACCATGTGGGGCCTCGCTCTATACTTCCCCCCCAATCAACTCTAAAAACCGAGAAAGAGAGACAGAGAGAGCCCCAACATGCAAATCAAAGGGACTAGCTGAATAGTACATGGCATGTTGCACCCGACTCCATGACATTGACACCACGGTCACCAGTGGATACGGATGTCTCTCGTTTATGAAGCCATCCAATCAATGGATCGGCACCTGGGATCGTTGTTCGCTTGAAATGCCCTGATGGTCCCGTTGCTGGCTGCATCTGGTAAGGTGCTATTCCATACCTCCAGGTTCCCTTGCACCAGTCAGTGTTGGTTTCCGTTCTCCCCAGTTCTTCTCCAGGAATTTAATTTCATGTAAATAATAATATGATGCGTTATTATTACCGCTCTGATGTTTTGGACTCTATTCATTGACACCTCACCTTACTTGTACTTGGTCCTGCTTTGAGCATGGCTGTCGGCTCGTCCTTTTAAACCCGGCCGCATCCCCTCCCCTGTCCTACCTTCCTGGCTAATCTGGGTCTTGTTTTTTTTCCTTTTACTTCTTTCCCCATTGTCTCCATTATTCGATCCCATCTCCCTTCTCATCTCTTTTCTTTGTGCCCTCTCTTTCGGGGTTGTCCTTTAATCAATTCTGGTAATCGTTTACTGACACCTCACTGGTCGCGTCCGGCTGTTGCGCCAAAATGCCGCGTTCTTACTTGGGCCTGCAGGGCCAAAAGCTGCAGATCGCTATCGGCCTCATCGCCGGTATGGACTTTCTGCTGTTTGGCTACGATCAGGGTGTCACGGGAGGTCTTTTGACCCTCAAGTCGTTCGCCAAATACTTCCCGACAATTGTTCAAGTCGGAGATGCGTGGAGGGAGATGCAGGAAAACGATCCGGCTGCGGCCAGCGCCCAGTCGACTCGTCAAGGTGAGTCGCGAAGCTGCTGCCGAACCACACCCATGATGGAGCTCTCACTGACCCCTTATAACCTCTAGGTATTGTCGTTGCGGCTTACAACTTGGGATGTTTCGCGGGTTCCATTCCGACGATCTGGGTCGGTAACTGGCTGGGTCGCCGCAAGACCATCTTTCTTGGTTCTTTCATCATGGTTATTGGAGCGCTGCTGCAGTGCACTGCGTACGATCTGTCCCAACTGATCGTGGGCCGCCTGGTGACTGGTCTTGGTGAGTACCCGAACCCACCGCGGAGGACCCAGGAAACGGAGGCAGGGAACTAATCGTCCGATAGGAAACGGTATGAATACGTCCACGGTACCCACGTGGCAGTCCGAGTGCTGCAAATCGAATCGTCGGGGTCAGCTGGTCATGATCGAAGGCGCCATGATCACGTGTGGCATTACCATCAGCTACTGGGTCGACTACGGACTCATGTTTACCGACCCCAGCGAAGTCTCGTGGCGTTTCCCCCTGGCCTTCCAGATCTTCTTCGCTGCCATCATCTTGGCCTTCGTCATGTTTCTGCCCGAGTCGCCGCGCTGGCTCATCCTCAAGGGTCACGAGGACGAGGCCGAGGAGGTGTTGGGTGCTCTTTTGGGTGAGGAGACGGACTCGACCTTCGTCCAGACTGAATATACCGCCATCAAGGCCACCGTCTTGGAGATGGCCAAGGGCTCGTTCAAGGACATGTTCACCATGGGCGAGGATCGCCATCTCCACCGGGTGATTCTCGCCTACGTCAACCAGATGTTCCAGCAGATTTCAGGCATCAACCTCATCACCTACTACATCCCGATCCTCCTGGAGAATCAGCTCAAGATGGACACCCAGATGTCGCGTCTGATTGCTGCGTGCAACGGTACCGAGTACTTCATCGCCTCGTGGGTGGCCGTCTTCACCATCGAGATCTTCGGCCGGCGTACGCTCATGCTGTTCGGCGCCGCGGGCATGTCCCTCTCCATGGTGGTCCTCGCCATCTGCAATGCCATCAACACACACCCCGCCCAGATGTGTATGATTGTCTTCTTCTTCGTGTTCAACACCTTCTTCGCCATCGGCTGGTTGGGCATGACCTGGCTGTATCCCGCCGAGATCGTGCCGCTGAAGATCCGTGCGCCCGCCAATGCGCTGGCCACCTCGTCCAACTGGATCTTCAACTTCCTGGTGGTCATGATCACCCCGGTTGCGTTTGAGAACATCGGGTATAAGACCTACATTATCTTTGCCGTCATGTGAGTTCTTGCCCCTTTTTCCCTTTTCAGTATTCTTTTGACATCGGCTGACCTGTCCAGTAACGCGGCCATCTTCCCCGTCACCTACTTCTTCTATCCCGAGACGACCCACCGTTCCTTGGAGGAAATGGACCGCATCTTCCACAAGACCAAGAGCATCTTCTCGGTCGTCAATGTGGCCGCCACGGAGCCCCACATGTACGGCAAGAAGGGTGAGCTGCTGCACACGCTGGACGATGTCGAGGATGCGGCTATACACGCAGTGCGCCGCCAGAGTGTAGTGGACCACACCCACAAGGCTATGGACAGTGATGAGACCAGCACGGAGAAGTAGGAGGCTATCAGCGGAGTGGGGTAGGCTGATTTGGTTTTCTTCATCTGATTTTACGACTTTTTTTTCTTTTTCCTTTTTTTTCATAGCTTCATCGGTCGCCGGAGTCGATTCCGATCGGCCCGTCTCCGAGCTGGTGGACGATATACCCAAACGGTTCTGTAATTAGGTTTTATATCCGGGCGCGAGTGGGTCTTTCAATACATTGTACACTTTGCCTGATTCCAACCACGGGAGTGAGGACTAGGATGAACTACCCTATCTATGTATCTCCACCATTCAGCCCTACGACTTGCATTAAGGGATCACACAACGTACATATTAGAATGTCTACCACTAGACCGAAAATGTCTAAGAATGGATGTGAATGCATCGTCGATCAGGTCGGCTGACTACGTAGTCTACAGCCCTAACAGGGCTTTCCTGGTCTTTATGTATCCATCCCCTTTGTTCCTACCTATGGAGCGATGGGTCTACTCTTACTGATTGCAACTTGCATAGCATATTACTCTAACAAAGAGATCAATTTCATTATCTTAACAAAAAAATCACTTCTATCACTTCAACAAAGAGATCAATTCAACTCCGATTCATCAAATCTAACATATAAAACAAGACTACTCCAAAGCCCCATCAAACCCCACAAACAAATCTATCACTCTCCCCACTAACCCCAACAACCTCAACACCCCCTCCCCCAAAACGCGCCAACAAACACAAGGCCAACAAACTAAAGATCCCCCACAGCCCTCTTAACATACATCTCAGCATAGTACAGCATAGCCCGGTCCCCCTTCTCAACCACATGGTCGGGAAAAGAAAAGCAGATCCAGACGCCGCCGCCGAGGCCGCCGCCGCCGCTGCGGACGGGGCAGGCGTACACCGCGCGGCGGGACTCGGGCCCCTCCTTGTGGATGGCGTAGTGCAGGGAGCGCTTGATGGCTTGTAGCAGCTCCTCGTCGGAGTCGACGGTCTTGTTGTGGAGCGGGATGAAGAAGCAGTGGGTTGTGGGGTTGGAGGGGTCGGGCTTGGTGCCGAGGGTGGAGGTGTTGTAGAGGATGGTTGTTGAGGAGGTGAAGGTTAGGGGTTTGGGGGCGGTGGTCCAGGACTTCATTTTGGGTGGTTTTTTCTGGTTTTTTTTTCTTGAGGTGGCTTTGTTTGGTTTGCGAGGTTGTGTGGATTGGAGGATTGGATTGTGAATTGGATTCATTACTGTGAGGTCATGTTGGGTATTTATACTCCTCGAGCTCGAAACTTCACAAATATCTTTGTTGCGTATCATGATAATGTTCATTATACTGTATACATGGGAGATGCCTTCCCCAATCTTTGTGCAAGCATACACCGGATCAAAGATTCGAAGCAGTGGTACAAAGAGTATAGCTAGAGCTTTGTTAGTATGAAGCTCATGAGCTTCATTGTGGATCCTTATTCTTGTGCAAGGTGTTTGTGCGAGGTGTTTGTCCGCTCTATGAAAGACTCGGGTGGGGCTTTTGTATGACAATGAAGTACCTCGTTCTTTTATACGTGGTTTTTAGCGTGTTGGCTTTGAGATATAGGTTTGTGCCTGAATAGTTCGTAGTATTAAGTCAGATGCTGACGTTGGAATCTGCCAACAGTTTATGAGATGTGGAATCAATGTTGGGAATAATCCTATTATGGCTGTTGTGCCTGGGGAAGGCATTGTTTGGGTGGATAGTGTGTGGTGTGGCTATCTAGTCGTAGATTGGACGAGGTTTGATCGGCAACAGAAATTTTCTTTGCCTTTATATGGATTATGTCGTATGATCATAATGTCTGCTAATGCCCTTTCATAAGGTGGTATACATAGATAGATCTATCACAAGTTCACAACATGGATGATGAAGATGACTAATGCACAAACATCTGGGGAGTTACACATACGCGACTACGCCTTTGACAGTCTTGCATCATTGATGTTTGGAACAATCATGCTATTCCCACGCATGTTGAACAGGATCAGGCATGTGTTCCCAATATTGCGGAGAGAGACCGTCTTGTTACCCCTCTCTAGCCAATCGTACTCCCATCCAAGCCGACCATACTCCCATCAACACCCTCAGCATCAGATAGCCAACATCGTCGGAAGCCCACATGACTTCTTCCGCTATACGAGTGGACGATGGCTTTGGGATGAAGCGCAGCGGCTTGAAGAGAGGCATCGTGAGTTCGATATACTCGAACTGCAGAAAATCGCCATGGGACTCTCATCTTCTGAATCCTGCATCAGTATGGAAAAGATAGGGGAAGGGTCGTACAACAAGTCTTTCAAGCTCACCATGGATAACGGAAAGACGGTTGTCGCTCGGATTCCGAACCCGAATGCTGGGCCGGCTTTCTTGACGACGGCGTCGGAGGTTGCGACGATGGATTTTGTAAGTGGTCTTTACCTTTGCTGTGTTGATGGTCTTTGTAGGTTGGCATACCATTGATCTGACATGACTTGTAGTTACGAAACATACTCCACGTTCCAGTCCCCGAGGTTCTTGCGTGGAATGCTGCGGTTGATTCTTTGGATCCTGTAGGGGCGGAGTACATCATCATGGAGCATGCCCTGGGCAAGAATCTGGCAGATGCTTGGACAGACATGGACATTGAATGTAAAATTCAGACCATGAATGATATAGTGGCTGTACAGCAGAAGTTGTTATCTTTGAGATTCTCCGAGTATGCTCACCCTGATCAACAATCCAGCATAATTCTGACTTGAGCAGATACGGTTGTCTCTTCTACAAGAAAGACGCGCCTTCTGGATCTCACCCTGCAATAGTCGAAGGAGACGTGTCGCGTGAACTCAAGCATGACATTGCTGAGAAGTTCTCCATCGGGCCGATGGTCGACACTGCATTCTGGAATAACGGGCGAGGCGATATGGATATTTACTGTGGACCATGTACGCTCCTTCGTCGTTATCACTAGACTCGGCTAATCTTGTATACAGGGGGTTCTGCGGTTGACTACATGCAGGCTCCTGCCCTTCGAGAGATAGCCTGGATCCAGAACCATGCAGTTCCGCGTTCTCCGGATGATCCATTATTCGTGTCGCATAGCCAGAACGATCCGGCTGAACACGTTGCTCTTCTCCAGAGATATCTAGATGCTGCTCCTCATCTGATCCCACAGGAGGCAGATATCTCAGGGTCGTATTTATGGCACACAGACCTTCGTACGCCTAATATCTTTGTCGACGATCGTGGCCATATCACTAGCATCATAGACTGGCAAAGTACATGCGCTGGTCCGTTATTTCTACACGGCCGTCATCCTCATTTTCTCGACTATAAAGATGAGTTGATCTTCAAATTACCAGAGAATTTCAAGCAAATGGATGAAGATACGAAAAGCGTTACGAGGGACAAACTCGCCAGCTCGATCTTAGTATATCGGTATGAGAAATATACAGCGGAAAGAAACCCACTCCTGGACAAAGTGCTCCGGTATCCAAATGGCAAGACATTATCACATCCCATCAGCTTTGTGGGAAATACATGGGATGAAGACATCATACCGCTACGAGAATCTCTGATACGGATACAGAGGTAAGTATGACGATACCATTCTGCATTTTGACCATCCATACTTTCTAACAGATCTTGAAGGGATTGGAATCTCTTGAACCGTTCGACTCAGTGCCCCATTGACTTCTCTCCGGAAGAAATTCGCAAACATTATGAGGATGGTGAAGACTGGAATGAACTCCAGGACTTCTGGGATGCTTTATCTGGTGTCATGGCCCGGGATGGATGGACCTCGTATGTCACGTACGATGAAGCTGTGTCTGTCTATTCTCAGATTCAGGCCACACAGCCCTCCACGGACGATGTAGTGCCGGGGAGGAATTGAACTTCCTGAGAGCTCGAAGAGAGGATAAACGACCATATATTTGATGATGATAATTCATACTAATGTCTATGTAGACTCCACTACTTTTATACTATTCCGTAATGTCGGATTACAAGACCAAGGTCAGTCAGAATGAACCCTAAATGGATATTTATAATACTTTGATGCAGTGGTGTATATAATCGATCTCGCCCCTCATTGGCCGTTCAGAGATTGCCCATTCCGGAGGGATTTCCGCATCAGCTGACCTTCCCCTTTCTCATCTTCGGTGAAAAACTTCAATTGAAGATCTTACACTTCTTTCCACTCGAGGAGATACCTACACAATCAGTCGTTGCGTGACGTCCACCGCCTACCATGCAGAGATGGTGATCGACAGTCGGCCCGTCTTATCAATCTACCCTTGCTAGCCTCGGAGTCAGGGCGAGAATTAGAGTTACGCCGTCGCGCCATGCCATTCCCCTCTTTTTTCTTCAACATTTTTTTCTATCCTTTTCTCCTCACATCCCTCCCTTCGCTCCCTTCGGATTAAGAAAAATCATCTTCAGCAAAATAACCGCCATTATATTACAATCCCGGATTAGCTATATCCTGATTAAATCCTGAGCCGTTCCAGGACCGGCGGTCCTGCGCGTTGTGGGGCAACCCGCCGCCTTCGAATTTCTATTGCGGCTGGTTTTGTTGGAAAATAATACGGCTTGACCCTGTACGTGACGGCAATACGGCAGACGACAGAAGTTCCGACTGGACGATATTCTCCTAGCGCCGTCATGTCGCAACCCCAACCAGACCAGGCCATCTTCAAACAACCCGATCAGCCAAGTAGTATCCGGGAACGTTCTCCGGACAGTCACGATGTAGAAACGAACGAGCCGGATGTGGCCGAGGTCGAGCGCATCTACCGGTATGCTCCCCACACCCGCTGGTCAAGTTGCCATTTGTACTGAGACACCTCAGAAAGCTGGATCTCCGGATCATTCCCGCGTTCTGGGTCCTCTACTTCCTCTGCTCGGCCGTGCGGTCCAACGTCGGTCTCGCGCAGACGATGAACACGGACACCGAGCATGATCTAGGGTCTGTGCTGAAGATGACCCCTCATCAGGTCTCGACTGGTCTGGCGTTGTTCTACGTGTGTTACGTCGTCTTCGATCTGCCGTCCAATTTGATCATGACGCGCTTGAGCCCGCATGTCTGGATGAGCCGCATTGTCATCAGTGTGGGGGTGATTGGGACTTGTCTGGCGGCTATGAAAGCCGCCTGGAGCTTTTAGTATGTCTCCCATTTTCCCCTCTGCTCTTGTCCCCACGACACAAGTCGTTGAGAAATGAGAATGAAAACTGACCAGCAAGTCTCCTCCGTCTTCTCCTAGGTGTCGTCATCGCCGGTATGTGGCCCGGAATGGCCTACTATCTTACCCTCTTCTATCCTCCCTCTCGCACCGGAAAGCGTATCGGCCAATATTACACCGCTGCGCAGATCTCCGCTGCAGTCGTCGGCTTGGTGTCCGCTGGGTTCCAGAAGATCGACGGCGAGCGAGGCTATGTCGGCTTCCAGTGGATGTTCCTGGTGTATGGCGTCATCACCATCGCCGTCGGCATCGTCTTGCTATGGTGGCTGCCTGACCGGCCGACAATCCCTGGGCAGGAGCCCGAGACGCGCAAATATTTCCGGTGGATCCCACGCAGCGCCCCTGCGTTGACTGGGCGAGACGCCGAGATCCATTACTATGATCTGAAGCGCGCTTATCACCGCCCGCGATGGACGCTGAAGGACCTGCTGGGGGTGTTTATGGATTGGCGGCTGTGGCCGCTGCTGATCATGTACTTTGGAGTTGTGGGGGTGGGTATCGGCGTGCAGAGCTACGCCAGTGTGATCATCCGTGCAATCAATCCGCAGCTGAGCGGGGTTGAACTGAGCTTACTGACGGCACCGATTTGGCTGGTAGGTCTTCGCTGTTCCATAGCCCTTCTCTCACCAAACTCTGCATACATCCACGCAAAGAAGCAAGAGGGAAAAGCGAAAAGCAAAAAGCTAACAAGCACAGATGGACCTAGCCGCCATTCTCCTAGTCACACCATTCTCCGACCGCTTCCACCAATACCGAGCCGTCTTCTTCTCCATCCCCGCATGCCTCCAAATCCTAGGTCTCCTATTAACCACCTACGCCGGGACAGAATCCAACCCATGGCCACGGTACGGCGGCCTACTAATCGTCGGCTTCGGCCTCGGCCCAACAGTACCCATCACCATGACCTGGACGTCGGAGATTTTCCAACCGCGGCACGGCGAAGTCGGCGTGGCCGCCGCCTCAGCGGTGGTATCAGGCTGGGGCAACCTCGGCAGCGTGGTCACGACGTACGCCCTGTACGAAGGGTGGGCGAGCGACTCGGCCGCCACAGGACGAGACAAGTACCGCAGGAGCAACCTGGTGATGGTGGGGATTCTGTGCGCGAGTATTGTCGCGGCTATAACGATGGAGGTGCTCTTGAAGATGATGCGTCGTCGAAATGGCGGGCAAGATGAGGGCGAGGATAAGATTGTGGATGGGGCCGCGCGGAGAGAAGCGCAGCAGCGGGGGCTGCATGGGCTGGGATCGAGTCTGGTTAACCATGTCCGGGGGAAATGATACCGTCTATTTACTCCCCTCGTCTGTTTACGTGAGCCACATCTGCTCTCTGCTCCACGTGGGAGTTCCTTGTATTTTTGATATACTCCATCTGTCTAGATCACAACATACGAAATAGAATAATAAAATACCGGCCTTTGCATTCACACAATAGTATAGGTAAATCTCAGGTAATAGGGGAAACCCACACCAGGGCGAGATCAGTATTGGCGCAACAGTGCGCGCCTCGCCAAAGCATGGGGGATGTAGCAGAGCATGTTGGAATATTCCAACTAGGATGGACGTTGGTTGGTAGCTTCTATATGAAGGCCAGGGGAAAGCTGGGCTAAGGTTACCTTTGCTTTTTCCCGGTGTTGCTCTAGTGTCGCACCGGATATTTACTGCGGTTTTTCACCTCGGTGCTGTTGATATTCTCTGGATATAAGCTGGACTTACACACTATTTGTAAGACATCTTAGTTAGCTGTATGCTTAACATACTCTCTAATGGATGGATAGATAGATCTACATCCTGTTGATGACCATCTTGATCAGCCCTGTATCCTTAGTATTCTCTCCAATGATTAGATGTACTTACGCCCTATTCATGACCATATTTGTTAGTTATGCATTAGCGGTATTCTCAGACGAGATCCGCTTACCCCTATTCATAAACCATTGCTATTAGACTTATATTCTCAGTATCTTCTGATAGTTAGATGGACTTACATACTGTTTATAAGGCGCCTTGGTTGGCTCTCTATATCCTTGGTATCACCACAGAAGGATAGAGTACTCATTTACGTCCTATATTACTAGTTAGCTCCATGTTTCTGGCATTCTCATGAAGTATAGAATTATTCAGTTACCTTCTAGTTATCCATGTTCAACCTCAGTCAGCTGTGTCCTCAATACTATCTTGTAAATATAAGGTCGGCCACTCACGCACTATACAGTCTATCTCAGTTAGCTCTGTATGCTCGCATGCTCCCTGATGCTAGATTATTGACTTCGTCCTGTTTGTAAATCGTCTCAATTGTTTCTGTAGTTTGGTATCGTCCGGTTTTCATAGTCCAAGATCTATGGATCCAATATTTCTTGGACCATGTTAGAGATAAATATTGTATATTTAGGCAATGAAACCAGATACATAGGTTGAAGTAGTGTGATTGCCCTGTATTCTCTTACTACCAAACCAGTAACTATCTGCCCAACGAAAGTTTTCCACCCTCGCATCCAATTTTATGTCAGGATCTCTCCCTCTCCTACAGTTACTCATGGAGTCTACCAAGCTACCCCAGATCCCGAACCCCACATAGAACAACCAATTCCCACACCCTAGGTCAACTCGGCAACGTCCCGGATATCAAGGCCCTGGGATCTATCTACATATCCATGCTTTCTTTCCATGATCAAGGTGTCCGAATCGGACAGTCCCCAGTCAATGAATGGTATACGTAGTTACAGTTATAGTTATGGTTACGGCTATATCCGTAGGGCTGGGCTAGAAGAACCCATACAGGTAGGTTGGTGGTCATATGTAACCAGCAAGTGTTATTGTCCTCGATACCTGCCTAGGGAAATACAGTACTAATTGAAAATGAGTAGGTAGGTAAGATTGATTGGCAGGATATGATATCTATTCATACCTAAAACTTGGACTTACATATAGCATACAAATAGACAGAGAGGTAGATAGTACAATCGAGACTCTCCCAAACATTTATACTAACAAAAGACACTCAATAATCATTCAATCCCTCTAATCAACGATACGGTCTACGTGGTCGAGTTCTGTCTACATGGAAATATGCTTCTACTCACAAATTTAGGTAAAAGGATGCATATATGTCAGGTAGTAAAGGTAGTATGTACGTAGATACTATAGGCACAACTTAGTGTGTAACTACACCATGCATCATCACCGCACTAAGTGTATTAATGATCGGTCTCGGGAATAGTGTGTATACTAACTACAATCATCATGGTGTCAACGCCAGACGCCACCCCACATGCTAAGCTACATCTGGCGGATGCTAGTTAATTAATGTCATGCATGATGATCGACGCGGGTGAACGTGCCATCTATATCACAGTGCGTTCTGGCGGATTGAAAAGTGGCTGAGGAAGTTTGACATCTCCAATAGAGATCTATTTTTGATAATATCCATGCTGAGCTAATTATACACATGATTACTTGATGGGCGTAATCAACGAGTGATTGAATACACTAGTACTATCCTCCCACTCCACGGCCGTCGGCCTCTTCTATTGACATAACACATAACCACAGAAAGAAAGGATGAAAAGGGAAAAACTGATGCAAAGCACGGGATACGAACGCAAGACACCCTGGCTCCCGTTCAACCGACCAGGCTGCTCTGTCCACTCCCTGACGCCGGAGGGTATACGAGCGCTAAAACAAAACACGATCTAAACACCACCGCAGAGCTAAACACAGTTAGTATAGTTGACAGTAGAGTGGTTAATGGAGGAACATACAGTCTCAACGATGATACCAGTGATCTGGTAGGGGCAGGCGTTACTGGCCGGACGGCGGTCTTCGAAATAACCCTTGCCATCCTTGGCCGTCTGGCGGGGAATACGGATGCTGCCACCACGGTCGGCGACACCATAGCTGAACTTGTCAATATCCCCGGTCTCATGACGGCCGGTCAGACGCTCCTCGTTGCCCTCTCCGTAGACGGCGATGTGTTCGACGTGACGCGCCTCCAGCTTCTTCATGCAGGCCTCGATGACCTTCATACCGCCCTCGGAACGCATCGACTCCGACGACACGTTGGTGTGAAGACCGGCGCCGTTCCACTCACCCTTGATGGGCTTGGGCTCGAAGGAGATCCGGACACCGAACTCCTCGGCAACACGGTGCAGCATGAATCGGGACATCCACAGCTGGTCACCCACTACAAGACAGTTAGTCAACCTTCCACGATGCAGATAGTAATAATGGAGAAAAACTCACTCTCGATTCCGTCACAGGGGCCAACCTGGTACTCCCACTGGGAGGGCATGACCTCGGCGTTGACACCGGAGATCTTGATGCCGGCGTACAAGCAGGCGCGGTAGTGGGCCTCGACGATGTCACGGCAATAGACCTTGCCGGTACCCACACCGCAGTAGTAGGGGCCCTGGGCGCCGGGGAAACCACCCTTGGGCCAGCCGTAGGGCCAGCCATCGTTGCCGAGAAGGGTGTACTCCTGCTCCAGACCGAACCAGAACTCCTCCTTGGCGTGGGTCTCCATCAACCGGTTGGCATCATGACGGTAGTTGAACTTGTTGGGGGTTCCGTCGGAATCCCAGGTCTCACAGAGGACGAGGATGTTGTCACCGAGACGGAAGGGATCGGGGTAGATGGCGACGGGGCGCAGGTAGACATCGGAGTTGTCACCGGGGGCCTGGGCAGTTGACGAGCCGTCGAAGTTCCACTCGGGAAGTTCGTCGACACACTGGACGGGCTTGGAGAGAGTCTATGGAGACGGGGAATCCGGTTAGTCACGTGGGCGGGTGGGGTGCAGATGTAGCGTGACATGCAGAGGATGATCGATCGGACAGGGATCCAATCCGATCCCTCCGGGACGAACGGAATTTGTAGTATAGACATACCTTGGTCTTGCTGCGGCAGCCACCGTTGGCGTCAATCCAGACGTACTCCGCCTGAACCTTACCACGCTGGTCAAGGTTCATGTATTTCATGAGCTGTTGCCAAAGGCATTTAGTCAGTATGGGAAGTCTTTCGACCGCCACGCCATCTCTTTCGAAATGACTTATGGTTTTCAAGAGGAACGCACATTCTCCGTGTTGGAGACGGTTGTTGATTCAGAAGCCTGTGGAAATGAGTCATCGGTTAGCCGATCCGGTTTTTCAGTGGCGAATCCGCGGGGCACACGGGCAACTGGAGGGGGATCACAACGTACCATGACTGATGAATGTGAATTGATGATCAACTAAAAAGAGTTGTTTTTGTTGGCAGAGCCAGTTAGAAAGTTCAATTGCTCGACTGAGACGAGATTGAGACGCGATCGAGATCAAAGATCGATTGATAGAAGAGTTGGCCGACAGCGAGAGAACACTGGGGGGATAGACGAGTGATAAATAACACGGTAGAGAGTGAGATTTAGAAACGAACGCGGACGAGAGTCTTTAGAGGGAGACGAGAGGATGAAGAAATAGATGGAGGTGGGATGAGAAGGAAGTTCAAGAGAAGAAGCTGGGATTGTGGGTGGGGGGACATCCGTTCCATTTAAGAAAAGCGTGCAAGCACTGCTTTGCGGCAAAAAATTCAAAAAAAAAAAAAAGAAAAAAAGAAAAAGAAAATCATAAAGGAAAAAAGTGGAAGTGAAAAATACAGGAAAGTCTGGTAGGGTTCGGTTACGGCCCACCCGGTGGTAATTTTGGTAATTTGTAATTCTAGTTTATTCTGGTCATTCGGATACGGTTCCAGACTTGGTTCGAATGGTCTTAATGCCTGACTTGATGCCTCACCAGGGGTTTCTGTCTGTGTTTCAGGCATGGAAAAAGGCGCATCCTGGCAGACCTCGGGATCCCCGGTCGATGGCTGAGACTGGAACCAGATGGATGTTCCGATAGGTGTGATGGTTCTATTTCTAGACTATAGTGAAGCTATAGTATTTGTTATGGTATACATGAATCTATATCACATAGTTTTCTATAGTATCCGTACACCATAGCACAATCGTGGATATTTCATGGTGGCTAAGAGAACAACCGTTGGCTTCATTTGGCGGTGTACATTACAATACGGGCCCAAGAAAAAAAAAAAAAAAAAAAAGGCAAAATCCCAAACAGGCAGTCAGGTGTCAAAAATGCCTCCCCCTTTCTGGATCACGTTGAATATCAACCTGGAGTGACCCAACAGTATTACTCTAGTATACTCCGTAGACTACGTACTAATCTAGACATCAAATCATTCAGCCAAAAGCAAAATGTTGCATCGCCTGGAAACTTCCCCAGAATGTTCACCGTTCTGCGGTTCCTCCCGGCTATCGCGGTCGCGGTCACGGTCACATGGTGCACGGTCTCCAGTTCTCAACAGATGGATACAGATGGATATTTCTTTTTCTTCTATTCTAGTTCTCTTTCTATTTCGATGTATGTGATAGATATGTATCGTTTGACTCTGCACGCAATATGCAGAGTCTAGACATTGGTCAACGATATTATAAAAGAAAAAGAATATATCGAATTGGATATCGATAGACTTATCGGCTTATCAGCGTGCCCCTCGACCCTCCCCGCGCCATGCAGCTTCTGTCGCGTGGTGGAAGGATAGCGCGCCTGCCGATTGGATTTCCCTCCTCTCCTCTTTCCTCTTGATAGAACCAGGAGTCTAGACAAGTTGGGACCATTCACATCATTCCCAATCCTTCGATTTTCTCTGATCTATAACCATCCATTATAGTGAGGGCTATAAGGAGGGAAGGAGAATACCCGGTATTGCAAATACCACCCCAGGTAAATACCGCAGTGGGGAAGAATAAAACCCGTGGCAAAAATGACTTTCTCTCTCCCAAGAGCGAGGGAGCCGCCCGTAGTCCCGAGACCGGCCTAGCGCGTGACATGACTAAGTCCCTCCGTACTCTTTCGCCGTGCACCGCCTCGTCCAAGTGCAAAATGGTCTGGGTTTTGTTCTGGACCCGGTCTCGGACTCGCCACACTGTCTATAATAAGTATCTCTCCCGGATTATATTTAGATCTTTTGTGTGAAACTGTAAAACCCCCCAGCCAACCGCTCTGGACGCCACCGTCCCGTTGGCTCGGTTGGGGAGATCTGATCCAGTCGGGCTTCTCCAGGTTTGATGCTGTACAATGTGATACTTCTCGGATCGCGAGGGAATAGTTCAAGAAAGGAGGGAATTGACTAGTGCTAGTTCTAAACTACTGAGTCTTGACAGGTGCATCCAGAATGCCTAGTTCGGGAGAATCAGGAATTGCTTGTGACTGGCCAAGGTTTCCAACGAACGTGATGTCAACCGGCGCATAGCCTGGTAGACGACATCACCACTGTCCCCAATATCCTTTGCCCCTGCCAACAAACGAGGATATCCATCTCCGTCCCCATCCCTTGTACACAACACGATTGGACGTTCCCCCCTCGCCAAGCCAACTATGAGGTTTGGCGTTGGACACACTTTTCCTCTCCTACCCCGGATCCCAAGACCCTGTCGACATCATCGAGGATGAATGCTATTCATGCCAACTAATTAATATCCCTCCTCGATCAGCCCTCGGGAATATCTCCCGCCTAACCCAATCAGGGTTAGCTGTCCTCGTGCGTCCTCGTGCTCGGCAAATCACCGTCCGATTCCTTTTCTTGGATGTTGTCATGGGCTTGGGTGCTTGGGTGCCTTGCCTAGGCTATGACATCGTTACTTTCATGCATCTGTCTTTCTTGTCGTTATTGGTGTCGCCTGTGAACTGTATTTGTACTCGGTATGCCATGGAGTTCATCCGTCATGGCTAGACTCGGCGCACACAGACTCGGTCCTCCGGCAGAATCCACTCGGTGAGTCACAGTCGGGTAGCCCCAGAGACTCGACTCGGCACTGATATGGATAAATTATATGGTGATATGATATGATCGTGATAGGAACTCCACCTAAGGATCAAAAAGGAAAAGTTACCCTGGTATTTCATATTCGATATTTGCAGTCGGAGATCCTCCCAGGTATCAGGTAGATACTACAAACCAAAGGTACCTAACAGGGATGAGGCATATGTTTGAAATGGTGAAACTGATCTTCTCGGTCCACCAATCAGAAGCCGTTCCTCCCGCTCCTGGCCGATTGCTTATCGCTTATCGCTGATTGGTGGATAGACCTGCTCATGACAAACGGCGCTGACTTCTGTCTATATTCATTCTTTCTTTAGATTCATGAGATACACTGGATGTAATTGGGGAAATACTATATCTCTCATATTATAGCAATCTATTACATCTATTGGCCTTAATTTTCGATATCTATTGAAGTAGTATCAACAACGCCACAGAAGAACCCAAAAAGGATAGCTCAATACAATAGTATCACAAGCGCCCTCGACTGAACCCCCGATAAGCAGAATACAATAGTACTACCTAATCAGTAAAGCAAAAAAAGTAACTTAAATAGTCAATACAAAAAGGAACTAGTCATTGAAGTGCAGTAATTCGCGCAGTTGATCAAGCATGGGATTGAGAAATTCCCCGACTTCTCTCCCTTAATAGTTTCAGACGATGAAACTTCTGCCTGACACTACACTACCTACATTCAACATTCTTGATTGTGATGTTGATCTGCAGGGCGCCGAGGTTGGCATTTCTATTTTCTGTTTTGAATAGTTTTTGTGGGTTTCTTTCTTTGTTTTATCTATCTTTTGGAACTCCTTTGGTTGTTGTTTAATGATTTATCTATCAGTTTAAACAAAAAACTTAAATTTGCAAAGGGATTTGAATAATACATAATAAATAAACAAATCAAGTGGAAAAACTATGTAAAATCATGAGGGAATAAACAACTGAATTATTTGATCAGTCAAATAGTTCTTTCCTTTTGCGTCAATCCTGCATGTTGATCCCTCATACTCTTTCCATTTCTCTTTTTTTCGTATTTTTGCATACGTTTTCTTTTCTATCTTTTGGTTTCTGCCTGTGTGGATGCTCGTTTGTCTACCTAGATTCGTTTGTTTCTCCCTCGTGGGAGATTTGTTATACTTGCCTGCCTACCTATCTATGTATTAGCACTATTCCTTTCATACTACCTACTCTTCTATACTAGGTACTATATACTACTGTATGCCACTTACTATAGAAACTATGTTCGCTCTCTACTGTCTACTGTCTACTATCTAAGAAGATGCGATCCGATCTTTTAAAGATTCATCCATGTCTATTCCCAGTCACCCAGCTAAGTAAACTGGTAGTACTCCGTGGAGTCGTCCGATCGTTCGACAATGCAGGTACACCCTTCCCGCCAGATAAGGCCCTGACGATCCGATAACGCAACCCTGCACCGAACATCATATCATAGCAAACCCTATCTAGGTACACCAGATCCAGATCTGATCTGGTCAGATCTGTTACAGTAACAAGGGACCCTGGTGCTGATCTAGCTACCCCGGCCGATGATCATTGCTGCCGCCGTCTCGCCCATCGTAAGATCCACTCTACCAGGACCCCGATGTCCTGCGAGATTTCTAGCACGTGCGCCATTTGGCGCTGTAGTTGGATTGCCTCGTCGGTGATGGTGTCGGCGGTGGCATCAGCGTCGTTGGAGTCTTCTGGTGTGGGAGAATCCTCGAGTAATCCGGCCATGTCGACGACTGCGATCCGTCCGTTGAGGCCGACTTCTAGGCTGATGGATACCTTTCGCGGGGTGGTGCCGCTGGCGCTGGTGGGGAGGCCGAGCTGGGTGTCGGTTACGGTGAAGAGGAGCATGATGACGGGTGGGTGGGAGAGTTGGGTTCGGAGGGTTACGTCGACTTTGACGTCGTTGTTGGTGTTGTTGGTGTCTCCCTTGCGGGGAGTCTCGGCGGGGGTGGTGTGGTTGTCGGTGTTGGTGAGGGTGTCGCTGCTGCTGCTGCTGTTGGCCCAATTCAGGAGCCAATTGAGCTTTAGCTCGTTGGGGTCGTCGTTGCTGAGGACGGTGTTCGTGGTCTTGGTGTCTGAGGGATTCTCGGACCCCTTCGGGGACGGGAAGCCATTGGGAGACTCTTGCTGGATCTCCTCCGGGCGGTCGTTGTTGAAGATGGAGCGGATCATGTTGGCGAGGGATGCGTATTGGCGCAGAACCTGGATTTCGCTCGTTAGTATGACATCGAAGTGGGAATTTGTAGTAAAGGAGCATACCGGGAAAATCTCCGCAAGCTGGCGCGGATGCGCAAAGACAATATCCCGGATTGTTCGGCCCTGCGTGGACTCAAAAGGCTGGAACGTGTAGGTGTGCCACTTCTTGTATGGCTTCCCGTCCACGTCCACGGCAGACACCGACATACGCCGCCGCTTTCGGCCCAGCTGGTACGCGTCCTCGAGACCCAGACCCATGGCCGTCGCGGCGGACACGGGTGACCACCCCGGGGCCAGTAGCCCATCGTATGTGATGCCGTCGTACGTGACTACCCGGAACTCCTGCGGGATGTCGAATCCAAGCTGTCGGTAGATGTCTGAGCCGACGATGATGGGCACGTCGAGCGGGGGCTCCAGCCGCGCGACGAACCGCCGGTTGGGTGCCGATCCTAGCATGTTCGCGTCGAGTGCCATGGCATCCGGATGGCCCTGGCTGTTGGTTGCGATTGTCGCTGGGGGGTCCGTCCAGTTCACTACCATGTCGGGCTCGTCTGCGGCGTTGTCAACCCGCGTTAACGGCTCCGGCCCAACCCAGTCCTTCGACACCCGGAGCGACGGATAGCCCTCCTCGCACTCGACGGCGACGCTCCACCTTCCCTTGAGCGACTCCGGGGCATCGTCCGACTGGTCGATCTCCATGTCATCCGACCCCTTGCTCTTTTTGCACTGAGCGTCCACGACGCGTGCCTGCCACACCCAGTAATCCAGTCCCAGCCCTATCCGGCCTTCCTGGTGGAGGAACGGGCGGCCAACACTCGCTTGACATAAACGTTCGTAGACCCCCGGAATTTTGCCCTGGCTCCCCTCGGCATCCCACACCCGCCGCAAGCTCTCGTAAAGCCCCTCGATCGCCTCGAAGCAATTGACCTCCTGACTGAGCCGGTCATGCCGAGCCAGCCACTGCAGATTCTCATGGAACCCCGCAAGGGACTTCCAAGCCCCGCGCTCCCCGTCCTCAGACGGCTGTATGAGGCCCCGCTTCAACACAGCGGTCGCCTCCTCGCGACTCTCCCCTTCTGTCGCCTCAGGCGTCGCGTACTTCAAGCTAACGTCCATAACGGTATTCTCTCTCCGGTGGAACTCGATCTCCAAGTCCACGAAATTGCCCGCGATATTCAAGCTATCTTCCTGCCAGATCGACTCGAAGCCCTCCAGCTGGCCTAGTCGCTCGATACCCTCCCGACACACACCCCGGCCCGCCACCCGCGTGCGTAGCAGCTGCACGACGTGGTCGATGTTCCGCCGCCGCTCCTCGTCGCTGTCGCGCGGACCGCCCAGTTTCAGGCCGTGTATGCCCAGCGCTTGAATGTCGCTCTCGTTCATCCCCGTCGCTGCCACCAGCCCGTCATGGCCGGCCGGCGAGGGTGTGATACCCGCGTATCCGCTCAGCGCTAGGAGCGCGGACGGCGAGCTGAAGGTGACGGGGTCGTCGATGACGCCCCCTGCGGCGACCAGGGGTGTCGCATAAAGGTGATTTGAGGACGGCGGTGGTCCTTGGAAGGCGGAAGGAGTCCGTGTTGACGGGGACTTGTGCGAAGCGGGGCGAGGTAGGGGGCCCGTGGGACGTGGGGAGGAAGTCAGATGGGTGGGAGTTGCGCCGGGATTCGGCCTGGATGACGGTGTCGCCATGGTGTCGAGTTGAATATGGGGGAATATAGACTCTGCGCGTGTGTCGCGAGGACCACTATCAAGGCTGTTTCCTAAACACAGTGCGAATCATGCGCCGTCGCCTCGTCTCATCGCTGTATGTAAAGCTGCGCCGGCAACATAGCCGGATCCACCAGGACAGAAACCAAGAGACCAGTCAGGTCAAAGAGCGAGAATGTCCGAGAGAGAGCGATTGGCGTGGACAGGGGTATATTTGGGAATGAATGTTGACGAGAGTGTCCGATCGATCTATGATTCCGATCGATTGACGGAGACCGAAAACACGCCGTCACGTGGGTTTGTCCTGTTTGTCTGTTATGTCATTGCTGAAATTCATCATCTCGTCCATCTCAATCTCAACCTCAATCTCCCATTCTTTCAACTAAACTCTTCATCCTTGTCCTTGCAATTCGCATTATATAAGGATCATGTTTGCCCTCGCTACCCTGGCGCGGACATCGCGCATTGGCCCCCGATGGACCCAACTGCGCAGCGTATCAACCCTCGAAAACAACCCGCACATCGTCCGTCCCCAATAACCTCATGTCATCTCATCAAACTCCCCCACTGACATACCGCAGTATGCTATCTCCTCCAATGGGAGTCACATTCTCTCCCTCCTCCCCACCGAACCCCCAACACCTCCCTCGCCATCGGCACCACCACCACGCTCCCCCCAACCACCGACTCCCTCCGCGAAAACCCCCGCTTCCTCGAAATCCTGCAGTCCGTTTTCCGCGAGTACGGCCACCAAGACCCCGACGCCATCTCCCAGGCCCAGGTGATGGTGTCGACCTCCGGCGCGAACCTGAGCTCCGGCGGCGTGTTGATGACGGGCGCGCGCGGCCGCAGACGTCGCGAAAGCGCCGACTCCAGCGGTGGCGCTAGTGGCCAGGGCGGCGCTGGGTCGGCTGGACGCGGCGGCTGGATCCATATGTCGGATGAGCGGCGGCCGCCGGAGTATGGCCGGATCGCGTGGCCTGAGGATATCTTTGGGAGTTTGGAGGTGGATGCTGATGGGAGTTTTGTGGGTGGGAATGGGAATTATCAGCCTAGTGGTTTGTGATCCTTCTATTTATCTATTGTGTTTCTGCTCTTGCAGCCTTACTTTTGTGGGATGCGTGATAGCTGACTTGCTGGTTATAGGTACATATCGGCTGGTGACGAGGGATGGGATGTGAGTTTTTCTTTTATGGTCCCTCCGTAATGTGTGGACAAATGCTAACATGAATGACAGTTTGGGATTGAGTCCGTTCATGCGGGAGAAACTGGTTCAGAAGCTACGTGAGATGGAGTCTCAGCAATGATTATGATTCTTGGATATGGATCGTGTACAATACTGTATCATATCGTGTGCATTAATTATCATGACTTAACTGCTGGACGGTTGGCGTTATAGATCATCTTCGTCCGAGTACCGGCTCGGGTCCAGCCCGGCTCCGCGTTTTTCATGTCGAATAAGACTTTTCGCTCCTACTTCCCAAAGAAACTAGTGATCCGCTGCGACCCGTCTGTCGGTTTGGAATGTCCTGTCTTCGCCTGTTGGGCAGAGGTGGCGCTGCGGGTTTTCCTACCAGGCGTCCCTTCAGCCTTCTTCTCAGACGACGGGATCGTCGAAGACTCCTCAACCTTGGGCTTCTTTGGGCTGCTTTCTGACTCAGACGGATGCTCTCTCTTGACGGGCGTCACCGGCGGTGCATCAGCAACTTTTTTCGCTCCGCCCTCCGACTTCACAGCACCACTGGGGTCAGGGTCCGGGTCCGGGTCCGGCTTCTTCGCATTGGCGAAGAAATTCGCAATGTTGCTCTTGTTTTCCTTACTGCTCACGGGCACGATGAAATCCGGCGAGTTGTTCCCGACTTTGCCGACGTCCTTGGATACGGGGTAATACTCCAGCTCGCCGTCGTAAGGCTTCAGGATAGCCTGTAGCTCTTTAGACCACGTCCTGCGGCGGGGATCCAGCCACGTCGTCATCGCCTCGCTATTGGGGTCCAAGATGACAGGCATGCGGTCGTGGAGGAATCTCAGCTCTGAGTTCGACGACGTGGTGATAACCGTGTAGCTGTAGAGGCTCTCGTTGGATCCTATCATCAGCATCAACCTCAGCATCAGCGGTGCCTACAACGAAGACCAAAGAACGAAGGGGAAAAAGAGAGGGAAGAATCACCCTCATAAGTAACCTTATCCCACAGCCCCGCAAAATACATCAAGTCACCGTCCTTGCGCTTCACAAAATACGGTACCTTTTCCCGCCCCCCAGGCCCCTTCTTCAACCACTCGTAGAATCCCTGACAGATGACCACACAGCGCTTGGTGCGCTTCATCGACGTCCACATCCCGCGGTCCTCGCTCAGCGAGTCGTCCCGGCAGTTAATGGTGCGCATGAGCGAGCCGTAGTCCGGTTTGCGCTTCGTCCAGAAGGGCACGAGGCCCCATTTCATGCTCTGGATTTTGTAGGTGGGTGAGTCTTTCTCTGCATTCTGTTCTGTCTCGTGCTGCTCCGGTTCGTGCTCGGCGGGTTCCCGGGCATTGTCGGAGGGAGCAGGCGACGGAAGCTGCGCGCAGTAGACGGCGCCGTTGTTGCCTGGGGCGAAGTTGAAGGTTTCTCGGACGTCGTCGTCGTCGGGAGCTTGGTCGACTGGGAGGCCTTGTTGTTGCATGCGATTGCGGACGTAGGCCATGCGCTGGGGTCTATTAGATCGAAGTACTATGTATTTATAGTGGTTGGTGGGACTGGGGACATACCACGCCTAAGGCGTATCGGCCACACATTATGATTTGTGGGTGAACTACAGAGGTTGGGGATGTAGGAAATACATGAAGATAACAGTATTATAATATGAAAGTAAGCAAGAATGTAGAATGAGATGAGGAGTCAGGAATGTCGAGCAGTGGGATGAAGTCATGTCATGCGGGAAGCTTGGGCCAAGAAAGTCCGCGGAACAAATCCATCTTCGTCTTTTCCGACTTCACTTCTTCCACTTCCACTTCTCTTCATCCTCAGCTCCACCACGTTATATCTTACGACTCATACCGTCACTAGACCAACCTTCCAACTATCTACACATAGACTCACTCCAAACCACTCAATCCCACAATGCTGGGTACCGCAGCCCGGCACACCAGCCGATCCCTCACCCACAACCGCCACCACCTCACACGGCAACCCTTCTCAACACGCCTCCTCCAAAGACCCCAATCCGCACCCCGACAAGCCCTCTTCCAAAACATCAAAACCGCCCAGTCAACCCGCCCCATCTCGCAAGCCACCCACCGCTGGAAGCGCGGCTTCCGCGAAGCCTCCAAAGGCATCTGGCGCAAGAACCCCATCCTCCTCCCGCTCGCACTCTTCTCCCTCGCCGGCGCAACAGCCCTATTCACCTACGTCGCCTATGTCGAGTACACGACCGTCGGGCCCCAATACGTGCGGTTCCCGCCGCCCGTGGCGGACGCCCTGCGCACGGGCGTCTACTACACCGAGGTGGACATAAACCCGCCCAGGGCGCTCCAGGCGTACAAGGATGCGCTGCGCATGGCCCTCGAGATGGGCATGCACCCTTACTCGGATGAGGTGCTGGGCATCAAGTTCCAGACGGCAGCAATGTTGGAGAAGGCCGGGCTGATCAAGCCTGCGATTGAGGTGCTGGAGCGCGTCAAGAGGGAGATCCTCGAGTGGGTGGAAATGGGACATGCGATTGCGGGGACGGGCGGCGGCGTTTTCGACGTGGGCTTGACTGGGGAGGATAGCAAGGCTTTCGCTGCGCGGCAGCAGCAGCAGCGACGACAGCAGCAGCAACTTCAGGAGCCGGGCAAAGAATCAAAATTAGAGATCAGCGGCGAGGCCTCGCAGAACGTGGAAGATCTGCTCAAGATCGAAGCCCACGAGAGCGCCCTGCGCGACAAGGCCTTCAAAAAGGCCGTCGGCATCTGCATGAAGCTCGGCGAGCTCTACGCCAGCGACTACATCCAAGACGCCAAGGCAGCCGAGGCGTCCCAAGAAGCCGCCGTCGAGCTGTGCCTGAAGGAGCTGCAGCGCCGCCAACACCTGGGTCTCCCCATCGGCCGCAGCGGCCGCCCTACATTCTCCGACATGCGACAGGCGGCCCCAGCGAACAACGCCGACGATGACGACTCCGCCGCCGACAACGACGACGACAACCACATGGACCCCTGGCTCAACCTCACCGAGATCGCAACCGCGCTCACCCAACTCGCAGACACCTACAACGAGCGCGAGCAGTACGAGCTCGCGCTCCCGCTCTACGTGCGCGCCCTAGAAGTCCTCCGCATGGACGAGCGCGACGAAAAGACCAACAAAGACTACCCCTCATGCCGACAAGCCGTCCTCCTCAACGACATCGGCGGGACCCTCGCGCACCAAGCCCAAAGACGGGCCCCCACCGCCACCGCCCAAGCAGCCATCATCAAAGCCTTCCGCACCGCGAAGAAGGACGGCGAGACCGAGGACCCAGATATCGCCCAGCGCCGCGCGCTCCTCGCGCGGGGGATCCAGTTCCTGCACACAGCGCGCGACGTCTCGCAGCGGGTCCGGCCGCCCCTGCGCGACGAGGAATGCGACCTGTCGTGCTTGTTCGCGACGCTCAATCTGGGCGAGTTGGCGGGTGTGCAGGGTCGGCGCGAGGAGGCGTTCGCGTTGTTCCGGGAGACGGGGGAGATGGCGAAGAAGTTGGGATACCCTGATGTGGAGAAGATCGCGGAGGAGGGCATGGAGAGGGCGCAACGTTTGGAGTAGTTCTTCCCTTCTCTTCCCTCTTTTTTTTTTTATTTCTTTTTACCCTTCTTTTTCTTGTGTTTTGTAGAGGGTTTGTGGGGGATATTTGATGTAAAGTATATATGTATGGATCTATGGATCTGTACGGTGATTTGATGGAGTAAACCATTAGACATTGATTCTCTTCTCCAACTTATTTCATGGACAATACTACGCTAGACCTTATTCCATATCAAAGGGTATACCACCCACCTTGAACTCATAATATATATCTACGTACGAAGATGGACAAGAAAAGAGGAAAGTAGAGAAGTACAGGGTGCTGCTTCATTGCTCATGGACTCATACAACAACCAATAACACAGCCATAGTGTTCCTTTTTTGTGTGACTTATTTCGATCTTGTTCCTTTCTTTAAAAGTAAATCAAAGTGAAAAAAAGATATTGATATTTTTTTTTCTTTGGGATTCCCTCTTTCCGTAACGGAAAAATATTAAAAAAAAGAACAAAAAAACTCCCTCCGTCACATAAACCGAGCTCCCTTTGTTTTACCAACAAATTTTTCTAAGCCCGCGACATGACACCCCAGGCGCGGATCTTGTTGTCGGTGTAACCGGCGAACAGGGTCTGGCCGTCGGCGCTCCAGGCGAGAGAGACACACTCGGGCTCGTTGCTCTTCTTGCCCTTCTCGATGTACTCGGGCTTGAGCTCGTCGACCTTGCTCTTCTTCTCGAGGTCGAAGATGGTGATGCTGGTGGTGGTGGCGGCGCACAGCCAGTAGCGGTTGGGGGAGAAGACGAGGGCGTGGATCTCGTCGCCGGCGTGCAGGGAGTACAGGTGCTTGGACTCGTTGAGGTCCCACAGCATGGTGGTGCCGTCCTTGCCGCCCGAGGCGCAGAGCGATCCGTCGGGGGAGATGGTCACCGTGTTGATGTAGCCGGTGTGACCGATGTGGTCGGTCTGCAGACGGCAGGAAGCGAGCTCCCAGACCTATACAAGGATTAGTATTTTTTTCTCCCTTCATCCCACTTCTTGTATGTTCTTTTTCTCCTCTCAAGGAAAGTGAATATCCTCAGGCATTGGGTGATTGTTGGTCTCATGGCCATTGGCTCTGAAGTAGCAAATACGTAGTATGCAAACATCATTGGATATATCACTTTCCAAGAGAAGATAAAACGACAGAAAAATGATATAACATACCTTGACAAGCTTGTCCCAGCCAGCCGACACAATGACGGGGTTCTGGGGGTTGGGGCTGAAGCGGACGCAAGAGACCCAGTCGGAGTGGCCCTTATCGGTGATGGTGAACTTGCAGTCACCGAGGGTGTTCCAGAGCTTGATGGTGCGGTCACGCGAACCGGAGACAATCTGGCGGTTGTCGGCGGAGAAGGAGACGGAGAGGACGTCGTTGGTGTGGCCGGTGAAGGTGCGGGTCGACGCGCCGGAGGACAGCTCCCACAGACGGAGGGACTTGTCCCACGAGGCGGACAGAGCGTAGGCACCGTCGGAGGAGATCACCTATGTTCCCTATTAATCATCCATCTTTCTTCATGTCCACCTCCTCGTCCACCTCAGTCTGTGTCGGGTTTCTTCGGGATTCGAGGAGAAAGGTGAAAAACGTACACAGTCGGACACAATGTGGCTGTGGCCAACGAGCGACTTCTTGGGGTAACCGTAGGCCTGGTCGTCGCGGGTCAGGTTCCAGACGATCAGAGTCTTGTCGCGACTGCCGGAGAGCAGCATGTTGGGGCTAAATGCGAACGAAAGAGACAGAAGATCGAGTCAGAAAAAAAACGTGCCCATCATTCCAATCGCATATCAAATCAGATTCAATGCTCAAAATGCCCCTCCATCAATCACCCCGCCGAATTTTTCATTCTCCAACTCCATTCCAACCCATACATCCAAATGAGGGCATAAAAAAAAACATCAGAGGAAAAGAAATAGAGATCCTTACTTCTCCAGAGAGGTGGCAAGGGAAGTAACCCAGCCATTGTGGCCCTCGAGGGTGCCGCGAAGGACCAGCTGCTCAGACATGATCGGAGTTCCGGACGTGACGATGGGGAGGAGAGAGGGAGGGAGGAGGGGGAAAAGGGAGTGAGGGAACTGGGAAAAAGATGGCTCGTAACGACACAGTTTCGGGATCAGTATTGGCGATGAGGGAAACGCGGGATTGAGCCCTAGTCCGGTCCCGCTTTGGTTTGGGCTGTGCGTGGACCAGCCCTAGCTTAAGCGAGTCACGTGATATCACTTCTCCATCTATACAGCTTCATCTATACAGATACCTAGTACGGAGTATCTACCTTTGATATCTCCCTTTAATATCTCCACTTAATATACATAATCCCATAACTACAATAACTACAGAGTACCAATCTAGTCAAACACCTGCACCTGAGGCATCCGCCCTAACCCCTTCCCCCCACCCCGCTTCTTCTCCTTCGCCGCCTGGAATCCCGTCGCGCTGTTATCCCGCACATGCCGGCGTAACATCTCCAGGATCTCCGACTCCTTCCATCGCGTCGGCACCGGTCGGTACGCCGCCTTGAAGGCGCCCACCGTCTGCTTCCACTCGCCGCTCTTGGCGCCCGTACGCTGCCACGTATCCGTCAGCGTATCCTCCTTGGGGGAGTCCTCCGTAGGGGGATCCTGCGTCGCCCAGTAGTAGATGTCCCAGTCATTCTCGTCCAGAAATCGGTCGTACTCTTGCAGCTGTTCGCGCGACATGCTGCCGAGGTAGGCGTCGGCAAAGGTCGACATCAGCAGGTCGGACTCGAGGATGCCGCGCTTTCGGCTTTGGTCTGTATTGGTCAGCATCTATCTGTCCATCTTCGTAGTCGAATCGCTTTCCCCCGGGAGTTATCGGGGGATGTCAATGGGTCTTCCAATGTTGTAGAGTTCCCATCGCATTCCCGCCCCCCCGGTACCAGGGTACATTCCCAGGAAACATGAGCAGGGAAATAGTAAGGAAGACATACACAACAACCTAGCCCTCATGGTGGACACATCCTCGCCCTCCCTCTTCAACGGCTCAACCTTGAACGTAATGCCCTCCATCTCACCAACGCCCAACTCCGGCTTCTGCGGCCCGCTGCCCTGGCGGCCCCCCGTGAAGTGCTCGACCTTCCCGGGGTACGGATCAGCCGGTCGGTAGTCCGGGTCGACGGAGGAGATCATGTCGGGCGGGGCGGGCTGGTCGCCGACTTTGGGAAAGTCCTTTGTCATGGTTGAGGTCGTGTTGGGGATGGCTTGGTTTGGTTGCTGTTGCTTTTTCTTGTTGTTGGAGTCATTGTTGAGGCGAGGGGCCGAGGTGCCGAAGGCGCGGGTGAGGGTTGCTGTTGAGGCTGTTCGGAGGGGGAGCGCAGCGGGCCGGGCGAGGCGGCTGATTAGGGTCCTGGGGAGGGACATTATGAGTGTATGCTGTGTGATTCAATTGGAATGGTATAGGGAGTGGGAAGATGGGTTGGTTGGAGGAGTCGGGGAGAAGACGGAGAGTCTAGATAATTTCGGGATTGACATCATCCGGAGAAATGCGGGTGTTTGTTTGGTTTGTTTGGAGTACACCAAGCATTGCGGATTACATATAGGATTTCTAAAGTTAGTTACTCTGTAGATCTATTGATATACCAATAGCATATTGATACTGTCGAATGCAATATTGATAACAATTCGAATGCAGAGTCCAGCCTACTACATAACTACAACGCATAAACCAATATACCACATTCCTAGCTAGCATCATAGGTATTGAAACAGTGTACCGTGAAGAATATCCGAACTACATAAGGCTCCAAGCCAGACCAGAGTAAAGACCCCATCAATGCATCGAACTCCGCTGGTTATAAGCCACTCCTTTAACCTCCAACCAAAAGCAAGGTGGGTATAGTCCTCGTCTAGATGAGATGCTTGGATCTGCAAAATGTTAGTTTCCGCTTGAACAGGGCCAGAAGGAAACGAGAACAGAAAGAACAAAAAGAGAAGGAGAACGAACCGGAAATAAGCCCGCAGATAAATAACCTGCCACACGCCCAAACCCACCAACATCCCCATAGTGCCAAACGCGAACCACTTCACCCGCTCGTTCGTGCTCTCGTTCGTATCACGCAGCTTCTGCTCTCTCGACCGCAGGTACTCCATCTCGCTCACAATCTCAGAGACCATCTCCTCGATGCGGCGCAGGTCCGTCTCGACGGGCTTGAGCTTCTCCTGGACTTGAATGCTGGACCAATCGCGGGCGTCGGCGCCAATGTCAACGTCGAGTTCGATTGCGCGGCGGGGGTTGGAGTGGCCTTCTATATGGGGAGTCAGTTCATTTTCGCTCCTGTCAGGCACCCAGCTCTCAACGAGAGAAAAGGCATGATTTTAGATCGGAGGGGAAAGGAAGACGCACGCTGCGAAACAAGCTTATTCTCAAAACACACATCAAACGCCGTATCAGCGGGCGACGTGAAAGCCTGCCTCGTCTCGCCCACCACATCCTTCGGCCTCCCATGATCATTACCCAGCGCATCCTTGATCTAAGCCCAGCAAACACAACCCATTAGCAGACTGCCTCACCACACCTCAACCCCAACCATCCACAAATAGTGGACACATAGAGAGGACCAAATCCGGAGTAAAGGGAGAACATACATGCATATTAACAACCATCCCATCCCCCTTCTGACCATCCACAATAGCAGTAACAACAACCAGCTGATCCTTCATGACGAAGTTGCGAATACACCGCTCGTTCTTGCTGGTCGAGGCGAAGAGGTCGAATTTCAGGGCGGACGAGAGCTGCACGAGTAGCAGCAGCGTGAGGCCCAGGATGGACCTCAATGAGAGAGTGGGGGTCCCCATTGTGGACTGTATTGCAATGGGGGGGTTGATTGTGTTAGAGAAATGTTTAGGGGGAGGGAGTGAAGGAGACGGAAAGACAGCTGGTCCCGACGGGAGTCATTATTATTGATGCCACGCCGCGGCCAGCCCGTGGAGCAGTCCGTCGGGGGATTGTTGTTCCGGGGGTATGTATACCTGGCCGTTCGATATCTAGGTTTCCAGGTACCGATCTCCTTGACATGAAACTACAGTAGTCAATGATTTGAAGATGGATTTATGTAAATATCATATCTTATTGAAAGTTACATCCTAATCGCCAAGGCGAATTTCGTCATAAACAGTAGAGATAAAGTAACCAAATCTGGAGGATTCCGCCCATATCCATCACCAATCTGTACCCCTACCCAGCTCCAGACCTATTTCATTCAAAAGCAAAGCAACAAAAATAACAGAGAAGAGAATAAGGTATCAATGTAATAGATACATAACGAACGAAATCATAATCGAGTCGGGTATGTATGAAAATAGAAAAGGAGTATCAATAAATAAAAGGGGGAGATCAGAGTATGAAGGAGAGAATTATATCGGGAAATAAATCAAATCAAATAAGAGCAGTGAGATCATCATACGGCTCAGAACGCTGAAAGATACACATAGCGATTTTGGGTTCGAAAACGGAGGACGCGATCAACAAAACAACAGCCCACTCAAAGGATGTATGCCCGTCTTTTAGGCTTCAACCTTCTTGCGGCGCGACAGGAACCGCGAGAGGCTGCTCGAGGACGAGTCCTTGCTGCGGCCACCATAGGTCGACGCGCGATTCGCAGGCGGCTCCGGGGGCCCGGTGTTCCGGAGGAAGTCGGCCAACCCACCGGTCTCGGTCTTTCGTTCCGACACGGTGGACAACCCCGCGTTTCGCTCCATGCCCACCTTGGTCGCGTAGGTGGCTGGAGCGGGTACGGGCTCGGGTGGCTGTTGACGAAGGGAGGATCGGGACGGCTTTGCGGTCGGGCCACTGCGGAGGATGCGGGATCTCATACTCGACGCACTGGACATCCCACCGGAGCTCTTGGGGGGAGCGGTGTTGGTGTTGATAAGCAGCGGCTGCGGAGCGCTATCCACGGGAGGTGGCGCATTGCGCAGGAAGTCAGCCAGGCTTTCTTCCTGGGGCGGGGGCTTCGCGCCCTCCATCAGGAGCTCTTCGAGCTCTTCGTCCTCGTCGCTCAGGTCAATCGCGTAGGGGTCTCGCACCCGTCGCTGGGTGCGCAGGGGGAACGGGTTGTCTTCGGAGATCGCTTGCCCGACCGGCATGATACTATACCGCTTGGGCGGACCGCTCTGGGTCGTGGTCCGGTTGGAGGATTCCACGAGTCCCGTACGCGACCCGGTGGAGGCCGTGGATGGGGCAACCATCGAGTTCGCTCGGGTACTGGTTGCAAACGAGTGACCCGGGTCGGCGGCGCCGTGCTCCAGGGACTGCAAGTCGTCCGAATCCATGGTATCCCGGAACGGTGCGACGGTGCGCGGGATGCGATGCGCTCCCGACGTGGGCGGGCCCTCGCGGATAAAGTCGATCAGGTCGGATGTCTCGTCCCCCTTGGAGGTCGCCGCGGAGCGGGCTTGCAGCTTGGGGCCGGGAGCACGCGCGGTTGCGTTCGACGTCGCGCTGGCCGGGCGAGAAGAGAGCTTCCGCGATAGTTCCGTGGCGTCGGAGAATCGGCGCAGTTTGTTCGACTTCATCTTGAAACTGGTCCGGCCACTGCTCGGGCTAGCTGGAGCATCCGGCCCCGCCGATTTGAAGTTGGCAGAGTCACGGGTCGACGATGAAGGACCGGCCTTCGCTTCCCGCCCGGGGGCGCCCGGCCTTGACTGCGAAGGCACCCGGGGCATGATGGGCGTATGCTTGGGCCCCTCGGACGACTTGGAGGTCATCGGTCGTGGCACCGCCTCGCCGGGAGGAGCAGTAGTCTTGAGGAAATCGGCGAGGTCGGCCGTGGTCGATCGCTGAGGTTGCCGCCGAGGCGTAAAGTCGGGGAGTTCCATCTCTCTCACGCTCTTGGGGGTCAGGGTATAATGGATGGTCTCGTCACTGCGGATCAGGTCGTCTAACTCGGCGTCGTTCGTGGAGTGCTTGCTCGTCTCGGAGAATCGGCTCGTGTCGGAGGAAGTTCGCGCACGAAGCGAGCTTAGTCCCCTCAGGCGGTTCGACCGCTGGGAGCTGGACGATTCCGCCGTCAGCGGCCGCTTCTCGCGGCTACTGCTGACACTGGTGGATCGACTCAGCTTGGCGGGACCGGTCGTGGACGGGGCGGGAGACTGGCGCACAGGCACTCGCTGAACGGCAGCCCGCTCCGTCCGGGAGCTGGCGACGGATGGACTCGAGCGACCGGATGGGTGGTGCGATTCCAAAGCGAGAGGGGCGGGCTTGGGTCGGGTCCGCGGGCGGTCGGAAGATTCCAATGATAGCGGTCGGGGAAATTGGCCCAGCGACACCTCGCTGGTGGTGGATTGGGCGGTGGGCGGGGCGGACGAATCGGTGACATATAGATCGGTATCGGGCGTCTGGGAAGCGCCGCGATCGACGGCCGCCCCTTGCGTCGCGGGTTGGATCTCGATCACCGTCTGCATCAATCGCTCCGGGCGGCCACTCGACGTCTCATCTTGTCGAGCTGGGTAGTAGGTCGACATGCGCTTGGGCCGCTGCATGGAAACCAGCTTCGGTTTTTCGCACTGACCGTGGCCTTCGATGACTTCTGCCTCCACCTCAGGCTGGATTCGATCGCTCAACGCGTCCGACGACGCGTCGGTCGACCCGGCCTGACTGGTCACCACCTCAACCGACGCCCCGGAGAGCGATGACGTTGTGGCTGCCTCCGGAACCGCGCTAGCCTCCGTCGTTGACTCGTCACGCAGGTTCGCGACCGTGGACTTCGGGGCCGCGAATTCCTCGCCCCCCGCATCCTCCTCGTCGTGCTCGTACATGGTCTCCAGACGCCGACGCTCCTCGGACGCCGTGGGAGACGACCGCCCCGCGGGTTGTTCGGCGGCTTCGGTCGCGTCCTCGGCGGCGCTCGGGAGCGAGCGCGCTCGAACATGTCGGTTCGGCTGGCCACCCTGTGACATGGGTGTGATGGGCGAACTTCCACTGGAACAGGGCGATCGGGGTGGCAGAGTGAGGACCATTAGACTGTGCGGCCGCACCTTGTGGGCCACCATCGCCTGCACCACCTCTCCCCGGTCCATGTCATGCGATCCGCGGGAGCCTTCGATTTCCTGCACGTCGCGGTCCCCCAGAGGTAACGGGATCATGGCCGGGTCGGGCGCCGCCTCCTCGCCGGCCGCGACGCTGGACTTGGGGAGCCCGGGCATGGGACCCTGCATCGTGCGGCGTCGGATCGACTCCTTCGAGATGGCGCGCGACAAGGTAGGCGTCCGGACGCGCTTGCGCCAGGTGCGCCAGAGCCGGCCCAGCGTCGGGTTCAGGGCCAACTTCTCCATGTCATGATCCGCCACCACGAGCCGGTCGATGCTGGCGCGCGGGGCGCCGGACTCCGCCGCGGCATCGTCGTGGGCTTCATCGAGCTGCGCGGACAGTCGCGAGCGGGCCGTCTCGCCCGCGATCACGAGCGCTTGTTCCGCGATGTATTCAAGGATGGCGGTCAAGAAGATGGCGGCGGCCGGGGTGATGTTGCCGACGTGGTTTCCAAAGCGTCGCGGGGCGCCCGCGTCGTCGCCCAGGCCCTCTTGCGCGATGAACTCCTCCTCGTCGTCCTCCTCCATGTCGCCCAAGCGTGTGTACACCATGCAGCGCAGGCGGGTCAGTTTCCATGCCCGGACAATGTCGAAGTCTGCGCTCAGGGCGCGACCCCCGCGGAACTCCAGGTGCTCATCTTCGGGACCCCCGAGGTATTCGCTCAACTCGTCGTCCGCGGCGGAGACGACTTCCTTCGCCAGTCGCGGCTTGAGCACCTCGGCCACCGCGGGTCGGAGCGCCGCCAACTGTGCCGATTTCCCGGCGGCGAGAATATTATAGAGTAAGTGATCGAGAAACCCATTCAATGCGACCAAGGCCTCGGAGGTGACTAAAGCGCCGGAAGGGTTTTCCTCATTGTCGACCACGAAATCGGCGGTGTTGAACTCCTGATCCGAGGTGACGATCTGGGACGCGGCCGCCGCGGTGACAAAGGAGGGAGGGGGAGATGCTGGCGGCGGCGCGAGGAGGGTGGTGCGAGCAAACGTCGAATCGCTCGACATGCTGGTACTGCGCGAGCGCGAAATCGCTCTCCCGATCTCAAAGGGCTCGAGGCCTTTACTTTGCTGCATTCTTTCTTGACCAGAGAGAGGTCTCACATCCAGCAACGGGGGCTGGCCTCTCGATTGGGTAAGGCGGGGGAGGGGGGAAGGGGAGGGAAGGACGAGTCGGGATTGGATTCTTTTTATAAGGAAAGAAAGGAGCGTTCAAAGGCGATCGGGGCGGGGGAGGAATGCTGATCGGTGGGTTCGATTGGGGGACTTCAATGAATGAGGTCAGATTCTGGAAAGGAAAGGCTCTATCATCCTGATCATCCTGTCAGCATTAACGGGCCCGAATGATGCAACCCATACACAGCCCTGTTGGGGGCCCTTTCTTCCTCCGTCTGTTTCTTTTTTATTCAATCATTTTCTTTTCTCTTCCTTTCTTTTTTCTTTCTTTTTACTTTCTTTGTCGTCCTCAATTTAACCCCGCCTGATCGAGGCATTCCGCCATTACCGGCGACAGGCCCAAAGAGGAAACCGAGGACAAGAAAGAGAGCAGACCCCACGATAGTTCGCCACGAATTGTAAACGAGACGGGGGATGCAGTAGTGGGTGGAGAGTCAAGGAAATGCATGGACATACCCGTGTAACGAGAGCAAGGGAGGAAACGAGAAATATGGGGGGACCGTTCAAGGCCAATAAGCGGCATTCATAGCCTCCGCGATGTTGGAGGGGAAGGAAGCGAGTGTGTGAAGCGAGTGACGAAAAGAATGGAGAGGATGGAGCAGAGAATGAAGGAGAGAATGAAGAGGAGGAGAAGGAGAGAAGGAGGAGAAGAGTGAAGAGGCGAAGAGAAAAAGGAATCAGGAGGAGCCGATGCGATGGAGTGTGGAGAGAAGTTATTACTATTAGTAGTAGGACTGAGGGCTCACTACTTAGTCTACGGGGTACTCATCTTCCATTCTTCTGGATTTACATCTACTACTTTATTATTTTATTATTATTTTCTTGTGTATTTGATTTATTCTATTATATTTTATTTATCATATATATTATTGTAATATTATGATTATTCCAAATTAATTAAAGAAGAATGTATTGGATCGAGTATAACATCGGATCAGGAGACAAAACAGCGTCCAATGACAGGCGGTAAGATAAATTACCGATACCGTATCAGGGCCAACCGAACCGACTCCAGAGACCGCACGGGCAACCGCAGCACGAGGGATCCACTCTATCATAGGCTGTCGCTGGGAGTGTACGGATTAATACATGTTTCATCACTGTGCCGTACCATACTTCAAACACGTATTATGATATTCATTCTCTTGCAGAGTATGAACCCTCGAGGGATTGCGTGTCTATCGTCCTATACAGGAAACTCTAGATTGTCAACAACTCCAGTCAAATCCCAGTCGCCCTCGAGATAATAACCTGATAATAAACCCAGATGGCAAAAAAGGATATCCCGATTAAGAAGGAGGCAAAAATTATATATAACAATAATAATGATAATTTCCTCCCCCCCGACGATCTCCAGCAACTCCAACAATGATTAGGATTAAGCCCCGCCCCACCAACTAGTTGGAAGAAAGGGGGATCAATCTCCTACTATCCAGTCTCTGAGTTGTCCTTCTTCCATTCTCTCTTCTCGTTCGCTCATCCACTTTTTCTTTCCCTTTTCTTTTTCCCCACTGGGACTAATGCCGTACGAATCCACTTCGGAAAATTTGCCTCCCTAATTCAACTAGTGGTAAGGTCGCTGACGATTCTGTTGACTATGTATGTCAGGGCACCAGATCGCTATCGTATTTACTATCGCCATTCACCATACAAACAGTAACATGCGCTGTGGAAAATGGAATCCATTTGTTTTCCCTGTTGAAGATCGAGGATCAAAACTCTGTTGGTGACTATTGACGGGCCCTCCAAGTGTTGATTCGATCGGTTCAAGGGCTGGCCTGACGCCCGGTCCACCATGGTTCTCCTCCTGGGTCCTTCTGGGTCCTGGTGCAGAACAACAGTGTTGGAGACACTGTAGTACAAGGTAGTCTGTGGTTTGTATGTATGAATGAGACAGACAGACTCTGATCGAACCCTGGTTCACCCTTGGCTGGGAAAGTCTCCCGTGGCTACTGGCTAGGCCACGAGGTCTACATCATCCGATACATCATCAGCGGAGAGCGGATGATGTACCACTAACCATCCCAACTCCTCTATTTACCAATGGTGAGAGTCAGTGGTACACAGCGCGGAACTAAGAATCAGCCACTTTCTTGACTAGTTACCAGGAAACCACATAGCGACACCCATCTAAACCCACTAGTTGGTGATAGAAGCCCGGTTCTGACAAATTCCAGAATGCCCTAGCAGCCACCACGCGATCGATAGCATCCCAGAACCCAGTCTCCTGGGATCTGAGAGCATGAGTCTGAAAGAGTCCTTTGATCGCTGTATCACCGGTGGTTACTGGCCAGACCCTACTATTACTATTATTGTTGTACTATTATTACTACCAATGCTCATTTGCAGATGGTGTGCAAGTGGATCAATCAGTTGGGACCACCCTGTGGTTATTATGTGCGGTTGTGGTTCGTGATCGCCCTGCCGTGTACCGTGGTTGCGTCGACTGTGTGATATACTCGGTTGCTATAATTGCTATTGGATTGCTAGTTTTGGTTGTTGGGTGGGTTTTATTCTATTTATTTATCATTTCTTATATCATTTGGACTCGACTATTGTTTTCTACTTGCTTATTACGTAGTGAGTATCAGTCTGTAGTCTGTACCATACGTCCTGTGTAGTATTAGTATGCACATAGCCATTGATAACCAATACTAAAGCTTCACACTGTCTACACTCTATCATAGGTAAATTGGTATTTATTTACTTGTCCAAGTACCGATATGTACAAATCAGCTCTCAATAAAATCATAGTTATATACCTAAAATCTTCCAGAACCCTGCCGAAGGATCCCGCCAACCCATCACATCATGCTGACAAGAGACAATAAGCTCGCCCCCCCCCCCCGGTCACATTTCCAACTTCCCCAGGCTGTTCCGTTTCGAATTGTGCCCGGTCGGGGCTTGCACTGATTATACCGGTGGAAAGCTTCGTATATGTCTCCGTATATCTCGCTGGATAGCGCCTTACTTCGCCTAGTTGGGTGTGCTATAGCCCGGATTATATACAGCATTATATACAGCATTACGATGATGATAGTGTAGGGCCCAACCAACACATAGAATATCAAAACGTACCGTACCTTTGTAGATGTTAGGTACAGGAGTAATACGCAGATCAGCAATCGACAACTAAAAAATCGAATAGGAATAGATGCCTTTATAATAAGAGGCTGATCATGACTCGACAGTCAACCTGCATTCCCCAAGTCCAGAGTACCTACAGTTAAGTACCAAGGTGATACACCCATTCATCCGACACCAATTCAATGTTTTTCCCCAGACAGAGCATTGAAGAACCTAAACAATCAACATCAACATATAGAAACCGTCAATACCAAAACCAATAACCATAATCCCCCCTGCAGAGCGCAGACTCCACAAAAAGCGGTTGAATGAATCATGCATCCCGACCCAGCCAAAAGCAAAGTAAGGAAGTTAACTATGACCACCTCGGATAAGTATCATGATCGACAAAGCGACGCGGGTCGGCATCTCTACTTAGTCCTTAGTACTTACCACCTGTTGTACCTGTCTATATACGTGCCTACCTCCCTATGTAACGAGCTATCTACCTACCTACTTACCTACCTACCTACCTCCCTATATAGCTAGCTAGCTAGCTAATCCCTAGATAATACCTACTGCCTATTTCGTCCCAAGCTTGCCAAGTCTCGCCGTCTACGGAATACTATCTAGTGTCTAGTGTTTCTCAGGCTATGGCTGGTTGGTACGGTCCGCGATATAGGTGGGCCGGGATTGATTGGGATGCGCGCCCTGAGGGGACATACCCGGCTTTGGCTATTACGAGAATAGCATCCTTATGGATGCTGAAGGATTGTGGATTAGGGGGTATTTGCCTACTCCGGACTTAGTAGGAGCTTGAACAATAAACAGATAGGTTGGTAGGTAGGTAGCTAGCTGGCTGGCTGGCTGGCTGGCTGGCTAGGTGAGTAGAGATCGATCGATGACTGTCAGGTTCACGTGGCTCCTGATTTTTTTGTGTTTTGTGGAGCTATGCTGAAGAATGTTGGATCAGGGGTTAGGGTGGTACGTGCACTTCTATCCTACTCGGTAGTTGTTACTAGTTTGAGGGTTGAGGTTGTTTTTTTATGTTGAATTGCAAGCTATTTTAGAAATCACAAATAAAATCACTGATAAACCCGCTCGTAAGCATTGACATTCCTTTCGTAACCAATCGTGTAGAGGATCCGGCCTGATAAAAACACGGGACATGGGATCCGTTGAATTTTGATGTTCCCTCGTGGGAACAAAGAAAAAAGAGAAGAAGAGAGTAGGAAGAAAAGAAGAGGGAGGGAAATATTTTTAATCACCGTCCAAGGCACGTTTTCCAATGTTCAAGCGCATAGGCAATCCCACCGGCGAAGAAGCACAGCTCGTCCGCTCCAATGGTGACTCTGTCACTGGCGAGACGCTCCGAAAGAAGGTGTTCGATCTTTCCCACGAGGCCGTTCTGGGTGCATCGGTCGGCCTTCTTTTCGTCACTCATTCGCATGAGCTCGTCCAGCTCGCCGGCGATGAGGATGTGGGGGAATGTCCCAATCACGTGGTTGAGGGCGTGGTCCAGATAAACCCCACAGGGGCTGTCGGACTTCATGTACGGTGACTGCACCCCGCCCGATACGATGTCCTCGACCTGCTCGTGCAGCCGCAACTTGTAACTGGAATCGGCCACCCCGTTAATGCCGTTCATGTAGGCTGCAAAGATTCGCTTGTCCAGGTCGACAATGTCACGGCTGTGTTCTTCGGGTAGCTGCCGGACAATGTCGTAGAAAATCGCATGGGTGTCATTTTCAATGTCGTCGAGGTCGAGGTCATCAAGGGGGTCCTCTGATGCATTCTGGCCCAAGGCGCGAGCGCGTTCCATGATCTCATGGCAAGTCATTCCGCTATCGGCATCGGTTGTGTCCTCCGACGAACATTTGGGGGTTTCGATATAGACCACGTTGGGATCAAATCGTACATTGGATTCGAAGGAGATAAATGAACATTCCATAGATCCATCATCATCATCCTCCTCCTCCTCCTCTTCGGTATCGCTCATGGCGTCGGAGTCGGAGTCCCACGCCGTGATGTAGTACTCTTCGTCTTCATCTTCGTCCTCTTCGTCCGAGGAATCATCAAATTCATGGTCAGAAGCCTCGGAGGCATAACCAGACTCGGACTTCTCGTCCTCCTCTATTTCCGAGTAGGGTCTTTTCAAGATTGATTTCGGGGCGGGACGAGGAGGTGCCTCTGAGATAGATGATGAAGGCGTAACGGTCGTAGTATTCACCGAAGTTGGGTTAGTCGACGCGACAGATATCTCGTCCGAGCCATAACAGCTGTCCTGGGAGAATGAGATCTCAAGGTTGGAAAAGTTCGATGACAGAGACTCCCAGGACGACTGTTTATTCAAGAGCTGGGTGCCCATTTTGACGATCCGGAAATCAGGCACTTGCTGTAGAGTATAATCAAAGGTAGGGTCACCAAGAGAAAAGATGCAAATCGTAGACAGTAGTTGCCCCAAAGATACACCTTCCTTGGCGTATAGGTTAATATTTTTCGAGTTCGAGAAATGTGTTGTAAAGTGTTGGTTGATTCAGCGGTTGGCTTCGACGGCCTCCAAAAACGCGGGAGAGATCCATATTGAATCGCAAGGGCGAACACAGATTCACCTAATGGGAACCAGCAACGGCTCCGTTAAACGAGATAATCTGAGGATACATGGTGTTCACTTGATGAATTGACAATTTGATCCGTTGTTGTTGTTGCACATGCACTGGGGCGAGTTCTGGGCCTGTAAGGATGGAACCGAAGGCAGGTACCAACTTTTCTTTTTCTCGATCGGGGTTTTGTGTAGAGGCTGGCTGATGTGATACATATAGACCGAAGGACGTGAGGGGTAAGCGTAAGACTATCGGGAGGGCGAGTTGTATGGTATCCGATTCCGTTCGAATAACTCGACGCGTCTATTCTTCCAGACAGACAAACTCGATATCACGTTCGAGGACTGAGGATCCAAGTTCTTGACCTGGGTTATAGCTGTGGTTTCGGTGATCGTAGATAGAGGCCGGAGAGGGCGGCTTAAACAGTCATACCCACTTTTCGTGGGATGTTGGACAAGAGACGTAGCGGGGGGGGGGGGGGGGGGGGGCGAGAGGGGTAACCAGCGAAGCGAGGCGTTCTGTTTGAATAGACAGTGTTGGAATCACACAGACTCGACCTGTCTCGTGGGAAATGAGGGTATATATATGAGAAGCACAAGAATCAGTGCTGGGAAAGAAGAAAGAAGAAAAGAGTCAAAAGGCCGGCTGACCGTCAGACCGCAATCAGGTTGCCGTCATCACCCACACATGACCTAAATCTTCCACAATGGGCATCTGGTCCTTGCATAACTTCGTCCATTGTTACTCAGCCACACAAACAATGCACACAACTCGCCCGGGATCACCCGGGATCGCTCTGGAATTACTTTGTTCCTTTGTCCGTCAGAAATTTCTCGAGTTCTTTGTGCCTAAGGCCTAAACATTACTCAGCCACTGGTCTTTCCGTAACGGGTTAGTCTACTGCGGACCGTCCATCTCGGGGATTCTGGGGTATTCCATATTCATCTCACTTCTAAGTTCCTCTTGCTTATATCAGTACAGATCACAGAGTAGAGAGCATCAACATCCACGTTAACAGGGGATAGACTCCAATGTGTCTATGAAGTATCTCCAACTCGCTGAAAGGGCAGAACAATAACACTATTTTTTCAAGATACTCACATTCTCTAGTCTCTAGCTCCATCCGGACATCTGAATGCCTTTCAATGGGTCCTAATTAAAGCAACCATACAGGAGCCATGCTGCTCATCGGGTTCCAAACATCCATCGGGCCTATGGCAGGAGAGAGACACCTCCTGGTGAGGTTGCAGCTCATTGATACTGTCTTCTGTACTACAATTAATCTACCAGAATAGTTTCTGTTCCTGTTTCAATCCCCCTGTTCTTCGGTCTTCGGTACCGGTTCCTATTTTCAGATCGTCCTTTGTTGAAAAGGTCTTCCACCGTTCATTCATTCCATGCAGGAACCCCAGGGTCGGGAAAGTTCGATCATGACTGTTATGCTCCCTGAAAGAAGCTTGTGCATTCTTCTCGGTGGCTTACATTCCCAGGAACCCCAGCCAATCATTCAAGGTGGAAATCAATACCACCCACCACTGGGGAGCATGCTGTTTCCGGCTTCGCAGGGGCAAGAATTCTTTCTCATCTATCTTTGTTTTGGTTTTGATTTTCCTTCTCCATCAAGCATGGTGGCCTTCAGGGGAGGCTCGTTCCCCCTTGGGTTTCGTGGGAGTCTTCGTATCAATGTAGGGGTTCGTGGCCGAGCTCATGGCATGATTGCATGGTCTGAGCAAAACGTGGGAACAAAGACCGTTGAGGGTTTCTTCAGTTCGTCTCAAACTTTATGCGGGTTTGCCCTTCCTTCGTTATGGGGATTGGCCTGTTTGTTGATTCACACTGAGTCGCAAGACAAAGAAGACGCGCCACACTCGGCCCAGGCCCCATACAAGTTCAATGACTGGATGGTTTTCTTCATTGACTGAGTCGGATGACCTTGTGCAATCTTTCATCCTGTTCCAAACCTTTGTCAGGGACTGAACTGAATGCGAATCGAGGGGCTTCCTTCCTCTAGGAGATTTTTGGCGAGTCCCAAAGCACGGGATAATTATAGAAACTCCAGCTGTGCAGCGAATCAACAGCGCCAAAGTTTCTTTCACCTTGACTGGTTCATTGATTTTTCTATTTTCTCTAGGTTTTGGCTAGATCTCTCTTGGGTCGCAGATGTGCACATGGATTTACCAAGGCCGTGCATATTTGCGAAAGGCTTGCGTACCTCCCAGCCCCGGCATTCCCATGGTCATTCCACGTCAGGGCATTTGGTATCCGAGCAGACCCTGCTCCACCATGCGACTGGAGAACATTGCCATTGAGCAATCAAATGGGCAGAACAACAGCGTTGATGCAGATCCTCAGGGTCACATCCTGGTGTTCGGAGGGGCAAACCCCGATGACACTTACACTCGAGGTGCCCACCGATCACACTAAACCCCTTCTCTCCACAGGAGCTTCTTCATAGCTGCGCCGCAGGACCCAAAGTAGTTTTCATTATGTAGCCCGCTATCCACGCAGGGCGCAGTTCTCCTGTCAGACTGTGACGATATTTCGCCGTGCATTGGCTTCGCAAGTCCCCCCCCCCAAGGACCCGCCCAATGCCCTGTCCTGCTGATGCCCCATCCCGGCTGTTTCGGGCATAGTGAAGGTTGCATTCTAGCGGGTGGCCATCCGGAACCCATACCCACTACATAGAAGTGTGGGTGAAGAATGGAGCATTCAACCAGCCATTGGACCTCCGGTCTCTGTGATTGGTAGGGGTAAGGCCTGGTGGGAGTCTTGTCAAATCAATCCATCAGGATGGGGTGGGCCATATCGAGCCAGGCAATGCCCCCTCCCCTCCCCTCTGTGCATTCTTTACCCATCTTTGGAGCAGGCGGAATGCCAGAAGAATCCCAGAGGCTGGCGCCCATCGCAACGATTCAAAAAGGGCCCCCTCGGTCTGTTGTTTGTTTGCTTTGCCTGCTTTGCATCTTGTGCAATGTTTTTCTCGATTGTCTAAACATCAAACAGTGCCAAACGAGCAAAACATTCCATCTTACACCCAAATCCTCCTGTCCAACGGCTCCCCGGCTTGATATCCGAACCTTGCTTCGATTCAGACTTGTTCGCCCGCAGAATTTGGCGCCAATCACCGTCGGAAATCTGCCTCTAGTTGCAAGTTGGCTCCCGGCCCGTCCTTTGGCAGAGCTCCCTCCTCGTCGCCGCAAACGGAAGGCGATCCATACCCCGACCCACCATGTTCGCCCACCCTTATGACCATTCGTTCAATGACTTATTCAATCAATACGTCAACATGGATACGTCAAGTACCGATGGTAACAAAGACCTTTCATTCTCCGGCGATCTTGACCAGATGTTCTCCCTGGATCCCCTACCCAGCGACTGTGGCGAACACTCTCCCTCCGTTTCCACCTCACAGCAACCCCAGCAGTCACCCCAGCAGCAACAGCAGACGTGGGGAAAGGACGTGTGGTCGTTGCCGCCGGATACTGCTCCCTCTGCAGGTCCCGGCCCCCTTGCATTTCAAGACTCGATCCAACCCTCCGCGGTCTCCGATCTGAATTCCAACCTGGACATTCCTTCCGCCGATCACCACCCCCCTGCTGCAGACACCGGCCGTTCCTCACCGTCCACACCCCCGCAGACTCCTAACCGCAAGAACAAGAGTGCATTGCTCACTCCCAAGTCGATTCGTCGTCACCGCGAGCCGAATGGCCGTGGGCACCTGCGCAAACAGAGCTTCTCCCCTGGTTTGACGCGCACCTCGCAGCTCCAGAAAGGGAGAATGGCGTACCCCGACGCATGGGCGCAGCGATTGCAGCAGAACTTCAACTTCCGTAGTGCCGATGATCGTCTGCCGCTGTCACCGCCGCCGTCCGATATCCTCGTGCAGCAGGAGAATATGGCGGCCGCTGACAACTCCGCCATGAATCCCGCGGGGGATTCGGCCGAGATGCCTCATCACTACGATTCGGGACTCTTCCACCCCTCCCCCGCGATCTCCATGCCTTCGCCTTCCGCGAATACCCTGGCCCGGCAACCCCCGCGGTATCTCAGCCAATCCCACAACTCCACCTTGACCTCCAGTCCTCCCCCGGCGGACGACATCTTCTCCTCTCCACATTCCTCCGACCCGCAGTCCCTCTCATCGTGGCATTCTGACTCCCTTGGCTCGTCGACGTTTCCTTTCACGCCGGATCTCGGCAGCCACGACGCCCAGGCATGGTGGGCGTCCCCCATGGCGGGCCAGGTTGCGCCCCGACAACCGTCATACCAGCCCATAATTGCGTCCCCGACCCCACAGCGGCCCATGCAGAACAACCAGCATGACATGCTGCAAGGGGGCCTCATGATCCAGCTCGACCCCTCCTCCTTCGATATGTCCACCGCGAGCTCCTCTTTTCCCCCGTCGACCATGCCGACCGCCCCCACCACCCAAGATACCCACGCTTACCACACCCCCGCACCTCCGTCCCAAAGCTTCGTGGACTCCTCTTCCTTCACCACGCCCAACGGCCAACATCCATCACGATCGCCGTCCATGTCCCCCGGGACGGGTGGGTCCCCCGGAATGGGGTCCACCATGCCGAACGGCATCGCCATGAAGACGCCCCAGCGCCGCCCTCACGGCCGGAAACTGTCCGGCCAATCGATGAGCGCACCCCGGCCAGTCAAGGGTTCTAGCCCTAAGAACTCCAACAAGTCGGTCACCGTCTCGTTTGTGAACTTCACTCCCAGCGATAGCCGGAAGATCCTCGGCGGGGTTGCCCCCAGCGGCAGCTCCAAAACGAAAGCCCGACGCGAGCAAGAGGCTCGCGATCGACGGCGCAAGCTGAGCGAGGCTGCACTGCAGGCAGTCCGCAAGGCTGGTGGGGACGTGGATACCCTCGAAGCCATTCTATACTAGTCTTCTTCCCCCCTCTTCTTTCTTCTTTTCCTTCCATATCTTTTCACTTTTTTTATTTCATTGTTGATTACCTCCTATCTGTACTATGTTTGATTTCCCCCTCTGCACCGTCTTATGGTCTCTCTGTTTGGTTTGGTGAACTGGCAACGGTCGTTCAGGTGTTTTTGCTAAGCTTGGGTTTTGTTCTCTTGTATTATCTACAGGCCAAAAATCGGCGTTGGACCCCCAAAATTATAGAACTGTGAGCATTGGATACATGCGGCATTATAATAATCCACTACAATTAATGTGTCATTCATCTTATCTTTCTTCTCGCTCAGCGCATTGCATGCATTTCAGGGTTGAATTTCATACTGCAGGGAGGGCCCTTATATGTATTCCAGGTTGTACATATTCATTAGGAGTATAGTCACAGTGAGTTGAGTCTTGACACTCAGGAGTTATGTATATAATACATGCAAGAATAAACAAACCCAAACATGATACCAGTCTATCTAAGCGCTGACCCTGTGGAGCTTGGCAAAAGCTCCGTGCCGAACTGGTTTGGTCGGATATATAAATTCATAACCGACCATTGTACCAATACCAATAGCCCGGAAGGGATGAATCGACCGACGTTCGTCCATTCAGCAAGACAGTGGAGCCCCGCGCAAATCAGTCTAAAGTAGCCAGCCGTAGCCCAGTGTCTCTCAACGGATTGTCTATCACCCGGTTAGCGCCTCGAGGCGCTACTTTTCCCAGGCACCATGTTTCACCCCAAGGACACGAAGGTCTTTTTCTTTTTCCTTTTTTTTTTTTCTTTAAAGTCGATCACCGCCGAGCGACACTGGGCGTCCAAGGCTCCGGCTCCCATTTCTCACTCGGTCCGCCCTTGCCAGCTGCCGCCCAGGGATCTTTATCTTTCTTGGTGGTGGTGGTAGCGTCGTCCGTTCTAGGTTTGGTCTCTGTGCCAGCAGCGGGGGGTGTCTGTTGCTGAGGGGCACTCTCCTGGGCCGTAGGCGCGTCGGGTGTCGATGCTGGTGCTGCTGGTGCCGCTGCCGGTGCTGTTACTGCGTCGGCAGGGTTGGCAGTCGCAGGCGCAGGTGTAGCATTCGTCGCAGGTTTATCCAGATAAGAGGGCTTGCTGGCCCAGCGCTCATCGGCCAGACGCGCCAACTGCTTGATCTGCATTTGGCGGAGGACATCCTGCTGCTGTTCTTGGATGGAGGGGGGCTCGCGACGGACGTGACGGAGCCATTGGTGCCATTGCGCTAGATCAATCGACGGGTCTCAGTTTGTGATTCCAAAAGCCGATATACACAAGGATAGGGCTGAATGGAACGTACGTGTCACTTGAACATCGGCGAAATGGGTCTTCGGGTCGAATTTCACGATGCGCCGGAATCGACCGGCGTTCAGCGCATCTTTGAATTCCCAGAATGTGTTGCCTCGCAGGTCTTGGCCTAGATAATGATAGGTATTAGTAGGTGTGGTCTTCTGTATGTAATCCGTGGAAAGCTAGGGTGGCATACCGACGAGGAAGGATTTTCGCCACGGGAGGCGGAGGCTTTTCCACTTGAACCAGAGGCTGTTGATGGGGCTCATTGAATCGGGGGGATATTGTAGATCTGTCAGACAGACAGGGTAGCAAGAAAGGCCAGAGTCGAGGGCTATCAATGGAGTGGTGGGAGCAGCTGGGGTGGAGAAAAAGACGAGGCTGAAGGAAGACGAACGAACGTCATCGCCAGAATTATCCCTTCACAGCCAGTCAGCATCCTTCCTACATAAGCAGGCATAATTACTGCCCCCCAACGACATTCCTCTCCATCTCTCTCTCTCTCTCTCTATCTTCTCCCTGTCAACTTTCTCTTCACTTCTCTTTCCTCTCTCCTTCTTTACTCTCTCCTCTCCCCTGTTTACTCTCCCATTTCCATCAACTCCCCTCCGTTTTGTTACCGATCTCCGTTGAATACCTCTACTATACTCCTACTTCCCCTTATCCCCCCGCCCCACGGCCCGCCCCACTACTGTCCGCGCCGTTCTCCTTAGCAACTCACTTTCTTCTTCTATTCTTCCATTTCCTTCCATTCTCCTTGCGGTATACTATCCGTTCAGTTGACCGGTTTAATCAAATCATCATGGCGTCCGTGACGTCCTTGGACAAAGACCTGCGCAGTCTGCGCCTGTCCCGCTATACACCGCAGGCAGCCGCGGAGGTCCGCGACTGGATCGAAGACGTCCTGCGCGAAAGACTGCCTTCGTCCGACCTCTTGGAGGGCTTGAAAGATGGTGTCGCACTCTGCAGGTGAGCACAGATACCGCCCTGGATGGGCCTTCTCCCCTCACCCCAGTCCACGGTGATTGACGAAGTTACTCCTTAGACTCGTAAACATGGTCGTCTCGCCCGGCCTCAAGTACAAACAATCCTCGATGCCCTTTGTCCAGATGGAGAACATCTCCCACTTCCTCCGCGCGTGCCAGATGCCGCCCCTGAGTCTCCCGCCGCATGACGTCTTCCTGACCGTCGACCTCTACGAGGGCAAGGACCCCGCGCAAGTCCTGCAGTGCCTGATGGCCTTCAGCCGAAGAGCCAATGCCCTGCAGCCGGCTAAGTTCCCCCGCGCGATCGGCGTCCAAAACAAAGGCGGGTCGCTCAGCCCGAATATGACCGGCTCCAGTGCAAGCGCGTACAAACCGGCCCGTCCGCGCGGCATCAGCAACGTCAGCGACGCGAACTCCAGTACCTCCGGTGCCAGCCCCGGCAAGTCTCCGCATGTCAGCAGCTGGTCCAAGAAGTCCGACGAGGCCGCCACCTCCCCGGCTTGGAATATCCACCAGTACGGGTACATGGGCGGAGCGAGCCAGGCCAACCAAGGGGTCGCCTTTGGCGCTCGTCGGCAGATCACCAGCGCCTCGCCGTATGTGCCGAGTCTGGCCGAGAAGGAGAAGCGCAGGCGCGAGGAAGAAGAGCGCGCCATCCTCGAGCGCCAGGAGGCGGAGCACAGGCGTCAGCGCGAGCTCGAGGCGGAGGAGCGGAGAGCCCAGGAGGTAGAGGAACGCCGATGGGAGCTGGAGACGGCTCGTTTGCAGGAGAAGGATAAGGAGCGGCACGAGGCCGAAGCCGAGCGGAAGCGATGGGAGGAGGAAAAGCGGACGTGGGAAGCTGAGGAACAGCAGCGCGCACGGGAAGAGAAAGAGGCCGAAGCACGACTCGAGCAGGAGAGGCACCACCACCGGGAGCTTCAGGATAGCCGACTCAACGGCCAATTCCTCAGCCAGTACCAAGCCAGTCACCCCAACCCCAACCCCGGCCGCGCCTCGCCCGACGAATCGCAGGAGACACAGCGCATCCGGGAGCTGGAGCGTGAGCTGGAGCTCGCCAAGGAACGGGAGCGACAGTACGAGCAGGGCCGGCAGACCGGGACCCCGGAGCCACCCGCGCGCAGCAATCGCCCCGTCCCGGTGCCGCCCAAGCCCAGCTACAGCCTGTCGTCCCTCGAACAGGAGCGCCGACTGCTGCGCACCGAATGGCAGACGCACCATGAGGAGCAGCCGGACGTGCCGCCCCAGCCTCCGCGTCCGCTCCCGGAGCCAACCCGCTCCGAACAACCCCCATCCCTACCCCGCCGACCACTCCCCGATCCCACGGCTTCAGAACCGCAGCAGCCCCCAGCGATGCCGCCACGGGCCCCTCTCGAAACCGCAGACCACGCCACAAACATGACCCCATCCCCGCGTCCCCTCCCAGACCCCACAGCGACGCACGCCCCCAAGCCCCATCTCCCGGCCAGCCGCGTCGACCAGTACCTCTCATCCCACCGACCCCCCGTGGCCCCCAAGCCCGCCACCCACCGCCCCCAAGACTACACCACAACCGCCGAAGTCGACGCCGAGAACGCACGACGCGCCGCCGCCCAACAAAAGACCAAAGCCGGCGGCTGGGCCTCAAAGTCACTGCTAGAGCGCGAAATGGAGCGCGAGCGCGAACGCCAGCGCGAGTGGGAAGAGGGCCAGAAGCAGACGCAGGAGGCAGCCGCGCGCGGCCTCAAAGACGGTACTCTGGGCTCCGGCCCGGGACAGGCCTGGGACGTCCATCAGTATGGGTTTATGGGTGGTGATAATCAGAATCGGGGGGTTCGGGGTTGGGCGTTGGGGGCGCGAGAAGGCAGATTATTGGGCCGAGGCCGCCGCCATAATTGTTTTCGTTCTTCATTCGCTTCTATGGTTTAGAGGGGATGATCCGTTTCATTATTCTGTTACTTGTTTTTTTTCTTCTTTGGTTCAACGTGATTCATTTCTTTGTGCGTGTCTAGCGTGTGGATGGATGGATGGATGGATGGGCAGGTGGAGGGGGGTAGATATTAACTTTATTCCCGATGGTCCGGTTCGGTTGTTTGCTTGGGTGATTGATTGCTTTGTTTTGGTTCGGCTGTAAATAGTCATTTATACTCTATAGTCTATACTCAATAGATGCATCCCATGCAGATATCCCATATATGAGGAGTAAATGATAAATATAAAAGTAGATAATAGATAGTGTAAGGTACTCGCTGCACGGGGTATCTATATATACTAGAACAACAACAACACAATAATCACACCCAGTGTAAGCCCGAATCAACAAACATCAAACAAATGACAAAATAAATAACAAGCAGCAGATAGGTATAAGAAAACGAAGCAGACAAGATACATAGCAAGCTAAATCCTACCAACACCCCCAATAATATCACCCCACAACCTCCAAAAGAAACATCAACCGCTCCCCACTCTCAATCAACCAAGACCACTCCACATCCTCCGCAACCCTGCCCTTCCCCTTCCCCTCCCCCCACCACCAGTAGTAGCCTGCGCGCCCTCAGTCTGCACCTTCTCAGCCCTAGCCTCAATGCCACACTCTACCGCACTGCGAAACCCATCCGTAACGGTCAACAGGTCACTCTGCGCAAGCAGCATAACAAGCGCCTCGAGCGCAATCGACATCTTGGCATTGTCAGCCACAGCGGCGGTGCTAGCCGCGAACGGCAAGAAGCAGTACTCGAGTTTGGTCTGGTTGAGGTAGTCTTCGTTTGAGTCTGGGGCGGCGGACTCGCGGAGGCGGTAGAGGAGGAATTCGCAGAGGGTGGTGTGCGCTGCGGGGGAGAGGTAGGATAGGGTGGAGGGGCTGACGAGGGCTTGGTAGATGGGGAGGGGCTGGTGGCGGATGTTTTCGACGAAGAGGTGGTAGAGGTCTTCTAGGGGGAGGAAGTCGCGCGGCAGTTTTTGGGAGACTTGGGTGAGGAGTTCGAGGAGGCGTTGGCGGAGGGAGAGGGATGTGAGCCCGCCGAGGAGGGAGGCGTCGTTTGTTAGGGGGGTGTTGGTTGTTGATGGGGGTGGTGATTGTTGGGGGGGCGTTTCGATGGTGGTGTCACCGGTGGTGGTGGTGGTGGTGGTGGAGCGGGTGGCTCGGCGAGGGCGTTTGGTTTTGCGCGAGGGCGTGCCTTTCTCGGTTGTGGATAGGTCGTCGTCGTCGTCGTCTTTTTCGGTGAGGTAGTCGCCGTAGACGCCTTGGTCGACGTTCACCTCCACCTCGCGCTTCTTGATATTGCCAGGCTGGTCGCCTCCCTTGTTGCGCAACGGTCGCAGCTCGTTGTGGAAGACCTGGCGGAACTCATTGACGGCGCTGGAGCTGCCGTCTGCGAAGACGGCGCGCAGGATGCGTCTGTTGCGGCCGAAGCCGGCGGACGGGTCGGTGATGTAGCGGCAGATGAGGCTGTCTCTGAGGACGGCGGTGTGTTGATCCTGGTTATCTGTTCTATTCCGGAGACGTCTCTTTGCCGTTCCATTCGGTGCATCGTTGTTGTTCTGCAATGCAGCAACCTCAGCCAGTCTCATCCGCTCGCGCCAGTCGTCCTCCAACACCTCACACATGAACTCCAGCCACACGCGCCAGCGATCCCATCGCTCGCGGTGCAGCACCGAGCAATTGAACGCCCAGCCAACGACGTGCCAGAAGTCTTCGGCGCGCGACCACAATGCCGCTGACTGTGCGAGCTCCAGGTTCAGCTGCTTTGCGTCCTCGGGGTCCGCGAAGGTGTCATCCTCTGCGGCGCCGCGGCGGCGGCGGCCTTGTCGGGAGGACTGGAAGTGGGTGAAGGAGAATGCGACACTTAGACGGGAATTGAGAGGTCCGACGAGGTTGTTGGCTAAACGGAGGAGCCGCAGTGCTGCGGCGGGGCTTCCTCCTCTGCGGGTGACTTGGCGCGCGTAGTGGTTGCGGGGTGTACTAGGAGGGTGGCGGAGAGGGCGAGATGTTGCGGGGGAGGGACGAATACGGGGGTTGGGGGGCCGGTGGTTGTTGTTACGATGTCGAAGAGAAGGGCGAGGGCTTGGGCGTCTGTGTAGCTTGTTAGCATGGTGAGATAGGTTGATTGGTGTAGGGGATACTGACAGAGCTTCTCTTCGAAGAAGATGCCAATGTGTTGGACCAGCTCATATGGGAGAGGTTTATGGCAGCGGTAGGCGTCCTCATCTATATCCATGATGAGGGGAATATATTAACAAGTTTTAAGAGAGTAAAGTAGAGCGTACAGAAGAAGATGAAGATGAGATGAAGACAAAGATCGCGAGAGTGAAAGACGCGCTTATCGATAAGGCGCGTGGAGTAGAGCCGGCGGATCAAGAGACCAAAGAAAGCAGCCTCTTTCACCGATCAAGGTGCTGTAGTGTAGTGGTCATCATGAATCGTTGTGGTTTCAAACAACAATTCCGATTCGACCTGGGTTCGATTCCCAGCAGCGCCATTGGCGTTGACTTGATCATCTTTTTTTATTTTGCTAAAAACTTCCTTTGTTGGTGTGTTTTTGTTTTCTCTTTGTTTTGTTTTTGCTTTGAATATTATATTTATTTACTTTTCTCTTATATCTTTATATCTAATCTTTCTTTGTCCATGGTTTATGAGTTCGGTTGGCTCTCATTAATAGTAGCCGGAATCTGCTCTACGAATATATATCCCGCCCTGGCGGATAACTGAAACCACCACTACGCTCATTATGCACCCACCACAATGACTGATTATAGATTTACATCATTATATACAATAATCGTATCATTAGCCGCAACGAATACCGTAAACCATGGTCTAATACTCCTACCGAGGTAGCACGGGTGGCCCAATACATAGCGCTCTCACGGGCCTCGAAATCCACGACGGAGCCACAAAGACCCCCGACATCCGACCATGAAACAACCGTGAACATGGCCAGTCAGAGTGGCACCCCTCGTTAGTGTCGGCCCGACGTAGTACAATTGATACGAGAAGGTCGTGTCCATCGCTTAAATCATCCCCTGGACGATCGCGGTTACAATAAAGCCGGGACGCGGAATACGATCGGAAGCCGATGCCACGAGAACGGTGCAAGCAAGCATTGATAATAATGATATCGAGATATCGGGATTCTTTTTCCCGTCCAACCCTTCGCATCCACACCGCACCGCTCTCTCCTTTGTAGATTTCTGGTGGATTTCCTCCCCCCTTTCTGGGACCCATGGCCCCTGCCGTTCCCCATTCGAGAGTCGTCGGCAGTCGACAACTTGAGTACTGATCCGTGGAGTCACCGGAAAACAGCACCGTCGCGAGCAAAGACAAGAAGAAAAAAGTAGGGAAAAAGGATATTGAATCGCCAAGCGGAGAATATGGTCAAGAAGAAAAGCCAAGAGACCGAACAAATACGAGGAAAAGAACAACAAAAGCAACGTCAACGAGGAAAGAGCTATTCCTCGGGCTCCGAAAAGAGACCTATCCGCAACCGGTGGGACTGTAGGTGGTCAGTACGGGGGGCAAGGCGCGCCGGGGTCAGGAGCACATACGAAAGGCAGTTTCGGAATCACCACCGCCAAGGTGGCGAGGAAGTTGATGGTAAAATAGGTTAGATCGTAGTGGGTATAATGGGTGCTGAGGAGGAAGAGGCAGATGGGGACGCAGAGCAGGAATTTCTTGGCGGGGGTATATTGGTCGCCGTTGTCGATCTGCTCCCACATGTTGAGGTTGTCGTAGGCACCAGCGTTGAACTCGAAGGGGATGCCCCGCACCCAGTGGAACATGAGGAAGGAACCGAACATGTAGCTGATGTTGGTCAGGGTCCAGGAGGTTTCCTGGGAGACGCCGGGAATGATGTCGTAGAAAATCTTCAAGGCGAGGATGAGGACGAAGTGGATGGTCCAGGCACCTAGATATCACGCGTTAGACCCCTATCTCCTGATCCAGTGTGACACCCCTCCTTCACTCTTCCTCTCGGAAATACTGTGGTCTAGATTGCAGTGCCACGTCCGACGCCGGGAATTTCGGGAAAAGATAGACTCACCCTTGGCATTGACCCAGTTCGCATTCAGATTGGGCAGGGCTGCCTGATCGCTGGTATGCTCGATGGATTCCGGAGGTTCCTGATAGATGAGACTGCTGGAGCGTCTCCGTCGGCCTGCTTTATTCTGCGACATGTCCTTGGTGGGAGCCAACCGTCGGTGGCCTGTGTCGACCTCCGGAGGGAAGGAGATGGTACGAGGGGCGACGATGGAAGACACCTTGGCGGTATTGATCGAGAACCGGTGGGAAAAATGGAACAAACCGACGAGTATCGAGATATCGAGATATTGAGAAGGCGGAGAAGGCAAGGAGATTGGACGGAGGAGGATAGGAGCGAGGAGATATCACGGGCGGAATCAGAGAGGAGGGGGGGGGTGGAGGAAGCGGAGGGGATACCAGCCGATGATCCCGGGGAGAGAGAGGGTGGGGAGGTATAAAGAGATGTAGAGGAAGAAGGAATAGGAAGGTCGAAAGGGAAGGAAAAAGGAGTATATAGCGATTGATGGAGGATGAGGTGATCGTACAGGAGGGAGAGGGAGACAGAGAGAGAGAGGAAGAGGGAGAGGAAAGACGAGCGAGGGAGATCGCAGGATCGGCAGAAAGTCACGGGAGCCCGACAGCCATCCAGCACCACCAATTTCAAGCTCAAATAATTACGTTTATATCTTTATTTGATTTGCGTTATAGGAAAGGAAAAGAAAAAGTATAATAATAAGAAAAGAAAAGAAAAAGAAGAATCAAAGAGCAGTAAATCCGCAGAGAATAGAGGAGGAATCATATTAAGATACTAGTACTACTATCAGAGCAGACTATCTATCTAACTATCAAGTACCTCGCCACTTTCAACTACAGATACTCTCAATCTCACTATCTAAAGTCAGAAGAAGACATGACGCTACTGCGGCTGCTAAGCAGAACCAATCATGCCTGGTCTGGAAGGGATCGGATCGATGCAGCGGAGGTTCTAGAATCCTGTTAGTCTCAGACCTGATTTCTATTTAGGTCTCTGGTTGATATTTATAGCGTTCGATAATCGATATAGATAGGGATATCAATATGATATAGCATCCATATCTGATTCAACATGGGCAATTACAGGCGACAATAGACCTCCAGAATATTTATAGATCGAGAGATACACGTGTTAAGGGATCACTCTGGACCTGAGTCACATGACTACATCACATGAGCGTCACGGGGAAGTGCCGGACTAATGTTCCTCCGCTGCGGCTCTGGCTTCTGTCGTTCCCCGTAAATTTTCCTTGAGGAATCAGAATGCGAACCGCAGACCGGCGACAATCCCGCACGACACGACACATTCCACTTCCTCGACACCATGTCGGACTCCCCTGATGACCATGATTCTCGAACCGCCTCCGTAGGGATCTCCCGGACCCGTGCAGCGTCCTCGAACCACTCCTCCCGACAGAGCTCCACCGATCCCGCCAACGCCAACAAGAGACAACGGAGGAAGAGAAAGGCAGACGACCGGGTGGCGCAGGATTTCGTCCCTCGCGGGGGGAGTTTCAGCAACGCTCCCTTGGATGTGGATTCTGATGAAACGTCCAGCTCCGGCTCCAGCTCCAGCGACGGCTCTAGCTCGAGCGCGGACTCCGACTCGTCCGACAGCGCATCCGACTCGTCGGACGGACAGTCCGAGCCGGCATCGACGGACGTTCAGATGAAAAGTGCGTCAGCGCTCAACTGGAACAAAGGGAGCAGAGGCGAAATTCGGACCACACTCGGCGCGAGAGGGAACAAGCGCGACGAGGGCCGACCCCGCTCGCAATTCGACGCGGTCAACAACAAGTTCTGGCGGAGTGCGTCCGATGATGGCGAGGCTGAGGACGGTGAGATCGAGGAGGGGGAGACGGATACGAGTGACTCGGGGATGCAGCTGTCAGGGGACTCGGACGCGGATTCCGAGGCGGATCGGTCGATCTTGTTGAATATTGGCCAGGAACTTACGGCCACGGGCGATTCGAATGGAGCGGGGCCTACCCACGCTTCAAACATGATATCGCTGACCGGGGCTCCGGCCAACGGGTCTGCGAAAAGCTCCTCGTCCAAGGAAGAGACCCTACGTCAGTACTCGCAGAAGTACCCTACAGCGCCTGCGATCCTTTCAGACCTCACCCGGGAAGACCTGGAGAGTCAGGCGCGGTTTCTGCACTACGGCCAGGACATCAATGATGTCGACCTCCAACTGCCCATTGCCTGCGTAGAGTGTATGCGCGAGGGCCATTTGGCGGAGGTCTGTCCATACAAAGAGGTAAGGGACACTAGGGATTTGACAAGATGAGTAACGCTAACAATCCACAGTGCGTGCACTGCGGAGATTGGAATCAGCACCAGAGCAGCCTCTGTCCTACCTGGAGGCGATGTTCACGGTGTCGGGAGCGCGGCCACGACGAGTCCCAGTGCGGTGCGACACTGAAAAGTTCGGCGTCGGAGATCCCTTGCGATCTATGCGGATCGTCCGCGCATATCGAGCTACAGTGCGACTTCATGTGGAAGCTGCCCCGGGTGGATCCGCCTACGGGGCCTGTGCTCGTCTCGCTCTCGTGCGCCCACTGCACCAGCAACCGCCATCTCCTGGGAGATTGCCCGTCGCTGTCCTACCCGCTGAAGTCGTCATCCTGGACCCTGCGGGGGATCGATCCCAACATGGTCACCAACATGAATTCAGTCGTGAGCGGCCAGAGGGGCCTACAGATTCGGGGCCGGGCCGACCGCCGGTCTCCGAGCCCAGACAGCGACGACATGCTCTCGCGACCCGGACGACGGCCACCCCTGGGACGCAACGCCGGCGGACGGCCCAACATCCGATTCGGCAGCGGCATCGGGCGGGGCAAGAGCTTTGGGTCTTCCGGGGGCCGCGGAGATTCCCAGGGCTATCGGGACCGGCGCGATTACAATGGCGATGGGGGCCGGCAACGCTCGCTCTCCCCCCGGGGCAGTCGCGGCAGAGGCCGGGACAGCTGGCAGCCGACATCTCGCTTTCCTCCCCGGGGCCGGGGAGGCCCCCGAGGAGGCCGTGGCGGCGGGAAGCGGGGCGGGGGCGGCGGCGATGCGTATCGACCCATGCCAAGTGCGGGCAAGAAAGCATGGGATCGCTACCGGATGTGATGACCAGCAGACCAAAATGGGCGTTGACGAGGCGATGAATAGTTCTTTTGTTGGATATGTAACGCATAGATACCCGGATCGAAACGATTCTCTCCCATCATGGGGGATCTGTAAATAAATGGCCGAGTGTACAGAAAATAGAGCCGGAATGGGTCGCGCCCGGGATTCTCCGCACCGGAAGGCAATCTTATCAACCACCAACTTCTCCACATCTCCCTCTTCAATCTCTGTACCCCTCTTATAGACAAATATATATATATACATACATATATATATAGATATCCATGTGGACGCGCCCCTCGCGCCTACTCACCCGCCAAATGTCTTCCCTACAGAGCGTTCCCCTCCGTCAACGACGGTTCGCGCCCCTCGGTTCCACCGACGCGACAGCGCCTGAATTGAAGGGGATCGTATTCGACGTGGATGGTACATTATGGTGCGTACTGAATCTCATAAGCAAAATCCAATCAACTGTATGAAACTCACGAATCGAACAGTCTCCCCCAAAACTACATGTTCTCTCAGATGCGGTACGCCAATCCCAGCATCCATGACCCCACCTTCATAAATTGAATACTCACAACCAACAGAAAAGCCCTCGGCATCGAAAAGAAAACAGACATCCTGCACCACATTCGGAGCCTCCCCAGCGAGGAGCGCCTCGAAGCAGCCGACAAAATCAAGGCCATCGAGCGCGAAGCCATGACGCACCAGCAGCCGCAGCCGGGGCTGGTCGATTTGATGGACTATCTGCATGATGCGGGGGTGCGCAGAGCGCTGTGTACGCGGAACTTCGAGTGCGTTCATCATCCTGCCCCCCCACCCGACTTGTTGCAGAAGCAGCGACATGAATAAGTATTAACTGAAGTAGAGCCCCTGTCATGCACCTCTTGTCGAACCACCTGCCCGCGCACGTCTTTGTTCCCATCATTACCCGCGAGACGCCTGGCCTCTTGCCTAAGCCGGATCCTGATGGGATTTTGCATATTGCGAGGGAATGGGGGTTGGAGAATGCGGGGGAGAATTTGATTATGGTATCTTTCTTCTTTCTCTTTATCTCTTTTTGTTGATCTTCTGGGTGGCAGCTGACAATTCCAGGTCGGGGACAGTATTGATGATATGACGGCGGGACATACGGCTGGCGCGGCGACGGTGCTGCTTTTGAATGACCATAATGGACATTTGAAGGAGCATGAGCATACGGATCTGTGTATTCAGAGGCTGGATGAGCTGATTGGGATCCTGCAGGCAGGGTTTGTTGGGCGGTAGGATGTACAGTACCTGTGTTTACATATACCTTGGATACTTTGACTGGAAATTACCTGGTTAACGATATGAAGACCGTGGACGACGGTCGTTCTTTCCTCAACAACTAAAGTTCCTTCCACCACAGAACAGACGCAAAACAGACTATCATCCACATATCCACACCGTCCCCTCGCAAGATAAGACACAGCATCGAGTATCTACCGCATGGTTACCTCCCACGCTCACTGACCCACTCAGTATCCATCAAAATGGCCACCAAACCCCAACCAGAGCAACAGGAGTGCCCGAACGGACAGCGCCACGGCAGACTCACCATCACGCTGCGCCAGACGCTCTCCCTAACCGGCAATCTCCTCACCCTGAAACTGCTCCACTACCTCGCCGTCCTTCTCGACCTGGTCCCAAAGCCCTCACAGACCAATCCATACCAACCCGCTCCCCTCAGAACACACAGCTTCATCAACGGCGCCATCGAACGCCGCGAGCGCCGCATCGTCGAGCTCTTCATGACGATCATCCAGATGAGCCTCTTCGAGACGATCTTCCTCCACGCTGAGGACGGCATCTCACCCGAGCGCATCTCCGCCGCCGTCGCTGCCTTCTTCAGCCGCACTCCATCTGCCAGCGATTTCGGCTCGGCGATGCTGCGCCCCGGCGCGACGGCCACGCCGGCTTACGCGCGCGCGCCGAGCCCGCTCCGTGCGTCTGTCGGGCAGATATCCAGTGTTGCTTCGGAGAATCGAGCTGGCGGTAGCGGTAGCAGTGGTGCCCCGGTGCCGAACTTTCTAAACACGCGGTACTCGGTGCAGAAGCCGCTGATTAGCGATTCGGTGTATTCGTCGCTGTTCCATAGTGTCTCGGATACGGCGTGTGTGCCTGGTTCGTCTACCTTGGGTGTGCCTGCGAGGAAGACGCCGTCGGGCCCCTCTCCTGACAACAACAATATCAACGACAACAGCGGTGGTGGGGCTGTGACTGGGACTGGGAAAGAGGAGGCTGTAGTCGACAGTCCAGCTGCGTCGCTCCGTCCGATCTACAGCATCGTCTGTCCGGTATGGTCGAGCGACTCGGCGCAGTCGCAGTCGCAGTCACAGTCGCAGGGGCTGGAGATGACGGAGTCGGGGCGGACGTTGTCTGCAGGGAGCTATCCGGGACGGTTTCCTGTGAGCGACGGGGTGGAGTTTAGCAGTCTGGCGACGGCGGATGGGGCGGTTAAAGGACGGGCTGCGACGTCTGTGAGGCCGTTGTCTGATTTTGGGACTGTCTAATCTTTGAGTTTCTTGTTTTTGGTCTTTTGTTTTGCTTGGTTTGTTTTGAATATGGAGTTTGTATACTTAGTATGGAGTAGACGGTGTATGTTTATAGACGGTCGTTACAATTATATATTTGTTTTTATACACTGGAGATTTCCTCTTTCAATCTACCTTCGCTGAGTAGAGCTGAGTCCGGTCTGAGCGCTCACAATGCTTTAGCAGATCACCAAGTAGGGACTGAGCAGAGGAGTGACAGCCTCAATGAAACACACCTGTCAGAGCAAGCTAAACTAGTAAATATTTTCCTCCTGGTACTTCTAATCATCATCTATAAAGTTTTACCCACCCGGTAAAGAGTTCACACATAGTAAGGGCTAGGGATAAAGGTCAACAGGGTATATAAATGTCCATCTACAGTAGTAAGGTAATAAATGCCCACGCTCACACAGTTTGCTAGATGAGCCTATAGTATATCGTAGTTAATAGTAGTTATGTTGCTTATGCTAAGATGTATTACAATAGCCTTGGGATACTGTCTTGTCTTACTAGATGGAGATTCAGTCCTCACAGTTAATAACTTGAATCTGTCCTACAACCAAGTATGCAAGATATATATTACTATTTCTGATTTGAATTATACAGCAGATTATTTTCCATTATTCAATGGCACCAAACACGTGAATAACCGCAAAACATTGCAAAAACATAAAGAATCAGAACAACAAGTTATATAGAAACCCAAAAACACTGTGAGCGAGCTGATATTTTCCCGATTGCATATCCCACAATTCCACATAATTCATTTACTTGTTTCTCCTCCACAGAGATAGAAGCAGTTACACTGCGCAACAGACCGAGTGATCCTGGAAGAACTTCCTATCTTCATCATCACCTGTCCATAGAACGATAATGACCACGTGTCCCCAGAGTTGTATCTTAGTGATGGTGGGGATAGAAGCCTAACTTGGATCAGTTTCTGACCGAATCGACAGACATCTGCTTCATTATCACGGAGATCGAAGTAACCGGCAACGCGATTCCGAAGTGCCTGACTACCCCCCCGGCAGGCAGATGGGTATGCTGGGCCCGGGTCATTCTCATTTTCGTTGTCGGTGAGATACGATGTATATATATATATATATATATATATATATATAGCATAGCATGGTAGGCCGGCAATCGATCTTCTCCAGCTAGGGTTCGTTTGTCTGAACGGGCGTCCAGAACCCATAGAACGAGAAGTAACCAACTCCAACTCGTCTATAAGATCCAGCTCAACTCGACGAGCAGAATTTAAACCACAAGAGTGGAGTAACGGGTCTGTTTCTACTGTGCTCAAAGATTTTTCCAATGAGCTAACCTGGCGAGGTAGTGGCAGATCTGGGTTTGTTTGCTGCGGATGAATGAAGAGGATGTTGTGTATATATATGTATATATACTATATCCCCATGATCCTACTCTGTTAGCATCCATATATACATATACACCTCAATCAGAGAGATGTATATCATCTACAGAATCAATCACTTTGGACTTACTCACCAATGATAAGTTCCACCATTACTCAATACCTGCATTGGTCAAATGGGTATATACATATATACCATGTACCTAAATATGAGAAGACCTCGAACGGCTAGACGTAACGAAGAAAAGAGATGATATAATGAGGAATTTCTTTGAGACGGACGATCCAGACGATAGTGCAATCCCGCGCTTCTCGCGCGAAGCACGTCCCTTAACGTAAGGAGAGAATATGAATATTTTCTCCTTCCTCGAGCGGGGGAGGGATAGTCGCTCATCCTGAGGACGATCTTCACAATCCAGAGTATGCATATGAATAGATAGATATGTCGTAAATTCATAAACCCATACAAGAGTACCCGATAAATGCATCTAGCTCCTAGGGTGGAGGGCTGAGCTCTGCAGCTATGTTTGCGGGGACTCTGATTTTCTCTTGGAGGTTTTGATTGATTCTTGGAGAAGTAAATGATATTATGACGCTTTGAGCTTGGGGGTTGCGCTTTGTTTGTATTTGGTCTGTGGGGTTGGATATAAAGGAGATGAGGTGTTGTAGATGGAGGAGGATGGATGGTCGAGGTGGGAGAGAGAGATAGAGAAAGATATAGGATAGGAGGAAAAAGATGAAACAGGGATCGAATAAAGGAATCAAGTTGTCAAGTGGTTAGTGACTCAATCATTCATTAGGATATATCGGTGATGATTGTGCCAAGTGACAGCATCGCAGAATACTATATGAGAGAGAGGTGGATAAACAAGTGGTTAAATATATGCACATTAGAATCAGGGAATTGGGAATCACTCTCATACAAAAACAAAATCAAAAGAAATACATCCAACCCAGCGCTGCCATTATCTCATAATTCATGTTCATATCTCCTCCAGTCCATACTTCATATGCGACTAATAACCATACTCATCATCAATCTGGTCCGGACTCCCCCGATACTGACTCCTCTTCCGCGGACTCGACTGACTCCCCGTCAACGGCCGCGGTCCCGTCGGCTTACGATTGGGCGTGCTGCGCGGCGACGACCGTGAACTCTGCTCCCCGTTAGCCCCTCTTCTTCCGCCACCCGTGTAGAAAAAGAAATACCTGCACCCGTTCCACATACGACCGCTCGTCGCTCCCCTCTGACACCTTGGGCGGCCGCTCTGGGATCAATGGACCCTCGTCTTTGACCTTGGGTGGGCGCGGCGGCCCTGCCCGCGAGCTCGCTCCCTCTGAGTACACATCTGAGATGGGTGATAGTCGGCTGCCGCCGCTGTAGCGCTGGTTCGCGCTGCCTACTGAGCCCCATGGTTCGGCTGGCGTATCGTATACCTGTGCTTGCGTCTCCAGCTGTGTCTGGTATCGTCCTGTGGGCCCCTGCCGCGGCTGCGGGTGCTGCATATCTAGGCTGTCGCGGTGGGCCCGGTACTTCGGTGCCTCTGATACCTGCGACGGGACTAGCGGCGACGGCGGTCGGTTCTCGTCTAGGCTGTAACTCGTCCGCATTCGGTCATCCCCCGCGGCGTCGTACGACCCCCGTCCCAGGTCTGACCCTGACGGCGACGCCTCGAACGAGCCGCCCCGCTCCTTCCGCGCTGGTTGGATGCTATTGCGGATGTTGTCGCCCATGGACGACGCCGTCGTCTTGGACCACCGCGAGATCTTGGGAAAGAACGACGAGCTGCTGGACTTGTGCTTGCGCGCCTTCTCCGTCGACTTGGGCGTGTGCTCCGTGCTCAACGCCCCCGAGGCCACCGGCCCCGCGGCGGGGTCGTCGCCGCTGTGGGCTCCGACCCGGGCCGCTCCGGCTGCGTGCCGGTCCCGCCGCCCGGCAGGTTGGGGCTCAGGAACTCACCCCGTGCATCGCCGTCCACCGGCTCGTCCGCCTCTGGCACTGTGCTGACGCGCTGGTCGGCCGGACCGGGGCCCCGACCGTCCGCCGGCCGCGAGAACATGGAGAGGTAGCCGGAGTGGTTCTCCGACGAGGTCGTCCCCGCGTGCCCTTCCGGCTCGTAGCCCTCCGGGTCCACGCTACCTGTCCGCTGGCTCCGCGCCATGTGGTCGTCCCCATACCGCAGGGCCTCCACCTCATCGAGAAGCTGCTCCAGCATATCTTCAATCTTGCCCAGGTCGTTGCCGGACTTGAGGTGCAGCCCCTTCATTGCGCGCTTGAAGACGTTCATGCGCTTCGAACGCAGGTCCTCCGGGTCCGCGGCGGTCCGTGGCCGGGTGCTGACCGGCAATGGGCGCGGCCCACCGACCGCCCGATACGTGCGCTCGTGCTGCTTTTCATTCGCCTCCATGACCAGTCCATCCTGTTGCGCGATGAACTTCTTCATGCCCTCGAACGAATTTCGCATCTCGGTGGCGCTCTGGACCAGGGTCATGAGAATCTCCGTGTCGCGAGCGTTCCGCTGCGCATCGCGGACGGTGAGCTGTCTCGGGTTAGCCACGAATTCAATACTGCATAGATGGAGGGACTTACATGATCCATGAGCGCTACGATATCCTTAGACTGGATTCGCTCGATCCCCCGGCCGGTCGCGCTGTCATACAGAGGCGACCCGGCACCGTGGGAGTAGCCACTCAGCTGTCGGTGGTGACCAGGTGCGAACGAGTCAGGTCCCGCGTCGAAGAGACCCATGGCGCCGCTGTCCATGTCGAACCCTTTGTTGAGGGGTTCTGGGGTATCGGCTCCCGGGGACCGCGGGTTGGCGGCCGACACGTATCCCTCGTCCTTCGCCCCCAGGGGGGTGCCAAACAGCTGGTCCCGGGGGTAACGGTCATAGAAGCCGTTCGGACTGTAGCCGGTCGGGGAGTAATCATCCTGACCGTAATCGAGACCGGCGGCTCCCGTCTGGTCGAGGGGTGACTGATGGCCCGTAGGGTCCGTTGGGCCGTACCAATGATTTTCGTGGGGAGCCGCGGGGCCCTGGATGATGGACGGGTTGGTGTTGATCTCCGACTCCAGGTCCGGGCTCCGCGTATCTTCTTCGGGGCTGGGGCTGCGGGTGTGGAGGTCGTCGGCGTAGCCGTGGGGGTCCTCGAGGGACTGCGTGACACTTTGCGGCGGGGAGCTGGCGCCCATGCGTCTTGGGAACGAGGTGGCGTCCGGACTTGTCGCGTCCTGCTGCTGCTTCAGGGGACTCCCCTGACGGGACCCCGTGGCCGGATCGACCCGCTCCGGGGACGGGGCAAGGTGTCCCTGGGAGCGGCTGACGCCCGACGGGTTGGATTTGGTATCCACGAGCGAGGGGTCGAGGATCGAGGGGTCAAGGAGCGACGCCACCGCAGACTCGACCGCAATGGGCTGGACAAACTGGGGGCTTGTGCCGGACCCCGGCGCCACCGGGCGCGCCTGGTGGGCCTTCTCTAGGTAGTTAACCTCACTGTCGTCGGTGTAGTCGGCGGTCCACCGCTTCCCATCAGTGCTCACGGTCTCCGCCTGGGAGTACCGAGGATCGACGTCGTCCCCGCCGGCAAACGTCGGCCACGGGTGCTCACGCGGCGAGAGGCCCGAGGACTCCTCGTACCCCAGCTCCGGGCCGCGGTCCGTGTAGTTTTTCCGCAGCTCGGCCTGGCTGGCGACGCTGGAGTTGGCCTGGCGCGTGGACCGGGCGAGGTTGGTGCTCGGGGCCGAGGAGAGCGAGTCAATGGAGAGACGCGGCTCGACGGCCTGGTCGATCGGACCCCGTCGGAGGGAGGCGCTGCGGTCGCTGGCCACGCTCTGGATGGGGCTGAGGGTGCGACGGCGGGCGTCGCGGTCGGCGTCGGCCCCCTCGAGCAGGTTGGCGGCGGCGGCGGCAGCGATAGCCCCCGCGGCCGCCTCGCCCACAGGGGAAGGCGCGCCGTGGTGGTCGTGCGGGTCTTGGTCGGAGACGCTGTGGATCGACAGGTTGTGGCTGGACAGGTTGCTGTGATGAAGCCCGAGGTCGTGCCGCCCCGCGGGCTCTGCCGTCCGCTCTGAGAGGAGGGAGTCGCGTGTCAGGTCCGACTCGATGGCGCTGCGCAGCGGCATGGGGGCGACATTGTGCTTTCGGAAGAGCAGCTCGGTCTCGTTGCCGCTGCCGGTCCGATTGCGCGAGCCACTCATGCGTCGGGTGCCCCCCTCCTCCTCTTCCTCCCGGTCGAGGCTGGAGCGCGAGTCGTGGTGGCGGAGGGCGGCGGCGGTCAGGGCGCTGCCCACGCGGCCGGCCTTCTCGGCGTCCCGCAGGCCCTTGCTCCGCTGGCGCCGCAGCTTGTCCTGCTCCGTCAGATCCGGGCGCAGGCCCCACTTGACGGGGTTCCCGTCCACCGTCATGTCGCTGTCCCGACTGGCCCGGCGATCCCGCTGGGACGAGGAACCGGAATCCTCGGCGAGGACGATGCCTTCCTCCGGGCCGTCGTCGCCATGGAGGACGACGGTGGGCTTCCGGACGTCCGGGGCACTGGCGTGCTTGGAGAGGCGGCGACCGAGCTCCGTACCGCCTCCTGCGGACGAATAAGAGGCGCTCATGTCGCGGTCAAACTTGGAGGAGTTGGAGGCGACGCGCTGGTCCTTCTTGAGCTCCTTGAGCTCGGGCAGGATCAGGCGGCGGATGGCGTCCTCGACGGTCTCGAGGAGCTTGGGGTTGTTGATGGAGGATTTGGAGGTGCCCGACCGGAAGGAGTACTGGTCCCCGGATTTCCGGTGGGACGAGACGCCCGAGGTGCTGAGCAGGCTGGACACGGGACTCATCTCGTCGTCGGCCGACTGGTGGTGGTGATGGTGGTGGTGGTGGTGGGCCGTCCGATCGGAACCATGGCGATCGGCCGGGTCGCGCCGGGCGGTCCGTGTCCGGTGGTGGCGGTGGGTCTTGCCCCGGGGGCGGCCTCGCGTGGCTCGCTGCTGAGTTTCTCGGCCACGCGATGGGCGATGCGCTCGTGGCTCAGACTCCGACTCCTCCGGCGGGAGGGGGTCTTGAGATACTCGCCGGCGCTGGGCTCCGGGTCGCGGTCCATGCTGGTGCTCCGTTTGCGCCGGACGGCGGAGGAGGAATCGATCATGCTGTCGGCGGGCATGGAGGAGATGTCGGAGGGGAGGTGGACGTAGCGGGAGCGGGTGGAGAGCTCGCTGCCGGGGTCACGATCCATGAGCTCGATCTCGACGGGGGGATTCGGATGGGCGCGAGACGAGGGGTCATCGGTTGCGGAGGCGGAGGAGGTGACACTCTGGTCATCGACGACGGCCGGGGGCGCCTTGTGCCGAGACGGGGAGGAGAAGGAGATGCGGCGAGTGTAAGTGGGCTGGCGGGCGCCGGAGCCGGCCTCGGAGATCTGGATGTTGTGCTCGTGGTGATCCTTGGCCTTGCGACCGGAGGAGGGGGTGACGCGGACGCGGACACTGGGACGGGAGACGAGCGAGCCCGAGCCCTTCCCGCCCTCGAAGTACTCGATGAGCAGGGAGGTCTGGGAGTGATGCTGGGCGGCGGAGGACAGTTTGGCGTCGTGGTTCCCGCGGGAGGAACGGCGTCGGGCGGGGGTGGGGATGGTGACGGGGCTACCGTCGTCTGGGATGGAGTAAGAGGTCTTGTCTGTGCGGCGAGAGAGGTCAGTGGCCAAGTCCGTGGCGGTGGTGCTGGCGACGATGGATTCAGTGGGGGCGGGTAAGATCGGTCGGCGGGAATCGACGCCCATGGTGAGGTTATTGGCAACGGATCATATTCTGGTCGATAGATTTTGATTCCTTTTGCCTCTTTCTTTTTTTCGCTCTGTCTCCTTTCCTCTGGTTCTTTCTTATTTTGTTTCTTCTTCAAGGGTGAGGTTAAGGAAGGATGGAGACGGTCGCTGGTAGGAACTCGAGTCACTACAGATGACCGACGTGCAGGAGGATGAAAGGAAGGATGGAGGGATCAAAGGAGAGAGTTGTTTGATGAATGATCGAGGAATGATCGATATGATCGATATGATCGATGGAATGATGGAATGATGGTGGTGAGATGAGGAATGTGGGTAGTGGGGAGTGGGGAGGAATGTGGCAGATCTGATATCTCGATAGAAAATGAGCGTACCGATGAGAAGAAGGGTCGAACAGTCGAATCAATGGAGTCGGTTGAAGTCGAGGAGTTGAATAAATTAAAAAGAGAAGAGAGGGAAGAAGGAGCGAAGAGAGAGACGGTGAGAGAGAGAGAGAGAGAGTGTGTGTGTGTGTGATGTGTGATGTGATTGTGTGGGAGATCCTCAAGGCGACCAGGATAGGTGAGGAGAGGTCAGAATAGGTCAAAACAGACAGGACCGGTCATGAATTGAGACAGAGAGAATGAATCAGGAGAGAGAGAGGAAGAAAGATCCAAGCAAGAAGAAAAGTGAACCGATCGGGAACCGACCGTCGAGGTAGAAATAAGAAAAAGGACGAGGCTGGTTGGGAATCAGAGTCACTAGTAGGGAAGAGGGAAGAAGGAGGAGGGATGGAGGGATCTTCCTGGCCAATATTATATAAATAAATAAAACCTCTATAATTTTGTAGAATAATATAATAGTATATGATCCAGTTTCATCTTTGATTCCTACCCAAACCATCATGTAAGGCACTCTGAGGATCATTGGCATTGAAGGTTCCAACATGAGCACAGACAGATCGATCGATACTACGACCTTACTACTACCTACCTACCTACCTACCTAGGTAGGGGAATACTTCGATCTGTCTGATGTCCATAAGTACGCCCAACTGTCGGTGCGGCCCTATGCCACCGCACACGGTTGAAACAGGCGGATGCAGCGATTATATAGATCATGAAACCACCTCAGCACCATCAGACCGGAGAAGAGAACCACGATGAGGAGATTCGGTCCACCGATGGATCCACCGACGTGGTCACCGTGCTCATCTGTTTTATTGGTGGTGATCTCGCTGCCAACTCATCATCCTCCTTCTTCTCTCCGACTGGCTGTCCGATTTCTTCGATTCTTCTTCTTTATTTTTTTTTTTTCTTGTTTTAGAAAAAAGAAAAGAAGAAAAGAGAAAATATTTTCAATTCATCTTATAAAAAAAAAAAGAAGGAAAAGAAGGGAACACGAGGGAAAAATAAATAAATCAATCAGACCGACCAGCCACCAATACCGGCTCCACTCCCTCCACCCTCCACTCCTCCACCCCAGCCACCCAAATAACAATCCACCACGAACTCCATCTGACATCCCATCTCCACGTGAAGATTCTATACTCGGTCAATTTATACCTGAATCTATAAATACTGAAATCCCCTGAGTAATCCAAGATAATAATTCTCCCGAAACAAGAAGAGAATTCTGACTCCGCGCACTCCTGCAGCTGCCCCGTGCCACCACCAACAGCCAACTGGCATCGCTGCTGACGCGACACACATCCCCCTCTGTCTGAGTTGGTGTGACCGGACTGTTGGGCCATTTTGGACGGTATTCCATTACGGTGTATATATAATGGGTTGTACTCCGTACTGTCTTACTATTTGAAAATTTCCCAGAGATAGCCTGGATAAGAATCGCACAGACAGCTAATCCAGTCTAGGATTCAAAAATCATGTAGAAATTATACACTAACTAGTACTAAACTCTAGTCACTCTACATTATCACTACAAAGTTCTATATAATTGCTCTACAGAACAATAGTATAGTCTCTTGGTCAGAGTCGTACGGCTACACAGTAAGGTACCAAACCTTTAGCCATCTCACCTCAGCTTCAAGACCAGAGCTTGGTTATTTACGTGATACTTGACCGAGGGGTCCGTGCAGGCATGCAGAGAGAATATATAGCCTTTGTATGGACACCACAAAGCCGAGCAGGTGAGGATCGTAAAAGCCCTAATCTATGCATGCAGACATTCCTGCAAATCACCCCATGTACAGGAACTCTACTCTCCTTCGTGAAACAAGATACCACTCGGCTACAAAAGATATTTAGACACTTTCGCGCTCTGTGGGTACTGGGTGGTCAATGTCTACCCAGGTAGACATTGACCACCTGTCTATACAACAACTTATACTGCGACATCCTCTTTACCACCTTCTATAGTGTACCAGTCAGATGAAAAGTACAGTATTAAACAAAGAGATTATATTTCTGACGCGGGATATTCTGCTGATTTCTACAAACCCTAGAGCTGTGGGGCTGCATCTATTAACCAGTAAATCCGTCCCAGTGAATCCGTAGATAAGGATATGAAAGAAACTTTATCTTTATTCTCAGCTCAAAACCTTACTGGAAGCCGCTTGTCTGAAGATCTGGACGTTCTACCCCCATAGGACACCCGTTCTAGCGTGACCTCGGGATATGTATAGTAGACTTGGACGGTGCTATGCGAACGTACGGGGCAACTGGAAATTATAGTTACAAGGATATATCGCCGTTAGGCGTTACTTTTCTGCCAGGGATTGACCATGTTGGCTGCCACCTTTACGAAATATTTCAGTAGTATCTCGCGGCCTCTCCTGGAAGTAATCGATATCTCGAATAGCTAGATCACAAATAAGAAAACCGTGTCTATCATCTACACCACACAGACACAGAGATACATGTATGGACAGTTAGACAAGGTGGTCAATGTCTACCTGGGTAGACATTGACCACCCAAGCAGCAGACAGACAAAAACACACACACACACACACACACACACACACACACACACACACATAGACAGAGAGAAAGACAAAACAATACACTCAACGAAGATGATGACGGGTACGCATATGCTGCAGAAGATTATCTTCCCGGTTACAGATCTTGTCACAACCCGGCACAGGGCAAGGATAATCGAGCGGAGTGATGTGAAGGGTGCGAATATGGCGGATGAGCTCAGAGACGCGTTGAAATTCGCCGAGATAGCGACAGCCTTCCCACTTGCATTGCAAGGGAGTCGTTCTCTGGGAACTAGAGGGATAGACATACGCGGGTTAGCTATTATCTTTGGTTCTTTCCAGAAAGGGAAAAGGAGGAGGAGCGAGAGAACCTGGAACATACTTGGCGGTGCGATTGTTTCTTTGAGACAGAGTCCGCGAGTTCCGTCTCTGGCGGCTAGTCTCGCCAACTGCGAGGCGCGGTCCTTCTGGAGACGCTTGAACGAAACCGCTGGCGGAAGAGTCCCGTGGGGAGGGTGGACTGGTGATCGCGGCAGGTTGATCGCGGAGGTGAAGAGACATGTTCTGCCTTGTCGCCCCGTCCGGAAGAAATGGCCCACGGAAGGCTACCCTACCGCCGCTTGGGGTAGATATGAGGTAGGTGGGAAAGGATGTGCCACCATCAGGAGATTGAACAGGCGTGGGCTCGTTGATTCCTGCAGTAGGACACCACCCCACACCCGGAGTAGCCAGAGGGTGGTTCATGTAGTTCATGCCATCGTTTTCTTCCCAGCTGGGCTGCTGACCAAAGCGCCATGCCATTGTGATCTAGTAGTGGATACAGCACAAATGATGATCGGTTCGAGATGAGGAGTGCACCACAACGAATGGCTTTAGATCAAGAAGGCTGTGGGGAAAGAGAACAGGCCATTTCGTAGGGGAAAAGACAAGACTTTATACTTTTATTCGAGAACAGAACAGTAGAACTCTTTCCAATTGAAAAAAAAAAAAGAAAAAGAAAAAGAAGGAGAACTGATGTACCTCGTGTAGTCTGCACATCCGCCCGAGCCCTATCCACCGCCTGGGTTTAGTGTCGGACATCATCAAAGAACCTCAACGCTGTAGTGGGTTATGGGTGGGTTGTGGATGGGTAGTGGCCCCGACCATCCATCCGTCTAGTGCTTGTCTAATATCTGAGATTAGGTGACCAGTGTAAGTATTGTAGCCTTAGCATCAGGGATCGGAATCCAATTCCAATGATCGACCCACTTTCCGTGGTTCCGGCCTAAAATACGTCGACATATCGCCAAAGTACGACATTTCAACCGGTATCCTTGGTCGCGCTGATCCTTTGGCCTCAGGTCCCCGGGATATCAGGGGCGTCTTAGTTCATCTATTACCTTTCGGGAAACAGTTCTGGACGTTCGCTCGAGATGACAGGTCCGCTGGCCTAGGTACGCCTCGAGCCCACGCAGCCACGCAGTCGGACAGACGAGTAGGCGGGAAATTAGGCAAAAGTACGGACGGACGGCCGGCCGCCTCGATGGTTCTCTGCATGGCATCATCGCTCAGATATTACAAGTTACAGATGGGGAGTGAACCTTCCAGCACCCTGATTGGATGAGAGACTCGGGGCCTGGTGCCCCCCTGCTTTTCCTATCTAGTCAAATCCCTCTGTTGCAACAAAGAAAATCTACAAAATAGGCAAATCAGGCAATCCGTCATTATGTTCTTCTCGTAAGGTTTGACACTGGAAGACTAGCCACGTAAGAGTAGCAATGAGCCCTAGGTGTAGGTACCAGGGTCAAGCAACGGAGTTTGATTGGGATTATATTGATGAGCAGGTCAGAGCCCAGGGGAGGTGTGTTATGCGACTCGCCCTATCCCCACCTCATTCCTCTATGCATTTCGTTAGCGATGACCGGTGATAGGAAACGTATGCTTCTTCTTTTCTCTTCGACCCTACGTATAGTCACATAGCGTCTTCCTGTCGTAGTTCAGCTCGCAAGGAGCCTAACAAGATGATTGATTATGAAAGGGTTGGACGTGGTGTTATAATAACTTGTTATCTCTCGGGAGATGGTGCCAATTGACAAGTGATAACGGGAGTAAGAGAGGAAAGTGACAAGATCACTCTCAAATGAAGCTGCTGGTTCTGTCTGTTATTATAAGAATAGGGTTTGCCCTGCTCACGTTGACTGTCTGCACGTGACTCGTAGGCGCCTCTCCCCTGGGCATCTGACAGTCCTGCTGGAGCTCCTCATGAACTTCACCTATCTTCAACACATCACATCCCTTTGTGGGATAAACCACTGGTGGTATCAGTATTATATATTCCCACGAAGATTTCATTAATCCTGGCAATCCAACCATATGAACCTCTCATATTCATCACTGTCATGGAAGTCCGACGAGGAGATGATTGGCCATCTGCACTGCCACAAGGCTAATTAGGGATCTACGCCAAATTGGATGCTCCTATTGGAGTGAACCCGTGATCCGGCTGTCTTGGTCTACCGCCGAGACCCCTCAACTAAAGACTTGCGTAGCCTCATTTACCTCAGCCTTTGCATTCTCTGCTAAATATTTACTCAACAGATAGTTGATTCAAGACTTCAAGACCGGGTCAGATACGGATCTCATAATGGCTCTTGTAGTCTCGTCTCCTCCAGATATTCGGGCGGCAGATCCCACACTGTCCCTCAAGCAAGCGTTGACGGACTTTGGTGATATTCTAACTGAGGAGCAAAAGCGACAGTTTCAGGTCAGCTCTACAAAACCAGATGTCTCGAGCGTCATTGCTTTCGTTGGAGAGATCGATGCCAACAACAGCAGTACGACAAGGAGGTGTGTCGCGCCACGATTGTACACCTTCCTGGATGCGCTCCAGCAGTTCAGTCGTGTTGTGGATACCTTCGTCAGCTCCAATCCTGCAATCGCCGCCCTCATCTGGGGGGGCGTGAAAACAGCTATATTGACAGCGAGTAATGTCGCGTCTTACTTTGACAAGATCACAAGCATGGTTATGGCGATTGGCAGGTCGTGTCCAACATATCAGCAGTTTGGCCAACTCTATCCCGGCTGCGTCGCGCTCCAACGTGCGCTATGTGATTATTATGCAGTCATTATCCAGATGTGTATCAAGATCATCGAAATATCTCGGCGGACTGCCATAACGCAAACGTTATCGTCCGTCTTCTTTCCTTTTGACACCGAGTTCAAATCTTTCCAAGATAATCTGGACCAAGCCACAAAGGAAATACAACTACAGATATCACTTGCGTCACAAAAGGCTGACAAAGAAGCAAGGAAGCTACTGGAGCACGAAAGCCAAGTCAATACATCATTCCGGCGAAGATTATTCAAAAAGTACGAGAAGGAGCATGCTGAGGCACACCAGTGGCGAATTGACATGTTGAAAAGGGAAGCAGCGAAGTTGAAATTGGACATTAAAACCAATCTTTCTACCATCGACCACACCAAACCTTGGAAGCAGGCTACGAAACAACGTGTTCCCTCCACAGCGGAGTGGCTGCTGCAGGAACCCCTCTTTCGACAGTGGAAAGACAGCCCGGACGCCGCAATTTTCTGGTGTTCAGGCACAATGGGTGTAGGTAAAACGGTGCTTATGTCTAATGTGGTTACCCAACTGAACGCCTCACGCAAGAGCAACGACGTAATATCTTATTACTTCTGTCGAGGGGATGATGCAGTATCCCTGACGTCTAGGAGCATTATTGGAAGTCTTGCCCGTCAACTATTAGAACAGGAGATTGACCATGCTAAAGGTGAAAGCCTATGGGACCTACACAAGGATAGCTGTGGTCTCGACACATCTGAGGTCGTTAATTTCATGTTGTCCCGCCTTAAAGCTAATAGGACGTATTATCTACTTCTCGATGGACTCGATGAATGTGATAATAGCCAGATTGAAAAGGTGGCGTGGAACATGACTCGACTTTGTGACAAACGCCCAACGAACTTCAAAATCATCTGCGCGGGCCGTCCTGAGCTTGAAAAACAGTTGTTCAGAGTGATCAAGCCCAAATTTAAACTGTCAGTGACAGAGAGGAAAATTAAAGCGGACATGGATAATTATATTGACACAATTCTTGGTCGCTGCCTGGAAGAAGAGCTGTTGAAGCTGCAAGATCCGAAGCTCATCATAGACATATCCAAAGCACTACGAGACGGATCCCATGGAATGTAAGTGTCATCAGAATTGTCCCTGGATATCATTTTTGTGTTGTATTAGCGGGCTGACTGACAAAGGTTCCTCTGGACCCGTCTTTTTGTCGAAGAGCTTTGCGCACAGGGAAGCGACAATGACATTTTGACGGCACTGAAGCATCTACCGCGTGGTTTGTCTGAAATATTTGATCGAAAAATCCGTCGTCTCCGGGAAAGGCCAGCGGCAAAGGAAGCAATGAAAATACTCGAATTCTGCAATGTGGTGAAGCGGCCATTGTCAGTCATGGAATATCAAGAAGTCTTGAGCCTCTCCCCTGGGCAAAAGTCACTGGACCGTGGAAAGATGCCCAATGATATGATCAGTGTTGTCAGTGATTGCTGCGGGTTAACATTTATTGATGAAGAGGACAGCACGGTGCATTATGTCCATCATAGCGTGAAACAACACCTTTCTAGCATCAACAGTCTACAATCTGGGAGATCTGACCTAGCAAAGATTGATCAGCATTTCGGGTTTCTTTGCATGACCTACCTCGATTCCACTGACTTCAAGCGTCAGCTAGCCAAGACCAGGGAGGGCTCCAATATTCCGATCAAACCCCTTCATCTTGGTACCCTCCCGATTCGTCATTCGAGAAGATCGGCCAGTTCAATCGCGCTGAAACTACTTTCCCATAGTCGCCAGCTGCAGCATCTCAACACCCAAGAGTTAGAGAGAAAGACCCAGGACATACTTGGCGATCTGGAATCCTCACGTCTAGAGTCAGAAATCCGAAGACGACAGTTCCATTTTTTTGACTACGCCTGGACTTACTGGGTTGATCATACGACGGATCTGGATCCTGACGCGGACCACATGATATGGAAATTATTCTGCCGGTGTGTAGAAGGCGATGATATCTCTGCGTCCAGACCATGGGAGTCAGAGCAGCAGAACAACGATAGGGCACGTGAGATACCGAACGCAATACAGTGGCTAATAACCTATGGGCATTACACCTTGTTCCAGTACCATGCCAGATGCCAGCCTCATATTTTAACAGAAATCGCGAAGCAAGAAGTCATCCAGCAGACCGCTATTCACAATCGTTACCGCTTCACAGAGCTGATAATTCAACAGCACGGCACTTCCAGCGAATTGCTGGGTTGTGCGTTATTCTTTGCTTCGAGATGTGGGTGTCACAAGTCAGTAACAAGTTTACTGAAATCAGGGGTCATTGTGAATGAAGGTATCTTTGACACAACAGCTCTCCAAGAAGCTGCTGTAGCAGGTCATATTAAGGTAGTAGAAACATTACTAGCTGCAGGAGCTGATGTTAATACCTCTACTATTGCACCTTATGGACGAATAGCTCTCCAAGCAGCAGCCGAAGCAGGTCATCTTGAGATAGTGATGAGCTTACTAGCTGCAGGAGCTGGTACCCATGCACTTGATACAGCTCTCGAAGTAGCAGCCAAAGCAGGCCATCTTGAGATAGTCAAGAGATTATTAGCCGCAGGAGACAACACCAATGCATCTGGTACTAGACATGGTGGACAAACAGCTCTCTATGCAGCAAGTGAAGCACGTCATGGTGAGATAGTGGAGACACTACTAGCTGCAGGGGTGTTATGGGGCTGACGTCCGTCTCACACATAAGGCCTTAGCCATGGGCCTTTGAGAACCGTTATGGGGATTGGACCAAGTTCATAACCCGAGTACCAAGTCACATCGGCCGTATGATCCTCTTTCGAGGATGTGTCGAAGTAGAACCAGACTCCATGGGCATCCACCCGCAGTTCCATAGCAGATCAGCGACAGCAGACCTCAGACAGCGTTTCACTTTGAACTGATTAGAAGATAGGTAGAGGGTGCTTTGACTAATCGAGCACCAAAGCCATTGACACAAAGCAAGACACTGTTAGAGGTTATTGATTAGAAGAGAAGAGTATATACAAAGGGCCAAAGCAAAATTGAAAGAAGTACGAGTAGTTAGTACGTGCTATATAAGGGTATCACCGTATTAGGACATAAAAGTTGTACGGGTGTAGTGGAAAAGAGACCTCCTCAGTCTGACTGGGATTTGTCTGGGGTTAGACCATAACTCGTTCTACTAGATATGAGACGTGATAGCCTTTACAAGGCGTTCGTTATAGATGGTGGCTACAAAATCAGCAGTTGAATGTCTTTCGATATAGCTAACTCCATAGAGTTACCAGGTGGTTGTATAGTCTTACCGAATGATTATAAAGTGACTAGGGTGTACACTTAAGTTGTACATAGATATGACCCCATACATGTCAATTAGTATAACACGGACCCACTTTTCGAGTCTCTAGCAAGGTGACAGCTTATATAACACCTTACATAACGCACAGGCCACCAGGCCTAAATATAGGATCATCAAATTCTGCCAGAAGACGGGGGGGGACCGTGGTTCACAGGTCTGACCCTGTGAGACTCCATTCCATGGACTGTTGCTGAAATGAGTCAGGGGAGGGGTTGTGATTGATGCATTTTCTGCTGTCTCCACTGATAACCGCGTTCGGTTGAGTGAACTGTGAGTGCAGGTTAGAAGATCGCCAGAGTGGTATAGGCATAGAAGCTAGTTGGAGTGGAGGATGAGATTGGGTGTTCCTTCGGTATTCCTTCTGTCAATCCAACTGGTTGTTGAAGGAGATGAAGATCACTGGGGCAGGAGACGTCATGATAGGCGACGGTGTTCGTTGGATCTGTGCCTCCCGAGTTAGTGCTTGTTGATCAGTGTCGGTGCGTTCTATGTAAGATCGTACCCGTCCGTGTTCTCTGTTGGAAACGGGAAGGGTATGGAATATATTATGAAGGACCGATTGTTGAAGGGAAGTTAAGGTCATAGATTTTGATCGTCTAGGATTACACTATACAAGGATGATTAGATGAAGGAGGTGGTTAATTGATCCTTTTGCTGCTAATGAATGATCGGGGCTGTGCTGGGTTGGTTCGGATGGCTCCGGTTGGTATTACTGGGCGGTATTATCTTGTATGATACCATACCACCGAGGAGGTATGGATGCCTGAGCTTCATGGGAAACACTCGACTCGGGGGACTCCTTAAAATCCACCTATTCCGTTGAGTGTCGTACGGGGTAGAATACTAAGACCAGCACTGCCTCCTCCAAGACTATAGCCAAGGATATGGTGAAAAGACCGTTCCTCCCAGGCAGCCAAATAACCAGCCATACCAAGACCCCAAGACATTGGCAGCCGCCGGACTGGCGCTAGGATTCGAATGGTTGGACTTTACCCTCTGTCACATCCAACCGGCGAATCATCTTGGACAATTGGAAGAAAGTCTTGGAAATGGCCACTCTCCACTCCACTATTTCTTTCTTTTTTTCTCTCTCTCCAAAGACAGCCTAAGAGAGAGAGAGAGAGAGAGAGAGAGAGAGAGAGAGAGAGAGAGAGAGGGTGCAAATTCGGCTTGGCCACTCGGGTGGGAACGAATCAGCATCGGCTACCCGCATTTGGGACCAGAACCTGAGGCCACTGCCGTGCCTGGGCGACGCGCGTGCATCTTTTGCTCTTCTTGACTCGTTCATTGATGGTTTGAGCCAAGCATGTACGGAGTACCTAGATATGTATGATTTGATCATCTTTCCAATACCACCTGGTATCTACTCATCTGTCTACCTGGACAGTGGTATTCTAGAGTGATGGTATAATAGGCTTTAGAATACAGCTTATTGGAGACCTGCAAACTCAGTCCTTGCCTTACACCGTCTTTCTTCCTGTGCACTCTCCAGTATGTCTGCGTGAGTTGTCTGTCAGTCTGATCTCACCATCTGTAGGTCACGTTGCCTCCGTGTACCTGTAAAGTACCAGGTATCTGGGTATCCATACAATACCGGTAATGAGCGGATCTGGGAATGCGGTGATTGGTGCGATCTGGCTGTGTCAGCAAAATCAACCAATCAAACGCCAGAGAAAACATTCCAGCGGTCTCCTCTCCAACCAGCGGATCATCCTCAGGCACTTTAATCGATCCTCTCAATTCTAGAGACTCTTTGGATTCTTCTACCTATTTACCCAGGAGACAATTTCTCTTCTGGACTCTGGATTCAAGAACAGGACAGTGACTGATGAGAGGAAGACAGAAGACTCTTCATTTCATCTATTGATATCTTCAATCTGATTCTATCCATTATCTACACTGTATTCTCCATCAGGATCTCTATCTACTCCATCCTGACTCTAAATTAATCTCCCCCTTGGAGAGACTCAGGCACCCATCCAGTCCCTCGTTTCACTTCTTTCTTTCTTCTTTCTTCTTTCTTTCTTTCTTTCTCTCTCTCTCTCCATCTTTCATCTTCTCATCTTCATCTCCTTCTTTCTCCCTCCCTCTCTCTCTCTCTCTCTCTTCTTCTTCTTCTCGACCATCCACCCTCACACTCGTTCAACCCTTCGCTTCTTCGTCGTTTCTATTCGACCTGCCTTTTAATTAATCTATTCTTATTCTGTCCACTATCGCTCTGTCCGACCACGTCTCTCCTTTCATTCGCTTCATTGTTTCTTTCACCCTGGTCCCTACATCCCCGTCAAGCCCCCCATCCTCCGGTTGATGACGCCGTCAAGGATCATTACTACCTCAGTCTTCGATCATCTTGACCCTTCACTACCGACAGTCACATTCTTTTATCCATCCAACACCTCTTCTCCATCACTTCGCACTTCTCAAAACCCCACACGCGTGGTTCCCCATTTCCGCATCCGGCCGGTCCCAAGCGGGTGCGCTGGAAGTGCCTGCAACATCTATCCCCCGATCTTGTGATCGCCCGCTGATCGACATTCTCACCGTCCCCCGATCGGCATCCTCACCGTCCTACGATCGACATCCTCACCCTCGGACGATCGGCGTCCCCTCTAGCCCACCATGCGATTAATATCACTGCTCTTCGGGTTTCTCGTCGCCTGCCTCACCACCCCGTTGGTGGCCGCGACCAAACTCATCGAATCCAACTCCTTGAACCTCTGTCAGGACAGCAGCAATTTCACCGCCACCTATTTCAGTGTCACCTTCACCCCCAACAACCGAACCCTCTCCTTCGCCTTTGATGGCGTCGCCGCCATCTCCGGCAAGGTCACCGCCGAACTCATCCTCGATGCCTATGGCTACGAAGCCCTCCGCCAGACATTGGACCCCTGTGAGATGAACCTGCCCGGCCTGTGTCCCATGAACACCGGCCCCATCGACGTGCCCCGCGCCAATATCAAGGTTCCCGAGGATGTCGTCCAGAAGATCCCCGGCATCGCATACACCGTTCCCGACCTGGACGCCTCCGTCCGCATCTACATCAACTCCACCGACACCGGGCGCAGTATCACCTGCGTCGAGGCGAACCTGTCCAACGGCAAGACCGTGTACCAGAAGGGCGTCGGATGGTCCACCGCCATCATCTCCGGGTTTGGCCTGGCCGCCTCCGCCATCACCTCCGGCCTCGGCCATTCCAACACCGCCGCCCACGTCGCCGCCAATGCCCTCTCCCTCTTCAGTTTTATGCAGTCCCAGGCTCTCTTCGGCATGACCGCCGTCCACATGCCGCCCATTGTCGCCTCGTGGACCCAAAATTTCCAGTGGAGTATGGGCATCATCCACGTGGGCTTCCTCGAGACCATCTGCACCTGGTACCAGCGCGCGACCGGCGGTACCCCCACCACCGTCCTGTCGGAACTGTCAACCACGTCTGTGGAAGTCCTCAAGCGCCGCAAGCGATCGATCGATGCCCCGGCCGGCCTGCTCCGGAGGGCGTCGGACCACCTGTTCAAGCGAGCCGGCCCGCACTCGACCGCCGCCACCTCCGATAACCTCGTCGTCCGCGGCATCGAGCGTGTGGGCTTCAGGGCCGGCATCGAACAGTCCAACATCTTCCTCACCGGTCTGATCTTCTTCGTCTTCTTCGTCTTCGTCGTCATGCTCCTCGTCGCCCTCTTCAAGGGCATCTGCGAACTCCTTGTCCAGAAGGGCAAGATGAAGAGCGAGAAGTTCCAGGACTTCCGCAAGGGCTGGAAGGTCGTCGCGCGCGGCATCCTCTTCCGCCTGACGCTCATTGGCTTCCCCCAGATGTGCGTCCTCTGCCTGTGGGAGTTCACCCAGGTCGACTCGGCCGCCGAGGTCGTCCTGGCCGTCATCATGATCGTCTCGATGCTGGCCGCCCTCGGCTGGGCCTCCTTCAAGGTGATCAACCTGGCCAAGCGCTCCGTCACCATGCACAAGAACCCCGCCTACATCCTCTACTCCGATCCCACCTGCCTCAACAAGTGGGGGTTCCTCTACGTGCAGCACCGGGCCACCGCCTACTACTTTGTCGTCCCCACCCTGGGCTACATCTTCATCAAAAGCATGTTCATCGGTCTGGCCCAGCCGGCCCCGGTGGTGCAGACCGTGGCCTTTGTCATCCTCGAGGCCGCCATGCTGATCACCGTCAGCGTCCTGCGCCCCTGGATGGACAAGAAGACCAACATCTGGAACATCGCCATCGCCGCCGTGAACTTCCTCAACTCCATCTTCATGCTCTTCTTCGCCAACGTCTTCAACCAGCCGGGCCTCGTCACGGGCGTTATGGGCGTGGTCTTCTTCGTTTACAACGCCGTCTTCGCGTTGCTCCTCCTGATCCTCGTGCTCATCGCGTCCATCTACGCGATCGTGTCGAAGAACCCCGACACCCGGTACCAGCCGATGCGCGACGACCGCGGCTCCTTCATCAAGTCGCAGAGCCAGCTCACCACGGAGCTGGACGCCCTGGGGGCCACCGCCCGGGGGGATGTGAAGTCCTCCACCGCGTACCAGGCCAGCCCGTTTGACGACGACCGTGGGTCCTTCTCCAGCGGCAACGGCGCCACCGTCAACCGCCAGAACCTCGAACCGCAGCAGGTGCCCCGACAGCCCACGTCCCCCGTCGACCCGTCCCTACCGCTCTTCCCGAGCGAGGGTGCGGGGACGGGTACTCTGCCGTATAACGCACGATCCCCGTCGCCGCTCAATGGCGGCTACCGGACTCAGAATGCGACGAGTCCGTGGCAGCGAGGAGCGGGGTACGACCATTAAACGGCTGGGGGACTCCATTTTCCTTCCCCGCCCTGCTGGCAATGACGTTATGGCTTTGCGTGGATCGGGCGCTCGTACTCGATTGATTTATATACGTACTGGCAGTTTTGCCTTGAATCTCTCCACAACATCTATCTATCGATTTCGTGCTTTCCTTGATCTTACTTTCCAGAATATCCACTTTCTGTGAAAACATCCTCGCACTCTTTGGACTTCTATCTCCTTTCTCACACTTTCCATCTACATTTCCTTCTTTCCTTCTCTTCACCTTTCCATCTTTCTATCTTCCCTACACGTGACTTACCTTATCTATTTTATACTGTGCAACCGGCGTTACGAAGCATTGGATCCGGAGACCGGGATTGGGGTTTTGCGTACCATGTATTTTTGTTTGGGACGGGCCTAGTTCTTCACCTGCTTACCTGGCCCATCAGCCATCGGCGTCGATCGAGTAGGTAGACAAATTTTTGTATTATTGTGCTGTCATTATCAATGGATGGTACTGGAATTTAATAGTTTCTTGGCTTGTTTTCATATGAAGGGTACTCCGTAATTAGATCGATCTGTCCATAGTTAGTGGACTAGCATAGTAAGCACGTATGAGCATAGATGGAGTAAGTATTATACTACTACTGTCATCATCACTCAAGCAAGACGTGAATCCTGAAAAGAGATCTCCATCTTACCCTTCCCTCGTATAAGCCATATATATATCTGTCCTTAACCATGTATATACCTATATCACGTCCACATCACGAGTGCATACAGTAAGAGTCGCGATCCGCTGTTATTATTGCCAGATAGTAGTTAGTGTCTTGTGCTTGACTTGGTAGATAGGTAAGTAGGTAGGTATACCTGTGGCTACTGGTACTCTTCTTACTATCCATCTATTCACTCGGCTATATGTCTATGTGGGTGGATGTCTAGTTGATAGATAGATAGATGATAATGGTATGGTGGAATGGTGAAATGGTGGATGGAAGGACGGATGGAGGGGATCTTACTACATACGCATCTATGCTTATACATATCAGTACAGTACTAGTTAGATCATTTTGATAGTGCTGCTCGTTGTTACTATTAGAACGCCGGTTTGGGCCTGTCTGCCTGTCCGTCTGTTTATATAGGTACATGTGTAGGTAAGTAGGTAAGCAGTGTTACGATGAGTTGGTTCCTTGATGTATTGTCTATCTATCGATCAGTATGTATATGGAGCTAGTAGTATACTACCTATACCCCACCTACAGATATCTATACCATCTAACACGCAGTATCACATAAGTCTTTTTATAAAATATGTCAATCCATAGATATCGATTACACGACCACGCTATTGAGAAAACATAACAGTACACAACATAAGAAAAGAAAAAAAGAACAACTGCACCAATGCAAGTCTAGCGGACGCACATCCATACTTAAAAAGAAAAACCGAACCCTAAAAACCGACCAACTGTGAAGATATCACCGGTGATCACCCATCCCCGGCGGCGGCCCCGAGAACCCGCCAGCACCCGGCGGAGGAGGGAAGCCTTCGGAGCCAGGGGGCGGGAAATTGCCGGGTCCCGGACTGGGGCTGAAGCCGTGGCCTGGGGGAGGGATCGGGGGAAAGCCTGGGGCTCCCGGGGGCGGCGTCTGGAAATTGGGAGGCATGGCGCCTGGTGGCGGGGGCGGGAATCCTTGGCCTGGGGGCATGTTTGGGAGATGCGGAGGCGGGAAGCCGCCTGGCGCGCCGGAGGTGGGAGGGAATGGGGGAGGGGGGAAGGGCATGCCTCGGCCGCCGGGGACTGTGTTGCGTTAGTTTGATTTATTTGGTGGGGGGGTGGGATTGGATGGGGTACGTACGAGGTGGCATGCCGGGGAGACCGCCTGGGGCGCCGGGCGGGGGGATTCCGAACGGAGGCGGGGGAGGCATTTGGCCGGGTCGGCCTGTGTGTTTGTTAGTTTTTTATACGCGGCGAGTCTGAGACCATGTCTTGATGGAAGAGAAGCGCGTACCAGGGAAACCGAACGGCGGGGGATACGCTCCCGGGGGAGCCATGGCCGGGTTCGGGACGGCCTGGCCTTCGGCGGCGTAGGACGAGGTGATCGAGTCGATGACCGATTGTGCTTTCTCTTGACCGATTTCTAGTTGATCGTTAGTGACTGTCCATCAAGAAATGTCGATGTCTTGGCGCATACGCTGATAGTACTCGACGACGTTGCGCAGATGGTTGCGGCCGGAGTTGTGCGCCTTGCGCACGCTCATGGAGTCATGCGTCAGGTACACATCGCAGTAGTCACCTGTACACGGGGATGTTAGCGCGGCGTTCTTGAGTTTGCGTGTCGATGGCGGAGACGGGGACGGGAGGATGGCGAAAGCGCGTTGGGTGGATCGCTCCGGAGCCGGTCAATGCGGATGGTGACGGTAGACCTACAGAAGAGTGCATCGATAGTTAGCTTTGAATCTAGTCACACGGTGCGATCAGAGGGAGAACATATATTTTGGCATCTTGAACTTTGAGCTCGTCCCTGCTGGGGAACGTGCAGGAAGGAATGAATCGGTGGCGCTGCGAGGCGCGTCGCGCGTGATCCGGTGGGGATCGGGGGGAGATCGAAAGGCGACTTGACGGTGTAAGACAGTTCAATTTCCCAGAACGGTTCGTTTGAAGGCCCTAGTACAAGCGTGCGTTCCGATATCAGAGAAAAAAGGATCGGGTCGAGACCGGGAGAGGAAGAGCGGAGTTCGATGCGACGATCGGGCGGTGTCGGGCGGCAGAATAGATAACGGGCCTCAGGCTGCGGTCCAATCAGAGCCTGAGATTTTAGGTTGCAATCGCAGCCTCAGATTTCAGGTTGTAAATTGAAGCCTGAGACTTCAGGTTGCAGATTCTAGCCTGAGATTTCAGGTCGGCTGATCCTCAGTCAGGAAATGGCCTGAGGCTTACGGACAGAGGTTACGACTGCATTGCTGCATTACGAGGACAACTGCATAGATTTTACTACAAGTATATGTACATATATAACGCATAGAGAGGAGGTTTGAGAGTGTCACAGGAGCTAAGCGTCGTACACTGAAGTCTTAACTGTGAGTCTAAACAGAGCAGTCCAAAGGCAACATATCCTAGGGTGTCCAGAAACTGTCAGATTTACTCCACGCATATACATGGATATACAGCGATCTTCTAGAGAGCTTCTCGAGGAGTGTTATGACAGCAAGAGGTCTAACTAGTTTGAGTAAATGCCAAGCGCTTCATTTTTCACATGTATATAATTTTAGTGGCCCAACCTACCAAGTCAAAGTAGTAATAGATATAAACCTATCTGAGATGACCGCTTCTACGATCCATCTATAGAGTAGTCAGTCCACGCCAAGCCTATCACTTTACCTCGCTGACTAGAGGCAACAGACACGACAACCGTTAGACAGCACAGTTCAACAGACAGAGTCTTGGTCTCCGAGTCCGCCTCATGGATGTAATCACGTGGAGAAAAACGAACAACAAGCCATGGATGACTTCATGAAGTCCATTCTCCCCCAGAATTAGGTTGGCTCGGATGTGGCCCCCCTCTTTGTCTACTGTGGCAGTGGAAGTGACCACGAGACAATTTGCCGACGCCAACCGAGCAGTGAGCACATCCCGCTGGGTCAAGGCACAATTGGACCGAAAGAATTGCCGCCTGCGCCATCCTGTCACCGAACCAGAGGTACCTGGCTCGCAACCGCGGTTCGATGCGGTTCGATCTGATTCCAGCCACATCCGGGGTGAGACTACCGGCCTCTGCGAAGAGGGATCAAGTGGTCATGGTGCGCTCTAGCCAGGACTTCAGGACTTGGGCACTGGGTGAATACGTGAATGGTTGGCGATTTGAGGCTATGGCAGGCTGAGTGGGCGGATGGCATGAGTATGAACCAGCGAGGGGAGAAAATTCGGTAGGACGGAATCAAATTTTTGATTCTGGTTTTTATTTTTCTCTTTTCCTATTCATTTCATTTTTTCATTTTTTGTGAACGATGAGTGGCGAAGAAATGGCTCACTCAGCCCACTTGGTGAAGTTAAACTGGGTCCAGCCCTGACAAGTCTGGGGTAGACAGCTGGATGGAGTTTAGCGGTGGATCTCTTCATTCCCCCTTATTAAGTAATTTTATCCTTTTTTTGTATTATTCTCCTCAGTGGTTTCATTTCCCCATATTTAATTTCTCTATTCTAGTTTTTCTAATTTATTCTTTTATTGAGATTGTATCATTGTATATTGTATAGACCGTTACTCTTGAAGTCTGCAGACGCAGGAGAAGTCCAATTCACGATCCAGCCAAACCGCCCAGGTACATACCGCTCGTGCACAATTATCCCAGTTGCACAAGTGCCGCAGTGCGTGATTTATTCAGGATCCCACACCGGACCCATGATGATCGTTGTGTAGGGAACCAACTTGACCAAGTTCCTCCCCACGATCTAGCCATTTTGGCCACGCCAAGAACGTACAACTATACTTGCTGTTGCCTACCCCCTGTCCACGAGGCATGCCAGGTCATCGTCCTGTATTTCAACAAGACCCAGTATCAGGCCGTTGCGGATAGACTTGCCCTATGGTAGACGTCGATGGCATCACGATGGCAGATCGTGATGGAAGGATGAGGGACATACATACAGGCAACTGGGAAGATCGAGTCTAGATGAAGTCGCGGGTAAAGTCCTTACTCGGTCTCCCTACTCCAAAAGGAACGCCGAGAATCTCATACTACTAGTTTCGGCGGATGGTGAGGCCAAGGAGAGCGATGATGTAATTGTGCAGCCGATTGATTTTGCGGGGGTATAAAAAAAAAATAAATAAAAATAAACTAAATGAAAATTTTCTCTCCTGATGACTTGAGCCCCTTCTTGGCAATATATGCGGTCAACCAAACTCAACCACACAGCTAGAAAAAGATGTGATGAGCTGAATAAATGAGATGATGAGATGGATTAGATGAGATGAGTATAATATCTGATGATGTGAGGGACAATATAGAATGACACCTTGCTGACCGCAATTCCCATCGAGTAAGTCAAGGAAAAATGAAGTTGTCCAGCCGGTCCGCACAGCGACTCGTGACCGGCCCTCAATTTCCATTACCCCCACAAAACCACCACGCCCTCCTTCCCTCCTCCTGATTGGTTGTAGCCCCCGGTTTCCATTACGTTTTGCTCGGCGTGAACTGGCGGGCCTTGTGTCAGATGACTGCATCTAGCCCTGCTTGGACCCAGTCCATCTCTCTAATTGGTTCTTCTTTTCTCCGTAATGTCTTTCCAGCCAATCAGTGGCCATGAATCAGGGCACCGTACCGCGCGCATAACATGATGACTAAGGTCAGATCATAAAGAAAAAGAAAGAAAAAAGAAAGGACAAAAAAGGTCCATCGTCTCCATCTCGATCCACGATGGATATCCAGTTGAACTGCTGCGGTGGAGTAGCCAAGAAACGAATGAATTAATAGTACTGACAAAAAAGGGAGAAACATCAAATAATATAACTAAAAAAGAACAAATAATATTAAAAAATCCACCCCGTGTGACCCTAAATGGGCGTACCTGGGAATGAGACCCCATGGTGCAATAGTCATGGACAAATCGTCACTGCACGACCACCACTTCCCCTTGACCGGCTCTATATAATGGAAACCTTTCCCCGCCACGGTCTCTGGTTCCGCTTTGGTTCGGTCTCCATAGCATCGTGAAAAGAAAAATAAAAGAAAAGGGAAAAGAATTAAAGTCTGGGATTTTGCTTCTCTGCTTTTGACTTTTTCTTTTTGCTTTGCACTCGTTGCTTCAATCTTCAACTTCATCTTCAAACCTCATCTCCACTTCATTTCTTCCTGTTCCCGTGTATGTCTACACGTTGCAGCTTATGGACACCACATTCTTTCCGGCTACTACGTCGTAGTATTCAATCTACTCCCAGTGTCTCACCACGCCATCTCCCTCCACACTCCCCTCTATAACCCACTTCAACCAACATCAACAATAACAACTCTCCAACAATGCCATCCACCCCCAGCTACCGGGTCGTTGAACCGCACCCGTCCGTCCCGCGCGCTCACCCCGCCATCCACACAGCCCGCGGCGGCGCCGGCAATGTCATCGACCTGAAAGGGACCAAGACCACCGACTCGCGCTCCGCATCGGGTCCCGCCTCGCTGACCCGCCTGGACTCCCGCAGCCCCCGGAGCTTCACCTCCGGCCGGGGCGGCGCCGGCAACGTCCACCGCACCACCGAGCGCGCCATCTTCAGCTTCGACGAGGAGCTCGAGCGCGACCTCCGTCGCGCCGCTCCCGTCTACCACGTCGGCCGCGGAGGCGCCGGCAACATGGTCTTCCGCGACGACGACAGCTCCCTCAGTCGCAAGTTCTCCATCAGCAGCAATAGCACCTCCAGCAGCTCGGGCTCCACCCGCGACAAGGCCTTGCAGGGCTTGCAGAAGGGGTGGGGGAAGTTGAAGGGAATGGCATGATCTATTCCTGTTCCTTTTCTACCGCCTACTTGCTCTGGGAAACTTTCCTTCGCTCGAGCTGTCTTTGCGTTTACACCAGCTACAGCATATAAGTGGCGTTTCCTTTCGCATCACGAACCTCATGAATGACGACATCACCAAAAGTTTTCTTTTTTTTTATCTTTTTCTTCTGATCTCTTTATTTCTCACACTCCACTTCAAACCATCTCTTTTCTTTGTCACGGGTTCACTTGCACCCCCTTCACCACCTCTCTACGAGTCCTTTTAATCACGCCATTCCGCTGGTCTTATGATCATCTTGCATCACCATCTGGATTGATTATTGCCAGAAAGACCGACTCTGCCTGACCTAGCCCCGCTCGCCATCCATCCACCCATCCATCCACTTGATGTGGATGCATGCATGATGCAATGCGATGGCTGGGCTAGTCGGTTTACCATGATACCCCGTGCCAGTTTGTCACCATCACAAGTTGTTCACTCCTTGTTTTCTTGTTTGTTTGTTTGTTTGTTTGTTCGATTCTGTCTGTGTTCCGGGTTTATAACTATTTTCTCCCCTTCGACTCGATTTTATTTGTCTGCTCAGCAAGTATCGCATGTATTACTTTGTCAGCACATTTATCTTTGTATCTCTACCTCTATTCTTATCTCAACCTGGATCGATCGCATCTATATACAAACAAAGAAAAAGACCACAAAAAAATAAACAAAGAAAGAACGAGTTTTTGAACAGTACCACCATCTCCACTTTCCACTACGTAGTACTCTCATCTACCCCTGTAGAAGTATAGGTAAAAGTAAAGATACCCAATATAGTTACCACACACCACATAACCATAAATCCCTCACCAAATACAGTACAAACCCCCTCCCTCGCAATAAATAACTCAAGTGGCAAATCCCTCTCAATGAGATGCAAGCACACCACTATTAATTACTACTACTACTACTACTAGGTATATTATCCATGATCCCGGTTTAAGGTTGCAACCTTGGCTATTCAGCATTTTGATTGACATAACCCATCATTGCCTATTTGGGATATCACGTGTTGAGCATATTTAGCCGTTCCTTGCAGGTGGATATGCTTGTTTGGTGCACATGTGCCTGAGGCAGGAGATTTTTATTATCTGCTTGTTTTCTTTTTCCTTTTGGGGGTGGAGGGGGTTTCGGGGGTGGATTGATGTGTTGTTGGAGGTGTTGGTTTTTGTTTAGGTGATGTCCTGGAGGTTACTATGTATGGTATGGTATATGGTGCAGGGGATGAAACGCTTATATTCATTTAGGACCTAAAAGGGATATTATAACTATATTTCCAAGATGTTGGCTCCTTGGCTCTGGCGGAAGGATTTGAGAAATCTTTCTATTTATATGCATACATAGACCTGCTCACTGAAGGGTAATACAACAACGACACAGCAACGACAACGCTCAGTAGGTAATAGATGGGTAGACAGGTAGGTACACTCCAACATGAAGATCCGCTTGTTTGTTTGTTAAATAGTAGTATGTGCTGCCCATGGCAGGGCTCTGCTAGATACGCAGCTAGCTGTAGGCGTGATGGAAATAAAACGGAGAAGACGAAATAATGAAAGAAAAAGGGGTATCTGATCGGTTTATCTAGTGAGCTAGCCGGTTTCCTGCGGCTAGCACTCCACTCCAATCTCGCAGGTGTACACTGTACTCGCTCGGGGATCGAACGAACGAACGAGCGAACTCGTGCACGACTTTGCTCGTCCTCTCAAGGCCGCTCAGGAAGACGTCCCTATAGAATTTATAGGGGTCTATAGGGGTAGGTCATGGTTGCTTGGACGGTCGTGAGGTTTAAGCGAACTTCCGGTGGATGATCTCCGGATCTTCGTGCCACTCGTCGGCACTAACCCACATCTATAACGAGAAATCAGTAAAGGGTATCGGGTGATGATAATAGGGGTGTTTCCTACCTTCCGGAATGTGCTCAGGCCCGCCAAGATCCCACCGCCAATCCACGTCGTGTATTTCCGCTCCGCTGGCGCGGAGATCCGGATCTTCATGTCTTCCACTGCTAGTCGCTTGATCTCGCGCATCAGGCGGTCGGGGAAGTTCTTGCACAGCGTTGAGCCGCCGGAGAGCACGATGTTCATGTACAGTGACTTCCGCAGGTCGAGGTCTGTGCGGGCGATCGCGTCTTGCACGATCTGGTGCACGCCGGGGTATTCCAGGCCGATGAGTTCGGGGTCGAAGAGGATCTCGGGGGCGCGGTAGCGTTCTTGGCCGATCTGGAGGGTCAGTACGGTGACATTCATGGTAATAAGCATCCATGAGACTCAACATACCTTAATTCGGTGCCCATCCGGTAGCGCGTAGTCTACCGATCGCGATTCCAACTTGTGGTATCCATTGAACCAGTCCTTCTCCTCGCGCTTGGGATCCAACGACACGTAGCAGACCTTCTCCTTGATCTGGCGCACGACCTCCTTTTCGGCACTGGTGTGCAGCACGTGGCCGTTCTTCCGCAGCAGCACCTGCAGCTGCTCCGTGACATCCCGACCAGCGACATCAATGCGGCGAATACTGTTGGGGATAGCGAAGCCCTCGAAGACCGGCACCGCGTGGGAGACGCCGTCGCCCGAGTCGAGCACGACGCCCGTGGTACGGCCCGAGGCGTACAGCGACAGCACGGCCTGGATGGAAGTGTACAGGGCGGGGACGTTGAAGGTCTCGAACATGATCTGGGCGGCGGTGTCGCGGTTCTTGCGCGGGTTGAGCGGCGGCTCCGTCAGGAGCACCGGGTGTTCCTCGGGGAGCGTCTTCAGCTCGTTCTCGTACACGTAGTGCCAGATCTTCTCCATGTCGTCCCAGTCCGTCACGATCCCGTGCTCCAGCGGGTATCGGATTTTGAGCAGTCCGCGCAGCTCCTGGGCTTTCTGGCCGATGAAGACGTCGCCTTCTAGACCGCCGGCCATCACCCGCGGGTGTTTGGGCCGACCGACGAATGACGGGAAGTAGCATGAGGGGATCTCCTCGCCGGCGAATCCGGCGCGGATGGTGCCGCTGCCATTGTCGATGACGATGGGCGCGTTGTGGAGGGTGGCTTCTGCCATTGTAGGGGGCGGTCTCTCGGGTCAATCTGGCGGGTGGTCGTTGTGTTTATGCGCGATTGTTTAGGAGGGCGGGCCCCACGGCCAGGTCGTTAATTGAGACAGGGGATGGGCGGGAGGCGGACGGGGTGATGGAGATTGAGAGGATGACCGTAATTTTCGTCTGGTCCGTGAGTAGTAAAGGAAGAGTTGGGAGAGGAGGGGGTAAGGGGTTGGCGGTCAATTGGATGGTTTAACGGGAGTGATGTGAGGTTGTTTTGTCGGTGGTCGCGTCCGCACTCCGACTTCGTCACCTTTTCCGCCGAAGCTTGGGCCACTCGAGTCTATCCACCACCACATTCAATTATGGTTGGAGATTGGATTAATGTGGCCAGTGATACTGAGGCTTCATGATCTGAAGGTTTTGCTCTGAGAAAATTATTCATTTACAGTCCATCATGCAGCCATGTCATAACTCATATCCAATGGTACCAAGCAAAGACCCTTCCCCAACGCCAATCCCCAAGACAAAACATATATAACTATCGAATGTCATTGTTGCAAGAAGCCAGCCCATGTTAACCAACGCGCAAATTGTCATCTCATATCGAGTGGTCGAGCCAGGAAGATCACTTCCAAATAGACCGCTTCAGGTCAATCCAAAAAGCCCATCTCGTCGGACATCACCTGCTCCAGGGGCGGACGTTTTTTCTTTCCCACGCCAGACACAGGCGGCCAAGTTAACATATTCGCGCGCAGCTTCTCCACTCGGGGAAGCGCAGCGGCCATTTCCCTGGTCAAGGTTAGCAGCGAGAAACAGCCGGGACGGGGTTCATGGAGCTGAAGATGAAGACGCGTGACGTACTTGACACTGCTGGAAACGACATAGCCTTGCTTCTGGAGCTGCTGCGCCAGTTCCTCCTGGTGGTTGTCCTGGAGGGTCGGGTTGGGAACGACGATGAGCGGAACGCCCAACCGGAGAGCACCCAAGATGCTTCCCGATCCTGTCAGACGTCAGCCTCAAACTACTCAAACTGGATCTTGAATTGATGTATGCATAATGTCATTGCGTGGGGTTTTTTTTTAGTGTAGGTAGGAGGTAGAATGTAGGTATGGATAGGAGGTTTGACACTCGACTCACCTGCATGACTGATGATCACGCCTCCAGCTCTCTCATCCGATGGATTTGCCTGAGCCATGCGCATTTCGCTGTCCAGACCAGCGGTGTTGAAATCGAATCCCTCGATCTTGATTCCATGCTTCCCTGAGCGGTGTTTCCCGCGGAGTTCCTCAAAGAGAGCCCGGCTGTCTTTGCCGTATTGGACGAGGAGGTGGGTGTAGTCTAATTTCTGCAAGGCCTCCAGAAAAGACTCATCCAGAACGGCCTCGAGAAGAAGATGGAACGAAGCTGTCGCACCCACCGTTACAAAGCATAATTTCATGGTTGTAGATGTCATGGTGGAAGTCATGGCGTTGGTTGATACTGTCGGTCTGGATACTCCGTCGTTGACGGTGTGGAATTCTCCCCAATCCAGGCGGCTTCAATAAATTAGACGTTTCTCCCACTCTACCATCATGACGATGACTGAACGATGGTATCAGAGACAGAAGGAGATGTGGTCATGTTGACTGTCTTCACCAGATGTGCCTCTGGCACGTGACTACTACTTTGTCAGCATTCCAGGACTCAGGCAGCTAATTGACTAACCATGACTGGTTAGTCCCATTATCCTCAGTCGTTTATACTGTATAAAAGTCAACTTCTACTCTGAGTCCTTGATAAGATCTCCTCAATGATGACAGTCAATCTGGCATGTTTTTGGAGCTTGGCGATATCTTATTTTGAAGGAGTATATAGACCGGCCCCCGGCACTGGCCATCCCGTTGACATCACTAAATCATTCCGGGTGGATGAGCCACACTATATATAATGTGGTCCTTATTTCTACACAATTCAACCTAGCTTTGATATTTGGACTTCAACAGCAAAGCCCTCTTGCACATGGCTGATTAATGACACTTGTACTTTGCTATTGCCACAGGTGGGGTGTGTTTTACTAGGAGGGCGTTGGAGGTTGTTGAGCAGGGTGAAGAGGAGGAAGATGGAGGGGGATAAGGGTGATATCGGAATGTAGAATTTTGCTTGAAAGGATATTCACAGAGCTTAGAGGTGTCTAGATATCTTTTGTAGCCGAGTGGTAATTCTTTCCCACAAGATACTACTAGATAAATTCCATTGAGCATGCTAAAATCCTTGAAGAAACCAGACTACACTATCGATCCACGAAGCCGAACATCAACAGCCCCAGTCACCATCTTGATATGCTCGACGAGGTCCGAAATGTGGGTGAAATACCCTACGTCTCCAGTGAAAGAACCCCCAACCAACAATCCAACCACGAAACCGATGTGGTCAAAAACAAGAGACCCAGAATCGCCTGCCGCTACCACGTATCTACCCACCACGTATCTACTCCAAGACGCCGCGAAGGCATGCACCCATGCTGGCAAGGCTCTGAGCTGGTCGTCAACGACCCTCCTCACGATGTGGGCCACTCTTAGGCCTGCGTACCTGGCACTCGTAAAGCCAGTGCTCCGGCCGACTTTGTGTAGCTTTCTATTGAGGGGAGGCATATCGGGCCTAAGACAGTGTAGTTGGGGGTATAGCAGACCCTGGACGTTGAGCTGGAGACAAAGAAGGTTAGACAGGGACGGGGAAATGGTGGGAACTGGCGGAGTGTGAAAGACTTACGGTGTTCACCTGCGGACAGCGACCCTCTCTATCTCTGATCAAAGCCCAATCGCGGATCGAGAGTTCGCTTGGGTTTCTCTTGGCTGGGACCTCCTGATGTCTAGACGAAGCGAACACAGTGCCAAGTGTGTGGTGACTGTCACGCAGGAACTCAGAGGCGACGCTCAGTTGCTTGCTCTGGGATGCAATGATGTCGGCTATTATCTTCCACTCGGCCATATCCGATGGTGTCACAGATTCATCGCGCGACTTGGCGTCCTCAACTTTGCGGTATGTGGTGTCCTCCTTGAGCTTGCTAATGTCTTCAGTAAGCTCCTGAATTGCATCCCGTAGGTCACGCTGACTTGGAGAGTCAACGTTCAAGAGCCGCGCGGCCGTTTCATCTGCCACAGGGACGCCAGTGTGTTTCCAGGCTTGAACCACTACAAAAAGTCAGGTCAAGCCAAGATCATTAAGGGAGTGCCATTTACCTTGACAGTCAGGCCCAGAGAGACCATGCCCCTGTGGAAATAGACAAGAGGAACAAGTGATCGCGAACGGGACCCAATCCCCACCCTCACGATGCTTCAACTCAAGCCACCCGCCGAGCGTGCCGCGTCCATCGTCCACAGTACCATGAAGTTTAACGCTAGACCCCACGCTCGCATGCTTCGTACAGCGCTTGATAGTATCTGCCAGTGCCTCCCATGAATTTTCGTCATCAACTGTTCTAAAACCGGCGTCCTTGCGGATCAGAACAGCCACATCGGTCAATCCACGCTCATCCAACACCCGCACGGCTGCCTCGCGGACTACCTTCCAGTCCCTCCGAGTATCGCGGTCGACCCCGAATAGCACGGTGGGCGGACACTCCTTGCGACGGGAGCTCACGCCGACCCGGAAGCACCCAATGGTGCAAACCCCGGCCAGATCGATCGCCCCCATGATCTCCGTGGCCACGTCCTCCCAGACGTGGAAGATGTTGTCATAGGGCTTACATGGGAAGATGTGCGCCCGCTGAAAGAAGTCAGTGTTCGTAATTTCAACTTTTATGTCACCGAGGCCTTTGCTCTGGAGGCAATGGCGCAAGCTTCTCGCAAGAGGGATCCATCCTCTCTCAGACACGTCCGGTCGTAGGTCCAGTACAAGGAAGGTCAGAGCGGGTTGTGCGTTGGTTTCGAACGCGCATCGACGACCACAGAGCCGAGTTTCCAAGAGGTTGATTCCAGCATTCTGGCAAATAGGAGTGAGCTCCGAAACGAGTCGTTTCCCTCGATCTCCTACAATGAATGCGTAGTGGGGGTGATCTCGGGGGACCAAGTTGAAAGTGTGGCAGGGGGACTCGCAGAGGTGAGGGCCTCCTGCTCTGAGATCTTCTTCTATAAGGCCGTCTGGACTGTTCAAAGGCTCTTCATCCGTTGATGACTGGTGTACTCGCCTCAGTCTGGTGGGCCTGCCGGGCGATGAGCATCCCTGTAGGGCTGGCTCGAGCGACTGCGAAATTGAGGCGTATGCGATCTCGGTGGGCATGCATGGGGGGATCAGTGGGTTGTCTGGAGTAGTCATGGTGATAGATGTTCGTTGATTGGGTGTCTTGATTTGTAGATTTTAGATTGATCATGGTGTCTTGGAGATGGAGTAGGAGTCAGAGTCAGGTAGCTAATTATATATCAACTGTTAGGTTTTCAGCCCGGATGTCTATTCACCCCAGGCAGCCTGTAGCCGTGTCATGTTGACCTCATTCATCATAAGTTTGGCCATCACCTGCTAAGCTTTTACATTATGTGGTAAGTGTGACAGTTAACGAAGTCCTGGATATAACCATATCCCATTCACTGATGTTTTCTCATTATAGCGTCCCGGATATTCCATATGAATCATTAGTGGCAAAGGATTTATGACACGTGAAGCGACGAAGCTGTGGGAGTTGTCCGGATTGACATAGGGGATCATTTAGTAACAGTGGTAGATTACATTGACAAGACAAATTTGTAGGCGACATGAAACCGATTTTAAGGATGAAGCCATTCAGAGCAGTATGCTTGGAGGGATAACTATACATATTAATAATTATGCATCCCAATTTGGATTAGCGCCGGAGTGCGAACTCGGACCGGAGAAAAACACCAAAAGCCTCAAACTCCAATTGCACTTCGACCCCCTCAAATACACCCCGAACGACAGCCCATTCCCACACCTCCAATGGCCTCCTCCGCACGGTCTTTGGGCCAAACGGCCCTCTTCCTCTCCCGAAGAGGATCCGCCCCTTCTTTTATCCTCCAGTCTCGCCAATTCAACACCACCCGGCCGAACCTTCACGTCGACCCACCCGCGAAGAAGTCGCGGCGTGCAGTCCGCCCGGAGGACATGCCCATGGCGCCGGAGTACTCCCCGGATCTTCTGACCGAACAGCAGCGGTCGATGTATGACTTGATGTCGCCGGAGGATCGGAGACAGTTTGATGCGGCGAATATCCGCCAGGTGCAGGATTTCAACAGTCCCCAGAAGCGCCGGGCCATGTTCGCGGACCTCGACAAGGAGGTCACTGAGATCAATCGGGCTTTTCCCATGCGGTTTGATGGCAATACTACTCAGCGTCTTAACTTCTGGGGTAAAGACGAGACCGACGATTTTGCGAAAGTGGAGGATGCCGATGAAGAGTACCTTGACGATGAAATGACCTCGATGGCTCATGCCGAGGTGGAGCTGCACCGTGAAGTCAGAGAGTATGCTCGTATTGCGGCGTGGGACATGCCTTTTCTCAGCAGTATGTCCTTCTCTCATGTTCCATAACTGGGACCGCGGGGGAAATAATGCAATGCTGACGGGTTCGTTTCACAGACTTGGCCAAGCCCTTCTCCCTCCCCACTGAAGACCAAATCCTCCGCTTCCGCTACACGACCTACATGGGCGAGGAGCACCCCGCGCAGTCCAAAGTCGTCGTCGAGCTCGCCTCCAAGGACCTGACGCCGAAGCACCTCACCGAAGACCAGCGACAGACCTTCCTGAAGCTCGTCGGCACGCGCTACAACCCGGACACGGACATCGTGCGCATGTCGTGCGAGAAACACCAGACGGCCGTCCAGAACAAGCGGTCCCTGGGCGACCTGGTCAACTCGCTGATCAAGGAGGCCAAGGAGGGCGACTCGTTCGCGGACCTGCCCCTCGACCTGCGCCACCACACCCCCAAGACGCCCCTGCGCTTCCCCAACGAGTGGAACATGACCCCCGAACGACGACAACAGCTCGAGGCGAGACGGAAAGAGCGGCAACAGCGCGACCAGCAGGGCGTCGGCATCATCGACGGAAACAAGATCCTTGCGCAGCTGGCCGAAGTGCCGCCACCGGTGTCTCCGGCGCTGTCGAAACGCGCCGAAGCCGAGCGCGAGAAGGTCGCCGTCAGGGCCGGGAAATTCCCGCAGAAGCCCGTGGTCAGGAGAATGCGCTAATCTCTTTCCAATCCCTAGATGAGCACTGTATAACTCATGGTTTCTTTCTCCTTTTTCTTTTACCTTTTTTTTTGTTGGATTCTGGCAGTCAAAATATTCAAAAGGGCGGGCGCAGATTTCATCACCATCATCACCACCACCATCTCAAGGTCATATCAGACCTCCCTATCTATCAATGTATTATACTTTTATCTGTGTGACTATCTGTCCTGTTTTGACAGGTCTTGTTTTGAGATCAAGGCCTACTGCTATCTCTTTGGGAGTTTATGAACGAATTAGCCAACATATATACATCCAGACATGCAGTTCACTAGTAGGCAGTACTAAGGAGGGCCCCTCTTTCCGTCTCTCGTCCCTCTCTCACTTCATGATCTTACTCGAACTGTGCCCGTGTATATCCGATATCCAACCCTCTTGCCTTACTCAAGATATAGACCAGAAGAGCGGGGAGGAATTGATCACTGATAATACCAACAATAAACAAATGCCATTACTATAATAGTATTGGTACATCCCCGTATTGAAACCCATCAATAGACAAGGAAAGGGATAAATAATTACAAACAGACTGAAACTGACGTTGCAAGAGACCTAACCGTATGTAAAAACCACATGAGCGAATACCCAGTCGCAAAACAGAGCAGACAGCACAAGCGGTAGACGAGGTAGGTAGGCAGTGAATCTGAATTACAACCAACCCAAGGAAACAATGACAAAAGCAAAAAAGACAAAAGACAAAAGACACAGAGAAAGCAAGACAGAACAGAAGCAGACATCCACGCCATTTATCCATTTGCATCTCCGTATCAATTCCATATCCACACCTATCCTGTTCACACCACGCCATACCATACCACGCTGTTGCCGCTCTTCGCCTGTTCCAACCATTGGAGTCATAGCTGACTGTGTAATTTGGATCTCTGTAGCTGATATACCTGGTAAGTAGACTGTTGCTTGGATGTCTTATCCATGATCAGGTGTTTCTTGCTTGTCGGCGTATAGAGGGCGTCTATTACGCTCTTGTGATTTTGTTGGGGCCTTTTCTTTATCTTTTTTTTTCTCTCCTTTCTGAATTTTTTTTTTTTTTTTTTTTTTTGCAGAGATGAAAATCACACATTGGGAATCGAAAAGCAGAAAGGAAAATAAGGGAACTAACAGTCAAAATAGAAATCAACAACAAAACAAAAAATTCAGAGAAAGGTTGAAAAAGAGGAAGCAAAAAAAGAAAAGGAGCGTAAATCATGCATTCATCATCATCACCCATTGCGAACTGGACGCCACTTGCCCGGTGAAACGCGTATACTATTTATCAGTATTTAGAGCATATTCAAGTAGAGAGCCAGCCGTAATGATTACTGTCATATCGCAGAGCCTTGAAGGTTATGTTCGTTCTCGTCTCGACATGTACTTTTATTAGAGAATTGGGACTCGTCGGAATTCGTGCCATGGGAAATACAGCACAAATGAAAACTTGATTGTGAACTCGGGCCTGGCAGGAAAGATGGAAACGTGGTTCTTAGTTTCCATTGCCTATGCCCATGCCCATGCCAAAGTTGAAAAAGTCGTCGTCTGAGGAGGAGCCGGGGGACTTCCTCTGGTGGTCCTTCTTGCTACCGATGGCTGGCGGAAAAGGACGCATCTCCTTCTCCCTGACCGGCACACGGAGCTCACGGGGACTGGTGCCGGAGGACAAAGAAGTGCCCGGAGGGAGATCAGGGGAGCCGATGCGGGTTGGGGGCTCAGACGAGGCGACATCCTCACGCATACTGCCAGTGAAAGGGCTTCCCAGCTGGGAACTGGGGGTACCCTTGCGGATGGTAGAAGCAGCGCTGGAGGAAGCAGTGGCCTGGGCTTGGTAGGCTTTGATGCTGTCGGTTTCGGCCTTTCCACTGCTTGGTTCGGACATGGTATTCTGCGAGCGTGTCTGGTACAGACGGCGGGATTTCGGTCCCCTCTTGGAACGGGGCTGACCCGGAGCGGCTTCCAGATAGCTAGGTGGATAGCCTGCATTCTGGGCCATGGAGGGAGGCATAAGAGTTTTAAAGTTGCGGATAAGTCCGTCACGCTGGGTATCTTTAAGGCCCTCGTAATCGATGTTCTCCGTCGAAGGAGGGTAAGCAAAGCCGCTCACATTGCCGCTCATGGGATCCAAGGGGGGATATTCCGCAAGAGGGTCAAACGACAGCAGGTCGAACTTCTTATTTCCTGCACTTTGGGGGCCAGGTGTATGTTTTCCCGGCTTCGCAGCACCGGGGACTTGGGGCGAGTTCGAGTAGACAGGCTGGGAAGGTCCAGGAAGCACCACAGACTGCTGCTGGGCTCGGGTATAGGTAGAAGTCGTCTGCTTTGCATTCTTGTTTGCTTCGTTGCTATCAACCACCGGGCTGAGCTCCAAGCGAGATGGGTATTGGATTGATCTGAGAGCGTTATGATCTGGAGGCGTGTCTTTCCAGTGAGCGCGGGTATTAGGCTGTCCGTTGGGCAATATACTGGGCATTCCGTATTTCTCACGATACCAACGAGGGATGTCACGGAGGCCGAGCTTTTCGAGTGTAAGTGGATCGGTGGGCATCTCATGCTTGTAGAGGCATCCTGCAGATCTAGTGTTACATTCTGTCTAGATTCACTCAACGGATCTGATCTTACCCTGCTGCTGATAGTCGCACTCGCCGTGACGGATCCAGTAAGAGCAGTACTCCTTTTTCGCGTTGTAGTGGACACCCTGGAGACGCGTTAATTGCCGGGTGCTTCCATTGCTCACATATTCTCCTTCTCATGGGATGCTTAAGTCGAGATCACCAACCTGTTTGGAGTTCCCTCCACTGCCGCCACCTCCGTTGGGGACCAACCAGCCACTTGTCGGGGTATTCGTCATGAACCAATTTTGAGCGATACCATGCTGAAGTAACGCATTGACAGCCTGGCGCTGGGCCGCCGAGACGTTTTCATCGGTAATCAGCCTCATGAGGGAGGACTGCAAGTCGCCGTCACGGGAGCGGTGGGCAGCGGTCGATGGGATAGAAGCGCGGGTCAGGGCCGGGGAGATGTCTTCGACAACGTAAGTCTGAGATCTGGGGCTCACGGTTCCGAGGCTAGTCATGCCCTGAGTTTCGCTAGCAGACAGGACGCGGGGAACGCCACGAATGGTAATACCGGTGGGGAGCTCATCCACAGCGATGACAGGGGTGAGGGTGCCATTTGGGCGAGTACAGAAGAACTGGGGACGAAGCGGTGCCGCCATGACGGGCTTGATGAGGACCAGGAGTAATCAGAGAGACTCTCTTGTTGACTTGATGAGAGGAGGATGGTGGAAACCAAAGAACAGTTGGTAATGTATGTATACTGTTATAAGGCTGGCTTTGAAACGATGTGGAGATGAAAATCTTCGAAGGACCGGAGTTGATCGATCAAGAAAAGAATTAAAAAGAAGAAGAGAAGAAGAAACAGAGATTTTAAGCAGCAGGGTCAAGCTCAATGCCACTGGCACAAAACAGGAAGTGAATTGTCAAGCCAGAGAAAAGTCGATTGCGTGAAAGAGACATTGACATTCACTGACAGAGAGAGTGATTCAAAACAGTGACACGCGGGTTTTCCCTCCAAATGGATATAGATACCAAACAAAATCAATTATACTCTAAAAGAAATCAAATATATATGCAAATAAAGATTATAAGAATGAAGATCAATCAGAACAAAGCCCAAGACCGAAAAGAAAAGAAATCACCATAGGATGAAGGGCAAATGGAGACTGGGAAAGGACACAAGAAGCCAACCAGACCGGATATCTAGCAGCATTTTCCACTAAACAAGGGCAATGTCCGGATGACATACACAGGCGCACAAGGACTTAAAGAAGAAAGAAAGAAAAGGAAAATAAGAAAAGAGGCGGGAGATCCGGATCCTCTAAGTGAGAAAAAACGCTCCCACCCCACAGCAAAAGCATTAGGGATAAGGGGAAAGGGGAAAAAAAAAACAGTAGGCCCAGCCACAACTGAATGCCATCAGTGTTTGTCCGATGATGTTGGTCAGTTGGTCAGTACGACCATCCTGCCCGGATGGCTGCAGCATCCTCTCTCGTTCAAGACGCACGCGTCTGCCGTTCGTTGCACTCCTTTGGGACCAGATCCAGATCAACCAGGATTCTGGGACCCTAAATTTTAGAGGATCTGGAGTCGTAAGTCTATTTTTCATTCACTTTTGGATGTAGGGTCTATTTTTGCGGTTGTCCTGTTGCTGGTGTTGTTTTGAATGGTGGGACCGCATGGATATATGGCTGTTTGAGTATTGCAATGGCACCTGCCATATCCTGGCACACTGCCACCGCCGGAGATTTTAGACCTCGGTCGGTCAGATATCACTGCTTTTCTGATTTCGGCACTTGAAAGAGTACTGTGAATATTTCTCAGTCATAGTGGCCCTTCTGAAGGGAGAGGCAGGTTCTTCCAGGGTAGGCCTCCAATAATCATTAGTGATCGATTCAAACTGAGCATGGGCAAACGCCTTGCATCAAAGAAGATGCAGTCACTAGTAGATAATCGACACATCACTTTGACTGGAGTTTCAGGAGGGTGAAGACAGGGTGTGATAATAGTAAGGAATCCAGAGTGATGATATTGAACTGATGATGTCCAGAGATAATCAGCCGCTTCCCCGTGACCATCCTATCCCGTGACTCTTACATTTTCATCTTCTTGTACAACTTTCTGTCTGATTATTATTTTTATTCAATGGTCTGGATTCATTTCATTGATGATGTATGTAATATGTACAACCGCCAGTAATTGATCTATGGCCAGTCTAGCCCACGTGCCTTGCGCCAAAGAAATAATACCTTCATCTCGCTAAGAGCAATAAAAGTTGCATGTGGTATCGCTGAGAATAAATGGGAAATTGTACCCAATGCCGTTCCTTTCTCCATAAACATTGGGCTTGTTATTGCGCTCTCTCCCGCTCTTCACCATCTTAAGGTGCCCAAGGAGCGAGGTGTCCGGGGTTGGGAATGTTGTGGTTAAGACGGTCCCCGGAGGCCTGCTGGAGTTGCCCACTGGAAAGTGATGCGGACCCAACTGACGAACCCGCATCCCCAATGCCCGGGGATCCGGTCACATCGATGAACGGCGACCCTGGAGGCACGCCGCTAGGAGTGGGGGCCATTGCACCGGGTGTGCTTTGATTCGTGAGACCGACTGCAGCCCTACTAGCCAACTTTCTCTTACGCTGTGCAAGGTCACCTCGGATGCCACTCAGATACTTCCTCGCCAAATGGACAAGTTCCGGGTCTTCGTCGCTGTGCTTCAATGTGTCAAGCATGTTGGCAACCATAGTTTCAGATTTGAAGTGGGGACACGTTCGCCCGTGTCCAAAATGCGCTAGTCCACAAAGTCCGCAGTGCTCAACGCCGGCCAGTTTCAAACGGCAATGACCAAGAGGATGGTTCTGGTTGCAGGCCAAACAAGGGGGAATATTCTCCGTTTGGCCGTCTAATGCAGGGACCGCGCTGGTCGGGAGGTTGACGCGCTCGAAGGCTCGTACTACAGCTCATGTTAGCAAAAGCCAGGTTGGTTACAAAGAAGGGAATCACGCCACCTTTGGGCTTCTTGGCTTCCCTGACGACTTCATCAGAATCGGGTGCCAGATCGGGTTCAGAATCCGATTCTGACTCTGCCACGGCATCTTTGAATTCCACATCACTCTCGGCTTCGCGATCCCGCGGCCTTTTCACGGGCGATAATTCCTCATGGGCGGAGTAGTCGACAGTAGTCCTCTTCCGTTTTCCGCGTCCAAGAGTCTCTGCCTTCTTTCGGGCCTCGTCTGCAGCCGCCTGCTCGCGCTCCTGCAATATCTTTTCCCAGACAGTCGCTCCCAGTGGAGCGCTATCGTCGGTATCAGCGATGTCATCGTTCAAGTTATGATTGTCGTTCGCCCAGACGTGAGCAAAGCTGAAATGAGATTCGGCAGGATTCTCGTCAAGTGATTTAGCTTGCTCGGCTTGACTACGGTCAAGGAGCTTGTCGACAGACTCCGAGTCATAACGAACATCTCCCGAATCGTCATCGTTGAATAATGCCTGTGCGCCGTGACGGAGAATAGATTCCAAGTCCTGCCCATCATCTTCCTCCGAGACCATGCGATCGATTAGAACATGGTCCAGCACCATCTTCTTCTTTCCAATCTGCATGATTTTCTCTTCCGCACTGTTTCGGGTCATAAGTTGGAAAACCAGGACCTTATTCTTTTGTCCGATGCGGTGTGCACGGGATAGGGCCTGCATATCCTGGTGAGGGTTAAAGTCTGGGTCCATAATGATAACGGTATCCGCACTGGCCAGGTTGATGCCAACGCCACCGGATCTGGTGGAGAGAAGGAACGCAAAGTATGGTGAGTCTTCGGCGTTGTAGTTATCGATCTGCTTCTGTTTTTCCAGCGACGACATCCTTCCATCCAGCCGGCAATGTAAGAGTCCGAGACCATCAAGAAAATCTTCAATGATATCCAAGTTATCCAGAAACTGGCTGAAAATGAGGACTCTGTGACCGCGGCGCTGAAGTTTGGGGAGCATCAATTCCAGCAGCTGTAGTTTGCCAGCTGCATCAACGAGTTGTCTGTGAGAAGCAGCCGCATTGCTTGTACGCTCTTCAATCGCCTCGCTGTAAACAAAAGGATGGCACAGGCATTTCCGTAGCTGCATCAGGATATTGTTCAAGTTATGTTTTTCTGCCTGTTTCAAGGTTTGAGCGCTGTCGTTTCGTTGGAAAATCGCTTTGATCAATTGTGGATTCTTTGCAAGGATGGATTTGTACAGCTTCTTTTGGACCACGGTCATCGACACCGGAAGAATAATCTGGACGATAGGCGGAAGGAAAGTGAGCACCTGGGCTTTGGTTCGGCGCAGAAAATATGGTCGAATTAAGTTATGAAGCTCCGGGATATTCTCCTTGGACAAAGTTCCATACTCCTCTTCTAAGGCCTCCGCATGTTGGGTTGGGTCACAGAACTGGAGAAGGTTGAAAAGCTCTCTCACGTTATTTTGTAGCGGTGTCCCAGTGAGAAGGACTTTGAAAGGGCACTTGATTTTTGATAGAGCCTCATAAATTTGACTCTTGTCATTTTTCAAGCGTTGTCCTTCGTCAACTACAAGTCCAGCCCAGGGGACTTTCGACAAGACTCGTCGTGAGGAATCATCGACCATGGTTTCATAAGAAGTGACCACGACGTGACATCTGAGACCAGAGTCACCGTCAGCGAATAACTCATGCTGCTGGGCTAATTTGCGTGCTTGTGCAGATCCGTAATATGTGACCACCCTGATTGAAGGGACCCATGTCTTGATCTCCTTCCGCCAGTTCGGACATGTGGAGTTAGGTACAACAACAAGGAAGGGCCAGCATTTATGGTCTTGAATCAATGATGCAAAAAGTCCAATAACCTGTATGGTTTTCCCCAATCCCATTTCGTCAGCTAAAATGGCATTCTGCTGCTTGAACCACATGTAGTAAAGCCAGTTCATTCCGTCTTGTTGATAGTCCATGATTTTCCCGCCAGTCATTATCTCCGGCTGGGAGTTTCGGACCACACTTGACTTGAAATTTTGCTTTCTGACATGGGCGAGATGTTTCGCGAGGGAGCGCTGATCGGGGAGGTGGACATAGTCCTTTTTCACCCAATCTTCGTATGCAGACTTGAAATCATTCCATCGTTCAGTATTGCTGGGGTCAGGCGGGGCCTCCCAAACAGACTCCTCATATGTCAAACCCTTGAACTTCACATATGCCTTGACAACCTTATCTATCCTGGCAATATCCGCCTCTTGCGTTGCGTCATCCAGACTATCATCGTCCAAGTCTTCTGCATATTTCACATCAAAGACGATATCAACACGGTAAAAGTCCTCCGGAATAGCCTCCTCAGCGGTCATACGTGGAGTAAAGTTCTTGGGATTCCTGAGAAATGCTCGTCGCATGGTGTGGCTGACGGTACCCCAAACCCAGCTCCCAGGCATCCAGGTAGTGTGTGAATATGACATTTCTTTCCATCTGACGAGATACTCCTTGTCCACTTCGTTCACGGTGTCCGCTGTGCAACCGGCCAGAGATTTCGCGGCTGCTGGCCTCCAGGCAACCAAACCAGAAACTTCCCCGGGGGCTGAAGAACAGTCATGGCACTGCCAGTTTTCGTCGGGCTCCACAGGCAAATGATCAAAGTGAAACGCCCTGTAGCAAACGGCACACCGGGAAAGAATGCATTCAAGGTTATTTATTCGAGACGGATCAATATTTGTGATAGGATCCCTGCCATCGTTCTCTAGGCGAAGTTGCTGCTCTTGCTTGGGTGTTAAACGCTCACGCAGTGGCTCAGACATGGCGCCTTTTTCGTTGCACACTTGACAATAGCCCTGGTGTGGGGCCATTGAATCTTTTGCATGGGCCAGTCCGAGGCAGCGTCGGCACTGAAGAACGAATTCGCCGTCGCCGACTTTGGTAACAAGGTGTTCGCGGGTAGCCCGCGGGCCCAGACAGAGCTGATGATAAGCGAACGTACACCCTTGACAGAAAACGAGGACCCCCTTTACAGAATCATTACCAGCAATCTTGCACACGTCACAGAAGTCTCGATGTCGGCACCGAAACGGATCGCTTGATGGGACTTTACGGAAGACTTCTTTTGCACCATAGAACTTCTGTGACCGGGCCGCGCTTTCGTTCTCGGAGATATCATCCTCGTACCGTTCGCGCAGATTGTTGCGAATGGTAGTCCGATGTCGAGTTGAGAATCGCGTTCCCTGGGGAGCAAAATCGCTATCCATGTCTGACGTCGTTGAAGCTCCACGTGGTCGACCGCGCCTCAATCGACGTTTTCTCGAGGTTGACTTCGAATACGAAATGATGTCGTCACTAGACGAGCTCGCCGCCTCGTCTTCACTGCTTCCTGCGAAGAAGTCCGTAAAACGAAGATTTTTCGCTCGCCCCGAGCGACGTTTCCCGGTATTGCCACGGGGACCGAAGCCGGAATTAGAATCGGCGAAACCTGCCTCCTCCTCGTTCGATGAGTTTTCCGTAGAGAATGAAGGCGACGTGGACGACTCATGAGTCGGACCAAAGTTCTGAAAGTGAGTTAAAGCTTCCTGACCGTTGTTGAGCGTTTTGAGGTGCGACGAGGAGACCTGTAAACGAGTCATGAAAGTTAGTTTCAGATACGGTGAAAGATTTAGACCTCAGTGGAAGATTCCATGGTAGTGCCAATAATCTAGAAGAACATGCCTTTTGAACCTCCCCGCTCCGGAGTTTGACTCGATAGAAAGGCTCTGGTTCCAACTCCTCAGTCTCATCAATTATATAGCTAACATCGAAGTGCCCGGGGAGAGATTCATATTCCTCCAGATTTAACTCTGAGGGGGGGTGAATCTCAACTGCAATCATCCGTGGACCCTGTAGGAATTCTTCCTTAGTTCCTTCTGGCTCGGAATTCGGTTGTAGGCTCTGAGAGGTTTCCATTTGCGATGCTCCTGACTTTGGCTCTGGTGTTGTGGACTTTCGAAGTTCTGAGCTGGCTCTGTCTGAACTGGCCTTGTCCGACTCTAACTCTGGTGTTGCGGGCTTTGGGATTTCCTCGCTGGGGTTGTCCTCGCTGGGGTTGTCCTCGCTGGGGTTGTCTGACCGCGACTCCAGCTCCGATGCAGAGGCTTCTGAGCTCCGCTTCTTTTGCGAAAACCTCGGTTTCTGTCTGCTCTTCCGCGAAGAGGCTTGTTTCTCCGGAGAAGAGCCCCGAGGCGACTGCCCACACTCTCGCATATAAGCCAATGCATCTTGAAAGCCCCGCTCGAAATCACTCATTTTGAACAAGTGCCTTTCTTGTATAAGTCTTGGATTGTTAGTGACAGGTTCAAGGCACTAGCCAGAACATCAAGCTTGAAAGAAAGTCAAGGCAGAGGGCGAACCTCATGGACGGGCGATGAGGACCAAGTGAGGGGTGAGAAAAGTGAACAAATAGATAAACCATATGTGAGCATTGATAGACAAATTAGAGTGAAAAGCCATGCCCCTCATGACTACCTAAAAACATTTGAGTCAAAGCATGCAATTGGAACACGCTTGGAGATAATTTCCCAACAACGTAATATTGCATGGATCCTTTCGACGCGACGATGCGCGAATCAGCGCCGGATCAACATTAATGCGCTTATCTTATCGGAACCTCGACCGGAGAAAAAATAATCATCATATCATCGCCGCGACAGCTGAGTAAAAACCCAAGATCTATACTAAAACCCGTCAAACATGAATTGCTAGTTAAAAAGCTACCATTGAAATGTTCCTCCACTCCCAATTGAATGGCTTGCGGCTGTGTTCTCGACTGCCTGTCCTTCCACGGTTCCAGCCGGCTCTCGCGAGACATGCCTCCCTGAGATCCGCCATCGATCGCGGCATTCGCAAAAGCCAGGGTCAAAGCCAGGACCAGAGCCAGAGCGCGAGAAAACCTTTTCAAAATCGTAGAAATTTCGATGATGAAGAACGCGCTCCTCACCGCCGAAGAGATTCTAACCCAAAGAAGGTCGAACGCAGAAGGGATGATACTGAAGAACGCTCTTCGTACCGTCGAAATGATTATGGCCCAAAGAAGTTCGAACGCAGGAGGGATGATACTGAAGAACGCTCTTCGTACCGTCGAAATGATTATGGCCCAAAGAAGTTCGAACGCAGGAGGGAAGGTACCGAAGAAAACTCTTCGTATCGTCGAAATGATTATGGCCCGAAGAAGTTCGAACGCAGAAAGGAAGATACACCATGGGCCAGGAATTCCGACGAAGGACGCGCTCCGCACCGTCGGGGAGAATACAACCCAAAGAAATTCGAACGCAGGAGGGAAGATACTGAAGAACGTTCTTCGTACCGTCGAAATGATGATGGCCCAAAGAAGTTCGAACGCAGGAAGGAAGATACACCCTGGGCTAGGAAATCCGATGATGAACGCGCTCCGCACCGCCGACGAGATTCCGACCCAAAGAAATTCGAACGCAGAAAGGAAGATACATCCTGGGCTGGGAATCTCGACGAAGACGAATTCATTAGGACGGGAAACTTTCGCGCGTTGCCGATGGAACATCAGCGATTCAAGCATGGCCACAAAATCGAGAAACCTCGCGAAGAGCCACAGGAGTCGCGCGAAAAAGTGATACCCTCGAGTAGACGCGGCACCGACCGGCCGAAAGAAAACGTCAAAGTCCCCGATTCCATTCCCTATACGACTCCCGCTTCGGAATTCATCTATGGCACCAACGCTGTCGAGGCTGCGCTGCGCTGCAGCCGGCGACAGCTGTACACGTTATATCTGTACCAGGCGTTTGGAGAGGAGCTCAGCCCCGCGAAATCGACCATCCGGAAAGTCGCCTACATGAAGAATCTCAAGGTCAAAATGGCTTATGGGGAGTGGGATAAGTTGCTGGACAAAATGAGCGCAGGTCGACCCCACAATGGCTGTATCCTCGAAGCATCCCCACTGCCTCAACTCCCCGTGCGGAGTCTCCGCGCTGTCCCTTCCAAGGACGAAGATCACTTCAGCGTGGACTTGGGACAGCAGTCACGGGAAGAAGCGCAGGTTAATGGAATGGACAACCACGTTAAAATCAACCATCCCCCCATGCAAGATCGCCGGAGGTTCCCAGTCGTCCTTCTTCTTGACGGAGTGGTCGACACGGGCAACTACGGCGCCATAATCCGCTCCGCATACTTCCTCGGGATCGACGCCATTGTGCTCGCTGGCCGAAACTCGGCGCCCTTATCCCCAGTAACAATCAAAGCTTCCGCCGGCGCCGCGGAAAACATGACCCTCCTCCAGGTCCACAACGAGGTAGACTTCATCCAAAAGTCGAAACTCAACGGATGGCGATTTTACGCCGCGGATGTTCCGGGCCCAGGGTCTACCTTCATCGACCCTATGTCAAACAGCGGCACTGGTCCCGACGGCCAAGAGGAAAATCCCCTCACTCAAGCCCGAGCGTTATCATGATGGGAAGCGAGGCTTCTGGACTTACTCACCACATCAAGTCGCACGCGGACTCGGTGGTGAGCATCCCCGGGTCTAGGTTTTCGACGCATCTGGGAGTCGGCTCGGATCCTGCCCGCGTCGATAGTCTCAACGTTAGTGTCGCTGCTGCGCTGCTGATGGAGATGTTTCTGCGCGTTCCCCTTGCGGTTTCGGGCGCGCCTGAGAAGCGCACGTCTAAGAAGGCGTAGGCGGGTGTGTTGATTAGCCGATCTAATACATATACAAACCACTTGTACATTAGCATTGGGAGGGTTTTAAATAAGGAATTTAATGACTCGATTTCGCATCTCTACAGGCACTTCATGTAACAATAGTACGAAGAATGACTTGTATGTATATATAAGTAGGAACCATATACGCCGGAGTACGTTCTAGGTATTGGCAGTTGCCAGGGATTCTACTTAATGCTTTTGTATACACTTCATATTTCAAAATTGCTGTTAACATATTGATGTTACATGTTTTCAAAGAAGTAGATGCAATAGAGATAGATAATAAAGAACGTGACCCACGCCCAGGGCATCTATCTTCCAACGCCGGACCGTCAAGTATGAAAAAACAACGAACCAACGATCCACCTCCCACGGCCGATAACATCCTCAAATACACTACTATATGGTCATAACAAAAATTTCACTTCACAACTGCTAGGCTCTTCCATCACTTCTTCCGATTCTTCGATTTCGGAGCCGCGTTCGAAGATACACTTGCGGCCCGGGAGGTCGACGTGGAGCTGGCTTTGTTGCCGCCTTTTACAGCCTTGACCTGCTTGTTCTGTGCGATTGAATTAGCTCAAATTTCCACACCAATTGGTGATATCAGGGCAAATAAAACTTACCACTGCGGTGTTCCGACTCTTTTTCTTGGCCGGCTCGCCCTCGTCATCGTTCTCCACGTCCTCATCATCACGGTCACGCCCTCTGCCTTTCCCAGATTCACCGTTGGCCTTCCCGTCGACGGCAGTCTCAAACTCCTTCGCGACGGTATTCAACAGCGTGGTGCACCGGCGTCCAATCTCAACCGGGGTACGGCTAAGGAAGAACCAGTCGAATCGGAAAAGTGGCGACTCGCGAATCTCATCGCGGATCTTCTCGTAGAGGCCTTCGCCGTCCACACCGTACCGGTCAAGCATGACCAACAGGAATCGGTCTTCCTCTTCCGTATAGACCTTCTTGTTGGTTGTCGAAACCGAATAGTTGACCTTGAGTTGCTGAAGAGGAACACGATACATCTCCATCTTCTTGCGCAGCATTTTCCGCTGATGATTCATCTTGCGGAGCTTCTCTTCGCCTTGTTCAATGACACGAAGGTACTTAAGGTAGTCTTGAATCTCAGTGTATCGCTTCCAGAATACTTCGGCGTACTCCTCAATCTCATCGGGATCCTTGCTATCAACCTCAGTGGCAATTCCAGCATAGTCGGTTCGGCCAAATTTAGCGGAGCCATTGACAAATTGCTGGAAATCACGACGGTTCCAGGTCGAAAAGCCTTCTTCGGACATCTTGGCCTTTTCGGCTTGCTCTTCCTCCGTCAGAGGAACCGCATTGTCGATTTCTTGTTGCTCTAAATCACGTTCGGCCTCACGATCGCTCTGCTCCTCCTCAGGTCCGTCAGGAAGGGGAACCTTGTAGCCGATTTCCTTGTGGAAGTAAGCGGTTTCCTTCTCCTGAAGTTCTTGGAGACCCGGCGGGTAGAACTGCCAATCGTGGACCGTAATCTGCTTGGGCGCACGAGGGACCTTCGGTTTAGGATCCGCCGTTCTGCCACCGGTGGCAAGGGCCTGGCGATAGTACTTGTCAATAGAGTAGAACTGTTCTTTCCGCTCGCGCTTTGCAGGGTTGATCCAGTTGAGGCCAATGTCTTTCTTGCGATCGGCGGTAAAGTCCTTGCCATTCCATTCATAAGCACTTTCAGAGCTGAACTTCTGAAGATCGTCAATGCCTAACTTCTCGTACTTCTTGCTCAGTTCGGCCGTGCGCTCCTCGCCCTTGCGAAGAATGCTATCGATATCATCGTCGGAGATTCTCTTGTCCGACAGCCCAGCTGCTTCCTGAGTATTACTGAACAGGCTGGCAGCTCCGTGTTGAATCATGCCGAGCAGTTCATCCTTGGAAGTAGCGTTCTTGGTCTGTTGCTGCGCCCGGCCTTGTTGAATAACTAGCTGGTCCAAACGCAACTTCTGTGCTGCACGTTCCAACACCTTTTCTTCGATCGCTTTTTCGGTAACAAATCGGAAAACCACGACTTGCTTCGTTTGACCAATACGGTGAGCACGGTCCATAGCCTGAAGATCGGCTTGAGGGTTCCAGTCACTGTCGTAGAGCACGACAATATCGGCCGAAGTCAAATTGATACCCAACCCTCCGGCTCTGGTTGTGAGAAGGAAGATAAACTTGTCAGATCCCGGCTTGTTGTAGTCATCGATGGCAGCAATTCGGTCCTCATGAGCAGTCGTGCCGTCAATGCGGCAATACTTGAACTCCCGGAAAACACAATAATCTTCTAAGATATCAAGGACACGACTCATCTGAGAGAAAATCAAGACACGGCTTCCTTGCTTTTGCATGCGATTCAATAGCTTGTCAAGGATCACCATCTTCCCTGAGTTGTCAACCAGGTGCTCATCAGTCGTGTAAGGTGGACCAGGCTCGGCCCCTTCGAAAAGATAAGGGTGATTGCAGCATTTGCGCAGTTGCATGACAATGTTCAGCAGACGAGTCTTGGATTCTCGCTTTCCGGCAGCGCCGTTGACAGCGTCGATGTCCTTCTCCAGAATCTTCTGGTACCACTTCACCTGCATTTCCGACATAGGCACATACAAATTCATCTCCTTCTTCGGAAGCAGACTCTTTTCGACGTCGCTTTTCACACGACGGAGCAAGAATGGCCGCAATACACGGTGTAGCTGTTGGACAACGGTGTCTTGGTCGGAATCTTGACTGGAGAACCATTGGTCGAAGGCCTCCGAGTCTCCGAAAACATCCGGTAGGAGGAAATTTAGGAGAGCCCAAAGCTCATGTAGGTTGTTCTGAAGGGGGGTGCCCGTGATAAGCAGGCGGTTTCGAGAGTGGAAGACACGGATGATTTGTGCAAGCGATGATTCCTCGTTCTTGATCCGGTGAGCCTCATCGATGATGATGTACTCCCATGCGAACTTCTTCAGGTGCGACTTCTCACGGAGAACCATCTCGTAACTTGTGATACAGACATCGAAGTTCTCGTCAAGTAGCCTTTCGTTGACCAGCTTATGCCGTTCCTCTTTGTCACCCTGAAGAACAAGTACGTTGACTTCGGGGGTCCATTTCATAAACTCTCGCTTCCAGTTATCGAGAGTGGACTTGGGGACGGCAATCAAATGCGGTCCAGTGATATTGCAAACATGCCGCAGGTATCCCAGAAACGAGATGGTTTGCAGTGTCTTCCCTAACCCCATTTCATCGGCCAAGATGCCAGAGATACCGTTCTCGTGTAGCGAAACAAGCCAGTTCAGACCCGCGACCTGGTAATCGCGCATTTCACCATGAACAAACGGCGGAGAATCCCGGAAGACCGTGCCGGTTTCTGCACCACTTCGTTCATCTCTTAGCAATTCCGCATCTTCTTCCTGCTCCGTCCTGCGACGCCTGTCAGTACCGGCTCCACCTGAGCGCGCCGAACCCTTCTTCTTGGCCCTTGCTTCTTCCTCGGCATTCTGACGATCAATCTCGGCCATGATCTCCTTGATTCGAGGGTTAGGGTTCGTTTCAATGAAATGACGGAAAAGGTCGGTCAAGCCGAGAAGATAGCGAAATCGCCGGATCGAATCATCCTCCTGGATTGGGTATCATTGTAAGCCAAGGAAGCAAGCGCAGTTATTAGAGCTGTAAAACATGCGTACCATAGTTTCGTCGAGTCGACCGTGTTTCTTGCCCAGGATGCTCTTTCTGAGGTGAAATGCGTCGGCCCTTCGCTTACGGCCGTCCACTTGCGCAAGATCACCGGCCACACTGCTTGCGGTGGTGTTGGGATTCGTATCGGAGTCCTGATTATCGCAACCTCAGTTAGCTATGTGGGGTGGGGTGTTGTGAAATGCAAGTACCGTGTAGTCAGGGGTATCCTGATAGCCCTACTCAAAGAACACATCAGTCCATGAAACGGACAAAGGAACATAAATGCGCGAATGATCAAGGTGTCCGCGGTATTGGATGAAACAAGAATTGTTTTTTGTTACTTACCGACATTGTCGCGTCCACGCTATCCACAGGCACAGATGTAGGCTCTTCGTTCGCATCCGTCATCGGAGTATCCGCCTGGGACGGCGGATCAGAAGCTGGGGCGACCGAAGGTGCCATCTTCGTTCGTGGCGCACCGAGCGCGAGGGTGGTGAAGATAACTTTAACTCCTTATAGTTCAACACGTCAGGTTATGCTGCCAATATAACGTATCGCAATCCACAAATGACGGAAAGCAAGTGTCGCAAACTTGACAATTATCCCGAGAGTAAAACTGGTAGATGTAACGTGATTGAGGAATTCGTCGTGAGATGTGCGGAGACCAGGAAGAAAGGAACAGCAATGATGAAGGGACGAGCCAAGCCGTCAGTCGCGCCGGGATGGCAAATGGAATTTCGTCGGAGAAGCGCGGCCATTCCACGCGCTGATTGGACAGAGGAACGCGAGGGCTCTCTGAGTCAGATCTGACTCAGCAACCAGCCAAACACAGCAAACTCAGCACGGAAGACGAGTTTCCCCGCTGTGGGTCACGTTACCCTGGCAAAGGAAAGATCAGAGATCATCTGCACAAGCATCCGCCGGTGCTGTCGGGAATCATCCATTCTGTTGTCAACTGTCTGTCACCCTCTCACTTTGTTTGAGACCTGAGCCTTCACCCCACCCGCTGGATTATCCCTGCAGCTCTTTCCCACTCGTTTGCCACAGAACCTGTCTCTACAAGTCTTCGATTACATTTCTTTGCCCTTTGGGGTTTCTCCGTTTCTTATTTCCGAAGCACGGTCCAAGTCACCCCTCCTCGTGGTGTTTCAGGGAGACTCTTTTCGCCCAACACTCCCCGCGGGTTTTTATAGCTCGAGACCTCATCATGGATTCCATGAGGTCGCTAAACACCTCACTTCCGAGCTCGACTCCTCGCCCGCAGCCTCCGGAGCAGCTTCTGCAGTCCTTCAAGACCGCCGCGTTGTCCGTCACCAACCTCTACAAGAATGCTGTCTTTGAGCAAGCCCAGGCGAAACAAGCTGGATACCATGAAGCAATTGAAGATTTGCTGCAATTCCTAGACCGAGAGAATTTGGGACTCGGTGACGGAGAAGGGTGGCGGGTTCGACAATGGGCCACGGAACGAATGGATGGCCCGCTGAGTGACGAAGATGATGCCGAAAAGCAAACTCGAGGCTCCCCGTATACTGCGCCTCGAAAGGCAAATGCCGAACCGGTCACAACAAAACCTCAAACGAAGCCCGCTCCGTCCTCCGACCACGAACCAGTCACCACGCCACCACAGCCAGCTCAACAGCTACCGGCAGTCTCGTCCCATGTCCCTGACAGCAACCCCTCTGACCGATCGGCCGTATTTACCTTTACGGCTGGGCCGTCCTTTCCACCTCACCAGGAACACGATATCGATATGCAGCCCTCCGATGATTCGGCGCCGTCCAGTCAGGATGAAGCTCCCGTCAGTGTCTCTGTTGTACCCCGAAACTCCCGATCACAGAACCGCCACAACAATCTATCGAGGCCGAATCCCCGAACATCCGTACGGGATACCACAGGACTGAGTTCGAAACGAAAGTTCACTGTACCCGACTTTTTCGATCTATCCGGGATGGGAAACAAAGATGCGTTCGGGGGCGGCAAACGCAGCCGCTTCACCTAGAGAATATGGAATCGACGATTGCACGAATTTAATATTCTTATAGCTACGCAGCGGTTGGTTGTCATTTTCAGTTTTGGATGCATTAGGAGGAGCATTGCATGTGATCACATCTGGTTATAGTTCCTTCTACCCTTGTTACTCTTTTTCTTTCTTTTTCTTTTTTACTATACTTCTCCTGGGTCTTCTCGCCTGGTTTATTTATTTGTGTTCTTTTCCTGTTTCTTCTGTTGGGGTGTGTATTAAGCATATAGAGATTACCAGATATGGAGATACCCGGGGAGGCGATTTTGTGGTGTTGAGTCGTATATATTTATATAAGTTATTGCATATACTATTTTTTTTTTTTTTTTTGCATTGGAGAGGCTTCGAAGTTTCCTGGTATTTTCGCTATGAACAAACGCCCTTTGCTGTACAGGTAGTGTTTTGAGGGAACAAAGTATCAAAACGAGCTTCAGTTGAAAGCTCTCCAAATCCCCATGCCAACAAGCGTTGCAGAGATTGACGCAATGCCAAACCGCCGGGGTCCCATCTTGAATCGTGAGGCGCTTTGCATGATAGTCTTCTCCTGTTTTTGTAGGTTGCTCATGCCTGTATAGTAGCTGTACACACCGAGGCCCATGAATGCAGCGGAGCCTAATTATATGCACAATATGTTAGCTCATCATATCCTCATATTGGGTCATCACGGTACTGTGACACAAGTACAGACCTGTAACTCTGCACGCAAGACAGTCATCGTATGTCTCTTCTGCTACGAGACGCTTCGCATCTTTATCTGTGGTGGGTGCCATGGGGGACGGAGTTTCAAGAATGCTTGGTATGCAAAAGCCGTGTGTGCTGGATCCAGTAGAAAGATATATAAAAATAGTACCAAATATATGGCTTGAGAAACAGCTACCCAATATGGCGCAAATCGCGAATTAGAAGGTCAACTCGGTTGAATCTATCGGCGCAGATCACTGCCCAAACACATGCCGGAAATCCACCGAAAGGCGGGATTCGGTGGCAGAATTTGGAGGATGTCAGTGGCTGTTGCGGACGTGCTGTTCCTGTCTCTCCTCTGAGAGAGTAACAAGACCGACCGGCATGATGAGCGGCGAAATTGACGCGCTCTACATATACGACGAGCTCCAGTTCGTTATGCCCATTGATTTATATTTCTGTAGTTACCCGTGGCTAACTCTTAACGCCCCCTGTTAGCAATCCTCTTGTCGAACAGGTCTATCGCTCCCGTCCGCCCTCCGCCGCGGCGATCCTGCCCCTCTATCAAGCCCATCCGGCTCCACGCCCGTCCCTCCTCTATATACCCGATGCCTTACCTCCGGTGACAGTGTTCTCGATCGTTCAGTCGAATTTGCTTTTTATAGCGCTCTCGGAAGTGGATACCGATCCGCTTCTTGCGTTGGAATTCTTGCACCGAGCTGTCGATGTGCTCGAGGAGTTTATTGGAGCGCCGTTGCTCTCATCCAAGCTACAAGCAAACTATGATGTGGCGGCGCAGCTGCTCAATGAGATGTGCGATGGTGGGATTGTTTGCAATACGGAGCTAAATGCGCTCCAGGAAGTTGTGCAGATGCCGGGGTGGATGGGGAAGTTGTTAGGTGGGGTTGGACTGGCTGGGTTAGTACTCATCGACTCGAACCGCCTAATCTATATTGCTGTTCGCTGACATTTCCCTACGCTTGAAGCTCATCGACACCCATTTTGGGACCTTCCAATATCTCCAAGCCATCGGTGTCGCCCGCCAATGCGAACCTAGGTCCCGCGATCCCGTGGAGAAGGCCCGGAGTACGACATACATCAAATGAACTATACGTGGATATTGTTGAATCGCTGTCGGTGACGATGGCGCCGTCAGGCCGATTACTGTCCGCTTTGGTGTCGGGGACCATAGTCTTCAACGCTAAGGTCTCTGGTGTTCCCGAACTACTTCTCTCTTTGACAGCACCCGGCGGTCAGCAAGGCATCGCGCGGAAGGTCGAGCTTCCCGTTTTTCACCCATGTGTCAAGCTTTCAAGGTGGCGGGAACGGCCTGGGGAACTCAACTTTGTGCCTCCGGACGGTCGGTTTATTCTTGCAGGCTACGAGGTGAACCTTCTCCCAGTGGATCCAACCCTCGACGAACCCCCGAGCCACATGGAGAAGCTTTTCTTGCCAGCATTTGTCGATATCCGAAAGTCACTCGGACCGACAGGCTCGGACTTTGAGGTCCGACTCGTGCTCAACACCAACTTCCCCGGGTACTCTTCCTCAAACCGCCCCGGTGTTGGGCGTGCGGGATCTGGGACGTCAACACCTTCATTCCTCGGAGGAGGCGGGAACTCCTCATTACCGGCTCTCGAAGACGTGGTTGTTTCTGTACCCCTCCCAAAATCAGTTCGGAATATAATCGACATGCAAGCTAGCCGCGGAGACGCCATGTTCATTCCAGGAAGCAATACCCTTGAGTGGCGAGTTCCGACAAAAGATGCCGGGACCGTCTCCGGAACCGCAACCTTACGGTGCACAGTCGCAGGCCATCAGACGATGGATGATGATGTCGAAGATGATGCCGAAGAAGTCGACACAGAGGCCAATCTTCTCCAAGGCTACTACGACCCCTCTGCGTCCGCCTCTTACCAGGATCCAGATGACACCACAAAACGCAAGACAAAGAAGAAAAAGAAGAAGAAAGGGGTTAAAAAATCATCCAAAGCGACAGCAGCTTTGGACCCTGACCGTCCGCACTCATCCCCGGATCCATCCCAACCACAGACCCAGAGCTCCACACCCCACCCCTCATCCCCCGCGCCCCCAATCGCCCCCACTTCATCATCATCATCATCGCCATTCTCGATCTTCCATACCGCCCCTCGCAAAACCAAATCACAGCTCAAAGCCGGTCTGATGCCCAGCTCTGCTTCCGTATCATTCTCGGTAAAAGGTTGGCTACCCTCAGGAATCAAAATAGACAGCTTGAATATCGACCCGCGGCGGAGTCGTGGGTTAGGGGAGGGGGTGAAACCATACAAGGGTGTGAAGTATATGTGCGTGAGCCGGAAGGGGGTGGAAAGGAGAGTTTAGGGGAATTATGATACCGCGCTATTTTTTTGATCACCCTTGACGTGGATGATACCTAATCTATTGAACTTGATATAATAAGCAGCTATCATTGGTATGGCGTGAGTAATGATTATTGCTTATGACACATAGACATGACTTTCATATTGTGCGCCATTCTGCGGCTGGAGCGAGATGGGCGTGATTATCATCGAGAGTACACGTAGACTCCGACTATATATATCATGGTAACCCTTAAATCCAGGAGGTAGGCGACAAGATCGAGCTATCTTGAACTCATTATAGTCACCTCGTCGGTAACATGTCTCTTTGATGCTGCGGATATGAGTGTAAGCCGCTTATATATTGTAACCTGGAGTGGGATACAATTGCGTACTTCAACTCTACGACACAACCAAATCAGGCAATATAACGTGAGGCTGAGAGTGGTATGGAGCAAACAAAATAAATCATTTCAAAGTACTTTTTGGTTTTGCTGCATTATCTTCCAGTCAACCCCCATTAGCTGACTACCTCAGTGTTGTTTGTCCTCCAGTCTATTTAATACTATGGAGGTAAAACCTTTTGAGTATTCGTCACGAGACAAGTCATGCTCTTATTTATACTTGTTTCGATCCGCCTGGTCCGTGTTGGTAAGGTAGACCTCGATCTGTGAAAAGTTAGCAACATAGAATAGATGAAAGAGTCACAATTCAGAAGCCATAAGTCTGATGGAAGTGGGTTTTCCAGATCCCAACTCACCTGGTTCGTCATCTTGTGATTAACGTCTTTGCAACACAGGCACGCAAAGATCCCAACGATCCCAAACGCCATCGAAACCATCGCGACAACACTGGAGCAGAAGGAATATTAGTTGACAGCGGACAGTGACACACTTGCGACTGAGGGCTCATGTAACTCACAAGACAGCTTTGCAGGTGGCTTCCTTTGAAGCCAAGGTAGCCGCTGCGACAACGTCCGGGCTGAATGAATTGGCAAATTCACTCGATTGCATTGCCGCGATGACGTCAATAACTTTGGACTCAGGGAGACCAGCGGCGATGACAGCTTTGGGCACCAGTCTCGCGGTCCATTTGGTTAGGGTGGTGGTGAAGACGGTGTTATAAATGGTGGTGGCCACTGGAGAGAAAGATCAGATGTGTTACTGTTTGCTGGATTGACAAGCGAATCTGAGGAGGGAGGAGGAAAGAAAGAGAATATCCTTACCGGCACCAGCTGCATAGCGAATCGCGCCAGAGACGCCACCGCTCACTCCCAAATTCTTCTGATCCACGCCCATCTGAGTGATGGCAATACTGAGATATATCCCCCAGCCGAACCCTACCTGGGAGAGGAAGAGAAACGCAATCATGGTCCCCTTATTGGTCGGCGTAGCGAGGCCCAGGAGAGAACCGAACAGGACCATGATAAACACCGCTCCAGTGAGCTGCCACTGCCAGTGCCGGATCTTGCTCCCCAAGGTAGAGAGTAAGAACGCACCAAAGGCGATCGCGAGGCCTTGTGGTAGCGTCAAGACGATCGCGTAACGCCAGTCAGTGCCGCCGTTGGTATAAAGAACTGTGGTCATCTGCGGCCACAAGATGCTGGAGGAGTAATAGAACATGTTTACCACCCCTAGGGCAATGGCCGGGGCAGTGAAATCCCGACCCCAGGAGCTTGCAAAAATATAGCTGGGGGTGAGTGGGAATTTCACAGGGCCGAATGTCTCCCAGACAGCGAAGCAAACCAAAACAAAAAATCCGATCACGAGTGTTGCAACAACGTGGGGATCGGTGGAGGGATAGACGCCAGCCCAGACAATACCTAGCAGTACTGGAATTGCGCCACCCATGAATAGGAATCCGCCTGTTCAGCGACTGACTGTCAGCAAAGAATACTCGCTGTGGACAATGGTGGGAGGAAACATACCAAAATAGTCCAAGGACTTGAAAGCTTCCCGACGAGGAACCCCAGATCTTTTACAAAGACCACCGTCAGTATATCGTTTGCCAGGAGAGATATGGGGAGAACATACGGCCGTGCTGGAGGAAAGTACAAGAACAGAAGGCCAAAGAAGGACAGTCCCTGGAAGATGGCCACACTCCAGAAATTCCACTCCCATGTCCCATACTCCTGCCCAAACCGTGCTGTTACAGGGCCCAGAATGACAGCAATGTAGACAGTGAAGTCTGCAATGACAACACCGATATGACGCCACTTGTTGGGAAGCAGCTCAGGCAAGGCGAATGCGGCCATCTGTCGTCCTGTGATTTAGCCCATTGCCCACTAATGCAGACGGGAAGGAAACAGACCTGACAATTAGCACCCCCGAAGCCAGCAATTGCAAATCCAGCAGTGATCTGGTTGCTGGTTTTTGCTGAAGCCACTACAATGTGGCCTATGGTACATATCTCCAGTACTGTCAGCTTTGGAACTGTGCCATTGAGGCAGAGATCTTACCAGATTTCCTCCGACGAGGAACCAACGACGACCAAGCAAGTCTGTGTTTGAGCCACTAGACTATATCAGTTTAACTTCACCAAACAGGCATTTGATGAAGAATCAACACACAAGAGGAGAAACGAGCAGGTGATGGCAATCGTCCACGCCTGATTAAGGGCCACTCCAGTCAGTTTCTCAGAATGGAGCTAAAGCAGAATGGATCTGGTCTCACCGGTATATACCACATGTATCCTCCGGGGTCTCCCAAATCAGCCGAGACAGTACCGCCGATGGCCGACATCACCGGAACTGGCCAGAAGGAGAGCCCATATCCACAGGATAGGATCTATAAAATGACCGGCGTCAGCTGGGCCGCTTAGGTACTTGGTCTCTTGAACAGAACGTACACAAGCCACTACCCATGTTTTCAAGGATACAACGGGCTCGATATGGTTCTTTAGATCATTGCCTTGGCCATTTTCGGGATCAGAACTGGGTTTCTCGGACATAATAGGAGAGTCAGGTTGCAATGTCTGAATTGGAGACCCAGGGCCTTTTGCCGTTTCAGATTCTACGCCCATTTTCCGTCTTGAAGCACAAAGTACGGAGAGAGACAAGAGCAGGAATTTTTGGCAGAAGAAAAATTGTCTGCTTCAGACGATGGAGAGGAGAAATCTACGCCATAAATCGATCACATCGACCAGGGTAAGCTTCTCCCGCTTTAACAAGTCACCACATGGCTGGCACCTTTGGCCGCTACGGGGTACTTGTCTTGGCCGCTAACAATAATTTCCCAAGCCGTTGAAAACGGGCGTGCAGACGCCGCAAGGGTCAGAAGCATGAGAGAATCCAATAACGCCGACGATCAAGAACATCCCCGTCATGTTCAACTTCACCTAGAAGCTAGCGCGATTAGCCCCCATCCATGAGGTCCTAGATTGGGTCGCCTGTGCGGAGACCCCCACTTCGGGTCCATAACGGGGCAGGTCCGATGTACTCCGTATATATGGAGCCTTCGGCCGTTGAACTAGAGTTGTGATGGCGTGTCAACGGCTGTGACACTTTCGATGTGATACGAAGTCGCTGATGGTTTATACCTCATTACATCCACCTAATCAGCCATAGCAACCATGCGCTCCCAGAACCCCAATCCCGAGCAGCCAACTCGAGTGGCAATCGTGACAGGCGCCACGGTAAGTACTGTCTTGTATACTCGTAGCCTTGTCTCTCTAACAGCATCTGACGCAGTCTGGCGTCGGCGTCGACATTGCCCGAGACCTCTACCAACGAGGATGGAAGGTCGCTTGCGTCGGTCGTAATAAGGCAGCTGGTCAGGCCGTGGTGGATTCCTTGGGAGACCGGGCACAATTCTTTCGGGCCGACGTCAGCGACTACAAAAGCCAGGCCACTCTGTTCAAGGATGTGTTTAAGCTCTGGGGACGAATTGATGCACTATGCGCGAACGCGGGTGTTGTTGACCAGACCTCGGCCTATCTTCTCCGGGAGCGCGAGAACAGCATTGAAGATATTCCCAAAGAGCCAGACACGTCTTGCACCGATGTCAACTACAAGGGGGTTGTCTACGGGGTTACCTTGGCGACTCACTTCATGCGACATAACAGCCCACATCCTGGTGGGAAGATCGTTGTGACCAGCAGTATCGGGGGCATGTTCCCCCATCCCACCTATCCTCAATACTGTGGATCCAAAGCGGCCATCAATATGTTTGTGCGGGATGTTGCGCCGATTCTTAAGGCCAAGGACAACATCTTCATCAATTGCATCCTCCCGGGAATGATGGACACACCTATTGTGCCCCCTGAAATGACTGCGGCAGTGTCGCCTGAATGGTATGTCTCGAAATTCCGAATTGATCACTTCACCCCTCTTTTCCTAATTAACGTTCTATGCAGCTTAACCCCCGTGAAAACCCTACTTGATGCATATCAAATCTTCCTGGAAGACACCACTGGCATAGCCGGCGAACTGCTGGAATGCTCAGCGGGAAAGCATATCTTTTACCCATCCCCAGAATACGGCAACGGTCATGTCACCAAGCGTGCGGTCACGGTCTGGGAGCCACTCTTCAATATAATGCACGGCGAGAACTCGGGCCTTCCTGACGCGATACCCTGATCGTTGGCTTCTATGGGTTGTATTCTATCCGCAATTGTTCTCCTGTCACCTGTCATAGTTTGTGTGCGAAATACATACTGCAGCAGTTTTACGTAACGTTTCGATGCTTGTCACAGCCCATTATCGACATGCTATCCATAGCCGGTGGGAGTTACAATTGATGAAAGCAATTGTATGACAGTGGGGTACTTATGAAAAACCCAAACCGAAAGTGTCGCCAGAGCAGGATGCATCAAGCCATCATCTCGGGGATACATTATGCGCGGAACTTCACACCGGATCTGATAGGAGGAATAGGAAGAAAAATCCCAGGCCGTGCGGATCCTGGACCCACCAAGGCTTGTGCGTTGTTTCCACTAAGTGTGGCAGGATGCAGGATGCAGTTTGACAGATAGAGTTCGGGGAGCCGGAAGACCGTTTTAGCTTCTACCCCTCTGCTAAAATCAACTAGGCTTGAAGAGCATTCGCTCAACCGGGTAGGAGACTGCTTCTTGCAATTTGATCAATCGACAGCGCCGAGAAAAGGCTGGAGCTACAGCCTTAATTTGACCTAACGGCTCGGGTGGTGGGTCGTGCGCCCTGGGTCGGGTCTCTAGTCCTTCATTACCAGTCCCCATAACCAGTACGAAGGGGTCAATGCGAGGTCCTCCAAAATTCGATATATAAACCAACATCAATATGATCTATCACAATCCGCGCCTTCAAATACGGGACAAAAAATAAGAACTTTCAAACAATGTGACATGACAGCTCGCGTAAAACGTCCCGAACCGGGATTATCTAGCCATTTAACACAGCCCCCACTTGGTTATCGAGCACAGTCGCCCGCATCACCTCCTCCATCTCAGCATCACAGTACGCGGGCTGTTCCCGAAAATAGTATTTGGACCCCGAGAGTTCGACCGCACAGCCATATGCCTCCGACACGCGCTTCCCAGTGGCATCGACCATCTCCCCGCCGTCGACCAAAGCGAGGACCACTTCAGCGACCTGAGCCACTGGGATGAAGAGATTGGGCGGGAACCCGGACCACCCTTGTGCGTCTACTAAATTGGTCTGGACGATCCCGGGACACAAGGCGTTGATTCGAATGCCCTCGCGAAAACAGGCATTGGCTACTGAGCGCATGAACCCCACCACGCCGTCTGTGCGCCGTCAGCATTCTTCGTCTTTGGAAAGATGCCATCAATCGGGGCAAGAAAATCAAATGGATTGTAAGGAAAGGGCCAGATGATATGAGATACACCAACTCACATTTCGAGGCAGTATAAAGAGGCGAGTAATGCGAGGGGTAAAGCCCCCCACAGCTGGCAGTCATGAGCAGACTAGCGCCGTGTCCGTTGGCGGGGGAGAGGCGGAAGTAGTGGAGAGCGAGGTGGGTCGTGTAGATGGCACCGTTCAGGTTGACCTGGATGGTGCGCAGATCCGGCGGCTGTGGCGCTGTCGCGGCGGGCTGCTTCTTCTCGTAGAAGTTGGTGCGCTCGATGATGCCCGCGTTGGCGAAGACAAACTCCAGGCGTCGACCGCTGCTCGTGAAGATGTGGTCGAATGTGTTTGCCAGGTCGGCGTAGTCGGTGATGTCGGCTTGGTGGTATGTTGTGTTGGGGAGATCTTGGGCCGTTTGTGAACCACGCTGCGCGTCTCGATCGACGATGTGGATGGTCCAGTTGCCTCGATCGGTTAATGCTTTGGCGACGGCGAGGCCGATGCCGCTGGCTGTTATTGTGTCCGTGATCAGTTAACAGTATCCGTACTCAGTTCCATTATGATGATTGCTTTTGGCAACGGGTGGACTGGTGTCAGGGACCAAAGTACTCCATACCTCCACCGGTGATCAAGGCGACTTGCATTGCAGTTGACTCATCAGATCAACCAAGGTACGTATACACAAGGATTATGCGAATATGAAATAAGCGTGCAGGAGATTATGAGCCAGGAGTGAACGGGGAAGGGACAGAAATACCATGGGGGAACGGGGATAGATATTAATCTTCCGATATCAGACCCAGGTCGCGTGCTCTATCAACTTGGCTAGCTACTCCATCAAACTTGAAACCCACTACCATGGACTAGGAGTTGGGACTAGGTAGGCGGGCCAACCCAGCTATGAAAAGAATGATCCACATGGGACGTCTATAGAACCCTGGGTGGCGGCGAAGCTGGCGTGCCATAGACCAATGATACACCGTAGCAGACAGGACATTGTAAAGAGGCGTCAAGCCTGCTTGATGCCAAGATATGGAGTTGATGTGTTTATTTTTTATTTCTTTTTTTGGATGTCTGTCAATATACTCGTACCGCAGGAGTCAGATGGTCCTGAAACTGTTTGTATAAACAGGGATCATGAGGTCTGTAGCTCTGGGAAGATGTGGTTAGGTTCGATCACCGAGACTTGATCGTAGATGTAGTAAATATAAGAATCTCTGGCAGGCCGTGGGCGTTGTATCCTCTGCCACTGGTAGCTTTTCAAGTCATAGCAGCTCCGGGGCCCAATATTTGCAGCCATGCCGGCAAACAGTCTGCTCATTGAAACCTTCACGGAGTATGCCATCGGAATGTGCTTCCTCGCTCTGAAGGTATTCACCCGGGTGCACAGTTTTGGCATTCGTGGACTGCAGCTGGATGATCTCTTCGCTGTGCTAGCTATGGTATGACTCGGCTCATGACTCTGACGCAGACTCTAAGGCTAATATATCAGTGACTACCGCCATCTCAATAGATATTCTGGACCCTAGTCAGCGTCATCATCTTATACCTCCGTATGCACCCATCAATCCCCCGCATTGGGCACCATTCCACAGTCCCAATTTTCTGTTTCAGTATTGACCGGCCCAGAAAAATATGGCAGCAACATCGCCGACGCCAAAACAGTGGACTCGTTCCCAGATAGCATGGTTCCCAACCTGATCCTGGGCTCCAAGCTCGCCTTCACGAACTGGATCTGGTATTTGAGCTATATATGGAGTCTCAAGGGTGTTCTTCTGTGTTTGTATCACAAGATGACGTACGTGAATTCGCTCCTTTCCACGATTTGGACTTGGCTGATTAGAATCGATGGCAGAGCTGGTACCCATCGACATCGTACTGTCTATCTTGCTTCGGCGTTTTGTGCCATCACGTATCTGGCTTGTCTGCTGGCTCACGTTTGCGTGTGCACTCCGATCACGAAAAACTGGCAAGTTAGGCCGTATCCAGGAGGTTAGTCCAACATCGCTATCCTTCCCAGAGACGAGACAGACAGGAGGACTAACCACAACGAACCCCAGAAAAATGCACCCTCCGCAAAGACCTCTACGTGGTAATCGCCATCCTAAACGTCGCGTAAGCCTCCTCCCCAAAGCCCCCTCCACAGCCCCCAAAGTCCACTCCAATAGATGAACTAAACAACAACAGCTCCGACCTCCTAGTAATGATAATCCCCATCCCCATCCTCCTTAAACTGCAAATTCCCCCCGCGCGCAAAATAATCCTCATCATCCTCTTCTGCTCGGGCATCTTCGTCATGATCAGCACCGTCCTGCGCGCCTACTACTCCATCAAAAGCATCAACACGTTGACCATCGCGCTCGGCTGGGCCGACCGCGAGTGTTTCGTTGCGGCCATCATCGCCTCGCTGCCTGGGATTAAGCCGCTGTTCCGCAATACGAGCTGGTTGGGGTCCGGGGCGCGCTCTGGGAAGCAGGGTAGTGGGGGGAGTTATGGGAGTAGGAGTCGGAGTCGGAGTCGGGGTCGGGTGTTGGGGTCGAGGTTGGGGGCGCGGGCCAGGGGGGGAATGGGGGTGGTGGTGATAGGACCTTTATGGATGGGGATAAGTTTGAGTTGTTGGATAGGCAGGAGAAGGTTTTGGGGGTGGAAGGGAGGGATCGGTGGGGGGAGTACGTTGCGGGGGGGTGGGTTGGGGTATGATGGTGGTGGTGGGATTACGGTGACGAGGGAGTTGATTATGGAGGATGATCGGTTTGTGGGGAGGGATTGATTTAGTTTGGTTTCGCTTTTGGTGGAGGTGATGCTGGAATTGTCTCTGCATGTATTGGGATGGGAAATTGGGGCGTATATAGTGGGAAGATATTGGAGAGTTGTATATATGGTGTATAGTTCGATGAGCGAGACATGCTCTGGTATACTTGATAAGAAGCTACATCTACTTCTAATCAACATCTAGGTTCATTACACCTACTTGTTTTTCACAAATTTTAGGTGCACGAGGTCATTCGCAAACACTACACCTGGTAGATGCATTGTTGACGTTGAACCTCACCCATGCCCTTGAAGATACAAACGCAATCCAAAGACACCAAAACGAAATCATGATAATACATCAGCAATCGAACCCAGCTTTATGACATACGAAATTGTAAAGTCAAGAGACCGAAGCCAAGCAGCCACAAATAAGAAAGAAGAAAATATGTATTAACTATTCATTAACCAAACAGTCGTGGAGCCACACTAGAGCTTCGAAGCACGGCGCTCGAGAACCTGCAGAACGACGTAGGCCACTGCACGGGATTAGTTATGAACAAAGAAAGAAAATATGTGTGATGTAAATGAGTGTATGTCCAATCCAAGGGATGATTAACATGTAGGTATATATGGGCAATGTAAATGGGGTATAGATGGAATATGTGGAGACCAAATGGGATACAGAAGAAAGGAAAGGGTCAAAAGAATGGCAAGGTATATATCGGACGCCGACGGTAGAAAGGTCGGCATGGCCAGTAAAGGCATTTTAGCCCCGGTCTGATGAGCGAAGAGGTAAGGTAAGAATCCTGGTGTTACGATGGCGAGGGGAGTGCATGTGCAAGGGGGACCATTTCCGCGAAGACCAAAACGAGATCGTTCACTTACCGGCAGCAACGACAGCAGCGCGGCCGGCTCCCGCCTTGGCGCTGCCGCCTCCGAGAGTCAGAAAGTAACGCAGCCAGCCGAGGGTGACCTTCTGGCCGTTGCGGTCGAAGTCCGGCGTCAGCGTGCTGGCCGCCTGGAACTTGCTGAGCTTGCCCGCGTACGGGGGGTAGCGGATGGCCAGGATCGATTCGAGCCAGCTGGGGCTGCTGGTGATGGGACGGCGGTGCACGAAGACATCGAAGCTGGTGCGTCCGCGGTAGGCGCCGTATCCACTCTCACCGACACCACCGAAGGGCAGGGTGGGGATGTGCAGGGCCGAGTCGTTGACGGAAGCACCGCCCGAGCGGGTGGTCGCGAGAACTGTGAGGGTTAGCTTTTAAGCTTCAAAAAGGTTCGAGCTGATGAAGAAAGCGGCATACTTCGATCCGTGTCGGCCTTGGAGCCGAATGGGTAGACGCCGAGCGGGGTGGACTGGATGCCGTTGGCAATGTTCACGGCTTCTTCGAGGTTATCCACGGCCATGATAGGCATCAGAGGGCCAAAGCTCTCCGAGATAAGCATGGAGTCGTCGGTCGAGTCGACCTGGACCAGTGTGGGCTCGATGAAAAGCTCCTTCTCGTCCATGGTTCCACCCATCAGGATCTTGCCCTTGGAGTTGTCGATCATGGACTTGAGGCGGTGGAAGGCGCCCTCGTTGATGATGCGCGCGTAGTCGGGAGACGCCTTGGCGCCCTCGGGGTAGAACTCCTTGTAGGCCTTCTTGAATTCTTCAACAACGGCGGGGAAGATCGCCTTGTCGACCATGGTGTAGTTGTGCGAGGTGCAGACCTGGCCGGCGTTCAAGCCCTTGCCCCAGAGCAGTCTCCGCGCGACCAGGCGGGGGTTGGCGGTCTTGGTAGCGATGGCCGGGTTGATACCGCCCAATTCGAGCACGACAGGAGTCAGATGGGGAGCGGCGGCCTTGGCGATGATGCGACCGACGGCGGCACCACCGGTAAAGAAGATCTTGTCCCAGCGCTCGGCGAGCAGGGCCTGGGTTTCAGGAATGGCGCCCTGGATGAGGGTGTAGCACGAGGGGTCGAGGGCGGACTCGATGATCCGCTGCATGACGACGGCGCTGTACGGGGCATTCTCGCTGGGCTTGATAGCCACGGTGTTACCGGCGGCGATGGCACCGAGGACGGGACCCAGGGTGAGCTGGAAGGGGAAGTTGAAGGCACTGCGCTACATTAGCCTGAGGGTGACACTACCAACAGAGAAGATTATCCATACCCGATCACCAGAACCATACCCAAAGGATCCTTGCGAATTTTGGGGCTCATGAACTTGAAGGTCAAGTCAATATCGGGAGCCTTCTCATCCTTGACCCATTGTTGCAGGTGGCGTGTGATGAAGACGATGTCGTTCAGCAGCCATCCGGTCTCGGCGACCTCGGTCTCGAAGCGCGGCTTGCCCAGGTCGAGGGTCAAGGCATCGGCGATTTCCTGCTCATGGTCCTTGATCCTATCGAGATTCAACGCATGTTAGCAATGCGACCGATAGAACACCCTTCCAGCAGAGATCGGGGAGGACATACGCCCAGTAGAGCTTGCGAAGCTGGACGAGGCGGAACTCGACATCGCGGGTCTTGTGCTCCGCGAAGGTCTTGCGCAGAGTCGACACGCGACCCTGAATCTCCTCAATGGGAGTGTATTGAATGGTCGGCAAATCGGAGAGAACCATGATGATGGAAATGTGATGCTATTTCCAGGTTGAAGCTGTGAGGTTGGAGGAGAGGGGAAACAAGGAGAAAAAGAAGGGAGTGGATGAGAACGAACAGGGAACGAATTAAAGTAGGTGATTAATTAATTAAGAGTGATCCAGAAAGATGAATAATGCGAAGTACGGGGAAATGACTCGGGCAAACCAACAGCTTTAGCAACCCCAGACGCGCGAGAGAGAATGATGGAGGATGATTTCATCCACATGTTTTTCTTGGGAGCTGCAAACTTTCCCCTCATCCGTTCTGCTTCAACCGCGGCTCGCCCGTTCAGGTTTAGTGTCTTTCTGTCATTTCTCCTGATTGACCAACTCTGTCCATTCTCCACTTCTCCCCAAAGTCACCACCAATCCTCATGCCTCTCCAGACGATCCTCTCGCAAGCCATGCTAGTTTTGTCGAGGTGGAGGCTGTCCGGCCCTCGGGATGATACAAATCCCCCCGACGGAGCAGAGTTGTCCCGCGATATCAATATCGCACGGTCATAGCTCGACACTTACCCCCGAATGGCTCATTCAATTGGACTGGTGGGTGAGGGTGTGAGATCATAACAATGAGGATGATAGGACTATGGACTACCCTGATCAGAGGCTGTATGAAGAAGCCATTGTTTTGGATTATTGACAGAAAGGAGACCCTTGATACTACAGACTACCTCGACTACTAACCTGTGCCGGTGGATTTTCCATCAACCGCGGTACAAGAACCAATCTATACCACCAAATCAAATTAGTTTGACAGATCGACATGGCATCACTGTTGGGGAAAGAGAGGCTTTTCATCCAGCCAAGCAAGAGCCACGGTTGAGGCAGCAATAGACAGGGTATATGCTCTCTGTTGGTATCAGCATACACAGCATGTCGATTGTCCTTGCCTATCCTTAAGACTGTCCTAGGCCATCTGTTCTTGGTCCCAGAGTCCTTGCAAATGAACCAGTACAGAATACTCGGACATCCTTGAACACGATTTTGCCTAGTTGATGAACGCGTGTAGCGGCACTACAGTGCGGTTGTCTCATCCCGCACGAGCAAGGACATCAACATCATCGTGGAATAGAATGACTTGTAGATGTCCCCAACGGTAACATGCACGCACCTGTTCTACTTCGCCAATAGTACGACAGGAAAACCATGTCATGTTATCCACACATCGTAGGATCCAATTCATATGAACATTATAGACAGGCAATGATCTGAAAACATTATATACAAGGTTCGATATAAAGCGCCTGTCAGACCTATCGCCTCGGCATAACCGGTCCCTTCCCAGAACCCATAATAATGTACTATCCTTTCAAAACATATCTTTCCCACAGCTAATGCATCCACAATGTAATCGTCTGGCTACAGAGAAGCCGACGAGAAACCGACTTGGCCGGCAGGCCCATCTGTGACCTCTTCCATGAGTTTGATAAAACACTCTAGCAGCAATTCGACAGCTTGATATGATTAGAGTCGATATTTGCATCCCCAGAACAGCGAGTGACTCCCCGGCGACGGTATCAAGCACCTTTAGGTGCGAATCCATACCCCGTCGCATCATCATTCCACGAAATGTCTGCATTGCAACTCACATGCCTCGTGTCCTCCTGATCACTAAGCTCTTGATCACTAAGCCGTTGATCCATGAAGAAAGTCACTGGTGTCGGGAAGCATTCGAGGAATGAATGCTTTGAGAATAGTAAGATAAGAATGAAATCTCGTGCCGTGGAGCTTGCGTGCCATTTGCTTGACTTCGCAAGCCAGCCCAGCACCAAGCCGAGTCAATCTCGATCTCTTTCGTGCTAAGCCAGTAGCTGTATAGGTAGGTAAGGTCTCGGCGTCGCTAGCCACCAGTGTAGGCCATTCATCGCACATCATACCAACGGGGTCCGATGTGGACGATCCGCGGAGATTTTCCATGGGCAAATCTTCTGTGCAAAGCCAGTCGTATATGGCTTTTGAGAGTAAACGTTGTTGCGGGTCAAGCGAATCGCTCTCCATGAGTTGTATGTTGAAGAATGGCCCAGCGAATTGAGCAATATTCTCTTCAAGAAAGTAGGACTTGGTGGCATTTGCAGTGCCAAGGTGGGTTGCCTCTGGGTGGTAAAAATGATCAACATCGAACCTATCCAAATGGACCTTCTTGGGAATGTCATGAGGAGCTTTCAACAGTTCCCAGAGCCTGCTGGGGATGTCGCATTCGCCTGGAAAGCGGCAAGCGGTCCCAACGATGGGAATTGGTTCGGGCATGGTGGTGGTGCGGTTGAATGTCGAGTACTTTTTAGGCCTCAACGTGTTAACACGACGAAAAAGAATGTAGTTGAAGAGAAATGGTTTTGGAGGAAATAGGTTGAATATATAGGCACTCTTTTTTGTATTTGTGGTATACTGCTCGTTCAATGAGGCCTGGGCAAACCTGGGGCCATACCAGCTCAGCTGACATTGCACCGTAAGTATTTCAACCGCAACGCCCCAATATCTATATAGAAATGTTTGTTTCACACGGAGTCCTGCGGCAGTTCGGTTTCGAACCACTGTTTCAAGAGTGAGCGATGTCTCCATAAAACAATTATTATTATTGCGAACGAACCGTCTGCCACTGCCATGCGAAGTTTGGGTCCATCATCATGGCTGAGTTTGGGAACATATGACTAGACCCCATAAACGGGAAACCATAATAAAAAGTTCTCTTCCAAAGCGTTTGTATTGAGCTCTCCACGTGGGACGGGATTTGGCTGAACTGAATCATTGTAAGCAAGGGTATCGGCGAGAGGAAAGTGTTGGATGGCATTTAGGGCCCACATACCTAAACCCAGGTTGATATCATTGTTTGTATCCGGTCTTCGAATGTCCCTATAAGGGTAATCCAGCTGCTGACCCAGAACAATCTGGAGAGCAGCGGCAACGGTCTTTGCTTCCAGCGGAGAATTCTTCGACTTCACCCAGATACCGTGAGCTTGCCTCAAAGCATCCATGATGCGATCCAAGCTGTAGCCCTCAGGAAGAGGTATCGGACCTTTCTGTCTCTGTCGCGCGAGAAAGCTCAGCAACATAGTGGCTGTCAAGAACTCGTGCTTCAGAAAGGAGGATGCTCGCCACCGCATCGTATAAAGCTGACCATCTGGACCAGTTTCATCGTCGAATATTGTTCGAATCTCCAGTATACTCAAGGCCGCATCTATGCAAGACCGACGAGAATATGTGCGCGGGGCCTGGTCATCAGAGGACAGGGCGACATCTGTGTTTAAGAACTTGCAGTGCGGCATGATTTGTCCCTTGTGGAACATTAATTTGAGGAAGATCTGGTGCATGATAGTTTTGCGGGGCATCTGTCACTGAGGTAGCCATCGTCTTCATGCGAAAGTAGGCCGGAATTCTCGTCTCGACCTTTTGTACCTCCTATTTGCCACCTTTAGCAGGGTCTTTGAGGGCCAACACTGGCATTTCCGGTCTGGCAATGGGAGAAAGCGGAGACGATGCACACACGGAGAAGGACAGGAACAAGAGATGGGAGATGGCATTCAAAGCCCGGATGAGACAAATCATTCCTGGTCTCTTCCTCGGAAACGTCGAAGCATCACACAAACAAGACATGCTTCGAGAGAACCGCATCACCGCCATAGTATCACTAACTGATGCTCGGTGGGTATGGTGGAACACGACGACAAGAGAGGCAGGCATTCCGGAACAACGTCACAAATGGGTTCAATGCGCGGACTCGTCGACGCAGGATCTTCTTGCTTATATGAACGACATATGCGATTTTATTGATCAAATGGCATCTCCAGCGCTCTTGTCATCAACTTCCTTGGAAGTCCAACCAGAGCACTACGAGTCGAATGTCGAACCGCGCGATGTACCTTCGGAGGCTATATTGATTCACTGTGATCTTGGAATCTCTCGTTCGCCAACAATCATCATTGCTTATCTTATGCGCAAGTACGCCATGAAGCAAGACGATATCATGGAATTTATCCAATTTAAGCAGAAAGTCAAACCGAGCGCCAATTTCCTCCGGCAACTTCAAGTTTGGGAAGAGGTGGAATAGAATATCAGGTGTGGGAGAATGAGGAGAGAACTGTGGCGAAAGCGCCGTATCAAGCGTTTTTGAAGGATCGAGCAGCACTGTTGAAAGAAAAGGGACTCACTGGGGATGAGCCCCTCGCGCCTCAGAATCTTTAGACCCGCCACATGGGTTGCTCGTCTCACTCGATGTTCTAGTGTCTGGTATAGTCAAGAATAGATAGGAGACAAGTTCTGAATCCATTATTACACTGTGGCGAATAAGCTACATCGAAGCAACTCATCCTGAATTGGGCCAATGCAGACGAAGCTACAGAGTCCCTGGGCCCGAAAGTAGTTTCGGTACATCCCATAAGCCCGCACGAGCCAGCGCCTGCTCATACAAATCATCTTCAATGGGCCACTGCTGAGCAAGGCATTTCAATCGAACGATATCGACCTTGCCAGGCCGACAGGCGAGCCACCGACAAGCATACAAGAATATAGGATTGGTTAGCGAGATCGACTTTCTGTATCCTTCGACGCACGGCTCCCACTCGCCTACTTTGATATCGAGCCCCTCAAAAGGCGACCATGGAACCGTCGTCGAACCGGCGATCCTGGCGATCCGTCCGTACGATCGCTTTTCCCCTGCCACGTAGCGGAACGCTTCTTCCGCGACAGCTGCATTGAGCCATGAATTTACGAGGGGTTCCCGGCCGTTTATTCCGCATTCGCCGTGGGAAAAGCTCGCGTTGAGCTCTAGGTGCTCGAGGCTGGGAAAGCAAGCCACTCCACTGAGTATGACGTAGGGCTAGCGTGGGCAGTTAGCCGGGTCTATGTCATGAGATATAAGTGTCCCCTGTGTCTTTTTATTTTTTTTTTACACACCAAGTGACCCTTGAATCGCAAGTCGATGCCGAGCCTTTGCAGCCGGGGAAGCACACCAGCGAGGTTCTGGAGTTCTTCGAAGTTGAAGAGACATCTAATCTGTTCCTGGTCCTGGTCCCTCATGTTGAAATTGGTCTGCCAGAATCGCAGACGTCGGAGGTGCGGGCCACGGCGAGACACCAAAAAAAGGAGGATACTCTTGGACAATTCGTATGCAGTAAAGGCCGCCACCGGCAAATCATTGACGTGCTGCAGAAATTTGTCTAGCCGGGTATATAGGTCATCTGTAATATCCGGGGATGTTCCATGGTGAATTCGCAGTGTTAGCGATGTCATATCGGGCATCTTTCCCGTGAAGAGCGTGAGAAGCTGGAGCGATTCCGCCCCGCCATCGAGACCCAGATGTCTTATGTGATGACACTGGGCCCATTCAGTCACGCGCTTCGAGTCGACGCTGAAATTCGTCAGACAGAGAGTGCGCAGTGGGGACATGTGCTCCCCAGCGCGAAGAGAGAATGTCGGCGACGCTGAATCACCGTCCGAGCGGGTCAGATATTTCACATGGAGCTGGTCTAGACATGGTAGCGCTAATACCACGGACTTCAATTTATCTAGCTCTTCCTTCGCATGGGAGACAATGCTGAGAGAGCGGATACAACGCAAACCATCATTGCACGGAGCAACGAGCAGGTCCTGCGGCCAGCCTTCAAAGTACAGGCTAGGTACCAATTGACGAGCATTCAGGTGCTGCAACAAACCATTGGGAATGGGGAAGACCCCACGCCATCTGTTTCCTTCATCAGTTATTGGGGCTCATTTGAGCACTGTTACCGGGACTATACCCGAGTACCACTAGTCATGGCAGCTTGTCCACGAGAGAGACCAGTAACGGCGCCAGAAGCGACGGAGTATCCTGTGCGGGGTCATACAAAAAAGCACCCGATACGATGAAGATACAAACACATTGTAACAGCTCATCTCCCGCTTTCTGAATATCCTGAAGCATCTGACATGTCGTGTCGCGCCGGTTTGGACGCAAGTGGAGATGGAGGGTTTCGAACAGAGCGGGCAGGGCTGGACGACGAAAGCCGTGGCAGGTCAGACAAAGGGCCTGAAGCGTCGAGCGAGAGTCCCATCGTAACTGCGTAGTTTAAAGATTACTACCTAATATCTTGTCATGTAGATGGATGAAACCCATAGACTCACGCAGTCCAGTATGCACTTCCATACTAGGGTTGGGAGTGGGGGGATGGGCCCCAAAGCCTCGGTGATCATGGTCCACGGTGGTCTGTCTTCGACAAGCATAGGCAAGTAGGGTACCTACTGAGTCAGGGCAACACGGCGGATGTTGGGGTCCAGGGAGTCCGTCAGGATATTGTTCCGATGCCCCCCTGATCGGCTATCATTGCCTTCCATCGCAAAGGGAGAAAAGCTTGCCCTAAGCCTGCGTTAGTCCAAGATGGCAGGGATCCTCTGCGAACCAAGGATTATTATAATTATCAACCTAATTTAATCTGACTGGTCGAAGACAATGATTTGCAATGTTAATTGATTCCTCACTCTAAATAAATCCAGCCCCAAGTCAGACATGAGGATGTCATTATCAAGACAGGATACGGGAAAGAAACAAAGTCGAACCACAAAATAAAACAAGCAACAGTCAGTATGGTAAACAGAATACTGAAACAGAGAGAGAGAGCAACAATATTCCCAGGAGAGTCAAAGACAGCTTCCCTCAGCCAGGAGAATCTGGATCAGTGATAGTGATATCAAACATGCTTAGTAGTCATTGCACTAGCATCAGGCACAGAAATGTCATGGTATTACATGCATTGAGGCACCTGTGACCATGAGTAATATTAGCACACATGATGCCACTGGATTTTCTATGCTCTTCTCCAGGTCCTCATATCTCGTTGGAAACAAGGGATCTACCAGCCAAGGATTAGTCTGTAGACCTTAATAATCCATTTCTGACACCATCCACTGTACTGACTCTGCAACATCCCAGATCTGCAAAGGCTAAGCCTGACATATGAGACATAATCTCCTTGCATTCTAGCATTTTTCAAGGTTAGACCTGCAGCCTGATTTAATATCCACCCCGAACAAGGCTTAGACAGCCCTGCTGCACGTGGTCTGACGTGTGATTTGACAGTCCAAGTCCATCGTGCACAACATTCCCCAACACCGCCTTGCTGGTTCTATATTAGGCACTTGTTCGATCTTCATGGCACAAACTGCATTCCAAGCATTCCATGCATTCCGTGCATCGCAAAATGGGGGGACTCGAGATACGCCTTGCGAGTTCTTCCAATGTCTCAGATGATTCATATAAAACTATATGCAGAATATGAGTATTCCATCGACTCTATCTCCAACAACCAAAATCAACACCACCATCGCAACAACACAACGATCGCTATACTAGTCAAGGACCAGCATTGCGATCCACAAGCCCTTACAACATGTCACTCCCCCTCAACCCAGAATCATACCGCACATCATGCGACCGATGTCGCCTCCAAAAACTCCGCTGCGTCCCCTCGTTCGACAGCGACTGGCCCAGCGCCTGCCAGCGGTGCACGCGCGCCCAAGTCCCCTGCGTCTACAGCCGACGGGCTCGCAGCGGCCGACGACCCAAGAAGCCCGACAACTCGAACGAAGAGGAAGCCCTGACACCGTCGTCGGGACTTTCTTACCCGTCGATCGGCCATGTGGATCCAATCGCGGACCCGTTCGGTGATCTCCCGCTGGACGGGGGCCCGACGGAGAACCTACGGGCTTGCACTGCGGATGACGGTCTAGATCTGCCGATGCATGTGCCTTTTCCTGTGGCCGCGCAGGAAGACTGGTGGTCTGTTTCCTCTGCATCATCTCAGGCCGGGCCTGAAATGGCAGAACCGGCTGATCTGCTGGACCAACCGATGCGTTCGGGCCACTGCTTCCAAGAATACATGGGAGAAGCATTCAACACATGCAGCATACAAAAGAACACACCACAAAGCTCACACCACACCCCAATCAACACCCCACCATCCTCCTCCCCCTCCTCCTCCTCCCAAACAAACAACCTCACCTCCCTCCTCAGCGCAACAACCACCTACGCACGCCACCTCCACCACTACCGCCAAAAAAACAGCACCAACCTCCTCATCATCCAAGACTACCCCATCAGCGAAGCCGCGCACCTCGCCCAATGGCTCTGGAAAACCCTCCTATTCCGGCACCGCGCCGAACGCCAGGGCAAGCGCTCCGGGCACGACGAACCACCCACCGACACGCCGTCGCTCCTCATGGCGCTCTCCTGCTACATCTCCCTAGTGAGCATCTACGATACGCTGCGCGGCGATCTCCAGCCGGTATTAGCCGCATTACCGATGGTGATACCGTCGCCGGCGGAGCTGCAGCGGGGGCTGCAGGTGGGTGAGCTGCCTTTGACTAGCGAGGGAACGGTGCGGGTTCTCGATGCTGTGAGGGCGTTGCTTGATGCGTTGGATGCTGTTGAGGATGGGCTTTGTATTGTACGGGATGCGTGTGGGTTATAGTATTAGATAGAGCTTAGCCTCAACCTGTCAGCGGGAAATAGAATTTCTGTGATGTATTTTGGGGGGAGTTGTGCGGGGTTTTAGACGGGGGATTTATGGAGTACAATTACAGTGGAAATTACATAGATTCTATTATCATTTTGGGAATACCCATCTTTTCTCTGATCTTTCTAGGGCGATATACAGATTTGTAAAGCCGTACTCAAGAATTATCTGCCACTGCCCTACATCGAATCTATAATCAAACTCTAGTGGTTTCGTTCCAACTGATATTATTCCAAGTGCTCGGCTACCGGTTTAACCTCACAAGCTATACTCGCTCTAAATCCGAACCAGATGTATATTGAGTTGAAAATCTCAAATTCAGCGCGTCCCTCTAACCCCAATTTTCATCATTTTTCTACCCAGAAAAAAGAAAAGATGGAAACGTGCGCAGATCAGACCATACGAGGGTCAGAAATCATAACAAGAAAAGAAAAAAATAAAATAAAATCCATAGCTAAGTATTCAAAATCGCTTGCAACCTTTCACCTAACTGACTAGACGATCATTTGTCTTTCTGATCCTGGATCGTCAAGGCGTTGAGGAACGTCTCGTACGGGGTCGTGGTGCCGAGGGAGCGGCGCTGGTGCGCGTTCAGGAAATCCAACCCGTAGACAAAACTGGCGTTGACCCAGCCGAATCTGAACTTCTGTTAGCAAGATGTCGTGAGAGAGAGGGGGAGAATGGGACGTACCCCTCGCGCGGTGCACCCTTAAAATCGACACCCTGGTTTCCGTACTCTGCGTCCACCCTGTGCGGATCAATGGGCCGCGTGACGTCATACTTCTCCACAACCACACCATTGAAGTCGACAAACGCCTTCGTGATCATGTATAGCCACTTGTACGAGAGACGCTCTGCTTCCTCGCGGTATCCATACCGGAGAAGGCCCGTCCACGCGAGCATCTGCTGCGGGGCCCACCCGTACGGGTAATCCCACTGGCGGTTGGGACGGTCAATGCCGACCGGTCCCCGGGACTCTTCCGTCCCCGAGACTAACCCGCCGTAGGCTTCGAAGCGGGGGAGGCCCTTTCTGACGAGGTCGGCGGCCTGTTGCGGCGTGGCGAGGCCGGCCCACATCGCCCAGAAGGTCGTGGCGGACTCGTACGAGGTGCGCTCCCGCTTGACCGTGTCGTAGTCGAAGTACATCCCCTTCTCTTCGTCCCACATGTAGGAGTCCATGCGCATCTTGCGCCTCCGCGCCCGACGGTCCCACACGGACGAGGACTCGTACTCGATGTCTTTGCTCTGCGGGGTGCGGAACTCGTGGGGGATTTCGAGTCGGTCTTTGAAGTAGGTCCGGATGCATCGGGCGATGTCGACTTCGTATTTATATAATAGGGAGTTCAAGTCGACCGTGCCGAGATTGGCACACACCCGCTCCAGCCGGTAGCTGGTGTCGTGACCGGACTCCCGGACCGCTCGGTCGTGCAGGAAATATTCGTCGAGTTCCGGCTCGATGACCTCGCGGTGGTTGTATGCCTCAACGAACTCCCTGAATTCCATGCCATGCTTTTCGGCGTACGGCGTCAGGATATGGGTGAAATGCGATGGCTCCGTCTCCGGGGCACGCCCCACCCCTCGGGTCGGTACCGGGACAGCCCCGACACCGGATCATATCGCGGCTCGGCGGCCCAGATACTGTAGTACTCCTTGATCGCAGCCAGGGTCGCGTTTCGAAGGAATTCTAGCGCGTCGGGCTCCCCCTTAATCCGCTCATACACTCGCAACGCCATGTCGGTCAGGAAAGGCGGCTGGGACCGGGTAAGGTAGTATGACCGGTTGGCATTCAAGATCTTCGCGTAGTGCTTGATCTCGAAGCAGAAGTTGACCACCATGGCTTTGGCCAGGTCCACACGATCGCTGACCAACAGGCCGAGGGACACCATGTAACTGTCCCACCCGTACAGCTCGTTGAACCGGCCGCCCGGGACAACAAACGGGACGCCGGAATACTCGGTCTTATTGGTGGACTCATTGACCTTCTTCTCCATGGCCAGTGCGAGCAGACCCGGCTTGTCATTGAGATCCTTGACATATTCAGGAGTGATATCTTCCAGCAGCTGGACATCTAAGCGCAGGTCTGGGTGCGCCTCGGCGATCCCTTTGTAGTATTCGAACTGTTCAGGAGCTCCCGGTGGGATGTAGATCCGCGGACGAGGGTCGTCCGTCCAATCCTTGGGGTCGCGGCCAGCCACCTCGATGTTGGAACCATCGATACGCCGGGTTAGGGCGTTCCAGAACGAGTTCTTGATCAGACGCGAGAGACGAGAGACCGGGTTCTCACTCAACCGCGCCTCGTCCAACACCACGGTCTTCCTCCCGTAGTCCTTGGCGATGGTCAACTCTTGCAGCAGATTTGAGAGCATGTACGTTCCCCGCACGTCGAATCGATTGTATCCGGATGACTTGACGGTCCCTAGGGAAAAGACCTAAAATAATCAGTATGGATACCAAGAACCGGGGGTCATGTACACGATACACGTATAACGTACCTTCGGCCCCACATCCTCGATTGTAATTTGCATGTTATTGTCGGTATCCTCCCGCTGCAACAGACTGTGAAGGGTTTCATCGACATCGATTAGGAATTTACGGGGTTCGGCGGGCTGCTCGTCTGTTCGGCACATGGTCAGTGGAGGTATCTCCACAGGTCTGGGCCTTCGACAACGCACCATGACTGCCTCTCCTCGACGGGACCCCGCCAATAAAGTCCTGAAGATCCTCCCGGTTGAATGGTTTCATGGTCTGCAGAGTCGGGGCAGCCCCGATTGAATTAGTCTACCGTCCCTTTGTCATTCTCGGATGTGCAACCCACCGTGGAATAAGCACGCCTGCGGTCTTTGATGTGGGCCAAGGCATCCGGATCGCCATAGTAAACGTCCGGATTCGAGAACGGGTCAAGGGAGGTGACCCGTCGGTGGTTGGGCTGGGACGAGCTCATCGTCTAGGCGGGGGGAGATAACGATTAAGGATAGAGCTGAGGAATAAGCCGGAGAATCCGGGTGAAAATCACGATAGGAATGAACACCAGGATAGCTAGTTCAATTGAGACCGAACCAAACCAATGATCGCGGGGTGGCTTGCTGTCGGTTTAAGTGTGGCACGTTCGAAAATCGTCAGAGGTAGAACAGGTCGTGTGGGATTGATGAGAAGAAAAAGTGGTAAGTATATCCAAGAAGATAGAAGGGATGAGATCGAGAAGAAGATGAGCAAAAGCGGAAGCACTAGAAGAAAGAGGAAAGAAAGAGAAGTTGAGAAGAAAGAAAGAAGAATGAAGAATGAAGAATGAAGAATGGCCACCGCCGGAGTAGATTAACGGATTCGTTCACTAAACCGTAAGTGGGCTGCAGCTACGTCACTCCCGACCGGGTTACTTTTTCCTCGTCGGCTTTTCTGTCTTGCTTGTCTGCGAGCAGACTAGCGGTGTACAAAAGACCCAAATCCAGCGAATTCAACGGCACAGATTCTCCTATGGTCCATTTTGGTCCTAAACTTTGAAGCATTGTTCCATACTGGAGGGGTTTCATTCGATATCCTGGGGATCATGAGAGGGAACAGGCCGTCTAGGCCTACATCCCACCACTAGTTTCATGATGATGTCGCCGCTCCACATCAATTGCGGTCCATGATTATCATAGGCCGATAACGGACCAGGCACGCTTCCCTTCATAATGACGATTGATCGTCGGGCCTTATCTGTGGTTCAAGATACGGTTTTTGGGGCATATTTGTCTGAACATAAAGCGTATTGTTCATGTATGCTGCAGGACGATTGAGCCCTGCCCAAGCCATGGATTCCTTTGGGCATCGATCCAAGATAGTCTTATCCTGCCGGGGAAGCGACTTATCAGACGCCATCGATGCAGATATCATATAGTGGGGTCGAAACAGCGATTGCGAGCTTCCCACATCCACAGAGGGTCTGTCTTTCCTAGCCAGCGCCACCGAGTCTACGTAAAGTAACAAAGACAGGTTAAATTGAATGATGTCGACAAGATGAAACTCCCAGGACAATCCTGGAAGAGCCGTACTTGAATAGCCCCGATCAATATCACTAGAGAACATGACGGTCTTCGTGGGGTGTAGTCCCTAGGGCATCTTCACCTGTGCCCTAAGCACTCATCCCTGTCAGTCGATCATGATAGAGAAAAGTATGTATGCTCTATATTCGTACTCGGATCAAGGATAGGACTACTTTCTAGAACCTTCCACAATACGATTGAGGGATTTACAAGTGCACCTTGGCGAAGCCGACGTCTCTCTACTCTAATTCTAACCGGGGACACGAGAATCAATAAAGACTTCTAGAAAATGCGGAGAATTTACAAAACACGGGGAAGACCGACATCCTGCAATATGCATGAACAACCCTCCCCATCCACAGAAACCCGTACGACCTTCCAGCCGTTGAGTGTGACCTAGTCAGAAGTATATGAAGCCATTCATACAATTGGTCCCCACTTAATCTGGTACGACCAACCGCTGGGGTGTGACGTTGAATGTGCCGCAAAATGCCACAGCAGATGTTGTACGAACGGGAAACACTGAGTTTAGGCCTGCTCGTGATGAGATCAGGCGTGAGTTCTGGACGCAGATGGCTACGTTGAGATGCTAAAGTGAGACAACCTTAATCTCCGAGCACGTATCGGAGAATAGATGGCATAGCGGAAACTGATAGGGTTGTATTGCGGTCTATTTTGACGGGTGGAGTAACGTCTGTCATCATGCCGTTATGCGCTTCTAGAAGCGCTTGGATTTCTATGAGTGACTTCTTGGCTTTTCGGGGAGTACACTCTTGTGTGAAGCTACCAGTCGGTATGTGTTTCGAGAAGGGTAGCGTTTCATGAGCGATTTCTTAGCTCTGGGAAGGACGTTGTAGTGGGGGTGCTCTTCCCTTCGTGAAAGTTATATAAAACTAGGAATAGCCAGAAGCCCTGACTTGTTGAGTGCCTACTCTTCCAAATTCAGAAGTACAAAGTTTTATATCTAGAACCCAGCAGTCATGAATTGGAGCTCTCTTCTCAATATCGCGCTCGTTCTGGCGCACGCCCTGCCCACCTTAGGGCTTCCAACCCCCGACTCGGACCTAGTCATTGATCAGGACGAGCCCAAGTATGTCTTTGCTCACTTCATGGTAAGCAGAAGCCTCAACACCCAGCCGACATACACTACTCATACGAGCATAACAACAGGTCGGCATCGTCGAAAACTACCAACTCTCCGACTGGATCGAAGACATGAAGATCGCACAATCCATCGGCATCGACGGCTTCGCGCTCAACTGCGCCAGCATCGACAAGTACACGCCGACGCAGCTAGCCCTCGCCTACCAAGCCGCCGAGCAAACGAACTTCACCGTCTTCATCTCCTTCGACTTCGCCTACTGGACCAACGGCGATACCGCTCAAATCACGGACTACATGGAGAAGTACGCGTCGCACCCGGCCCAGACGCAGTACAAGGGCGGCGCGTTGGTGAGCACCTTCGTCGGCGACAGTTTCGACTGGCGCCCCGTCAAGGAGAACACGCCGCACCCGATCCACGCCGTGCCACATCTGCAGGATCCTGCGGGGGTCTCCGAGGATGCGAGCCGCGGCAGGGACGGGGCGTTCTCGTGGTATGCTTGGCCGACGGATGGGGGGAATAGTATCATTCCCGGGCCGATGACTACGATTTGGGATGATAAGTATGTGAAGAATCTCCGTGGGGCGACTTATATGGCTCGTAAGTGTTATTTCTCTTGTTTTTCTACCTATCAGACTTTTGTCGAGGAACTGACAAAGAATAGCTGTGTCACCATGGTTCTCAACGCACTTCAACACCAAGAACTGGGTCTTCATCTGCGAAAATCTCCCAACCCTCCGATGGGAGCAGATGCTGGCCATGAAGCCCAGCTTGGTCGAGATTATCTCATGGAACGGTGAGTAAACATCCCCCAATTCCCCGGATATCCCGCACCAATGAACCCCCATTCAGAAGCTAACAATAACAGACTACGGCGAATCGCACCATATCGGCCCCTACTCCGCGCGCCACAGCGACGACGGCTCTTCCCAATGGGCCGTCGACATGCCCCACGACGCCTGGCGCGACCTATACAAGCCATACATCGCGGCCTACAAATCAGGCGCCTCGTCCCCAACAGTCGAAACCGAGGAGATCGTCTACTGGTACCGACCGACTCCAAAGGGCGTGACCTGCAGCGGGGACAGCCTCGGCGCGCCGAACGGAATCAGTATGCTGAGCGATAGTATCTTCGTGGCGACTATGCTGAAGACGCCGGCTACGTTGACGGTGACGAGCGGGTCGAATGCGCCTGTCAGTGTTGAGGTCCCTGCGGGGATTGTCACGTCGAGTATTCCCATGGGGGTGGGAGAGCAGTCGTTTTCGGTGACGAGGGATGGGCAGAAGATCTTGGAGGGGAAGGGTGGGCTGGTTGTGAAGGATACTTGCAAGTATTATAACTTTAACGTTTATGTGGGGGCTATTACGGAGTAGATATCTTCTTCGTTTGTCTAGTCGATGGTATATAGTTTCGAATCTATGGAGTTATATATGGAGCAAATGGTGCTGTAGAGAAGCTATACACACTGAAATGGATTATGCTATGCTGCGGAGTTAAAACAAGTATATACAGAGCACAGGTTACCATCCTCGATCTTCAGACCATGTAGACAAGAGGAGGCAGCACTGCATCCAACATCACTATACGAATACATCGAGGACTACATCATATACCAAGTAGATGCTCAATCAACCGTCAGCAGCTGCTCAACAAACCCCCCAAAACCCCCCTCCAGATCATGCGCATGGATCTCCAAAATCCAATGCCTGCGCATCCCATCCTTCCCCACCGAATTCAACGGCTCATGATTCCCCTCCGTAATATACAAACTAATCTTATCATCTGGGATCCGCTCATGCGGAAAATCACCCACTACATGGCCGGCAATATGCGATCCAAAGGTATACCCGACCTTCTCGACCTCCTCCCTCGCAATGGCATACAGGTCCGCACCCGTGATATCGTCCTCTCGCTGCCTATACCGGTCTCGAACAGTCATCCAGACGGGCATAAGCGAGTCGCGCAGCCTAATCTTGGCAGGGTCATCGCCCAGCACGTACGTGCGGCCAAAGTCAGCTTCCCAGTCGGCGAAGACGGGGCCGAGGTCGATGACTAGGATGTCGTTGGGTTGGAGCGTGCGGTCGGGTGGGTTGTCTGCGAAGGGGCGGAGGGTGTTGGGTCCACTGCGGATGAGGCGCTTGTGCCAGTGCGTGCGAACGTTGTGTTTTGAGGCGCCGAGGGCGTGGATCTCTTTGCTGAGGGCGGTTTCGGTTATGCCGGGGCGGATGAGGTCTTGGATGGAGGTGAAGAAGGTTATGGCTTGGGATTCGGCGGTGCGGAGGGAGGTGGCGCGGGTGGTTTCTGTTTGGGTGGACATTTTGGCTACTTTTTTCCCCTTCTTTCTAGTCTGTTCATGTATTTGGGAGGGTTTGGGGATTTGAAGTTGCTTGAAATGGGTTGATTTGGAGTCGAGATGAGGGGAAATATATATGAGGGGGTGGATCCAGTTGATTGGTTACGGATGTGGAGATCGTTTTTTTGACCTACTAAATAATGGAGTACTGGAGTATGGACTCGTTTCTTATATGGTCCCTGAACAAATTCTATGAGTGATACTACTACAACAGTCTAACCGTCTACTACTGTGTATGATACCGCTTCACCTTCAGCGGAACATCCGCCTGGCAGCTCTGGGTCCTATCCCCTCGCAGTGTAGCCGACACCTGATCATCTTCGACGAGACGATCCGAAGGAAGCAGAATAGCCCGGTCCACCTGGTACGGCAAGCCTCGGTGCCGCCCGCGAATCATCATAAGGCAGACGACGACCTTGCTGAAGACGTTGAACTGCCCGCTGAGGGAGGTCGACGCGCCGGGATAGCCGAGGCTGAGGCCGACGTTTCCGCTGTCCTTTTCTTAGCATTTTGCTCTTATTGTAGGTATCAATAGGGAACGAGTGGCAGACTTACTATGCGGAGACGACTTCGAAGAATATGGCAAACACCGAGAATCCCTATCTTGTATCTCAGTCTGGGGTTAACGGTTGGACAGTGGGAGGAAGTTTACCGGTTCGTCGGGATCCATGATGCGCCCTGACTCGGAAATACACAAAACAAAAATGCCCAGAAAGATATACCACAGGTCGAAGGTGAGCTGGTTCTGCATGTGCGCCAGCACGTACTTGGTCCCGCTGTTCTCGTCGAGGTCGTGCGCGGTCTCATACACACCCACCGTGCGCTCCTCGTAAATATTGGAGGCGCGCACGCTGATCGCGATTGGAAAGATGGAGATGTACATCATCACCAGCAGACTCAGCTGTACGGCCGGGTTGACATCCGCCAGGTTGAACGACGCGGTACCCGTGTGTCGAGCCGACGCAGACTGGAATATGGCGGCCACGACGCGCGATCCACCAGGGAGCTCGCTGACAGCTGGATTGTTGAGGTCGAGTACGACGATGAAGAGCACATCAATGAAATTCATGGCAAAGATGATGCCGAAGAGGATCCATGTGGGTTTGCTCCGGAATAAGAGCGTGTAGCAGCGGCGCGGGTAGCGGAGGAGGAAATTGAGGGGCTCCTTCATGGACGACCCTTCGGGGGCCAGTTTGTACATTACCCATACGATGAGGCGGAGAACGCAGGGGTAGAGCGTATTTCCGGCGTAGGCGAGAAAGCTCATTATCAGCATGGGAAAGGTGGCATCTCGGAAAGAAACCATGGAGTCGGGGGTGAGCGTGAAGCCGAGATTGTCTACCATGGTTTGGGCTGAATAAAAGCCCCTTTCGCCATGTTAATATCGTCTTGCATGGTGTCAAATAATCAACGGACAGACGTACCACCATATGCTTCCCTGTCCGCATTCGTCCAGGTAGTCTCTGTATTTAGGGTCTGCATGTCTAATCCAACCGACCAGACATATGGCGCCCAAGATGTGTAGTCCAAAGAAAAATCCTGAACTGATGTCAGCGTTGCTCTCTCGCGAGCGTTGTCGGCTTACCGATCACAATCTTCAGCAACAGCTTCAGGCTGCGGTACTCAATCCCACCTAGCTGTTCCCTGTCTTCCTCGGTGAGGTTGTGAAATTGGGAGTTTCGACCAAGCGTTGCCTGTGATGACAGTCTAGGAAAATTGGAATCCTTGGCAAGCGAAATGGATTTTGCCAGTCGTGGTTGATAGTCGGACTGCATTCCCGGCGCGAGCATAGACGACGCGGCCCTTCTCAACGAGGGCCCATTGACCCCGATGCCTTTGGCCAGTCTGCGACGAAGGTCGGGTCCTGATTCCTCCTTGATTTCCAGATCATCTGCATTAAATAGTCAGCTTTACTTGCTGCTCTTTGCACTAAAGTCTGCTGCCATGACTTACCAGCAACGTTGGGAGCGTCGACCTCTCGTATAGTTTGTCCTGTGTCTGTCAGTTTCGACCCTCGAGCAGAGAGTGAGAGGCTCACCTCTGTCTTGCTCGCGGGGAGACGGGATGTACAGAGCTTTAGGGCCATCCGCGAAAGAGACATGCAAATTAGCAGCATTATCTTCAGCTGCGCTGGAGTCCGAGGTTTTCGTAGCGCTGTTATTCGGCAAATTAGTAGCGTGCACGCTGACCTCCTCAGATAAACGCAACATACTCAGGCCGATTGTTCGAATCAGCGTCGATATGTTCTTCTGCTGCTGGCTGGACACTACCCAGCTGTGCTTCCTGATCAATCTGGTCGTTATCTTTCTCTAGAGTTTGCGGGCGAGCAGACAGTGACCTCGGTGCTACCCACAATTAGCGAACCATAGACACCCTGCGCAGCTCAGAACCTGATTAATACTTATTGCTTTCAGGCGCTTCCCAAACCAGTACAGTCGGACGACTACTACTATGATATTGATAAACCCCAGGTTAGAGATCATGGGAACGAAGTAAATGAACACCTGCTGGTAGGTCTTCAGGCTTTTGACATCCACGCTATGTATGTTAGCTGTGGTCAGTTTCCATACACCGCACGATAAAACATACGTATTGATCCCCGACTCGGTAGCCGCGCTGACACCAAAGAAGTATGCATCGACGGCGTGCAGGTTCCCGTATGGGTACAGAATGACCAGTCCCAAGAGACCAAGAAATATAATGAATGCATCTGCATTGGTTAGCCTGGCATTCGGCATGCAGGGGGCATTAAAAAGGAACCAACAATGCAAAGTAAGGAAGTTGACTGGTGGCTTCCACATTCTTGGTCCAATGGCGCTCTCGTGCTTGTCGAAAAAAAGACGCAGTCTGTCAGGGTTATAAAACAAAGCTGTAGGTCAAAGCGTGAGGCTATCTAGAAAAGGCATGGAACAGGGTTCCCGGTTTTAAAGTTCCAGCAAACGGAGGGAACCGTGAGCATCATCGTTATGGCTGCGGGATTTATTCACACCAATGCCCGCGATGATCTTTGATGTGGAAAAGAAGGCAGCCGGCTGATATATACGAGGGAATAATCGGGTCCAACCGTTTCCCTACGGCTGCGGTCTTGGGTGCTTACTCGATCCGGCCGATATTCATCTCCCTCATCAAGCCGCCTTCGTATCTTAATCTTTCTGTTTTTACCACTTATTTCCAGGAAATTGGTACCAGACCCTTGATAAGCTTAGCGGACCATGGTCGATCAAGCCCAGACTGACCCATCCGCAGTGATCAACAGCGCGCCACATCACCATCACCATCGCCCAGATGCGGCATCCAACGCCATCCCAGCAGGATCGGGGTCTAATTTAAGGTCACATAGTGGGGCTGACCTGGAATCGTGGAGGCCACGAGTCTGAAATCTCGTACTGCTCAGACCCAATGGTGACTTTCGTGTAATATGGGCCGCGTATACGCCCAAATCCAGCCAACAATTAAGCTCTATCTAAAGAGTCAAGTCTTAAGCCCACATGATCACCCTCATCTTGGCTTCTCAGCCGGTGGCGGTCCGTGCCGCCCATTGCGACCCAAGTTTCGCTCGAGGGGCCATGCCGTCTTTGCTCAGAAGCCACGCGAGACTCGATATATGCACGGCGCTCATGAAAGCTGAAACGTAGCCCAGAGTAGATGAGAATTATGGTCATGGTCGTTCTTGAGTCTTCGCGGCGAACCCGTGGACCGGGATGACGATGGCGCCATCAGTTTCTTAGATCTCGTATCACTGTTTGCCAAGTTATCTGATCTTCACCCTTATGCTCCTTAGTGACATGAGAAAAAGAGATAAGGAAAGGGGGCTGTGCAAGAATGCCAAGATAAGAGAGGCTGAACTATATCGATTCCCATAAACGAGACAAGGCTCTAGATAGTGCAAACTGGAGTTGCACTTGGGCATCAATATACGAGATTACCTTTCTTCAACGTTTGTTTGCCCAGCCTCATGTAATCTCCGCATTATAGAACAGAGTTTATGGCGATTGATCTATCAAAATTTGCTTTCGAGTTCGAGTCCTCTATGGTAGCCTTTCGAGTGGTCGAATGGCGATTTCAGAAGCTCTTTCATCTATAGCAAAATTATGCGCCGTACGAGCACCAAAACCTGCGTGAGCTCCGTTGATTGCTAATTTTGTTCTAGGTTCCAAGTGCCTGTGGGGCAATTGTTAATCAGTTGTGCTGATTTTTGAATGGTTTCTCTTATGAGATGTTGAACTTGCAGTCCACAGAATGGTTGCCTTCCGCCGCATCCATTCACTCGTAGTTTTACCCATTGGGACCTGTCCAGATTAGGACCAAGTGGTTGAATCTTCTCGTCCTCGGGCAGAGCCCATTGCATCACTCACTTTGGCTCGAGAATCTACCGGGTCAAACCACAATTCCCCGGTATGAAAGACAACATTGACCGCAACATGGAAGAGAGACCATCTGGCTCACCAGGTTCCAAGAGCGGAATCTCTTCTTTTACTCGTGCCTCTGCGCGCACGTTCCAAACCATTGCTTCCATGTTTGATACGTTCTCCAGAGCAGTCAGTCAGCTCTGAATTTCTGTGCAGACCATCCATATTCCTCACCATTAAGTCAGCAATAGACCCGGCGTACAAACCTGCTGTCTGGTCAAGCCATCTTCTTATGCAAGGAAGCTTTCAAATACTGGTCATTGGATCATGACTGAGCATACTAGACTGCGAGCACGAGCTGTCCTGCTACCGCTTAAGCGCCTCAAGACAGAAAAGTCTGTTTAATGATCCACTTTCGCATCAGGGAGACTCACGCTTGCTTGACTAGTGACCAGACAGACATGGTTGCCGTTGGGGTCTTGAATATTGAATCTATCCTAAATAGATAGTATCATAGCTACGCCCGTGTTTTTGATGGTCTGTGAAGCTACGCCATTTTGAACAGCAGGTTATTCTCATTGGGCTTGAGCCCGCCTACAGATTTTGACTGCCACGTATCTGTGAGCCTTTCATCTCGAACTGTCCACGTCGTTGAGTATGTCCTATCGTCGAGTTCGTGGAATACATGCTAGCGACTATGGAGATGATCCCCAACCGTGATGTGGTGATAATTATATCCCTATAGAATACTATCCTCTATATCTCTATAGGACCTTCCAGAACATACGGTGGGTTTAAAGTTAAATCTAATAATATGAACACTAAGAAAGAACACACGAGAGAGCTGACAATGCAATAATGGGAAGCTTGTCTTTCTATGACACAGGATATGCAAGTGGGTATAACGGTCCAACCAGCGAGAGCCGTGGGATTCTCAATTTTCTCATCGTACTGACATGATCTATACCGGAGATCTAGCAGTGTATAAGAATCATCTGTCGGCTTAACCTATCCAGATAAAACACCATATAGTTGTCGACAGTTGAGATCGGTTTACAGTTAAGAACGCACAGGCTGATCATAGATCGGGTATGGGTCGTATCGGGATAGATAAAGTATATATAGAGATTCAGACTTGGTACTTGTCTCGTACTTCTTACTTTCTATTTTTGTCTTTTTTTTCTTCCCAAATTTCATGCATGTTGACTATAACATCTATTCCAATTGCGTTTATTTGACAGCTGTGGGAGGAGTGAATGCGACAGCTCCAAACTTTGGCCCATCACCTGACGTGAAGTATGCATGCCATGTCACCAGCATCGTCAGCTTTCACCCTCGTCACTCTCATCATTATCATCAAGTCTTCCTTCGTTTCATTTCTCTATCCTACAACCACGGCAAACAGATGCACCACCCCTCCGTACTTCTACAAGGTAGCTTTTCGATATCCTTTCTGCGCTTGTGGATGCCATTCCAGCCATATTCTAGCACTGAATGAATCGACATGATCAAACTTGTCACCTAGGTTGCCATCGCGAACCAACGTGTCGACCAAGTGTATATCTCGACAGTGCACCGGATAAATATCCGAAGTTGGGGCTACAGGATGAACCAACTAATCACGAAGCGCGTTGGTATCCGAACTCCGTCAATAAGTGGGGGAGATCTACGCCTGCCGTTTTGGGATCCTACACAGCAGTCTCGGTGCATTCTCTTTTCCCCTCAATCGTCTTCTATTTCTTTGCATATTGTTCTCCTTCTTCTCTCTTCTTGACACTATCTTTGCTATTGGTTTTACCCCTTCATATTTCACTCAAACACGCTTGTGCATATCTAAGATGCGAAACGAGCATCGGTCCTTCTCTTGCGCATCCGTTTATCACCATAATTGACACCGCCCATTGGCGAGATATATGATCATTGACGATTATTGTTTGATGTCTGCTTAGGCTATCTGCCTTGTATATGCAATTGTTCGAGACTGTTCGATGTTGACTGGTGTCCGTCCACTAGCCATCGCATCATCACTGGAACAGGGCGACCTCGGCTAAACTATTGCTTGTCGGGCCGACGAGCTGATGAGCACCATGGTATCGGACCCGGAGAAACAGGCCAATGCCGGAATACAACGACCGGATGCGATTTCCCCATCGCTGGACGATCCAAGGGTAGTAGACATAGATCATGATTTACGCTCGGCCCACTCCATCCCCTTTGAAGGCAAGGATGAGGGAGAATATGCTCCGAGTTACCACCAAGATCGAGAGGACACGGCGGTGGTGGTACCACGCTCACAACGCAGGGGCCTTTTCGGCCAGTACACACTGCTGGCAGAAGTGGAGGACCCGAAAACCTATACGCGCCGGAAGAAATGGTTCATTACTTTCATTGTCGCCGTAGCCGGCTCGACAGCTCCAATGGGAAGCTCGATCTTCTTCCGTAAGTTAGTCGCCCGTGCAAGCTTCTTGCTTCTGACTGTTTCGCAGCCTCTCTTTCCCAAGTATCTCGCGAGCTGAACACCGTTACGACGATCACGAATCTGTCGATTTCGTTGTACATGCTCAGCATGTCTATCTTCCCCCTCTGGTGGTCCTCTTTTAGTGAGCGTTTGGGCCGACGAACTATCTATTTGGTATCATTCTGTCTGTTCGTCTTATTCAACTCGCTCTCGGCCATCTCAGACTCCATCTCTATGCTCATTGTTATGCGAATGTTGAGCGGGGGAGCATCGGCGTCGGTGCAGGCCGTAGGGGCCGGCACTATTGCGGACCTGTGGGACACGCATGAGCGAGGTCGGGCCATGGGCATATTCTATCTCGGCCCACTGTGTGGTCCGTTGCTGGCACCGATAGTTGGTGGTGCATTGGCCCAGCGATGGCGCTGGCGAAGCACGCTCTGGTTCCTGGCTGCATACGGGGCTATCGTTGTGATTTTCATTTTTGTCGCTCTTCCGGAGACGCTGGTGGTCGCGAAGGCCGCCCAACCCGAGCCGACCGACAACCAAGAGGCTCCCTTGGAGCACCGCCTCAGCCGGATATCCTCCCGTCAGGTGGTCCGCTCTACGACACGGTGGTTGAAGGTCCTCAAAATGGTCTTTATCGATCCGCTAAAGATTGTGCTATATCTACGATACCCGCCGGTTCTCTTGACCGTATACTATGCCAGCATCACGTTTGGGTCACTGTACGTGTTGAATGTCAGCGTTGAGCACACATTTGGGAGCAGCCCCTACAACTACTCAACGATCATCGTCGGTCTGTTATACATTCCAAATTCCCTGGGCTATATTGCGGCCAGCTGTTTCGGCGGGCGGTGGATGGACAATATCATGAAACGGGAAGCGAAAAAGGCGGAACGGTATGACGAGAAGGGGAACTTGATCTATTATCCCGAAGATCGGATGCGCGAGAATGCGTGGCTAGGGGCAATGCTCTACCCAGCGGCGTTGCTATGGTATGGGTGGACAGCAGACAGAGGGATATATTGGTTGGCGCCGGTATGTTTCCCTTTCTTCCATGGTTCTTCACTCGCTCACTTTATTTGCTCTACTTGTCTAACGTATCGAGCATGATAGATGGTTGCCAATGTGTTCTTTGGGGTTGGATCCATGTTAATCTTCAGCATGGTCACGACCATGCTGACTGAGTTCATGCCGAAAAGGTCGTCCGCTGGGGTAGCATTGAACAACTTTATGCGGAACATCTTCTCGTGCGTGGGGTCATTAGTGACGGCGCCTATCATTGATGCCATTGGTAATGGCTGGTTGTTTACCATTTTGGGCCTGTTGGCGTTTGCGAGCAGCTCGGTATTATTCGTGATGAGGATATATGGTCCACGTTGGAGGAAGTCGATGGATGCACTTCGGACTTAATGCATGGCGTGGGCTGTCCATTCTTTATCCATGTCTATCATCGTATCTTGCGATGCAGACCCTTGTTGGGGGAAATCATTGATGACCGCGATACAGTATCTTTAACGCATGCTAACGAAGTCGTGATGGTACAATAGAATTAATGTCATCCTTTCATAGATCAAGTAACAAGCTTCGGTATTACCTGTCAATATATAGTTTAAGATTCCTGGTGCGAAATGAATGAGATGGGAATTCAGCTCCATATGCGTTCACTGGGCGTCCCTAATTTCACTAGATGAGACCGTTAACATGATTGCAAGTCAGCATGTGACACAGCAATAGGAAGTTCTCTACAGCATTATCTCCATTCCCAAGCATCCAGGGGAGTATCTATCTATTGTCACACGGTATTCTATAAAATACATTGAGTTAGGACCAGCCCGGTATCAAATAATATCTGCAAATGGACGTTTCCTAGACGTCAAGCTGCCCTGTTGCCAAGGACTTACAGACTGGGGAGAAGGCTGGATAGATGCGCCATCCACCGGCCTTACCACAGCCTCCCTCACCCAGTCCGGTTTCTGCAAGTTCGGATGGTTACATAGAGCGCGGAAGCGGTCCGCCCCGATAGCTTCCTCGGCGTAGTTTTGTTTCAGTTTCCGCATGTATCCCTGAAATTGATTGACGTTGGTGACCCATTCCGTAGCGGCTTTGTTCTTCTCATACTCGGTACTCGGCTTCTCAACCTGCAGCGTGTACGGCGGCCCAGAGTAGATGGTGAAAACGGTTAGGGTCGTGAGTAGGGGCCGGAGTCGGGCTTCCAAGTGTCGTCTCTTGGCCGCTGTTACGCGGAATGTTGCCACTCTCTGATTGGAGTCGCCGAGGAAAACTTGTAGCCTGCTACAGTCCCAGCATGCGCAAGTATACTTCGACAGTAGCTCATCCAACTGAACTGGTCGCTCTGGCGGCGCTCGCATGCAGCTGTTGAGGTACTCGTCGAGGACGGCCACGGCGAAGTCGGTCTCGTAGGACTGGGGTGGAACGCCGATTTCAAAGCCCATCCATTTGCAATAATCTATGAGAAATGGGAGGAGGTCTTCACCAAATGCGATGGCCTTTTTGGCTTCCGGTAGTTGTTTCGCATGCTTGATCAGCGCACTGTAGATGGGTGCGGTCTCGTCAGTCAAATTTCCGTAACCAATCAATTCTTCGTAACTTTGGATAAACTGTCTGAGGATTTCTGGGTCTAAGGGCTTCATATGAGGCTCTTTCCGCAACAGGAGTCCGTATAAATCGTCGTCGTCGTCGTCGTCGTCGTCGTATAGGCCTGTCCTCCATTCGAGGCCCTCAAATTGGAAGGACTCTAGAATTCGAGGGAGGAACTCGGTGAAGGCTTGTCGCAGCTCGTCTCGGTCTACCCGCGTACGAGTTAATCTTTCAAATAATGAGGTAATGAATTTGGTATTCGAAGCGCTGCGCTCGAAAATAGGTCGGATTCTGTGTATGTACCTCCGTTAGAAGGCAAAATAGAGGAAGGAGGGGGGGGGCGCGTGTACCGTGAAATCATTCCCCGAATAGGACGTTCCTGGAAAACATCCTGAAAAACATTCGCTAGGGAATATCCATCGGACAGTTGCGTTGTGGTCTATACGATTTGTTGAAATGTCGCTTGTTTCCATCTTAGCACCTTCTCTGATGCCGTTGATGAAGACTTATTGCCTTCGTGGTTGCACGCAGCGTCGACTTGAAGGAGAAATTTGAGTCGAAAGCAGTAGTCGTTGTTTGGGCTGAAAAAGGGATCGAGTCTGGGGCCGTTAATTACGATTTAAAAAGGTATACAGAAAGGTACTACTCAGGCATAATAGTATCAAAACCGCCATTAGCAATGGCACTCGCCATGCTCAGGAAAACACCGTATGGCAAGAGACCACTATAGGCTCTCACATACTGACAGATTAAGTCATTGTCATTCAATTCTCGACCAAGCTCAGGGATCGAGTCGGTCCAATGACGTTCAGAAATGTCGCGGGGTACCCATTTTTGGATGACAGTTCTGCAGGCCTGCAATAGCGATTGTCGACGTTGTTTATTGCTTTTCTCTCGGCGATAGAGGTTCGTCACCCACTCAAAGTAGCTTCGCACCTGCTCAAAATCTTGACAAGTCTCAATCAAAAATAACAAAGTGTACTGGGAGGGGACGATTAGGACGTCCCAAAGTTCATTAGCCCTGGTCAGGAGGATGGCTATGTAGATGCGAACCGAAGACAACAAGAGAGCGGAATTTCAAGAAAACACTTACAGTCTGGTAGTAGCAGCGAGTGATCAATGGACGCTCGATGAAACAAAGCTTTTGGCGCACTGTATCTGGATCACGATCAAAAACCTTGTCATCGAGGAGAATATCCTCTTCGATCCGCAATTCCTCCGCGATCATATCATCCGAAGTGTCAAATAATCGGAGACTGATCGTGGAGTTTTCACCACATGGAATAGATGATCCGGTGGAGGAACAATCGTCGTAATCCATCTCATTCATAACCGTCGCTAGGAACATATGCATTCCCGCTATCTGACAAGCTTTGTACAGGTTTGCTACTTGCGTCTTGTAAATTCCATCAAGTTGATCAAACCTCAACCACCTATTTGGATATTGCTGATTGAAGATATGCAACACGGCGGTTGGACAATCTCGAGGCCCGTAACAGGGCCAATTGAGCCCTCCTGTCAGTACCGCCCTTGCGCGTCTGTCCCATTCTGTAAACAGAGCGACCAGCTATTCCCAGGGACGTTCGGCGCTCAGCAGAGCTGCCGATGGGGCATGATACAGGTTGTAGCACACCACCACCCTATAACCAGCGGTTACCTCCTGAAATTCTTGAACTACGTCCGCATAGCATACGATATTCGTCATGCTGTATGCCGAAGATGGGGCGGTCTTGAAAGTGACTGTTTCCCCTCTACAAGCAGCGATCACATCACCGCCTTCGTGTTTTGAGGGGAGACAAATAGACAAGGTCCCAAACATGCCATCTTATTTCTCGGAAACTGCACGAGGCAAGGAACTGGCACCTTTCTCGTCGATGAAGATTTTGTGCGGCCTCATCTCGACCTCTCTCGCATCGGCATTCAGCCCCAGTTTGGAAAGCGCATGGCTAAGCTGCATTTTCACATGAGCCTCCCAAGCGGGGTTCGCAAAGGTGAACTTGTCCCCATCTAACTCCCAGCGCTTTGGAGCGTGGGCTTCATCTATCGTTTTCGTGGTTCCGACATGCGCACTAGGACGGCCGGCACTGATGAGAGCTTGTGCTTCGTGTGGAGAAACCGGCAGACCAATAGGCCCGATACCGTCTACCTCCAGTCCAGGGAGGACAAAAGGCTCCCCATCCGCAACACTCAAAAAAGGACCTCGTGGTTCAACAGGATTCAAGACCTGGAGAATGGCGTTCTTCAGATCTCCTCTCCGGTCCAGCCGACTTCCGTGAGGATTCGGCCATCCCATACTGGTTGTTCCGGTGATCTTTATGAAAGGAGACCAGTAGTGATTGGACAGTTAAAATGACCTATGGCAATAGGTCATTGGGCTAGTTGTTCTGGTATAGCATGGTGAGGATTTCAATGTCCTCCAAGAGTGCGCGGCGCGTCCGTAACGCCAACTCGCGTTACGTACTATACCACATTGGGAATCAATTATGTCGAGCCAGGGCCGCGTAGATCCACAACAGATTGGATCATGGATGTATTTTGAATCAACGTACGTGATAAGTCCACGAAGTTTGAACAAGTTGATTCAGATCTATTGGATCTATCGAGTATATACATATTCTTTTTTCCCCACCGCTGATTGGCTGTAGACGTAGGCCCGAGAATCACACCCGGCCCGCTACATGTGCACCGTGTGATTATGAGGCGTCCGTGGCCGTAGCAGGGATTGGGATAGAATCTGACCTTGTAAGAACTAAACCTCCCAGGGTCGATGGAGGGCTGGTAGGCGTTGTCTAACTCCCTGCTTGAAGAGGGGTATCCGGAGTCATGCCATCCGCATCCCTGGACGAGGCACGGAGGCAGATTGCGTTTGCCATTGGGTTCTGTGGACAACTCGACATGACAGCGACAGAGTGATGCTGCGGACGATCAGATAGCCTTCAATGCTGCGTTTGTACTGGCATGACGCCATGTTGACTGGGACCTTTGCCACTGTCCGTGATGAGGCATCTGGTGAACTGGATTCTGATCCCCCACTTGTAAGGACAGTCCAACTCAGATCAAGGCTAGAAGCCTGGAAGGAGAAGGAAGTCCATCGATCGTCCGTCGGGTCCAACAGGGAGGGGTATCAATTATTGGTGCATGCCATGGCGCCCATTCACCGACTGCCAAAACAGCGACCGCCTCACTTTTCGGACTATTAGGCGGGTTCCACTGGTCCGTCACCCACTTGTTTGATTCCCATCCGGATGATCTCCTGCCGTACCCTGCCAGGGACCAATTCGGAGAGTCATCCGTCGGGTTATTTCGGGCTTCTGATGGGCATCAACTAGGAAGCCACGGAGCATAATGGGAGGATTATTGATTCCATCGCGCGTTCCATAGTAGAACTGGAAACAAAAGGACCAAAATGATCAAACATGACAAAATCTCCCATCGTCCCGCCCTAACCCGATCGGGCGATCCCATGATCGGCGGATGATTTGTCTCTCTCAGTGGAGCCCAAAGTCCTTCCTTCTTCTCTCTCATTTTCCATTATCATTCGATAGACAGCAATAGAACTATGGGCTCGTTACCCTCATCTCCTTACCCGTGGGCGTGACTGATGCAGATGCGGTGAACGCCTACTGTACCCTCCGAAGCGTTACTGTAGCAATCATGCCTTTCCAACCCTCTTAGTTCTAGGAGGTCCTGGTTGGCTCCATTGAACCTTCCCCCTAGTCTGACGCCGGGGGACCCAGTCTCAACTCCACTGAGCCTGCATCTTCTTCGCTGCCGCTGCCCGCAAGTGGCGTTGGGCACAAATCCCAAAAATATCTTCCTCTTCGTCAACGACGGTCAGGGCCATGCTCACTCCGATGCCATGGCACCACCAAAGCCGTGGTTTAGATACGGGGACTTTTGTCCTACCGTCGCCTTGATGGTGTGGAAGGTGGCGAGAGCGCCTTGTTCTGATCTAGATCTTGGTCCGTGTCTCATGGGATGCTGTCGGGCCTGTCATTGATACATAGAATTTGACGCACACTGCCCAAATGGTCGGCCCATACGCTAGACGCAACCCTAATGCAGCCATTTTGGACTCTGTTTTGTCACGCATGGATTTACCAACGGAGCAATCGGCCCTTTCCAAACAGAGAGCGCCGGAGAGCGCCGTCGGGGGTGGAAGCCCAAAAAGAAAAAGCAATGGAAGGCAAAGGGATCAGCGTTTTTGGCTATTTTTCTCTGCCCCAGTGATGCTTCCCAGAATGGGCCGTCTATCCACCTTTGTCCACCAGGACCCCCATGGCCGTGAGACGTGGTCCAATGAGATCCCATGTCGTTGGGCAGTTCGTCAATGACGTTCCCAGTCCTCACCCGAGCGAGACGGGAGCTCGATTGTCCATCCCACTGGGTTCTCCGCGAACCACGATACGTCGCCTTGCATCGATCCTCAGGAGGGGTTGCTATGTTGTTGGCGGGCCGCTGGCCTATGCTGCTACTCCCTTCCCCCTCTCTGTTCTCTCATAGATCGGTCGTCGGCTCAAACCTGACCCTTCACAGCTCTCCTCGTTTCACAGCCCCGTCTATTCTTACTTGACTTCCCGTATCGCATCATCTGCCCAGTCCCTGTCGATATCCGAACAGGGCGTTTCCATAATTTGCCAATTGATTTCTATATATTGACTTGTCCACCTCCTTCCACTGGTCCCTTGAACTGTCGCCAAGCCGGTGATTCGATGTTATGGCTAATAAAAAGGCAAAGAAGAAGAAGAACAACAACGCCGCCAACAACAATAAAAGGCTTCCTGTAAACGACAATCAATTGTCCAATCCAGAGCAGACCTCAACCGACCCCTCCCCGGCGACGGCGGTTGAAGCTGGTGAAAATGGCCTGCCCTGTTCAGTACGCACAACTTCCCACGTTCCAGTATCAGTCTTTCGAGCGTCATTATCAGACCTTTGATCGCTCTACTCTAAAATATTCTTTCTATCCTGTTGCTGCTGCATCTTCTTCGGACCCTCTGACGGCGCCTAAGGACCAGAACAACAACCCCCCTGACGCAGAACCTACTGCTGCCCCGGAAGCTGCCCCGGAAGCTGCCCGGAGGAAAGTCCCAGTGATCCTCCGGCGGAACCCTCACCTCCAGAGACTGGTGGTATGTTGTTGTTTAGTTCTACAACCGCTCTCTTTATTCAATCTTGTATTTTTATTGCTCGAGTCATGCTAAGTAATTTAAAGAATCGACCGATGCGGTAGAACCCGCAGGAGAACCGCCCGCAGATGCTCCCCCAGATCCCCCGGCAGAGGCAACTGAAAGTCCAGCCGATGCCGCACCGGAAACGAATGGCGAAGGGGAGAATCCTCCACTAGAAGGCGATAGTGCTGGCCCAGATTCGAATCCAGCAGAAGAGGGCACCCTCGATGAGACGAAAGACGAGCCTCCGGTAGAAAATACGAATGCGGGGGAAGAACCACCCCGGAAGAAGACTCAACCACCGCTCCCGAAGCAGACGCACCGCAAGACGATACGCCTGAGGACGCTGCCGCCCCAGCAGATCCAGCCCCGACAGAAGAGCCCGCCCCGGCGGTAGAATCGCCAGAAGAATCTGCTTCAGCTGAGGAACCTGCTTCTACAGAAGAGGCTGCTGCGACTGACGGTCCTGCCCCGACCGAAGATCCTGTTTCAGCTGAAGAACCCGCTCCGGCAGACGATTCAGCTCCCGCAGAAGAAGGCGTGGAGGCAGTTCCGGCAGAAGAATCCACCCCGGTGGAACAACCCGCAGAAGAGCCTGCCCCAGTTGAGGAGCCCGCTCCGGCAGAAGATCCCGCCCCCATCGAAGAGCCCATCCCGACTGAAGATCCTGCTCCGGCAGATCCTGTTTCAACCGAAGACCATACTCCAGCCGAGGATCCTTCTCCGACGGAAGAGCCTGATCCCGTTGAGGATCCAGCTGCTGTCGAGGAGCCTGCTCCAGCAGAAGAACCTGCGGAAGAGGCCGCTGCAGCCGAAGAGCCCGCTCCGACAGAAGAACCCGCAGAAGATCCTACTCCGACTAAGGATCCTACTGCAGTCGAGGAGTCCGCACCAGTAGAAGAGCTTGTAGAAGAGGCAGCAGCGGCGGAAGAGCCGGCTCCTACAGAAGAGCCCGCCCCGCAGAAGAAGCGACGGAGGATCCCGCTCCGGCAGAACAACCCCCGACGAGCCTGTTCCATCCGAAGACCCTGCTCCCGCAGAAGAGGCCACTCCTGAACAAAAACCTGCCGAGAAGGAAGAACCTGCAGAAGAGCCTGCTGCAGCGGAAGCGTCTGCTCCAGCAGAAGAGCCGGTTCCCGAAGAAGAATCCGCCCCGGCGGCAGAAGTCACAGAAGAGAACGCGCCTGCAGAAGAGCCTACTCCAGCCGAGGATCCTGCTCCAGCTGAGGATCCCGCTCCAGTTGAGAACCCTACTCCAGCTGAAGAACCCGCTAGGGCAGAGGAAGCTGCGGAGGAGTCAGCTGCGGCGGAAGAGCCTACTCCGATCGACGACCCAGCTCCCGTGGAAGAACCCGCAGAACCTAAAGAGGCCCCGGCTTTGGCAGAAGAATCCACGCCGGCGGATGAGCCCGCCCCGGCAGATGCCTCAGCAGACACACCCCAAGACGATGTGCCTGATGATTCTGCCGCCGACGCAAATCTAGAAACCGCGGGCGAAAGTATGGATGGGCCCAGTAATGGTACGCCTATACATTTAATCCGCTTACAAATTCAACTGACCTTACACTCAGACGATGAATTTCCAGAATGTGATCCTTCCGCAGAATCCGATAAAGTCGAAGCCGAAAAGGCAGAAGCCGAGAGACAAGCTGCCGAGGACGCTGAGGCGGAGGAGGAAGCATTAGCAAGGGCGCAAGATGTAGTTGACCTTGAAATAGAAACCGATATAGAGCCGGCCGATGCTGCACCTGCACCCGAAACTAATGCTATGGACGATGCGCCACATGACGAGCCGGCCCTCGAAGCGGTAGATGAAACCGTACCTGAGGCAGCTACCGAGGAGTCTCCTGTGGAGGAAGAATCGCCTAAGGAGGAGCTAGTCGAAGAGCCAGCGCCAGCTGAAGCACCAAACGACGCTCCTCCGGCAGAAGAAACTCCACGGGACGGGGTTGATGAGGCGAAATCCGAGGTGGAGCCGGCTGCAGAGCCTGAAATTATCGAACCACCGGCCGAGGAAGCTGCTCCTGAAGAGCCTGTTGATCCTACGGAGTCTGTGGCCGAGGAACCTACAGCTATCGAAGAACCTGCACCTGCCGAAGAACCTGCACCCGCCGAAGAACCTGCACCCGCAGAAGAGCCTGCACCCGCCGAAGAACCTGCACCTGCCGAAGAACCTGCACCCCCCGAAGAGCCTGCACCCGCAGAAGAGCCTGCACCCGCCGAAGAACCTGCACCCGCCGAAGAACCTGCACCCGCGGACGAGACACCTGCCGTAGAGGCTGTCAGTCCAGAACCCGACGAGGAGTCAGCCCCTCGTGAGGAGGCTCTTCCTGTCGAAGATCCCGATATGGCCGAAGAAGTCTCACTCGAAGAACCCTCCGCGGCAAGGGAAGTTTCAGAAGATCTGTCTGAAGATCCACTGGAAGATCCTGAGCCTACCGTCTCATCCGGAGATGGCATTTCGTTCGAAAATACAGCAGCCTTGGGTTTAGCAGGCGCAGCGGTGGCAGCAGCGGCAGGCCCCGAACTGGCAAAATCAAGCAGAAAGAAGAAGAGACGCTCTCCTGAATCGGGTCGCGAGCATGAACGTGAACGTCACGGATATGAGCGCGGGTTTGAACTTGGATTTGAGCGCGGTCTCGAGCAACTGCGTGAACGTGAACGCGAACGCGGCCAGGGCGGACATGAACGCAGCCATGAGCGTGAACGCGAACGCGGTCATAGCAGAAATGAACGTGGACATGAACGTGGACACGACCGCGAGCGTGATCGCGAGCGTGGACGTGGGCGCGAGGAGCAGCAAGTTCAAGTTCAACGCCAAAAGAGCGAACGCGGTAACATCCTAAAGAACCGCTGGACGACAGCACTCGAAGAAGCGAAGCGGCAACACGACCTCAAGCTCCGCCAAGAAGAGAAGATGGTTCGCCGCGAATCCCGAACCGGCGAACATGACAAGCGCGACCGTGTGAAACGCTCGGACGGCTCCTCTCGAGACAATGAAAATAAGTCACGCCACCATACCTCGGAAAAGTCGGACAGCCGCGAGCGCGAGCGTGAGCACGCAGGTCCCAAGCCAAAAGCTTTCCTCAAATACATGACAGCTGGCAAATCAGACACCAACGGCCCCCTTCTCATGGTCAATGGCACTAGGGCCGCCGAATATGTTTCGGAAAAGTACAGGCGCTCTTCCACGAGCCCCCGTCACTCTAACGGAGACCGAACGCCCAGCGAACGTTCCGGTGGATCTTACCACTATGACGAGGACCGGCAGGCCCGCCGCGAATACCGAGCCCGCAAGAAGGCCGAAGCCGAAGAGAAAGAGCGACAGCAGGTGGAGCAGGAACGGCAGCGTCAAGAGGCGGAGGCCGAGGCGGCGGAGGCGGCGGAGCAAGCGAAAATCCGCGCATCCAAGGAGGAAGCAGGCCATCGGCGTCATCGCCACAGCAGCGAGCGACACAACGGCGAGCGCCCGAGTGGTGAGGCTCGTCGGCGTCACCATAAACGACGGGAGCCGTCACCTCCGGCGCGGAAACCGTCGAAGCTCAAGTCGCTTATCAAATCTGCGATTCCTGCTTATTAGTGATGAGTATACGATATTGTTTGGTATCTGTTTTCTTTGCCCGCTTTTTTTATTTCTTCTTTTCTTTTTCTTCAATCTCCCTTTTTTTTTTTCGGGGTACTTACAACCATTCTCCGGTGTGGCTTTATCAACGTTTGAGCGCCGAAAGAAAAACTGGGTGGATTGATCAGCATTTTGTGAGAAGCGATTGCGGCATTGATGGTGTTTTATTTAGTTTTGTTTACATGTTCATGTTGGTATATATCTGATTTTTGTCTATATGTTTATATACGCTGTCGCTTGTGAATGATGACTCCTAGCCATTTATTCTTTGGTCCCTGTCCATTACGACTTCAATCGTTTCTGTATCAACATACCTCACACCATTATACACTACTCTATGAGAGGATACATGACTCTACTCAGCGATGTGGAAGCCCAACATCCTATAACTCCTCGTAGATCTCAAATCATAACATTGCGTATGTATATCTAACAAACAAAGAAACATGCAAATCAAACCACAGGCACAGCCATACCATCACCCCGCTGATCACTCCCAGCACTATACACCAACTGCCCATCATCATGATGCACACGAATGATCTGTCCCCGACCGAACCGGCCCCGCGCCCACCCACTCAACACCTCCACACTATGGCCCAATTTCCGTAATCCCGCAACAGCCTCCTCACTAATACCCTCCTCCACCCAAACGGTGCGATCAACAGGGTGTCCAATCTCAGGCGTACCAGCCGCGATGCAGATCCTAGGCGAGTCGAGCGCCGCCTGCGGATGGTAGCCGAAGGCAAGCATGTTCAGCAACACCTGGACATGGCCCTGAGGCTGCATGAAGCCGCCCATGACGCCGTAGACGGAGTGCAGCGAGCCGTCAGAGACGTTGGTGACCATCGCGGGGATGATAGTGTGGTAGGGGCGTTTGCGGGGCGCGAGCGCGTTAGGATGCCCGGGGCTGAGGGAGAAATTGGCGCCGCGGTTCTGCAGCGTGAAGCCGCAGCCCTTGGGGATGATGGCTGAGCCGAAGCCCTCGTAGTTGCTGTTGATGAAGGAGATGCCGTTGCCGAGGTGGTCGGTGACGGCGAAGTAGACGGTGTCGCAGTGTTGGTGGGCGGGGCTGCCGTGGTCGGGGATGTCTGCGGCGGCGGCGTCGGGGCGGAAGAGCTTGGCGCGCTCGGCGAGGTAGGCTGGGTCGAGGAGGCCTTCTTGGGGCACTTTTTCGACGTCGGGATCGGTCACGTACCAGCAGGCGTCGGCGAAGGCGATGCGTAGGCTTTCGATGATCGCGTGGAGGTATTCGGCGGAGTTGTGCTGCTCGGGTGTGAACTTGGGGATTTGGCCGCTTTGTTCGAGCTGCTCGAGGATGCCGAGGGCCATGAGGGCGACGATGCCTTGGCCGTTGGGGGGGTGTTCCCAGATTTGCACGCCTTGGTTGGTTTCGGTGTCTGTGCCGGCGGTTTGCTTCTGGACGATGTCTTGGCCGGTGAATTTCAGGCTCATGGCTTCGGTGTCCTGGCTGCCGGTTTCGGCGTGGTGTTTGAGGTCCTCGAGGGAGAGGTAGCCTCCGCGGGCCTGGACCACCTTCACCAGCTCCTCGGCGACGCGTCCCTCGTAGAAGCCCTTCTTTCCCTCTGTGGCGAGGGCCCGGAAGGTTCGCGCCAAGTTGGGGTTCTTCATGATCTCGCCGGCCCGGGGACTGCGGCATCCATCTTTGGCCTTGCTGTCGGCCTTGAGCATCTCTGCGAAGTTGGGAGACGAGTTGCGGAGGAGTTCTTCGCCTTCATTCCACTGTAGTGGTGTTGGAGTCAGTCATCTATGGTCCAAATAAAGCTGAGAGGATATAAGGAATTGCCACTTACGAAGGAGGCAGACAGTTCGGAGACAGGGAACCCCTCCTCGCCCAGTTCAATGGCAGGGAGCAAGATCTGCTCCAATGACACCTTCCCGCTACCGAAGCGCTGCACGGTATCGACCCAACCGGCCGCCGCACCGGGCGTGGTCACCGCATGGACGCTTCTCATGGGAATAGCGCCCACATCGTTCGGGCCGACATTCAGATCCTTGCGAACCTGCTCCAGGGTCGCCTTACCGGCCGATCGACCGGACCCGTTGAGCGAGTGGACTTTCTTCGTCTTAGCATCGTAGTAGAGACAGAACATATCACCCCCGATACCGGTTGAGGCGGGCTCCGTCATGTTCAATGCAGCGGCTGTCTCTGGTTAGTGGGATGTTACCCCGCGGGGGACAGGTGGTACATGCCTACTGCTACTGCAGCGTCCTGTGAGGGGTTAGCTTGAGAGGTTCACGAGGCAAGGACTGATCGGCCATACAGCTGCATTTCCGCCTTCTTTCAGGATGCGTTGACCCGCCGCAGCGGCGAGCGGCTGTGTGCATGTTACGATGCCCTTGGTGCTGTGGACGGTGCTTCTCCGGCTGGTGAAAGGCACCAGATCGGCTTGCGATCGGGCGTAGACCGCTTGTGAATTCAGAGGCATGGTGGAGTGGATAGTGGTTTAGACGAGCAAGTATTACTACAAAGGAAGAGACAAATCCAACAAGTATCGCAGGGAGAGGGAGTGTTATAAGAAGGCGACATGAACCCCACCGATCTCAATAGATCTTGAGTAATTGCCTCGGACGTCCGGGGTCACTGGAATCACTGGAAGGCTGGAGTGGGTACCGGTACCGCTGAGTGGTACTGGGTACTGGGTGCTTGCGATATCATTCGTTACTCGGGGAGGACAATACTCGTAATTTACCCCAATTATGGCCCCACACTATGATTATCGGCCGACATGTAGGAAGGGTCCGACGTCCCTATAGCAAGTATATGAACAAGGAGATCCGATCTGTTCATCATACTCGGTGTAGATCGTGGAATAAAGTTTTTGATTTCGAAATTCGGTGTGGATTTCCCTGGGCAAAGACGATACGGCTTGGTTGGAGCTGATGGCTGGGCCAGACCATCCAGTACGATAACCCCTCGTGCTCGGGGGATTACCCAGAAGCTGCAGGAGCACAGATATGCTCTTGACAGGATGTATACATGTTGAACCGTTTTCACTTTGAATCATCCGTATCCATGCCAAACACGGAGAGCTCGACTCGGGCTCTTATGGACGTTCGAATGAAGTACGATGACTCCATCTGCCACCGTATAGACAATACAGACAGACTGGCCTCTGTGATGGATACCAAATCGTGATGTTCTTGGATTTTGAAGTATATGACCTCGAAGGACAGTCAAAACGCCGATGACTGGGTCCCTGGCGGGTTTCTTGACTACGCGATGATATATAGACCGGAAAGGACAGCTCTTCGGAGGGGTATTAACCGGGCTTGATATCGCCGGCAGCTCCAGCTCTGAGCAGTGTTGAAGCACATGCCTGTCAGTCAACGTTATCTGAAGTGTCTACATGGCATGACCTCACCCCGCATAGAATGTCAGAGGTCCGCTTGTGGACCTGGACGCAACAATACAATCTTCGGAGAAATCGGAACGCGAGTGTCCGTCCACCATCTTGGTTGGTGATTTCAAAATTGAGGTTCTCTAGACGTTATATAATTGACTGGCAGGACATCCAGTGGAAGAGCTTACCCCGTAACGACAACAAGTGTGTCGGTGGGGTCAATTCCAAGAATCTCGTAATGATACTCTAGATGTATAGATATACAGAGGAGAAACTCCGACTCGGAATCTTCCCGAGGGCCCGCGCTAGTCCAGGTTGGGAAAGTACCCATGTGACAGTCAGCTGACAGTGAGTCACTGGCATATCATGTGATGGTCTGTCATGTGACTGGGAGGGGCATCGCTGATCGATAAGATAGACAGAAGCGGAGCAAAGCGTCATGGCGAGATGTCCATTGCAGCCAGGAACCGGTTCATCTCTAGCCAAAAGGAAGATATCTGTAGGTTGCCCGTATTTCCCCTTCCTTAATCGGGGCTAATTCCGCTCCCGGACCCGGATCTGGACGGATTTCTTCCCCCGCATCATCCGACTGGACTGACCTTTGTATCTACAGATTGCTTCGTTCGATACAAAACCATGGACTCGCCGGGTTGACTTCATTATTCTCGGGCTCTTTGATTTCATTGTCGTTTGTGGTTTTTTATAATCGTCTCTAGCGCACTGTGACCGCGTCCCTACGTCGAAAAAATGGTCGTATTTGTGGATTTAGAGAACGATGGGCTCGACCAGAACCACTTCGTGGAGAACCCACACGCCCTATCCCATCCATTCCCTGGGCCCACAAAGCCAGCAATGCGCTACGCCTACTCCACCTCTGTAGCAGAGCATGCGGATCGGACACCCGAATCTCCAGAGTCCCGGGCTATGGCAGACCAACCGGATCTGAACCAGAGCCGCTTTGCAGCTGCTCTCAGCTGCTATCCGTACGCATACGAATGTATAGGCTCAATTGACTTACTGACTCGACATCAGGATTGTCAAGGAGATTGCCCGCGCGGTGGACTTGAATACCATGCACGCGCTCTCCCGGACATGCCGTCGATTTCACGCGAATCTGGGCCCGTACCGCCAACAGCTGTCCAAGATAACTCTGCGCTGCGAAAGCGAACGCGTGGAGACGACATTGGACGCTGAACCCCTGGTGAGAGTGGTGGGCAGTTCGGCCAAAGTCAGACGCGGCAAGTGTGCTCGGGATATGGTGGCCGAGTGTCGAAAGTGCTCGAAGGTCGTTTGTCGGGTGTGTTGTCAACTCCCCTTTTTGCTCTGGTCTTGCGTCTGTCGCCCACTCTTCTATGAATATGAGGACACCGAGACAGCCCCTGTTGGAAAGTTCTGACAAACTAGAACTGCGTGGCCAAACCGGCCACGAACATCATGCTCAAAAGCCGCATCCGGCGTCTCTGCACGACCTGTCTCACGGCTCCGCTATCGCAACTTCAACCACTGGCCTCCTCATGTTCTACCCAATCAGCCGTCCGGCGCAACATCTGCACCTGCAAAGTCTCCATATGGCTCTGCCAACCATGCGGCCAGCGGCTGAGCAGCGACGATCTCGTCCACCGGCAAATGTGGAGCTGGCGCATCAGGTCTTGCGTCAGCGGGAACTGGCAAAGGCTGAGGTGCTGGCGAGGCAAACACTGCCTGGCGGCTCAGGACGTCGAACTGGTGATGGGGTGCGATTCACACGACTCGCTCACCGGCGGTGTCGATTCATTCCACGGTCGAAACGATGCGGAGTCGCCTGACGAGGAATCGTGGGAGGACTTCCGGCAGGACACCGCCGGGATCCGCTTTCGCCTTTTGGGGTCTTACGGCGAGGAAGGGGTGGAGGACCTCCTGCGGCACATCTTTGAGCACGGCGGACCCATCGAGCACACAGTGAGGAAGCACATAACGGTGGGGGCATACACCGAGGATCACGAGGATGAGCGCCGAACGGGCGAATATCTCACGCGGGAGGAGGCAGGTCTGGACCGCGCATGGTGCAACTGGTGCTCGCGGGTGACTCCATCACAGCATGACTTGGATGTTCTACAGTAACCTTGGACTCAGTATAGTATAGTAACTCACTTCTGCAGAGTACTATAACAACCTTGCCTAATTTATTGTCGCACTGAATATATAGGGTTTCTTGCGAAGGCCAAACATATCATTATATTTTCTATGGCCGAGTGATGATTCCTTCTCTTTTAACGCAACAAACCTATACATACAGACATCTATCAACTAACCAACCCAACAATAACACACCAATATTATTAATTCAACTAATTATTATATTGCACAATACCCACCCACCCACACCATCCCATATCTACAAGCAAAGCAAAGTAGGCTCACAGATAAACATAACAAAACGGCCCAGCAGCTGTATCCGACAACTCGCGAATCGTCTTCGGCGCAGCCAACATACTCGACAGATCGATGGGATAGTCGAGCGTCACATTCGGCGCGTCAACGCCAATTCCAGGCATGATGGACGGACCAGCAGCGACGAACGTCCGCTTCGACGGGTCCAGATTCTGCCATGTCCAGAAGGCGCGGTCGATGGCTGCGTGGTGGAGGAAGAAGGCGGGGTCGCCGGGGGAGACGGCGAAGTCCTATTCTTCTTGTCAGTCATTCATTCCTCTATTCATTCCTTACGTATGCCAATGAAGCACAAAGCAGGAGAAAACCAAAGGAAAAATAGCAGTAGGAAAAGACTTACACCACCAGGATCCCCCCCAATCGTATAATGCCCTCCGGAATGAATACCCAGATAGCCCTTGGGAAAGTCGCCCTGCATACGGTCCTGGAATTGCCCGATAGTAGGATAATTCTTAATCAGGTCGATGACATGCTCGGTCGCGGTCCATCTGGAGGCGTCCGTGGAGATATCACGACGCAGACAGCGCGGGTTGTAGCCCAGGCCGTGGGTGGGGTCGTCCTGCGGGGGTTCCAGGCCGGGGATTTTCAGGCTGGGGAGGACGGGGCCGAGGTTGACTTTCCAGCTTGATTATAGTCAGTTTTCGTTCTATCTTTCTATTCAAGATGTGTGTGGGGGGAGGGGGGGATGATAAGGAAGGTGGGGGGAGGGGTACTTCTTAAACGGCCCAGAGGTAATACAACCACCTCCCTTCCCAGGCTTCAGGATAATACCCGGGGCCGCCTCGGGACCCTCATGCTCGACGAAGGACCCATCGCCAGACATGCTGTACTCGGAGCCATCAAACATGGGAGAAGAAAGAGGGTCGGCGGCGTATTTGTTCCAGGCGTAGTAGGGTTGAGCCCCTTTGTAGCCGCACTCGTTACGCAGGGCTTGCTCGTAGGCCCAGGTGAAGTAGCGGTGCCAGGTGAGGAAAGAGCCCTTGATTTCCAGAATTAGTTCTACTCAAGCTCGTGTCCCGGAATTATGGAGGGGAGGGGGGGGAATACGGTGGCATGGATATAGATCGTCTGGTTGATATGCACGGCGACAAAGTCGTCGTAGCGATTGCGCGCGCCGGGGGCGAACGAGGGGTCGGATTTGGACGGCTTCGAGTGGAGACAGTTGACGGCGGAGATGTAGTCTTTTCGTTCGCGCTTGGATAGGGATCCCCTGTTTGTGTCTCAGTCAACTTATGGCTCTTTTGTTATATCCTTGATTACTGATCTGGTTGATTGAAGATAGAACCAGATAACATACCACTCGCGACGAACCGACACCGTCTTCGGGTTACAGGAGCCATGCCCCTTGTGAGACGAATGATACTGCGCTTGATTGTGAAGTGCTTTCCCAGCCAGCGCGTCCCAGGGATCAGTGGGCGAGGCAGATGCTGGCGAAAAGGCCAGCAGAGCTGCTGTTGCTACTAGATGCCAGCGCATTTCTTTCCTTGGAGATAGACCTGGAGATCTTCACTGGAGAGGAGAAAATCACATCGCAAAAAGATAAGAACAGCAGGGATCGCGAGTTAAATATTGCATGCTCAAGAGTCGTGTCTCAAGCTTGTTCATCCATTAGGCTGGCGCAGGCAGCTAATCTCCTACTAGTGTCGACGGTGCCATGTTGGCCGTCGGTTAGGGCTCGATCGGATGTAACTCCGCCGGTCTATCCTGAATGCGATTGTCGATGTCTCACCAGTGGAAAGACGGGTGATTTTATCCACTTATTGGGCTGGGTAGTATTTAAGCCAGTCATTAGGCTGGATTGTTCTTAGGCCACTTATTAGACCGGATTATATCTAGGACTAAATAGGAGATTAGCCAAGTTGCTCGGATAAAAGCGTGTGGGGACTGGGGTCTATTAGAAAGACTCCTCACTGTTTAACCACTATGTCGCTATCCAATAATTGGGGCTATAGCTGTCAGTGCTTATAGGTAGGTATAATTCAGATCATCAATTGAATCAAATAATCAGCGGAGAATTTCCTTTGACAGACGCCACTCCACCCCGCTGGACAGACAATCCCCATGTTGGGTCGCCACCCGCACAATAGATTGATGTCTTACACCCCTGTCAGCATATAGATTAACTGGCAAATTGCGAGGACAGTCAGCAGGGAGGAAGACAATTCCCATCCTCCTTAAAATCTCGAGTGATTGACCCTTTGTCTGTTTACCCCACTGGAGTCAGGTACAGACCCGTCGTTCGTGTCTGATCGTCGATCGACCAGAGCACGAGTGAATGTCCGATCCAACATTACGAGACTCATATTCTGAGTTGGGTTGATTGACCGGAGATCGTCCCTCTTTAGTCGAGAATCGCGCTGACAGGGGACATATGAGTCCACCAGTTATAGCTCAACTTCCCAGACTTAGGGCCAAATCTTAGTATGATCCACTCGATATCGAACCCTAATTGACCTCCTGGAATCAGCCAACTCCACCTTTTCGATGCATACATTGAATAGAAAAAGCAACAACAGACCAAACGAGTCATGCAAGTTACAATCCAATGACACGCGCTTTTGTATCCACTTCGAAGAGACAAAAAGATAAGCTGCCTCTCGTCCCCGTCAATAGTGCATGGCCACTGTAACATCGGCTTCGTATGCGGAGTCTGTTTCAGACTCCATGGCTTGCATACATCCCAGTCTAGTGGGCGCCTCCGAGGAACTCCGTAGGACAATGGGTCCCCGAAGGTTTGGCTATGGCGTGGGGCTGCAGAGCTGGATGGGATGGTTTAATCAAGTGAAATGAAGCCTCTTCGCCTAGTCATCGAATGTATATTATTCTTCGCCTAATTTTGGGGGCGGTTGTATTATGCCGTCGGACAGATGATTGTAAATCCGTTTGTATTTACTCTCTGCTTTGAGTATTATAAGTCTCATTCCCTGCTTTCCACCATATGGTTTACCTTGTCGACGCCTCCACCGCCGAAAGCCCAATGACCCGCTGATATGGCGACAGAAGAGTCGCCTCTGCAATTGGTGACGAGGCAGACCAAATTCCCCCTCGAGACCACCGGCGACACCAGAGCACCTCATATCCTCGCCATCGTCGGCTTCCTCACCGGTCTGTCGGCCCTCCTCATCGTGCTCCGTGGCTACGTGCGCCTGTACATCCTCCGCAGATTCGACATTGAAGATGGAGTCATTATCGCAGCCCTAGTAAGCTCTTTTTCTCTTTGTCTAATAGCAACATCCCTCACCATCAACACAGTTATGCGCCTTTGGAGTCCTCGCGTGTTTCGTCGGTGAATCGTTCCACGGCCTAGGCCACTACAGCGATGACATCGCCATGGCGGATTTTGGGGTCCTGAACGAGTGGATGTTCTACCACGCTATTGTGATCGTGCTGGGCATCAGCCTCGTCAAGGTCTCGCTAGGGTTCTTCCTGCTGCGATTTGCGGCGAGGAAACGCGCTCTACGGTGGTTTATTATTGGGTGTTTGAGTAAGTCTATCTTAGTTCCCTCTAACCTACATAAATGATATTGAATATCTAACTAAACAGTCTTCCTCGTCCTCTTCACCATTGCCTGCATCTTAACCCTCGTCCTCCAATGCTTCCCCATACAAGCAGCGTGGAACTTCGCCCTGCGCAGAACAGCCAAGTGCTACTCGACAAAGACGTATCTGGCCATTGCGGAGTTTAACAGTGGTATGAATGTCTAATCTGTGTGTCTGGGAGTGTTCACTAACTAGATAGCCATCAACATTGCGACGGATGTCGTCTTCGCCACGCTGCCGGTGTTTATGTTCTACAATATACAGGTCAACCGGTGGACCAAGATCTCCCTCATGGGTATTCTGAGTTTGGGATATTTGTACGTGTCTTGCAGTCGGTTGACTTTTAGACACTAACTCGTACAGTGCCTGCGCCGCCGCTATCGTCAAAGCTGTTCTTCAGAGTCGAATCTTTAAAGAGCCTGATTCTTTCCGGTATGTCCACTATCAATACATATATAAAATTATATCCCGTTAAGAACATCCTCAATACTAATTTAAGTGATAGCGAATGCAACTACCTCATCTGGAACTGGTGTGTTAATATTTCCCCCCACCTTTGCCCTTTCACTATTTCATACGTACACATATATATCACGCGCTTTAAAGGATCAAACTAATAACCCCCAGCGCCGAACTCAACATCGGCATAGTAGCAGCCTCCTTCCCAACCATCAAACCACTCATGAAACGCGTCCTCGGCTCTACCCTCAACCTCACCGGCGGCGCCAGCGGCAGCCGCTACGGAAAACGCTCCGCCACAATCAGCAGCAGCCAGCCCCTGCACTCGCTGAAACGCAGCCGCGCCGACCACGACTACCACGAGCACCTCGTCGACGATATGCAGATGCAAAATAACATCATTAATAACAATGACAACAATAACTACTCTGTGCGCGTGGCGAGCGACCAGGATAAGGGGGCGAGTGGGAGTGCTTACTCGCTAGACGGCAGTGAGGAGGGTTTGGATCCGAGGCCGCGGCCGCGGCCGGATCCTCACTCTTATCATTACCGCCACCAGTTCCCGGCGAGGAGTGAGATTTTGCGCACGACGGAGGTGATTGTGCAGAGAGAGGATAGTCCGGATTGGGATCGGGATGGGAATGTGGGGAGGATTTGAGGGTTTTTATGGATGTTAAAACACTTCTTATATCGTTTGTTCTAACTCCCCCTTGTTTAACAAAAAGAAAATGATTTATGTGACACTGTTATACAGAGGTTGGCTTTATTATTCCCTGGTCAGGTCTTTGCATTCATATCCGCTCTACTCTCATTATTCAGGTCTTGATCTGACTTGTTATGTAAATTGATATACCTAAAATCTAACGGATTGAGCCGTGTCTATGTTTCTTTCTTAGTATATAAATTGAAATAGGAGATTACCGGCTTCTACCTTTGTGTCTCAAGCCAACCGACTATCAATCATAGCAGCAAGGTCCGACAGAACAGGGCTCTTGAAAAGATCAACCACACTCAAATTCCACTGCTCACCGCGCATCATACGGACCAAGCGCATCGCACTGATAGAGTTACCCCCAAGACGCAGGAAGTCGTCATCAGCCGCAATAGCCTGCGGGTCAACCTGCAGAACAGCCGCCCACATCGACTGCAGTCGTTGCTCGGTGGGCGTGGCTGGAGTACGGCGATCCCCTCGAGACGGCTGGAGCTCAGCGAGCTGCCCGAGCGTCCAGCGGGAGCCGATCTCACGGAGCCGTCGCCGGTCTGTCTTCCCGGTTACCGTACGGGGGATTTGGTCGACTGGGAGGAAGACCGTGGGGACCATATACGGGGGCAGGAAGCGGGCAATCTGATCGGTGACGCCCGCTGTGAGTCGGGCGAGAGAGTCGCGCACCTCCGGAGGGTTCTGGCTGTCGACGTCGATGGTGATAAAGGCTGCTAGGATGGGCGAGTCAGACCCCTGGGGGACGATGAGGTCAGCGGCGACGGTGTTTGTCGCCATCGTTTGTCGGAGATGATGCTCTACTTCTCCCAGTTCTAGACGCTGGCCGCGCAGCTTGACCTGCGCGTCTTTGCGCCCCAGGAGCCTCATCTGGCCGTCGCTGCGGAGGATGGCCTGGTCCCCTGTTACGTAGAAGCGCGATTCCTTGGCGATGGGGAGACCCAGAGCTTTTCGCCATGGAGGGGGTGCGATAAAGGTCGCGGTGGTCTTGTCGGGATTCCCAATATATGCGCGTCCGACGACTGGTCCCTCCACCACGATGTCCCCCGGTGCTCCCACGGGGGCCAGTTGAGTCCCGTCGTCCGTCACGATCCAGCATCGGGCAGTGATACCGTGGCCAATGTCTCCCGGGTGGGAGTGGGCATTCAGCTGCTCCGACGCGACGAGGCAAATCTCGGCGCAGCCCCATGTCTGGCGCAGGTGGACTCGGTCCGACCAGGCCTGAATCTGATTGGGGTGGATGGGCTCCCCACCCACACAGAGGGTCTTGAGTGAGGGGACTACATTGGGCGAAATGGTGGACAACACAGTGGCTGTCATGAACGACCAGGTGGCCTCCGACTCGCGGATGCACCGGCCCACATCCTCGCGTCGTTGCTGGTCGGAAGGAATGCAGACACACCCTCCTTGGAGGAGGGGAAACAAATGTTCGAAGAATGAGGCTGCGAAGCTGTAAGAGCTGAATTGGAATAACCGGGTGGTGGCGTCGATGCCTAGCACTGGGGCATGATGCAGCGCCGATGTGACGTACGATCGATGTTCGACCACGCACGCCTTTGGGTCACCAGTACTGCCCGATGTCGACAGAACGAGAGCAGCTGATGAGGGGGAGGCTCGCGAAGTCAGGGTATCGTGAGATACGGCAGGTAGCCCCGACACCAAGTCGCCGTTGACAACCAGGAATGTGAGACCCAGCTGCTCTCCTGGAGGAGAGATCGTTGAGGAGCCCAGCACCAGGCTGGCATCTACCTTTCGACAGAGAAAGCGGCGCCGGTCTATCGGAAAGGTGGGATCGAGCAGAAGAAACGCCCCGCCAGCTTTCAAGACTGCCAGCATCGCCACGGGCATCCACATGGATTTATCGAAGCACAGCGGGACCACAACCTCACGGGCCACGCCCAGTTCCACAAGCCGATGGGCGAGCCGTGTCGCCATTTCATCCAGTTCTCCGTATGTCATATGGCCGTCCCAGGCACACAGAGCCGGGGCGTCGGGACGCTGCTGAGCCTGTTCTGTAATCATATCGTGGAGGCAGCGGTCGACCATCGGCGGTGAGCTGTCGATGGCCCAGCCACAGACATCGTCAATATCTAAGTCGCTGGCAGCACTTAGATATTTCACAGGTACAATCTCCGTGCTACGCTGTGCCAGCTGTCGAACCAGGGCGCCAAGCTGCTGGGAGATTCGTCGGGCCTGCGAGCGGTCTATTACCTGCCGGTCAAAGCTGACCCGCACCAAGACGCCGTCGGTCTGCAAGCGACATTCAAGCATCAACGCGCACGGGCTGAATGCGTGGAGACCCGCAACATCAACCTGGTCTAGCTGGTTGATGGAGGTTTCATTGAAAAGAGAGGCTCCCGGAATCTCAGCCGGTGACGGAGGTTGCACTACCAACAAGGTTTGAAAATCGGGCATCGGCCCCCCTGCATGACGCACGATCTCTCGAATGCGCGCCAGTCCAGTCTGCTCGAACCGAGTAGTTTCCACTCCCTGTCGCTGCACTTCGTGAAGAAAGGCACCCACGGGGCTGTCCCATGAAAGCCGTACCTGAACGGGTACCGTAGCGATAGTCGGACCAGCCAATTCCGCCACTCCCGGTAGAGGCGCTTGTCTCCCAGAGACCGTAACACCAAATATTACATCGGGATTAGCCGTATATCGTGCCGAAAGGATTGCCCACGCGGCACGAATCACCGTTGATGCCGTGATCTCCCGGCGCGGCCACTGGATTCCACTCTCACGGTGTTCCAACGTGTCGTTGGCCAGAGGCTGGTAGCTAGGAGTGGGGAGAGAGGGAAAGCTCGCGGCTTGGGAGTCGATAAACTGATCCCGCCAGAAAGTGTTGGCCGTCCCTATAGCACTCTTGGTATACTCGACGAACCGGTTGAAAGGTGACATGGACCCGAGAGCCTCCCCGCGGTACTGGCGTTCGACCTGCCGGATAACCTGCAACATCGATACCGCATCATACAGGGCGTGGTGAATTGTCCAGATGCACTGACACTTGCCCCCAAGGCTTTTGGCGTCAATCAAAGCCAATCGCATCAACGGCTGACCCAGACCCATGGATGACTTTTCATCCTTATCTAGGTAAGATTCTAGGGCGGCCTGGGTCTGCCATTGAGGTTTTTCTGCCAATACCACCTGGACCAGCCCCTGGGAGGGAAGGTCGACAATGCGAGTGCGTAGGATGGGCATGGCGTCAATAACAGTATCCCACGATCGCTTGAATCGCTCTAACACAACGTCGCCGTGGAGTTCCAGAACCTTCTGACTGACGTTGGCCGCTGTTTGTTTGGCGGTCATGGCAATCAAGCCTTCCTGCAGTGGGGTACAGGGTAGAATGTCCTCGACACCGGCAGCTGCGACGTCACAATCCACGGCAACCTGCCGTCGCAGCGTTTCAAGATCACAACCCGGCTTCAGGAGAGCAAACGCAGGAATATCCCGCTCGGGAGTGGTGCTCCATTGCGCACTCTGCGCCATGTCCTCGAGCCGGGGCGCTTTGAAAATGTCTTCCACCGCCAGAGTAATGCTCTCCTCGCGTGCGGCGGTCACCAGCTGCATCGCACTCAGCGAGTCACCCCCTAGGCGGAGGAAATTGTCGGTCAATGTGATTGGACCAATATGCAAGATCCGAGACCATAGGCGCTGCAACTGTCGTTCCATATCAGTCTGGGGCATTCGCTGCGGCTGGTTCCCGGACCCTGGCTTTGATACTTGGTCCCGCAACAGCCTAGTGGCTATCTCTCTGAGACTGCGTCGATCGAGCTTGCCGGAGGCGGTGGTTGGGATCCGGTCGATTGGAAGAATGGCGCTAGGCACCATGTGTGCTGGTAATCTCTCGCGAAGGAATCGGTCCAGTGCTAGTGCGTCTGTCGAACATGCCAGACATGCTAATAGGACGAGGGAGGGAGCCAGGCTATCCCTTCGCCGAATAACCTCTGCAGCTGCTGAGGGACCTTTACCACAGGTCATATTGGAAAGACACTGACGAGCGTGAGCTTCGACCTCGCCTAGCTCCACCCGCTGACCGCGGATCTTGATCTGGGTATCTCGACGCCCAAGGAAGATCAGTTTTCCATCAGATCGTTGCCGCACGAGATCCCCCGTTTTATAGAGGCGTGAGGCTTCACGCTGCAGCAGCCCATCCAACCAGGGAGGTTGCGATAGGAACGCCTTGCTTGTCTGGGTGTCGTTGTGGAGGTATCCCCGTCCTACACTTGGGCTTTCGATCACCAGCTCTCCAACGGCTCCAATTGGCACGAGACGACTGTGGTCGTCTGGATTGACCACCCATAAGGAAGACCCAACCCCGGTTCCAATTACCCGGTGGTCGATTGATGATCCAGCTACCTCCATAGTTGCGCTGACACCAGCACATTCTCCTGGGCCATAAGCGTTGAGCAACCGCACGCGCGAAGCCCAGGCTGCCGGCTGAGATGGCGTCATGGGTTCACCAGCCAGAACCAGGTGACGCACACAGGGGACACGGTCTGGATTGATTAGGTCGGCTGTGGAAGGAGTCAGACTCATCCAATTTACCTCGTGATGTACGATGAATTCTTCAAGACGGTTAGACCGCTGCGACTCACTAGGCACGCAGAGACTCCCCCCGTGCATGAGTGTGAACAAGATGTCGCGATAGCTGACACTGTAGGCGAAGTGTGCAAATTGCAAGACTCGAGACTGTTCGTCCAGCCCCAGCACTGGTGCGTTGGATATGGCAGCGGCGCAGAAGGCACCATGGTCGATAGTCACGGCCTTGGGGGTGCCCGTGGAACCTGATGTAAAAAGCACGCAGGCTGTGTCCTGGCCACTGACCCTTACTCCGGATCCATTTGCTGGCTGCGTGTTGACTTCTTCCGCCTCGCTTGACACGCAAATTACATCAAGATTCAACTCCTTCCCAATAGAGACCAAGTCGGGTGAGGTGAGCACAATACCAGTCTGCAGTTGGGTACACATCCCCTTAAGTCGGGAGATAGGGTCGTTAGGACTTAAGAACACAAAGGCGCAGCCAGCTTTCAGAACTCCTAACAGGGCAACAACCGCCCATTTGGACTTTTCGAACAGCAGGGGTATCATCTGGCCGGTCCCTGTCCGCGCCACCAAAAGCCCCGCCAGGTGCGTTGCAAGGCCTTCAAGCTCAGAGTAGGTCCACTCGCCGTCCCAGGCACTCACAGCCTGCCTATGGGGTTGGCGTTCGCATTGTGCCTGAATGGCCTCATGCACGGTACGGTCCGGCATGCCCGGTGGTAGTGGGTTCCAATTTCGGATCTGTTCTAGATGGGTAGAGCTGCAGCGATTCAGGTCCGCCAGCCTCCTGTGGCCGTCGTTGGAGATCTGTTCGAGCAGATGGCGAAGGGTGTGGGCCACGTTGGCGGCCTCGTCGGGCCCCCAAATAGAGGTACTGTACTCCAAAGTGGCTTGAAGCGGTTCGTCTGTGGAAGCTGTTGGTGAGTGGATGCGCACGAGCACCTACGAAGTTCGAAAATTTAGCGGCCATATTGCAATAACACCAAGGAACTTTTATCATACCTCTAGATCGACTCCGTCCAGGTCGGGCTCTCGTCCCCCGAGGCCAATGGAAGAACCGACGGAGATGGCAGTGTTGAATGACTCGATGTATTTAGTAACTGCCCCCCAGGCTACACCATCAAAAATCTGGAATACAGATTGATCTGGCGGCAGATGCACACGGCGGGCGAACGGCCGGGCCGTCTGTTTGCAGAGCTGCCCATGTTCTGTAGGCGACGGGATGTATCCGAACACCACTCGATCAGATCCCGTGTACGACTGCAAAACCAAAGCCCAGGAAACCTGAAATAGGTCCAGGGGCGTGACTCCCAAGGGAACCGTGACACTGGAAAGGTCCGGTATAGGTTCCGTGTTGAAGCCAGCCTTCTGCGGCGTGGGAGTTCGGCTTGGGAACAGACCCGTCCATTGTTCATCTTCTCGATCAGTAGGTTTGGCTTCCATGGTCAACGTGTTGTAAAGGAAAGACGGACGAGGCTTCCCAGGATGAAAATGGTCCTAGTTTTCCAAACGATGACGAGACCCGTCACAGACACCATTGCTCGTTTGGTAGTTATACATCCAGCATTGACCCTCATCCTTCGCAATTAAAATCGGTCTGACGTGTCCCGGGCTCTCTCTACCCCCATGTCCACTCCTATCCGAAGCAACCGGTGTTGAGTGCATGAGTCGTTGAGAGTCCAGCGGCTGGGAGAGGCGATTCTGAATTCTAGCCAATAGCTGTAGGCTCCATGGGGACATTTTAATTCCCTTCGGACCCGTCATCCAAGGGTATATCTGCCATGCAGTAGTACAATGGACGCTTTCAGTCAGCCACAGTCCCCACCTGACGTTGATGCCGTACCACCATGCATGATGCATGCAGGCACTAGATAACTTTAAGACGCCAAGGTAAATATGGGCACTTTGCGACAGAAGGCGGTGAAGAGTTGCGTTTACGCATAGCTGACTAATCCAATCCTCTATACTTTCCTTTCGTCCAATAACATCCTTTATTGATATATACTACATGCGGCCTCAATGGACGAACGATATCCTCATCTATATCTGCCTGATCAATCTTAATTGTGACAGAGTCTGATTCATGTCAAGGAGAAAGCTTCACAAGAACAAAAACTTCTACAGCTCTTTGCTCGCTCCTAGACCGTTGGACCCACGTCATATATCATGGTCAGGACCTAGCGTCTCTCAAGAGCCACAAGCTGAGAACCATCCTTCAGGGCTTGCATCCATTGGCCTGGACCATTGACCGACTTTTCTTGTACCTGGCAGCAGAAATTGTTCTTTTTTTTTATGGGATGGTGATCGGCATGGTGCAGGCAAGGTGACTGGTCTAACTTCCGCTTCCCCAGTGGCAGAGACTGGGATTTGGTAGGCTACCGTTCTGGGATAAAACGTCTCTAGTGATACTTTAGACCTTTTTCTTTCGTGACAAAGATACCCTGAATCCTACCCTATATTTTCTTTTTTTTTTTTTTTTTTTTTTCCATAATGGCAGCTCGACAAACGGCTTTTAAGGCAAAGAAGCTGAGCGGCATTCCGGACAGCCTTCAGGCGTCTCTTAGCAGGTCCCGCGCCGCCTATCACCAAGTGGGCACCAGTGGACTGAGGATCTCCAATCCTGTCTTTGGGGGTGCGCATATTGGTAGCTCCAGGTGGTTCCCCTGGGTGATGAATGAAGAACAGGTGACAATCTTTCCGTCGAAAAGTGTATCCGGTATCTGTTCCTCACATAATGCCGTGTTCCGCATTTAGGCCATTCCCCTTCTGAAGGCGGCGTATGATCGAGGAATAAATACAGTCAGTCAAGCCTCATCATCAAATATTCCTTGACGAGAAATTTAGCTGACTTGGACTCAAGTGGGATACCGCCAATATCTATTCAAATGGCGAGTCCGAGCGCATCATGGGTCGCGCTCTTCGACACTACAATATACCGCGGCGGAAGGTGGTGTTGATGACCAAGTGCTACCGGGTGGTTTGCGACGAAGAGAACTATGACCCTGGCAGTGGGGTGAATTTTCATAACGATTTGGGCAATCAGAGCAAGGACTATGTCAACTCTTGCGGTACGAACCCAGCACTGCTCTCCCCCTCCCTGGTAGTTCGTACTGTCTAATATGGATACCGCCTAGGATTATCCCGATCCGCCATCTTCAACGCCGTGGAGGCGTCCCTGGAGCGATTGGGATCAACATACATTGACGTTCTTCAAATCCACCGGTTCGATGAAGAAGTGTCCCCGGAAGAGACCATGCATGCCCTACACGATCTAGTTCGAGTGGGCAAAGTGCGATATCTCGGCGCCAGTTCGATGTGGGCCTATCAACTCGCCATCCTCCAGCACACAGCCGAAAAATATAACCTGACGAAGATTATCTCCATGCAGCATCACTACAACTTGCTATACCGGGAGGAGGAGAGGGAGATGATTCCCTACTGTCGTCAATCCGGCGTCGGCTCGCTAGCGTGGTCTCCCCTAGCATCGGGTCAGCTTGCGCGAGCCCCCGAAAAAAACGGCACGACCCTTCGCTCTCAGGCTCACAAAACCGGAGCCTTCTATCTCAATGCAGAAGGGGAAAACTCAGACTTGATCCTTTCGAGGGTGTGGGAGATTTCCCAGGCTCGGGGATGGCCCCCTAGCCATGTGGCTCTGGCGTGGTTAGCTCGCCGCGGGTCGATTCCCCTGATTGGTTTCGGCTCCGTTGAACGGATTGACGAAGCCTTGGATGCACGGGATAAGTGCCTTACGCTTGAGGAGGAGGCTTATCTGGAAGAAGTCTACCGGCCACGGGCGATTGAGGGACATTGCTGAACAGAACAAGAACACCCGTTGGTGGATGTGATTTTATGTTAGAGTGGGCTACGGAGGTGTTCAAAAACTACACATGCTCAATATAATGGTTCTAGTCGTAATTACGGGATATACTATGTAATGATTGTATCAGATGTTGTCTCACGACATCCTTCCTCAGACCAATATGTGGAGGACAATGATGATCTTCTTCTAGAATAACTTGGTAATAGGGGGGTTCCAAGTACTGGATTGGGCATGATGTCACTGGGTCCTGGCAATATGAACCATAGTCTTTTATCCTGCCTTCAAAGTTTTTCCCTTCCATCTATATAATCTTTTGGTTCGTCGTTTAGGCTACCAAGCCATCCCCCTGAGACATCTTACTTAGAATGTCATTTACACCAAGAACAAAGCTAAATTATCCCGTACAAGAATGACTTGAGTATAGTGTAGACCCCTAAGATACACACTATCAAGTCACCACGTCCTATAATCTATCCAGAATCTCTCCTACCCTGCCACATTCGAGCCAGCCACCGTGAAGGCCGCGCAATCCAACCCCCTACCAAATTGAGTATATGCCAGATTGAAGGAAGTAGAGATAATGACGGCGGGGCATTGATTCAATTGATAATTTATCCGGAGCCAATGGGTGTGATGTATCTATGAACTTCAAGCATATTGAGCCTGTATACGGAGTAGGGCTCAGTCCATCCATGCAAGCCCCCCCCAAAGCTCATTCCCTGCTCTTCGCTCTCCTGCGTCGTCGGCGGTGGCGCTCCTAGATCAGGTTAAAAAGGACTATTTTTAGCTATGAGACAAGTGACCGCTTTTTCCAGTTGGGCTTGGCTTCTGAGTGGCGCTAGGGGGTGTGAGAAACGGTTAAATCTCCATCATGACATGTATCTGCCCTATACTCCGAAGTATCATCGGAATTAATCACCGGTAGCTTCATCCATTGAGTGGCCTCGTATAGATGTTAACTCGTTACATCCGAACATCCAAAACGGCGCATAAAGAGTCAGACCCCTCATGTCCACTCTAGACGACGATCAGCGTCGCAGGATCTAGAGCTATCGGGTTATACGTCTTTTCAGCAGTAGCGCCTCTTATCGCCCCACCCGGGTAGCTTTTCTCTTCTAGAGGCCAGAAAGCAATTAATCAATCGATTTGACACGTCCGTAACGGAAGATGGCCCTCCCTTTCCCCTTTGGGCTTTTTCAATTCTTGTCTGCGAACGGGCTGACCGCCGCTTTCTGGGCGGCTAGCTATCCTATGCTATTGCTATCATAGACTACCCACCCAGCCTCAGCCCGACTACGTGCATTGATCGGGTCTAATCTGGGCAGATACCGAATAAGCCCTTCTATGCAATGATGGAGCTATTCATGCATGTTACACAATAATCATCCATGGCTGAGATCAGCACTTTATCTGGTGTGGCGCGATTCTGTATTGTTCTTGGCGGTCCTTTCTTTCCTAGTGTCATGGCGCTATCTGGAATATGACATGTGAGAACAAGGCAAGAGCAAGCAGTGAATTGCTGTCCATGCAGCCATGAGACAGATCTGTCGGACCCAGGGCGCAAAGAAGCGGTCAATTATGCGATGTACAGAAATGCAGGTTCGTCGTATGCCAGCGTTGAGCAACGCGTTGCTACATGGTAGACGTCAAAGTCTCCGGTAGAAGGAGAGAGGAGGCAACCGATAAATAGATGCAAAGGCTTCAAGGTAATAATTCTAACGCTTCTCCAATTTCCAATTTTGAACCACCTACGTACCATATCACAGCCAATCTGCCACTACAGTTGACTTCCACGCAAAGATGACAAGGTCGGATCTCTCAGCTTCGAAGGGGGTGAATGCCGCGGGCGATGGGATTATCACGCTTGAGGCCACGGGTGACAACCACCCAGCGGTGGATATTTCAGTTCATCAAGATCCTCTTGTCAAACCCAAGCCCAGTTCCAAGCACATCATCATCATCGGCGGGGGCGTCAACGGGCTCATGACAGCATGGGTCCTTCTTGACAAGGGATACCGGGTTACGATATTGGCCAAAGAATGGGCCTGGACGCAAGACTGGCAAAACTCACGCATCACGTCCCAGATCGCAGGAGCTCTCTGGGAATACCCACAGGGGGGGTGCGGTCTGAAAGAGATTGACGTAACCGAGCCTGGATGGTCGACCAAATATCACTATCGAGAGTGGACTCTCCAGGCCTACGAGTTCTACCACAAGATGAACACCATGCAGCAGGGCCGGATGGCCAAGGAGTTCGGGGTCGGCATGGTCAAGATCAACCTCTTCTTCTACCACGACCTGAACAAGGAGAACGAGTTTAACGCGGAGGACTATGAGAAGTTCCACATGATCCGAGAGGACGCGAGTGCGAACAAAATCCTTGGCTTTGAAAAGTACGGACCGGAGCGCGTTCAACAAATAGTCGAGAGTCTAGGATCCGACGACGCGTGGAAGCGAGACCTGCGCCACGGATACGGCTACGACGCTCCAAACGTCGACTCAGACCGCGCAATGGTGTTCCTAATGTCAATCGTCGCCAGCAAGGGCGCCCAGCTAGAGACGCGCGAGCTAAAGGGAAAACCCCTATCCGAGTTTGCAAAGGATTTCAAAGACAACATGGGCGCCGACGCAATCATCAACGCCACGGGTCTAGGGGCGGGTGAGCTCGTCGGCGACCCCGACGTTTTCCCCGTACGCGGGGCACTCATCCGCATCGACAACAACAAACGAGAGCGTTTTGAGCCCCTGCACGAGGCGTGTATTGTCCCCGCGCAGATGGACGCCGACGGGCTCCTCCGCAAGGGCATCTGGCTGTTCCCGCGCGTGGACGGCACTCTCATTGTGGGCGCCCTGGCGCAGCCCGCAAACGACGTGCTGAACCTGACACAGAATTCTCCGGAGATTGGGCTCATGTGGAAACGGGCTCGTTCGTTTCTCCCTGCTATCGGCGATGCGCGCACGGTTCCTCATTATCCGCTGGCGCAGGGGTTGAGGCCCTTCACTAAGCGGAATGTCAAGGTCCGGGCCGATCTTGATATCGACCAGCTTCCGGTGGTCCACAATTATGGGCATGGGGGCTCGGGATGGGCGCTGGCCCCTGGAACGGCGAGGACTACCGTCCATCTTCTGGAGCTGATGCTCAATGAAGGGTACACTGGGAGGGACGCGAACCGCCAATACTATGGCTGTAATCCTGGCGAAAAATGAGTCATATGCAATTTGCTGTGAGCAAAAGTAGAGGCTAAATAAGGAGACAAGATCAGAGTCGTTAGAGTCAGTTTAAAATAGAATATAAGCCTTGTCCATCCGAGGTTTAGGGGTAAATCCATTAGATGAAGGCGATTTTTACCGTAGCCCGGGCAAGAATATAACACTCTATGGTATCATCCAACTACTGATATCAGTATATCAGGCTTGCTCTTTATAATGGTATTAATAAAAACAAGTCCAATTATATCTTATAGGATAAGCCTACTTTTTACATCTTGCAGAATTGTTTGAATCATTTCAGATTCTTGCAGGTTTTGGAGGATTTCGACTCTAACCCTAACCCTGTTCACCCCGGCCCAATCCAGAGCTCAAAACAAGGAGCCATAACCTGGATGGATTGTGCGTGAGTTTGTCTTAGTATCTAACTCGAGGCTCCATTATTTCAACATAGCATAAATCAATTAAATCACTTCACTGCGCGCACAGACGTTTAATGGTGGTTTTCTTAATATAGGTGTCGCTCGATATTTGAGATGGGCGTGTTGTTTGTCTTCCTACAAGTATCAGACCATTGGGGATATTGTAGGTTTAAGGTATGTGGTAAAGACCAGTCATACCCAAGACCTTTTGCGGTCCGTATGCATTACTCAGGTAAATGAATCTGAAAGTGACTCTTTTTGTTCCATCCAGCCCTAGGGAGCTGGTAGGGAGCGCAGAACTGAAGGGATTTGTTACCCAGGACACAAAGATCAGACGATCAAAAATTGCTTCAGAGTATTACAGCGTTGCATCTTGCGTGCTTTTAGATACTACCTACTGTTGTCTTAATTGTCTCCGCAGTATGCGAGAGATGATTCACCTGGTGAATATTTCAGCAGTATAAGCAGGGACTACTTTCAGACGCGTTTTTTTGGCTCCCCCTGTCATCACGAACTTTGATATTTTTATAGGGTTGCATCGTGTTGTCCACGAAAATCCCAGACGCACCCTACGTACTTCCTTGATTGTCTTACTGCTGCGATGGAATGTCTCCTCGATTAGTCCCGATTTTGAATTATTAGGGGCTTCGAAACATTCGAACAAGGGTACATGAGATACAGTAAGTAAAAATATAGGAGATATAAATATATAACCAAAACCCCTTCTAGGATATCCCGAATGATAAGACAATGAAATCAAATAGAATCGCCAAAACTCGCAGCAACCCCCCCCCCCCCCTTCTCCACGACCTCCTCAGTCACAACAGAGAATATCCTCACGAGTAATACCACTCCGGTCACACATCGCTCGGAAGATCCCATCCGGTCGATCCCACAGCACAACCGGCGCATCCATCTCCGCGATCCGACCCTGATCCATAACGCAGATGCGGTCGTAGTGCATGATCGTGCGCAAGCGATGCGCAATACATAGTAAGGTCCTCCCCGCAAAGCCCTGCGCCATCGTCCGCTGGATCTTCCGATCTGTCTCGAAGTCCACAGAGGAGGTAGCCTCGTCACAGACGATAATGCGCGTGTCGCGCACAAGCGCTCGTGCAAGAGCCATCAGTTGCCGCTGGCCGAGGGAGAAGTTCAGGCCCTCTTCCTCGACGGGGGACTCCAGCATGAGTCTGTTTGCTGTCGGGGGTGTTCTTCCGTTGCTGCTTGTACCGGAGGCGCAGGTGGTGGCAGTGGTGGCCCCGCTGGCTGAGCTGTTGGGGGGCTTTTCGTCTTCGGGGTCTTCGCCGTGGCCGGTTAGGTATGCCTTGCGGAGAGCGGACCATAATTCTAGGTCGTTGTGCTCGTTGAATGGGTCCAGGTTGGATCGAACGGTCCCCTTGAATAAGGCCGGGTCTTGCGGGATAATGGTCAAGCGAGATCGGAGGGCCTGAAGGCCGATGGTTGAGATGTTGATATCGTCGATTTTGATAGTGCCTTCGGACAGCTCGGTAAGACGGAAGAGTGCAGACATGATACTCGATTTACCTGCCCCTGTGCGGCCGATAATACCAATTCGCTCGCCTCCTTGGATGTTCATGCTGAGGCCCTTTAGAACAAGCGGTAGGCCAGCCCTATACCGCATCTGCGCGTTGTTGAACTCGATATGACCATGCTCGGGCCAGCTGGCGGACGCCTCGACCTGTTGATGCAGCGGCGCCTCTTCATCCAACTCAGTGCCATAATAGTGAACTCGTTCTGTGGCGTTCATGTTGTTCTCGATCTCAGCCAGCTGGCGCACTGTGAATTGCAGCATCTGCGCGATGGCCAGGATATAAGACAGAACCAGCCCAGAGGTACTGGGGGTGACATTGAACCGCGAGGTGACTACCAGAATACCGACCACGAAGATCAGCGCAGTAGAAACAGCATCAAGTCGCACGCTGAGCCACCGCTGGTTCGAAAAGGTGAGAAAGTAGGCTCCGTTCATCACATCTATGGAATCTTGAATTGTGCGTTGGAAGCCCTTCTCCACGCCATATGCTCGGATGCAGACAGCGCCTGTGATGGCCTCGCCAAATTTGGCGTACACCGTCGACCGCAAGACTGACTCGTGGCGCTTCATCTCGCGGGCGGACGCTCGGTAGTAGTTCGCGGCTAGCACGATTATGATCACCAGCGGGACCAGTGCGATGATGAACTAGATCTCGTTAGTCCGTGTCTCGTTGCATACTTGAAGGGGTCACAGCATACGTAGTAGAAGAACGAAACGGTCAAAACCATGACGGCTATAATCATTGTGATCGTCAGAGCAAACAGTCGCATCGCATCCGAAAGCTCGTTGTCCATCACCTGGATGTCCTTCGAGAAGCGGTTGGTGATTCGTCCGAGTGGCGTAGTATCAAAGAAACTCATGGGAGCACGAAGCACACGGGACATGGCGCGCTGAAGCATGGCCTTGCTAGCGTTCGTGTTACAAGTGGTCATGTATGTGGAAAAGACGAACACCAGGAGGGTAACACCTCCACCCAGTCCAGCATAGACTCCAATATACTGACCGGTTGACAAAGTCGGGTACTTGTTTGCAGTCCAGTAGGAAAGCCATAGACTGGTCCAGATACTGGCAACGTTTGAAAGACCGAGCAGGATGAGCATCACAAGAGCGCTGGAATAGCCGCCAGATGCTAGGATGTAAGCCTTCCAGATACCCCAACCGACCGAGGATGAGCCCTTTTCCTCTTCTTGCATCAAAGCGGCAGCTGGTTTTGAGGGTGCACTCGTCTTGGTACTTGGCTGTGTGTCCTCCGACTCTTCAATTGCTTCGTCAGTCGCTTCGTCCCCTTCCTCGTGCGCAGTCTCTTGTCCAGATGTAGACATCAACCGCCTGAAGAGCTCGCTGTTCTGCATCAGATTGTCAAAAGTGTCGATAGCACTGATACGCCCCTCGTCCATGATTATAATCCGATCACAACGGTTGAGCACGTGAAGCTGGTGCGTCGCCAAAACTCGGCACCGATCCTTGAGCAAGCCACAAATGGCCTTGTCCATGATATGGCGTCCGACGTGTGCATCGACTGCTGATAGCGGGTCATCCATAAGTACAAGATCCGCGTCGAAGTAGATTGCCCGGGAGATATTTAACCGCTGCTTCTGTCCACCAGACACGTTGATACCGCGTTCCCCAATCTCAGTCTGGTCCCCATCAGGAAGCATCTCGAGGTCCGGGGTCAGGGCACATGCATCGACCACCTGTTCATACCAGGACTCGTTATACTCCTTACCAAATAGGATGTTATTCCGCACGGATGTGTTTTGGATCCACGCGTACTGTGGACAGAATGCGCGCGTGGTGCTCAGTCGTACAGTGCCGTCAGTGACACGCATCTCGCCTGCCAAAGCTGAAAGCAGAGAGCTTTTGCCACAGCCCACTGTTCCAATGACGGCCAGCAGCTCATTTCGACCGACTGTGAAAGTCATATCTTGGAGCTTGAACGGCTCTGTGGGGGCGTTTACGATCGTGTCATCGTCGTCGGGGGTTGACTGCTCTGTCTTCGCGTCCGTCGGGAGGCGCTCCCAGGTGAATGAAGCATGATCCATCTCGATGGCGCTCTCCATTGCTTCATCCCGCCCGATATCTTCTCTCTGCTCTTCTGCCAGCAAAAAATCCTGGATTCGATTAAGAGCAGTCCACGCATCAGTCACTTGACCCATGACGATGGGTAGGAGATTCAACGGCATCCGCATGGAGTTGAAGAGGGCCAGTGATGAGAAGACCAGCGCGGGATCCAAGTCATGGTTTGTCAGTGCATAGGTGATAAAAGCCAGCATTGAGCCAAAAATGGGGATAGACATAGAGACACACAAGATGGCATTTCGAATGGCCAGCAATGCCTGGACGGATCGAATCTCCCGGCCGCGTATCTCTTCCAGACGGTCCAGGAAGCTGCTTTCCCATCCAAAATATTTCACAAACCGTACCGCATGCAGAATTTCCTGAGTGAGTGACACTCGCTGGTCGGTTATATTATTGATCTTCTTTCGTCTCTGGATAAGGGATCGCACGGCGAAACTCAGCAGCGACATCCCAACGATCAAAAAGGCGTACCCTGACAGACAACTGTAACCGATGTTTACCAAGAGCAGAACCAACGTCACCAAAATCGTGATTGGCGCCGTCCAAACAACGTGAAACATCCCCATGGCCAGGTTGATGCGGTCCACGTCGATGCTCATGAGCGCCGTGATACGGCCATTATTCCATCCGTGGCCGTCCCCAGCAACTCCACCGGTAGCAGTCGACGCAGTATTAGGCCTCTGCCTCCCCTTCCCTGTCTCATCTGAGCTCCGGCAAGCCCCCTTCGCAGCCTCCAATGCCTCGACTTCTTCAGGTGTCGCCTGGCCCCCGGCTTTCGCCCGCCCAGACAGCTTCAGCGCCTTCTGAAATATCCGAGAGACAAGAACCGCGCGAATCTGTCCCCCAACCATTTGACCCCGATACAGAAATTGGTTGTTGCACAAGCTCTGCAGAGCCTGCATGCAGGTGATGCCCACGACGAGGCCGATCCCATCACCCACACGGGGCGGCGACGGCCCGAAGCCTGCCCGCGCACTATACGCCTCCGTCGCGAACGCGATCAAAAACCTCGTCAGATACGGCGTGAAGACCAGCAGCAGCGCGCTGACCAGCTGACACATACCTCCCAGCACGAACTCGGCTCGGAACGTGTCGTACAACGCCCACGCGAGCGGCCGGGCCATCCCGCTGTGGGTGCGCTTGTCCAGCGACGCCTCCAGTCGACCAGACAGGACGTCGACGGCGCGGTCGGGATTGACGGTCCATATATCCTCCAGCTGGAGGGGTCGTGAATAACCGACTTTCATCAAGGGAGACATCCAGTGGAAGAAGGCGATGCTGAGGAAGGAGGCGCCGTGTTCGCGCGACACGGATCGCGCTGTTGGCACTGGAGGCGACGCCTGTGATCGCCATGGGTTGAGTCTCTGGTGCCATCTGTTCTTCTGCACGGGCTCGGTGCTCACTTCTGGAGATTTGGCTTCATTGCCAGATGGTGAGCTTGAGCTTGAGCTTGAAGGACGGGTCTGCATGTCTCCGTCGTTTGTCACCCCTATTTGGTGTAGTGGTATTGATGTGGACATGCTGGTGAATGAGAAGGTCGGCCTCCACCAAACAATATAAAAATAGCAGTGGTAAATCAAGAATACATTTATTAGCAAAATAAAACCATATAGATTGTGGGGGGGGGAAGGTGAATGGTTCTGAAAATGGAAAACGATCATGTTATACAAGGACTGGGTAGGGGCAAGCATGAGCCTCAGGGGTACCACGATATCGGATGCGATATGAGACGCTGCGATGCGTAATAGCCCATATACTCCTTGCTATGGACTGACCCCTTAAATCGAGATGACCAGTCAGACGTGTACCTGATGCAGATCTCCTGCAAGATTGTAGCCTTTGGTGCATTGCAGGAAGATCTATGATCCAAGTATCCGGAAACGAAACTAGGCAAGCTTCCATGATATCAGTGCTGACGCCACACAGCATTGAATGAGTGAGTTTGAATTTTTGTGGATAGTGAAAGACTAAGAGTGAGACACAGTAGATATGTGCTATTGATGAACCTATCGGCACTCGATTGTTGTGTTCAAGATGAGCAGTCAGATGCAAGGGATCAGCAACAAGCTTGAAAGCTCGGTATCCGAGATTCCAGCCAGCCCTGAGCCAGCCCTGTTTAAAAATAGACTCTGGACTGATTAGCTTAGAAATGTATAGAATTGGAATTTGAAGGAATGAATAGGATTGGAGTTTCCATATGAATTGCCGTCGCCTGTGAAAGTGAGAGCGAAATGGTCTTCTGCGCTGCAAACACCTGGAGCAGGAGAACGATTTATATATCTTGTAGAAATTTACAATAGGGGATAGAAGCGTGTTCTAAACAATCAACCATGATAATATTGGGAGTTATGAAAAAGCTTGATGATGGTTGCAGATGATGAAATACAAGATATTCAAGAGTGGGAAGAGGACTTTGACTGATTGCAGTGACTGCCTTTCTTTCACATATATGATCCTGTCGCTTCTTATACTCTCCTGTGCCCCTAGAACAAGCAGCTTAGGTGTTGGACATTGAAGCAAGTTCCAGAAGAAGCATGAGGGTCCTGCCTGTCCTTTGTCCCATCATTCCCACATTAACCGATCTAGATACTTGGCTGCCTCAGCAATCGGATATGCTTTTCCTTGCATTGTGATGTAGATCGTATATGGTTTGCCTCGCAGGCACCTAATTAGTAGTCTCTAAGGGTAAGTTGACATGGGTATTGATCATTCGCATCTTGACTATACGGGGGTTCCAGAACATCACGATCCACTACGATGGCTTCATCAAGATGCTAGTCAATGCCTAAGTACCAGTAGATCATATATTGGCCCTTTTTTCCAGACCCAGGGGTCAGATGTATTCTATCACTTGCCAACGGTACAGTGACAACTGCCTCTACCTCTTCCTCGAAGTCAGTCATGCTGTCATTCTATCCTGGATTTTATCAACTCCTGCCATCCTACCTTTTCGGTAGCATTTTCTGTTGAGATATCAGTCATATCAAGCCCCACCAAATACTGATCCCATATTGTGGTGCAGTGGCTGTCAAGTTCCCAACGATGAGAATGACTTCTTTGATTTCCTCGCGGAGTATGCTGACCATTGCTCCATTCCTAGATGATGGCACCTGACATCAAAAGTTGCCAGTACGTTGGACAAGCTTTGAGTCAAGGGAAATATACTATTCGCTATAGGAAGATGCGGCCATGCGGAACTGTACAGGAAAGGCTAGATTCACCACACACCTGAGGTCCAAATATCAACACATGATGTTTCTGTCTTGTCACCACGCCTGCATGAAATGTCAGTTCTTATACAGTAATCCAATCCGACCGGTTTGTCCATTCAGTGTCAGGTTGTGGAATAGAAGACGAGCTGCATCGTCGATTATCACCTGCTAAATCTGACTCTGTCTTAGATGGCTTGACAAGCCGAACTTTTACCTGAGAAATTCAACCAGCTACGTCCATCATGCCGAAAGGTTCTCGAGAATTCTTCAAAGACTTTTCCGAGACATGTTGTTGAAGGAAAAGTAAATTTTGATTGCACAATACTAGGACAAGTTTCAAGGAGCATTTTACAATGTGGTCGGCATCGGCATATCTCTCCATGGCGAATGGTCAAGGAGTGGCAATGGTCGCGTTGACTTCTATATTCCAGAAAAGCAGTGGGTTATCGAGTGGCTCCGGGATCATGGTCGCTTTGGTTAACCACTGGTTGTGTCTGTATGATCATCTCGAATAGGCCAATATCGTGGACGTCAAAGCGCCAAATGGTGGTATATTTGTCAACCTGGTAAGGCGGAGTCTTATGCCATCTCAACAAGCGGTAGAGAAGCCGTCTGGATCGCGTACTCGTTGGAAAGCATCGGCTTCGAGAACGTGAGACAGATGATCATCTGCACCGATTCTGAACCAGCGTTGGATCTCACGAACAACCATCAGTTCCACAGCCATGCAACTATATTGACATAACGGCTCACTTGATCCGCGAAGCTATACGCAATGGAAGGCTTCATTTGGTACATATCTCAGGGGGGAGATCACGTCGCAGACGAATCTATCTAGAGAGGTACGATAGTAGAGGTTAGTCGAAAAGGATAAAACATATCTCCCAACTTCACTCAGGAGGGAAGTACTTTCCCTGGTTGCAGGAGAAGAGGAATGTCGCTTGGTTTATTATCTGTTGCAAAGAATTGCCACTCGGGTACAAAATATATCAAGGCACTTTTGAGCTTCTTAGAGATTACTAGATGCAGCGCGAGCATTATCAACAGTGCCCCATCTTTACCAACGGTTCTACTTTGTACGAATGATCTATGGTCCTTCCATAGCCACCCACAGTTACTTCATAGTCTATGGTGACGGTGCATCAATTGGCATATTCTACAATCAGAGCGTATTCACTACTACACCCTCTGTATACTACCAGCGATACTCCACCTACCAATCCATCCCCCAGCCAGCCACCTAGCTCCGACTCATCCAATCCAGGCGACCCACTCGGGATTCACACTCAAGGAAGATGCCCACTCCTCCCAGAATCCTGAATCAACAGGACACGCCCGACAAGTCTACCTAGACGACTGCGTCCCCCCTGCCAATTACGAGACAAACTTGCCACCCCCTAAAGGCGTCTTTAGTCTGCTTCTACGCATCAAGAATGCCATATCTCGCCCGGCAAGGGGACAAGGGATTCAGATCCACCGGCCCGGTTCAAATCCCCCAACTCCTGGTCATGCGTCGCAAATCGGAGCTAACCATAGCTCGATTCTTTCAATTCCATCGTCCAATCGACCAACACAAGCCAATCACAGCACTTACCTCCGTGACAGGAACAACTAATCAAGTCAGTAAAGGATTGAAGCACAGGTCTGGAGCAGGATGTGCAGATCGTGAGTGATCAGAGCCTGCAGCAGGAATACAGACCAGAGCTAGTAGTCGTAAGTACATCAAAGCCAACGCGGCGATACTGGCCGTTGCAATCCTGGTGGTCCGGTTCCCATCCTCCCGCCTCTCTCCGAATCCCAACGGATGAATTAGCACGCGGTGGAGGAGGATGGATCAGGAGGTGGGGGAGAAAAGAGTGAACTGCTCGGAGACGTTGATGAAGAACGCCTCATGTCTGTGCGTATGTCGGAGACGAATTGTCTCCAGATGCCGAGCTTTTGGTCACTATTATATTGCTACTACGCCTCTACTGCTACCATTACTCTACAGATACTACTGCGACTACACTATTACTACGACTACACTATTACTACTACTGCAACCCCAGCTATCGATCGACATTCTGGAGGTACTCATGCAGGTATGTCGCTGTGTGTTAAACTCCGATCAAGGTCCAGGCTCTAGTAGGATGAATTTGATAGAACTAGCATGGTCAGTGGATACTCGTAGTCACACGTGGACTGAGTATAGGTCCCCTTTTTTTTCATTTTATTATAATATATATATTTTCCCACTATATCTTAGTTGCATATATTTAATCATGACATATTGTATTATTATGTTATTGGTCAGGATGTAATATTATAATTTTACTCCTTAAGCGCCCAAAAGCTCCGCCACACCGGGTGAGGGGTCATCCTGGTATGATGCCCTGCATGCGAATTGCGGGCCTGACAACGCCAGACTAACCTGACATAATCGCGAGAAAGACAGAGAGTACAGGGATTAATGTTTAGGAGAGCTGGTCAGTATGGATGACGGCTGGAGTAAGACATGTATTCTCAGTCAGTATGTACTATTTTCTTATCCTCGGGTCCTACAGTATGACCTTCTCCAGACAGTCTGTATGACCCACCAACTTAACTCTCAAGAAACACCGCAGCAGTAAACAGTAAAGCAAAGCAAGGATAACGGCAGCACCCAAATCGGACCCGTGCAGCAGCCAGACAAGAAAAGTCACCCTCTACCACCCTCCCCATTGGCCGATCCCCAGAGTGCAAAGCCAGTAGTCCAGTTCAGTGCATAGCAATTCGTATTATGATCCTCGAATTGCCAACCCACAACAGACAGACGCATGAACGGGTACTGAGCTTCCCTCACCTACCGGGTAGTGGTCTGAGAGCTGGACTACACTGCACTACTACACCACGCTACAATCTGCTACTGCTACTGCTGCGGTTGCTGGGACACACACCGGCCCGCGCCATCCTAGATGGTACGGTTCTTCCCTGGTCAAGCGGCAAGGATCGTCTCTTCAGAGCCACGTGTATATTAATATTAATCTTATTATCGTTACTTTTTTGTTCGTGCTTTTGCGAAGATGAAACAAGACAGTCGGCGGGTTTGCTTGCCCCTGATTTTTGGGGGCGCAGGGGATCGATGTTTCATTTCGAAGACGCTAGGCAGGGGTTTTTATACTACACTACTATGATACTATACTATAGTATACTATTATTACTACCTACTAACTGGGTAGATGTTAGTATGCAGTAGTAGTGGTTATAGTGGTAGTGATATTGATAGTGGTAGAGAGACATGGGAAGAACGCCCGGCGAAGGGTTCCATCTGCACATCGGACCGCCAATTGCACCCTCACTTGGGAAAAAAGACAGCCAGGATGTCTACTATCCTCCGACCGCTTCCCATCATGCAGGTTGTGTTCACCGTCCGGTCCAATCGTCCAGTCGCGTGCCCTAAACCAAAGACCCTCCCCATCCTGCAGGACGACCGGCAAGTCTGCGCCCGTCCAAACTAGGGCCAGCTCTGCATGAATCAATTTTTCCCCTTGTGATAGGCTCCACTAGGCGAGCTGCTGGCGGGATTAATGAACGAACTACTATCGACTGTAGTGCGGCTTAATTGGTCACAGTATAGGAGAAAAAGGAAGAGGAGCAAGACGATGATCGTGGAGATCGACTTCCTGATCCGCAATCGGGATGTAATCTTCGTCCTTGACGCTTCTGGAGTATCGTATCGGTCTGCAGGATGAAGTAGATACTGTAGTATCTTGGACTACTGCTACCATTACAACTATTATCACGAATGAATGAATGGTTTCTTCAATCACCTCAGCCACAGTTGGATGTGACTATACTAGGTTTGTGGCCTGCATGTATGTAACATCAATATGGCCTGTTTGTCTGTGTCATGCCATATGTGCTGTTTAATGTCTGTATTATATACATCATGTAAGACATAGAGGGACAGGGTAGGCAGGTTGCAGTTGATATCGATTCAGAATTGATATGGGTGTGGTGTTGAACAGTGGAGTGAACAAGAGGAATAGTACTCCGTACTTTTTACCCCACATCCGATCGAATGATGTGGCTTTACGCCTGGAATGTATCTCTGCAAAGGGATTCACGAACAGTGTGACTGGGAATAGAATCCTGCATTTCCTAGGTACCATAGACTACTCCGAACGGAGTAAATGGAGGTATATTCAGGTCAAATGTTCACTGAACATTAAAATTAAGAGGATAATACTACGAATAATACTCCGACGGAGGTATACCTAGGATGATAATGAGAGAAAATAAAAAAGCAGAATCATGCCGAGCGTCCAGCTCGTGGAGTTCCTACCAGTCCAGTGGACTGAGTCTACCGTCAACATCGTCGGGCGCTAGGCGATCATAGCGATTGCTGGAAAGTAAACTTCACCTCTCATTCGCAGGGCGTCTCCCTTGCTAGTTCGGTCCTAGTCAGGGGGGAAATGGCCGACGAAAACAACCGACCTGCAATCATGAATATAGGGTCGAAATCAGCCCCTGAATTGCACTGGAGAGGCACATGTTAATCGCGACTGGGTGCAGTCGGGTGGAAGAGGCGAACCGTCGTTCAGGGTGGATATGACAGACAAGCTAAGCTGGGTGCTGGGAGCTACAGCAGGCCTGAACGGAAGACTTGGCCAGTCACACTGGAGGAACCTGTCGACTCCGGGATGGGGCACCCGGTTGTGCTGGAGAAAGAGAGGGCCCCAGAATAGGTTCCGGAGTCTAGCTAAGACCGCGCAGTTGGTGCTCTTAGGGATTTTAGTCGGACTCCACCGCGCTGTCGGCCAATCCCGCCAGGCCAACCAGTCGACGAGATTGGTTAGACTAGTGCCATGTCAAGCTGCTCGGGACGGCCTGATCTGAAGATGGGCACTGCTTATCAACTTAAGCGGGCCAGTCCACATGCAGTTGATGCGGGAGACGGCAAACCTTCCCGTCGCGATCGGTGCTTTACGACATTCTTAGGCAGCGTAAACGTGCAGGTAGACACGAGGACATCCTCTCGCCCGCGAATTATGGACGCCCCGGTTCACATTGAAGAAGGGCAAATTAATTACTGTCAGAGAATTGCTGCCAGGAAATTCTCCCTCCGCGTCGATCACACCCTGAATCGAGAAAAATGGGTCTTGGGCGGAAAGTTGTCCGCAGGCGGTTAACATCGCTATCTAGACGGTAGACAGTACTAGCCCCGGCCACAGCTTCCGAGTAGACGAACAGCAAGGGGAAAAAATAGAGGCCCAACCTGGTGGAATAGCGATTTCATAATGACAACATTGACAGTGACGATCGAATTCTGGACCTACACCGATCGGGTGTTCTGTGCGGTGTGCAGAGAGCCTAGACGTGCACTACGGCGGTACAGCCTCCTGCAGCTTGCAGGGTGACGGGCTAGCTGCCCGCGACCAAGCAAGGCAGATTTGGCCATGTCCCGTCGCCTCTCATAGGCTCTACCGCCTCCAGGGGTGCTGGAAGAACGTGCATGATCCACGGAGGCGCAGCCCGAAACAAGCCGACGATCTGTTGCTGCTGATTTCCATGTTGTGTTTCAGGTTTGCAGAGATACGGTTCCTTATTTTAAACCGTCCGCGGCCGGGGGGTGTGATTACTTGGGATGACTTCATCCATAATCCTTGGTCAGCAAAAAGCCCTCCAGGGCGAATACACGCTTGTCTTGATGATGTTGGTGGTGGCAACTTCTGCTTTTTCCCATTATTCTTTTCATTTCTGAAAATGGAGGCTTGGCACTACTGATCAGCATAATCAATACCCTTTCGTAGACCCGACTTCATATCACGTTATCATCTGTCAGTTCAAAGCCCGAATCCATAGACCGAATCAGATGGTAAACGCTTCGATGCGGTTGTCCTGGCATTCACTCGAGACTAATCTCAATAGCACACAAACCCTACATCCTTTCCCTCGTGGGTTCGCCTAATACACATTGGTGATAGACTGTGACTGGGGAAGAGTGTGAGTAGACGGCAGATAGTTAGCGGGCTGGTGCCGTTCATTTCCGGGGTGACCCAATATACGAGAACAATAGGTTTTTGGGGGGGATAATCTAGAGTGAAACCAGGGATTTGATGAAGATGGGAGAATTGGGAATGGGTGAAGGTTTCAGAGGAAGTGGAAAAAGGGGAGACAGACCAAGTGACGGGGGTGGATCGTGCCATATCGGGCTAGTGCGGTTAACTACCCCAGCACATGACCCAGGGCCATACAATCACCTTGAGTGAACGGAGTCCAATTCAATTGACAGGTTGACCACTCTCTCCACCGAAGGATTCGCTACCATGCTGATTTTCATCATCGGCACCACCATCAGCCGTCATGTTAATCACAGTGGGCTCGTCTGGGCCACTGGCACGGGAAATACAGACCATTGGCGATTTGTCGATCCATTTCTCCCTGAGACGAGATTCTCCAGGCCTGAAGACCCGGGCTAACAACAGCGTATAGTTCTGGACAATACGGCTGTCCATGCGGTGTATGTACTATCTATCCATCGGACCCGTCACCTCCGTCTCCCGGGAGACTCAAGCGTTCCATATAACTGCTAAAGATGGAAAGGTCCGTGGCAGACAAACGCCAGATGCCAAGATACAACTAGTATACCGCCGATATGGGTAGCTGTCGTTCGACCCATCGTTTGAATCGGGAAATGCGTGCTAGCTTTTGCTGAAACAGAACAAGGGTATCTCTACCGCTTGTCAACTATATGGTATGATACCTGGGTGATCCCAAACGGCCTCGTGCTAACCGGGGTACTCCCGCAGACGTCATCACCACCACTATTATCATTATATCCTAGTGCTCCTCAGTCAATAATATCCCAGGTTATTGTGGTGGTGTCCATTCATGGGGTGCTTTTGTGAAGGGATCGTCTCCTTGGTTGCCTAGACGGTTTTTGTCAATGGAAGGATCGCAACCTGGTAAAGTCGGGTGTGATGTCGACATCGACAAAGATGATACTAGTGATTATGATGATTGTGGCGGCGATGGACTGACTTGAATCGGCCTGACACTTCAACAGCTCGCGACGGGAGAAGCCGACAATTGCCCAATCGATATCAAGTGCAATCTCCCTTCCAAGGTCTTGACTTGAACTATTGACTTAGTACACAGTATAGAGTACATCCACACCTGACGGGTTATCTTTACGGTGTTGGTTGTCTCTGACGTCGCTAGCTCTCGTCAGCTTGACCCCATTATACGTGCCAGCACCGCCCTCCAGATCCCTGGGCCGCCCCGCTCTAGACGCACTAAAGCAAACGGTGCTACACCATGGATGATGGTTCCCACTGAGCAGAGAGCAGCACCCAACCATCTGCAAAGTGTCGCTGTCTCTCCACTCCCGGCGAAGTCTCTCCAGGATCTAACCCTCTGAAAAAAACCATTGATCTCAAGCGTAGAAGGTCTACAGAATGATCGTGGAAGCCAACCGCCGATGCGCTCGACAGAATTCGACAGAATGCATATACGTTGTAGATTATTTGTTTAGGGACTTGATGAGGATGGCATCCATTGTGATCATCATTGTTATCGTCAGAGGAGAAACGCTGACCGTCTGGCCGCAGAAGTACTTTCTTCCTGCCCCCCCGGTGGTCCCCTGTCCCCTGTCCTTTCGCCAACGTCTGCCCCTTCCAGCACAGCCCAGGTCCAAACAGATGGACACGGAACATGGTATGGATCGACTTTGGGGGGAGCCGTGGCGTTGGAGATGCACCAGTCGTGGAGAGGGAGCCATCGATTCCCCAGACCACACTAGACAGGCCTCTAGTTCCATCCGTCGCGAAGGTCATTTCTCAATCTGTGAGCAGCATCGATCGACTGGACACTAAAAGCATCAGTCGGTGAGAGACCGGTCGTCTACTTTTTCGCATCCTCTTTCGGGACGAGCTCTAAGACACAATTTCCCCTCAATCTATCTTTCTCTCTGTCAGCTCTCTGTCAGCGTGTCCATTTCGCTTCCCCCCCTCTCGCAGGCACGCCATTGACACATGTGATGTGGGTTGGCGGTGGGGAAGAAAGCGGTGGTCCAAGACCCGAAGGGGGTTGACAAGTGCCCCACAGGGCTGGACGCTGCATCAATCACGTTGCGGTGCCCCGTTCGAGGGTACTAACGGGACGGGTGGACTCAGGAGTCAGTCCCTAGCAGAAGATTAATTGTCACCCCGGCCACATGACTACAGGGGGATTGCGATCGATGGGCAGGATCCTGATCAACAGCGTTTATGGCATTAGTAGTAGATTCAGGGGAATCTACGTACCTTTTTGGAGTATACGCAAACATCTGACCTATAAGATGATGTCGTCATTTAATACACAGCAATCGCTAAACAATGATCCGGAGAGAAAACAAGGCATGAAAAAATAAACTAATCAGTCAAATAAATTAGGGATAATGGAGAAACAAAGAAAGGAAATGTGGAAAACAACGGTCAAGCTCTGACCAGTTGACCCGAAGAGGTTAGCCCCGACCCCCTTGGCAGGGCAGACCTGTAGAGAGTAGAGACAGCAGGTAAGGCAGGTAAGGCAGTCTCCTTGTCTCGCTCACGGGCAACCATACCCCTGCGTGTCATACTACGAGACAGTTGAATGGCTTATCAATCGATTCGGATTCCAATCCAATCCGCGCATTGCAATATGATTGCCTGTTCGTCACCTTGCATAACCCCCCTTCTCCTATCTCTCCCCGTACTTTCTCTTACATCACTCATAATACTTACTATATTAATAACACCTCATCAAACACATGTCTCCTAGGAATCCACCACAGTCCATCCTCAGTCTAAAACCAAGCCACTCAGTCCGTCAGTCAACCGAACCGACCCAGGAATTGGGGATGATGCCCCGTGCTGCTAACCGTCAAGGCCACTAGCACACCTCCCCAAACTAGCCCCAATCGAAGGCTAGTGCTTTCCACCTCGGGACCTACGAACCGTGCTTGTCCCAACGGAGCGCACAAGTCTCCAACCGGACCGCGGACAGTATTCCGAAGCGGGATTGGGGGGTGGAGGGGGTGGTCCATTGCTGGGGGAGACTCCCACTGGTCAATCAACCCTGCTGGGCTCCAGATTACTGCAGCGGTTTCCACTTTTGACTATCGGTGCCTGTGGTGGTAAACGATGATTTCTGCAATCAGTTGATTGATCAATTAATTTAAATCAATAATCAAGTCCATGATAGGTAGATAAATGGAGACACGGTGATTAGGAGTAATTTGAAAGCGCCAATCAACAACTGATGATATCTGACTAGGAAGGCCGGTAGTAGGCATCGTTCCTAGCTAAGGTAAGGTCGTGAGTGACTGGTAACTAGCTCGTGGTTCTTAGTACTCCGTCCATCGACTAACTAAACCATGTACCTAACCCAACCTAAGTATCTCGCTAGTCAAGGGGAAGAGGCTGGAGGGAGGCTTTGCTCTGCAGATGGGAATAAATAAATTTGGGGTAAAAAGGAACCATGACAAATTGCTAAATTAACCATCGGTATTCTCGTCTGGGATGGTTTGAAGTCTGATTTGGTCTATATTTATCTGGGTTTGAGGGTGTCAAGCAGGTTAATTAATGTCTATTTTTACATACGACGTGATCCCTGTTGCTTCGTCTCATTCTTTTGAGTATCTATTATGTGCGATGTACTTTCGACTTGTTGGTGTTCTCGTAGAATACTACCTACCTAGGAAGACACCAGATCCAGATAGGGCTTCGAACCCACCTGCCCCTCCCGAACCCTATCTCGGTCCGAAGTCAAACCCCGTGGATACTAGATACTGTACATAGTTAGTGAGAAGACACCTATTTCTCCTGTCAATAATGAATATCAGGTCGGAGCATATCACTCGAAGAGAGCAACGAAAAGAAAAAAAAAAAAAGGACTAGCGTCTCCACAGGTCGGAATCAACTCCAGTGTCCTCTCTCCGCTGGGCAAGGCTTGACGCTGGGGAGCCTGAGGAACTTCTCCGACTTTCAGGTCAGTTGCGAAAAACCCTGCCAATCAGAGGGCGAGAAAAACCAACAATTGGGTGGATCTAATTCTATCAAATCATTTTTCTTTTCTACACGATATCTTACGATGTGATTTGTGATTATTATTTTATATTTGTATTATGTGATTATATTATTAGCGTGAGGATATGATTATTGAATTCCCCTCCTGGTTCTGGAGTGGAGTGAGTGTATCTCCGTATACTCTATACTCCCATACGGTACGAGCCGACCTCCAATGTAAATGATCCTTAACCGAAGGACGCATGTCAGCAATTCGATACAGTCGATAATCTGACGTTTGTCAGAACATTCTAATCATCCCGAGATATAGAGGGCTTGAAAAAAATAAATAATTTGGTTGGTCGGATTACTCGATCCAGTATGGACGCAAGACAAGGCATACACGACAAAGCGCCGAGCGGGTTCGACAGCGGAGGGTCCACCGTTGGAGCAGTAAAGTTTGTCATTCTTCTTATTCGACTATTATCATCATGCTCTAATCATGCTCTCCGTGATGATACTGGATCAGATTATAGTATATTATAGTACGGGAACGGGCTGCTATCCTGATCAAGACCGTAGTCCAGAATCCTGTCGAAATGGGTCCACGTTTTCTTCATCTCAAGTCGACAGGAAGACCTATCTCGTGGACTTCACTGCATGATGATCCCCTTTAAATCCTTCTCCTTGGTTGGGGCGTTCTCATTGCCTCCCCATTCCATGAATCAACCGTTGCATGAATCTGTAGTTCTGGGACAGTTTCGAATCTACCCATCCACACTCCCCAGACTCGAGACGAGAACTCATGGCGGTGCGCCTCAGCCGCAGTACAAACCACGAGCTCGTGGTTATTTTTACGCATTCCTGCATGTGCTGGTAAAATTAGAAGAACTCGATTGGAATGGGGGGGACAGAAAGAATGGACGGCGGGGAAAACAATGGCTTTGGGGCAGCCTAAGGAACCAACTAACCAACATAGCCATGATTGATTTGCTTGGATGATCATCCTGCAGATTAGTCGCTAGTTGGATTTGATTCATTTGGATGGGTTTATAATTGTGATTTATTATTTTCTTATTTTTTGATTTTATTATTTTATCTATTTATTTATATATCGTTTTTTTAATATAGATTTAATTTCGTTTCCATTGGTGTATATTGTAGTCGATCCGACGCCCATCTCGACTCGCGCTCGTTCTATATCAATTCGCTCTGCTCGCATCATCGTCTTCCCCTTCAAGCCCTTTACTGCCTCCATTCCGGCCCGTTCTCCCTGTACCGTTTCTTATCCGTCTGACTTGCAGCGAGGCTTTTTTCATCCTTCTTCTCTTCCTTATTCTTTTTTTTTTTTAAATATCCTCATCCCCACTTACGATCATCCCCTTTTCCAACATCAAGTCAAGTCTAGTATATGTTGAGCGGATCGTCTGCACACAATAATCACTATATATCCTTCAACTCTCCCAGCTCCATCCAGACATCAGATTCATAATCATCCTTCTGATTCCTTCTTCCTTTCCCTCCTTCCCTCTACCAACACAATGCCTCGCACCAGCACATATGCCAAGGAGGTCCCTCTCCCCGTCACCTACACCCCCACCACCCATCGCATCAGCAAGGCAAAGAAGGGCAAACGGGTCCATGCGTGTCAATATCCCGGATGTGCCAAGGTCTTTACCCGAGCCGAACACAGGAGGTACGAACCACTCGCAGTCCTTGCGCCACCACTGGGCTTCGTGTAACTAACCCACGCAACAGACGGCATGAGTTGAACCACAACCCCGAAGCCTTGTTCGGCTGCACGCAGGATGGCTGCAACAAAGCCTTTCACCGTCCGGACCTGCTCGCGCGTCACATGGAAAGACAGTGAGTCCACCCACCCAAAACCCTTACACATCCATCCCCCAACTAACCAGAAGCCCAGTGACCTGGAAACGCAACTGGACACCGCAAGCTGGGAACAGCCCACCCATGCGCCAGTAGTCGACGTCCCCTTCGTGCCCACCAAGGAAACCAACACCCAAGTGGAGACCGCCTCGCGGTACCTCGCCGTCACGAACTCCATGTCCATCGGGTCCCTCGTCGGGCCCGCCATCCACCCCGACCTCCAAACCGACTACAGCATGATGTGGCCCAGCCAGGAGCACCATCTGCACGCCGACCCCCACCCCCCGATGTACCCCAGCCATCACGTCCACGAGTCCGTCGAGGAGCACCGCTTCTACGCCACCCCGGAGAGCTGCCCGTCGCCGTCCTCCGACGGAACCTCCCTGTCGATCCCGTCGCATCCGCGCTCCTCGCTCTCCGCTACCCCCGTCGCCGTCATCGACCACTACCCGGACACCAGCAGCGCCAACGGCACCATCATCGAGTCTACCCTGTCCTCCTCGCCTATCCCCATGCACGCTACTCACATCCCTCACCACCATCATCAACCCCGCTGGGACGCCGAGCCTGCGCTGCCTCCCGTCCCGCTCAACGTCCACGACGCGATCATGCACCACCCCGTCGCCATGCCTTGCTCTTACCCTTCGCCTTCGTGGCCCTCCACCCACCACCTCAGCTACGACGACACGCCGCACTACTCGCATGAGATGCCGTGGAGATCGTGGACGATGTAATCCTTTCTTCTCAATACGTCTGAATCTGGGATGTTCAATCTATCTACATCCCACCAACATATACGAAAAGGCTAGTCTCCGGGATCAGGATCGACCAGTCGATCCTCTTTTTCCTTTTCTTTTTTCCTTTTTTCTTTTCCTTTCTCATGTTTGTTTATGTCTGATTCATGTCCTGTTCCTTTTGTATTTTGATGAAATTTTCCTTTGTCATCGCCAGGCGCATAAGTGGTGTTTGGATTGGAGTGGTTGGTTGTTTGTTGTTGGTTGTCTGGTTGGTCGGGTTTAACGAACTAACTACTCTCCTTTGTTGTCATGAGATCTGACACTTTATATACCCATGCTATGTTATTCTTTTTATCTTTTCTGTTTGTATATGTGTGGTTCTTGTATGTATATGCCTTTTTATGTATGTATTTATGTTATGTTTATACCTATTGTACAGTGTACATGTTTTGCTTGTGTTATTGGGTAGGTTGTTGATGTGCTGTATATGGTAGATACTGTATAGACACCCATACTAGCGAGATCATAGCTAGTTTACAGTGATGATGGAGTATAAAGACCAGATCTTCAATATCCAGCGATGTTGGATATAATATCCACAGTGTAGAATAGTCCATTAGGATAGTACAGTCTTCCCTGACAGCCAGAGACAGATCACCCTGCGACTGGTTATACTGGAGACGGCAACTGATGGCTACCAAGTACATAGACCACAGTAGATTGAGCATCGAAATTTGTAACTAGAACTAGGTATGGTGTTTTCTTATCACTTAGATGGCATTCCACTGGGCGTGGACCAGGCACAAACCAGACGCAGAGATAAGGTCAGGAGAATGTGCATGCAATGCTTGAGACAGTCGTTGGCGTTTTCTCAGAGCTTACTGGTTTACTCTAGTGTGTAGTTAATATCTAGGAATGGAATATATGAGCGTGTCCTTTTTTATCTTGAAGTTTACTGGTTTATCTGCTGCTCTGGTTGAGCTATACTTTTGGAAACTATATATACATACCCATGGCAGTGCATCTCCTATCTTAGGGCTAGGTCATAGTTTGCTCTGAAGAGTGAGAATATAATAAAAAATAAGTAGTTTAAAAAAAAAAATAATGGAGAAGAGAGTAGAATTAGATATAATAAAGGGAAAAGAGAACTACATTTTTGCACTTCAGATGAATCCTTTTTATTCCGCTACTTTTTTTCTATATTTTTCGTTGCGTTGCGTAGAATGCACTACGTGCATATTAGCCACCGCATACTATATACATATCTCGTACCCTATAGATGTATACCACAGAGATCAATAATAGACGTGGTAACTCCATAAATTATAATGATAGAAGAGATGAACATATTATAAGTTTATTCCTACAGTATATAGTAACACTACAACAGTCTTATGTGCTTATTATATCATATCATTCGATTCTTTCATATTCCCGAAGAGATGGTTTAAAGATATTGGCAGGTATGAAGGTATTCACTTTACCTGTCATCACTGTACCAGTTATCTTGGGTTTATCTATCGTAAGCTAGGATAGAATCATACATACAAGTAGGGTGGGTAGTAAGTAGAAAGACCTGACAAGAAACAACGCCCCTAGACAGTCCATTCCTCCATCAGCCATTCCTCCATCATCCAACGACACACCAAGCATTCATGTAAATAACGTAGACAGGTAGGTAGGTAGACAGGTAGGTAGGTACCAGGTAGCAATACACCTACTCTCCCTCCATCTTCTACCACACCATCTCACCTGATTTATCATATCACACTTATCGTATCATATCATATCGATCATGCCAATCATATCGATCATGAGACTGCTGACCTTGTGGGTTATACCATACTGTGTTCTCCTCCGTAAGAAGATTAGGCCTTGATGAAAGATTATTGGGTATTGTGCGTTGGTATTGAGATAAACATTGTTGGTTTGTGGTCTGCGTCTATGTATAACTATATTTCGTTGGACGGTGGAGTATATAAACAAGATGGACGGTGGGTGGTTCGAGATCTACTATCGGGTTCGATGACAGTTGATATAATAGGTAGATTTGTTGATGGCACATCAGGCAACTGGTATCTTCATTCTTCACATTAACTACAGACCACGTCGTCTAGGTACAGCCCCGGTCTAGGTAGGTACGATCCCCAGAAAGTGTATAATTAGGGGATGACGAAGAGTCGAGTCACGATAGCAAGACACAAAACAAAAGTCAAAGTTGACCAAAGGGATATCCCCCGTTCAGAATAAAAACAAAAAGGTATAAAAAAGGACATACAAATAAAACCAAGTCAAGGAAAGAAAAGATCACGAGCGGTCGGAGATGGTCGAACAATGAACTCAGCTCCACTTCAACGCCTTTTGATAAATACAGTTCCGTCCCAGTAGAGCATGACTGTCCAGGGCCGCTCGACCGCTCATCGATGTACCTCGACCGTCAAGGACGGAGAGTATAAGGGCACCGATGTGATGCAAGGCAGAGACAGGCAACGCTGAGGGCAGATAATACAACCGCACGGTTAAAACCATGCGGCGGCCGCGTACGGCAGAAACAAAATGAATAAAGTAAATGCACAATTGTAACAAAAGGTGAAATGACAGGTCGTAAAATGGAACGGCATGGGCACAATGCGATGCAGGGGCTAATGGATCCGACATGCCACAAGCTGTGGGTAGCCGAAACGCCACTTTCAACTCCATTAATGCATCACCGATCCATCGGGGTTTCTCACCTGCAGACACCGGTCAGCGCCCATAGTACCGAGTCTGATCCGCATCACCGTTCGTTACCTGCAAAATCCGCCGCGAGAAGTCCTGGTCGTCATCGATGCTGCCGTTGCTCTGGCGTCGCTGGGCCATGAAGTCGCCGTCGAACCGCGAGTCGGACATGGAATTCTGCGACATGTGCTGGCCGTACTGGTCGCCACCGGTGCCGCGATCGAACTGGCCCTGGTTGTTCTTGCGATTACGGAACCGCCAGAGGAAGAAGCCGGCCCCGATCAGGGCAAAGAAACCGACCACACCGACGACCACACCGGCGGCGATGGCGGCGGTGTTGGGACCGTCATCCTTGTCGGCTTCCTCCGTCGCTTCGGCCTCCGAGGTCTCGATGACCGTCTGTCCACCGGTCGCGCTGGAGTCCGTGGAGGAGGACGAACTGCTGGTCGAGGACTTGGAACCGTGGTAATCGACATTCTTCTTGGCTCCAGTCAAGTACACCGAGTAGGCATCCTTTCCACCGCCTGTCAAGCGTTAGTCGGCCTTCCACCGACGAAACAAAGGAGGGGGGAGGGGTCATGACTTACACATCTTATCAGGCCAGCCAGAGCACTTGGTATTACACTTGTCGTCGTCCCCTTTGGAGGATTTCTCGGGCATTTCATCACCACACATACAGTTGGAACCTTTCCACAGGGCGAAGACGGCGGCATTCTTTTTGAGACATTTTTCTTGGCAATACCCGTCACTCTGATATGTGTAGGGCCCTTCGTCGTCTAACCCGGTGGATTCGGTGAAGCAGCCTTTATACTCGGAAGCCTCAGCGGTGACTGCCGGGAGAGAGACGGACAGCAACAGGATGGAGGCGGCGATAGCCGATCGCATCGTGAAGGACTTCATGGTGTGTTGGGAGGAGGATGGCGGAAGGCGATACAATAGGGGGTGGTTTTCGTATGGTAGTGGCTGGGCACCGGCTCCAGACACTGGTAGATATTTCAAACGAAGGATAAGGGACGACCTGCGTAACCCTTGGGGAGCCCCACGACGATTTTCCTACGTCCGTTTGTTTGGGGAAGTGTTGTCGCGACGTCGAGTCTGTCGCGATAGGACCTCGAAACGGATGGGTCTCGTCAGCGTATTCCCGACCGTCGGGTTTGACGTGAACGGGTGATCGGACGAGAGGTTGGAGAGAAGATCCTCTTGACACGAGGAACGACCGGGACGATAGAGGGAGTCAAAGACGTGGAGGGGCGAAAATCGAAGGGTGGTGGTGGAAGTAGTTGATGAGAAAAGAGTGTTGGGTGGTACTGAAGAAAGACGGACCCTGGCGGGGAAGAGTCTGAAGAGCGGGTGTTTCAAGTCCCCCTTTCTCCCGGGAGAGATTTAATGAGCGTCCTAAGGCGAGAACCCGGACGATGTCTTCACAGCAACCGATTAGAAACGGTTTGGCGGTAGATGGGGAATTTCCCAGGTATAATTCGAGAAGGTAGTGTGAAATGGAATCAGTCAAGAGACCCTCCACTGAATAAAAAATAAAATCAAATAATAATAAAAAAGAATGCGAGAGTCGAGGCGACGAAACGAGTGATTGATGGGGTGAGGGGAAGGAGGGTTCGAAGGGAAACCAGGAATGACTGACAGCAGTTCGAGGGAGAGAGAGAGAGAGAGAAGGGGAGAGAGAAGGGGGGAGCGAGAGAGGGAAAGACACCAAGAGGAGAATACGGAATACAGAATACTAGTTGCAACGGAAGGAATACTAGATTGTTTGGAGGATGGAGTATGGGGGATTACGACGGACAGGCAAGCAATAACAAACAATGGGGGGAAACTTGGATCGGATGGGGAAGAACCCTGGTTCGTATTTTACTTCCCGTGTATCACCATGTATCCTGTAAGTCTGTTTCCTGTTTGGGTTTCCAGTACGGACTGAGTACTACCTTACTTACCTTACCTTACCTTCTTTCTCTTTCTTCTTTTTCTTTTTTATTTCTTCTTCTTGATACAACATTCCTTATCTATACTTACTCGTGCTCGCTCTTGATATATATCCCCTCGTTGGGTCTTCCATGACATGAGAATTAAAGTGCTGAGTGCAAACAAACAGATTACTCAAGGACCATGATCTGCCCTTTCGGACCTGCAGTCCAATAATCACCGACCACCCAGCAGATCATGCCCCACGACGACGCACTCCATTACCTATCAGGGCCGTCTTTCATCCCGCCAAGTCCTCCGTCTCGTTTGATTCCTATGACTATCCCTAATAGGGTTAGTCTCAGGTACACTCTTCCCTGCAGAACGGAGAGGGGCCAGCAGACGCCGTCATTCGAAATCATCCGACGTGGATATAAAAAGAAAGGACATGACATACAAGATCGGGTACGGAGTAGAGATACCATCATCGTCATCAATATTTCCATAATCATCATTATACTTATCATCCCTAGGTAGAGTACCTAGATACCTAGATACCTAGGTATCAGGTACTACCTAAGTACCCCGGGGGTATAACCCCGACGGTCTCCTGTCAGTTCATTTCTTTTCTTTGCTTCGGTATTGCGGGTGACACCCAATCATCGTCCGCCGCGCTGATTGCAGTGGATCCCCTCGAGCCGTCTTCCACACAAACACACACACCAATTTATTTATTATTTTTACCGGCTTATCCTTTTTGGTAGTGAAGGAAGGCGGCAAATGTCTGGTGGATTATCTGTGACGACAGCTGTCACATTCTGCTGGTCATCATCGTCATCACTCACGATCAGTCTTTCATTTACTGGAGGTTTGTTTTTTTGATGTATTTTTTTTCCTGTTTACTTTTCACCCCTGGAAAATTTACACGGGACAGTCCCATGGGTTCAAACGGACGTTCCCGGGCGGTGGACCAGATCCCTACCTCTTTCCTTGGGTATGTCCTGGTTGGGTCGTGTAAATGAAAACAACCAGCTTAGAGAAAGGAGAGAAAGAGTCTCAAAGAAAGAAAAGAAAAAGAAGCAAGAAAAGATGACAAAATCCAACTGAACCAAAGACAATGTAACACCGAGAGAACACAATCAACCATACATAAAGGAGCGACAGAGATACACGTAACCCAACCTTACATCTGCAGCCAACACTAATCCACTTGGACACGGGGCACGCGCCCCGACCGATGATCACTGGAGGGGAAAGGGCAGAATGGACGGAGTGCGTCCCTCGTGTAATTTACCGGGTTGATTTTAGTGGTAAGGAGTTATGAATATTAATGCAGGTGCCTGAGTTGATGACTGAATCAGCCCTCTACTGGACTGTTTTATGCACGGCTATTCCGGCATCTTACCATCAATCTTCTTTTCCTTCCATACTTACTCCATAGTATGGACTGATGGAGTCCATACTATGGAGTCCATACTCATCCAATTTCACACGCGTCTCCATCCAGCGGAGACTGAACAATTCCAGAACACATACGTGGTGGATTAAGCTTATGACAGTGTTTCAGAACACGCCGCGCCTCGAACCTCGGGGCATGCAAGGGCAATGGACGGATGAACCTACGGATGGCATGACCGGGGTGTGTGTTCAGCTCTCAAGGGCTGGCTGTTCCGGTTCATGTTCCTGTTCCTTACATGCAAACTCGGGGTTTGTACCAATCAATGACCACGAGTTGGTTTCCACTGGAAAGTTTCGTTTCCAGTAATAACACGTTATCTACGGATACACAGGCAGACGTATCTATCTGTATATCCAATCCCATCGGTCGGAAGACCGTTCCGCTTGTTATCCTGCCATATTGAGATTCCACCGCCAATCCCATCACCCAGACGCGCTGTCGCCTGTCGGAATACTAATACCAATCCCAAATCCACAGCTGTCAGCCGTCGACCCGACAAACACAGCAGGGATTGTCTGCGGACCCGTCTCCATTCAGTGGACACTAGACAGTGGACACTGGACACTGGACACTGGAAGCGCTTGCGCCATCACGAAGATAGCCGCATCAGTATGGAGTACGGATACTATCTGTGTAATGCGGACGGAAACCCGGCCGGCGAAAACCGATTACTGAATTGGTTTCCGGCTGTGTCGGGACTCGGAACTCTGGATTTTGAGGGCTCTGTTGTTGATGATGGCTTGGTGGATTGGTTCGCGTATTATATCCGTCTACTACTCCGTATCACTCGTATTATCCATGAAGTACGGATAGAGAATAAATATAGATAGCCAACTCAGCAATCCGTGGATAAATATGGATAAATGGTAGATTCTAAGGGGTCAAATCAGTTTAAAAAAAAAAAGAATACGTTGAGTGAAATATAAATAAATTGGATAATGGAGCGGCCACGATCTAGACCCCTGGACCGTCTCCACCTGTCAGTCAATCTTTCATTTATTCATTCAATCAATCAATCAATCAATCTTTTCGCGGTTTCAATTCTTGTCCTCATCATTTGTACTCCGTACTCCTATCGTGTCTATTGTCTTGAGCAGGAAAACATTAAACCCCTCTCATTCAGTAGATATAATGGCAACCCATTCATGTGCAGTCGCTAGAAGTAAACATTGTAACTAACTACAGACTGGAGTCTGACGCAGCAAACACCAACCACTCATCAACTTTCGAAAACCAAGTCCCGCTTAGAAATCCAGAGATGGCTCATTAGTTAATCCAAGGAGATAGTAAAACAATATCACTCAATGCAACACCCCGTCTATCCATCTAACCCCACCAATAGACATACAATCAGCTATTTGTCTCTCGTGCAGAACGCAGGAGATATGCATCTACGCGCGTGGATAGATATATACATGTGAATAGTTGTGTATTGGACAAGTCACAGCAGCCTGCCCCTATTCGATAGTTATCAAGCACTGAGGAGCACTGCTGATGCTGACGTTGACAATGCGCGTGTGTGGCTTGCTGCTGACACCGCCTCTCCACTTCTACGGGGTACTCGTGCTTGGCTGGTGGGCTGGCGGGCTGGCGGGCTGGAATGGGCTGGGCTGGGCTGGATTGTCGGGGTTTTTGTTTCGTGTTGGCACGAGGTGGTTCTTGTTGGGGTTTATGGTGACAGGTCAGATGGGGATGGATGGTTTGGATGGAGGGGTTGTTGGGGTATCTTTTATCTGAGGTATGTAGGTATATATATACGTAAGGTTGGAAGGGGATATGGATGGGGGTGTGGTAGGTAGTATTATGTTTTGTACGGACCCGTTGTAGCATGTAGCGCTGAAGACTCCTATGTACCAAGTGATGGTTGAATTCATGGTATAGTATGAAGATGCGTTTAAAGGTCCTCAGTCAGTCTTATTGAGAAGACGCTTATTGGGATGAGACGAATCGATGCAGTCGGTGCTTGAACTGTTCCAAACCCGCCAGGAACATAGATAGTGCATATATACAATGGTAACACAGGGTAGAGAATTGACCATTTCCGTTTTGACAATTGACTACTCTTCCAGCCATGGGAATATATAATCGATTTCAACATCCGGTCGATTTACCACAAGAGGTACTACTAACAAACAGAATCCTCGGCAGAGAAGGTAGTGCTTCCATAGCTATCTTGACCAGGGTTTTGGTTTTGTTCAGCGGGACATCGACTTAGATTGATGACAATCCCAGGTGCTGCTCGCGCTGTGTTTACGTCCTAGTCGAGGGTAAGGTAATGCTGTGAGGTTGACCGTTTTGTTGACTATCTGGGTAGGGCGCTGTGAAGACGGGAGGGACAGAGAAAAGAATGCTTATCTGTGTTTGATAGTCTAGAACTGGGCATTATATTCTTTTCTTCGTCTTCCTCTTCTAGGCTTTAGATGCTAAAGACACGGCGAAAGCGTGCCAGTAGCATGTTGGACAGGGAAATAGGAGGCTGGGATGAAAAGAAACAGGTGTACTGGCATGGTACAAGAAAATGGGTGAGCCATAAGAGAACATGACCATGGCTAGAGTGGGTTGAGTACAATGATTTGACGGATAAATTGAGGGTGATTCAAAATGACGGATGTGTGATATATATAAAGTAGCCATCGACTGGAGTTATAGCTGGTATTACGGACGTAGACACCCGTTCTATAATTATTAGAGAAGAGGGCTCGAAATCGAGTATTCTATACGAGTCTAAACAGGAAAGACATCTATCAACTTGTCTATTCCGTGATTCTATCAAGCTAGGATGGAACATCTTTATGCGTGGTATTTTCAAGGCTGGTTATCCAGCCAGCAAACTTTTCTCACTTGCACATGAATCAAGTCTTTTCCAATGGCACATGGCACACTCGTCCTTTTTATGTCATCTCCAATATTTGCTCAGGCCAACTCAATCAATGCGATCAATTCATATCTGCATCCGCGGTATGTTGAATCCTCCGCTCCGCTCTTATCAAGTTGCCCTTCTTATCCTATATATGCTCGTAAAACATCTATCATGCAACCAAGGGTCGACAGGATCTGGGCAGCTCGTTCCAGTGCCCCTCGTCTAAGGCTTGGGGATGTGTATCGTCTTGCTGACCATCATGCAGCCGTGCAGGACGAACATCAGCACCACGGGGTGGAACTCGAACGACGTGCCCGCGGCGATCAGTCCCAGCGGCAGATCCTCCTGGATCCACCCTTGCGACACCCAGTAGGCCATCAGGAAGGAGATGGAGAGCGTGGTGGGGATCGGAGTGCCTTCAAAGTACTTCGACTTGCCGGTCTTGTCCTTGGGGAGCACGGCAACCGTCACGTTGAAGCGAGCTAACCGGGTGAGGCCGCAGAGAACGAAGAATGAGAGTAGGAGGTGGTCGACCGGGGTGCGAACGCCGAGCGCAAAAGCCGCGGCGGCGGGCGCCATTCCGAAGGAGATCTTCAATAGCAAGAACCGTCAGTCACCCTCATTTATTCCTTTACATGACGTGTTTGCATCCGCCCTCGCATCGGGAATTATCTTACCAGATCCGCTAACGAGTCCAGCTCTTGTCCCATGAGAGACGACTTGCCCCTCCACCGGGCGATCTTGCCATCCATGAAGTCGAAAAACAGGCCGAAGGGCATGAACGCGAGAGCGGCCCAGATGGCACCGTATTCAGTGGGATCGCCAAGACAGTATCGCATAGACGAGAGAACAGACATGACTGGATGTGATCGTCAGTGGCATATTCATTCAGGTGGGCGACTTGGGTTGAGCGTTACCTCCGCAGAATCCTATCACATGTCAGCGGTTGGAACCAGAAAAAACAAGTAAATAAAAACAGAGAAAGACAGCAGTAGAATCAGGACACTCGACAACAATATCGAACATCCCTTTCTGAACCACAGTGCAAGAAAAAGGGTAAAAAAGCCATAACGTACCATTGAGCTCAGTTACTAGATCTGCCAAATGCAAAGCCCTGCCCAATTCATGTCCAGTCAGTGCCATATTCAACGAGCCGTTGAACGATCAGGACTTACTTGATCATGCTAAAGTGCCCAGTCTCTGAAGAGAGCAGCATCTTCTGTTTTTCCTGGCCTGTAAATCATGAGCACTGGGCTCTTCCCCCCTCTATTTGTTTCCAGATAATGTAGCTTACCGCCATCACCGGTTGGCGAACCACCGCTATTCGCAGAAGTGCTCGAAGACATGGCGGATGTCCGACGAGACATGCTCAGACAAAAAAGTAAATCGAAAAATATAGTCCCTTCGAACAGATCACAGGGGAATTGGGGGTATCTCAACGGGGGTATATCAGGGGGAGGGTGGGAGAGGAGAAAGTGCGGAGAGAATGACGGGTGGTTGAAGGGAATGTTGAGTGTTGACAAGCGTAAAGCCGGGCGGTGTCCCAAACGTCATTGTCGGTGGCGGTGTTGCTTGATCCACCAGCCACAACTGTCCGATATTTTCCTTGTTTTGTCTCTCTATTGGGGATCCTATCCATGACTACATTATTATTTTATAAATTTTCCATGTTTACTAGAGTCTGTTGAAAGGTGACATCCAATAATATTTGTTGATCCACTGGCCCGAGGGTATCGACAGGCTTGATGTTTTCTTTCTTTTTTTCTTAGGATGCACAAGAATATCGAGACAAAAAGGTTCCTGAAAGAGCTCCCATTTTCCCATAACGCCATAATAAGACAGGACGAAACAAGATAGACACTGTCTAGAAACGTCCACCACGGAAACCACCACCACCACGGCCACCACCACCACGGCCACCGCCAAAGCCTCCGCCGCGACCACCACCTCCACGGCCGCCAAAGCCACCACCGCCGCCGCGGGAGAAACCACCACCACCACCACGGGAGAAACCACCGCCGCCGCGGGGACCACCACGGCCTCGGGGAGCGCCTCCACGGCCGCCAAAGCTGCCGCCCCGTCCACCACGGCCACCGGCTGCGGGCTTCCTGACCTTGGATCCTGCGTTTGGGTTAGCGGTGATAAAGAAGTAAGGTGACAAACACCCAAAAACGTACCCGGAGGAGGCTTAGGCTTGGGAAGGAACCTATAGTCATGTAATTAGCATATATCCCTTCGAAAAAAAGAGTTTGAGGGGAAAACACGCACTTCTCCAGAGGAAGGAGCTTATCCCCGCCGATGTAGACCTTGTCGCCAGGCTTGAACGAGGTCGCGACGATTCCCTCCTGGGGCTTGACGGTGAAGTACACCTGGTTGATGGGACCGAGGACCTCGTCGACCTTTCCAATGGGGGTCTAGAGCAAACCAAATCAGTTATCAACGACCTTCGAATGCAATTCAGGAATCGGGTCGTACTTTGTTCTCAAGGTAGATCGGAGCGTTGAAATAAGGAATCTTGGGGTTGATCGACTCGCAGAGCATCTCGCCCTCACAAGCGTGCATGAACGATCCCATCTCTATCCAATTGATCAAATATTAGTCACTGTCTGCCCAAGCCCATATTTCCTCCCAAATCCAACTGGAATAGCGCTATTTACCTAGGACCTGCGCGGGAGGACCGAACGACTGCTGCTGGAAACCTCCCCGACCTGTTCACAAGAAAATTTCGTTAGCTGGGCTTGAACCACCACCAAGATCGACCTGTCGCTGGATTCTCAAACTCACCACCACGAAAGCCGGAGCCACCTCTGGGGCCACCACGACCGCGAAAAGACATGCTGGCGATATGATTGATGCGATCGAGCGGATTGAGATACCGGCCTGAATGGACGGAGAAGTTTTCTTCGGGCTGGTGGGAGGCTCGAAGCGGTAAAGTGTCGCTAGTTCCGACGAGGACAGGATTATGTAAGGGAAGGCGATGGGTTTTTTTTTTTTTTTTCTGCTTTTTTTTCCTGAGGCAAGGGCAGTTGGCCGTCATGTGACTCACCGCCTTCGGGCGTTTGCCCAATTCCCGCATTGGTTGATCTCCGTGGATTATTGTCGATATAGTAGGTTTGAGTCACCAATTCGAGTCATTCAATCGTTTCCTGCCTTTATAGCCCTGTTCCTCGCTCTTCCGACAATTTGATCAATTGACTATCAATCCTGGCTTCAAATATGGCAGCGGAAGGCCAAAAGGACCTGCCTATCAGGTCGCAAAGTGAGTTCAAATGAGACTGCAGAACCCCGCAAAAAAAGTGAGAGCCCCTCCTAATGCCCCTCGCGCCAGGCGACGACTCGCTCCCCGATTTCATTATCGAACGAAACAAACTCTTCGAGGAACTCTGGCAGCAACATCTCGAGGAGACCAAGAACCGAGCGCACCCTGAAATCAACGTCACCCTCGATCTCGGAAATGGTGCTACGTCTTCCGTCACCGCCAAAGCCTACGAGACCACCCCGGCCCAACTGCTGAAGAATGTGCCCAAGGAACTGAGTGCCACTGTGGTCCTCGCCAAGATCGACAAGAAGGAACTCTGGGATTTGAACCGTCCTCTGGAGGGCGACTGCACCGTCTCTTATGTGCCCTTCGACAACCCCGAGGGTCGGGAGGTTTTCTGGCACTCCAGCGCGCACTGTATGGGTGAGGCCTGCGAGTGCGAATATGGGTGTCTGCTTTCGCACGGTCCGCCCACCCCGCAGGGCTTCTTCTACGACATGGCTATGCCGGAGGGGTATGTTTAAAACGTCGCGTATTCGGGTGTCGATACTAACTTTGGATAGTCGCGTTGTTCGGGAGACCGATTGGAAGTCCTTGGATACCAGGACACAGAAGGTGTTCAAGGAGAAGCAGAACTTTGACCGCCTGGAGGTGTCGAAAGAGAACCTCCGCAAGATGTTCTCTTACAGCAAGTACAAGCTGCACTACATTGAGAAGTTGGTGACTGGAGAGAAGAGCACCGTCTACCGCTGCGGTACCCTTGTCGATCTTTGCCGTGGACCCCACATCCAGAACACCGGAAAGATCAAGACCTTCAAGATCATGCAGGTATGAATGCCAAGGGGTTTCTTTGCTTTTCTGGGTTAGAAAGCAGACTGACTTGCGATACAGAACTCCTCTGCCTACTTCCTGGGTGATCAGGCCAACGACTCCCTGCAGCGCATTCGTGGTGTTGCATTTCCGGACAAGAAGCTGATGCAAGAGCACCTGAAGTTCCTGGAGGAAGCTGAGAAGCGCAACCATGTTAAGCTCGGCCGGGAACAGGAGCTTTTCTTCTTCGACGAGGTCTCTCCGGGTTGTCCTTTCCTGCTGCCCAACGGCACCAAGATCTTCAACGCACTGCAGTCTCTGCTGCGGACGGAGTACCGCAAGCGGGGCTACCAGGAAGTCCAGACCCCCAACATGTACGACGTGGGGATCTGGAAGACCTCTGGTCACTGGGCTCACTACAAGGACGACATGTTCAAGCTGGATGTTGAGAAGAAGGAGTGGGCGCTGAAGCCCATGAACTGCCCGGGACACTTTGTTCTGTTTGGCCACCGGGAGCGCAGCTACCGGGAGTTGCCCCTGCGTATTGCTGATTTCGGCGTCTTGCACCGAAATGAGGCATCCGGTGCGCTGAGCGGCCTGACGCGGGTGCGCAAGTTCCAGCAGGACGACACCCACATTTTCTGCACGCAAGAGCAGGTATGTACCTACCATCTACCCTGAGTGGCCATCCAACTAACTCCCTGTAGATCATGTCGGAGATCGAGGGTCTTTTCGACTTCCTGCAGTCTATCTACGGGCTGTTCGGCTTCACCTTCAAGCTGAAGCTCTCCACCCGCCCTGAGAAGTATCTCGGCGAGCTGGAGACCTGGGACTATGCCGAGGACCAGCTGAAGAAGGCCATGACGAAGTTCATGGGCGACGATTGGATCATCGACGAGGGTGACGGTGCCTTCTACGGCCCGAAGATCGACATCACCATCGCCGACGCTCTCAAGCGGGAGTTCCAGTGCGCCACCATCCAGCTGGACTACCAGGCGCCGCTCAACTTTAAGCTCGAGTACATGACCAACGAGCGGGCCCAGCCGGGCGCTGCGCATCCCAAGGAACACTCCAAGGAACACTCCAAGGAACACTCCAAGGAACACTCCAAGGAACACAAGGAACACTCCAAGGAACAGCCCAAGGAAGGTGAGAACAAGGAGGCGGAGACCAAGGCCGCCGAATTGGCCGCGGGCCGTGCCCGCCCGGTGGTCATCCACCGCGCCATCATCGGCAGCTTCGAGCGATTCCTGGGTATCCTGATCGAGCACTTCGGCGGTAAGTGGCCGTTCTGGATCAGCCCGCGGCAGATCCTGATCGTGCCGGTCATGCCTGCGGTGAATGACTACGTGGAGGAGCTGCAGACGATCCTGCGGGGGGACAAGTTGAACGTCGACATCGACGTCAGTGGCAACACCATGCAGAAGAAGATCCGTACCGGCCAGTTGGCGCAGTACAACTTCATCTTCGGTAAGTCTTGCCATAGAACATCCGACCGTGGGATTTGATTTACTAACTCTGTCTATAGTGGTCGGCGCCCAGGAGAAGGAGTCCCGCACGGTCAACATCCGCAACCGCGACGACCCGGCCACGCAGAACAAGGGCGTCATGGTGCCGTTGGAGGATGCGCGCGTGAAGCTGCGCGCGCTGCGCAAGGAGCGCAAACTGGTCAACTCTCTGTAGATTGTTTGATTATCTTTGTTTTCTTCTTGTTTATACATCTTATTTTTCTCGATCTAGACTAGATGATCTAGAGCCAAGGGTGCGCCAATCAGTTCTTTGCTGTGTGGACGGGGATCTTCAATCAAGCCAGACAACAAGAAAAAGATGGTTGTCCGTGCATGAGGATATGAAGGAGATGATGTGACGGATTTCTCTGCTAAATCAATGAATATTTTCTTTCCTTTGTTCTACCTTGCCACGTATGGGGCTTGACGATTCATTGTTCTATCTTCGGCCCACGTGGTTGATCCCGGTGGTCAGAGCCATGTGGATAACCCTAATCACTAGGCTTTGTCACAGTCGTGTAGAAGTCCATATCTGGTGATTGTACACTTTAGAAGACAGTAGTAGACACCCAGTACGAGTGGGAATGTTCCACGTACAGATTCGATGGTAACGATGGATATGTGGACTGCATAATCGTTTATACAGCGCACTGGTCGCTGAACCTAGTGCTTACTAACCGATGTTTATTTGTTTAGCTAGTTTAGTTATTGGTCCATCCTTCAAGTTGATATTTTGTAGAAGACGCGGTCAATCTCTGCCAGTGATGAGATGGATCCAATCGTTTAATCCGAAATGGATATCCTGCCCTTGCCAGAGACGACGGATGGTGAATCCAGGGCAAGCGAAAGAATTAATGATCGACGGGAGGGAATTGAGCCGATCAAACATTCCCACCGTCCCCTTAAAACACCCTGGCTGATCGTTCATCGCAATCAAGGTTCTCCCTGGTAGCAGAATCAGTCGTGTTTTTTTAAACTCTCATTCTCTCATTCTCTTTTTCACACTACAGCTTCTACACCCGTTAACTGGCCCCTTCATGAACCTGAGTGTCAGCCTGCAGCGCAAATCAGCCATGTACGGGTCATGATGCAGCAACCTCACCATAATCACCCGCAATTCTTATCCCAGGTGCGCCAGCCCACCATCCGACGATTCCTCGCCATTGCAGGAGCCTTCGTGTCCGGCTGTGCCATACTCTTCCTCTTTTCGCGCACTGGTTCCGCCGACTCTCCGCGATCGAACGTCCACCGTCCCCTGTCGGCCACCACCGCCAATTACACCTGCTACGTGGATCTGGACCTGCTCCGATCGCACGGATACAACGGCTCGGTGGAATACTCCCGGCTCGAGATTGCCGTCGCCCCCACCGCGAACTTCACAGGCTACTCCGACGCCCTCGACCTCAAGCTCCCCAACTCCGCGCCCCTCGCCCTCAGCGACGACGACGAGGCCGCTCACGCACCCCTACCAGACGAGAAGTGCGCAACGACCCTGACGATCCCGGGCCCCCCCGCGCGTCCTCCCCCCGATGCATCCCACATGACCTTTGGCGTGTCGACGTCGCTGGACCGACTGCTCGAGTCGCTGGACGCGTTCGCGCACTGGGCGGCAGGCACCAACACGCGGATCATCGCGCTGACGGACGAAGGCGCGAGCTTCACAGACAAGGTGCGCAGGAAGGCGGAGCGGTTGGGCGTGCGGCTCACGCTCATCGAGGCGGACGACGAGCGGCTGGACCGGTACTTCACGCTCATCCAGATCCTGTACGAGCAGCGGGAGGAGACGACGGAGTGGGCGGTGCTCATCGACGACGACACCTTCTTCCCGTCGATGCGCAACCTGGTCGACCGGTTCGCGACGTACGACGCGAGCCAGCCGCTGTACGTCGGCGGCGTCACGGAGGACCCGCACCAGCTGTACATGGGCAGCTTCATGGCGTACGGGGGTGCCGGCATCTTCCTGTCGATGCCGCTGCTGGCGCAGATCTACGCCGAGTTCGACGAGTGCTATGATTTTAAGGGCGCGGGGGACCGCATGGTCGCGCGGTGTATCCAGGCGCACACGACGACGAAGCTCACCTGGGACCGGGACCTGCACCAGCTGGACCTGCGTGACGACGCGTCTGGGTTCTACGAGTCCGGGCGCCCGCTGCCGCTGTCGGTTCACCACTGGAAGTCGTGGCACGCGGCGAACATGGTGGGGCTTGGCCGGGTGGCCCGGATCTGCGGCGACGACTGTCTGCTGCGGCGCTGGCGGCTGGCGGACGGGTGGTATCTGATCAACGGGTACTCGGTGGTGCAGTACTCGGAGGGCACGGACGAGGACACGCTGGTGGGGATGGAGCATACGTGGCTGGACAGCAAGTACGACGGGTGGGACCCGTTCGGATATAGTCTGGGCCCGGTGCGGAAGAAGGACGAGGGCAAGGTGTCGTATCGGTTGGTGGACGCGGTCGAGGTGGCGGGTGAGGTTCGACAGATCTACGTGCATGAGCCGGGGGAGGGGCCGCCTCGGGTGTTGGAGATAGTGTGGAAGGTATGATTCTTTCTCGTCTATAGTTTGCATTGATTGTGGGCGTTATGAATAGCGAAACCATTCGTGAGTATCCTTGAGTATCAAGTAATAAACTCTGTAGTATCATGCTGGATAGATCAGTCATGGCTGCCTCAGGCACACGGTCTAGACCTTTCTTTGTTTTTTACTCTTTTTCTTCATCTTCTTCTCTTCTCTCTTTCTTCTTCTCATTCACTTCACTTCTTTCTTTCTTCTTCTTGATCTATTCTATATAACGTCTACTCCATTGCAACGATATCCACATGAGAATCAATCAATCCCCATGCAGGATTAATCCAACTACTGTAACTACTGTAACTCCTGCACGTCCCACCTTCCAGCCCCCCCAATCACCTGCAATATAATTCCATCACCCACATCTAATCAAGGTCTGTCTTTCACTCCTTCCCCTTTTTATTTAGTTCTTTTTGTCTGTCCTATTCTTTTTCGGCTCTTCTCCGTCTGAACCCTTTTTTTTCCTTTTTTATTCACCGTGTCCTGAGCTGACTTGACAGCATCGCACCGATCAGCCGCAACGGAAGATTGACCAGTGCGGGGCTGCGTTCCGTCGATTCACACACGCTCTCTCTTTACTCGACCGTTGGACTGTTCAACTGTCCTCATCTGCCTAGTCGGTTGTCCTGAAATAAGTGACAATCGTATATATCATCTCATTAATACAAGACACCCGGAATAGGAAGAGACCCTCTCTCTTCAAACACCCCCCTCAAACAAACAAACAAAAAAAAAAATCCAAGACAGCAACGTATACCCACCTTTTCCCCCCTCTCCACCCCCCACCAACTCTCGGAGTCTCGCCTGACTGAACATCCAAAGCCCCTCCTCTCGTCCTCTTTCTCTTTCGCTCATCTCCTTCTGATTATCCGACTCCACCTTTTCCGACTTCTACTTTTCTTCTTTCTTCCTTCTTCTTTCTTCTTTCTTTCTTTCTTCTCTCTTCCCTCTTTTCTCTCTCTCTCCCCCTCCTCCTCTCTCTCTACCCCCCAAGTCTCCTTTCTCGTCCACTCTTCGTCGATCGTTCTCGGCTCTCCCCGATCGCAATGGCCGATTTACAAGGTCGGAAGGTCTTCAAGGTCTTCAACCAGGATTTCGTCGTCGATGAGCGCTACAACGTCACCAAGGAGTTGGGTCAGGGTGCCTACGGGATCGTCTGGTACGTCGCATCTACCGTCCTTCGGTTTTTACTGCGACATCAGTGGCAGTCGCATAACCACAACGGTTCCACCTCACGGAACCAATGCTCATCTCATTCTTCTATAGTGCCGCCCAGAACATTCAGACCGGCGATGGCGTCGCTATCAAAAAGGTCACCAATGTCTTCAGCAAGAAGATCTTGGCTAAGCGCGCCTTGAGAGAGATCAAGCTCCTCCAGCACTTCCGGGGCCACCGCAACGTAGGTCTTCCGCTTCCCCCCCCCCCCCCCCACGCCGCATGTCGAGTTAACGGTGGGGTAGATTACGTGCCTCTATGATATGGATATTCCGCGACCTGACAACTTCAATGAGACGTACTTGTATGAAGGTGAGGAGCTCCCGATGTCTATCTACCTACCTACCTACCCATCCATTAACCCGATATCATACTAGAATTGATGGAGTGCGATCTGGCTGCCATCATCCGTTCCGGACAGCCCTTGACCGACGCCCACTTCCAATCCTTCGTCTACCAGATCCTCTGCGGTCTGAAGTACATTCACTCGGCGAATGTCCTCCACCGAGATCTCAAACCCGGAAACTTGCTGGTCAATGCGGACTGTGAGCTCAAGATCTGCGACTTCGGTCTGGCTCGTGGGTTCTCGATCGATCCGGAGGAGAATGCGGGATACATGACCGAATACGTCGCGACGCGGTGGTACCGGGCGCCCGAGATCATGTTGAGCTTCCAGAGCTACACGAAAGCCAGTTCGTCACCTCCCCCCTCCTTTCTCTAGTTGTCTTCCTAACGGCCCTAGTCGACGTGTGGTCCGTGGGCTGCATTCTGGCCGAACTGCTCGGCGGCCGCCCCTTCTTCAAGGGCCGCGACTACGTCGATCAGCTCAACCAGATCCTGCACTACCTCGGCACCCCCAACGAGGAGACCCTGAGCCGCATCGGCTCTCCCCGAGCCCAAGACTACGTGCGCAACCTTCCCTACATGCCCAAGATTCCCTTCCAGCGCCTCTTCCCCAACGCCAACCCCGACGCGCTCGACCTCCTCGACCGCATGCTCGCCTTCGACCCGACCTCCCGCATGTCCGTCGAAGACGCCCTGGAGCACCCCTACCTGCACATCTGGCACGACGCCTCCGACGAGCCCAACTGCCCCACAACCTTCGACTTCCACTTCGAAGTCGTCGAAGACGTCGGCGAGATGCGACGCATGATCTACGACGAGGTGGTCGCCTTCCGCGCCACCGTCCGCCAGCAGGCGCAGGCGCAGGCCGCCGCCCAGCAGCAGCAGATGGCCCAGCAGACCAACGTCCCCATCCCGGAGAACCACCAGCAGGGCGGATGGAAGCACGAGGAGCCCAAGCCGCAGGAAGCGCTGGCCGCGAGCGGAGGACCCCCCAACGATCTGGAATCGTCGCTGCAGCGCGGGATGGATGTGCAATAGATGTTATATGCTATATAGTTTTGATTTTTTTTTTTTTTTTTTTTTTTTTTTTGATTTTGTTGTTTTTGATTGCTTAATCCGCTGTTTGTGATTTCTAGCTCTCGTGGATGCTGGTGTCCTGTCATTTCATTTTATTTATCCATATCTTTGTTGTTGTTGTTGTTGTCGTTGTCGTGTCGAAAGAATCAGTGTATCTGTTCTATATATCCATCTTCCGTATCGTCGGGAGGTCTGTATACTGGATCAAGTCAAGTCAAGTCCGTTAAGCGAGTAGTGCGAATGTCAGATTGATTGATAGAGTATAGGATTGTATTTACTTTTTCAGTTTTCTTTAGTCGTATAACTTGATATAACTAGTTATGTAGTTATGCTGGCTGTTATGATAGGTAGGAACACATGTAGTTCTTCTACCCAAGGCACAATCCTCAAGTACCATGCGTCCTACACATCCATGTACTTCCCAGGCACTTACTTATTGTATTCCTTACTTTTAGTTGGTATGTTCTACTGGCTATCCAGCCTGTACACCTCTGCCTAGTAGGAACAAATATATAAATCAATAAATAAACACACATCGACCGACTACCTACTACCTACTGCCTACTGAAGATCATATCATATCACACCAAATCCAAGTCAAGAAACAGAATGAAAAAGATAGATGATTGGATATAAAATACTCAACGAAACAAACCATCAAAAAGAAAAAGTAAATGCAATGCTAATAAACACCAACATTCATCAACCATCAACCATTCATCAAGAAAAAGCCCTCCAAAAAAAAAGTAAGGGGCAAGTCAATAATAATACCCCCTCCACCAAACAGCCATACAGGCCGCGACGACCAAATCCAGCATCTTGATGCCCTCATCCTCGATGACCAGCTTTCCCAGTTTAGCGCTCTTCCCGCGCATGCCGCCGCCCGCGTTTTCCCTTGCGAGCGATAGGTCGAGGCGGTCTTCGCTGGGGAAGCGGCGGATGGGGTGGGCGTGGCCCTGGTTGGGGTTGTGGGGGATGGGGCCTGGGGTTGGGGTTGGGGCTGGGGACGGGGATGGGGCGGGACGGCGGCGGGGAGGGGTGGTGGGGGTGGTTGGCTGTCGCTGTCGGTGCTGCTTGTGGAGGATTTGCGGAAGTGAGGTTTGTGGCGATGGCTGGGGTGGCCGTGGGTTGGGTCGTGTGAGGTGGTGCTGCTTCGAGAGCGTGGGCGGTTGGAGAAGGTGTGGGGGTTGAGGAAGTGGGCGAAGGAGCTGCGTTTGGAGGCTTGTGAGGTGGTGGTTGTAGATGTAGGGGGCATGCCGGAGACTGGAGGGCCGGATGGTGCAGGTGCTGTGCCGGATGGGTTGAAGACCGGTTCGTTGAAGGTCGGGGTCTGGCTGAGGGTGAACGGTGAGAGGTGCGATGAGCCCGGTTGGTGGGCGAGATGCCCTGCCTGGAATGGCGTGTTGAACCGGATCTCGGCCACTGTTACGGCGGGATTCTCCACGCCGTTGGGTCCCTGACCCTGTCCCGGCATGGGAATCATGTGTTTGCATTTCAGGGTGCGGCCGTTGACGCTCGTCAAGAATGTGCAGTTGCCGTTCCACGGGGAGGTGAAGGTGTAGTACCCGCTTTTGAGTTTCTGTCCCCCGTTACTGCACCTGGAGGGACTGCCGGCCCTCCCTCCAACGGGGACGGTGTCTTGGGAGGAGCGGTTGCCGGGCATGTCGAGGGAACCCCGCGCATCGTCTGGGAGGAAGGGTCGGGAGACACACAGCTTGCGCTGGAATTTAGGGGGTTTGCCTGGGTCCGGAGTCGGGTTCGTGGCTTCCTTGGGTTCAGCGGCTTGTGGAGGCTGAAGAGACGACGGTGGCAGGCCACCCGCTTTGAAACTGCTCAGGTTCACCCCCAAACTGGCCAGATCGAGCGGCTCGTTCTGCGCCAGGAATCGGTTGTATCCTGGTGTGGACACCTCAATGTCAATGGCACTGCCGTCCATGCGGGGAGTCGACATGGTCGCAACATTCCACTGAATTCCATGCGTCGGGTCGCGACGGATCAACGTGATGTGGAAGCCCGGTCGCGGTCGAGCCACGGCGGGTGCTGGTGGTCTGTGGTCGTAAGGCTGTCGGATTGGGCATTGACGTGCATTTCGCGTCGGAGATCCCATACGAGAATGAGATGGACTCTCGTGGGCCGAATGGGGTCGCATGTGTGAGTTCCTCGACTCGCGGTCCTGATGTCCTTCGGTCAGAGCTTTGTAATGACCTTTCCAACCTTCCATCCCGTTGCTGTTCATCTCGGCCAATGCGCTCCAGCGATTGGGCATGCTGGGGGGCTGATACAACGGTGCCTCGTCGGGGACCGGCGGGAGCGGTCGTCGCGAGAGAGGATTCCTCGTGTGCGGCGCATCCTCGAGTGGCCTCTGTTCGCGACCGGCTGCAACTCCTGGCCGAGGGGGCGTCGGAGGAACTTCGTCTGAAGGTGTCAACAACGGGTTGAGCTGGAGGAGATCCCCGAGTTCCGGCGATGCTTTAAATGGACGAGCCAGCAAGGGTGGCGGGGGAGGGTCGAAATCCGCATTGGAGGGAGGGTTCTCCCCCGCTGCGACCGGTTTGCGCCGGACCTGATTCATTTGCGCGAACTTCTGCGGCAGATCTATGTCCTCATCTTCCATCCTCTCCTTGCGCAGCCTGGCCTCTTCTTCGCGCTCCTCCGCGTACTCCTGGAGCAGGGCATCGTCGTCGGGGGTGGCTACATGTAGGTAGTAGAGGGAGGCGTTGATCGCTTCGGCGGACACGCTGGCTTTCGTCGGGGGTTTAAGAGGGGAGAGAAAGACATCTGTGGTGGTGGTAAAAAGGTCAGTGATCGATGAGCGAGGAGACAGAAGATCTAGGGGATGAATTCTCCGAATGCCGCCCGCGTGGGAGGGGTCGGTCACGGTCGCATACACCGAGCACTTACCTTTACTACCAGGAACCCTGACGATGTACAAGGACAGCGGGTCCAGCCTGGTCTGGGTAGGATTGCGTGGGTACGCGGGCGGGTTCGACGCGATGGCGGTGATCGAGGACAGTGATCGGGCCTCGATGGGACCGCGGGGGAGACCCGAGACGGCGGGATCGGACTCCGCGGTGACGTCGACCCTGGCCATGGCGACCGTAGATCAACAGGGGTAGTCAGGACCAGGGGAGACTCGATGAGGAAGTGAAGCGAAAATGGGGAATAATGGTGGAGAGGACAAGAAGACAAACAAACAAGGGCGGAAAGGCGCGGCAAGGGTCATTGACAGAGGAAGAGTTGAGTTGACTGACTTCCTTTCGACGGAGGGGCTTTCGTGGCGATGAAGCCAGGCTGAGCCAAGGCTGGGAATCCACCAACAACGAATCGAAGCGGGTTGTACGAGGCCCTAAAAAATCAAATCAGATCAAGCCAACATCAGCATTAGAACACCTTTGGCCCAACCCGAGAAAACATTTCTGTTGGGGGGTCAAACAGCGTTGCCTGAAATGATCATCTTGGGTGGCGATGGACGGAACGAATGAGAGCAATCAATTCTTTCACATTGGTATCTCGCAGCAACAACAATAATAACGAAAATAAAACAAAAAAAAAAAGACGCAGTATATCCAATAGTTACATGATGAATCACGATGGTGTGGTGGTGGTGGTGATGCTGACAGGAAATCACCAGGAGAATATTATCAGAAAAAAAGAAAAAAGCCCATTGTCCATCCGTTCCTCCAAAAACGCGACCAACACATGAAGAAGCAAAAGCAGATCATGAAAGAAAAAAGGAAATAATAATGAATGAAAAATAATGAACGAAAAACTCCATAGCTCCAGAGCTCCTAAGCTAGACCCTCCTCTACCACAGAAGTCGACAGATCCAGATCGGTTTCCGACTGTGCGATACGACTGTGGGAACACGCCCACATGCCAAATCAGACAACGGTCTCGGATCGTTCGCCCTCTGCGATGATCGGGACGTTGAGTCCGCGCTCTGGGCTCTGCAAGACCAGCTGCTCGTGACGGCGAGCCCGTAGAAAATCACTGATGGCCCGGATCAAGATAAACCAACCGACAATCATCAAGACGTAGGAGATCCATTCGCTCGTGGAGATACCGGACGGCGCACCACCCCCAGCCCCGCCATCCCCTCGGCCGTTCACCGAGTCCGGGTCGAAGGTGTGGCTGTTGGGGTCCGGCGGCGTCACGTAATCTGCGTCACCATCCTCGTCCTGAGGGTCGCTGCCCCCCTTCATATAAAAGCCATATTGCACCAGGGTCAGGCCGAGACCCGCCCGGCTGCCGTTCTTTGCGGCGTGTGTGGTGTGCAGGAGGTAGGTCAGGAGGAAACCGACCAGCTGGAAGGACATGGAGATCATGGCATTCCAGACAAACGAGAAGACGGATCCGACTGGTAAGCCGTCCACAAATACCTCGTCGGACGAGAACCCGGGTGCCAGGATCGTCGTCTCCCAATAAGGCGGAGTCGCATCGGCGGCTGCTTCTTCATAGGACTATCCGGACCGTCAGCAGAGAACCCTCTATCGGGTAAAAGAAATACATACGGGAGGTAGATCTTCGCTCTTCTCACCCCGTTCGGGCTTGGCCGCCAGGTTCGCAAAGACGCCGTCATTAGACGAGGTGACGACCCGGTTGGCAGATGAACCGGTCGACCCCAGGAATGGCAACATCGTCGGTCTCCGTAGAATTCCCGAACTCTGCGATCCACCCGACTGTGACTGCTGCTGTTCGCTGTTGCCGCCCGAGGATGAGGCAACTGGCATATTCGTGCTGGGGGTATCCGCCACCGGTCGGGAGTCGGGCTGGGCCCGCATTAAGCGCTGACGATCATCGGGCTCGTGGTCGGAATCGGAGTCGCTGCTGTCGTCGAACGCATCCGCCAGCGTCTGGTCGGCATTCGATCGGTTGGGGTCATCGTGGAGGAGGCGCCTGGAGGAGAAGGAGGAGGAGCGAGAGCGGAAGGAAGGCGGGGGCGAAGAGGGAGTCTGGTCTGGTCGTAAGGGAATGGAGGATTGGTGATGCGGTTCGTCGTCGACCTCGTGGGGATTAACCTGACCCGAGTTAGACGAATTCAAACTTCCTATAACATATAGCAGGATTAGGTTTAAAGAGACATACCCGTTGGTACCGCTGCGAACTCATGACGAGACGAGCGGGAGGCGACCAGTCCGGCAAGGGATCCGCGAGGTTTGAGCAAAAGGAGAGAGCCGAACACAGTGAAGAACAGACAAAAGAAAGAGAAGAGAAAGGACGAAATCTAAAAAGGAAAAAGAGGAAGTGAGGGTGAAGATGAACGGGGATGATTGGAAAGAGAGAGACAGGATGATGATGGAGAGGAAAGGGAAGAATGAAGTGAGCAGGATGGGCTGCCTGAGTCCGGCGCTGCCTGGGGCACCTCTGACCAATCCGCCGCAGATCCCGTGATGACGGTTAGATTCTTATCTATCTCAGTATCTCATCTTGAGCTTCACCTGCGTATCAATATAATTCAAGTCAATCATCCTCGTCTACTTCAACATGTCTAAACCAGCTGTATGTCTCCCCCTTTCCTTATTTATCCCTTTATACAGCTATGCCTCTACCATACCCATCCATCCATCCCACCCTCCAATACCCTCCCATACACCCCGACACCCCAATACCCCAATCAATCCACCAACTAACACCCCCAGAACCGAATCACCCACCTCCTCACCCACTGGCCAACCGACCACGTCCGCCCGGCCTCCGTCTCCGTCCAATCCTTCCTCCAATCCCGCCTCCCGCAGACTCAGACCCAACCCCAATCACAACAACCTCAATCCGCCACATCCCCATCGCAAACAACAACATCCACGACTACACCCCCCCGATCTCCGAATCCTCCCTCAACGCCCTCTCCTCCCTCCTCGAAGACCGCTACGTCCGTCGCTATCCCGTCCCCCCGCGTGTGCGCCGCCCCGCCAGTAACCCAGACCACTACGATGATCTCGTGCGCGAGTTCGACGAGGCCCCTAGTCGGGATTGGTGGGGACGGTTGGGGAAGAAGGTGAGGGGGCTGTTTCGGTTTACTTAGGGGGGATGCTCTCTTCGGTTTTGTCTGTTTTTTACTACTGAGAAGAAAGCCGTGGGGAGGGGGCAGGTGTATACTATATTATGTTAGGGATTGGGTTGGGGCTTGGTTGGGTGTATTATTACTGTTGTAATTGTGATTGTGATTATTGGAGGGGAGGAAAGAGTGATTTTGATGTTAGGAGTGTTATAGTACTGTGTGTACGATACGATACCTTTGGATGAATTGAATTCAAACTAACAAGAGATATATCTCGTTCACAACTATTTGTATACCTGGTTATAAGTATATACCAATTGAATCAAGCTAAATGCTAAACATGCAAGCATGCAAGAGAAAGATCAACACCACAAAGAAAGAAAAAGAAATAAAAGGCAAGAAAAAAGAAACTACAGCATCGGCTTCACATCATCAGCCACCGTAAACGGCGCCTCCGTCTTACTCCGCACTTCATCAACCGTCACTCCATCCGCCAGCTCCACGAGCGTCAAGCCCGAGGTGAAGTCAACGTCAAACACGCACAGATCAGTGATAATGCGGCTGACGCACGTCTTGCCCGTCAGCGGGAACTCGCACTGCTTGACGATCTTGGGGTTGCCCTTCTTGTCAGTGTGCTCCATCGTCACGACGACCTTGGTCGAGGTCGGGTTCGACACTAGGTCCATGGCGCCGCCGAAGCCCTTGATTTTGCCGGGGAGCATCCCTGTCGTGTATGTTAGTGCGACAGTTCTTAATATGTAGTAGGACACGGAGGTCTCTAGTTTTGCGGGAGAGAAGAGGGGGGAGGGGACATACAGTTGGCCAAATCACCACGCGCGCTCACTTGCATGGCGCCCAGAATCGTCAAATCGATGCGTCCCGAGCGAATCATGCCAAACGACTCGTCGCTGCCGAAGCAGGCCGCGCCAGGGAGCAGCGTGACCGTCTCCTTGCCCGCATTGATCAGATCCGGGTCCTCCTGACCCTTCTTGGGGTAGGGACCGAGGCCCAGGATGCCGTTCTCAGACTGCAGCTGCACCTCGACGGAGGGGTCGACGAAGTTGGGCGCAAGCATGGGCATGCCGATGCCCAGGTTGGCATACATGCCGTTCTTGAACTCCTTAGCGGCGCGGCGGACGATGCGCTCGCGCTTGGAGGCCGTGTCGCCCTTGCCGAGCGCGGCGGCGGCGTCGGCGCTGTCGGCCTCGTCCTTGGCGAAGGTGTACTTCTCGATGTTCTTGGGCGCGGTGCTCTGCACGACGCGCTTGACGTAGATGCCGGGGAGGTGGATAGCGGCGGGCTCGATCTCGCCGGGCTCAACGATGTGCTCGGCCTCGACGATGGTCATCTTGGCGTTGCGGCCCATGGCGCCGTTGAAGTTCGCCGCCGAATAGCGGAACTGGCAGTTGCCGAGCTTGTCGGCCTTATAGGCCTTGACGAAGGCGTAGTCGCCCTTGATGGCCTCCTCCATGACGTAGCTCTTCTTGTCGAAAACCTTGACGTCGCGCGGCTCGCCGTACAGCGCCACCGTGCCGTCGGGGTTGTGCTTCAGCGGCAGCTCGCCCGTCTGCACGACCGTGCCCAGCGCCGCGGGCGTGTAGAAGGCCGGGATGCCCGCGCCGCCGGAGCGACACCGCTCGGCGAGCGTGCCCTGAGGTGTCAGCTCGAGCTCGATCTCGCCGGTTAGGTACATGCGCTCGAAGGTCTTGTTCTCGCCGACGTAGCTGGCGATCATCTTGCGGATCTGCTTCGACTGCAGGAGAAGACCGAGGCCGGCTCCGTCGACTCCCGCGTTGTTGCTGACTACCGTCAAGCCCGTGATTGACTCTTTGGCGCGCACCGCGTTGATCAGCGTGTCGGGCACACCGGACAGACCGAATCCGCCCGCCAGCAGGGTCGTATTGGATTTCATGTCCTTGATCGCGACATCTGCTGACGAAAACACCTTGTTGATTTCAGGTCGACGGACGCTACTGGAAAAGGCCCGCGCGAGGAAGCGTTGATGCTGAACAGGTTCATGTCAGTCTTTCTATCCAATTCCCTCTTGGAGTATTGAAGGACTTGTAACACACCTTGCTTGGGTCAGCAGAAAACTGCCTCGCAAACCGCAGACACGTCGCCACTTGAGAAGGCATACTGAACGTGACTCAAGTATGGGATTTGAAAATGCAAAATAATCTCAAATCCTCCCAACGATGCAGCTCAACACCACAGCTTTAATACAGTTCCAATTAGATGTTTGAATTATGAAACACGCCTCCGTGGAGATATACAAGATGTCAGTGAGGAGAAAGAAACCAACCCGTCTATAAATCCGGGGGAGAAAGCAAAACAGCGGTTTGACGCGGAGTTGCGGAAAGCCACCGGCTGAATCCCCGGAATCTTCCCCGCACTTGCCTGGGGCTGCTTATGTAATCACTGCAATGAACCATAGTTTATGTGGATAATTCTGTGTAATTGTGTGGAATTGGCCCACCTGTGTCAATGGTTCTGTGTCTTGCTTCTCAAATACTAGCAGAGACTGATAATGGTTTGCGAGTGAGGTATGGATGCCTGGATCCACTGCCGATATCGACTCCCGATAACCAACTGTGGCTGACTGGCTGCCGCTTTCCGATCCGATCCGCGGCCCGCCTGGGTCACGTGTATACATCTAGTCTCAATGGTATCCAGGATTATATCTTGCCAGTATATGAAGATGGTATGTAAATTGTGGTGAACTCATAGTGATATGTATTCATAAACATCATCGGCAGTCGTGATGATATCAACAAGTATCTACAACAGTAATGTAGTAGTCATAAGTCCCGCCCAAGCATAAAACCATAGCCGAACATCATTATTCATATCCCAGCAAGCTCACTCCGATACCGCATGGTGAGCAAACCATGAGAATGAACATGCGAATGCTTTATGTGCAGGAGCAATGATATCTTTTCCCTATACAGATCGTTTCTCACGTCACGGTAGATGGTGAGCGCCAAAGAAGACCTTCTGTTCTGTTCAAATTCCGGCTCACCCCAAGCTCCGATCGATCGGACCGGAACTCACCCCCCAGTCCACACTCTTCCGCTTCAGAGGGTTCGGAGGGGCAGCCAGCATTGGTGATTTCGTCTCAGGGCCTACCACTGTACACGAGGCCTGTTAGTGTCACTGCTCTGCCTTCCAGTATTTGTCCAACTGCTTTCGGCATTGACGGTCTTCGTCTCCGGATCTCCCATGTGGGTGTCATCTGCCGTACCTGATGCCCCTTTGCCGGCCCAGGCCGCATCGTATGGCGGGGGGTTCATGTCCGTATCCTCCGTCGGGGCCGGCGGTGTCCCGCCGGTCGCGGTAACCCCTTCCATGGCATGGCTGTCGGACTGATGGGAGGCGCTGGGCGGAGTGTCAACCATCTCTCGGCAGACGGGACTGGCAAGACGATCCTTCATGGTATCGTTGACGTAGACGAGGAAGTACGGGGTCGGGGGGTTCTGGCGGTCTTGACTCTTGAAGATCTCGTCGAGGTTCTGGACCTCGGTCACGTATTCGTCGTTGTACTTGCGCCAGATATCTTGCTTGAAGTCGTAAATGTAGATGTAGTAGTGACCAAAGGAAACGGTACCGGAGTGGACGAAGACCGCAAACAGCCGATAGGCCAGGTGCTTGAAATCAACAAACTGGCTGGATATCATGGTCTGCGTGTTCTGGATCTCGTGCTCAATGTCTGGGCTCAGTCAGCATACCGTCCGTGCGGTGACCACATCATGAACAGTTGAGGGTGTCTTACATTTCAACTCCGCCCTCGCAATTTGGGAAAGTTGGCCGAGTTCGGGCATTAACTCGGGGTTGATGTCGATGGCATCTTGCGCACTTTCGGGGCTTTCTTTCATAGAGTTGAGATCATCCAAAACCTCCTTGGCAGTGTCGAACAGAGTGGGCAGGTCAAGACCATCGGATTCCTAAAGCAGCAGTCAGAGATAAGTCTTTGTTTTCTTTGGGGTATAGGAATCCGCACATTTTTCCGCAGTAGCTGTTCCCGGCGAGCTTCGAGTTCTTTCAATTTGCTCTTCCATTGCCAGCATTGCTGGCGCCGTTGCATGATTTCCGACTGCGTAGGAGTGTCCATGTATCGGTCTAGGTAGATGGTCTCCTTCAGATCCAGGTGGTGCGTGGATTTGAATGAGCGCTTCGTTGTCGGATCAAACTGGACCCGTTGCACTTGGATTTGCAGGACAGGGGGCAGTTTGCTGATGGCGCCATATTGCTCCGCCACGGTGTTCTCGACGTTGACATTCTGGATGTCAAAGGCTCCATCTATGGCCGCATAGATATCACGAGACCCGGTAGCCACGTCGACCTTGATATCGCACCATCGTTCGTCCTTCGATCGCGTGTTCTCTCCAGAAAGAATATACGACCTAGTTTGTCCGTAAAACAGATCTTTCACAAGGTCGACTTGTTCGCCATCGGGCGCGATCGAAGTCGGTCGGATCGCACATTGACTTTGGAAAAGAACATTGTTGATGACTTCCGTTACATCCTGCTGGGCTCCGATCTCCACTTCTTCTATGAGCTGCTTTTGGGGGTCAAGCTGCAGTGTCGGGCGTGGGGGCACCGGCGGCGGCTGATCAGGGAGTGCAGGCATCTGCTCCGCCGCCGACGGCTGAGATGAAGGGGATATTTCCTCTGCCGCTTTTGGGGTGGGCTCGGACTGAACGTCGGTCATGACCGTGTCGGCAGCTGGTGCTTCATTCTCCTTGTCATCGTTTTTGGCAAGAGGGGCTGCGTTTTTGGAACCGTCCGCGACCAATGTTGCTTCGCTGTCCCCGTCGCTCGTTGCTGAACGCTGGAACCTTTCGACTCCTAAAGGCACGAGATCTTTGGGTTCACTGCCGGTGGTGGCTGTCTGCGGAGGCCCCTGCGGTCCCAAAATCGGTAATCCGTTAATCTCTCCAATAGCAGCAGGCTGACTGGCAGAGATGGTCGAGCGGCGACGGATGGCGGCTTCGTTCGACGGGCTAATTAACGTCAATCGTGCCAATTCCCGGCCCGGCGTGACGAAGGATTTGGGCGAGGTCATCATGTCCTGAAATAAGATTCGAAGCTCACGAAGGACTGGGCGCAGGAAGTCAGTGACTTGGCGACATGCACAGGTCAAGTGATACGGTGCTTACATCTCTGGGAGCGCTCCACCTCCTTCTTCGACACTTTGCGAGACCCTACCTTCTTTGAGAACTCCTCGTCGTCGCCCAGATCCATCCGGTAATTCTCAAAGTCCAGGACCATGTTGCGAAATGGTTGCACTGAATAATAAAACTGCAGCAAGCTGTTCAGGTAACAAGTGTTGCCGATATTGTGCAATCCCACGGGCCAGTGCGACATGTTGCGGTCCGGCTTGTCTGCCGAGCCCGAAATCATACCGCGAAGCATAGGGCTTTCTTTGTCGTTTGCGATTAGGCTCAAAGCTTGGTTGTATGTTTCAGCTTGTGCAGGAGCTTCATTCACGCAGATAGTGTATGCCGCCATGATTGCGCTCTCATCGACAGTGCGGTCTGGAATCTGAAGGAGACGATATGCATCAGCAACATCCATCTGACCAGCAGTCGTTTCGCCAGTCTTAAGGAAGTGCTTGAGGGCTTGTGAGTTTCGTGATGCTGCAATAAGCTCGATGGCTCGCCGAGCGAGATCTCTGCTTGTAGGACTGTCATTGACCTGGGAGAAAGTCAGTCAAGAGATCCATCTGCGATACGGTCTGCCCATCCTGTACCTTGGTGGTATACATGGTCATGACGAAATCATCAGGCGTATCGCTGCTGACCCCGAGGTATACCTGAGCTTGTTCCGCAGTGGCCACCCCTATAGCGCCGGTCAGCATTTCAGAAACAAAGATGGTATCTGGCCCGACGGTGGCAGATGTAGAAAGAGACATACGGTCTTCTGCTGCTGACTTGAGTCGCTCGCTCCTTCTGCTGTCACCTATCCTCCACAATTGCCGGCGAACTTCGGTCTCCTGGGAACTAGTGGTAGCTCCCAGGAAGGCATAAAATTTCCCGATAATGTTCTCCTCGGTGAGCCACGCGTCATCATGTTGAAGTCCGAAATACTTGTAAGCAGAGGCGATGTCGTCATCGGTATATTTGCCTTCTGCGTAAGCAAGTTGTACAGCCTGGTCGATAACACTCCCATCATCCCCTCCTCTTAAATGGCCAATAGACCTTAAGCATTGAAGATAGAGAGAGGTTCTTTCTGGATCCACGGATACTTGGCGATTGAAGGCTTCGATGATCGCAGCGGAGGACATGTCTTCGACGACACCCAGGTCTTCATAATAGCTATATTTTGGTCAACTTGGTTTGTCTGGACAATGGATAAACGGGGAAACGAACGGTCCGGATGCCATTTGAAATTCACTCGACCGCGGCGACTGTGGATCTAGATACTAGGTTAGAGTTGCAGCTCACAGGTGACAAACCATGTACATACAGTTATAAGCATCAAGTGCACCAAGCAGACTCTCTAAGGCTGGCGTATAAGAATCTTTAATCTGATTTCCTTTCTTCTCCATCAATGGCCGCTGGTCTATGAGTGCGCAGAGCTCATGGATAACATCGTCAAGGAAAATCTTCTGCTGATCACGGTAAGGAAACTCCGCCCAAGCGCTCGGCCGAGGGGGTTCCCAGAACTCCCTGTCCTATGCAGGTCATCAGTAACATTGTAGCAAGGGCAAGCACTGAGGCGCCATACCTTGGCACTGAACCCCAGGGATTCTAGCAGTTCTTTACATGGCTGCCCTTCGGTGCCGAAACATGACATAAACCGCTTATTGGTCGCTTTGATTGACTTGTTCTGCTGCGGATCGTGAAGGGCATTACTGAGGTAGGTGCGCAGGGTGAGCAGGACGGTGATCGGTTGAGGTGCACCGATCCCTTCCATGTGTTCGGGATACGCCGCAACAGCTTCCTCCGCACGCGTTTTCAACAGTTCCTGATCGATCAAGAGTTGCACTGATTGGTGGTCGAAAACAGGAGATGTCACCCGTACCGTGACTGCGGCGGGACAGGTGAAGTAGGAACATTCATAGTTAAAGGTCTCCGCGGTCTGTCCCTTGGAGGTGGTCTCTTCTGGGAATGGCCCGCCTTTGTGTCTCCCTGAGTTGTAAACCAAGTGATGGATATGATCGGAAGGAAAATGGCCAGAGTGACCGATTCCCGGATTTGAGGTTACCTTCACCTCCAGGTGATATCGACACTTGTAGCAGAAGGAGGACACCCTGGTTGGGGCCCCGGAGCTGCCCTTCTGATCCGCTTTTTGTAGGAAACTTTGAGCGGTCTTAAGCCTATAATCGTGGTGACATGTTGACGGGGAGCTGTATTCGCGCGGCCCATGGTAGTCTCCAGGGAAAACCGGAGGGACGTCTGCAAGTAGATTGCGGCCGCTGCTTGGGGGATGAGCCGGGTCGTAGTCGCGGATGTCTTGAACAAGCCGCGGGGCAGTCTTGCCTGAACAGGTATCTCCAAATTAGATTCCATCATCACCAATGAGTTGTATACCATGGGGGAAACCCTTATCGCACGTACCTGACCTCTGAAGCGACGACATGGGTCGGTACCTCTGAGCTCAGTTCACAAGAGTCAGAGGACCAAACCACAGAATCCAGGCGGGGTCTAGAATGATTTAAACCGACATCCAATATCAGTCCAACCGGTCTTTCCCGTAATGGTGTTATATGTTTCAAATCAACCTTCAACAGATCCAGTTAAGCTCGAAGGTAGCAGCAGACTGGCAAATCAATGGTGGGGAGTGGGAGCGGGCGGCAAGCTGGGGGCGTCTTTAGTTCACCAACCCCACCCTACAGCGATGAAGTCTGGTCGCAAGACGTGGCAAAAGCCTTAGATAACGATATATAAAAGGAAGTAGAAAGCAGGATAGAGCGAGCTAGCACTGAGGAAAATAAATCATCAATCCAGAATGACTAGACGCGCATGATCATGTCCTGTTCCCTCCCGGCGGTCATTGCATGAAGCTCCACGGGAAGCCGGGGTAGGCGGTGTGTATTGGCAGAAAGTACGACGTGCCAAAATCCGATCGGAAACGTCCTCGACCGCGACACTTACTCGCTCTCTATACGCAATCCAGTCGAGTTATATCTCACCCAGCCATCCGCCACCATGGCCACACACACGGAGGAGCACACCTATCACCCCAAGCCCACTGTTCAGAGGGCATTGAAGACGTCCATGCTGACAGCTGGCGCGGGTCTCTTCGCTTCGGCCGTCCAGAACACCCTCACCCGGAAGAATGTTGGACCCTTTGGTGTGTTCGTCCGTAGCGGCAGCACCATTGGAGTTTTCGGTATGCGATGAACTGGGGACGGAGATCCTTGGATATTTGTGCCTGTGGCTGACCCCGCTTCATTCTAGCCGCCATGGGAGGTACCTACGAGTTCGCAAAGAACGCCTCGGCCAACCTGCGGGAGACGGACGACCACTGGAACGTCGCAATTGGCGGTTTCTTCTCTGGTGCGATCCTGGGACTGAAGGGTTCGTCAATTTCACCTTGCTTCTTTCTCAATCGCTGGATATCCAGTCTAACCGTTCTGCAGCCCGCTCCTTCCCCGCTCTTCTGGGATACGGTGCCGCCCTGGCCGCCTCCATGGGCGCTTTCGAGTTCACGGGCGGATCGCTGTGGGGTTACAACAGGGGAAATACAGAGGATGAGTTTGATCGTCGGCAACAGCTCCGGACGGCCTACCGGACTTCCGGGGAGGAGACCGTTGCTCAATTGGGCGAGGGACGCGGTAAGTCCATCTCATCCGCCTAACGTGACGCCTTGCTAACATATTCCCAGGCGTCTACGGCCCCGGATATGCGGAGCGACGACGAGAAAGAATCAAGGAGGCGTATGGCATCGATGTTCCCACAACTCAGGCCCCGGCCTCATGAATATAATCCGGTCTGAAATCATGTTCTTCCGTTCTGCCCGTTTCCCGTCCGTCTCCTTTGTGTAAAACCACCCTTATATCATGTCAATTGCCATTCCGCGGCATAACTATCAATAAAGATTTCTTTTTTCTTTTGTTTTTTCCCCATATCTACTCCTTCAGACACGGTCAGACATGGCGGAGCATGGGTCAAGTGAAAGTTATCTCCAAAACATATGGGCAATCTATCTACAATTCCCAAAAGAGAAGAGAAAGGAGACATGGTCTGTCCCATAACAGCACAGTGCAAACTCGGTGAACGACGGCTTTCACGATCTGATCGCAGTACGTCAGAGTATCTGCGAGGGGGAGAGTGGACCATCTGCAGGCCAGTAGCAAGGACTTGGTGGGTATGATTAGGGGTCGGGCTGTGCGTTTTGACCGCGTTTATGTTCCTGTAGGCGATAGCTACGATGCAGATATCTATTCTAATCTACTGGAGTCGGTCAAGACCTTCCACCATGATCTATCCATACCTCTCAGCGTTGCTGATACCGTTGGAATCCAGGTGGGAGCTCCCACCAATCAGGGGTCGCGGTTATCAAATCATTACTGATGAGTAAGCCCTACATTATTATTGTTACCTCAGGCATAACACCCCCGTACTCGTATAGATTGAAGTAGAAGCTACCCTTGTGAGAAATGTTTGGAGTATATTCCGGACATGGCATATATTAATTACCCACCTTGTACGGAGTATAGTGCAACCCATTACCCCGGGCCAGCGACAATAACCCCAGAGTTTACCTAACCAACCAATCTAATTTGATTCTCCAGAAGAGGAAGTTCTGTTGATTTATTGGGCCAGATTGTTCAAGGACGCAGGGGAACGGAGCATATATGATATCACCTGCTGGGAGGGGTTGATCTCGGGTGTTAATATCAGATCGAAGCAGATCACATCAAGGAGGACATTGATCGATCTATGAATGGATGGAGGACAATGTTCAGCGTTCATCGTCTCCAGTTCCAGACATCAAAGGGTAAGTGAGGAATGTGGATGTGGTTCTGAAAGCCGGGTCTACTCTGGAGTCAAAACACAATGATGATGATGATGATGATGATGACTTGACTTTCGACCGTGACAAGTACAAGAGGGCGGGGCTTGCCCTGGGGAATCTATCCACGGATTGCAATGGCTCTTCAGGTCGATGGCATCATTATCATGACTTCCCCAACCCGGTATGCCCGGGATGACGTTCATCTTGAATAATTGTGCGGACAATGGGCATCTTGAACTGAATCATGGGAACCTTAATCCATCCATCCGTCCATCCATCCATCCATTGTCAACTGGGCTGGGGCTGGAGTCCTCCCCTGATACTATTAGACATAATCCCGTGAGGCATGGTGGTTACCTAGCTGATCGGCGTTCGAAGAAAGATGAACAGTGCATGACGTTGAGAATCTTGGTATTCCCAAAAAGGAAAAAGTGCCAGTGTCAATCAAACGAACGCTTCTCCTTTTTCTTACTAACGGTATTAGCTTAACTTACTATTTTATTATTAATTTGGGGGAAAGGAACAAGTCGCCACTGGGCTGGAAAGCAAAAAAGACAGGAGGGGAAAAGGGGGACTCCATCGAAGACGAGCAGAACGATTTGTGCCGACGCTAGAAGGATGATTTACTCGATGATGAGGACTCGGGGGATCCATCCATCCATTCCTCGAACCCAGAGCAATGGATGATTGGATTGGATTGGATTGGAATGGGAATGGATCCTCCATGGGTCCGACTCCTCGCCCCAGTTCTTTCCAGTCTTCCGCCAAGACGCCTCCACAGCCACATAGTTTTTTATTACGGGTGGTAATCATGAAGTGCTTCCGTACTTATGCAGGTTCTACATTTATACTGGTCCCTGTGCCTACTTGTTGTGCTTTACTTGTACTTGTACTTGTGCTTGTACAGTACTTGCACATGAGCCTAACGTCCAAGATGCTGTTGGCTGGTGCCCAAGGGGCTGTGATGGACGACGCGGTGGCTAGGCATGTCTACCTAGTATTGAGTATTAGTTACAGCATATCAATACCTGCTACCAGGTATAACCAGAGATCGATAGCTGTACATTGCTAGCAATGGTCACTATTCATTGCTATAATTAACTGCAACGTGTAAGTAATAAGGGTAAAACATCATTTCCTTTAGATTATCCCACGCCAGAATCATTCAATATGACAAACTAGTAGCAGTTAGTGAGCATCCTAATTATACCACCTTGTAAGAACCAACCCAGAAAAGGGGGAGACGTTGTAAGATACAGGCCATCGATACATGCCCGGTTTCGGTACTCCTGCCACCGGCTTCTCATCTATCGAGCACTAGAGAACTACCAATCTAGATATGACTTCTACTTTCTACTATCTGTCTATCTGTATAGCCCGACTTCTCTCACCATCTTCACCTGAACTCACTATCAACCACTAAGTTGAAGAATCACAACAACCATTAAAAACCGTCCACTTCTCTTCCCGGAGATTCCGTTCCATCGGAAGTCATTGGTGATCCGTCCTACCGTCGCATCCAAGAGCTTAAAGGGTTAAGCTGGCGTAGACGTCATCCGCAAGCGTCAGTCCAGTGGTTATCACCAAATCCAAGGATCGATCTCCTCTACCCCTCATCAAATGCTCCTCTTTATCTGGTTCGATCGCCCTTTGAAGAGAGAAAACTTCTCTCTATCCATTGTTGTCTTCTCTTCCTCTTCAACCATCAACCCGCGGTGATTTCCCACCCATACCTCTCTCTCTCTTGATCCTCCCCTATATCATTCTAGTGGCTCTTAGACTGGTGGGGCTACAAGATTAACCCTCCCCGAGACTTGTCCACGATCGGCTCCTGGATCGTTTTCTTCCATAACCATACGGTAACCTCCTATAGTGGTCGGGTGGGAGGTAGTCCTATCCTATACTAGGTACCTATCCATCTATCTATTACGACAGCCACTGGTGACGACTACTGCAATTAAGGAGTCAACATTCTGTCTAGTCTCCCCCCCCCCCTCCCCCCGCAACACCAGTCGAGACACAGCATACAGCTCTCGGATCTTGTTCGCTGGGTGACCAGCTAACAGCTCCAGCTGGGAACTACATCAGTACATCTACTAAATCAACTAAATTAGGCCTGGTTTTCTCCGATCGGAATCAGGTCTGGAATCGTCCGTTTTCTACCCGTCTCCTTTTTTATTATTATTATTATTATTATTTTTCTTTTTTTTATTCTTTTATTTTCTTTCCCTTTCATAAAAAAAAAGAAGGGGAAATAAAATTAAATCATCATCACCTGTCTATGAGATTTATTTTTATTTACTTGGTCCCTTTTCCCTTTCACTCATGAGTTGGAACCTCCTATTTGACCCTATATCTACAACTCGAGCAACCGTCATCGGCCCTCTATTTATTCCCTTATCACGGCCCGCATTGATTGATCCTCCACCGAGCTTCCACGACTGATTGATATCGACTGGTGACACGGGCTTGGTCGGTACTGCCACCCTTACTGTACGCTTCCTCCGTACCTCCGTACCTCCACCCCCGTGCTCGTTATCGTCGCCCGCCTTTCGCAACGCCTTTCCCCTCCCTTTCGCCCCTCCACCCCCTCCTCTCCAATCATGGCGACGGCCTTACGATCCCACACGCCCGATGCATATGGCGCCTTGCCACAGCCCGCCGATTCCACCTTCCCCCACCGAGGCTATGCTCCCCGCTTATCCTCCCGACCCAACTCTTTTGTCGCCACCACCTCCGCATACAACGTCGCACATAACGGTATGGGCGAACCCAGCTCCGGTCGGTTTCACAGGGATATGGATGTTGCGAGCCACCGCGCTTCCCTCGCGTTCGACACACCCCCCTCGGCTCTCCAACGGTCCGCGTCGCATATGTCGCAGCCGCAGCCGCAATCCCGATCCGCGACCCCGACCCGATCCACCACCCTGAAGAAGAAATCCTCCCTCAGCAAGAAGGGCAGTATTCGTCGCAGCGGGAGTCGGAAGAGCATGCGCGCAGGGAGTGTCCGGAGTCTGGTCTTGGGCGATAAGGAAAAGTATCACTCCGAGGGCGCCGAGGACCAGAACAGCGCATTCTTCATCCCCATCCCCACGAGTGGGAGTCCGACTGAGGTGTTGGCCAATCGCTTTCAAGGTATGTCGACAGGCAGGTGATGGTGTTGTTCTTCCGGTTACTGACGAACGCGAAATAGCATGGCGCAAGATCCTCAAGGACCTCATCCTCTTCTTCAAGGAGCTCCAGAAATCCTACGAAACCCGATCCAAGCTCTTCCTCTCGGCGTCCAACATCCTCAACAGCGCCGCGCTCCCTCCCTCGTTCCTCGACTCCGGCGGCCTCGCCGATGCGACCGACATCCTGCGAGACTTTCACCGCCAGGGCTACATGGAAGCGAACAAGGCCGCCGAGGTTGAAAACGAGGTGGTCAACCAGCTCATGGGTCTGCGAAATGACCTACAGAAGAAGACCAAGGAGATCCGCGGTCTCTCGGGCGATTTCCGGAATTCGGTAGACAAGGAGGTGGATGCGACGCGCAAGACGGTGCGACACCTGCACGAGTCCCTAGGTCTGGTGGACACCGACCCGGCCGCAACCTCGGGGAAGGGGGATCCGTTTATCGTCCGCTTGGGTGTGGAGAAGCAGATTGAGAGGCAGATCGAGGAGGAGAACTACCTGCATCGGGTATGTCACAGTCACACCTAAGGGAGAGGTTCCAGCGACTAACCAGTAATAGGCGTTTTTGAATCTAGAAAACTCGGGACGAGAGTTGGAATCGATCGTGGTCGGCGAAATCCAAAAGGCCTACAACGCGTATGCCAGCATTCTCAAGCGTGAAGCCGACGAGGCCTACGATACCGCGGAGAAGCTGCACTCGGGGCCGATTTCCATGCCTCACGATCACGAGTGGAACTGGTTCATCTCGAACACGGACGAACTCGTCGATCCGCGAGTGCCTCTGCGAGATGTGGAGAACATCTCCTACCCGGGCAAAGATCATCCCGCCGCCGTTGAAGTGCGGTCAGGCATGCTGGAGCGGAAAAGCAAGTACCTCAAAAGCTATACGCCTGGCTGGTATGTATATCTTTTGGTTTTCCCGTTGCATCTCATTTCCTGACTGGTCTAGGTATGTCCTATCGCCGACCCATCTCCACGAATTCAAATCCGCCGATCGCGTAGCATGGCAGACCCCGGTGATGTCATTATACCTCCCCGAGCAAAAGCTGGGATCACACTCCCAACTCGACTCAACATCGCACAAATTCATGCTGAAAGGACGACAAACGGGCACGATGCACCGCGGCCACTCGTGGGTATTCCGCGCCGAGTCGCACGACACCATGATGGCGTGGTACGAGGACATTGAAAGCCTGATCTCCAAGACAGGCGAGGCCCGCAACGCGTTTGTGCGGCGCCACGTCCGGACCGTGAGTGGCACGAGCTGCCAGACCACATCTGCCAGCAGTGATGGAGTCATGGACGAAGACGAGGCTGACCGGACACCGTACTCCCCAGAGTCGGTCGTCCTGAATCAAGAGCGCCCTACCTCCCAGCCTCGTCAGCCGGGAGGCCGCTTCCCAAGTGACGTGCAGATCGACCGCAGCCTGCAGGCCCCACTATCGCCGTCCAGCGGTGAGAGCTCCGGCGGCGAGAAGGATCTGCTGGCTGCGGCGGGGTCGCTCACGGACAACGGCCCGTTCGGCGGTAGCAGTAGCCGTGTGAGCGATCAACAACCGGGTGGTCCGCCGGGCCACTGGATGGATCACAACCGTCACAGCGGCCAGCTCGCCGGGTCAGCTAATGATCCCACTACACAACCCTCCGCCATGATCCCAGGACTCTCATCCTCCGGCCTCGACAGCCCACCACACCGCATCTCCTCCGACAGCAGACGCCCACCATCCATAACCATGTCCGGCGCAGCAGGGGCATCAAGATCAAGCACCTCCCGCGAGCCCTCATGGGGGCCCCAGCGCACCCGCGGCGAGAGCGCCTCCACAGCACCAACCAGCACCAACGCCACCGACTACACCCACTACACGCATAACACGATCCCAACCTCCGTCGACGAGAACATGGACGAATACCCCAGCGACGGCAAGCGAGCTCTCCTCGCTTCGCCCCCCATCATCGCGGACTCGTCCTCTGCGCACACTACCCCCGTCGACTGGGAACGGTCGACCCCCAAGGGCCTCGCTAATGATGAGTTTCCGCGTTCTGGGAAGGGCAGTGTGTCGGCTGTGGAGTTGAGGATTCCAGGTCACTATCCGCCGACTAATATTCCAGCTTAGTCTTGGGTTGGTCTCACCTGAACAACCTGGTTGGACCTTTGATATATCTCTATCTCTCCGAAATGAGGGGTATATATCTTTTTTTCCCTTTTTCTTTTTCCTTTATCTTGATGTTTTCCTTTTGTTATTTCTTTTGTTACCCCTTCCTTTTGTATCTATCGATTGATGTGTCCCGCTGATGTCTGTATGTACATTATCTTCTTCTGATTCTCGTCCTGTTGAGAGGATGGGGATCTTTCTCTTTTTTTTTTCTTGTTTCCTTTTTTTCTTTTTCCTTTGGACTTGGTCGGTTTTGTTGGTTGGTTTGGGAGGATGGACGGACGGTGGATGGTATGATGGGGGCGAGAATACCCTTGGGATTGGTTTTTTTTCTTCTTTTTCTTCTTTTCTTTTTTACTTCTCTGGGCAGGCGTTCGGTTCTTCTTCCTATCTCATTCTTCTCCGTGGTTGGTTGACCATTGATGAGTGACTGACTTACCACTGATACACGAGCGAGTGATCAGTCAGTCAATCAATCAGTCAGTCAGTCAATCCGCCTCACACCACCCAGTACCAAAGGCTGAGCGAGCGAGTGAGTGAGTGAATGAGTGAGATGGTATAAGAAGAACAGAAGAAAGGCGAACACCGGTGTTATGGTTATGAATTTGCTTTTCTCCTTTCCTATCTCATTTCTTTCTCCCCCCAAGTCGATCTATCTACCCGCTTCACTTCATCTGTACTATATTACTCTATCCCCTTTTCCCCCTTCCCCTTTTTTTTCTTTCTTGATTTATATTGATTGATTGGTTGGTTGATTTACTGCCCTATGTTTGTTTGCTCTTGGTTGGTTGACTGATTGATTGATTTACGATAACGCCATGCTACCTACCTATCTACCCTGAACTTTGAACTCTGGACTGAAGTGAAATGAAATCAAGTGATTATCTACCTACCTACTCCGTAGCTATCTACCTATTACTCAAATATCCATCTAGGGGCTTAGATTACTTACATCTGATGTCCTTATCTATCACATTAATCAGAAGAGAGAGAGATATATATATATCTCTCTCTCTCTATCTCACTTGTAGAAAGATATATGTATGTATATAGACATCTGAGATAGATGTGTATACATGTGTTTGTAGTATTTATGGGAATGTCTTAACACAATTATAGAGCAATAAGGTATCAAATTCTGATCGTATCCATTCTCTATCTACCGTTCTACCTTCAAAGTGCTTCTAGTTGGTTGGGATAAGACCGGATATGTTGGTGAGGGGATGAGATGGTGATGAGTACATGCCATTGAACATACGGATATACTACAGTTTGCTGCCTAGATCATCTCATTCTGTGATGTCCCACTCATGCTCCAAATCAAAGATCAAATTAAGTCCGTCCAACCATGTGAAGTACAGATCGATCAGACCGCTTGACTGTCCGTCGGGGCGCCCCGATCCGAGACACGAACCCGAAAAAACAGACCGCCAGAAACGAAGGGGAGAGGAAACCAGATTGAGAAACAGATAAAAACGAAACAGAAAACACCAATATCAGATCATCCGGGGCCCAGGACGGGAAAACAAGCATAAAGAAACAGCAAAAACAGGGACCGCTTTTCGTGACATCCCCGCCGTTTCGACAGAGGACAAGAGAAAAGAGACAACGACGTCGGGTATATTACATGATCTGATCCTGGGTGAGTCCGGTGGGCTCGGCCCCGTCCATCGGGTCCCCGGGTCCCGCGACCATGTTCATGTACTTGACGAACGTGATGCCCAGGGGGCGGCCGCCGTACTGATAGCCGGTGAATTTGGCTGCGAAACGGGTTAGCCATCTTGCCATATCCCCGGCATATTCTGGAACCTACAGATCGCGGTCTCCGCCGTGTCGGCGCTGTCAAACTGGACCACACCCGTGCCACGCGAGCGGCCGTTGGGCTCGTACTGGATCTCCGCCCGATCCACCTTGCCGATGGTCGAGAACAGGTCCACCAGGTCCTCGTTACAGGTGGACCACGGCAACTATCGTCCGGTCAGCACAGTCCCGTCCTTTGATCCAACGGAGCCATCACCCACATTTCGCACGTAGATAACGGGGCTCTTCTCCCCACCCGAGGTCGCAAAGTCCGTGAACGGGTTGGGGGGCGCCGGGGCCATGCCGCCGCCCTCGAAGCCGGGCGCACCGAAGCCGCCGCCACCAGGGGGAGGAGCACCGAAGCCACCGCGACCGGGGAAGCCGCCAAAGGCCCCGCGACCACCGCCAAAACCGCCGCGACCGGGGAAGCCGCCGAAGGCCCCGCGACCACCACCGCCAAAAGCCCCGCGACCACCACCACCGCCGAAGCCGGGTCCGGCACCGGCGAAGCGATCCTCCCGGACCTCCAGGGGGCGGCCCTGCCAGTCGTAGCCGTTGAACTGCTGGATAGCATTGCGCGCGTCGTCGGGGGACTCAAACGCGACGATCCCGGAGCCCTTGGGGCGGCCCGTAGCGTCGGTGTGCACATCGGCGCGGATCACGGCACCTTGCTGAGCTGTTGTCCAGAAACGGGGGTCAATATCAGAACCATTGGGAGAGGGGAACGGAGACGACCGGGGAAGGGGAGATCGCTCGGCGCGAGGATGCCAATCGCATCATCCGGGACCACTTACCGGCCTGGCGGAACAGATCCTTCAAATCTTGCCAGCCAACGTTGAAGGGAAGCTACAATGCCAACGGTTAATACCTCTTGATCCGGTGGGATCCCGGGCAATCGCGGGAAGGGGAGGGGAGTGGGGGACCAACGTTGGCCACGTAAAGTTGTCGGCCACCGCCACCGAAGCCGCCAGGCGCGCCGCCGGGGGGCGCACCACCGAAGCCTCCGCCGAAGCCGCCTCCACGGGCGGGACCCCCGCTGAAACGCGGCTCGGGCTCACGATCCTAAGAGAACCGGGTCGGTAAGTTTCCAATCGCGCACTGGAGCGCGGGCCAGACGGTGGACCTACCTCGCGAACGTAGACGAGTCGGCCCATCAGGTTTTGGTTACTCAGGGAGTTGACCGCATTCTGCGCTTGATCCCTGGTCGCGTATTCCACAATCCTAAGAGACAGCCAAGTCAGTGCGATGAACTCAGGGCACGCGAAATCCAAAGATCACTTACCCGCATCCCTACAGTATCCCGGACAACCAGGCCCAACCCGTCAACCCAAACAGTCCAAGCAAACCAACGAAAGGGGTGGGGAAAAGTTCCAGAAACCAAAGGGAACGGTCAAGAAAAAAGGAAATGGCAAGAAAGAAAACCAGCCACACTACGCATTGGCGCCCACCTTCGACATTCCATTTGGAAGCAGTAAGACATCGGCAAAGATGACTTCTCCAGCTAAAGTTCGAATCGCGGAGAAAAGAGTCCCCCATCCATGGTCAGTCACGAGATTCCAAGACCAGCAGAGCGAAGAAAACAGAAAACAGAAAGGAAAAAAAAAGTCCATCACACGCCCGGCACGATATGACCCTGCTCACCCTGTCTCATAAAATCTTTCAGATGATGCCATTTGACATCGTAGGAAAGGTTGCCCACATAGACGCGACGGTCTTGTTGGGAGGTATCGCGGACGGTCTGCATCATCTGTTCTTTGGCGACGGCACGATCCTCGAACGATCTGGCGGGGGGCGGGTAGCTGCTGCGACCACCGTAAACAGAACCGGAGGATTCACCAGCGATGCCGGGGGCGTTACTCAAGGGCGAGCGCGAGCGGCGATCGGATCGACGGTAGTCCTGGCGACTACGGGAGCGACTGCGGGGCGAGTAGGAGCGACGGCTGCGACGAGGGCTGCGCGAACGACGTCGGGGGGAACGAGACCTCTCACGCTGAGCGTGGTCAGTATCGTAGTAATCGGCCGGCATCGGCACGGGACCCTTCAGGGAGGAGGACGGGGAAGCGGAAAAGAAAAAGAAAAGAAGATTGAAAGGAAGAGAGAGATGGACGCGTTTGAAAGGGAGGTCAGGATGGATGGAGTCAATTGGGAATGGATGGAGAAGCGGGCGTGAGGTTGGTTGAAGCGAAGAGGATGGAGGGATGTCATGTGACGGGGGATGGTAGATGACAAAGCACGGTCCAGGCAGCGGATTCAGGCACCAAGCACAAGGACCTGGGGGACAGCCTGACAGGTCCTCTGAGAGGGATGATTGAGGATATGAATGGAATGATAAAATATACAAATGAAGGTAATTATATGATTACACATATAACTAAATCCATATGTATTTATCGACAAAAGGATATGTATGGAAAAGGATATATATAGACAGAGGACGGACCAGGCGACCGGGGCAGATGGAGAGGGGGAAGTGGGACCGGCAGTACAGCGCGTGCGATCACCATCACGGTCGTCAGAATCACGACTAGGCTGATATTGGTGGAGATTGATACCGGTGGAGATCATACACATGGGCATGAATAACACAGTGGAAAGAAAGAAAGAAAAAAAAGAAAGAAAGATAAAAAGGTAAATGAATTCAATTGAAAATGATAACTTACTGGATAGGGACGATAGACGTCGGCTGGATGACGGAGACGGTCAGCCACAGAACCAGACTTGAGAGAGAAGAGAGAAAAGGATGCAAGACGAGACCAACAATGAGAAGAAAGAGAAGAAATGAAGGGAAAGAGGGGAGAAGAAGAAAGAGAGCAGAGAACCGGAGGGGAAGATGAAAGGGAAAAGGAAAAGGGGGGAGAGAAGAAGGGAAGACGGTAAAAGGTAAAAGGGAAAGGAGGGTAACGGCGGGGAAAGAAGAGAAAAGCAAAAGAAGAGGAATGTCAGACGAGACAACTGGGCAGAGGATCAGGGTGTCTTGATTGGTGTTTGCCGTGGACATCCGAGATGCAGTACCTTAGTAGTACCTTGGGGACTAGGTACATACTTACAGTAGTGGAGTATCAAAAGGGAGTTGACAGTGTAGAAGGAAAGAAAAGAATAGGAATAGAGGAGAGATGGAAGAGGGACAGTTGAGGAAGAGGATTATAAATCTTCAAGTCATGGATCCAATAAGATGGGAAGATCTCCTTGATTTGAACCAGGAAGTGTCCCAGGAGTGATTATGTTTATGGGGTAGTTCAATCATTGACATCATCATTGGGGAAATAACCAAAAGAAAGAAACAAACAAAAGGGAAGGGAAACTGATAGACATACCCATGGTGGATGGATGGATGGAGATTCCTGATAGATTAGACAGGAGAATGAGGATAGAATGAGGATAGAATGAGGATAGAATGAGGATAGAATGAGGATAGATCCTCCCGAGATCACGTCTAACAAGGTACCTAGAGATAAACAAGACGGGGGAGAGACAGAAACAGGGAAAGGAGAGGGGGGAAGGGAGAAGCAAGAAAGAAGAGAGAAGAGAGAAGAGGGGAAGAGGAAGGACAACAATAAAACAACAGAATTGTATCAATTCCATGCATTGATCAATCAGATCATCCAATTCAATGGACAGATGGATGCATGGACGTGGGGTTATCAGGATGTAATTTCCACGCCAGAGGAGCCACTTAAAACATCATACAGGATAGAGTTGACATGAAGACTGGATACTACTTACTATAGTTACTACAATGGAATGCTGATTCATGGTAGGCATAACTAGGATGAGTGTACATATACTAACAGATCAATCTCAATTCAGATCACTCCACAATTCCTTCAACGTGACATCTCTCAAGATATACTCAATCAGATCATCTCCATAAATATCAGATCAAGTATCCTATAGTGAGCAGGTGAACTAACAAAGGCGGAAGTGATATATCTTCACGTGACCACGCGGCACCAGGCACGCGTCCGAGATCCATCTTCTCCATCCTCGCACTCGCCCTCACCATGATCCACACCTCAACACCCACCCTTTCATACTGAAGAAGAAGACGAAAGAAACTAGAAAGAATAAAGAAAAAAGAAAAAAGAAGAAAGAGGAAATCCCCCAAAATGGGCTCCGACGAAATCTCCGACTTCGAAAAGCAGCGTCTCGCCAACATCGCCGAACGCGATGCCCTCCTCAAGAAACTCTCCCTAGGGGCCAAATCCTCGAGCCTGCTTCCTCCAAAAATCCCTCGTGCATCCACCGGTGGTAGTAGCAGCAGCAGCGCCCGGAAGAAGGCCGCACCCCCCAAGGTGAAAAAGGAGGAGCCCGTCCTGCCCCGGCGCACCTCGTCGCGCCTGAGGGGCATCGCTGCCGAGAGTGAGGTCGCTAAGCGGCGCGCGGACGAAGCCTTCGAGGCGCATCAGCAGCAGGAGCGCGAGAAGCGATTGCGCAAGTCGGATGCGTTTTCTTTCAGCGAGATGGTCGTTGCGGGTCAGAAGCTGAGTGGCGATGCCCTCATCGGCGTGGATGTCATCTCCAAGGGCGTCGCTATGCCGTACCAGCGGACCTTTGGGGACGAGGAGATCGAAAAGACGACGGATAAGGATCTCCGGAAGTTGAGGGAGGAGATGAGTGGGTTGGAGTTGTGGGAGCCGTGGGAGCCGCAGCGTCAGTTATCCCTATTCTATAAAAGAGAGAGAGAAAAGAGAAAAAGAAAAAGAGGAGACAGTCATACTGATAATGAACAGGCATCAAGCTCACCCCCGAACGCATCTACACCATGACCTTCCACCCCTCCGAAACGAAACCGCTCATCTTCGCCGGCGACAAAATGGGCCACCTGGGCTTCCTAGACGCATCCCAAGAGAAGCCCACATCCGTGAAACAAGAAGACGACGACGATGAAGAAGACGACGACCCGGACCCCGTCCTAACAACCCTCAAACCGCACACCCGCACCATCAGCTCCATGCACATCCACTCCTCCAAGCCCACCCACCTCTACACAGCCAGCTACGACAGCTCCATCCGCGAGATGGACCTCGAAAAGACCACCTCCGTCGAGAAATACGCTCCCGCATCCACAGCAGACGACGTCCCCCTCTCCGGCCTCGACATGGCCGCCGACGACCCCAACACCCTCTACTGGACGACCCTAGACGGCACCTTCGGGCGTCACGACACGCGCTCTTCCTCCTCCTCCACCACCCCCTCCACCTGGCAACTATCGGAGAAGAAAATCGGCGGCTTCTCGCTGCACCCCACGCAGCCGCACTTCGTCGCAACAGCCAGTCTCGACCGCACCATGCGTCTCTGGGACCTGCGCAAGCTGTCGCACTCGGATCCGATCCCCGTCGCAGAACACCACAGCCGGCTGTCCGTCTCGCACGCGGCTTTCAACGCAGCAGGCCAGATCGCTACCTCTTCCTACGACGATACCCTCAAGATCTACGACTTCGCTGCCCGCGGCCTCCCATCCTGGTCCGCAGGACACACCCTCCCCGAAGACGAGGTCAAGCCCGACACCGTCGTGCGACATAATTGCCAAACAGGCCGTTGGGTCACAATGTATGTTTCTCTTCCATCCTCCCTTTTCCCTCCCTCATTTCCCTCCCTCATTTCCCTCCCTCCTACAACCCCAAACAGACTCAACCAACCCCACCATCCCATCAACTCAACCCACAACACAACCCTAATACTAAGAAACAAAAAAGCCTCCGCCCCCAATGGCAACTCAACCCGCAATCCCCCATCCAACGCTTCTGCATCGGCAACATGAACCGCTTCGTCGACATCTACAGCAGCGCCGGCGACCAGCTCGCGCAGCTCGGCGGGGACGGCATCACCGCCGTGCCAGCCGTGGCTGTCTTCCACCGGAGCAAGAATTGGGTGGCGGGGGGCACGGCGAGTGGGAAGCTTTGTTTGTGGATGTAACTTTTCTTTTCTTTTCTTTTTGTCTGTAGCATTTGATTGTTTATGTTCGTTTAGATCTAGATATATCTATTATAATTGTTGTTTGTTGTTGTTGCTGTTTGTTTTGAGGAATGGTGTGTTAGGTAGGGAGACAGACCTAGGTAGGTTAATTCTTGCCTACTGATCCCGCTGTGCAGTAGAATGGACTTTCCTATCTGGACAAAACTCTAACCAGGTTGACTCTGGAAGTACCGCGTACAGAGTAGGTATACCCTACGGTAAAATAAGCTGTATAACAATCATAAGTATAATATAATAATATAGTGAATATAACCACCATCATCCATCCATCCATTGAAAGACAGGACGTAAGACACACATAACATCTATAATATACCCAACCAACCAACCAACCACAAGATCAAGAAAACTATTTACAGACACACAGAAAAGAACAGCTTGACGACATGATCAAAGTATATAGATAAATAAGTAGATAGATGGATGATAAATAAATAAAGTAAAATCACCACCCAATACAGAAAAAAGATATGAAGAAAAAAGATCAATAAATAAAAGGAAAACCTTCCAAAACCACATCACACGTTATCCAGCCATCTGCTCACGCGATTCTCTCGCTTTCTATGCAAAACAGAAAAACCAGAGCAGGGTATCAACACCAAGAGAAATGCTTTCCAGGTAGGTCAGAGAAATAAGAGTCAAAACGTCGATAGAGGGATAGATGGGAGAGAATAGATGGGAAAAACGTGATACAGATAGGAGAGTGCGTTCAATCATGAGCACATGGGCCAAAGGACAATCAGAAAGAAAGAAAGGAAGAGAAGAATGTACACCAAAGATGCGATGCCAGGACTGACACGCCCCTTCGCCCGCCTGTTATACAAAACTTTGCGCGCTATCCACGGTCAAAGATGCATCGTCATCATCATGGTAAATCCGTCTCCTGTATGGCAGCTACTGAGCGCCGGTACGTATGGAGCGGGTTTCATAAATCTTCGCGTGACTGTGCCGCCTCCCGCTCCTTGGCTTTGCGCCGGGATGGCGCCGGCACAAAGTCGAAGATCCGGTACTTGCTGGACGTGTCGCGGGACAGGCTGGATCGGCGCGCCTTGGTCGTCTCGTGGTAGTCGAGAGAGTAGGTAGACGAGTTCTTCGAGCTTCCGGTACTATCCCGCGTGTCCGACCACCGCGGAAGGGAGAACGGCACCCGCCCCTGGTCCCAGGTCGCCGACGATGAGCTGGGCGGGGTATCCTCATCGGCCTCGGGGGCGCAGTCCGTCGACCGTCGGGGCAGCGACGGCCGCGAGGTGAAGAACCCGATCGAGTTGCGGTGACTCCCCGCCGCGGCGGTCTCGGCGGCGGCGGTCTCGGTGGCGGGCGTGGTAGGCTTCGAGCTATCGTCGTAAAAGGTGGCGGACCGTTCCATCGAGTCGACCAGCTCTTCCCACTTGATCTCCAGGGTTCCATTGGGCCGTTCCGCTTGTTCCGCGCGGCCGAGGCACTCCTTGGTCCGCTGATGGAAACGCGTGGCCAGCTCATTGAACTTCTGGAGGCACCCATCAATACTTTCCAGCTCGGTCAGCCGGTGCGGTGCTATGTCAAGCCACAATCGGATCAAAGTGGAGAAGCTCCGGGCGTGATCGATCAAGAACGGAAGGCTCGGGAACCCTTCGCGGGACGTGGGAGGCAGACGACCGAGGATCTGGATGGGCGTGGCGTACGAGGGTGTGACCATCGGCGTCGGTCGATCGGCCGGGATCGCACATATCGAATCCACGAAAGTCTTGAAATCTGCCCGGTTACCGACCAGAAACCGGTTCATCGGCTCCATCCACGGCTCCTTGCTACCGAACGTGGTCATGTTGGCCAGTCCCTGCAAAGCCTTTGCGATCAGGGTCAAAGTACGTTGGGCGCGAGGACGAGGATGATCTACCGTGAACAACAGTTAGTATATTTTAGAGGAAAGGGGGGGGGGGGGGGGGGACGGTGACGTACCCTTGAGCAATCCAAAGAGCTTTGGGTTTAAGATCGCCGGACAGAAGAACCGCAGAAAGAGGAACCCAGACACGCTACTGTAGGTGACCGTCCGCAGAAAGTCGCCGTACCGATCATCTGCGCACGCTCGAATATGTCGGAAAATAAGTCGGAGTTCGGGAGGGCATCGAGAGGCGGAGTTCGCGATTGCTTTCCAGATGCTGGTGGTGCGAGCGATCAGGGTCCTCCAATTGCGTTCGAGGTCATCCGCTTTATGGACGCGGGACGGGTCCACTTCGCACTCCGGGTCACTCTCGTCGACTTCGCGGAGCCGCTCGCCGATCGTCTCCTCCAGATATTCTTTGCCCAGTCGGCGCATGTGGAGGTCGAGCGCTTTGGTGAGGATGGAGTTCCCCCGGAAGAGAAGATTCGCTTCGACCGTCGCCGTGCGGCCTAGATCTCGCACGAGAACCTCCCGCTCTTGGCCGGTCTCCCGGGAATCGTTGGAGTGGATGCGCGTGGTATACCGGAGACGATTCGCCGTCGACTCCTTGTGCAGCCCGTCGATCTCGTCTTCCACCAACGCCGCGATCCACTCCACCGTTGAGCCCGAGACCTGGAAGATGCTCAATAGGGCTTCGGCGAGCTGGTTCAGTTCGGAGGACAGGAGCTGCGCCATCTGGATGGTGAGCCCGTTGGTGAAGGAGTGCAGGAGTTCGGACATGGGCGTATATTCGTGTGCCATGAGGACCACCGCCTCCTCCATGCGGACCATCATCAGCATCTCCCCCACGGCCTGGTCCCGCTCGTCCAGGAGCGGCCACCACTTTTCGGTTTTCACCCCGGGCTCCAGATCATCGAGCCGCAGGTCGACTCTCCCGTACGTGGTATCTTGCGAGGACAAGGAGATGTCGACGTCGTCGACCCCGGCGGCGTTCGCGTCCTGGGATAGGGCGTAGGATCCCAGGGCGGTCAGGGACCAATCCTTCTGGGTCGGGTTGAGCGCCTTGACGAGGATCGAGACCTGGGACAGGACCGGCGGGAGATCGCTGAAGGAAAAGTCTTCGCGCCAAAAGGGGTTTGCCGTCCGGAACTTGACGGCCGTCTTGGCGCGGATCTCGCCGTCCAGGAGGACTTCGGTGTAGTAGTCGTCGACGGCCGAGGTCGTGGTGGACTGGCTTTGGGACCGGGACGCCTTGCGGCTGCGCGGGAGCTCGTCGGTCGCGGTCTTGAACATTTTCGCCTCGGTCACTCCCACGGTGAGCACCCTCTCGATGCGGAACATGTCCGTGGTGGATGCTACCGCGGTGTCGCCGGAGGTCGGGGCCCGGGTAGGGCGATCTTCAATCGAGTTTTCGGGGCCGTAGAGCTCGGGGATGGAGAAGGCGCGCAGGAGGACAAACCACACTTCGAACAGGACGCGGCTCTCCAGGGCGAGGTAGACGGGCCGCGTCAATCCGGACACGGAGTGGGCGGCGTACTGGGGGTAGATGGCAATGCAAAATTCGTCTTCGAGGACGGACGGGTTCAACTGCTGGATGGCGCACCGGGAGAGCTGGGACAGCTGGATGCAGGCCACCAGGGTAATGTCGGACTCGGTGAACAGCTTCAAGACCCCATTCTCCTGCAACGTGCAGCTGACCTTCAGCCACGAGGACGAGAGCGCCCGCTGCTGTCGGTAGGTCGAGACGCGGCGGGCGGAGGTGGGTCGGGCGCCCGACGCACTCGGACGGTCCCAGAGCAGCATCTTGCCCACCTTGATGATGGCCGCCTCTTTGGGGACGGTACTCTCCGAGTTCCGCCGGTGTTCGGCCACGCGACGGTCGCCGATGGCGACCGACTGCGGCTTGGTCATCTTGTTCTGGACGCCCTTGGGGCGGATGGGCTGCCAGCACAGGAGCGCGGCCAGCCACGAGTCGTAGGTCTCGCTGACGTGAGGTTTGAGTTCGACGCCCAGGCCGGAGGTGAAGGTGGAGACGCTGAGATAGTTGGTGCGTTGCTCGGGATCCACGCGGGAGCGAACCTGGCAGCCGCGGAGGTCCGGAATGAGGGTCTTTGCCAGCGCCGGCTCGCCTTTGGCCTGGTAGATCAGGCTCCCCGTCGCGACGTTGATGGCGCAGTAGCCGGAGGTCCAGGCGGTGGTGTTAGCGGTACGGAACGACAGGATCCCATGCATCCGGCCGCAGGTGTCCTTCATGAGTTTCAGGATCTTGGAAGCATCGCTGTTCGAGAGGCCGGCGGCGGACACACTGGCCAGCAAACTCGAGGTCCCGGCGGACTTGCTGGGTCGTCGACGGGCCGATGGCGGTGATGCAAGGACGGACGGATATCCAATGGACGATGTTTGCTGCTCATCGGGCGTCTTGGACGGGGGTGCGGTGGCGTTGAGAGGAGCGAGGGGATTCCGCGTCCGGTTCAAGAAGGAGCTGGAGGAGATCTCGCTGCGTTGGTCATCCAGGGTGGTGGTCTGGGACCGCGCCCGGAGGCTCCTCGGTTCCATGACGGCCTCGTCCTCGTCCCCGGCGGAATAATAGGAGTGAAAGTCGCGATGGTGAGACTCGAGGTCGAGGGGTCGGGTTCGGGGGGTCACACGGGGCGAGGTCGCAGCGGCGCCTGAGGACAGATACTCCGCCTCCGACACGGGCGAATGCGAATGGTGGCCCGCATCGGAGGTGGAGTCCGGCGTCACCGTCCGGATGCCCCTGTCCCTGAAGCTATCCGGGTATACCATGCCATGACGGTCCTTAGAGGAGGACTTTTTGCTCGGTCGCCGTTCCACCGGACGACTGTAGACCCCCTGGTGTACGGAGTTCCGTTTGAACCCATTTGAACTTTCCGACTCCATCTTCTGGGTGTATTTGTATTTTTTTTATTTTCAAAAAAAAAAAAAAGAAAGAAAGAAAGAAAAGAGAAAAAGAAAATCAAGAAATTTCTTCTTCTCTTCCTCCTTCTTTTTTATTCTTTTGTTTTTTTCCCTTATTTCTTCCCTTTTTCTTTGGGTTCCGCGAACGCGAGGATGGGGCGGGTCGGGCGGTAGCCGCACTCAACGCAGGCTGGGACGGAGAGACGCAACAGGTAGAAGGACGAACGTAGGGACGAGCATGAACTGGTTGAGAGAGAGAAATGGTAGTCGATCAGTTGGATGAAAGATTACCTTGCAGCGCGTTGAATACGTAACATGCGCTGCACAACGGTCCTCGAACAATTGAGGGCCTTGAGTCGTCCAAGAATGAGATGGTCGCTAGCTGAACGCATGGAGTCCGGGGAAAGGGAGCAGAGTAGAGTCGCACATTCGGGTCGAATTCGGGGCGCGTTGTTATTGAAGAGAGTTCGACTGTCGAGATGATGGTAGTGGGTGGTGGTGGTGGTGGTGGTGGTGGTAGTGGTAGTGGTAGTGGTAGTGGTAGTGGTAGTGGTAGTGGTAGTGGTAGTGGTAGTGGTAGTGGTAGTGGTAGTGGTAGTGGTAGTGGTAGTGGTAGTGGTAGTGGTAGTTGTGGTGGTGGTACGTGGGTGGGTGGGTTGGGTGGGGGAAAAAGGTAGTGGTAGAAGAAATCACGGATAACAGTAGTGTTCGCAAGTATTGGTATTAGGGGGGGAAAGATGGATGGATGGATGGATGGATTAGTAGTAGTAGTGGAGGTGGTTGTTCGGAAGTTGGTTGGTGTGTGGGTGGGGAGGGGAGTGGACGGGTTTGACGAGACGGATGGGGACAGTGGATCAAGAGAAGGAAAGAAGAAACAAGGAGATAGGAAGAGGAAGAGGCAGAGGAATAGGATGATGAAGAGATGAAGAGTCGAAGAGGGAGAAATGAAAGATCCAATTATGAACAGAAGAAAAGGATCAAGACCCAGGGAAGAACCAGGATAGGAATTAATTACCCGTGAGGAGGAATGGTGAGTCTTGGGGTCGATCGGGCATATATTCGGTGAATTGAGTCCATCCAGAGGAAAATCGACCCAGAAATTGGCAGAAAGGAACCTGGAAATTGAATGATTCTGAGGGTCAATCCTGGTGGGTAAAAATCCCTGATGATGGTCCAGTCTTCTTCCTATCATCATCCATCTGACGCATGGATCGATGCCCCTGATCCTTCAGACATGGATATTCATACCTCAGTACTCATACAAATTACATAGACCAAGTATATCAGATGTGCTCCTTCACGTCAATGATGAAGATACACATCTATCCGGTCGAATCTGGCAGGAGTTGTATCTGTTGATCCCCATTGAAGCTGAGGATGAAGGTATTACCGCATTGGGACAGCCCCGAGAAATTCTGGATTAAGATCTACTCGGGCGGGTTGGTTGGGACGAAACCAAGGGTCTGGATATACAAGTGGACATTTTAAGATTAATTATAATTCTATAGATTATATAAACTATATAAATCATATAAATCATATAAAATATATCAATTCTAATCAAGGAATAAGTGGAAAGAAATAGGGAAAAAGAGGGGCAAAAAATGAGAATAAATGAGTATGGATTGAATCAAGATATGAAATATAATATAATAAAATAAGTCAATAATCATCATAGTAAGCCAGGCGAAAAGAAAAGAAATGGAACAAACAAAGAACAAAGAAGAAGAAAAGAATCAGAAATATTCCATATCATGATGACGAGGTCATTTCAGCTGTGGCTTGTCTATCATGTAGCATGTACGCCCTACCTTGCATGCACGATCCCCCTATCGATTCGCAGATTCGTCCACTATAGCCACCTGCCAGATATATTTTAGGAATTAGTGCTGCACACAGATACGAGAGACATGGTGGCTAGAATCGTAGCCAAAGTTTAATGCGGAGGTGGCGATGTTTGACTAGTCCTATACAAATAGAACTAGATCTGATTTTACCTTTGCACCTTGCAGCGAGTGGTACTCCAGACCCAAACTACCTATCGAGGCGTCGAGTCCATATACTCCGTCCGTCCAGGGATATATCCCGTCTTCAATAGTGCAGTGCATTGGTCCAGGGTGTGGACTATCTGGGTAACCAATTTCCATCAGGGCCAAAGTCAATTGCTGAATGGCAAATCCTTGCATCACTCCAAGTATTAGTCCAGGGTCCGTTGGAGATTGTCGGTCCATGCCCTCCCGGGCCACCGCCATCACCAGATGGAGTAGGACCAACATCACACAAGGATTCACAACCCTCGCTCGCTGGACCACTCACTACCACACCTGACCTCCGGCTGTTGCTCGCTGTGCGGATCAAATCTGGTCGTTGATGAGGGGGGCTCGAAAAAAAAAAACAAAAAGCTAACAACAGGCCTAATCCAAATTTGAATGTGATTAGTTGGTGCCAATTGGCTTTTTCTCTTCTTTTCTTTGCTTTTTGTCTTCTTTCCCCTGTCACCCCCCATGTTCCTATTTTGATGTTTCCCTTTGTTGGCGGAGGGCTCGTTTTTCGGTTTCCATCAAACCAAGCCAAGTGAAACTGAGCCTGTGGCGGACAAAGGAACAGCAAGAGGCTTTGCGCTTCCTGTCCCCAGAACCACCCAGTTGGATACGCCCGCTTTTTGCTTCAAGCGTCCAGAACCTCCAGATCCCTGAGAAGCCAGAACATCTCCCCATACCCGACAGGGGTTGTGGTCATTCTGCAACACGGTGCCCCAAAAGACATGGGTTAGCGCCTGGCTGCTCGTCATTGACACCAAGCAACGCACGTACAGCCGCGCCGGTGGAAACGGGGTGATGACCACGACCTAGTGGGTGGCCTGGGTGGCCTGTACGCTGCAGACTATCACGGTAATGGGTCACCTCCGATTTAGTGGACACTAGTTAGTGGTCTGTGTGGGTTTTTTTTTCCCTTTCGGCCGTCCTCGCGGTCTCGCACTATCTTTGTCACAATCGCTGACGCCACTCGAGGGGCGGCGACACAGCGGCAGATATTAAGCCCCGTTCTGCTCAAATCCCGCGCTCGTGACCCGACATGTCGGTAGAAACTTGATGCTATGGGGCTACTCCGAAAATATGCACCTTTTGGAAAAAGACCCCCCCGCCCCTCCTCTCTCTCCTCTTGCCCCTCTCCCTCTCAGAGAAAAGAGGGAAAAGCGGATCACACCCCCTCGATTGTTATGTGGCGACAATTCGACGAACACTAGGGAGTCAATCCCTACATGTCCGTGAAGGCCAATCACCCGCAGACCAGGTGAGATTTGATTCTCGACAAAGGTACGAAAGAATAGTGTTATCCAAGGTACAATGATGCATTGGGAGAAGACGAACCCCGCACGAACCATAGATGGGAAGGATCTCTGAACCAACGGCACCAATCAACTGGAAAGATGGCTGTTGGCGGCTCATCCCGAGCAAGTCCAATCCGCCTGGACCTGACTCGTGTCGTCAGAGACAATTCGGAGTAGCTTGGAAAAGTATTCCGTCTCGACCGAGTAATATCTCCAGTATCTTACCCTGTTAACACTGTACATACATAGCAGTAGAGTCTGTGACAACACGTGAGCGATGAACAGGATCAACCGTTGTTCCGGTACCAGATCAGCTGATTGTGTGGCAGCCTCAGGCACCACTGATAGCGGCGCCAGCGCTGACCGCCTTGCATCATAGGGCGGCAAGAAGCAGCTTATCATCCAGCAGTGTCATTCGACCGGTCATCTTCACCTCCTCGACTGGTCAAACGACCTGCCTTGGACTCCTCATCTTGTTTTCTATCTACTTCTTTACTTGTCTGATTTACTTCCTCACTTCTCTTCTTCTGTCTTCTATACTATACCCCCCCCCCCCGACCTGTGGATCTAGATCTATTCATAGATGTGCCTGGTTTAGAGGAGAGTCGAGTTGTTCCACATCGCTTGCCATCACATGGCCTACTCTTGGACCCTTCTCTGAGTTCTGACTCGGGCTATGGGTGAAGCTTGCTACGTACTGATTTCTACTGTATGACTGTAGTCGCATCAGATTCTTTGAGTAACCTTCAAGATGATGGCCTCCAACATCCTATCACGGTTCCTCCCTCCGAACGGCTCGCCCTCGGTATACGAGACCATCCGACAACACGATGCGGATTCGGATCTAGACGTGGAGGAACGAGGTGGACTAGAATTCGAAGATGGAGCGAGGCAACAATATACCGATCATGAGTTGGAGGAGGCCATGGCCGAGGCGGAGAGAGATGACATGCCCAGCGAGAGCGATGCGTTCCTGACACAAAGGAGCCCGCAAAGAACATCCAGCGAGGGGCCGTCGAAAGCGGGCTCTCGCCGTCGCAAACCCAGCCGACCACGGTGGATGCGAGGTGCGTCGCCACGTCATGACCCGGATGATGGGGATGACGATGTCCCGGCATCCCTACTGGTGGAAGGGCACGATGACGATGACCTGAAGTCCCGACTGCCGCCTCCGCCCAGCCCCCATCACCTCCACGTACCAGAGCCCTTGGTCGCTGGACCCTCGTCTCGGGATGACCGAGTTCACTGGGATTCTGCCCGAGAACGGCTGCCGCTCCACGACGACCGGCGGAGACGTCGTCCTGGAGTGATCTGGTCCCAGGGCCTTCCGAATATGGCGACTGTAGACCCCAAAGAGAAGGCCCTGTGGATGTGGGCCAACGTAGAAAACCTGGACAATTTCTTGAAAGACGTCTACTCGTATTTTACCGGGAATGGGATTTGGTCTATATTGCTGAACCGTTTTCTGAACCTCTTGTATGTGCTTCCCTGACTCCCGATCAATCGAATTGCAAGGAGGCCGGTGGTCTAACAGATGGCAGAACCTTCGCGTTCATCGTGGGATTCGGGGTGTTCCTCACCAACTGCATCGATTATCGCGAGTTTCGGGGAAGTAGACGACTAGACGACATACTGATCCAGAAATGTACCAACAAGATGTCCATGTCGTCGACATTTCTACTCTGGCTGTTGACACTATTCTGGATCGGCAAGGCATTTCAGTATCTCTTCGACCTCCGACGACTAAAGCATATGCATGACTTTTTCCACTACTTGCTCGGAATCACGGATGCGGAAATCCAAACGATCTCGTGGCAGGAAGTCGTCAGCCGGCTGATGACCCTGCGCGACTCCAACCCAGCGACAGCTGGCACTGTGTCCGCCAAACACCGCAAGTACATCGGCAGTCAGTCGAAACAGCGCATGGACGCCCACGACATTGCGAATCGGCTGATGCGCAAGGAGAATTATCTGATTGCACTGATCAACAAAGATATCCTAGACCTCACTCTGCCCATTCCTTTCTTCAGGAATCGCCCATTGTTTTCGAGGACGCTGGAATGGAACCTCAACCTTTGTGTGATGGACTACGTGTTTGATGAGCAGGGCCAGGTGCGGACTCTGTTCCTGAAAGACACCCATCGTAAGGCCTTGGGCGAGGGCCTGCGACGACGGTTCATCTTTGCGGGCATCATGAACGTCTTCGTCGCCCCGTTCATCATCGTCTATTTCATGATCCATTACTTTTTCCGCTACTTCAATGAGTACAAGAAGAACCCGTCTCGGATCGGATCTCGCCAGTACACCGCGCTGGCCGAATGGAAGTTCCGCGAGTTCAACGAGCTGTGGCATCTGTTTGACCGCCGCATCAACATGTCCTATCCGTTCGCCAACCGCTATCTGGACCAGTTCCCCAAAGACAAGACCATCCAGGCTGCCGGCTTTGTGGCCTTTGTCGCCGGTGCCTTGGCGTCTGTGCTGGCGCTGGCGTCCCTGGTGGACCCGGAGCTGTTCCTAGGCTTTGAGATCACGCCGGACCGGACGGTGCTCTTCTATCTGGGTATCTTTGGGTCCGTCTGGGCCGTCGCCAACGGGCTGGTCCCCGAAGAGACCAACGTGTTTGACCCCGAGTTTGCCCTATCGGAGGTGATCGATTTTACGCACTACTGCCCCAGTCACTGGAAAGGCCGGCTACACAGTGACGACGTGCGCAAAGAGTTTGCCGCGTTGTTCCAGATGAAGATTGTCAGCTTCGCAGAGGAGATCCTGAGTCTGATCTTCACGCCGTTTATCCTCTGGTTCAGCTTGCCCAAGTCCAGTGACCGGCTCATTGACTTTTTCCGGGAGTTCACGGTGCACGTGGACGGGATGGGGTACCTGTGCTCCTTCGCGGTGTTCGACTTCAAGAAGGGCACCAACGTGATCCCCCAGGGACCCCCAGGGGTGCGAGGGGGACCCGACCTTCGCGGAGACTACTACTCGACCAAGGACGGCAAGATGCTGGCGTCGTACTACGGGTTTCTAGACAACTACGGGGCCAATAACCGTGGCGGTCACCCAGCCACCCGACGCCAGTTTCACCCACCCCCGGCGTTTCCAACCCTAGGAACGCCGTCGATGGCTGACATGGGTCACTGGGGGGAGCGGCCAGACCCCGCGCGGATGCGCCACACGCCCCCCGGCGGTGCTCAGTCATACCTAGGACCGCGCGCGGGGCCCTCGGGGGTGGGTGACCACGCGTCTCCGGCGCCATCCATTCTCCTCGACCCGCACCACCAGCCCTCTGCGTCCGGGTTCCGGTCCTCCCACCGCCCTGGGGTTTATTCGCGGTATCGTCCCGCGCGCGCGGCGCCGACAGTGTCGAGTCCCATCGAGGATGACGATGAATCCCCACCCGCGAGGGGCAGCGGGGGGTCTCCCCACCACAGGACGGGATCCAGCGGGGGCGGGGTCGGCGCCAGCGGTAGCAATCTGGGGGAGTCATGGCGGGTGAACCTCATGGGAGAGGAAACGCACGAGGGGGACGAAGGGGAGGAAGTCGATGCGATCACCGGCGGGGCAGGGGTATTGGGACTGATCCAGCAGTTCCAGAAGGTGAACAAAGACCACCGGGGACGGACGACCGTGGGTCTCTAATAGTTTATTATTGAATTTAACGATCATACACCTACCTATCTACCGTTCTTTTCTCCAGGCATCCTTTGGAAGAGGGGAATGTTTGCCCTTGGCGCGTAAACAAAGCCAAAGCCAGACGAATCTAACACCCCCCTGCCTTGGCCAGCCCAGCCCAGCCCAGCCCAAACCAGGATCCAAAATTTTGCACAGAAACTCAGGAAGTGTTAAAAACCACCCTAACCCAACTCTGTCCAGCAAAGTAGAGGTGAGCAAAAGGAATGATGCATCACCAGGAACTAGGCAAATAATGGATTATCATTCCTGCAGGAGGATCCACATCTGGCAGCGATCCGGTATTCAATTGGATCCAAGCTTGTTGTTGTCAGATAGTAACATAGTAGTTATAGTCTCCATCTGATATACAGAGGTACATACCACATGCCTAAGCCTAATAGAGAGACGGTTTTGCGGTCTAGACGGGCTTGGCTGGGGGACTAGTTGGTTGTTGGGTCTTTCTTTTCTCTTCTTCTTTCTCACTTTGTTTTCTTTTCTTCTTCACTTCACTTCACTTCTCTTCATCTCTTTGTTTTGATGATTTGAGTCGGGCTGACTTTGTTTTTTTTTTCTTTCTTTCTCTCTCTCGTTGACAGAGCTGGGTTCTCCCCACCATGCTCTATCTATCCTCATCTTATTGATTCTTGATTGACTGAGGATTACTCTATACCTAGGTAATGAGATAATAATAATAACCAAATAGTAAGACCTACTCCTACCGAAACTACGTCCACCTAACTCTCTCTAGACGAACATCATGATTCGAGCCCGTCGCTACCGTATCCTCCTGGTCTTAGCTACCATCCTAATCCTGACCCTAATCCACTTTACGCGCTCTCGCGAACACCCGATTCCATACGACATTATTCGCGCTCCACCCTCAGCAAACACCAAGCGCTTTCCCTTCTCCCTACGTCCCCACGTCAACGCAAACAAGCTCCAGCAAGCTCCGCTGTCGCCGCAGGCCCCTCTCGCCCCTCCTCCCCCTCCTCCTCCACTGTCGCACGACTTCCAGTCCGGTCCCGGCCTGTTCCAACAACCAGAGGATCGCCCCAGCAAACTAGACACCGACACCGACACCGACACCGCCTCCGTGGAATCGCCCGCAGAGAAGAACCCCGATGCGTCCCCCGCAGAGCCAGGCAAAGACAAGGATTACTGGCCGAACGCCCCCGACACGGAGCATGGCTCCTTCGCCAAAGGCCGACTAGAGGTCGAGTCACCCGAGTCGAGCCGGCCAGCAGCACACTGGACGAAACCGCGCGAGCACTTCCCACTCGCCGCAGAAGAGCTAATCAAGCTCCCAAACGACCAACCCCGCCAACTCCCCAAGCTACAAGCGACATTCAAAGACGAGTCGTCCCATGATAAAATGAAGCGCCTACAGCGTCTATCCCAAATCAAAGAGACCTTCGTGCACGCCTGGAACGGGTACAAGGTCGCCGCCATGGGCCACGACGAGGTCACCCCCGTCCGTGGGGGTTCGCGCGATCCGTTCAACGGCTGGGGCGCCACGTTGGTGGATACGCTTGACACGCTGTGGATCATGGAATTGCGCGAGGAGTTCGTCATTGCGGTGGATCGTGTCAAGATGATTGACTTTACGACGTGCAGGCGCAAGGACATCCCCATGTTTGAGACGGTCATTCGCTACTTGGGGGGTCTGCTGGGGGCGTACGATGTGTCGGAACATCGGTATCCGGTGCTCCTCGATAAGGCTAAAGAGCTGGCGGAGATTCTGATCGGCGCGTTTGATACGCCTAATCGGATGCCGGCTCTGTTTTACAATTGGGCGCCGTAAGCAGTATATCTTTGGGGTGGTCAGGTGTGCGGTGTTGCTAATTGGTGTATTTGTATTTGCAGGAACTACACCTCCAAGCCGCACAGCGCGGATGCGAAGGCCGTTCTGGCAGAGCTCGGCTCTCTGTCGGTGGAGTTCACGCGCTTGGCGCAACTAACCAAGGAAGACAAGTACTATGACGCCATTGCGCGCATCACGAACGAACTGGAGAAAATGCAGGACTCGACGAAACTGCCGGGTCTGTGGCCGATCAAGGTGGACGCGTCGGGGTGCAAGGCAGCCACAGCCAAGGCCCCGCAGGATCCAGAGATCTCTACCTCCGACACAGGCTCTACTTCAGACACAGGCGCAAAGGCGCTACCCTCGGACCTAGAAAGTTACACCAACTACTTCAAGTCGCATGACGCTTCCCGCACGGAGACACCAGGTTCCGACGCCGTACGACTAGAAAGCAGGGCGCTGCCAGAAGCGAACGCAGACGCAGACGCAGACGCAAACTGCAAGGACAGCCTCCGCAGCCCGGCGACAGAGTTCGACACCTTCGGGATGGGGGCGCTAGCCGACTCAACATACGAGTACCTACCAAAGGAGCACATGCTGCTAGGCGGCCTGAACCCGCAGTATCAGACCATGTACGAAAAGGCCATGACCGCCGCGCGCAAGCACCTCGTCTTCCGGCCCATGGCCAAGGGCACAACCGACGTGCGCTTCCTAGCGTCCGTGAGCCTGTCGACGCCGCTTTCCCACGCTACACCAGACCAGATGAAACACAAGTACGAGGGCACGCACCTGTCATGCTTTGCAGGCGGCATGGTCGCCATCGGCGCGAAGCTGTTCGGCATTGATAGTGACATGGATCTCGCCCGCAAGCTGACGGACGGCTGCGTGTGGGCTTACCAGGCGACTAAGACTGGCATCATGCCGGAGCGGTTCGACCTTGTCCCCTGCAAAGATCCGCAAACCTGCCCGTGGGACGAGACCGCTTATCACAGCGCGTTAGATCCCTACATGGAGCAGCGACTCGCCCGTCCACCACCACCCCCACAGGAGCAGCAAAAAGAAGGGCCAAAGAAGCCAGGCAGCGTCGGCTTGAGAAATAGCAAACGCTGGCACGTCGTCGCTCAACCCAAACGCCGACCAACTGACATCCCAACCCACGAGTCACCCGAGTCGTCATCATCATCATCCTCATCGTCATCTTCATCACCCGAGGAAAGCTCAGAGGAACCACCATCCCACCAAGCATACGTATCCTCGCGCATAACAAGCGAACACCTCCCACCCGGCGTAACACGCATCACCTCCCGTCTCTACAAGCTTCGTCCCGAGGCGATCGAGTCCGTATTCATCATGTTCCGACTAACGGGCGACGAGTACTGGCGCGAGCGCGGGTGGAAGATGTTCGAAGCGGTCTCCAAGATCACAAGAACAGGGATCGCGCACTCGGCGATTAGCGATGTCACCGTTACGGATCCGGTGCTGCTGGATGAGATGGAGTCGTTTTGGCTCGCCGAGACGTTGAAGTATTTCTATTTGCTGTTTTGTGATCCGGGGGTTGTGAGTTTGGATGATTATGTTTTGTATGTTCCCATTCCCATTCCCCTTCTCTCTTTCCTTTTTTTCTCCATTTCTTTTTCTCAAGGGAAAGCAAAGAATTGACAACTGACATCTCACAGAAACACAGAAGCCCACCCCCTCAAACGACCCAGCTCAACGTCCTCATGAATCTTTCTCAGGGAGTCAGGGCTATCTCGTCCAGCGGTGTAGAATCATGAAAAATCTACATCAACACCAACGAGTTCACGCACATGATGTTTATTGTTTACTTACTACTGATGATGAAAAGGATATGGATTGCTTATGAGCGGGTATGGCTTTATTTATTTTTTTTCGGGTATTGTATGTACCTTGCATGGTAGATTACGGGGTGGGGGTGTATATTCTGTTCTATAAGCATTATCATGGTTTATTCCAACCGTACAGGATCTATTTTTCTGATTCATTCAACTACCTAGTATGTATACATGAATCTACTCAAAAGAAGAGGGAAGAGCAGGCGAACGAGGCTGAGGATGGACAGGCGTAAGGCGCAGACTACCAATGTACGTCAATGTCAAGTAGGGTTAGCGGTTTTCTCAGGGCTGACTGTCTGACGGCTGTGGGGTTTTACTTGTCATGCCCAGCCTTCTTTCTTTTTTTTTCTCTCTATTTTTTATTACTTGGTAGTGATTTAAAGGTGGAATATCTGTCTGGTTTTCTTGTTGGGTTGTATGATATGGTTGACTGGTTCGTTGTTTAGGTACTCCGTAGATAGTAGGTAAATGAGAGTGAAAGGCTGTCATGGTAAGGGTGTTATAACAGTGGTTATAATCGAGTCAGGATCACAAGTTCCAAAAACGGACAAACTGACCAATGGCACCTACGGCAGCCTGCATTAGTGATTATAGCGGTTTGGTCGAGCGAGCTGGGAAACAGCGCCGATCTTGCACTAACAGGAGACACAGCCTGCATTGATGCTTATAGCGGTTTGATCAAGCGGGCTGAGAGATGGCGCCGATCTTGCGACTAGAGTACAGCACACAGTCGGCTAGCCAGTCATGTTCGATGCTATGAATAGTTTGAAGATGAGACCTTCAACTGGCTATTGCGTATCGGGTATGCTAGATTGGAGGACGTTCTTCTGTCTTTGTAGTGTCATTGAGATGAAACTGGGCCTGCACTGCCTAAACCTGTTTCGATCATGTTACATGATCAAGTCAAAAGCATTTTCCTTTCTCCACTGTTTTCGTCCTATACATCTCTCTTCCTATCTTCCTCCCAGGCACCCTGCCAGACGACTTCTCTTTCTCTTCTCGATTATTCCCTGTTCTCTCCCGGGCCTCTTCTTGGGCCTCTCTCCCTGATTCTTCCCAGGTCTTCTTCGGGTCTCTCTCCCTGCTCTCTCACCTGTTTCCCTGCCTATATTCTTTTTATACTTTGTCTCTACTTCTTTTCAAGAAACTAGCTTTTAAATCGTTTTTAAACAGTTCTAACCTAGTCTTCAGAAATTATAACTGTCAAGAAATCTCTATAATAACATGTATTTCAAGACCCACTTGACATGAACAGAAGAAACATCACATGACCTCTTTGTTAGGCTTAGTGACTTTCACCTGAACTTTTGACCCCCTTCCACCTCAGATATACACACTGATCTTCTTTATTTGAATTGATTAACTGCCTAGGATTACATCCCTGGTGGCGTACTCCTTATGGCTACCCGCATGGATTGATGGTGCCTGCTTCTTTGTCCGAGAGTGTATATTTAGGGGAACAATCGTGACGCTAGGCCTTCCTTCGCCCATCCCGCTCACGGCTTGGGTCCTCTCTATAGGCCTCTCTCGACAAGCTGTTGGCCCGAGCCAGACTAGGTACTTATTTTGGTGAAACGCTTAGATGTGAAATGTGATAGACCGAGGGCTTGTTCCCGTCTGTGATTGACTGGGTCCGTTCAGGTCGTGGGGCAAGCTAGAGTTGAGTATGGGAGCCGTTGGTAGTCTTGCTTATTCTCGAGGCGCAGCCAGCCTTGTCCTATGTTAGCGGGATGGTATTTATTTTGTACTTTTTTTTCGGCCGTGGAGGCCAGCCTTGAGGGGCGGTTTTGCATGGGTAGATAGTTATAAATATATTTTTGTCTCCTGTGGTCAGGGTTGTGTACTTACTCAAGTTCATCATTCCATCCATTCTCCTAAGATTAATCAACCGATCAAGGAAGACTATAAAACAATATGCACCTCTCAAGCCTCATCCTCCTCCCCCTCGCCCTCGTCCCCCTAGTCACCGCAGACTCCGACTCAGGCGAAGGATCATGGTCCCTCCGAGGTTATAAGACTAAGGCAGACGATGCCAAACCCCCTAAACCCGATCAATACGAAGACCTTGCCAGCGGCCGCAACGTTGTCAAATGCGCCGACCTGTCCAACGGCGAGGAAGTCCGTTTCGTCAAGGGCGTCCCGGGAGATTTCGCTGTCACCGTCTACCAGGGTCTCGTTGATGATACAGGCAAAAACAAGTGCTTGGGGGAGTCGGCGACTATTCAGCCTGGAGAAGTCTATGAGGGACCATTTAAGCGATACGAGGTTTGTTTTCTTCTTTCTCTCTCCCTTATATTTTCTCTCTCCTTCCCTAGATCTTGTTAGATAGATACTTACCAATCTTCATTATAGATTCAGTTTCTTCCGATAAAGAAGCGGAGTGGGAAGGTGCTGGGAAGTTTCGTTGCCTGATGGATTGTCTGACCTGGTTCTTTGTTCATATTATGTCTCTGGTTGGTTCGCGGTGCTGGACACGGTTCCTCTTGAGATGTCTCTTTTATGTATTCTATTCCCATATTGTATGGTCCCTTGGTTTCTTGGTCATGTGGGTGGACGATGGCACATCAGGGTTGGTCTCCTGTGTAGGACACCCTCTATGTGCCTTTTCTTTGCGTCACTCCTTCGAATGCAAAGCAATGTTCCACATCGTTCTTTCCGTGAAGAGAGGAAAGACCGCACTTGCCATTAGCATGACTCAATTGGTTGACAAGGCAGTGACGAGCAGACTTGGTGGTTTTCCAATAGGGTAGCTGCGATATAGGCAGGCACCTGCAGGCCGTCTGTAAGTCTTCCCTGAGCAGGTGAAGTAAATTGGGTCCTCCAACCTCATCATCCACCCTGTCTTGCCCTAAACACACCACCATGGAGACGCATCATTATTCCGTGATCATCGTCGGTGCTGGCATCGCTGGTATCAACGCCGCCTACCGTCTGCAATCTGAGCTGCCGGATCACCCGTACGCCATCCTCGAGGCCCGCAACGCCATCGGAGGCACCTGGGATCTGTTCCGCTACCCTGGTGTGCGCTCTGACTCGGACCTATTCACTTTTGGCTTCTCGTGGTTTCCCTGGGATGCATATAACCCCATTGCGGACGGAGTGTCCGTTGCAAACTATATCCGCCGTGCGGCGGCTCAATATGACATCGACCGCCATGTCGTGTTCCAGCATCGGGTACTTTCCTATCATTGGTCTTCCACCGAGAACCTCTGGACGCTCTTGGTGGACCACCAGGGCCAGCTAGTTCTATATATCACGCGGTTCATCATCCTGGGCACTGGGTACTACGACTATGACAAGCCGCTGGATTCTTCTATTCCCGGTCTGGATCGGTTTGAGGGCCAAGTTGTCCACCCGCAGTTCTGGCCTGCGAATCTGGACTACGACAATAAACAGGTTGTCATCGTCGGTAGTGGTGCTACGGCCGTGACGCTGCTGCCTCGTCTGGTGGAGAAGGCAGCCAAGGTCACGATGCTGCAGCGCAGTCCGACGTATATCCTGCCCATGGCAAACAAGAACACACGCACGACTGTAGACGCCTTGTTTTCCCCCCGAGTGGCTCACAGACTCAAACGTGCTAAGTGGATCGTCACCTCGCGCCTGACGGTGCTCTTCTGCCAGACGTTTCCCCGCTTTACGCGCTGGCTGTTCCGGTGGATCGTTTCAAACAGACTCCCCCCACATATCCCCTACAGTCCGCATTTCGATCCTAAGTACAACCCCTGGGAGCAGCGGCTATGCATCTGTCCGGACGGAGACTTCTTTGCCAGCTTGCACTCGGGCCGTGGGGATGTCGAGACGGGCAAGATCCGGGAGGTGGTTGCCGACGGTATCATCCTAGACTCCGAGAAGAAGCTGGAGGCGGATATAATTGTGACAGCCACGGGCATGCGGTTGCAGATGGCCGGGGGTGCGTCGTTTTATGTTGACGACGAGGAATACCCTTTGCCGGAGAAGTACACGTGGAACGGGGCGATGTTGCAGGACCTTCCGAATATGGTCATGCTTACCGGATACACCAACGCTTCGTGGACGCTCGGGGTCGACGTCAAGATGCGTCTGGTCTGTCGTCTGCTGCGATCGATGGCGGACCACCAGCACTCCATGGCCGTGCCTCGGGTGCAGGGCGGTTCCAAGCTGGAGGAGAAGCAGCTGTTGGACCTGAAATCGACGTACATAGTCAAGGGGGCAGGAGTCCTGCCCCGCGCGGCAAAGCAAAAACCCTGGTGTCCACATGATAATTATCTGTCCGAATGGTTGTTTGCCAAGTATGGAAGCCTTGAAGAAGGACTGGAGGTGACTTGACTGAGACTCCTTTAAAGAGACCTGTGCGGGTGGATCATGACCACAACCATTGATTGCTGTATTGTTAAGCAATACCTCATCCATAATCGAATGCAATCAGATCCTAAACCTGCGCCATCATAGAGCGATTGACTAGTCGTTCGTCTTGGTGGTGTGGATGGTATCTCCTGTAGAAGGTAGCAGTGTCTTGTCTGCCGTCCTTCCCAATCTCTCGCAGATAGGATCACATTCTTTCACCTGTTTAGAATACAGAAATAACAAATTCAACAGGTGTATAGGTGTAGTTGTCAAAAGAAGTGGAGGAAGAAGAGAAGAAGTAAATAGACGGAGAGTATAGACAGATGAGGCTAACCCGATAGGGTTAGTGTGGGTCGAGCGACTCCCGCTTGATTTGTTATGGTGCTTTGGTCACTACATCATCATCATCTTCTTCGGCTTCACCTTCATCTCCCCTCCTTTCTCTTCTTTCCCTCCTTCTCCTTGTCTAATTACCCCCCTCCAGTCATCCTATTTTGCAACCCCTGGTCAGACACATCCCGGGATGAGTGTCACGGTCCAACTCATCCGACGACGAAGACGCCGATCGACCGTGGGCAATGGAGATGGTGGTCGACTCCGAACACCAGTTCTGGGATGGTCAGTCCAATTAGCAAACGATCTACATGCCCTTCCTTGCTTCTTTCGTCTCTCTTCGCTTGGACTTTACTTTGGTTGCTTAAATCTGTATGCAGAAGCTGACTGGCGTAGAAATCCAAGAGATTGTTTCCACCCCTTGCTCCTCCGAAGACAGCATCGACGATGCCCTGCGGAACTATTTGAGTCTGGCTGCCCATTACAGAGGTCCGTCCTGTCCTTCAGATCGTCTCCGGCTCGATAATATCTCCGTCTTCTCGATCAATATCCCCTGACCACCTCCAGATGAATATCTCCGCTCCGCGCTGGCCGTTTCGCGCTGTTCCTACAAGCTACTCACGTCGAGCATCTTCGCTCACCATGGCGACTATGTGCGCCGACAGATGATCTATGGCCTCTTGCAGGTACGACCAGCGACAGCCAATCCCTCCTGCGCCAACCGAACCTTTGTGCTGACAACTCGATCCTTTCCCAGGACGACGACCCGAACACTCTCCTCCTGATCACCTCGTATCTTCTCTTCGACGGCCAGCAGAATGAGATCGTCTTCCGCATGATGAATGAGGAGTGCGCCTTTCCGCGGTTGATGGAGCTTCTCCAGGCGCAGGGTAAGGCTATGGGTGACGATGGAGCTGGGCTCCATCGACTCCTGATGGACTTGCTGTATGAAATGTCCCGCGTTCAGCGCATCAAGGTGGAAGACCTGGGTAGGTTCCTTGGTTGATAATGGCGGTGGGAGATCATGATTAACGAGGTGACAGTACTCGTGGACGATGACTTCATCAAGGGTCTCTTCAATATCATCGAAAATCTCTCGTACGATGTCAACGATCCGTACCACTATCCGGTCATTCGTGTTTTGGTAAGTGTTGACAGGCAGTCCGGTGCGCTTGGTGCAGAGGCTCATTATGCAGTTGGTGTTAAACGAGCAATTCATGATCTCGGCCCACGATCCTATCAGCGAACGGTCGTCAACCACCTTGACCAACCGAGTAATCAAAGTCCTGTCTATGAACGGCAATCTCTACAAGACCTTTGGCGAGAACATCATCCTCCTCATTAATCGAGAAGGTATGTCCCGGTCTCCTGATTGAATTCCTCCAAGCAAGGTTCTAACAGTCCCAGCCGAAACTTCTCTTCAGCTTTTGACCCTCAAACTCCTCTACTTAATATTCACGACCCCCAGCACATACGAGTACTTTTATACGAACGATCTCCACGTCCTCGTGGACATCCTCATCCGCAACTTGCTGGACCTCCCCGAGGAGGCGGCGGCGCTGCGACACACCTACCTCCGCGTGCTGTACCCGTTGCTGGCGCATACCCAACTGAGAAACCCCCCGTTCTACAAGCGGGACGAACTTCACAGAATGCTCAGCATTCTCGTCAGGGGCCAGCTGCCCACGACCGCGGGCGAGGTCGACCACGAGAAGATCATGCACTTCGACGAGGTGGACGAAACAACACGGCGGCTCGTTGCGCGCTGCGCCACGGTCGACTGGCTTCGCGAGACGGACGAGGCTCAGAAGCAGGCGGCACAGAGGAAAGACTCCGTCCCAGACACGAGCGAGATCGGCACACCGCTGGAACCTTCGCAAACCCACTCGTCCAGCGGCAGTTCTTCTGACGCCCAGTCTCCAACACGACCCAACGGATCATCGACGCCGTACGCGGACCGCAAGCCCAGCCAGGCGCAGCGGCTTGGCATGCAGCTGGAGCAAGGCTCGTCCTCGTCCCTCAGCGTCCAAGAGGTGGCCACGCAGCACGAGAAACCCGGCATAATCACCCCGAGCCGCAACGACAACTACGGCCCCGAAAACCGGCCCACTCACACCGTCGTCAAGCCCAAGGTCAAGCCCCTCCCGCCCAAAGCACGACGCTGGCGCGGGCGACGAACCCACGTCGAAGATGAAGACGCCGCCAACGCCCACCGCATCCCGGAGGAATCGTCCATCCCTCCCAGCCCCATTACCCCGGCATCCCCGTCCCCATTCCCCAGCGCGCACCTACACGCCCACGGAGATCGCCGGTACTCCGCGGCAAGTACCCTGGCGCCGCCGCCGGTACCAGGACACGCCCGCCGCTCCGCCTCCAATCCCCCGCCCGCGGTGCCGCCCCCGCGCCGATCCGCGCATCCAGCCGTGCAACACTTCTCAAGCCACTGCACGCCCGTGACGAGCCCTTCGCGACAGCAGCACAGCCTCCCACAGACGCCGTCTACACCCGGCAGACACGGGCAGAAGCCCGAGCCGCCCAAGACGCGCAGATGGCGAGCAGGCAGCATCCGACAGGACGGGGCGGACAGCCCAACCACGCCGAACAACACCCATCCTCCGGATGAAGCAAAAGTCAGTGTGGAGGAAGCGGTGCAGAACGTGTCGATCAACGATGGAGCTGGACGTTGACATGCAGAACGCATGCATGCATCTTATAATACACACCGCATAACGGCGTGCTTGCTTTCTTGTTGGGTTTTGTTTATCTTTCTGATCAATAGTAATTATTTATTTTTCTTGCATCGGTGGGTTATCATCATTATTATCATTATTATTCATTTACTTGGCATAGCTAGGCATTATTCTTACTTGCTTCTATCTTCTACTTTCTTTCTACTTTCCTACTTTCCTCCAATTTCAGTCTAGACCAGGTCGATAATCAAGGTACCACTTCATTTACTTTTATACTCCAAGATTTACTTTTGTTCTACAAATATCAAAATCATAGACTGGACCACGGCTAGTCAGTTGGTCACTATACAGGTTAATGATTCGTCTCCCAAGTCAAGTAAAGTAAAGAACTAAACTAAATACATGAACGAGAATGCCGAAACTAGGCACAGAAGAAGGTAAAGGAAGGTAAAGTAAAAGCACAGCTTTTGTCCATCTTTCTTTCTTTCCCTCCAAGAAAGAAAAACAGAGACAGAGAGAAAGAAGAAGAAGAAGAAGAAGAAGAAGAAAGGAGACTACAGCCCATGAATCCCCCAAAATCTCTCCGCCCCAAACGTGCCCTCCCCATCCTTCTTCCAAGCATCATCAAACGCCGAAAACAGGACCAAATCCGCCGGATTCCCACGAAAGCTCTCCCTCAGGCTCTGCACAGCGGCCCGATTATTCTCCACAGAAGGCACAGCCTTCCCATTCGCCTGCCCAGCATGCGGCCACCCCGACTCGGTGATCACAACGCGCTTCCCGCCCGCCTTGCGCGAGATCTCCCCCGCCTTGCCCGCGACGTAGGCGCCCGCGCCAGCCGCCGACTGTGTTGCGTCGAAGAAAGCGTGGCAGTTCGCGGCGCAGTAGTCGGACGCGGTGCACAGCTCGGGGTGCGCGAGGAGCATCGAGAAGGTGTCGACTGTTACGATGGGGCCTTTGTAGCCTGCGGGTCGGAGCGTGTCGCGCGCTTGCTGTAGGGCTTGGACCATTTGTTGCGGGGTGGCTTGGCCGCGGTTGACGAGCTCGTTGCCGATGGAGATGGTGTGGATTGTGGACCAGTCGGATGAGGCGGCCTTGATGAGGGTTTGCAGGCTGGAGGAGTAGTCTTGGAGGTCGTAGATGCCGGCGAAGACTTGCATGTTGTGTTTCCGGGCGGCGGTTGTTACTGTGTGTGTTTGGTCGCAGTCGACGCCGTAGATGCGGACGAAGGCGTATTGGGGTTGGATGCGCGCGATGTCGGCGTTGACTTGGGATTGGGACTTGCAGGTCCCGTCTGCGTTGTAGGGGCTGTAGGAGATACCGTGGGGGACGCGGGCTTCGGTGTTGGGTTTGGTCTCCTCTGGTTTGGGGTCTGGCTTGGGGGCGGGTTTGGGATCGGGTTTCGGGGCAGGCTTAGGGTCGGGCTTCGGCTTGGGCTGGAACTGAGACAAGATCTGTTTTTACCGTTAGATACTTCGAGTTTCCATGCCATGTGCGAGAGAGACTTGACTTACGCCATTGGCAGCATCCGTCACGTATTTGATAGGATTGCCGGCCTCGTCGACCAGCGCAATCACAATATCGAAAGGCCCATCTCTGGCGACGACGCGAGGAAGCGCAGTCGCCTGGATACTGAGCAGGAGCACAGCCAGAAGGAGAATGATACACTTCATTGTTGATCTGCTCGGGGCTTCAATCAATCCACGTTGAGATCGTGCAGTGAGTTCTTGGTAGTAAGCTAGCTCTCCAAGCTTCCACAGACGCGTTCTGTTACCAGGGCAGATCAATATGAAGATGGACAATCAATCCTTAGGAAGAAGACAAGATCAAGAAGTTATAGAAGAAGAATATCGTATAGAAGAATCCTCAGCTGGGGATTCCAGGAGACACCACCCTCCAAGGACCCATCCATCCATTCCAGCCCTGTCTGATCTCAGTGAATGTTCCATCCCAAATCCGGCACAGGCCCCTGTGTAATTCACCGCGAAGAATGTGGAGAGAGGGTGAGAATCCACGAGCGTGCCCTCTTACCCTGTTCCCCCCCGCGGGAGCATTCACAGTGCCCATAGCCCGCCCATACCTAGGTGAAACGGTGAAACCCCCTGTGTTCATATTAGAGGAATGTCCCTGCCCTCTTCACTCATTTCACACACCCCACGTGTAACTTCTTCGCGTCGTGCAGACTGAATCAGACGGTCCTTTCTATTTCACGGTGTGACGTCAGCTTTTGAGCATTCTATTGAGTGGGAGGAAATAGTTAACTAGGTAGTTGTCTGTGTTGGTGATTGTTGGCCTGTTTTCCCAGGCGCCAAGGAGTCACTCCCCGTCTATCCCTTTCTCCCCTCCAATTCACCCTTAATTCCTATCCTACCCCTGATGATATCACTGTGAAGAAAGGATAAAAATTCATATTAAACAAAATATTCTCTAATAATGTGCAGTACAGAATAAGTTCGACGAATTATTCGTCAACCGGAAAGTGAACCCGCGGCAGGTGACCGCTTGTTTTTCTCTGCTGTCAATGCAGTCCGAACATGCCCGCCCATCCTCGGGGAGTAAACGGCATCCTGGTGGGTATGACGACCATATGGGAACTGTGCTTACAACAGGGTCGGAAGAAAGATGTACAAGGGACGAAGGGAGGAAATTAAGACATAGGGAGATATGAGGGGGGGGGGCAACAAGCGTCATCGGAGCATGAGTTTTCGTGGTCGAATCTTCCAAGAGATCAAAGGCGTACACAGCGTTTATTTCTTCTTGCTGAGAACCTTGGTGACGGCATGGCGGATCGTCGTCCCGGCTTTCTCGATTTCCTTCTTTGTTAAGCCGGTCGTCACGCACACCTTCAATGCCGGTGGAATGAACTGCTTGGGTTCGAAGTTGTCCTGGAGGGTCTTCAAACGGGTGATGAGGACACCGTTTGCAAGGCACTGCATCGAATTGTTAGACACAGGACGGGATAGAAGAAAAGGGGAATAAGAAAGACAGAGATGAACGTACCTCGTCAACAACATCTTGCAGCAGAAACTGCTGATCATCAATGGAAAGTTTCTTAGCAGAAACAACCTCCGGCTTGATAACAAGCAGCAAAATCGGGTTCTCCGGTGCGCTCATGCAATAGACCCAATCACTCCGGGGATCCAGCTGGGCCCGAATCGTCTTGGTATACTCGCGCAGCTGGGACACGGTCTCGGGGCTGTTCTGGAGCATGTTGATCGTGGCGCTGGCAGTAGTCGAGAGGAGCGCCGGCAGGGCGGCGGAGAAAGTGTACGCGGCCGCGGAAATGCGCTGATGGTGGACGATCTCCTCCGAACCGGCGCAGAAGCCACCTCCCGCGATCAACGGGCCGGCCAGCGAGCCCACGATCATGTCAACCTCCGCCGCGTCCACGTTCTGGTGCTCCGTCACGCCCCGTCCGGTTCTTCCGAGGACGCCAAACGACCACGACTCGTCTAGGATAAGTCGGAACTTGTACTTGAGTTTCAGCTCGATCTAAACTCCACAGTCAGCTTTGTCCTGGCCATTTCTACGGCGAATGAAGCTGGGAGGGAACACACAATCTTAGGCAAGTCAACCAAGTCGCCGTACGACTCAAACAGGCCTTCAGTGATGATGAACCGCCGGGTGAGAGGCTTGCGGGCCTGCTCCTTAGTGACCTTGGCAAGTACCCTCTCCAAATCCTCCATGTCATTATGCTCATACCACCGAACGATGCTGCGAGAGATCTGGATACCCTTTCGGATCGCAAAGCTAACACCCTTATCCGCCACGATGATATCCCCACGCTTGGAGAACGCCGGAATCACACTAGAAATGGTCGAGAAAGCCTGGGCGTAGATAATACAATCAGGGACCCCAAGGAAAGACGCCACATCAGCCTCCGTCTTCATATGCACGTCCTGAGTACCGTAGAAACCGCGGGGGCCACAAGGGCCAACGCCATAGTTCCGGAGCGTCTGGATAGCCTTTTCCTTGAGCGATTCGTTCGTATTAAAGTTGTAGAAGTTGTAAGAGCCGAGATTCGTAACCGTCCGGCCATTCGACAATTTTGACTTGGGACCGACGGGCCTATTCCGGGATTCCGACAACGTCAGCATACAACCAGCCCGTGTTTCGCGACAACGACGAAGCAACACATGGATGAAGATATTCCTACCCGACAATCACCGTCCGCTTATCCACCTCCATCTCCTCCAGCGCACTCGGCTTCCCGACCAGGGGTTCCGGCGTCCACTCGTCCACCAAATCGTCGATCTCATCCTCGGAGAGCTGGACTACGCCCGGTTTGGTCGAATACTTGGGGGCAAGGAGATAGCGAACGGCGAAGAGGAACAGGAACAACTCGACGGCGGAACGGATCGGATCATTCTGATAACTCGACTTGACGTAGCGCAGGAAGATGGCTGAGCCGGGGAGCCGATGGAAGAGATTGGAGAGTTCGTGCAGGTACTCTGACAAGAGACGCTGGGTCTCCTGGATGTCCATGGCGGGCAGTGTGCACGCAGCAGCGCCCAGATCGGGGGGGTTAATTCAGAGAGCGATAAATTGGGTCACCAGAAGAATCATTAGGATACCATGAGAAGTGAAGAAAGGAGAGACGGTCAGAAAAATGAGAGTTGCAGCAAGAAGAGTAGACGTGCCGGACGGAGTGGACACGGAGAAGGTCGAGGCACCAGCGATCGATTTCCGGATCCTCGCGTGGTGGCACGTGACCCCCCTGCGCCCTTACAGTCAAGTGTTGACGGGCTTTCTTTTTTTGATTTCCTACGTTTGTTCTACTGCATGGTGTTTTTTACTGCCATGATTGACCTTCTGCAGGTTGCACTAGTCTCTTCAAGCGCGACTACGGGGTACAGGGGTGTCCTATCACGCCAAACGGGCCTCGGCTCAGGATTTACAAGAAGATCATCTTTAAAAGGACTGCCTTAAACAAAAGAGAACAAGAAAGAATTTGCAAGTCTAATAATCACATACATGAGGGACAGTAACACACGACACCTGGAGAATACAACAGCTAACAAAGATCGCACCCATTAATGTTGGCGACGGCAAAGATCCGTGCGCTCAGATAAGACAAGAAAGAGAACACGCGACAAATGTATGGGACGCAGCAACAACGTCAGGGCGCTGGTTACTTTATACAGCTCATTTCCATAATTCCATTTCTGAAGATGGGGGGGCAAGAAAAAGAAGAAAAAAGAAGGAATGCAGCAAAATGCGGTGCTAACGTGAAGGGAAGGAGCGGACCGGCCTCTATGACGGAGGACTGGGCGTCCAGGCCTTGAATCCTTTCGGAAGGTTGCTACCCGTGTAGCTAGCAACGGTGTCATTGTTGTTCGCATCCAAGGGCTGCAAAAGTTGCATCGGGATGTCCGGCAAGCTCAGAGACTTGATAGTACGGGCGACCAGCGGCGCGATGATGAGCACAAGGAAGAGGACAAGCATGACAAAGTAGAGGATAGCAAAACGGATGACTCTCCGCTTTCGTAGCTTGGACTGTTTGAGGGAGTAGATCGGGGGTCGGATTTGACGACTGATTGGCATTAGCACTAGTGCCCGTGGGACATGGAAAAGGGAGGAACATACCTGGGTCGCAGCCAGAAAAGAATGACGGAATGGAACTTGTCGATGTAAGGAACGCAGAGAGCGGGCAGCATGATGAACAGGATCAAATGTCCCAGCACAAAGTCCGCAGAGAAATAACCCAGTTCCGTGATCTTGCACAGGAACTCGCGGCCCGGCTGAGACATGGAGTGCCAGCCCATGCTATACCACTTACCGGTCCACCACGCGATGTTGGACTGATCATGCTTGAACTCACGGGTCAACGCAAGAGCCACGATCAGCTTGTAGATGAACCGCTGGATGGCAGCCATGGAGATCATTCCCATCAGCATACGAGGCCAGGACCACTGTTCGAGGAAGAACATGACCTCGAAGATAGCAAGGAGAATGACAACAGCGACGGCGTGGGCAATGGCAGCCAAAACAGAACCGAACTTCTTGCAGCACATGCTCAGGAGCGGGCCCATACAGCACGCCATGGCGAAGAAGACGCCGGCGACACCGGCGTTGATCGCAATCGGTCCAAAGGCGCAAATCGCGATACGGATAAGGGCATTGTACGCCTTGTCTTTGTTGTTCGTAACGCCAGTCCGAGAGTTGATGTACAGGAACGGAACAAGCGTGACGGCAACCTGAACCAAGGGCACGAGGATCTCCGCGAAGAAGATGTTCGAGATACGGGCCCTGGGGACGTCGCCGGACCCCTTCTCGGAAGGAACACCGAGAAGCTTGCGCTTGTAGCCCGTGATACGGGTACGGGACAAGCGGCAGAAACCGATCCAGGACGAGGCGTGCGAACGAGAGTTACCACGCGAGAGCCAACGCAGGTAGTCACGGTAGTCAATGAAGAAGTCGTTCCAGGCGAACTGATGAGGGTTGAACAGGAAGGGCGAAATGCACAACGCAAGAAGCGACACCCAGAACCAAATCAGAGACGCAGTCCAGACGGTGGAAGTGGCGAACAGCAGCATCAGGAGCGAGCGAGCGCCCGCGTAGATCGAAGGGCCCGCAAAACGCGAGTACAAGATACCGAACGGAATACGCGCCGTGGCAAAGCCACGCCCAGTACCGATGTAGCGGGCACCACCGAACGACAAGTTCTGGTGCACCGCGTTGGCGTAGATCTGACACACGAACACCTCGAACATGAAAGAGAAAGAACCGAAATGCTTGGCCAAACGGGTTGCCATGCGCCAGACACCTCGCTCGGTCAATTCCTGGACGGCCAGGGGCACGAACGAAATGAAGAACACGATGAAGATGGAGATAATACAGCGATTGACCCAGTCCACGACCGGTACGAGGTTGGCACAGAATGTGGGTCTCAGGGGGTCGGTGATAGGCAGATCGGGGTTGTAGGTGCAAGTAATCGTCTCGTGCTTGAGGGCTCCCAGATTGACCAAGACGATCATGAACATCTGCACCGAAAGCATAATGAACATGTTGTTGATGTGGAAACCAGGATGGGCATAGTAGAAAGACAGGAAGCGATCCAGAGGCAACTGGGTACCAAGGTAGTAATACTCGCGAGAGAGCATCTGCTCACCCATACCAGTACCAATCTTGGTGGTGAAGTTGAGAATAGAGCCAAAACCCAGATCACGACCCTTACCACACTGGAAGTACTCGCAATGCTTGATGCGACCACCACGGCAGAGAGCGGTCATACCAGCGTAAATATCTTCGTTCAGGTGAAGACCCTTTTGCGCCTTGGAGATACCGCCGCGAGTAGTCATGAAAACACCGTTGAGGAAATCCGGGTGACCATAGTGAAGCTTGCCTCCAATCTGGGCCAGAGTACGCGCGAACAAGGTACCGAACGTCTGTTCCTTACCAGCGGCAACGTCACCAAGAACACCAACGTTCTCGGAGAAAATGTATTCACGGGCACCGAGAATGGCGACGGGTTCGGTGCTCTGGGTCGGGATACCAGGGGTGTACGGCGAGACATTGTCGGTGGTCAGTTCTTCAAATTCAGCCAGCACGCTACGAATCTTCAGGCACTCTTCGAGATAGTTGTCCTGGTTAGCGTCGATCACCTGGATGTATTCACCGCGGTAGAAGATAATGGAGTGGTTCTGGTTGTCGGATTTGCCATCACCAAGGATAGGGTTGCCGGAGAGTTGAATCCTGAACTTGGGCTTGCGCATGCCGTTGTCCAGCAGCTCACAGTGGCCATCAATCAGAGCGGAGTAGAGGCGTGGCTCCTCACCCTCCTCAAGCGGTGCTTCTTCATCCAGGTAGGCAATCTGAAGATCGGGGTAGGCACGGAGCAAGAACTCGGTGTTCTCACGCTCTTCCTTGTTGAACTTGGCATAACGCTGCATAGAAACGCAGATCTTGAACTTCCGGCGGGCCATCCGCTCGAGCTCGCGCTCGAGCTTCTCGGAATTGCCACCAAACATCTGCACGACCTCGGGATTCTCCACACGATACAGCAACTTGATCGCGCGGCTGTAGTTCATGAATCCAGAGACAGTACGGTACAGGGTCTGAGAGCGCAGGGAAGACCAGATACGGGTTCGCAGCGTGTATTCAGGGGCAGCAGATTTGAAACCAATGCAGTAGAACGGAAGGTCATCGATCTTGCTCTTCGCCACATCCTTCTCGCTCTTCTCGGACTCGCCGTTGAACTGGGAGGTCTCATCGGCCAGGATCTTGGTGTCCTTCACGAAGCAGTCCCACTCATGGGGGTGGAGTTGCTTGAGGTATTCCAAGAGAGTAACACGCGAGTAGGGCTCGTCTTCACGAATAATTTCACGGAGCGAAAGCAGGATCTTTTCGCCGTAATGCGGGATGAGCACGGTGAACGTGGGCATGTTGTCGACGGGGAGAGGCTCCGGCATAGGCGTGGAGAGGGACTGGGCGAAGAAGGAGATACGACGTTCGGCTTCGCTACCGGCCGGGAAGAACTCGGTCTTGAAAGACTGGTCCTCCTGGGAAACAAAGAAGGTCGGTGCGCGAAGAGTTCTCTTGCCCTCTTGCTCCGAAGGAACCTGATGATAGAGCAGTTTCTGGACGTGATCAATGGCCAAGAGATGCTCCCGGTACATCGAGATGATGATGGCGTTCCAAACCTGCGAGATTAGGACCTTGGGCTTGTACTTGATCTCCATGTCGGTGGTGGCCAAGACTTTCGAATAGATACGCTTCGGAAGGCGAGAGAAGATGTTCCTCCAGGGCGACCAGATGGACACACCCAGGTAGAAGGAGCGCGCAACCGAGAACACCGTGTTGCAGATAATGTACCACAGGTAACTATCGAGGAAGAAGAGAGTCAAGTCCATGAAGAACATCAGGCCGAGAAGAATCTGGGGCTGGGCGTGGCAGAGCTTGTTGGGAATGTACAAGACACCAGCACATTGGCGGAGCTTCAAGGGGGACAAGATGCGAATGGGATCCTTGAAAGACAGAGTCAAGAAGAAGTACGACTCCGCCAGCTTGGCACCAAAAACGCAGACCCAGAGACCGTAGGACATCCACATGTCATTGCCCTTCAGACGGGGGAAGCTCGCGGTGAAGGTTTGGCTCGCGACGTACTGGCGGCCATGTTTCTTCATGTAACTGCCGAACAAGCCACCCAGGGGCATGACCGCGAAGAAGAAGAAGGTAGCCAGAGCGACAAAAAAGTGCACAATACCGATAATCAAGGCGGGGGTCTCCCCGACCTTGTCCTTGAAGGCAAAGACTACGACACCAGGCGCAAGGTTGACGATGAACACAGCGAGGAGGAACATGAGACGCTTGCTCAAGTGCTGCGCACCGGCCCAGCGTCGAGGGACGTACATCCATTCCATAATAGTGGCGAAGATTTGAATGAAAGCGACGAGGGCACCACCGAAACCGACAGCAGACCATTGCCACGAGCCCGGCGGCTTGTTGTTCATCTGCTGTTGGTAGTTGTGGGTGTACAGGGTCGGAGCGTTGTATGCAGTGAAGAACCAGAAAGAGCCCAAGTGGATGACCCAGATACGGTTGAAGTTGGTGGCCATGTGGAACCACGAACGGGTCTCCTTGTATGTCTTGAAGAAGGCCTTCTTCCAGACGATATCCTTGAGCTTGGTCCACCGCTCGGCGGGTGGGATGTCGACCAGACGCGTCTTGTCCTCAAAGGCAATGCGCTCGATGCCCTCAGGGTACCAGAAGAGCTGGTTCATGTCATCGTAACCAATGATCTTGTTGTGGTCGCGCTCGCGACGGACATACTTTCCTTCCAGGATCTCATAGCCCTGGTCGCGACAGAACTGATAGAGGGGCGTAATCACCTCGTTCAGGTAGGTGAATTCCTCCACCGGTTCGACACGGTTCTGGCACTCTTGGGAGTTGTAGAAGTCGTCGGCGCACTTGAAGATGAAGCAGATACACTCGGGCAGGAAACGGACCTGGTTGGCCTCACCCCAGCACAGAAGGAACAGGGCGACCTGGCGCATCCGGTCGTGTTGGGACATGCGGTTCATCCGGGTCTTCCAGCGGTACTCGGCGGCTTCGAGGCTGTTGTCGCCCTCGAGGGCTTCAAGGGTTTCATCGACATTTTCCGGGTTTTCCTCGGCCTTCTTCTTGGCTGCCTTGCGGGCCTTGCGTGTCTTCCGATCCGCCTTGCCCAACTTCATGTTGGCGAAGCCGACCGCGTCGTCCAGATCCAGATGGGCAGCAAAGTACCAGCGTCGGTAGTTGGCATTATCACCGCCGATGTAGTCCGCATGGAGAGACAGGAGGGCTTGATTGGGGGTCATCCGCGACGCACGCGAGTCCAGCTGCGTCATGAGGTGGTCGTACATGTTCCGCATGCTGTCCCGTTGGAAGCCGAACTTGTTGACCAGGTCGAGGAAGATGTCTTCGACCTCTTCCTTGGAGACCGGGATCTGGCCATCGGACGCCCACGCGGGGTACGGCTCGCGGGACCGTTGACCCGCCGGCAAGGCGTTTCCGTACTCCATGCCGTAGACTGGAGTCGAAGCACCCGACGACCGGTTGGCACCGTAGGAGATCTGCGAGGACGGAGGACGGTAGCCACCGTATCCCCGACCATACTGGCTGTCGGCGTAGCTGTTGTACCGATCATCATTGCGGCCATAGTAATCCATGTCGGCCGCACGAGCGGTTTCGGACCTCATGGTAAAATCACTAAAGGTCTCGGAATCTTCCTCTGAATCACCACGGCGTCTTCCTCGGCCACCCTGGTCGTAGTACTGGTCGCCATAGTATTCGTCCTGGTGGCCGGCATCGTAGTATCCACCATCCGGGTGATACCCGGCCTGTGCTCCATCGCCGTAATAACCACTGCGAGGGTCAGCTGGCCATGTACATCACCACAAGACGATGCTCCCATCCATCACTTACCCTTGATCGTAGTACCCATCGCCGTAATCATGAGGGTCATAATAACCCTGACCGTGGTCATCCTGGTAATAGGAATCCCCATGGCCTTGGGCTTGGCCTTGGGCTTGGCCTTGGCCTTGTTGATGGCCGTAGCCATCGTCGTAGTGGCCTCCTTGATAGCCTGACATGCTAGATAGCCACTATGACTGTACCGTCGACAGTATTATGTTTCTTGTTTATTGTTCCTATTCAAGGCATAGACCGTTAGCGCCCTGTCTCCTAATTCAAAACGGCAAAAACGGCAACAAAAGGACACTTACAACAGTCAAGACCCATTAAAATTAAATTGAGCGGTTCGTTGAATAATATTAGGACATAAAGTCGATGGAACGGTGGATGCGGTACACAGGAGGGTTGTAGAAGCCGCAATCAACCCAGCGCGCTGTGAATCCGTGGCGATCTCTCTCGGACGCACCAGTTCCAGACTGTTCGAACGCGAAATCGGCGAAATCGAAACACACCAAGATTTGATGGAATATCAACGCGACGTCGCTAGGGCGTGCTGTTGTCGAGGTGTTGTATAACGAATGGAAGGGGGTTGGGGGGCGGATGATGTAGCGAGGGAGAAAAAAAAAAAGAACAAAAAAAGGAAGAGAACAAGCCTTCAACACCGACAAGGCTGGGTGCTTGTAGCTGCTGCAAGTATTCCCACAACGATCTCCCTCTTCTTTCCTTAAAACGAAGGCGAGAAAGAAGGAAGGAAGGGATGTAGTTGGTAGGCAGTAAGTAGGTGTCGATGTAAGTTTCGGGTACAGAACAATCAAAAGAGCGAACTTAGGAACCCCCCCAAAAAAAAATAATAAGGGAAGAACCAAAAGGAAAGAAAGGACCCAAAAGAAGCTGGAGAGGGTCAGGATGAACGGGTGCTAACGTAGGGGAGGGAAAAGGACAGGGCCTGAGTTGGACGGGGATAGTCAAAAGGGAATCGATTGACCAACCCAGCAGGGAAAAGACTGAAGAGGAGGAGGGGGGCGAAAGAGGAGATTGTGGTTATTTTGGGATCTGGATCTGCTAATTTACCTCACAAAGAGTGTACACATCGTATGGTAAATGGTATTCAAGTATTCAAGTTGACCGAAGGAGACCAGACAGGGAAAACCATAATAATAATACATCACTGGAACCAGTTACCACGCGCTGATAGGAGAGCTGCGTAATTCACGTATTTGGTATTACATCGTTACTAGCAGTAAGATACATGCATTACTTCATGTAGGCAGCCTCGAGGTACTCCGTACCTACATCAGGATCGAACATAACACGCCCACGTGTACCTCGCGGTTATTTTGGTACCTTCAGATACCAGATATACAGCCAAGCAACGTACCCTACCATACGTAGCTTGTACTCTCAACTCCGACAAGCCACCAACCTCCCTTTATTGGAAGGCTGGTGCGGGTTCTTCCCCCGTTTTCCTGGTGGCTCAAGCCAGTAAGAGAGAAAGACATTCCCTGGAGCAGGTACAGAGTACAACTCCTGATGTACGGAGGACCCTTCCCTTGACTGGGGCGGCCTGAACGCTGTCCACGCTGACAGGGTCTATAGTTACGTGGGCGCGGGTACGTAAAGCGTCTGTTTGCAGTACTGCTGCATCATCCTACAGTACTCCATACATCCTCTCCATTGATTCGTGTCTGTGGCCGGCTTACCTCCCCTTCTGGATTATGCAAAACTTGCGGTACTCCACATGTTTACAGAGGATGCCTTGGGTCGTCGTGGTCGAACACCCCGCTGAAGCAACTGGGAGAGAGAACGAGAGAACCTTCCAACTTTCCAATTTAGTGAGCCTCGAGAATCAGAGGGGGGGCAAGCGGTGGATTGGCATCACATTACTGGCTACATGGGTCCGGGATTCCTGGGAAATCATGAGCGGCCCCTGAGACCCGACCCACCGACTCCAGAGACTTGTTCCATCTGATGGAAGGGTAAGGAATAATACCGAGGTGATACACGATGGGTATTGATTGGTAATGATGGTGGTTCGTGTTATTACATGGTTTTGTTTACCTTTCCAGAGAATTTGGTATGAAGGGATGGGGAGGATCCATTGCCTGTTCCCCCAGCAAACTCTCGCTCGAGTCAATCGTTCCATACTTGATGAATGCGTCGCTACGTGGTTCTTTGTTTGTTGTGGTGTTCGTCTAGAGAGCAGATGTCGAATCATAATGGGGTTGGTATCCATATCCATGGACGACCTGGTTCCTGAACCAGTCCTGTTACTCTTTGGACAGTTCCTTGGAACAACTTGATAACTTAGTAGTGTATTCCTCCAGTCGGTACCAAGGTACGGTCAGTACCAAACACACACTGCCATATTCCGTACATCGGACAGGTAAGAGCATAGAAATCAACAAAACAATACCGATTATACCTACTATAGTATCCCACGAGCGGAGAAGCCGGAGTCTCTATCGAATGATGATAAATCAAAAATAAACATGTTTTACGATTATCAGCTACTTATCTATTTTTACTTGACTTTTTGCCTCCAATGACCTACGGAACACACAAGGACACAGGATGGAGACGGGGGGTGTGTGTTCCAAACGACCTTCCCATCTTCGCATGCAGCTGGACAATCCACCAGATTTGCCACCCGGGAGCCTTCCAATGGAAAAGCCCTGCCACCGGATATGCGACCTGTCGTCTTGTCTTGACGAATATATTACGCATGTTCAAAACAATAGGGGAAGGATGCGCACTGGATCGAATCTCGATCGCATTTGCTGCAATCCAGTTTCGGTCCCCTTGGCTGCACTCCAAGCTTTTGCACTCCAAGCCTTGTGCGCTGGAAAGCTTCGGACGGAACCCACCCGGCCGTTGCGAGATGAAATCTAGTTAGTCCACAAGCCATAGAGTCCATTGACTAAGGGACCGATCCGCTGCGTTCCCCTCTGAAACATCGTCATTCTTCATCGATAGTGCGGTGTTTGGCCTGATTATTCTTGAGGGAGACTTCCATGGCCACCGGGACTTGGGCACCTGTCACATACTAAACATACAACCGACTAGTATCGACTAGTATGGAGAGTTGCCAACTGTCTCAGATACCAACCACGATCCCAGTCAATGTGATGTCCATTCCATGGCTGAGGTCCCGACCGACTCATGATTGAAAGAGTTTAAGCGTGGATGAAGTGGCCTTCTGTCCCCTGCGGCCATTCCTGTTGGCAAATGGCAATCAAATCCATCGCCGGACCCAATGAAAAAGAATGAAAGAGCCTCGACCTCGGCGAGTCTAGCCTAGGATGATCTACGGCCGCAATACTCTTTGGTCTCTTGAACGGAGGGACAACTCTGTCGGATTGCTGTCTGGTCCGCTTAGGCAGCTCCACCGTCGGATGGATTTTATTAGAAATTCAGAACAATAGGACAATGGCCACCTCGCCGATGGAGATTGAGTTCAACGGATACAGAAGTACTTTTTTTGTTTTCTGATCTGTTTGGATTCTGTAAATTACCTCCAGGTTGGTGGTTCAAAATTTCGCTGACTCTGGGCCCACATACCTAAAATTACGCCACCATCATTCCCAGCCAACATACCAAGCCGATCGGGTATCCAGGAGAATCACCTAGGATCGTTGCTATGTACGGGTTCCCGAGTCGACACTAAGACAGACCGCCTCTCGAGGTCGATTTATGCATTTCCGACCACTTTGTTCCTGGAGATACAATGACGTTGGAAGCGAGAATCTAGTGTGTGAGCCCTGAGTAACGGATCCATCTGAAGGTAATCCGGGACGTTTCCAAGAATATCGTACCCAGCGATTATCCGCACTAGATCTCAATAATCCTATTAATATTGATACAACAACCACGGAACTTAACACGGCCGTACCACCCCTCGTCTCGTCAACATAACCCTGTCTTTCATTTCCCATCTGTGTGTTTTTTATCCAACCCCTCAAAAGGAGGGTTGAACATCCCTCAAGATAAAAATATCGTCTGGCACATGTCTGGATCGGCCCTGAAACTGGTATGATGGTATCCTTGCAGGCCATACTATTTATATAGGTCGATCTGGTCTGTAACATCTCAACGATAGCGGTAATAAAAAGTGGGATGGACCGGCGTTCTAGAAGGGCACTATCATCCCATTGATACTCTAATATAATTTTCCTTGGCTCCATCATGTGAATTAGAATTAGAATTACCTTACCAGGATCACAAATGAATTGATACATGTCCAGAATATGACAGACTGGATGGTGGGACTCAATGGTGGATTAGTCCGTTTCATGCAGATGAAGAGGATTAAGGGATAAATCCGTTCCTGGGGCCTCAGGCCAATCGGATAGTCGCACCCCCTTAACAGCAGTCAGCCTGAGGTGGCGAAATGGAGGACAGCAATATGGAGAAGTAATAAACATAATCACCGTCCAGATTACTCCATATTCTAAAGACAGTAACAGTCGCCAGGTAGGGAGGTGCCTGAAAGATCCCAGATTACTAAGAAAGCCCCAGGGGGTGGTGGGGGAAAAGAAAAGGGGCTGGTGTTTCATGTTGGATGACGGTCCTCGAATCGGCTTCTCCCGTCTACTCACTGGGACCACTCCTGATTAATGCAGCAATATCATGACAAGAGGAGTATCATTATCAATGATCCCCCCTTTATTGATTCTAATTATATTCATATTCTATTGACTTGTCTTTTGGTCTCTACAAGTATTGGATATTCCCATCCTAAAGTGTGATCGGTATGATGACATTGTGCTGACAGGTGATGGAATCAATAGCATTATCTTGATGCAGGCACAATCCACCAGTTGACGATCTTACCCAACAGGGTATTAGTAATCCACTGGTAGCTACACCCGCCCCTCCACATGATTGTCCCCTCTTGAACCGAAGAAGACAGAAGAAACGGGGGCAGGTCAACAACCTCTTTCGATTCCAGACTCCAGACTCTCATCATTGATATGAAACTCCAATCAAACAGACCAAGCTTTTTCTACAACGTATGTTCTTCTAGACCCTCCTCCCATGTCGAGGGAGTGCTTCGATTTTGAAGGGTACCGCGGTCTGAATATCGAGCCATGGTCCACCGACCAAGGAGGAATGATCATCATTTAAGGAACTTTGGGACCTGGATCGACCTCCACTGTCTACCACTCACATCGTCTGGATGAGATGCTTCGCCACACAAGCGTCGAACCGTGTGCTGTGGACTGGTCGTCTAGCCTACGAGATCGGCACTGTTGAATTTATGAGCAAGGCAACCAACCTTGGATGAATGCCTCATGGTAATAACGGGAGCCATTGAGGCCGAGAGCGCCCTGGAGGCACCGCATGCAGAACGAAGCTTGCGCAAGTGTACCCCAAAATGCATACGTCGTAGCCACAGAGCCACTCTATTCCAGACAGTTGTCGGTGCAACATCATCTTTCCTGGACGGTGTCATGATTATCGTGATATTCATACCCAAGATTCGGGGAAAGCTGATGTGGTGAGTAACATCCCGTGTTCAGCGACCGAGTGCGCTCTTTGCATATCGCGGACGCGACACTCGCAGTCTCCCACCCAATGAGCCCCAAATCCTTAGATGGGGCCATACTCAGGAGAGTGGTGCCCTTCGAATGATCACATCCTTTGATCAGCGGCGCGACTCTGTGGGACAAACACCGGCGTTGCTTTTGGCAGAGATTCTATGGGATACTCCTAATGTACGGGGCTTCGCTATATATATCACAACCTAAGAAGAGGGGGTGGACGCCCGCCGATAAGTTAAGCTTCTGGTCCTTGGGCGCTTTCACCCCTGATCGGTTTTGAGAGTGGGTCTGGATTGCGTGTTCCTGCGGCCTCTGATATCAGAGCATCCTCTCATGTGGGTGAATCTGGGATCCCGTCGAACAAATGACAGCCTCCAGAAGGGTCAATCACCGCCCATCACCACTGATCAACATCAATCTATGTCCTTAGGAGAAGACCATGGTGGATTAACCCTGAGAACTGTGCCGTCTCTGACGGTCGGCGGCCCCAGCACAACGGAAGGAAATTGTGTCCCTGAGGTCCTGCTCACCCTGTGTGTCCCTGAGTTGGATCCGTCGGTTACATAGAAGAACTGAAGGCCCTCGTGGCGACCGTCCTTTTTGTTTGTAGATATATACACATCACCCGCTGTCTTTCTTTTTTCTTAAGTTTTTCTTCACCTACTTTTCACTTTTTTTGCTTATTGTTGGTCGCAAGTCATTCCTTTGGTGCGATCTTTTTTTATACACTCTTTTTTATCGAGACATCCATTTTGGGTCTCAGCCTTTCGTTGGTAAACACAATCACACAACCTGGTATCCAGGATAAATCTCTACAGTACAGTCAGAAACCCTGGTCTGGTATCTGATCAATTCGCCATCTGCTGTTGAACAGAAGAAGCAAGAAACTACATCATGAAGATCTCCAACGTCGTCGCCGGTGCGGCGCTGTTCGCCAGCACCGTCGCTGCTGCCGACCTGGACCCCATCGTCATCAAGGGCTCCAAATTCTTCTATGAGAACAAGGGAGAGCAATTGTATGGAACTCACGTACCTGACTCGAACTCGGTCGCTGTATACTAACCACGTCAACCACAGCTACATCCGTGGTGTTGCCTATCAGGGTAAGATTGATGAGCCATGTCTTTCCAGGAATTGGACACTGACTTTGAACAGAGGAGTCCACTAGCGGCGGGCCTAACAGTTACAAGGATCCTCTGGCCGACGCCGAGTCCTGCAAGCGTGACGTCCCCATGCTTGAGAAGCTCGGTGCCAACGCCATCCGTGTGTACGCGATTGACCCTAAGAAGGACCACAAGGAGTGCATGGATCTCCTGAGCGAGGCCGGCATCTACGTCATTTCCGATCTGTCCTCGCCCGGCGAGTCCATCAACCGCAAGGACGCCAAGTGGGACAACGACCTCTACAAGCGTTACACCTCCGTCGTGGACGAGCTGGCCCAGTACAAGAACGTCATCGGTTTCTTCGCCGGTAACGAGGTCTCCAACGACAAGAAGACCACAGACGCCAGCGCCTACGTCAAGGCCGCTGTCCGTGACACCAAGGCCTACATCAAGTCCAAGAACTACCGCCCCATGGGTGTTGGTTACGCCACCAGCGATGACTCTGACATCCGTAACGACATGGCCGACTACTTCAACTGCGAGGACGAGGACGAGAGCATCGACTTCTGGGGCTACAACATCTACTCGTGGTGCGGTGACTCCAGCTTCAAGAAGTCCGGCTTCGACGTCCGCACCAAGGAGTTCAAGGACTACAACGTTCCCGTCTTCTTCGCCGAGTACGGCTGCAACGCCGTCAAGCCCCGCAAGTTCTCCGAGGTCGAGGCCCTGTACGGTCCCCAGATGTCCAACGTCTGGTCCGGTGGTATCGTCTACATGTACTTCCAGGAGGACAACGACTACGGTATGTTCTAACCATCATCCCTTACGGTGTTGCAGACCATCGTTCTAACTCTATCGACAGGTCTGGTTAAGGTCGAGGACGGCAAGGCCAAGCCTCGTGAGGACTACAGCTACCTCTCCAAGGAGCTCGCCAAGGCCACTCCCTCCGGTACCAAGATGGATGCGTACAAGCCCACCAACACCGCCCTCCAGAAGTGCCCCGAGGTCAACAACAAGTGGCTCGCGACCTCCAGCCCTCTGCCTCCTTCCCCCAACGAGGATCTCTGCTCCTGCATGGAGGAAAGCCTGGGCTGCGCCCTGAAGGACGACATCGAGGACAAGAAGCTGGACAAGGTCTTCGGCACCGTCTGCGGCTACGACGGCGTCTGTGACGGCATCAGCGGCAACGCCACCAAGGGCGAGTACGGCGCCTACTCGGTCTGCGAGACCAAGCAGCAGCTGTCCTTCGCCATGAACCGCTACTACGAGCAGCAGAAGGCCCAGGGCAACGGCGAGAAGGCCTGTGACTTCAACGGCGCCGCCGAGACCAAGTCCGCCAAGAGCCCCAGCGGCACCTGCGGTTCCCTCCTCAAGGAGGCCGGCGCCAAGGGCACCGGCACCATCAAGTCCGGCGCCAGCGGCTCCGACTCCGAGGGCTCCGAGGCCTCCGCCTCTGGCTCCGAGGGCGCCGCCTTCGTCGTTGCCCCCAGCAGCGTCAACGTCGGCTTCGTCCACATCGGTGCCTACGTCGTCACCGCCATGGTCGCCGGTGCGGGCATGATCCTCCTGTAAACGGCTTTTCTTATTATCCAACCTTTTCTTACATTTCTCTCTTCTTCCCCCACTTTTCACGCACGTTTAATTAGAGATGTGGTCTACACCAGCAGGAGACTTGTTCTCCTGTGATTGCTCCGCTTTAGCTCAACCTGGTTTCATTGTTCCGTTTTAACTCGGCGTACACGCCCCGTACGCATGCAAAGACCTCCCCCGCGGTTGTGGTAGAGACTACGTGGTAATCGATCTATCTATCTATCTATCTATCTATATTCTCTTGGTTTCTTAATCTTAGTTGATTTGTATGTATTCGATCCCAGCCTGCGCGGCGTTTGATAGAAATAGAAATGCTCTTCTTTGTTTGACTTCTCGTTTATCTTTATCTCCCCGACTATCTCTGTAGGTGGTACTATGTTGTGATAGACTTCCTAGCACTGGTACAGTACCCTATGAGATCCCTAGGCTTTCCCTTCGAATACGAATACGACGACCGCTCTATCACGAGAGTAGACGGTAAGACCTCCATGACACATACTCGCACCGTCACATGCCACAGGTGTACAACCCGCTCTGACAATTCATGATACATTCGTGTAGCATGAGTGGTTTACACTTTCGAGGCTACATTTATACAACACTGGCTTCAGTGGAGGGGGAGGAAGGATACTGCTGTGCTCTGTATGTATGGAGTTATCTTTTTGTGGAAGGTGGGGGAGAAGGTTGGACAGTATCCATATGCATATGGCTTTATTGGTATCTTGCTTGATTTGTTTCCATGCTGTGGTCTCTAGTGTGGGGGGTTGGGTGTATTCAGTAAGTGGTGTGTTTCGTTCAGTAGGGGATGGCGGGTTCTGCCTCGAATATATAGTACTGATGCTGTGTACGGTTGATATATCTTGGATGGATATTTATTGCGGAGAATATGTACCTAGCTCTACTACTTGGGTATTGATAACCCATACTAGATACATATATAAATAACTCGACATAATAATGCTATACTAAAGTAACAATTCACTAGCAAAATCCATGGTATATATGGATAGTGATGTAGTGAAAACCAGCAGAGATGAGACAAGCAAGATTCTGTAATTTGATAGGAAACCCTCTTCCATCAGTTAGCCCGGGTGGTCTAGTGGTATGATTCTCGCTTAGGGATTTAAACCCCAAGCATATCTGCGAGAGGTCCCGCGTTCGATCCGCGGCTCGGGCCTGACTTTTCTTTTTTGTTTCCAACTGTCTTGGTTGGGCTATGAATTTTGTTTTAATTTGATAATTGTAATCATTTTTCTAGTAGTGCTACCTGTTTCTTGTTAGTGATTCGCCACGTAGATAGCACAGACTTAGGCATGTCTTGGAAATAAAAGAGACCGTCGTGATATATCACTGCCAATCAGTGGAGACCCCTGTTGCCCTGCCAACCACCTCTCTTTCATCTTCACTTCAATCACCAACATAATGCAGTCATTCACTCCCAATTCCATATATCAAGGCTGTCCTGCATCTGCTACTCGGGGAATATCTTTACACCCATATAACTTCCGACCTCAGCATTTACTAACATCTAGTATCCTTCACACTGCCCGGGTATATCCCCGCGAACCACCATGGCCCGCCTAAACACTCGAAGCTCCGGCGAGAACCGGCCCAAGACATACCTGCAAACCAAATATGAAGACACACGCCCAGTGCCAAAAGAGTCAGTGACTCGCAGCAAGTCCGTCCGAACCACAGACAAGCCAGCGTCTAGCGGCCGTAGCCGCCATCAACGCAGCGGTACGGTGTCAAGCACCTCGTTTGACATCTTCTCCGAACACGACGCATCTAGTGATACAGAGGGAACTAGCAGCTCATCTCGAACCTCGTCCGACAATAAGTCCTCAGACCCGCTGAAGCTATCCCGCGTCAACTCCCTCCTCCGTCGACACCAACAACCACCGCGCAGCCGGCCCACCCCAAAATCGGAGACATACGATCATGACAAAGAGAATGACCCCGTCGAGGAGGAAGAAGAGGAGCAGGTGGATGCGCCGAGTCTGAGCCGGAGCTCGTCGGGTGCTTCTGCTCAGCGCTCACCGGTTAGAAGAAATGCCCCTGCAGCTGGCAGAGGTAACTCCCGGTTCGTGGGATACCGACAGCAGTCAGAGGACGATGACAGCGGCTCGGACTCGCTCGATGACTTTATTGTCAGCGATGATGACGAGCCTAGCTATCACGGCAGCTCTGATGGTGAGACAGCGGAAGAAGAAGACAGCCCTAAAGCGCCCACCCCGCCGCAGCCCCGGCGCAAACTGGTCAGGGGGAGGCGTCCAAACCCGGAGGCGGAGATTTTGAAGGCGTTGGTGAATTCACCACAAAAGCAAGATCTGCAGCTGGAGCCTTCCCTGCCTTCTGCATTCACTCTGCCCCCACCACAGACGGGTGTCACCCCCCGACGCCTGTTTCAGAAAAATACCAGTCTCTCGGACAGAGTGAATTGTTTGAGTCTAGATGATAACGACGACACTTCATTCAAGTTACAGCGGGAGCTGGAAGACGATGACCCCTCGTCCCAGCTACAAAATGACCTGTTCCTGTTCGCACCCCCCAACCCAAGATTCAGAAACCCACTCAATACTGACAATCTCCTAGCACAGCGGTAGAGCCCGAGTCTCCTCTACAGAAGCCAAAGAAACCAATGCAGCCCGTGCTGGAGACACCCCCATCCAGCCCATCCAAGAAGGGTCTCCGGTCCCCGACCAAAGAAAGAGTCGCCGTCCCACCGACGCCGTTCCGCGAGAGCGTTGACGCCTTCTGGAGCGAGCAGATCACCAACGACTGGGTCGACCAGCACTCTCCACGCAAAGCGAACAAGCTGCTCGAAGAGTTCGACGAGTCCGACCCCGAGGCCGATATGGATATCATGCCGCGCAGCAGCTACCCCATCACCACCACCAACAAAGATTCACGCACGCCCAGCAAAACCGCCCTAAAGAAAGCCGAAGTCGCCCAGCGGAGGGCCGTAGCAGCAGCCAAGAAGGACTTTGACGGCAGGAAAGCCAGCGTCGCAGAGCACTTCCTGCAGACGCTCGACGACCTCGTCACAGACGGCCGCCTACAGCAAATGGCCAGCGCAACCGGCGGTATACGCATCAGCTGGAGCAAGACACTCCAGACAACCGCAGGCCGAGCCAGCTGGCGGCGCGAGAGAAAGAAGAGCTCCCTTTCCACATGCACAGACGCAACGCAAGACCCAACGGCAAAACACACCGCCGGAATCGAGCTCGCCGAGCGCATCATCGACAACGAACACCGGCTAATCAACACCATCGCGCACGAATACTGCCACCTAGCGAACTTCATGATCTCCAACATCCACAACAACCCGCACGGTGAGAGCTTCAAGCAGTGGGGCCGACGCTGCAAGAACGCCCTCCACGACCACCCCATCTACGGCGGCGGCCGCGTCGAAGTCACCACCAAACACAGCTACAAGATCGACTTCAAGTACGTGTGGAGCTGCGTCGACTGCAGCCAGAACTACGGGCGCCACTCCAAGAGTATTGACCCTGCGCGCTCTCGCTGCGGTCTCTGCAAGGGCTCGCTGCAGCAGATTAAGCCTAAGCCGCGTAATGTGTCGCCGAGGAAGAGGATGCCGGCGCTTCCGCAGAAGCTGTTTGGGATGGAGTTGGAGGGACGGAGTTGAGCATAACCTTTTTTCCTTCTTTGTTTTCTTTCTTCTTGGTTGTTGTTTGGCTGTTTGTATGGACTTGGTGTTAGGTAGCGTTGTTGTTTAGCATCTAGCCTGGTTTAAATTGTCGCCGTGTTTGGAATATCTATCAAGCCAATTTGATATTCGTTGATAGGGTTCCTATCGGTCTCTTTATATAAGAGACCACTATGCTCACATTAACAAATCCGCTATATGTGATTCAAGTGGAGTCAACTATCCATCTACTTCATTGTATTCAACCTTGTCTATCTTTTCTCTCTCTTTTGCTTAGCATAAGGGAGACACGCGTGACTTACTCCTGCCAGTCAGCCCACTGAGCTGACCTACCCCTATAACCTAGGGAGTGTATACATATCTATATATATAATTATACGCCTATGCCTAAGTGCCGGGAATATATAGCCTGCAATATCAGGGGCTGGGTTTGAATAAGAAATAGCATGTGGATATGTGTTGATTAATCTATATACCTATCTATCTATCTAAGTGCTGTGCTATATATAATGTCTTCCATATGACGATTCTCAGTCCAGCAGATCCTGCATATCCCACCATCTCACTCATTTCCTTTCCATAGCTATACAACGCCATCAGCTGTCGATCCATCCATAAGCTGCCTCCCAGAAACCCACCCAACATTAAGAACCAAAAAAAAAAAAAAAAAAAAAAAAAGCAACCGCAAAAAGGGAGTAGAAAATCAAACAAACAACCCCCAATCAACAACCTCCAACCTCTCCACCAACCCCCCACAATCCCCCTCGCCAGCTCCTCCTCCCGCTCCAAACCCGCCTCATCCCTCGCAGCCTCAAACTCCTTCCTCGGCACATTAACAAACACCAACAAATCCGTCTCCTGCGCCGCCAACCGCACCAACAAAAAGAAGCAGCTCGTCAGCGTCGTCAGCGCGCCCTCTGTACTCGACCCCGCCGCCGCTCCACCAACCGATCCGTCCCGGTTGCGGTTGCGGTCACTGCCGCTATTGCGGGAGGTAATGGTCGCCTCGCCGCGGTAGGCCGTCACGCCCGGGACAGAGCGCATGCGCGCCATGGTCACTGGGTAAGGGGATTGCGTGATCTCGAGGGTGTCTTCGTTGTCGCACACGTCGTGGATGTGGTAGAGGGCGGCGGCGAGGTCGGGGGTGGTGGTGGTGGTGCTGCCGGTGGAGTGGGCGAGGGCTTCGTCGGGGGAGACGCGGCTGTTGAGTTCGATTATTTGGGAGGAGAGCGTTGTGGGCGAGAGGAAGATTTCTTGGTGGTCGGGGACTTCGCGGAATGTGCTTTATTATTATGATTTGTTAGCATTTCTCTGTCTTTGTGGCACTGATGGTGTATGGGCGTGTAGTGACGCCTCTGAGGCGTGACTCACCTTGAATCCATCCAGCCTTGCGGGATGATGCCCTTGATGGCTCCTCCGTAGTAAGCTTGTTCGGTGAAGGTGGCCATTGTGGGGAGTGGTTGGAGCGGTGCTCTTGAGTGGTGAAGCAAAAAGGATGTTCAGAGCTGCGAAGAAAGCTGATTGACAGGTTCGACTGAGGGAATGAGAAGTAGAGATAGAAAAGAAGGTGATGCAGCCTTGCGATGAACGTGAATCTTATGGCGGGGTCGTTATCGCTTATCGGAACGTGATCTTGCGATACGCTAACCGGATTAGGAGAGCCGTCAACATGGCGGGCCTAAGAATTTGTATACTCCAAACTACGGTGCACTACTATCGATTGAACGGGATGCTAAATTCATCGTGTCTCTATGAAAATAGATTGTAGAGGATTCGTGTATTATCAGGCTATGTACGGAATACACCGTTGGATGTAGATCCAGTCTTATAATGTGGTAATGTTTGTCCCCGCTCTAAAGCTTGTGCATAATCATGCATGATGATCAACATCACATCAACAGTTCCTCAATATACCCATCCAGCGCCATAACCTGGAACTGATCCCGCCATTTCGCCCGGAATTCCTTCCGGCGATAGGCATTGCTCGTCACCTTGGAAAAGCTAACCAGCTCGACGTTCCACCCGCGCCGTAACGCGCGCTCGACCATTTTCATGAACCCGCCGGAAAACTCCGCCTCGGCTGCATCGCCCGTGGCCAGCACAATCGTCGCCGGGTCGTCCGTGTCCAACAGACTCTCGAGAATCTTCAGGTGTAGAATTTCGTCCACACCCTGCTCGACCCACCGCTCGCCGCCGCTGCCGTCGGGGGCATCGTTCGTTTCAGACCCGCTGCCACCGACGGCATCGTGCAAGCCGGCCCGCGCAGACGGGTTCTTGCGGAACCGCTGCTGCCGGGCCGTCAGGTGTTTGACCTTGTGGACGCGGTCCAGGATGTTGGCCTCGTAGCCGAGGCGTTCACCTTCGTTGATCGCCGCGAAGCGATCCGAGCCAACGAGGACCCGTTTGGCGATGGGCCGGCCACGCTCAAGAATGAGAGAGAAATTTTTAAACGAGAGAGGAAGTCGACGGATTCTCGTTGTGATGGCGATGTTTCGCGATACCTTTACGGCGTCGTGGAACCCAACCATAATCTGTTCCAGACCGTTAGTGAGTACAAGACAGATCGAGCGCGCCAAAGGACTTACATTAGACATGTCGACAAAAACATGGATAGGGCGCGAGCGGACGGCGTCCGCTTGGGACTGAGTCGGCTGCCCCATCTGAGCTACGGTTTCGGCATATTCAGGGAAATTCGTCATGAGCTTGGTCAGGAGGCTGACTTGTCGCTCTTTGGCCGATTTGCGGGAGGTAGGCAGTGCCGGTGTGGACCCATTTCTGGGTAGTCGATTGACGGCTTTGGGGGTAAGGGCCCCGTCCAGCTCGTCGAAGGAAGACGGCGGAGTCTCAAATGGCTCAGAAGTGGCTGCGGTTGCACCCACCTGGGGAGGAACCATAACAAAAGCACGGCTTTTGTTCAATGGCGTGTCAAAGACGCCATCTGACTCCCCTTCTGCATTGCTCTCAGACGAGTTCGGGTCGTAGAAGGCTCGATTCGCATGTTGAGCGGTTCCAAACGGCTTGCGTTGGGAAACCACTTGCGGTGTTTTCGGGATGCTCTTGGGAATAGGAATGGGCTTGGCGGGGGTCGCACGGGCCCTGTCGTCATTATTGGCGGTGCCATTGTTGTTGTTGTTGTTGTTGGTGTTGTTGTTGTTGTTGTTGCTGTTGTTCGAGGGACGTTTGAGAATCTTGAGAGGAGTCGGTGGGCTACCGCCCTTGCTCTTGTTGGAAGGCCGCTGGAGGATCTCAAGTCGTTTGACCTGCTCCGCAGGTCGTTGAGCGACCTGCACTCGGGCTTCTGGGTGAGATTCGGCTCGAGCTTCACTGCGAGCAGTCGGCGGTGAGGCATTTCTGAGAAGGCCCCAGAGAGACCCAAAGTCACCTAGTTGGGGTGCAGCGCTGTCCCCCGAGCCCCTGTTTATGCTGGGCACCGAGGCACTAGAACTGGTAGCATGTTCGGCAGTCTCTTTGCCAACCGGCGTGGCGAGAGAATCAGAGTGGCGAGAAGATCCCGCCTGATCACCGCCGCTGTACGTAGGCGAACGGAGGAGGTTAATCACCGGAGTGAAATCCCAATTCGAAAGTGGGGGATTCGATGAGGGCATTGACAGCGATCTCGATCAAACGGGGCCGTGTTGCTTTGGTGATAACGCAGTGGAGGTTGCTAGATAGTAGATCGGCGCCTAAGCCAACCACGGATGATAACAGATCAAGACACAAAGAACGATTATAGAATAACGATAGCGGAAGAACAAAGAAAAGATATAAAAAGATCGCAGACGCAGATCAACATGATGGTCAAGGACCAGATTCTTTGATGCCACACGAAGAGATGGTGAGTTGCAAAGGAGCATGACTGCCTGACTTCGTGGCGGGACAACTGGCCCTATACTGCCTGCCGACACCGCCTGCCTTATACAGCCAAACAATTTTACTCGAAACGGACTAGTGCATTGGGTGTGTGCACGTGATATGCACATGATCTGCCAGGAGTCACCGCCTGCTATATCGGATCAGTACAGCAATGCCAGGGTAATTCGAATGACATCATCGCCCTGCGCCATCCTTGGATCCCCGTCGACCATGTTCCAGATTATTCCAGCTCAAGCCGTCATCTGTCACGCCGACGTCATGGTCCAAGTTCCAGATCCCCTGCATTCAGTAGCTCCTCTGAGGTCACCCTGACGATGGACTAGTATCCATAGGCTTTGATTCGCTGGCTTCCCTTCCGGGGTCCTGGTTTTGCCCCTATGGAGTGTATATGCATTCAAGGATATCACTGTGGAAAAGGAAATGACCGACGTCATAACCGGGGAACTAGATGATGATAACGTGGATGGAGGGAACTCAAAGGCTATATAAGGTCGCTGTTTCTTCGACTTGAATCGTTCATCATTCCAACATCCATCTGCATTCAATCAATCGCAAACACCTCTACTCCAATCTACTCTACAAAGTCATTTCAAGACCTTTAAACAACTCCCTCAATCAACATGTCTGACTTCGGCCGCAAGGATTTCTCTCAGAGTATGTTGTCTCGACTCGGTTAATTTCCGGACATCAATCTAACATCATTCGCAGAGGCTAAGGAGGAGATCACTCCCGACAGCACCAAGTCTACCCAGGACAAGGTCAAGGAAACCTTCACCGATACCACCGATCGTGTCGCCCGCGGCGGCCAGTCCGACGACAGCAAGTCCACCGGGCAGCAGGCCTTTGACAAGACCCAGCGCGCCCATGATAACGAGTCTCACGGCGGAGCCACGAACTCCATGTAAGAGCCGACCCTGCCCGCGCAAGATGTCTGCAGCAAGTTACTAACCCATTGCAGTGGCGACAAGGTCAAGAATGCCCTCGGCATGGGCAACTAAGTCCTGTGCACAGGTCTAGTTGCGTGTTAAATCGCGGACTCTATCACAATACCCTTACGAGTTATGATATGATCGCACTGCCCACTGTAATTTAGTTGAGCTAGCTTTCATGGAATGTGAATGATAACCTTTTTACCTATTCATAACCTGTTCATGATCATGTACTTTTACGTAATATTTCCAAAATCATCCACCCATAAGATTCTCAAACATGGAATCTCGTTCTTGCCTGAGGTTGTCCAGTTCCAATTCCAACTCCTTGTATTTGGCACGAGCACCCCGGACGTCCTTGGGGAGGTCATGAAACATCCGCACCTGAGATTCTAGTCTCCGCGTAGCGTCGATGAGTCTCGTAATGTTTTCTTCTTCCGCGACTACCTCCTGTAGCGTCGGGCCCCTCGGCCTATTCCTTTCCAAAGCCGTATACTTGTCTTGATACTCGTTGACCTTGGCAACCAACAGCTTCGTGCTTCTCGTCCACTCCGCCGTCAGCGCTGGGAGATCGGCAGCCGCTTCGTAGGCCGGGTTGGAGTGCAGATTATCGAGTTGTCCCCGGAGCATTTCCAGCTCCCCTTCCAGATGATTGCGCAGGGTTTCCACCCGAGACAGCTGTTCCCGGGTCGCGAACTCCTCCTTAGTGAGTTCAATAGCGGATTGACTGAGGTCGGTAGTCTCCGTGCCGAGGGCGTTCAAATTCACGGCCGTTTCGGCGATGTCGTCAAGGTTTCGCTGCGCATTGTCGTCGAGGCATAGCTCCACCGTGTCCAATATTTCTTCTTTCTGCTTGACCAGCTGGCGTTCGCGCGTCTTGAAGGACTCGACCGTTTGCTCGCGTGCCTGGTGGAGGAGGGTGGCTTCGTCGTCCGCGGCGTCGTTGGCAGCTGCCAGCGCTAGCAAGGTTCGTAAGGTGTTTTCGTTTCGCTCGAAGGATGGGACAGAATTCGGGGCATATTGGCGATTCAACCATGCGTTCACGTACGCCCAGTCTTTGGCCTGGATGGCTGCTTGGCGGGCTTTTGCGGGGGAGAGGAGGGGGCTGTCCATGGTGAATGTAGCAGTAATTGGGCGAATGGAATGGGATAATTTTATTTCTAGAAGTCCGAAAAGGCAGCGGCAGTAGCCAGGATTCTAGATTCTTAGCGTGCAGGACGTAGAAAGACGATGTGTTAGGATAGATAAATAAGATGCCGGATCGGGGAAAAGCCCCTGGGCGGTTTTCTCCCGGCTCCGCCTTCGTCCATCTTTCTTCCGGCCACGCGTCGGTCTGCTTCATCGCAACCACCATCACCGCCACCACCATGGCTAGTTATTTCTCTCCCCAGTTAGGGGCTAATTCTAGCCATGTATCTACCAGAACACCTTCTCCCGCACCCTCCCCGCTTTCACCCCCCGTCCAGCAACGCTCCAATGCCCTGTCGAACCGGCTGACCAGCGTGCTGTCGGCGTCGTACGCCGACTCGGACATCCGCGATGCGCTGGAGACACTCAGCCTGCGAGGCACTCACAACACGGCAGAAGTGCGCAGGCAATTGCGATTGGACGTTCAGAAGGAAGTGGTCGACAGCAATGCAGAGATCGTGCGGGATTTCGGGAAAGTTGCAGAGGTGAGATGCGCCGGTGTTGAAAACAATTGCTGGACTCGGGGTAGCATGTAGGCTGACCGTCGGGCCCACGTGGTATATACAGCAACTTAAACGGATCGGAACGGTCATATCGAGTCTGAACCAGACGTGCGATGAAATGCGGAAGCATATCGTCCTGGCGAGACAGGACACGACGCCCGTCCTCGAGGAAGCGTCCGCGCTGATGAACCACCGGAAGGAGGCCGAAACCAAGCAGCAACTCCTGGAGGCGTTCGCGAAACACTTCATCATCTCGGACGAGGAGCTGTTGATTCTGACCGCCGCCGAAGAACCGGTCACCGAGGACTTTTTTACCGTGCTTGCCCACGTCAAGCAGGTACACAAGGACTGCGAAGTGCTGCTGGGCGGGGAAAACCAGCGACTCGGACTGGAGCTGATGGAGAGGAGCACGCGGAACCTCAACTCGGCCTACCAAAAGCTGTACCGCTGGATCCAGAAGGAATTCAAGGATCTGAACCTCGAGGATCCCCGAATCAGTCGCTCGATCCGACGGGCCCTGCGGGTGCTGGCCGAGCGGCCCAGTCTCTTCCACAGCTGCCTGGACTTCTTCGCCGAAGCTCGCGACTACGTACTGTCGGATGCTTTCCACAGCGCGCTTACCGACGCGGTGTCCGGTGCCGGGGGCGATCGCAACGTGAAACCGATCGAGTTCTCCGCCCACGATCCCTTGCGGTATATCGGCGACATGCTGGCGTGGGTCCACTCGACCACGGTGTCGGAGCGCGAAGCGCTGGAGTCTCTCTTTGTCGAGGACGGCGAGGAACTGGCCAAGGGCATCCAGGTCGGACTGAGCAGTGAGCCCTGGGCGCGGATCGACGAAGACGAGGAGATCACGTTCAACGGGACCAAGGCTCTCAGCGACCTCGTCAACCGCGACCTGACCGGCGTGTCCCGCTCCCTGCGGCAGCGAGTCGAACTAGTCATCAAAGGCCACGACGACCCTGTCACCTGCTACAAGGTCGCCAACATCCTGTCCTTCTACCAGACGACCTTCACCAAGCTCCTAGGCCCGAAGTCCAACCTCGCAGAGCTGCTCCAGACCCTCGAGGAATTCACCCTCAACCACTTCAAAACGATCATGCAAGACGCAGTCCGCGCCCTCTCCGCCGACCACGCGGCTCTACTCCCCGCCTCAGACCTCTCAGCCCCGCAGTTCCTCCTCGATGCCCTCGAAGTCCTGACCTCGCTCGCCAAAACCCACGAGGCCTCCTTCGGCGCCGACGAGCTCGAGTCCACCGCCCCCGACGGCGCCAACCGCTTCACGCCTATCCTCCGCGCCGCGCTCGACCCCATCCTCGACCTCGCCAAGTCCTCCGCCGAGGAACTCCCCGACGCAACCGCCCGCGCAATCTACCTCACAAACATCCACCTCGCCGCGCGCTCCACCATCTCAGAGTACCCCTTCGCGAGCTCAACGCACCTAGCGCCCCTCTCCACAGCGCTCTCCTCCCTCCGCGTCGACCTCCTCTCCATCCAACACAACCACCTCCTCGACGCCTCAGGCCTCCGCGCCCTCCTCACAGCCCTCGAACCATTCTCCCCCTCCTCAACCTCCAAACCCTCGCCCCCGTCTCCGACACCCAAAACCAACAGCAACACCCCCCCAACATAGCAGACATCGCCTCCCTCCCCGCCTTCCAACCGGACTCCCTCCTCGGCACCAGCCAACAACTCGACGACTTCCTCTCGTCGGCGCTGATGGACGCCACCGATTACCTGAAAAGGGTGCGCAGCGCGGCGTTCGTCAAGAGCGTCACGGAGGAAGCGGTCGAGGCGTTCTGTCGCGATTTCGAGTTCGTGGAGGGTATGATTATTGGGGCGGATGAGGCGCGTGCGAAGGTGGATATTTCGAAGGTTGTTGATGATGAGAACGAGGGTGAGAAGAAGGGCGATGGGGAGAAGGAGAAGGCGGAAGGGGAGGAGGAGGAGGAGGAGGAGGAGGAGGAAGGGGGGAAGAGTGCTGGGTTGAGAAGGCTTTTCCCGAGGACGACGGGGGAGATAAGGGTGTTGTTGAGTTAGATTTTTCTTTCCATTTCATTTTTCTTTCTTTATGATTATTGTTCTGTTCTTTGCATGTACATACATATCAATTAGTTTGGGGTTGTATTTGTTAAACCCTCAATAATGCACAAACGGGGATCCCACTGGATATAAATATGTCAATTTCTCTTACTTTATACCGGAACGGTAATACAGACTACATTTACATTATAGCTAGCTATTTTATATGAATACTACCTACTTCACAGCAGTAGCACCGTCTATATCACTGCACCAAATCCATCCATCCATCTGTATTTAGATCGACTCCAACACCTTCTCCGCAGCAGAGACTACACCAACGCAGTTAGCAATTGTCCAACATACTCTTCCAGAACATCAATAAGAAGAAAAAACAAACCATTCAACCCAGCATTATCAGGCTCCACAAACGCCTCCTTGACCTTGCCGTCCTCAACCAGCAGCGCATAGCGCTTGCTGCGGGCGTTACCGAAGATGGAGGCGCTGTCGAAGAGGACGTCGAGGGCTTCGGAGAATTTAGCGGTGGGGTCACCGAGGAAGCGGATCTGTATCATGTTATCATTGGGTTAGTATTATGCGCCTGCAGCTGATTGAGAGGGGAGGAAGTGAGGGGGATGCGTACGCCGCTCTTGCCGGTGGGGTCGAGGGCGGTGGCCCAGGCTTTGGTGCTGTTTGTTGGTATTTGTTAGCTTGGTTTCTTTCTATTTCTCTATTTTTGAATTTGTTGATATCTTCTTTGTTGGGCAAATGGGTGACAGGCGAAGACATACACGAAAGGATCGTTCACAGCGACGACGAAAACCTGACCGGCTTCCTTCAGCTTGGGGTGGTTGATGTACCCCGGGACATGGGAGCTGGAGCAGGCAGGGCCTAATTGTTCACTCGTTAGTATATATCCCCCGTGGTTTTCAGCGCCAAAGTAGCTAGCTGGCTAGCTAGGTTGGTAGGCAGGTGGGTAAATAAGGTAGAAAATATCTGGTAGGAACATACTGAACGCAGCAGGAACACCAACGATAACGCCCTTCCCCTTCAGCTCCTTAGCAAGGTTAACCTTGTTGCCAGGGGAGTCCTCGACCAGGACGTCCAGGTTGGGAATGGCATCGCCCTTTTGGACAAAGGCCGGGGCGGTGTTGTGGAAGAGGGCGGCGCGCTGCGACAGGGCGCGGGGGAGGGTGTTTGTCAGGCGGCGGGCGGCGAACATTGTGATTTATTTGTTTGTTGAAATGGGGGTAGGTGGATTGAGTTGATTGAGTTGAATTGGGGATAGGTGGAAGGAAGATGGAGAAATGGTGTTGACGGAGCTGAGGAGGTTCCTGATGAGACAGGGCGAGGTTATTTCGTCATTGGGGTGGTGGGTTAGTCAGCTGGTCTGGTACCAACCATACATACTACTAGGGTAAGTTACTGGCAGACCTTGAGGAGTATATGTTGACACAACAAACAAATTCAGGTGTATAAGAATAGGGGGCTACTATGTGATCGATTGTTGGTAAATGGTAGATCGATCTAATAATACAGCTGAATCTACTATCTAGTATAATAATGAAAGGAATCAACAGAATGTGTAAGGCCCATTAAGAACGGCCAGGCAGACGGTGTCCAAGAGTACTAGTATTGCTCAACCCTGTCCATGATACCCCTGTCTAGTCCGGAGATGGCTTCCCGGCCCTCTCCCACGGCCATTAATCTATATTGCGATCGGGCGGGTAAGGATTCTGAAGCCTGACTAGGAATCGGAGGATCTGATTGAATGCATGGACAACGGCCATCTAACGAGTTTCTCCACTCTGCGATCGGGCCCCTATAATGCATATCCGCTATTGGCACGAGATGTTGATTCCAACCGACAAGACAGGACGAGACAGAGGAAAGACATCCGATATACACAGGAGGAATTCATCTGTCAGTGTCATACTGGAACCAGACTCTCTCGGTTGTCAAAAAAAGGATCTGCATCCGGTGCCGGAAAGAGTTTAGTAGGGGACCAACGGGTCATTAGCAGTGGAGTCCTTGTAATAACCATCATCCGCACAACGGGATGAATCGACCGCCCCGTTTCCCGACGACGACTTTCTCAGGATGACTGACATTTGAAATCAACTCGGTCGATAGGTCCAGGAAGTCATCCTGATAGCAGGATGGTGTCTGTGCACCCACTGATATCAACCTGTAGACGCAAGCACCATCTGTGTCGTGGGATCGGCAAGCAGAATCTAGTGTTGGTGGATGATCATTGCGCAACAATTGTCTGCCCCTCCAACTCGGCTGCATACTCTTTGCCCCCCCTCCATTCCGTCATGCATATCTCGTCGTCTGCAAGCTGGACCGCACTGACAGTCTCGGCCGCATTTTCCCTTGGCCTCGTGCGGATATTCCCATCGCCCTCCCCTCTTCTCCTCATGAGAATGACGCCTAAGGGTTAGAGCGGTGGCAAGAGAAAGCGGGAGGATATCAATACTAGATTGGTCGATGAAGAAGGGCGATCGTTGCTTGAACAGGAAATTCGAGGGAAGTGGGGATTCTGCCGACACCGACACGGTTAGTAATAGTCTTCAATCCAGATGTAGTCAGTCGTCATTCCATTAGAAGTTCTATTCAAGAGAGAAAGAGAGGAGATGAGGGACAGACAAGGCCGATGTGGCTCGTGGGAACCGAAGAAGAGAACGAAACTAGGCCGAATCAGGCAAGCAACTGGCGCGATCGTCATTAATTCTAACCCATTGTTGGTTTTCATTCATCCACTTGGAGCTGTCTGGCTGTCTGGCTGTCTGGTGTCTGGAGCTGCTCTTTCTTCTTTTCCTGTGTCTAAGTCTATTGATGATATTGATGATCATGTTCTCATTGTTGAGAAGATTGACTCTCTGAGACGGACTCACTCTGAAGATACTCACCTCCTTCACAGGATCAACCAAAGATACTATTATTAAACAAAGGAACCTGGGGATTGACTAAGAATGAACCCAAGAATTCTAATTATGATAATTTAATCTAATTATCAGAAGAATTAGATTATCATTATTACTCCAAACTCTCCACCACGCTTAACTCGGTCCTGGCCAAACCACACTCTGACTGGTCACCGTCCGTTTCCTCCGTTTTTCCTCCTCTCTTCGGTCTCTCTCTCTTGTTTCTTTCTCTTGTCTCTGTCTCTCCAGTCTATCCTCTGAGTCTTTTTCTCTTCTCATCTTTTTATTCTGTTCTATTTATTCTGTTCTATTTTTTATTATTATTATTTTTTTTTTTCATTATATTTTCATCTTATTTTCTATTTGATTTTGCATTTTCCATCATTTTAGTTGATTTCTTCTATCCGACCGGTTCATCCTTACCTCTTTTTCTTTTTTCCCTCTTCTTTTTTCCTTTCCCTCTTTTCTTTCTTTCTTTCTATTCTTCCTGATCCATTTCCTTGTATTTTCCTATTTTCCCCTCTCCCTCCTTCCATTAAATACTTTCTTTTCTGATTCTTTGGAGCTGTTCTCCCTGGTGGTAAACCTTGTTTCTTCGCCTTCCCGTCCAGACTGCGACGTTGTTGAGCCCGTTGCTTGTTCGATCGGTCGCGACCCATCTAGCCCACGATGGAGGGTGGCCAGACCTCGACCAACACCGCCCCCTCGGGCAACTCCAGTGATTTTGTACGTCCACTGTTTTTTACTTCCAGTCCCTCATCGATGGCTTCATTTGATCTTTTTACTACTTGATGTTGATCATGTTATCATTCTTCCCTACTGACGCCATGTTTTTGTTAGGTTCGCAAACTCTACAAGTGAGTCTCTCGACTTTGACGGTGCCCCTCCCGTGACCTCTCCCCGTCGCGGCGACGCGGGAATACCCCCCTTCCCCCCCAAACAGAATGGAATCGAGTGCCAGGAATGCCGACTGTATCAGCGTGACTGACAATGCCATCTATTCAGAATGCTGGAGGATCCCTCCTATGCAGAAATTGTGCGGTGGGGTGACGAAGGAGATAGCTTCGTGGTGCTTGAGGTAAAATCCACCCTCCCGTGACAGCGCCCGCCCGAGACTAATACACCATCGTCGCTGCAGTGCGAGAAATTCACCAAGACCATCCTCCCCAAACATTTTAAACATAGCAACTTTGCCAGTTTCGTGCGACAGTTGAACAAATACGATTTCCACAAAGTGAGACAGAATAACGAGGAGAATGGACAGTCTCCCTACGGGCAGAATGTAAGGCGTGCCACCCCCCCTGCCGTGTGGGGATGGGGAAAACTGACCGCGCGACACTAGGCCTGGGAATTCAAACACCCCGAGTTCCGCGCAAATAGCAAGGACTCGCTTGACAATATCCGACGGAAGGCCCCCGCCCCCCGGAAGCAGGCGCAGACCAACGAGGATTCGGTGCCAGCGCAGCAGTTCGATCTGCTGAACCAGCAGATTGTCGCCCAGCAGCAGCAGATCCAGCACCTCTCCGACCGCCACGCGCAGCTGACGGTCGACCACCAGCTCACCCTGCAGGAGGTGATGCGCGTCCAGAAGACCGTCCTCAACCATGAGAACGTCATCCACCAGTTGATGACCTACCTGTTGTCGGTGGATGCCCGGCAGCGACGGGACAGCAAGGCCACCTCCTTCCAACCCCAGGGCCAAGGCATGAGCCCCCAGGTGGCCATGGACGATGTGCCGTCGTCGCCCCTGCAGAACGCCTCCAAGCTGCTCAACGACATGAACGCCGAGGTCCAGTTCAATCTCCCCGGCGGCCTCGAGACGATGCCCGGCGAGACCAAGCCCACCGTGGTCCCGGCGACGACGCCCGCCCTTGAGCCCACCCCACGGAACGGGATCGTGCGCCCGCCGACCGCGGTGCCCGCCACCAACCAAGCCCAAGCCATGGCCGCGTACCCCAAGATGAACGGCGAGATCGAGCCGGTGGTCTACCCGGTTGGCGCGACCAACGGCATCGACCCCATGTACAGCGAGCATGTGAACAACATCCCCTACGCGATGCCCCCGAAGCCGGAGGTCGACGACACCCGACGCCAGTTCCCGGACAATCGGAAAAAGAGCGGCCACGTCGACCCGGGGTGGATGCGCAGCCCCCACATCTTACTGGTCGAAGACGATACGACTTGTCGCCAGATTGGTGGAAAGTTCCTGTATTCCTTCAATTGCGTGATTGACACAGCGGTAAGTTTCAGGCTTATATGTATATACACGTTTTCAATCTCGACTAATCTCCTTTCCAGCTCGATGGTTTGGAGGCGGTGAATAAAATCCAGGGTGGTTCCAAATACGACTTGATCCTGATGGATATCATCATGCCGAATCTGGACGGAGTGTCCGCCTGCCATCTGATCCGCCAATTTGACCGAACCCCCATCATCGCCATGACCTCCAATATTCGCAGTGATGATATCCAGCTGTACTTCCAACACGGTATGTTTCCCCTCACCAGTTGCACCCGGGACCTTTTCTAACCTGTGTAGGGATGGACGACGTACTGCCGAAACCGTTCACGCGGAAGAGTCTTCTGGATATGCTCGAGAAGCATCTGGTGCACCTGAAGACGATCTCACAGGCCGTCGATGGCACGCAGCCGGCTGCAGCCGTGACCATGGCGGCCCAGAGCTCGGCGGCCCAGTCGGTCAAGGAGGATAGTTCCCCGGGCCAGTCCCCCGCTGCGTCCATGAGCAATTGGCAATCCCCGGGACAGTTCCAACCCATGGCGACCGCCGCGGCGGTCAACCCCAGTATCCCGCAGGTTCCTGCCCAGTATGTTCCGGCGACCCCCGCCCCGGCCGCGTACGCGGTGGACCAGAACGGAGTGCAATACCAGACTGCGCCGGTGGCCATCCCGGCCGGAGCCGCCCCACGTCCACCTCCCCGTCGGCAATTATCCGACATGTCCAGTGCGGCGGAGAACCCCGTCCTGGCCAAGCGGGCGCGCATGTACGTGCCGCAACAGCCCATGATCAACCCCGTCCCGGCGACGCGAACCGGTTGAGGTTTTGATTTTCTTCATATACTGTTTTCTCTTCCATTATCGCGAGGGGGTGGAACTTCCATCCGATTCATCACACATCACTCATCACAAACCACGACCCTTTCTACACCGTCGACCGTTCTTCTCACATCCACACCCCCCGCTTAGCCGCTGTTTCTCTACTCTGACGAATTTGCGTCCTTCCATTACGACGTCCCACTTTTCTATGATACTGTCTCTTCGTGTTCCTGGGGAACTGGCGTTCAAGGGGGCGTTTTCCGCGATTGCATCTGCTTGTGACTACATCCTTACTTTAGGTTTAAGGGGCGAGGGGTTTGGGTGGATATCTGTCGAGTTTATGTCATTTCACTACTGATGAGAGATCGATATCTTATCTTATCTCTGGAGGGTACTGACCAGATTGATGCTTGGGACTTTTAAAGTGAAGGAATGGGTGTCCGACCCTGTGTGGGGATCGAAAAAGGGAAAAAGCTGTTTACCTTACCATGTACCTAGATTCTATCGCTAATGTAACCCAGTCATCAAAGTTAACTTCCAACTTCCAACATGGTAGTAAATAACTAGTATGTAATAGTGTCTTTCTTCCGACTGCATTGTCTTACCAGGTAGTCGTTCGCCCTGTCAGGAACCTATCAGTTCGTTCCTCTAGAAGCTAAATTTAACACCATCCACCCATCCATCCAATCTAAATCTAAATATAATCCCTCCCTCCCCAAGTGGGAGGGGGGGAGCATCATACACAAACGAACCCCTATAGTCACAATGTGAAGGTGGGGGTATAATCCAAATCCAACAAAAAAGACGACATAGTAGTTTAAAAAAAGTAAACATGTCTCACCACCCCACAAACCGTCACAAGGTTGAAGTATAAATAACAATAACAACAAACAAAATAAAGTGTTCTAGACCCCATTGGGTCCCTGAACAAGGGATGTTCGTTTCCCTAAGGAAGGTTCCATATACCCCTGCCCTGCCCCAGTCCAGCCAGGCCTGGGCCTTGGACCCGTCGTTCTGGACTTTTCGGGGCTGACGGGGTTGGGTTGGGCGGTGCATCATCACGTGTTGTTTATCACGTGGATTGATGTTGGTGCCTGGGGCATATGTACATATATGGGGTGCCTGGGGCATACATAAGGGAAAGTATGCAAACATGGCAAACATGACAAACATATAAAACAGGACAAATGGCGGAGGGTGGGATGAGGAATTATGACTCCGACGGCCTTGGCGGAGATTTTGCAGCATTATTCGGATTTGCTTGTGTCTGGCTCTTTGTCTCTGTCTAGACTGCGCGCGGTTGTTCCTGTAATTGGCTGCTGCTGCTACTACTGATTCGACCTTTTGGATTCAACTTGCTGCTGAATCGATCGCCTGTCAACTCTCAACTTGATTGAAGTGGGGTGGTTGATCTCCCCTCAAAGTACGCAGATGGCTCCGAAAGGGAAAGGCTCGTCGAAGCCGCGGGGGAATGCGACGGAGGAGGTAGAGGAGACGTTACAGGCTGTTGTATGTTGTTCTTCTTCTTGGGGGTTGTTTGTTGGGTTGGGTGCTTTACGGGCTGGCTTGCTAACGATGGGATGATTTTAGGTCCTCGCTGATACCTTTGAGACGCGATTCGAGCCGTTTACGCTTGATCAGCCGAGGGTGTGTTTTATTACCTACGTGACTTTGTGGGATAATGAGTGTTAATGGATATAGTGTCTACTGCCGCTTGCGAATACGCCCTTGCTCGAATATACGTTTGAATTCTTGGCCAATGCTGGTGTTGAGGAGGTCTTTTTGTATGGCGGGGCGCATTCGGATAAGTTGGAGAAATATATCAAGTATGTGGTTGGAAGGAGGGATGTGAGGAGAAGAGGGAGATACTGACGGCTACAGTGCGTCGAAATGGAGAGCGTCGTCTTCGCCATTCACAAAGTTGACTTTCCTGAAATCGACATCCACCTCCGTCGGAGATGTCATGCGTGACCTGGACGGAAAACACCTCATCACGGGCGACTTTATCGTCGTCAGCGGAGACGTGATCAGCAACCTGCCCATCGAGGGCGCGCTGACAGCGCACCGCACCCGTCGCGCGGCCGACAAGAACGCTATCATGACGATGATCCTGCGCGAAGCCGGCCGCAATCACCGCACGAAGTCGTCGTCGGAGATGCCCATCTTCGTGATCGATCCCACCAAGGACCGCTGTCTGCACTACGAGGAGATCGACCGGCACTCGCCCGAGTCGAAGCGGCTGAACATCGACACCGAGATCATCGAGACGCACCAGGAGCTCGACATCCGCCAGGACCTGATCGACTGCAGCATCGACATCTGCACCCCGGACGTGCTGAGCCTGTGGTCCGACAGCTTCGACTACCAGACGCCGCGCAAGCAGTTCCTGTACGGCGTGCTGAAGGACTACGAGCTGAACGGCAAGACCATCCACACGCACATCGTGGAGGACCACTACGCGGCCCGCGTGCGGAACCTCAAGGCCTACGACGCCGTCAGCAGGGACATCATCGCCCGCTGGGCGTACCCGCTCTGCCCGGATACCAACCTGCTCCCGGGCCACAGCTACGATCTCCGCGCCGGCAACCTGTACCAGGAGCAGGGGGTGATGCTGGCGCGGTCGTGCGTCGTCGGCCGGCGCACAGTGATCGGTCAGGGCACGAGCATCGGGGACAAGACGACTGTCAAGAACACCGTGCTGGGCCGGAACTGCAAGATCGGCAAGAATGTCACTCTCGATGGGGCTTACATCTGGGACGGTGCTGTCATTGGCGACGGCTCGACGATCCACCGGGCTGTTATCGCGGACGGCGTGGTGGTCGGCAACGACTGCACGGTCGAGTCGGGCGCCCTGCTCTCGTACGGGGTCAAGATCGGCGACGGAATTACTGTGGCTGAGGGGAGACGGCTCACGAACGCTGCGAGCGAGGATGGCCACGTTCCGGCCAGTGAGCCGGCGGTCGTGGGTAAGGGCGGCATGGGCTACGAATACGTTCCCGAAGAGGACGAGGACGATGAGGATGATGAGAGCACCGTTTCATCTGGACTAGGTATGTCTCTTCTTATCATACTCCCATTGGTGGATTCTCAGGAAAAGGAAGTAAACAGCTAACTCGCGGACTACAGTCTACAACATGGCGAACCTATCCCTCTCCACAGAATCCATCTCAACCCTCTCCTCGGAAGTCTCCGGCTACGGCGGCTCCCAAGCCGGCAGCTACGACAGCTCACTCTCAGACGACGAAGAAGGCGACCACTTCATGCACGACGCAGCCGCAAGCGTCTACGACAGTCTGCGCGAAGGCGTAACACCCGACGTCGTAAACCTGGAGCTCGTCAGTCTGCGCATGACCGCCAACGCCTCCGACAACCAAGTGCGACGGGCGGTGATCTCCGCCTTCATGAAACGCATCCAGCAACTGATGGAAGAAGACAACCAGCACGCCGGGGACGCCGTGCGGTCGATCTTCGGGCCGTACCGGGAGATCGTGGAGCGGACGCTGTTCGACCGGGCGACGGGGGCGAAACCCGACCAGGTGGATCTGCTGGTGTTGCTGCAGCAGGATCTGGCGCAGCGGCCGAAGGGGGATACGGTGTTGCTGTTTGCGGCGAAGGAGCTGTATGAGTTGGAGATGGTTGAGGAGGAGGCGTTTGAGCAGTGGTGGGTGGATGAGCGGTCGAGTGCGAGTGAGGAGATGAAGAAGGTGAGGAGTCAGACGCAGCAGTTTGTGGAGTGGTTGGCGAATGCGGAGGAGGAGGATAGTGAGGAGGAGAGTGGGAGTGAGGAGGAGAGTGATGATGATGAGTAGAAGGAAGTAAAACAATGTCTGTATGCCCAATAGAATCTATCATCTATATCGATGGAGTTGTAAAGCCTCTAAATGAGTCATTCTACCTTAACCATATACCTGATCTTCGTCAGAAGAAGTAATCGTAGTAGTAGGAGTAAATACTAGTATACTGTGTCGATCGTGAGTCAACAAGGCAGGATCGGGCAGTGCCTGGCTGCCTGGTATCCTCACCCACCAGGTGTCTACCTATTTACCTATTTATCGTCTCTTCCATCTCCCAAGCCTCATCTTTCTTTCCCCTCTTTCGTCTTTAATCCCTCTTTTTAAACCTGCAATCTTTGTGAGCTCTCTGTATAGAGTTTGCTGTGTGACCCTCTGTTATCCACAAAGGATTCATCTGACATCATCGTTGACTTGAGCTAATCATCGTGCGCGGTCAGCGGTCGCGTTGCTGTTCACACTATCTAGGTACTTCTTGTACCTGTCGAGTGGTAGATTGATTACTTCTATCTATCACTGGTTCTTTATAGAGAAGCAAAAGAAAGAACAGAGAGCAGAGAACAGAAGAGAGGGTGACGTCCTTGAAGACAGACTAAACATAGGTCAGTCAATCAGTCACCATTGCGGGGATAGAGAGTCAGTCCATCAACTAACTACTAGTTAATAGTCCAACCGCCACTGACACGTCCAGTTTTCTTTTCTTTCCCCAGTCAGTGAGATCAGCCTCAGCTAGCTGGGTCCTTTTCTTCCCCTGTCTTTTCTTTCAATCTTTCTTCCTTCTTTTCCTTCTCTTTCTTTCGTCCCTGTCGGTGTCCACTTATCCACCTGTGGTTCTGACTTCTTGGCTTGATACCTAGTTTTTGAACAGATCTATCTACCCTTGCATCCATCATCTACGAGATACTGCATGATTGATGGAGTATTATTATTGTGGTTGATGTACGGCCCTCATTCCATATCTCCCTTCCCCACTCTTCCATCCTCCTCCTCTCTCTATACCCCTCGTCTGGCTCACCCAGGGCTCGAGGACTCGATAAGCTCTCAGCCTAGCCCACATGTCACCGACTCGACCTATCTCTGCAACGATCGGCTAAGAGGCTCTTTCTGCTTGTCTAGTTCTGCGTTGTCCTTGTTTCCCCACTACTTCTGTCCATATTGTACAGCCTTCTCTGACGTCTTTCTGCCTTTGAGTCAGAGGACTAAAAAGGGAACACTGTAAACATATCCTTTTATTTTTCTTTCTTCATCAAGAAAAAAAAGGAGCGTTTATCTTCTAAACGAAGGAAGGAAGGAAAAGAAACCCAGATAGTAAAGCATCCCCACCTACCGCTTGCTTGGTCAGCTTGGTTCGGTGTTGGGAGTTGTCCCGGGAAAAAAAGACGGTCTCGACGTCACTTCTCCAGACCGACCTCTGCTCTCGTCCCCCCTTTCTTTCTTTCTGTATTGTCTCTTCCCCCTTTTGGTTCCTGTTGTGTGAATTTCACCCCCTTGCCCCGTGTCAAGGCACCGTCGCGATCATCACGCCTCCTATAACGAGAAAGAGAAAGGCGGCCGAGGCGGCGATTGCAAGCGACCAGTCAACTGCCCCCGCCACCAAGGCTTCCGTCGCCCGCTCGCCTGCCGCCACCAGGCCAGCCTCCGCCGACTCGTCCTCGCCGCCCGACAACCACCCCGACCACGACGACGCGACGTCGGTGACTTCGGGCGATTACCGAACCGATACTCTCGTGGGAAATAAGGTGCCTGATCTGGTCACCCCGGCCTCGACCAGTATGGAGTCGGATGAGGATTTCATGAGCGTAGGCTCCAGCAACGATGACTTTCTGGATACCCAGGACAGCGACGACGATAGCCTAGAAGGTCGGTACCCCTCACCGTTTTAGACATGACGACCGTGACTCAGGACTAATGCATGTTTTGTGGCGGCAGATTTCGGTGACGATTTCGACGGCGGGTTCTCCAAAGATAAGGACATCATCGCCACCTCCCGGAAGCCGTACGAGGTCGACTTCAAAGTGTTAAGTCCCGGAGACATCGAGCGCGAGCAGAACATTCAGGTCACCGAGGTGTCCTCGATTCTGGGTCTCCCCCCAGAGTCGTCGGCCATCCTCCTCCGGTATGGGCGGTGGAATCGGGAGAAGCTGATCGAATCGTATATGGACCACCCCGAGCAGACGCTGGACGCCGCCGGCCTGGGAAACCATTTCGAGACGAACCCCGTGACCCAGAAGGTTCCGGGCTTCATGTGCGAGATCTGTTGCGAGGACGGACCCGACCTCGAGACCTACGCGATGCGCTGCGGGCATCGGTTCTGCGTCGACTGCTACCGGCACTACCTCGGACAGAAGATCCGGGAGGAAGGGGAAGCCGCCCGGATCGAGTGCCCGGGGGAGAGCTGTCATCTCATCGTCGACTCTAAGTCCCTGGAGCTGTTGGTCACGAGGGATCTGCGTGATAGGTGAGGCACTGATCTCTATGGGGGAGTTGTTCGTTAAGGATTGCTTACTGATTTACGGATGCAGGTATCATGCCCTTCTGATGCGAACGTACGTGGACGACAAGGAGAATCTGCGGTGGTGCCCGGCGCCCAACTGCGAGTATGCGATCGACTGTCCCGTGAAGCAGCGGGATCTCCGGCGCGTCGTGCCGACAGTACAGTGCTTCTGCAAGCACTTCTTCTGCTTCGGGTGCACGTTGAACGACCACCAGCCGGCACCGTGCCTACTGGTGAAGATGTGGCTCCAGAAGTGCGAGGACGACTCGGAGACGGCCAACTGGATCTCAGCGAACACCAAGGAGTGCCCGCGGTGCCACTCGACGATCGAGAAGAACGGCGGCTGCAACCACATGACGTGCCGCAAGTGCAAGCACGAGTTCTGCTGGATGTGCATGGGGCTGTGGTCGGAGCACGGGACGAGCTGGTACAACTGCAACCGGTACGAGGAGAAGTCCGGGTCGGAGGCGCGGACGGAGCAGGCGCGGTCGCGGGCGTCGCTGGAGCGGTACCTGCACTACTACAACCGGTACGCGAACCACGAGCAGTCGGCCAAGCTGGACAAGGACCTGTACCTGAAGACGGAGAAGAAGATGACGAGTCTGCAATCGCAGTCGGGGCTGTCGTGGATCGAGGTGCAGTTCCTGGAGACGGCGTCGCAGGCGCTGCAGCAGTGCCGGCAGACGCTGAAGTGGACGTACGCGTTCGCTTACTACCTGGCGCGGAACAACCTGACGGAGATCTTCGAGGACAACCAGAAGGATCTGGAGATGGCGGTGGAGAGTCTGAGCGAGATGTTCGAGAAGCCGGTGCCGGAGCTGTCGAAGCTGAAGGTGGACATTCTGGACAAGACGGCTTATTGCACGAAGCGCCGGGTGATTCTGCTGAGCGACACGGCGGAGAATCTGAAAAATGGTACCCCCTCCTTTTCTTCTCCTTATTCTCCTTAGTGTCTTTGAGGTCACCACTAACACTGTTACAGGGGAATGGACATTCAACATGGAGTGGTGATTGGTAGATAGGCTAGACGTTTTATAGAGAGAGGGGCAGTCTGGATTGCCGGCTCGCGACGCACGGAGGACGAGACATTGACGACCTGCATGACTATAGCGTATGATCTGACTTTGTTTGATCGGTTTTTTCTCATTTCTCATTTCTCATTTGTTTCATTTCAAGTATCTTCACCATGGAGGGTGAACTGCATATGACCGACCTCGGACAGTCGTGTAGGTAGCATGGATGTATCTAGTATGATAGTAGGATGAATTGGCATTATTTACTTCATCATTTATACTACATTGATCATACTGATTACATTGATCATTACGTATAAGACCAAGTAAGCCACTTGACAGATATTCAAGCAGGTCTGGGGAACAACTAGGCGACCGGCATTCCAGCAACAGTCTAAGACTCATCCGTCCTAGTAGGTCAGACTCCTCCTTGGCGGGATCTGATAAGAGGATTTTCCTCCGGGCTTCGGCGGTTTGGAGTGCTTGGCTGGGACCGAGGTGTACCTATCTGATGGATTTGCCGGTATTGATTGGGCTACGGGGATGGACAGTGATGTTGGACGTGAGTAAGTAAGCTTGGTAGGTAGGTATACTCGATTATTATAGATCATAATATTCATTGAGACTGATCATGACCGGATGTATGTAGACTGTGGTGATCCTGTTGTGTTGGCTGTTGGAAGAGGACCGCCTGGGTAAGTGGTGACCTGGTTAGTTCTCCGGCATCGGAGGAGAGGAAGGCGCTGTAGGGAAGGGTTCGTCTGGTTTGACTTTGTTCGGGGGGTTCTAGAAGGGTAGTCTTCTAGTCAGAAACTCTAGATATGAAGAAGATGTACTAAAGAGAGAGAATAACAATGTTGTATCTCTATAGAATAGGTAAGTGAAATGAATAATCGGCATCTCGGTGTCCATCAAGCCCCCACTAAACCCAATCCGTCAGCTTAGCTGGGATGAATATTCTTGCTTGAACTTCTTTTTTTTCCCCATAATAATAAATTTCATTCTTCCTTTTCCCTTTCCTTTTCCCTTCCCTTGCAATTTACTTCCCCTCTTTCTCTCTGTTGATATCTTCGAGAGGATCACCCCGGTCGATAATCATCCTATCGATCTGCCCTCTCCTATTCGACCCTGACATCTTCCCTCGGTTCGCCAAACTCTCCACTCCGCAACCAACTTTCTCCCTCCTCCTCTTCCTCTGTCTCCGACGCCGACTCCGCCCATCTCCCCGACACTGTCGACTCATAGATTGAGATAGTTTATATCGCGCGCCTCGCTATCCCGTGGCGCTCTCCGTCCTCGCCTTCTCTTCCGCCCCCTCTCCCTCTCCCCAGTCGCAGCTCCGGCTGCTCCTAAATTAGCGACATGGCGGCCCCCGAGCAGGTTCCCGGGGAGGAATTCGAGTACGTTTAGGATATCTTTCTCTGTTATGTTTGCCGGTTGGATAGGATCGCGTCGAAACAAAACAATGCCCGGTTCGAAGGAGTTTGGGAAGATTCTGTGGTCCGCCCTTGGATCGGATCGGGATCGGTTGTTTGGAGCTCCGTCTATCCAAAGATGTGGACACATGAGGATATATTTTCTATAGAAAGTCAGGCTAATCTTTCTAGCTATGAGGCCCTTCCTTCGAACTATGGCCTCGGCCGGAATATGTTGGCGGGTGCTTTTGCAGGGATAGCGGTATGTTGAGATGTGTCTCTGGACGCTTAGGTGTAGCGCTTGCTAATGGGGTGGTTTAGGAACATGCGGTCATGTATCCGGTGGATTTGCTCAAGGTATTTTCTTCTCTCTTTTCTAAGCCGTTATTATATCGCGGTCTTTTCGATCTCCCGTCTAACAAAACAGACTCGCATGCAAGTCTTGCACCCCTCGTCCGGTGGCCTCTACACCGGCTTGACCAATGCCTTTTCGACTATCTATCGCATTGAAGGTTGGCGGACACTATGGAAGGGCGTCTCGAGTGTGATTGTCGGCGCGGGTATGCCATCCTTTTGAATCATTGGGGCGTGGCTTTCTGACGGTGACGCAGGTCCGGCTCATGCGGTCTATTTCGGCACGTACGAGGTTGTCAAGGAGTTCGCAGGCGGGAACGTCGACGATGGCCACCATCCGTTAGCGGCCGGTGAGTAGCCCACCACATACACCTATGGACCGCAACTGATTGGATTTAGCTTCGAGTGGTGCTGCGGCTACTATCGCCAGTGATGCCTTGATGAACCCGTTTGATGGTGAGTTCTGACATTCTTTGTTTCTGCCTGGTTCATGCGCTAACTCCAACAGTCATCAAGCAACGGATGCAAGTCCACGGCTCCGTCCATAAAACTCTCGCCCAATGCGCCCGCACCGTCTACAAGACCGAAGGGCTGCAAGCCTTCTACGTCTCCTACCCCACCACCCTCTGCATGACCGTTCCCTTCACCGCCACCCAGTTCGTAGCCTACGAATCCATCTCTAAAGTCATGAACCCCTCCATGGAGTACGACCCATTCACCCACTGCATGGCGGGTGGTCTGGCCGGTGCCTTCGCGGCCGGGATCACCACCCCGCTGGACGTGGTCAAGACGCTTCTCCAGACGCGCGGCATGGCGCAGAACGAGGAGATCCGGTCCGCCAAGGGCCTCTTCAACGCCGCATCTATCATCAAGCGGCAATTCGGGTGGAGTGGTTTCCTCCGAGGCGCACGCCCCCGGATCATCTCGACGATGCCCAGCACTGCCATTTGCTGGTGAGTTCCTTCTTTGGCATCATCCGGGAAAAGCTAAACTTACACCGAATAGGACATCCTACGAGATGGCCAAGGCGTACTTCAAGGGCCTGGACTAAGGCCTTGTTGTGCTCCGGGCCCCCGATCGCATGAATCCCGACTCTATCCTCTCGACCATCCCCAATCTTCCGACTTCCTTGTTGCGCGTGCGCTCTCCGACTCTTCGCCGACACCGGGAGGCGAACCCCCCCCCAGCTCCCAATTCTCCCCACCTCAGACATACCAAGAAGCAATAGAAAAGTTCATTGACCACCGTGGAAAAGCAAAAACTACAAAATTAAAAGCACAAACGAATTTACAATTAATGACTAACTTTCATCCGTTCCACGACCGGCCAGGTTGTTATCGTCCGTCGTGGGAAGAACGAGGCCTGCGAGGCGAACTGGTTCGCGGGGTGGGAATATCGCCGGCGCATCCGTTCGACCAAGGGGTCTGCCGCCATGCCGTCCACGACTTGGGATGGTTTCCGTCGTGAGACCTATCCTTGTCTTCCTGTGGACCAGGGAGACGAGATCCGTCGTGGACTCGGTCCGGCATATTTGATTTGATTTGATTTGATTTGATTTGATTTGATTGATTTGATTTGGATATATCTTTTGTCTAGTGCATGGGAAAAGGGAATCGATGGGTTATGATATGATTCTTGGATCGGAGCCTGTGTCAGGACGCCGATGTATGCTATAGTATTTCCTTTTCTACATTTCCTTACTACATTGTTTTTTTGACATGTGTCTGTGTGATTGATGATTGATTGCACTGGCGTTGGAAACCCCCAGGGCGGTGGTGATCTTCATTCGGGCGGTTCGACAACGGCCTCTTGTACTTTTTTGTCCGATAACGTGTTTTATATTATTCCCCGTTGGGTTGGGATGGGTTTCTTTCTTTTCTATTATGTTGTTGGTATGTTGGAGCGATTGAGATACCATGGGTGGTGGTGTGATCATATATCGTTTGGCATGACAATTGTCGCGATGCTACGTTGGTTCTCATCATAGTCTGTAGACTGTAGGAACATGTTCGAGGGGCAACTGGTGAGTATCTCACCTCTTTTCTCTTCATTTCTGCTCTTGTCTTCGCATCCTTTTCTTCTCATTCTTGTCTTCCTTCCATTCTCTGTTGGATATATCGTTCATTTGCATGGTTACATGGTGGGGCAGGATCCATCCACTTCCTCTTCCTGCAGCCAACGACGTCACTGTCCAGTCTTCATTTTTCTCTTACTCATCTCTCTTTCTCTTAAGGTTACTCTCACTTCACCTCTCACTTCACCTCTCTCTGCAACGTCGTCCTCATGGATTGAATCATCTCAATTCGCATCGTCCTCCTCCGCCTTCACCACATCTGTCGCTGGCGTACTGGCAGACGGACAACTTCAATCACTCGATCTTGATCCGTCGATCCACCGGTCTCTTGGTGCGGGCGGGTCCTGCACATCCGTGGGGATTAATCTATCCCCATCACGAACCATCTAGATCAGCCTCAATTGATGATCGACGCGGCGAATGATGCGCCCTAAACATCTGTCTTCGTTGCAGAAGACTTACGATGAGTGCTATCTTATGTGCTCTACCGCCGTCTACTTTGAGGGTCAGGTTGGTCAATCCTCCCCCCACCAAGAAAAACTGCTCACCTTCTAGAATAACGAAGACGAAGCCCTAAAGTCGTGGCGCTCCGCCCTGGAAGCCATCTACTGCCACAATGCCTACCGCGCTCCCTCCAAGTACACCCCCAAGAATGAGACCGAGCGCGCCCTGCAGGAGTCCCTCCGACAGCTGGAGCTCCAATGCCGCGAGCGCGTCGACCTCATCGAGGCCCTCCGCGAGAGCAGAAAGGACTCGTCGTCCGCTCCCACGCGCCGATCGCCCGCCGCCACGCCGTCCGGTTGGATCGGAGACGGCACCATCCCCGCCGTCGGATACTCCGACCTCTCCAAACCGCCTCCCCTCCCGACCCGCCCGTCGCCCCGCTCGCGACGACCAGCACCCCCATGATCTCCGGGCCATCCGTCCGCCCCTCCGCCCCACGCACCCAGTCGCATTCCTCCTCTAGCATTAATCGCAACTCCAGCCCGGAACGCCGCTCGCTGTTGCCGTCCACGCTGCGCAGCCTCGGCGGCAAGAAGAACAAAAAGAAGACCAGTCCCCGACGGACCCCGCGGCCGGCTGCCGCGTCCCAGGCCGCCGGTCTCGCCTGGGGCAGTATTAGCGCTGCTCCGCCTCGGCCGGACCGCACCGCCACCGAGGCCGCCGTGGCCTCCTCTCGTCAGGCGGCCGCGGACCGATCACGCCAGAGCGACGCGCTGCGTCCCCGGCCGGTGGTCGTCCGTCGCGAGACGTCCGAGGACCCTCGCGCGGGACGGAAGCTGGATTCGCCGGCCTCGCGGTCGTCCGCGCAGGCGGCATCCCCTGCTAAGTCCGCGCCTCCAACGCCGCGCCGTGACGCTACCCCGCGTACTGTGTCGTCGACCGAGCCCCGGGAGACGGCGCGCGTGCGTGACTCCCCCCGACCATCCATTCGCTCCAAGCCTGCCGCACTGCGGTCGTCCGTACCTCCCGAGGCGGCGCCGCCATCACCGTCGTCGGCGCCTCCGCCGGTGTCGAACTCGCCGCGGACAGATGCCACACCCCGTCCCCGCCCCACCGCCGCAGCGGGCCTGGCGTCCGGGGTAGATAAGATGTCCATCGACCGTGACAGTCCCGCTCCAAAGACGCGCAGCACACGGGCCATGACGCCGCCGTCGAGCGACCCCGAGTCATCGGGGCCCCGATCCACGGATCTGGACGACGAGGAGGGTGATGAGGAGGCCGAGGAGGACCCGATGACGCACCTCCTGCCCAAGCTCCCAAAGGGCGTAGACGAGACAGCCGCTCGGCAAATCCTCAACGACATCGTCGTCCGCGGCGACGAAGTCCACTGGGACGACATCGCGGGACTGGAAGGGGCCAAGACAGCCCTCAAAGAAGCAGTAGTCTACCCCTTCCTCCGACCCGACCTCTTCTCCGGCCTCCGCGAACCAGCCCGCGGCATGCTCCTCTTCGGACCCCCAGGAACCGGCAAAACAATGCTCGCCCGAGCCGTAGCGACTGAATCCCAATCCACCTTCTTCTCCGTCTCCGCCTCCACCCTAACCTCCAAATGGCACGGCGAAAGCGAAAAGCTCGTGCGCGCCCTCTTCGGGCTCGCGAAAGCACTCGCCCCATCCATCATCTTCGTCGACGAGATCGACTCGCTCTTATCAGCTCGGTCGTCGGGATCGGAGAACGAAGCCTCCCGCCGCTCCAAGACGGAGTTTCTGATCCAGTGGTCGGATCTGCAGCGTGCTGCTGCGGGGAGAGAGCAGAAGAAGGCTACCTCGGCCGGGGATCCGAGCCGGGTGCTGGTGCTGGCTGCTACGAATATGCCGTGGGATATTGATGAGGCTGCGAGGCGGCGGTTTGTGAGGAGGCAGTATATTCCGTTGCCGGAGGATACTGTTAGAGAACAGCAGTTGCGGACGCTGTTGGGACATCAGGTTCATGAGTTGGGGGATGGGGAGATACAGACGTTGGTGGGGTTAACTGATGGTATGCTCTTCCTTTCTTTTTTCCCTCCTCCCTCTTTCTTCCTTCTTTTTTTTTTTTTTTTTTTTTTTTTGATAGAGATATCATATCTATCACCTCAAAACCAAGAATCCCTCCTCAAATCCAATATAATAATACTAATGATAAAATATAGGCTTCTCCGGCTCCGACATAACAGCCCTCGCCAAAGACGCCGCCATGGGCCCGTTACGCAATCTAGGCGAAGCCCTGCTGCACACACCCATGGACCAGATCCGACCCATCCGCTTTGAAGACTTCCAGGCGAGTCTGGCGTCTATCAGACCGAGTGTGAGTCAGGATGGGCTACGGGAGTATGAGGAGTGGGCGGCGCAGTTTGGGGAGAGGGGGGGTTAAATACTTTTCTTTGTCTCTTTTCTTGTGATGGATTCTTCTTATAGGGTTATTATACATACTCTAGTAGTAACTCATATTAAAGACTGTTATTAATATCTGGTTGGTTTTGAAGTGAATATAGTCATACCTAACTACACCCTTGTAACCTCTGAAGGAATAATAGTGTATCATCATATCTACCTGCTATCTACACACTGTGTAGCCTTTGATCTACTTCGAAGGAGTCAACTTTCTCAAATACAACTGTCTGTTGAGGGTTCATCTAGGTCATGTGATCAGACTCTCATTGAACAGATACACTCTGGGTAGTCTACTGTAGCACAGAATATGCTGTAGCTCATGCAAGATAACCCCCAATCGATAAGAAGTCAGCTTCTTCAAGACAAGCCCTAATCGATCAAGAATCAAGGCTACTGTGGCTGCTGGTGGTCTGATCGGAGAGAACCACATCCGAGGAAGAGCAAGCGGCGGCCGCGGAGTCCGGGGGATATTCAGATCCGCCCAATCATATTTTCTGTTTATATATAGGTTCATACCCCATACTTATACAATCTATATAGACTCAGAAGTCCATTCTTCACTGAGTCCGCACCTCAATGACTCTCTCCCAGAATCCAACCAACATGTCAACCTCCCCCCTACATCGCTACTACCCCCCCTCCGTGGATCTCCCACTGTTTGCCGAAAACAACACCTCGGTGATCTCCCTAATCGGCCAATTCGGCTTCCTTTGGGCGGCTGTGCTGGGCATCGCCCTGATCACGATCCGCAAGGTCCGCCCGACAGCGTCTACCTCTGATAAAGTAGCATTCGTGTGGATGTGTCTGAGTATGTATACCTCAACCATCAACCATCAACCATGTCCCGGCAGGGGGGCAGAGACCCAGCAACAAACAGGTAGTTCAACTACTAACATGCACCAACGGCACCACCAGCGGGCTTCGTCCACCTCTTCTTCGAATCCCACTTCGTCATCCACCATGTCTCCCTCGCCGGATCGCAGGAGCTCTTCGGCCAGCTCTGGAAGGAATACTCCCTCTCTGACTCGCGGTACCTGACTTCGGATTCGTTCCTCGTTACGATGGAGGCTGTTACGGCTGTGCGTGATCCCCCCATATCCCTATCTTCTAAGCTCGCTTAATCTTACCCATAATGGGATGGATGGACAGTTCGCCTGGGGCCCCCTCTCCTTCCTAATCGCCTACACCATCGCCGTCCAGCATCCCATCCGACACGCCCTACAACTGATCCTGTCCGTGGGCCAGGTCTACGGCGACGTGCTCTACTACGCGACCAGTCTGTTCGAGCTTTATTTCCATGGAGGGGAGTTCTGTCGGCCGGAGGGGTACTACTTTTGGTTTTATTACTTCTTTTTTAATGCTATTTGGATGGTGGTTGGGTCTTGTGAGTGTGATTCTTCTTCTTTTCTGGGGGGATATTGTGCTAATGGGTGCTGTTTAGATTATGCGGGGCAGAGTGTCGTGGAGATTACGAGGGCGTTTAGGGTGGTGGGTGGGCTTAATATGGGTAAGGGAAAGAAAGGACAGTAAAGGAGTTGGGTCCGCTCGTTAATGTATGATGTTATAGTATATATAATGTAGAAAAATGGATAATACTGACATAGACTATATAACTGCTAAAAGCCTCGATGTCAACAAGTTCTATATAAACAGAGATGAAGCTTGGATGAAATTTGACCATATCGCCCGAACCTTTCTTGCCGTAGCCTGCGCAAGTCTTGGGAAACACTTTGGTGACATTTAAACAGGGGATTGACTTGACTAGTAGTTGACTTAGTAAGGTAGTCAAATGTCAGCACCAGCATAACTACTCCGTACATACTTGCCTACTAAGCAGGTACTGAATGTTCAGAAAGCGGTGATCTGTGATGTCCAATACTCACTGAGCATACCCTTGAGCGGCCTCACTAAAGCAGTGATGCCCCGAAGAGGAAGTTTACGGTCGTCCTAGAAAATCAAGTATGTATATGGGTGCAACTCTCGCTCTTCGTATGTTAGTAGAAACGGTCAGGTAGGTAGTGAGTACTGTAGTATCATGAACCTATTCTATCCATTGCTACCTATCTATTTAAATCATAAGACCACCAGTGGAGAGTATATGTATATGTCAACGGTAGATAAGAAGGTATCAAAGTGGTTAGTATATACTATACGACTGTGTCGCCAGTGGACTTTGTATACAATGGCTGATAACACCTACCTACCTACCTTACCTATAACTCTAGTCATAGTGATTCCTAACACGAGTTTGCTTGATAGGGAATCATATAAGGACCTAGGTACCTACATTACAATGACAAGATAGTATAAGAAATACACCGTACTACATATCAAATAAGATACGATATTACCCCGAACCTATATAATACAATACAATAAATTATAATAAATACATATACAAAGATATAAGAGAAAGAGATAACAGGAGACGTATGGTGCGATGGGATCGTTGTCTTTCTCTTCGGTAGTTTAGCATAGTGGATAGTGGATAGCATGGTCGGTCACACTGGTGTGATAGATAGACGATAATATGATAAAGTGTATAACGGGGCGTGGTATGTAGGTACGATGTCAAACTGAGATATCGAATGGTTTTAAACCTGACGAGAAACCTGACGAAAAAAAAAAATAATAAGAAAGAAAAAGAAAAAGACTGGTATCCTTCATCATCCTTGCTGCTCCTGCCTCACCCAGCATCCAACGTATAGCAACACAACAATCAAAAGAAAAGGAAATATCAACACTTTCCCTCCCGTCGAATTACAGATCGATCAAACTGCCACCCGGCTGGGCTTGTCGCGGTTGCCCACCCCATGGGTTGTTGGCCGGTGCCGGCTGCATATATCCTGTCTGCTGGGGTACGAACGATTGGGGTTGTTGGGTGAAGAATGGGTTGTTGCCCGTGTGCGTCGCCCGCAGCTTGTCGAGACCCTGACCCGCCGAATTGACGAATGTGCCTGGGGCCGTGTGCTGCGCCGGAATGCGGAGGTCGCCCACGTTGCCGAACGTGTCCTGTCCGTCGCCTGTCGCCAGCAGCTGGTTCAGACGCTGGTGGTGCGGGTCGTTCATCTGCGGCGGTGTGCTCTTCGGCGGCGCCAGGTTGTTCGACGGCGGCGGCGCCTGGAAGTTGGCGATCGGGTTATGCGAGGATTGGAACTGGTTTGTGGCCCGCTCCTCGTTCAGCGTGTTGAGTGACGGCGGGCCCGCTGTCGCCGGCCGCTGCGGCTGGAACTGTTGCGGCCGCGCGAACGGGTTGTTGGAGCCCGTGGCCATGGGTTTGAGGGGTTCGGCCGGCTGCAGGTGCGACGAACTCGGACTGGCCCACGGGTTGTTGGATCCGGCCGACAGGAAATTCTCCTGCTGCTGCGGTTGCTGCTGGTCGGTTCCGTACGGGTTGTTCGTACTGAAGGAGGTGTGTTGGGGGTGGAGGGCGGCCTGCGGCTGCAGGAAGTTGTTGTGCTGACCATACGGGTTCTGGTCAAAACCCGTCGGCTGGGGCTGGAAGCCGTTGCCGTATCCATTGGGCATTCCGGTGTGTTGGGCGGAGAATCCGGTAGGTTGCGCGTACTGGTTGTTCAGGTAGCCCGTCGTCAAAGGCTGCTGGACGTTGATCGGGTTGCCGAGCCAGTCGACGGCGCTCTGCTGCTGGTAACCCTGGTTGTAGCCGGTGGCCTGGGCGGGGCCGACGGCCGTCGGGGTGTCGTCGAACAGAGACTGGGCGTTGCTCTCCTCCAGCTCCCGCCGGCGCAGCTCCTCCTCCTCCTTGCTCAGTTTGATGGCGCGGGCCAGATCCTCGTCGTCCTCGCCGACCATGGCCTCCTTGGCGCGTCGTCGGCGCTCCTCCTCGGCCTCCTGCTTGCTCGCCTCGATCGCCAACCGGTACTCGGTGTCGTCTTCGTCCGGTTGGCGGCGACGTTCGCGCGGTCGGCGGGGGGACATGTCGACGCCGGGAGTCTGATACTCGTCCAGACCGCTGACGCGGTTTTTCCAGAGTTTGCGATCGGATCGTTCCTTGCGCAATCGGTCTTCATCCAGGATGAGGGAGGTGAGTTCCTTGGCCGCGACCCGCACTGTGCGCTGATTAGCTTCTTCCTTTCTTTCTTCATATCTGTATAGAGGGTCGGATACCATTCTGGCCGACATCTCGAGACTCCTCGTCGACATATTGAAACTCGCGCAGGGTCTTGATGATGTAGACGTTCTTGCGAGCCCAGGTGACGACGAGCTCGGAGCCTTCGTGAAGACAGTAATCGAGGACCTTGAGCGACTTGAGGACATGGCGCCAATTCTTGCCCTTATCGTTGAGTCGCTTATCGAGCATATCCATAATCTCGTAGAAATCGGTCGGACTGGCGGAGGATCAGCGGCGGTCTGGACCAGCGGATTGGGGGACAGCCTACCTGGAAAACGTCATGGCGGAGATTTCGGCCATATCGGTGCCGGTCGGACCCCACGGGTCATTACTGGTGGCTGGATGCAAAGTTAGTCTCCGGATTGAAACATGCCGAAAATGGGGGAGGGGATGGGGAACAGGTGGTTATAGGACGGAACGTACCATTTCGAACCTTGACCTGCACGGACGAATAACCCTTGGTGACATTTTTGACGCTGCGCACGACCTTCGACATGGTTGGAATTGAGGGAGGATATAAGGTGGAGAGAGAGGGGTGGACAGCGAAACGGGACCCAATTCAGACCAGCGATCGGGGGTAAAGAGGGGGGAGAGGGGGGAGAGGGGGGGAGAGAAAATGCGATGGGGGGGGAAGGAGGAGCAAAGAGCCAGTCCGAGCCTCCTTATCGCGGTGGTGGAGGCGGTGGAGACGGAGGACGTCAGCCGTGTTCGGGGGGAGACAGAAAGAAGAAAGAACAGGAAGAGGAGAGGGGGGAAGAAAGAGAGAATGGAAAGGAGAAAGGATGAGGGGGGAGAGAATCACGAGGCGATAAGAAGAATGGATGAAAGAGAGAGGAGAGAGAGGGAGAGTTGAAGGAGATGATGAATGTTGGAAGAAGAAGAGGAAGAAGAGGAAGAGGGAGAGGTGAGAGAAAGAGAAGAGAAGGAGAGAGAGAGAGAGAGAGAGAGATTTCGGGGGTGGCAGAACGGTATTATTACGTGTATTTGGATTACCACCACTATGCTACTACCCAGAATTAGTATGATGATGATGATGATGGTGCCAGTAATATAAGGAATTACTACAGTATGATCCTTAGCTGACGACGCTCTCATCGATGCCCAAAGAACTGCAGTCACTCTACATCCAACTCTACAACCATATAGGACCTATCCACCGTCTTGAATATGACATATAATTCAAATCCCCTATGATTGACATGCTCCACGTCAATCAGTCAATCATCCATCCATGGACAATGGATCGAATCGACAAGATACCCCAGACGACCCCAACCATCAAAGAACAGGAGAAAAAGACACGACAAGCATGATAAAGAGCATAATGATGAAGAGACCTTACAAAGGAGACAGAAGTCAGTCAGTCACCGACTATCGACGCACAACGGCCCAAAAGGCGACGGATCCATCCACTTCCTAACTATTCAGGGGTTCTGATATCCATATCATCTACAGTACGGAGTATACAGTATATATTACAGGCTGGTCCTACACCTTCTGTTCTCTATCTTTCCCTCTCTCTTGGACAAAATTTCAGGTGGAACTCCCTCCATGGTTCATCCGATGGCCCGATGTCAGGAATTGACAAGAATACAAAAGTGGCAACGGCATGGTTGTCCGTCTAACTCCGTCGACGTCATTACCCGTAAGTTTGGTGATGACCAGGCAGCGTTGATCCTTTGATACGAGAGCATTGGCCTGATTGCCTTGACCATTGCCATCGACATGATATGAATAGGCAATAACCTAAAAATAGTGAAAGTAAAAGTTAAAAGATATAGAGAAGTAAAATGTAAATAAAAATAGAAATAGAAATATCTATATCCAAAAACGTCATCAGTCATGGTAATCCCCCTCCATCTCAGTCTTCTAGATAAATCATTCTAAACCCGCATACTTGGCTTCCGCCCCCCGAATGCAAGCAATGTTTGCCCCCAGCTTGTTCAACGTCTCCACATATTCATCATAAGGGTCCGAGTCAAACACGATCCCCCCGCCCGCCTGCAGGTACGCCACCCCATCCTTGACCACCATCGTCCGCAGCGCAATGCACGTGTCCATCGCCCCCGGCACCTCCGTCGCCCCGTCCGCCCCCGCGATGTTGAACCCAAAGTACCCCACCGCCCCCGCGTACACCCCGCGCTTCTCCCCCTCCAGCTCCGCGATCAGCTGCATCGCCCGCACCTTGGGCGCCCCGGACACCGTCCCCGCCGGGAAGATCGACCGGAAGGCGTCGAACCGCGTCTGCCCCGGCCGCAGCTCCCCCGACACCTGCGACACCAGGTGCTGCACGTGCGAGAACTTCTCCACCACCATCAGTCGGTCCACCTGCGTCGTCGTCGGGTCGCACACCCGGTTCACGTCGTTGCGCGCCAGGTCCACCAGCATCACGTGCTCCGCTCGGTCCTTGAGGCTGCTGCGCAGCTCCGAAGCCAGCGCGTCGTCCTCCTCCGCGGTCTTGCCTCGCTTGACTGTGCCCGCGATCGGGTGCGTAATCATCCGTCCCTTCTCTTCCTTGGCTAGCAGCTCGGGGCTGGCCCCCACCAGCTGGAAGTCCGCGCAGTCGATGTAGAACAGGTACGGCGACGGGTTCACCGTGCGCAGGTGCCGGAACAGGTTGAACGGGTGCAGCGACGTCGGCCGCGACAGCCGCTGCGACGGCACCGTCTGGAAGATGTCGCCCTTGGCGATGTGCTCCTTCAGCCGGGTCACGTGTCGCTCGTACCCCTCCTGTCCGATGTTCGACGTGTACTCCTGGTTCGGGATGATCGGGCCCTGCGGCGGCAGCGGGATCTCGGGGCGCTGCAGGGTGTCGACGATGCGCTGGAGGTCTGCCTGGCCCTGGCGGTATCCGGCCTCCAGTTCCGACTCGGAGGCGGGGATGGGCACGTACGTGACCACCTTGACGACCTGGAAGAAGTGGTCGAACGCGACGATGGTGTTGAACATCATGAATAGCGACTCGGGGATCTGCAGGATATCCTTCATGGGGCGCGCCGTCTTGGGCTCAAAGTACCGCACACAATCGTAGCCCACGTAGCCGATGGCGCCGCCGGTGAGCGGCGGCAGGACGAGACCGGGCACCGTAGCAACGCGGAACTCGTTGAGCTCATTCTCGAGCAGGGGGAGGGGGTCGCATTCGGGGCCATGGCCGGGGCCGGTTTTGAGGATTTTATGCGGGTCTGTTCAAAAAGGCGTGGTCAGTCCGGAGCCCAAACCAGGGATAAGAATGGGAGTAGTGTACGCACCCGCTCCGACAAAGCTGTATCGCCCAATGGTCTCCGTCGTCGCAGCACTCTCGTAGAGGAAGGATAATTTCGACCTAGGTGGGACCATGTCCGTCAGCGGGACACGAACCCGATCACGAGCCAGGGATGACCACTCACTTCTCGGCGATTTTGAGGTAGGCGAGGGTCGGGGTCAACAGGTCGGCCGGGATTGAGGTCGTCAGAGGGAGCAGGTTCGGAGCGTATTTGGTGCCATTATACTGGTGAACGACTTCCTTGGCCGTCTCCAGGGACGGGACAACGGTGACCTAGGGGGTCAGTACCGGTGTTCACCATGCGCTCGGAAACGATTGCGACTTACCGGAGGGGTCATTCTTTCGGTACAGGAACAGAAGGATATAAAATCGTGCAAGTATAGTGAACGAAGGGAGACGGAGAGAGCGTGAAGAAGGAAAAGACGCAAGGATCACCGGTAGCGGGGTTGCGAGGGGGCCTGAGTCATGGAATTACACCAAAAACAAGCGCAGTCAGACACAGACAAAACCCACCAGGAGATTCGACAGGCACCGACGTAAGATAAGTAAAGTCGTGTAACCAAGACAGAATTGGTTCAAGGACAGGAAGTTAAGAAAGAATGAATAAAGAAGAGAGAGGAACAGACCGAAGAAATGCGGAATTCTGAAGGACCAAAGCGGTTTAGTGGAACTTTTAGTTAGAGCCGGGACGCCGATATCGATAACAGCGCAGCGCTAACAAAACAAAAACCGAGAGAGTTCGCAGAGATCAGATCGGGAGATTGAACGAACACCTCTCATAGACATTTGTTCTTTCCGCAAATACACAATTATACAGAGGTACATCTTCTATCCTTTATACATAATAATCAATCCCAACCCAGACTAACCAGACCAGCCAGACACCCCAAACACGGAGTCCAACAACAACAATACCCCATAAACTCCACGAACACCCCCTAAAACCCAGCCAACCGCATGGAGGCCCCCCCAGACGGGCACCCATCGCCCCCTCTCTCAGACATCGGGCAACCCCCCAGTTCACCCGACATTCCAGACTCGGATTCGGGTTCAATTTCAGACTCGGTCGCAATTCCAACCCACGAACCTGAGCCAGTGTCAATTCCAACCCCAGAACCTGAGCGTTCGACCCCGGAACCTGAGTTGGAAGCAGCACCGGAGCCAACCCCTAACCCTGAGCCAGTGTCAATTCCAACCCCAGAACCCGAGCGTTCAACCCCGGAACCTGAGCATCAAGCAGAGCCAGACTCAATCCCAACCCCAGAGCCTGAGCCCGTCGCAGAACCAGAGCCAGCCCCCAAATCTGAACCAGTGCCAATTCCAACCCCAGAACCTGAGAATTCAACCCCAGAACCCGAGAATTCAACCCCAGAACCTAAGCATTCAGCTCCCGAGCCTGAGCCTGAGCCCGTCGCAGAACCAGAACTAGCCCCCAAGCCAGACCCAGCACCAGAACCAAAGGCCGCCCCCAAACCAAAGCCACCCCCCAAACCAGAACCAGAGGCAGACCCCGAACCCGAACTCAAACCACGCACCATCCCACCCCCCCTCCTCCCCGAACGCCTCACCCGTCTCGCCCTCCTCAGCGGCGGCGACCTCCCCCCAAGCGTCGACCTCGCGACCCTCAACCACTGCCTCGAGACGCTCGAAGCGCTCCTCGACCCGCGACCGGGGCAGACGCAGAAAGTCGCCAAGCACCGGTATCGGCCGTCGCTGCTGATCTCCCCTTTCACGGAGGAGCAGAGGCGGAGGGCGAGGGAGAAGGAGGAGCGGATTCGAGAGGCTGAGAGGGAGAAAGAGCGGGAAAAGGCGAGGGAAATCGAGAGAGAGAAAGAGCGGGAAATTGAGAGGCAGAAAGAAAAAGAGAGGGAGATAGAGAGACAAAAGGAGAGAGAAAAGGAAAGGGAGAATATCGCACCCTCTCTCCCCCCCATCGCCCAAACAGAGCTCTCCTCCCTCGTCCCCCAGCTCTCATCCATCAACACCGAACTCACCGCGCGCCGCGACGAGTCGGGCCAGATCTATGCGCTTTATGCGCACGAGCGCGATGATCTTCAGGATAGATTGACTGCTTTGATGGAGGAGGTTGATGTTTTGTATGTTTACTTACACCTACATCCTTTCCCCCCCCCCTTCTCCATGGATCCTTTCCAAGATTCGTCTCCCACTTCCCACCCTATCCCATCATCCCCATGATAAAGATAATGATGACAAATCCACTAACACACCCAGAAAAACCGACCTATCAGAATCCACCTCGGAGCGCGAAGCCCTCCAAGGCACAATCAGCGGCCTCGCAACCTGGATCCAGGCATCAGTGCAAGCCTCCACCACCACCACCAGCCGACCCTCCACCCGGCGCACCAACAATTCTAACACTAATATTAACAACCGGATTGTTTTACCTACTACTAATACTAATAACCAGCACGGACGGTGGCGGTCATTCTACGCGAGGCAGAGTCCGGGGGGGCTGGGGAATAGGGGTATTAATACTAATGCTAATGCTAATTATGGAGGCGGCGATCTGGGAGAGGATGATGATGATGATGAGGATGAGGAGAATGCGCTTTTGGAAGGGATTAGTGCGTGGATGCGTGGGTGGAAGGATGTTGAGGAGGGGTTTGTTGCGAGGGAGAGGGAGAGGAGGGTTAGGAGGGGGGAGGTTGTTGGGTGATTTATTGATTGATTGATTGATTGATTGGTTTGGGTTGAGGTTGGATGTGTCTGTTGGCTTTGGGGAGGATTATGGGTAATGGGTGTTGTATTGTATATATTTTGTATAGTTTAAGGTGTGCTACGATGTTGTTTCTAGAACTGACACATTATGTGGAGGATATAAAATGCTTTGATACATCTCGCGGTTAAAATATATAATCGCCTACTTCAGATAATCTTTGTATAATCTCACTCATATGATCAATAATCAACCTGCCGTACTATGTACACAAGATAAAGATAAACCAGGAACTCCACGTCTGATAGGACTCCGCGGTTTACTATTTTGCAAAATGGTTATGGTTCCGTAGCTAGTCCAACGCCCACCTAACAGGACCAACGGAGATGGAGAATGGGAAAAAAAGGGTAAAGTAAAAGGAGAAGGGTCGAGACAACCACCAGAAGAAATATAGGATGAATTTCCGAGCACAGACAGGTCAGGTCGCCGGAACCAAAGAAAGGCAAAAGAAAAGTCGTTGGACACATTTCTGTGAGGGGTATCAATGTTGGAGGTTTATAATGGCGATCTGCTCATAATTAGTAAATCGTCTATATAAAGAAGATGACATATACTCACTTGATGACCAAACCCAAAAGCAAGCTTCTTCCCGTCCGTGTCCCACGTCAGGGTCCGATCGGGTAGCGGCTCGTGGTGTCCATTCACGGTCGGACTCTGCTCTTCCTTCTTGGTCTCTGCGCTGCCCGGTACCGTCCAGGTGGCCATGGCCGTGCCCCCACGCTGCGCGTTCCAGATCAATAATCGGTCGGCGCCCGCCGCTGCGAGGGCGTACCCGTCGGGGGAGAAGGTCGACGCGAGCGCCGCCGACGAGGAGCCGAGCGAGAGCTGGTGGATGCAGTCGAACCGCCGCGACTCCAGATCGATGCGCCACACCTTGATCGTGCCGTCCGTGGCGGATGACGCAAGAACCAGGTGGGGGCTCGCCTGGGATGGGTCCGAGGCATTGGGCTGCAGCTCGATGGCGGTGATCTCCCCCTCGTGCGCCTGGTCCAGGTGCAGATCGTGGGTGGGGACCCAGAGCGCCGAGTGTTCCGAGGAAGCCGCCACGGCAACGGGCGTCGACCCCACGAACGCACCCCGGATAAACGACCACGCACGGTCGTTGTCGGCCGAGGAGAAGGTCTTGGCAATCCGAATGCTCGAATCCACGTCGCATTGATACACCGCGCCGGTCCCGCAGGCAAACGCCTGGTTCCGGCCCAGCCAGCACAGATCGAAGATCGATCCGTCGATCACCTGCGGCGGGGGGAACTCCTCGGGCCGCAGTGAATCATCCCAGAGAGCCAGCTCGGAGATTTTGGCGTCGGACGCCACGACGATCAGGTGGGAGCCGCCCTCCATCCAATGCATGCCGGTGATCATGCGAGGCACCTCGGGGAGGAGATCGACCGCGTGCCCATCCACATCGTACATCGTGATGGACCCGCGCACGTCGTTGTAGTAGGTGGCCACGGCCAGCTTCTGGCCCGTGGGGTTCCAGGACACGGCCGACACGCACGCGCCATTCTCCTTGCTTTCGACCAGCTTCTCCTGCACGGGGGCGGCGAAGGAGGACAGCTTCCACAAACTGCAGAACGTGTCCCCGGCGGTGACGACCACGGTCGGGTCGTGAGGGCGCCACAAGGTTCGCGTCACGTGAGAATCACCAGCCACATCGAGGATGGCGGTGTTGGGGCTGAGGTCGGCGGCCTTGGCGGGAGTGATTTGGACGGCGACGCTGTGTCCGTTCTCCAAGGTGGTCGGGGGTACGGGCGGTTCCTGGGGCTGCGAGCTCGGTCGGATGCCCATGCTCACATCGCCGTCTCCGTCCACCGCGGTGTCGGGCTGCGAGGGCGACTCGGTCACGGCGGCTTGCTTGTCATTGACCCCGCCATTGGCATCTACATCCATGGGGACCTCATCCCCGTTCGCCTCGGCGCGATCGCTCTTGCGCGGTTTCTGGACACTTGGGGCGGGTTGGGGTGCGGCCGGCTCGGCGGTCAGGTGACCGTTGATCGCATCCTCCTCGCGCGCGATTTTAGTGGGCGGCGAGGCAGGCGGCTGGTCTGTGCCCGCTGCTTCTGCCGGACCACTTTGGCTTTTCAGCGGCTCTGGCTCCAGCGGCGTCGACCCAAAGAAATAATCGGAGGGAGAAAACGAGATGGGATTTCCATCCTGATTCAATCAGCCTTGAATATTCCACCATCCGTACGGAAAATCCGGCGAAGCAATATAGTAATATATATGGGAAATAAGAAATAAAGAAATGAAAGGGAATCAAATGACGAGCGAATAGAAGAGACCGCAGATGCTGGCTAAGGCTAACTTACCTTATCGAAGGAATGCTCGAGCTCATAATACTGTAAGCCTTTTTGAACCAGGGACACCAGAGCGTGGGTTTTGATGTGCGGAGCGAAGGGAAGACTCTGGGGATCGCGATTCCAAGCGCGCTGCAGTGTTACTGCGGCTTCGCCATGGCCTGTTGCATGGTTAGAGTTGAGGAATCACCGCTACGGTTGATGCGATAATATGAAAAAGAGGGGTGGAGATGAAAAAAAAAAAAAAAAAAAAAAAAGCCAAAAAAAAGAAAGAAAATGAAATAAAAGCGATTAACCAACCTGATTCTTGAAGGTACCTGTCAACTCAAGTTAGCGACGTGGGTAGGGAATGGGAGGTAGAGGGGAGGAGCTTGGATGCTGGATGCTGCAGGAGGCGACCAGCAAGGTGGTACTGGAGAAAGCGAGGGTTGCCATTCGCAGGAACATTAAAGACATACCTCCATATTAGGTAGTTGACGTGATGCGATGTGAGATCGGGATGTGCCATTGTTACATGTATGACAGCTAGTAAGGTGGAGGACCCGCTAGCATGCTAGGAACGAGAATGTTTCTCCGCCGTGGAGGATGCCCGCGTTGTCGCGATGGACGGGGTGACGATAGGGATGGGGATGGGGGAGAGATTCGGAAAAGGAATCGGGGAGGTCGAATTCCGGTAGACAGGCGATTTTCCTGATCGGGAACCTCGGATGGTAGGAGCCCAGAGGTTTTTGGATCTTTTTTGATTCTTCTTTGATTTTTTATTTTGATATTTTTTTTTCCTGGTCTTCGGGTTCCTGTTGTGTGTCTTTCTTTCTTTTCCCCTTCTTGGAATTTGGGGGTATCGTGTTGAAATGAGGAGGATCGCACGATTGACGATTCAGCCAAGGTTCGGTGGCCGAGACAAGAGATGCAAAGGAATTGTAGTTGGGGTTGACAAGGAAAGAAAGTCGAGGAAAAAATCCAGACTAGGCTCAAGACGGACGACGAAAGGGGGGGCAGGTAATTAGCTGTAGATCATCCTCCAACACCCTTTCATAAGTGCAGGACGACCAAACGAGCGAACGGAGGGGAAGAATCGAAGCAGGGAGTGGGAAAGGGAAGAACGAAAGAACCCAATAAGTGAAGGTCCAGGGAAGAAAAAGGTGACGAATGAGGAAGAGGGAGGGACAAATGGACAACCAAAAGGGTGGCGTAAGGCGTACGGATAGAGCCGTGGGAGGAGATTTGCAGTGGGAGATAATCCAAAGTGAAGATGAGAAGAGAGAGAGGGAGAGAAAGAAAGGGAGAGAGAGAAAGAGGGAGAGAGATGGAGGAGATTGAAGATTGATGCAGTTCACGAAAGGGAAAGGAAGAAGAATCCTGAGGCACGCGGGTATGATGGAGACAGGCAGTTGGAACCAAAAGTGGAGACCACTACTCACTCCAAGCGCAGCAGTTAGTCAGTGCAGCCGGGCTCGACCGATAGAGAAGGGTTGGATGGGTAGAGGGAGAGAAGGGTAAGAGAGAGAAGGGAACGAAGTGATCAAGGTAAGAAGAAGAGGAAGAAGAGAGAACTGGAGAAGTCAAAAGTCCCACTAGGAGTCAAGAACGAAAGTCTTCAAAGTCCAGCCAGTCAGGTCAGGGCCTTGAAGTCTCTTGGATGGTCCACCAACCACTGAGATTTGGGACAGTTGGACTTATTTTCCCCAAGCGGCTAATACTATTTTATTGACTCTACAGGATTTAAAAATTCTTATATTATTATTATAATAATATATATTCAAGGAGAATAATAGATAATAAAGTAGATTACATTATTTTGATTTTTACATCTTAGATCAAATGGCCAGTGACAAAGGTGAATGATCAGGAAAAGAATCATAACAAGTCTTTCGGATTGTGGCGTCTAGCCCACCGACTAGCGTGCAGTTGGGAAACCCACCGTCCCCTTGTGCGGTTCTGACGCCCATCCGGATCGGCCTGCTCGACCTTGTCTGTCTTGGGTTTAGTCCGATATCTCTAACTGTAACGGAGATCGAACTTAAGGGTCTTCCTTACTGCATTATTAATAAGTTACCTGCCTAGGTATCTGCTTGGGTCCAAGGGTACCACCTACTCATACTTAGTACTACTGGAGAGAGGTAGTAGGAGGTACCTGTAGTACCCAAATACGCTAGTCATCCCAATTTATGAGCAAGATGGAGTAAAGTAGATTACGATGTGTATCCAATACGCGCAATGGATACCATCAACTCAATCTCCATTCTCCAAAATGGATTCTTTGTCTGACTCTCTAGTCTACCATCAGATACCCTAATCAACCTCAGAATCATGGGAGTTTATTCCCACAAAGAAATTATAACGAATGTGAAACATACTAGAAGCTTCGACAAGACTCAGATTCAACTCCTCCCCAGAGGAAGTCCACCTCAAACGGACTCTGTTTCCGTCGTCAAGACAATACGATGGCATCGTGGCTAAGCTACTAAACGCTATATCCTTGCCGCCTCGGCCGTTCCCCGCTGCTCAGGTTCACCCATCCCTCAAAATGGGGGATCAAGAAAAGTGAGATACAGCAATTTGTCAACACCAGTAGTGAATCGTCCTTGTGGCCTGTCTGCCAGGATATGACATTCCTTCCTCATCGGGTCGTTCTCCCCCTACCAGGTAATTTAGTAGCCACACCACGAGCTTAGGCGCTGGAAGAACGCCCCCAGAAAGCGTAATGGCTGGCAATCCATTTCCGGCGGTTGGTCTAGAGCAGTCTCTACTTATCCATTACAGGCATGACAATTGAAACAAACCATACACCATACATTCATGTCATTTATTACCAGTCTCCAGCCTTTCAGTGGTCGACAGGGTCTTTGTTCTTTGTTCCCTGCACCTCTCTCCGCATACATTCCTGTCTTCCAGGTACCCCATAGATAGACAGTTAAATGGAGAAAGTCACTCAAAAACACTGGGAATGGCCTATAATCATGATCATCATGGGGTGACTGAAATTAAAGTATTGCCTGTTCCCTCAGGTGTCTGCCTGCCTATTTGGGCGACCTGTCCAGATCTCAGCCCAGTCAGGCTCCCGGTCGCTCTTTAGTTACCCCACGGAGACGATTCCTCTTGGTTTGACGGGTTCATGCCGGTTCAATGATCTCGGTATATGTACCACGCCGATCCTGAGGCAGAGTTGGTCATGTCAACAGGCTTAATGGACATTAGATGATGATAACCATCCACCTCCACGTGTCTCCATATAAAGATTAATGTCGATATCTCATGAAGATTAAGGTACAATCCAAGACCATAGGGCATTGTGGTCTGCAAGCTAATTGACGGTCGGGGAAATGTCACGGGTTTGACAGGCCAACTCCAACCAAACCAGAACAAACTAAGCCAAACCAAATCAAATCAGTCAAACTACACACACCACCTCACCTCCTCTCTTCTATCTCTCTCTTTCACGCACACTCTCTCACCTCAATACTTTTCAGGGCTCAGCCTGCGGTCTGCATAATCCCTTCGGCAGCCGCAAAGGCTTATACAATCTCCTCATACTCATATCGGCTCGTCTTCTCCCTCCACCATGCCGCTACGAGTCAACATCCCTCCCGCGACCCGGGCCTGTCTCGTCAGCCTTCTGTCCCTTTCCCTGCTGTACAACATCGCCCGATGGCGTCAGATGGACTCCACCCCCGGAAAACCCGCCGTCACTCCGATCGTTCCCTATCTTACTCTCGTCCCCTCGCGCTTCATCTTCTACCCCTGGACCCTGATCACCGCGACCTTTGTCGAGCAGAATATCTTCACCGTCCTCTTGAACGGCGCCACGCTCTTCTACGGCGGCAAGTACCTCGAGCGCGCATGGAGCTCCCGCGAATTCACAAAATTCATCGTCACCATCGCGCTTATTCCAAATGCCGTGATCGTGCCCTTCTATTTGATCGGGGGCGCCCTTCGAGGCGGCTCGTCCAGCAGGTATGTCTCTTTTCTCTCCGTTCTCTGTCGACATGCTGGTTACCCCTGCTAACCCATCCTTCAGTGTGGTACAGATCTGTGGCGGCATCTCGATCCAAGCCTCCTTCCTCGTTGCGTTTAAACAACTTGTCCCGGAACACACCGTGACCATCTTTAAAGGCCTGGTCAAGATGCGCGTCAAGCACTTCCCAGCTCTGTTTCTCCTCCTGAACACGCTCAGTGGGATCATCTTCGGAACGCACGTCGCGGCGATCCTTTCCTGGCTCGGCCTGTTGACAAGCTGGACGTACCTCCGGTTCTTCAAGCGCCAGCCCGATCTTACAGGCACCTCGACCGACGGCCTCGGGATCAAGGGCGACGCCAGCGAGACCTTTGCGTTTGCCGCGCTCTTCCCCGACCTCATCCAACCGCCGATCGCGTTTCTGTCGGAACAGGTCTACAACGTCCTGGTCGCCTTCAAGATCCTCAGACCTTTCTCCGAGGAGGATATCGCATCGGGCAACCAGCAGGTTCTCGCCCGCGGCGAAGCCGGTCTTCCCAGCCTGCTCAGCACCCGCAGCGCACGAGGCATGGCCAAGCGCGAGGAGGCGGAACGGAGACGGGCCTTGGCGCTCAAAGCCTTGGACCAGCGACTCCAGGCTGCCGCCGCGGGGAGAGCGCCGGCATCCTCGTCCCCCCAACCGACCACCCAGACCCCGACGACGGCCACTCCCACGGTCTCTGCCGGACAGGGAATGCTGGGAGCCACCAGCTATACCCCGGATCACCACTGAGGGATGTCCCTTGGATCACAAGGGATGGCCTCGCCGCTGCATAGCTATCTAGGCGTTTTGGTTTGATTGGATAACGAGCAGCTCTGATTTTCTCTTTTTTTTCGTCCTTTTGTCAAGGAGCGTTAATATCTTGATACCTACCTACCCACTTATCCTGTGTTTTCATGTACAAACGCACGGTGTTGCATCAGCCTCTTCTTCTTCCTCCTTTTTTTTTTTTGTTCTTCTGCTTTTCTTTTTCATTTGCTTTTCTATCCATTTGTTCCCATACAAATGGTCACATCACGAGCGGGTCATACCACCTTGGTCCTTGGCCCAAGTAGTCCGCGCACATACACTGCATAAATGCATAACATAACATAATCATAGATGACATAGTTTATGACAATAGTCCATTGGATAACTAGTGGAGCATAAATTGAAGATAGAAACAAAATATAGAAATTTCCATAGAACAATCCCTAAACTTACATACCAGTAGATGAGCCAGTAGATGACAACAAGACAGATAACAACAGACAAGATGAAGAAAATGAAAAGAAAAGGAAATGGCTATGCTACAGATGGCGACCCTCCCTTTCCACAAGAGTGGTCTATCAACGGAATCTACTCTTTCTTTTCTCTCTTCCGTTACAAGACCTCAACTTGGCGAACAGGGTGAAGAAAGGAATGAAGAAGAAGAAAGGACAGAAGGAAGAAGAAAACTAAGAAAGCCCAATCAAAGCTCCCTCAACTTCTCCACCTCCCCCCTCGCAATCTGCAACATCCTCTCCTGATCCTTCTTCGCCTGCCGAATAGCAGCGATACGCACGCGATCCCGCCCCGACTGCTCCCTCATCTGCTCAAACCGCTTCACCTCCGCCTCCTCCTCCGCGGAAGCAGGCACCTCCTTCGCCCCCGTCACGTTCATCACCTTATTCCAGATCTCGCGATAGTCGAGGTTCCGCAAGTCCACGATGGCCGTCTTCTCCGCGTCGCCCGGCGCCGGCGCATGCTTGTCGGTGAGTTCGGCTACGGCGGCCGTGATGGAGGCCGGTTTGGAGGCGCGCTCGGCGAAGTAGATTGTGAGCGCTGCGGGGCCTTCTTGGTCGTCGGTTTGTTTGACGCTCATGGGGACGCCCGGATTGTGGTACTTCAGGCGCGGGAGGCAGTTGCGCCAGAAGTGGCGCGCGCCTTGGTGGCCGTTGTAGATTTTGCGCGCGTAGGTTAGGTGCAGGCGGGTTATGGCTGGGTAGTCGGGGGTTGCGGAGGTGGGCGTGGGGAGGATGGCGGCGCCGGTGCCGATGCGGATGTTGACGATCTGTGTTTTATATGTATTAGTCTTATGGTGAGTCGGAAGTGATGGTGGTTGTTTCTTTGGGGTTGGGTAGGGTGGAGGGTGGTTGATGGTCCGGGTTCGGGTTATCCCCGGTCCAGATGTGTGTGATTTGGGGAGTGGTAGATGGGATTGGGGAGAATTACCCTCTGTCAGACACAATAGCAGTCAGTATCAAATCTATACATATCCAGCGGAACTGTATGATGGGGAGGTGAACATACCGACTTCAACTTCCGCATCCGCTTGAACAAGTTCACCATGATGACGAGGTGGTCGCGCACAAAGCCGCGGGACTCTCTACCTTGAAACACTCAAGTAAATAAAAAGAGATCGACTCAAACGACTCGACAAATTAAAGAGTCGTGAAAGAGCCCGGTTGTGCGGATTGAATGGGGGTTGTCGGAGCTCGTGTTTTTTTCGGCGTGGATGATGGACGTTCGGCGGAAAGAAAACGACTCCGATATGGGATCACGTGAGGGTTGGCAACTGTGTCGAGGTGATCTACAACTTAGTGGATCGGTGGACTGGGTGATTTATACAGAGTATATGCCAGAGAGCATGTCTGGGTTTATTTAACCAAGTAAAAACCAATAATATAAGTCGATTGTCCTTGTTCAAGGCGTGGAGACTGGATAGGCATGGTCTTGGCAGGCCAGGGACATTATCCATGGGATTTGCTAGGTTCAGGGCCAGTACTCATGACAACGTTGGCAGTAAGCTACAAAATATATAGATTGACATTCAAATATAACAAACCAAGACACACAAATCACACTGGTATATACTTGTCGATATTTGTGGCTATATTGTAGGATATACAGTATACTGTACCTGTGGTAGAAGGCGGTAAGACGCGCCACCGCCTGACTCACCCGTCAAATTTCCCCGTCGATAAACCCAACGACCCCGCGGCGATAAAAATTAGATTTACTATCTAGATTCCCCATATTCCTCCTCCACTTAGCCTCTGGGCTCTCCTCTTCAGTCTTGTTCCTGATACTTTTCATCCTCAAGAGCCATGGCTGCCGCCGCTGCCTCCGCAGCTGCGCTGGACCCCAACAACAGCAGCAAGAATACCCTCAAGCTCGAAAATGTTCGATCATTTACCCCTCTATTTCCGAGATGCAATCCTTGGCTAACCACTTCCTTAAATAGACCGAGAAAAGAGATACCTTGATTGCGATCGAGAAGAAGTATCAGGCGCAATGGAAGGCTAACAAAGTCTTCGAGGTCGATGCCCCCTCCCTCGCCGATGTGCCCGCGGGCACCATGTCCGCCGCCGAACTCCGTGAGAAATACCCCAAGTTCTTCGGCACCATGGCCTACCCGTATATGAACGGTACCCTGCACGCCGGTCACAGTTTCACGGCCAGTAAGGTCGAGTTCATGACCGGTGTGGCGCGCATGGAGGGCAAGAACGCCCTGTTCCCGCTCGGCTTCCACTGCACGGGTATGCCCATCAAGGCCTGTGCCGACAAGCTGCGTGACGAGGTCAAGATGTTTGGCACCAACTTCGAGGGCTACCAGGAACAGGACGAGGAGGCTTCCAAGGATATCGCCGCCCCCACCCAGGAGGTCAAGGGCGAGCAGCAGGAGAAGTTCTCCGGCAAGAAGAGCAAGGCCGCTGCCAAGACCGTCAAGATGAAGTACCAGTTCCAGATCATGCTGGCCATTGGCCTCCCGCTCGAGGAGATCCACAAGTTCGCCGACGCGGACTACTGGTTGCAGCATTTCCCGCCCCTCGCGATCCGGGACCTCGACAGCTTCGGTGCCCGCATCGACTGGCGCCGCCAGTTCGTCACCACCGACGCCAACCCCTACTACGACGCCTTTGTGCGCTGGCAGATGAACCGTCTCCACGAGCTGGGTAAGATCATGTACGGCAACCGGTACACCGTCTACTCGCCCAAGGATGGACAGCCGTGTATGGACCACGACCGCACCGAGGGTGAGGGCATCGGACCCCAGGAATACACCGCCATGAAGCTCAAGGTGAAGGAGTGGGCCCCGGAGATCGCCGAGCTGGTCAAGGGCAAGATCGAGGACGACGCTAGCGTCTACTTCGTTCCCGCCACCCTGCGCCCGGAGACCATGTACGGCCAGACCTGCTGCTTCCTCGGCCCCAAGATCGACTACGGCATCTTCCGCACGAAGGAGAAGGAGTACGTCGTGGCCACCAAGCGCGCCGCCTGGAACATGGCCTTCCAGGGGTGGTTCTTCGGCAGCGAGAAATTCCCCAAGACCCAGGACCAGCTGCCGCTGGTCGTCGAGGCCCCAGGATCCGCGTACGTGGGCACGCTCGTCAACGCCCCGCTCTCCCTCCACACCGAAGGCGTGCGCATCCTGCCCATGGACACCGTCTCGGCCAGCAAGGGTACCGGTGTCGTCACCTCGGTGCCCTCCGACAGCCCGGATGACTTCGCCACGCTCAAGGACCTGGCCAAGAAGCCCGAGTTCTACGGCATCAAGAAGGAGTGGGCTGAGCTGGAGATTCTCCCCCTGATCGACACCCCGACCTACGGCAACCTGACGGCCCCGAAGCTGGTGGAGCAGCTCAAGATCAACTCGCCCAAGGACGTCAACCAGCTGGCCAAGGCCAAGGAGCTGGCCTACGGTGAGGCTTTCTACAAGGGCACGATGCTGGTGGGCGAGTTCAAGGGCGAGTCGGTCAGCGCGGCCAAGGACAAGATCCGACAGGCCCTCTACGCGAGCGGGGATGCGTTCCCCTTCGCCGACCCGATGGGCAAGGTCGTCAGCCGCAGCGGAGACGACTGCGTGGTGGCCTACCTCGGCCAGTGGTTCCTGAACTACGGCGAGAACGACGCCGAGTGGCAGAACACCACCCTGAACCACGTCGTCAACACGCTCAACACGTACCTGAACGAGACCAAGAACGGCTTCGAGAAGAACCTGGAGTGGCTGAACCGCTGGGCCTGCGCGCGGACGTACGGCCTGGGCTCGCAGCTGCCGTGGGACAAGCAGTTCCTCGTCGAGTCGCTGAGTGACAGTACGGTCTACATGGCCTACTACACGATCGCGCACTTCCTCCACGGCGACCGCTACGGCAACCAGCCCGGTCTCCTGGGCGTCAAGGCCGACCAGATGATCGACGAGGTCTGGGACTACGTGTTCACGCGACGCGAGCTCAGCGACGAGCTGGTGACCAAGAGCGGCATCAGCAAGGACTCCCTGTTGAAGATGCGCCGCGAGTTCGAGTACTGGTACCCCCTGGACGTGCGCGTCTCGGGCAAGGACCTGATCCAGAACCATCTGACCTTCTTCCTGTACATCCACGTCGCGCTCTTCGCGCCCGAGTACTGGCCGCGCGGTGTCCGCGCCAACGGCCATCTGCTGCTGAACGGCGAGAAGATGAGCAAGAGCACGGGCAACTTCCTGACCCTGAAGGACGCAGTGGAGAAGTTCGGTGCCGACGCGACGCGCATCGCGTTCGCCGATGCCGGTGATGGTATCGAGGACGCCAACTTCGAAGAGACGGTGGCCAACAGCAGCATTCTTCGTATGCACACCCTGAAGGAGTGGATCGAGGAGACCATCAAGGACGAGACCCTGCGATCGGGCCCGGCCGACACCTTCTGGGATAAGCTGTTTGACAACGAGCTGAACATTCTGGCTCGCGAGGCCAAGAAGCACTACCAAGAGTGAGTCTCTTCTCCCTCATGTCTTGGGATTTTGGCTAACAAATTACAGTACCAACTTCAAGCTGGCTCTCAAGTCCGCCCTGTACGACTTGATCAGCGCGCGCGACACCTACCGCGAGGCCTCGATAGCGGCTGGCGTGGGCATGCACCGCGACATGATCCGCCGGTACTCCGAGCTGCAGGCGCTCCTCATGGCGCCTGTTGCGCCCCACTGGGCTGAATACATCTGGCTTGAGGTTCTCAAGAAGGTCCGTCCCATCCGTTCCACATTACACAAGAAAAAAACAGTAGCTAACAACAACAGTCTGAATCGATCCACTTCGCCCGCTTCGCCGACGTCCCGGAGCCGTCTCCGGAGCTGACCGCCGCCTACAACTACGTGCGCACGACCTCCTCCAACATCACCTCCTTCGAAGCGAACCTCGCCAAGAAGCTCAGCAAGGGCAAGTCCTCGACCTTCGACCCGCGCAAACCCAAGCGCCTGACGATCTACGCCGCCAAGAAATACCCCACCTGGCAAGAGAAGTACATCGACCTGGTGCGCGAGGCCTTCGACCAGATCAACCTGTCGATCGACGACAAGGGCCTGAACGCCAAGGTCGGCAAGCTCGGCGAGATGAAGAAGGCGATGCCGTTCGTGCAGACGCTCAAGAAGCGTCTCGTCGTGGCCAAGGAGAAGCCCGACACCGTCTTCGAGCGCAAGCTGCCGTTCAACGAGTTCGACGTGCTCTCTGAGATGCGCGGCATCTTGGCTAAGACGACCGGCGCTAAGGAGATCGATATCGTCGCTGTTGATGAGGGCGGCAAGACGGGTGATGTGCTCGGCTCTGGGGAGAAGCGCGAGGGTCTGCAGGCTGAGGCTGCCGTGCCGGGACAGCCTTCTTGCCAGTTTGCGAATATTGAGTAGGTTTGACTATTTGGTAGAATAGAATAGTAAACTTGATAAAATTATATCACGTTAAGAATTATATGATTTATCCTATTTATTGGATCGCATATATCTATCATCGGCTATAGTCTCGATAGGGTAAAAGACGACATGAAGTAACTCAACCCATCAGTAGTCAATAGCGAATCCATCTGACTCCATCATGTGTATTGAATAGTCTGACACATACCCCATCCAATCGACCCACAAAAGACACACCAATCTGACAGGCCCCATGTTATGTACGTTCATGTGGGGTTGGTTCTATTTGACACCTGCATATGTATGTGACACCCTATCTATCATCCGTGGCTTGCATGACATGATGCATGCATGCATTTTGATCTGTATCTGTATCTGTATCCGACAGACGGGTAAAACCCTTATACAGGTTACAGTTGCATGTCATAGTGCCTTATGAGGTGGATATGTCTAGTATTATCCCTTGCTTGGCTGACACTATTTATCTGGCTCTGACTGAATGGATCTTTATAAGATGGATGTCTCCAACCTGTTCGTGGACTCTTTTACTTACTCGCTCGCTGACCCATTCCTTCATTTGGCTCTTCGGTCGTTCGTTCATTCATCCAGTCATTCATTCCCTCAATACCAACTACAATCCACTCATTCAAATACACATAGCCAACCAACCAACTCTACCCTCCTTAACCATTTCCTATCAACCTATTTACTTAACATATTATATCTAAACCACAATGCGATTCCCCCTCAACACCATCCTCGCCCTCACAGCAACCCTCGCCCCAGCCGTCCTCGCCAGCCCTCACAATCCACACGGCAGCCATGGCCACAGCCACGGCGGCAACTACTGCAGCCAGCCCATCAACGAGAACCTGATGCAGTTGACAGGGGAGGCAAACGATAATGCCCATTTTTGCAGAAGTTTGTCGAATGGGTTGTTGTCGAATGATGTCGATGTATGTATCTTTCTTCTTTTCTCATATATCTGTGTTTTTGGATTGAGGAGGGAGGGGGGAATGGGGAGAGAGAGAGAGAGAGAGAGAGAGAGAGAGAGAGATGAACAGGATAAGATGAGAGATGATACTAATGATAAATCTAGGGCCTCAAATCCCGCCAGGACCAACTGAGAGACGATATCTTCGGCGCGTACTCCACTCTCCGGGGGAGTAGTTGCACGGATATCTACCCCGGGGCTCAGCGTGATCTGTGTCGGAGCTTTGTGGAGGTAAGTCCTCGTTTCTCTTCCTTCTTCTGCTATATACTATCATACCATACCATCACAGAAAGCCCAATCTATCTAAACCAATTAACTGATCATGGTATAGTTCACCCACGCCGAAAAAGCCCTCCAGTACGCCCTGCGCGCCAAAACCGACGACCTCGAGAGCGACGCCGCCTACGAGGATATGATTCGCTGTGAGGCGGAGACGCAGGAGAACTATTACGTGAGTATCTTTCTTTCTTTATTTCTCTTTATCGTTTTTTATAAAAGAAAAAACAGGCAAAATAAGAGAAGATGAAGAATAAAAAGAGAAACTAATACGAAAATAGCACCTCGCCGATCTCCTCATCGAACTGAACCCCGTCTGCTGCGATGAGATCAAAGATGCCACGCGCGAGATGAACTGGGCTTTTGCGGGGACTCAGTCCAAGTATACCAGTAGCTCGCATTAGGGTGTTACCTTTTATCTGTCAGCCTGACCTAGTTAGCTTTTAGCTAGTCGGTGTATAAAGGGGTTGGACTCCGGTGGAGTAGAATAGTGGATTGTTATATAGTCAAAACTGCAGCCATGCTTAGTCTGTGTGGGCTGGAGTGAGACAGTGGGGACAGAATAATACCATTGTTGGTAATTCTTGGAAGAGTGCATTTATACATTAATTGTGATACATGATAAAGCATAGATATTGTGTACCCTCATGTTTAAAAAGGATAGTGTGACATATTAGGCTTCGTGAGTAACCTTATATTTAGTGCGACGAATGCCCGGGTAATAATGCAGTACCAATAGTACTGTTCTATGCACGAATTATAAGCAAGGATTCATTCATGGCTCCATCGTGAGACAGAACGTGTCAATGTTAAAGTACGGTAGACTAACCTCGGTTGATCCCGAGCCCCACATAACAGTACCACAGTCACGATTGGTTCGGGAGTGGAACTGTCTACCTAGTTTATACAGTACTACAGTTTATCAGTCTATCGTATTCCAGAGCGTTGGCGTGGACATGAGTTAATATAGTATAAACTGACTAACACTTTTTCTTATAAACATGCAGTGCTGGGGAATCAGGGGAATATGCTGGTTTTTATAAGACTTGGAATGGGAGAACCGTGGATATAAGCAAAAAAGGCAGCAAATGAAAGATCAGATCAAACAAAGTTAAGAAAAAGAAAAAGAAAAGAAAAACTTGTACCACATAGCTCGCCCTCTTCCATTATAAGCGCAGAACTTTCACTATAGCCGTCATAGTCAAAAGTCCTAGGTACCTAGGTCATGGATGTGCTCGTGCCTCGTGTCCGTTGAAACTAACGCTCCCACTCACGCGTGATATCAGCGATGCCGCCGGATATGAGTCCTCAGATTATCAGATCGATTGAAGGTCTTAGTGCATATATTGCACATAAAGGATCTGGGAGAAGAATGTATGGTTCTGACGTGACGTTTAAGGTCCCCTTTGCGGGCGAACGGTCTTCGGTTAGTACAGCTAGGCCATGTGCATCGGAGATTGAGTGGCTGCGGGCTGTTGCTGCATCAAAGTCAGCATAGACTGCCAGGTGAAGAAAGTTCCCGGCGGGGAGGGAGCAAGACCTGTCATCATGAGAGGGTGGATTGCCGCTCTCGGAGCGAACTGGGTCAGTGACGGGCTGACGAGAGTGCTGAGGTACATTCCGAGCGCCAGCCGGTGTCTCAGTAGGGCCGTTTGGTAATAATGTCGGATGACTTATGCCCCCTGGGTTGTGTGACCTCATGTTGACGTCCGAGTTCAACGGCATGTAGTGCTGTTGTTGCTGGGTTCTAAGAGGGGTGGCGGTCAAAGGACCACCAAGGGGACCCATGGTGGCCTCCCCAAAGTAAGGCATCATGGGCATTTGGCGATCGAAGCCGATCGGTGCCAGTGATAAGGTCGGTTGAGCAGTCGTGCTGCTGGACCAGGCGGAAGCGCCATAGTTCTGGCTCGACAAACCGGGATGATGGTGGCTGCTATCATGGTTGCTGGGAGGTTCGACAAAGCCGGTCCTATTCGGTGTGGTATTCAGAATACAGTTGGGGGAGCGACCGCAATCGGCGACAACACCGGGTTCGTTGGACATGACTGATTGTTCCAAGGCGGGAATTGAAATCTAAGCAAGCGGTCGATGTACTTGACCAACAGCACTTGAAATATTGACTTGTCGTAGAAAAGAGAAATATGAAAAGGAGAGAACTGCTGATGGGTGGAAGGAAGAGGTCGGGGAGGGGGGGGGGGATCTGGGGTCCTTTAAGAAGACCATTTTTGATCAGTTGTCGATGGTTGAGGCAGGCCGCGAACAAAATAACATAATACCATGAACGCCCAGCATATAATACAGGCATTCCAGATAAACCCCCCAAAGGATGGGAGGAGAGATGGAGGGAAAATCAAAAGGATCAATCGAAACATAAGATTAAAGGCGAATCGAGGCCGCAAAAGAAGGCAAAGTTACAAGAGCGAGTAGGGCCGGGGATGCCGGGGGTTGATCTTGATCCATCATTCGAGTATGAACGGTCATCTGCATTGGGAGGAAAAGGAGGTGGGCTTAGGCCATGTGGTGCGATTGGTGGAGACAGACCGTGTGAGCTTTGGTGGAAAGGGCAAGAGTCGAACTATGTTCCAATTGAGAAGAATATACATGTAGAATCATATTATCATGATAATCTAAATGGGATATTGTAATCCTAGTGACAATAGAGGAATGAAATCGAAACAAACCCACAAGTCTACTGCCAGTACCTAACATGACATCGTATCTAAGAGGCTGGCCAGAGGTCATGGAGGCAGTGTCAAACTCTGATGGCCCTAAGTCTTCACAGGATAAGCAAGAAGGTATAACGAAGAGAAGTAGGCCGAGTACTTCGTAGGTGGCCAGCCAGAAAGAGGCAGGGACGATAGAGGTCTGGGGGATTAAAAATGCAGATCACGAGCAAACTAATAATGAGAATTGAAAAAAAGAATGAAAAAAACTCAAATACGTAAAAACATAAAAATAAAAATGAATCAATGAATACATAAAATCAAATAAAGAAAGAAAGGAACGACGTTGTTATCTCTAATGATGGATAGTCTATCCGTACTGCAGTAGGAGACAGTTCCGGACCAATTCGCATTTCCGAGGATTCATTGAAAATAAAATAGTACCAGAATGAAAGGAAATACAATAATGACGAGATTGGTAAATAAAAAAATAAATGAATCACGATTGTTCTAAGAGCAGAGGCTCTGCGTACTAACCCTATCTGGGGTTCATCCACATTAGTTGGAGGCTATTCTGACCTACCTACCACTACGGTGTACTCGTTCCCAGTCACCGACCAAGATCGCGAAAGTGAGATTTGTACAAACGGTGAATGTCGTGGACTGTAAGCTATTGAACACGGAATACACTCCTAGAAACGAGCCCCAGTCCTAGAAGAGCCATGGGGTGGCATGCCAATTAGCACGTTGACGTTGAAAACCTTCCACTCTGAGACTAGTACTATCGTGGTGGGAAATGAAGATGAACATGTGTGGCAATGATCAGCAAGATTTATATACACTCTTCGAAAGGAAAAAAAAAAAAAAAAAAAAAAAAAAAAATCGAATCTCGCAGCTGCCTAGATTCAACGGTTGGGACATGAGATATTCAAGCTCACTTCGTTTTAGATCCGATCGTCGCACATTTGGGGGGCTGAGAATGCGGCACGGGCTTGCTCGCACTCGGATTTTTCCTGCTCTCTCTTGGTGTGGCGGGGGAGAGGCTGCATAAAAATAAGGTACTTCAGGTATTTTAGATCGGAGATTCCAACCTCACCCGGTAAAAACGGATACTACCTCCATCAGGAAATCCTTTGATCAGGAAATCCTTTGACCTGAGCAAGGCTTCATCTGTCTGGAAGTAGTCATCCCGGAGATCCGTCCACGGCCATACACGTCGCGGGCATGGACAGGGGGTACCTTATCTCTACCTACCTACCCAGGTACCTCCTCTGACGGTCTGTTTTGATGGGGTAACATATTGGGGATAATAAATAAGTGGACCTGAGCCCCGTCCGCTCTGAGCCAATAATCAAGGATCGATCGTGCCTTGGGCTAAGTCGTCGACTCCAGTCCGATGAATCCTTCCAACCATTCTTTCCCTGTAGTTGTTCCTAGAAAAGGTTAATTATGGATGATTTTTTACTTTTCCCCCTTTTCTTTCATGCAGGGGCAATGTTCGCTTAATTTAAACAAAGTCAAAAAAAAAAAAAAAAAAAAAAAAAAAAGAAAAAGACCCTTATCCATTCTATCCCATTCTCTTCCAATCCTTCCTTCCCTTCCCTGCTGGTCAGCTGGATAGTAGATACGTAAGGAATACAAGGATCTCCAATATCCAGACCCGCTTATTGGTTTTTTTGCCTTGAAACGAAGCGTATCACGACATCCGATCAAGCCCCCCCACGCGGATCGTGGATTTGCATATCCTGTCAATCTGACGATCCTCACTAAGGGCGCGCGGCAAGATGGGCATCTGCTCCGGTCGAAACTGGAATCAGTCTCGGTTTTAGTGCTTGTGTGGTTTAGGATCGTTGTTTGGATCTAGATTCCTTCTCCCTGCCTTTCTCTGTCTTTTCTCTTTCTTTTTTTCGACATCCTTGTTACTCCAGCCGGGGTTGGGGTGTGTACATTGCTATGGAAGGTACTACAACCTACCTATCAAGTGACTCCGTATGGGCATACCAGCGCATATAAGTCGACATGATTGGCTTGCCTCTCCAGCACGTGACCCACGGCTGCCATTTTCCGGCAGCTAAGGTTAGATACCTGAATCAAGCAATTCAACCAACGCGTCATATTATTATATCTCATCTCTTTTATCTACGTATTCCATCCCGCTTGTTAGGAGCTATTGCTATTATATATATGCCGTGTGATCATATAACAGGAGATACTTATTTGACGGAACTACAGACCAAGACTGAAAGGGAAAATAAAATAGATAAAATGAAGTGAAATGGAATGAAATGGAATAGAATGGAATGGAATGAAATGGAATAGAATGAAATGTAATGAATTGGAATCAAGTGGAATGAAACATAACATAATAAAGTTAGAGTTCAAAAAAAGACAAAAAAAAAAAAAGAAAAGAAAGGCAGAAAGAAGAAAAATCAATTACTATGTCCCCAGGGCAATTTTTACCCACTTCAGCAAGAGGACCAGAAGTTGCCAGCCCAACAGACAAGATAGGCTGGCGGAAGTTAGGATCACCGCGCAGCTTATTAAACAAAGGAACACAGCACCGGTTTCTTTTCTTTTAGGCGTTTCATAGCAGTTCTGCTGCCGCAAGCCCCGGTATCGACCGGGGTCCGTGGTACTTTTGCCATCGCACTGTTGTGCCTTACAAACCGGGACTGATGGTACTGACCTGTATGTGCGGCTTAGCACGAAGGCTTAGAGTTTGGACAATGCTTTGTCCATGGAATGGGATCCCGAGGGGGGCTTGGAGTCGACCTTTACATAGTACTCTAGAGTAGTATTATTGGATAGCAAGGCCCCGCCAACTCGCCAATTGGTGTTTTTGACTACATGGTCAAGATCAAAAGATATGTTAACGCTAGGGAAACTTCCTAAAGTACTCACGTAGGGTCCCCCCTCCCCCCACATCTCCCCTGTCACCAACCGCGCGGCTATCCCGATCTCACCCCGGGGGGCTCAGCGACAGCTCACTGCTAGGGACACTCAACGTGCACTATGACGACTTTTTTCGCCTCGCTCATGTCCTTCGCCATACTCGGTCACGGCGATGCTTTCACAGCACCCGTCTGAATCTCGCTAAAACACTCGTATGAATCCCTGCAACGCACTCACAAAGAATCTTCTACAACACCCGTGGTGAGAACTATGGCTATAATTAGATGATTTTATGGGTAGCAATCAATCGAGTAATGGTATAGATTTCCATACAGTAACTATTTAGACAGGCTAAAGAAAAATAGAGCTAAGATAATTCTCAGATGGTGTTATTATATCAAACATTGAAGTATTTTTCACCAACGGACATCCATTAAGTCTTGCCTGGATGGAACAAAACATATGTATACATATATATGTACATGATAGACAACAGAAAAAAAGCAAAATCCTTTCTTGAGATTGTAGGAAAAATACCTAAACATAGTGATGCACTCATATTTCATTTATAGACAAACTACAAGGGATTCTTCTGAGCCAATCGGCTTTCCGGTTCCACGAACCCGCGGTTCCCGGTGTGATACAGACGTCTATACTAGGCACCTGTAGGTAAGTAGGTAGGTAGTACTAACCTTGTAGGTAGTAGGTAAAGAAGACCGGGCGGAACCTCGGTACCAGGCTCCACATCTTACCCGAATGGCTACAGCTATCATTGGCTCGGGGTGGATCTAGTTTCCGCCCGGCACGCGGGAACAGTGGGACGCAAAGATAACTTAAGGTACACCGCGTCTTTTAGTCTAATCTTTAAGTGTATAGGGGATTGGCAAAGGTGGCGTTGACAGGATCAAATTCACGTTCTATAGAATCGTACAGTGCTGGGATAGGTGCCTTAACATCCAATAATACTCCAGTGTACTTGCTACAACGTTCGACTTGAAGCCTCCGGCCCCCATTCCATGAACAAGAAATTGTCTAGAATTTAGGTCGACACTGGTGCTTTTTTTTCTTTCGCCCTACGTGTTGCGCGGTGGTCCCGTGTAGATGTAAAGAGTAAAGATGTTGGTTGAGTCGGCTGCTTTCGCCAGTCTACCTAGTCTGTTAGGCTGGCAACTTGCCCTTCTTCTTGAAGTGGGCAAAAACTGCTCCGGAGGTATAGTAACTAATTTCCTATCCTTCTTTCTTTCTTTTCTATGAAAAATCCGCAGTTGAAGAGTCAAGGGAACATTTTGTGATTGTTCTAGGTCTTTATCCACTTTCTAAAATTTTCTTGGTCACCTGTTGCCCCTGTTTTTGTGTCTCTACTGCTATGAACATGTACTTCTTCTCTGGTTCTAGACTCCCATATCCTATTTAGTTAGTCACTGCCATGGTTTCGTCGGCCTAAATTGTTCATGCCTTTTTATAATCTATGTAATTCTACTTTGGCTACGCCCTGCTCTCGTTGTCTCCACTTTCAATTCTCTTGATAGTCCTGGATAATGGTTAGAGATATAGTTAGGTAGCCACATCATATCTGGTCGAGAAAATGGTATTTCCAAGACTAGAGAAAAAAGTCTTCATCCCTAGTCATTGATTTCAAGAGACTTATCTGGGAGCGTTTTGGCGCAAACCTACTACAGTGTGGTCAGAAAAATGGGAACAAAGTCCTCACTACTGAGTGTGGGGCTGTGGGTGATCATTTAAATTGATTGCGTACCTTGACGCCATTGCTTATTACTAATAGCTTGGATACCAGCCAGATTCCTTCTAGTAAATGGCGAAAATCATGATGTGACAGAAATATCGTTTCGGCCCTGTCCTTTGTTATTTAGGAAAGGTATAGTTAGTTCCATTCCTGTATATATTACACGATTTGCTGGGACTAAATTTATCTTACCTTACCTCCCTCAGGCTCCGGGCCACTAAACCGTATTCCCTAAAGAAGTTAGATCCGCCACTTTCGGAAAGGTGGCTGGATCCCAGCCTGTTCAAATATACAAAGCTTCCTCCTCTCCGGCTACTTTCAGTCCTCAGATCATTCTACCCCTCTTTCGTCTTCGTTTCATCGAGACGAAACTCCTGGATTTTGAATGATCTGACGCGTCGTATCATTATACTCGAATTGTGCAAACCAACCGGTGCCTATTCACAGTCGTAGAATGTTGATGGAGATCCAAAGCTCGTGATTATGTCGTCCCGTACAAATGTATATCAATTCCCTTTTAGCGTCGCCAATTGGGATGACTAGTTGACATTCTTTCAGAGCTCAGCAGAATATGACCCTGTCATGCCAAACGTTGAGCAGGTCACACGAGTCCTGCGCCGAAGCGAAAGAATATGGTATAGCGCTGTCCCAGACACAATAGAGCGAAATGTATTACCTGGTGCCTGCCGTGAACCTACGGCGATTCTAAAAAATGCACCGGCGATACCAGAGGGCTCACTTTTAGGTCAACATGGGCGGTTGAAGAAGGTTGTTGCCGACAATCAACTTACTGCATTGGGCTTCTCCAACTGGGCTATAACTGGATGCCGGCAGTGTGGGCTAGGCGGAACATTAAAAGATACCGAATGCTGCCCTATAATCCTCGGCATCAGAAAGGCTACCTCTTTCAAAGCTCAGACCCATAAGGACTGGCCTAGGAGAAGAACCATCACAGCTATTGCACTAGCTGTGTCTTATATCTTCTCCAAGCGACTGGTCGAATTACAGGGCCAAGGTGATGGCATCTCTCTTCGCCCCGGTCATCTCTATTATACAAACAATGTTGCTGCAGTGTCCCAAGCAGAAACGCCGCAATCTGCTACTTCTTGCACTAGCATATTTGTCGGCGAGGTTGAGGACGACGCTTGCAGGTGGTGGCAAGCTTTATTAGCAACGGGACAAGGCTGGAAAGCCGAGATTGCCGTTGACAGCGAAGGGAGCTTTCTGGCGCCTTGGGCTGTCCAGCTCGAAGATAATTTCACTTGCCTGGTTAGGTCAAGCCGAAAATCTTCCGAACAACACCGTTCTTCGCCGCCGTCTTCCATTCGCGCCATAGAATTTCTCCGCGACTTCTGTGTCCTTCACGATGCGCAGTCTGAGATGCCTATCGCCATGTCAATCGCGTTTATGCTACCTGCCAGTAACATTCATGGACTTCCAGTCAACCTTCAATGGCAACTAATCGACAACTCTCGGTTCCAATCGTCAGAAAACAACATCAACAAGTTACAATCATTCTGGGACAATATTGCACGTTATCTTTCTATATGCTGCCACCCTCGGGGAATGATTTCGAACCTCTGCGGGGGCTTTTGGGAGCCAGAAATCCCTTGCAACATGGTCCATGCCTGGCTGTATCCTCCTTGCAGACAGCTACCCGATATTCCAGGTATCTCTGGTTCAGCACATCTCTATCACGAGGCCTTGCTTAGAGTGTATGTGGCCCGTCGGCCAAACATGGGGTTTCTGTTCCTTGGCGCCTGTTTAACAGGGACTATCCCGCTTGTACTGCACTTTGTTAGAAGCGGGCTTCCTGTGCTAGATTTGGACGCAGCCGCCTGGGTGGGTTGTGAGCAGTCTTTCATTTAAAACGTTGGACCGCAAGTACCCGCTTCACCAGACTCTATGTTACGGTCAGATATCTGGCGGCTACTCTACATTACCGGCGAATATCCAAGTCCTCCTCTTACCCCATGGGAACCCTTTGGTGAGATGGAGCTGCAGAATATATCGCTGCCAGTCAGCCTGCACAAGAAATGCGCCGACCACTATTTGAGCTATCGCTTGTGGTCGTGGAGACTCGCGGATGATTCTACACTGGAAGACAAGGGCTTACATATCAGCAATCCTCCAGCGTGCCCAAGGACTTACATCGGCGAACAACAGACGCGGTTTCCGTCCGAAGCACTCTCTATGCCGGATAGTGCGTCTGAGAACGCCACGAGGCTTATATTCCAGTGGGTGACCGTTAATGGAGATGGCTTTCCCCCCAGTGAACGTAATATTTACAACCATGAGTGGGTGAACGCCGGAGATGACTTCTCGGAATACTTCACTCCCGATGGTTCTGAGTCTGGGGACGACACAAGTCCCAAACCGTCTTCTCGCCAACTCACTGCAGATTGGCTCATGCGTTCATAGTTCACTTCCACCTGTAAAACCCGCCAGGCTCCGTTTTCTCGGGGCCTCCGCCCGGCTTGCATGATTAGCATTCCTGGCAGATGATATACCGTTGATGTGCCCGTGATTGACATGATTTCCACCTGTTCCGTTTTCCACATGATTGACATTTCCAATAACTGTGTTCATTATTGAAATGACCACAGGCTCTGCAGCTGCCTGGTCTTCCAGAGCTGTGCATCAATGTGGCTTTGCTTTTTTCCTTGTGCCAGCAACGCCTGTGGTTTCACACGACATGTGAGAGGACTTACAACGCACAGGACTGGATTTGTCTGACAGTCTCGTTGTTACAATCAATGTAATAGGAGATGGGACTTTTTCTTAGACAAATGTGCAGTTGCCTCCATCGTACTGATAGGGGGGCAAGGCCCATTAAGTATTTCGCCGGACGCAACGCTGCGGATACTATATACTATTTAGATAACATCCTTACTATTAAGCGGTTCCCTGTGAAGGAGCTGATAGGATGAAGTACTGGCAATTAGCGCCCAGGTCACATCGGGCGGGGAGAGGACCGTGCCGCCAATAAAGGACCATAGAGAATGGGGTCCCGGTGATCAAAGCGGTCAAGCAATATGCTCTGAGGTAGATAAGGTAGGTAGTATTCGTCCCAGCCGGCGACTGCAGCATTCCAGTGAAAAGTCCGACCACAGAAACTCGTGGCACGAGCGCTTAAAGGAGTAGCCCCACGAGATCTAACTACCAGTCTCTCAAGGCTCCAATGAAAGTTTAGTGCCTTTGTCGGGGCCTCTTTCTGACCCATTCCTCCCGTTCGAATTGAGCGAGTCGAAAGACAAAGCAACCGCAGAACAGAAGAGAGATCGAACAAAATCAACTTGTAAGCATGTCGTTATCATCTGGTGAAGCAGGAGGCCGGCTATGCGAAAATATGCAGTTGTAAAACAGCCGCCAACAAGTCAGGGGCGATCATGCAGGCACGTCGTCTATCTCAGCCTTACCAGTCATCCACCACTCTCAATATGATCCCGTTAGATAGGGGTGAGAATGCCCAAGGTAGGGTAACGCGCTGGCAGACAAAAAGTACGCCAGAGCAATACAGTAATTGGATTAATTGGATTATCACCATGAATGCTGATTCTATGACTGGTATATAGAGGCAGAAAGATCACTCTCAAATTCGGGAGATTACGGAGTAGTTCGCGGGGAAATAAGCGCCAGGCTATGATATGCTTACTAGCCTTCCCCATTAGTGAGTGGACTAGCCCGGGGAAGTCAGGCATGACCGGATGACGATACTAGTTGCCGCCAGGAAGGACTCCACTTCCCCGGCCTCTCACTGCGCGCAAAATACCAATCATCCTACGCCAACAGCAACCCGTCAGCTTGATTCGAAAACATTTCTCCCTTCGTCAAATACCATGTTACTCACCGCCACAGTCCCTCCCTCAGAACATCCTCATGGTGCGCGTGAACCAGCCGGAACCACCCCGGATGCTTATTATGTTCCTCACCCGGGTGGAGGAACACCCCAGCGTCGAGCAACTTCTGGGCCAGGGCAAACTCCCGCTCCTGATCCGAGCCCTTCCCCGTCGGAAGGTACGGTGACAGGTCGATGTAGACGAAGAACCCTGCGTTTCTGAGGCGTAGCGTCAGTGGAAGGGCGAGAAACGGGCAACGGGGCGGTGACTTACACTCCCTTGACGTAGTTGATACCCTCCTGGTTGAGCGTGGCGGTGACGATGGCGTACGTGGATGCTAGATGCTGCTGCGATTTTGCTGTGAATTGGGCGACGAAGTCTGTGTCTTCGAGGATGGCGGTGCCGATGGTTACTGCTGCTGCGGAGGGATTGTGGAGTCTCCTGTTGTTGTGGATTAGGTTGGGATTCTGAAGGGAGAAGGGGGTCCTAACATGACTGCCTTGCAAACCCGGTGGATGGCTTCGTTTCGAGTGACCAAGAAACCCAGGTGGAGGCCCCCCGAGGCAAAATCCTACAGATGCGCCAATGAGAACGGCTCTGCACACGGCTACTTTTTTGTAGAGCTTACTTTACTGAACCCATACAGTACATGCACCAAGTCAGGGTCAATCAGCGCCGGGATATCCAGCGCCAGCACCGACGTAAACGGCACGGCGGCAGGGTCCTCCGTCGGAAAGACACAAGACGCATAGATCTCATCGGCAATGACATGGAGCCGGTGTTTACTGCAGAACCGCAGCACAGCTTCCAGCGTCTCAGCCGGGTAGCACCGCCCTGAACCAGTCAGCAGTGCAGTCCCGAAGCAGTTAACCGACGGAGATCCGACTCACCGACAGGATTGTGCGGATTGACAAGCACGATCGCCCGGACAGTCACGCCTCGCTGCTGCGCTTCATGAAGAGCGGCCTCGTACCGGTCCACGACAGCAGGCGTAAACGCCTCTTCGGGGCCCGAGTCTGCATACACGATCTGCACGCCTGCCTCGATGCCGTAGTCGAGCTCGAACCGGCCGTAGACCGGCCTGCTCACCAGGATCCCGTCCGAGGGCTCGGCCAGCGCGAATCCGAGGACTCCACTCAGGGCTGTGGCGCTGCAGGCGACGATGACGTCTTCGGGCTCAATATGTGCCTTGGGGGCGAGGATGCGGTTCAGGTGCGCTGCGAGTGCCCTTGGGAGACGGCTAGCCCATGTAGAGTTGGAGCGGTAGCCGATGGAGTCTTCTGTGAAGACGACCTAGATGATTTGGTCATTTAGATATGGGAGACTCTTTCGTAGTAAATGCAGTCGGTGTGGTGGACCTTGTTGTTGATGAAGTTTACCATGTCGGCACGGAGGGGTAGCTGGGACGTGTTAGTATTATTTTTTCTTGTTTACTCCCATGCTTTGTCTTTCCTCTGGATATAGAGCGAAATTATAAGAAAATAGCTGAACTTTGCCATAGTTCTAGACATACATGCTCGGCCATCCCAAACGATATAAGTCCCGCGGGGTTAGACGCAGCATCATAAGTATGAGTTGGCGCATACCGCCACGCAAGGTCAAGTTGAGCTGCGCTGCGAGCGCCGCGAGAAGAGAGCATATTGAATTGAGCGAGTTTAATCAATTCCTTGGACAAATGAATATTTTGATATATAGTCGAGAGTATGGAAGAAACAAACAGAACAGAGGACGTGAGGATGGATGTAAGAAAGATGACTTGATAAGCGCGCGGTTTTCCCCACCGGAAGGTTGGTTGGCGAACTACTAATCATTTCATTCGAGGACCTTGGATGTCTGTAGATCTTCCGTCTCTTTCTTGACTCCAAGGTCGTTGTATCACGTCATAGTATGAGTAAAGTATTGTCTTCAATGGTATCATTGTAGTGCTAATATACAAGTTGCGGAGTCTAGATCTTTTTTAATTCCAACCAAGAAAAAAACACCAGTCGCTATGCTAATATTATACACGGGAAATCCCCCCATAGGATCAAGCATCATGCCTGAGCCGATTCAACGTCTTCTAAACTTTAGCGTCCGCAGACTGATGAGCCCGCTTCAGCTGTCCGACGTTCTGTCGCCGCCGGGCACCTATCTTGCGCTTGTCAGCAGCCTGCTTCTGCGCAATCAAATTCCAGCACTCAATCGGTGCCCGCGCCCCAATATGTCGCCCATAAGGGGTGAACACTTCCACTTGCGGCGTGGACTCCGAAGACTCGGCACCGTCCTTGTCGTTGCGCTTGGCACGGGTCTGCACAGTGATTTCAACCCAGCCGCACCCCTCGATGAGGATATCCGTCGAGAAGACGCGGTACGGGAGAGATGGCATACGCGTCCTTTTGTCCTCGATGGCCTTCGCCAGAGTCGTAGGGAGGTGGGACTTGGTCACGTCGTGTTTCAGATCGAACACTCCGGCGGAGGAGATGTTTTCGCCGATACCATCGTTCGCAATCACCGTCCCCGGGTATGCCCGCTGCTGGGCCTGCATCTCGATTGCCTTCTCGGTCTTGGTGATGTGGACCTCCATTGGGACGAAGCAAGCTGCCATGACGGTGTGCTCCGGGTTGGTAGATGTGATTCTCACGAGGCCTCCCCCGAGAAGTAACGATTGACCCGGTTTGACGCTGTGGCGCTCAGGCTTCTTGCGCTTCGTCATGATCAGGTCCCGCTTGTACTCGTCGCGGACGTGCTCTGCTAGCTCGCTTCGGTCCAAGCCCGGTAAATCGATCATTTCCCCTCGCCCGCGCCCGAATGGAATCCGGATCGGCGAGACTGTGGTTCCTGATAGAGATGACACAACGGGGAGAACAGGGAAGAGGTCCTCCCGAGGGACCGGTGGGAGAAGACCATCGGAATCAAGTGGATCTGGCGTATTGGGAATCCTCGAATCCATCCCACGGCGCTCGACCAGCTCGGCGATCTTTTCGAGGTTCTTCGAATCTTTCGGGAAGCAAGCCTCAATGAAGCTACTCTTCCCGACGTTGGCTTTCCCAATCACCCAGACACCACCACCGTGCTCCCTAATCTCATCCTTCACCTGCTTATTCCACCAGCCGCGCTGCGCGCTTATCATGTGCAGATTGCCCAGGCGGAAATCATCAGACGGTATATCCAGAATCTCGCGAATCATCGTGCGCATGTACTGCATTTTCGAGTCCACCTGCTCCTTGGTGGCACCCAACAGATCTGACCGCGTTATGACAAAGCTGATAGTCGGGAGCAGTTTCCCTCGTTTGTATTTATAGCTAGCCGCTCGCCGATTCTGCGACCGCTGGTCCTTAACGCCGAGCACTTCGTGTATGTTGTCGACCAGGGACATGGGAAAATCAGCGGCGTCAACGACGTGGTACACGCGGTTGTGTTTGTGGGGTGACTCGTCGAGGAAATCCCGGAGCGTCTCGAGAGAAGGAGACACAGCAGGGACAGCTTTATTGTGGTGAACGAGGTCGTGGCATCTGTCGCAGATATGTACCGTGGGTCTTGATTTCTCGAGATACCGATTCGCCGTAGCCGTCGCCTCTTCGAGTAGAGCCTTGTCTATATGTAACGAATTAGCATTTGGTCAGCGCGCAATGGTAACAACAACAAACTTACTTCGAGGATCGGGCTTCGGTGTATCCCTCTGATCGCGAACAATCCTCTGAATCGTATCCGCCGCCCTCTCCCCATCAGCCTTCAGTGTTGTCGCGTCTTCTCCGTCCGGCGTGGCCTCGGCCTCCGACAGAGGTTTTCGCGTCTGCTTCCCCTTCCCCAATCGACCATAGTATCCAGGCTCATTCGGTTCGACGATTTGCGAGTAGGCACCGCATCCTGGACAGCACACCGGCAGCAATTCTTCAATGCTCGTCACCGGGTTCTCATGCGCGGTGGCAGCCGTAGACAAAACGCGGTGCGGAATTCTGCTGGTTCGGCTCGGGAAGTTGATCGAGCGCAACACTGGCGCCGACGGCAGAATTTGCTGCCACGGTTTGGCGAGCGCTCGCGAATGGTACAGACATCGCGGTCGAGCCTGCTTTAATCTAGGGACTCTTGGGAGTACGCGCCCAAGCGACGACAACATGACTGCAAATTTTTGCGGATGGTTGAAGAGGAACGGAGCTCCGGGCGGAGAATGCGGCCGATAGCGTTGATAAGCGGGTTTTGGTGGCGAACTACTCCATACCCATTAAGGTATTTTCAGTTCAAACTGCTAGAACCAAATACAAAGGTAACTACAAGTTCTATTCAGTTTACGAAGGATTTATTTGGTTTGCTTCAAAATATTGACATGTTATGCGAGATATATTAATTTTCGTAAAGTTGAAGAAGAGGAAAAAAATAAATACATGAACGCTCCAAACCCAAATTTTAACAATGCAGTACAAGGATATAGCAATTTAGTCGACAGATTGAACGCTTTTCCGATCAAGCCTTTGCCTTTCCTTTGCCCTTAGGATCAGCTTCGTCCTCCTCCTCTTCAGAGTCACTCATAAACTCGTCATCATCATCAAACCCAATGAACTTCCGCGGCGCCGCAGGTCCACGAGCAGGCTCCGACGGCCCCGCGTCCGCCATCCCTTTATCCTCATCGCTTTCTTCCTCAGAGCTGAGCGGACTGTCCTGACCACTGCCCTCACTGGCACTCGCGCTGGTGCTCGACCCACCAACAACAGCATCCCGGAGGTTATCCGTCCAAGCGCCGTCCTCCATAGCCTTCAGAACAGCCTCTCGCGCGCGCTCATTAACCTCCTCCCGATCCTCCATCCACTGACCATCGACCTTCCGCCGCTCGCCGCCATTCTTCAGCTCTTCCTGTCGCTTTTCGGACGCGTCCACAACAGCCTGCCAGCGACGCCGGCGCTCCTCCTTCTCCTTCTTATCCATCTCCGGCTTCACGGCGAGGTACTCGGCTAGCGCCTTCGCTTCGTTTACGGTGCGGATCCGACGCCCGTCGAGGTTGCGGCTGGATCCGTTGTCGTCGCCTTGGTTGCCCTTGCGCTTGCTTGACATGCGCCCGCCGGCTGCGCGGAGCTGCGAGCCGAAACCACCTTTTCCTCCACATGTGGGTACGGATAGGCGGAGGGGGAGGAGGTTTGATTGGGGGGTTGTTTCGCCATTGCTGGTGGGGAGATAGGAGAGGAGGCGCTCTGAGGAGGGGATGAGTTGCTTGTTGTTGGTTGTGGTAAGGATGAGGGACCGGAGTGGGATGGATGCCGGGATGTAGGATGAGATCTTCTCGGTGAGATCGATGAGTGTCGACGTCGGTGGGAGGGAGAATGAGACGGTTGAGGGGAGCGAGAGGCCAGGGAAAGACGAGAGGAGGATGTTGATGTTTTGGGACGTCATGGTTGCGGTGGCAGGTTCACCTGTTTCGATCGATATGGTCGGTTTTTTGAGTTTGCGCTATGAGGGTAGGTAAAGTTCCAGGTAAGGCCCTGTATGTTATGGTGATGTGGTTCGTAGAACAGATCTGGTGATGAGTTGAGATCAAGAGAGAGAGATGTGGAGGTTGGCGATAAGAGAATGACTAAGTGCAGCCACTCAGTGCCTCAGGCTGTAGTCCACGTGATGTAGCTTCAAGTCACATGATTTCAGATACAGATCAGGTTAGATCCACTTAGGGTCCAGCCCTAGCTAGCGCTTCCCAAAGAGGAATCAGCGCACTTTTCGGCTGGCGCTCCACTCCAGCACTTCTTATCTTCAACCACATCTCTTCGCGTTGTTAGAGCGATTCCCCGAAGAGCACCAGGAACTCGCAACAATGTGAGCATACCCCTCTAATCGCGGGCCAGAATGGCTCAATTCCTCGAATATGATCGCTGACTTTACGCCAGGCTTATCCCCAAGGACGACCGCAAGAAGATCCACGAGTACCTCTTCCGCGGTATGTCGCCGACGCCAGCCCCTACCTGAAATTTTGGATGGAATTCGACGGTGTGCGATCGGTTTCGCTGACTAGGAATGAATAGAGGGTGTGCTCGTGGCCAAGAAGGACTTCAACCAGCCCAAGCATGGCGACATTGACACCAAGAACCTCTACGTGATCAAGGCCTGCCAGTCCCTGACCTCGCGCGGTTACCTCAAGACCCAGTTCTCGTGGCAGTACTACTACTACACCCTCACCCCCGAGGTATGCTTTATCCTTTTCTACACCGAGATCGCTCGGAGAGTATCAGAATAAAGTCTGACTGAAATACTTGCAGGGTCTGGACTACCTGCGCGAGTGGCTGCACCTCCCCGCCGAGGTCGTCCCCGCCACCCACATCAAGCAGCAGCGCTCGCACGCTCCCCCCCGCGGCATGATGGGCGGTGAGGAGCGTGAGCGCCGTCCCCGCGCTCCCCGTGAGGGTGGCTACCGCCGCCGCGAGGAGGGTGGCAAGGAGGGCGGTGCCCCCGGCGAGTTCGCCCCCAGCTTCCGCGGTGGCTTCGGCCGTGGCCGTGGCGCTCCCCCTTCTTAAGTGGGGTTGCTCAGTTATGAGGGACTTCGATGGGTTGCTTGCAGGTTGCGGCTTGACTAGGCTTTGCTGAAAGAGTCGTTGTGGCTTGCTTGCTCGTCCGATCAAAAAAAATAAGAAAAATAGAATATGGGGATAATGTTTGTGCATTGGGGCTGTTCTTGATGGTTGATGGATTAGCTAGGTCAATGCCATGATTATTATGATCCACTACTTGGTTTATGCGTAGATGTTGTGTATCTACTTGTTAGGCAGTATGTCTTATGGGTAAGTCATCGTTAATTGACTATACGGTATATATCCCCTCACGCAGAGAACCTCTTCCTGTCATACCGGACGACCGCTTGCAAAATAATAGACGTCCCAGTAGCACAGTCCTCGGCAGAGCAAAACTCCTCCGGATGATGACTGAGCCCATCCTTACAAGGCACAAAGATCATACTAGTCGGGACCCTCTTCGAGGTAAACACGCTATCATGGCCCGCACCACTCATCATCTCACGCACAAGCGACTTCGGCTCCGACGAGCCCGCGTCCGCGACGACCGCCTCGGCCGACTGCTGCACGCAGTCGATACAGTCCGGGTGGAACTGCACCAGCGGCGAGTCGAAATCGAGCGTCCACTCCACGCGGCACGGCTTGCCGATGCCCCTGCCTTCTTCGGCGGCGATGGCGTCGAAGTCTTTCTTCAGCGCGGCTTCAACAACGGCGACTAACTCGTCTTTGGGCCCGCGGATGTCGAGCGTGAAGCTTACCTCACCGGGGACGGTGTTCACGCTGCCGGGCTTGGTCTCCACGATGCCGACGCTAGCGAGACAGCCGTGGGAGGAGGCGACTTCGCGCGCGCGCACCATCATCCGCGAGAAGGCGTAGAGTGCGTCGGCGCGGTGCTCGAAGGCTGTTGTTCCTGTGTGGGTGTCTCGCCCGATGACGTTCACGTGGTACCAGCGGTAGGCTTGCACTGCTGTGACGACGCCGGCGCGCTGGCCGGAGGAGACGAGGTGCGGGCCTTGTTCAATGTGTAGCTCGAAGTGGGCGGCCATGGGGGTCTCTTTGTAGGAGCACGGCGTGGTGCCGAGGTAATTTATCTTCTCCAGGGCGGACTTCATCGTCTCGGGCGCGGATGATGCGGTGGGGAGGGAGGCCACGGTGGGGACTTCTTTCAGGCTGTGGGCTTTCTCAAGAGGGATGTATTCTGCCCATACGCCGGAGGCGATCATGCTGATTGGGAAGCGGGCGCCTTCTTCGCTACATATTGTTAGTCTGAGGGGATCTCCCAATGTGAAGAGAAGAGGCTTACTTGGTCCAGTTGACCACGCCAACACCACCTTCGGTTTCCAGGCCCATCTCATCCAGCGCCTTGAGGGTTTCAATGCCGGACAAGACGCCCAGGATGCCGTCGTACCGGCCGCCTGTTGGCTGCGTGTCGAGATGGCTGCCGATGAAGGTCGCGGGAACGTCCTTTCTCCGTCCGGGACGGACAGCGAAGATGTTGCCCATCTGGTCTACTGTGACGGTGCATCCTAGGGCTTTTGTCGTCTCGATAAACCAGTCTCGCACTTTCTTGTCATCCTCGGACAGAGCCAGACGCTGCATCCCGGTGTCTGACGATCCACTGAGCAGTGTTAGTTATGGGGCCAGCGACATAGTATAAGAGAGTCTTGTATACAGAAACGACCCTCATTTATGACCACACAGGGTCATCTTCCACGAGGGACCACCACCATGCTAGGAAACAGATGAAATATATACTTACTCTCCCCAGCGGATCCCAGAACCCCACTGACAACTATGATGCAGGTCCTGTGCAAGCCGGTCCTTGTTAGCCCGCAGGGCAGAGACCTGGGTCTCGGACAACTCGGTGGTCAACATGTCTTGTTTGGAGGTAACTGAGAAATATCTATGTGATTTAACAAGGCGTTTTCCACAGGACAGTGCTGTTGGGCGCGAGGACAACCTGACTAGTGGAATAGCAGTGAATCTATGATATAGAGCAGACGACATTCTGTTTACGAGCGAGCTTACGAGCGAGCAGGAGGGGGTTAATAAATGGCTGGTCCGGTCGTTGGAGACGGGAGATAACGTGCAGACGATAAGATGAATCGAGTGGGGTTAATCCATGACTCCATAGCCACGGGATTCGGCAATTTGATCGAATGACAAACTAGGGGAATGTCAGGTTGAGGCTAGAAGGATGTTGATTTGGGTTGGCTGGATTGGCCTTGCTGTATCTCCAACTCGGATATTGGAGTAGTGGATGAAGCACTGGTTCTATATAGCACCGCTGTATAGGAAGTCCGATGCCATCAGAGTACAATTGACCTATATCTTCAAGGAATACATCACTTGAGGGACTCCATCAAAAGGAATATAACCGATGAGCCGTATCAGTATCCCCGGTGCGGAGTATTCGGAGGATGTAGCGGACTAAAGTCCGCGGACACTATGGAGTAAAGAGTTGGAGATAAGAGGGGTCAGGTGGTTTAATGACACACGGCCCTCCCTCTATTGACACGCACCCCAGCTGTCGTATTCCCTTCAAACTAGACAAAAAAGGCCCAAAAAAAGAAGTATCTGATAAGAAGATATTATAAAGTGAAAGAAAGAAAAAAAAAAATAGCAATAAAATCGACAACTGTGTCGATGGAGAGTTCCAAAGATTCAGGAGACGAGTGATGTGCGCGTACCACGGCCATCTCTGGTAAAAGGCAAGAAATGGGTTCTGAACTAGTACGTCGCACTCGTCACTTTTTGGGGGCCTATTGTGGTATTTAACCCTGCTCTGTTACTACAAAGGCTCCGGGTTCGAGTCCGGGCGGCACCGTTTTATTTTATTTCTTTCTTTTCCTTCGACCCGTTCCGCCCTCAACCGACAACCCCGCCCGCATTCAAGCTGCAAACGAACCTCCTCAGTTCATCCACTGTTACCTACATTAGCTTCCTACCTTACTATAATCATCTCCACCGTAACACGCCGTATCTGTCCATAATGGCTGCCTGTATCTTCTGCAGAATCATCAAGGGTAACCCTACACTGCACTTCCCTGGTCAAACTCCTTGTTTACACCGGAGATCTACCATCGACATGCGCAAACAAACAAAGAACGTCGCTAAATAGTCCCCCCCAACAGGTGAAATCCCCTCCTTCAAGCTCTTCGAGAGCGACAAGGTCTTTGCCTTCCTCGATATCCAGCCTCTGAGCCGTGGCCACGCGGTGAGTTTTGTCTTCTTCTTCTCTGTCGTTCGAGCCGTTTGTTATGACGCAACGCCCCGCATCACCCCGCGGCGTGTCTGCTTGATGGAACTATCCAACTCTTCCGTTTGCGCGCGTATAAATTTTTGATATCTTTCTGGAGCTGGTCGCTAACGATATGACGCGCCATGGTCAATATAAAAATATAGCTTGTGATCCCCAAGTTCCACGGCGCAAAGCTCACTGATATCCCCGATGAGGACCTGCAAGAGATCTTGGTACGTGGTGTTGAATATAGCTGCGGGTATCGATATACCTCCGCCTCGGAGGTGGAATACTGTCTATCTTTTATAAGGATGGACCGAATGCGAGGAGGACCTTGGGGAAGGGCACAGGCACCTGATTCGATTCGATTCCCCGCAGCTACACCCCCAACCTAACCCAACCCAGCATAACAAGCTCACAGTATTAACTTCTCACGAAAAATATAGCCCGTCGCGAAGAAAATCGCCAAAGCCACCGGCGCAGAGGACTACAACATCCTGCAGAACAACGGCCGTATCGCCCACCAGGTGGTCGACCATGTAAGCCTTTCCCTCTCTCCCTCCATTCCCCAAACCAACCCAAATCACAACCAAAACAAAACACAACGCTAACATAACGACTCAGGTCCACTTCCACATGGTACGTACTCATCAATTCCCAAATATAGTCCATCCCAAACCGCAACGCAACACAATACTAACATTAGGAAAGATCCCCAAGCCCAACGAGCCCGAGGGTCTCGGTATCGGATGGCCTTCTCAGGCGTCTGATATGGATAAGCTCAAGGCTTTGCATGAGGAGGTTAAGGCGAAGATGTAAAGTAGATACTATACTTACCGTCTTAGCTTAGTTAGGCAGTGTCTGGGTGAATGGAGGACTGGGGGTGTTTGTGCTGCTGCCCTATATATATATTTATCAATATTGGGGTTGATGTGGTTTTTCATGTGGCTGTAGTAGCTCCTGGCGTAAGTGCGGATGAGAGGTTAGCATTATGTGTAAGTCATACGCCGTAGTTGAAAATGAGACATCATAGGATGGGGAAATATACAGTGATGCAGTCATCAATGTAAGTACATAACGTAGCAAAATAAAGGGCAATTTACTACTATGCAACACACCCCATAATATATAATAGTCAACTGGAATAAAATAAGCTAATATGCAATCTAAAGGACCTATATACCAGAGATGAAGACACAGTCCATTCATGATAGTGTAATCCGACGCCGCAGACACAAAACCCCATCAATCAATCAATCAACCACGTCTAGTCCAAGCTTTATACACATGTTATAGAGGCTATGCAAACAGTTTCACGACCATGTCTATGAGCCGAAATATAACGATCGAATCGATCGAGTCCAAACGGAGACCAAATCAAACCGACTATGCGCTGTTCTTCGAAGAAGGGTTCTTAGCCTCCTCAGGGTAAAAGTTGACCTTTCCGCCGCCCTGAATAATATTCACTCTGTCGTAGAGGGAAGTAGCGCGGATATAAGGGTCAAGCTCCCAGTACTGGGCGCGCAGTCGGTCGATAAGACCAGCCCGCTTCTCGACAGCGGCCTTGGTGGCTTCCTGGTCCTTCTTCCGGGAGGCGATGAGCCACCCGACGGTGGCCGCTTCGATGTCCTTGGCTAGCTCCTGGCGCTCGGCGATCATGGCGTCCCGCTTGGCGCTGTCTTCCATGTGCTTGTTCTCGTCGGGCTTGACCTCCACGTACTTGTATTCCCAGTCTTCTTTGCCTTCGAGCTCGGTCCAGATTTGGTCCTTGTTGATGAATTTCTCGAGGTCTTGGTAAGATTTGGTGAAGTGCACTTTGGAGGCGACGACCGGGTCGAGCCAGCCTTTGATGATGTTCCAGACTCCTGGACGGTGGGTTAGATTTGGTTGGCGATATATTGAGAGAGGGGAAACTAACCTGAGAAGATCCATGGGGCTTTGTGGATTAGAACGACGCCGAGAGATTCGGGGTAGTTGGCCTCGAAGCACTTGATCATGAAGTTGACGGGGTGGTAATCCTACGATACTGTTAGCAAAAGAAAATACAATATTGTCCGACGGATGTACATACCATGTTCGCCAGAGAAAAATTGGACATATCAAAAACAATGCACTATTGCGATCGGTCAGTGTCTATCCTTCAACCCTGCCAGGTAAGAGTAAGAGAACGTACGGCAGTTTCAACCGGGGGCACAAGCATCATGCGGGCGGTCTCAATGGTATACACGGTAAACCGATCCAGAGACTCGGCGCTCTGCTCGTTGGCCCTATGTAGGCGTACTCGGACGGTACAGATCGGCCGACCTTGCTTGTCGACTCCGTGAAGGAAACTCTTTCCCAAGCGCATTTGCGTGAGGAAATCCTCGCCCTTCTTCCTCTCGGCGGCGTCGGCGCTCTTGGTCTGGTCATAGGCCAGCTGCTCGCCGCCCCTCATGATATCGTCGTCCACCTTGACATCATGGAGTCTCCACCGGATGGTCGAGATGAACATGATCAACGCCTTGTGGACGTCCCACTTGCGCGCGCGCAGGAAGCGCAGGAGTAGCGAGTCGGGGTTGTCCTGCTTCACCATGTTCCAGACCGTGACGCGGATCTCCTCGGGAGTCATGTCCTCCAGGGCCTGCTGGAATTCCTTGGACTGACCGTGCTTGTCGTCCCCATCGAGGTTGATGCCGGAAAGACCGGATGAGATTCCCTTGCCGGATTTGACGCTGGCGGAATCACTGGCATCCTCGTCCTTCCCACCCCAAAGCGTCCACCGGCGTTTCGGCTGTTGAGACGAGCCGGGTTGGGAGCCGGGTCGGGAGCCGGGGGCTTCCGCCGCTTCAAGGCCATCCAGCTTGATGCCGCAGACCTTGCACAGCAAGATCCAAAGCTCTTGCAGTTTGGCCTCCTGCTCGGGGGTGAGGTTCCCCACGGTACCCGGTGCTGCCTCTGCGTTCGTCATACCTTTGAACGTATCGAGGACACCAAGGAAAGATTCTTCGGAGGGTTGGGAATCAGACGGAACGTCGTCGTTCTGCGGAAGCGAATCGACTCGGGGATTACGGTATTTATCGTGAAGCCAGGATCCTCCACAGATTAGGAGTAAAGTGAATGTAACCGTCCAGAAAGATGAAGCCTCCCTCGGTTCTTTCAATGAAGGAAAAGTGGAGAGGGAACGCGCAGGTGGGTAAGACAGGGCCAGATGGGCTGGGCTAGGATGCAACGGACGGGAGACCTGCACACGAACAGGATGGCGCAGCCGCTGGGTCGGGAATTGAAAGGTAGATTTGGCCGAGGAATGTGCGAGACGGCGGCTTAAAGGCGAGCACACATGCATGTGCTCAATTCGGTAAAGAAGCGAATGACCACAAGGTTTATCAAGATTAAAACGATCCAGTACCTCGTCTGGGGCGAAGGGGGGAAAGAGGCTGTTCTGAATTAATTGATGGGAGGTGTCAGCCACTGATGATAGACACGACGGTGGATGTCGATCTGGCCTCTGAAAAGGTTTAACTCCGGGGAGGGGCGTTGGGTGCGGGGAAGAGAAGGAGAACTCGAGGGAGCGAAAGGGATCCAATGAGGTTTATCAGGAGTGATGGCGATGGCGATGGCGATGGCGGTGTTTTTCTATCTTTCTGGTAATGCCACCACGGGGGTTTGCCTCTGTAAGCGGACAGACCAACCAGGAATCCAGACCAGTACATTTAGGGTACCTCGGATCTGCTGCGGTTCCACCTATCTGGCTCGGTAACTTCCAGGTATCTTTCTGGTACCTGTCATTACAGCCTGAGGCACAGACAGTCCTTCCGGCCACGCACTTGTCCCGTGTTTGCATCAATACCACTAACTCAATAACACTAACACTAAACCTCAAAACACCGAGTTAACCTTCCAGTTCCCACAGACAGAACCCCACGGGGGATCAAGCGGCGCCTCGAAAACTCTAAGCTCGTTGCATGGTTATGACCAAGGACAGACTATATTGACGTCAATCAAAACGGTTTCAGCCACCCACATTCCCAAACGCTCGTGCCTCCCGATCCTGCACTGCCGGCCCACCACATCATAATGGACGCCTCTGTCTCTGCCCCTCGATCCGCCTCTCGCCCCCGTCCGTCCTCGCGGCCCACAACCCCTCTACGACCCAGCTCGCGGTCATCGTTTCGCGACGCCCATGGCTACGGAGGCAGTATCGGCCACACGGGCTATTCCGAGCCGGCCATCAATGTGCTGGAACCGCAGTTTGCGGAGCTCGCAGACTCCATGGCAGACCTGGAGGCCAACTTCATGCACCTCCAGCTAATGCATGAGAGTCTGACGCGCTTCAGCGAGAGCTTTGCGAGTTTCCTCTACGGGATGAATATGAACGCGTTCTGTGTGGACTTTCCAAACGTATGATCACCCCAGGCTGGACGAGAGCCAAAAGGGATCTTTCCATACTGATTGAGGACTGTAGGCTCCCATTCCCGAGTCGTTCCGGAGAGCGAAACTAGCAGAGGCACAGAAAGGTAGGATTTTCTCGATCCTCAATGACGAATTAGGACGGAGGTGCTGACAAGTCCGCAGAGGCCGAAGCCGAAGCCGAGTCGCAGGCTCCCCCCGAAGAGACGTTTTTGTAAGTCCCAGCCCATTTCTCCAGGTTCGACCCTCACGCTGACCCGTGGCATTGGATTCAGAACCACCGACACCTCCGGCTTCGTCGAACACCCATCCACCACAATCTCGACCAAACCTACCCCCCGATCGACCGGTTACTCGCGCGGGACCACCCGAGGGTCCTCGACACGCGGTGGGCGCTATACCACTCGAGGCTCCAACCGAGCGCGCCCGAGCGCACTGCCTCGGGGGAGAGGTATTCGATGAGCGATATGGCCTTGTCATACAATCACCGCTGTGGCTGGACGCGTGGCTGGACACTGGGGTATTTGGTGGATTATGGGTACAATCGCAAATGCAGGGGACTGCGGGTTACACCAGCGTGTGCAGATAATTCCAAGTCATCGCACGACACGACCCTCCAGCCCAGCATTCCAATTTCAAGGACAGCGGCAATGTGGTACATCGCCTGAAAGACCTGGGGATGTGGAAAGCTTCATCCCGGTCGCACCTCTTGATTGGGTGACTACGAAGGGGCTATTTATGACCGATATGGACGATTCTAGTTATGATCAATGTTTATTTCTGATGCTTGTATGAGGAGTCTATGATGGGTAGTCTACGTGTGCAGTTGGAAAGCAATACTGTAAACTATACTACAGCACTAGAGAGAGCATCAAGTGAGTACAGTAAAATCTGGGCAATATTCCATATATTCAGTCATCGACACATCTATATGTCATACATCCATTCTGTATATGTACGTTGTCCGTCGAATCAAATACGGTCCCGATTTCTTATCGCCGCCCGTTGTCAACTTTGGTTCAGAAAAAAAAAAAAAAAAAAAGAGAAGCAGAAGAACCACAGCAGCTTGTATTTTTTCAATTAATTCTTCACTTAATTCGTAGTTATTTAATCATATCATAAAGACTGTTGGTCTACGGAGTATTGTCAAGAAGAATACCGATTAGCGCTCGGGACGGGTCCGCCGATGGAACACGGAGGGCGAACTGGCCCGTCAGTCTCGACACAATCCGTACCTCGGACTACCTTTGCCTTCTCACCTATCACTCTCACTCTTTTCACTGGAGGCGGGCCTCCATAGCACACAATGCGGATGTGATCATACCCACAAGACCTCTTGATTGATGGTGTTACAATCTATAGACTTTTGCGGTACCTGCAATTGAAACTCATCAATTCACACAACCGCTACTCTCACACACACACCCCCTTCGACCCATCCTGCCATCATCCGTCTTTAGCGTCCACGTACAGAACCTTGGCAACCCTCTGGTGATCTCTATCGGCATCACACTTTGGGGTCCTGTACTCCACCCCATCGGTGGTTAGCCTCCGCGCAATTTTTCCGCATCTGTCTGTCCTGTTCCAGACCTCGGCATCATGGCAGCTGTCACCATGGCCAGTGTCATCTCTGTGTCGCTTCTCTCCGAGTCGGAGTTTGGCTGCGGTATGCACCCACCCCCGGAGTGTGACCCTCGTACAGGTATGACTCGGATGGATACTGACCGTTTGTTCCAGAGCATCTTGCCACTCAGCTGGGGCAGGATCCCGGCGTGGCCGAGCAGTTCAGGGCCTCTTTTATGAAAGCGCATAATGCGCTGGCTCCCCATCCTAAGTCGCTCGAGACCGCGCTCAAGCAGAACCCCGCTGTTCGAGCTTCGACACTGTTAAAACCCAAGTACATGTGCTTGACATGTGCCGATACGTGTCTGAGTAACGAGCGAAAAGCCCACGCGGACAAGACGGGGCACTCTTTCTGTAGGGATATCAAATCTTGTCGAGAGACATCGACCGACGAACGGACGGACTGACTGACTAACCTCTTTCTAGATATGGAGTCCAGAGGCCGTTTGCTCTACTGTCAAGGCTGCGGGGATTTTGTTTACGACTACGGCCTGGAACGGCTGCGGTCGTCCCCGCCCGAGAGCGCATTAGAAGGTATGTCTCCGGCCCGTGTCAGTGCTGCCCCAGGAATTAACGATGTCACCAGTCGCCAAAAAACGGCGATTTAGCGACAGCTCCAGCGACGAGTTGTACATTAGGAGCAACGCGACGAAGCGCCCTTGCGCCAAGACAGGTGTGAGGGGACTCTTCAACCTCGGGCAGACTTGCTACCTAAACGTCATCCTGCAGTCATTGCTGCATGATCCCATCCTCACGACGTATTTCTTGGGCAATGGGCACCAGATCCACGACTGCAATACCAATGATTGCATCGGGTGTGCCGTTGCGGAGGCATTCGCTGATTTCAACAGCAGTGAAAAGCCCGAAGGCTTCGCGGCGCTGAATCTCCTTTTGGCTTCGTGGCGCGCCAGCCCTGTAAGTTCATCCGCTTGGAAGATATTTCACGGGAAGATGTCTGACGAGTCTCCAGACGCTAGCGGGATACCAACAACAAGACGCACACGAGTACTACCAGTTTCTTGTCGACAAGCTCCACGCCAGCACCGAGGGACACAACGACAGTCACAAAGGTGGCTGTTCGTGCTTTTTCCACAAGACCTTCTACGGCAAGCTCCGCAGCAGTGTGACCTGCGACAAATGCGGCAACGTCACCCGCACGGAAGACCCGATGGTAGATCTCAGTCTCGACGTCCAGGTCCAGGCAAAGAAACGCGCCATGGGTGGCAATGGAACGTCCCCGCCCACTCTAAGCGGCTGTCTGGAGAGCTTCACTTCGCCGGAGAAGCTAATGGCAGACGTGTACAACTGCAGCGGCTGTGGGAACACCCCCCAGAAAGCGACCAAGCAGTTACGCATCAAGAAATTACCAGCCATCCTATGCATGCAATTAAAGGTACGTCCTCCCTAACTCCCCCATACTTCCTCACCGCACCACCAGAAACATCTAACCCAATCAACAGCGCTTCGAACACACCTTCTCCGTCTCCGAAAAGCTCGAAGGCCGCATCGACTTCCCCATGTCAATCAACATGCTCCCCTACACGACACATCCCAACTCCAAAGTCGACAAATCCCGCTTCATCTACGACCTCTCCTCCGCCGTCGTCCACAAGGGCAAGCTCGACGCAGGCCACTACTACGTTTACTGCCGCCAAGGCGACCAGTGGGCGCTGTTCAACGATGACCAGGTCACGGCTGTGACTGAGGCTGATGTGTTGAATGCGGACGCTTATCTTCTCTTTTATAATCTTCGGTCGTTGGCGTCTCCGCGGTCATAGTTTACTTTTTCTTTCGATGAAGATTGAGGTTGAGAGTGAGTCGTGTGGTTTGATGTCTTGCATATAATTGATTGATTGATTTGGATTCGGCTGTGGAGTTTCGGTAGGTGTTGGTTGGTTAGTTAAATACTTGGTTAAAATTCATTGCTGGATGCCTAGTCGTTGCTCGATTGTTCGCCTGCATCTGGCCGGTGGTTGTTTGGGTAGTACCTATGTACCACCAACATGGCGTCGATATAGATGCGAGGTTCTTGCTTTCGTTTGAATATTCTTTATTGCAGATCCATTTTCTATCTTTCTGTATTTCTTATGTTTCCGTAGATAAGGTAGACGCTCCCTTAATCTAGTCTATATACACCTACCATCATAACCATTCCCTGTCCTCAGCACTGTCAAGACCGATAAAAACAGCCAAAAAAAAAAATGCCACCAATGACTACACAGAGCAGTGAAGAATAACTGCCCAAGATCGCAAAAGACATGACGAGCCAAGATAACAATTCTATGCGTGAGGACCCCGCGAGCCAGCTAACGTTTGGCCGATTTTGACACATGTCGCACTATTCCACAATTACTCTGTCTGCAACAATGCGATTGATTGTTCCGACTTCTACAAATGCATACCAGGCGAGGTATACTACAAAAGCCCTACAACAACCGGCCATGGAGGCAATGATGGAGAACATATGTCTGACGGGTTCAAGACGAGCGACGGGCGTCGGGCAGCTGCATGGGCAAAAAAGGCAAATTGCAATTGTGCGCATCGTCGGGGTTCAATGCGTGATGGGCTTGGGCGAGTGTATCGAAGATGTTCAACCGTTCGTTTGTGGGAGGCCTGCGTCGGAATATCCAGGCTACTTTGGCTGGTCGAGATATCGTAGAGTTGTCGAATACCGTATGTCGAGTCTGACGGATGCATATATGCCTGAAAACAGGCCAATGGCGCGAGAAGATAACAAGTAAAAGGAATTCCTCATTTCAATTCAATTCAAATAATCTTGAACCGACGAAAAAGAAGAAAACAAGAAACCACCAAAAAGGTTAGAAAAAAGGGTAAGGGGAATTTGCGCCCGACATCACGTTGACATTGACACCTTTTGATTTCATTTCAGATTTAAGAATAGAAGAAATTGTCCACACCGGTAAACAAATTTCCCCTCTGAAACGAAATTTCCCTTTCTTGTTCCCCCTCCCAGCAACGCTTATCTTCTTTCCTTCCCGTCTAGGTTTTTCATTTTTTCGTTTCCTTCCTGGTTCCTCCCATGGGGTTGGTTTGAAGACCGGGGCGCCGAGCACATGACGGAATGAATTCGTGAACAGGGATAGAGAGATGAGCGAGTAATTTAGCGGTACTGTAGTTGATGTATTAGTATCTGTCGAGAAGATTTGGTGTTTTCCTTGCGAAGTCGAGTGGGCCGTATTTCGAGGAAATGCGCCAAGTGCGACACAATAGACGGATAGAAGGAAGAAACCAACCTTGTTGAAGCCGATGTCGGTGGCCTTCTCACGGAAGCACTGACGGCAGATGTTCATCTATAGTCCTGTCAGCATGAAGATCCCACCATGCGCCATTTCCTGCGCCCAGGTATTCAATCAGGTTATCCATACGCCGTACTTGCGGATCAGACCACCGCGGTTGGAGCAGACACGGCTATTCCGAAGAAAAGAAGTCAGTTCATCCGTATCCCATGTCAAGCTGACGTTTCCGATCGTTTCCCATCACATAGCATCCACATCCAACTGTCGTTTTCGAGTCGCTAAAAATGCAGGTATAACCTGGAGGGAGGAGAGGTAGTTAAACGCACCAGCCACGGGAGCCCTTGCCGTACCTATCGAGCGAAGACATTAGTTCACCGTCCATCATCAATTCATTCACCAACACCGAATCTTCAACCAGACAGATTATACATACTTGCGAGGACGGCTGTACCACACAGACTCGTGAGTCATCTTGAAGGTCGAAGTGAGGCGAGGAAAACCTGGGGGGGAGGGGTGTGTTGGGGCGGTGTTTGGCGGTCGTCGTTCGCTGGGGGGGCGGGTGTGGATGAAGCGAAAGAGTGAAGGCTTTCTTTCGTTCCGTTAGGGTTTGGGGACGGATTTTTGGCGTTGTGTGCTTTTTTGCCCCCGATCCGACCGCCGGGGCGGTGTGGGCCTTGGGCGCTCGCTTGGACGACGCTAGGCTGTTTTGGGCGATTGATCAGGTGATTGCTTAGTTATGGGTTTGCATTCCTTTGGTATGGAATTCAATGTTGCGGGGGTTGCTAGTACTGTTTGTCTATTGTTCATTCTTTATTCAGATAAACTATATATCATGATACTGGCTGACTGTAGAACATGGAGGTGAGATGAGCAAAAATAAAAACAAATTATACAATATACAATGATACTTGTAGTATGAAAAAAGAAAAAATAAGTGCCTCCAGTGGGGATCGAACCCACGACCCTGAGATGGCTCACCAAGGTGTTCCTTGGCGTCATATAATTCTATATGAGACTCATGTCATAACCGCTAGACCATGGAAGCAATTGATGAGTAGAGCATGCTCCAATTTGTTCTACAAGCAAGGCCGCCCGTCAAGATAAGAAATGTATTGATCTGATATATACTCCGTACAATTGATAATCTTCGAGCCACTGGCCAAGCCAAGCCAAGCCACATCTGATGCTAGACATCGCTCTGTGTGCCCCCTCCCTAATGAATGTCTACTGGGGGCGCTGTGACGGATGCAGCTCGATGTCGCTGGTGTCGCACCACATGACGGAGGCTTCTCCGAGGCCGCCTGTGAAACCTTCACATTTTGATGTACAGGGTGGTCGTGCGACTGAGAGTCAGGGAGTCTTCGATATTCACTGAGAACAACACGTACGCGCAGATCAATCAACTGTCGACCTCGACGGGCTTCCTTCGCGATCTACTCCACCTTCAATACGGTTGGCGACAGAACGAGGTCATCGTCGCGGCCCACGCTGGGCGACCAGCGCAGCCATGATGGCGGAGCAGTGCTGCAGGTTACAAACTGTTTCTTCCATCTCTCTTGATAGCTGCTGTATCTCCGTCATCCGGCCCCATGTCCCTTCAGTATGATACTTTCCTTGCCTTTTTGGGTAGAATTTGTTTTTGGAGGATGATGCAGTGTGACTACACATGCTCGAGAATCAATGTGGTTAATAATAAGCTGGGCATCATAGAATAGGTAGTCTACTCTGACAATTGTATGAGTGCAAACTGATGGTGTTCCGTATCATCTTCAAATAAGTGATAATTTGGGACATCCCCAACTGCTGGTCCAACAATATCGATGATCGGTGTCAATCCCTGATCCTAAGACCGTCGTCTGGTGTCTTCTTTGAGGATCTCATTGCTACCTCGGGGCTATTACCAACCCTGGACCTTTCCATTGCCCTTATCTGCCACCGAATCGTCCGCCCAGTACCGCCCACTGACCTGCCCAATATCACCGACCGCCAATCGTAGCGGGATCTTCGCCCCCTCCTCTATTGCCATGGTGAGCAACGTGTCTGCGGGGAGAGCAGGTGCTTGCACTCACCAACAGATTTGGGTGGCTGACCTGCCTGCATACCCAGGGTCGTGCTCACCCAACCGGGGCAGCAGCTATTAATCAGCAAGTTGGGATTGTCGCGGGCAAGAATTCGCGTTCCGGCATTCAGGGCGGCCTTGCTGACTTTGTAGGCTAATGGCGGCCAGCCTGACATTGTCGCGGTTTTCTGGTCTGCTGACTTCAATGACAGGCCAGTCAGTGACAAGCTGGCAAGAAGAGAAAGAGTTGGTCCACACAACATACGCTGTACTCGTCGATCAGAGCATCAAGCTCCCTGAGAGTGAGGTCAGGGGTCAGAAACCGCGCCTGCAAGCGAGGATGGAAATTTTCTAGCAGGCCAGTTTGGGAGGAGATATTGACAATGCGGCCTCCTTTGCGCATAATTGGTAAGAACGCTTGACAGACCTGGGGAAATTTGGGTTATTAAGTGACTGCAAACGAAGGGGGGAGGGAGTTCTGAGCCTGAGCTCCTACATTGAGGGTCCCCCGATAGTTCACGTCCAAGGTTTCTTTGCGCTGTTCGGCAGTTATGTCCTCTCGAAAATAGAGAATCCCGGCGTTGTTGATGAGAAGGTCACAGCCGCCGTGTTCGCTGCTGATCCTCGTGCGCAAAGCAGCGATACTGTCCTGGTCGGTGAGACACAGCTGCGCGGGTCGAATTTGCACCGTTGGAGGGATAGATGTTCCCGTCCAGTCAATAACGGCCCCAGTACGCGAGGTTGTGTATACAATCAAAGGGCCTTTGAAGTCCCGAACAAGCGCAGCACAGATGGCATGACCAATGCCTCGATTCTGTAACCATGTGAGAAGGGACCGGCCTCAAATGGAGCAGACTTACCGCGCCAGTGACTATAGCTATAAGCGGGGCATGCATGTTCAAAGATGCCGACTGTATGGGTACTAAGTTACGAGAGGGGGAAAAGACCAGGTTAACCGGATGGCCTTATATCTATCCCCTGTCTTGCCAAGCCACACTACTACTTCACTACGATTTAGCTCCACGCGCCAAGGGGAATGTTTGTAATTGCCTCTGTTTTAGTTAACTAAAGTGTTGAACTGCAGGGTTAGTCATTTACCACCGAGGCTTCAGCAAATACCAGCCGTTGCACCAGTGTTGTATGGTTAAAGCGTCTTCACCACTCGACGTAGATCACGCTTGGCCAATGGAAACCTCATGCGATTCAGCACTCTGGCTACCTACCTCCTCCACTTATGAAAAAGAACGCATCCGAAGTCATGTTAAGATTCATCATATGCTCCATGGTACTGCCTTGTTTCCCGTGTGGACGTTGTCTCGCGACCCATCCCTTCTCCGGTCTCTCATGCTGCGATACTGTGAATATGCCATACTGAGATATCGCGTTGGATGGCCGTCATGTCTGGCGCTGTGTCCGGCTAGACAACCTAGTCTGTTATGGCGTGACTTCCTAATATCGGTTCCCTTGAAGGGTGCGTACGTGGGCACATCTGGGAAGTCGTCAGCTTTCGCTATTGATTCGTTGGCGAAATGCCTCGATTGTAACCAAGGTTATATCCTCCTGAAACGTGGCGCTCGACTACGTTTACGCCCACCCCATTGTGGGCCGGTCTCTAGCAGGCTTACAATGCGTGAGCTTCTTAGCAATAATGGGAATGCTCTGGAGGCTGACCGACGAGATGGTTTGGATCTGTTCACAACAACACCATCAACTGGGACACAATAGGACTTGATAGCACCAGACTCGATAACTTCTCCTTTCCTACCCGGGCCTTGGATATTATACCAGAGAACAGAAACCCTCCAAAACGAATAAAAAAAATCTATGAGAAAAGAGGAAGATATCTATATACAGAACTAGGTAAGATTTCCCTGCCTAGTGGTAATCTAGGCCTAATCAAGTGATCAGTGAAAGTGATTACATCAACATATTCCTACCCTAATAAGCGCAGTAGAGCATGAACAAAACAAATAATAATATAATCCCTACTCAATCCATCATTCAAGCCGGCTAGTCAAATCTGAGGCAGAGACCGACACTGCCTCTTGCATCCGTCGCTCTCGCAGCCGATGTGCGCGGGACCAGCGTCTCAGTCAATGCCGTTGCATCCCGATACAAGCGACTGACCATGGGGATGCTGTTCGTCTACGGCTATACCATCCTATACACCGCCAGAAATTTCTCCTTATTTCTCTCCAGGAACTCTGCAAAATTCCCCGTCGGTATCCCCCACGTCTTCGACAACTCCGCGTCATGAAACTGCGACATCGTGCGCATCATTTTCTGCGCGACAAAAACCGGGTTTTTGGCGCTCTGCTCCTCAATCTCCGCTTCGGACAGATAGATTGCCTTTAAGTCTCTCCCAGTCAGATCCGACAGCGCCTTCATAATATCATCCACGCCAATCAACTCACCCGAAAGGGTGAGCTCGGCGTGGTTAAACCGAGCAGGCTCGAGAAGCGCCGCGGCGCCAAACTTCCCGATATCATTAGGATCCACCAGAGGCAACAACGTCTCCGGCGTCAGGGCCGACACTATGCTGCCGGTCGCCGGAATGTTGCCGTAGAACAGCACCGTCGGCGGCAGGAAATTCGTCATGAAGAAGCCAGGACGCATGATCGTCCAGAACTCGAACCCCGCGCTGCGGACAGCCTTCTCGACCGCCTGTTTTTGGAGGAGTATTCCGGCGGCTCGGCTGTTGGCGTCCCAGTGGTCGAGGCGCTCTGGTTCGTGGATGGCGAAGGCGCTCGAGTAGACGACGTGGTTGACGCCTGCTTCTTTGGCGATGTTGAGGATTTGGCGTGCTCTCTCCACTTCCAGGACTGGGTTTTGCAGGCTGGGGAACGTGTTGAGGAAGAGGCCCGTGCAGCCTTTGATGCCTTCTTTGAGGGCGTTCTCGTCGTCCCAGTCGCCTTTAATGATGGATACGCCCTGGGACTGGAGAGCTTTGGCGCTCTCTGAGTCGGTGTTTCGAGTGGTGGTGCGGATGTTGGCTTGCTGTTGGAGGAGATGATTGGCGATTGCTCCTCCTTGGGCACCGGTGGCACCGCAGACAAAGAACGTAGGAGACATTGGTATGTTTGTCCTATCTAATTGTTAGGATCGGGCTGTTGTGGATATCAAGATGGACAAACCTTGTAAAAGTGGTAAAACGTGAAGGATTTGATAGATGTAGAAATCCGCAATGGAAAACAGTCAAAGAGGGAAAATAGTCAAGGAGGATGAAACTGATGGGATTGAGTCCTGTCAAGAAGGCTACAGAACGTTACAAGAATGAGCGAAATACAGATGGTTAAATAGTGTTGGAAACGCCCACAAGTCAGCTGGCATACTAACTGATTGCAGTTACTTCTATAGTATATAGAGGTATTTGTTTTGACCGCGTCGTCGATATAGCTGCCTGGTCATCATTATATGGTCAGAAACAAGCAAGATGATTAGCGCGGGGTGGGCCACTGCGGTTACTTCCACAGTATACCCTATAGAAGCGTTTGTTTTGACCGCGTCGTCGATATAGCTGCCTGGTCATCATTATATGGTCAGAAACAAGCAAGATGATTAGCGCGGGGTGGGCCACTGCGGTTACTTCCACAGTATACCCTATAGAAGCGTTTGTTTTGACCGCGTCGTCGATATAGCTGCCTGGTTATCATTAATATAATTAGGGGTAAGCAAAGGATTAGCGCCGGGGTGGGTCACTGCGGTTCCTTCCACAGTAAGGTATCTCTAAAAGCATTCGTTTTGGACGCGTCGTCGATATAGCTGCCTGGTCATCATCGATATGGTCGAAAATAAGCAAAGGAATAGCGCGGGGGTGGGTCACACTAGGGGACGGGACGCCGCAGCTTACTTGAAGTATCACAAAACTTTACTGTCTAGAAGCCTCTGGTTGTCTCCAGCCTTTATTGCTACCCTTAAGAGAGACACCATGGTGGGGTGTTACTTCAAGCTCGAGGTAGACAACATGGATGGTACAATATCCATCTATGACTCTAGAATTGCAGTTACAGCTAATAGGGACCCTCAATAGAATTTCGTGTTCGGCGGGAGTCCCTCAGCCTGGTCATCTCTCTATATTCGTTAGTTAGCACGCTAAATGCTTATAACACAGGCAGCAACAGCATACGTACCAGTGCCTCCCCAAATCCCTTCACAAGCGCAATTTCATGGTCACAGCGAGCCAGCTGCTCAGGCCCACAGTCGGTGAAGGTCGTTGCAACGTCAAAGTCAATCCAGACCAGTCTATCGGGGTTTCCACGGACAAGCAGAAGGTTTTTGGGGTAGATGTCCTGGTGGTGCACACCCGCTCTGTGTATCTCCTGCATGCCCTCAATGGCCTGCGGGTAGAGCGCGTCCGAGTAGTTCACGCAGTTTAGACTCTCTGCATTGGACAAGTACTCTAGCAAGATTGCTCTCGGCTTGAGCTTGTCTTGGGCGAAGTGTTGCAAAACAGGGTGGAATGCCGCCGGATCGATTCGCTCAATGGAGCCGTGGAATTTTGGAACGAAACCGCGCGCACAGACACCGGAAGTGTGAAGTTTCCGATATCCGTTCAATTCGCAGCGGAATCGGCCCAGATCACGGCCTTTTTCGGTATATCCGGGGTCGCCGTCGTCGTGGTCAAGCTTCAGTGCATATTTTTTGTCCATCTAGGTCTACCTCGAATATTGCAGACGCGTCGGAGCACGTGATCTCTCTGATGATACGGATTTTTGAGGGGTCCATGCTCGTTAAGGAGGCGTGTCTATCATATAACTAGCTTGAGATAAGTAGTCAATCAGTTGTGGCTTTCTAATCCTGTTCACATTTCACCTTCCTTGATATTCGCGAATTGTTATGAGTTTGTCAGCAATGTGGTCTTGTTACAGGTAGATGACTAGGTAGGTTATCTTTCAGGAAGTCTCAGACTCGTCCAATGACGGTATACATGCATATTAGATTAGTCTGGTCTACCTCGGTTGACACTTGTGCAATACTTGTCAATACTGTCCAGAAGACGACTAGTTGTCTACAAATCAACAAACAGTGAAGTATCTCATGACTCGGAGGATCTCTCCGACTATCCGGCTCAATAGATCCCTCGGCATTCATATGTCTACAACATGATTCACACGCAGATATCTGATTATTTCGTGTATCAGTTCCTATCCGCAGACTTCAGGTTAGCCCCGTTTTTTTTCTTTTCTTTTGTTTTGTTCACATTATCTACCTTTGTATCGAGGAACTCAATACTCATGGGTCCAACCTAGCCCTATCTCATAAATCCTCCATATGGGTGCTATTCTTGTGGCTATGAGCCATTGACGGTCTGCGACACGAGAACCGAGTTGTACCCCGCGTTTCATGTCGGATCAATTAAAGCTGAAGAACCGGCAGTCTAACCTAGTACGACAGGGTTCATCTCCGTGGGGAAACAAGAATAGTCTCGCATCACATCATGCAGATGACCATGTCTCATATCAGCCAAGACCAGAATGCAGCCATATCATGCGTTCTAGACCAGATACCCCGGTCCGGCTACTACATAGCACCTCTCCCCAGCGCTTCGGCTGCCATGTGGTGAATAAATCCACCATCTGCAGTCTGGCCTTATATTAAGGGGACTTGGCCGCCATATGGAAGAGAAGACCGCCGTTTCCGTGTGGCGCTCAGTCACCAGATAGGGTGGTTTAATTTCGCGGTGGTTTATCCGGAGGTGAGAATAGTGGCATTGGGGAGATTGGATAACCGCTGCCAAGTCTTCAGTGAGGGGCGTGTTTTGCATCTAGTATCTTCCGTCGTTGGTGGAATTGACATTTATGGTGTTTTGGTCAAACGGCTAATATCAATGCTCTATGGGGTGCCATCTATATAAAGCCCAATGCCTGACTGCACTTCATCACAGGATCGAGCAAAGAAACTCATCATAGTACCAAATAACACCAATCCACCACCAGCATGCATCCAAAGCAAACCGCTGCCCTTCTGGCAGCTATCCTGTCAGCCTCCAAAGTATCAGCGCACGGCCACGTCTCCAACATCGTGATCAACGGCGTCAGCTACAAAGGCTGGGACATCGGCGCCGACCCCTACAACCCCGACCCACCCGTGGTCATCGCCTGGCAAACGCCCAACACTGCCAACGGCTTCGTCGAGCCCGTCGCCTACGCCACAGATGACATCATCTGCCATCTCGACGCGACCAACGCGCGCGGCCACGCCGTCGTAGCAGCAGGCGACAGCATCAGCCTGCAATGGACCCCCTGGCCAGAGAGCCACCACGGCCCCATGATCGACTACCTCGCGCGCTGCGACGGCAGCTGCGAGACCGTCGACAAGACCACGCTGAAGTTCTTCAAGATCGGCGGCGTCGGCCTCGTCGATCCGGACCCTGTCCCCGGTGTGTGGGGCGCGGACCAGATGATCGCGAATAACAATTCCTGGATGGTGCAGATCCCGCCTACTATCGCGCCGGGCAATTACGTTCTCCGCCATGAGACGATCGCCCTGCATGGTGCGGGGAGTGAGAACGGTGCGCAGAACTACATGCAGTGCTTTAATCTGGAGGTTACGGGCTCCGGGACTGCTAAGCCGGAGGGTGTTCCGGGCAAGGAGCTGTACAAGGCGACGGACCCGGGTATTCTGGTCAATATCTATGAGTCGCTCGAATATGTTGTGCCTGGGCCGTCGGTTATTCCGGCTGCGAAGTCTATTGAGCAGTCTAGCTCGACGATTACGGCTTCGGGGACGCCTGTGACTGCCGCCGCTCGTCCTACTGCGGTATAGTTGAAGACTATTGAGTCGACGGCATCCAGCACAAGCTAGCAGTTCGCGTATGGCAATGCAGAGGCAACGGTTGACTGGATAGCAGTTTTGAATGGTCTCGCTCTGCTCACAGTGTATTTCGACTGAGCTCACTTTTCATGTGGGGATAGTGCATGTGTTCGAGTTGTCTACTGTACCGCTAGCATCGTTCTTTAATTGATTGAAACGAGTTCACCAAATTGATCAGAGATAGAGGTTACCCCGTATAATACGGAGTGTGGAGTAGATACAAGCACAATAAATCATGACCTCAATGTAGATATAACTGGCGGTGAAAGAGCATCGTTTGCTACACCTTCTATATTATACAGAGAGAATACCCTAGTCGCATGCTATGCTTATAAGAAACACGGCATAAACAGTCCCTTCGTATCAACCAGGTATCATACACATCTCTAGTTACAGAGGCCCAGAACTAAAAGCCTAGAAGACTGGGGAAATTTGATCTCACTTCCCTCCTCCTCACCCCTCCCAACATCACCAAAGAATATCCCCAACAATGAGCAACGCAAAGCGAATCATCCTCCGCGTCGCGGAAAACGAAATGAACTACCAAGATCCATACGAATTCGCCCGCTTCTACTTCACACAGTTCCCCTCCAACGCATCATCAGACCCAACTCGCCATTTCATTCACTATCAACCACCGAGTGATATTCCCGGCGCCAAGGTCCATATTGTCATCGATCTCGAGATACAGGGCTTTACGGGTACTCTTGATCAGGAATTTCCGCATGAGGTTTATGCGGTTCGTCGGGGTGCGGATCAATTGTGAGAGTTTGGCTTTTTCTAGCTATGCGCTTTGTCTTGTTAATGCCGAGTAGGGAGTTGTATGCTTATCCAGAAGCTGTGAAGAGAAATCTCCTTCAGAAGATTCGGAAGTATAGTGATGGGTTTTATCCATGGGGGGAAAGCAGGAGTGATTATAGGAGGAATCTGGACAAATGACTTTTCCATCATCATTCTATAGTGCTGTATGTACTGCTCACCGCGTCATTTTATATATATCGAGGGAATGGACTGATCAATTATACAGATCGATATTATATTATATAAAACCCCTCTACGAAACAAACCTGCCTGAAATACATCAGGTAACTAGCTGAAATGAAAAGCGTGTCCAGGCATTAGTTCAAAACCAACTGTCTATACGATATACGAATACATGGCCACGACAATCATGTTTCATCCGAGTGGAGTCCCATATCCCAGCCATCTGATTTGTTCTTCACCACCTAGAATAAATAGCAGCCAGCGATCATGAGTCGACTCCAGATCGACAGGCGATCTTATTTTATCCACATAGGTATGTTAATCCATATTTTCTTCCTCTGGGGACAACAATCTAACAACACAAAAAAAAATACAGTAAAGAATGAAACCCACCTATCTCAAAGTCATTACAATTGCCCTGCTGGGAATAGGACAAGCATCAGCAGCAGCTAGACCAAACAGCGGACAAAAGAATGATGAAAGAACCCTTCAAATCCGCAAAATGACCCCCGACGAAGGCGAGAAGTTCTTTCCGGAGTATTGGCTTTTTGCAAATACTTCTTCCATACCTTATCAATTCGATCTCCACACACCAGAAGCAGCATCAGAAGCATCAGAAGCAGCAGCAAAAGCCAAAAGAGACGAAGAGAATAATAACTATCACCCCCGCATCTACCCCCTCAACCCCCCAAAAACCCCAACCTCGTCCACAACCCCAAACCAACACAACGCCCTCCACCAAATCCGCCAACTCTTCGCCCGAACATTCACCTGTCCCCCCAACACCTCCCCCTGCACATCCATCAACCGCCCCTCCACCTGCTGCGGTGACAACGAAACATGCGAGCTGGTGAACAGTGAGGTAGGCTGTTGTCCAGCGGGACAGTCCTGCGCAGGTGGAACAGTTGGCGAGTGTGGAAGTGGATATACCACCTGTGGGAAGGATGTAGGGGGAGGGTGTTGTATTGATGGGTATGAGTGTGTTGTTGGGGGATGTATGTTCTCTCTCTCTTTCTTCTTTTATTGTTTACTTCGTTTTCCCTTCCCTTCTGTCTCTACAGACACACGGGGAGATAGAGAGAAAAAAGACCGAAAGGAGCTAACAATTCATAATGAAGGCTCAAAAACAACAACAATAACCCTCACCCTCCACTCAACAACCACCCTATCCACCTCTACCGACCTCTCCCCCCAGCCCCCATCACCACCAACATCAACCAGCACCGAAGCATCAACACCCACAAACGACCTCAACCCCCCCGCCCGCCCAACCAGTCTATCCACCTCCACCACATCCTCCCACACCAACGAAGATGGAATCTGCCCAACAGGCTTCTACGCCTGCAAAGCGCACTACGCCGGCGGCTGCTGCCGCACAGGCCGAGACTGCGACACGACGTCTTGTCCGCCGCCTGAGTTGTCGTCGACGACTGTTAATGCTGATGGGGTGACTGTTGTTGTGCCTGTTATGACTAGTAGTGGTGGTTCTGACTCTGGGGGTGGGTCTGATTCTGGGGGTACTGGTGGTACAGGTAGTGGGGGGAAGTGTGCGGAGGGCTGGTTTAGTTGTGCGGAGGCTGTTGGGGGCGGGTGTTGTCCGGTTGGGTTTGCGTGTCGGGAGAATTGTGTGGCTGTTTCTGAGGATGGGGATGAGGATGGGGATGGGAAGGGGAGTGAGACGGGGACGGTTGAGAAGGGGGGTTTCGTTGAGAGTGGTGCTTGTGGTTGGGGTCGAGCTGGGGGTTGGTTTGGGGGTTTGGGAGGTGGGTGATTGTGGGATGGGGGTTGGTGTTGTTGGTATGATACATACGAGATATGACTGACGATATAATGAGATATTATAACGAGCCTACTACGTCAGGTGACAATCGAAATAGATGATAATGTGATTGGAACATAATAACCAAATACTCGTGGATACATCCGAAATACCGGCAAACAAATCAAAGAAAAGGGTATCGATGTCAAAACAGAACAGTCGCAGATAGGAATATCGCAGATGGAATCGCAAGAACATCGCAGAGGAATATACGCCCCCATGCTGGGAGGGTCATTATCCTGCCCAAGACAGGACAACGAGGCAATACCGTGTTTGCCGGCCACCATTAAGTAAAGCGATGGTATAAAAACAGTACTGGTGGATAGAATCACACCGAAGTCAAGACCAGAACAGACATAACAGAACAGAAAGAAGATAGAAGCCACAGACCGTCTGTCAACCCAAGGTGAGTGGGGTGAGGGAAAAAGAAAAAAAAAAAAAGATAATAAATAGCATAACAAGACAAGAAAGAAGGAAAGAAGGAGAAAATCAGAAAGAAAATATCATATCTCGTCAGTACGCCGTCACTGACCCATTATCCTCTGGCGCCTGTGGATGCAACACATCACTCATACCACGAATGCAGTCTGAACTGAAGCCCCGCCTAGTTCATCTCCATCGTGTACTCGTCCTCTTCTTTGAAACTCATGGCCGCATGCCCCGAGCCGCTCCAGTACTGCGCCCCGTTCGGATTGCCGTTCGCGTGGAACGGCGGGCTCAGGCTCTGCGGGCTCAGGGACTCATTCCCGGACACCGCCTCACCCGCCATGTTCGTGTGCTTGGGCACCCGGAGTCCACTCCCGGGTCCCCGACTGTAGTTGAAGGAGCTCGGGTCATTCCGCTCCAGGGCGTCCAGGATCTCCGTCCGCATCCGCTTCTCGTCCTCCGTCTGCTCAAAAGGCCAGGTGCCGCCGAGGCTGCTGATCAGCTCCGCCAGCTCTGCCTCCTGCTGGTGCTTGACGTGCAGGGCCCACATCAGGTCCCGCATCCAGCTGACGGCCCCGTTGAGGATGTCGCCCTTGTTCGGGCCCTTCTCCTTCTCTTCGATCGGGAGTCCCATCGTGATATTCCCCGGCGTGGCGCGGCGTCCGTTGCCGCCGGCGAGCAGGGACGTGGCCGGGTTGGCCCCCGGTCCCGTGCCAGGCATGGTGCTGTTGTTGACCAGCTGCTTGCGGACCTTGTCGTCTTCGAGCCGGTGGCCGGGCACCAGATGCGACAGATCCTGGATCCGCTCGTTGATGTTGTCGCGTCGGCGACGCTCGACCAGGTTGTGCGACGCCCGCCGACGGCGCCGCTTGGCCTCCTGCGACTCGAGGTCCTGCCCCGGCATATGCGCATCGACCTTGGCCGGCAAGGACGCATGCTTTCCGGACTTGAGGATCTCGGAGATCCCGGCGTGGTGCGAGGGGTGGCCCGGGGAGGAGATGGGCGACTCCACGTACGAGTGCGCGCTTCCGGGCGTCCCGTCCCACTGGTTCGATAGCGTCTTCTGGTGTCGGTGCTGGAGGCCCGTGCGGATCGGCTGGGTGGGGAAGCTGCCGGATTCCGGCGTGCCGAGGGTCAAGCTGCTAAACCCCTGGGCGGGGGTCTTGGGTGTCATGGGGCTGCGACCGTCGGCCGACGTGCCCGCCGGCAGGCCGGTGCGCCCCTTGGTGGCCAGGTAGCTCTGGTCAAAATGGGATCCGCTCTGCATGTGGGACCCGGGCTGGCCCTGGTTCATGGACCGGAAGTGATCGTAGTTGTGGAAGCTGTGCATGAACGGGCTGTTCATGGGAGCGCCGTCCGGGGTGTTGGAGTAGAGTTGCGACATCTGGCTGTGGTGGCTCATCGGGATGCCAGAGCCGGCGCCGGACTGCTGGTCCTGCAGGTAGTTGACGTTGTTGTCGCGTTGGACGCCATTCTGGCCGCTGATCTCCAGATCCAGCAGCTCGTCCGTGTCGATGCCCGAGTTGCCGAAATTGAAACTCGACGACATGTTCTGTTGGGAGGTAAACGGGTAGGGCATGAAGCCACCGTTTGGCATGGTCAAATCCGACGGATCCACTCCGTCGGCGGAGTGTCCAAATTGATTGGACATGGAATAGCCCGATTGCGACATGAGGAAAGGGTTCTGGTCACTGTGGGGTTCGTCAGGATCGCTCTTGATGAACATGCTCACTTCGGCCATGGTGCGGATAGTGGAAGCAGGTCGGAGATATATAAGTGGTCTGGTGGACGGAGGGGATCGATCCCTTACAATCCAAGATTCGTGCGAACTCCCGGCGATAGGCGGGAAGATGTGCGACGTAGGCAACCCCGGGGTCGGGGAATGTGGCGAGATGGGGGTCAGCGAAAGTTCACCCCTTTATTCGGTATCGCGGAGAAACTTCAGCGTTCTCGGCTCGAATTCCGCGGAATGATGACAAGGAAGGACGCTCGAGGGGTTCGTCAGGGAGACCCGTGAGTCATCCAGAATCGGTGGGGACGACTGAAATTTCAGATGACGGTGGATGGTGCCTTGCAATTCGAGGGAACTAGTCAGTTTATTGATTTCACCGAGAAGCGAAAAGCCGCACGGTTTGCCTCCCAGTTTCGCCTCGGAGAAAATCCACTTGACGAGCGAGAGGGGCGAGGGGAAGCGCTGCAACTTACCACGAAAGTCAGAGACAAGCTGAAACCCCTGTGACAGGATGATGACAGTATTGGTGGGTAGAGTCAGGCAGATGCGAGGGATGTCGCGGCGAAATTCAGCCGGCGGCAACGGAAGGGAAAGAAAGGTGAGTAAGGTTGAGAATGATCGAAAGCGGACGGAGGGGGCAATTGCCACTATCGTAAGGCGGGATGATTTCTTGACCCAACAAGTTGAACGTTGCTACACCGACAAACGGCGCGCAAAGAAACCTAGAGATCTGGCCTATAAGCGATCGTTCAACCCAAACAGGGATCAATGATAAATCAATGTGCAGATCAAGCCGAATCAACGAACAAAAGACAATATTCAAAGAAATAGGACAAAAAGAAGAGACAAAGGGAGAAATGAGGATGCGTGGCTATAAGCGAGTCAAGTCGGTTCCAGTTCCAAACCAGCCGAGGAAAAAGAAGAAATGAGATTTCTGCGGAGACGGCGGGCTGGACCAAAATAATTAGAAATATCAAACGAGACGTCGGATCGATCAGGGGGGAAAGCCCGATCAGTCGAGAGACCTTCTAGAAAGCCAGAATCGGACCAAGACCGCGGTGGATTCGAGTAAGGGGTTCTTTTTTTTGGGTCCCTTTTTTCTCCCCTGGTTCCTTTTTTGGATTTGATGATTATCTCATTTTTCCCATGTGGTCTGGATGCGATAAGAAAAGGCCCGAAGCAATTCGAAGCCGATGGTGTCCACCGTGCAGACTAACCGGAAAGAATATGTGGAGGACAGTAAGGTTCGTTCAAACGTTGGTCACTGAGTTCCAAGACTGTGTGGGGAAGAAAATCACGACATCAACAGGCGGTCAGTCCGGGCATTATCGCATCGTCTTGTCTTTTTTCTTTCTTGTTTCTTATTCTTTTTTCCCCCTTTTCTTTGGAGTTTTTGAGTCGTTTCACATCAACATGGTTTGCAAATCTTCCACAACTGGACCCTCTCCACGGTGCACGAATCCGGTAAGTGGCTCCGCCCACCCCCGGGGTCCGTGGGATTGACGACGGACGATTGGGTCGTTGATGGGGAGGTTGCCCCGCGAACTGTCGCCAGAGAGACACGATCCGCTCGGTCCCCGCAGGTACAAGGCTATCACTGGGGTGGGCCGTCGGTCTGAGATGACGCTTTTCAGGCAGGGTGCCCAACGCGGGAAATTCCAGGTCCGTCCGGATCTGGGGGGCCCAAGGAGGAGAAGAAATGAGGGGTATTTCCCTCTCCACCTTTTTTTCCTTTCGGCCGTCTGATGGATCTTTGACTCGCTTTTCCGCGGATGATGGCCACCGGATAATAAATACAAGGAAATAGGACAGAAATGCAAGAAATCAAACAAGCGAAAACTAACAGAGGGAACTTATTTGAAAGATATATCTATACTCACAGGACCACGTAGATGGCGATGGAATGGGATGGGATTCTCTGCTCAAGGTTGAGCACTGTAAAGAGGGTCAGCGTCAGCCTGGTGGTATCTCGAGCGTGTAGCCCGGGCGAAAGGGACACGGGGAGTATAAATAAGGGGGGGAGGAAGAAGAGGAAAGGAGGGGAAGAGCCTTCCCACACGTGGTCAAGGCGAACTGCGCCCTGCAGAGGGGGGTTATAGCCTCTCGTTCACCAAGGGAGACCAAGGAGGCGAAGGGAGGGGGGGGATGAGAAGAAGCCACCGAGACAGAGGAGGCTCGAGCTCGAAACGGATTAGAAAGACAATACGAACCTGATAAGCAGCGGAGGAGGCAGGCTATCCTTGACGAGGCGAGGCCATCAGGGATGGGATATAGAAACCGGACGAGTTCAGTGGTGGAGGAGGGATCCTCCCGACTGGTTCAAGACTTGTCTGGAAGGGTTTGAAGCAGGACAGAGAAAAGCAAAGGGAGGAAGCGAAGAAAAGAACACCTGCAGAAGGGAGAGACGACGAGGGAACCGAAGGCTTTAAGGACTTTCCCCGAGGCGTTCTTGCAGAGCTCCCATTTGATATGTCACAGCGATGGTCATGCAGGCCGTCGATCCTCAATCGACGAGGCTTAAGGACGTCGTCACTGAGAATTACGTGCGATGGATGGATGGGATGGGGGAATGATAATTATAATAAATTAATAAAAATATTGATTTAAGTAATGATAATACAAAGAGAATATTAATTCAAAAATAAATAATCTAATATGAATAATATAATATAAATAATATACTATAAAGAATAATAAAAGTCAAACATGGAGGGTGAAGGGGGGAAGGAGTCGTCCTGGGGGGTGTGAGTGTGTGAGAGAGAAGAAAAAGGTGTGGTAGAAAAGAGTCTAGTGGGGATGAACTAAAAAGATTCTTGAAGTATGTGCAGAAATAGAAAGATAATGTTACCATCCAACTCTTCTTGAGTACTGAATCCTCAAAGTATGCTGACGACTCTATCCAACCCACAGTGAAGACTGAACAATCCCAATCGGGTAAGGGAGGGACGAATCAAGGCGAGAATGAGGATCAAGGAGGGTAGGACTATACGCATTTGAGGAGAGATAATAATCTCCCTGAGCAAATCCCATGAGCAGTCCAGGTACCACGCTCTTTGTCACCTGTTCTGGTGGTGGTGGATGCAATGACTCACTGTCTTGTTTGATCATTGCTATTATAGAACAATATATAGTTTGTCTCAGTTTTTATTTTATTTTATTTTATTTTACTTATTATCATTTATATTGTATTGTATTATATTTATCGTTTTAGTGTATTGTATGTACTGAGACTAATATATGAATATATTCTCTAATATGATCTCGGTCTGCCAGCCGAACCTTCCCTGTCGAGCAATGAGAGAATGTATCAGATGCCCTAAACATACCCAGATCCGATCATCCTCAACGTGCAGGGTGACCTTTGAAGGATAGGCATTCACTTAGAAATCAAGGCAACGAACCTAGTATGTCATCCACCATGAGATGACCCCTATTTATCATCAACTATAGAAATAATATAATATACTATAATATAATATCCTCATAAATATCATCTAAATTGACCATCATAGGACCGAGCCCTACAATGACATCATAGGGATATTTTTATCCCTCCCCCGCCGTATTGAGATTCGCTCCGCCCTCCCCACTTCACCCACATTCTATCCACTACCACACCAAACAAAGCAGACAAAGCGCTTGTATGGATGATCATGGCATACCATGTGGAAGCGGTCAACGAGGAAATAGATCTCCTGGTCTTTGTTCCTACCCCGTCACCATCACGGGCGATTGCAGATGGCAGATACTAGAGGAAGATCGACGGGGTGGAATCGCCATCCGAAGGGCGTCAATTGTATGGGTGATCACTCCAGTATGATTTGGTAAACTATATCAGTCATATTAAACCGAATCAGAATAGATGATGATACTAGGAACTAGTAGTAAATAAATGAATTGATGAATAAATTTATTTTATTAGTAGAATAAAATAACATTAGTATAAATAAAACCAGTCACAAAGAAAGGAACTAAGATGCGATGACGAGGATGCTGATTGATTACGAGGAGAACGAACCCGCGACCCTCCAATGGACCCACGGCCGTCCGAGCGTCTTCGGCGCTGAGTCGCTGACACCCCCAAAGCCCAGAGAAGGCGGTCCGTGACCCTGTGCAGACTGGGTGGAGAACTGGAGATCCTGTCGCTTCCCGAGCGTCCGTGCTCATCCTATCTTGGATTGATTCTCTCGGTGATTCTGGTTGTCTTCACTGTTGGGACATGCTCCTGAGTCTGGGGATTCTGCTTGAGATAATGATTTGGAATTGTTCACATTCCGTGATAATGATCCGTCTGTCAGGAGTAACGTTTGATGCCTTACCATCAAGGGACAGAACAGGAATTTCATGATTTGGAATCATAGATTCCAGAATGTGGGCAGAGAATGCTTCGCTTCCAACTCCACCCCCGGAGATAGACCTCCCACCTAGGTAGGTAGGTAGGTAAGCGAGGGAACATACCTCTAAGAATGCTGTCAGAATCATGGAACAACCAATCATCAACCAGAATCCATCCATCTGTCGGCCTCGCCGGGGAATTCAGTCCTGCTCGAAGCCTGATGGAAACCCAGATTAACGGGGCTATGGACCGGAGGCATGCAAGCAACCAGGCGAAGATCCGTCCATCCCCATCCCCCACACCAGCCAACCCTCCAAGGGTGGACTGACCACGGATAATGCCTCTATTCCCCATGCGGTGAATGGAGAAGACCTAGGGTTGAAGGTGCAGGCGCAGTTTTCACCCAATCGATCCCTTCTCTCTCGGATCTGGGGCTACGAACAAAGAAATGATAAATATGAAAAGCCAAGAAAGAAACGAACAAAGAAAAAGAAAATTATATTGAAATGTCTACGGCTTATTACATACCAGCATACGTATGTGCCGCTTACCATCGAGATAACGCCATCATGTCGCCTCCCACCCCGCCTCCATTTCGCATGGGAGGCTACGAAAATGGAGGCGGGGTGAAGACTAAGAGAGATCTCGCATAACTAAGTATGTAGGTATGGAGTGGACGAGCATGGAGCAACTTTGGCTCCCGTTTCCGTCCCGTCCCGTCAAGGTTCGGGTGCATGGCCGACGACCATCCATGGTTACTTACTGTAAGGAGGGCGGTGTGTTTACACTATCGACTATTAGCCGTCCATTCTTCTGGGGTTCAATTGTGCGAATCATATTATCCTCGATGATCTGACTCTCGGGCCATTCTTCCTATCGTTGATTGTCGGCTCTTGACCGAGGTTGTCTCTTATCCGACGCTTCTCCGACCTGGGGAAACAGGTTGTCTCCAAGAGAAAACATGGGAACCTGGCGGTGATTACGAGGAAACCTCACCCAACGCGTCATCGGCTTGACACTCTCGAGCAAAAATAGAATATAATAATCGCACCCTAGAAAAGACTTATACAAAAAGAACAGGCATACCATCTATCCAGTATCCACATCTCTCCCTAGATTAAAAACGGCTACCTCCGAATAATACCCCACACAAACCCGTGTGATAGCCGGCATTGTATTCGGTACATGAGGTCGAAGTAGACTTCTGCAACCGACGGCTGTTCTAACGAGGATCGTCTGGGACTAACGGAGGGAGACAAGCAGGGGGGGGGGCAAGAAGAGAGGGGTTGAGTTGATCGCCACTGGTTTAACAAGCGCTTGTTGTGAGGGGGAACTCCGATCTGTGGTATTTTATTCATTTGGATTGGAGGAGCGGTGGGTGAGGTGAGTGGACTCTTTTTACTTCGCAGGTGGGTTCTGCTGGGTTGAGCATAGTTCTATACTGGTCTGTCTTGATGATAGACTGTTACACCTACATATTCGAAGCGTACCAGGTACCTATCTATGATCAATACAAAACAGAGGAAGACAGGTAAGTATGGCGGAAACGGCGCTCACCCCAGGCGGTGGCGGAAACCGAATCTCTAGTGGAGGTCTCAGATATGCAAGGCAGCGATTCCATCAGACACACCAATCATTTGCATTGATTCTGCCCGCCCTGTCAAGCATCGTGACTGTGATTGGTCAGCTGGACCAGGTCGATGGTCACCAGCTCGGTTTAGGCTTAGTGTGGTCAGCTGGTGTCCCCATCTGCATCGACCGAGGCTGTGATTGGTTCCCTCATCAGCCCGAGAGCCTCCAATTCCCGAATCGGACTAGCGTGGCTGGCTAGGCTAAACTTCTCCAGAGCGGAAGAAGCCAGTCCATCGTCTCGTCCTCCGCCATTTCACTCCCCATTCTCTGTCAGTTTGACCTCCTTGGGTTTGATTCATATGATTTGATTTGATTTACTTGAATTTGATTTTCAGTTTGACTCTGATATTATTATTTTATCTTGATTTATCCTATTGTTGTCCCCCCTAGCGTCTTAGTGTTGCTCAACTTCGGTATGTAACCTCCCCCCCCCCGGTCTTGGGAACGGTGTCAACGTCGTTGCGTTGCCTGGGGCCTCGAAAAGTCTCCCACACCTCTTGTCTTTCCCACCCACACCTTCTTCTCGTCTTCCCCCTCTTTGTCTCTCTTCCGTCCCTCTTGCGTCTCTCCGTAGTGTCATCTGATTATGGCTAATCTCCTGCAGCCGGTTCTCCCCCAGTCCATCTCCCTCCCTATCTCAAACGAGCATCCGGCCGACGTTACCCCGACTTCTATACCATCATCGTGCAGCTTCTTCCCCCCCCCCCCACACCTTCCATTCTCTCCGTTCTCCGCAGCTTGTCTCTGCGCCCCCACTCCACGGGACTCATCGATGATCTCATCCTCCACATTCTTGCGCGGATTCACGGGACATTATCATTCCGATTAAACTACTCCATCTTGGGTAGTTGGTTGTGTCCTTACTACAGGCGGGGCTGTCTTCCTATTGTCTAGAACGGTGGTGATCGATAGTCGATTACTGTTTGATACCGTATTCAACCGCTCGAAAGATCCCCACGGACCAACAGACACAAGCAGATACAGGGCGATCACAAGCAGATCATCTCTACGACTCTCCCCAAAAGACGGTCTATTCGTTAGTCGACACCAGATTTACCCCCGTGCCCTAGCTCCTCGGGAGTCTAGTCCGGTTTGCGCAATAGTCATCTGGCCCGCTGTGGCTTGGTCCTATCACCGTCGCCTTTGGCTCCCTCACCCTCACCCTCCTTGATCGATACCTGCAGATCATCTGCACGTACATACTCGTCTCCGTCGTGCATAGTCCCTGCAGAGGTTTCGACCGGCTTGACACCCACCCACCACCCACGCCCACCCATCTCCCCTCCCGGTTACCTTCCCGGTGCCCTCCACGCTCGTGCACCGCGCTAGTGCTGCAAGAGATATCGTCTGCAACCGAAGCCTCCATCCCCCCCCCCCCCCTCCTTCCACCCCCCTCTTAGTCGGGACGTAAACCAAGCGTCTCAGACGGACGAATCAGGATCATGACCTCTAGTACCTTCCGCGATTCGGTCAACTCCCTGGGCTGGGCGCGACGCGACCCCGACGTGCCCGCGACCACCACCTCGTCATCCAACAGCCCCTTCCTGAATAGGTTACAGTCCTTGAACCCCTTTGGTCAAGGCGAGGGCTATCTGCAACTGCCCACTCACGAAGCTCCCGGAGCTCCCCTCCCTGCTGCAAATCGACGGGAAGAGGAAGATGGTTTCTTCGCTCGTAAGTTCCTCCGAGCTCATGACTGATCTTCCGAATGATCCATCCCTTTTCCTTGATTTGCTGCACCGCCCGGTCCAGGTGACGGAGCTTCAGTTCCTGCATCTGGACTGGTTTCACTGGACGACCCTGCCAGTGGCGACATGAGCGAGTATCGCTCGGCTTTCCTCCCTTCTCATCTCTCCGGATGTGGATCTTTTTTTTCCTCTATGTACCCTGGAAGGATCCCGGTTAGCTTTTTTAATTGGGCCAAGGCTGACTATTCCACTCTCAACAGTAAGCCGATGGGATCGGATGCTCATCTTCATCGCATGCAACGTTGGCGCCGCCGTGTGTTTCTTCATTTGCTTTTTCCTCTTCCCGGTGCTCTCCCTCAAACCCCGCAAGTTTGCCATCCTGTAAGTCACATCCAAAACCCCGAGCCAATCTCTGTAAAGTTATGCGATGCATCCTCCCACACCATGCTTGCGTTTCAAACACCCCCGGTCCACGAGGCGGTGTAGAGCTTGTCATATTGTGGCGGCTTGCTCCCCCCCCCCCTCCACGCCCCGATCTCGTTGCCTTCCGACGTCCGTGCTGCACCTGCACGCCGTGACCCCACCTTGGCTTTGGTTCCCCAAACTGACTGATTCGGATTTCTACCGAAAATAGATGGTCGGTTGGCTCGCTGCTCTTCTTGCTATCATGGGCCGTCCTCATGGGACCCATGGTTTACGCTAAACACTTGGTCTCGGGATCACGGCTGCCCTTCACGGCTGCCTATTTTGGCTCGATTGCCATGACCCTTTTCTTCGCGATCGGCGTGAGTGCCCTGCTTCTGTCTCATGAATCATACCCCCTGCCCTGTTCCAGCGCTCTGGTTTATCCTGTGTGTCCCGCGACGGCCGCCCGCCCTGCGATCGTGCTCCATCCTTGCCATGACGTCTTCAGCGTCTTGGAGGGATGGATCTCGCATCCATCCTGCATTGCGCTAGTGGCGCAGCCTAGCCGGTGATATCATGGCCCACGTGCCAAGGGATATGGACGTTCGTGCTTCAAAGCCCGAGAGTCCACCAGAGCGAATCGGAGGTGACTGTGTTAAGCAGGACTCCATCCATCTGTATACACTCCTTATTCACACGCAGCATTAACTGACATGTTCCATAACAGCTCCATTCCACCTTCCTAACCCTCATCTCCTCGATCTTCCAGCTAGCCGCCCTGGTCTGGTACCTCGTCAGCTACTTCCCCATGGGCAGCACCGGGCTACAGTTTATGGGCCGGTTCGGCGCCTCGCGCGTCACGACCTGGATGGGTAGTTAGTTGACTGTATGTATAGTGTGATAACGGCACGTAGATAGATGGGTTTGCGTCAGCGTTTGGCTTGAGCGTTGTGTTGTGGTTTAGTATAGTGGGTACATAATATATGGTATTTCCGATAGGATAAGTGGTGCATGCTGAACTGAGATACACTGATTACTTTCTTACTTTTACCCTCAGTTGATGTATATAATAAGTATATATAATAATTATACATATAACAGTGATATTTTTCATCGTTGAGTATCACAAAAGAGGTCATGGCCAAACCAAAGACAGCTCATTTAGACTGATATACGTATAATGATATCAACAACGCAATACCCTCCTACTTGCTCTTGCCTATACCCTATCTCACTCACTGCAACAACACAAACACTCCATAACAATGCACAAAAAAAAATCAATCAATCAATCAACCCTCCCCTAATCTAACTACTTACTTGCATACTATCTACTTCCCCCTACTCATCACCTCCCCAACAACTCCACTAACGACCTTCACTCCCGGAATCTCCGCCTCCCAAATCCCCGTATCCCCGCCCGACCCACCCTCCAACCATCGCTGCAGCAGATCCCCACTCTCCTTAGGCTTCACGTCCGGCGAGACCGTCCCGACCGTAACGTGCGGGATGGCGTTAGCGCAGACCCACGCCTCCTGCTCGGCGTGGTCGGGAGGCATGATGCGCGCGACGAACGTCATGAGTCGGCTGTCCCAGACTAACCGCTCGAGGCGCACGCGCGCGGCGCCTAGGGTGGGTGTGATGGTTGGGTCGGATTCGGGCTTGCTGTGCATGCGCTGGATGTATTGCTGGGTGTAGGAGGCCCAGGTTGAGGGGTGGTCGCGTTTGGAGGCGCGGTGGATGAGCGTTACGTGGAAGGTGGGCTGGATGCGGCGCGTGTTGGAGAGGTGGTGGTAGGTGCGGGATTTGGTTGCGTCCGTGCCGGGGGGAAGAGGGTGTGGAGGAGGGTGGTTATTTCCGGGGTCGGGAGGGTTATGCTGAAGTATTCGATTTTTTTGGAGAGGTCTTCTGGGGTTGGGGGTGGGGGGTGGTTTGGTTGGTATTGTTGGGGTGGTGGTGGTGGTGGGGTTGGCGTGCTTGTTCTTTTGTTTGGTGTTTGAGGGGTATTGGTGGCTGAGGTCGAGTTGGACTTCGTACTCTGTCATTGCCCATTTGATGGCGTCGTCGAGTTCTTGCGCTGTGGGGACTTGCTTGATGAGTTGCGGGTAGAATGAGTGGAGGGCGTTCACGACAATTTCGAGGTTCTCTCGCGAGGAGGCTCGCACGTCGAGGTCGAGGACTTGGTCGAAGTACTTGTCTGGTCCGCGGTCTGTGTTCACGGCTTCGAACCGGGTGAGAAATCCCTCCATGATGCCCACGATCTCCTGGGAGTCTTTGCTTCCCGCGCGGATGGTCTGGTGGTTGTCGCCGCGGTCGAGCACTCGCTTGCGAGTGACTTCGCGGATGCCGGGGAGGAGTTCGCCTTTGGGTTCGTGCACGTACTGCAGGGCGACGAACCGGGCGTTGGGGAGAATGGGGAAGATGTCGTCCATGAGCTGCTGTCTCTCGCGTCTCATGTGGTTGTTCCGGTCGGCGATCACCGCGGGCTTCTCGTTGAGCGTGTTGGTGATATCCAGCGAGAACTTCTTTCCCTTGTTCTTCTGCTTGGGGATGTTGTCGTTCTGGATGTGACCCCATCCGAACAGCTTGGTCAGAGCAAGTGCCACGGTCGTCTTGCCGCATCCCAGGGACGCAATCGGAGTGATGATCACATTGTCGACGTCCTCCCGCGACTGCGCCTCGTGCTCCATTGCGATGATTTCGGACCCGTTGAGCCCCTGCTCCTTCAGGAAGCCATCTCTCAGCGCGATGATGCCGTGGTTTTGCTGGTATTCTCTCGCCAACTTGAGGTTCCCTGCAAGCCGTCTCCGTGCGTATTGAAGGTACTTTTCGGTGATTTGTTTGTGTTTCTTGATGTTCGGGACCTTTCCGGCAATGACGGCCTTGGTGCACTCGCGCCACTGCCGGTACATCAGATATGGCTCTTCAAACTTGTACTTGAAGAACCAATCCTCAAATGGGGCTTTGCCGCCGCGGCCCATATGGCACCGAACGACGAATCCCTCCGTCTCGCGGCCATCCCACGTCCCCGTCTCCGCACACTGATCCAGGAACTTCTTGACAGAGTCGAGGTCGTCGTAGGTCACAAACTTGGCTTTCTTGAAGCCCCACTTATCGGCGAAGGCATGGACCTCCGAGCCGGGGCACGTGGCGAACTGGGGCACGTTGTAGTTGAGCCCATGGACGTAGATCCCCGCCGCGGATTCATCGTAGGCAAGAACGTGCTCCTCAAAGCTATCGTCGCAGAGCTCGCCCACCAGCGTCACATTCATCCTCCGCAGCTCCTGCGCCAGGTCCTTGACCGATTTCCCGACTGCCTGGACGTGTCTCTCCGCCCATTGCTCGCCCACCTGTGCGTGGCTGGCGCTCACGTCGGTCCGCACGCCCGTCGAGTGCTTGCTGCAGACCAATAACGTGCCGTCCTCCATCCCCGACATGAAGATGATACAGCCGTTCTCCTTCACGCTGAGCTCGTACGGACCCCGCGTGTTCATCTCGATGTTCCGCCATTTGGTCTCGTTGACCTCGTCGACGTTGAAGAACTTGTCGTAGCCTCGCACGGCGATCTCGGGCGTGCCGTCCTTGCGTCGCGTCGTGAACAGTCCGCGGGCGTAGGTCGGTAGGTCCGAGCGCTTGTAGTCCCAATCCATGAATTTCCACGAGTCTACCGTGGTCTTCTGAGAGGGTCCCACGTGGAAGGTAGACTTCTTGCAGACGAAGTTTTTCTTTCCTTCTGCCTTGGTTCGTTTGCTGGCGGTCTCCAGGCTGTCGACCAGCTCGGCCACTTCTTTCGCGTCCTGGTGGACCATCTTGCGGTCTACCTGGGTATCTTCGATCTGCAGTAAGAAGACAAAGTATAAGGTTAGAAGGTGAAATCGTTAAGGTGCAGATAACATTAAGGCTTGTAGTACAAAAGTGTAAGTCAAGATGACAGTGAGGGGAAAGCACTTTAAAAAAGAAGAGAAACACGGCTCGCTAACTTTCGTACAAGGATGTCTTACCCGTATTTTTAATGGCGCCTCACGAAACAATCAATGAGCTCAACAAAAGATGACTCACGATCCGTAGAAAGAGTCAGCTCTGATGTGGGGATTTGCAAGGAGAGGCTGAAAAGGCACGGTGTGCGCAAAGGCGAATCTTATCAGGAACTGCGGGGCAAAAATTTCCCCATCGGTCTGATTTTCTTTCCGCCTCACTCTCGTCAGGAACAAAGCCTAGATCAGCCATCTTTTCTTGTTTCTGTTCTACTTATCAGCCCGTATAATCTTAAGGTATGACTGACACGTCGCGATTTGTGGACACTGTGACTCACATTCCCCGTTTGCAGCTAGGAAACCCTGCTATCCACAATGAGCGCACCCAACCCTTACGTCCTGGCCGCGGACAACCCCTCCGCCGTGCTAGAGCTGCTCCGGTCGAACCCCTCTATCGCTTCGAACCAAGACGATCATGGATATTCGCTGTTACACGCGGCCGCCTCCTACGGACACATTGATCTGCTGCGCGCCCTCGTCAAGGAGTTCCACGCCGACGTCAACCTCCTCGACGAGGACGGAGAGACCTGTCTATTCGTAACGGAAAACGTCAACATCGCAAAGTGTCTAGTCGAGGAACTGGGTGTCGACTACAACCGCCGGAATGACGAGGGCCTCACAGCGCAGGAGACGATCGGAGCCGACGACTCCTTCCCCGAAGTCGCCGCATACCTGGCCCAGGTCATGGGCATCCCGACCCCGCCCACCCAGCCCGCAGACGCCCTGAACCCGCCTGCGCCGCTGCCGCCGAACGTCCAGATGAACTTGGGCACGGTGTCGGAGCAGGAGGCGAACGCGGGTACGGACGAGGTGGACCCGGAGTTCAAGCGGAGGATTGATGAGTTGGCGGCCCGGGAGGACTTTCACAGCGAGGCGACGCAGAATGAGCTGCGTCAGTTAGTCGCGGATGCGCTGACGGGGTCGAATATTGAGACTGTCGAGAAGGATATTCGGAGGAGGACGGAGTAGATTGGATGCGTTGCGCATGGCTTGTGCTTTTCCTCATACCTCAATACCTCAATACCCTGTTCAATTCAATGATATATCTCAACCCGAGAGCCGGAGGTCGACGTGACAGTGCGTCCGTCAGCAATTCTTGCTGCAGATCTCAACTGCAGGTCTTTTGCAATCCCAACGAACCGTGGCCTGTCCAAACGTGGGATACTGAAGAAGATGGACGTCCTTCTCCTTCTCTTCGCCCATGAGATGTTTCGAAAGGTGCCATGGCGACCTTACTATATAGGCACGGGGCATCCTATACACGACCACATTGGAAGTGGGTCCTTGGTAGTTACGTGCAAAATACAATCCAGACTACAGGTTATCTGGCAGTGCAGTTTAACAGGGTCACATTCTATAGTCTTCTTGTGTTAGTCTTATGCCCAAATGCTTCCTAGAGAGGCTGTTAGACGCCTTGCATCGGCATCATCTTCTATGCAGCCCAGAATTGGTCCTGACCCTCGCAAGGTTGCAAGCAATTATTATGAGAGATCCATAAAACATGAGATACTTATCATAGCATAAGCCCCTTATTATATACATGTAAGATGTCCGAGAAAGACTGAGAAAGATATAGGAAGACCGCTGAGATTATATAATATCATCAATATCACGTGAGAACCACCATCTTCCCCGCATCTCCAATTCCACATCGCTTTCTCATCATCATCACCATCATACAGTCCAATATTCCCGACTTAATTACTTCTGACCACAATGAATCCAGCACTCAACCCAGATACCCCCCCACCCCCTCCCCCCAAACCCGGCAGCCACGAGACGAGCCGAAGGGGCACGCCGCAAACCAACCCCCCGTTACCCGGAACACCGCAGAACCCCCAGGAGGGATACTACGGACAAAGCTGGATGAACGTGCAAGCAGGGAATCAGTTTTCATCTCCAGGCGTAGCTCAGCCTAGTGCCCTGCCCGAACCTCCGACGATCGAAGAAGGTTGGCTTCCGGGTAACGTGAACGACAAATCGTGAGCATCCTCATACTATACCATCTTACGCGATCGAAGGCCAAAACTGATTGATATACTTTACAACAGGACGATTGATCTACAAACCATCCTCAAAGACCCAGGTCTCATCTCCGCTCTAGCCAGCCACCACCCCTCGTACACCGCGCACCAACAACACCTCCAATCCCTCCTCAAGTATAACCAGGAGTTGGCGAACCGTCTTCTGGAGCTCCAGTCGCATGTGACGGAGTTGAGGTCGTCTACGGAGAAATTGCTTCTCACGCATCAGTCGCTGGAAGTCTCGTGGCGCAAGAAGCAAACGGAGATGGATGCGGCGCTGGCGCCGTGGTCGCCCAAGGCTCTCTATCAGCGGCTGGCGGCGTCGATTGCGGAACAGGAGGCGGTGTGTCATGCTGTGGAGGAGAGTTTCCTGGAAGGAGAGCATCATGGACGGGCTACTGAAAAGGAGGTCTCGGATTGGATTAGACGGGTTAGGGCTGAGTCTGGCAAGCTGGCTGCACGAAGGGAGGCTAAGGCTCGGTGGGATGAGGGGAGAGTGGGAGGGTGGAGATGAACAGGTATGCCGCGTACAATTGATCTCTGGGATGTATTATGTCTGACCTTGCGTTTACTAGGTCGTTGCCGAGCAATGTTCCAACAAGCCCAGATGATATTATATGCGATCTACATCACGCGTCGGCTACTTTACCGCGGCACATCCAAAGAAATCCCGCTGACGTGGAATTAATTATTACGAACTTCGACTGCTCATTCCGCTAGATCCCGTCGCCCGCTTTCAAGATCCGCACTACGGTCATCACTCTCCGCCGTCGACACATCCGGTGCATAGGCCCAGTTCTCAGTGCCAACTTGACTTGGGAGCCCCACTCCCTTATATAAAGCGTGCGAGCGATTCCGAGGACCCCACGCCCAGCCGGCCCCCCGCATAATGGAAATATGGTAAAGGCGGAACGCGACCCACGCAAAGACCATCCCCATCACCGATCCGAAGATGATGTCGAACGCGTGGTGTCGATGGTCGAACCAGCGCGAGGCGGATATGAACCATGCGACAGCCCAGGGCACAAAGGCAATAATGACCATATAGATGGGCGGCGCAGCGCCTTGCTCCCGAAGCGTTTCACGCTTTCGACTGTGCAAATCCTGGCTGAAGGGCGAGTGGGCGAAGTAAGGGAACGCGACGGAGAATTTGGCGCACAGCCACAGGGAGAAGTACGACAATCCAGCAAAGGCAACTAGACAGTCAGTACAAATGAGAACAAATAGACAGATCATAATGTAACCCATCCAAACCCAACCAAACCAGAAAGAAAGAGAAACCCACAAGAAGCATGCCCACTCGGAAAACTCACGAACCCATCCTTCACCAACGCCTTCGACCTATTCCTGCATATCCCCCAAGAAACCAACGTCGGCGCCCCCGGCAACACCCTCCCCAGCCCCCAACCGCATACGTCCCAATATTCTCCAAATCCGGATCACAGCGCGCGAGCAGGTCCGGCCTGGGCCGGCCATACAGGTCCTTCAATCCCTCCGTAGCCATAAACACGCCTGCCACCGCGAGCGCGAGACCCAGCCATCCCGCGTGCCATTCCCAGATCTTGTACCGCCAGCGTGCTGCGCCTGTCGCTGCCACCCCCGAGCTTCCCGGGACTAGGACTAGGGATAGGGCGGCGATTATAACGCCTGGCGCGATGAGCGATACTACTACCATGACCCCTGTGGATACGGTCTCGTGTTTGGCGTGCGGGTAGGAGATCGATGCGTCTGTTAGGGAGAAGGGCGTGTGGGTTGGGGGGTTCGGCTGAAGCCGTAGCCTATTAGGGCGATGCCTCTGAATATACCTTGTTAATTTGAACTTGAGGTTTGTTTGCGCTGGGGGTAGGATGGGTATGATGGATAAATGGGTAGGTGGGTAGGTGGGTAGGTAGGGAGGTAGGGAGGTAGGGGCCGTACGCGATAAACACCCAGTCAGCGATATATGACAGAATCAGCCGTTTGGGAATGATGTTATTTGCATGCTGGACTATTCGGGGGAGTTCTTTGCTGAGCGTCATTGTTGGTTAAGTGTAAGTAGTGAGAGCCTGGCAGATAGAAGAACCCGATGAAACCGATGGCTTATGGTGATTTAGGGACAAGATGGTAGTATGGGATGTTATGAGAAGAGGGATGAATCCAGGGGGATTCCAGAGGGAAGTCCCCGCTAGCTAAAACTATCATTTACTGCCGCCGGAGAGGATGGTGAGGGTATACAGGAGACAACTGCCCTGAGAACAAGCTGACTACTAAGTAACACTCCTAATGATTCACAGACAAGCCTTATCCAGCAGGCCCTAAGGCGGCAATATCAGTCATGGCTGACAAACCGCCTCAGGCCCCCCTGGTCCCCCCGCCTGTCCACTACACTGCTGAGGCACTCTATACTATGTCAGCCTTTGTTGTCTCTACTGTCCACCTATCCGACCAAGTTCAAGGACCGCTTGCGCTGAGTGTATCAGGACTGCACCACCGTCGCACCCTCCACTATGGCGTGCAAAGCCTACATGTTGAGAGTAAGCTCCAACGAGACCATGACGACCTCGTTCCCTCCCAGCTCGGTAAGCGCCCATGACAACTTCGTCGTATAGTCACCGGTACGGAGACTAGTGTGTGCCCGGATACGACAACACTCACGGACTCGGGTTACCTCGCCTGCATCGAACGACGGCGGAGCCCACGGAGGCTGCTATTCAGAGCCAGTCCCCTTCGAAGATGACTAGTGGTGAGGATGTGGATGCTTCGGTCTCGACTTCGGCAAAGACGAGCTCGTCGGCTGCGAGTGCACTAAGGTTGGAGATGGAGAAATCCTGGATTGGGGGTATATTGGCGGTTCTGGTGGCTGCTTTCTAGGCTTCTAAGCGGATTGTCCATGGTTGCAAGCAATCTATTTGCTTGGGAGATTTAATAATCTAAATATATACGTACCTACGTTTCTACGATATGCAATACGCAGCGCAGGGGTGCACCAAAGCCATGGAAGCTTGGCGGGATAAGAGTCAACTGAAAACCCACTACTACCACGATACCTTTCAAGATCTGATGGAGAATGAAGGATGCATTAAACACTGATTACTAGAAACAGAACACTGATCCTAAACCTGGATTTAAGGTGAGGCCTACAGGCTAGTAACTAATACAATAAGGCTAAAAATGAAGGTTGGTTTACCCCAGCTTGGGAATATAGTCGCTATCGATAGGTTCGGGATCTTCACGGAGATGTTGTATTGCTCGGCAAAATGCCTGAGACCTCACACCCTCCAACAATAGTTCCCTGTAGAAATCCAGGTCCAACTCATGAACTTGGTGAGGGTCAATAGTGTGCTCTGTCTGGGAGGCGGCTGGGATGATATCTGTGATCTTGATCTTTGGATTCACTGGTGTGCGCGGTGCGGGCAAAACAACCTGAAAACGTCAAGTTTTACTTTCGTTGAAAAGAAAGGTGTATCTAGGGACCAAACTCACAGCAGATTCTCTTATTGCAGGGGTGCCGTCTTGAAGCTCCCATAACTCTAGCCGCGCTGTTATAGGGCCCATCCAATCTGACAATTCAATATGCACACGGATATTGTCGTAAAGCTCAGCATCCGATATATCGGCGCCATTATCATCATGAGACTCGATCCCATATTTTGTTTTCACAAAGTCATTTCCATAGTCACGCACAAGTTTTCGCAGCCGCCTTCGGGTGTCGTGCGATTTTTGAGATGACTGTAGAACGCGCTGATCCTCATCAATCTTGAAGAGGACCACCAAACGAACTTTGCCACCAGACCTCAGCAACCACTGAGAAGCGTCATTCCGTAGATCCTCATAACGTTCCGCAAATCCAGTCTCGAACACGACCATTGGCAGCAGTTGGTCCGCGCGGAAGGCTATGGATGTGTCTGGGTACTTTGTCCATCCTTGCAGCTTTTTAGATCCGGATCCAGGATCACGTGTGCGGGTCATTATATGGCCATCTGTACTGAGAAGCACCCGTTTTCTCAACTCCGGAGGGATGAATCCAACAGAAACCGCGCTTGTGAGGAATTCGCTTGCGAGCAACCCGGCTGCATCATGTACTGGTCTTGACATTCCACGTATTCTCAGCAAGTTCGTCTCCCGATCGTAGGAAAAAAGACGTTTCCGGGCTTTCGCCGCTTTGAGGACTTGCTTCACTGGTGGGGCATAAAGCAGCTGTTCGGGGATCCGTATCAATAGGTCCGTGCTAATTTCGAAATGGAGATATCGGGCTAAGAGCGTCTGGGCTTCGCTTGGTGAATTGATTGTTCGTGGCGACTCCATAGCGCCGGGTTCATCAGGCGTTCAAAAAGGGTCGTCTGGGGAGGAAGAAATCAAGAAAGAAGGCACTCGGGGCTAGCGGTTGTAGGTGTTGAAATGTTTTTGGGGAAGTCGCGTCTGTCCGCCGATCTGGCCAACGTATAAGTCTCGAAAGAGATGTGTGATTTGGGCTGAGGGAAATGTAGCAAGCTAAAGTTCTGTTCAGGATGAATTCGCGAGATATCGACCCAGACCATTCGATACTCTAGGTAGGACGATAAACGTAGTAGTTTGTTGGTGGGGAAAGGGTTGGTGGGGAAAGGATCGGCGGGGAAAGGATTGGTGAGTCGATCCGAGAAAGAAACCAGATCGGGTGATAGTCTGTGACGTCACGTCAATAGAAGAGTCATCAGAAATGCAATTTGGGTATTCCACTTGAACTTATTCAAGTACATATATATGTATATCATAAATTATATAAATCTCACCTTCAAACAGCTACACAAGCTATACACCCTTATTTCTTCCCCTCCAAATCACTAAACAGATTATATCCAAAATCAGAGCTACTATCATTGAATCGCAGCTTGCGATCAATCCCACTGATCTTCTGCACATCCTCCTCACTCAGCTTAAAATTCCCTTCCAAGTTGTTCTTGATGCGCGCGGGAGTCTTGCTCTTGGGAATGACCGATTGACCACCCGTGATGCCCCATGCTGTTATACATATATATTAGCCATACGCCACCAAAATAACCAAGAAACCCAGGATAATCAGAAAGAGAGAAAGCAAGAAAGAAAGAACATACCAAGCGCAACCTGCGCCGCACTCTTATTATACTTCTTCCCAATCTCCACCAACACCGGGTCCTCCACCAACCGGCCGATCCCCTCCCCGCGCGGATACAGCGCGTTCTGGTTCCCCAGCGGCGAGTACTGCGTGACGTGGATGCCCTTCGACTTGTGCCAGTCGACGAACTCGCGCTGCTGCAGCCATGGATGGCGCTCGAACTGGTGCACGGCTGGCACGACGAGGCTGTTTTGCAGCACCCGCTCGACTTCTGCTTTGGAGAAGTTCGATACGCCGATGGCGCGCGCTTTGCCGGTGGGAATGAGGTTTTCCATTGCTTTGTATGTCTAAAGTATTTCTGTTAGCCAAGTATCGCTGGGGAGTGGAATGATGGCATGGGATGTACAGGGGCTAAGATGAAGACATACATCAACATAATCAACCTCAATAACAGCGGGTTTCCCATCGCGCTGAGGGAACGGCTCCGGCCCCCTCTCCCACGCAACAGGCCAATGCATCAGCAGCAGATCCACATAGTCTGTCTCGAGCTCCCTTAGCGAGTCGTCCAGCGACGGGCCCACGTCTGCCGGGTGGTGGTTGTTGTTCCACAGCTTGGTGGTCAGGAAGATCTCGGATCGGGGGACGCCGCTCTTCTTGATGCCTTTGCCGACGGCTTTTTCGGTTCCGTATCTGGGTGAAGTTGGTTAGGGCTTAGTTATATCAGTGAGATGAAGAATACACACGTTTGCGCCGTGTCAATGTGCCGATAGCCGGCTTTGAGGGCTTCGTAGACGGCGTTCTCTTGGGCGTCTTCGTCTTGCCAGGTGCCGAGGCCGATGGCGGGGATTTGGGCGCCTGTGTTGAGGTTGAAGTGGGATGTCATTTTGGATGTAATAAAGCAGTCGTAATTGTGTGTGTTAATTTAGTAAGGGTGTCAATTGATTGATGGTTAGGACAGAGGATTAGGACAGAAGTGGTAGATAGTATAGTATAGTACAGTGTAGTATAAAAAGCTATGAACACGATCCTTATATAAGAACAAACTCAAACCAAACGTCAGCTTGACGCGCCCGCCCGTCCCAGCCTTGCTCGAAGTAAAATCTAAGACTATGACGTTGAATGAAACAACCTGGTTTGGTGGACTCTGCCAGAAAGCATGGCATGTGGTGGAAACGTCACTCCATGATATCATATAATCTTTGCATAACTAATGCTCCTCTAACATCCCCGATATACAAAGGGTTTCCCGTTTTATCGGCCTTTTTGAATGGGGAGTTGGGATTTTGTGTCAATTGAACTTGTGATACTTGATTCAAGGCTGTTATTGTGTTTTATCATTTTATAGACTGCTCGTTTTTTTAATGTCCCCTATGGTTAAGTGTAAAGGCCTCCCTCCCCTCCCGCTGGATATACTACGTAGTACATAGAGCTACCGCACCTTCCAAGCTACAATTTACTGATGCGAAAAATGGAGGAAAGTAGAATATTTAGTAATTGGGTTCATGAACAAGCCTTGGTATCCCCTGCGTCGATATATCTCGAGAGATTGATGTAGATGATTATGCCTGTCTGGAATGTCTAGGACTTCCGTAAGTCTACAGATCGATAGGATGTCGACAGATCGAATACGTAGGTCAAATACTAGGCAAATACGAAGAATACTTCTACGAAGAAATCATTACACAAGACAACGAGTTTATTGATCACGGGCACAGTAACAACCAAGACGGAGAAGGAAACCCCCCCGGGATAAGCCGATCGAGAACCTATGGAGCTATAGAACCTGACAGCCAACTTGCAATGACCCAAGGGAGCCCGCCCGCACTTCGGGTCCTACCCAACTAGCGAACGCGCGGAAGACGTCAATGGCTCCGGCCCGCAGCAGAGCTGGGACTGCCGCTGCCGCTGCCAGTTCCGCCGCTCCCGCTCCCGCTGCCGCGACTGCCCGCCCGGTGGAAGGGGCTGGCGACCGAGCGCATGCCGATCGGGTCGATAGGGGGATGCTTCTCGATGAGGGAGTCGGACGGGTCTGGAGCGAAGGGACCGGCGCGGCGGTGGATGTCCACAAAGTCGGATCCGTAGAGACTGCTCCGTCCCGAGCGGTTGGAGAAGGACCGGTCGCGGGGCACAAAGTCCGATTCAAAGGGCGATGGCGCGTGGGCGAGCGGGGAGGTCGGGTGCGACGAGACGCCCGCGGGCGAGGCGGAGTGCTGCAGTGGACTCGATTTCATGGGCGGGAAGCTGAGGCCGCTCAGGAGCGATCGGCTGCCGGGGGCGGTGGAGGTCAACCCGCCCAGCGTGATTCCGGACAGGTCCAGGTGGTGGGTGCCTGGCAGGGTGCCTTCCGGGGTGAGCGGCGCGGCGTCGAGGAGCATCTGCTGCTGCTGCTGCTGGATGCTCTGCTCCAGGGCGGCGGACTGCTGCCAGAGCTGGTTGGTCCGCAGCTGGTACTCGTGGATGGACTGGCCGATGCTGGCGAATTGTTCGTTGAAATTGATCTCTAGCTTGGCCTGGTCCTGCTCCCGGGCGAACTGCTCCGCTGCGCGGCGCTCCCGCTCGTTGAGGCCCTGCGCGTTGGCCGAGACGATGCGCTCGTACTGCTCGTGGACGCGGGTGCGCCGGCCCTGCAGACGCTCCCGGCGCTGGACCGTCGAGGTCAGATCGGACTCGAGGGACGACACTTCGCGGGCCACCGCGGTCCGCGCGGCGCTCAGCTCCTCCTTGGCGGTGGTGAGAATCTCTAGGTCCCGTTCGTACTGGGCCTTCTGCGCCCGCCATTCCTCGATCTCCTCCTCGGGGACGTTCACCATGGTGTCCAGCTGGGCGCCCAGGGCCGCGGTCGCCTCCTCAGTCTGCCGGATATTCCGTTCGAGCTGGAGCGACCGCTGCTTCTGCCGATTCTCATCCGTTCCGCTCTGGAGCCGGTGGTTGTAGTTGTCGAGCTCCTTGCGTAGCTTGGAGACGGCTAGTTTGTGGTCGTTTTTGATCTTCCGTAACCGGGAGCGTTTCTCGTTCAGCTTGGCTTCCGCGTTGGCGATGGAGTTCTTCAGCGTGGTGGTCGGCGACGACGGGCGATAGGACGGCGGGGGCGGGGTGGCGGCCAAGGACACGGCTGGGAAACGGTCAGAAAACCACTCCAAAGGACGGCGGCAGAACTTGAACGCCGCTGGCTGCTCACCTTGTTCTGCGGCGTCGTCGGCGGCGGGGGTCTTGACGCTCATGACGCAGATCTCCTCATCCGTATCGCTGCGGAGGAAGGCGCACGTGTAGGCGCAGTTCGGAGCGAGACCAGAGACCTCGCCCCGCCAATGCACGGCGCTCGCCCCCTTGGCCGCGTCGGATACCTTGCTAATTGTCGCGGTCGCCCACAGCGCCCCGTTGACGCAGACGTAGAACGGCTCCGCGTCGTCCGATCCCAACCGCCCAGCTTCGCAGGCGCCGGAGACCAGGGGGTCGTCGGGGGAGGCAAAGTCGCCCGCGGCGAATTTGATTGTCGAACTATCCACCTCGGTGATCCACACCAACCCGTCATCCAATGAAACCCCCTGGAGGTCCTCCTCGGTCATCTGGAGCCCGCGACTCGTCTTGGACAGCGCCCGCGAGTGTTCATATTCCCGCATCACCGTCACCTTGGTACTCGCCAGGGCCGCCCAGAACGGTTGGCGGCTCCGGACCTGGTTGGCCTGCCGGCGACGTTTCTTGGCCGAGAGCAACCGATCGCGACCGTCCTTGTGTGTGACCGGGGTGACCAACTGTCCATCCGCGCCGATGTACGAGGAGACGCTGGCGCCGGACTCGAAGGCGGAATCGATCTGGGTCTGCGAGCCGGCGGAGGCTTCGGTGTCGACCCGTTTGCCGAGACGCGCGGGCGCCGGGGCGCGATTCTTGGCCATGGAGCGTCTCGCCATAGCGGTACCCGCTTGGGCGAGGATGTGGACCGCTAGGAGACTCCGGATCCAGCTTGGCGAAGATTGCGAGTCGGACCGTCGAAATTCGGCCGGGAAGAGGTGAGAGTATTGCGACAGGAGGTCCGGGCTAACGATCTTGGCGGACAGCAGATGACCCATGATAAAATCCTGTATCCCTTTGCTCCGAATCAGATGCAAGACCAGCACGATCCCGACGCAGAGTGTGTTGACGCCTCCGTTCTTGCCCGACCCGCCGCCGCCCAGGGTGATGGCCACCTGGACGTGGGCGAGGTCGAGGGCGAAATTCTGCGCCCACGTCCACATGAAGAGACCCCAGAAGAGCAGACAGAAGCCGTCCATGGCGATCATGGTGCCGAGGGACGGGGTGCCGGCGGGACCCTGGAAGATGTCGAAGTTGGAGGACAGGGAGCCGGCGGAGGCACCGCTCGGAGGCATGAAGGTCAGGGAAGCGAAGAGGAACTGGACCAGGGTGAGGACCATAGGAGGCAGTTGCAGTAGGAAGATCAGGATCGCGATGGTGTCGTACATGGGGCAGGACTTGAGGATGGTAGAGGCGAGCTGGAGAGGGTTGATGGAGCCCGACGACCTCTTGGAAGCGGCGGCGGCCTTGTCCGTCCGACGCGACGCCGAGGCGGCCACGCCACCATTCTGCGGCACGGCCCCGTTGGCCTGTCCATACGACATGTCCGAATTCCCTTTGGCGTATCCATTCAGAAACCCGCGTGCCCCGTGTCCGTCGGCCTTGGCGTTGTCGGTCGAGTTGTTCACTCGGGAGGCCGTGGCTATTGTGGAGGAGACCGCGGTGTCGCTATTCGAGCGAGAGGAGTGCCAGGCGGCTTGGGCGGCGGAGGGGCCGGAGTTCGGAGTCGAGCCGGCGCTGGCGTGGCCATTCAAGGTACCGTTGGATTTCTGCTTGTTCACTTTCTTGCCGGGACCGAGGGGGCCATTCTCCTGGCGATTGCTCTGATTCTTCCTAGCCGTAGCCGATGGTCGTGGCATGGGCAAGGGGAGCCTTTACACCCGGGTCCGAGTCAGCTTGGCGGGTGACAGCCAAGGACTTGGACCAGGCGATGAATAAAGGCGAAACAGTGCGGAAGAATCGGGCGAAGATAGCGAAGAAAAAGAGTCGAGAGACGGCAAACGAGGAGGGTTGAAATTGGTGGGGGGGAGTGTCGAAGGGAGAGTGTTGGAAGTGGGAATAAGAAACGGAAGAGAAAGAGAGGGGAGAGACGAGGGCGGGAAAAGGAACGACAAGACTGGAGGAAAAGGAAATATACGAATGGATGGATAGCGGAGAAGAAAGAGGGAGTGGCGTGAAAGGAAAGGAAAAAAAAGAGAGAGAGAAGAAGTGAAAAAGGGCCACTATGAGAAGGGCGAATGGGTTGAAGCAAAAGAGAGAAGAGAGAGAGAGAGAGAGAGAGAGAGAGAGAGAAGAAGAAGAAGTTTTGGCTGGATTGGTAGACGGAGGACGGAGGCGGGAACGGGAAAATCGAGGCAGAACGAGTCAGGCATCTATTGGTGCCTCAGGATACAGTACGGTATCTATGTATTACAGTATCGTATCTATACAGTATAGTATGGTTGTTATTTACCACCCTAGGCCGTAGATGCTTCTGAAGATTATCCACCATAACACCGAGTATCAACAATCCCAGGGTATGCCACACATTCCTTCGCGTCATGAACCATCGAACTATTTGGCAGCCAACATACCATCTATCTTGATTCCAGGTGCTTAACTATGTATCAGAAAGAAAACATTACCCTTCTGCAGGATTATCAGTTGTCTTTACCTCTACGACTCCGGTACAGGTAGATAGACATCTCGATACAATCCCGTATCCCCCGCTAGACCACCCTATCATCCATCTCCGTTGATCTACATCAAGATACGGCCGGTCTGTCATGACCACTCTGCAGCACATCGGCCCCGCAAGCAAGGGAGGGGAGAGATTGGAAGGGAAGGATGCCCATTCAAGTGGCCTGCATTATCCCGTCGCTTTTGGAGACTCATTAACAAATGGAATAACATCAAATACGTGTTTTGACAATTCCTCTCTTCACCTATCATATTCACGAAAGAAAAATATCGATAATAATCAGAATAAAGTAGAGAGGAAAAAAAGAGAAAGAGAGGGAAAGAAGAATCACCCCACACGCAAAAATATTTTCACCTTATCCCACCTATCCCACCTATCCCACCCACGATGGATGACCCATCAAGTCTCCCAGATGGGTCCCAAGTCCAGGATCTCGTTCGCTGATTAGGGCACACCTAGACAATCCGATGCAGATCCGACGATCCCCTCCCTTCGTGGGCCATCGTGGTTTGCGGGGTCGTATCAGACTGCTGGAGAGAGGGTACACCATTTGCGGGAGTCGGTCCGGGATCATATGCGCTGATAGATGGCAAGCTTATGCATGGTGTGAGAGGGTTGGTTCTCAGCAAACCAGAGTGAGGAAGGACCGGAGTTCTGTTAGTGGGCAAAGAAACGCGATAACCGGACGTCCGAAGGAATAGAATTGGTGGATTGAATCAACTGGAGACTCTATCACTGGTTGGATTCACATGCTCGGCTATCCTGCCATTTCGGCGTGACGACAAGCTGACGAGAGATCAGTTGTTGGTAGATAAGTAGTGGTAGTGGGTAGATCCTGTCCTGCTGTGATCTCCAACGTGTGAAAGAGGCCTGGGGATTCGTCTGCTGAAAATACCGGGGTAGTTGGGTGGCTGTGCAGGATGTCGTACAGAATATAGTGAAGAATTCTATCAGGCAGTCTGCATGGCTGGATTGAGAACTAGTTGATAGATAAAACCAGGCGTTACTGTTATAAAACATCCAAACAAAGAAACATCGATTCCTATTTCGTCAATGTAATAAGAGATTTCCCATTCTGGGTGCGATGGGAATGAATGATATCAATCCGTCCTGAAGATGTTTGTCGCTCTGCAGCGAAGCAAGGAACCGAAACGTCTGTATTGTATGATACCGTCCGATAACCGTATTGCAAACCTCTCCACTACATAACATCATCGTCTCAACTCTTCTCTCCAGTAAGCGCCTCTCCAAGAGCAACGTGAGTGTACTAAGATTATTGTTAACACAATGTACTGATCCCCAGTAATCAACTCATCACATAATAGCGCCATCCGCCAAGGGAACTCCTCAGGCATCCAGTGGCCGAATGCGTTGTCAGTCCGACCAGGATGGAAACAACGGCGTAGCAGGGATGCTGATGATCTGCCATAATACCCAGCCAGATATACATACAAGCTAACCATAACGAGTTGATCGTGTAGATAGGCATGCATGTTATACGAGGGTGGCATGAGAGTATACCCATACTGTCCTATACTGTCCTAGAACAGTCACTGTACAGAGATTTGGACGCCTTACAGCTTAGTCAAACAGTTCGTCGCTCATCACCACTACCAAGTGACTAGTGGGAATTTCTAACCGGTCGATCATCATCTGTTTTAATATCAAGTATTACTATTATTATGATCTTGTCGGTAGAAATTTTCTTCCCTGGTAGAAAACAAGGTCCGGACGAAAATCCAGATCCCCGATTCACTGCTAGTATTTTTAGACCCCACATGGTTATCCAATGAAACCCAGAAATAAGGCCAGAAAACCAAAAATAAGGCCAGGAAACCAAAAAAATGAGGTAAGGAAAAAGAAGAGAAGAGTTAAAAACCTTACGATGTTCACGGTGGACATTCAATGGCTGAACGGGGACATCGACCCATCTGGCAACGTGCCAGTGGACTTTTGTCAAGATCTAAAATTGTACATCCACGGTTGATCGGGCTCGGTTGGCGGCCGAGCCAAGGACGGGCGCTGAGCCGAGGATAACATATGATATTTAATATAGAGTGTGCTATTTATTCTTGTGATGGAAGGGAAGAAGAAAATAGAAGGAACACTAACCTTGACCTGAAAGTGTATACAGTACGTAAGAAATTCTCGGGTATATTAATTCTGTTTCTGTTCTGTTTGATGGGTGGATGCAGCTATCTATGTATGTACATGTATGTGCTAGGTTTAAACACCACATCCTCTGGGGAGAGTAGGCAAATCTAGGTAGTAAATTACAGAGTAGAGTATAAACAACCTGTCACATCATTCATCCAACTCATGGGCAAGCTTTCTTGGCTCGGAACGAAAGCCGCCACAGACCGGATCGTAAAGATCCCTGTGGTTATTCTTGTCGGTATAGGTCTAACCACGATAGGCGGTGCACTAGTCCTAGTGAGTCTCGTACTACGACGAATGTAGTAATGCAGACTAATATGGACCCTGGATGGCACTGGTACCTTACCAGAGTCAAGTTGATTCAGTCTCTGTATTATTCTTAGCAATGTACTGTGTGGGATTGAATAGTACACTACACCACTATGAGGTACAGAGGTGTATTTTACGAAGATTAGTGGAACAATTCTCCTGCTTGGCCGGACTATAGTATGCCATACATATCTCTTGCGGAGATGATCAGGACATGCATCGGAAACATAACGCAGTACCCCATGACTCGGGGAGATCACCAAGATGTGAGGGTGAAGATATGGTACAGGTACTCCACAATGATTGCGTGTTCAGGCCATCGGAGCCTGCAAGGGGGCCGTTTTATCCAATTAACCCGAAACTATTGCCTCGACTCTAACAACACCAATCGAAGACCTCTATCCTGAAGATCGAGATAACCTGCGCAATTCATACATGTAAATCTACGCAGTCCCCATATCCTCCACGGCATCCGCGCGATCCCAGCTCTCAACTTCCAAAGTCCGCACCCGGCTCTCAATGTCCACAATCCGCTTCTGCCAAAACTTCTTGGCCTTCTCCTGCAGAGCCCAGGTCGCTTTGAACTGCTCCAGCATAAACGGCGGCAGCGCCGTCTTCTTGCCCTTCTTGTAGTCGTAGGTGACTAGGTCCTCGTGGACGCGCGCAGCGGGCCGCTGGCGCGCCTCGGAGAGGATGACGGCTTGGAGGTGGAAGGCGTATTGGGATGAATGCGGCGATTCGGGGTCGTACGTGAGTTTGTGGTAGACTGTGACGTTGTCGGGGTAGGTCATGGGCTGTTGTTGGTCTCGTTAGTCGATGGCGAGATAGAGAGAACCGTGGGGCGTACGAATTTATAATCGATCTTGATGCTGCGCAGGATGATCCCGAACCCTTTGGAGCTGACTAGGTCCATCCATTCCCGCTTGTGGGCTGGGTCGACGTGGACGGCGAGGTTGCGCGTGAAGTAGATTCTAGCGGTCTCGGCGTATCTGAATGCTAGGCTTAGACAAATGGTGGTTGTGTCTCAAAGTGGTGGTGATACCTCACGTAGGTGACATTGTTCACATGTCCTGGAGCCGTTAACATATGGATTTCTCCCGCGCAATTTCAATGGTTACGGGGTAGTACCCTGCTCTACAAGTTAGCCAACACCAGTCAAAGAATGAAAACAAGAGCATCACCCACCATGCTATCCTATACACACAACGCCCCGCTCAATTAGCCCCTGTACATCAATGATAACTACTCAAAAAACCACGATAGTTCATACCATCTCCCCCCAAGCAACACTCTGCCGGTACAACCCCCTCCTCGTCGCATCCGTCAAATACCCTTCACTCCCGGCAATCAACTCGCGCCAGTCCTTCGCAATCAATCGCAAGATCTCCCCCGCCTCGTGGACCTGCGCCGGCTTCAACCCAAACGTCATGCACCGGCCAATTCTGTGTTTCGTCAGCGTTAGCCATCGGGGGTCGATCTCGTGGGGTTTCTGCGGTGCGGCGGGCCGCGGTTCGTATCGTGCGGGGGAGCTCGATATGGGGCGGGTGGAGGATGTTATGGATTGCTTTAGGAGCGGAGTGAGGCGCTGTCTTTTGAGGGTCTGGACTAAATGCATTGTGAGGGTAGAATTGGCGGGGGAGAGGGGAGAAGGGAGAGGATGTGCTGCTGGGGGTGTGAAGTTGGATGTGAACCCAGGAGCTCTTGTGCTATTGCTAACTAGCTGCTTATCCGCGAGCGGGTGGTGTCGGCTAACCCCACTCCCGCTTCCCCAGTATTGTCCGCAAGGAGCATATCTCGTGTTTCAATTATGGAAGGAATATGGATTGAACGTAGGGTGTGGATGGATGTACAATCTGGTCATTTATTTGAACGGTGGGAGAAGGTATAAAGCAAGTACCTAACAGAACTAAGGTACTGGGGTACCCCATGTACGTACTATAAATATACCTTTGCAGACACTCCTACTATATCTAAGAGAATGTAGGTATAATCTAGCTCCTAGTACTCGACAACCCTTGTCTTTAAATCAATTGAGCATCCAATACATACCAAATACAAACTACACAGTTTCAATCAAAAGAGAGATTAAATCAGTCGTAAGAGTACATAGAGGAATAGGTATCTGCACCGACGTCACCGATCCCTCCCGAACAAGCCCATCCGCCCAAACAAGTCAAGTAAACCGATAATCCACCCGCTGCCGTCCGCATCTCTCCCTCCCCTCACCTCTTCTCCCTCCATCACATCTCATCCACCATCTTCTCACCTCAGCCCAACATCTCCATCCCAACCTCATCCATCCATCACTCTCGAATGGACTAACCAACAATGACGAACCCAGAACTGCGCCATCAAGTAATCAACATCTACAAAGGTACTCCATCCAAAAATCAAAAATCAAAACAAAATAAAAAATACCCCCCCGCTGACAGATTTACCTAGAACTCCTCAATATCGGCCGCGCATATCCGCTAGGTTACGACTACTTTCGAACAAGACTGCACAAGGCGTTTTCCAGCCAGGCGCATTTGAAAAATGATGACGATATCAGAAAGGGGATTGCGAGGGCGGAGTTCGTTAAGAAAGGTATGTGAAGCTTTCTTCTCCCTTGCGTCCTTTGGGTCTGGCTGACTCTTATGTGCTACAGAAATCGAGGCACTGTAAGTCGCTCGCTTTTCCCTTACTGGAGTTCCGTACTGGACGTTTATGCTATACTTTATGCACATTGAATCGTTATGCGTCATGTCATTATGTGCCAACAGCACAGTCAACTGGAACTTCCTGATGCTGATAAGCGTATCCAGGTACTATCTAAAACGATATCGCACCCTGAAACAGCGCTATGAAAACAAATAAGGCCGCCAGGAGCGTCGCACCGAGGGCGGGATAGGTGGGATATATACACATGAAAAGACAAATATAGAGAATCGGGGTATCACCAATATGAAGTGAGCAAAGGCCGTTGCTTTCCGCTTTCCTCTCCCTTTTTTTTTCAAACCACCAGCAACCAAAATCGAACAAAACAAGAATCGAATGAGTAGGAGGCACCGAAACAGAGCAGACGTCGGACGGTTACCGCTTTCGTCCCCACCAGGCGCTCACTTCCATGCATTCGCCGTTGACGAGGCCCCCTTTTTGGAACAGATCGGTCATCATGGCGGTCCACCAGCGATCCCATTCATCTCTGCTCTTACCGCTGGCTTCCATGAGCATCGGCTCCATGCCTTCGATCATCTGGATCACCGTTAGAAGGGCCGTGCGCCGGATGGTGAGCTGATCGGCGGTCAATTGTTTTCGCGTGCGGCCGCTGGAGTCCTTCTTGCCCTGACCTTCGCGCTCCCACCGCAGCTCACTTAGCGGGATGGCAATGCGACGGCTGTCGACGCCCTCCAACAGGTCGACCTCGGAGTTGAAGGACAGGCCGATGGTGGCACACGGCAGGGCCGTGAGTTTGCGGCTGTCGAACGCCGACTCCACCCACGAGTTGTAATCCCGCAGGAAACTGTTCTGCGCTCGCGTGAACGGGGTTGCGGGCGAAAATGTGTATGTGGCGGTGGCCTCCGCCGTCTCCTGCTCCTTGGACGCCATCTTGCGAGCCGGGGAGGGATTGGGCAGCAGGGATCGGAAGACCCAGTCGGAGTCCCAGACTTCCAGGATCCCGCCCGATTTGAGGACGCGCAAGGGTTCGCTCAGCCCGGACGCCTGCTGCGCAGGGCTGTAGGGACACATGCCGGCGTCCTTGATGAAGACGAAGTCGAAATAATCGTCGGGGAAGGGCAACCGAGGTTTGCGAAGGTTGTGTCGCTTAAACTGCCAGTTCACGCCACTTTTGCGCAGGTCGGGGGCCAGGGAGATGAGGTCGATGCCGTGGAAGGCGATATTGCGATGGCCTTTCCGGGCGAAGTAGTCGTGGCACAGGCTGGACCAGAGGCCCGAGCCGCATGCGATCTCGAGGACGCGCTTCGGGGGACGGTCGGCCAGGACCGGGGTGCAGAAGGGGCGGCCGAAGACGCGGATGAGCAAGAGAGTGCGCATGCTCTGGCGGTGGATCTCGGGGAGGTCGCATGGGAGGGGATAGAGGTTTTCGGGGTCGCGGAGATAGGTGCGATCGCCCTGACGGATCAACGGGTAATTGGAGTAGTCATTGAGGGAGGAGAGGGAGGAGGTCGAGGTGGCTGCCCAGGTGGGACCGGCGGAACTGATGGTGGAATGAAGGTCGGAGCCGGAGGCCATGGCGGTATAATGCCCCGTGGAAGTCGACATGATGTCTCTGCGATTGTCGAGGAGGGGCAAAAGAGAGGGGAGAGGGAGAGGGGGGAGGGGAGAGGGGAGAAGGAAGGCGGGGGGAGACAGGGTGAGGTCTATGCGAATGGTCGATCCACAACAGTTGTGGGCATATTCGAGGGGGAGAGAGCGAGAACTTTCACAGGCGCAGGATGAACCCAATTGCGACCTGGAGCATGATAGAGAGGGACAGTAAGAAAGTATAAAAATATAGAAGATAAAAATAAAATAAAATAAAAAAGCCAAGGAGGAAAACAAAGGTCGGGCAAGTGGCCGAGATAAGTTCCGACAAAGAAAGGTAGGTAGATAGATGTAGGAAATAAAACCACCGAGATAGGAGGAAGAACCAGAAGGATTGAAGTATCAAGAAGAAGAATAATAATAATAACCAACGCAAGATAAAAGTCCAAGCTCAGAGCTTAGAAATAAGGACGGGTCGAGAACCAGTATGCGACAGTAGGGAGAGTGGGAGACAAGAGCGAGAGAGCGTGTGGGAGGGAGGGAGAGAGAGAGAGACCCATGGATAGACCAAGTAGGAAAAGGAAGGAATCGGGGCCAGGGGGGGCAAAAAAAGGAAAAAAGGACGGAGAGAGGAATTCGCCGCCGGTTTTTTCTGACTACTCTTCTTTTCCCCCCTGGTCAATCAAATACTACTAACTAACAAGCCTGAAGTAAGTTAAGTGACTTAGTCGTGTCTTCGTTAAGGAACTAACTCCTGGTCCCTCTCTCGACGGGCCCTAAAAAGGGCGCCAGGGAGTGGGAAGAGGGTCTGCCTGGTCTGGTCCCCGGTATTAGCAGTATGATTCTGATTCTATTGTTCATTATTTATGGATATATTATATTATAGTATATTTATATTATTATTCTATATTATCTAGATATTCATGAAGAATATCATTCTCTACTGTACTTCTTGCTTCTTCATCAAATGTATCATCAATGTATCAAATGTATTGACACCTCACGTGGCCTGACGAACCCCACTCGACAAAGAATATGATATAATAACTGCTGCTATGCTCATGATTATGACATGGTATTATGTTGACTAATGCATATACAACTGACCCAGTCCAGATCAAACCACAGAAACAAAAGGCTACTATACGAGAAACATCCCCGATTCGACTCTCGGACCGAGTTGTCGACGCAAGTTCCCTTGAATCCAGCCCAGGGAGAATGGGGAAAGCCAGCCCAGCCGTGGGCGCGGAAGCTAACGTAGGTACCGACGGGGGGTTGGATTACTCGACCCGTTAGGAGATTAATTAATTCTACCTTTCTTCACCGAGGTTGCTTTATTTCTTGCTTCTTTTTTGTCTATTTATTCATTCTCTTTCTTTCTGTATTTTTTTTTTTTTTCTTTATTTTTCTTGTTTCTTTTTATGTGATAAATGATGACATGTATAAGTCAATGACTTCACCACTGTCATAATACCGGGTCTGGTTCCGGTCTCCCCATACACCCTGTGCTGCTGGCACGGGTCACTCGGTGGTCCCTCCAATGCCATTCGGGGTTCTGCATGGGTTTAGATTACCAAATTACCGGCGACTCATTTCGATGGCGAGGTTTTAGTATGGTTTCTGTCGTTGGGACTGGGGTCCATCCATGGATCGGGTGTCTATTTATAGTTATGCCCTTATTCAGGGTATATGGAGAGTATTATTCGGGGCATTGTTCGGACATTATTTGGGGTCTTAATAGGTGTTGAAGGGATCGTTTTTGTTTACTTGGTCTTTGTAACCGTACATAGTAGGTACTAACTATGTATATGTCCTATTAGTATTCCTCTACCCCCCTTGTCATAAACACGACCCCCTGATCTACCTGGACACTCCCGCGGTTGGGTCGATCTGTCCATGTCCTTGGGCTGCTGGCACTGACCGTCTTCCTTCGTCTCGCTGGAAGTCCCACGAGACTGGATCGTACTTTTGTGGACGGCTCAGGGGTGATCGTCGACGGATGTTGATGAGATAGTAGACACTAGACAGTAAAGTAGGCACAGTACCGATGGTGGTCCCCGTCCAGCCTCACGTGGAACCCGAGCCCCTGGAACGGACCAGGTGTCCGTCGAACCCGACTACACTGCCATGGATGCATGTATCCGGGTCAGGGTCTACGATAAGGTCTACGATAGGGAGTGAAAGTGGGCTGAATCGGGGATGGGACGTGTGGGCTGATCGTGTCTCGGGTGACCCTGATATTAGGGTGGTAGCGGTATTGGCGTTGCTTGACTGTCACTGTCAGTGTTCACACCAGACAGAACTCGATAGTTACTTCTGATGCCCGTACCCGCTTACCTAGGTAGTCAAGTGATGTTAGACGGGTGGTGAGATCGAGGATTGTCTGACTGTCGGTTGGCTTACTATAAGTCTATTGTTGGGTTGATGGTTTGTCATTCTGTTTGTTCTGAGAATGCTAGTTATACGTCAAGTAAGGAGTAAGATACTGGTCTGAGCGTCTTCGGTGCACAACAGGATGACCGACACGTGCGACTTATGTCTCTTGTGATTGAATCAGTTTTATTTGATGTCCTGCACCTCTATGCTCGTCGTCAAGATATGATCGATCAATTGGACTACTCCGTCGGTTGAGGCAGTTTGATAGTGGCGAATTCAGTGCGGGTAGGTAGATGGTAGAATGATCAGTCCATGTCTGCATCTACACATGATTGACATGACTCTGTATGATTGTAACCTGGTAGGATCCTCGTAGATAATCCCCCACTTCATCCCATCCATCGGCCACAGATCGATCGAGAAATTGACAAGGAAATCGAGAAATCGAGAAAAGCTTGGCGGTGTCGAAGGCGGCGAATCACGCGGCGGATGGCACCTCACGTGACGGCGGCGACCTCCCGCCGTCGAAGCAAACCAACTTCGCTGCAGTCCAAGTGATCCCAGAGTCGGACCTGTTGCCATCTCGAATCGCCTGTACATCTTTCTATCCACCCGGATTGTGGGCTCTGCCTTTTCTCTGATCTGTCTTCTGCCCTGGGTTCTCCCTTCTAACCTCCTTCTTCCAGTTTTATCAGTTTTTTCCTTTCGAGGGGGCACTCCGATAGACCGCCCCTCGGTGTCCTGCCGTGACTCGTTCCTTCGCTCGAATCTTCTCTCGTCCTCCCCCCCACTTCATCGGTCGACGATCGATCGCTCGTCCGATTCGGATTTACAGGGAGACGACAATCCATTGCTTTGATCGACGCCTTGGTGGTGGAATTGTTGCTACGCTACAGGAGGTGAAACCCGGAAGAGAATCTTGAATCTGGGGGTGGTTCCGCATAGGACCCCATGTTGAAGAGACGGAGAGAACGCATCCGATCCCTGATTCCTCCTCTCTCCCCTGCCACCGCGACTCCGAGTCCTGCGCTGCCGACCCTCGTCCGCTCCGCCCATCCTCCCAAATCCGATCCCGCACGGTCTCGTCTGCCACGTTAAATGGCAGATGGTACCTACAGGTTCCAGCAGCCTGGGGCCGGGCAGTTCTTCTTTCAAACGCCACAGCAACAACAGCACGCTCGACACCTGGTCCGCAACGGGACGAATTCCCCCACGGGCCGGTTAAAGTTTAGCCACGACACCCCTTCTCCCTCTCGCTCGCCCCCTCTCGCCCAGGCTGCTGCCCTCAACCCCTTCGCCATGTACGGCCAGACGCACCAGGGCCAGCACGTCATGATGAATGGCGGCCAGGCTCACCAGCGGTTTGGCATGCAGATGCCCAAATTCCAATCCCAGACGCACCACCCGCACCCGGCTCACCAAGCCCACCATCACGCTCACCACAACCAGGCCTCCCACGCCATCAACCACCAGCACAACTTTTCCAGCGGCGCCCTGGCCGCCGCCACCCCGCACTTCACCCCGGGTCACCTGCAGAACGGCGCCAACGTGGACGACGACCTGGACGACTCCATGAACGAACACTGGCAACAGCAGCTGCAACTGGCCGCCGAGTCCCGACAGGCCAGCTCCCCGCACTACTATGCCCGCGCCGTCGCCCAGCAGTCCAAGGGCATCCAGATTGCCCCCAGTCAGCCCGAGACCCAGGAGAACGGCGGGACCGGGCCGAATGGTGTGGTCAAGGCGAAGCCGGCGCCCCGGCAGGGCTGGCGCGAGCTGGACCTGGGCGGACAGGGCCTGCGCGCCCTGGCCCCGCCCATGTTCAACTATGCCTTCCTGGAGAAACTGCACCTGAGCCACAACAAGCTGAAGGTGCTCTCGCCCATGATCGGACAGCTCCGCAAATTGACCCACCTGGATCTGTCCGGCAACGAGCTCACCGAGCTGCCCGAGGAGATCGGCATGCTCACCAGCCTGAAGCAACTCCACCTGTTTGACAACAGCATCCGCACCCTGCCCTACGAGATGGGGTACCTCTACCGCTTGGAAACCCTGGGGATCGAGGGCAATCCGCTCGACGACGCGTTGAAGTCTTTGATCATGAAGGAGGGCACTCGGTCGCTGATCCGGTACCTGAAAGAGGAAATGCCAGGTATGTGGCGCCAGCCCCCCCCCCACCTTTCCTTCCCTCTGTCCTTATGCTTACCATATCTTCTTTCTCTTTTTACAGTTCATCTGCCGCCGCCTGACCGCGACTGGGTCATCTTGGATGATACCGCCAACGCCAGCACCGAGAAGATCACCGTGCTCTCCTACAACACCCTCTGCGACTCCTCCGCCACCCAATCGCACTATGGGTACTCCCCGTCCCGGGTCTTATCGTGGGAGTTCCGCCGCGATCTCATCCTCAACGAGCTGCGGTCGCACGATTCAGATATCGTGTGTCTGCAGGAGATCGACCAGCGGGGCTACAACAACTTCTTCCGGGAGCAACTCGCCTACAGCGACTACAAGGGCGTCTACTGGCCGCGCGGTCGAGCCATGGGCATGCAGGAGGAGGATGCCAAGAACGTGGACGGCTGTGCCACCTTTTTCAAGGGCAGCAAATTCATCCTGCTCGACAAGCAGGTGATCAACTTCGGCCAGACAGCGGTCCGCCGACCCGATGCCAAGGGCCAGGATGACATCTACAACCGACTGTGGCAGAAGGATCACATCGCGGTGGTCGTCTTCCTTGAGAACCGGCTCACGGGCTCGCGCTTCATCATTGTCAACGCCCATCTCTACTGGGACCCCGCCTTCAAGGACGTCAAGCTGATCCAGACGGCCATCCTGATGGAGGAGCTGACCAAGCTCTCCGACACGTACTCCAAGTGGCCCGCTTGCACCGACAAGACGGCCTTCCGGTTCACCGAGGCCGAGGGCGAACGCCAGCCGCAGACCCCGCCCGAGCCCGCACCGTCCGTGGAGTACACCAACGGAGATCAGATCCCGCTTTTCATGTGCGGCGACTTCAACTCGTCACCGGGCTCGGCGGCATACAACCTGATCCACAACGGACACCTCACTGAGGCACACCCGGACCTGGAGAAGCGGCTGTACGGCAACCTCAGCCGGATCGGCATGACGCACCCGTTCAAGCTGAAGTCGGCCTACGGGTCGATCGGGGAGATGAGCTTCACCAACTACACGCCCGACTTCAAGGACATCCTGGACTACATCTGGTACACGTCGAACACGCTGCACGTGTCGGCGTTGCTCGGTGAGGTCGACAAGGATTACCTGCAGCGGGTGCCCGGGTTCCCCAACTACCACTTCCCCAGTGATCACGTTGCATTGTTCGCGGAGTTCTCGGTCAAAGGGAAGAAGGGCAAGGTGGTCGAGGCGGATTTTGGACCGCAACGAAACTGACAGGGGTTGCCGGCGCAGAGGAAATGAAATGAAATTTGGGTCAGGGTGCATGTCGAATGGAGAAATCTCTTTTTAACGACCGATGAGACTGGTGTTTGTGTGTAGCCGGTTCTTTTTTATTTCCTTTTCCTTGTTTTTCTCTCTGATGCGATTTTGATTCTTCCCTTTCATCCTCCACATGTTTATCTCGGAATCTTTGGGGTTTGCTTTGTCTTTTCTTTTCTTTTTTTTTCTTGCCTCGCGTGTCTTGTGGGTGTTTGTTCATCTTTGTATGTGTCCTGTTGTCCTCTTGCTCCGTCTCTTGCCTCTTCCACCACCGGCCAGCCAGCCATCCCTATCCTCCCTCTCCACCCATCTCTCCACACACTGTGTGGACCACGCGCTTCCTCCTCACACCGTGAGGACAATCTTCCTGTTGGCTGGCTGTTCATTTCATTTGCTCGTATGTCCTTGCCGAAGAGGACGTGAGGGCAAGGATCTAGGGTATAAGGATCGGTCTTTCTTGGAAAGTGGTTTCAATCGGCGCGGTCGTATCGTTCGTCTTTTTCTCTCTTCTTTTCTTTTCTTTTCTTCTCAATTGCATGTTACGTCTCTTTTCATCTTCTCTCTCTTTTTCCTTCTTCTTTCCGTGTGACTCTCTCTCTCTCTCTCTCTCTCTCTCTTTTTTCTCTCATTCTGTTGTCTATCTCGCTACCTATTTGGTACATGCTAGGATCTGATTACTTTCTTCTTCTTCATCTTCTTTTCTTTATCTATTCTTCGCTATCCTTCTTATTTCATTCTCTCGAGTCTGCAGGACTTGATATACACGACTAGAAAAGATGTACATGTAAGACTGACTGAATGGCTGACTGGCTGGCTGGATTTTGCGACACTGCCTGTTGTAAGTGAGGTCGACAGTGTTGGTGTAGGCTGTATGGGGGATTGCTTTGCTGTCTTGGTTGATATCGTGGTAGGTTGGCAGTGTAGTACAGCAGAGCTAGTCATGAAAAGCGCACAGTTTATGGATTTAGCAGGGAGAAGAAGAAAAGTTGAGTATCATAGTGTATCTAGTGTATAGTGTACAGCAAGCAAGCATACAGTGAAACAATCCAAACAGATCCGTCTATTCATCTAGTAGTTAGTAGATAGTAGATATACACATATAGGTATGTTTATACCAAGGGTAATGCTATTTATAGTACATTTTGATTGAAGTGGAGGTTGGGTAGGGTATATGAAGGGTGATAGTCGTTAGGGCGCGGGTTCGGATTTGGACTCTGTTTCAGATGCAAGTTCAGATGCAGATTCGGACTCAGACTCAGGCTTAGATTCTGATGCAGATTCAGATTCAGATTCAGATGCAGGTGCAGGTGCAGGTGCAGGTGCAGAGTCAGATTCAGATCCAGACTGCGGTACAGCATCTTCAATCCTCGTCCAGAGCCCAACGAACCCGCCGCCGACGACCCGCGCTCCGACCTTAGGTCGACAGACTAGCACGCCTTCATCCGCAACAGCAGGGGAGCTCGCATCGTCAGCTTCTTCATTCGCTGACGAAGACGAAGTAGACCTCAACTCGCTGTCCTCCGGGGTAGCAGAGGACTCAGCCCACGAAGCAGGATCAGCACGGGACTTCTTCACCGCCAGACGGACATCCCACAGTCGGCCGCCGCTGATGCCAGCGCCTAGCTCGACGGCCTTCTCCATCGCGAAGGGCAGCCCCTGTTTCCGGATCAGCTGCACGCATTCGCCGATCTGGGTGATGCTGGGCGCGAAGACGATTAGCGTGCCGCCGGGTTTGAGGACGGGGGCGACGTGCGCGATGCGTTGGTCGGCGGAGGGCATGTCGAGGATGACGTGGGAGAGGTAGGGTTCGATGGTGGTGGTGTTGGTGTTGGTGTCGGTGTCGGTGAGAGATGCGGGAGAGGAGGGGGAAGAGGAGGAGAAACGTTGTTTGTTCTGCGCAGCGATCCAGTCCTCGACTGGACCGACGTGAAAGTCGACGTTCCCTGCGTAGAGGCCGCGGCGGAACCCGCGCACGACCTTTTCAGCGTGCGCGGAGAATTTCCCGGAGACGTCTACCGTGTGGATGACGGCGCGGCGGCGCTGCGTGCGCCAGGCGTCCCATTCTTGTTGCACTGCTTTCGCGGCTTCCTCCTCTTCGGTGGTTTCTTGGGTTTTGTTGGCGCGCTCGGGGTCTTCCTCTTCGGGTCTCGTGGGCCGGTCTTCTAGGTACTGGATCTGGGATTTGAATGGGATTGTTGGGGGGGCTGGGTTGGCTGCTTGGATGGTGCGCGCTAGGTGGAGGGTCAGCGAGCCGTGACCCGTTCCGGACTCGAGGATCTCCAGTGGGGGTTCATGGTCGCCTTCGGTGGGAGGGGCGACGTGGATATCGAGGAGGGAGGCGATGAGGTTCGCGTCTGGGCCGTAGATCTATTGCGCGATGCGATGTGAGTTTGGTTTTGGGGAGGGTGGAGGGAAGGTTTGCGATCCATACCGGAGTGACCTTTCGCGGAGTCAGAGTGACATATTCTTCCAGTGTTGGGTGCGTGACACGGTGGTCGATTCCTATTAACATGACTCCTTGTCAGCTTTTATTTCTTCCTATTTGTCGCCATTCCGTTATTCGACCCTCCGTGGGTGAAAGATCGACTGACCTTTGTGTGCTCGGAACCGCTCGCGCACTCCGTGGCCGATGATGGAGTCGTGGGTTAGGTGCCCCCGGGGGAGATCCGTTTTGTCCCCGCTCTTCAAGGGTTTTGTCAACTTGGGATTCTTGTGATGGATCACGACTCGATCGCCCGCTGGTATTGTAGCAATAGGTTAGTTGACGCGATTCACCGAGCAGTCGGAAATTGGGATTGAAGGGAACGGACGTTGGAAGTAGGAAAAGTTGGTGTTTATCGATCGGGAGTATTTTGGTACTGAACGCGGTAGGTTCAGGCCTAGCGCCCGCCGCAACGACTGTAACATGCGAGCCATTAGGACAATGAGGTTGAAACAAGAAATCCAGAGGAAGAGTGGAGCGGAATTGAGGCTGGTGATCTTCACCTCTATCGATCCATCCAGGAATTCTGCGGGCAGATTCTGAGCCGTCATTACCGTACCATACATACCCGGTACTCTACAATACGATGATATCAGAATCCAAGATGGCCCAAGAGGGGAAATTGAGGGATCCACTGTCGGTGACTGAATGGGTCGAGGGAATCAGGTGGACTGCTAATATTTTGGTCAGTCATGCATGCAATGGTTGACTGGCTGTCAGATCGTTGTCGACTCCATCGTCTACGTGCCTGTTGACCTGGTTGTGGGGTTTTGTTGATTTCTTGTCCCTGTTTCTCCCCCTCTTTCTCTCTCTCTCCCCGCCTCTTGTCTCTTTCATCATCTTTGAACTGTTTCAATCCCACGAGTGAAGCCCTCTATCACGCTACTCTGTCCTCACAATGGCGCCCTCTACCCTCCCTTACATGAAGACGAACCCCAAGATCATCTTCTTTACCGATTTCGACGGTACCATCACCCTCGAGGACAGCAATGACTTCCTGGTACGTATGCGCGGCCTCGTTTCCCATGCGCATGGCTAACGGATTCAGACCGACAACCTGGGCTTTGGTTATGAACAGCGTCGGGCGAAGAATATCGCGGTCCTGGAAGACCGCATGAGCTTCCGGTATGTGATGCGACGGTTTACTTGTCGGCTTCCTATCCCATGGTGCACGGCGCGCTTGCGATGACGCATGCTAAATCAACTGCCATCAAAGTGATTCGTTCCGCGAGATGCTCGACAGCGTCAAGGTCCCCTTCAACGAGTGCATCGAGACTCTCTGCAAGAACATGCGCCTGGACCCCTACTTCCTCGAGTTTTACAACTGGTCGAAGGAGAACAATGTGCCGATCGTAGTCCTCTCCTCCGGAATGAAACCCATCATCAGTGCCCTGTTCGAGAAGATGCTGGGCCACAAGCCCGACGACCACCTTGTGATCATCGCCAACGACATCGAGAGCCGCGACGGCCAGGACGTCAACAGCCCCGGCGGCTGGAAGATCAAATACCATGATGAAAGCCACTTTGGCCATGACAAATCGCTGGAGATCAAGCCCTACCATGCGTTGCCGGACAGCGTACGTCCGACCCTGCTGTATGCGGGCGACGGGGTGTCGGACTTGTCGGCTGCCTCCCAGACGGACCTTCTATTTGCCAAGAAGGGTAATGGTATGTATCTTTTTGCTTCTGTTTCTTTTCCCTCACTTCTTCATTTCCCCTCATTGATTTGCATCGTACTCACTCTCCGCAGATCTGGTCAAATATTGTGACCAGAAAGGACAACCGTATACGGTGTTCGAGAACTGGGACACGATCCTGGCCACGACGAAGGATATTCTGAGCGGCAAGGTGTCCGTCAAGAAGCTGGCTGAAGAGGCGAAGGCGTAGGAGAGATCCATGATAGAGTTATATAGACTCGATAGAAGGATAGACGGCCTTAATGAAAGAAATGAAATCAACCAAACCAATACGAGGTATTATACACACTAGTCCAGATAAGGAATCATGCTTACTAGCGCGAACCACCGAGGCTTCTACTGTCTGCCACCGCCTGCCTATCTGGGCTTCCGCCCAAAATACGGGGAAGAAACACGCTGGGCTGCCACTTTCTCTCCTTCCTTTCTTCTCTCTTTCTATCCTTCTTGCTGCTCTCTTTCGCCTGGCAATGAAATGACCGGCTGTTAGGTCTTCTCCTTAGCCATTCCCTGAATGCATATTGTGGTTCTGGTGTGCTTCATCATGCTTCAGCACCCAGCCACTTCTAATCCATCCAGTACTTCCCAGGGGCACTTCCTTCGATCATGACACGCCGACTTGTAGGCTTTCCATCTCTCCCCCTGCCCCTACCCCTGGTGGTCAAGACCCACTGATCGGCTCGGTATAGCTAATGGGGGTTTTCTTTTTCTTTTGTTGTGTGTAGGTTCGCGCGGGCATTCAGCTCGCTATCTTTGCTTCCATCGTCCTATTCCTCGTGGTGTTCTTGGACAACAAATTCCGTGTGCTACCCGACTCTATTCATGGCCACCTTCCGACTCATTACCCGGGGACGGTCGTCACCGACGTCATGGTCGTCACCTGTTCATCTATCAACGTCTTTGCAAAATGTAAACCTAAGCTGGGGACATGGGCCCAGGTGGACAAGGATCTCTACCTCCGCTCGGGCTGGACGTCCAGCGCCTACATCCAGTTTGAGCGGAAGAAAGAGCAAGACCTCCTCCCCACTGACCGGGTCGTCTTGGACTTAAGGGTCAGCCGACTTGTTCCCGAGTCGTCGGGAGACCCGAAGGAGGATCAAGAGCAGTGGGAGCCGAGACCCGGAGGGATTTGGCTCAAGCGCACCGCCAAGCGTCATGCGAGTGATTCGGGAAAGGCCGTTACCGCCATCGACGTGCTCTTCGGGGCCGATGCGGTTGACCCGCGGGCGGGCTGGGAGGTCAGGGACACACCACTGATGCTGGATGGCCGCACGGAGGAGCTCGAGGTCCGCGTCAGCGTCCGGAAAGGGGACCCGGCCAAAAATAAGAGACCGGTCCCGCGGATCAACGAGAACGGGCGGTTCAAGATCATGCAGCTGGCCGATTTGCATCTGAGCACGGGTCTGGGGGGATGTCGCGAGCCGGTTCCGGCAGAGGTCACCCCCGGCCGCAAGTGTGAAGCGGACCCGCGGACCCTAGACTTTGTCGAGCGGCTCTTGGATGAAGAACAGCCCGACATGGTCGTCCTGAGCGGCGACCAGGTCAACGGCGATACCTCCCCGGATGTGCAGAGTGCCCTTTTCAAGTCGGTCAAGCTGCTGGTGGACCGGAAGATCCCCTACGCGGCCATCTTTGGCAACCACGACGACGAGGGCAACCTCAAGCGGTCGCAGCAGATGACCATCCTGGAGGACCTCCCTTACTCCCTCTCGTCGGCGGGCCCGGAAGAGGTGGATGGGGTGGGCAACTACATCGTGGAGATCCTCGGCCGCGGGAAGACGGCCCACTCGGCTCTCACGCTCTACCTTCTCGACACGCACTCCTATTCCCCCGACGAGCGACAGTTCCGAGGATATGATTGGATCAAGCCCAATCAGATCCGGTGGTTCAAGAATACAGCCCAGGGGCTGCGGACCAAACACCAAGAATACACCCACATGCACATGAACATGGCATTCGTCCACATTCCCCTGCCGGAGTATCGGGATTCCCGCAACTATTACCGCGGGGCGTGGTCCGAGGCCCCACGGCGCCGGGATTCAACTCGGGGTTCAAGGATGCGCTCGAAGAGGAGGGCATCCTATTTGTCAGCTGCGGACAGTACGTGCCTTTTTATCCTTTAATTATTTTTTGTTTCCTAGACTGACTTATGATAGTGACCATGTCAACGACTACTGCATGCTCAACAAAGACCGCAATGACAAGCCATCGCTATGGATGTGCTATGGCGGCGGCGCAGGATTCGGTGGCTACGGCGGGTATGGCGGCTACGTGCGACGGGTGCGCTTCTTTGACTTTGACATGAACGCCGGACGGGTGATGACATACAAACGGCTCGAGTACGGTGAGATCGAGTCCAAGATCGATGAGATGATGATCATCGATGGGGCCACTGTGAAGGGACCCGAGCAGGGCCACTAGTGATACCTTTCTTTTTCTTCCAATGTACTTTTTACCGATTGATATTGATACTGCCTTCATAACATGTTGGCTTGGGCATAGCTTGAGTATAACCGACTAGTCTCGTAAATAGCTATAAGACCCAATTGCAAGGGTAGTCAAATTACTATAATAGAAAGATGGAAGAAGAAGAAGATGAAGAAGAAAAAATCACCACCACTTCTCGTAAAACACCCGCTCTTGACCCCCCAACATCCCCCCTAATACATCAACCATTTCGTCTGTCATCCGCGGCGGCCCACACACGTAGCATACAGTCTCCGCGGGCTCAACCCGTCCGGTAGCAGAGGCAAGGGCCGTTCGGAGATCGGACTCGTTGATTCTCCGTTTATGGACGCGGAGGTCATCTGCTGCTGCTGCTGGTGGTGCTGATGTGGCGCCATCTGACACAGAAGAAGTAGGTTGATCCGACGGAGAAGTCAAGAAAAGGTCAAGAGAAATGCATAGACGGCGGGAATAGGACTGCGAGCGAATGATCTGTTGGAGACGGGAGAGGAAGAGGATTTGGGAGAGGTCGGAGGTGTGTGGCTGTTTGGTGGAGTAGAGGATGTGGATGGTGAAGGAGTGGGGGGTTTTGCTGCTGTTGTTGTTTAGGTGGGAGAGGATGGAGATTAGGGGGCTTGGTTTGTTAGTTTTTCGTTTCTTTTTATTAATTGGAAGAAGGGTCTATGTGAGTGAGGGAGACGTACTTTATGCCTACACCCCCCGCAATCAGCACCACCGTCTGCACCTTATCCAGATTGTCTACGCCCGTCGGCGGCCACACGAAGCTACCTCCGACGCGGACTCGTAATTCCTGGTCTAGGATTTCGCGCGGTTCACGCCACAGCCACGCGCTGGCGGGGTTCGACGGCGCCTTTTGCACGGCGAGCTCCACGTAGGGCTGTCTGCCTTGCGCGTCGACGGGGGGCAAGCCCGTTTCGTCGTCTTCGACGCTCACGGACAGGGACTCATCCTCGTCAGCCCCATTGCCTTGTTTTGGTGAGGGCACGGGGAGGGCTGTAGCGTCTGCTGGCGTGGAGGTTATGGTGAACCCGCCTGCGTTGGCGATGGAGGGGATGTGGACGTCGAGCCATTGGCCCGGGAGGAAGGTGAATGGTTCGGACTGTGGTTTCTCTCTGGTTAGTCTGGGGGGTGATGTTGTTGGTTCTGATGGGTACATACCGCTGGAGTGTCGGAGTCTGATTCTGGATCTTGGTTTGACGGGGGTATGGCGAGTTGGAGGAGTCGGACTGTTGGGTTGATCTGTTCGATGTGCGAGAGGCGGACTGGGTAGAGGCGGTTCTGGCGGGGTTCCGCTGCTGTGCGCACTTGATGTGGCACTGAGGGCTTTCTGTGGGTTGGTGGGGAGCTCATTGGGCGGGTGAGGGATGGTGATCTGGGTGTTGATGGTGATGCTGGACCTGGTGGGGATCCCTGGTGTTGAAGGCGGAGGAGGCGCGGGGAGCGGAGATGGCGGAGAGCTTGCATCCAGAGGCGAAGTGGGTATGTAAATGTTGATGCTGACTGTTTGTTGATATTTCAGATAGAGGTGATTTTAGTACTATATATTCTCGATAGAGTGACGGGTATCTATTTGACGGACTGGTCGAATGAGTTGTTGGAGAGGTTGTTGGATGTTGGAGATGGAAGAATCCATGATGTATAAACGGGGGATCCAAGTGGGGAGTGCCGCTTCGGGTTAGTCTGGGTACCTCGACCATCATAGTAATCACTATGGTGGATCTTGTACCTTACCACTTGTCCTTGTATACTTTATAGGAGACAAGCCTTGCTTGGATGCATTAACAGAATGCATTACCCTATGTTGATAGGAGTGGTTGACTTTGTTGTCTTGTTATCTTTCAGTCTGTAGTATCTTCAAGTGGATTCTTGCCTTGTGGTAAAGCATATGGCCGTATATAGAAGCTGGGTAAATTCAAAATACCATCTGTGGTATTAGAATCATGTTAAGAGATCATATCAAGAGATCCGATTCAAAGGTCAAGATATCAAAGTTATACACATTCGAAATACCCATCATGTGACCATATGACTGTTTATCCAGTTGTGCCAGATCCCACGAGATCATCTTCTCTCTCTCTCTCTCTCTCTCTCTCTCTCTCTCTCTCTCTCTCTCTCTCTCTCTCTCTCTCTCTCTCTCTCTCTCTCGCCTATCCTCACTCTAACCTCCTCCATCTGGACATCCTCCGATATCCACCAACTATCTCACAGATACGATAGTCACTGGGAACGCTTAAACTTGTCACCTCGAGTCAAGCAGATCTCCATCGCCAAAGAAGGCAAAACCAAAAATTAAGAACAGTTTCCTCCACTAGTATATGCAAGACCTCAAATCAATCACAACAACCAGATCCCAACCCCACTCCACCTGGGCGCTTCGATGGCCATTTGCACTCGAACTCCCCATCCCAGCCAGTCACACAATGGTCTGGTCAACCATGCAGATCGGGCGGAGTCATCACACGGGTTAGTGTGTGACGACCGGCTCCCGCCTTCTCATTGGTGATCTACCCCCCCGGTCGCTGTCCGTGACGGGCGCTTTCTCTCCCTCAAGCATTGGCCAGATGCACCTCTGGGAAACATGCAACCATCCCTTCGCTCCAGCTCACTGGTCGCTTCCCTCTCCTGGAGGGGACGCCCCTCTCCGGATCCCGGACATGCCTGGAGACCTGCAACCCTGGCCGTCCCGGCATGCTGAGCGCCATATCTACGACGCCTGCCGTCCGGCAGATCTTCGCAAACCTTTTCTTTTCAACGGCCATCCGTCCTCCTGCTTCTGTGCTGCCATCCGAGCTTGGCTGTCCGATGCGACTGAGTTGAACGTTCTGCCAGCCGGCCTGGCCCCGTCCACAGATAGAACCGCCGAGTCTCACTGAACCTCTCTCCTCGACCGCGACCTCCCCACGGTGTCTCCTTGAGTGCCTTGGTGAATTACAAGGACGCTGCGAAGATGCCGTTTTACTTCCCTCGAACGTGGCGCAACCACAAGCTGGTTTACATCTTGATGGCTATTGAGCTGCCTCTCACAATCATCATTCTGACCTTCACTGGCATCGCATCTCACGACCTCTACCGCACCAAATTGTGGCAGGATGGCGCCGATAATGGTTTCAATAGCAACCCGGACGAGGCCCTCTACGCTGCAGCCAACTACCGGCCATATAAGGCACCTATGGTGTGGAGCAACTTGTACGTGGCCGCCCTTTGATACACACCCACCTTCTGCGTACAAGTCTTTGCTGACTGGATTAGCATCACCGAATATAACCTCGTCCTGGGCGTCCTCAGCACGTTTCTCTTGATCGTCAAGTTCGCCACTCATGCTCTGCACCTCTTCTATCCACCCGTGTCCGTGCTCATCCACCTGGGGCTGATCGCCGTCTACATCGTGTCGGCAAGCGGCCAGGCAGGCAGCGATACCTCCGACCCCGCTCACCCCCAATCGGGTCCGCCCTGGTACCTCACGAAAAGCTGTTCCGTGGCCAAGAACTCGGACGTGGGCGCATACTGCAAGCAGGCCAAGACGCTGTTTGCATTTACCATCATCATCATGTAAACCACAGCCTTATCGAGCACCCCATGAACCTCAAGCTGACACAGTTTCGTAGGGTGTTCTATGCCGTGGAGTTCGGCTTCAGCGTGCATTCGTGCTTCGTCACCGAAGAGGAGAAACTCGAGCGGGACGAACGCCGCGAGGAGAAGAAGACCTGGAAGGAATACGAGGAGATGGCGCTCAATTCGCCCGCCGTAATACCCCCCATGAGCCCGGCCTACAGCACTGGTGGCCCGATGAGTCCCGGCTTCCCCGGCATGCCGTCGACGACACCGCGCAGTCTGGCCTTCCACCGCCTCGACTACGAAACTGGGTCGTCGGACCTACCGCTGCGCAACAACGGCAGTCCCCAGCGTTCACCATCCTCGATGCAGCAGGAGTCGGATGAGACCCTGAGCCCGGCCATCCCGGTCCAGGCTCCAGGCCCGATTTACTTCCCGCCGCCGCCGAAGAAAGCAGCCAAAAAATGAACTTTCTCTATTGGTGTAGTCGTGGTGACTGTTTGTAGCTGTTAGTCAACCAATACACATTATCCAGCACCCTCACCGGTCAGAGCGTGGATGCGCTTTCCCCTCCCTTTGATATTTGATCTTGAGCGATTTGATATGATTATTACACTATACCATTCATGGCGTCGCAACTGTCGACAGTACCTAGTTCAATCACAAGTTCTTCCATTCCTTTTTCCTTCTCTTTTGCACACCCACTCTTAACCCTGGCACCAAGAGGATAATATCCCATAATCACACCCTATGAACATGTATAGATGATTTAATACCGAGACCTCCCGTCTATTGACATAATATTCCCTAATCACGGTCATGCAATTCGCGAGGAGAAGAGGACCACATAGCAGGGTTATCATAGAACCAAGTTAAGCCCTATTCATATCAAGCAAGTTTTGAAAAAAAAAAAAAAAAGATAGGAGAAGAGGAAGATGATAAAAAAGAAGAAGAAGGAGAAGATCAAAAAGTAGAAGGACAAGAAGGAGAAGAAGGAAAAGTAAAAAATATATATATAATCCAAGAACCCTATGATATGATATATAAGACAGTCGAAGAAGGTAGGAAGGCAAGAAAGGCTAACTATCTAATCAATCAAACACAGAGAGACAGACAGACAGGCAGGCAAGAATAACAAGCAAAGGGTATTAAGTATGGGAACGGAATACCATAAAATGCAGGAAAGGGGCGGATTGAGGATCCGTCATGGGGAGTGGAGCGTAGTGAAGCTGAAGCGTGGTGTGGTATACATAGGTATACATATACATATGCATCAGAGAGTATAGATAGGAGGGGTTAGCTGTCTTGTCGTCTCTTTTCCCTTTTTGCCCAGCGTACTGTGATTGTTTTGGTTAGCTAGTGTTCTGGGAACAAATGTAGGAAGAAGGAAGGAATGATAAAGGAAGGAGCGAAGAAGGAAAGAAGGAAAGAAGGAAAGAAGGAAAGAAGGAAAGAAGGAAAGAAGGAAAGAAGGAAAGAAGGAAAGAAGGAACATACACCCACACGCATTACACAGCGTCTTCGGACCCTCAGGTCCCCTCCGCCACTCCGGCGAGTCAGACGTGCCGCAGTCAGTGCACATGTACTCGCCCTTGGAGCGCTTCCGCCGGTCAGGGTCCAAATCGTCCTGCAAGAGTCGTCCGCTGTGCAAGCCCGTACTCAGACCCTGCGACCACTCCCCGTTTCGGTAGTACAGACCCGTCATGACCTCCACGCCATCGATGTGGGCCATGTTCTCGGCGTGCTCTTTGCGCGCTGCGGCCTGCGACAGCAGCGTGCGTTGGTCGGAGTCGGAGTCGTCGTCTGCGCTTCCTTGTGTGTCTGATGATTCGGCGTCTTCGTTGGAGTTGGATCCCGTCGCTTCGCGGCCGGAATTGCGAAGGGATCTCCTTCTTGGGTGGGGTTGGGGGGCTGGTAGCTGGGTGGAGGGTTGTGAATGTGGACTGCTACTGGTGTCGTTGCCAGAGGACCATAGCTGTTGTTGTTGTTGCTGCTGTGCCGCGCGCAAGTCCTCCTCTTCCTCTTGCTTAAGCTGCGCGACGCGCTGGTGCAAGCGGATATTCTCGATCTTGTGTTCAAGAAATGCGTCGAGGAGTTGCGTGCTGCGCGTGGGATAGGGTCGACAAATGAGAAAGACGCCATTGCAGGTCTCCGGTTGGGAGCGGGAGTCCACGGGGTGGCTCAGATGTGGATGCCCGCAGCCCTCGACGACGCAGGGCTTGTTGTCCGCCCGGTGAAAGCGGAAATAGCAGTGGAAGGGACGAGATTCCGCAATGCACTGTTGGAGCTCGCGGGCGAACATTTCGCGGTCGTCGTCGTGAATGAAGAGCGACAGCGGGCTGCCTTGTAGCCGGGAGGGCTCACATCCGGCGACGTCAATGGATGAGGAGGAGGCGTATAGGACCCGACCGTCGCGCGTGAGTAGCAGGAGCATGTCGCTCATGTCGTCCAGCACCCTTTGAGACCATGGTGGATCTTGTGCGGAGTGGTTTGCGGCGGCGGGAGAGGCCGCTGGGGAAGGACTCGGGGGCAGCGTGAGGCTCTCCGGCATGGAGACATTGCCAGCCATGCCATACGAGCCATGACCCCCGGCGTGGGGGACACCACTCGGGTGTGTGTCGCTGTACATTCTAGCCGGAGAAGGATGATGCTGCTGCTGCTGCTGCTGTTGCTGCTGACTTTGGGTTGGACTATGGATAGTAGTAGTGCCCCTGTCCCAGTCGCGAGGCATGAGTTCCATCGTGGGGTTAGACAGGACCACCGCGCAAGACCACAGGCTGAAGTAAGATGCGCATCAGGGTGATTGGACCGAGGCACGAAGGGATTAGGTGGGGATCAAAAGTATTTGGGAGATTCAGATAGACGAAAAGGGAGAGAGAAGTTCAGGATGTGACAGATCTCATCTATGAGATCCATGTCTCATTGGCGATCTCCTCATTTCGGTCCTTCGAGGGAATGGGAGGGAGCTGTCAGATTCTCCCTATTTCTGTTCCCACTGTCAGGTAGCGCCCCACAGCTGAGCATGGCGGACCCGCTTGGCTTCCTGTCCGTCGTTTTGCAGGATCCAGAATGCTCCGAATGAGATTCTCGCGACCAGAAAGTGGATTGAACGATCCTCAGGAATAAGGCCATGGCCTGACGTCATCGGTTCCTGCCTCAGGCGTATAGAGTGTCAGGCCCCAGGCACCCGCACACGTGACTGCGCGCCGGTCTTCCCCGCGTCGTCGCGTCTTCTTTTTCTGTCTCCATCATCATCTTCTGTTCTCCTCATGGCTTAATCTTCCTGAGGTGTTGAGCATCCCAGTGGAAGTCATTCATCATGTGAGTAGTTTATTTGGATCAATTCCAACATCCCACTATCATCACACATCGTACTGATCGACATTCTAGGTGTAAGTCAAGCCCGTCCCCACCTCATGCGACCTCCGATGCGGGGACGCCGTGCCATCCATTGTGACTGAACCCTGTCTCCAGCCAAGATCGATAAGCTTTCCATCTTAGGGTATTCAATCTACTCTCATTTCCCATTCAATGATTCTCTCTGATGTGGAACTGACATCCCCAGAATCCGCTCTTTCGACAACACACGCAGCGAGACCATCCAGTTCCATACTCCCCTCACCCTCATCGTCGGCTATAATGGTTCTGGGAAAACGGTGCGGATTCCCCTCCATCGAAATCGAAAAAAAATATAGAGATGGAATGGAAGAAGAGAAGAGAAAGAGAAGCTCCCATTAACCCAACCATAGACCATCATCGAGTGCCTCAAATATGCCACCACCGGAGACCTCCCGCCCAACAGTAAAGGCGGTGCCTTTATCCATGACCCCAAGGTAGGCCCCTTCATTTGCTTGATAGATGTCAATATGATGATATGGTGGCTAAGAGCATACCGGATATAGCTATGCGGAGAAAAGGAGGTCCTGGCGCAGGTGAAGCTCTCCTTCAAGGGTACCTCGGGGGCCAAGATGGTGGCCACCCGCAGTCTCCAGCTCACCGTCAAGAAGACGACCCGCCAGCAAAAGACCCTCGAGGGCCAGCTGCTGATGGTGAAGGATGGTGAACGGACGGCCATCTCCTCGCGCGTCGCCGAACTGGACCAGATCATGCCTCAGTATCTCGGAGTCTCCCGCGCCGTCCTCGACTCCGTCATTTTCTGCCACCAGGATGAGAGCCTATGGCCCATGAGCGAACCCTCCGCCCTGAAAAAACGATTCGATGAGATCTTCGAGGCCATGAAATACACCAAGGCGATCGACAACATCAAGGTCCTGCGCAAGAAACAGAACGAGGAGCTGGCCAAATTCAAGATCATGGAGCAGCATTCCAAGGAGGACAAGGAAAAGGCCGACCGCGCTGAGAAGCGGTCCATCAAACTGCAGGATGAGATCGAGGCCCTACGCGATGAGACCCACCAGCTGTCCCAGGAGATGCGGCGCGTCGCAGAACTCGCGGACAAGGCCTGGACCGAGTCCGAGACTTATGCCCAGATCTTGGGCGCCCTAGAGGGTAAACGGATCGAAGCCAAGAGTGTCCAGGCTACCATCGACAACCTGCAACGCCACCTGGTCGAACTCGACGACCCGGATGAGTGGCTCGAATCCAACCTAGAGCAGTTCGAGTCCCGCCAGATCCAATTCCAGCAACAGGAAGAGGCCCAGAAGGAGAACTATATGGCGCTCAAAGAGCGCATCGAGAGTTCGCGGCAACGGCTGGGAGCCAAGCAGGCGGAATGCGGGAAGTACGAGAACGACCAGGCCAACTTCGAGCGGCAGGTCGAGCGGCGACAGCGGTTGACCCAGGAGATCGCTCGCGCCAACAATATCCGCGGGTTCGACAGTATCCAGGACCAGGCCGAGGTCGACGAATTCATGCACAAGATCCGCAAGCTGTTGAAGGATCAGAACCTAGCGTTGGACCGAGCCAAACGGGACGCACAGAGCGAGCTGCGCGAAGTACAGGCCACCCTCAACGAGATCGGTCAGCGCAAGTCCGCGTTGCAGGAGAGCAAGAATGCCGCCAAACGGCAGATCGCAGCCAATGACCGGGAGGCAGGCTCCTACCAGGCCAGGCTCGACGAGATCGACGTCGACGAAGGCGTGCAAGCGGCCCTGGAGGCTAACGTCGAAGATGTCGTGTCCCGCTTGGATCAAGCCAAGGCGCGGGCCCGGTCGGCCTCGTGGGACCAGGAGATTCAGACCATGAACGCCGAGATCCGCAACCTCGAAGACGAGAGCACGCGGTTGAACGCCGAACTCATAGACGCCACCAAGATGGCCGGGGATCTTGCTCGCCTGGACCATCTCAAGAAGGAGCTGAAGGAGCGTGAGCGCAGCCTCGATACCATGAAGGGCGCGCACGGCGAGCGCCTGGCCAAGCTGATCAATTCTGACTGGCAGCCACACTCGCTCGAGCATGATTTCCAGCGCACCCTCGATGAGGAGTCCCGAGTCGTCTCCCAGGCCGAGCAGGAGCGCGACACCGTGAGCCGAGACCTGGAACAGGTGGAATTCAAGCTAAAAAATACGCGAAAGATGCTGGCTCAGCGACAAAAAGAGCTCCAGGAATGCGTCGAGGAGATCCGCGAGGCCGTGGATGACGAACCGGAGGAGTATCCGGAGATTGTCCAGCAGCGACAGGCACAGCTTGAGATTGCGAGAAAGGACGCCGAACAGTATGCTGGCGTCGGCGAGTATCTGACCAAGTGTCTCGACACTGCCAAACAGGCCAAGGCGTGCCGGATGTGCAGCCGAGGGTTCCGCAACGACAGCGAACTGCAGGCGTTTAGAAACAAGCTAGAAGCCCTGGTCAAGAAGGCTCGACAAGACATCGAGGACGAGGAACTGCGCAACATGGAGGAAGATCTCAAAACCGCACGGGCGGCGAACACCGCTTACGACATGTGGTCTCGCCTGGGGAAAACAGACATCCCCGAGTTGGAAAAGGAAGAGGAGCTGTACATCTCTCAGCGGGATGCGCTTCTCACCCGGGTGGAGGAACACGACCAGAAGGTGGGCGAGAAGGCCGAGAAGAAGCGTGAGGTGGAGGGCCTTTCCAAGACCGTCAACACTATAATCCGATACGACGGCGAGATCACAAGCATCCGCTCCCAGATCCAAGATCTCTCGTCCAAACAAGAGAATCCGTCAGGGACGCGCACCCTGGAGGATATCCAAGAAGAGATCGCCTCCCTTGGAGAGCGGTCAAGGAAACAGAAGCAAACGCTGTCCAAACTGACGCACGACCGAGAGCAGGCCCAGGCGGAAATCAACAGCCTGGAACTGCAGTTGCGGGACGTGAAGAGCAACCTCGACAACACCCGGTTCCGGCTCGAGAAGAAAGCCGACCTCCTGACGCGCCTGGAGGAATATAAGAACCTCAACAGCCAACAACGCGACGCCATCACCAGAGCCGATCAAGAAATTGAGGCTCTCACCCCCGAGCTGCTTAAGGTGCAAGCCAAATACGACGACATCAGCCAGCGTGCGGAGGCGCGGGAGCGCGAAATGCAGCAGGGCATCTCGCAACTATCTGAAAACGTGCGCCAGCTGGGACTGGCGAACGAGGAAATCGACTCGTACAACGAACGAGGCGGCCCACACCAGCTCGAGCGGAGCCAGCGCGAGCTGCAGACGATCGAACACGAGATCGGTGATCTCGAGGCCGAGCTGGGCACCATCACCCGAGAGATCAACAAGATCTCCGCGCAGCTCAAAGACAGCGAAAACACCAAGCGCCAGTACGCAGACAACCTCACGTACCGCCAGGCGACGCGGGCGCGGGACGCCGTGACGGCGGAGATCGAGCAGCTGGCCGCGCAGAATGCGGAGGTGGACCGCGGCCGGTTTAAGGAGGAGTCCGAGCGACGCACGCGCGAGCACAACGCGCTGGCCGCCAAGCAGGCCAGCAAGATGGGCGAGATGAAGTCCAAGGACGACCAACTCATGCAGCTACTAGCAGACTGGAACACAGACTACAAGGACGCGGCGTCCAAGTACAAAGAGGCCCACATCAAGGTCGAGACGACCAAGGCGGCAGCCGACGACCTGGCGCGATACGGCGGAGCCCTAGACAAGGCGATCATGAAGTACCACGGGCTGAAGATGGAGGAAATCAACGCGATCATCGGCGAGCTCTGGCAGCGCACGTACCGGGGCACCGACGTAGACACGATCGCCATCCGCTCGGACAACGAGAACGCCAAGGGCAACCGGTCTTACAACTACCGCGTGTGCATGGTCAAGCAGGGCGCCGAGATGGACATGCGCGGCCGCTGCAGCGCCGGCCAGAAGGTGCTAGCCTGCATCATCATCCGACTGGCGCTGGCCGAGTGCTTCGGCGTCAACTGCGGCCTGATCGCCCTCGACGAGCCCACTACCAACCTCGACCGCGACAACATCCGCTCCCTGGCCGAGTCGCTGCACGAGATCATCCGCGCGCGCCAGCAGCAGGCTAATTTCCAGCTGATTGTCATCACCCACGACGAGGATTTCCTGCGCCATATGCAGTGTGGGGATTTCAGCGATTATTATTATAGGGTTTCGCGCAATGAGCGGCAGAAGTCTATTATTGAGAGGCAGTCTATTGCTGAGGTACTTCCCTTTTCCCTTGGTATTGTGTTTGATGTGGTACTAATTTGGTTCAGGTTATGTGATATGATTCTTTCGTTCTCTCTTTCTTTCTTGCCTTTATACAACCCACAGGGCTGAAGTCGGTGTACTATGTATCTCGACAGAAAGCGAATGTACAATAATGCTTGTCTACGGAGTTGCATGGATCTGGCGTTGTAGGATATTGATTATATGAATGAGACAGAAATAATATATTCCCCTGACTCCCAGCATGTAGGAAACAACGACTAGACTACCGTAGTATGTACAGTTACTCAAATCCCCCACCCTCCTCCACCTCCAAACTCTCCTCATCCAACAACGGCACAAAGCGGAAATCCACAAATGACACCGTATTATTGCCCGTTTGTCTCTGCCCTCCTCCTCCACCTGCAATACTCCCACCAGCACCTCCACTGCCCCCACCAGTAGCAGCATATGAGGAAGTATTCAAAGAATTGGAAGAATGAACAACTCCCAGCGCATCAAACTCCACCATAAACTGCAAACTCAGCACCCCCTGCCGATCCCCGCGGATACTCACCTTATTAGCGACGGCCATCGCGCGCGCGGCCTTTTGGACCAGCGCGAACTTGTAGTCTTGGCGGAGGCGCGTGCCCATGCTGGAGGGGGGGCTGACGAGGAAGGTCTCTGTTACTGTGGGGGCGAGTTTGGATCGTGTGGCGCGGGCGCGGGATGTGCCGTCGTCTGTGAGGGTTTTGTGGTGGGTTTGGCCTTGTTGAGTGGTGTTGGTGGGGGTGGTGTGGTGTTGTTCGATGGAGAATTCGACGGAGGATTCGCTAAAGGGGCCGCCGATGCCGGTTAGGGAGAAGTATGGTTCCTCTGTGGCGGAGGCGGAGAGGCGGAGGATGGTGGGGTTTGTGCCTGAGAGCTCGGAGACGGCGTTGTGGAGCCAGGCGGAGCGCATGATGATTTTCATGGCGATGGCGTCGCGCTGGAGGGGGATGTCTGCGTCGGCGGCGAAGGCGTCGGGTTCGTAGGTTGTTAGATCGCAGGTTGTTTTGACGCCTGTCTCGGAGAGGGTGATGCTGAGGGGGGAGCCGTCTTGGAGGTATTGCAGGGTGCAGGAGCGGTCGAGGAGGAGGGCGGGGGCAGTGAAGGCGCTGGAGGAGGGCTGTGCGCTTGGGGCGCGATTGCTGGGCCCGGAGCCTGCTAGGGCGGTTGATGGGGAGGGGTCGTTGACGCCGAAGATCTTGAGCGTCTCGAGGAGGGCCGTCAGGGAGACCATGAAGCAGGGGTAGTAGGTTGCGTCGGGGTCTTCTGCGCCTGCGCTTTCATCGTGGAGGGGTTCGTGGTCGGGATCGAGGGGCGGGTTGAAGGTGTAGCTGGTGAAGAGGGCTTTGTCGAGGAAGGCCAGGCCCTGCACCACTCTGCTTTCTTCGGCAGAGAAGCGGATTCCGTCTGGGGTGATTTGCACTGTGGCTTTGGAAGCGAAGCCGATGCATTGTAGGAGGGTGTAGAGGTTGTGGGCGTTGCTGGAGACCGCCGAGAAGATGGGCTCGCTGGTGGGCATGGTGGGTGAATTAACGGAGAAGGTAGCGGGAAAGAAAGAATTTCAATTATCCACTCTGCGAGGTATGGTACATGGGGGGGATATCGAAGGAATGACGCGAAGAAAGACGGATTGAGAGCCTCTAAACGTAGACGCCGACGGCACAGATCATGAAAACAGCTCCGAAGCTGGCCAGAAAATGTGATTAGCGAACGAATGGAGGTCAGGTCTGAGAGTAGCTTACCCAAACGCCAACGATGCCGGGACACCGAACGAGACAATGCTCGCTAAGGAACGGTCTATCGAGAGTTAGATAGGCGGATCGCATTGATCCATGAGATCACCCACTCAGTCCAAACAGGCCAGTCAGAATAAAAGCTACACCCGTTAGCTATCAATTCCCATCATCACTCAAGGGATCCATACCTGCGAACAACAGAGAGAAGCCCACGACGAACTGATTGTCCTTGGAAACCAGTGGAGCGTAAGGGCTTGCGGACGCTGCCTCCCAGATCTCGTTCAGCGACATGAGTGAGTAGTGGTGATAATAGAATGTGGGAATTGAGTCAATGGAAGTGATAGCGAGGAAATGGAGGAGAGAGGAGAAGGAAGAAGTATGAAGCTATTTAGACGATCTGGCCCGATGACGCGCGCCGGATCAAGGTTCAGCCGAGGTTCCCCGTATTGCCGCTTTATCTCCCATTATCAGCCAGTCGATCTTCGTCGCGATAGTCTTCTGTCCATTTGAATTACTTTGAAACTGCCCCCACCATGGCTGTCACGGCCTCGGAGAGTAAGCTTGGACTGATCGCGGTCTCTGGTACTGGTTATACTTACTGATTCAGGTCCAGATCATAATAAGCGAAAGGCGTCGGAGGAGTCCCCCTCCCCGGATTCGCAACAACAGATCAAGAAAGCGCGCACCGACTCTCCGGAGAAAGAACTCCAGGTATGATTTATTCGCACTTTGATAAGGTGTAATAGTCGGACAGATACTAACACCTACAAGTCGGAAGATGGGCTGTTGGACAAACCGCCACTGAAGATCGTCCCCTTCCCCGAGAAGGTGAGAGATCCCGCATCCCGTCTATCGCGCGACGGCGCTGACCTCATTCCCAATAGCCGGCCGTGTTGGAGGAACGTCGAGGCGAAATCGAATTCCGTGTGGTCAACAACGATGGTTCCCATGATAGTTTTGTCGTCCTTACGGGGTTGAAGTGTATCTTCCAGAAGCAGTTGCCCAAAATGCCCAAGGACTATATTGCTCGGTTGGTCTACGATCGGTCGCATCTGTCTATTGCGATCGTCAAGCATCCGTTGGAGGTCGTCGGGTATGTATCATAGGATTGCGCGTGTGACGGTGGTAGCTGACGAGGTGCAGCGGGATCACGTACCGGCCGTTCAACAGTCGCAAGTTTGCGGAAATCGTCTTTTGCGCCATCTCGTCCGATCAGCAGGTCAAGGGTTATGGTGCGCATTTGATGTCGCATTTGAAGGTCTGCTCGCATCATAACACATGAAACCGAGAGGGTGTCGAGGCTGACCACCGCTACAGGACTACGTGAAAGCGACGTCGCCCATCATGCACTTTTTAACCTACGCCGATAATTACGCCATTGGATATTTCAAGAAACAGGGATTCACCAAGGAGATCACACTGGACAAGTCGATCTGGATGGGATACATCAAGGACTACGAAGGCGGTACGATCATGCAGTGCACGATGTTACCCCGGATCCGATACCTCGAGGTTGGACGGATGCTACTCAAGCAGAAGGAGGCCGTCCACGCCAAGATCCGGGCGTTCAGCCGCTCCCACATCATCCACCCACCGCCGAAGGCGTGGAAGAACGGACCGGTGAAGCTCGATCCGCTGAGCATCCCGGCGGTCAAGGAGTCCGGGTGGTCACCGGACATGGATGAGCTGGCGCGGCAGCCGCGGCATGGGCCCAACTACAACCAGCTGCTGCACCTGCTCAACGACATGCAGAACCACAGTGCGGCGTGGCCGTTCACGCAGCCGGTGAACCGGGACGAGGTGCCAGACTACTACGAGGTGATCAAGGAGCCGATGGACCTGTCGACTATGGAGGAGAAACACGAGAAGGACATGTACCCGACACCGCAGGACTTTATCAAAGACGCCATGTTGATCTTTGACAATTGCCGACGGTACAATAATGAGAACACGCCGTACGCGAAGAGCGCCAATAAGCTGGAGAAGTTTATGTGGCAGCAGATTCGGAACATTCCCGAGTGGTCGGTATGTTAAACTTTCGCCTTTGCATGGTGTGGGCTAGAGGTGAACTAACTCTTTTCTTCTACACTAGCATTTGGCGGATGGACATTGATGATGGATGGATGGTGATTTTATGGGATGGGAGGGAGTCGATGGTAGCCTGGCGTTTTATCTTTCTTTCGGTCTGTTTTGGGTTTGCTTTAGTATTGTTTGTTTGTATTTGGTGTTCTATTTGTGTCATGATCCAATACCCCCGGCATAGTGGAGCCTTTCTTGCGGCGAGTGGAGAGCAAGGGATATGCAGTGATCCTTGTACACACCGTGGGTTTCGAGTACTCCAGAGTCATAACAGAATCGATCCACGTCTGATTTAGTTCTCACCGGTAACCGTTACCTTATCACATGGAGGATCGACCGCGATATTAAACGGGGCGAGGGAGGGCGCGCATCCCCTTGCATGATAGCAGGGCATGTCAAGAACGTGGATGGATCGACGGCGAAAGTGGATCGATCATTTCGGTTATTAAATCCACCGGTCCGAAGGCTGCAGAAGAAGGAAATAAGAGAGAAAAAGAGAGTAAATCGAGACGTTAGAGAAATTAAATGAAAAACTGATATGACAGCCTTAGGCAGCCATCGTCTCCTTAGGCCAACCACCAACACTTCATCCTTTCATTCATCTCATCTTCTTCTTCTTCTTCTTCTTCCTCTTCCTCTTCTTCCTCACGTCCTTCTTTTCTCCCCGACCTCCTGGATGGATCGTCTCCTTCCTATCTAACCCCAGTTGTGTGTTCTACCAGCTGTTCTCTCCCCATCTTCAATTCTGCAATTCTTTCTCTTCTTTACTGGTCTCCCCTCGCCAAACTATCCACCGACCGACCCCCCTCCTCCCTCTCTCCCCTTCTCGGATCGTTCCACAAGGGAGACTCCTGACTTGGACAGGCTCCAATCCTTCAATTATTCTTTTCAATATTTTTTTTTTCTGCTTTTTTTCTTGTTTATTTTCTCCCTCGTTACTATTTTCCCGCCCAGTCATTCCTTAAGGAATCCGTTATAATCGCCGCGGTCCTCCCCGATACCACCGGATACCTCCCGACCTCCTATTCTCGGCGCCACTCAACCGACTGAACCGACTCAATCGAATCACTCATTCCCCGCCATTCGACGCTCTCCACGCACTCGTTCGACTACGACTCAAGCGGTGGTCCCTCCCGCCGAATTCCTCCACCATGGCGTCCCCCTCGATGATCGATCTGGAACAGCGGAATCGCTTACCGACCCTGTTCGAAGTCCTCAGCCGTCGCACCCTCGCCCCCGTCGATCTCTTCTCCTTCTACATTTACATGCGGGATCAAAAGCGCTCGGTCGATTATCTGGATTTCTGGTAGGATGGTTCCCCCTTCCCATCGTCTTCTTTGTCTAACCGTAGGCCGTAGGCTCGATGTCTCCCAACACATGTCCCTCTGCCGCCATTACGTGCGCGAACTACGTCGATCCGTCTTAGTCGCCACTCCCGATCTGGAGAAAGCCGACAGCAAGAGCTCCACGGCCGCCCTTGAGATGCTCGAGAAGCTCGAGAGCTTCAGTGAAGTCCCCTTGGCCGAACCCGGCCCCTCGAATTTCCCGAACCGCTTCAACGATGTGGAGGAGAAGGACTCTGATATTCGGCTGTCGGCCTTCTTGCGCTCGGAAGGCCAAACTCCCGGCCATTCGCCGCAGAATAGCTTGGGTTCGGTGCACAACAACAACATGTCCCAACCCTCCTCCAACGAGCAACTGCCCCGGGACAGCTCGGGCACGCGCGCCGACTCCCCGTCGCCCGGGCACACCGTCGCGCGCGCCGACATTCGCGCCAGCGCGGAGAATGTTCTGTACACCTACCTCCTACCGGGGCCGAGCGCGAGATCGTCTTGCCCGAGGAGATGGTTTCGTCCATCATCAACCTGGTGGAGGACGACGGTCGCGATGACCCCGAGGTGTTCGATCCCGCCAAGGACTACGTCTTCCAGGCGATGGAGCGCGACGCGTTCCCGGGGTTTTTGCAGGCCAAGGCCCTGGGGAACCTGGTCCCGCTGAGCATCGTGGCGCGCCTGGCGGTGGCGCTCGTTAGTTTCGGGGCCGGCTTCTGGGGGGCTTTCTATGTGGTGCTCCGCGATCAGCCGAAGCACATTCGATGCTGGGTAAGTCCTCTGGTTCGGGGAATGTGGAGGTTCAATGCTAATGGTGTACAGGTGATTTTGCCATTTGTGGTCGCTTCTTATTTCCTGGTCTCGTACCAGTACAAGATCGATCCGATGTTGGCAGTCCTGGGGTACAGCGAGTACACGTTCATGACCTGGTCCCCGATCCGGGAGCCGTACGTACGGAAACTGCTGAATAAGCGCGCGTTGGCAACGATGATGATTGCGGCGTTTGTGGCGGCCGCGCTCAGCATCTTGTTCATCTTTGTGCCGGGAACGATGCTCTAATCTTCCTTCTCTCTATCTCACTCCACCTCACTCCCTATATGTTTCCGTGATTGACTGATTGATTGATTTGTTATGGTGATGGTGGATCTCTCCCGATCCGACAGTGTTCATATAATCTTATACTCGACTCCAAGCGTCCGCGTCGTGATCTGTCCATACTAACCTGCGTTCTTTATTCTTTTTTTCCCTTTCTTTCTCTGTCGAATTTCTCTTCGGACAATACCCCTTTTCTGCAACCATTGGCATGTATGCTCCACGATCCTATCTTTTCTTTCTTTCCATATTTATCTGTTGATTTCCTTGATGTTTCCTTGTTATCTCCTTGTTTATTTCTCTGTGCTAGTGACATCGTACCGGGTAATTGACTATCCACGAGCCTCTTAATGTGAAATACCTTACCAAAAAAAAAAAAAAATACAAGTAAAAAGTCTCCCATGAGGAATGGCATCACGATTCGTAACTAAAGCTATAAACTGCTGGATAAAATCAAGTCAAATCAAGTCTTTCTCCCCAAAATCCGCTTGGCGTGGCGAGCGCCTGCGCTCAACCGACTAGACCCGGCTCCCTCGTCAACGTCCATCTGCGAAGACGGAGCCGAGCCCTCCCCCTCGCCGCCCGCCTCGCCATAGCCATCGTCGATGTCGAGATCGTCGGCGGAAAACTCCCGCTTGTTGCCGCCTGCGCCAAACCAGCCACCACTACCACCACTACCACCGCCTCCTTTCGACCAAGGGAGTCGTGATCCTTTGGCGGGGACACCCTCGACAGTAGCACCGGTAGGAACGGTAGAAGCAGTCGGAAGATCAGCCGTAAACCCAGCCATCGTCCTCTGGAAGAGATCATTGTGCGCAGCGTGTCGCGCACGGGAGGCAACAGCATCCGAGCGAATGCGCGCAATCTCCGCCTCGAGGTCGGCGATGACGTGGCCGCAGCGGGATTCCCAGCTGGAGAGGCGGGCGATCATGGCGGGGAGGGCGAGGGCGGGGTTCACGTCGCGGAGGGGCGCGACGGCTGTGATGTGCACGGCGGGGGGGTTGGAGGCGGGGGCCAGACGGGCGGTGATGAGGTTTGCGTAGATGGCTGTTGTTATGAGGGATTCGAGGTCGGAGGGGGCGGTTATGGAGAGGGCGGTCATTAGGTTGGGGTAGGTGAGGGGTGGGGTGGTTGTTGCTGAGAGGGTGAGGAGGGTGAGGAGGCGGAGTTTAAGGGTTTGGGGGGGGTTAGGGGGGGGAGGTTGGGTGTTTCTTTTGGGTTTATCAGTTAGATTCTTGTCTTCTATAATATAGAGAGAGAGGAGGGAGGTACTTTGATAGTCATCCCATGTCCCCCAGGCAAAGATCTCTAGCAAGGTCCGGTAGGGTTGGAATTCAGCCGGAGTGTCTGGATTGCTCAGGGATTGAACGGCCGGAGTGTCGAGTAGTTCTGCAAAGACGTAGGTATTGGGATTGTCAATGGCGTTGGTGATGAGGTTGGCCACGAAGCGGGGAGAGGCGGCGGTGGAGGAGGTGGCCAGGTGGATGAAGGGCTGTAGGGCCTCGATGGCGCGGGCGTGAGATTGATCCATGGGTAAATCCCCTGGGAGAGCCCAACTGGATAGTATGACGGAAGTATTAATGACAAGAGAATGGGGTATGATGGAGTATAAGAGAGGAAGATTGAAGCAATTCGGATATCAGATGGAGATGAAGATGTATGTTTGGTGATTATGCAAACAGATGAGTCATCAATATCTTATACGCTTCATACTTGACAGCGTCTAGAACAGAATCAACGAAGTAAAGAAAGCTATGATAGATACGTATTAGTCTATAATATCTATAATCTATAATCCATAATCTCGATAATCTATAAGATCTATAGTCTAGATTAGATACAGTGAAACTACCACGGTTTCATGTCCGTCTCCGGTCCGTCCTGGTTTATCCGGCAATCGTCCGTCCAAGGTGTATCATACCGTATGAAACCATACCATACGGTCCTCTCATCCTTACTTTGTTTCTCTTCCTTACTTCGTCTTCTCACCTCATTCATTCTCCTCACTTCTTTCTTCTGGTCTTTGTCTCTTTGTCTCTTTCTTCTCTTCTTCTGTTCTCTTGTTCATCTTCTCTTCATAATCCTCCTCTTCTTCATCGTGGAATTGTCCTAATCAATCTCGGATAAATTTGATTCAAACCTCCCGAATAGGGGCATGACATGGATCACGTACATTTAGTGCCATCTGCTGTAATCATCATCATCTCAACTTAATCCACCACTCACCCGCTGCTTCCGCGCGCTCTCTCTCTTCCTTCCTTCCTTCCTCCTCCTCTCTTCCTCTTCCTCTTACACTTTTTATTTCTTCTATTTCTTCTGGAAAATCGCCCTTATGTGGTAGTTTCCCCTCCGCCGGCTCCTTGCCTCCCTGTCAACTGCCATGTTGCCGTCTTCCCCCCCGATAAGCGCCCGCCATGATGGGCCTCCTCCCTCCGCCCACATGGCCACCACCACCCTCAATGTTGAGGGCATGACCTGTGGCGCCTGTACCGCTGCTATCGAGTCCGCTTTTCAGTCCGTCGCCGGCGTCGGAGAAGTCTCTGTCAGCTTGATCATGTCCCGCGCCGTCGTCCATCATGATCCCGCCGTTATCTCCCCGGCCAAAGTCGCCGAGACGGTGGAGGACTGTGGCTTCGACGCCACGGTGGTCTCCACGGATATACCCACCGCCCCCGACGCCTCGTCCGACGATGGTCCGCCCATGTGTATCACCACATACGCAATTGAGGGCATGACCTGTGCTGCCTGTACCTCCGGCGTCGAGTCGGGCGTCCGGGAACTGCCCGGCGTCGAATCCGTCAGCGTCTCGCTGCTGTCCGAACGGGCCGTCGTCGACTACGACGGCTCACGCATCACGGCGGAGCAGATCGCGGACGCCATCGAGGACCGCGGATTTGGCGCCAAGGTGCTCGAGACCACCGCGCCCCCGCGCAGCGGCGGTCGTCCCTCCCAGGTCGCCGAGGCCTCCGCCCGTCTGTCCGTCACTACCGTCGCCATCACCGGCATGACCTGTGCCGCCTGTACGTCCGCCGTCGAGCAGCAGTTCCGCGACGTCGACGGCCTCGTCCAGTTCAACATCAGCTTACTCGCCGAGCGCGCCATCGTCACCCACGATGCCACCCGCCTGTCTCCCCAGCAGATTGTCGACCGTATCGAGGACGCCGGTTTCGAGGCCACCGTCGTCGCCCAGGATACGCAGGCCGCGGGCGCCCGCGGTCTCGCCCACGTCACCTTCAACCTCCATGGCGTACGCGACGCTGGCGCCGCCACCGCCCTCGAGGAGGCCCTCCTCCAGCGCCGCGGCATCTGCCTCGCTGCTGTCGATTTGACCACCGCCCGCATCGCCGTCTCCTACGACCCCCGCGCCGTCGGCGTCCGCTCCCTCGTCGTCGCCATCGAGGAGCTCGGCTACAACGCCCTGCTGACCGACACCCACGACACCAACGCTCAGCTCGACTCCCTGGCCAAGACCCGCGAGATCCACGAGTGGAAGCGGGCCTTCCGCTTCGCCCTCGCCTTCGCCATCCCCGTCTTCTTCCTCAACATGATCCTGCCCATGTACCTCCCCACCCTCGACATTGGCCGCTTCCGACTCTGCCCGGGCCTCTACCTCGGCGACATCGCCGCCTGCCTCCTCACCATCCCCGTCCAGTTCGGCGTCGGCCGTCGCTTCTACGTCTCCAGCTTCCGCTCCCTCCGCCACCGCGCCCCGACCATGGACGTCCTCGTCATGCTCGGCACCTCCGCCGCCTTCTTCTACAGCGTCTTCACCATGGTCTTTGCCTTGATGACCGCCGCCCGCAAGCGCCCCTCCACCGTCTTCGACACCAGCACCATGCTCCTCACCTTCGTCACCCTGGGCCGCTGGCTCGAGAACCGCGCCAAGGGCCAGACCTCCGCCGCCCTCTCGCGCCTCATGTCCCTGGCCCCGTCCATGACCACCGTCTACGACGACCCCATCGCCGCCGAAAAGCAGGCCGAGGCCTGGCACGCTACCTCCGCCCCCGCCGCCCCCGCCGGCGAGGCCGCTGGGCCGGGCCGCCGTGTCATCCCGACCGAGCTCCTTGAGGTCGGTGACGTGGTCATCCTGCACCCCGGCGACAAGGTCTCCGCCGACGGTGTCGTCCTCCGCGGCGAAGGGTACGTCGACGAGAGCATGATCACCGGCGAGCCCCGCCCCATCCGCAAGTCCGCCGGCAGCGCCGTCATTGCCGGCACCGTCAACGGCACCACCGCTCTCGACTTCCGCGTCACCCGCGCCGGCCGGGACACCCAGCTGAGCCAGATCGTCCAGCTGGTGCAGGCCGCCCAGACTAGCCGCGCTCCCATCCAGCGCATGGCCGACGTCGTGGCCGGCTACTTCGTCCCCGCCATCGTCAGCCTGGGCCTCGTCACTTTCTTCGGCTGGATGTTCATCAGCCACATGCTGCCCAACCCCCCCATGATTTTCATGGCCGAGGACAACGGCGGCCGCGTCATGGTCTGCCTCAAGCTCTGCATCTCCGTCATCGTCTTCGCCTGCCCCTGCGCCCTGGGCCTGAGCACCCCGACCGCCGTCATGGTCGGTACCGGCGTCGGCGCCCAGCAGGGTATCCTCGTCAAGGGCGGCGCCATCCTCGAGGGCGCCACCAAGATCACCCACGTCGTCTTCGACAAGACCGGCACCCTGACCACCGGCCGCATGACCGTCGCCGATGCCCACCTGGCGCCATCGTGGCAGGCCACGGAGGATCGCCGCCGCCTCTGGTGGCAGATGGTCGGTCTGGCCGAGATGAACAGCGAGCACCCCATCGGCCGCGCTGTCCTCGCGGCCGCCCAGGTCGAATCCGGGCATCCGGGCGAGGGCGCTTTGCCCGGCAGCCTCGGCGACTTCGACGCCTGCGTCGGCCAGGGCATCGCGGCGCTGGTCGAGCCCGCCACGACGGCCGAGGAGCGCGTCCGGGCCCGCGTGCTGATCGGCAACGCCGACTTCTTGCGGTCACGGGATGCCCCTGTCCCGGACGACGAGGCCGCTGCCGCCGAGTCCCCCGAGCTCGCCGCCACCACCCTCAGCGCCAAGGAGCCCGCGGGCGTCACCACGATCCATGTGGCCATCGACGGCCAGTACGCCGGCACCCTCCGGCTGCGGGACACGGTCAAGCCAACCGCGCGGGGGGCCGTCGCCGCGTTGCACCGCATGGGGCTCGCCACCGCCCTCGTCACCGGTGACGCGCGGCCAACAGCCCTGGCCGTCGCCGCGGCGGTCGGCATCCCGCCCGAGGCGGTACATGCGTCGGTCGCGCCCGCCGACAAGCAGGAAATCATCGCCACCCTCGAAGACCGCGGCCACCGGGTCGCCATGGTCGGCGACGGCATCAACGACTCGCCCGCGCTGGCCACCGCCTCGATCGGCATCGCCCTGGCCTCAGGCACGGACGTCGCCGTCGAGGCCGCCGACATCGTGCTCATGCGGCCCGACGACCTGCTCTCCGTGCCAGCCAGCCTGTGCCTGTCGCGCGCCGTCTTCAACCGCATCCGACTCAACCTCGTCTGGGCCTGCCTCTACAACCTCATCGGCCTGCCCTTCGCCATGGGCCTGTTCCTCCCCTTTGGCGGCGTCATGCTGCCGCCCATGGCCGCCGGCGCCGCCATGGCAGCCTCAAGCATCTCCGTCGTGGTCAGCAGCCTGCTCTTGAAATTCTGGCGCCGGCCGCGCTGGATGAACGCCGACACGCTCGCGTACGAGGGCCCGGCCGGTTCGGACCCCCGCGCCGCCACCAAAACCCGGTGGGACGTCTTGACGCTGGCGCCCCGACACGGCCCCGCCCGTCTGGTCCACCAAGCGGTGGGTCGCGTGCGCGCCCTGTTCCTGCAAAAGCCCGCGGGCGGACTGGACACAGACGAGGGATACGTCCCGTTGCAAACGGTCGAACCGGTTTAATACCTTACTTATCTCGTGGACCCTTCCTTTCCATCCTATCACCATCTGCATTTATCATGCTTAGATCATACCTCACCTTATCTATTCTTTACTTTTTATCTTTTCTATTTTTTCGGGCCCAATAGACATGACATGACAGTCTTATCGCTATCATGAATTTTTTTTTTTTTTCTTAAAACTGCTGGTCTGTTGATTATGCTTGACGAATTGGTTTGCATGACTTAGTCGTTGATTGATTGATACCTCTGTTGTTCGGGTTTGTTTTTGTATCTAGTCGATGAGCAGTATGACTGGAAATACAAGGGACTTATACATGCATTGCCGAAGCCTTCTTTGTCTTCATCGCATCCACTGGTAGCTATTTATTTGTAGTAGGTTCTTGAGTAAGGTAGAGCTAAATTAGAATGCAAGTGGATTGATTTCAAGAAGCAGATCGTCTCTCGTTAAGCGTGCCTATCAAAGATTTACAAAAGATCTTCTTTTTCTCTCCCTGCTTCTCCCCTTCCCGACCACAGCACTCCTCTAGGTAGATAGATGTGATGTGTTTGTTTATCCTTTCGTCTCCTCTTCCTTTGCCAACTCTTTACCCTCTCCTACAGTAGTGCTGTCGGCAGTTTGATCCCCGAGCTCAATATCGCCGTCTCCGTCTTTTGAGCCCGGCTCTGTATCTGTCTTTGCCTCTGCGTCTTGAGAGCCCTTTCCCTCCTTCTGAGTATTACTACTATCACCACCACCCTGCGAAGCATCATCCCCATGCACCGCAGACTGTAAAGTATCCTCCCCCTCACCCTGAGAAAGCGTCATCTCGACGCCCCGCCCATCCTGCAATCCCATGTCTTCGACGCCCACGACGGGCGGGCCCCGCGCGTGCGGCACGTCTTCGGCGGGATCGGATTGGGGGGAGCCGCCGGCGCCTTCCATGGCTTGGGTTTCGATTGTGGTTGTGGTTGTGGTGGTGGGTTCTTCGTGGGGGGATGATTGTTGTTGCTGGTGTTGGTCTATCGTTGTGGTTTTTATTATGGTGCTGGTGGTGGTGGTTGATGATTCGGTGGTGAGTATGTCGTTGCTTGGGACTGTCCAGTGTTAGTGGAATGCGTGACTGGCAAAGTAGATAGATCTGTCTCGGGTATAGGTGGTGAAAAGGAAGTACCTTCCGTAGGAGCAACCCCAAGTGTGATATCCTCGCTGGTAGCCTCGCCGCCCGGCGACGAACCCACTGCTGCAGCTGCAGCCTCTGCCGAAGCACCAGTCAACCACGGGATAGGCGTCAGCAGGGCCCCTCCAAGCGATTCATCACTTCCCGGGACGTGCGTATCCTGGAACAAGGCGAACGTGGAGCTGGGGTCCGCGGCGCCGTTGGTCGCGCTGGAGATTATGCCATTTGGCTGGGGGGTCGGTGCAGTCGCGCCCGAACCCGTCTGCACGGGGAATATATCGGCGCTGCTCGTCACGGAGACGACGCGGTCGAGGGCGCGCAGGTAGGCTGGGAGGGTGCGGTAGTGGGCCTGCGGGCGGAGGATGAGCTCTGCGAGGCGTTGGAGCGTGTGCGGGGGTTTGGAGGGGAAGAGGGAGCGGATTGTGGAGCGGGTGTTGTTGAGGAGGAGCTGGAGGGGTTGCGGGAGGGTTGGTTCTGTGGTTGTTGTTGTTGCTGACTGGGGCTGGGAGTCGGGAATGCGGTCTGTGAGTGCGGAGGTTGGGGTATGCGTGGGGAGGTCTGCGTTCTCTTTGTTGCTGCTTGAGGGGGTTTCGTTGGCGGTTTGCGTGTCGGTGGGTTGTGAGAATTCTAGGGAAGGAGGCGACTCGGGCATTGGGAAGACGTTGTACACGATCTGTGCGGTCTTTGGTCAGTCGATTCGAGGTGCGTTGTGTTGGATGGGAGAGATAACGGTTGAGGGGGCGCACGTAATCCAATCGGCTCAGCAGGGGCTCGACCATCGCCGGCCATTTCTGACTATATAATCACAGGAGTCAGCTCTTTTATCTCTGAGACAGACGTGAGTTCGACGTACAGATCCATCATGCCGCCATTGGCGACTGTTTCCAAGGTTTCCTCGTCTGGCTTGTCAGTATAGGGTAAACAGCGGTATCATTGGGGATGAGGGATCCCACGGGGGTACGACATACCCAGAGACATTCTGCGGGGTACGACGGGCGTCTGATCGTATGGCAGTCGAGACGAGAGAAGAATAGGAACGAAAGAGAGAGGAAGAGAGCGAAAGCGAGAGATGAAGCAGACGAAGCGACAGATTAAGCTTGGTTTACGCGCGGCTGTCGGGACCGCTGATTGGCCGCGCACCCGCTTATCAGATGCAGCACGTGACTGTGATCGGCCCGGAATTTTCCTTGCGGGGTCCCAGGATGTGAAGATTCAAGATCGAGTCATCCTTCCTTCTTCAAGCCTGCAACCCACTCATCCTACACTCAAGCACCATGTGGAACGCTCCCAAGGTCGGAATCCTCGGCGGTGGCCAATTGGGCCGCATGCTGGTCGAATCCGCCAACCGTCTCAACATCCAATGCAACGTTCTCGATGCCGAGAACTCCCCCGCAAAGCAGATTAGCAACCACGACGCCCACGTTACGGGTTCCTTCAAGGAGCGTCAGGCCGTGCGCGATCTGGCACAGTCGTGCGACGTCGTTACCGCCGAGATCGAGCACGTCGACACTTACGCCCTCGAGGAGATCGCTTCCCAAGTCAAGGTCGAGCCCAGCTGGCAGGCGATCCGCACCATTCAGAACAAGTTCAACCAGAAGGAACACCTGCGGCAATATGGGATCCCCATGGCGGACCACCGTGAGCTGGTGGACAACACCCCGGAGGCGCTGGGCAAGGTCGGCGAGGAACTGGGATACCCGTTGATGCTCAAGTCCAAGACCATGGCCTATGACGGGCGGGGCAACTTTCGCGTCAACTCCCCCGCGGACATCCCTGAAGCCCTGGAGGCGCTGAAGGATCGCCCACTGTACGCGGAGAAGTGGGCCTATTTCAAGATGGTTGGTTCAACTCTGCCCCGTTGCCGGCGCAATTGCTAAGTTTCAATCAACGCACAGGAACTCGCCGTGATGGTCGTCAAGACGAAAGACAGCGTCCTCTCCTACCCCACCGTCGAGACCGTCCAGGAAGACTCCATCTGCAAATTGGTCTACGCCCCCGCGCGCAACGTCCCCGAGCACATCAACGCGCAGGCGCAAGAGCTGGCGCGCAAAGCCGTCGCCGCCTTCGACGGCAAGGGCGTCTTCGGCGTGGAGATGTTCCTCCTCGAAGACGACAGCCTGATGCTGTGCGAGCTGGCCAGCCGCATCCACAACTCCGGTCACTACACGATCGAAGCCTGCCCGCTGTCGCAGTTCGACGCCCATATCCGCGCCATCCTCGACCTGCCCATCCCCGCGGAGAGCCTGCAGCCGCGCCAGCCGTCCATCATGCTGAACCTGATCGGCGGCGCCGCCCCCGACACCCACTTGCAAGCCGCCCAGGCCGCGCTCGCCATCCCCAACGCCGGCATCCACCTCTACAGCAAGGGCGCCGCCAAACCCGGCCGCAAGATGGGCCACGTCACCGTCACGGCGGCGACCATGCGCGAAGCCGAGTCGCACATCCAGCCGCTCATCGACGTCGTCGACAACATCCGCGCCCAGCGCTCCGACATCAAGACCCCCGCCCACAAGTCGGCCGTCTCGCCGCCCGCCCCCTCCATCGCCGTCATTATGGGCTCCGACAGCGACCTCAAGACCCTTGTCCCGGGCCTCAAACTCCTTCGCGATTACTTCGGCATCGACCCCGCCGTCGATATCACCTCCGCCCACCGCACCCCAACCTTCATGGCCGAGTACTCCGCCCAAGCGGCGGCCCGCGGCATCAAGGTCATCATCGCTGCCGCAGGCGGCGCTGCCCATCTCCCCGGGATGGCCGCCGCCCACACGGCACTTCCCGTGATCGGAGTCCCCGTCAAGGGCAGCAGCCTGGACGGTGTGGACAGTCTGTACAGCATCGTCCAGATGCCTCGAGGTGCGTCTCCACACAACCCTATCATGTCTTATCAATACAGAAAAAGAAAAACAAAAAGCTAACATAATAAAACAGGCGTCCCCGTCGCAACAGTCGGCATCAACAACAGCATCAACGCCGCCCTCCTAGCCGTCCGCATCCTGGGCGCTTTCGACCCGTCCATCCAGCGCAAGGTGGAGGCCTACGCCGAGGCAGCCCGATCCGAGAACATGGAGCTGAAGGGGACCAAGATGCAGGAGTTGGGATGGGAGAAGTACTTTGCGCAGATGTAGACGTCTTCCTTCTTTCTTCTTTCATTCATCCTTTCTTTTCATGCGGATTTATATATGAGCGGGATAGAGAAAAAAAGACTTTAGTGAGACAGTACTAAATAGATGAGTTATGAGTGTTAATAGCTATATGTTTCTTTTCATTTTGTTTTAGTTTTTTGGATGATGTCTATAATGTCTATATATATATTGGGTGGATGGTTAGTTCAGGTCCGTGGTGTCTGTCTTGTGATTACGTGTGGATATGTTGTTATGCTTGCGGCTTGTCGTTTCTTGAAGTGAGATAGATGGTGCTCTAATTCAGCAATATTTGGATTATCCGCATGCTAATCGAGCAAGTCACATAGCACTAAAGGTTGGGAGTACCTAGTAACCTCCATCTTCATATACTACTCCTAAGAAGCTCATCTAGCTAGAGCTCTAGCTTATAGTAGACGGAAATGTATCAATCACATCATTATATTACTTGCTTTATACCATGATTGAAATACACTATAAATGAACATAAATGATAATAATAATTAAGTCAACTCTACCAACAACAGCAACAACATGAGTAATTAGGTATCAAAAAGAGATACAAACCGACAAGGCATCCATCCGCAACACACATGAGAAAAAATGGAAATTAGAATCCATAATGACGGGAGAGAGAGAGATATCACAACATAAAGGAAACGGAAAAAGATGGTTAGTTACTAGTAAGTAGTAATGGAAGTATAATGTAGGATAACACCTCCAACTGGATCGTAGTTATTACTCCAATAGAGGTCAAACGACTTATGCAGTTTGGGGATTGAACGCGGTCTTCGATCCGGGGATGGTCGGCCCCTCGTGCGCCATTGTGGTTGTGGTGCCGTTGCTGCCGAATGCCTGGTCGACTTCGTCTTTGAAGCCGCGGGATTGGTACTCGTGGGCCTTGGCCCTGCCGTTGGTGGCGCCGTTGGTAGCACCGTAGGTAGCACCGTTGGTGGCTCCGTTGGTGGCACGCTTAGCGCTGCCGTTGGTGGCGCCGCCGTTAGTGATACCGCCGTTGGTAGCTCTCTGGGGACCAGCGCTGGTAGAGCCGTTCGTGTGGCCCGCGTCCGCGGTGCGGTGGCCCCGGCGGGTGGGGGTGGCCGGCGTGGGGATGTCATGGGACTCGCCGGCGGAGCCGATGCTGAAGATGGGGGACTCCCAGCGATCGCCCTTCTTGGCCAGCTCGGTGTACTCGGTGGCCTTGGTGGAGATGCCGCCGGGCAGCTGGATATCCGGGAACATGGATTCGTGGAGCGTGAACACAGTCTGCACCTTGGTGTCGCGCTTGGGGCCCTCCTGGGTCGCCTGCTTCTTGCTCTCCATCTTGGTACGGAAGGCGTCCAGGTACCGCGAGTAGATGTTGGGGAGTTGCGAGGGATCCTCCTGGGCGGTTTCCAGGGACGCGGCCTCAGCGCGCTTGACTTCGGATTGGATCTCGCGCGCGAAGGCGTCGCCGCGTTGGAAGGCGTTCCGCACCTGCTCTTCGAGTACCTTCTGCAGGACGGGGCGCACCACGTTGTGCAGCATGGGTCGGAAGAGGGTGAACAGCAATTTGTGCTTGGACTTCCGCAGCTTGATGTCCAGGTGGTCGATCTTGACTGTCACCTTGTCCAGCTTGACGAAATTCTGCTGGTCGGCCTTGTGCGCCGTCGAGGCCGCGATCTTGAAGCCGAAGCCCTCGCCGCCCAGCAGGATGTCCATGACACCCATATCCGTGACCGCAGGGAAGCCCTCCTTCTTGTGGATGTAGTAGCTGACGTCGCGGAGGTCCGCCTGGATGCCCGACACCGAGATCATGATCTTGTTGTCGCGCTTGCTGCTGATCTTCTTGCGGCCCCAGCGGAAGTAGTTGTCGCTGCCGAACTCGACCACGTTCGGCATCAGGTTGTCGCTCTCGATCACCAGATTCTCCACCACGATATCCGCCATCTGGTCCATCACCTCGATACGGGGGACGGGCACATAGCGGATGTTCTCAAACAGACCCGGGAGGATCACGTTTCCGACATCCGTCAGCAGGTGCTTCTTGAAGGCGACATTGCCCTGAGGATCCCGGCCCAGGTCATTGAATAGCTTCTCCATCGAGTCGCTAAAGGCTTTGTTCTGAGGATCCTTGCTGAACTGGTCTCCAACGAACTTGAACTCGTCCAAGACACGGTCTGTGTGGCTGCGGTACCGCTCACGCAGCAGGTACTTGCCGTGATCCGCCAACTGATCCCATTCCCGGTTACAGTCCTCCTCGACGATGTAGCCCTGCTCCTGCAGGCATTTCCTGTTGCCGAGTTAGGATTTCTTATGCTCTTGGTGGTGGTGGTGGTGTTGGTGATAGTCCGTACCTGATAAAATGGTCCATGTTTTTGAACCATCCCTTGAGCTCCGCATCCTTATCCGCATCACGGTAAATGGTCTCCAAGGAGTCGAACAGGTCATCCAGGGAGGTGCTGTTGGCAAATCGTTCGACCAAGACCTACTAGAGTTAGTGACGGCGTCGGTAGAGGGAGCTATGGAGGGCACATACACGGAGGTTGGTTTCCATAGTTTGAACCTTACTGTTACCACGGACGCCTTGAACCATGCCAGCGCCCTGCTTGGAGGCATGTCGTGAGGTACTGCCGTACTTCTCGACCAGGCTCAGGATGGTCTCGATGGCCTGCTGGTCTGTATATCGGAAAACCCCCACCTTGTTAGCCTTGACTCCACATCATCGAGATGGGAGGGATCATCCACTCACAGTCGGCGTGGCCCTGAATCTCCAGCACCACACGCTTCAGACGCCAGATGGTCTGGTCGCGGCGCTCCTGGGGGATCTTCTCCTGCAGGTATCCCTTGGTCTTCTCGGACATTTCGCGTGCGCGGGACTTGGTCGATTCGGAGATGTTGTCCGAAAGCTTGCGCTTGGACTTCTCGGCCCCTTCGCGGGCACCCGCTCGACCATCGATGTCGGCGGTGGAAGAAGGGTCCTGGCCGCCGGTAGCCTCGTTCACCCCGGAATCCGCCACCTCGGATGCTTGCTGCTCGGCCTGGAAAAAGGGTCAGAAGAAAGGCCATGACATGAAGCGCCCCCGGGACGTAGCCTTACCGATTCCTTGCTCTTCTTAAACTTTGACCTCATTTGGTCCTTGTGCTTGTTGAAATCAGGGGCCTCGTGCCAGGTGTTCTCCTCGGCCGGCTCGTCAACCTGAGACAGCTGGTCCTCCGACGGGCGCACCCTGTTGGCGGCCTTTTGCGATACATCGCCCGCGATATCCCGGGCGATAATCATCGCGTCGTTGACTGGGCGCATGGTCAGCGTGGATCCATCTTTACTCCCATCGGATTGACTCACGGAGTTTGCGGAACTGGCCGTTTGTGACCAAGAGAGTCCCCAGGGTTTTTAAGCCCTCGAGGCCCTTTTGACCGTCCTGTTTGGCGCCATCCTTGGTCATGCCGACGTTGGCTCTTCCGTCAACCTCGTCTTTGGACATGGTGTTGGCGGACCAGATGAACTCCTGCAGCAATTGGCCGTCATTCTTGCTCAGCAGCAGCTTCTTGGCTTCCTCGATGACATTCCGGACATCCTGAACGAGGGCTTGGCCCTCTTCAGAGAGCTCTTTGGAGGGCGACGAGAGCGCCTTGGATGCTAGTGCGCTGTTCAACGCGATATCGCATTGTTTGTTCTGTCAAACGAAGTCTAATTAGTCCCTGACCATTCATGTCAAAACGCAAAGGTCGGCATCAGATCCACGCACCGATGGTAATTTGCCATGTTTGAAACCTAGAGGCGGAAAATTGCATTAGTGACCTGGTCGGGGCATGCATGATCGTCTCCCCTTCCCGATCGCAAAACCCGGGACGACTTACCCTGATATATCCCGAACAGTTGCAGTTTAGAGTTGATATCCTGCAGCGATATCTGTCAACAGCGGTTCGGGGCGATCGTTCGATAATTAGGCAACCATACCTGCTCCTTCAGCTTCGAATTGACGGGACGATTGACCGCTCTCGAAGGCATGATGACGAGTTGCACTGGGATTCAGAGATCCACAACAGAGGCTCGTCGAGTTTATATTCTCACGCGGGAATCAAGTGGCCAAGAAGGGAAATAAAGGGGAGGAAAGTAATATTCGGGCCACACGGACAGGAGACGGGATATCGAGGGAAAAATGAGTCAAGGGGTCCAGGGTCCAAGGGGAAGTCGCGTCGCTGGGGTATCAAGCAAAGGAATGGGCGCGACCAAAACAGTTTAGTGGAGGGGATGGAATGAGGGAGTCGATGGGTGAATAGTCGGAAGGGACAGGGGGAGCAAAGAAGGGGGGAGAGACGAGAGGAAAGGGAGAGACTGAAGAAGGGGGAGGAACGAGAGGGTTCAAATCAAGGACAATGATAGTAATATAAGAACAAAGATGTTTGTCAGATCGGCGTCCTCATCTCATGAATAACGTCTTGACCTCTGGACTCTCTCGGTCTGTCCGACTATCTCTTGGGATAATTATGGTTGACGTCAGAGTGTCGTGTGGTTGTATAACCCGAACTCAATGGGCTCGAATGAATCGAGTTGCCTGATGCCCCAGTAATGATTTTGCTCTCCATGAGATCATCGTTTGTTTCTCGTCCTGTGTACGGAGTACTGAGACCATAGCACTGCTGCGTCGATCGCCGTGGGATCCACCACAGGTTTCTCCTCCCTAGGGGAACCTATCGAAACCCTAAGATCTGGCCCGTCGCGACAAGTCAATATGATATCAAACCGGGCACTTCTCGATGATCGGTCATCTCATCATCGCCTGTTCCCCCTCCCCCATGATTCACTAATCACCTACAAGAATTGTTCGTAAAACCCCGAAAAACAGGAAATGCAAACATAAAAAGAAACGGACTGGAAATCTCATGGGCCGACTGGCCTTTGCTCCGCCTTGCAGCTTGTAGCCCTAAAGGAGCTTCGTTCTCCAGTGGGATCCATCCCAGACCCATCTTGATCTTCCCTGGACCCACTGGGACGCATCACGATGACGTAATGGCTGATTTGAAGCTGGAGCGGCCGAAGCAGCTTTTTTCTTCCCTGCCTTTCCCTGTTCATATGATTTGTCGATGACCGTCGAATGGCGATGATGGCGTTACTCTTCTTGTTTTTAGATGCAACTCGTGTCGCCATCCGTCCCCAGTTCTATTGACCCGGTGGCTTCCCTCATGGCTGCACCTCTATACGGGGTAGGTCCTCCGAAGATCACGATGGTGAGTCGGTCCCATAGGGCAGAGATGCCTTCCATCCCAATAGAATCCATTAAAATAGGGGGATGGCTTTGTTGGGGGGCTTGTTTTTTGGAACCAACGTAGACTATCTTGATCACCACGCCGTCGTCCGAATCGGGCAAGGTTAGAGGAAACAATAATAGGATTAAGTAATATGGACGGGAGAACCATTGAAGTCAAATGAAAAGATTTGTAATTGATGGACAGGATCGGACGGGCTGGGTGGTGGTCGCACTCCAGAAAGATCTGATCTGATCTCCCGCTGGAAACCGAATTGGACCCCTTGCGTTCACCCAAATGAAAACAATTGCACACGGGCAGAACCCACATGGGGGTCGTATATTTCTCCCTGCGAGCAACTGGGGAATCCCGCGGGCCACGATGTGGGTGGGTGGAGTCGTCCCGAAGTGGAGGAAATGCAGCTTCCCACCCTTGGGCCCGAGATGGTCACATCGGCCTGGACGAACGCCCTAAGAACACGCGGCAGTGGGACTCGGTCGCGATGGCCAGTAAATAGGGGAAAGAGGGCCAAAAGACCAATTGATACGTAATAGATAATATTGACGGGGGGAATAGGAAGGATATCATGATCTACGATCGGTCCATGGTATGAGAACCCACGCGCCGATCCAACTCATCGTCACGATGATCCGAGGCCAAACGCGACATATCCAGAGTCAGTCGGATCTGGCGACTCCGTGGCCGTAAGGTCGCCCGAATACCCCAGTGGCTCTGCCAGATAGAACAGCGAAGGCTGCAACAACTGTTCCTGCACGCTGCCCGAAATCTGCTGGAATTTCTGAAGCAGCCCGCCGGTTTCCCATCGTCGCTCTCCGCGCGCGAGAATGGATTGCGTCTGCCTCAGGCTGTCGATCGCCCGTGCGTGGCTCTTCAGCCGATCTTCACTGTCCACAAGCGGCGGCCGGGCCACGTTATGAGCGAGGGTCGGCAGCGCCGGAATGGACGGGCTAAGGAGCAGTTCATGGTGCTGCGACAGGATGTCGACAATCCGCACCCCCACCTGGTAGGCCCGTTGGAGATCGAGCTCGGTCATCAACGGCAGCCACTTGGGGTCCTCCCACACGCGGTGCAGCTGTGCGACGTAATGGAGGCAATGCTCGAACAAGAACACCTTGGCGTAATCGCATAATGTCGAAATATCTCCGGAAGGCGAGAGGATGACGGTGATGGTGTAGAGGAACTCCAGCCGGTAGATCAGAGGAAAATGCGAGGGGGCCATCTTCGGTGCGCCCTCCAACCATTCGTGAGCTTTCGCGCATAACGTCCACATCGATGCGTCAGGCAGTGGGCCTGCCTGCTCCGGTTGATCAAAGAATCTCTTCTGGTAGGCTGCGGACAAGATCCGGCGGATGCGGACCAGATGCCACGCGGGCTCAGGGCTCCGCTGGAAGATATGATTCGACTCTGTCAGTGCAGAGGGGATTGGTGCGGCGCTGGGAGGCAAGGCAACGTTAATCGAGTCATCCGACAGGGAGTACGTCCTGTCCAGAGCTGTGCTCACCCCGCTATGTCCAAGTCAGTCGTCTGTCTCAAGGGCTGCGGAGGGCGGGGTCGGGAGCGGTCAGGAGATCTTACCGGTCGAGGCAGTAAGCACAATGAAATACACGACGCCGAATCTCCAATGGTTCACTATTGGACACGACCTCGGGAGAGGGGTCCTGGTGCAGTCCCAGATCCACTATGGCTCGAGCTGCCATGCCTACCAGGTACCACGAGCGGAATCGCTGGGGGTCGACGAGAGCATACTGCGCTAGGAGAATGATGGCCTGGATGCCTGCAATGGACCCAGGGCGAAGAACGTCGTCCGCATACGGTAGTGCCCCGGCGAGAAAGGATTGGGCTCTCTGGTAACTTCGGTCGCCAGCCTGGCTGGACAGCGACCCAGAAGCGACCGCGAGCACCATGCGCAAAAACCACTGGTCGGAGGCCTTGGCGAAGCGGCCTCCTCCCTGGTATACAGTGTCCACCGACGTCCAAAAATTCGTCTCGACGAAAAACGGCAACTGGGGGAAGAACCGATCGAAATAGTGCTGCAATAGTGGGGTGATGTCACTGCGCGGCGGTAACAAGCTCGAATCCGATTTCGGGACCCCGCCGGCGAAGGAGAGCGACAAGAGGAGATTAGCAAACGACGCGTTGGACGTGATCCCATGGAAGTCTCTCGAAGTAGCATTGACCGACCTGTGCAACCCGTTAGCGAAGAGTCATCCAGAACCGCAGATCGAAACTGACAAGTAGCCAAAGTCCCCGACCAGGTCATCAATATCCGACACTTCTTTGCGATGGCCCTGCGCAAAGCCCCCTGCGGCCGAGTTGGAGGTAATGGAGCTTTCCCGCACCACTTCATTCTGCCCGAGAGAAAGCAGTTCTTTGCGACGACGCAACTCGGCGATGCGTTTTTCAAGTCGTTCGCAGTGGCCCTCGAGGGACGCGACGTAGCTTCTCTCCTTGCCCCGTGCGAATTCATCGCTTGCCCCCGAACATGAGGTGGCTTTCCCTACTCGTTCACATGCCGAACAGGCGGGGAGCTTCCCGTCGCATTTGATCTTGGCTGTCCGACATCTCGAACAGGCAGCCACCGGCCGACTGACTCGAAGCTCAGGCGCATCGAGGAACGTGTTCATGTGTTCGTTGTCTTCGCGCATAATCACAAACACCTAGCGATGCTATGAGACAAGGAAAAGAGAAAACGAAGAGAGCATTTCACAGGTCATTTGGGAGGTGATATAGTTTTGACTGCACGACTCTTACCGTATTGGCCAGGAATTAGTCAATCAATCAACTGGTCGGATGGTTGCCACTTGACAGGGGAGGAGGGTGGGGATAGAATGCGACAGAAAGTAGCGAGTCGATCTATTCCCTCCGATCTCAACGTCTCGACCCCGCAGGGGTTATGCTTTCAGGCGAGGTGCAGATGAAAGAGACAAGGAACAATGCATCAAGCAGAGGGATATAATGAAACCGACTAGCGTAGACAAAACAACACCAATACTGTATTTCATTCAGTTAATCATATTTGACGAGGCAGAAGGCGTATCTCTGAGAGAGTAGGAGAAGAGGAGATGAGGTTGTTGATATGATCGCAGTCCTCGATGTCGAGTGCGTACCATACCGTACTGTATCATACATACCACGATACATGCTAAGATACATACGAATTTCCTCATTTTCCTCCTGCAAACCTCACTTCCTCCTCTACATCTTCTCAGTTCTAGACCGGTTGGCACTCTCCATTCTCCATCTACCAATCCATGGTTGCATGTGGTCTGCCTCACTCTGTCAGCTACCAATTCTGTATCTATCTTCCTATAGCAGCCTGCTTTTCTCGACTTCTCCCCCAGACAGAGTCATGCATCAATAGACAGCCTCGTATCCAGTCTCCTGACGATCAATCCATGGTGGATTTGAACATTCTTGACCATTTGAAGACGCAGATCCGATAAGAGTCTTCCCAGCGTGTCGTTTTACGCGCGTTTCTTGGCCAATGATCACCGGATGTATTGTCAGATCATGATTGGCAGGGTCCTTGCAGCATCTCGACAGGCTATCTATGGTGATCGAGGGGGGTCAAAGGTACATGGAAGACCTCGCCTATAGTCTACCTGGTCGGTTTGGCAAATGGCCTAGGGCTAATGATCGAAATATTCCAGGACACAACATCCATCCATCTTGGGTATAAATAATCCAGCCAAAGTCGGAATCTCTACCCAATGTTGTTGTAGATATTGTAAGGTACAGTAAAGCCCAGTAAGTAAACGCGGGACGGGGCCGAGGCTTCATGCATTCCACCCATTTATTTTCCTCGCCCCGCCTCCTCTTCTTCCCTTCTCTCTCTCTCTCTCTCTGTCTTTGTGTGTTCTGTACACTTACGTCTTTTACTGTCTCCCCCTCTCCTCCGTTTTCTATCACCTTTGATGTCTCCTTGAAAATAAAGTGATGCTCTCAACCCTTTCTTGTCGTCTTTGAGAAACGGACTCTTCGGATACCGTTGCACTGGTTGAATATGGCTTAGTCTGTTGGCTTCCTTCGATCGGTCAGCCTCTTACTATATTGGTCCTCCACCTCCTCAGGCTCCGGGGTGTGTCTAATTAATCCTTTCGCAACCCCCCCTGGCATGATCTCTTCATGAATATGCCGGTCGACTCTGTCTCTTCGCTCCATGCTCTTTCGATCTTCGAACCTAATCGCGTGAGAGTATTCCGTCGAATCCTATTCGAGTCACCGGTCACCGCGTTCGTCAACTATTGTATATCCGCTGAACTTTGAAAAATATCCTGGCCTCGAAATCCCTCCTTTTCATCGTCTTCGTCCTCCCTCGTCCTCGTCATCGGTGGTAGAGTGGAGATTGAGAGTAGGAGTGGGAGTGAGAGTGAGAGTGAAACACTGCGTCCGTCCAGCGATCCGATACCGTCATGGCAACTCTACCCAACTCGTTCAGGACCCGGCCAGAATTCACCAATCCCTGGAACAGACCCCCATCCAAGTCGTCGCAACTGTCGGATCAATCGTCCGATGGTCGCATTGCACACACCTTGACGGCGTGTACCCGGTGCCGACAGGTATGACCTCCGACGCCCTTCGAACCCCTCTCCCGGTCAACCGCGGTTCTCACCCTGCGCCCCTTGCTTTACCCCACCATTTGAGGCGACCCGACTGACTGACTGATTCGTTGATAGCGTAAATCTAGATGTGATCCCGGAATCCCAAAATGCGCCCCGTGCCAGCGCAGCAATACGAAGTGCGTCTATTACGACTCGGCGCGAAAATGTACCATCCCGCGAACCTACATCAGCACCCTCCGCGACAAGGCTCGCGCCATGGAAAGGGAACTGGCGGCGCTTGAGAAGGACTTTGAACATGCAGCGGATGCTGAATTTATGGTGCGCGGAGCCGGTCGCATTCGCTTCAAAGAACACGACGAGTCGCGATACTTAGGACCGTCGAGTGGGATCGCCATCACGCGTTTGGTCATGGAGATGGCCAAACACAACACGGATTCAAAAAGCATCAAAGATGTCGTACCGGAATTTACCGCCCAGGAGATCAAAGACCGCTTTATCTTGGAGAGCTCCAAGCCCACATCCAAAATCTTCCCCATCATAAGCTCTACCCCGCAGCAGAGCCTACCTCCCAGAGCGATTACGTACCGACTTGTCGATGTATATATGGTCAAAGGTCTGTGCTTTATTTTGGCTTCCCCCATAGGTGTACTTGGTGAGTCCGAGGGCTAACCGACACGGCAGCCCAAGCAATGCTCCCCACGCTGCATGAACCCACGTTCCGCCAAGAAGTCGAAGATGTATTCAATGGTTCGAAAGACCCGTGCAAAAACTTCCAGCTCCGCATGGTGATTGCCATTAGCATGCAGAAGATGAGCCCCGACTTTGCCGGGCTGGCGGATGGCTATTACCTGGCCGCGCTGCCTTTCTTAGAAGCTTCCCTTCAACGAATGGACCTGAGGTCATTGCAATGTCTGATCATGATCGCGCAATACTCCTTGTTGACCCCTACGCGGACGGCCGCATACTGGGTTGTTGGAATAGCAGTCAGACTAAGCCAGGCATTGGGACTGATGGACGAGTCGACTGTAGTGCGCTCACCTAGCGGGGCGCCATTGAATCCGTTGGAGATTGATATGCGCCGGAGGCTATTTTGGATCGTCCTCTCGATGGAGTATGGTCTTTCCCACAGCCTCGGGCGTCCCAGCTCCTTTTCGGTCCATCATGACTTTATCGATGTCAAATTCTTCGAGATGGTCGATGACAAGTACATCACCGCGGAGGGGATCATCCCTGGAGGGGTCCCAATCCTACCCAAGTGTATCGCCATCCACTTCTTTAAAATGCGCCTCCTCCAATCCGAGATCCGGCGGACTCTCTACCTCAACAAGCGCGAGACGCCACTTGATGATCAAGACCCGTGGTTCTCCCAGATGCTCTCTAAGCTCGACTACTGGGTGGCCTCGTGTCCGAAGAAAGATGGCGGCAGTGGACTCAGTACCACATGGTAAGGTTTCTTCTCCGCGTTTTCGGGATCTTGTAGCTCACGGTCCACAGGTTCCATGGTCGACGGAATACGATGATCGTCTTCATGTTTCGACCCTCGCCCCAGGTCCCCGAACCGTCGGTCAGCGCTGCAGAAAAATGCTATGAAGCGTCCGTCTTCAATGTCAAAATGCAGCGCGAACAGCTTCAGACGCAGTCGGTGGACTTGACCTGGATTTTCACTCAGTCGCTCTTCATGGCTCTGAACACGATCCTCTGGTCCCTATCATATCCCGATATCCGACGGGAGCACCCGATCGAGGAAGTGATGGGTCACTTAGAAGTGGCCATGGAAGCGATTGCCCTCGCATCGAGACGGTGGCCCGGCGTCGAATCGGCCTTGATTCTTTATCAGAGCCTCGTGACCGCGTGCTTGAAAGCCTACAATACCGACGAGTCCTTCGTGGTGTCGTCACCGGCGAACCAAGGGACTCCCGCCTCTTCGCAGGATGTCACTAGTCCTCCGCCCACGACGAGCCCCGCGAGCACCACCGCCTCCTTCCACTCCCAGAATGTTCGGGGAGCCAGTTCCTCGGTCACCGACAGCGCATCGGTCCACGCCTTCTCCCGGGGGCCTTCGACTGACCCTCCCCCTTCTCACTCACAGCCATCGTCCCAGACTTCCCCCCTATCAAGTGTGGCCATTGAGCCCATCAAAGCAACCGACTTCGCCCTATGGGATCCCCACTCGCACACGCAGTCGTCACCTTCGTCGAACGCGACGCCCACCCCATTCACCACAGCCCCATACAAGAAATCCGAGACGACCTGTGCCGATCTGCCCTTCGACGCCGCAACGCCGTATAATCCCTTTCCATCCGTGTTACCAGGGGTTTCGGGTTGGGATCCCAATGCATCGATCGCCTCCACCACCTCGGAGACTCTGGCATATATCAATGCCGCTTTCAATCCGTTAGACTGGATGGACACAATGGATGACCAGTATTCTCAATACCTCAACGGCGCTTATCCGACCTCCTCCTGGAGGGAACGGACCCTGAGCCAGCAAGATCAGATCGAGCTGATGGCGTCCCTGGCGGACAACATTCCGGATGTTTCGTCCCAACTCGTGCAGGACTCGGTTACTTTTTACCAGTCGTGATTCATGTGGCCTCTCCTGCTCTCCTTGTCGTGTTACTTGTTTTTCTCTTCCCCCCCTTTTCTTCCAAACCCATCTTTACTCTATCACTGTATTTTCTTGGTTTCCCGGCTGGCCCCTCAATAATGCGTGCACTGCGCCGACTTGGGGCGCCATGATCGCTTTTATCTTCCTTTCTCTGGAAATGTAAATATACCCATGGGCTATATGATTACGGGGTGTGTTTGTTTACGAGTTGTGACAGCTTGGCGTTTGGAGCCAGTGTACGACTTTGGAAGGAAACCTGGATCTTTTCTAATCTTTTTTTCCACCTTTCATCTTGACTGTTTGTGATCTATCGAGGGTGGGAAGGCTATCCATCCACCCACGGTTATTCGGTCTCCCAGGAGATACTTCTACAAAGGGTCCTCAATCGATCCGTGGCTCCGCCATGATAAGTTTTTTGTCAGGGATAGGCGGTCACTTTATGAAGAGGGTTCTCAACCCCTTGCGAAATGCGCAGTTCAGCGAGTCCCAAATATCTATGTCAGGAGGACCACCCATTTCTTGACGGCCAACCTGGGAATGAACGAATGAATGGTCCTTACGGAGGATCTCGGGCCATTGAAGTATCGGACCCACCCCGCACGTCCTTCCGTAGGTAGTGGAATCATGGACTTCCACCACCGGGGCTTGCTTATGTTGGATATGCAAATCCTCGAGTTTTGACTCGCGTGCGCTTTTTGGTCTCGGATCGCGATCTCTGATACCGAGCGCATTCTGTCTGGTCGGCTGCATAGTGTATACTGATAGACACTGTAGGGGGTGGCATGGTATGTAGCTTTATATCAGGGGACGAGAAGAGCGCCGTATGTGTACAGCATTTAATAGACATTCAAGCCTCATATTGGGAAGAATGTGAAAGATCTTTGAAACAGGATGACAGGGCTATCCTTCACCTTGGAAGAGTCCATAAGGCGTAGGTGACTCTCGTATTGTACGGTATGGACGATACAGACATGACCGTACCGTACCGTCCCGTCCCGCGGACTCGGTCACGTGCGCCCGTCCCATCCCGTCATGCTATCCAATTCAATCCATCTTCTCCTCCAGCGGCGGATCAAAGGGTTTCTCTCCCACCATCACCACCTCCATTGACGAACCCCCGAACCACCCCCTCCTCCCGCCGTCTTCCATCGCTCTTCTCGCCACTATCTCACTCTCCACTCAATTATTCGCCTCGCTATTGTCCGATCTCTCTTATTTCGGTTAGTTCGCTACGAGGAGTCAACCCCCGACGATCTGGAATGTGTTTCGTCTAGACGGGTCGTCCCAACGTCCTGCTCGCCCGCCTGAGCGCCCCCCCGACCCGGTGTGATCACACCCCCTCCCTCGCTCTGGATCTGTCTGGACCCGCCGTTGTTTTCTGGGGATTGTCAATCTCGGCCATCTCGCGAAACGGGTCGTGGGACGCAAGCTGCGTTCCGCCCTCCTTAGGCGTTTCGTCAGCCGACCGTGGTCTCCTTTGGATCTCTCCTCCGAAACTCCATGTCTGATCGCGCCTCATCGGTATCACTCCGAGCAGGGCCTCCTTCACCGTCTTCTCCCGCCGCCGGCTCTCTCAAGGAGATCCAGCCGTCGATTCCCGTGTCCGATCAGATTCCTCAGACTCCGACATCGCCACCGTTGATGTCGGTAAGCGCTCAAAATTATGCCTCCAACTTCACTTCCTCGCAAGCATCGCCCAACCAGCAGACAACTTCTCAGCCCGCGAACGTCTCCTCCCCTCCATCCTCGGCTCCCATGTCCACTCAGCCCTCCCAGCAGCCGGTCGTAGGCCCCCCGCAGTCGTTTCCCACCCCGGCGAGCAGCGTGAGCGGTCAGTTTCCGGGGCCCTCCTCCGCCGATGACGCCGACCACGCGGAGAAATCCGTCGCTTCGGCGATGCCGGACGCTGCAGCGTTGACGGATGCCTCGACACCACACGCAGATAACCGGCGAACCGATCACGAACGGCAGCTTGGAGGACCGGGCGACGCCATGGACATTGACACGGACACCGCCCTCGGCCGGATATCGAGTCTGGACTCGCTACAAAAAGAATTCTCGTCGGCTTACCATCTGTGCAAAAGCTGTAAGAGCTCCCCAACACCAGTTACTGGTGCGGGCTGATGCCCCCCTTTCATTCATACATGTTGCGCCTTTGCGCGCTGTCCCATAACCTTCTAGGCGTGAGCTTCGTTAACACTGTGCCATGAACCTACAGCCCATGTCACACCTGGTCCCGATCCGTCGATCGATCTCATCTCGCTGTACGGGCTCGGGCCGGTGGCGAAGTCGGTGGCCCGCATGGACCCCGTCACGGGGGAGAAGATCAACCGGTTACGGAAGTCGTACGAGGGCAAACTAAAGGGACTGGGCCTCGCAGGGCGAAATAAGCCCGTCAAACAAGAACTGGGGGCGCCCGGCGGGTTACGGCACCTGACCTTGTGGCCCGACGAAGAATGGCAGAACCAGAAGGTGTACGGGAAGGACATCAAGATCGCCGACATGGATTCCGCGCTGCACAATCTCCAGATGAAGGCGATGAGGATGGAGCCGGGCGCCGTGCCGAACAACGACTACTGGGAGGATGTGCTGGGCCACGAGAAGCCGTCGAAACACGGCGGCGCAGAGGCGGGCAAGAAGACGACCGCCATCCCGTCCGCCCCCAGCGGCGCCCGAGGACCGAATTCCGCGAACGGGACCCCGACGGCTGATGCGGATCGCAATCGACCGAGCCGCGGGCGCAAACGGCATTACGACGAGAACAGCTTTGTCGGGTACGGCGAAGGGTTTGCGGACGACGATGACGAGGGCGCGTTCAACTCCAACGGCGAAGGGGTGGGGAAGAAGAAGCGAAAGAAGGTAGGGTAGTCGAGGGAGGGACATGGGGACACGCGCGCAGCCTTACTGATGATGGATCAAAGGACCATGTCTCGAAGATATCGACCCCTCACCCGGACCGCGGAGGAAGCTACGGGGTGGGCATGTACGGGATTGGGGCCAGATAATGGGGACCCCTCAACATCCGAGTCCATTCCCCCAGGTTGATGAGAATGGGGGGCGAACCAACCAGAAATCCAAAAAAGAACCAAGGACCGAAAAAGAAAAGAACAGACTTTTCGTTTCTCTTCTTCTGGCTGTTTTCTTTTTCATCTTGCTTTTGTCTCTGAACCGGTTTCGGACTTGAAAAGAACAGAATCAAAAACCCAGAAAAGCACCAAAAAAAAGAAAAAGGGACAATGAAAATGAAGTTGAGGCCTTGGTCCTGAGACCGGAGGACCTTACCACGGTTTCGACTTGGGCCTCCTGCTATTCTCCGTACATTTTGCATCACGGTGCTGGATATACCCGGCTTTTTATCACTGGAAACGGCGTTATGGGTTCTATCTTCCGGGGGGATTCTTTTATTTTTTCTTTTGATTTTCTTCTTTGCTGTTATTCAATCTTTCCCCCCGTGTTGCAGTTAACATTTGGGAAGTTTTTCTGCTGTTGTAATGTTTACGCAGGCTTATTCGTGCTGTGCTGTGTTTTATTCCTTGATTGATTGATTGATTCAACTGATTGATCCGATGCGATGTTGTTGTTCTGTTCATTATGCTTGTTTCTGTTTCTCTTCTTGCAGTTTTCACCCGCCGTCCGAACTACAGAGGACCTAGGCCGGGTTGTATTTGAGGGTTTGACTATCCCTTTTTATTTTACTTTTCTTTTCCCCCTTGGATGCGTTGTGTTTCTGAACGATACAGAGAAACCACCAGACAGACAGGATGGGATGAGCATCGAACAGATGCTTGATTGATTTGATATTGACATATTAGAAATAGCGGGCTACCTTAGGATAGTACCCATAGGATAGGAATGATACCATTGCTTGGTTGTCTACTGTATACAGATAGTAGGGTCAAAATAAACTTCAGTCTAGACGTTGGGGCGTTTCAGTTAGGGTTCTCAGTTTCAGGTCAATCCGGCTGCTCAGATATCTCACAAGGTCAAAGTATCTTCAATAATGGCCGGTTGGATTAGTTGGTCATATCGTTTCGTTAACACCGAAAAGGTCGCCAGTTCGAACCTGGCACTGGTCATTCTTTTTCTTTTTCTCCGTTACTTCTTCGTTTTTTGCTTCCTCTACGGAGTACCTTGACTCTCTCTCTCCACCTCTCTCCTATCCATGTTGATCTTTTTGATACTTGAACCAACAATGAACACCCTAAACAACACTACATATATCATTATCAAATAAAGAATCTAGTTGGACAACAAACGCGGCTCATTATCAAGATCTTCAAACCTCAAACATCCCCAAGATCGCCAAGCCACTATACGTCGCAGCCGTGTCCCAGAAAGCGCTCGTTCCATCCCTGAGCCCAGTCGAATCAGCCAACCCCTCTAATTCTATCATCTCCCTAGAAATGGAAGCTTGGAACCAAGACTGTGTTAATCCGCCATCCGCTCGAATGCCGACGCCACAACCCACTCGGTATTCTCCTCGTTACAATCCATTGTCTAACTTCCTGACGTCCGTTTCCACCCCTGCGTCCCGTCGGGTTCCTGCGTCAACCGAGAGTCACTCAGTCAACTGCAAGGAGTCAAAGACAACCTAGTGGCATGGTATGGCCGGTTCGGTGGGTCGTCAGGGGTATGAAAAATGGCCTACCATGTTTCCAGCCAGGGGAAGATCCACCCGTATATGCCCCGATTCCTGCATCGGGATGTCGATCCTATGGATATCTAAATAACGGCTCAGGACCCGGCGGGTCCTGCTTTTCCTATTCGGTCTGTTGCTTGGTGCTCCTCTAGTCCTTTTGGAATCTAAGACAATTGAAAACTTCCTTCGAGTCATGCCTCTTTGGACATGTTGGTTGACCGCAGTGGGGCGCTCGTCCCTTGGATATACTAGGTGTGGGCTCGCCCTGGGCCTGTCTTAGTCCAGTCCGCCTCCTTGCGGTATATGCCGTACGGACTATAGCCGGGAGATTCCACTGGCGGCCAGACGGAGCTGAAACGAAGATGACCCAGTCCGTTGTTTCTAATGTGAGGCCCCGCGTGCCTAGATCACTGATGATCTCTTGTTTACCTTGAGATGGGCGCTTCTGCAGCGCATAGCTACGGCGGTAACAGAAGAGCTGTCAGCGTATTTCTTCACCGTGAAGTCCGACATATCTGCCACGATGTGGGAGACGAAGGTGCATGCTGGATTACCGCATCGCAACGAATCCACCCTCGTGGCTGTCGCCCAACTTGCCACTATGTTCGATGCCGCTGGGCCGCAGGCTGTGGTCCAGGTCGTGATGTGACCCATCCGGAGACTATCCCCAGGTCTAAGAACCGACTAGGGCAGGTGTTTTGAAACGCCCAAGGTTCCTGGACCCAGTATCGCCTCATCTCGCTGCGCTGTGGTATAAAGGAGCCCTGGGGCCCTGCGTCTTAGCCATCTGAGACCAGGCCACTTTGTTCATTGCATTCTCTTCCTATCTTTCATTCTCTTTTCTTTCTTTTTACCCTTTTTTTTTTTATACATTTTTTACTTTCTTTATATATAGATATACTTTCCCTTCATCATGGCCCCCCTTCTTGTCCTATTTCAGCTTTTCGCTCTTTTAACTACATTGGCTGCTGGAAAGCCAATCACCTTCCCGAGACGGGTCTCGGAGCCTCCGCGGGACGGCGGCATCAGTTTCCCCCTGGATGTTCGTCTGCGCGCGCTGGGCGACACCGCCGTGCTAGCCCGCATCACGAACACCGGTCATGAGAGTCTCGAAATCGTCAAGAGCGGCGGTCTGATGGACTGGCGCCCCACGCGCAAGGTCAACATCACCAGCGACAACGACGCCCTCTTCGACGGCGCAGAGGTCCGCTACATCAACAGCCACCTCTCCCGCGATGCCTTCGCGCACATCGCCCCCAACCAGACCCTGCACACCACCTTCGACGTCGCCGACTTCTACGACCTGACCGCAGGCGAGACCTACACCGCGGCCGCCAACAGCGCCCTGGAATACACCACCAGCAAGCATCCCACGAAGTTCGCCCGCGCCGCCTACCGCACCAACACCATCACCATCACGACCCCCAAGGACCGCCCCACCACCAAGCTCAGCGCGCGCTCCACCCTCGCCGACTGCACCGCAGAAGACACCCAAGCCGCGCACGACGCCCTCGGCCGCGCCACGCAGATGGCCCAAGCCGCCGCGGCAGACGCCCGCGCCGGCACCAGCGGACTCTTCGAAAAGTACTTCAAGACCTCCGACCAGGCAGCCCGCGACCAGGTCGCCTCCCGCATGGACGCCGTCGCCTCCGAGGCTAACTCCGTCGGCACCCTCACCTACTACTGCCAGCCGTCCGGCGACGACGCCTGCGGAGGCAACATCGCTGCCGTCACCTACCCCACCGAGAACAAGGTCGTCAACTGCCCGGCCTACTACCAGACCGTGGCTATCTCCAACGACTGCGGCTACCTCGACCGCGCGAGCGTCACGCTCCACGAGATCACCCACGCTTCTATCTCTGAGACGCAGGGCACGGACGATATCGCCTATGGCATTGACGATGTGTTGGCCTTGGGTACGGAGGATGCGTTGAATAACGCTGATACTTTCGCTTACTATTCTTCCGGTATGTTTCTCTTTTCCCTTTTCTTTTTCCTCCTTCTTTTACTTTGACGTTTCTCCCCACCTCCCCTCCCCTCACCTATGGTTCTGCAACCCAAACCCATATGGCCCATTACCATAACCATTACCAAACGCTAACCACAACCCAAATTCATAGACTCCTTCCTCAAATGCTACGACCAAGGAACCGCCGCGCCCGCGCCCGTCAAGGCAGCCCCTCCCGCCGCGCCTCCTGCTCCTGCTCCTCCTGCTCCTGCCCCTCCTGCCAACAACAACGACGATGGTAACGTCGTTACCGGTGGCAATGCACCTCCCGCTGGTGATCTCAACCCTGGTGAGGTCTGGGTCGCTGTCGCTACTATCACTGTTGCGGCTGATGTTGTGCCGGAGGCTACGACTGCTCCTGCTGTCTAGTCTTAGTTATGGACTGGGTAGTGAGTTAGTGAGTGAGTGGGTCGTGGGATTGGACGCATTGGATTGGATTGGATTGGTATGGATTGGGATAAGATGGATGGATGGATGGACGGACGGATTCACTGGATAGCGTTACGTTTCTCTACATTACTTTACCACTTTACTCAATCATTACATTCCTCACTCACCCTCAAACTGAATAATCAAAATCCCTTTCTCTTCTGGCTGACGCTTTCGTGGATGAGGAGGCAATGGAAGAACCAAGGTTCTTTTGATACGGTGGTGACGCCTCCAAAGGTAGTTTGGGAGGGAGCCACTGTCATGATCATATATGTAATAAGTTAACCTTTGGTATTCCGTACATAGGGGACGGCGCTACCGTCTCTGTATCCGGCTCAGTGCACCGCAGGAGCTTGTCGTATCAGGTTCGTATTAGTACTAGTGACTAGGGGAAGGGAAGGGGATGGAGACGTCAACTCCGGTTGGTAATGATGTCTTCTCTGGTATGGATATAGGGCTAGCCCGTAACATGTGAGACGGTGTCTCTGTTTTTTGCCTCTTTTTGTCTCATTCTGGGTTTGGTTTCTTCCTCTGTTTGGCTCTTTCAGGTTCGTCGGTACCATAAACGATGCACACTTCGATATAAGAAATACAATAAGTGATTCAGGCCTGGCAACAGGCCATAATATTACTGTCCGTCGTAGATTTGATCAGGTGAGAGGGTAAATTGCCCCTTCTTCAGTTCTTCGGTGCTGAGTCCCTCTGGTTTGATGTAGCGGGCTGTCAGGGCGAATCGCAGCCTGCTGTCAGGTATGACTGAATGCTAGAGGGTGTTAGAGTTGGTCTCCGCTAAGGGGCAAATTACGTACCTCGAAGTACTTCTGCAGTCTTGCCCCATGCATGACAACTAGGTCCCCGTGGTTCAGCTCCATTTTGATGGTGGGTGCGGCCTCTCCGTTTCGGCATTGTCGGAGGAGTTCTTTGAGCCGTTTCTCATAACCCACTTGCGCTAAATGACCACCAATGAGCTGGTCTCGGAGGGCCTGCCTCTGCTTCTGGAGTTCACAGCCTTCCAGGATAGGATCATCTGCTAAGGGTACTTTTGCTTTACTCTGCCCGTGGTAGTATTTATACTTCATTCGAATGAGCATGGTGGACTTGGCGCCGAGAGACAGGGTTGCGATGGTTGGCCCAAGTGAGGATTCTCCATCATCATGGTACTAGCATTGTTAGCTTTGACAAAGACCAGAATTACTGCACGTACTCCTATTTTCATTCCCTCCAGATATCCGAGCAGTAGCAGTTCGTTCGGGGGAAGGGGCTGATGTCCGGCGGACACGGCTTTTTCGGTTGCCCAGCTGAGACGACCCAAGGCACGTAGTATTTCGCTAGGCGCTTCATCGAACCCTTTGGAGCCTACCGAAACAACATATTTATACGGCATACCCTAATGATGTTAATTTCTTCTAGAGCTGAATTCTTTGTGGGGCTCCTACATAATTGACGGCAAAGTGGGCTGTAAGTGTACTAGCAACTAAGAGTAGTGACCATTAGCTTTCATTATCCCAGCGTGTACTGAACTCACCAACACTCTTCTGCAAGGGATAGCGCCGCAAACCAAGGTCAGTCTGCTGTAACTGGTCGAATAAATCGTTTGGACCGTTGACACGGCTATTAATAGCCCTATTGGAGACTAGATGAGTGATTGATCCGACCCGAGGAATGTTGTAAGTGAGTTTTCTGTATGGATATAATGTTATGTCATCAACCTCTGGGATAAGATATTTGGGATCAAAATATAGAGCCCGCTTGATTGGACTGATCTCGAATTCATCAATCACTGATCGCAGAGAGAGTACGTCCATGGGTATCATTTTCTGATATAGGCAGGGATTGTCTGGCTGGCCTGAAGCAATGTCGTCATCTCTGCATTTCCAGCCTTGCCAGAGTCTGCGAGATATGCATTTGGAGCACCAAGGACACACTATACCTCTCCATGAAATGCGAAGGGTACTCTCCTTGAGTGACGATAGCAAGTCTGGCACAAGACTGTAATGCTGTCTTATGTGTTCCGATGGAGCCATCCGATAGCTCAGAAAGTTAGAGTGGAATGTGAGAGCCACTGGAGCTGCTCCGTCGAACTTCCAGAACTTCCTGCAACCCGGACTGAGACACATCCAGCCCTCGTTGTAAATCTGTGTGCTTGTCATGCCGCAATCAAAGCACGCTTCTACCTGGAGCTGAGCGTGGTTGTTATCACGCATACTATAAGGCACGGGCTCCGGGGATCCCTTGACAGCCCACCAGCTTTTTTTGCTCAGGTCTAGCTTTTCAAACCGGACTTTTGCCCCTTTCCTCTCCCCGACCTTCTCAAACCATATGTCAGAAATGAGAAAGTAATCCATCACGTTATACCGATGGGGGAGTTGTCTTCCCAGGACCGTGTTGCGATTCCCTGTACGAGGTTGATGTCATCCTTTTAGTCATACTCAGGAAGCTTACCTATGATTATACCGATGGGGATCTTAAGCTCCCTGCTGTTATAGAGACTGGTCAGAGTGGAACCGTCGCAATCTTGATCCTTAACCAGGGTCAGGTTTCCCTGCGCATCTTTAGTGCAGCCGCCTCCTCTGTTCAGCTCAGGTTAGCCTCAGTCATGCCCTAGAAACAGGTAAGGGGTCACCTACACGCGGGTTATGATCACTTCATCGTCGATGTGGGAACGTATGCCACAGTCGGCGTCGAGAAGAAACCCAAAGCAGATGTTCCCGGAATGGTACACACCTCCTTGAACGGAACGGAACCAAGGAAGAGCATCGCAAAGCTCAGGACGACACTGGTGCCTTTCAGTTGAGGGTATTTAAGTAGAGGACGGTAAGTAACGAACCTCAGCCCACGCTGGAGGACTTCCATCCACCGGGATTGGAGTCACGGGGATTGGATTCACCACCTCCTCGACCAGACTTGCAATCTTCGACGGATCAAGTGTGACTATTGGATGTTAGACATACACGCCCAATGGCAGCAATTCTAAGTAAGAGGTCTACGCCACTTCTGCTTGGCACTTGATAGAAGTTCTTCTTTCTAGAGATTGAGAGACGTACCTGCAGAAGAGCTGTTTCCTGAGCGAAGTACGCGCCCCGATATTACAGCCTGGTGCTTGGTTACTGGCTTCTTTGTGGGTGCCATTTTTTGTATCATTTCAGGTAGCTTAGGCATCCATGACACAGCAAGTGACCGTCACGGGAAGTAAGACTTGGTCCGTCAGATGTCGCGTGACTAAAAGGAGTCTTCTTGTAGAATTGAATACTTACCTAGTTTTGCTCAATCTGTCCAGTTGCACACCGAGTATACTCAGATCGAGTTTGCTCACGGTCCTGGGGTAAAACTGGGCAGCGCAAAGTAGATGTGGACTAGAAAGATGGGAGTGAGTACAGTGGTTATATGGAAGTAGACGTGGTGGTGGCATATAAGGGGCAGGAAGATAGGCGAGATGTTCTGAACGGAGAAGAACGGGGGACCGAGGAGAACGGAAGGGGGGGAAGATGATGCTGGAGATGGAGAAAAGATGAAGATGAAGAAGTAAGGAGAAAAGAAAAAGGTTGAGATGGAAGACTGAGGCCACCAGATGGCAGCCTGAACTTGCACTATTTTTATTACTTCATCGTGGTCGATTATACTTCCAATACCTCATCCTGTCATCGATCTTCCATACATTGAGTTGACAGCACCCAAAGCCTGATTAATCTAGTCGCAGATACCGATTGAATCCAAGATGGACTTGATTACTCAAATCCCTGGTGTTTTGAGCAAGTACAAATGGGTAGCCCATATCAAATTGTCAACACGAACGATGTGGACGCAAGGCAGCTTGATACTGCAGCTAAAGATGGTATGCATCTACTCTGGCCATCCAAGTGGATCAGAAACCGCCACTAAACCCAGAACTAAAACATGGCGGCCGATCCTGTTGGTCGCTCTCGGCATAATCTTTCCGATAACCAACAAACTGAACCCGAGGATATCAGAACTACTAATCAACTCAGGGGTTCTCATCAGGGCATTCCAGAGTCAAAAGTATTGGAATAGTACTTGATATTGCCTCGGCGGATAGTGTCCAAGAAAACCAACCTATCTAAACGATCGGTCTCACCCCGAGGGCTGTGCTAAAGCATTCATATCCATTCGAGTTCGGCAAACGATTTATTACCGAGAAGGGAGCTTTCCCCGCACTCAGGATTGCCCCTAAATCCTATATTTAACGCGCCCACCACCGAGGATCTTCCCTCCTCCTCTCTCCCCGCACGTTCGAATTTATTGCCCGGTGACTTCGGTCCATTCTTTCTCCTCTTCTCTCTTTCCCTTCTCTATCGTAAACATCGGATTAGACGGAGGTTCACAATGGTCTTCACTCCTCCCAGCTCGGCAGGCGAGCTGCCCCCGATTCCCGACAATATTCCCATTAGCGAATTTATGCTCTCGGAGTCGCATGGTCGCACTCCTTTCAACCAGTCCAGACATCCCTACACGTGTGGCATCTCGGGGAGATCTTACTCCCCGTCGGAGGTGGTGACTCGCGTCGAGCACTTGTCTCGAGCCCTATCCAAGGAATTCAACTGGCAGCCCAACCAAGGTACGGAATGGGACAAGGTGCTGGGTGTTTTCAGTTTGAATACAGTAAGTGATGATCCCCAGGGGGGTAAAAGAAAAAGTAAATCATACATAACCAACTAACTTCGCTGATAGATCGATACGTTGCCCCTGTCATGGGCGACACACCGGTTAGGGGGCGTCGTCTCCCCCGCCAACGCGGCCTATTCCGCCGCCGAGCTGAAGCACCAGTTGCTGGACTCCAAGGCCACAGCGCTGTTCACCTGTCTCCCTCTGCTGTCGACCGCTTTGGAGGCGGCTTCCATGGCGGGTTTGCCCAAGAACCGCATCTACCTGATTGAGCTGCCTCCCCAGATCACCGAGGGCGCAAAGGCCCCCGGTTACAAAACCTTGGAAAATTTTGTCCAGGAGGGCAGCGCCCTGCCGGTGCTGGAGAATCTCAACTGGGGCCCAGGAGAAGGCACCCGTCGCACCGCGTTTCTGTGTTATTCGAGTGGCACATCTGGGTTGCCGGTGCGTACAAACCCCAGTGTCTGCCATAGGATCATCTGACCGTATTTGCGTCTTCCAGAAAGGAGTCAAGATCTCGCACCGCAATGTCATTGCCAACGTGCTTCAGATCTCGAGCTTCGAACAGTCTTGGCGGGATCATCTCTCTGCCGGGAGCAAAACCCCGTACACGGAGGTTTCCTTGGGCCTGCTTCCCCAGAGCCATATCTACGCCTTGGTAGTCATCTGTCATGTCGGAACATTCCGGGGTGATCAGACCATCGTGCTCCCCAAGTTCGAGATGAAGTCGTACCTCACGGCTATCCAAAACTTCAAGATCTCCGCTCTATTCTTGGTTAGTCATGTAAGAAACAAAATGATGATTACGATGCTGATATTGGGCAGGTCCCCCCAATCATCATTGCAATGCTGCGCAACCACGAAGTTTGCTCCAAATTTGACCTCAGTTCCGTCACCTCATTGTTTACTGGGGCGGCACCCCTGGGAATGGAAACCGCGGCAGACTTCCAAAAGGTCTACCCGGGTGTCACCATCCGGCAAGGTTACGGTTAGTCTTGTCACCCACAGTTCATGGATGTGGTATTAATGCGCTGGCTCAGGTCTCACGGAAACCTGCACGGTGGTCTCCTCGACCCACCCTACCGACATCTTCCTCGGCTCTTCTGGCTGCCTAGTCCCGGGGTTTGAAGCGCGCATTGTGACCCCAGAAGGCCAAGAGGTGACCGCTTATGATACCCCCGGTGAGCTCGTGGTTCGCAGTCCAAGCGTCGTCCTTGGCTACCTGAACAATGAGAAAGCCACCAAGGAGACGTTCGAGGACGGCTGGATGCGCACCGGTGACGAAGCCGTTGTGCGCTTGAGCCCCAAGAATGTCGAGCATATTTTCATCGTCGACCGGATCAAGGAATTAATCAAGGTGAAGGTAAGTATTCCCTCACCCCTACTTTAAGCGCTTGGGCAAAACTCGAGTTAACCACACAATGTCATGTCTGCAGGGCCTGCAAGTCGCTCCCGCCGAGCTCGAAGCTCACCTCCTGACCCACCCCGCAGTCGCCGACTGTGCCGTCATCGCAATCCCTGACGCATCCGCCGGAGAGGTCCCCAAGGCCATCGTGACCAAGTCCGTCTCCGCTGGGACCGACGACGAGGCCATCGCCAAGTCCATTATGAAGCACGTGGAAGACCACAAAGCGCGCCATAAGTGGCTGAAGGGCGGTGTCCGGTTCGTTGACGCTGTCCCCAAGAGCCCTAGTGGCAAGATCTTGCGCCGTCTTCTGCGGGACCAGGAGAAGGAAGCGCGCAGACGTGCTGGGGTCAAGCTTTGAGTTGGATGTTCATCGAATTGGGCTATGAATATCGATCCTACCTAGCGAGGTGTATATATAGAGAGGCGGGTAGACTGAGAGATTGGATATATTAAACTCAAGATGATAAATTCCACGTCATGTCTGTCTCCCTCGTGGTGATGACATCTAGATCCGAACCATCTACAACATTGTTCTACTATCTAATTGACCATACCGAATGCATCGACGTGTTTGCAGTGTTTGCCTTGCAGCGCGGGGAGATTCAGATTTCTAAGCGGGGACTTTTATCGCCATAGTAAATTCGTCAATCAGCAAAAATTTCCTGCGTTTATAGATTCTTATATTTTCTTTTTATTCCTGCTGTTGTTGGTGATCTAACATTATCAATACTGTTGTGACTCACTTTTCCTCCTTTTCTTCCTCCTTTGTGCCTCCCTCCCACTCTCTCATCAACAACCACATTTTTTTCCCAGCCCTAGTATACCTCCAAACCAACCTACAATGTCTTCCTCGCAAGACCCCCACCACGAAGACGACGTCTTCCTCGGCGCCGACGAAGGCGAAGAAATCGTCGGCCAAGATGAAGACCACCCAATGGAGTCCGACGGCGAAGACCAAGAGATGACATTCGAAGACCAGGAAATCCTCCTGCAAAACGACTCCGCCGCCCACTTCGACCTGCACTCCGACTCGCTCTTCTGCATCGCCCAGCACCCCATCCACAACGCCATCGTCGCGACCGGCTCCGGCGACGACAGCGCATACATCTTCGACTCGACCCCGCAGAACGAGCGCCCCGTCCTGCCCCAGAGCTACGAGTCGAACCCGCAGCCCAAGCAGGAGCGCAAGTCCCTGCAACCGCTCGTCAAGATGGATGGACACACCGACTCCGTCAACGCGATTGCGTTCACCGAGCCCAAGGGCGAATACGTCGTGACGGGAGGTCTGGACGGCCGGCTGCGCGTATGGCGCGATACCTCGCCCCAGCTGACGGGGCTTACGTGGGGCTTCGTCGCGGAGGCGCAGGAGGTGGAGGAAATCAACTGGATTTCCGTGTGTCCGTATGAGAACAACGGTGAGGAGAAGAAGAACGTGGTGGCTGTGGGCGCGAACGACGGCAGCGCATGGGTCTTCCGCATTGACCACAATGACTCCGCCGAGCCCATCTCCATCATCCAGTCCTTCTTCCAACATACCGGCTCCTGCACCGCTGGCGCTTGGACCCCCGATGGAAACCTCCTGGCCACCGTCTCGGAGGATGGCACTTTCTACGTGTACGACGTCTTCGGTGCCGCCGCCGCCGCCGGAATCTCCTACTCGACCGGCACCAGTGCCGTCGTGGGGCTGACGCCCGAGGATCAGCGATTCGCCGTCGAGGGGGGGCTGTACTCCGTTGCCGTCGCTCCCAGCGGTGGATTTGCGGCTGTCGGCGGCGCGGAGGGCCACATCAAGGTGGTCGGTCTTCCGCGGGTTGGCGGCGCCGCGGCGGCACCGAAAGCCAAGGGCAAGGCAACCGCCTCCCAAGCGTCGACGGGCGCCTCTGCCGCAGGCACGCTCCTTGCCTCGCTGCAGGCGCAGACGGACGGCGTTGAGACGCTGAGCTTCTCCGCGCCGCCGCTGAACTTCCTTGCGGCCGGGTCGGTGGACGGGTCGATCACGCTGTTCGATACCGCTCATCGCTTTGCCATCCGTCGGCATATCAAGGAGGCCCATGAAGCCGCTGTTGTCAAGGTCGAGTTCCTGCAGAACCGCTCGGCGGCGTCGTCGGTGGGCCGCCCCGGTCCCCTGGCTTCTGCGTCTGCTGGCCAGGGCCGGACGTGGCTGCTGACCTCTGTGGGTATCGACGGCGTTGTCAGACGCTGGGATGCCCGTGGCGGAACGACGGCTGCGGGGCAGGGCTTGCTGTCCGAGTGGAGGGGTCATCTGGGCCTCACTGAGAACAACGAGGGGGAGCAGTCCGGTGGTATCATGGGCTTTGTGCAGGGCTTCGATGGAAAGCGGGTTGTCACTGCGGGTGACGACGGGATTTCGCTGGTGTTTGAAGAATAATTTTGTATGACGCTTCTCTTGATTGAATTAATTGTACATAGACCAGTGGTCTTGGAGTTTTTACCTAAAAAAGATATCTCTTGTTACGCATCATATCATACATCCTAGAAGTATTTTAGTAGGGAGACAGACTGCCGATAACAAGCAGCAGCCTAATTCTAGACCATAAAAGAAAAACCACAAGACCATAAAAATGAGTCTTCATGTAACAACAAACGATACTATATACAACCAACAAATAAAACAACCCAAGCGCCGTTTGTAGGGAGCTAGGGCCCACCCGGTGATCAACGGATAGTCGACTCCCACGAGAGCCGAGAGTCCCCTCTTCTCTTTTTTCGTGCTTTCAAGAAACACCCCTAAACTCTTCTATGAGTACAGCCACCACATCCTGATTTCATCCCGGGGTATCTGCACATCTCCCGTGCCTCGGCTACCAACCCCATTCACCTTCATATCCATATCCGGTCCTCCCACATCAATTGCTTAGTGGTGGGCCTCGCCGTGGTGATGATCATCCTGGAGGAAGAAGTGCTCGTATGTGCAGTAGCCGGCGAACGCAACGGTCGCGATCCCGAGGCCGGGGAAGATGCGCTTGAAACGGTTGAAGCGGCTGAAGGGGCCGGTATACCGCCAGGTCTCACTGGAAGAAGGTCAGTCAGTCATTGAGCCACGGAGTCTGTCGGAGATGGGTCCAGATCACACGTACTAGCGGGCCCAGGGATCCCTCTTGGCGTAGGCTGACCGCGGGGAAGCGGCGGCCTTGAATTCGCGAAGGTCGAAACCGGTGGGGTTGGGGACCATGGTGGGAGGTGTATTTGTGGGGTGGGATGGGATCCGAGAAAGGTTGCGGGTTGAGAAGGTATACGGACGAGCGTGTGAGTCCGCAGGATCCGAAGTGCAATTGGGAGGGAGAGCAAGTGGGGAGCAAGACCGAGAGAGACAGCGAGAGTGGAAGTTGAAGCTGTACAGAGAGAGCGAGCGAACTGGGACTTGGCGCGCTAATCCTGATTCAGATCGGGCGGTCAATTACTACTTCCACCGCCTGCCATTTCCATCATTCTGCCTGTCAAACTGTCGACCACCCTTCGACTCCACTCAATCCCGACCTAACCTGATCCTTTACCCAATCCAACCTTTCCTTCCCACATCGCAACCTCCCTCGGCCACTACTGACCTTCCCTCTCTGTGTGTCAATATCAAATGCATGACCCGCCCTCCGCATCTTCCTCAACTACACGATGCCCCCTCCCGTCGGCAGATACGGGCCCACTGGCCTAGGGGCTCCTTATTCCCATTTACAACAGGCCCATTTGCAACAGCAACAGCAGCAGCAGCAGCAGCAGCAAGCCCAGCACCATCCGGCCCAACACCATCCGGCCCACGCCCAGTCGGCCAACACAGCTCTCCCGCCTCCCTCCCTGGGTGGTCACCCGGGATTCGCCGCCGGGAATCCCAACACTAATATCAATCCCTTCACGCTGTCCGGCACCGGAATCGCTAATGGCATGTCGGTCGCTGCGTTTGGGGGTGATGGCGGAGGCACGGGCCTCGCCAGCCATGCGGCGCAAATGGGCTTCGCGAGAGGGGCCCAGATGCAGCAACAGCAGCTACATCAGGCCCACGATGGCCGGTTAGCGTTGGAGTCGAAGGCCGGTGCCGTCAAGACGAGGATTCGCGACGTGTGGAAGCACAATCTGGCGCAGGAGATGGCCGTGTTGAGGCAACTGGTGGAGAAATATCCGTATATCAGCATGGTAAGTTGATGGTCACTGCTTCTTTTGTTTGACGAGGACTAACGCTCGCTCAGGACACCGAATTTCCTGGCATTGTTGCCCGCCCTATCGGTACCTTCACGAATAAAGCAGACTACCACTACCAGACCCTCCGGTGTAATGTCGACCTCTTGAAGATGATTCAGCTGGGGATCACTCTTTTCTCCCCCGAGGGAGAGGTGCCCCCGCCCAATGCCACGGATGGGAATGGCCAGCCTCTCGGGAACAGCCTGGCCCCGGCTCCGTGCACCTGGCAGTTCAACTTCCGGTTTTCCCTGGAGGACGACATGTATGCGCAGGAGTCGACGACCATGCTGGCCAAGGCGGGTATCGATTTCAACATGCACGATAAGAACGGGATCGACCCGTTGGAATTCGGGTCGCTGTTGATCAGCTCGGGCCTCGTGTTGCTGGACGATGTCCACTGGGTGTCCTTCCACTCGGGCTACGATTTTGGCTACCTGATGAAGATCATGCTCTGCCGATCGCTGCCCGAGACCGAAGAGGCCTTCCACAAGCTGCTCAATATCTTCTTCCCGTCCCTGTATGACATCAAATACCTGATGAAGCACGCGGGACGCAATCAAGCGGTCAACGACTCTCCGCTCACCCCAGCTGCAATGCAGATCCTCGCCAGCTTGGGTCAAAAATCGGGGCTGCAGGATATTGCGGACGAACTCGGCGTGAAGCGGGTGGGCATTGCCCATCAGGCCGGGTCCGACTCGCTCGTCACCGGCGAGATTTACTGGAAGATGCGTCAGCTGGTCTTTAACGGCACGATCGATGAGTCCAAGTACTCCGGGCAGATCTGGGGTCTTAATGGCCAGATGCCGTCGTTGATGTACCACATGCAGCCCCATCAAACGCCCAATCTCAATGGTGCCACGATCTATTCCGCTGCCGGCACGCCGGGCACGCCTAATGCTGGAAATCAGACTCCCCAGCACATGGGTGCCATGACTCCTGGCGGGGTTGGTGGAGTGCTCGGTGCGTTCCAAATCGGCAAAGCATGAGGTTTTCTTCCTCCCTGCTTCTCGTTGATTTGATTTCTCGTCGGCTCCATTCAGTCTCTTTCCTAGACTACGTCTCCAGTTGGCGACTACATCTACACTGATCAGTTGCACGCTTCCCTGTTCATTTTGGCGTTGGTAGCCACCTTCGTCGATGACTTTTTCTTTTATACATTCTCTTTTCTGTTACGTTTGGGCCAACGGATTGTGGGTTCGATGCGATACGATGGTTGTACATAGCATAAGGCATTGCTCACCATGGGTGCCTCGTTTGGTTTCTTCTGCGTTTGCTGCTTGGTCGTGCGTTTCCTGGTTCGTCCATGGGGTTTGTCCCCTGGAATGTCTTCGCGTTTGTCTCCGGAGGCGGGTGTTTGTGAGGAGTGCATGGTGCTTTTCTCATTGCCATTTGTGTTTTTTAAGGTGGCCGGAATGGTATCTTTATTTTTATCTTATCCTGGGCTCGTCTATTTATGATTGTGTGTTTGGCGTAGGTATCCCTAGTCTGGGTTATCTACTAGGTTATACGGTGTTTACGCCACGACTCGGGTGGATTTGAGGCTTTCCCGACGTCTCCCAGAGTGATGTTTTCCCTTGCGCTATCAAGCCCCGTCGACTCTATAAGACTGTACACCAATTGCCAACTATCCTAGATACAGACAGCGACAGCCCGTGTACCAGCATCAGCTCTCTCCATGCAAATTGCCACTGACACCCCCTCACAACCACAGAAATAGGCAAGGGTATCCGATGTTAAACTATATCCCCGCACTGTTCCACCCTCCATCAACACGACAAGAAGACCGACGCTGCACATGTGGTTCGCATTACTCTATTCGGGGTCATCGAGACGACAGGACCCGCTAGACTCGATCTGGTAAAGGAATCCGAGCGATCTTATCGGATACGCGATAACGATGATGTCGCTATCGCTGGTTATCCTGGATTTGGAGCTGCCATGCTGCAGCTTATAAGATGGTCTTCTTTCGCTTGATGGAACCTTCTGAACAGAGGAGAGATTATACTCATTACTATCACCGTAATTGTTTTCTGGACTGAATTCCCTCCCCTTCGTGACGCTGTGCAACATTACTCGATCTCAACCCCGCAACAATCAGATCAACCCTACTATACATCACACCTGACGAACACACGCGCAACCTTTTCTCCTCAACGAATCTCGAGACAAAGTCCCTCATAAGCAATGGTCCTCGACCGACTTCAACAGTTGACCCACCAGGTCAACGGCTCATCTCCGCCGCCCCATCCCTTCGACCCTCTCTCCACCGCGGAAATCGACACGGTCGTCGCTCTCGTCCGCAACGAACATGGCAAGGTCAACTTCAACGCCGTCGGTCTCTTCGAGCCTCGCAAGGCGGAGATGATGGCATGGCTAGAAAACCCGCAAACGGCCCCTCTCCCGGCTCGCGCTGCTGAGGTTGTTGCCATCGCTCCAGGCGGGAAGGTGTACGATGGGCTCGTGGACCTAGACCAGAAAAAGGTCACCCAGTGGCAGCATACTCCGGGCGTGCAGCCCATTATCACTATGGAGGATCTGCAGGAGGTGGAGCATGTTGTCCGCCAGGATCCCAAGGTGATCGAGCAGTGTGGGATTATCGGAATCCCTAGGGAGGATATGCATAAGGTTTATTGTGATCGTGAGTTGCCATTCTTATCGGGGATGGTCCATTATGTGAAGTATGACATTGCTGATGGTCAATGCAGCTTGGACAATTGGGTACGACGAGCGGTTTGGCACCGACATTCGCCTGCAGCAGGCTCTCATGTACTACCGCCCCCATGTCGACGACTCCCAGTACACATACCCATTAGACTTCTGCCCCATCTTCAACGCCGAGACGAAGCAGATCATCCACATTGACGTACCGCCTATCCGACGACCCCTCAGCAAAGCCGCCCCCAACAACTACCTGCCAGCGGCGATTGAAAAGGAAGGTGGTTTCAGACAGGATCTGAAGCCGATCCACATTACGCAGCCAGAGGGCGTCTCGTTCAAGATGACCGGGCGTGTCATCGAGTGGCAAAACTGGAGCATCCACGTTGGGTTCAACTACCGCGAGGGAATCGTGCTGAACAATATCACCTTCAACGATAGAGGCGATGTTCGCCCCGTCTTCTACCGTCTGTCTTTGGCTGAAATGGTCGTGCCGTACGGAAACCCGGAGCATCCGCACCAGCGGAAGCACGCCTTCGACCTGGGCGAGTACGGCGGAGGCTACATGACAAACAGCCTATCCCTAGGCTGTGACTGCAAGGGTGCAATCCACTACATGGACGCAGCGTTCGTCAACCGCGCAGGCGCCAGCACCATCGTAAAGAACGCCATCTGCATCCACGAAGAAGACGCAGGAATCCTGTTCAAACACACAGACTTCCGAGACGAGTCGATGGTCGTCACACGCGGCCGGAAACTCATCATCTCGCACATCTTCACGGCCGCCAACTACGAGTACTGCGTGTACTGGATCTTCCACCAAGACGGCACCGTCCAGCTAGACATCAAACTAACCGGCATCCTCAACACATACGCTATGAACCCTGGAGAGGACACCCACGGCTGGGGCACGGAAGTCTACCCCGGCGTCAACGCGCACAACCACCAGCACCTGTTCTGCCTCCGTGTCGACCCGAATGTAGACGGGCCCAACAACACCGTCTTCCAGGTCGACGCCGTCCGCGGGCCGGGCGAAGTAGGCAGTCCCGAGAGCAAGTACGGCAATGCGTTCTACGCGCAAAAGACCAAATTCAGCACTCCGCGCGAGGCAATGTCCGACTACGACGGCAGCACCAGCCGGACTTGGGAAATGGCCAATACCAACAAGCTTAACCCTTACAGCAAGAAGCCTGTATGCTACAAGCTAGTCAGTCGCGAAGTCCCACCATTGCTACCCAAGGAAGGCGGCCTCGTCTGGAAACGAGCCGGATTCGCTCGCCACGCCGTGCACGTCACAAAGTGTACGTCTTCCATCACCACCCATATTCCCATTCCAATCACATTCTAGCACTGTAAACTAACCAACGCAACAGACTCCGACGACCAAATCCACCCCGCAGGCCGACACGTACCCCAAACCTCCGGCGAACCCTCCCAAGGCCTCCCAGCCTGGATCGAATCTGCCGGCCCAGACTCCTCCATCGACAACACCGACGTCGTCCTCTGGCACACCTTCGGGCTAACCCATTTCCCCTCCCCCGAGGACTATCCCATCATGCCAGCGGAGCCCATGACGCTGCTTCTCCGTCCGCGGAACTTCTTCACGCGCAATCCCGTTTTGGACGTGCCGCCGAGTTTCGCGAGGTCGCCGTCGCAGGTGGCGGCGGGGAAGTCTTCTTGTTCGTCTTGTAGTGGGAAGGGGGATGGGTCGAGTCGGTTGGTTTGATACTTCGTTTTGGAGAGGGGGGGGTGCTATGTCTGTTATGAATGATGTTTTGGATGCATTTTTGATTGGGGTTTGTTTTATCTTTGTATGTAGCATATGGTGTAATTGGATTGATACTTCATTATCACATGTCATTCATCGTCCATACGGTCAAGCAGCAGTTGAGTTGACTGACCTCAGTGGTTGTAACAGGTGAGTGAGTATATGGAAATATATATGTCTTGCTTTATCAAAAAGCCTAGTTTATAGTTGCAGTACAGTGGGCTGACAGTTGACCCAGCCTACATATATAGTACTAGCGTAGCAGCCCCATATTGAAAACCAATTAAAGCAAATACAATAACCATTGATGACGCCCAACGAAATACGTTAATTAGCATATATCATCCTAATCATTCAACCCCCTCAAAAAAGTAAAAATAAAGATGATGAAAAACAAAAAGAAATATCTTCCGATACGGGGAATCGAACCCCGAGCTGCCGTGTGAGAGACGGCGATGTTAACCATTACACCATATCGGATGGTTGTCGAAAGATGATTGCGGAGTTGGTTATAATAGGGGAGGACGCTATCAGTGGATCGGCATGTGGGGCCTCCGGTTGGCTCCCGTGTAATTGATTGGTTGTTGACTCGCTGTCCTGGGTTTGAGAGCTTAAAGTAGGCAGGCAGGTAGTAGGTGCTGGAGATGTCTGGTTTAGGGGTTCTTTGGTGTATTTGGTTTTTTGTTGTGTTTGACGATAGCACTCTAGTTGAGGCCGTGAAATATTGTTTAGGAATTGGTTGTTTTCAATCTAACCTTGATTAAGCTTTTATATATAAATACATGCTTGTTTGGCTTTTGTATATATATTAGCAGACTCAAAGTACGACTGTCTGGGCGCTAGTAAATACGAACAAATATTTTATAGATGTGAAATGATATGTAAGCATGAATATCCATATCCCACGTAGCTTAGGTCTGGAGGAAGGACGATACTGGAAGTCCAGAACGGCGCCACGATGAGAATAATATTGGCATAGCTTGGTCGTGTGAGTTGTGTGTGTAAAGTTCATGCATACTGGGTAAGACCAAGGGCTTTTTCTATTAGGGCCCAACAAGAATTGGGAGATTACAGACAAGAGCGGCTCTATGTTCTTGAAATACCGATTCAAAGCCTTTCATCACTAGAGTAAAGCCACGCTTCATCCAATTGGAATCTCGTATGATAGTGCAGCAACTAAATCAGAAAGCATATATACTCAGGTACATATCTCGAGTCCCCTGAACAACCATCAACTATATACTATCATCACCACCACTATCATACTCAGTCGCCAATAAACCCCCTGGATCACGCTCCAATAAATAAACATCAATGCGTTGCCTGAAATTCATACCTATTACTCATAGCAGCTCAACTTAATCATAGTAAGTAGAAAGATGTCATAGTACTGACCGCAACATACTGTAGACCCAGCAGTAAGTCACTTCCACCCTACTTCAGCTCCAGTTCCTCAGCACACCGGTTGCAGTACATCTTTGAGTTTCCGCAGGCAGCGCAGTCCTTGTGCTTGCCACAGTTGTTGCACGCCACATATGCCATTTCGTTCTGGATTATGGGGGTATAGATTAGATTAGACATCTAATATAAGATAAAGTATATATCGAAGAGCTGTCTTACCTGTAGGTAGAAATAGAGGGATGTGTGTTCTAGGAAGACTGGAAGTTATCAAGGATTGGGATTTATCAATTGGAAATTATCGAGCCCCCGACGGAAAGAAATACAACCATGATGGGAATCATGACGGCTTATCTATATCCCTAACTACTTTTGCTACCAAGTACATGTTATAGACCCCAAGCGGGGTGATAGAGCCTCCTCTCCTCTGTTTGGATAGAAGAGGATACAGTGACCACACGAGGCTGTCCATTATCACAATCACGAGGGACGCCACCAGTATAATACCAGAAGAAATATATGCATCTCTTCACATACTGAAGCACGAGGCGTAGCAAGCTGAAAGTACCGGTTGGTGGGATAATCATGGGGCTACATTTGTGGCTGGAACCCGGGCCAAATAGAATGGCTTTGCTATCTAGAACTACAGCCTATCTGGTCAGCTGGAGGTGACATAAAGCGCGTGCTATATGGGTTGGAGTATATCATTATATGTCAGGGCAGGTCAAAGCGCACCATTTGATACTGGGTGGTTGTTTCTCTGTCTCGCTTGTAGAAAAGGACCTGGATCAGCCTCACGTGAAGCAAGCGCTATGGACCTATAGCTCTCGATGAACCAAAAAGCCTTAAATATTAACTTGATAAGTCTATAATCTGACCATCTTGCATCTCGAGACAACCAATTAAATTGATCAAGTAGCTGTTGAGGTAGTAGTCCCCGCTTACCCTATAAATAACCTTATATAGGGACTCCATACAGTGGGAAGCATAGTTAGGGCAAGGACTTAGCTTTAGCTCTGTCTGTTAGTTCAGCAATGCTCCGCTTTTCTCAACAACCATCCGATATGGTGTAATGGTTAACATCGCCGTCTCTCACACGGCAGCTCGGGGTTCGATTCCCCGTATCGGAATTACTTTTTTTCTTTTTTTGCCCTTTCCATACGAAGTATATGTTTTCAACTTATTCCTTCCTTTTACTTCTTCTATTTTCCGATTTTGCGACTTGCGGGAATGCCGATAATGGCAACAAATGTCACACAGCGTGGTTCGGGTTCTGCCCTGGTGCATATCCCGGTTTAGATATTCCCTACTCGATCAAGAACCTCGAATATGCCGGTGAAAGACCTGGAACATAGCTGACGCTATGGGCCAACCTGTGGTCTGTCTGTCCCTCATCATCGTCTGGCCATTTGTATAGCATTTCACACATATCTGAACAGCCATATCCTTCTACGTATGTCTGAACTTGATCAATCTTATTGATTACCTTTCATAGATACCATCAGCTCTTATCTGGCACGAACTGCTTGTTATGTCCAGCGTGGGATCCTACTACATTTAATGGCCCTGTCACAATAACCTTTACTGGACAAAATATTAGTCGAGCTTACCTCCCAGCAACGGCATACATAGTCTCAGAAACAGAGTGAACCTCCCAAGGACCACAGCATAGCTCGTCATATCTAGATCAAGAGCTCAAACAATGCTCATGAATCAAAGGCTAACAGAGCAGACACCAACTAAAAGGCCAACTACAAAGCAAGAACGCTCCAACAAGGAAGCTACTATCATGCTCCCTTGAAACGGGAATAGACCTGCAGTATCTCCCACGAGAGTGCAGTTATACCATCCAGATGCCCTGGCGTATCCCCATAAGTATACCCTGATAGAGACCCGACAAGGGGGCCGTTTCTACTAACTTACGCCTACAGCAGAGACCACCATCCCTAATTCAATAGGGCCGGCTGCCTTCTTGGTCGATTCAGCAGGGGAAAGTAAGTACATAGGGCTTAGACCGTCAAGCGGATACTATGCATGTTGTTTTGTGAGCAGAGTCTACTCAATATTCCGTATGATTACCTGCAGCGCTTTCAACATATACTTGATGTAATTGCTAGCCTGGGCAGTGACATGCCAATTGATGCTGGGATCTAGTCATATCTTTCTAGTAGAAGCTATCTCCCCGTCTTCGACCTTCCACTTTAACAGAAAGCAGCAGCACATACAACCCTTTCCACTCCTTCATTAACAGAAAAACCACGAATCAGGAACCACTCCGCTCCCCCGCCCCCCATAGCTGCCCTCGCATCATCGTTGAACACCACTCGACTTCCTCACCTTCTCCACCTTCTCCACCATGAGGTACGCCGCCAAATCCGATAAGAAAATATGAACCGACGAGGATCCGTCTCCCGCAGCTTCTGCCTTTTAGTCTCATAGTTCCTCTTGGCCTCGGCCAGTGCCTCGTGCTTCCGCTTCGTACGTGGCGTGATCCTAACACGAGGCTCACTCTCCACCAATGCCTCCCTGTCCTTCTGCTTCGCACGTGTCCCTGTCCTAGTACGAGGATCCATCCATGTCCCAAACGTATCCGGGTTGTTATCCCTCGCACAATACGCCTGGGTACCCTCCAGAAAACTCCGAATAGACTTGTTCACGCTCACCCGAACCACCACCTCACCATCCTCACCATCCAACAATAAACTCTTCCTCGTGTTCGTGAAATGTTTTCGACGAGGAAACCGCATCACCACGTGGTAATGGGAGGTCCCATCCGCATGCCACTCTCGAGAACCAAACATCTCCGCCGTTGGGAATTTCACCTGAAATCGCCGATGAAATTCCCCCGCGCTGAGAATCTTACTGTTCTCAAAGGTAACAAAGGCATGCTTGGCGTGTAAAGTCCCGTCGAGCTTCTTTGTACCAAGGTCATACTCGCGCTCATCGCCCCCGGGCGACTTCCCACCACCCAAGCGTTTCTTCACCTCCATGAACTCGTGTCCGTCACCACTAACAGACATACTAGCCACATAGATCGCACACCAAAGTAGAGAACAATGTGAAAATGGAAAAGGAAAAAGGAAAAAGAGCGGACATCCCACCCTTCTTATACTTCCGACGAACAACACACTAAAGCTTGGCGTATACACCCAACTTACCTCTTTCGGCAACCGTCAACACACCCGGCATACACCACATGCTTCCACCAACCAACAAACACTCTTTACCAACGCTTTCGAAGGGCTTCGAATCTTCTAGATTAATGATGTAATATAGATGCAAGTACATGAAGAGGTAGTGGTACTTACTACCACTGCCTACTGAACCTATGAAATATTTACAGAGCCTGGAATATATAAGACAAAGCCTATATTTTCGATCATTTGAATAAGTCATGGCTACTAGATTAAGTAAGCCCAGCCTTTCTTCAACAACATCCGATATGGTGTAATGGTTAACATCGCCGTCTCTCACACGGCAGCTCGGGGTTCGATTCCCCGTATCGGAAGCATTTCTTTTTTTTCTTCTCACATCTTGATGTCGTTGACTTGTCTACTACCCCTCTTACTATATTACAACTGTGCTCGAATGTCGTAGGGCATGGTTCTCTTTTTGTTTGCGCTGAATGGCTGAATCCACACTTGATAGCTACCTGGGTATGAGTAGGGTAAACCATGCATTTATTCCAGTCCAAAACGCCAAGAAAAACCAAGAGATGGGCAGATATCTAACTGCAGGGTAAAAAGTAAATGGTCAAAAAGCAATGCAGAACATGGTGTCGCCGACGGGGATTTTAAAAAAACAGGTCAAGGAAATAAGCGCCACAAACAATCACACAAACAGACAGACACAGGTGGGAGATATACCACCACCCATATATATCATAAACACAAGCATCCAGAGACAGAAGAAGAAGAAGAAGAAGAAGAAGAAGAAGGGGGAAGGGGAGTCTAATTAGACCGCTTCAAACCCTCCTCAATCTCCTGCATCAAACCACTCAACTCCTTCCCCCATCGCCACTCCTCCCCTCAACCTCCAGTCCCTTCTCAATCAACACCCTAGCCTCCTCCCACCGCCCCATCTCAGCAAGACACTTGCCCCCCCGCCACCAAGCCTTCACATTGCCAATAGGCTTGCTCTCCACGCTACACTTCGAGTCCAGCATGCCCTCAGGCCAAGCCTGCATACCCATGTAAGCTTGCGCGCGGTTGGCATACAAGCCGGCGAGCTCCTCGCGGGCGAGCGTGACGGGCTCCCACCCGGGCCGGCCCAGCGCCATGTCGATGGCGAAGGTGTACAGGCGGGCGGCGTCGTCGAAGTTGTCCTTGCGGTAGGCGGTGTTGGCGGACTCGCGCAGCTTGGAGATCTGCGCGCTGCGCTTGGGGTTCACGGGGAGCGGGGGAGGCGGCACAGTGCCGGTTTCGAGGGCCAGGAGGGATCGGTGCAGCTGGTTGAGGTTTTGGAGCTCTTCGTTTATGGCTTCTGTTTGGGAGGGGGTGGTGCTGGATGATGGGGGGAGGGAGAGCGCTTTGGATTGGGGGTCGAGGTGGAGGGGCCACTGGTGGAAGATGTCGACGCTGCTGGCCATTTTGATTGCTTTCTTCTTCTTTTCTCTTTCTTTCTTTATTTGTTTATGTTCTTTGGTTGAGTTTGGAGATGGAGGGCGATTGTTGTAGATGTGGAGCTGGTGTGGTAAGGTGGCCTCGGAGGTTCCTGCTGGGTGAAGGTTAGCAGATGGTTGATTTCCCCGGCTGTCTGGCACATACAGTAGTGGAAAAGAACGAAGGACTAACCCAAATTTTCTAGTTGTTTTATTTGTCCCCGACGTGATAGTGGTGTGATAGATGTTGCCATCAAGCGCAAGCTGTCCAGATGGCGGAAGGCGGTGGAATACTGCACTATCTATCGGCACGTGAAGCCATCTAACCACATTGGGCAAATCAATAAATACGCCTCCGGGCTTAGGCGGCGCCGGGGCCTGGCTAGACAGGTACAGTTCCATATAAACAATATATTTCAACTACCTATACATCTATCACACACAACATGGACATTCGTTAATTCGTCAATGTAGACATGGCCTAAGGCTTCATTCCTACAAGGATCACAGAAAAGCAGCAGACGTGGCCAAAGAAGAAAAGAGGCCATACAAAACGCGACCTGCAGAGCTGGCTTATCAACGACAGTCAAGAAAACAAGGATAATACAGAACATGCGCCTGCAAACACCGCTCCATGGCCATTCCAAGGGTTTACCAAGGTATCTCAATTTTCCAGAAAAGTCCCGCTTTACCGCCCGTAGCCACCGCGCACACTCGATCCGTAGTCGGTCGGTGGCCCGTAGTCACTGGGGGTGTAGATGTCCGCCGGCGGCGCGTAGTGTTGCCCGTGGGCGCCGCCGTAGCCGGTGGCGTTGAAGTCGTGGAGGACGCTACCGCCGCTGGAGGCGGTGGGATCGTAGGAGCCGTGCATGGCAGTGCGCCCGTGCGAGCTGGCCAGGTCGTCCGCCTCGCTCTGTTGCAACAGGGCGTAGTCTTCGTCGCGATCGCCGGCCATGGACGAGCCCATTCCCTGTCGGCCGGAGCGGAAGTCATCCTCTTCCTCGAAGTCGTGGGCGGGGTTGGAGGAGAACGCGGCCTTGCTCTGGGCGGCAAAGGTAGGATCCGAGACGGCATCGGGAAGCGTACCCGTTCGGCGGAAGTGCATGACGTTTCGGAAGGACATCCACGCGGTAAGGGCGAAGAGCAGGCTAAACAATTAGTCAACGAAAAAGATGAAGAAAGGAAAAGAGGAAAAAAGACTCACAAGATAGCAACTCCAAGAATGCAAGTAGCCGTGCTAATGTTGCATTTGCTCGCACTTCCATATTTCCAGTTATCGCAACCACTCTTATTGCTTTCCTTGGGATCTTTATTCTCCGCTCTCGTGGTCTTCTCCTTGTCCTTCTTATCGTCAGGCGAGTCCTTCCCCTCCGCTTTGCCTTGAGCGACATAGCTCGCGATGCAAATCCAAGCGGTAAACCACAACAGAGCGTAGAGACAGTCGACAGTAGCAAAGGCGTAGACGTTTCCGAACCGGCGTGCGCGAGGCCACATCGGCACGGCGACGAGGTAGATCAAACCGGGAATACTGAACCAGCACTGTAGTCGACAAGATACTTGTTAGCCCCCCTATCAATACGACCAGCCCCCCGAGGAAGATGTCAAACCACTTACCAAGGCAAAGTACCAGGCTGACCGTCCATCAATACCCCCGCCCTTTGTGAACACCGCGATGGTCAAGGCCCATGCCAGGAAGATGGCGAGCGCCTGCACGCCATGGATGATATTTTTTGTCCGCCCGGGGTTGAACGACGGCTTTGCTAACTTCATTTTGGGTGATGTTTTTGGGATGATATGGAGGAGTGAGAGGTGGTGTCTGTAGTGCCTAAGGGGCACGTCCTATTCGAGAAGCGAGGCTGTGTTGGGTTTTAAATGTCCGTGATTATGTCGAAGTGATGCACGAGGCTTGCGCTGTTACGCTGGAAAAAACCGCAGTGTTGTCTGCAAAAGCGACCGGTGTTGAAGTCGAGGAAAACAACGATGACGGTGGAATGGAAATGTTTATGTCCCACCGAGTAAGTGCTAAGTGGTGACGGTGACGGGGTAACCCAAACAACCGATGTTCGGGACGCTAAGGATTTAGTATTGTCGGCTGGACCGCCGACCGACAGGAATAAAAATAAAAACAAAAATGAAGATGAAAAGAATAAGAAGTAGACAAGGCCAAAGAGGATGAATCGAATGAGATGTGAACAAAGAGAAGAAAGAGATGAAGGATCATAAGTAAATCTCCTGCCTAAACACCACATATAATCAGGTCCAGTTCCACGGTATTGTAACTAATACGATGTGATACCGGATGATTACCTGCATAACTAGTCTGTGCCTGTCAATGCCATTCTTCAATACGTGCATTGTGCATATCTATGTAATCCGGACATTGATGTCAGTCTTCCCAACAACTGCACAGCAATCTTTACAAGATTGACGTCGATCTTCTACTATTGATGTAATATAAGTCTCGCGTGTTGAGATATTGAGGTACATCAGGCCGAAACAAGACCGTCTCGTCCTGAAGTGGTGTTCTATTCATGGAAACAGCAACGCCACTGGGCTGAGCCCTGCTGGATCCACTCAAGAGTCCAGATCTACATAGTACAGACTACAAGCTGATGGTCAGATATCGGATCAATCATATTGTCCAATTGTGTGGATTTTGCAGCAACTGAATAATGAATGCTGTACTAGCCAATAATCATAAAGTGGTCAAGGAAATGCTTCAAAACGCCAGTTGATGCCTTTGATACCAATTATTCGCAAAAATGAAAACAACCAAATCTCAGATATAAAGAAATGAATGAAAACGAAGATCAAGGGGAAAAAATAAAAACAAGAAAGAAAGATCACTTCGACTTGAGAGTCTCCCCACCCAACAGCGATCCAACTTCCTCCAACGGCTGCTGTACATGCACATGCCACCACCACGGCAACGGATCAAACGGAGAAAAGCGCCAGTTGTTCCAGAACAAGAGCCGATCCGCCTCGTGATGCGCCCAGTCGTCGAGGTGCTCGCACGCCGGATACAGCGCAGGGAGGACCCGGCGCACGTCGTAGGATTTGATCGTTCTGTACAGGCTGAACCGCCGGGTCTTCTCTGTGTAGATGGTGGCCCCTTCTTCTGCTTGTTGCCCCTGTGCTTCCTCCTGTGATCGGTCGCTGCCCTCCCGACAGAAGCTGGTAGTTGTGCACGGTGACAGCAGCGACAGGTAGCCCGTGATCAGCGACGTGCTACTGCCGTCCTGGAGGAGGTGCGCAACGGCGGAGGCGCCCAGCGTGCAGCCCGCGATGTGGACGACGTAGCGCACGGAGTTGGCCTCGAACTGCTCGTCCACGTGCAGCTGCACGGTCAGGTGGGTCGTCATGCGGGGTCCGCCTTTGGTCGCGAGCTGGTCCATGAGTTTGTGGATCGCGGTGGCGAGGCCGCCGTCCAGCCGCGACGGGCCTTGACCGTGGCTGTCACCCCCCGAGCGCAGCACCCGAATGGCTTTGACTTGGCCGCGGACGACGAGGAGCTCGGCTCGGAACTCGCCGAGGCGCGTCTGCTGCTGTAGCACCCATGGGTTTTCTTTGGAGATGGGCACTTCGCTGACTTGGGAGTAGGTCAGGCTGAGAGTCCGTTTCGGTAGGATCAGGGGGTCGCTGCCATCGTTGTTGTTGCTGCGTAAGTTTCCGGACCCGGCTGTGGGCTTGCGCAGGCGGAAGACCTTGCTCGGGGACCGGTGCAGGATCTTGTGGATGGAGTCGCGCGACTGCACCTGGTGGCGCTCGACGACAGGCAGGTCCTTTTCGGCGAGGAACTGCGTGAACAGATCCGGATTGCTGAAGCGCCGGGCCAGCTCCGGGTCGAGGTGGATGCACTTGCAGGGGGTGCGGCTCTCGAGGACCTCCTTGGCGACGGCGTCGTCAGCGGCTGAGGTCTCGGACGAGCAGGGAATCCAGAGGTCGACTTTCTCGCGCTGCACGATGTCGAGCAGGCGCGAGACGTACTGCGATTGCGGGATGCGGTAGCAGACGGTCAGCGCAGTGGACATGCTCTCGCCTGACGGCGGGGTCGGGCGGTCGTCGGTGATGACGTTGGCGCCTACGACGCGATGGCCGTGGAGGTACCAGCTGCGGGCGACTGCGAGTCCATGTGGTGTGTTGACGCCGCTGACGAGGATCGTTTTCGGATAGAAATGCACGTCCTGGAGGGCTTGTCTCCGGCGGCGGAGGACGTTGGAGGGGGAAGACAGCGTCCCCGCATAGTTGGCGAGGTAGAATACCACGAGAATGGTATTGTCGAGCGGGAGGAAAGCTACGGAGACTAAGACCCGTAGCAGATGGACAAGGGTCTGGAATTGAATTTGGTCCGACATGGTGATGAAGGCGTCTCGCCGGGGGATCGAGCCCAGGGCCCGTTGCACGGTCGGGGTAGCCATCGATATGGAAGGGGTGGTTCGGTGAGTTGCAAGAATTGATGCCAAATGCTCCGGATGGTGGCTAGGAGTCCATTGCTTTTGTCTGTGGTGTCACAGCAATGTTTTTGTTGTTGCTTCTTCTCTGGAATGCTGTGAGGCGACCACGTCACCGCGCAGGTCCGCGATCCTTGGTGCAACAGCTCAATCGTGAGCCATCGGGCAGGGACCAGGTGGCTGGGAACTGGGTTCCAGCCTTGGCCACATGGTACCAGTGAAAACCATGCTACTTCGGTGTCTTTGGGACTTGTTTCAGGTTCTGTTTCTCGTTTGCTTGTTGTAGCCGAATAGAGAGAGCTTGACTGGTTGGATTAGGGTTTGGGCAATCTGGTGACTAGATATATAGCATTCCGCCAGGGGATCTTGACACGTTCTGGCTTATATATATATAAAACTATACAGATGGACATAGGTATATATATCTATACATATATATATAGATATAAAAAGATGACATCTCTAACATATATATACACATATCTCATTGATGTTTAATCATGACGACGGAGCCAGCTGGCAGTCTGTCTCCGGGTAAGCGTTTAGCCTATGACTGGTATCCTGCTGTTTATATATTTAAATTTCTTGATCGGAACACTCAGAACCAAGGGATAAATCAAGAAAATAACCTGAATATTATAGTCTTGAAAGAATCCCCAATTTGTAATACTCCACACCTTACAACATGGTTCTCATACCGGACATCGAATCGAGCCCCGCCAGACCCAGACTTGCTCATCGCGAGGACCTTCCCCCGCTCCGGTCGGAGTTCGACGAGAGGAAAGAAGATAGTTAGCCCACCCTATATATTCCATATATAATCCCCACCCACCCAGCTCGAGCGGATTAAGATAAAATAAAATAAAATAAACAACACTGTATACACCAAAATGACTTCCAAAATCTTCAACGTCGGCGTCATCGGCTACGGCTTCAGCGCCAAAATCTTCCACATCCCCTTCATCCAGGAAGTGCCTCAGCTTAAGCTGTACGCCGTGGTTCAGCGCACACCCAAACCCGAAGATGATGCCGAGAAGGATCACCCCGGGATCAAGTCCTACCGCAGTGCTCAGGATATGGTCAAGGATGAGGCTGTCGAAGTGGTGGTCGTTACGACGGCGCCGGACTCGCATTATGAGTTGGTGAAGTTGGCGCTGGAGAGTGGGAAGAATGGTATTTATTCCTCATTTCCATTTTGATTCTTTTACTGGTGTAAATTTTCCATGTCAAAGGTTGCCTTGCTAATCCATAACCAGTCGTCTGTGAAAAGCCGTTTACTCCCACGACAAAGGAAGCAGACGAGCTGGTGGCTCTGGCAAAGAAGCAGAATAAGCAACTTGCTGTATTCCAGAGTACGTCTATCCCACATCTCCACTCCCCCCTACACTCCGAAGGGGGATAAGATAAAGAATACTGACAAAAAAAAAGACCGCCGCTGGGACGCCGACTTCCAAACGCTCCACAAGCTCGTCAAAAACGGCTCTCTCGGCCGCGTCGTCGAGTACGAATCGCACTTCGACCGGCACCGCCCGGAGGAGCCCGCCCCCTCCGTCTCCAAGTGGAAGAACAAGGTGATCCCCGGCGGCAGCGCCATCTACGACCTGGGCGCCCACCTGCTGGACCAGGCTGTGTACCTGCTGGGACTGCCGCAGCGCGTGACGGGCTTTATCGGCTCCCAGCGGGAGGTGAATACCTCCGGTTTTGAGGACTCGTTTACTGTTATGCTGCATTATCCGAAGGGCGCGATGGTTACTGCTAAGGCGGGGGTGATTAGTCCTGAGGAGGAGCAGTTGCGGTTTTGGGTTCGTGGGGAGAAGGGGAGTTTTAAGAAGGTGGGTTTCTTTCTATCTTATTTCTCATTTTGATCTGTTTATCCCCCCTCCCTTGGGGTGACGCATGTGCTGACAGCTACAGTACCACCTCGACATCCAAGAAGACCAGCTCAAGGGCGGCATGAAACCCGGAGATAGCGGCTATGGCCGTGAGCCGAGCGACCGATACGGTACACTGACCACTATCCAAGACGGCAAGCCCGTCAAGGAGGTCGTGCCGACGGTGGAACCGCCCACTTGGACGGAGTACTACCGCAAGTTGGCGCGGGCCCTCGCCGGCGAGGGTGACCTGCCGGCTAGCGGGGCGGAGGCCCGCGAGGTGATTCGGCTTATTGAGTTGGCGAAAGAGAGCTCTCGGCTTGGGAAGACGATGGATGTTTAGACTGCATACGTGATGTAGGGGGAGGAGACGTGTATTATCTGGTTATTGTGTTGTTGTGGTTGCTTTTGGGGATGCTTCTGGGGTATATAGGAGATTAGTCCATGTTATAATGATGGCAAGTTACGCCGAATTAAAGTTAGACATCATACGGTGAATGATACCACAAAAGAGTACAATAAAGATGGGTGTGTAGTTTAAACTCCGGTTACAGGGAGAAAAGAGACTGTTGTTTGAGTACTAAGTAATTATATAAGTAGCATAGAGGGTCATATTCATAATTCATAATTCATGTCTTATGCGCTGCTTCTCGCCGCTCAAAACGCTTACGAAAAGGTCTGGGTAATCGCCGCTGCTATCACACGACGGCAAATCTCCCCTGGCGATTCCACGTCCTTGCACCGGAGGCTCTCGAGATCCATGTCTTGTAGTCCCGCCTAAACATGGGCGAGAGGAATTTTATGGGGTGCCTTGTACTCAATGATAAACGCCGACTGCCTTACCTCGGGCTCCTTATTGTAGATACAGAATTGATCTGCTCGCGGCCGGGAGTTCCTTGGTTGCGTGACCGCCTGACTTTCTCTCTGGTTTATGAGTCGCGTGGTAGACACTGCCCGATTCCGTGGCTAAGCGGTTGGAACGACGTGGTTGCTTCTGGGTCAAGCTCAGGGCGTTCGTATCTGCCACGATGTCCCTCTCGTCCGTCAGGGTGTCTGCGTGGTTTTCAAACATGACGGTGCCATTTAGACGAAACCGTCGTCGAAATTGGGGACTCGCGTGTAGCTGCTTGATGATTGAAGCGACTCGCGATTCGACCGTCCCTGGGTCATCTAGCCGCGACATTGTCATCGTCTCCCGTAGTCCTTTGCCGTATTCTTTCAATGCGAGCAGCGGTGTGAAATGGCGTTCGGTCACAAAATCGGTATCCATCAGCTCCTTCCAGATTGCACTCTGTTCACAGGGGAAGTCGACCCATATCCGGCTTCTCGTCGGGCGTAGTATCTGCACGGCGTTTGCGTCCCCCATTGTCGAAGATCTACCACCCCGCTGGACAGACAGACCAAGAAACAAGTGCACATGGGAGGCTTTCAGGAGCTCTACAAGGGTTGTTGGCTGTGGTTGAAGGATCAATTGTCCTTCGGCTTGTATCCGTTTTCCTTCCGCTCGTCTCCATTGTACTTCGCTTGCTCTCGAAGTCTCCGTATTTCCTCGACGCGCTGGCGTAACTCCTGTATCTCCTGGAGGACATCTGGACTCTCATTGGATGAACGCGTCATCATGCGCTGCAATGAAAGAAGAGAAATCGCCATTCGACCCCAAAAGACATCATGGCACTTTCAGCTTTGGAAGTAGGTAGATAACCCCTAGACTCAGTGACAGGTTGTCTGTTGATGCATAACCCCAAGCCTGCAGCTCACCCAACCACACGTGACCGCCTGGTACATATTTGCGAGTCACCCATAGAGTTTGCACCTTTGTCTTCTGTTGAGTCACTGTTCGGTCAGGATATAACCGCCTATAGGACGGCCCTCAGGATATGCTGTTTACTGATGCAAGACTAGCCCCGGATAAAGTTCCCTATGATCGGCAACTTTATTCCCACCGGCCGGATACGCCTGGTAACCAACGATACGCCGTTTGGTGCCTTGAATGGTAGTCCTGGATCGTGTGATGTGGTAAAAACGGGTAATAATACACAGATGACCTCATCCCGATCACCCCGGGGCCGCTAAACCACATCGGGCATTTCCATTACTCGATAGAAATACTGTGAGTGGCAGGTTGGCCTGAGGAACCCCGAATTGTACCTACGGGGCAATTCATAGGCATGTCCCTTGTTGGAATTCTAGAGGGAAAAATACCAGATGAGAGAGTCCGCGGAGATACTTCTGGCTGAGCCCATAAGGGAGTCATTTTTGCACCTTTTTCATTTATTGTCCCGGTTTGACTGCGGGTACGGGGGTCACGTATATAAGACCAGGGGATTCCCATCCCCTACTTCTCCCTGCCCCGGATTTGGAGAACGTTGGTTCCTAATTTCTTACGCCGTTGACCTATGGTGTTGCCTATTCTATATCGAGTCTAGGTAAGGGGTTTTTTGCTTTTCTTGTCTCCACTGCTGGCATCGTGTCACTGTAGGGCTGCTGGTGATGAGATACGTCAATGGACCATTGGTCTTGGCGGGGATGGGACGGTCTTGTTTGCAGTGTGATATATGTAGTCCGATGAAAGATGTCTGATGTATATCTGTGTCTAGCTCTTTAGGTCCATGCGAACCGAATCCGTGTTGGGACACCCGACCAACTTCATGATACACCGTGGAATCCAACGATGAGGATGACTGTCTGACCCGGTGGAAAACGTTTCTTTCCCATGCAAAGCCAACACCCACCTCCGAGGCGCCCGGATTTCTCGCGCTGGCATGTCGACATCGATGCCGTGCTGAACCCCTATCTTCCTGCACCTCCATGGCGGTGGTTGCCTCGTCCCATCTCCCATTTCCTAGGATACCGAGGCGATCATCCTCCCCGGGCCCTGGGGAATATGGTGATCGCGTTCTGGTCCCTAATTGGAGCGTTTTGCGGCGTGTTGGTGGTGGCCGAAGTGTCCCTGCATGTGCCATCCTTTCAGCAGCATAATGCGCCTGTCATCATCGCGAGTTTCGTTAGTGCCCCTTGCTGCATGCATCGGTTTTTTCTCTCTCTGCTTTCTTTCCTACTGACAGGACGTTCCTTCAGGGTGCCGCAGCGGTGCTGGAGTTTTGCGCCATCGAGTCTCCCTTCGCGCAACCACGGAATGCCATCTTGAGCCAGGTGTTCGCCAGTGTCATTGGGATCGGAATTGGGAGGCTGTTCGCCTTGAACCCCCAAGCCCACGCTATGCCGGAAATAGGAGGCGCCCTGGCATGCGCCCTGACCATTGGGGTCATGGTCTTCACCAACACCGTGCACCCACCGGCTGGAGCGACGGCCCTGCTAGCCGTCACCGAGGGTTACGACATCGGGTGGTGGCTTATTCCGCTTATGTTGCTGGGGACCGTGTTGATGCAGGCGGTCGCACTCGTCCTCAATAACATCCAACGTCGGTACCCCGTCTACTGGTGGACGCCCCATCCGCTGTCGCCGCCGGAGAGGCACGATCTGGACAGCAGACGCCCGAGCAAAGAGGGAGGTTCAGTACCCACGGTCTCGGAGGATCAGCTGTTCGACGTCCCGGCGCAGATCATCGTCCAGGAAGGGAACGTGTACGTGCCGGACAATGTGTGGGTGTCGGCCGAGGAGATGGAGATGCTGCAGCGGATAAGTGAGCGGATGTAATTGCTGACGGTTTGTACGGAGTACACACTGGTCTGTACCTAGAGGTAGCTAGAGGTACCTAGACGTTTAGCCTTCGATTACTACATAGATGCTATCATTCGCCGGCCATTGGCCGCCTGGAAGCCTGGAGCGTCAGGCTGAAAGTCACGTGCCGCAATAGACCAATCAGCGAACGCCGCGCCACACAGAGGGCGACGATGACGTAACGCAGCCAATCAGCGGGCGACAAAGTCATCCACCAAAGAGATTTTCATTGACAGAGAGGCGGGATTACACCTCTATCCACCTTTTTTTCCTTCTTCTTTCTCTGTTTTATTTTATTTTGTAATTGGTTTATTTGATTAGAATTGCTGTCTTACCGAGATACTCTCTGCCTGATCGTCAAGCAGTGTCTGTCAAAAGAACAATCAAAAACCAAAAAAAAAAAAAAAAAAACTCTGATATAAGGATTGATATCAACACCTCAGGTATCATCATCATATCGATAAGGGCTTCGACTTTTTTTTTTTGCCTTAGTCAACCCCACTTAGCAGACTCTTTTCATCTCCTTCATCTCCCCTCCTTCCACCGACTCCCCTCCCCCCCGCTATCATCCTGGGATCCACTTCTCTCGTTCTCTGTGCCTTTTCTTTTTTAATTTTTTTTTTGCCCCTTCAGCTCTACGCTTAAATCGTCCCACAACCTAGTAAAGGCCTGTTAAGCCTCCTCCCAGTCTTTCTTCTCTTCTTTCCCCTCCTCTCCCACGTTATCACCTCTCCCCCCTCCCCCCCCCCTCTCTTTCTCTATACCCCACTCCTCCTTGTTCACACCCCATCTCTGTCAAAATGGTGTCTGCTTCCAAAGCCGCTCGTATGGCCAAGCGTGCCGACGACAAGAAGAAGTCGGGCAAGGGCGGCGATGAGACCCCCGTCGACGCCGGCGATGAGCAGCCCGCCACCACCACCGAGAAGATGAAGACGGTCGATAAGTTGACGGCACAGATGGACAAGCATGGTCTCTCGGACCGTGTCACGACCGGTGTCCTGTCGTCCATGCCCTCTTCTCGTGATGTGAAGATCACCTCCGCCTCGCTGGTGTTCCACGGCAAGGTCTTGATCACCGACTCGACCCTCGAACTGAACTTCGGCCGTCGCTACGGTCTCCTGGGTGAGAACGGTTGCGGCAAGTCTACCTTGCTCAAGTCCATCGCCACCCGCGAGTTCCCCATCCCCGAGCACATCGACGTCTACCTGTTGAACGAAGGTGCCCCTCCCACCGACCAGGGTGCCCTCGACTGGGTCGTCCGCGAGGCCGAGAGCCAGCTGGCTCGCATGGAGCAGCAGGCCGAGGAGGTCCTCGAGAACGAGGGCCCTGAGAGCCCCATCCTGGTCGACCTGTACGACGTAAGTTATATCCAACCCCTGATTCCTCGTCACTCGATCTAACGACGGTTCTTCCCTTGATAGCGTATGGATAAAATGGATCCCTCCACTTTCCAAGTCCGTGCTTCCCTGATCCTCACGGGTCTCGGTTTCAACAAGAAGACCATCCAGAAGAAGACCAAGGACATGTCCGGTGGTTGGCGTATGCGTGTCGCCTTGGCCAAGGCCCTGTTCGTCAAGCCCTCGCTCCTTCTGCTGGATGACCCCACCGCGCATTTGGATCTCGAAGCCTGTGTGTGGTTGGAAGAGTACATGAAGAAGTGGGACACCACCCTGGTTCTCATCTCCCACTCGATGGATTTCCTCAACGGTGTCTGCAGCACCATGATCGACATGCGCGGCAAGCAGCTGCTCTACTACGGTGGTAACTACGACTCGTACCACAAGACCCGCAGCGAACAGGAGACGAACCAGATGAAGGCCTACAACAAGCAGCAGGAAGAAATTTCCCACATCAAGAAGTTCATCGCCTCCGCCGGTACCTACGCCAACTTGGTCCGACAGGCCAAGTCCCGCCAGAAGATCCTCGACAAGATGGAGGCCGATGGCTTCATCCAGCCCGTCATCCCCGACCGTGTCTTCTCCTTCAGCTTCGCCGATGTCGAGAAGCTGCCTCCTCCCGTGCTGTCCTTCGACGACGTCAGCTTCTCCTACTCGGGTGAGTGGGAGGACACCCTGTACGAGCACCTCGACCTCGGTGTGGACATGGACTCCCGTACGGCCCTGGTCGGCCCCAACGGTGTGGGCAAGTCCACCCTGCTGCGTCTCATGACCGGCAAGCTGAGCCCCATCGGTGGTCGTGTCTCCCGTCACACCCACTTGAAGCTCGGCATGTACAGCCAGCACTCCGCGGAGCAGCTCGACCTGACCAAGTCCGCCCTGGAATTCGTCCGCGACAAGTTCCCCCAGAAGAGTCAGGACTTCCAGTACTGGCGTCAGCAGCTCGGCCGCTACGGTCTCAGCGGTGAGTCCCAGACCGCCCTGATGGGTACCCTGTCCGAGGGCCAGAAGAGCCGTATCGTCTTCGCCCTGCTGGCGATCGAGTCCCCCAACATGATCCTGCTGGACGAACCGACGAACGGTCTGGACATCCCCACCATCGACAGTTTGGCCGACGCCATCAACGGCTACAGCGGTGGTGTCGTGGTCGTGTCCCACGACTTCCGTCTGCTCGACAAGATCGCCAAGGACATCATGGTCTGCGAGAACAAGACCATCACCCGCTGGGAGGGTAGCATCGGCCAGTACAAGAACCACCTGCGCAAGAAGATGATCAGCGCCGGTGCCGTCTAAATGGCCTAGAGATTTATCTCTTGTTTTTTTTTTTGTTTTCATGATTGGAATGCTAGAGACGACATTTTGCAAAATAAAAAAATGGCCGTAAAAAAGGATGAACATGGTCCCCAGCAGTGCACCCAAAAAGAAAAGTTGTTTTCTATTTCTTTCTTTTTTTAGGACAGGAGAGATGAACCATCCTGTGTTGATTTGAACAGCGGGCGGCGAGGGATATCTTTCATCTGGAGATTTTTATACTTTATTTTGTTCATGTGGTTACCTTTTTATCTTTTTCTTTTTGTCCCTTTGTTTCTGTCCTGGGTTGTTTTTAGATGGTCTGTTTCATACCTCGTCTTTTCCTTTCCTCGACTTGAGTGTCTGAGGATTGAATGTCATTTCCTTTGACTTTTTCACGGTTAGGATTTACTTTTCTGATTTCCTTCTTGATAGACTTAGACTTTTGTAGATTCTTTCATTGCTAGGCTCTCTGCTTGACCTACCTGCCTACTTGATCTGTTCCTGAGTAGGTATATATGGTATGGTAGCAGGCTAAGGTACATTATTCTTGCGTGACCTTGTCATTTGCTTTGTGATATTGTTCTCTACATAGATTCAATAGTGCGTCACCAAAGAATGAAGTATATGATGTCCACAGCTTTATTAACCCTGCCCAGCCCACTCTTACTTAGTCCACTCCCAAATACGAACCTAGAATATGCAAAATACATTTGATAGAAGAGAAAACCCGTTCTATTGATTCCCAAATATGCATTATCGTATATTGATAGACAAAGACACACAATTATCAAAAATTTATGGGCTACTTAATCAATCCTTCGTCCGCTGCGCAACCAACTCCCCACCAAAGAGATCCCGCCCTTCCTTCTCCTTCTGCTCTCGCTCCAGTTTCCGCTTCTTCGCCATCCGCTCCATGTCGCTTTCGGACGTTGCACCGTCACCACCACCAGCACCTGCTGCTGCCGCGGCTGCTGCCGCGGCCGCGGCAGGGATGCGCTTCTGCCCGGCAGAAGTGATATTGTTTGCCTTTTCGGGGTTTTGGCAGTGGTAGAGCTTTTTGCTGATGCGGCGGGCGGTTGCTTTTTGGGAGGGGTCTTCGGCGAGGGATTTGTAGGATTGGAGGAGGGAGGCGCAGTTTGTGAGGGTGCGGTAGATTTTGGAGCGGAGCTCGGTGAGAGGGTTATTGTTGTCGTCGGTTTGAGGGCCGAGCTTTGTGTCGAGGTAGAATTCGGCGAGGGGCCGGTCGGCGAGGGAGAAGGCTGAGAGCCAGATTTGGGACGGCGTGTAGAGGAAGTAGGCGTCTGCCATTTGGGCGGCTGTTTTGAGGAGGTCTCGGGTGGTGGTGTGGGCGCGGCCTAGGCGGTCGGTGATGGATGATGATGAGGAGCCTGGGGTGGGTGGTACGGCGAGGAGGTCGCGACGGAGGGTGTCGGGGGTTTGGTGGGGGACGTGTGGTGCTGGTTGGCCGGTGCCTTGGGCGATGGATTGCAGTTCCATGATGCCGCCTTCGAGGCTGCGGAAGGGGTGGCGCACGTCGAAGTTGAAGCGAAGGCTTTGCATGAGGACAAACTCGGGGGCGATGATGTCTTCTGCGGTGGTGTCGCCGGGGACGCCCTCGGCGAAGTGGCGGAGGGAGATGTAGCAGTTGTCTGTTTTGGTGGCTAGGAAGACGGCGCACGGCATGATGTTCTTGGGGTGGTAGGTCATGGGCGAGTTGGTGAGGTAGAAGCGTCGGAGGTACTGGATTGCTGTGGCCTGAGATCCCCCCGGGGCATCGTTAGTGATTGATGCTCTGGAATGGTTTTGCTTGGTTTCAATATCAGCAGTTGTGAAAGTGTCTTACCCGCACGACCGTCGGCAAGGGCGGCTTGTAGCTTTCTCCCACGAGAATGACCTGCTCGCAGTAGTACTTGACCAGCTGGAGCTCCTCCTCGGGCGTCAGACACTCGATTTCCTTTTCGTCTGCTCCGCCCGCCTTGCTATCTGCGTCGCTGCCCGCTTGGGTCGGGGTCGGAGTTCCCGCTGCGGACGAGTTGGCGGATTGTCGGGCTTCGCGTGCCCGTCGCAAAGCCGCCCTCACTCGTTCGCTGGCTTGAGCATTGGTAGTGGCTCGTAACTTCTGCAGCGAGGTTTCCGTGAACGACCAGTGCCGGTACTGGGACGAGCTGCGATAAAAGTCGTCCTCGAACATGGTGTGGATTGGTCAAGATTTGCTCGTGCCTGTCTTGGGTATGTTGTATGGTGTATGGGTGGGGTTGAAACGGGGCAACCGAAGATATTTTCGAATCAAGTCTCTAGCATGAGTGTGTCCCACTGGTCTGGAGCTAGATTGACGGGCGCATTGGAGGTGAGACGGCGGTGGTTGAGGGAGTGCCGGTGAGATCTGGGAGTGTTGGAGAAGAAGCCAGGCCGATCCACCCGCTTATCGATAATGATCGTGTGGTGCCTGAGGTGTCTACACCCCACCTATACTGTATAGACAGGTCGACGGTCCGATCAACTACCTGCGAGGTCATGGTCTGCTCTCTCACCAGTAATCATATACAGTGTATAGATTGGGTTCGATATCTTTTAAGCCGTCACACTACATGATATTCCAACAGCACAAAAGCCAAGAACAACGATCATGCAACGAGTAGCTCATGTTGTCCAACGTGTCTGCATAAGTTGAGGAAGATGACAAGGTAGTAAATATCAGAAGCAACACAGAGTCAGAATTAAAAGAGAAGGAAATAGATTAAAAAAGTTCGCCAGGCACCATGCTCTTCATCGGAACCACCCAATCGCTATGACAGTAAATATCCAAGTACCTGCAATCGCAACTGCTTACCCCCGCCCTCTTCAAGGCTCTCCCAGAAGCCGTGCGGTGACATCACCCATGTAGGCTTCTTCCAATTCATAATCCTCCCCGTCCATCCGATCGATCCCATAGAATCTGAACGCACTCACGACACGGTCGACATCGAATCCCATACTGCAGAACCGATCGATCAGGTCCTTGTTATACCCATCGTACCTGTACATATCATGGTGAGTAAACGACGAACGGAGGAAATGGGAGAAAGGATGCAACGTACTTGCTCAAATCTTCCTTCTCTTGATCTTCCCTCAATTTGAGCTCTTGCTGTCGCAGGGTTTCATCCGTGGCGCCCCCACTCCCCTCGCCCGCATATTTCTTAGGAGCCCCTGCGTGAATGACAGCCCACTCCTGGGCGACCCGATGGAACTCTTTCGGTTTGTGAAGGAGCATACTGGCCACTTCGGCATCCTGGGGGTCCTTGGCCTCTGGCGTGCTCAACAATGATTGGAGGGACAGGAGGGCGGATTTGATGGTGAGGACCGGCGACCACGCCGTCGAGAGGGTATCAAGGCAGATTGCGCCCTGAAGAAAACTATCAGATCTTCATTCATGCAGTATTAGGGGGGATGTCTTGAGCAACTGACCGTCTGGCTGCTGACATTAGGATGCCACACTTTGGTTTCAAACTTCATGACTGGGGGTCGGAAAGGGTAGTCCGTGGGGATCCTGACGTCCACATAGTAGGTACCGCCCTCATATGGGGTCCCCGGGGGTCCGGGGAATGAGCCCCGGAGATGCGTAAAGTCATCTTCGCTCACTGCGGGTTCCACCGTAATCCCGGAATGTGTGTCAGAGTGGATATCGGCGATTTCCTTCACGATACGCCGGGTGCGATTAGAAGCCATGAGTCTCGCTGGTGTTCTACCGGTAGGATAGGGTGGAAGGTGTCAGATGCAGTCCAGTTGGCTGAAAGAAGGCAGACGGTTGGGTTGACGACGATATGACGGAGCTGCAGGTGAGAGAAGGTATGCAAGGCGGTACTGCGGTAAGTCTATCTGGTTAATCAAGGCCCAACAAGATGACAGTCAACAGTAGGAGGGGAAAGGAGAGGGGGCAAAGAAAAAGTAAACGTGGTGATTCAAAGTCGGGAACCCGACAGTCGAGTCATCAACGGGGGGCTCGCCTCACCTGGTACTGTCGTGGAATATCGGAGGGTATGGAAGGATGGGGAAGCGGGGAAGCTGGAGGGAAACAAGGAAAGCTTTCTGAGTGAGTAGACTAAAGACAGCTGGGAAAGAGTCTCCAAATATCAGGCTGTATCAAAAAGAAGATAGAGGAAGGATGAAGAGGAGAGAGAAGAAGAGAAGAAGAAGAAGAAGAAGAAGCCAAAAGTGCCAGGTAATCAAGGCAATCAAGCTCATCAACAGCCTGAGGAAGAGATCCAGAGCTGCCTCGACGCCCCAAGGCAGCCAAGGCAGCGACAAGGCTCTAGGCGGCCATTGGGTGACTCAGGTACCCATTGCCTCGATCTGGTTAGCGCCCATTCCAAGGCGCTCAGGCATCAGCATAGAGATAATGACCACGTGACCTACCTGCGTTGGGCGAGCCTGACAAAGCGCCAAGGAGAGACCAGCAAGCTCCCCAGCGCGCTCGTCATCATCATCGCCGGCATTTCCTTTGCCATCCTTCCTCCATCTCTATCCCCATTCCCATCCCCAGACATCATTTCACATCATTCATCTGCTATTGGGGTTGCTGCGATCCAGGATATATTCGATAGGATCTAGCGAGTTGTGAGAATCGTTCTTTTACTGAACATACGCCACAGTTCAGGACTATGGTAAGCGTCCAACGGTGCTTGTTGGCTTCAGCGGTCTCCAGCTCCTTTCATCTATCTAATGCATATTCGACAATAGGGTAACCAGCAGTCCAATATTGGCGGAGGCCCCGGTGGAGATGGAAGAGACGACAAGGACAAGAAGGTAGGTGTCCTGGTTGCATCCCCACGATGGCGTGAGTTCTCCCGCTAAATCGATTCGCCTCTAGAAGGACAAGCCCAGATATGAGCCTCCCCCCCGCCGACGACTCGCATTGGCCGGAAGAAGCGCAAGCAGGCCGGTCCCAGCACCGCAGCCAAGCTCCCAGACATCTTCCCGACGTCTCGATGCAAATTACGTTACCTCCGAATGCAGCGCGTACATGACCACTTGTTGCTAGAGGAGGAGTACGTGGAAAACATGGAGCGTCTGCGCAAGACCAAGGCTCAAGCGTCGCAAGATCCCGTCAGCCAGGGTGAGTTCGACATCACGGATCGGAACGCCGACGAGAGAGGCCGTGTCGACGATATGAGAGGCAGCCCCATGGGAGTGGGTAACCTGGAGGAGTTGATCGATGATGACCATGCGATCGTCTCAAGTGCCACGGGCCCCGAGTATTACGTATCCATCATGTCGTTCGTCGACAAGGATCTGTTGGAGCCGGGCGCCAGTATCCTCCTGCATCACAAGTCGGTTTCGGTGGTCGGTGTGTTGACCGAGGAGTCCGATCCCCTTGTCTCGGTGATGAAATTGGACAAGGCTCCTAGCGAGACTTACGCCGATATTGGTGGTCTCGAGTCGCAAATTCAGGAAGTCAGGGAGTCGGTAGAGTTGCCCTTGCTTCACCCGGAACTCTATGAAGAGATGGGCATCAAGCCACCAAAGGGTGTCATCCTCTATGGTGCTCCGGGTACCGGAAAGACTCTCCTCGCCAAAGCAGTGGCCAACCAGACGAGCGCTACCTTCCTCCGGATCGTTGGTAGTGAATTGATCCAAAAGTACCTCGGTGATGGGCCGCGCCTGGTGCGACAGATTTTCCAGGTCGCTGCCGAGCACTCACCATCCATTGTCTTCATCGACGAAATTGATGCCATCGGTACCAAGCGGTACGAGTCCACTTCGGGCGGTGAGCGCGAAATCCAACGGACCATGCTGGAGCTTCTGAACCAGCTGGACGGTTTCGATGACCGTGGAGATGTGAAGGTGGTCATGGCGACGAACAAGATTGATACTCTCGATCCTGCTTTGATCCGTCCTGGCCGTATTGACCGGAAGATTCTATTCGAGACCCCTGACCGTAAGTCTATTCCATGCCCTTCCTTTGTTTTATTTTGGTTGGTGTATTGGTCCACTAACAGCTTCCAGAAAACACGAAGAAGAAGATCTTCACCTTGCACACCTCGAAGATGTCTATCAGCGATGACGTCGACTTGGATGAGTTCATCAACCAGAAGGATGACCTGTCCGGTGCCGATATCCGCGCGATTTGCACTGAGGCTGGGTTGATGGCGCTGAGAGAGCGCCGCATGCGGGTGCAGATGGACGATTTCCGTTCCGCCAGGGAGAGAATCATGAAGACGAAGCAGGACGGAGGCCCGGTGGAGGGGTTGTACTTGTAAGCGTGTATACGTTGGTGTGACTACCTTAGTTCTACATTCAAACAATCGATGGCGTTGGTTCGATTGACCAATTGTCGGAATGGACTGAATACTCCTACCGTATATCATCCAGCATGATTTGTAGTCTACGTAGTTTCATATCAGAGCGAAAGTGATTAGTCCAATCAAGCCAGGATGTCGTTTATAGACAAGTTTCTTAGTTGTGCCTAGTATCAAAAGGTGTAGGCACCTGTGTGACTGGTACGAACAAGTTGGACCGAGTATGGTGTGGCTGTAGCCATCATATAGTCTGGGCGGCCAAATGCTATTGCACCCTACAATGTGACGCAAAATGTGTTGGCATCCCCTACTCTAAAGTGGCTTGGCAATAGGGTCAAAAATATTATGTATAGCACGTTAACACCACATAGAGCGGTCTAAATACGATAACAATGGTATAGTTGTAATCAGCTCGCCGAGGCGATCCCAAAAATGTCCTTTGTTTTCAAATACCAGATACTTTGTGAAATGGCCCAAAAACGATCACTTTTCACATTGCCCGTTCGGGGACCTGATTTGGCTAATTTGTATGGTGTTTTCACAAAAAGTCCATCTCGAGGTTTCACTAGCGCGGGTTTATGTCCACGTGACACACTGCATTGACGTCCGGCGAATCATGTCGCTGGATGTGGATGAGGCTCTGCTGATCATTCCGTCATAATATCCAAATAACAAACACGACAAATGCGCCAAACACGCCAAACGTAGCAACATCTACTCCGTGGCTGATCGATCTCTGTCCAGGGAGTCCTCTTCAACTGCCACACCACAACTTCCTTTCATAATGGATGGATTCGATGAGGAAGAGTTCAAAAAGTTCTTCCCTACCAGTTTTGGCAAACAGGAGAAGAAAATCGATGTCGGCTCCCAGATAGACCGTACGAAGCGGACAGACACGCCACCAGCCAAGTCCGACGGCGAAGCCGAAAGAGCAGGTTTGGTCAGCGCGGAAAACACCGACGTCGGCACTGGAGCTGGACAGGAGCTTCGGAGAGACAATGACAGCTCCAGCGATGACAGCGACGACGATTCCGACGATTCCGACGACGACGAGGATGAGTTTCCGGTGTCGCACGATCTGACTATCAAGACGCATGAGCGCGCCGTGACCACCCTGACAGCGGACCCCGCTGGGGCGCGCCTGATCACCGGATCGACTGACTGCACCATCAAGCTCCATGATTTCGCCTCGATGACTCCGTCGACCGTGCGCGCCTTCAAATCCGTCGACCCTTCGGCCAAGAAGCAGGCCGCCGCGCAAGAGGCGCATGCTGTCCATTACGCCGCGTTCAACCCGATATCGCCCAGCTATGTGCTGGTGGTTTCTGCGACTGCGCAGCCTCGGATTTTGAGTCGCGATGGAGATACAATTACGGAGTTCGTCAAGGGGGATATGTACCTGCGGGACCTGAACAACACGAAAGGGCACATCTCGGAGGCTACGGGCGGAGTATGGTCCCCTACGGATGAGAATCTGTGCGCCACGATAGGGTCCGACAGTACGGTGCGCATCTGGGATGCCAACATGGGCCGGTCGCAGAAGGAGGTTATTATGCATAAATCTAGGGTGGCTGGATCCGCTGGTCGGAGCAAGATGACCGCTGTCGCATGGGGCTCCCCGAAGCAGGGCGGCTCCAATATTCTGGTTGCGACGGCCCTGGACGGGAGTATGATGATGTGGAGTGGAGATGGGCCGTATACACGGCCCAGCGCGGAAGTCCGAGATGCGCATGTCCGGGATACCTGGACAAGTGGGATAGATATCAGTGCGGACGGAAGACTGGTGGTCACCAAGGGCGGCGACGATACCATCAAGCTTTGGGATACGCGAAAGTTTAAACAACCTGTTACGACCGTGGCCCATCCGTCGAGCTCTTTCCGGTACCCGTCGTCCAACATCGTCTTTTCGCCTACCTCGGCGAACATCCTGACGGGCTCGGAGACTGGACATCTGCACATCCTGAATCCGGCGACGCTGAGGCCCGAGTTGGTGACGCCCGTCACCCCGGGCTCCCCATTGATCAGCGTCCTGTGGCACGAGAAGCTTAATCAAATCATCACGGGCTCCGGAAACTCCGAGACGCACGTTCTCTACAACCCTAACACGTCCACCAAGGGCGCTGCCATGGTCATGTCCAAGGCGCCCAAGCGCCGGCACATTGACGACGACCCAACCCTTACCATGGATCTAACGCAGGGTCTAGCCGGCGATTCTGTGGTCGTTGGATCCAACGGTGTACCTCATTATAGCTCCGCGACCTGGTCGGCGCGGCATCCGACCATCGGCATGACCGCCTCCGGTCGTCCTAAAGACCCTCGACGACCTCACATGCCGCAGCAAACCCCCTTCGCGAAGACCCAGCCGGGTGAAAAACATATTCGAGAGCATGTCCCTCTCAGTTCCATGCGGGACGAAGACCCACGAGAGGCTCTGTTGAAGTACGCGGATAAAGCGGAGAAGGATCCGATCTTTACCAAGGCCTGGAAAGAAACACAGCCCACGACAATCTATCGGGAAATCAGTGATGATGAGGAGGAGGAGGAGGGACCGGATAAGAAGAAGACACGGCGGTAGCATGAAGTACAGAGTACATAAAACTACGAGTATGATTCCTAATTATCTTGGGACGATAAACGCGGCTTTGGCTGGCTATAAGCATTCTCTGCTGTCATTCCTCATGGCGACGTACCCATCCGATCTATGTAGAAATATAGCATCTTGTATATAGAAACGAGCCCGTTGACATCATGATAACAAACCCAAAAGCGTTATATGCAAGCCACCCCTTCAATCCGAAAAACCCAACATCAAAATGCCAGCTGCAACCTGCCCGATGACGTTGAAAGCAAGCGGGGGGAGAGAGTCTGACAATTCCAGCTTGTACAATGCGCCATGATGGAGACGGTGGAAAATTGGATCTCCACGGGCCAATGACGATCGGGGTGCCGTCCGTGCATCTCTCAGTCAAGCCGATAGTTCTTGTCTGGTTTGAACTTCGCCCATTTCGTTCGCTCATCCCCTAGGTCTCCTACCATGCTGCGCTTGGTCGCGTATTTCTCCTCTTTCTCCTTGACTTTGCACGTGTGATTTGTCTACCGTTTGGGGGTTGTTGGTCACTTCAAGTGCCCGAATCTTTTACCATCCTCCTCCCCTCTCTTCCCTTTTCGAACGCCGCTTGCTGGGTGACTTCACCCCGGACTTCACCGACTAACTGTCTTCGTCGGTCTCTCCTATGCGACACCGATATTTCGTTTATCTGTTCCCTATTGACGGATCCCTGCGTCGGTCACCGACTCATCGAGAGTAAAGCCTTCCTTGTCAGCAAACGAGTTAACCGACACAATTCCGAGTCAACCACCAGAGGTTACAGAAATGCGGGTCTTTTTCATCTCTCGAACAATCGTATAGGGCGTCAGCCGTGAGACGATATCGGAAGGGTTATTCCTGAACACTGAAAGGAAATCGAGATCCTTCCTAGACAGCCTGTTCTGTCAACTCGGTCGGGCGATTCACGGAGTCACGGCTCCAAGACGCGTTGGCGGAGTCAGCGGGTCCCCCTCGGAAGCAGAGCGATCTGTTTTGATTTTCCCTGTTTGCTTCTTCCCCAGCTGAACTCTTGGAAAATAATCCGTTCAACCCCTGATTCCGAATGGATTTCAACCGGGAGGTGCCTCTCGCAGCTGGTCTGCTGACAGCGCTTGTCTCTTCCGCCATCCCGACGCCGACTCTCGTGCCGCATCCTTCGTTGGTTGACCCGCTGTACACACCTATGCCTACACCTGGACACGATGGCGATAATAGTGGTGGGGGACACTTGCATAGGTGGTCATCGCTCATCGGTATTTGTACGGCCCTGGTGGGGAACGTGCTGATATCGTTGGCGCTCAATATCCAACGCTACGCACACATACGGATCGATCGGGAATGGACACATGAGAAGATGAAGCATGAGCTGGATTGGAAGCGTTCGAGTCCAGATCAGGGACAACTCGGGTCCTACGGTGCTACATCGGCGGACGAGGATGAGGGAGCTGGGCGAGGCCGGGCGCAGACCAGACAGTTTGGCCGTTACCGGGATATCTCCCCCAGCGAGGATCTCCTGCACGACGACCAGCCCCACATTGAGATCGATCAGGGAAGCGAGGATGGAGACGACGATGCGGATTCTCAACATCGCATGCGTGAATCGTTCCTATCGGACAGAACGGCGCGGCCCGGCGAACACGACGTGCAGCGCCAATCATACCTCCGTTCTCCGTATTGGTGGGCGGGTATTATTCTCATGTGCCTCGGTGAGGTGGGAAACTTCATGGCCTACGGATTCGCACCGGCGTCGATTGTATCCCCACTGGGTGTTGTCGCGTTGATCTCGAATTGTGTCATTGCGCCCTTTATGTTGAAGGAGCAGTTCAGGAAACGCGACTTCTGGGGCGTGATCGTTGCGGTTGCCGGTGCCGTGGTTGTGGTTCTCAGTGCCAAGTCGTCGGAGGAGAAGATTGGTCCCCATGATATCTGGGTGATGATCACTCGCTGGGAATTCGAGCTGTACCTGGGTCTTACGGCAGCGTTGATCGTGGGCCTCATGTGGGCGAGTGGGACGTATGGACAGCGCACGATTCTTATTGATGTCGGTCTGGTGGCTCTTTTTGGTAGGTTCCGCGAATTTAAGCATGTGCCATGGTTACTGCACGCTGGTTGCTGACTCTTATCTAGGAGGATATACGGCTTTGTCGACAAAGGGCGTCTCATCGCTGCTCTCTTTTACATTGTGGCACGTCATAACGTTCCCCATAACGTATCTCTTGGCGTTCGTCCTCATCTTCAGCGCCTTGATGCAGATCCGCTATATAAACCGTGCGCTTCAACGGTTCGACTCTACTCAAGTCATTCCGACCCAGTTTGTGCTCTTCACACTTTCAGTGATCGTCGGTAGCGCAATTCTGTATCAGGATTTCCGATCCTTTACGCCAGACCGTGCGGTAAAATTCGTCGGTGGCTGCCTTTTGACGTTTCTCGGCGTGTACTTCATTACTAGTGGTCGAGTACGCAGCGATGACGAGTCATCATATGCGCCGGACGACGAGGAAGAGGCTATCGGGCTTTTAGCTGGCGGAGAGCGATATCGTGACAGGGTTGATCTGTCGCCTCCCGTTCATGCGGCCCGAGTGCTGAAACCGGGGCAGAAAGCCCCTGAGCTCCACGATGACGATGATTTACGGTCGCCTCCTGGGTCGCTACTGAGTCGTGCAGTCGATGAACACCAGCACACTCCCCGAGGCGCTCTATCTCCCACCCCATCATCGCCTGTTGGCTCATTGACTGCCGAGTCCCTCACGCAACCGTCTCCCACGCCTTCCTCTCCGTTGCATCCGCAGTCGTTCTTCTCGAACCCTTGGGCCGACTCCCAAAGACAGACTGTTGGAACCCCGCGCGCCGAACCTCAAGCCCACCGCCCGACCACACCCCCAGCCCAATCCGACCAACAAGCTGCTGGGTCGTCCTTCCTTCTTCGCTTCCCTCCAGCTCCCGGCAGCGAAGCCCGCAGTCCTCAGGGCACCAACCCCGTGCCTGATCGAGTGACTCAATCCGCACGGGCTAACACTGTCCCGCAGACTCCCCCGGCGCAGAGGCCGCGAGCTTCCTTCTCGTCGCGCTTCTCTCCGGGTACACTCCTCCCAACGATCTCCGCAGGGTTCAGTGCTGTCGTGGCCGAGTCACTGCGTCGAGGGGAGATGAGTCCGGTGAAGGAGCGGAGGAGCCGACACCGAGCGAGTCGCGGGAAACAGCTGAGCACGACCAACCTTGAGTTTGGCCGCGACGGAAATGATGGAACGGGAGCACCGGGACCTCAGACCGATGCGAGGGTGGGAGATGCACCCGACCCTCGATTTGCATTGGCTACCGCTCGGCTGCATTCTACGGGCCATCTTGCGACAGAGGCGACGACTGCCGGTAATTCAACCCCCTCGTTGCCCACAGAGAACGTGCCCGTCAACCCGTCTGTGGACGATATCGCTTCTGGATCTCGATTCCGAAGCTTCAGTGACTCTTGGAGCGGCGGACTGAACTGGCTCGGCGGTGCATTGCATAGACCAAACGACAGTCCGGAGCCACCAGGGACAACCCAAACACAAAGTGGCGAGCACGGACACCCGACGAACGCATCTAACAACGATCAGGAACCTCGTTCAGGTCCCACCAACTCGCGGGCATAAGTGGTACATATGGCTAGTCGCCTTCTTTCGATGGATGATATCTGTGCTTTTCTCTTTCATCTTCGCTCTTTTTCTTTCCCCTCGTCATCCGCAAGCGCTTTTCATATTTCGAGTATATAGTGTTTAACATGTAGAACATCGCGCATTGGCGTTGGGAGGTTGATTGATTGCGGTTGTTTATAGCGCAGTTGCAATAGCATTCTTTGCCTTATTGAAATCTGATAGTGGTTATATGTCGATATGGAATTGAGTAGGATTTTCGTAGTATGATGAGTACTCCGGATAAGAGTATATGATGGGGAGCGGAGGCGAGAGGGGAAAGCTCCTCGTCCGCAATCTCCAACTTGCCTCATCCTTCTTACTCCACTCTCCATTCATTCTCGTGTGAGCCCTTCTAATCCTTGGCAATCCTTTTATATAACATACCTTGGAGCCAAGGCCGAATACCACCACCTGAACCTATCCATTAATCTCCAAGTCAGGCCATATCGGTTCCTCCGATCTGGGCATCACGCAGCCATTGATAGGTGGGAACTCGTTAAGAAAAGGTGCCTTCTCCCCGCATCAACTTAGTTCAATCTCGCAAAGGTAGCGCAAGAACTAAGCCAGGGTATACTGTCCTTTCTCATTTCCAGCGCATCAATTTACCCGAACGACCGCTGATTGGAGGGAATATAGGTTCAATTTCCAGACATCTCCAGGTCTGCCTTCACTGCAGTAGTTACTAGTTTGTCTCGCGCGATGTCTTTCGCTCCACTTTCGAAGGCTATGATTGCCGGTTTGGTTCGATAATTCGCTGGGGAGACTTCGTACCCTGGTCTTGTTTATGAATCGGAGATGTCTTGGGTGAGGACCTCTTATTAAACGAGGACTGGGTTCGCGTCGTTGTCCACCTTTTACCCAGACATGGCGATATTGGTTGCTTTGCATGTACCTGTTTGGTGCTTATTAACTGGTTCTGGGCACATGGTAATCTAGAAATAAATAGCTGGGCGTGCCTGGTGTGGGTTTTTCTGTTTCTTACGTTTCTTCGTGACTCCCTTGCTCCCTATTTACCGTGAAGATGGTGAACGGTTTACTTTCGAAGAGTCTGCTAGCCTTGGGGCTCTGTTCTAGCTTCGTTGCTGGAAAAGATGCGACTCCTCCCTACAAAGATGCTCGGGTTCCTGTGGAGGACCGAGTGAGTGATCTGCTGGGCCGGATGACTATTGAGGATAAGATGGCACAATTGATCCAAGGTGCGTTTGATTCTAGAGGAGTGGCATTTGCATGGCGAAAGGAAGAAACAAACACTGACAGTGTCTCATCTGATCCTCTGCAGGCGATATCACCAATTGGATGAATGACACCACGGGCGACTTCAACTACACGGGGTTGGTCGAGAACATGGAGTTGAAAGCCGGGATGTTTTATGGTATGGCTTTTGGTATAGAGACATTGCTGGAAATCTCAGCTTCTAACGACGCTTATAGTTGGGTATCCGGTTCCCTGGGATTGGATCGCAACGAACGTGAAGAGGGCTCAAGACTACCTTATCCACAATACCACTCTCGGGATTCCGGCCCTTGTGCAGACAGAAGGTATGCATTCTTATACTGCACTCTTCAATTGCGCTCATATACTTACTCTGTATCCTAAAACGCAGGTATCCATGGTTTCTTGATCGGAAATGCAACGATCTACAACTCGCCAATTGCGTATGGCTGTTCGTTCAATAAGGATGTCAGTATACTATTGGGTCAATGTCCTTTTCAACTAATATCTAACCCATTCTAGTTGGTCTATAAAATGGCGAAGTTTATCGGGCAAGAAGCCAGCGCCCTCGGTGTGAACCAGATCTTTGCCCCGGTGGTTGATCTAGCTCGTGAGCTTCGATTTGGCCGAGTCAGTACACCATGTGGCATGGTGACTTACAATTTGTGCTGATGCATAACAGGTTGAGGAAACGTTCTCGGAAGACCCGTACCTTTCGGGAGAAATTGGATACAGTTATACTAAGGGCCTGCAGAGCACAAATGTCTCTGCCATGGTGAAACACTTTATCGGGTTCAGCCAGCCTGAGCAGGGACTGAATACTGGGCCTGTCCAGGGAGGCGAGAGACATTTGCGCACAACGTCGGTAACGTCTATTCGGTTTGAGGACATACTCTAACCTTTTTGCAGTTGGTTTCAGTCTTTCAAGCGGTCAATCATCGACGCCGGAGCATGGAGCATCATGAGCGCGTATAACTCGTCAGTATCAAACGGTCGTGCATTGTTATCGACTCGCCATGCTAATATGTACCCTAACAGATACGACGGTATCCCCGCAATTTCCGACTACCATACCCTCACGGAAATCCTGCGAGAAGAATGGGGTTACAAATACTTCGTCATCAGCGATGCCGGCGCCACTGACAGACTGTGCAATGCGTTCAACCTCTGCCGGAGCTCGCCAATCGACATGGAGTCCGTCACGCTGCAGGCGCTTCCTGCGGGCAACGACGTTGAGATGGGCGGTGGTTCATTGTGCGTGACCTGTACTGAGTGTATGCAAGTGATGTGGCCACTGACAACCCGACAGTAACTTCCAGAAGATCGCCGAGTTAGTGGAAGCAGGAAAGCTCGATATCGAGATTGTGGACACAGCTGTATCGAGAGTGCTGCGAGCCAAGTTCGAAATGGGCCTCTTCGAAAACCCCTACCCTGCTGCTCCGCCGGAGGAGTGGAAGAAGCTCATTCACAGCAAAGAGGCTGTGCAGGTGGCACGAGATCTCGACAAAGAGTCTATCGTACTGCTGGAGAATCACGACGATGTGCTCCCGCTCAAGAAAAGCGGCGATATTGCCGTCATCGGGCCCATGGCCCACGGCTTCATGAACGTACGTGAGCTTGGAGGGAGACAACCGTCCATCCAGTCGGTACTTGAGACATGTACTAACGAGCACAGTACGGTGACTACGTCGTGTACAAGAGCCAGTACCGTGGCGTCACACCCCTAGACGGCATCAAAGCCGCCGTTGGCGACAAAGCGCACGTCCACTACGCACAAGGATGCGAGCGATGGAGCAATGACGAGTCTGGATTCGCCGAAGCCGTCGAAGCCGCGAAGAAATCTGACGTTGCGGTCGTCGTCGTCGGAACCTGGTCTCGCGACCAGCAGGAGCTATGGCAGGGTCTCAACGCAACGTACATCCCCCTCCCTCTAATATTTACCCATTAACTCTCCGAAGACTATAACTAACATCCATTGATGAATTAGGACCGGCGAACACGTCGACGTAAACGACCTCTCCCTCGTCGGCGCCCAAGCCCCCCTTATAAAAGCCATCGTCGACACAGGCGTCCCGACCATCGTCGTCCTCTCCAGCGGCAAACCCGTCACCGAACCCTGGCTCTCAAACTCCACCTCCGCGCTCCTCCAACAATTCTACCCCTCCGAAGAAGGCGGCCACGCCCTCGCAGACGTCCTCTTCGGCGACTACAACCCCTCCGGCAAACTCTCCGTCAGCTTCCCCCACTCCGTCGGCGACCTGCCCATCTACTACGACTACCTGAACTCGGGCCGCTCCATCGGGGACTCGGGCTCCCAGTCCGACGACGGGGACCTCGTCTTCGGACACCAGTATGTCCTTGGCAGTCCACTCCCTTGGTATCCCTTCGGTTACGGAAAGAGTTATTCGACTTTTGAGTACGGGCGCGTCAAGCTAGATAAGACCTCTATTGAGGATGCCCAGGCGGAGACGGTCACCGTGCAAGTGGACGTTACGAATCGGCATCCGGACCGTGAGGGGACGGAGGTCGTGCAGGTGTATGTGAAGGACGAGTATGCGAGTGTCGTCGTGCCGAATAGGGAGCTGAAGGGCTTTGAGAAGGTTGTTATCCCTGCGGGGAAGACGAAGACTGTGAAGATTCCGCTGCGGGTGAAGGATCTGGGGCTGTGGAATTCGGCGATGAAGTATGTTGTTGAGCCGGGTGCGTTCCATGTGCTTGTTGGGAGTAGCTCGAGTGATATTCGGGGGAATGCTACTTTTACTGTGGAGTAGGTTTGTTGGACTTGTTGGAGGGGGGGGGGAGAGGGTGCTTTTATTCAAATGTATTTTATTTTAGAGAGGTTAGCTGTTTTGGATAGGGAATATTAGGGGGTGGAAGTGTGAATTGAGTTGTATTGCTATCTTTGTCCCATGGAAGTGACACGCTCTGTTGTGTAGGGCTTGTCAGTGGGATGCTACTTCCATTGAAAGAAAAGTGAAACCCGAATGTATCGTTATCGTTATCGTCATTAGCGTCATGCGTGAGTAAGGATTCAGCAGTAGAATTAGAGAAAGACAATGATTGGACTGCCTCAACTATCAGACGCATCCGTCCTCGGCTCAGGATCGTTTGTCGAAGTAGTGTCGTTCTCCGTGTCGCCGCCATCTACCTCCACTCGCGTTGACATCTGGCGGGGCGGGTTATTTCCAGTCGCAGCAGGACGGGGACTGTTGGGAGGAGGAATGGCTGGACTATTCCGGGATGCATGGTCCGCGGCGGAACGGCCCTCAGCGCGGCGCGTTTTGGCGCCCTCTTTGAGCTTCTCCCACCGCTCGCGGTAGCGGCCCACGATGTCGCGCAGCTTGTCGTTCTCGCGGCCGGCTTTGTCGAGATCGCGCTCGCTGCGGCGGATCAGCTCTTCGAGTTCTTTGATGCGGATGTCTTGGTCGCCTGGCGCTGGTTCCTGGGGCGGGGTGATGGTCGAGGCTGTCACTGTTGAGGGGGACTGCGGGCGGTGGCTCTCGAGGGACGGATTGCTTTGGTGGTGCATGGCTCGGAGGGACTGTTGCAGGGCCATTGATGACGACTGCGCGTTGACTTCCCACATGTGGAGGCGCGTGGACAGCGTGTCGGACAGGTGGCGCAGGGCTTGGTTCTCCATCTGCAGTTCTTCCATGGTTTTTGGGTTCTGCAGGCTGGTGAACTTATCGCTGCCGGTGGCGCGTCCCTTCTTGGCTCTTCCGCCTGTTAGGCTGTGACGGAGTTCTGGCGAGGGGGGCGTCTCGCGTGCGTCGACAAAGTCGTCGTCGCCGTCGTCGAGACTGCTCCGTCGTGCTGCTCCTTCGCCCCGGCCTAGGATGCCGGCGTATGAGACAGTACCGCCCGTGGTCGGCACGACGTAGAAGGATTCGGCGGCGCTCGTGGTCGTGAGGGGCCCCGTGCCACCATTGGGGTCCCGGAGGGACCGCAGGGCCGCACGCGAGAAGATCTTATTGATGTCCGGGTCGGCGGATCGCCTCGAGCGGTCGGAGGTCGCGGGGTGGCGGTCCAGTTTCGGCTCTGCGGTGGACTTTTGGTAGGACGGGGCGGAGTCTGCGCCGAGTGGGAGACCGGCAAAGGCCAGGGGAGCCGAGATCTTGGAGATGAGGCCTTCGAAGGTGGAGTAAAACCGCTGGAAGGGTTCCTCACCGGGGGGTTCGCGATGCGTGGCATGGGGCGAATCCGCCATGTCGGCGGGGACGAACTGTTTGGAGGTGACATCGGTGGGGCTGGCCCCCAGGGAAGGAGGAGGGAGGGGGTCCTTGGAGATGAGGTTGCGGTTGCGCTCTTTGGTCGCCGTGACCTGGGTGCCTCGGAGTCTGGACTGGCCGGTTCGGATCTTAGACGGACCCTCGGCCATTTTGGCCCCCGCCTGCTGGGCCGACAGCGTGGGGGAGACGGGAGATGCCCGGCGCGGGTGGGCGGGGATGCCCCGCGCCGAGGCTAGATTGCTCGCGATGGATGAAGTTTCCCGCGCGGGCAGTCGCACCTGGGTAGGCAGCTTGGGAGGGACATGCAGCGCCTCTTTCGCGGCGCCGGATTCGACTGGGGTCAGTGGAGGATTTTCCCCCGCGGGATCGGGGGCCGATGGAGGGTGCTCATGTTGGAAACGGAGGATCTGGGCGAGTTTCTTATGATGATCTTCCAGCAGGTGAAGCGTCCGCAAGGCCTTTCAGAAAGGGAATATGTCAGTTTTCACTCACACTTTTTCAGGTTATACTTGTAGGGTTGGGTTGGGACGGGCTGGATCGCTGTGGAGGGATCATGTCATACTTCGCGATCGGCACTCTGTTGGGCGGCGGTTGCAAACTCGCCAGCCGCCAGATCATGTTCTTCACTGGCTGCTACAGGATTGGACTTGCGAGTCTCCAGAACTGCATTTCGCGCATGGGTATGAGCCTTTGTCCAGGAGGAAATTCTCGCGTCAGGGTATCCTGTTGACTTTGTTTTGAGGGGATGGAGGAACATACCAAGGTGAGTGGAGCGGACTCCATGATGGATCAGCTGGATAGAAGTCGACAGGAGAAGTCGAAGCAGTAGAGGTCATGAAGAAGCTGGAGAGAAGAGGAGAGAGGAGGAGGAGAGAAGAAGAGAGAGAAAGAGAGAGAAGATGAAGTTGCATTGAGAGACGATGCAAAGTGACGCAACGGGGAGTTTCTTGGTATGGTCATGTATGTATGGTCAGGTATGGTATGGTTACAGGAGCTCCCCCTAACTCCCTAACTCGTCTCCCCTAACTCTCCCTCAATCCGGGCATCTGGTGGGGAAACGGCGAAGTGGAGTTGACCCTGTCCCTCAGATCCATTGCGTTGATTAAAGACGGGATGAAAAAAGAAGAAAAGAAACATAGAATAGAGTCTATGATTTATCTCTCAAACTGATCATTTTATATTCCATATTTATAGTCGTGTAGATATAAATATCTTCGAGATCGATCTATAAATAGGGATCTAGATCACGACTCCAGGAGAAGCTGTCAGGAACCGATCGGACCACGATACCATACGATACCATACATACCGCCCCCTCTCCATCATCCTCACCTCATCTCGTCTCATCTTCTTCTCTCCTCCACTTCTTCTTCTTCTCTTCTCTCCATCTTCCTCTCCCCTTGTCTCTCCAATCTTGAATTGAATCCCTTCATCATCTTTCTCTCAAACATTCAGGCTCCTTCGTCCCTCCACTCTCCTTCAATTCCTATACCCTGGTTCGTTACCAGAGCTGCTCCAGAAGGTGCTGCTGCTGGCCCTGCAACTCCCTGCAGCTCATTAACATCCTCAAAAACACCCCCCCCCTCACTACTTCTTTTCTATTCCTCCTCTTTTTTATCCTGATTCGAACTTCTATTCCCCGGTTGATTGTTACGGACGAGGCTGGTTTACTCGGACATATGCAATTAAACTTTCACCTCCTTTAGAACAGCCGGACATTTTGTTGACAGCCTGTTTCTTGGACTCACTCCGCCCTGACCTTCTACCTATATTCTCCGCTCCCCCTTTCCCCCTCCTCCACCCCCACCTCACCCCCCTCAGTCCGTCATGGATCAATCATCATTCCCCGAACCTCCGCCAGTTCCCGAATCCGACCAAGGGTTCACGAGACCCCTGCGCTCTTCAACTACCGCCGCGGACCTGGAGACGACCGCAAGCCACAGCACCCGACGCTCCTCCGTCGAATCCGTCTCCGAAAGACCCAAATCACAACCCGGCGAGCACTCGGATTCCGCAAAGGCTGGTTCCAGCGGATTCTCGAAACTGCTCGCATCGCGCCGGAAGCGCAAGCAGGAAAAGGAGAGTCGAAAGCAAGCCGAGCTGGCCACCCAACACGAACGGGACGATGAGGAAGACCCCGACGACCGTCGCCTCGGGTCGCGCAGTGGCCTTTCCACCGCCTCGTCGACCAATGATACCGAAAGCTACCCGGAGAGAGAACCGACCAACATTATCTTGACGGATGATTCCGAACCGGATCGGTGAGTCGGTGGATCAGGAGAGACCCGCGAGAGACAACCGCCGGGAGACGCGGGGAGGAAACGGTTGCTAATCTGGCTTTCATGTACAAGGACCCCGCCGTTGACGACCCGAAATTCCCACACGGGCTTCTACACCACCTCCTCCCCCCTTTTAGCCTCAGGCGCGTCCGCCGAGACCGATGGGGCCCAAGCGGACGTCGAATCCGCTGTCAGTGGTCCGAGCGGCGGTGCCGCCTCCGAAGCCACGGTCGACCACGACACCTCTCGCCCTTCCTCCCGACACGCCTCCACACTGGGCGTTCCGCCAGACAGCGCGAAGAAAAGGGCCGTGTCGCCGGGTCGCCGGTTCAAGAATCCCTTCGGCGCCGATAAGGAGAAGAAAAGCTCCACCCGGGACCGCGCGTCGTCCACCGCCTCCGTCGACAGCAAGAGAAGCCGGAAAGGCAGTATGTCCTCCCGGAAGGCGCCCGTGGTGGTCGCCGAAGACCCCCCGCCGCTCCCGCCCATCCGGACCGAACTCCTGGAGGAGAAGCCTCTCCCCCCGGTGGACGATGCCGCCCCGCGGACCCCCCGCGGACCGCCCTCCCCGCCCCCAGACCACCGTCACGCCCCCAAGTCCCCTCCCCGGTCAGCACAACCTCTTCTCCTCGCCCGACGTGGTCGCCTCCCCCGAATCGATGGATTCGAAGAAGACCTTCCACCCCGGGGTGGTGGTCAGTCCGTCCGGGAATATGATCTCCCACCGCCGCGTGCGGTCGGCGTCGGCCGCCGGCCACAAGCCCAGTCGCCTGTCGAACTCGATCTCGGCCATCGGCCCGCCCCTGGAGGAGACCAAGGCGAACCCCGTGGCGCAGCAGAGCGGCTTCTTTTCCTCGGTGTTTTCGGTCGCCCAGAACGCGGCGTCCACGCTCAGTAGCTCGCTCAATGCGCAGCAAAAACCCCGCAGCCCCGCGCAGCCCATGACGGCCGAATCGGACGTCACGGCGTCGGACGGCGCGGACGGCTCGAGTCCCGCGCCCGAGGAGCAGAAGAAGCCGCTTGCGATCGACACGCTGGGGTCCGGCGATCTCAATTTCGACCACTTGGATATTGCTATCCCCCCCGGGGGGTCGGTCTCGACTCCCGATGGCGTGGTCATCACGAAGCCGCAGGCCCCGCCGGAGAAGCGCCGGACCCCGGCGGTCTATCGGCAAGATGAGGAGGCCGCCAAGGCCGAGGGGCGGCGTGCCGCGCGTGCCGTCACCATGGCCTACGAAAAACCCGCCGACATCTCGGTGCGTCCGCCGTCGGGCGAGAGTGTCGAGCAACGGTCGACCGCCTCGCTCCCCCGCGACCCCTCCGGGGATTCCACGCCCCCGAACGGCAGCCTCCTCGACGGCGAGACCGACGCCGCCCAGCGGAATCGGAGCAGCAGCGTGCAGAGCCGGCTGGTCCCGCGCCGTCACCGCGGCTCGTCGGCCGCCACCGCCTCGACCATCGGCGCCGCGGCCGCGGGGGCAAGCCTGGCCCTGGGGATCCCTGGCGGGAACTCCAGCGTGCCCCGCCTGACCGGATTCGCCGTCGCGAGCAAGAAGCGGAACCGGGACTTCCACCAGCTGTTCCGCAGCGTCCCCGAGGACGACTACCTGATCGAAGACTACAGCTGCGCGTTGCAGCGCGAGATCATTCTGGCGGGCCGGATCTACATCTCCGAGGGGCACATCTGCTTCTCGAGTAACATCCTGGGCTGGGTGACCACTCTGGTCATTAGCTTTGACGAGGTGGTCGCCATCGAGAAGGAATCCACCGCCATGGTGTTCCCCAACGCCATCGCCATCCAGACCCTGCACGCCCGTCACACCTTCCGCAGTCTGCTCAGCCGCGAGTCGACCTACGACCTGATGGTCAACATCTGGAAGATCAACCATCCAACCGTCAAGAGCTCCGTCAACGGGACCCGGGTCGCGCATGGCACAGGCGATAAGACCGAGAAGGCCGGCGAGAGCGACGACAGCGACGCCGAGGATGAGATCTACGACGAGGACGAAGAAGGCGACAACGCTGACAGCTTCTTCGAGCCCGGGGACGACAGCGTGGCCGGCAGTGAGCGGTCCGCGCCCACGAAAAGCCTCAGCCGACAGGCCTCATCGGGGGCCCTGCAAACCGCCAACGGCGCCGGGGCGGCCACGTCCGGGAACGCCAATGGCGCCTCCAAGGGCACGGCCGGCGACGGCGATGCCGACTTCCCGGGCCCTCCCACTCATGCCCCCACCGAGTATACCGACCCCGCTGGCCAGTACGAGAAAGTCGTCAAGGATGAGATCATTCCGGCGCCGCTCGGGAAAGTCTATTCCTACGTCTTTGGCCCGGCGTCGGGTGCCTTTGTGCCCAAATTCCTCGTGGAGAACCAGAAATCGGGCGAGTTGCAGTTTGAGAGCGAAAAGAAGGGCCTCACCAACGACAGCCGGACGCGGAAGTACTCTTACATCAAGCCGCTGGGCGGAGCCCCGATCGGTCCCAAGCAGACCAAGTGCATCAGCACCGAGTATCTCGACTTCTTAGACCTGGAGAAGGCGGTCCTGGTCACGCTCACGACCCAAACCCCCGATGTGCCCAGTGGGAACGTCTTCTCCACGAAGACCAAGTACCTGTTCACCTGGGCCGCGGGGAATCAGACGCGATTCTTGATGAGCTGCACCATTGAATGGACGGGGAAGAGCTGGCTCAAGGGTAGGTCCCCTCACTCCCACAAACTTGTGTAGAAATATCACCGCTAACCGGTCCGCAGGTCCTATCGAAAAAGGTGCCATGGATGGCCAGACCGCTTTCGGTACCGATCTTGTGAACGCTCTCAAAGCTGCCGTGGCTCCTCGCGCTCGCACCACTGGCAAGGGCAAGGGCCGGCGGAAGAAGACCGACATCGCCCGGGAAGAAGCGGCCGCGGCCGTCGCGGCGGCAAAGGCCGTCAGCGAAACCACGGCCCGCGAGAACGAATCTTGGGGCTTCTTGGAGCCGCTCCATGGTCTGCTGGGACCCGTGGGCGACATCATCAAGCCCCTGTGCACGGGCAACGTCGCCATTGTGGTCATTGGTCTCTTACTCGTGATGCTGTTCTTCCGCAGTCCCTCGAAGCCGCCCTCTATCCTGTCGCACGACATTGGATGCCCTGGGTATTCTCTCCCGCAACGCCTCGCTGCCTACGAGGAGATGTGGCGGAGGGAGGAGAGCGAACTTTGGAGCTGGCTCGAAGACCGCGTGGGCATGGATGGCATGGCTTTCCCCAACGTCCACAAACCATTCGAGATGCATAGTCGCCGGGGGTCCCGCAGGACTCCTGGTGAGCGCGAAGTTCACGAGAGACTAGGCGAAGACAAGATGTCTGATCGTGAGATGGACCATGCGATTCGCACCACCCGCGAGCGTCTCGACACCTTGGAGAGGATCTTGACGCAACGCCGATCTCCTTCGGAGGCAGAAGCCTCCCATCTCGAGCTGTAGTGCTCTATATTCCGTTTTCTCCTGACCTTTTCACTTCAAAAAACCTTGTTTCTTTCCTTCACATACACCGACACCACAGTTATCGGACCACTTATCCCCTGATCGCCAGATCTACGCCACTCATTCATCTCCTTTTGTCATACTTCAGCAAGCTTTGATTCAAGCCTCTGCCGTGATACCACCTTCCCACCTTCGATCGACCGTTGAACTAGTCCAGTCTTTCTGCAGCCGTCGTGTGTTGCCTATTGAGCGATTTTTTTTTTTTTTTTTTTGTCTTTATTGGTCGATGTACCTGTCTATCGTTTTACGTGTTCTTTTATATTCTCTTGTCCTTATTAACTTTTTGTGCTCTCATGCATACTTGAAGCCTGCGCGATCTTGGCTCTTTGGAAGAGACTTTGTACATGAGCGCTATCTGTATGTTCATAGATACTTCAGACATATTCAATCCTTTTTTCTTCTTGTTATTTTTTCTCCCTTGTTGGATTTTTCTTTTTCTTTTTTTTTCATCTTGTTTATTTATCTGTTCATCTATTTCGCTACTTGTTTATTTGTTTTTCTTTTGCCGTTCCCCACTCCCAGGGCCAACACATCCACAAGTGGTGTCAGCCTTGCCATTCTTTCTTTCTTATTCCATTGTATAATTGGACATTGGACACTAGACAAAATACTTCCATTTCCACTCTCCTGAGTAATGGTCTTCTTGTTCTTGTTCCTATTCCAATTACCTGGCAGTTAGTTAGCTACCTGCTTGAGTCTTGTACTATCTTGTATTTATCTCTTCCTGTTTTGACTATTTGGCAAAATATATAACTACGTATTATATATATGGCGTACAAGTCTAGCTCTCATAATATATAACTTACTACGTAAAATATCTAATATACCCTATTAACACGGGGTACTTACATATATTTGTATAGAAGATGAAACACCTAATATAGCTGTATAATGGATGAACACAATCTGGACAATATATAGATATAGATATAGATACAGACAGGCATATACGGATTATATCGAACAGATCAGAGATATCAAAACCAGAATGGAATATCCTTCCAAAAAGAGAGAAAAAGATTAAGCGCAATGAATTAATATATATTCCGGGAATCTTGCGTGTATCTAAGAGCCAACCAGATTTAATAGTACCTCAATCTATATATGAGGCGGAAAAGCGAACGGGAACCAAAACAAAAAAGGGTTGAAAAACGACGATGGGGGAACGAGGGTGATATATATAATACAAGGATTCGTTGGCGGATGGTGAAAGGCAGTGCAGTCCCGTTAAAGGGTATCATATCGTGTGGGAATCAAGGGGAATTAAGGGTCGTCACGTCGTGAGAAGGGCATTAGGGGGTAGGTCGCGATGATGGGGGGAGGAACGTCGTTATCAGCAGTGCAACGTCAAGGACGAAAAGAACATTATAGAGCCCGGGTGTGAGGCAAGGATGGATCCGATGAAGAGCGAGCGGACTTGAGATCCGGCTTGATGGGCAGATCCGAGTTCTGATCGACGACGGATTTCTGCTCGACGTCGGATGTCTGCTCGACGTCGGATGTCTGCTCGACGTCGGATTTCTCCCCCGCCTCGGAGGAGGCTCGCGCCTGGGACGCCTGCTTCTCCTTCTTGTGCTTCTTCTTCTCGATCTTCTTTATCGCCTCCTCGGTCAACTGCTGGACGAACAGGCGCTCAACGACCTCCTTCTTGCGGGTGCGGCGATCGCCGATCATGATCAGGACACCGCCGGTGATGTTGCAGGCGATGGAGCAGCAGAGGATGACGGTGGTGAGGGCAAAGGGCCGGTCGTGGTAGTCGATGCCCCAGGTGCAGGCGCCGAGGGAGATCTGGAAGAGGGAGTGGCAGTCGAGCAGGACAACGATGGCGATGAGCAGGCGCTGCGGGAAGGCGTGATGCGTGAAGGTCTCGTGGGGTTTGTAGAAGGTATGCGACTTGGAGAGTTTGTTCTGATGGTGCGTGAGCCGTTGCTGCTGGAGACGGCTCAAGACCGTGAACTCCCATCGCTCGTCCTTGGGCGTGTCGCCCCACTCGACGTCGATCTCGTACTCGCGCCGGGCGGGTAGATCGTTCTTGTCCTTGAGGGCCGGGAGCCGTCGCTTGCGTCGGACCTTCCAGGTGAGGAAGGTGTAGTGCGCGACGAAGATCATGTGGTAGGTGTCGACGGCGCGGAACGGGGCCAGCCCGTCGCCCATGATGGCGAACAGCGCCACCAGGACGTAGTCAATGTAGTTGATGATTTCGAGTTGGCGTCCTCCCACATTGATCCAGCCTGGAGGGGGTTAGCACGGAAACGTGGGGAACGGAGGATCGGAAGAAAAAGAGAGGATTTACCAATGAGGAACAGCACCCACGCGAGTCCAAAAAGCGTGATTAAGGTGGCATATAAAGTGACCAAAAAGCCCAGTGCTGCGTTGATCGGTTAATCGATGGAGAACTCAGAGGGGGAGAATTGGTTTATCGACACTTACGCTTGGATACATATTTCCCGAAGCCCTTCATGGAACGTTTGAACTTGCTCCGACGCGAATGCAACATGTGCCGGACGTGGTCATTCAACTCCTCGACATCGGTGCGGGTCCAGCCTTCCAGACTGGTCCCATCCGGTAGGATGGCGAATCGCGGTTCCCCCTCGTCCAAGGCCGCCGAGACGCTGGAGAGTGGTCGGGCGAGCGGCGGATGCTCCTCGGCCTTTTTGGGCCCATCTTCGCCCTCATCCGTGGAGGTCGTCTCTTCTCCGGACTCCGCCGGCCGGGACGGCGAGAGGGTGTAGGTCTGGTTGCGGTTGACAAAGGGACCCAAGTTGGGGACGAAGAGGGAATTCTGGACGTTGGTCAGGGTGGAGAGGGCGGACACCTCAGGGTCTGTGCGGCGCCGACCGGCGGGATTAGCGCGAGGTCTTCCTTGCTTCCGGACGACGGCAGCCACTTACCGATCACATCCAGCACATCGACGACGTGCGGTTTGTACACGTCACAGTCCGTGGGCGGCGGAGGTACGGGCCCGCTGACGGTGTTGGCGCGGTTTCTGGCGAAGCGGTTGATGGTGGCCTCGCTCGTCCTCCGCAGTAGGCTCCGGCCGGGGGATCGTTGTTGGAGGGGAACGGGGGCGGGCCTCTCCAGGGGAGCCGGAGCGAAGGGTAGGTTGGAGGAGGATTGGGCGATGGGGCTCTGATGGGATGACTCCTCCATCAGGGGTTGCATATGATCCCCCGCACAGGGGGTCAATCTCGGGAGGGTCTGCGGGTTGGGAGCGGACCAGCGCCCTCGCCGGGGTTCAGAGCTGCTCCGGCGACGATTGCCTTGCCCGTCATCATCGTCGAGGGGGCTCAAGGGGCCGGGAGGCACCAACGAACCGGAGGCCGATGGATTGAATCTGGCGGATCCCACTGGCTGGCTAGACGAGGCGGTCTGGTCTAGGGACGGCAGACGCTGCAGTCGAATGGTCGGGGCCCGTTGGGAAAAGACGGAGGCGGCGCGCGGTCTGGGGGGACGACCGGACGGTTGTGGGGACGAGGAGACATTGGAGGAGGACGGTGGTTGCAGTCGCTGTTGATCGAACTGGGTTGGAAGCGAGGGATGAGAGCCACCGACGGGCTCTATCCGATCCATTGGGGTGGCGAGTTGTAGCTTCAGAAGAGAGAAAGAGGGAGAGAGAGATGGATTTGAAGCGAGAGAAGAAAGACGATTTGATCCCCGAAAGGACCCGATAGCCGGGTATAAAGAATGGCAAATTTAAAGATATAGAAAGAAGGCACTAAGAAGCTAGAGAGAGAGTGAGAGCACCAGCGAAGAAGCCTGGTGGAGTAGGGGTGTTAAATAGTCATGCTAAGAAACAAGAGAATTGTGGTGACCGACAGGCGGTTGACAGAGTGGAGAGGAGGAGAAAGAAATAAATGAAAAGAAGGAGAACAATAAACCGAGATCCAAATTAAAAGAGACAAAGCAAGTTTGAGGAGAGCTAAGGCCGACGGCGTTTCGTCGGTGCCGTCGATCGGGTGGAGACGAGATTACGTCGTGATGGACCAAGGAAAGCGAGATGAAATCCAATCTTTCATTTGTGGTTCATTGGGACCATCCAGGGAGAACTTTTTCTCCTTGGCCTGTATTAGGTGGGTGCATCTATCTTGTTGTTAGATGAGATGAAGTTGAAAATATGGACAGTGGAGGAGAAAGATGAGGATATGAAGCCAAAGAGAGAAGAGAAGAAGAAGAAGAAGAAAGAGGCGAGACGGTCAGGTGATGAAGAGATGAGGATGGGCGAGCCTGAGGCTTGTTTTTGAGCCTTCTCTGCTCTGATTGGTGGAACGTCGGACCTAGACCGATGACTCAGTGGATGCCTCAGGGATTGACAGATGCCTGAGCTTTAAGGAGGATAGTATGCCTCAGGAATCAACACATCTATACATCACTTCAACATTCACACAATGACGACAATCACAATCACTTCATCCAATTCATTCAGACAACAGACAATCAGACCAGCTGTTCTTGTCAATGGAGACATGCTCCTTCAACTACTAACAATGTGGTGGATCAGTCTGCCAGATACCTGGACTATATCCTACTCAATACACCCTATAGAGAAACGCTCGATCAATAACAATCCCACCAGGTCTATTGAATACCATCGTCAATTGTTTTGGACAATGGTTAATCTTCCCAACCTCTGATTGAAGCAGCCCTCATTGCCTTTCTCTGGCCTGTCTACATCTTCTCTTCCCTCTCTTCTCTCTTCCCTCTTCCCTCTCTTCTCTCTTCCCTCTTCCCTCTCTTCTCCATCAGACGACATCTTCAACAACACGAACCAACCAGTTCAACAACACGATACCATCGCCTACTATTCTTCCCAGGTGCAGGCACCTAGTTTGCTGATACCCATAGTTGCGACTCCGATCAGATCCTCAACCACGACGGAGAAAGACCGAACCAAAGTGATATCGTAAGAAAGGCCGTTCCATAGTCATGCTGAACCATCTGATAATCCTGACCCATGACCAGCGAGCAACCGCCCTGACCCCCAAATGAACCAATTCCGCAAGGTGATTACAGAAGCACGAGTAGTGACCATGGCCAAGAAGCGCCCAGTCCCTATCGACCACCCCGAGGAGCCTCTCACGCAGACCCCCCAAAAGCGAGCCAGAAAGTCTCCCGCAGACAAGAAGCCCGCCATCCACGCGCCGCATCCTCCCTCTCCATCCCTCTCCCCCAACGACAAGACCCGAGGTACGCCGTGTGTAAATCCCACCGCCGTGGAGAAAGACCTGTACACCGAGGCGTTCTTCGCAGACATGGCCTATACCATCGCACGCATCTTCCCCTTTGAGCAATTCGCCGAGAAGCACGGATGTGCCGTCAGTTTGGTCTCCCAGGCCCTGATGGCCACTATGATCGCCCCGTGGTCCGATCCCAGCTTCGATTGGCAGGAAGACCCTGACTGGACCATTGTGCGCTTCGGCGAGGGCATGGTCGACAACTGGAAACGGTACTATAACGATACGATGGAGAACTGCAGGCCACCCTGCCCTGGCTGGGGCGATGAGGACCCGGAGAACTTCCCGACCTCCCCGACCGTCACCTCCTCCAGCTCCGACGACGAGACATCTGTATCGACGTACTCGACCACCGACCAGTCCGAGACCACCCAACAGGAGATTGAGGGGGCTTGGTCCCTCTCAAAGCCCGGAGGACACCCGGTCGCCCGGCCCCCTCCGCGATCGATCCTCAAAAAACATGAGATTTCTGCAGCCGGTGGGCGATCCAAGAAGTCGCTGTCCTGGCAGGAAGAAGGAGGTCTTTCTCCCAGATGAGTTGGGCCCGTTCGTCACGGTCGAGGAGTAGTAGGCTCTGCCGGATGACATCCTGGCCCACCATCATTGGGGATGTGGCGCAGACCAACAGCGTCGACAGGGAGTCTAAGGAGTATTATAATTCCAATATCCCATTCGCCGGAGTGGACAGACTGTGTCTATTCATCTCAATTCGAGAAATTGCCGTGGGACGGATGAACATTGAGGGTGGTGGATCGGTCCTTTTTCTTTCTGTTTCGGTATCGTTCTATCTTTCCACCCATCTCGGATCTTCCGTCAAGTGGGTTCTGGGTCCTGTCCCTGGGCGTTTGTGTCTTCGAAGTGTCTCTGTACTACATCTACCAGACTCGAGCGAGATAGAATATCAGCCAATTCACAGAGCTAGTCTCCATTCTCCCATGATCCCACCCTTCCTCTGCTCTTTTGCCCCTCAGCCCCTCCGCCCCTCCGTGGAAGGTTGACCCAGCGATCCCAATCAATACGATCCACCCAGAGCAACGGTGATGTCAACGTGGTTGCCAAGTCCCACTGACCGCTGGGCCTTTTCCTCAGGCAGCAGATTACTGCGTTGGGCCAAGTGGCGGCCTCACCGCCCTGGGCTTCCCTTTCTTTTTCCCTTCTTCGCTCTCGCCCATCTCGCTCTCTCTCCTTTCTCCCTCTTGACTTCAGTCCTTTCCTCAACTAGACAATCCTCCAATTCATTCTTGTCTCAATCGACTCCCTCCCCCCCCTCCCCCCCCCTCCTTCCCTCTGTATCTAGGGCACGAAGCTACCCTTTTCCCTCCTGCAGTCAATTTATATCTCCCCTTTGGATTTCCTTCCCTTCTCAATTCAAGGAAATCTTAAACCTCCGCCAGGCAGCCTTCAGCTCCCCTGAGTCAGTAACACACAAACTTGCTATCTGCTTCCCCATTCGCAATCTCTATCTCGTCTTCTTTTTGTGTCCTCAGCCTTCAAGATGTCTTCTGCCGTCGAAAACACCACCGACAACCAGGCCGCCGCCCCGGCTGCCACCACCGCTCCCGAGGCCCCCAACGGGACTGCCGCTCCTGCGGCCACCCAGGCCGCGGATGCCGCCGCCGCCAGTGCGGATGAAGGTCGTCGGTTGTACATTGGAAACCTCGCGTATGCGACTACCGAGGGGGAGCTCAAGGAGTTCTTCGCTTCCTACAAGATGTAAGTGGTTATTCCCGGTGGTTGTGGCCATGGTGTCCTTCTCTGTTGGGACGGGTAAGGTTTCGGAATGAGTTTCCGCCGTCGTGGGTGAGCAAATCATGCGTCATCCGGGTTGCCCTTGGCTACGTCCCACGGAGAAACACTATGGAGGTCCAGAGGGGGTCATATTTATCTGTCACCTAAACTAACCAATTCCTTCCCCCGTCCAGTGAGAGCGTCTCCATCCCGGTGAACCCTCGCACCAACCGTCCCGTCGGCTACGCCTTCGTGGACCTGGCCACCGCCCAGGAGGCCACCTCCGCCATCGAGCAGCTCTCCGGAAAGGAGATCCTGCAGCGCAAGGTCTCCGTCCAACTGGCCCGCAAGCCTGAGCCCGCCGAGGCCAAGGCCGAGGGTGCCACCAGTGGCGGTGAGGGCGCCAGCGGCAACGAGGGCCGCAAGAGGGCCGGTGGCCGTGGTCGTGGCCGTGGTCGCGGTCGTGGCCGTGGCGGTCGCCTTGGCCGTGGAGGTCGTGTAAGTCATCTTAATCTCTTCTTATCTATTTTCCACCGGAATACTAATCCGTCTAACAGGTCCAGAACGGTGCTGAAGACGAGTCCGCCCCTCTGGCCGACGTCACCAACGAGGGTGAAGCCGACTCTGCCGAGAAGCAGGCCGGCAAGCCTCGCGTTCGTGCTCAGAAGCAGCGTGGACCCCCCGAGGATGGAATTCCCTCCAAGACCAAGGTCATGGTCGCCAACCTGCCCTATGACCTGACCGAGGACAAGGTATGTCGCTTCGTCTTCACATTCGCACTGTGTGATGACCATCCGCTCACCTTCTCCCCCCACAGCTCAAGGAGATTTTCGTCGACTACCAGCCCGTCTCCGCCAAGATTGCCCTGCGCCCCATCCCCCGCTTCATGATCAAGAAGCTGCAGGCCCGCAACGAGCGCCGCAAGGGCCGTGGCTTCGGCTTCGTTACCCTGGGCTCTGAGGAGCTCCAGAACAAGGCTGTCCAGGAGATGAACGGCAAGGAGATCGAGGGCCGTGAGATCGCCGTCAAGGTGGCCATTGACAGCCCCGGCAAGGAGGACGACGTTGAGTTCAGCGGCGAGAAGACCGAGGAGGCGGCCACCGAGGCTCCGGCCAAGGAGAACGTCACCCCTGCCGCGGCCTAGATGACCCAACTCCCGAAGAATGGGGGGCAATCCTGGCCGTGACTCCACGGTGGGACTGTCCCGCCCTGGGCCATCCCAGTCGTCGGTGATGATTTTGATGATGATGACGGTTGTGGCTACTGCTGCAGCAAGAGGGATCATATCGTTATCGGGGGGAGCCGTCGTCCGGGTGCGTTTTCGATCTTCGAACACAACGAGGCAAACAGACAAAAGAGTATTCCAAAAGATTACCCCAAAGAATAAAAAAAAAAAAAAGAAAGAAAAGCAACGAAAACAGAAAAAATACCGCGAAACCAACCAAAACCGATGGAGAAAAGAGGAAAGGAAGCGCTGCAGATTTCCTCTCCTGTCCGATATGATTCTTTTGGGACCAGAGCGATTCCGGAATGTTGGGGATATGGGTGTTATGCTGGGGACCTGAAATTGATCGGACCACAGTGTGCTCCCTGTTTCGAGCGTCATGATCGCGAACTGAAATGGAGTCGAGCGTGTTCTCTTTCTTGCCTCTTTTTTTTTCTTTTCCCTTATTGTGCCGTCCCATTCACCTTTCCGTTTCCTTTTTTTTGACCTTTTTTTCTACCATCACACCTACTATTGCTGCTACTGCTAACGAATCTGCCTTTCTGTGATCCTGTATCTTAGCCATCTTTAGCTTCTGAGTAGCCGCAAGGCTGGCCTTGTAATGTCGATTCGAAGAGCGCACCCGCAGCGGAATGATGATTGAGTTACGATTGATGTGGACATCTGTATTTGTAGTATTTTTCGTAGTTTCCAGTATTAAGACATCCAGATATCGAGCGACGTAGAGAGCAATACGCGCATACACCGCGTCAGTGGCGACTAAAGGCCCAAAAGGGATCGGAGGATGATTATTGATTGTGGAGAAAAGGGCGATCAACCCGCCAGCGCCAACGAGGGGCCGTATCAAGTCAAGCCTCCGATCTTCTTCTCCCTCCTTTAGTCCTTTCAGTCCCTCATTCTTTCAACGTTCGTTCTCCTTTCTTATCTCTACTTGACTGCATTCTCCTTTTCTACAATCTCGTGTCCCCCTCTTCCACCCATTCTATAAACCCATTTCTTCTGGCTCGAGGCCCTGAGGGTGCGCCATTGTCGCTTTCCCCCTTCCCGTCCGTCCGTCGTGTCCTTTGCGCCGTTCATCATGTCGAAAATGTGGGAGGTCGACCCGGAGACCAAGGCCAAGGTATTTTCCCTATCTTTTTCCCTCTCTCTCCGAGGCTGGGGAACTCTCGAATAGTCGGTTGGCTAATTCAGTGTAGCTCCAGCAATACTCCAAAACCAATAACAACGACCGATGTTGCGACTGCGGCGCCCCCTCGCCCCAATGGGTCCGTCAAACCACCCTCTCCTCTCCCCATGCCCTCCCGTCTGGAGAACCCCCCCATTCGCTAACGGTAACGCCATGGCTGACTGTCCCAATTGAAACAGGCCTCCCCGAAATTCGGAACCTTCATCTGCCTCAACTGCGCCGGCACGCACCGCGGCCTAGGCGTACACATCTCCTTCGTCCGCTCCATCACAATGGACGCCTTTAAAACCGGTGAAATCGCCCGCATGGAACACGGCGGCAACGAGCCCTGGAAGACCTTCTTCGACAACCACCCCGTCACCCTCTCCGAAGGCCGCACCTTCGAAGACTCCACCATCAAGGAACGCTACGACGGCGAAGTCGGCGAGGAATGGAAGGAGAGACTCGCCGCCAAGGCCGAGGGGAGAGAATACGTCCCGGGACAGCGACCGCCGAAGAAGGACCCCCAACAGCAGCAGCCATCGTCGCGGTCCAGCACGCCGCTCATGCGCGCTGGCTCCGGGCGCGGCTCGCCCGCCTCGCAGGAGGGCCTTGGACGCAGTGATAGCCGGAAGGAGCGCAATGAGGCTTACTTTGCGCGTCTGGGCGACGCCAATAACACGCGGTCGGCTTCGTTGCCGCCGTCGCAGGGCGGGAAGTTCACGGGCTTTGGAGGCGGGTTGCCGGCGGAGCCGGCTCCGGTTCGTCAGGCGCCGGGGGGGAATATCCCTGGGCTTGATGACTTCCAGAAGGATCCGGTGGCGTCGTTGACGAAGGGCTTTGGTTGGTTTACGACTGCTGTCGGGAAGAGTGCTAAGAATTTGAACGATTCTTATCTACAGCCGACAGCGAAGACGGTATTCTTACCCCCTCCCCACAACCGATATATGTATACTAACAACAACCAGATAGCAGAATCCGAATTTGCCGCCCAAGCCCGCCTCCACGCCAGCACCGTCGGCCAAAATCTCCAAACCGGCGCCCGCGGCGCAGCAGACCAATTCCAGCGCTTCGTCGAAGGGCCCGATCAGCACGGGCCCGGCGGCCGCCAGTCGCGAGCGGGCGACCCGGACCACAAAGACTTCTGGGACGACTTCTCCTCGCTAGGCGAGCAGCACCAGCACCAGCAACAACAGCGGAATAACAGCCACCGGCGCGCGACGTCCCGGTCCAACGCTATCGGCACGGCGGCTATGAAACCAGCGACGTCGCCTGCTTCTTCTGTTGTGGCGGATGAGCCGGGGACGGGGGTGGGACGGACATCGGCACCTACTTCTGGTGCTGGTGGTGAGGGTAAAGGACCATCTGGTGGTCCTGCGACTGGGGGAAAGGGACCTGAACATAAGGACGGGTGGGATGATGAGTGGTGATTGGTGATTGTTGATTTTGATCTTTTGCTATATGAAATGATAGATGAGCCTGCTGATTGGCCATGGCTCTTGATTTGATTGATTGATTGATGCGATGTATGTATGGGTGTTGTTTTTTCGTCTTTGTCTTCCTTTTAAAGCCATATATATCATATTATACATAGCTCTGGTTTTGCGATTTTGGTTTGTTGTTAACATGGTACTTAGATGGTAGTTAGGTATGTTGGATAGAATTGGTGCTTACTTTTCGTGTCCATGATATACGTAGTTATTAGATTTTGTTGCTCTATTGATCTGTCCTTGGAGTAGACTGGTTTTGGTGTTATTGAACTGCGTAGAGTAGGTACCTACCAATATCAAGATCGAGTGTACCTACAAAGACTGTGTTATCTTTACTATGTAGATACCACCGCCAAGAGGAAAAACAAAGCCACAAAGACCATCTATCCTAGAACGCACAAACAGATAGTCAGGCGATGTATACCCTATACTGTATACTACAGTCATATCCATTCATAATCCATTCACTTTCTATGTGACATATGATATAATACAGACCCACCCAACACACCAAATCCAACCAGAATATATTGTACCAGGGTAGAATCAAGAGCAGAGGAGTCAATAGATCAAAACTCCCCCCTCAACTCGGCCAGAACCGCCCTCTGCCGGGGCGCACTCATCCGCTCAAACCGATCGACACTCATGACGAACGTCCCCCGCCCCGCGCTCAAACTGCGCAGGTGCTTGAGGTACCCGACCATTTCCTTGAGGGGCACGCGGGCGGTGATGGTGCGCGGACGGGTCGCCGAGTCTGCTGTCGAGATCGAGGTGGTGGCGGACTGGAAGGGGTCGCGCGGGGCGTAGACGCGCGCTGGGTCGATGGGTGGGAGGATGTCTTCTGGTCCGGTGGGGGAGACCTCTGTGGCTGGGAGGGGGATGTCCTCGTCGAGGGAGAGGACGTGACCCCCGCGGGAGGAGGAGATGTCGTGGATGACGGCGCCGAGGCTGGCTTCGTCGATGCTGATGATTACGTTCATGACGGGCTCCATGAGGGCCGTGCCGCTTGTGGAGACGATCTCGCGGAGGGCGGTTGTGGTGGAGAGGCGCGCGGCAGCGGAGAGGGCGGAGGGGGTGGTCTCGTTGCCGAAGATGTGCTGGGTGGCGTCGAGGGTGAGGGTTACGCGGGTGCTGTGCATTGGGAAGGTGAATTGTGGGCCGCGCGCGAGCGCTGCGATGGTGCCGTTGATGAGGGAGGCGCGCACGGTGTCGATGTCGAGGCCGGCGGGGAGGAGGGGGCTGTCGTTCGAGCCGCTTCGGCGGGCTTTCTCGGTTTGGAGGCCGGGGGCTAGGATGATGATTTGGTTTCCGTCGCTGGAGTGGACGGCGAGGGCGTCGGGGTTTGACGGGGTGTCGTTGGCGTCTGGGTCGATGGGCTCGACCACGACCGTGCAGCCGGCTTTGCCTTTGCGGCCGGCGATCTCCTTGTCGAAGAATTTGGTGGTAGGGGGGGAGGAGCCGAGGGGGCTCTCGCGGTAGCCGATTTCGATGCGGCCCATGGAGGCCTTGGCTTTGAGGTCGTTGATGAGTCGGTCCCGCGCGATCTCCAGATGGAGCTCGCCCATGCCGCTTAGGAGCGTTTGTCCTGAGTCTTCGTCGACGGTGACGTGCAGGCTGGGGTCCTCGCGGAGGAGCACGCTCAGGCACTCTTGTAGGCGCTTTTCTTCGCTGAGGCTGTAGGGCTCGACGCTGGCGAAGAACACCGGGGGCGGGACGTCGATCGGGCGGAGTTCGAGAGTGTCGAGGGGCTCGGGGGGCGTTGCTTTGTTGCTGGCGTACGAGACCAGCGTGTCTCCAGTCCGGGCGTGCTTGAGGCCTACGACGACGCCGATGTGCCCTTCGGGGATGGAGTCGACTTCCACGGCGTCGTTGGCGTACATCTTGAGAAGACGCGGCGCCCGCTCCGACACCTTCAGGTGGGTGTTGTAGAGGAGGCTGTTGCGATCGAGACTGCCTGAGTATACCCGCACGTAGACCAGCACGCCTCGTTTGGGGTCGTTGACGACCTTGAAGGCCAGCGCACAGCTCTCGAGTTTCTCGATGGCGTTTTTAGTTTGGGAGTGCCCGCTCGATTTCTTGTGTTTCTTATCTTTGGCCGATCCTACGCTCTCTTTTTGCTCGACTGTGAGATTTCCCGAAAGCAAGCTGCGCAGGCCGCCTTTTACTCCTCCCACGCTGATCACCGGATCGCGGGTCTCGGAGGGGCTGGGGAGGAGATTCACCACGGCGTCGAGCAGCGGCTGCACGCCAATATTGCGGAAGCTGGCCCCCGCAAACACCGGAATGATCTTTCTCCCTTGATCCTCAAGGAGGCACTTGCGCAGGCTCTCCAGGATGTCATGCGCGGGCACTGCAAGATGGTCCTCTTCACAGTCGAAGAACTTCTCTACCATGGTTTCGTCGTGTTCGCTGAGCAGCTCGACTAGAGCCACGCGTGCACGTTTTAGCTCTGTAGCGAGCCCACTCCCCTCAGAATCCAGCTGTTCGAGACTGAACATTTTCACAGACTTCCCGTCTCCTTCACCCCATCGCATACCCTGGAGGTTGATCACATCGGCCACCCCGATAAACCGTCCGTCACCCCCTTCAAACCATGGGATCTGGCAGACGGCGGGCCACCCCTCTAAGCGAGTGGCGACTTCTCGAACGGTCTGTCCAAAAGCTGCGCCGTCTCTGTCTAACTTGTTGATGTAGACTATCCGGGGGATTCGATACGTGCTCGCTTGGTGCCAGACTTGCTCCGTTTGAGCTTCCACGCCGGCAACGCCGTCTAGAATGCATACCGCACCGTCGAGGATGCGCAGGGACCTCATTACTTCAAACGTGAAGTCCGCATGTCCGGGGGTGTCAATAAGATTGATCGTATGTGACGACGCAGACCGAGGTGCTTGTTCTTGCGGCGGAGGTGCGCTACCCGCAGGCGGCCAGTGGAGGGTCACAGCGGCCGATTGGATGGTGATCCCACGGGCCCGTTCGGCAGGCAGGAAGTCGGTGACGGTCGAGCCCTCATCGACATCGCCCAACCGTCTCGTGAAGCCACTATAATAGAGCATGCGCTCAGTGGTGGTTGTCTTGCCCGCATCAATGTGGGCGATAATCCCGATGTTTCTGGTCCGCTCCAGCGACTCCGCTTGCCATCTTGCGGCGTGTGTCGAGAAGCAATTGAGCGGAGGAGTAGACAGACGTTCACATCGGGGGACCCAGGGCGGCACTTTTCTCAGACCCAACCGGCTGACACCTGCACACTTGGCCGGTGGAGAAGCTACTGAGCGCACCGCCGGATTGGCGGCGCGCAGGAAAAGAGCTGCCACCATGACAGCAATTAGTCACGGAACATTCGGACAATGGGTTATTGCAGTTTATATTCCGATTCCCACCCTGATAGGAATCAGTTTTCACTTCCAAGAAAAGAATTGATCGAACGTGGTTCTTCAGACGAACGAAGTTTCAAAAGAAGTTGAAGATGTTTCCGATGTAACGGAGAGAAAGACGGGATGGTCCGTGACCTGCACTAGATGCCTGGCCAATCAGGCGCCCAGGCCATCGAACGACGTAACCCAATTCATGACGAGGTTGTCTTGCTTGTCTTGCTCCTCCAACGATCCGATCCATCACCGTCATTCCTCTTCTCTTTTTCGTCTCCCTCTTTTTGGTCTCACGGTTTGTTCAGCTTGATTGTCTACTCTTCTTCCCTCAATTAACCTGGAGGATCTTCAGGTGGATCACAGTGATCCATACCGCACCCCTGGTTCGCTCCCCCTTGAAACCGACGACAGTGCGCCCGCAGTTGCCCGCAGTGCCGACCCGGCTTGATAGTCCCAATCGAGGTTCTTGATATCGGTCTCCTTCTTGATTACGCTTATACCGGAAATACGATCGTGCACCATGGACTACTCCTCCATATCGCACGACCCTGACCATCCGACGGGCACCGACCCGTGGGCTTCCCCGCGCACCAGTTACCCGGCCTCGACGACCAGCGACGTCCCTTCCTCGCCGTTACCTCCTCACGATGCGGAGACCCAGCCGGCCGACAGCTCCGAGCAAGGAGTTGACTCGCCGGACCTGTCGGAGCGCTTACAGGGTTCTCACCTCGGTAACTCGGACTACAGTGTCGACCAGGCGCAATCCCCTGCGCAACAGTCCCACCCCGACCAGCCTCGGTCTCAGCTCCCCGCCCGCTACCAAACCGGGCCCCGACAGAACGCCCGACAGCCGACTCCTACATACAAAATCCAGGGGAAGATTACAGGTCTAGAGCGGACGGGCAAGAAGGACCCCATCCTGCGTTTCGACATCCACGTGAGTAGGAACCGGTGTGCGGAGATTGGCCGTCTTGTACGCGCGTTTGTGGCTAATGTCCCTAGACCAATATCCCCAAATTCAGGACCACGCAGTATAGAGATGTCCGTCGCACCCATGGCGAGTTCGTCAAGTTCGCCGAACATTTGATGTCCGCAAACCCGGAGGCGCTCGTTCCCGCCGTTCCCCCGCCATTGACCCCCGCCGGAGCCGGGACCGAGGAGGACGAGATTCGGGTCAAGGCGTCGATGCAACGATGGCTGAATTGCGTTCTGAGCAATGAGGTCCTGATCCAGGACGACGAAATGGTCCTGTTTGTCGAGAGCGACTTCGGATACAGCCCCGTGGTGCGGATGAAGCAGCCCGCCAGTGGCATGCGAAGGAAAATGTTGAAGCAGTTCGCCCCGCCACCGGATGATACCCCAGAGTTGCAAAGCGCGCGCCCGGTGGCGAAGATGTTCTACCTCGGAACGATGGATGCCAGCCATAAGGTCGACCGTCTGGTCAAGAGCCGACGAGGTACGTTTGGACCGGTGGCTTGATCTCTGCGGACTTCATGAGTGACTGATTTTGATGACATGCAGGATTGGGACTTGCGGAGACGGAGTTTGGTGCGAAGCTGGGTCAGATGAATGTGCAGGAGACCCATCCCGGTTTGGCCCATGCGTACCGCAAGCTAGGCAAGATCATCCAAACCGTTGGAGATTACCATGCCGTCCAAGCCACCGCCGAAGCGACCACGTTGGAAGACCCCTTGGGCTACCATTCGTCCGACGCCTTCATCGTGAAGGAGACCCTGACGAACCGTCACATCCTCCTGCGGGATTTGCTCCAGGCGCAGCAGGCCACCCACAGCAAACGGGCGGCCGCCGACCGGCTGAAAGTCAGCTCGTCAGTCCGGCCCGACAAGGTGGATGAGGCGATCAACGCCTTGGAGGATGCCCAGACCCGCGAGGACTACCTCACCAAGAGGACCCAGCGAGTCACGTCGAACCTGCTTATGGAGAAACGCCGCTGGTTCGACCGGACGACGACTGAGATGCTCGCCAGTCTTCGCGAGTACACCTTGCGCCAGATCGATGCCGAGCGGAGAACCCTAGCCACCCTGGAGAGCGTCCGACCCGACATCCGGGCGATCGACGCCTCCGGCGGACTGAGCCGGCTGGGCCGCGAAGCCCATCCTACGGCCCGACGGCCCAATCTCAGTGCGAGCCAAGGCCCGCGGGGTGATGCGTGGAGTGGAATCCCCCGTCGCAGCGACAGTCTAGGCCGTAGCATCAGCGGGAGCATCGTCCCTCCCACGCCGGACGACGAAGAGGAGGTGAACGGGCAAGGGGGTAAGGGGCGGATGCGCTCTCAGAGTGGCGTCAGCTCGATCGCCGAAGAAGATGATGACCGTCTGGACGCGCGGAATGCCGCCAGCCGGCTCGCGACCAGCACCTTCTGATCGTTGTTTGTAAAATTATGGATGTGCATGATTCCGTGAGATTCCCCTGTCTTTGCGATCCAGGTTGCGTCGCCACATGATTATGATTTCCTCGTTTTTGCCTTCCGTGGCTTCTTATTTTACAGCAATTCTTTCGATACGATTGCGCTTTTATGTCTACTTGAACAATGAAGGTTGTCTATGCTGGCGCTGCCAGCACAAAAGAAATTAGTGGTTTATATTTACCATTTCCTTGCCCAGACATTGGCTACAGTCTACCTTTCTATCCTCCCTTGCATCACGTAAATCAGTAGGTCTAAGCCCAAGCGAGTTTATGCGATGGGATGTGAACTATCGAGGCGAAACCACATCAGGGGGAAAGCCCTAAGTCGCGACATAAATTGGACCGGGGTATGTCCGACGAGAGGATCACCAAGAACACCTAGATCGTTGTTGGATGGCGTGATGAAGGGAAATACGCCCTTGAAATGGAAGGTGGGCAAATATTACCTGGCTTGATCGACACCACCACCACCTTTCACTACGCGTGGATACAGAACCCCACCATGAGACGATTGACCGGGTGGGATGAGCGACGTCATCCACCACTGGGATCACGGTGTGTTGTCCATATACGTACTGACTACTCCGTACTGAAGGCACCTTCACGCCGCTTACACATACATAGATAATTCAGTGTTTATAAGCGGGACGATAAATGACGCCGCTCGGAGACTTCCTGACTGGTTGTTGACAGCGTCCTGCATCGGGCCCCTCCACCCCCACTTTTGCTCGGTTGCCAACTTGCGACTGAACAGCTAGTTAGTTGGTCCTTTTGATGGGGATCCTGTCCTATCCACTCTTGATTCCAAAGCATTCGTTGAGATCAAGCGTGGGAGCTTCCTGTAGCTATATTAAACTAAGCCAACATCCCATCTATCCTGGTTTCTTCATCGTGTTTTTCTCTTGACTTTCCTACTTGACATCGCTGTTGTCTACTTTAGCTACATTTCGGTCTTTTACACACGTTCGTGAAATCAGAAATGGCGCCCCCTAAGGTCTTTTTGTAAGTGCGAGTGTCCAGTGGTGCTGTTCGTGATGCAGGTCCGGATAGATCCTAGATCCTAACATCCATCTTCTTGCTTCAGCACCGGTGCTACCGGCTATATCGGCGGCGACGTCTTCTACAATGTCACCCAGGCCCATCCTGACTGGGAGGCGACCGTCCTGGTCCGGAACAAGGATAAGGCCGCCCAGCTCACCAGCAAATACCCCAACGTGCGAGTGGTGATCGGAGACTTGGACTCGGTCGACGTCATCGAGGAGGAAACCAAGAACGCCGATATCGTCTTCAGTATGTTCTCCTCTCCTCCTACTTCCACTGAGACCGTAACGATCAAGTGGCATGGTTGGGCACTGAACTAACAAGCATAGACTGCGCCGACTGCGACCATGTCGCCTCAGCCGAAGCGATCGCAAAGGGCCTCGCCCACCACACCCCCGAGAAGCCCGTGTGGCTGATCCACACGTCTGGCACGGGTATCCTGACCGTCGAAGACTTCCGCACCAACACCTGGGGTCTCTACCGGACCAAGGAGCACGACGACTGGGAGGGCGTCGACGAGCTGGTCAACAAACTGCCCGACGACTCTCTCCACCGCGACGTAGACAAGATCATCATCGAAGCCGGGAAGCGCTCCCCGGACAGCGTCAAGACAGCGATCGTCTGCCCGCCCACGATCTACGGTCCCGGCCGCGGCCCCGGCAACCAGAAGAGCATCCAGGCGTACTGGCTGACGGCGGCCGTCCTGAAGCGCAAGAAGGGCATCCTGGTCGGCGAGGGCAAGAACGTCTGGCACCAGGTGCACGTTCAGGACCTGAGCGACGTCTACCGGTTACTGGGCGATGCGGCCGTCGCGGGCGGCGGCAAAGCCACCTGGAACAACGAGGGCTACTACCTGGCTGAGAACGGGCCCTTCGTGTGGGGCGATATCCAGCGCGAGGTGGCTAGGGTGGCTTACGAGAAGAAGCTGATCCCGTCCCCTGAGGTTGATTCGTTGTCGGATGCTGAGGTCACCGAGCTGAACAAGTTCGGCCTTTATGCTTGGGGAAGCAGCTCGAGGGGCCATGCGCTCCGTGCGAGAAAGTTGTTGGGATGGTCGCCTAGCAAGCCTAGCTTGAAGGAGCTTATTCCGGAGATTGTGGATATTGAGGCGAAGGACTTGGGCTTGGTGTGAGAGTTTTGGGCGTGACTCCAAGTCTGTATCTAAAATACATTAAATGAATAAATGATATCATGCTATATATTGTGAGAGCTTCGTAAAGATAAATAGAAATAAATAGGGACAGAAATAGATAAGAATGGAAGAGATCTCCCTGTTACAGGAGGATCATTCAGACTGGACAATAGAAAGTAAAATCCGGACGTGACTATATTGACTGAAAATGATGATTCATACAAGTAACAAGTATGGATATGGAGATATTGTGCTGGGATAAGGAAGATATGGAGAGGAAAAGCGGTAGCGCTCAAGCGACCTAAGCGCGGTTCACGCCCGGCGGCGCTTGCCGGTCTGCTGCTATCATCAGCTCCAACTATTGCTCTTATTTTCCTCCACTTATTGGCCTGCTTTGTCCCAACTGACAACAACCTTGACATTCCCCTCTCTATATCCCTTTCATGAGTTTCTAGTGGCAGGTGAGTAGTCTATTTATTTGTGAATCCTTTTGTTTTCTGTCCCCTTTACACAATTTCCATTTGCGACGGTGTTTTCCCGCTAACCTCGCCCCAGTCCTCGGTTTCCCCCCATGACTTGCGATCTGTCGGAAATCCACCGGTTCTCTACCTGAGCATCCTAGCTTTGGCACCCCTGTCATGGCCCCAGGTGCTGGAGGAAAGAGAAAAAGAGGTGACCGATCGTGGTCCGGCGACTCCACGCACGACGGCCAGCGGCCTTCTCCCCACCGACCGGGTGGCCTCAACATGGCCCAACACCCACACCCCTCTCCTTCTCGCGATTATTCCGAAAATACGCGTGGAAGATCGCGGAGACAGCCAGGCCGAGGAGGTAGAGGCGGGTTTAGTCGCAGACACAGCGGGGACGGGCATCCCCATCCGACCGGTGACCGGAGGGATTCAACAGCCACGGGCCCCCAAAACGGGCCCCAACCACATCCGCTTCAGACCAGACCAACGGGACAGCTTCTCAGCAGCCGCCGATGGCTTCTCCCACGCCTGCGCCCCAGTCACAGCCGCAGCCTGATCCGCCAGCCCAGCCTCAATCGGCGCCGGCTTCGCAGCCTCAAACATCCCCCCGACCCCCGTCCAACCCCCTTCGCGCCCGCCGCCGCCGTTCGACTACGAATATGTTACGGATAGTGTGGTGGAGGAATGGGCCTCGACCGGGCGACAGCGACTCGTCGAGAACGGTATCCGAGCGCGGAACGAGGAAGACGTGTCGTTGTTGTCCTTTATTTACCAAGAAATCATCCGGAGTGCCCTTTATGGCAGGCTACCCCCGGTAGATGCAGGTGCTGCCATAAAAGATGTTATCGGGGCAGATGTTGCGGCGGAGGACGTCAACATGGACGGCCAAGGACAGGCCACGACGGCCTTAGATCCCCGCTCACTGTTCCTGGACACCTTATCCATTGTCACAGATTCTGACACATCGAATGTCGCGCTGAGGCCATTGGTATTCTCGACGGCGATCAACCCTGCCCTTATGCGCCTCCAGCTCGAAACACCCCTCCTTCAATCGCTCGGACTCGTGCGAGACACATTCAACCGCATGGGAATTCGAAAGCAGACAAACCTTCTTTATCGCCAGTCCAACTACAATCTGCTGAGAGAAGAATCCGAGGGGTATTCTAAGCTGCTCACCGAGTTGTTTACGACGAGCAACAACGAGCCGCCGTCAAGTGAAGTTGTCGAAGACACCTTTGAAAAGGTAAAGGCAATGGTCGGCGCATTTGACATGGATGTCGGCCGCGTCCTCGACGTCACCCTCGATGTATTTGCTGCTGTTCTTGTGAAGCAGTACCGATTCTTCGTTAAACTATTGCGCGTCAGCTCGTGGTGGCCCAAGGATGATATTTTCCGCGGCTCTGGCAGAGACAACCGTGACTCCGGACTCCCCAATTGGGCTCTACCGGGCTCTTCGGGATGGATCACCACAGACGAGGAGCGGCTCCAGGCAATGCAGGCAAACGAACATCGAGACCATGAGTTCTGGAACAGGGTCCGGGAGATTGGGATCCGGGCTTTCTTCGAAATTGGTCGCGAGCCCATCTCCAAAGACGAGCTAAACCGTATCCTTCCAGAGTCAAACAGTCTCTCCGAAGAGGAACTCAAGATAAGGAAATGGATCGACGAGACCGGAACATTACCACCTAAGGGAAGCAGGGTAGCCGCGCAGCTACTGGGATTCAAGCTCCGCTTCTATTCCTCCCGCGCTCGCTCTAAGGCGGATGTCCTCCCAGATAACCTCATCTACCTGGCCGCCTTGTTGATCAAGGTCGGCTTTATTTCACTCCGTGACCTTTACCCCCACCTCTGGCGACCAGACGACTCCATGGAGGCTCTCAAGGAAGAAAAGATTCAAGAGAAGGCAGAAAGGGAGAGGGCCGCACGACCTGGTGGCGGCATCAATGCCCTCATGACGGCTGGTGCTCTGTCCGATGATACGCTACCAGCCCCTCGTATGCGCGATTCGGAGGCGCGTTCGGCGACCCCTGGCAAAGATCAAGACGCAGACAAAGCCGCGGCAAAGGCGGAAGAAGACGAATTGCCGGAGCCGTCAGATCAGAAGGTGCTCCTTCTCAAAAGTCTTCTGGCAATTGGCGCCCTTCCGGAGTCTCTTTTCTTTCTAAGCCGATTCCCATGGCTGATGGACACTTATCCCGAGCTTCCCGAGTTCATCCATCGTATTATTCACCATTGCCTGAGTAAAGTCTACGCCCCTCTGCGCCCTCCCACGTCGATGGATGAGTTCAAAGAACCAAAGCAGATCATGAGTCAAGATCAATCGGGCGTCCCGAAAGGTCAAATTCGGTTGAGTCAGGCGCCCCCACCGCGAGTTCTTCGATGGGCTCAGCTGGACAAGGAGGATACGAATGACGGAACCGACTATCGATTCTACTGGGATGACTGGGCCGACAATGTGCCCATCTGCCAGTCCGTCGACGACGTCTTTGCTCTTTGCTCCTCGTTCCTCAACCTATCTGGCCACAAAATAGGGCAGGACCCGAGCTTATTGGCGAAACTTTCGAGGATCGGCAAAGATAGCTTGAAGAAAGACGATTCGCCGGAAAACAGAGCTCGCTGGCAGGATCTATGCAAGCGTCTATTGCTTCCATCGATCAGTTTGACAAAAGCGAACCCGGGCGTCGTGAACGAGGTTTTTGACCTCGTGAGCTTTTTCCCGCTCGACACACGGTACAACATGTACGCTGAATGGTATTCCGGGCAGACCTCTCGGCTGCCCGATATTAAGTCTGCGTTCGATCAGGCACGAGCGGAAACGAAAGACGTGCTGAAAAGATTGAGCAAGACCAACATCAGACCTATGGCTCGCGCGTTAGCGAAGATTGCGTTCGCCAACCCCGGAATTGTCATCAACGTTGCGATCAGCCAAATCGAATCCTACGAAAACTTGATCGAGGTGGTCGTGGAATGCGCACGGTACTTCACCAACCTCGGGTACGACGTATTGACCTGGGGTCTGATCAGTTCCCTTGGCCAAAAGGGGAGGAGCCGTGTACAGGAAAGCGGTCTATTAACCAGTCGATGGTTGAACGCGCTGTCTACATTTGCAGGTAGGACGTTCCGGCGATATTCGGTCATGGACCCAACGCCTGTACTGCAGTACGTTGTCGAACAGCTTCGCCACAATAACTCGACCGATCTCATTGTCTTGGAGCAAACGATCAGCTCAATGGCCGGTATCATCACGGACACGAATTTCAACGAGTCTCAAATACAAGCAATGACAGGCGGCGAGCTTCTTCAAGCACAAACCATCCTTCAGCTGCTTGATAAACGGCACGAATCCAAAACTACTTCCAAGCGGCTGATGAAGTCTCTCACGGTCTCCAAATTAGCCGGTCAGCTGCTCATTGCGATTGCCCAGGAACGCTGGACTTGTGTCTTCAAGGAATCCGATGGCTCTGATGAACTGAAGTTGCTGGGTAACGTTTTCGATGAGATCCACCGTATCTTAGCCCAGTACCTCGATTTGCTCCGCAGCAACTTAACCATTGACGAGTTCGATGCTTTCGTACCTGACCTTGCTTCTCTTGTTCGTGATTTTGGCGTTCAGCCTGAGATCGCATTCTGGATTCGCAGACCGAGTGTCGCCAAAAGGATCGCCGAAGTCGACAGAGCAACACAGGAGGAAGCAGCGGCAGCAGCTGCTGCTAAACCCCAGGACATCAAGGCCGAAGTGCCAGAGACTGAGACCGACAAGATGGAGACGGCAGATGACGGTGAACCGACAGCGACAGAAGCGCCAACTGTTAACTCCATGGATGTCGACAAAGAGCAGTCTCAGTCAACCGATGCCGATGCTGCCAATGCAATGGAGCAGACGACCGTGCCGATCCCTGCTGCTGCTGAATTGCCTCCTCTGAACCCGGTCATACAGGATCTTCAGGACCAAGTCAAGTCCGCTCTGCCTTCCGACAACTGGAATGTCGTTGGGTTGCAATTCTACGTGACCTTCTGGCAGTTGTCGATTTACGACGTTCACATACCCCAGAAAGCCTATGAGGATGAGATAGATCGACAGAAGAGGAAGGTGATGGTCATCAATAATGATCGTTCTGACATTAGCATGGCTGGGACGCAGAGAAAGGAGCGAGAAAAGAAGCAGATCACCCAGCTTCAAGATCAAATTTTGGAGGAGAACAAGGCCCACCTCAAATCCTACGGCCAGACGCGAGGAAAGCTGCAAAAAGAAAAGGACCGATGGTTTGCCGGCATGCGTGGGAAGCATGATTCTTTGAATGTCGCCCTCCTCGAGCAATGCTTCTTGCCTCGTCTGCTTCTTTCTCCCATTGATGCGTTCTACTGTTTCAAGATGCTGAAGGTCCTTCATACATCTGGAACTCCGAATTTCCGGACAGTTGGTCTATTAGATCAACTTTTCCGGGAGCAAAGGCTCACTGCGCTGATTTTCCAGTGTACCTCGAGGGAAGCAGACAACCTCGGGTGCTTCCTGAACGAGATCCTGCGTGACCTCACCCGCTGGCATGCAAGCAAGGTTGTCTACGAAAAGGAGGCCTTCGGAAACAAGAAAGACCTCCCCGGGTTCGCCATGAACGTGGACCCCGAGGGGAAGCCTACAATGTTCCTGGAGTATGAGGACTTTCGCCGATTGCTGTACAAGTGGCACCGCCTTATAGCCGCCGCATTGAAGATTTGTCTTAATGGTGGAGAGTATATGCACATTCGCAACGCTATCAGTGTGCTCAAGGCGATCGTCCAGCATTTCCCAGCGGTCAACTGGATCGGTCGCGACATGCTAACGAGCGTGAACACTTTAAGCCAACAGGATGAGCGGGATGACGTGAAGATTCCCGCCGCCTCACTAATTGGGGATCTCAACCGGCGGGAGAAGAAATGGATGCTTCCCCAGGAATTTATGATCACCAACCAGCCACTTGCAGTAGGTAAAGGCAAGAACGATTCTACAAGTGGCAAGTCCGGGACTCCACGCCCTAAGTCTACCACACCGGCTCCACTGAACGCTGCTGCGACCGAATTCCAGCCTTCAGCAGCCAACGAGTAAGTCAACGAATGGAACCCAAGGACCTCGCTGTCGACTATGTGCGCATTTCTGATCGGCTCAATCACAGATCCCAAAATACCCCAAACTCCGAGACCACTGCTAAGATGGAGGTCGAAGACGGCGAGATTGAGGATGCGAAGATGGCCGATGCCATCGCCAAGGGCGCGGATGGAGCTGACCAAACGGCAAAGAGACCATTTGAACAGACTGCTATTTCGTCATCCCAGGATGCATCTACAAAAGAAGCTCTGCCCACGGACGATCAATCCGCCGCTGGTCATGAGCCATTGACAAATGAGAAGCCTGCACCTGCAGGTGCCGAAGCAGGCACTGAGGGTGAGCCTACTCATCCACCTTCGTCGACCGATGCTCATGCTCCCCCGAAAGGCTCGGAGCACCCAGGAAAGCATCCAAATAATGCTAAGCGTCCTGATTCAGAACGTGGTCCGCCTGGAAGCGTCAACCCTCGTTCCCTCCCTCACGCACCGAACCGTCCTTACAGAGATGAGGCTAGACTCCCCCCTCGACCTGATCTTCTGGATGATCGACGCGAGAGATTCTCGGACTATTCCCGGGGTGGCCGCTTCAACGACCACGATTTTGGCCGGCCATTCGACCAGCCCATGGGCGACGGCAGAAACTTTGGCCGTCTCGACAGGGAATACCCAATCAGACCGCCGATGGACGAACCGTTCCGTGGTCCCCCCTATCGGGAAGGACGTCTCCCGCAGCCAGACTGGCCCGATCGGTCCGGACGTTTCCGTCCTGATGTGCGAGATGGCCTTCCCGGAGCACGATCTGGCCCACCACCACACCCCGATCGTGCAGGGATGATACCTGAGCGGGGCGGGGAAGGTTTCCGACGTGGGGAAGGTTTCCGACAAGACAAGGAAGAGCGAAAGAGCTTGTCCAACCGTCCGATTTCACCGCAGAGAGTGGAGCTGCCCAGCCGGCCGGAGCGTTTCCCGTCTGACGATCGCCGACCTGTGAACTACTCTCAATCTCACCAGCGACACGAAGACATGCCGGTTGGACCTCGACTTGATCGACCTCCCCGAGCCGCCGCAGATATGCCTGACTCAAAGGAACCCCCCTCCGGCGGGGACATGAGCCATGGACGTTTGCGGCAGCCGGATCCTGTTTCTGACATTCCCTCTGGACCTCGAAGAAATGCCCAGGGCCGAGGTGGACGGAACATGCCTGGCCAACTGCACCCCGGCCCGATGGGCCCCTCTGAGCGACAGCCCCCGAGCGGTCCAGGGAGGCAAGGCATGCGAAATGCTCCTGATAAGCCCTCGTCTGCTGGACCCGCATCGCCGGATTCTGAACGACTCCAGGCCACCGGGATGCACCCGGACCGGCTCAGGGTTCTACAGCAGCAGCAACCGCCGCCCAGCGAAGGAGGGCAGGCGCCTAGCCCACGCTCCCAGAACCCGCCGGTGTCCCCCGCGTCGGCCGTCCCCCCGTCGGGACCTCGGAGTACGCATGGCCCTTCCGCGGGGCCACCGCCCGCCTCCCGTGGTCCTCCTCCGTCCGGAGGGAGTTTTAGCGGGGAGCGAGGGAGAGGAGATAAGCGGTTCGCTGGCATCAACAATATGCTCCAACAATCCGGCGGGCCAGCGGACCGTGGCGGCCCCGGCCCCGCGATCCGTGGCCGTGGTGCCAGCCGACAGATGGCATCTGTGGGTGGCCCGTCCCCTCAGAACTCGCGACCCCCGACTCCCAGTGCCCCGGAGGATGGCGGCCGACCCGGATCGTTCACCCAAGGCCGGGCCGACCTCCTGGCTGACGAAGGACCTCCCCGGGCTCGGCGAGGCGACCTCCTGGATGAAGCCGGCCCCGAATCCCGGCGATCCTCCGGACGATTTCCACACGAGCGAGAGCGGGAACGTGATCGGGAACGCGAGCGTCGCGGCGGCGGCGGTGGGGAAGATGATGGATCTCGCGGCACGAACCGGCGGGAGGAATTCCGGGAGCGCACCCGCGATCTCGAGCGCGAGCGCAGTCGCCGAAGCGATGCGGGGCCCAGTGTGCGAGAAGAGCGATACGAGTCTCGCGAAGCCTCCCGACGCGGACCGGGCGCGCGCGACGAGAACCGTCGGCGCCGGGATCGGGATGAGGGACCCGACGGCGGCCCGAACAGCAGCAACCAGGATCACGAGGGGCGTCTTCGCCCCCCGTCGTCGCTTGGCGGCCAGCCACCCCCTCCGCCGCCACCACTGGCCCCCGCCGGCAACGGTCCCAGCGGTCCCAGCGGTCCCGAGGACGATCGACGCTGGGGAGGCCGAGAGATGCGGGACCGCGATCGGGATCGTACGAGAGACCGTCCTCGGGAACGTGACTACCCCCGGGAGAACCCGCCTGGACCTCCTCCATACCGCAAGCGGGGACGTCCTGGCGGCGACGAGGGAGTCCACGGGGACGGCGTTGGACGAGGGGGGATGCGCATGGGGAGTGAAAGCAAACGACCTCGTCGGGGTGCTTAAAGGGGGATGAGACTCTCTTTTTTGCTATCCCTACCCTTCATGCTTTTGATTTTCCTTTTCATTTCTCATCATATCAATGACATGCATTGTTGGACGGTGTTCTATATCTTGTTGTCTTGGTTGTACTCCGTTTCTGGCCTTTTCTCTTTATTTCCATTTCCTGTGGTTGTTATTATTATTCTTGTCTGGTTGTATCCCTCATACTCCCCCATTCTCTCTCTCTTTTATTTCTTTTACTATTGAACTGGCAAGCATAAAGGATGTGAATTGAAGATGTGACATGATGACTTTCAATCCTGTGTATAACTAGTAGAGAAACCCTGATAGATTTTCGCCTCCGTCATCGACCTCCTCTCCTCTTCTCTTCTCTTTCTTCTCATGATAGTTTCTCTCTTCTCATCATACTTCCTATCTTGAACGACATCCATCCTATCTCCCCCCCAATGTTTCCCTCGTGAGTCTCCACTTCGTCGCCCCCACTCGCTCCATCTAATCAATCTATTCTTATCTTCATCTCACTAGTCCTCTCGAGTATAAGACTACTGAGGCAACCCGGACCGATACTCCGCCCATTTCCTATCCGCTAACCCGTCCAGATCCTACCGGTTAATCATCGGCGTCTCCTCCGTGGCTTTTTCAGCGCCGCATCGCCGGCCCTGCAGTCCCTAAACATCACGCAATCACGCCAACGGATCCTCATTAGCGCAAATCCATTGGCATATTACATGTGGGTCCTTCGATCTCGAGGAGGAAAAAAGAGAGAGAAAGAGAGAGCTCTTTGCGGCAGTGCCTCCCGCAGCTCCTTCCAAGCCCTCAAGTCCCTATCCTTCCCCTCATCTACGGGGTTTCCAGTTTCCACGTCACTCCCCTCAGGATGTTAGTTTCTCCACCGCTGGGAAGAATTCGGCTGCGGAGACCGTCGATCCACACTGTCATTGCTCCACCGGTCGATCGAGGATAAGGACTTGTGAAACCAGGCGGGGAGATCGGGAATGGCGCTGGGTTTGATGCCGCGCTCGTGCTCTTTTTTTTTTTTCCCATCTGCCCTCGCGTCGCGAGCCATGACAAACGGATTGCTCCCCTCGGTACGAATGTCCTTCTCCCACTTCCGACGATATCTTATGTCTGGGTCTATATATATCGTGCGGCTCGGAGGTTGATTTTGGCGATCTGGCTTCTATCCCTCTGTTTTTTTCTTATTTGATCTTCTGTTCCCCCCTCCTCGTCTGCCCGCTCTCTTGCTCGTGTTATCGTGTTCCCCCGCTGTTCACGATAAGTTGTTTCGCAGCCCGTCCGCTCTCAGCCGTATTTGCCCAAGCAAACTATTTGGTGTCGACTTCTGAGATTTGGAAGAGCAAATAGAGATCATTGTTGTCTTTCTTGACTCGTGAAAATGCCTCGTCTGGACGTGGAAAAAACGATCGAGGAGCTGACGCTCGGGGAGAAAGTAGCCCTGACGGCTGGTGAGTTCCTGTTACTCTTTCAAACCAAATAATTTACTCCACGGCCAAGTTGCTGTGGAAGACGTGGGATTGGTCAAGCTGACGTATGGTGTTCTTCGTTTTCAGGAATCGATTTCTGGCACACGGCTGCGGTGGAGCGTCTGAATATCCCCTCCCTGCGCATGTCCGATGGTCCCAATGGAGTGCGCGGAACGCGGTTCTTCAACGGCGTGCCTGCGGCGTGCTTTCCCTGCGCCACGGCCCTGGGAGCGACGTGGGACGTTGAGCTGCTGCACAAAGTGGGCCACTTGATGGGTGAGGAATCCATTGCGAAAGGTACCCACATCGTCTTGGGTCCCACGATCAACATCCAGCGGTCCCCGCTCGGAGGACGAGGGTTCGAGTCGTTTGCCGAGGACGGTGTGCTGTCGGGCCAGCTGGCTGGCTACTACTGCAAGGGTGTTCAGGAGACGGGTGTTGCGGCGACCCTCAAACATTTCGTCTGTAACGACCAGGAGCACGAGCGTCTGGCGGTTGATAGCATCGTGACTCGGCGTGCGATGCGTGAGATCTACCTGCTGCCGTTCCAGCAGGCTATGAAGATCTGCCAGAGCGCTTGCATCATGACCGCTTACAACAAGGTCAATGGGCACCATGTTAGCGAAAACAAAGAAATTATCACCGACATCCTCCGCACGGAGTGGGGATGGGACGGCCTGGTGATGAGTGATTGGTACATCATTGCGTGAGACCCGGACCAGTTTGCGGAAGATACTAACTACCTCCCCAGGTTCGGAACCTACAGCACATCGGACGCCATCCTCGCGGGTCTGGATCTGGAGATGCCTGGCAAGACCCGCTGGCGTGGGACTGCCCTGGCTCACGCCATTTCGTCCAACAAGGTCCCCGAATTTGTCGTTGACGAGCGAGTCCGCAATGTGCTGAATCTCGTGAACTGGGTGGATCCGCTAAACATCCCATCCAACGCGCCAGAGAAGGCCCTCAACCGACCCGAGGACCAGGCCCTGCTGCGACAGGCCGCGGCAGAGTCTGTTGTTCTCATGAAAAACCAGGATAACATCCTCCCGCTCAGCAAGGACAAGTCGATCTTGGTCATCGGTCCGAACTCCAAGATCGCGGCCTACTGCGGCGGTGGGTCCGCGTCTCTGGACCCCTACTACACCGTGACGCCCTTTGAGGGCGTATCCGGCGAGAGCAAGGGCGAAGTGAAATTCTCCCAAGGCGCCTACTCGCACAAGGATCTGCCTCTGCTGGGCCCTCTGATGAAGACTGCCGACGGGAAAACCGGCTTCAAGTTCCGCGTTTTCAACGAGCCCGTCTCGCAGCCGGACCGGGAACTGATCGATGAGCTGCACCTGGTGTCGTCGAGCGGCTTCCTCATGGACTATATCAACCCCAATATCAAGTCCTTCACCTTTTTCGTCGACATGGAGGGCTTCTACACGCCAGAGGAGGACGGGATCTACGACTTTGGCGTCACAGTGGTTGGTACCGGCCGGCTCCTAGTGGACGGTGAGGTGGTCGTGGACAACACCAAGAACCAGCGCCAGGGATCCGCCTTCTTTGGCAATGGCACCGTTGAAGAGAAGGGCAGCAAGGAGCTCAAGGCCGGCCAGACGTACAAGATCGTCCTTGAGTTTGGCAGTGCCCCCACATCCGACCTCGACCAACGGGGTGTCGTGATCTTCGGCCCTGGCGGGTTCCGATTCGGAGCCAGCCGCCGTGTCAGTCAGGAGGAGCTCATCTCCAAGGCCGTCGAAGCGGCCGCCAAGGCCGAGCAGGTCGTCATCTTCGCCGGTCTCACTAGCGAGTGGGAGACGGAGGGCTACGACCGTGATCACATGGACCTGCCCCCGGGCAGCGACGAGATGATCACGCGCGTTCTGGAAGCGAACCCGAACGCCGTGGTCGTCATCCAGAGCGGCACGCCGGTCACAATGCCATGGGAGAAGAAGACCAAGGCGCTGTTGCAGGCATGGTTCGGCGGCAACGAGTGCGGTAACGGCATCGCGGACGTCCTATACGGCAACGTGAACCCGTCCGCCAAGCTGCCCGTGACCTTCCCCGTGCGCCTGCAGGACAACCCCAGCTACGTCAACTTCCGCTCCGAGCGCGGCCGCGTGCTCTACGGCGAAGACGTCTACGTCGGATACCGCTACTACGAGAAGATCGAGCTGCCGCCTCTCTTCCGCTTCGGCCACGGCCTCTCCTACACGAGCTTCACCCGCAGCGATCTCACCATCGCCACCGTCCCGGAGAAGCCCGGCGCCCTCGAAGACGGCGAACCGATCACAGCCACCGTCACCGTCACCAACACCGGCAGCGTGGCCGGCGCCGAGATCGTCCAGCTGTGGGTCGTCCCGCCCCCGACGGGCGTGAACCGCCCCGTGCGCGAGCTCAAGGGCTTCACCAAGGTGTTCCTCAACCCCGGGGAGAAGAAGACGGTGCAGATCACCGCGGAGAAGAAACTGGCGACGAGCTGGTTCGACGAGCAGAGGGCGAAGTGGGCGAGCGAGAAGGGCGAGTATAAGGTTGAGGTCACGGGCACCGGGGATGAGGTCCTCACTGGTTCTTTCTCCGTGGAGAAGACCAGATACTGGCTGGGTCTGTGAGGTGGATACAAAATAAAAAGACGTACTTATCTATCTGTGTGTATATACCTTGACGATAAACTAGATTTGTTTGGTCTTGGTTTGGGGTTCGATTTGTGTTTTGATGCTGTTTGTTGCCTGGTTGTGGAATCAGAAAGTGAAGATTGGATGGATGGATGGATGAATGAACGAATAAACGAGACGAGATGATGTAAAAGTCAGATCGGACGATAGCGACAAATTGAATTGGATTTATTGATTGATTTTTTTTGTTGAGTGGTATCGTTCATTATTACATTGACTGCCCCCCTATAAATAAGTGAACGAAGATGGTACAGTAGGGGCCTTGTTTGAATAAGGAATGATGCTATATATATACACGTGGTTAGGGTTTCGTAAAGGCTGTCTTGTCTTGTCTAGCAGTGTAATAAGCTTGCGATCACTAACTGGGGGAGTAAGAGGATGCTGAGTATACTCCATATTATTATCCAAGTACTATATTATTACCTAGAGTTTCAACAAGCTATATATATATATATATCCGGGTATCATATCTCGATGAGAGAAAGTTGAGTCACTGCTGCGTTTGTCTGGACTCTGCTTCTTCCCCAGGGTCCAGGCCATCCAGTTACATGGTATAGTATTGACGAGTTCGACATCGCCACTTAAGCAGTCAATGGCGAATTAAACAGAATGAGCCCGAAGATGTTGGACGGAAACGAAATGAAACCAAATCAAACCCGGTAAGGGGTTCGTTTCTCAATGTATGCATGTGTGTAATGCATGCATGCATAGAACATGGGTAGAAGAAGAATATCCAGATCATGCTTTGCTCCGGAAAGTAAACATCCCCCTCCCTCTGCCTTGCTGCTTTTTGTATTTTCGTGTCATTTATTGCTTGGTAATTCTGTCCACAGCATGTATTACGACACGGCAGCGCCAACTCCAGTACCCCCACGGCGTTTTCCAAACCAGCCTGCCAATCTCTGGAACATCGAGGGCGGCCGTCCCTGGCGTTGCAGCGGCGGACCCTCGGGGAGGTCTGGGTGTGACGATCCCGGGGAACGAAGGGCTGACTTGCGCTTCGTCAGCATGCTCAGCTTGTTCCTGGTTGACCCTGAGGTCGGCTGTCGGGAGCGAGTGGTTGCCGGGCGACTGGATAGTTGCGGCGGGGCGGATGGTCGGGAGGGCGTCGTGCTGGGGCGGGGTCGGTGCTGGGGTTCCGGCTCAGAATGATTCTGCTGTAGTTGGGCGGGGGCCGGTTCTTGGGGGTGCTGCGGACTGCTGTCGGCAGGGGCTGTGTTCATCCTGGCGAGGACAGCCTGCTGCAAGGTTTGATGGCGCTCCTCTTCTTCCTCCGCCGTCATGATGTGCATGAACCCGCTGCTGTCGATGATGACGGCGGGCTCTGGGCGCTCATGCCAGTCCGCGGCCTCGTCATCTGTCTCCTCTGCCAGACCAATGGACGGTCTGCTGCTGGAGGGTCCGTCTCGCATGGGTGCGGGTATACGTGGCGGCGTTGAGGCGTCGCCGTTTGGCAATCCAAAGCTGGGGGCGGCTGGATGAAGTAGCCCCGGTTGCGGAGAACAGAAGCTCGGCACGTCACCGGTCGCAAAGGTGGCATCGGCATTCAAGAACACTTCGAAATTCTCAGGGCTGTCATCCGGGCCCGCTGCCGGGGGTGGCTGAAAGCCGTCTGGTTCAGGCCCCATGAGGAAGGTCAGGGTCTCCATGTCCACGTGCGTTTGGGGCACCCCTGTTGCCGGAGCACCGTTCATGGATCGCATATAGTCCCCTGGACGCTTCGGCTGTCGTGACTGCTTCCGAGGACTCTTGAGAGAGGCTCTCCCGCTGGAGGGATCGGTGTCCCAGGCGGAGGTGGTGTTGGAGCCGGGAGTGGCACATCGGTTGCGACTGAAGATGGAGCCGGTGTCTGACCGTCGATCCGAGTGCGAAGAATGGAGATTGCGCATGGTTTGCATGCTGGGCTGTTGGGTTAACCCGACTCCCGAGTCGAACTTGGTGGCTCGCTTGGCCACCTCAGGGCCTACACTCGGTGTGAGGTATTTGGATTCGATCTGGGCGGCGCGCACTTCGGCAGACCGCACGGCTGCCTCCGAGGTGGTGGAAATCCGGTGCGCACCTGGCGCGGGGACTCCCTGTTCGATACGGTAGACAAGAAGCGAGCAAGCGTAGCGCACATCGGCCTCTAGCTGTGGTGCTATCTTCTGACGCGAGATCAAGGGAGAAGAGGGCAGGATGGGGCTGTTGATGGTGTCATAAGTTGGACTCATGTTGTTCAAGACCCCAGCAAACGTGGGTTTCTGGACACGTTAGCCCATGCAAACGGAAGGAAGTCTATTGTTTGGGGTTTTCTTTACCTGAGAACCGAAGACGAATGACAGGGATGGACGCATCTTGGAAGATTGACGTGTCCGAGGAACTGTACGCTCCATGGCGTGAGGTTATTGGCGGTGATGAATGGGCACCGATGGGTGGAAGGATGGAAGCAAGTAAGAAGCAAATGGAAAAAAAGAAAATAGGATATAATAGACGAATAGGACGGGAAAATGATTGGAATGGCCAACGCAACAGATATTCGTGTATATCCACCAGCCAACGTGTGTTATGCCTGTAAAATTAGCGCTAGCAACAGGAGGACTTTGGTATGCAATCACAGATTGACAATTTGGTTGGGCAGCCCGTGCCAGATGGAAATAATTTCAGAGACAAATGAAATGCGGAAATGAGGAATGCGAGATTGATTGCAAGGGGGGCCGGTAGTTGTCCAGAGCACTGAACTGGAATGCAGAGGGGACAAGCCTCGGTATATACGAGAAGGACCGGTTGAGAGGGGGTCATCCACATCTGGAGATAGTCTTTGTTGGAGTATATTAAGGAAAGGATGCTCTCCATGTGACTGAGGAGGGCCAGCCAATCTTGCAATCAATACAGGATCAGTCAAGTGGATCGTCACGAATGGCACATCTCGAGGGGCAGCCAATACGAGCGCGTTGGTGAGGGATCTTTGGGCGATGGAGGCGGATGGAGACGGTCAGATGGGGATGCAGTGGAGGTGCATGGAGAGTCGAGGCTAAAAGGAGGGACTGGATGAAAGAATGACGGAATGACGGCGATGGTGGAAAGAAAGGAAGAAGTTAAAGGTTGAAGTTGAAAGTAGGAAGAAAGAGAGAGAGAAAGTCACACGCCATGTCACGGGTCCTGCGCTCACTCCTTCTCTCGTCTTCTCTCTCTCCTATTTTGTTTACTTTCTTTCTTCTACTTCTCACCTCTGGTAACACAGCATTCATGAACTATACGCTCTCCCCGGACTCCAAACTCTCCTATCATGCAGCAGGCTATTGCCGCGGATGAAGCCATCCGCTGACGAGGTGGGTGAAAACCCCCCAAGTATGACGATGACGGGCTTACAGACAAGGAAGATACTGGATGGCATGGGGAAGAAAAAGGAAAACAATGATGATCATCAAGAGAGAAGAGGGTCCCACAGGAGCGGACGAGAATCAGCCCCGTCATTCCCTGCTGGAAGAAACAAGGCCAATCTGACCGATCTTATGCTGGTGGAGAGAGAGCTAGTCTAGCTCAGCTCGATTACCTACCTAGGTACGAAGCACCTACTTGATACTTGTGCCAGTGGTGATTCACATTGTATGGCTCTCGAACAGGAATCCCCATCTTGACAGGCAAGAGACCGTTATTCCCTTTATTGACCGTGGAACCAATTTGTCTAAGTCCCTCGCAAGGGGCCTTACCCTATTCTCAAGGAGAAGGGCGATTATGGAAAATGGATCAAGGGATGGAAGAAGGTACCCCCACAACAACAATTCCCGAGCGAGGTGAGTGACAGATCAAGCGATGAGATCACTCATGCAGTCATGCGACCTCCCAATCCCTGCACACAGCAGAACAAGGTGATACATCACCGGGAATTGGAAACCAAAAACAGCCCTCGTTGCATGGCTACAGCTTAACACGGAACTCTACCGTTGACACGTCGCTCCCCCGCTCCAGAAGCTCAGCCAAACTGCTACGCAGCGACGATGATTTAGGGTTTCGACACCCAAAGACCGCGGGGCGAACAAGTCTCAGCGGGAGAGTAAAGTTCCTTCGACCGAGAATCATAAGGGGAGTCCGCAAGCCCAACATGGTTATGGTTATACCGTACCGTAAGATCAGTATCATGAGGTAATGATGCGGTCGAAAGAGAAATCTCAACGGGATGCATGGGACCTGCTTGTCAGCCACTGATGGGAAGCGGGGGGGAGCAGCCAGGGCGCTTGAAACGACCGCGGTCCGATATGCGTGGTTTTGAAAACCCGCCCAGTTGCCATTCCCCTCAACGTTGATGGCCCGGAAGGGAATGATAGCTGTCGTCGAGACATGGGTTAATACCCCCCTACCCCTTTGTGGGAGTACACTATCTCCGTTGATGGTAGGGGGTGTTTTTCAACGCCCCTGCAGGCTGCCCGCGTAGACTCCACCGGTCGATGTCTTGTCAGAAACGGCAAAGCACCCCATGCGGCCATGGGTCGATCGCAAGGGTTATTCATAATGGGGGGCTCGAAGGTATCCCTCGCAGCGGCAGGCTTTTTATCCAGCGTCAGGTTTCTATATATAAGACAAAGAGAAAAGGGAGAGACACATCGATTTTTCATTGTTATGTTGTCTATCTATACGTTGAAAAAAGTTCTATGAGTAGAATAAAATAATAGTCGCCCACCACCCTCGCGGTGGGTCTTTCGGTTCGAGAAAGATTCCCTAAAGCTGAGAGCTTTCTGATGGAGAGCAGTTGGATGCTTCTTTGACAGCCCTAACCTGTTGGATCGATTGATCAACGAGGCGACGGAAGAGGCAGTTGGATGCGCATCTTCCTGACTGGCTTTGAATGTGTAAAGATTTTAAAACAAGAATATCAAAAGACTGCATCGCTACTTCCCCAGGGGTGCTCCGACCCTGTCTTCCCTGCACTGGAGCGGGCGTCCCGACGGGCCCCTTCTTTTCTCTTCATCGGAAGGATGGAAAAGTGCCCGGAGACGACCCCCTGCCACTGCAGAGAGAGAGAGAGGGTCGGAGGTCCGATTCAAGGCTGCAATTGCTGCGCCAAGGTTCGTTGAATGGGTTTCTGTCCATTCATTTTACCACGCGGTGATGTCTTCCACCTCCGCCTCGCCGAAGGTGCTGCTCTTGGTCAGTCGGTTGACTCCGTCAGCACCTGCCACCACGTCACCAACGGGCGGCCGGGCCATGATGTCCGGCAGAACCTCCCGGAAGAAGTCCAGGATGTAGTGGTTGACCTGCTCGAATTGGAGCAGGAACGCGTCGTGACCCTCGGGGCTGTCGATACGCTTGAGCCGCGAGTCTGGGATGCCCGCGGCGACCTCCTGCTGTTCCTCGAAGGTGAAGAGCCCGTCGCTCTCGATGCCCAGCACCAACGCGGGCTGTTCCACCTGCGACAGTGCTTCCCGCACCGGATCCGCCGACAACGGACTGACTCTGTGCCTCGACACATCGTGGGTGTCCAGCTTCCGGGTGATGGCGATGTAGCAGTTGGCGTCGAATCGCTTCACGAACTTGTCTCCCTGGTATCGGAGGTACGACTGGGCGGAGAAATAAGTCTGGGGGCGCTTTTTGCCGTCTCCATTGATGCGGGACTCGATGGTCTTGCTGAATGTCTTGGTTCCGGAGAACTGCGGATCCGTGTACTGGATCTCCGCAGGAGTGGACTCTTGCTGCGGCGCAGGCGAATGACGCTCGCTGGCCCGGTGGCCATCATTGTGGATCGCCCAGTGCTCATTCGTTGGGCTGGGCAACCGCTGCGTGCCATTGATGTTTTGTCGCTTCGTCGGGTCGGGCACATTGCGACCGAACCGAGACTCGAACGAGTTGCGGCTCCGGTAGGTCAAGAGAGCCGACATGCGGGCCGCCCCCAAACCGGTGGTCGGGGGATCTTCGAACGAATAATAGCCATCATCGTATTTCGGGTCACTGTAGATGCTCTGTCGCTGAGCCTCACCCCAGCTGATACACCAGGCCGAATGGCGTGCAGACGTGGCAATCGGAACGATGGCCCGCACGTAGTCCTTGCCAAAGTAGGCGTACTCCAGGGTCAGCATGCCACCCATGGACCCACCCACGACGGCGGCGATCTGGCGGATGCCGAGGAAGTCGAGAACCTTCTTGTGAATTCTGTTCCAGCGTTGTCAGTAACAGATTTTTCTTCGGAGCGCAACGAGTTGACGCATCATTGAGGGGGGGGGGACGTGTTCATACCTGACATCGTCGCGTACAGTCGTCAGAGGGAACTCCGGACCATAGAGGCCGTTCTCCGGGGATCCATCCTTGTAAGTGACGGCACTAGCACTCCCATACGGACTCCCCAGACTGTTCAGACAGATCACGTAGAATCGCGAGGTATCAAAAGCCTGGCCGGGACCACCCAGCAGAGGACCCCACCAGTCGGCCACATCGGCACTACCACTCAGCGCATGGCATATCACCAACGCGTTGTCGGCCTCGGGGGACAATTGACCCCGCGTCGTGTAGGATATGGGGACATTGTGCAGGGTCACGCCTGATTCGAGCTTGAAGTACGGAACCACCACAAATTGTTGATCGGTGATGAGTTGCGAATAGGGATTTTCAGGTTGCGAATCGACTCTCTCTACGGGATTTAGTAGCCGTTCACATCATCCTAGGAAACACGCGGGAGGGGTAGGAGGATACTGACGGGGTATCGCCGAAGGGCTGTTTGATTCGTGGGCCATTCTTAGCTCACAGAAGGAGGGAGAAAAGAGAGGGGGTTATCGAAGGAATTGGAAGCAATTACAGACAGAAGTAAAGGAGAGGGACAAAAGAAAAAGGTAGATGTGGAGGTAGAAGAGAGCAGAAGTGGGAAGTAGAGTAGAGGGAGTCAAGAACCGGGGACTCGATGACTCAGGCCAATCGGGAGGCCAACAAGGCAAAACTTGCATTTTTGCCCCGCGGGAAACTCAAGTCCGATAACGGGATGACTCAGCATTTTATATGCAGGCACAAATACCAGAACTATTGCATCATTATGGACATTCTCAATATGTTACCACCAATTGTTGATTACAATCTGTAATATTTACTTTCTATTGGTGATAAAGAACACGGAGCAACATTCTCTAGTCAGATGGCTTGATCTCGTCGAACGTAAACCGTGATGTCGCCAAAGTGTCTCGTACCCAAGTCGACGACATGCTCCTCATAGTGATGCATCAATGCTCGTACGCGCGAAGTGTGTGGATCGGTTCTAGTTAAATGTCAGCATTTGGGTGGCACGGTACAAGACACACATACACGCCATATTCGTCGGAGGTCTCTTCGTCTTCCTCTCCCACGTGTTCCCAGATGAGGACAGCTGGTCGAGCAATGTCGGCGACAATCTCCTTGATAGGGATGTTAGAGCTGCATGAGAACACCACGGACGAATCGTCGATCTCGAGGAGAGCTTGAGGATCGTCAAGAACCATGACGTTCGATTCCTTGAGCGTGGACTTGTCAATGCTAGTGTATACTGGATCTTGGACGTAGGAAGGGACCCTGCCGCTCCCGTTTCTGTCCCTCAACCAGTCCCGCACCGTGAGGATCAGCGCATGCTGGAATTCCGACCGACTGGAGTTGCGGTCGATGGACATTGAGCCACAGGAGAATCCAAGCACTCTTTCGATGTTCAGTGTTTTTGGAACGGACTCCAGGATCGACTCCAGGTCTTTGCACATCTGACTTGCCTCCCAGGATTCCCTGCTCGCCCGGAAGCTTTTGCGGACCACCTGGCTCTCGCGCAGGGCGTAATTATACGCAGGCTCCTTTGTGTCTTTCTTCCGTCGAGACATCCAGTGGGCGATCCGTAGGCTGCAGGTTGCCTCTGGCAGGTTTCCATGCCACCTCAACAGATTCTGGGTCATGTGCACTCGCGCGCAGTAAACGATGTACGGATCCCGTCTAGTACGGTCAGCTCAGACTTGTCGACACGATTGGATCCGGGCCAATATACATCTCATGTTCGAAAGCCCCCGAGTCAAAGCCCTTGCGGATCTCACCCGTCAGCACGTCGAATTCGACCCCCACCCCATCCACGCCTTTGACCGTGATCTTGTCTTTGCACAGAGACGATCGCTGGAGTTGCTTTGAAACCTCTCGGATCGACTGTTTCGTGAAAAAGGGCGTTCCCGCTTCGTACAGCTTGTTGATGCGAGCCATTGCTTCCGTCACGCTGCTCACTGGCGCAGTCTCACTCTTGTCTCCAACCCAGTGGCAGGGCCCTTGGATGGAGTACATTGTCATCGTGAAAGCCAGATAATGTTCCGTGTACGGTCAGGACAGAGGTTAACAATGGTAAAAAGGGAAGGTTGAATTCCACACAAGCAAGGAGAAGAAGGTTTTTAACAAGAAGGACAGGAAATCTGTCGGGAGAAGCAAGATCATGGTTATATTTGCCAGTGACAGGGGCGATCAAGTACGGCGGCTGGACAGCCAGTGACACCCGGCGGACTCTCCAGGTGACCAACTAGTCACTGCATCTACCAAGTCACCGGCCACTGTCATTCTCTGCAATCGAGATTTATTTTTGTGGAATATATGCTGTAGGAATTTTTCCCCGGCCCAAATTTCTATCCAAGAGCTTCATGTTTGGGGACGTGGCTCATATGTGCCCCGTAGGCCACAATTAAATACCCAACTGCTAGTAATCCCTGGTGTTGGTTCGTCGCACATATTAGTACTTCATATGTAACCCATAATCGCAAGCTTGAGACCAGCAGTTACTGGGACTATACAAAGCCAACCAATTGATCATACCAAGATGTCTCCAGGTAAAGAGTATAGAGTCATAAATATGACCTGAAATACTCCAGTTGTCGTAGAATTATACGCGTGAATATGTATTGCCACAACAATGTATTATATAATCTAGACTAACCGGAAATGGGACAATGCAGATCACACCGCCGCTATACCCGAAACGGCAGGCGGAGTGACAGCCACAGTCACGTACTTTTCGGCACTAGACCCAACCCAGCCTAGCACCGTAACATACATCATTTCCGCCTGGACTTCTCACTCTCCAAACCGCAGGGGTATCCGCAATCAATCGCATTCGAGCAATGGCCCTGATAGCTCCCACTTGAAACCGCGCCCTCCAACAACAACCGAGAATATCTCGCACGACGCTCATTATCTACATGACAGACTACTCCATCGCTTGCGATCCTCCCTCACAATGGCCGACTATTCGAAGTGGAAGGTCGTCGACTTGAAGGCCGAGCTGAAACGGCGCGGTATTGCGCAGACGGGCCTCCGCGTGAAACAGCAGTTTATTGATAGGCTGGTGGAGGAAGATGAGAAAGGTCAACCGGGCGACACAGCCCAGGAGGCGGCGCCGGAGTCGGAAGCCGCTCCGGAGGTAGCAGCCAAGGAACCGGAGCAACCTGCTGAACCTGAGCCTGAACCTCAACCTCAACCTGAACCTCAACCTGAACCTGTGCCCCAGCCGGAACCAGAGCAACCCGCAGAGAAGTCCGCAGACGAAGCGACACAGCCTACAGAAGCAGTGAGCGAGAAGGAAGAGCAGCCGAAGGAACCCGCCCCGAGCGGAACACAAGATGAGCAAGCGGCGGAGCAGCAGGATGAACAGGCCCAACCCGAACCACCTAGCGAGGCACCGGAAAAGCCAGTCGAAAGCGTGAAGCAGGCTGATGTCGGAGATCAAGCGCCTTCGCCACCCTCCGAGTCCCAACCGCCTCCTGCCCAACCGGTCGAGCAGGCTCCCGGAGACGCAGCCCCGCAACAGCCCGCGCCGGCTGACACGAACGGCGCAGGCCCAGACACCGCCGCCGAAAAGGGCGCACCGTCAGACGCGAACACGGAACTGTCCACACCTCTCCCGACAGAAGAGGTTTTGGAGGACCGCCGGAAGCGTAAGCGTCGCAGCCAGAGTCCCGTTCCCACCGCCGAGGCCATTGCGAACAAGAAGGCCAAAGCCCAGGAGAGCGGCCCGGAAACGGTTTCTCCGAGAGGGGAAGATCCGATGGATGTGGATAGAGGTGATAAACAGGAAGCCAGAGAAGCCCCGGACACAAGCGCAGATGATCAAGACCGTCCCGCTTCCACCCAAGACGAAGCCGCCCCCGAAAGCCCTGATGCCCGAGCGAAGAAGGGCGCCCCGAAACAGGACGTCCGTTTCAAGGGGCTTTTTGCAGCCAAGGAACCGCAGCAGCCCCGACCTGCATCCCCGCCGGCGGACACCGCCATGGACGATGAGCACATGGAGCCCGCGCTCCACGCTGCCACCGCCGCCCTCTACGTGGACGGACTCATGCGGCCGCTCCAACCTGCTGCCCTTCGCACCCACTTGGCCAGTATTGCGTCGCCGCCCGGGAGTTCCCCCAACCCCGATGTGATCCTAGACTTCTACTTGGATCCCATCAAAACGCATTGCTTTGCCGCGTTTACGAACGTCACGGCTGCCACCCGGGCGCGGGCGGCTCTCCACGGCACCGTCTGGCCTCCCGAGCGCAACCGGAAGACCCTGTTCGTCGACTTCATCCCCGAAAACAAGCTCCACGAATGGATCGACACGGAAGAGCGGTCCCGGGGCCGCGGTGGCCCTCCGCCGCGCTGGGAGGTGAAGTTTGACCGGACCGAGGACGGCGTCGAGGCGGTCCTGGAGGAAGTGGACGCGCGAGCCGGAGGCGCTCCGCCCAGCCGCGGACCCGAGCCGGGCGACTTCTCGCGCCCACCACCCACGGGACCTCGCGCCGATATCGAACCCGGTCGACGACCCAGTGGTGGCGCCCCGGCGGCGGAGCCCACCCCGCGACCGGGACAAGGGTTCCAGCCGTTGGATGAACTGTTCATGTCTACCACCGCCAAACCCAAACTATACTATCTTCCGGTTCCCCGGCGAGTGGCGGATCGACGTCTAGACCGGTTCGACGATCTGCTGCAAAAGGGCTCGTTCCCCCGCCGCGGTGGCGACGAGCTGCGGCGCATCACCTTTGAAGACGAGGATCTCTTCGTCGATCATGGGCCGGAATTTGCGCCGCGTGGTGGGTACCGTGGCGGCGGTCGTGGCGGGGGCCGAGGACGCGGTCGCGGACGTGGCGGATTTGGCGATTCCTGGCGCGATGAGCCGCGGGGACGACACTATTGATCATACTGTGCCATTTATGTCCTTGGATTATGATCTTCTCCGCCTTTTCTTTCTGTTCTCCAACTTTTGTCACCGTTCTGACGAACAAAATCGTGTCTTGAACGGCATCCCTCTTGTCCATGGGGATGGCTCTTGGAGGGGAAATGTTTCATGTATAGTAGTAGATGGGCCGATAAGGATAAGGACTTTGGGAGCATGGACTTGGGAATCGATGTCCAATCTGTAGATGTAACTATACAATGACTTTCTTTCCATTTATGAAATCCGATCGATGATCTGGATACTTGATTATATGACAGATGTCAGATCGGATCGGCGGTGCCTGATATGGATTCCTGAGGCTTGTCCAAAGCTTGGCGTTTATTTTCCATTTTCCATTTTCGTCTTTTTCGTCTTTCTTCTTCTTCTCTATCTTCTCCTTTGTCTTTTTCTGTCTTTTTCAATCTTATTTCGGTCTTTTCTTGGGACTCATCGTTTCGCATCGTTTGAGGTCCAATCGGGGTGCAATCGGCACGTTCTGTCCTTACTCCATTCCTTGTACACCGTACAGCCTCGTGGTTATTCGTCTGCCTTGATCTCTGACCAGACTGCTTTCCTTTCGATGGGACACCTCACCACCACCAACACCCATTGATTCATCCATTTTTGGCCATTTTACTCTCTTCTTGGTCGCCTACCCCTGATTGTTCATTGACACCGTCGAGCCAAGACGCGACAATCTTTGGTTCCAGGGGTTGATCGTCAGTTTCGGGGCAAAATTGGCGGCGGCAACAGATCATCCGCCCGGTCTGGCCAAGTCTTGATCGCCTCTTGGACTGCAGAAGATCTGTTCTTCCGGTGATCCTCTTGGGATTGGAATCCATTTGCTATTTCTATTCCTGATGCTGTATTATTGTTGTTATTTTTAGTTGGCTTCGTCCCTCTTCCCCGCCTTGTTTTTTTGACTTGTCTGTTTCTTCACCGTTCAATTCCCCTGGGAGGCTTTGCGTTCCCACGAGCCTCCGTTTACTGCAGTCATGGGCTGGCCCAAGTGCAATGCAACAGTCGAACATGAGACGAGTATGTTGGCCCGGATCGCGGCATTTCCGATAGTGATGGACAGAATACTGACGATAATTGCGCGTGTGCAGTCACCGAGGTTCCCTTGTGGCCAGATGGGATCACCTTTCATAATTTATGTTTAGTTGTCGGGGGGGTGTTCGCCCTCATCGCGTGTGGGTTTTCCTTCTACTTGATCATGGGTCATGCCACACATTACAGCAAACCGGAGGAGCAACGCCAGTACGTTTATCTCTTTCTCCCTCTCTTCTCTGCCGCGAGATCGGTAGACTAACGCTGTTGCGACGTCGCTATAGAAATATCCGCATCCTGTTAATGATCCCCGTTTACTGCATCGTCGCATGGGTCGGCACTTTCTTCTACAAACACTCTGTCTACTACAGTGTCATTGGCGACTGCTACGAAGCGTTCACCATCTCCGCCTTTTTCGCCCTGATGTGTCACTATCTCGCCCCAGACCTGCATAGCCAGAAGGAATATTTCCGGGGAATTGCGCCGCAACCGTGGGTCTGGCCGGTCACTTGGTTTCAGAAATGTGGCGGATGGCGCAAATTATGGAGGACGCCCCGAAGCGGCCTGACATGGTTCAATGTGAGAATGACCGAGGATGGGGAATAGGAGGCATTTGCTAATGGGTGCCATCCACCTAGATCATCTGGATATCGGTCTTCCAGTATTGTCTCCTGCGGGTGCTCATGACGATTCTCGCGGTGGTCACGCAAACGTTCAACTTGTACTGCGAGGACTCGCTCAATCCAGCGTTTGCCCACATCTGGGTAAGGGTTACTGCATTGGTTCCATGACCGGACATCTTCTAATAGACTCGCGCAGGTCTTGGTCATCGAGTGTACCTCGGTCACGATCGCCATGTACTGTTTGATCCAGTTCTTCATCCAGGTCCGGCCCGATATCAACCACTACAGTCCCTTCCTAAAGATCTTGTCGATCAAACTGGTCGTCTTTCTTTCGTTCTGGCAAACGTCCCTCATCTCCTTCCTCTTCTCAGCCGGGGCCATCAAAGAAACCGACAAGATCCAAGCGCCCGACCTGAACGTCGGACTTCCCAACTTGCTCATCTGTATCGAGATGGCCATCTTCTCCGTCTTACATCTGTGGGCGTTTTCGTGGAAGCCGTACGCGTTCGACAAATGGACGTTCGACGAAGTGAACGACGTCTACGGCGACCGCAAACCAAAATACTACGGCGGTTTCTGGGGCCTCAAGGCTCTCCTCAACGCTTTCAACCCGTTGGACATCGTCAAGGCCGTGAGCCGCGGCTTCCGCTGGCTGTTCGTCGGCCGCAAGACGCGCATGATGGATCCTAGCTACCAACAGACCCCCGACGACGCGATCGGCTTGAACGCCTCCGAGCCAGGCACGAACCACCCAACCGCCTACGAAGGCGCCAGAGGATCGTTCACAAACGCCGGCCCCCATCCCGGACGATACTACCCCGACCCGAACACCGACGAAGAAGGCGCCGTGCTCCTATCGCACGCGCAACCCACCGGGTTGATGTCCCACTCGACAACCGACGTCAGCAGAATGCCCTCTCCATACGAGGATACCAGTAACCCGGGCCCCTATCTCTCGACCCCTCAACGGTCAGGCAGCCCATCCTCCCTGTCCCTCCTAGAACCCGCCGCCCACAATTCCCGCCCGTATTCACCATACGATGACACAACCAACCCATACCTGGTCCGGCCCCCGCTAGACGACGGCCCATCCAGCCAGACACCTCTCCATCATCAAGACGCCCCCTATCCAACAGGCCCTGCCCCTCTGAACGTCCAGGACCCCATCCCACTCCCAGAATCATACCAACCCCCACCTCTCAATCACGACAGCGCTCATCCCCCGCGGTAGCTGGCCCTGGCCTTTTACCGCCGATGATTGATCGTAAACATGTACATAAATATGGATGGACCTCACATGTTCTCTCAACCTGTTGGCACTGAGAACCAGACGGCCTTTGGTTTCTTGTTGTTGTTCTCATTACGATGCCTATGATTTCATACTTTTGTCAATATACCAGTGTGCTAGAAATACCCATCGCTTTTTGTTTTTCTTCACTTTCTCTTTGTCATCCTCTCTTTGAATTTGTTCAGGGTTGTTTGAGGATTAGTTAAGCTGTAATAAGTGTACTTATGCATTACACATGGTGAATGACTCTTCGTATGACTACGTCGAACAAAATCTCAGTATTTACTCAAAAAGAGGAAAGAAATGTTTCGCTTCTATCATAATTCATTAATAAGTGCTGCCTCCAAAAATGCAACACCCGAACACCGTTCTAAGGCACTGGTGCACTCTAACAAGGGGATCAGTTCATCATAGCACGATGGATCAACCGCGTGACGATGATGCAGTGATGAAAGCGCAAAAAGGCGGGTCCCGTCGTCAGCCATAGATCATGCCATGCCGTCACGCCCCATGTACATTTCCTCGTCGAAGCGCGACGACGACGCCGGCATCCCTTGAGACTTCCGCGAGGGCACGTTAGTCCTCCGGACGTGGGTGACGACCGCAGTGCGTTTGCCCAGCTCGCGCATGGAGCTGATGCTCTGGCCGAGTTTGCCTAGGAGCGCGACGAGGTGTACATCGTTGCTCTGGGCGAGGATCTCGGAGGTGAAGGCGCTTTGTTCGGTCGGGGTGAGGAGCGAGAGGTGGGCGAGGAGGGAGTTGATGTTGCGGAGGATGGGGTGCGAGAGCGTCGCTTGTTTGGTGCTGTCGGTGGGGGCGGCGCCTTCGGCGGTGGATATGCTGGCGAGGTAGGATTTGATTAGCGAGATACGGGACTCGAGGGTTCGGATGGCGTTGAGGCGGGTGTTGAGGTTGGCGATTACTGTTGTGGATCGTCTTGTTAGCTATGGACTGGGTTGTATGGTAGTCGGGTGACTTACGTTCTTCGTCTTCCTGGGAGAGCAGCGTCGTGTTGTTGTCCTTTGTCTTCTGGTCTTCTTTCCTAGACGGCCCGCCGGTGGTTGTGCTCGGTTCCTCCACGGCGGCTGCGTTGCGAGCGCTTCTGGCGATGGAATCGACGCCGATCATCTCTGCCTCGCCGGTTTCCACAAAATAGGGTAGCTCGCGGAATCGTATCGTCAGAGACTGCTCTTCGCCATCGACCTGCATAGCCTTGCCGCCGTCTGCAGCATTATCGCCCTCGTAGACACTCTCATAGACCGTCAAGGGGAGCTTGGCGTTATTCGAGGACGCCCCGTGGACCTGGGAGGGGTGGAAGGCAAGAAACACGGCGGATTCGTTGTAGCTCTGAAGCATCTGGCGGTGGATGGGCAGGTGAGATGCGTTTGGACCGGACGGTGGAGCAGTCGACCACCAGCCTACAAGGTCGAGGGCGGGGGTTTTGTGAACGTCCTTGACTGGAGTTGCAGGCTGCGTTAGTATTAAGTCGTCACCTAGGGGAGAGTATCATCATACGTTGTTGCACCCGTTCGACGAACCATCCATCGGACAGCTGAGCTTCCCCGTTAGGGCCTTCCACCACGATGCATTCGAATGCATGTTCCAGGGTGATCTCGCGCCCATTCTGTTGGCCCAGGAGAGCTCCGACTATAGGGCCGCGTTGCTGCCGGGCCGCATGGCGGGTGATATGATCGGAGATGGTGAGGAGGATGAGTGGGTGAAGCTGGATATGCAGTCCTGAGTCGGAGGACTTCTGAGATAAGAGGGATGTCGATAGCTCCGCCATATTGAATGTTGATCGTAGCATCAACAAGAATCTTGGATTGAAGTTGGAGAAAGTTGCCAGAGTTGAGATGGGCGGTGGATTGATGACGCTCACCGCCTTGGGCTTCCCCGCTTGTCAATTGCGGGCGATTGAGCTGTATCAACCATCATCATCTTCATCTTCTTCTTCATCTTCATCTTCATCTTCCTCCTTTCCCTTTCCCTTTCTCACCTTCACGATAGCTAGAGTTTTGTGTGGCGCTGAGAAACATGGCGGTCCCGTCCACGTACGACGAGGTGAAACTCCATCTCCAACAAGTTCAACGCGACCCCACTATCAGTCTAGACCAGGACCTGTTGGACAAGCTGAAAATAGAGCTTACGGAGACGACGGATCGCAGGGTTCCTGCAACACTCCTGGCACAGATCGCTCACTTACTTCCCGTCCTTCAGGAGGATCCGGAGCCGGTTACAAAGCTGGGTATCAAGGCCAGCACGTATTTTAGCTTCTCGGACCTCCGCTCCCTCGACCCACCAATTAACTTTATCGCGGGGTTTAGAGCCCCGTCACCCCCGATCAACCTGTTAGCACTATCGCTGTTGAGGAAAGCAGAGCGGCTTCCTAGCGATACGGCCATAGTTTCTGGCGATTCGGAGCTGGTGGTGTCACTGGTGGAGCTCTGGCTGACGACCGATTCAACGGCCGTTGCGCAGGCTGCTCTGGACACCATATGGGCGTTGTTGGAGGTCGATCTGACCAACTCGGTCGAGAACGGTGGCCATGATCAATCTAATGACGAGAGGGGTCACGGCCTCATGTGGCGGAGGATGTTCACAGACAAAGACGTCTATGGACGCCTCTTCTCCTTGTGTAGCCTCGCGGGCAATGCGAAACGCGAGACAACCCTGGCCCAAGGGCGGCTGATGGCCTTCTTGGTAAAAGTAGGCCGGGTGCGGTGGGATATGATCTCAACCTCGCAGGTTCCTGAAGTGGAGGCGGAATACAAGTGTGAAAGTCTCCTGCAATTTGCGGCTCGCGAGATGGTGGACAAGAGTGATGTTTTGATGCATATGACCTTGCTAAACTTCTTCCATGATCTCCTCGAGATCGATGCTCCGGGTTTGACGATTCGGACTTTCGTACACTCGGCATCTACCTTTTCTTCCCCGGCTCTCGATTTCTTAATCGCGCACAATGTGCATTCCTCGTTGTTGAATTGCTACCTGGATGAGTCCAAATTGGATCCCGTGGATCTGGCGTACTTGCCTGGGCCGATCATGGCTTACGTGGCGCAGTACGCGGATTTATATCCTAACCACTTTTTGAAGAACCCCAAAAGTTTACTGGATCAGATATTGTTGCGTATTTCCGCGTCTCTAGCCATCTCATCCTCGCAATGGGCCCATGGGCCAGCCCCGAGCGGTCAGCTGAACGTCCTGTCTTGCATCCCTCGTGTTCTATTAATAGAGGCCAGCAAGGATGGTCGCAACCCCGTCACATCACTCCCTGTTCGTCCGCCCAACAAGGAGGTCATCGATACCTTGGCCAAGATATTGCATGGGCCACCGAAACCGGAGGGTGCGGATACGATGGAGCTCAACATGTTCGGTCAGGCGCCCACAGACTGGCACAAAGAAGCAGCGAGTGCGCGCGTTTTGTACTACATGTATCTGAATAGCCGACCTGATTTATGGGCTGCCATTATCGCCCCGGCTGATACAGTGGCCATGAAAGATGTTTCTTTGGCAGCCATTTCGTTCATGAAAGCCATCGTGACGGCCAACTGGCACGACTTGACTCCCGAGGTGACGGCGTCGGGTTCGGACACGTCGCGGTACCAGCTTCCCTCCGAGGAATCCTTGGGTAGCTCGTCACCCGCGGGGCAGGGCGCACTCCCATCCACGGGTGCCTGGGCCGTTCTTACTCCTCCCGCGCTGACCACCTTGCTCCCCTATCTGTTCAAGCCGCCGCGCTCGTACGCCGAGTTCGTGGGTGGCGGGGCCGGAGATTCTCAAAATGCTGTCTGGAAGATTGCCACAGCCAAATACGAAGTCCTGGCCGCGTTGCACAGCCGCCTTCAAGCAATAGGGGGAGAAATGGCCGGATTCGAGGATATTGTTCGGACCCTCGGCCAACGGGTGAACGATGGGCCATGGGGACCTGTGTCACAGACCGAGACGCGCATTGAAGCCATGGGAATGTGAGCATATTAGTGATTGACATAGCAATACAATACCTTTACATGCCTACAGTAGCTACAAATAATCCAAATTCCAGTACCAGCTCTATATCTAGATAGGGCTGTAGATCTTAGCCCTACCTTCCCAATCGAGTAACAGGTCAAGGCGGTGAGGCGGACTTCCGGCGGAACTTTTTTTCTCCTCATCTCGCAGTCATCGCAGATCAAAGGCTTCTTCGCGATCGTTCTGCCGTGGAGGACTGACCGAGCATATCATCCGGTCGTCTCCGTCGTCTCGAATAACCGCCGGAGGACATCATCGATCAAACCCGACCCCCAAACCAACAACCATGTCACGATTCGGCGCCAAAAAGGGCCGCAAGCTCCCCGGAGCAGAATTCAGCTGGGACACCGATGGAAACGGCGAGCCCGACACGGCGCCCACGCCGCTCTTCCCAGTATGGCTCGAATCCAAGCCCCCATTCTACGGCTTTCCCACCTGTAGTGGGTGATATAACGACCATTTTACTAATTATTACGCGTCTAGAAATTCTCCGTACCCCGCGCGCGACCGTTAAGCGCGCGCGAACGGCTCCAGGTCGACTACTACCGGGGCCTGCGCGAGCGCTACCACGATGGACCATACTACTCGATATTGGACTCGGCATCTACGGCAGCGAAGAAGGGGAGTGTGGCGCGGGTGAACTTTGATAGTTTTCATGGGATGCCGACTTATTCGGGGCGGTATCAGCGGAAGAAGAGGACGATTCCGAGGATGGGGGGGAGGTCGTATAGTGAGTTTTTCCTTATGTCTCTTGGATTATTTGGTGGTGGTGTGTGGATGTTTTGGATATTTGGCAGGGGCAGATGGGGGTGAGGCTGTGAGAGAAGAAAGAATATGCTAACGGTGTTGGGTGCAGTTATGAAATTCTTTCCGCGCGAGCTCTGGCAAACGATCCAGCCTACGTTCAAGCCGGACGCTGCGATGGATGGGTACGCGGGTCAATTTGCGCGAGCGACTGCTAAGCGCGGGTTTGAAGACGATGAAGAGGAAGACGAGGAGGACGAGACGAAGCGGAAGCGGACGGGCGGGGAGGAGGAGGAGGACAATGAGAAGGACATCCTCGACGGGGAGGAAGAGGGCGAGGAGGAGGAGATTGTGGATGATGATTTCGAGGACGACGAGGACGAGATGGGTGGGGATTATAACGCGGAGCAGTACTTCGACGGTGGAGACGACGAGTACGGGGATGATGGATTCGGGGATGGCGGTGGTGGTGGAGGCGATGAGGAAACATACTAAGCGGTTGTTGAGATACCCTTGCTTTAATTATTTGGATTGTGGAGCTGCATCTAGGCGTTTGCCTGTGGATATAGGATTTTTGAACGATGCATGGTTGATTTCTATGGCAACCGATTTCTGGGTCTGCTATTCGTATATACTGTTGTCAATGGACATATCTATTGACAGACTGTTTACATGTGTGGTGTGTAATACTGGAGATCAACCAGGGCTGTATTGATCTAGTCATACAACCATGTCCATTGGCATTGTTGGCGCCAGAATAACACTACTAATACGACTGCTGCTACACTACCTTACCCTTTTCGAACTCAACCTCAAATGTTATTTCAATTGCAAATCCACACCTCCATACACCCTTTATACTCCTTGATGCCTAATGTATCAGGCAGTCAGACCTGGCGATGTCGGCCTGGCCCATGACGTCATCCCACATGGGCCGCCTTAGTCACGGATCCGATATCGATCGAGGGGTCTTTGATCTTTATCAATCTTTATCGTCCAGATCAAACCGGAGTATGTTGGATTGTCGACAGTAAAAAACCACTTTCCCCCACTACAACACCCTCTCTCTGACAGCCCACCCCTCCCCTCACCAGAGCCATCCATCCTGAGGAGCATGTGTGAGAGTCAGACCCCCAATGCCCCCCCGCGGTCTGCACTCGTGCTGTATGGCTCCGAGACGGGAAATGCCCAGGAGGTGGCCGAAGAGCTGGGCGCTATGGTGGAGCGCCTGCATTTCACCACCCATGTGGCGGAATTGAACCAGTTTAAGCCGGTGTGTTCGGTCACTTGACATTTGCAATAGAGATGAGCTGACGGGGTGTGGTATGCGTTGTAGGAGTCGCTAGATCGGTTCACGATCACGATCTTCGCCGTGTCGACAACAGGCCAGGGAGACCTTCCGGCGAATGCACGCGCGTTTTGGAGATCGTTGCTGCTGAAGAGGCTTCCGCCGACGTTTTTGAGCGGGGTTCATTTCGCGTCGTTTGGGCTGGGTGATACTTCTTATCCTAAGTTAGTTCTATGATATTCTTGTCGGTCTCGGGAGAGATGAAGGAAAGAGAATGTTGTTGTTTCTGACGACGAGCAGGTTCAATTGGGCGGCGCGCAAACTGCACAAACGGTTACTCCAGCTGGGGGCAAACGAAATCTATCCTGGTGGGGAAGCTGATCAGCAGCATCCAGAAGGGTTCGTGTCTCGTCCGTTGTCGCGTGTTTTTAGTCGTTGTTCGTCGAGCTGACTTGTATCTGCCTACAGACTGGAAGGTACATTCATCCCGTGGCTGACGGACCTACGCAAACACCTATTGGGAACATACCCCCTACCGGAGGGGGAGCATCCGATCCCGGACGACGTCCAGTTACCGCCCAAGTGGGTTCTACGAATAGAAGAAGAAGACCATGCAACACCTGGGACACAGAGCGTCCCCGATACACACCAACACACCCCCAAATCAGGCGAGCGGCCTCGACTGGACCACGACATCCGGCCTATTCCCGATACGTTAACCGCGACGTTAACGCAGAACAAGCGGGTCACACCGTCACAGCACTGGCAGGATGTGCGACATCTCTGTCTCACGGTCCCCGACGAGGTATCCTACGTCCCCGGCGATGTGATCGCCATCACACCGAAGAATTTCGCCGACGACGTCGAGGCCATGATCAAGATGATGGGCTGGGAAGAACAAGCCGATCAGCTCGTCTCGCTCGCGCCCAACGTCTTCCAAGCACATGTAGACGAGTTGCACGGGCCGCCCATCGCGGGCCTCGCATCCTACCCGCGGCTAACGCTACGGGCCCTAATCATGGATTACCTAGACCTACGAGCGATCCCACGACGGGCTTTCTTCTCAGCAATCGCGCACTACACCGACGATGATATGCACCGAGAACGACTACTGGAATTCACGAGCGCGGACCCCGAGTTCCTCAACGACCTATGGGACTACACGACGCGACCCCGCCGCAGCATCCTCGAGGTGCTGCACGAGTTTGACTCGGTCCGGATCCCCTGGCAGCACGCAGCGGCGGTACTACCCGTCTTCCGTGCGCGGCAGTTCAGCATCGCCAGCGGCGGCGCGCTGAAGCGGTCGCCCGACGGCGGCACGCAGTTCGAGCTCCTGATCGCCATCGTCAAGTACCGGACGGTGATCCGGCGGGTCCGCGAGGGCGTCTGCACGCGGTACATAGCAGCCCTCCAGCCGGGGAGTACCCTGCAGGTACAGCTCCAGCGCGGGGGTCTCCATTCCCCGCGGGAGCAGCTACTCCGACCGACGATCCTGATCGGGCCGGGCACGGGCGTCGCCCCGCTACGGTCGATGCTGTGGGAGAAGGCGGCCTTCGCCCAGACACTCGGGGACGTAGACAACGACGATGACAAGCCGGAGATCGGACCATCCGTCCTCATCTACGGAGCCCGCAATCGGGAAGCGGACTTTTTCTTCGAGGACGAGTGGGCCCGGTTGGCAGAGGCTTGTCAGCTGCAGGTGCTGGCGGGATTCTCGCGCGACCAGCCGGAGAAGGTCTACGTGCAGGACCTGGTGCGGCGGAACGCCGCGCTGTGCGTGCGGTTGCTGCGCGACGGGCTGGGGTCGGTCTACGTGTGCGGGTCGTCGGGGCGGATGCCGGAGGCGGTGCGCGAGGCGTTAATCGAGGCGTTTCAGACGGTGGGAGCGGAGTCCGAGTCGGGGGGGCTGGATCGCGCGCAGGCGGAGGCGTATCTGCTGGGGATGGAGAAGTCGGGGCGGTATAAGCAGGAGACGTGGTAGTATACTATATAGTCGGGAAGTGAACCATAGTCGACCGGATCATGAGCATCTGATCATAATATAGATAATTATAGAGTGACCAGTACCATCCATCCTGCATTGAGTGCAACAACTACGTACCTAGAGTAACTAAACACCTGTAGAGTAGGAGAGTTACCTCGGTTGGAAGCGGAGCAGCACAAGCACAACCGGGCCGCATCGGCGCAGGTCTCTCCGCCTTCCCCATCGACGCGCTGATTGGGTGGCGGTCAGTTGACTCGGCCTCAGTCATCCATCCATCCCGACTCCCTTTTGTCCCCGCTCTCTCTCTCTCTCTTTCTCTCTCTTCTTATCTCGATTGTCCTTACACACACACTTTCTCCCTCTCTCGTCATCTATTCTTCTTCAATTCACAATGAGTGGTTTGCGGATTCTGGTCCCCATTAAGCGGGTCATTGACTATGCCGTGAGTTTTCCTCCCTTTGGTGTTGGTGTTGCTTGTGAGAGTGGTCCGTTTCGCCGAGGTCGGTGAGCACGGCTCTCGCCGACTTCATGTCACGTCATGTCCTTTCAATGGATATTATACACACTTCTACTCTACTATACACCCACATCTACACTACACTACACCTACATCTACTCACATTTATACAAACATGTAGATCAAACCCAGAATCAACAAAGCCCAAACCGGCGTCGAAACCGCCGGCGTCAAACACTCGCTGAACCCCTTCGACGAGCTCTCCATCGAAGAGGCCGTCCGCCTGCGCGAACGCAAGGGACCCCTCAAGGTCGAAAACATCCTGGCCCTGAGCGCGGGCGGGCCCAAGTGCGCGGACACGCTCCGCACGGCGATGGCGATGGGCGCGGACCGGGCGTTCCAGGTGGAGGCGCCCGAGAGCGGCGACGGCGGGCTGGAGCCGCTGAGCGTGGCCAAGATGCTGAAGACGGTCGTCGAGAAGGAGAACATCAACCTGGTGCTGCTGGGCAAGCAGGCGATCGACGGCGACCAGGGCCAGACGGGTCAGATGCTGGCTGGCTTGCTGAACTGGCCGCAGGCGACCCAGGCGAGCAAGGTGGACGTCAAGGATGATAAGGGCACGGTGGAGGTGACCCATGAGGTGGATGGGGGTGTGGAGACGCTGCGGATGCAGCTGCCGCTGGTGATTACGACTGATTTGCGGCTGAACCAGCCGCGGTATGCCAGTCTGCCGAACATCATGAAGGCGAAGAAGAAGCCGCTGGAGAAGAAGACGCTGGCGGAGTTGGGGGTGGATGAGACGAAGCGGTTGAAGACGCTGAAGGTGACTGGTATGTTTATCTCCTTCACGTATGATTTGATGGGTGAACTGACAACTATAGAACCGCCTGCGCGCCAGGGTGGCGGCAAGGTCGATGATGTGGACGGGCTGATCGGCAAGCTGAAGGAGCTTGGTGCGCTGTGAGCAGGGAATGTGTACGTTGTTATGATTTGATTAGACAGTTGATTTGTTTTGAATTGTGTGCATTTGTACATATAGAGTGTAGTATGAATCTCTTTGTTTTCTTTTTCATTCCTTCATCTTCTTTTTTTCTTTCTTGATCTTCTTGATTTTTTCTTTTGTTTTCCGACAGGTCAATCCCGCTTGGCAGGTGGCTAGTCTCGTGTAGTGCCGCCGATCCTACATCTACAATCTTCAACAAGAACATCAGATCAGAAAAAAAGTAAGACACAGGAACGAAAAGATACCAAGAGAGAAGAAAGAAGGAAAGACAACACGATGGATCCAAGTAGTCCAGATACTCCGATGGGATCCACCACCGCATCCAGCAGCCAGACGATCGGACAGCTCACCTGAAGGCACCAGCTGAAAGGTCACCCATCCACCTGACTCAGACTGGTGGTATGAACGACGGTGATCCTGGATGTATGATCCTGGAGGAAAGAGTTGGGTGCATGGGACGTGTCAGTTGAAAGCGGGTGTCGATCTTACCCTCAGGATGATCTTAATCCGAGAGAGACAATTTAAATTTGAGGTGGAGGTGTCATATTGGGATATTATCTCTTTCGATTGATACATCTATATCTCTTGGAGTGTAACCAATCAATCGAGATGACAATGGATTGTTCAATAACTCAGGTATAAGGAACTTCTAGAAGAAAGAAGAGTATCGAGACAATAGATCCATCTTTATCTCCATCAATCTAGATATTAAGTAGAGAACTAACCTAAACCAGTCAAGCGTTGACTGACCATTACAGAATGACGCAGGTCATTCTGTTCTTCCCCGCGTTGATCATTGATTCTATATTATACTGTATTTATTAGGATATTCTATTCTATAGATGATATTATATCCAGCCACGGATTCTCTCCCGTCCAGCCATTCATCCCAGCCTGTCCTGCCTCCACTTCTATCAGAATAATATAATATGATTATCTCTCCTGCAGATGCATCTCATTCTCCCTGGTGTTTATATTCTACCTCTTCATTCTTCTCCCCCTCTCTCCTCATCCTTATAATCCTCTCTCCCTTGCTCCCTTCTCTTGCCTTCCTTTCTTCCTTTCTTCCTTTCTTCCTCTCCCCCTCTCCGGGTGTGGATCTACTTCTAGTCGTGGGGTTTGTTTATTTTCTACTTTTTACCTATTTAATCTCTGTTTTGTTTTTTTGATTTAATCCTCCTTCTTCCCATTACTCACTCCCTTCTCCTCCCGACAACTTCCTCCCAGGTAAGAATTCCGTCCTCGTTCCATGGTTCCTCCCTCCTCATCCCTCCGATTCGGTCGCCACCGGCCTTTTCTCGAACGCGGATCCAACGGCCAGACCTGGATCCAGATCTCTTTTTATCATCATGCGAAGATCCTGACGTGCCTTAGCTTCTTCAACCTGCTAAACCTACAGGAATACATCCACCCACTCTCCCGTATACCACCCATTCCAAACTCTCCCTTCGCATTCTTCACCCACCCAGCAAGGCGTCCCCGCCTCACATTCCACCCGTCGCATCGGGTTAAGCTTTATCTCCTCCTTCCCCGTTTTCGTCATATCCGGTTCGTTCAAGCCCGCGCACAACGACTGGGTTAAGACTCAGGGTCTTCCTCCAGTCCGCTGGACTTGGTCCCATCATTTACTTTGGATTCGAACCCATCAACCCTACCCCCCCCTCCCAACATGGCGCCTCATTCGTTCTGGGAAAGGACGAAAGGAACGTCCAAGAAAGGCTTCGATAAGGCATGGCATACTCTCGACAAACTGGGCGATCCCGTCAACCGTCTATCCTACAAGGTCGGCGCCGAGGCCTTCTGGCCCATGACCATCGATAAGGAGAGCGATAAAGCGGCTCGCATTCTACGCAGCTTCTGCAAAGATGGCTTCTACACAGACCAGGAATCAGAGAGCCGACGGTCCGACAGCGTCTCCAGCATCAATAGCAAAGCAACCGGCAACAGCAAAGCAACCGGCAAGATCGATCGTCCCAAGGGCAAGCAACGCGTTCTACAAAAGATCCCCACCAAGGTCATCCGCCAGGCCAAGGGTCTGGCCATCTTCACCACCATGCGCACCGGTCTCTGGCTCAGTGGTTCCGGCGGAAGTGGTGTGCTCCTGGGTCGCATCCCCGAGACTGGCGAGTGGAGTCCCCCGTCCGGCATCATGCTCCATACCTCCGGCATTGGGTTCCTGGCCGGCGTCGACATCTACGACTGCGTCGTCGTCATCAACACCTACGAGGCTTTGAACGCCTTCAAGCATTTCCGCTGTACCCTAGGCGGCGGCCTCAGCGTCGCCGCCGGCCCCGTCGGCATGGGCGGCATGCTCGAGTCCGAAGTCCACAGGCGTCAGGCCCCCATCTGGACCTACATGAAGAGTCGCGGCTTCTACGCCGGCGTCCAGGTCGACGGCACCGTCATCATCGAACGCACAGACGAGAACGAGCGCTTCTTCGGCGAACGCATCTCCGTGACCGACATCCTGGCCGGCAAGGTGAAACACCCTCCGGACTCCATCAAAACCCTGATGCAGACCGTGCGCGCCGCCCAAGGTGACACCGACGTGGACGAGAGTCTGGTGGCGCCCCCCGGCATCACCCCCGGTGACGTGGACGTGGTCGCCTCGACCTTTGGCGTCCCGGCCGCCGACGACCCCGACCCCTTTGGCGTCAAGGCCCTCGAGGCCGAGGGGCTCTTCATCCGCGAGGCCGGCTCCCGCTCCCGGGCCCACCAGGAGGTCTTTGAATTCCGTCCCAGCCCCAGCAGCCCCATCTACTCGACCTACCGGCGCAGCCTCGACAGCTCCCCCCGGGACAGCTGGCGCACCAGCGTCCAGAGCCATACCAGCCAGGACCGCGGCACCCAGACCGACGCCCCGACGGCCCCGACCTCTGTCAGCCGCGCCTCCTCGCGGAGCACCCGCGGCGACGTTTCCGCCGAGACGCCGTCGGGGCCCGTCAAGTGGGACCACGAGGGCGTGCAGTGGGAGGCCGCCATCCCCGAACGCCACGCGACCCCGGGGGCAGACGACGAGGAGCGGGACCCGGATGAGGACTCTCAGGACGAGGACGAGGACGAGGACGAGGACTTTGAAATCCACGAGGTCAGCAGCGCCACCGTGAGCCGCCGCGACAGTGCCCCCTCGTCCCCCATCTCGTTGGATGATCCCCACGCTCCCGTGGACGTCAAGCGTCAGTCGCCTACCTTTACCCGCGCCCGCTTGGTCACCATCCCCAAACGTCCGCCCCCGCCGCCGCTGCCCCCTCGCGATCCTTCCCATCGGCCTTCTGCGTCGCCTCCTGCTTCGCCCGTCTCCCAGCGGGTTGAGTCACCGCTGCCCCCGCGCAATCCTTCCCACCGAGCGTCTGTCTCCCCTCCACGCTCGCCCGTCTCTCAGCGGGTTGAGTCGCCGCTGCCCCCGCGCAATCCCTCCCACCGACCGTCCGCCTCTCCGCCGGGCTCGCCCATTCAGGCTCAGTCCGAATTGCCCCTTCCGCCCCGCGATCCGCAGCACCGCCCGTCCGTCTCGCCGTCTAGGTCACACGTCTCCCACTCTCCCCCGTCACTCGAGACGGAGCAGACCCAGAACGGATTTGCTGAACTGCCTCTGGGCCCCACCGACGATGCCTCTGAGGCGTCGCGCGGAGCCTCTCCCGCCCGGACTCAGGACAAGGACGAGTTCCACTCGGTATCCACGGCCCGGTCATGGGACTCTGCCTCGGACACGGAGGCGAGCACCAAGGATAATGTTTCCACCTCCGACGTGGACGCTCGGCTAGACGCCGACGAGGACAAGATGGAGCCGGTCGAGCCAGTCAAGACGGTGACGGAGGAAGACAGCCATACGACCTCCGTACAGCGGCAGACTGCGTCTGTTCTTTAAGAGTTCTTTCATCGCGTTCGTCTGTTCGTGTAACTGTATATATCTGGAGAGATTCATTAGCCCCTCTTTCTCCTCCACTCCCTCCCTCCTTGTTCCTTTTTCTGTTTTCGTTGTCGTGTGCACCTCCACCCCACCCACCTCCATACCTCAGTTCAGTTATGTCTTTTCGATTGTTCACTTAGCGTGTTGGCGTGCAGATGGGAAGGGACATGGAAATATACCTGGGCGTTTGGATGTTTTCTTTTGATTTATTCTTCCTTTTCTCCTTTTTCTACTCTTTTTGCTACTTCGGTTGGTTGTATAAGGTGAGGACATGTAAGAAAAGGAAGCGGATTAGATTTATTTTATATCCTCATGTGTTGAGTTGTTGAATACGATATTGTAATATAGATAGTGCTGTGGATTTTAAGATATCTGGTTGGGTTGTTTGTTATAGTTGTACCTTCGATGGCCAAGGAATTGGGTCTTACTGGGTGGGTGATAATTGAGTGATGCAGTTATGGTGAAGTATGATTAGTACCTACTACCTAGGTAGTAGTATTCTTTATGAGAATGTGAAATCGGCTCATTCTGGAATCGTCCGTGTACGACGTAGCTACGGTGGATTATAGTTCGGATATTTGTGGCTGTATATATATATTCTACGTGCCGTGTATATTCCGGACCTACCACACTATCTTAGCCCTGCAACGGCAAGACAATAAAGGAATGAATTAGAAAAGCATACAAACTAGGAAAAGAAGAAGGAAAAAGAAGAAAATGCTCATCCTCAAATACACCATCCCGGCCCTCCTCCTCACCAGCGTCCCAGCCAACTGCCTCCGCATCTGGGCCAGCCATTCCACCCAACAAGCCCTACAACTACAACCACAACTACAACCACAACCCCCCAGTCAACCCCTCGAAGGCCCCGACTGCGACGGCTCAGGCATCGCCGACCCCGACAGCGACTGCAACGGCGACGGCATCGGCAACCCCTACCCCGGCCCACCCAGCCACGGGCCCGACAAGAACCGCGAAGGCTTCATCTTCGACAACCCGTCCACAAACTGTCCCTACGTAACGCAGATGCACATCTGGGACGCCTTCAAGAGCCTCGAGAAGGACATGTCGAAGCTGTTCACGCTCATCCACAAGAACGTCAGCTTCACGGTGATGGGCAACCACCCGATTGCGGGGCACTATGGGGATTTGATGCACTTTTATGTGAATGCGTTGCGGAGGGTGAGTGTGCTGTTTTTTGACCATGCGGATAGGTTTGAGATTCATCCGCGGGCGATCCATGGCGGGTGTGAGAGTTCGTGGAGTGTTGCGGAGGTTAATTTTAGGGGGGTTATGAATTCTGGTATTCTCCTCTCCCGAACTTTCTCCCTTGTATGAGCCTATATATATTTATATGTACTGACTGAGGTGTAGGAGACGACTTTGATATCGTTAATGTTTGGGTAACGCGCTGGCACGAAGGCCAGATGGTGGAGATCCGCACGTTCATCGACGCCGGGAAGATCATGGAGGCCCTGCATAAGAATGAGCTGTGGTGGAATGGGACGACCTTTCGGGAGAATTCCCAGTATATGCCCGGGCCGGCGGGGATGCCTGATCTGCGGGAATTGGAGGATTTGATGGGCTATCCGAATGGGAGTAAGTATCGAGATTGATTGTAGATGTAGTTGAGTTGTTGAAGTTGTAGTTGAAGTTGGGGTATATGGTAGATACCTCAGGTACAAATGTCACATGGTCGGGTTCCCTGTTTGGGCGATCCCGGCTGTCATTGGCTGGTCTTCTTCTCCAACATTTCTTCTCCTCATCTTCTTCTTCACTTTTTTACTACACTTCTCCTTTCGTCCTTGCTTCGTCCTCTCTTCTCTTCTCTCTTCTCTTCTCTCTTCTCTCTTCTTACTTCACCTCTCTATCTTCATCCTTCATTCTATTCATGGAATCCCTCCCGATTGACCCCCCCGCTGACAACTCCAGGAAACGCTCGCGAGTCGCCTGCACTTCATGCCAATCTCGCAAGCGAAAATGCTCCGGCGATCAGCCCTGCAGTACCTGCTTGCAGTTCGGTGTCGACTGTCAATATGATCTGCTCTCGCGCAAGAAGAGGGACGTTCGACCTCTCCGTCCCCATCCCACCAACTCCCCGTCCGTCGCCAGTGTGGTCCACGACGACCCCACCCCCAAGAACCACCCTCCCCCACATCACGACCAACCCGCCCCCGGAGATTCAACGGGCATCCGACTGAACTCGCGGGAGGCCAATTCGGGCGCCGCCTTTGTGCGTCGCTTGGCCCTCAAGATTGACCCTCGGAATGCCCCCAAGCTGCACCTCTTCGCTTGGAACGTCGGCATCCGCCACCCCCCTGCGACCCTCCCCGCCCGGAGCGCCGTCCCCGTCGTCGAGACCATCTCCCAGGACGACATGCGCTCCCTGACCTACATCTTCTTCGACAAGATCGACCCCTGCTACGGTTTCCTCGACCGCGACAGCCTACTCCGTCAGGTGAGCCGGCGCTGGCTGCCCCCCACCGCCGAGTCCGCCCTCGCTTTCGGTCCCTACGATGCCGTCCTCTGTGGCGTCGCCGCCCTCGGCTACCTCTTCTCCCGCCGCCAAGCCACCTCCACCGAGCTCCAGCTGGCCGAGACCGCCCGCCTCATCCTCGAGCAGAACGTCCTCGCCGAGCCCTCGCCCTCCGCGGCCGACCTCATCGCCGGCTGGGTCCTGCGCGTCGCCTACCTGCGCATGACCGCCTCCCCGCATGCCACCTGGATGGCCAGCTGCACGCTCATGCACCTCATCGAGGCCACCGGCCTCCACCTGGAACCGCCCGACCCTTCCTCCGCCCCGCACCCCGACCCCATCGTCCTCGGCCAGTCCATCCCCCCCTCCTCCACCTCCCCCGACGAACCCTACCCCTGCGACCCCGAGTTCCGCCGCCGCCTCTTCGGCATGGCCCGGCACCTCAACACCTGGATCTCCTTCGAGCTCAGCCGCTCGCGCGTCGTCCTCTACGGCGCCACCACCCTGCCCCCGACCCCGCGCCCCTCAGGCTACACCACCGAGATCTTCAACCTGCTCCCCATCTCCGAGAACCTCGACCCCAGCACGACCCAAGACCTCCCCGACCTCGAAGCAGCCCTCACCCACGTCCTCGACCTCATCCACCCGCAACCCACCCTCGTCCTCGCCCAATGCAACCTCATGCTCTGCATCTACCGCCGCCTCCGCGCCCTCCACACCGGCATCGCCGGCGACCTCCTCGACCGCGTCCTCGCCCTCGCCGCCAAGGCCCTCCGCGCCTCCCGCGACCTCGTCGCCTCCGACAGCCCCTGGCACCAAGTCGCCAACGTCCCCTTCCAAATCGTCAGCACCCTCGTCGCAATCGACACCCGCGCCTCCCTCTGCCTCCTCAGCGACGCAATGCGCACCCTCCGCGAAGTCGCCGCCGCCTACAACACAGACGTCATGCGCGAGGCCTACTCCACCGCCTACCTCCTCATCCTCCTCCACCAGCGCCGCAAGGAAGAAGACACCCGCGCCCTGCGCGACGTCCTCCGCGTCAACGCCGACGTCTCCGCCCCGCCCATGGACTGGACCGACCGCGAGCGCGCCCCCTCCACCCACTCCCTGGCGGACTATCCGGGCTTTTCGTGGCTGAGTGATGTCTTGATCGATATGCCGCATTTGTCGCAGTATGATCTGGATACGTTTCTTGACACGGATGTTTCGACGCCGATGCCGTCTGGGAGGATGTAACTCTTTTACGTCCTTTGCGCATGGCTTCGAGGGATTTTGGCTTGTGTCCGTGCGGAACTACTGGTCTCCGACTCGGAGGTTGCTCTCTATATCTTTCCTATCCTTTCCCTTTCTTTTTGTATATATCTACGATTGACGCAATGATACCACCACTGTACCATTATAAATATATATATATGTATATACCCAGAGGACGCAGCTCGCTAAATGCAAGGATATCCCAGCACCGAAAAATTTAATATGAAAAGAAAAAGAAGGAACAGAAGAAGAAAAAATCACTCCGCCTTCCCCCTCTTCTCCCTCTTCTTTGCATCCGCGCCTCCACCCGAACCCCGCACCACCAACCCCAACTTCCACAACACCCATACAAACCCCAACGAGATAACCGCCACAGTAGCCAACTCGATAACCTTACCCTGAAACAGGCCCTCATTCTCCAGTCGGAGAACAGGCACCTCCAGCTCTTCCACGAGTGGAGCACCCGGCTGCGGCGCCGGATGCAGCTGGTAGAACATCGTCCGCGGGCCGAACAGGCCGTCCCAGCCGAGATTGGCCCTGTCAAAGGGGTTGACGCCCATCTTGGTGCCGTCTTCGGCTGTGCAGGCCCAGAAGACGACGGGCCAGGGCACGGCTGCGGAGCGGATCCCTGACTCGGAGGGCTTGAGGTAGCGGAGGTGTAGTGGGACGGTGACGTTCCATTCTTCGGAGGTTGGGTCCGGCGTGGCGAGCTCTAGGAGCCAGGTTGAGCCCCAGCGGGAGACGGACCAGTCTGGGGCTTCGAGGTCGGTTTCGCCTGCTACGGCGCGGAGGGCGGCGAGGTTGTGCGAGGATAGGAAGAGCGGGTCGGTTGTCGAGAGCTGGTACTTGTCGCCGAAGATGGTGGACGGGAGCGTGAGGTAGGTGTGTAGCGCGCAGGTCGCGTCGGGTGGAGCGGGCGGGCGGTGCAGTGATGCCTGCGGCAGGGTGATTGTCATTGTTGGGTGCAGTCCTGTTGGCGGGGGGGAGGACACGCTGTAGGTGGCTTCGTCGGGGAGACCGTGATGGCGTGCGGGGAAGGAGAAAAGTGTGGGTTCTAGCGGGTTAGCACCAGACTCGACTTGTCGCAAGAAAAAGAAGGGTAGAAAAAAAGACATACTCAGTTGATCATCATTCCCCACGACCCCCAGTAAGCCTCCCATCTTGATCTCCTCAGGCTCCTTCGCCGGTTCGGCACCAAGCAACCCAACCTCAATCTGATCCGTCCCCTTGCGGACAGGTTTGGCAATCTCCTCCGTCCACCCGCCTTGCGGCGCGGAGGCCCAGAACCCGGAGACGGTCAGCGCATGCGAGATACTATCGTAGTTGATATCGAGGGAGTCCGCAGAGCGGAGGGCCTCCGCTTGTGCACGGCAGTTGTCGGGGTCCGAGGACGACGAGCAGACACTGCGTTCGATGTAGGCGGCGAGGGAGCCGAGGGATGGAAGGCGGGTATAGAATTGGGCGGAGGCGGAGGCGGCGAAGCGGGTTGAGAGGATTGGGGGGGTGATGAATGATGCCTTTCCCTTCTGTTAGTCTTATCTTTCCACTCAGTTGAGCATGAGAAAGGAGGGTGCGGACGTACCTCGGGAGAAACACAATCCACCTCATCACCGAATACTTGCTTCAGTGTTTGACACAAAGCCGCCCTATAAAAATAGAACACATCCTATAATCAGTAACCACACTCCTCACTAGGAATAGTACCAGAAAGAGAGAAAGACACACCCATCCCCATCCCCCTCCCCAGGAGTAAACAAAACATGCAAGCCCGAACTAACACGACTCGCAAACGGCGCCGGCGCCCCAGCAGGTCTCTCACTCGCCCATCTCACATGAAACTGATAGCATGATTGCAGGGCTTTTTGGAGCTATCCAGCATAACACACCGCATTAGCTCCGACTTTTCCCTTTCGTTCTGTTTGATGTGACACCGCCTGGACTCGTCCGCACACGCTCGTATCAAACAGAACTGATATGGATAGAGGAGAACTCACCTCAGAAGGAATCTCATCCAAAGCAAAAGTGGTGCGGTCTTCGCGGGCGGCGTCGAGAGTGCGGAGGGAGAGGGCGTCGGGGGAGACGTGGGCTTGGGTTGGGTCGTAGGGGGTGGAGGCGTGTTGGAGGAGGGTTATTCTTCGACGCATTTTGAAAGTAATATCAAGTATTGATATGGGTTGTGGAGGGAGAAGTCAGAGCAAAGGAAGAAGAAAGGAGGAGAGGATGGAGAGCAGGTGACGGTTGTTTTGGCTTCTCCGCATGAGGTCACGGGTTGACTGCGGTGGATTACCCGATTGGGTTTAGGGGATCGGATGAGGGGATTGGAAGTATATAGACTCCACTGTTTGATTATATCAAATGATGAACAGATGAAAGGAAATCAGTTAATTTTGGTCTGATCTAAGAATATACAAGATCATCATCACCCCTTCCCGAACGCCGACTCCAATGCTACTCCTAAATCACACAAACCCAGCACAACAAAAGAAAAAGAAAAGAAAACAATCAAGTCAGAACATCCTTCAGGATATCCTTCTGCGATGCAGTCAGACTCGTGGGGAACTTCACGTTCACCCGAACGATCAGATCCCCCCGCTCGCTGGGCTTCTTCGATATCGTCATGCCTAGATTGGGGTATCGCTCCTCATGGCCGGGCTGCGTCGGGCCGGGTTTCGACACCCGGATGGATTTGCCGTCGATAGTGCGCACGATGCGGTCCCAGCCGGTGAGGGCTTCTTTGAGGCTGAGATCGACGGTGGTGACGAGGTCGTCGCCGCGACGCTTGAAGTTGGGGTTTTCTTTCTACGGACGGTTAGCATTTTTCTGTCTTGCTGTTAATTTGGGAGGGGGGAATTGTGTACCTCTGTCACGATGAGATGGACGTCCTGACGGCCGCCTTCTTCCTGGTCCCCGACTCCGCGGTACTTGATCTTGGAGCCCGTCCGCAAACCGGGCTTGATGTTGGCCTCCAAGGTCACGTCCTGCACGGTGCGCTTGCCGCTGGCGTCAAAGGACCGGCTCTTGACCGTCACCTTCTTCGTGGTGCCGCGCATCAGCTCTTCCAGCGTCAGGGGCAGCTCCTTCTCCACCACCGTGGGCTCGGGCGTTGGCCCCCGTCGACTGGCCTGCGGGAATCCACCGGGACCGCGAGTGGTCCGGGCGCGAGGACCGCCACCTCCTCCGCCGAGACCACCGTTCAGCATGGAGAAGATATCATCGTCGTCGAACCCGCCGCCGCTGCCGCCGCCGCCGCCCATGCCACCACCGGCCTTGGCGAAATTCCGGAAGATGTCGTCGGCGGAGCTGAACCGGAAGCCAGAGCCGCCGCCGCCCGGCCCCGTCGAGAAGTGGAAGGTGCGAGCGCCACCACCACCACCACCCGGCATCCCTCCGAACGAGAACCCGCCGGGCATGCCGCCGGCGCCGAAGGGGGTGCCGTCGGGGCCCGCACCACCGGTGGGCCCGGGAGCGGGACCCCCGCGCAGCAGGTACTCGAGGCCGAACTGATCGTAGACCTTTCGTTTCTCGGGATCGGAAAGAACCTCATATGCTTGAGAAACCTCTGCATGGAAAAAAAAAAAAAAAAACGAAGTCAGTGAAACTGGTCGTGTCAGGGCTGGGGACGAGGAGGTCATACCTTTGAATTTCTCAGAGGCTTGGGGGTTATCCTTGTTCTTGTCCGGATGGTACTTGAGGGCCGCCTTGCGGTAGGCCTTTTTGATTTCATCCTGCGACGCCTCAGGCTTGACGCTGAGGGAGTCGTACAATTTCGTTTCCGCGACCATTGTGTCGTTCGCTTTCGGAGGTGGGGTGTTGACCGAGGATGATTGTTGGAAAAAGGGTCACGTATTTTCGCAATCAAAAGAGAAATTACAACGTCGTGAGAGGAAGTCGACGAGTTGTCGATCGGATATACAGTCGACGTCCAAGGCGAGAGTCAGCCACGGCGGCCTTGGACGGAGGGGGAGGGAAAAGGACCGAAGTGGGGGGAGAGAGCGTGAATGACGTAGAAGATTCGGGGCGCGAGATCTGGGGAACAGAACGCAGGTGAGAACTCAATAGTGGTTTAAATACGATCTGACAACAAAGATGATCGATGAAAGACAAGGAAGAGAAAGAGAAAGAGAAGTCAGCAGGAAGAGTTGACTGATTTGACGGACCCTGCACGAGAAGAAGAAGAAAGAGACCGTTGACGACAGAAAAGGTGATGTGACGTGTGACGTTGACGTTGGCCGCAGCTCCTCACTTTTGCCTCTGCCTCGTCGAAGGTTCGAGAAGTTTCGATCGACAACGAGGTTGATCAAGATCGATCGTCATTCAGTGGGCAAGTCCCTTCAGACAGGAATCAATCATCCAGAAGAGATGAGAGCATCATCCATCTTCATCTGATCGCATCGTCTACTTCGTCTCTTGATCGTGATCTGAGTCAGCATTGAGTCAGCCACATCATCATTACTTAATCTACATCCAGCTGAAGTATATAAGACATCATAAGGATAAGGAGCGACACAATTATAGACAGAAAGAGTAAAGGATGGAAGAATCAAGGAAGAGAGACCAAAGATATAGGCAAAGGAAAGGAAAGAGAAGGAGAGAATGAACGACTACAGTGTCTCATTCTCCCCCACAATCGAATCCTTCAGCACAACGATCCCGCTGCTCGCCAGTGCAGATCACCTGGATCGACCACAGGTAGCAGTGCGTGGTTGGTTAATATTCGAGGTCGAGGGTACCTCCTGTCTGCCAGCGGGCACCCGCCGACGAATGTCCCGTTAGTCTGCAAGGCCGCATTGCCGACCGCGCGGAATTCGCCAGCTCGCGGTGTGCCACCTGCAGGCGGACCACGTCGCCGTCGTTTCACGGACACATGTAGTCCCGGTCTTGAAACCCAGCACAGCGGCGAGGCCCGAGGCGGGTTCCCATGGTGGCCCGCACGTCGTTGTCCCTCGCGAGGTCCCAATTCGAGACTCGGGACGCTCTCGGCGTAGTTGATCGGCACGCCAAGTGCCTCTGCACCCAGGGCTCGTTCTAGTGCCCTGGTCGTACGGCACGGGGAGGGGGTCCAATTCAGGGTGGGTTAGCTCCAGGCCATCATCGCTGCATTAGACGGTCTTGTTGGTGGCCCCAATGCTGTAGATATTGTTATGAAAGATCCGGGAACAGTGCAGCACCTGGAGCAGCGTGTTGATACACCTATTTATGATCCCGAGTGTGTCCAACGAAGTTAATGGCCCCGCGCGAAGATCCTTGTTTGATCTTCTCGTTTGCTCCTGGATGGAGGCTTCGTGCTGTTCGAGTCCCGGTTGACGTGGCATGGGCGAATGATGTCCATCGCTGACCATTGAAGAATCAAAGGGGTTGGTTGGGAATTTTGGGCGGCGTTCTAATATGCAGATCTTGAATCCTCCAGACGCAGTCCGTACAAAGACGGATTTTGTCAGTACAGCTCGACAAGCGGCATCGCGTTACTTTGGTTTATAGGGTCCCTGTCTCTAGCTTCATGGGTAACGTTCCGAATAATACAGTAGATCCGTTAGTATAGGGTAACTATGATATGAAGGACTGGCAGACGAGTGACTGTGCAATCCCGTTGACGCTACGGAGGACGCGCGAGGGAAGATCGGACATGATAGCAATCCCTAGCAAACAAAGATGGCCAATCTCGGAGTACCCGAAGTAGTCATGTCCGACAAACGGAGGTGATTGGATACTCAATACTCATTGTGACAGGAATAATCTAGTAGAGATGAACAACTGGACTCCCCCAGGCCAATCCAACCCATCTGTGACTCATCACATCCATCACGGAAGGGCATTCTCGTCGCTGCATGGATCCCAGGAAGGGATCTGCACTGCGAGTGGCTGGAAGAGATACCTCGTCTACAAAGATATTCCGTCTAGACGACCCTTCGATACCCCAAGTTCTGAACCATATAGAGTCCAACCCAACCTGCAACTCTTATGATGGATCAGTTCTGAATTTTAGTAATCCGAGACGGGCCTTCATGACTTCGGCCCGATGGATGTACTCATTGCTTCTAAGCGATGGTGACCTAGCTTCCAACCCATCTTCTCAGTTCTCACTGACCTGAGTCGGTAGTATCACGACAGTCCAGACGAAATCGATATGAGGTGGGTCTATTGGCAGTAAATGGCCGTTTATCTCGGCCCAATATATATACTCCAAGCGGCTTGTAGCCAGCGGATCCACTTGCAGCCAAAAATCATGTCTCAGCGTCCCTGTTCCTATAAGTCCCTCCGTCCGATTAAGAATAGACCGGGAACGCGACGTAGTGAATTAAGCAATCCGACATCCTCCAATGTAAAGTCCAGTCGCGAAAGACAGTGGATCCCTGGTCGAAGTTAGAGGGGGTTATCCGTTATTGGCGTTGAAAAATCGAAGCGATAACCGCAGTGGCCAACTAACCATCAATAGTCCCTTAGTTCCACCGTGACAGTGGATCCAACCGAGTTGAGATATCGCTTGGAGGGACAGGTCGAGGGACTGACAGAGACTGGAGAGACTGGGAGAGACAGGAATTGTTCAACAAATCCGTCCGATTATCGGGATTGACCCATTTCCAGCCCCCTGATTGGTTCAACAGAGTCGGTGAGCCGGAACACGTGCCGAGTCACCCACATTCATTTTTTGGCTGGTTTGTCTGTTTGTCTGTTTTGCCGCCGTCCTTTTTTCTTAAAGCTTTTTTTTCTTCCTCTTTCTCTTTCTTCCTTCTTTTCTTCTCTCTTCATCCATCTTCACCTTCACCATCCACTTCAACCACCCATAAACAATCCCACTCAAGACATCTTCATGTCGATCTAAAAGATCTCTTCCCTTTTTTGATTTAGTGACTGGTAATTCCACAGTCGCGCTTATGTGTTTGGCACCCTCCATCTTCACTTCTCAGGTACGGATGCCCTGCCCCTGATCCCTTCGAACAAAGGACAGGATGCTGATAGAATCCCAATAGGACTACATTTCGGATCACCTCTGGAAAGCTTCTGGAAACTACTGAAATTTCCATCATCAACGAATTAGAATCATCAAACCATCTCATCACATACCCCCATTATGTTCGCCCAAATCTTCAGCAAGGGCATGCCCGCCCGGGTCTCTGCCTTCCCTTCAATGAAGGCCACCATGCAGTCTCGCTTCATGGCGACCGTTCGTCAGCAGCGTCCTGCCCCTGAACGCGCGACCTTTACCATTCGCGATGGCCCCATCTTCCACGGAAAGTCGTTTGGAGCCCGCTCCAACATTTCCGGCGAGGCCGTCTTCACCACCTCTCTGGTCGGATACCCCGAGTCCTTGACCGATCCCTCCTACCGTGGCCAGATCTTGGTCTTCACCCAGCCCTTGATCGGCAACTACGGCGTCCCCTCCGCCTCCAAGGACAACAACGGTCTGCTCAAGTACTTTGAGTCGCCCAACCTCCAGGCCGCCGGTGTCGTCGTCGCCGACGTCGCGGAGCAGTACAGCCACTGGACCGCCGTCGAGAGTCTCGGCGAGTGGTGCGCCCGCGAGGGCGTCCCCGCCATCTCCGGTGTGGATACCCGCGAGATTGTCACCTACCTCCGTGAGCAGGGTTCTTCCCTCGCCCGGATCACCGTCGGTGAGGAGTATGATGCCGACCAGGACGAGGCCTTCACCGATCCCGAGCAGATCCACCTCGTCCGTCAGGTCAGCACCAAGCAGCCCTTCCACATCGCCGCCGCCGACCCCCAGTGCCACGTCGCCGTCATCGACTGCGGTGTCAAGGAGAACATCCTGCGCAGCCTGGTCGGCCGCGGCGCCAGCGTCACCGTCCTCCCCTTCGACTTCCCCATCCACAAGGTCGCCCACCACTTCGACGGTGTCTTCATCTCCAACGGCCCCGGTGACCCCACCCACTGCCAGGATACCACCCACCACCTGCGCTGCCTGATGGAGAACTCCCAGGTCCCCATCTTCGGCATCTGCCTGGGTCACCAGCTGCTGGCTCTGGCCGCCGGTGCCCGCACCGTCAAGCTGAAGTACGGTAACCGCGCGCACAACATCCCCGCCCTGGACCTGAGCACCGGTCGCTGCCACATCACCAGCCAAAACCACGGCTACGCGGTCGACGCCTCGACCCTGCCCTCGGACTGGAAGCCCTACTTCGTTAACCTCAACGACTCCAGCAACGAGGGCATGATCCACAAGTCCCGCCCCATCTTCAGCACCCAGTTCCACCCCGAGGCCAAGGGTGGTCCCCTGGACTCGTCCTACCTGTTCGACATCTACCTGGACAGCGTCCTGAAGTACAAGACCAACCAGAAGGCCTTCTTCCCCGAGCGGGAGACCATCCCCAGCCCGCTCCTGGTCGACCTGCTGGCCAATGAGCGTGTGGGTGTGCAGCCCACCATCGGCATGCAGAACGTGGCTGCCGCTGCTGCTGCTGCCGCCGCTGCCGCCTAAGGCTTGTCTTGCTATTTCTTTCGGGCGTTTCTGGGGTCTGGTCAAATCGACACATTGTCTGGGACATTGTTATTGTTGCTTTAACCTAATTACATATCTTTAATACGAACCATTACAGATATCCATAATCATCCTTGTAATCACACCCTAGAAACCTACCGTAGAACACAAGTAATACCATACCATATCATAGACATCCTATCTCTACCGCTCAAAGATACAATAGCATAGCAAAAAATAACTAATTATTCCATTCATTTCGCCACAATAGACACAACATCCTCATCCGCCACAGGATGGCTCAGTCCCACCCGCTGCGGCACATGGCGCGCACTAGCCCCCCACACCATCGCATACTTGAACGAGTCCTTCAGCGTGCGATGCACCTGGTCGCACACGTCTTCGATAGTCGAGTTGTGCCGGACGATGAGGGCTTCCGAGAAATCGGGATCGTCGCCTTTTCTGTTGGATATTTAGCATATATATATCTCTTTCTTTTTCCTTTATGTTTGTGGCGAGTAGATAGCTAGATAGCTAGAGTGGAGGGATGGGAAAGGAAGGTGGGATGAAGGAGACGAACCGCTTCGTGTAAATCCGAATCAAACGGAGTTCCTTCCACAGGCGGTCTACGACGTCTTGCACGCCGAGGTTGAGCTCGCAGCTCATGACGGCTGTGTAGGGTTCGCGGGCGAGCTGGTCCAGGAAGTCGAGGCTGACGCTGTCGATTTTGTTGTAGACGTAGAGGCTGCCATTCATTATATGAGTTTGATTCTTGTTGGGTTTATGGTGGGTGATTGATAGAAGATGGCTTACCAGCGAATGTATTTCCGGTGGTCTTTCATGATCACGTCGATGAAGTCGTCGATTGTGGCTGCGAGTCACTTAGTATTTGCTTGCAGTTGTGACAATAAGGAAGAAAAAAAAAAGAATTAGGTACCATCCTCGTCTCGAACCAGCACCTCGCAGTTCAAGATCTTGTAGTCTTTGAGCACGTTGAAGATCATCCTCTCGTCGAGGTACTTGGGCGGTGTCTGGAAGGTGGTTTTGATGCCGCCCGCTTTTTTTTGTTTCAAGTAGATGTTTCTGTTCGGTCAGTTCATCCACCACCGGGAGAGGAGAGGCGAGGAGGGGGGAACATACGGAGGGTCCTTGTTCAGCCGAATTCCCACGGCGTCCAATTCCGCCTCTAGAAGAGCACGTTGCTCTGCTTTTTTCGTGGCGTCGAGGACCATCATGATCAAGTCACTTGTCTATCCACCGTGAGGTTAGGTTCTCAACATCCATTGATCGGTCCTGGACAGACAAAGGGAGAGATGATGTACCTTCGCAGCCGAGATAACCTGCCGCCCTCGCCCCTTACCCTCAGAAGCCCCCTCGATAATACCAGGCAAATCCAGAATCTGGATCTCGGCACCCCCGTACTCCAACACACCAGGGATAGCCGTCAACGTGGTGAACGCGTAGGCCGCGGTTTCGGCCTTGGTCCGCGTGATCTGGCCCAGGAAGGTGGACTTTCCTACGGAGGGAAACCCAACCAGGGCCACTCGCGCGTCGCCGCTCTTGCTGACATCGAATCCGGAGCCACCGCCGCCTGAGCCACCCGTAGGTTCCAGGAGCTGGGCGCGCAGTCGGGCGAGCTTTCTGTCCGTCTGTTAGTCGAAGTCGGGGTGCGGGAAATACGAGGAAGAAAGGCGAGGTACCCTTTCAGCAGACCCAGATGGTATTCTGCAGGCGAAACACGTCAGAATCGAATATATTCAGGGGTATAACGGGGGAGTGGAGGTGGTCGTACCTGTGGCCTTGTTCTCTATCGGATTGTTAGCGCGGGGCATTCTTCGGCGGATGGCAGTTGCGGGGAGAACAAATGGACTTACTCTGCGTCCTGCGCATCTCATCCTCAATCCTGGAAGTATGTTAGCTCTGCACTCAACTTAAGGAACCCCCGGCAGCAGACTCCACGCCAGACGTACTCCTTGATCTTCTCCGTGATGTTCACCATCTTGTCGGTGGGAGCCCCGCGGACTCTGCAACAACGGGAGGGAGTCGGGGTAACGAAGAAAGGAACGCGATCGGAGAGGGAGGCCCGGCTATTTTCGCAGACGCTCTATATCACTATAGCAGAGAACAGTAAAAAAGAAGCTCTCCAGGGATGATGTGCAACAAGCTTCAATAGCTGGGCTGAGGACTGGCGATAAGAATCTCATATCAAATCAAAATCGTCGATGCCAAGACCGGCAGCCATTATGTAATCACCGACCTCCGAGATGCGAATCCTCAATCGTCAAAAAGTATCCTTCGTCCATCACACATCTCCAATTTTCCTATCCTCGCCACAGAGATCTTCATCTTTTCACAATGGCGGACACGGCAGTCGTCGACGCCCCAGCGGCCACAGAGCCCTCCCCGACTCCGGTCATGGACCAACAGACCGCCACCGACGAAAACGCCCTCACAACAACAACTACCGACCAGCAATCCCAAGAACCAGAGCAAGAAGGCGACAGCACCGTCGCCGTGAAGAAGACCAAAAAGATCATCCGCCGCAAGCGTCGTCCCGCCCGGCCGCAGATCGACCCAGCGACCGTCAAGTCCGAACCGCCCCCGCAAACCGGCACCATCTTCAACATCTGGTACAACAAGTGGTCCGGCGGCGACCGCGAAGACAAGTACCTATCCAAGCACGCCGCCGAGGGCCGCTGCAACATCGCCAAAGACAGCGGATACACGCGGGCCGACAAGGTCACGGGGTCCTACTTCTGTCTGTTCTTCGCGCGCGGCGTCTGCCACAAGGGCCACGAGTGCGAGTATCTGCATCGTCTGCCGACGCTGCATGACCTCTTCAACCCCAACGTTGACTGTTTTGGACGCGACAAGTTCAGTGACTACAGAGATGACATGGGCGGTGTGGGGTCGTTTACGCGCCAGAATCGCACGCTGTACGTGGGTCGTATCCACGTCTCGGATGATATCGAGGAGGTCGTGTCGCGCCATTTCCAGGAGTGGGGGCAAATTGATCGCATCCGTGTCTTAACTGCGCGGGGAGTGGCGTTCGTCACTTATACCAACACAGCCGTGAGTTTCTTCCTCCCCTTGGCTGCCCCTGCACCTTTCTGGGAATGCCATGCCATGTCTGTCCCTATACTAGCGTATACTAACCCCCAATAGAACGCCGAATTCGCCAAAGAAGCCATGGCCCACCAAAGTCTCGACCACAGCGAGATCCTCAACGTTCGCTGGGCAACCGTCGACCCGAACCCACTCGCGCAAAAGCGCGAAGCCCGCCGTCTAGAAGAGCAAGCCGCCGAGGCCGTGCGAAGGGCCCTCCCAGCCGATTACGTCGCCGAGCTAGAGGGCAAGGACCCCGAGGCCAAGAAGCGGCGGAAGATCGAGGGCTCGTTCGGTCTGCAGGGTTACGAGCCGTCAGATGAGATCTGGTATACGCGGACCAAGGCGCTGGAGGGGTCGGAGCAGACCGCGCAGCTTGAGGCTCCTGCTGAGCAGCTTATGCTTGAGGGTGCTTCGTCATCTGCTGCTGCTTATGATACCCCTGCTCCCGCTGCACAGGGGCAGGTGACTGGTGGTGGAGGAGGGATCTTCAACAGTTCGACAGTGGCCGCGTTACAAAGCATGGCCGGGGGCAATATCACCACGCAAGCGGCCAAGGCTCCATCCGGGCCATTAGTGGGCTACGGGAGTGATGATGATAGTGATTAGTTTTCTTTTCTTCCAGTTTTTGATTTGATTTAAGTCGGGTTGATTTGGGGTGTTCTTCCTTTTTTTTCATCGATTATATTCATTACTGTCATGTTTTGCATCTGGCCTGTACAATAACAGAGATACCTTTTATCATATCATATTCATCGCTTTAGATTTGGTCTTGCTTTGCAGGTGTTTTGTTGTCCTTACGCAGGAATATATATAAATAAGTAGGTAGTTATATCGGCATGCGAGAGGGTATATTTGCTATGATATTGGCTATGGAACTCGGAGAGGAGAATTCAAAAAATCGACCAGATAACTCAAATCAGAATGCGATGCAATGAAACAAAATGAAAAACATAAACATTCCACACATGACAGGCATAACACATGACTCCGTACATCTAGTTATGTATATATATATCTAGATCATCATTGATTATTTGCACCCCCCAAATCGTAGTACAGGCAAGAGCCTGTACGGTAGTTGTAGATGAAGGCGTTGCTGTAGTGATCCGCCCCGTCACGGGCACGACCCTCGTTGGCGAGGTCGATCATCAGCTCGTGCACCTGGCTGAGGTACTTGCGCTCCGTCAGCGGCGCGTTCTGGATGACCGTGCGCCAGCTGTCTGGGTCTGACAGGCGCGTGTCGCGGATGGCTTCGAGGAGATCGTCGCGGGTGTCGATGGCGGCGATGGGCCCGTTCAGCGCGTGTTCCATGACCTCTCGTGAGCGGACCAGTGCGGATTCGACGATGTTTCGCCGGTTGGTCTTCTTGCTGCGGTGCTGGGAGAGGAGGATGCGCACGTCGTTGGCGCGCTCGCTCGCCCCGCCGCTGACGTCCGCTTGGATGAGTGGTCGGACTTGTCGGGAATCTACTGAGCCGTCGCGGTGATTGCGTGCCCAGATCTCGTTTCGTAGCCAGGGGACTAGCTCCGGGCTCCTGATGTCGAACTCTTCCCATGGCAGGAGACAGCGCACTTTGAAGCCCCGCTCCAGGCTGTCTTGCTTGGCGATCACGATCCAACCGTGGTTGTGGTCGCGGTACTTGCTCAGAAGGTCTTCGAGGGAGAGCGCATCGACGGCGAGCTCGGCGCTGATATCATTTGCCCACATGTCCTGCACGATCTTGACGCCTAGTGTGCGCAGCACGGTGGCGTCAAAGCTGGCAACAAGCACATCACACTGGTGTATGTTAGTGACCGGGCTACAGAAAAAAAAAAAAAAAAACAAGAAGGTTAAATGTGTAAAGACTCACCCGTCTGGTCCTCCAGAAGACGCCAGCATCCGTTTCAGGATGCTTGGACGGGGTCTTCGTGGGCGCCCTAAGAAATTCAACCATGGCCGAGCTGAGCCGGTCCCAGCTCAGATTGAAGCCCACGGCATGTGTTTGAGGGCTACTGCCGAGCAGCTTGGGAGTAAACTCTTGAACCAACGAGTCATATCGACCACCGGCTGCGAAGACATCCCGTCGCTTGTTGTCGAAGACACACTGGAACAGTATGCGGCCACGGTAAAACTTGTCGTTGAGACTCCCCAGGGGACTGACGTACACCTTCCGTTTCACCTCAAAACCTTGCAGGTACGTCACTAGTAGGTTGATACGGGTGAAGATGGGCGCCAGCCGCTCGGCAAACGGGGTGCCTTCCATGATCGCCCGAAGTCGCTTCTGTGTTTGTTTGGGAGAGTCTACCAGAGTTAGTCAACGGCCGTTCAAGAGAGTGGGAGGGGTAAACAAACCTCGGAAGTCGAAGCGGGCAAGATCGTCCAACGAGGTCGAAGCGATGCCGATCGAAGGAGAGCGAAGCTCGCTCCTGATCTTTTGCATATTCCACTTCCCAACGTTCAACTTGCTCATGATTTCCTTCACCAGGGGTACTTGGGACGGAGTAATGCGGCAGAACTCCATGATGAGCTGGAGCAAATCAGAGTGGTTGATGAGAAAGCACATTGAGGCTAGACGTAACGGAGGGAACTCTTCGATGATCTCGTCGAGCACCTTGATCACTTCTGCCTCCTTCAAGGACAGATCTAGGGCGTTTGGCGACATGATATCGAAATCGACTTCTTTGTGCGTGCGCGGCTCGCCGCCGTGGGACATCTCACGATACACGGTGCCAAACGTAAATGACTTCTCCAGGGACGGGTCTTGTCGGGGAATCGCCCGAGCATTGGGCAGGGTCAGGTCAAAGGGCAGCTGAAGGAGGTTACCCGACGAATCCAGCAACCGCACGGCCCCGTTATGGTAGTGCTGAGAACGAGGAAACAGCATTTGCCGCGTCGTTTCGACGGCGCCGTGTCGGCGAAAGATCGCTGTGAGGCGCTGTTTCACGAGACCCTGGACGAGCAATTCGTTCGCCGCCGGCGCTCCCCGCGAGTCCATGTCCCAGGCCATGTCCTCAAACTTCTTGGGCGACTGAGAGAAGATGGCCGACAGGATCTTTTTGTAGTCCGGGGAATTGGGGTTGGAGAGCAAGTGTACAATGGCACGCCGGAATGTCTCCTCTTCGACCTGCAAGGGGATCTGACCACTATGGAGCAGCTCCGAAGCCGACGGGCGCTCGTTCGGGTTGTGTTTCAATAGCGATTCGATGATCTGGCCCTGGACCACCTTTTCCGAGTATTGGAAAGTGGGCGGGAGCGTATGGTCCTTCTCTCGAATCTCTCGCAACGTCTGATCCCGTTCCATGCCGGTCGGGAGAGGGTGGCACATTTCAAAGAAGATAACTCCCAAAGAGAACATCTGCACTGGTCAGCGTCCATTGTTCCGTGTCACTGTCGCCCGGTACTTACGTCGACCTTCTCCGTGTAGTGTCCTGTGAAGCCTGACTTCATCTCTGGTGACACGTAATACGTCGTGCCCAAACTCCGGGTGAGATTTCCCTCGAACTCAGCCGCATCGGAGGAGCGCACGGCGGTGGTAAACTGCCCGCTGGTCGCGAGACCGAAATCACCGATCCGGGGGTTGTTGGCGACGTCAATGAAGATGTTGTCGGGCTTGAGGTCGCGGTGGATGATCCCGTGGGAATGGATGTGACTTAGTCCATCTAAGATCTGTCGGAACAACCGCCACGACCGTTCGACGTCATCATACAGGCCATTTCGGATGAGATCCCGGAGGGTCTGTGTACGATTAGCAGAATTCTAGGGGGGTGGGTGGCATGGAAGGTCCACTCACGTGCTTCTCGCAATACTCCATCTGAATATATAGGGTGGTGAGAATGGGACGACTCAGGGAGCCCGATCGGACCCGACTCAGTTCCCGCCCGGTGCTGCTCTCAGTGGCATGGTACGTGTCGGGGCTTTCGGCCTTCGCCCCTGGTGACATGGGCTCGTTGTGTTCCTCCTCGCTGTCGGAGCCAAACTCGATTTTCGGGTAACCGCTCGAACTAATAAAGTCCAGGCCGGGGGTGCTGTAGCCGAACTCGTGGGACTCGTCGCTGCGAAACGAGTCCCCTTCGGTGGAGGAGAGGGCGTGCTCATCGGCGGTGTAGTCCTGCTCCAGCCATGCGGTGTAGTAGCGGACGACGTAGGGATGGTTGAGTCGCGAGAGCAGCATGATCTCGGAGAGCGTATCCTTCAAGGCCGCCGCCGATTTGTGCGAAATCTTCTTTACCGCGTAGAATCGACCGTCAAGCTTATTCCGCGCCTTGACGACCTGACCGAAGCCCCCCTTGCCCAGACGACCGGCTTCATCGAAATCTTGGTGGTATCGCGAGAAGGTTGCTAGGGCCCCCGATGAGTCCAGACGCGGGCGCCTCGGGAGCGAGATGGAGTTGGAGGCACTCGTCCGGACCACCAACGGCAAATCGACCCGGAAAAACTCCGACGGCTGTAGCTGGAAGGCCGTCGGCCGCTTCCTCGGATCGGGTCGGAAGATCTCATGGAGGAGATCTTGCAGCGGCAGGGAGAGACTGAGGGAGCCCATCAGTGCATCGACCGAGGTATACCGTTGGAGGACATCCTGCCCAAAGGCCATCTGCAGGAAGGCGATGCCCAGGTCCCAAACGTCCGTCTTGGTAGTGAGCGGCGCGCTCCCCTGGGTCAGCTCGGGGGGCAGCCAGAACGGGGACTTGGATGTCGTTAGCGGTCGATGGGGGGCTCCGGACTCGGGCAGCGCCTCTTCGATGCTCGATTGCAGTTTGACGACCGTGCTCCCCGTGGGATTCCGGAACAGGAAGATGCGGCCGCAATGGATGTTGCCATGGACCAGTCCACTCCGATGGTAGAACTCCAGCGCTTCGAGGAGCTGGATCGTCCAACTCCGGAGCATCTCCACGGGCACTGTCCCCACCATGTCGAGGAACTCGTTTAAGGACCCCTTGTTGGCGTGTTCCAGGAGAACATGGACAGTCCAGGTATGGTCCGGCGACTCCGCCACGTCCAGGGGTCGTTGGATCTTCAGACCGACGAAATGAACGATATTTGGATGGCGCAGTCGCCTCAGGTTCTCCAGCCGGTCCTCGCTCGTGCGCATCCGTTCCCGAAATAGTAACGGCTCCTGCCCCTTCTCGTCTAGGGCGATCTCCTTCAACACCAACAGCGGTGCACCGGGCCGATTTCCCGACACCACGGGCCGGACCGCAAAGGTCGCCTTCCCTGGCGTACTCTTCAGCAGGGTCTTCCCGTAGACGACCTGGAAGACCAAGGGGCCTTCGACGGCACTGCTCAGGACCACCGGGGGGTCAAACGAGATGGCGTCCGGCAGGTTTTCAACAGCTTCCTGGACCCCGAGGGAGCCCGTCCGACTTTTCCGCCGGGAGATGCGGGCCTTGGTGCGCTCGCGATCTTCCAACAACAGCTGGAGGGCCCGTTCCTCCTCCGCGGAGGCGGCCTCTTGTTTGCGGATCTCCTCCTGCTTTTCCTGCTCAGCGCGCTCGTTGGCCGCGGCTTCCTGCTCCATGCGCTCCTCCTCCAAGCTGGGGAGATCCTTGTCCTGGGCCTGGGCTTCTGCGACGTCTTCGAGGACATCCTGGATGGCGACGGCGATCTCGTAGATCATCTCCGCCCCGAGGAGGGTCTTCGGTTTCGTCCGACAAATGTCCTGAATCCGTACCCGGGCCCGTTGCCGCAATTTCTCCAGGTTCTCGACGGACAGGTTCGGGACGGTTTTGGGGTACGTCGTTGGCAACTCGACTAGGAGCTCGGCTCGCACGTCGGGGTTGGCGGAGGATCGGAGGTGCAGTTTAAAGGCTACTTCGGACGATTGCTACGGGGCCCATCAGTGTGAATCGCAACAGGGACCGAGAATTCGGGCCTACCTGCCAGGCTGAGCGCCGGTGCTGGACTTCCTCAAAGTCATCGCCATATATGGATCGGAGAGCGTCCACCTCGTTCTGGTGGATCTCCTGGTAATTGGTGGGGGCGACTACGGGCGCGGTGAAAGGATCCGCGGGGGGCTGTAGCTGGGATGGAGAAGCAGCTTTCTTCTTCTCCGCCCTAGGGGAGGCAGTTTTGGGGGCATGGTGGTTCTTCTTGTGCTTGTGAGGCATAGCGGGGCGTGGTGGAATTTGGGCGGTGTGGAATTGAATCGTGATGGATCTTTGCCATAAGGGGACGCGGTGACAAAGATGCAGCCGAAGCTGCAGCCCTCTATATCTCCGAAGGGGACATTTTCACTATCAGTAGTAGTTAAGAAGGGAGTGTATTGAGGAAGGAAGTCAGAAGAGAAGAGAAGTGGAAGAAAGAGATCAAGATAGAGTTGGAGATGATAGACCCGGCCCGATGGTTAATCCGGCCATCAACAAAGCGGCCTCAGGCTGGGGTGTTGACGATGGCCACGTCAATCCTGTGTCAATCCTCTGCTTCCTTCTACCCAATCGTCGCCTCGCCTGGCTGATCGCTCTGTTTCCTCGTGGTTTCGGCTCTCTCCAGTCATCATGCTAGAGTGGATCTCGGGCCCGAACGACCAAACCGCTGGTATGTTTGTGTTGTGTTTGTTCCCCACTCGGGGAGCTTTTGCGCCTTTGCGGCGCGTCCACCTACGCTCTCCACTTCTCCCCCCGTCACCAATAGTGCTGCATCAACAAGTCATCCCTTCTCTCCCTTGTTTTATCGTGAATGTTGGAGGCTGTCAGCGACGGTCGAGTGCTAACTGAGGATGGTTTCTCGGTCGCCAGGAGATAAATCTCAGGTCGGCGAACCCCCCGAGACCCCTGCGCCCGTCTTTGCTATTCGCGCCTTTAAGAGCGCTCTGTTTGGTACTCCCGGAGAGGACGACGACGAGAAGACACCAAAGCCAAAATCTCTGCCCATCGATCGCTCGCGAAACGACAGCGATGTACTGAAGCCGCCTACGCTCCAACCGTCTACGAAAACCGATGCTGGCCCCGCAGTAAACAACATGTTGTCCCCGACAAAGAGTATTCTGGTCACGCCGGGGACGGCGTCGAACCGTCGGAAAACGGTCTCGTTTGGGGATGGAGTGGTCGACAACGAACGCAGACGAGAAGAGCGGGACAAACCCCAGACTCCGGCGAGCACAACGGGACCGCTGAGTAGCCAGTGGTCCGTGGATAGTAAAGGCAAACCGCGGAGCAAGCTCACGCAAGCCCTCCTGGATTCTCGCGAACAAACCGCCAGGTCGGTGGAATCGACTTATTCCCGCACCGAACAGCCTCCATCCCAACCGGTAACCAAGGCTCCCACTGCCGCATCGCCAGAGGAGAATAACGACGACACGATCAATCTCGACGAGCCCCGTTCCCAGTCGGGCAAGTACTGGAAGGCCGAGTTCGACAGCTATCGCAACAAAACCACGCGCGAGATCAGGAAGCTCATCCAGTACCGGTCCGCCGCCAAACAATACGCGCGGAAGAAGGATGCCGAAGCCCTGCGGTTGTCGGACAAGCTGAAGGAGGAGGAAGTCAAGGTCGCCGACATGGAACGTCACGTGACGCAACTGGCGTCGACCATGGTGGAGGAGAACACCAACGCCGACAAGGAGAAGCTGGTGCAGGACCTCACCAAGCAGACGGCGCTCGCGCTGCAATACAAGCACCGGGTCGGCTTACTGCGCAAACTCCTCGAGCAGCACGGGGTCGTGGGTGTGGACGCGGACGCGGACGACGCGACGAACGCAGTCGAACCCAAGAACGCGCCCGACGCGGCGGATCAGCAGCTCCGCAAGACCCAGCAGGCACTGGGTCAGGCCAACGCGAGGATTACCGAGATGAAGCGCCAGGATACTGACTTCAGCCAGCTCAAGGACCTCGCGCGGAGCTCGGAGCGGAAGGCATCGGAGTTGGAGAAGGAGAACACCAACCTCAAGCAGACCCTCGCACGCGTCAAGCAGGAGATGACCAAGTACGAGGGCCGGCGCAAGGAGAAGGAAGCGAAACTGCGACAGCGGGAGGCCAAACTGGAGACGCGGATCCAGGAGTACCGGGAACGCCTGAAGACCGCGTCGCAGCAACGCCGCGAGACAGAGGAAGACCTCAAGCAGTCCTTCAATGACGAACGCCGGCAGATGCTGGAGCAAATCGATCTACTAAAGCTCAAGGTGGCCACCATCGAGCGACTGCCTGAGCTCCGCGCCCGAGCGAATCGCTACTCGGAGAGCCCGCGAAAAGGCCACACAGGAGTCCAGATGTTCGACTTTGGGCAGACCAGCCCCCAGCGGGAGCCACAATACGACGAGACCGAGGAGATAGATGAGCCTCCGAGTCCGAGTCCGCGCGCAGCCAAGGGCCAGCGCTCGCACCAACACGCGCGCAACTCCCTCGGCGAGTTAGAGCTGCGACGAGCGGCCCAAACACTAGGCCTGGAGACGCGTGGCGAGCGCCCGTATTCCTTCGCGGGGGAGTCCCCGTTGAAGCCAAACGGGGGCCATTACCACGAAGAATCCAACATCGCCGCCCTACCACCCTCCTCACCCCCAGACTACCCATCCCTCAAACCGACCTCGCACCACGCCACGGCCGACACAGCCAAACACAAACACGACCTCGACAGCTACCGCTCCTACCGCCCCTCCCACACGTCCATGACCGCGCTCGCCCACCACCTCGCATCCCTAGATACAGACAACCGCCACCAAATCCGCCACGACCGTCTGCGCACCCGCCGCCGCTCCCCAGTCAAGTACAGCCTCGACGCCGTGTCCGCGCTCCCAGACGCCCACACCGGCGCAGAGCGCGCCCGCAGACGGCAAAGCCTCGCCACCGTCCAACGAGACTCGATCCCAGCCGAGCGCATGCTCGCAGCACAGGCACGTCTCAAACGGAAGGACGACAGCCGGAAGGGCAAAAGCGAGGGGAAGGAAAATATACGCACATACAGTCATTAACTACCGGCCATGGGGGGTCAGTTAGTGATTAGGTCTTGATTCATTTGTTTTTCTTTCATTTGTTTTTTTCCTTAATTGTGACTGGCGTTGTCCCACATACGACTATGTATCGCTGGCTTGTTTTCTTTCCACGTTGATTCTAGCCCTTTGCTTTCTCTTTCTTCTTTCTTGCCTGTCTGTCTATCTCTACCTTGTCTCCTGGATTACTACTTATTAGCTGCATTATAATTTCGTTATACCCCCGAGATGAAGAAACAGGATAGCATTCTGAATGATGGCGATCAATCATCTACAGAATTGCAATGCAATGTTCAGTCGTTCGTTCATTATTTAATTAACATTCTTTTTTATATTACCGTCCCAGTCGATAGGCCTGACTCTTTACGTATCTAAACATGAACAAGTTCTGATTTACTAGATTATATGTGGTTGGTTATAGATGACATCCTCTAGCCACTTCTCTCTCCGACGTGGTCGTCAATAGTTGGTGTCGCTACCCACCAATGCACTACTCGTGTATATATGATCTATAGAGGAATCGCTGGATTAAATATTGATACATCAATAAGTTTCTTCTATGTAAATACATACACATATATATATACATCCATCCATCTTCACTCGTGCGCTGCGAGAAATATCAACATGCTATATAATACAGAGAAAGTCCACCATCCAGTATATCCAGAAGTGTATATCACAGAGGGGGGAAATAACGATAGAAAGAGAAAAAAAAATAAACAAAAAGAAGAAGGGGTCTGATCTATAACATCAGACAGTGATAACAGCCGGACACCCCTTTCTTCAATCGTACATGCTTGCCTGCCAGCCACCTTTTTTGTGTTGAATTCACCCAACGCCGACCCAATGCGTGACTCCCTCTCAGATAATGAGAGAAGGCCATGAGAGAACAAAAAGTTAAGACACTAAGAAAAGAAATACTTGCTGTCCCGGATACGGGTCAAATCCCACGCGCCCTTGTGAGGCACGTCGCGGAACCGCAGCGGGAGCCAGAGCCAGAGGGTGACGACGCTCTTCTTCTTGTTCGAGCCGCCGTCCGGTCCGTCGATGTCGGCTTCGTCGGCCTCCGCCTCGGAGACGCCCTCCAGCGCGTCGGCTTTGGGGGTGGTGTCGCCGAGGTCGCTGAGGAGAGACTGGAGCGCGGGGTCTTCCGAGTCGGCCTCGATGCCGGCGGGTCTGCGCTCGGCTTGCGCGAGGTTCTCCGGCACGTGGCCGACGACTGTCTCGCCGAGGGAGTTGGGGATGTACAGGTCGCTGTCGGTGCCGCCGGCTTCCTCGAACATGCTGGCGGGCGTCACCATGGCGCGACCCTGGGCCTGCAGTTCTGGGTCGTCGGACTTCAGGAGCTGCTGGCGCTTGTGCTCCTGCAGGAGTTCCTGGAGTTTGCCTGATGGGGCGCCTTTCTTGCTGCGCATGGCGGCCAGTTTGCGTCCGATGGGACTGACCTTGGGGACCTTGGCCAGGAAGAGGTTCTGGCCGTAGCGCACTTCGAACTCGGCGGCGAGTCGCTTGATCACGTCGTCGGAGTGCATGCGGACGAAAGCTTCACGAAGGATGTGGTTCATGGAGTCGACGTCGCCCGCGTGGGTCCAGAAGGAGTCGTGCACGGCGGAGAAGGTGAGGCCGGCCCGTTGGCAGGCGGTGGCGGACATGATCATGTGCGTCGCGTCGAGAGAGTGGATGAAGTTGGGCGGGAAAGCCTGGAGTTGCTTCCGCCGGGAGACGGCATCGTCCGATCCCATGTCCACGAGGCTCAGGGCCTGGAGGGTAGTGGCGATACGACGGACTTTGCGGGTGCGATAGGGCTGCACCACAGGCAGGCCCAAAGGCGTCGTCCAGATCACGGTCGACTTGAACTTGTCGGTCAGAGCGTTGTTTTTCGGCTTGGAAGTCTTCGACCCGGGTTTGGCGGGGGTAAGCGCCTCTTTGCCGATGGCCTCGATCTGTTCCGGAGTCAGAGACTGCGTGATCCGGCTGGCGCAGTCACCGAGCCAGTACTGGATCTCGTGCGCCCCGTGGAACATGGACCCGAGGGCTTCGAAGATCTTGCGGGCAATGTAGAGCGCTCCTTGCTTCTTTTCGTCGGCGGACAGATCCGGGTAGAATTCAATCAGTTGCTTGCGCACTTGCTTCATGGCACCCATGAAGGTCACACCGTAGACGTTGGTCATGACGGTCTGCTTCACGATCTTGCGCGCAATCCTGCCGTCCAGGAGCTTCGCCGTTGGGTTTCCCTCGGCGGCTTCGCGCGCCACCACCTCCTTTACGAATTCTGCGACACCCGTATACACGTCCGACGGGCGGTCCGACGGTTCCAGGTTAACCTGCTGGGCACCGACTTTATCACCGCCGAGCGCGGCATAGTGCTGTAATCCGTTACACGAGCCATCTTGGTGGATGGGCAAGCGCGACAGATACTGCGTGGGATCCGCCTCCCGGAGGGCGTTTCGCAGCTCGCAGCACGCAGCCAAGCACTGCCAGGGATCCTCGGCCTTGAGCCACCAGCGTTTCCCGTGAAGTCCGTTGTTTGCCGAATCAAGGATGTCGTCCAGATGGTTCATGGCAAATTGTTCCCGCTCCGACATGCTCGCCTTGTCGAATCCGGCCAAGTTGGCAATCTGGATCTTCAGCCACTTCAAGCCGGTTGTGCCAAGCGGCTTGGCCTGGTCGAACAGGAGGAGACCGCGGGCATTATCCGCGCCCATCTGGTTCAGATACGGCGGGAGGGGATAGGCACGACCACGGAAGTCCATGTTGTGGGGGAGGTAGAAGGTCTCATTCCGGTAAGACCGGGCCACTTCCATCTGAAAGTTTTGGAAGCATCGCACAGAGTGCAAACCAGTCCGTCGGTTTTCGATGTCGCGCATGGTGTGGTCCCACTTGCGCTGGGCCTCGTAACCCTCTTCGGGGGCGGGCTTGTCGGGCAAGGGCAAGCTGGGTTCCAACGGGGCCAGATTGGCAATATCCTCGCCGGAGTTCCACGCTTCAAGCATCACGTCAAACACTTCACGGTTGATCCTCCACCCGGTCTGGCCAAGAATATCCAAGCCGTCCCGGATCTGCTCCAGTCCATTGTCCTTCAGCGCCGCCTTCACGTATGCGGGCTGCAGAGTTTCGCCCGGCGTGGTGCGGACGATAGTGCTTCGATAGAGGAAATATCCTCCGTCACTGGGGCCGCCCCACGTCTTGGGCTTGCAGAGCATGGGAAGATGGCGGCCCAGGAGCTCTCCAGCGGGCTCCTTGGCGACGATCTTGACAATATCCGAATGCAGGTGGATGTACCCGATGCGCCGGCCCCAGGTAATCTTGTAGGCGTGCTGGAAAGCGGGCTGCATCATGACCTCGTTCTTCTTCGTTTCCGGGTTCTCCTGGACGACCGGAGCTTTGGCCGATTGGAAGAGCAACGTCATCAGGACAGCCCCGATGCGAGCCTTGACTCGCGGCGACCAGATGACCGTCGGATCCTCGCTTTGGTATTTTTGGACCAGGCCTTGCCACCGCGGCCGACCGTCTTTCTGATTTCGACCGGCCAAGATCTCCTTCAGGGCCTTCACGCGCCGTACATCGTTGTTATCTCCGGACTGGCTCTTCAGAGCTCTCTCCGCGATCAACTCGTCTTGGAGGTCTTTACCAATGGATGTGACAATTGCCGACAACTTCAGCCCTTTCTCCATCCCGCCGCGGCTGAAGGCAGACATCACCGCCAGAATCGTCAGGGCAGCAATTCTCTCCGAATCCAAAGAGCGCAGATAGACGCCGTAGTCACAGCGCTCTTTCTGGGCCATGGTCCGGATCGGGTTGTTCTCAGCCTCCTCCACCAGCTTGAGCTCTTCGTGCAGCTTGGAGACGAGGCCGGAGTGCCACTGGTTCATGATGTAGCCGAGTTTCTTCCCCCCGGCGGTCATATCAAGGCCCGCCTTCTGTCTCTCCTGGTATTCATGGCGCCAACGGTGCATGGCAGATTGGATCGAGTCGCTCTCCACCTGGCGCTGTCTGAGCTGGTTGTACAATTCCTCGTTCTCGGCGTCGGTATAGGCCGGGTTGGGGGTGAAGTCAATCTCAGTACTGCCGGAGAAGGACGCAAGTGATTCCTTCAGTGACAGGAGTCCCACGCCCTTCTGCTCCACGGGCCTCACTTCAGGGACGGAATCGAAGGAAGGCTCGTGAGTCTCTGATACTGGGCCCGAATGAATACTGCCGATGGCAACGCGCTGAAGGTCCGAAGCACAGATCTAGTCAAGCAGAGACGTCAGTGCCTGAAATTATCGCAAAAGTAGCTACGAGAAGATACTCACCTCAGAAAGTTCACCCAACTCCAGTTCTGACAAAATAGGAACAGCCAAAACCTCCTCCTCGAGAGCGGCTCTCTTAACGAGATCCCAGTACCGACGCACCGTCCGGTCTCTCTTCGCACCGTGGAGCATGCGCAGAGCCATGCGGAGCATGATGGCGTAGGTCGTCGCATCCGGCGTGCAGCCGCCCCGAGGCATATCCACCTCAAACCACCTCTGCATCGGCAAGGCCAAATCGCGCTGCCGTGTGACGATCATATGCTGCACCATCTCCTTCAGATAGCGATTATGCAGGGCGAGGTATTCCGGCGATCCAACGGGGTAGAGCTCTCCCAGTCGCGTGATGAGAGATGCTGCCCGGTCAAACCGGCCGACTTTCATCGAGATATCCAAGTTCGCCATCATCTCGTCCTCATTGCCACCGAGTCCTCGGCTCCGCTTCAGCATTTTGGGTTTGGTCTGGAGTAGCTCATCCATGATGATCAAAGACGACGGATCGAACTCCCTCGGTGGCGCTTGGAAGAGGGGAGCCAGTCGGTCGGGCTGATCAAAGGAATGGTAGGGCCCTTGGTCCATTGCCGACTGATCGGCTGCCGTCGCGAGATTGCGGTTCGACTGGAAGGACGGGCGACGGGAATGTTCGTGGGACAGAGTCGACGAGGTGTTTATCGGAGAGGACGATCGATGAGAGTTGGAATACAACCGCAAGGCCGCGGGCGATGGCGACGCCCGGCGCCCATGCGGCAGGCGGAGATGTGACAACGCATTTTTCTGACGCGCGAGACGAGATAACATGACGCACGGAGATCGCTGAATAACTAAACACGGGGAATTAAGGTAAAATATGCGGCGGAAAATAAGTAATGATGCAGAACAATTAAGCTCAATGCCGACGGATCGGATGCACGATGGACAGTGTCATTAAAAGAAGTAAGTAGAAGGGACAGAATTTGAAAGCTGAGTCCCCCGTTGGGACGTCGTCAATGGGACTGACAGCTGTCCGGCAGCCCTCCACCAAGGAATCAACGAGAATCAAGAATGAAGAGGGAGGAGGGAAAAGAAGGTGGAGAGGGAGATGGTGAAGTCGAACAGAGACCGAACGAGAGAGAGAAAAAGGGCTGAAAAAACACCGCGCGCGATCGCCGATAAGGCACGTGAGGTCACGTGGACGGAACAGGGATTTGCGCGGTTTGATTGGCTGGACCATCGGGAGTGGCGATCGGCTTGCCCGATTGGGTTTTATACTGCTTGCCACGGTTATTTGATTTAATAATAGTTTCTATACAGGACGTTGGACAGGTTCTTGAATGGAAGAGACAACTAAACACATATATACACCCAGAAGAACAGTACAATCATGAAAATCTCGTAATGCGACACTATAATACTCTCCTACCCACGCTGCGTCGACCGGTTCTGCTTCATCGCCCACCCCGTCATCTCCGGCCGCGCAGGATCAATTCGAGGCGCACTCATCCGATCCAGATATTCCTCGCTATTGATCGCCGACTCGAGCTGCGGTAGATTCTCCACATCCTGATGCATCATGAAGTTCTCGTACACGTCCCACGATTCCTCCGTCTATCGAGCCGTTAGTATCAGCTGTTTCCCACGAAAAACAAGAGACAGACGAAAGGATGAAACGATGCAAAGATAAAGAATAGAGAAAGAAAGAGGGAAAACCAACCTCAGCATCAACCCACTCATACCGCCCCCACTTCTCATCCTGCATCTTCTTCAAAAGGTCCAGGTTGCCCGCAACCACCGCCGCACCGCCCTCCTCGGCAGCCTTGATCTTGACATCGATCGCCCGCGCTTCGCTCTCAGCCTGCCTCTCTTCCTCCCCTTCTTTCCGAGCGCCCTTCCCACCTCGGCCTTTAGCAGGGATCTCATCCAACGCATCCAGATGATGCAGCTGCGGATGGAGCTGCACGACAGCCGTGACGGGGGAGAGATGTAAATTGCCTATAGCTGTTAGTCAAAGCTCTCAAACGAAACAATGAAAGGAAAGAAAAAAGACAAAAGAAACGGCGCAACCCCTCGTGTCTCTCCCTCTCTCTCTCTCCAAAAAAAAGGAAAAACTCACCATCCCTAAAAGCAGCCAACATATAAACCGGATCCCCCTCCTCCGGAGTCTGAATCCTACCCCCAAGCGTCTGCACCCTCAACAAGCTCGCCTCCCCCGTCCCCATACCCCCCATATCCACATCCCCCCCATTCCCTGCACCTCCCCCCTCCGCCTTCACCTTCCCCCCACCAGCAACACTAAACCCCCGGCCATCCCATACCCCGCGCCCTCCCTCGCCCCGCGACTCCTCTTCAACGCATCCCCATACCTCAACCCCTTCTCGACATCGTAGTTAACGCGCGTATTGACAGGGACGTCGACCTCGACGAGGCCCGTGCGGGGCTTCAGGCGCAACGAGGTGGGTTTTTGCCCGTGGCGGTCGTCGTAGTTGTGGCCGGCGGGGCGGTCGAGGTATTGTAGGACGTAGCGGGAGATGTCGGAGTCGTTGAGGGTGATGTCGTAGGAGGAGATGATGGGGTCGTCTTCTGTGGCCATTGTGTGGGTTCGTCTTTTTTTTTTTTCTTGTTGTCTGTCTGAGAGAGGAATGTGTTTGGTGGGATAGACAATATCCGCTAATGGCTAGAAGATCTTAAGGGTGAGGTGTGTAGTGTCAGTAAATGGAAGAGTAGATGTCGGATGTCGCTGGAACTTTTTTTTCGATATCAAAGATCGCGGAACGAACTCCGGTGGAGCAATCAGTTGCTGATAAGCCGGCGGGCAGAATTGGCAGTTGGCTCACCGCTTTTTCATTTTCTAGTATACGTTTGATTTGCAGTCCTTTTTTTATACACGCTTGATTACTGTCTTTACGAATATATGTATCAAAGTTGTCGGTATAGGAAGTATTTCAAGCTGGGAAATATAGGCTTGCAGATGTGCTGTAAAACAGGATATACACAACATCGCACTCAGTGTTTAGTTCGTCCATCAAACAGATGAAAAGAAAATGCTAGATCAGATCATGATTACTGACAATAAAGGAAATAAGATATCATTGTCTAAATAAAAGTCGTGAGATCAAATCCTCAAGTTTAAGCTTCAACAAAATACAAGAATGCTCCTTTTGTAATATCCTTTTGTAACGTCCGTTTACTCATCGTCTTCATCCTCTTCGGCAACCTGGACATAAACCGTTAGTGAAACTGATAACTTAAAGAACAATGCTAAGGGGGAGAAAAACGTACCCCTTCATGGAAGTTCATGCCATCGCTAGTCTCATTGATGATACCGGCACGGATGCACCAATCGCCGAAGCGCTCGGGCTCTTCGCCGTCCGTGTTCCGCTCGAGCGAATACCGCTTCAGCAGACCCTTCATGATATCCAGGATCTCGTCCTCCTTGATGGACTGGCGGAACAGCTTGTTCAGGCGCTGGCCATGGTAGCCGCCGCCGAGGTACATGTTGTAAGCACCGTAGGCCTTGCCGACGAAGGCGACCTCGGCGAGCCAGGGTCGCGCGCAGCCGTTGGGGCAGCCCGTCATGCGCATGACGATGCTGTCCTGCGCGAGACCGACCTCCTCGAGGGTGGACTCGAGCTTGGAGATCAGGATGGGGAGGTAGCGCTCGGACTCGGCCATGGCGAGACCGCAGGTGGGGAAGGCGACGCACGCGGAGGACGACAGACGCAGGCCACTGAAGGCGGTGTTGTCCAGCTTGTACTTCGCCATGAGCTCCTTGACAGCCGGGAGGTCTTCGTCCTTGATGTTGGAGATGATCAGGTGCTGGTTGCCCGTGAGGCGGAACTCGCCCTTGTTGAGCTGGGCCAGCTCGCGCAGACCGGTGCGCATGCGGAAGTCGGCCGTGTCTTCGATCCGCCCGTTCTCGATGAAGCAGGTGAAGTGGTTCAGGCCCGTCTCGTCCTTGATCCAGCCAAAGGTGTCGACGTTGGAGGCGAACTTGAAGGGGCGGGGCTCCGCGAAGCGGATGTTCTCCGGGAGGAGGTCGACGACCTTGCCCTTGAAGACCTCGACGCCCATGTCGTCGATGGTGTACTTCATACGGGCGTGCTTGCGGTTCTTGCGATCCCCGAAGTCACGCTGGACTAGCATGATCTTCTCGCAGGCGATGTGGGCCTGGTCCGCGGGCACGTAGCCAAACATACGGCCCGTCTGGGGGTACGTCTTCTTGTTGTTGTGGGTGGCACCCATGCCACCGCCGGCGAGGATGTTGAAGCCCTCCAGGGAACCGTCGGCGCCCTTGATGGCGATGAGGCCGATGTCGTGGGCGTAGACGTCCGTGTCGTTGTGGGGAGGAATGGCGATCGTGATCTTGAACTTGCGAGGCAGATAGGTGGGACCGTAGAGCGGCTCGTGGTCGACGACGGCGTCACCGGCGACTTGGACCTTCTTGTCATTCTCGTCCTTCAGCCAGATCTCGTGGTAGGCGGTCGTGGCCGGGAGCAGATGGTCACTGATCTTCTTGGCCACGGCGTTCGTCTCGCGGTGGAACTGCGACAGTTCGGGGAGAGAACTGCACATGACGTTACGGTTGACATCACCGCACGCCGCGATGGTCGTCATGAGCGACTTGTTGATCGCACGCATGGCACCGCGCAGATTCCGCTTGATGACGCCGTGAAACTGGAAGGTCTGTCGCGTCGTCAGCTTCATGGTCTCGTTGCCGTGAGAACTGCTGATCGCGTCCATCTGCAGCCACTGCGTCGGGGTCGCGACACCACCGGGCAGACGGCAGCGGATCATGAAGCTGTACGCGGGCTCCAGGCCTTGCGCCTTGCGCTCATCACGGACGTCGCGGTCATCCTGCATGTAGGTTCCGTGGAACTTGGTCAGCTGCTGATCCACCGCCGAGATGGCACCAGTCGTCTCGTCCTGCAAGCCTTCTTCGATGGTGCCACGCAGGTAGTTGGACTGGATCTTCATGTCCTCGTTCGTCAACGGAGCGGGCTCCTCGGGCAGACCCTCGACCTTGTCCACGCCGAGAGCTTGCCAGAGGCGCGGCTCCCACTCGGAATAGCCAGTCTGGAAGGCATCGGGATCCTGGTCGTCGCCCAGACCGATGTCGGTCAGCTTGCGGCCACCGAGGAAGTCCACCCGGGCGTCCAGGTCCTTGGCCGGCTTGTTGTAGTAGATCCGGTCCTCCTTGCGGGGCCAGTAGTGGCTGTCACCGAGACCAAACACGGAGTAGTTGATGTTGGACAGGTCCAGGTCTCCGGAGTTCTTGACGTGCTCCCAGAGACTGCGGCCGTTCTGGGGGAATTCACCCTGACCAGCAGTACTGCAGATGAAGACCACGTTCTCCTCGGCGGGCAGATCGTCCAGGGGGTAGTCGTCCATGGCCATCACCATGGTCTTCAGTCCGCGAGCCCGACCGCGGTTACCCAGACGCTTGGCGATATTCTGAGCGTTGCCGTTGTCGGAGGCGAAGAGGACGGTCAAGGGGGCACCGAACAGACCCTCCAGCAGCTTCTCGTACGAGTCCTTAGCCTTGCGCTTCTGCAGGTCGCGAACCTCGGTGCCGTACGACTCCGAGAGCGCGGACGAGAACTTGGGGTGGCGACGCATGAGCTGACTGAGCTGATTGTCCCGACGGAGGAACTCCTCCAGCTCGCGCTTGATCCGATCGGAATCCAGCGAGAACTTGGGCTCGTCGTTCTCCTCATGGCCAGGGTTCCAGCGGTACAGGGGCCAGTAGCCGAGGTCGACGGCCTTCTTCGTCTCCTGGAGGACCGTCAGGGCCGAGTCGTTCTCCTGGTTGTAGGGCAGGTAGGCCACCACGACGGAGGGACCCTTGTACTGCTCAGCCTCCACCATGGCCTGCAGAACCTGGGTGTAGGAGCCGTAGACCGCGACCGAGGCCACGTAGGCGTTGCCAAAGTTCATGGCATACAGACCGATGTCCTTCTTGCGGCGGGTCGGGTCGGCCGCCGCACGCTCCGAGTACGGCTGCGAGTCGATCACCAGCATGTTGACGTTGGCGCCGGAGGCGAGCACATGGTGGACACCCGAGTTGCCCAGATCGTAAGCCCAGGCATCCGAGCCAATGAGCCACTTGGACTCATCGTAGAACAGCTGCTTGGACTTCAGGAGGGTGCGGGAGACCTCGGAACCGTCATTCGACAGACGGGCAATAACGTCCGGTGCGAGCTTGTTGGCCTTGGAGGCGTCGGCCACGTTGAGAGCCCACTTGGTGAGCCAGTTCTTCGGGACATCCGTCGCGAAGCCAGTGGCCTTGGACGCCTCCTCCACTTCCTTGACGAAGCGCTGGCGGTGTTCCATGCGGGCCATCAGGGCACCGAATCCGTATTCGGGGGTCGCCGCAATGGTCGAAGACACGCCGGCATCCTTGGCGCCCAGCTGGTTCGCAATGTGCAGACGCTCCCCAAACAGTTGGTTCAAGATCTTCAGGTACGCGTTCTCAATGTGAGGTTGCTCGAGGGGAGTCTCGAGGGAGGGGACCTTCGAGCTTCCGATCTCGAGGTTCTGGATCGGGGAGGGAGATTCCAAGTTCTGGACGATTCCCCGCAGAGCCTGAATTGCAGTCGACGGCTCAACATACCCCAACCGGTAACCGACGATCTTGGGGCTGGATCCACGGGCAGTGGGGGGAGTCAAGCCCGACAGCAGATCCATGAAAGCGGGGCCCCATCTGGTAGTCTTGCGGACCTGCTCCAGCACGGCGATCTGCTGGACGGAGCTGGGGATCGAGTTAACGATCTGACCGCCCACCCAGGGCCGATACAGGCGCGCGGTGACCAGGCCAACGTTCTGCAGCTCGCTGGGGATATCCTCCTTGGACAAGATGTCCACGAACACACCCGTCGAGCCAAAGACAAAGATCGCCGAGGTGGCGTCCGCCGGCCCAGTGTACTCGATAGCGTGGTATTCGCGCCCCACCATCTCCGACAGGACCCGCCAGATCTGAGCGGTCCACTCGAAGATGTCCGCCGCGCTGACGGCACGCAGAGCGGAGGCCTCAACGGTCGTGGCAACCGAGCTGGGGGCACGGCTGTCTGTGCTGCTGTCCCGCTTCGAAGAGCCCACCGAGGACGCATCGACGCTCACGCTGGACGGGGTCTGAGACGGCTGCGCCAGCGGAGCGGGGGCCTCGGTCTGCTCCGTCGCGGTGTTAGCCGACACTTCCTCGGACACGGTGGCCTCACGGCCGTTGTCCGTGTACAAAGTCTGGACACCAGAACCATCCGAGTGGACCGCAGCGTTGCCACCGAGGGTCAACAGGGTCCGAACGATATCCACATTTTCCTCCGCAATGGGCTCATCGCGCACGGAATTGGCCGGATCGAAGAAGTGGATGACACCCTTGCCGGACTTGCGGGCCAGAGCATGGGCGGTCAGCGCAATATCCTGGGCCTCCTGGATGGTCTCCGAGTGCAGGAAGGAGAAACCACACTGGCGGATGGAGCTGATCACGGAGTAATCCGGGAAGGGGTACGGTTCCAACGCAACGTGGATCACGACGGGGGCGTTGGCCAACCGGTACAAATGGGGGACGGAGGCGAGGAGAACCGAGGAGCTGGTAGTGACGGAGACGGCATTGCCCGCCTGCAACGGATGGAAGGCAGAGAGGAGAGGGTCCTCGTTGAAACGCACGGGGACGACCTGAGCCGAGTGGCATGGTCAGTTTCCGCCGATCTCGATCTTCCGACTATACCAATCCCACATTGACACTCACCTCTGGGACACCCCTAGGTAAAATGCCACGGGTATTACTGGCCTTCAAGGCCTTGAGGGGCTTCGAGAACCACGAATCGCCCTGCAGGGAGGGCTGCACTGACAGAACGACATCGCTCGACAGGTAGGCGATTCTGGCCACTAGACAATGAAACCATCAGTAATCAATGAAGGGATAACAACACGAAGGAAGATGGGAACCAACCAGCTTCCCCAGCGGATTGAATGGGCGCCATATTGCGACTGGCGAGAGCCTTCTCAGCGCAAGGTGGGGGAGGGGAAGGACGGAAAAGTCAATCGAAATCGGATATCACCATGCAAGGTGACTCCCCACTTGATAAGCAACCGTTCAGTGAAGAGGGGGCGGATGGATGATAGGGGGTATAGAGAGAAGTGGAAAAGAACAAGATCAAGGAGTCATCTAAAACCTCCCTCGTCGTTCCTGTTTAAAAATATAAATGTTATTTTTTCATACAAGCTAGAGTTATACTTCCCACCGGTGATTCTCTCCGCCTTCGGGGCTTGGATCAGCAACGTTTTCATTGGAGGACGATCACGACATCGATGCAAACCAGGGCGGCTGCGGGGTGCAAACCTGCCCCTTTGGGTTTAGTGTAGGGATCCCGTGACTGCCAGCTGATCACGTCAGTTTTATTCTGCCGGGCGGAACGGCGTTTGCTCGCATAGCTGACTCAGCTCGGTTTATGCCACCAAAGCCCGTTCTGGATCTCGGGCGAGAACTGGAGTAGTATAAGGAGAGTCAGAAATTCAGGCAGATGGAGTGAACGGAACATTCAATCAAGTTAAGAAAGAATAAATATGTATATCTTATCTGAAATGGTACAGCAATATGCAATCCCTATTATGGTAGTATCCCAAAACGCCAGTGAACAAACAGACACGGCAAACCCTTATCTGGATAACAATATACAAGCCCCCCAGACGCCCGGGTCATGCCTTAGGATACCAAGAGCATCCGGGAGCCTACAAGATTCCCAGGTGCCCTCGCACTCGCCCAAGCCAGACTCTCCGCCAACCCAAGACGTCCCCGTGCCCCCTCAAAAACAAACGCCTTTCCAATAATGAAAAATATGAAGAGAAGAGCGGAGAAGCTGCCAGAGATCGCGGGATCTCCAGAGCCGCTCCACTTGATGGCCCAACCAGGGTATGTAGGTCATTCCGGCATATATAGAAACAGGGAAAATACGACCCAAATAACATCATGTGCAAACGAAGGGACGGGTGAGTAGCCCCCCTCTCTGTACCGAGGGGAAAAGGAAGGGGTGGGTAAATATTAGACGGAGAAAAGTCAGACCAACGGGTCTGTGAGATCTTCTAGAAGTCGAGGAATGTGCTGGAGGGAACGCGGCGCAGCGATTAAAAGGTTGGATGATCGGATCGCACACCGAGCATCCACACATGCGGTCCCCGACGATTTACCGCGGGTCGTTCCAGTCGTGCATCTTGACATTGATGCAGGGCGGGGGTTGCTCATAGATGGGCTGTTGCAAGGCGGCCGCCTGGACAGCGGACTGGGAGGGCTGCGGAGGCCCAGTCCCCGAGCGACGGCGCCGCTCCCGCTCGATGGGACCGGGAAGAAGCCCACTGTCAGTCTCGACCCGGGGTTGGAGCCGGGGGCCGACCACGTTCATCCAGCTGCTGTTGTCCTCATCCTCACCCAGCCAGTAATTGCGACCGATGCCGATCATGGCGCGACCCAGTTTGCCCTTCCAGCCTTGGCCTTCGGGGCTGAAGGGGGAGAACGGCTCGCGGTCGATGTCGGCCACACTGGCGACGCTGGCCATGGAGGTGCTGCGGCTATGGGTGGGCAGCTGGGTGTGGCGAGGCACTGCCATGTAGCGGCGCAAGGCTTGGCGGGCGAACGCCAGCATGACAAACACGAAGTAAGCGCGGACGATCCACAGCAGACAGATGCAGACGATGCTTTGGAAGCTCTCGGGCTGGGACACGGCATTGCTCAGCCCATCATCCAGCGCGGATCTCGCCGCGTGATCGTTGGAACTGTAGTCGGACGTGTCGTACTTGGGGTTGGTGAAGCCGGCGGTCTGTTCGATCGTCTCGCTTCCGGGGCCGGATGCCACGTCGCTGTCGTAGTGCTGGGAGATCACCAAGAACCAGGTCACACCAAAGGCCGCGGTATAGGCGGCGTTGATGACGCTGTCGAACACGTACAGCCACGCGAGGGCCAGACATTGCAGGGGGGTCTGTTTCCGGATATGGGGGAAGAGGAGCGCGGCGAGACCGAGAGCGACAAGGGAATACAGGTACATGGACAGTTGGACAGGGGAGAGATGGTAGCCGGTCAGGAGGGCGAGAAGGCCATAGAGACCACTGATCTTATTGAGAAGGAGGGACAAAGTGATGAGAGAAGCGCCGGTCCGGAGACTCATCACATAAAGGAATGTCTGTGAGGTCAGGGCACATCATGGGTTAGTTACCATAAGCGACCGGGGGAAGATATTCTCCGAACATACCGTTGGCCGCGGGATGCGGAGGAAACGGGTTGATAGTAAACCCATGATTAGATATGATACCGCCGATGGGCGTCGGTGATATAGAGTTGAAAGGAATTCTCGTGGTGGTATTGGAGGGGGGGGTGTTGATGGGGGGATGAGGTATGGGGGGGATGGATAAGGGAAAGAGGAAAAGGAATGGAAGGATAAAATCGAGGAGGCTTAGAGAAGAGCCTGGGGGCCTGGGAGCCTGGTGGTACAACAATCACTCACTAGTACTTAGTTAGGTATGTTAAAAATGGAAGACTCATAATTAAGGGGACGAAAGGCTTTCCCGGTCGATCCGCCTGCAGATCCTTTCCTTTTTTCTCTATGATGAGTAGGAAATGAACTTCCCTTCGTTAATTATGTCTCATTAAATCGAATTGGGTATGCATAACTCAGACCGGTCAGCTTACTAAGTCGGCCCGGCACAGAAGGTCTCCCGATCGGGTGTATAAGTCATTTATTCACGTCATAAGTCTGTGCCGAGGAATAGTATTTAGTATAATCAATCCTACTCTTCATCTGACTAGCATATACTCGGATCTCCCGACAATACATAATGAGCCATTCATGACGGCTCTCCCCGTCATTATCATACTCCCTACTAGGCAGACACATACCCAACTAGACTGCACGGTTGGAGACCGATACATTGAAGATAGACTCGTGGGTATACACTCATAATGACGCAAACATGCAACATATGACCAGACGTACCCTCAAAAAGACCTATGGATCATCATGAACATAATCAAACATCTTTCTTACAAGCCAGACTGCAGCCAGTGGCCCACATGCGCCCAAGCCAAGCAAAAGAAGAGAGACCACCGTAGGAAAAGGAAGAACAGAAAAACAAAGGCTTTCATGAGACTTTCATCTAGACACGCTATTCGCCCGACCAAGATAACGAGAAAGAGGAAATCAATAAGAAAAGAAAAGAAAAGAAAAAAGAAAAATGTACATCTTAAGAACGACAGCGCATTATAGACAATCCCAATCAACCATCATCATTGGGCTTCCCGGTCAACAGGGCGAACCGCGGGTGCGCGCGAGGACCGGGTATGGAGAAATAGAAATTAGACATCGATTATAGCGTTCAGCACGCACATCCATCATTGCTCGTAGTCTCTTTCGGCGTGACGTTGACATCGAACACTGTATCCAACCGGTCAGTAACCTCCTAAAGCTTAGGAACTGGGTAGACCAACCCTGGGTTTCTCCTCGGTTTCCTTCACCCTCCATTCCGGGCAGCGCTTGGGCGATCCGCCGGAACAGTTGCTTCACATTGTGGCCCACCTTGGCGCTGGTCTCGATGAACATCAACCCGTTCTTCTTGGCCTCCTCCTCACCCTGGGCGGTCGTGACCTCCCGCTTGTCGTTCAGATCGGTCTTGTTGCCGACCAGGACAATGATCACGTCGTTCCCACGCTCCCCTCGCACGTCATCGATCCACTTTCGGGTGTTCTGGAAGGACTTGGCGTTCGAGATATCATAGACGACCACGGCGACACTCGAGTCTCGGATGTAGGAAGGAATGAGGGATCGGAAACGCTCCTGGCCAGCAGTGTCCCAGAGTTGAAGTCGGACGGTGCGGTCTTCAAGGTACATGGTCTACATCAACATGACGACATTAGCTGATTGGACTGATGGGTGGAATCCAACCATCCCGGGGGCCAACTGGCGTGACGGCGGGAGAGGTACAAGGGACCGAGGTCGGGGGAATCGTATATACCTTGGACAAAAAGTCGATACCGATGGTCGCTTGGTAGGTGTTGTCAAACGAGTCGTACATGAACCGTGTGATCAGGGAGGTTTTCCCAACTATTGACCCCCTAGGTTAGCAATCAAGCGGGGGACCGGGTATTCCGCACGGAGCGGTGAACCATACCGCTCTGCTCTCCCAAAAACACCAGCCTGCGACCGATCAGTAAACATACTCCCAAAGTGAGACATAATCGAGACATGAAGGGACATACTTGAACTTCTTCAGGGGGTTCGAATACGACCCGACCCCAGATGCGGACGCCATGACGATAAGGTGACTGAGGGGGAGGTAGAATCAGGGGTAGCGGGGAAGGAAGAAAACAAATAATCTACCCGACCGAAACAAGAGCCAGCTGAATTGCGAGCTCAGGGGTATATAAAAGTAAGGCAAGAAGAACAATTCAATAGGGTAGGAAAGAAAGAGTAGGAGGGGCGGAAGAGGGATGCGACTGGAGAGGATAGAAGGGAGTTGTTCGAATAATGGACTGACGAGGACTCTAGTAAGACCCATAGTTAAGGATCAAAAGGATCCAAACGTCCGGGGATTTACTGCCGCCGCCTGCCGCCCGGGCGGATGAAACTCCGGCCCGATCACTCAACGCCATAATCAAGAAGCTGCTGGGAATATCAGCAAACTAACTGATTCCGTCTGAAGAGCTTCCTCGGTTTTACCTCCCTCAGTCCTCGTGACTCTTTCGAGTGTTTTGAGGATTACTTTCTCTTATTGTTTGATTTGTCGATTGTCTAGCTCCGGCGACGAGTGGCAGTCATCATGGTTCTCGCGTATTCCGCCGGTGCTGCAACCGTGTCACTCCTGGTGATCGGAGGCTGTAAGTGAACCCCCGTTGACAAATTGGATGGGGAGGAGATACTGACGAGACTCTCTGGTAGATATGCTATTCCATGGGGATGGTGAACAGTTTAATGTATGATCCGATCGTCCGAGCTCGTTCCATGTCCGATCGACTTCCTCGTATTGACTCGTGTTCTAGGTCGGCCATTTCCTTGAATCGGTGTCTCCCTATGCCTGGGCGACCATTGGTATTGCGATGTGTATTGGTTTGTCGGTAGTGGGCGCCGCATGGTATGGTCATTCCTGCGTTATCGTGTCTGTCCGGTCACTGACAGTCGGTGCTTCAGGGGTATCTTCCTGACAGGCTCCTCGATCGTCGGCGGAGGCGTCAAGGCGCCCCGAATTCGAACAAAGAACTTGATTTCGATTATCTTCTGCGAGGTCGTGGCTATCTACGGTGTGATCATGGCGATCGTCTTCTCGTCCAAGCTCAACCTGGTCGACAATGATGAGATCCTGTCGGGAAGCAGCTACTATACTGGATATGCTCTCTTCTGGGGCGGTATCACTGTCGGCGCATGTAACTTGATCTGCGGTATCTCTGTCGGTATCAACGGAAGTGGTGCGGCCCTTGCTGATGCCGCCGACCCCAGCCTGTTCGTCCTCCTCCACGTTGATTCGAATTTTGATGGATATGAAGCTAACGACCCGGTCTATAGGTTCGTCAAGATCCTGGTCATCGAGATTTTCAGCTCCGTCCTCGGTCTATTCGGCCTTATCGTGGGACTTTTGATTGGAGGAAAGGCGACCGACTTTGGAGCTTAAGCACCGGAGAGCACGTCTTCTCCGGAAGAAGACTTCGTGGTGCCAGAAGAAACCATTTGTATGACTTATTATCTGTTCTTTTTCTCCTCTTATATACCGCATTGAGGCGTATGGGTCCGATTTGACTGTAGGGTCGTTTGGGTGCGTGGCTGGCTATCCCGCTGGATCTGCCGTGATAGACCAGCCGGTGTGGATGGCATACAATAGGGTATCGGCAATGGGATTGCGTGTGACTGCCAGTGTTGCCTCTTCTTGTACATCGCATTGACCTCTGGGATCGACGAGAACGATCAGATTACGTTCTTGCGTGAATATCCCCCCGTTGGGTCTGGTTACGCTTGCCTACTTCAACTAGCGAATTCAGATATGGAATGAAATGATTACATCTACGGACTTTCGAAGGAGGCTTTAATACCTTGGATACGGGGAGTCAGGGCAGAGAACGTAATTGTAAAATGCTGTTCTCTGTATTTTTTTTTTCTTTCGTTGTCGACATAGTATACTCCCAAGTGTAATTTCAAATTACATCAAGTTTGTTGTGAAGACTGAGATATATAGATCGGACAGTTCCGCGGAGTAAGTAACCCGATAGTATATTTACTTGGACCCCACTTCCGATAAGCCCAACTCTCCCTCTTCACCTCCCCCTCAACCACTCATCCACTGCCCAACAATATACAAAATGTCAGATAATAACTCTCTGAAAGCAGCAATCCTAGTCGTCTCCGACACGGCTTCCCAGGATCCCTCTACGGATAAAGTGGTGGACACTCTCACGCCCTTCTTTACAGCCGAGGGATCCAACTGGGGACGACCGCTCGTTAAGATCGTCCCAGATGATGTGCTGGAAATCCAGCGTACTGTCTGTGACTGGACGGATGGTCCGAATTGGGTCAATCTGATTCTGCTCAGTGGGGGGACAGGGTTTGCAGTCAAGGACAATACACCCGAGGTTCGTGGTCTAATGCTGGAGATGGAACCCTATGTATCTGACTGATTACTGGGACAGGCTGTATCGCCCCTCATTCATCGCCATGCGCCTGGATTAGTGTGAGTAGCATATTCTGCTTCTTTCCAGGATGGTTGAACAATGACTGACAAGGAACTAGGCACGGCATGATTGCCTCGTCCTTGCAAGTCACTCCATGTAGGGATCGCTGCACCTGATTATCCAATGGTCACTCACCCAGTCAAATAGTTGCAATGATGTCCCGGCCAGTGGCAGGCGTCCGAGACAAATCGTTGATTATCACTCTTCCTGGATCGCCCAAGGGTGCCAAGGAGAACCTCGAAGCGGTCTTCAAGCTCCTCCCGCACGCGTGTATGCAAGCAGCCGGTGCAAATTCAAGAAGCCTTCATGCCGGCGGTGTGAAGAAGCTTGAGGCCGAAGCAGGTGTATCTTCTGGTAGTCAGAAAACGTCTGATCGAGGGGATCACCAACATGGCCATCATCATCATCACCACCATCATCACGGGAACCATGACCACTCGTGTGGACATGGACATGGGCATGGGCATGCTATCCCGAAAGCGCATACGTCGCCGTCCGAGCGCCCACAATCGAACGATCCCAATGCAGGGCCTACACGGAGATACCGCGAGTCGCCCTATCCGATGCTGTCGGTGGACGACGCCCTACGGGTCATCAGCCAACAGACTCCCGATCCAGTAGTGGTCGATGCCCCGGTGAACATTGCATTAGTGGGCTCTGTTCTAGCCGAAGACATCTACGCTGGAGAGGCAGTACCGGCCTACCGAGCCAGTATTGTTGATGGATACGCCGTGATTGCACCTGCATCTGCGGAGACGGGCCCCAGCACCAAGGGTGTCTTTCCTGTCGCTTCAATCACCCATGCTAATCCAGGAGGGACCTTGTCACCTCTCGAACCGGGTACTATTGCTCGAATCACCACAGGGGCTCCCCTCCCACCCAACGCCAACTCCGTGGCAATGGTGGAAGACACCGTTCTGGCAACCTCGACATCAGACGGCCAAGAGGAGGCCACCGTCGAGATCCTCACCGGCGACATCAAACCCGGCGAAAATGTCCGCGAGCCAGGCAGCGACGTCGCGTTGGGATCGAGGATCCTGCGCAAAGGGGACACGATCACGCCCGTCGGGGGCGAACTGGGTCTCCTAGCAGCAACCGGAACGAAGACCGTAAAGGTCTACAAGAAACCCTGCGTAGGCGTCCTCAGCACCGGCGACGAGCTAGTCGAACATGACGACCCGCGCATCCTCCACGGAGGACAAATCCGCGACTCCAACCGCCCATCCCTACTCGCCTGTCTCACCTCATGGGGGTTTCCAACCGTCGACCTAGGCATCGCCCGCGACACCCCAGCAACAGAGCTAGAACAGAGCCTCCGAGACGCCCTCCGAGGAGTCGGCAAGGCCAAAACCAACGTCGACGTAATCGTCACAACCGGAGGCGTCTCAATGGGCGAACTCGACCTCCTCAAACCAACCATCGAGCGCTCCCTCGGCGGCACCATCCACTTCGGCCGCGTGTCCATGAAACCAGGCAAACCGACCACATTCGCAACCGTCCCCTTCAAATCATCCTCCCCAGTCCAACCAAACCAGCAACAAGAGCGCCAAACAAAACTCATCTTCTCCCTCCCAGGGAATCCCGCCTCCGCACTCGTCACCCTCAACCTCTTCGTACTCCCCTCCCTCCACAAACTCCTTGGACTAGCCGCTCATCCCAGCGCAAGCCCGTCCCTCGGCTTACCCCTCGTAACAGTCACCCTGGAACATGCATTCCCACTGGACACCAAGCGCACAGAGTACCACCGCGCGATCGTGGTAGCGTCTCGCTCCGACGGCCGGCTGCGTGCGGCAAGCTCGGGACTCGACGGCGTCGGACAGCGCAGCTCGCGGGTGGGCAGCTTTGCGAGCGCTAATGCGTTGGTGGTGCTTCCTCCTGGGAAGGGGCGCATCGAGAAGGGGGGGTTGGTGCAGGCTTTGATGATGGGGGGCGTTTTGTCGGGGGAATGAGTTTATAACCTAGTAGATGTGGTGGATTCTATATATAGCTATATATGTCGGGTGGTTTACTTGGGTCCCTTGGTTGATAAAATTAGCGGGGCATAAGGTGTGGTCTGATGAGGAGTAGTATTGCAGGGGGAATTGAGAACGGAGATATCACTAGTTACTGTTTACATAGTATACATCATGTCAATAAAAACAGTGTGGTCAGACTTGGTGACAATCTATATTCTACACCAAAATGTGTAATCTCATTACAAGCAAGCCGACAACCAAGGTCATAAACGACGGAAAATACCCACACGACAGCATTTTGACAATATCACAACGTGCATATTAAATAGAACAGAGAGTTTTAACTAGAGCTGTCAAGCACTGAGCACCAAACCTGCGACATACTTTGCCAAAAAGAGAGAGAGAGAGGAGTATAGTTCTGAGATAGAGTGTATGCATGTATAAATGCATATAAGATAGAAACACAGATAGAGACAACAATCAAAAAGAATCAACCACCCCAACCCCTATGAATCTTCCACCCGCCCTTCTTCACCGCCGCGAACGCGGGCAAAGCATGCTCTCTCCCCTGCTTCCTCGCAATCTCAATCACAACGAAGCGGACAAAATCCGTCAGCGTCCAGTAGCTGCTATGCGCGCTCAGCATATTCAGATACTGGATGTTGAGGGGCCCGCCGCCGCCGGAGAGGAAGTAGTCGATCTGGCCGTTGTCGTTGAGGAGCAGCATGCGCTGCTCGGCGATGTCCTCGCGGGTGAAATCGTGGGTCTCCATTTCGACGGTGGTGGGCATTTTGCGGAGGGCGCCGGGGCGGGCGGGGTTTGTGGAGTTGGAGGTGTGGAAGGGGGAGGAGGGGGTGCTCCAGCGGAAGACGCTGCCGAGGGAGGTCCAGAAGGAGGAGGAGGCGCTGGGGATGGTTGCTGGGCGGAGGGTGTGGGCTAGGTCGTTGTCGACTGTGCCGTTTATGCGGTAGGCGATTGCTGGGGGTTTGTTAGTGGGATTGGAGAGGATGGGGGTGGGGGTTGCTTACGGTCGGTTGTGTGCATGATGTTGTAGATGTTGTCTACGGCGAGACACCCGTATTTGTTCGCTTCGCCTGCGACTCCGCGGAACAGGTCTTCTCCTTCACTGCCGGGCTTGTCTCTGCCTCGTCGGGGCATCAAGTTTGCTGTATTCACTGTTAGCTGGAGTAATGCAAGGGAAAAGAGAAGCGAAGTGTACCTTTGTTCAACAGGAGGAAGAATCCAGCGGGACTGCCACAGAGGAACAAATTCTTTGTATCAAACTCAAAAATGTCACTGCGGATGTCAGGTTGGGAGAAATCAAAGTGCGGGATTTTGGTAGGCTGGTTGCTCAGAATGTCCATCGCCATTACGCTCCCGAGGGAATGCGCAAGCAAATGAATCCTACCATGCTCCTGGAACCCGGGGTTATTGTTGCACCAAAGACGATATATGCGATTCGCCTCCTTGACGACCGCTTGGATCATCTTGGGTTTGTGATGGGACAGATAATACGGAATATCGAGCATCACGTCGCTGATTAAAGACCTGACGGCGGGAATCGTCTCCGGGGTGATGTCTTTCAACGTGAAGTGATTGGCAGTCGAATCCTCAACGTTATGAGCTTCCAGGCTGGCGTCTTCTAAAGATAGAGTCGAACGCCAATTGACAGGCAGGACCATGATGCCGCCGTGACCTGGGCGCACATGCGGCCAGACTGGCTCGCTGTTCAGCTCCATGTTGATTTCTCTGCGAAAGGCGTTGATGGCATGCGTGAAGTGGAAGCTCTCCATGCGTTCCGAGAGTTTCTGTCCGATACCGTGAATAACGAGCACCAAGTCCGTTGGGTTTGGCCGTGACTCCTCTATCGCACAGGAGTAGCAAACCGGTCGCCCGGATGTTCTGGGCATGGAGCGAGATTGGGTACCCCGGAGATAGTTCCGGACATCCACAGGGCTAGGCTTGGATGGATGCAGATGGTCCCATAATTTGCGACTGAAGCCACGAACCACCGGAATACCAATCTGCCGCCCTTTGCGGATTGCGCTGAGAGGTCTCCGGCCCCTGGATGCTGATGGGAGTAAACTCGGACGGAGAATCTGAGCATGAATTCCACCAACGTAGATGACACTCGAGTTGATATAAGGATTCGTATCCGAAGAGTGTAGCGTTGTGCCGCCAGCGGCGCGATTTTCATCAAGGAGCGCAGCCTCTATGCTGTGCTCTGCATCCGCCACGCTAGCTGCAGAGCCCGATGCTCCGGGCTCGGGAGAAGATGTGGCCCTGCTCTGGGGTCGGGTGATATCCTTTGGCCATAGGCGATGCATAACCTTCATCTCAGCATCCGCCCCATTTTCAACACAGCTGTTGAGTTCA